CTTGCACAGATTCCAGACCAGGACCGGCCGTTTGCAAATGCCATGTGTTCGTCTCCCGAGCCGTCTGTACACACCCGGGGATGCTTGGACCATACGGCGGTAAGCCGAGATAGCTTCACGCCCTTTATCTTGACCAAGTGGATCGCGTTGAATTGCAATTTGAGCTTCCTTGGCATGAAAGACCTCACGTGGCTGGCAGATTTGGCTATGGCAGTGGGTTCTGCTGGCTGCGGCTCTGTCGGTCCACGCCCCATTGGCAACCGCATTGGGAGCCGCCGAGTCAGGGGGTCGGTTGGCAAGCTCGGCAGCATTTAAGGACATCATCGCAAAATACCAGCAGACGCGCCGAGGGGGTGAAGCAAATTCTGGCGGCCAGCGTACCTAATGCTTTCTTTGAGACCGGTGAAGGAAACCTGGATTGACACTCGCCTATAACGCCGCCAATCAAGGTTAAGCAAGCAATCGGCTTGGCAGCTAGGGGTTGCAGCTCGCGAACACCACGCGCTGGAGGAGTGGTTTTCGACAACAGTCGTTGCCACCATGTCGATATTTTCATTCTCACCTCTGTGTGGTCCAACTAGCCGCTAGACAATGCACCTGTAACTTCATGGAGATGCGTGAGTCTCCGACAAAGACTGGCTGAAGCGACGAAGTAGCCTAAACGATGCGAGCGAGGTGGTGTCCAATAGCAAGCCTTGTAATGGCGGCTCCCATCAAGCACCAGCTGAGATGAGCAGCACTTCGGGTTGACGAGGGTGATGAAAAAGGCCGGCCGTGGGTGGTATTCAACTTGGAATTTCTCTCGAATGCGCACAACTACAGGTAAGAGCGAAAGTTTGCGGCTAGCGTAATAACCGGAGGGTCTCATGACCAAATCCGTATCCAGAAAAGAGCCACTCAGACATGGAATCCGCAGCAGGTCTTGCATGCAAGCTGTATGATGTACCCACAAGGTCTGAGGTGTTGAAACCGACATGTGAGTTTTTGGATCTTGACCGATGCAGATAGCAGAAGGGTGATCACGTTCCTGGAACTCTTGTCGTACTCAATAAGTGGGTGGATCTACAGCTGGGAGAGCCTCATCCTCATTTGCATAGTGAGGACTATTCCGGCAGCGGTGAACAAGGTAGCGGACAAACAAGAGCCTAGACCTTATGAGGATCACAAGCCAACAAGCCTTCAAAGTCGAGACCTTGTCACCATGAGGCTGGAGCTAGCTGGAGGAGGGGAGCTTGGATCATTGGGCGAGCCTAGGACGTGCTGGAATGACGACTGATGGATGACAAAAAATATATAGCCGTGATGTCGCTTTGAAGTCTGACGACGCATTGAGCACTCACAGGGATTTGCCCGGCTTGGCTGGGGTTGTGAGCCGGCAGCTCCATTAACCAGTGAAGTCCAAGATTGGTGGCTCCATCCGACGAGGGTAGAGAGATGACTCGGAGATTCTCGCCTGTCGCCTAGCGGAATAACTGTGTCTTCCTGTATTCATGGGCACCTGACTTCGAAGTGAACGAACGGAATGTGTATCCGTACAATTATTGATTGAGGGCTTCACGTGCTGCATCGATGATTATTAGTCCGATGGCGACAGAATCGTAGATGGAGCTTCGATGCTCGCTCTTTCCGGAGATTCAATTCAGATGCGGGGCAGCCGAGCAGGGGCAGCAATGATGGTTGGGTGGACTCTGGGGAGCTCGAGCCAAAAAAACGAGGGGTTGCAGGACTCGTTGTGGATCACTGCGATGAAAGGATGCATCTATGATCTATTCATCACAGCTCTGCCCGTGTAGGAAATCATGGTGACCGTACTTAAGTACTTCAATAACTTGGCTGTAAATGGCTGTGTCAACAGAGCCAATATTCATCTACTAAGTATGACATATATTCAGCTGCAAGCGTCGTAGGCTTTCGATCTTGATATCCGGCTCCAGATTGTCGATGATAGTTCATCGAGGGGCTCCATCTGAGCATCATTCATGGGTTAGGTGTCTGGGACTCTGGACGCCTTTTACTAGCTGCGCCTTGTTACCTGAAACAAACATTTGGGTTAATCCAACCCATCTGAATCCTGGCCTCTAACAGGCTGCCGATTTCCAAGATTGCGCCTCTGATTGTAGCTACTTCATGGTTGACATTATATCAGCTCTTGAGAAGTTCGACCTGCAGGTCTAGCGAAGAGTCCAAAACCAGGACAGCGTTTACAATCATGAAAAAACTCGCTTATACGCGGCCATAAGCAAGCACAGGAATAGAAAATAGCGTGATGTCAGTTTCCTGGAATTTACCCTCTTCGAACTGATGGGTTCGCCTCTCGTGCTTATAATAGAAGAACCTCATCTCGAGGCTAGGGACCCGGTGGTGGTCAATGACATTCTGGGCTTGGTTGAAATTGGCATCCATGCTACTTTTGACTTCCAGGGTTCGGCTGCCGAGTCCTAGCGGCAAACTGCCCCCGTCTCAAAATTGAGCACATGAGCAAACCCCCTGCTGTTTGGCGGGCCAGCGAGAAACAAGACTTGGAGCGCCAACCTGACAAAGACTTTGATCCCATCCGCTAGTCAATTGCTCACCATACCGCCCTTATGTTGGCCGCCACTAGTTTTCTTTGTCCTGAAAAGGTCTGGAATGCTAGGGTAGGAAAGAGGCTGTCAAGGGCTCATGGAGTCACTCAGAAGCGTCCCGTGCCCAAAGTTAGACTTATACGAACCTGGAAGTGGGCTATGGAGGGGCCAACATCGTTCGAGAAAGACGACCTCACTGGGAGGCTGCTAAGGATTTGACGGTAATCACCAAGGCCCTATTGATTATTCTGACGAGTCGAGCGGAGCAATTCAAAGGGCCAGCTCTTCCCTTCACAAATTGTCCCATCAATTGTTATTCTACCTCAGCCAGTGATCCCCTTCCCAAGTACCATAGGGTATTCTGCTAGCATGAGGTTGCAAGTCGGAGAAGAACTGCGTCCCAAACTACGTAAGGTTGCTCAGCTCCAATCAACAAATAGACCCCACCGGATTTAACTACAAAACTATCTTATTACTTCCCTACCTTCCTTCAAGAGCTGCTTCATCCTCCAGTACCCGCACAGTAAACGTCACGAGAAACGTGCCGTCACCATCGTTAAGTTAGTTAGCAGGTAGCTTGACCCGTCATCCACTTTGTAAAGCACTGCATTTCTATGCAATTCATCATTTGTATCGTTGATTGTATCACTTCGCTGCACGCGTAGCCAATTCTTGTAAAGCCCGAAAAAGTAAATTGGGCAGGTATTCGCATCCACAGCTTCCAGTTCCAGCGCGCTGGTTGGACCTGATCGTCATCAGCTCATCGTGCCGTATAAGTGGGCAGGTGACCGACTGCCATTTGACGAGACCATTTTTAAAAGCCCGACCTACCCCTCATTCGCGCTTTTCTTGCAACCCTTGGGAACTACGCTACGCCTTGATATCTTGTCCTTGTTACTGCCGCCGACCTTGCCATTTGACAGACCTCCCACTCCTCGACCTCAAACCTCGACGACTTCGAGCCCTCTCATCCCGAATTATTCTTTGCGACTGGAGGACTCGACACTGTCACTGCACGGCAAATTGTTCCTACAAGAAACCTCATACGTTAGGAACCAGTCCCCAAACGCGACCGTTTTGGCTCCATCAACTATTTGTAAGTGCCAGCTCACTAGCTTCTCCTCGCTTCCTCATTGCCTTGTCCTTTTGCCCCATTCATTGCCCCCAAGGATGCCTTTGGGGATGCATCACGTCAAGTGCACTACCACCTCGAGAGCTCCAGTCCTCCATCTAGCCATTATCCATCGACGCAGCTCCATGTACTCTACCCCTCTGGACGGTCGCTATGCGTACCAGGCTGCTCCTGCCTGCCGTCGTTGTGCCGAGAGCCATCGTGGTTTGGCTTGCTCGCTTGTTGGTCGGTACTTCATTTTGGGTACAAGTACATTCCATTTCAGTCAGATCCCAAAGAGAAGAGCAGCACTTGAGCAGCGTCCAATGCCAGAATGCCGCAGCTCAAGACTACTGCATGCACGCACCATACAGCATTGGATGGCTCGTCATTTGACTCTTTACTATTTTTTCCCGCTCTGCTCTGTGGCAGAGCAGGAGCGACAGCCGGAGTGGCGGAGGACAGCGTCTCGCCTAAGAGAAGCAGCCCCCAGAGAAGAGAGTACATTGGACCAGAGATAGGGTATACTTGATGCTGTTCCCAACGTCTTCCCCCCGAAATGCACACACCCACCAACGCGCATAATTTCTCCAATGCTTCACCAATTGTCCTAGGGCCAGCTTGGATTATTATGATTTCGGCTGTTCCCTAAACCACCCTCGTCCCGACTGCCCTCTAGCTTCCTAGTCTTGCCAGCTTCACACCCAAATTACATAACCATCCTTCGGAGGTGGCTTGGGCGCTCAGCAGCATATCCGTCATTCAACAAAGTTCTCCACCTTTGGTCACCCCGCCCCTAATCTTCTCTTACTTTGCATCTCACTCCCTCGCCGTTGCAGAACCGTCCATCCGTCATTTTTCTCCATTCATTCGCATCCATTCATCACACAAACACACATTGCGTGGTCCTCGACAGAACCACAACAGAGATTTACTGACTTGGCAAAAGCAATTAAGCTCTAGCGTGTTGGAAACCTCGCCGGTCCCTTCGCGGCGATCAGTTTAGCAGAAAGCACCCCTCGACATTCCTCGCGCGAGTTGATTCCAGTCTCAGACCCGCCATTGACAACCACTCAGCCCACTTCCGGCAGAGCGGCAGCATACCAACAGCCACCCACCCCAATTGTTTAACTCGACAATTCAGCGGCACCTGACAGGTGACGATTGTAGGCACAAGCGGGCTATACTGGTCAATTGCGACACGAAAGGTCCTACCCCCAAGCCAAAGCATAGTGCGAGGACCCTGAACGTCACCGGCTGCTCACAGGGTTCGCACCGCCATCGGATCATAACCCACCAACGACTCACCATTGCAAAACAATATCACCAATTCCATTCAGCCATTGCCCAACACGGCGTCACGAACCGCACCTTCGTACCTTTGTAAATCCAGATTTCGCTGACAACTCGAGATACTGTTGACTGACCCGCCCCCTTCCTCCCCCTTCCCCCCCGGCGCCTCACTGCTTCGTAACAGCCTGAACGGCCCTTCAAGATGGCACAGAACCGCCCAACAGCGGCCTTCAACACCCTTCGCATGGGAGGTGAGCCTAACCTTCCTTCTCCAGTGCGAAACAATATTATAGCGCTCGAAAGACTAAGCCACAGCACAGAAGTCATCCGCGAGAAAGTACAAGACGGAGTGACTGGCGAGACCAGGGACTTGCAGTACACCCAGTGCAAGATTGTTGGCAATGGCTCGTTCGGCGTCGTCTTCCAGACCAAGCTTGCCCCATCTGGCGAAGATGCGGCCATCAAGCGCGTCCTCCAGGATAAGCGATTCAAGGTAACGTATTCAGCGACGGGCTCGGGGTTCCCGGCTTGGTACTACCTTACTGACGCGGCCACTTGTAGAATCGCGAGCTGCAAATCATGCGCATCGTTCGGCACCCAAACATCGTTCAGCTGAAAGCCTTCTACTACTCGAATGGAGAACGCGTGAGCAGATATTTCATGTTCTGATTCATGCGAACGCTTGCTGACTTGGAACAGAAGGATGAAGTTTACCTGAACCTGGTGCAGGAGTTTGTGCCCGAGACGGTCTACCGAGCTTCGCGATTCTTCAACAAGATGAAGTCGACCATGCCCATCCTCGAAGTCAAGCTCTACATCTACCAACTCTTCCGAGCCCTAGCCTACATCCACTCACAAGGCATTTGCCACCGTGACATTAAGCCACAAAACCTACTCCTAGACCCCAATACCGGCATCCTCAAGTTGTGCGACTTCGGCAGCGCAAAGATTCTGGTAGAAAACGAGCCCAATGTTTCCTACATCTGTTCAAGATACTACCGAGCACCCGAGCTCATCTTTGGCGCCACTAACTATACGACAAAGATTGGTACGTGGGGAATTTTTGTCGAAGTTTGTACAACATGTGTAGTCTAACCGCGTGGACAGACGTTTGGTCGACAGGCTGTGTGATGGCGGAACTCATGCTGGGACAACCGCTTTTCCCTGGAGAATCCGGCATTGATCAATTGGTGGAGATCATCAAGGTGCTGGGAACACCGACCCGCGAACAGATCCGCACCATGAACCCGAATTACATGGAGCACAAGTTCCCGCAGATTAAGCCGCACCCGTTCAGCAAGGTCTTCCGCAAGGCAGACGGCAACGCTTTGGATCTTATAGCCAGACTTCTGGAGTACACGCCGACGGAACGTCTCGGGGCAATCGATGCCATGGTGCATCCCTTCTTCGACGAGCTCAGGGATCCAAGCACGAAATTGCCAGACTCCCGGCACTCGTCGAATACCCTGAAGGATCTGCCAACTCTCTTCGACTTTACGCGACATGGTAAGTCTCGCCGCAACCACAGTTTTCTTCGTCCGGGGTGGGAGGCTTTGTGTGTGCAGCAGGTTTGCTAACCGGGTGTTTAGAATTGTCCATAGCACCGCAGCTCAACAACAAGCTAGTGCCACCACATATCAGGACCGTACTGACGTCTCGCGGCCTAGACGTCGACAACTTTACGCCGATGACGAAGCAGGAAATGATGGCGAAACTAGACTGAGAACTGGTCTGAATTCGGCTTTGTTTCAACTCACCCACAAGTTTTGAGTTGGCCTATAACATTCGTTTTACTGTCTGGGCCTGGCAACATGGCTCGTGACTTGCAGCCCGCATCAGAGGCCATGTATGACTGGAAGCAGCGAATTCGAAGAACCGGAGCGCTTCCCAGGTCTACTTGGGGATGCGCCTGAAAGCTTGTGGAGGAAACGGGTACTTCCAGGAGAATTTGCAGCTTGGAAGCATTGCAGGGGTGTTTGCTCCAGCCACTAAGAGTTTTGAGATACCCAATATGCTCAAAACCCCCCCACCCCACTCCCCCTCCCCCTCCCCCAGCTCTAGTGACACGAGCAGCCGCTTTACACCGCACCTGGAATCCCCCTCCCCGATGGACCTACGGCACCGGACCTTCTTAGACTTCTTCTATGCATGATTGAGATGACATCTGCTTTGTTATTCAATTTGTTCGATTACTCACGTTATCCTTGTGGTGGACGGCCACAAGGCGGCTGGAACCCGCTTTGGCCATCCGAAAACGATCCCCACAACAGTCAAAAGGGGTCAGATTTGGCGTATATCTTATTTTGTGGTCGCTGCCGTCGGACATGGAATGGCAGCATGTGCAAGGAGTAGGCAGCATGGATATCTTGACGATGGGCTAGTACCCCCCGTCTCTCTCGCAGCAGTGGCATACTGGAATTGGTCACCCTCAGGTAAACTCGGCATGACTTTTAAAAGATTTTCTTTCCCCCCTCCCCCAAAGGCGTACGTGAGAGTGCGCAAAGTCAACGGTGGTAGCTAAAAGGAGGGCTGATATACCGACCCAGACAGCAAAGGAAAGAGACTGATGCTGTCGCTGCTTTGATGGATTGGACAGATGACGAATTCAACCGATATGTTCGAGTTGCCTTACGCGTCCCATTCCTATATGTTCTAACTTTGCTTGTGTTTTTGTCTATGTGATCTCACGGAAAACGAACTAGTGTTTACGGTTGAGGCTGAATGAGTTGTACAAAGGGATGATAATTATCAGGTACTCGGAGCGATTGGACTGATCTATTATCAAGATCCAGATGTATAGTAGGTGCGTGTTGAGCTTCAGACTGCACAACCATGGTCGGGTATTCAATTTTGCTGCTGTAGCCATGACAAGTCTGCCATTAGCTCTAGGGAATCCGAACTGGCCTCATGTTCTCCTTTCACTCCTTATCTAACTCGCTCAAACGCTGAAAGTTAGCTATGAGATTGTTGAAAATATTGCCTGTGATTGCAATGGTATAGGAGTAAATACGCCGTCGCGACAAGTGCACACATGCGACTACAACCTGGTTTGACCTTATTATTTCTGCTAAGTCAATTCATCTCCCTCGGTAGAAAACCAAAGAAAGGAAGTATTTGTAACGAGTTGCTTGACCTGATTAACAGCCATGAGATCACCCGAGAGATGTGTTGCAGGGTTCAAAGTCCTGGGGTTTTGATGGTTCAAATTTGGAAAGAGCGCCTCAGCCACATTTCCATCATTGATCACCAGCCTCGCCCCGGCCAAGAGGCCCACTGTCCCAAGCTTCGCGTCTCACACGTCAAGTACGAAAGCTAGCTTCCACTCGCAGTTCCTGGTCTGCTTGATCAAACCCAACCTTACACAATTGTCGCAATTTGACAATGGCCGACTACGATCGCAGAGGTGGCGGTGGAGGTGGAGGTTACAACAACCGCAAGAGACGGGTCAGAGGTAAGTCCCAGTAGCAGCCCGCCCAGTATCATCGATCGCGCCGGGGCAACTACCATTGGATGGCCTCACGCGCATGAAAGAGTTGGTATTGCTTGTATCGACTTGAGCTCACAATTGTTCAGATGACGATGAATACGACCGCAGACCACAGCGCCGCCCGCGTTACAACGAGCCGCCCCCCCTGCCCGTTCGCATCCGCAAACAGCTCTTGACCCTGGCCGAATCGCCCCTGCGCCGTTGGCACGAGGAGGTCCAGTCCATTGCGCACATCGTCGCCGACAACTACGATGGAAGTGAGCTCAAGGAAAGCTTTCTCGACCTGGTCGGTCTAATGGTGCTCGAGCAACCACTTAAGATCCCCTTTGTGGCCGCTGTCGTTCTCGTCGCCAACTCCCTGAAGGGCGAGATCGTTAATGATGTTCTGGCCCGCATCATCCCTCGAACCGAAGACAAGATTAAGCAGGGTGAATGGCGCGATGTTAAGCTCTATCTCAAGTTTTTGGCCTGTCTTCAAAGTTGTTTGGAGGGAGATGGTCTGTTCCCCGTCCTGGAGGAGCTTTTCAATCGCGCTGTAGAGCTGCAAACTAGCAGTTCTGAGGACACCATTGGCACTGAACTGGTGAAGATCATCCTTCTTACCATTCCATACATTATGGCTGCGGCCCCGGGACCGGAAGCTCAGCAGAAGGCGGCCGATCTCATGGACAAAACCGAAGTCATCGCATCGGAGCCGCATGCGTTGCAGGTGTTGATTGACCCATTCCACACGCCAGACGGCGAAGACAGCCCAACTGCAAACTCCAGCTTGATCGGGTTGCTGCAAAAGCAGCTGCAGAATGAGGCCACCAATGGGTGGGAACTTTCTTGCCTGCCTCGGCCTTGGAAGATGCCTCTCGAGGAGGTTGAGCTGCAGGAGAAGATGGACAATGCTCAGAAGCACGCCCTGCCTGTCATCGCCATCCCTGAGACGGTCGTTGCGGGCCCGCGGCCTCTGTTCCCCGAGATCTACTTCTCCGTCTATGTTAATCAGGAGATCGAGTCGGTCCCGTCCGTCACCAACATCGCGGCATCACTGATTCGCGACGGGTTGCTGGACACGATTAACCTTCTGGACTTCAACCGTAACGTGACGGCCCGCTACTTGATCGATGTGGACTGTTATTTTGCGGACGGCACATTCATCAAGCGGGCGACACCTTTTGACCGACTACGAGACATTGATGGTGGTCGATCGACGTGGAAACCCGAGGACGTGGCAGTCGACGCTGTCTTCTCACAACTCTTCCAACTGCCAACGCCTGAGCATAAGCTAGTCTACTACCACTCCGTTCTCACCGAGGCTTGTAAGATCGCCCCTGCAGCCATCGCGCCTAGTCTCGGCAGAGCCATTCGCCAGTCGTACCAGAACATTCATCGTACCGACCTCGAGCTTGGTCACCGTTTCCTCGACTGGTTCACACACCATCTCAGCAATTTTGGTTTCATGTGGAAATGGACCGAATGGGTCGACGACGTAGAGCTTCCCGACCTCCAACCGTGCAAAGCATTCATCATTGGCGCCCTTGACAAGGAGATTCGCCTTAGTTTTGCTCAACGAATCAAAGGCACTCTTCCAGAGCCATACCAGAGGCTCATCGGTCCCGAGAAGGAACAGGACACCCCTGCATTCAAGTTCAAGGATGCGCACACCCCTTTCTCAGCCGAAGGCATAGAATTAGCTGCGCTACTGAGACGAAAGGCACCGGATGAGGAGATGCAGCCAGTCATTGACCGCATCCATGCCGCTGCTCTAGAGCACTCGATCGATCCTCTCGTATCTAGCACCGATGTCTTCATGACAGCAGTCTGCTGGGTGGGCTCCAAGTCGCTGTCCCATGTACTGGCATGCATCGAGCGCACTAAGGATCGTCTGCTGGACATTGGCGCTGCCTCTGAAGCTGCCAGATTACAAATCATTACGTCGGTTGTGACTTATTGGTCGGCGCATCCAGGAACTGCTATCAGCATCATCGAGAAGCTGCTGAACTACTCCATCGTCACACCGGGTGCTGTCATCGACTGGGCCCTTGTCAGTGGCAAGGCCGGCTCCGGCGGCGAGGCTCTTAGCAAGGCTTGGGTCTTTGAGCTTGTGTTTAGCACCGTAGTCAAAGTGACGACGCGAGTTCGCCAGGTTGCAACCAGCGGTGCGGCTGATGGTACTGCCGAGGCGGAGGTCACGGCTATGCGCGAGCTGTTCAAAAGTATGGAGGACACCTTGGTCAGCTGGGCTCAAGGAACCAAAGACCAGATGATGGACCCTGCCGAGCCCATGGACGGTGCCGGGGGTAATAGGGAAGAACTTGTACAGCGGTGGGGATTGAGATGGCTGAGAGTGTTCCGACGACGATCCGCCATCGAGGAGGCATATCTCCTGACGGCCACGGCGAATCAGCAGCAGTCGGCATGAGAGCGACGCAAGGTACAGACCATGTATGATTTGCCAGGCTCGGAGTTGGAACCAAAATTTGCGGCCGGATGATGGGATCTGGGGTCGTAATTGTATACTTTTGCTTCATTCACATCGATTCTGAATAGGTACTTGCGTATTAGCTGATACACCTCAAAGACGTACCTGCACGACGAGCGCGCCCCCCCCCCCCGGCTCCCCCTACCCCCCCTTCACATAGCTGAATTTGCCTCAAGATGGAATTAACCCTTGTTACGAAATTTGAACACAAGATATCTTGCACAGTTTGCAAGGGTAAGTGCCGCTAATGAGTGCCTTGTACACGCTCTTATCCGAAGGTCGTCTTACCGTCTGTACTGTGCACGGCAGTCACGTTGGACGATTACCTACGCATACGTTGACAAACAACGAATTTAATCTATCGTGCGTGTCTCCTCTCTTCTCTTCATCGATGACGTTTGTACCGGAAGAAGCTTGTTGTGAAGAATACTTGGTGAGACAATAGCATCAAGCCAGACAATTTGAATATACGGATAGCACGTTGATTACCCCTGCGCAGTATGAGTTGCTTTTGATAAACCGCCGAAAATGAGATTGGTGTCGCTGGTTGTCGTGACAAATGTATGCTCCCCTGGTCCCATCTAACGCCTCTAGACGCCTATAATATATGCACAACGAAGAAGCGAATAGCTTCCTCCCATGATATCAATCTCGTGACGCGTTGTAAAGCGGTTCTCGACCTGCTTCGATCTCATTGATAATAACTGTTCAGTCTCTCAAGTCGTTTTGTCTCGAGCCAAGATGTATCGACCGGCTAAGCGAAGAAGGGAAGAAGTCAATTGTGATGATTGTGGCCGTGGACAAGGCGAATGCACTAATTGTTAGATACAATCTGGCAATGAGCACTATAACGACTCTAGTTTTGCATGCATGCGGTACGATATTCAGAAAGACGAGGAGCGAGACGAAGAAGACAAGCAAGAATCATCGTCCCTCTTTGTCATCAGGCCAACAGTATCGTGTACCTGCTTCAGCATCTTACTCTCCAGGGTATTTTCGAGAGTGGACAAAATCACTGCCACCTGTTCAACCCAGAGGACCAAACATGGGACTAAGTGCGCGGCTGCCAGCCCTCCGACTGCAAGCAGTCCCCTAACACCAAGCACTCCTTCTTCAGCTGAGCCAAACCCAACCCCAAGCTCCATGTCCCAACTTTGCCGAAATGATTTCACTCCTAGAAGAGCCCCCCCTGCGCGTCGTCCTAATCAAACTCTCCTCCGTCAGCTTCTCGGCCCAAGCCGCCATCCAAACTGCACACACGGAACCCCCTACGGCCCTACGGGACCAAGCGCAGCACTTCGGAGACCCCGAGGAAGACGCTCAAGATTCTTCTGCTGGCCAACGACACGCTGGGGCGTGATGTCCGGAAGGAGCTGCAGTACGATTTCGAGATTGCGGATGTCATGGGAAGGGTACTGCGGGGCGTGATTGAAGTGATGGAGGGAGGAAAGGGAGGAAGGAAGGTTGCGTGTGCACTTTAGAGGACCGGACGCTGGCGAAAGTCCTCGAACGCTGGGCAGTCCTTCTCGTCCAGGTTCTGGTATTGTTGGGGGTTCTGAAGCCGGAAGTGATTAGTTGAGGCTGGTTTGATTTGCCTAGATGCAAGTTTAGACATTGATTAGCCTCATGATTTTGAGTGCTTGTGCATAGAGCTTGTATATAGACGAGAGTGTTGAACATGATGCAGATACCAGGAAACCCCAGGGTGCGTATTATTCATTGGTAGCATCCCAGTGAACCTCCCTAATTCATATAGCCCATGAGAGAAACCTGCAAAGTGATTGAATTGGCGGCAAAAGCCCTTCAGTGGAGTGCTGTCATCTGCAAATGCAATTGTGTATTAGAGATGTATGTAAGTATGTGCTGACTGCCTCCCCAGATTAGCTCCCTTCCCGACCTTCAATACTACCACTCCTTAGTTGACATCACAAATCCTGCGCCTGGAGAAAATAATACAGCACCATGTTGAAATTTGAAACGACAACTGAGCTTGATGACTATCGTCAAGAAGATAAGCAAACACCCAACGGTTAACCCAGGCATTGAGAGTTCATTTGCCTCCTTTATTGTCTTCTTTGACGTACTCATTCTTCTATCTTTTTTCTTGCGACTTGGCTTGGAATGCTCTGATGTTGTCTGCAACCTTCTGGCTGCCATCACACCACTTCGTCATTGCTTTCAACATTCTCATTGGGCACAATCTTCAACAGACACCAAACAGCGCGCAGCTGATAGAGACCATCGGTGTATCCGTCCTCGTTGTCATCCTCATCCTTATCTCCGATCTGAGACTGGACACATCTGCAACACAATGCCCAAAGAAAGATTTTACTGGCTACATGTTCAGCCAGTCGAATCCTGGGAGGCTTGATGAATTTCTTGGCTCTGTAACGCCGTCAAAACACCAATATAGTAGTCTTAGCTTCCGTAGTCGTAAAAGGTCTTCTATGGGTCCCCTCTTCCAGACAAGAAACGGAAAAGCAGCGCAATCAAGTCCAAGAAACCCCCCAAACTCCGGGCCCGCGATCCATGCTAATTCTGGTCATATATCACGATTTGAAGTTTCTGAATCAAAGGGAAGCTGGGGTAGATCTTTCACCAGCATCGCCCGCGGCACTAGCTTGCTCTTTGAAGGGGCGCCTAGCTTCAAGGCCATACATTGACCGGAGCATCCATGCGAAATTTACAGGATTGAATGCGCCTACCCTTGCCCACTGCAGGATGACTCACGGGGGCTGCGTGTTGAAGCCTCGGTTGGCGAGGTAGGCGGCCAATACCTGATTTCAGGGAACCCATTGCGATCCCGCCTTTTTAAAGCATTGCAGTAGCCTACCAGTGACATATACACTGGAACTGCCGAATCATCCAACATGGTTCATCAGAAGCTCAGCGTTCTAAACCTTGTCGTATGCATATCTACGTACCACTGCTAAGAGATTTGATGAATTAGATTCATACTGAGGTTTCATCTCCACGTAGTACTAATCTACTAATGAAACATCCTCATCTGGTGAGTGACTCCACTGGAAGAGCGATCTGTCAAGATGGCATCACTCCTCAGTGGTAGTGTGGGCTATGTGTGACATATTCCCGTCTACGCCGCGTGGTCTTCGAGGCCGGGAAGACGAGTGATTGAATGTTTTCTGGTCCAAGTCAAATATCAAGTTTATGTTTATTACATCGAGGATGAAAGCAAGGAGCGCGAATAATCCGCAGCATGGCGGGATAATAGTACATCTTCGTGGAGCCGTCATTCCCTGAAAGGCACCTTGCGCAGGGATTTTGACCACGAGTCACTAATGTGAATTCAGACGCAGAAAGTAAGAGGCATTTAGTGGTAATCATCGAATTCATCGAGCACGCCGAACTTTTGCGACTGGAATCAAAATCCAACGCACTAATGCACTATCTGAGAAGCCTCTGTCCATTTAGGAACCTAAAAATACACATGGGTTTTGGGCCTGTTTATCTCTAGCTCTCTGCAAGTATTCCCCCAGTGTAGTCCAAAAGATAGTCGTGACGACACTATCTAGATCCAGAAGAGGTGGATGAATCATGCGAGAGGCGAGAAGAACTATAGCTGAAAACTGACTGCTTTACTGATTAAAATTCCGGAGTGACTCATCGGTGCTGAAGTAGGGAGGAAGGTACGTCCTCGTATCATGGGTTGAGTGAGAGAGAGCCATGCCGAAAATGAATCGCGGGAGTTGCCTAGGAAAAACTCATAAAGCCCAAGTCTATACGTCGAGACGTGAACTTTTCATGCAAACCCGCCAGGCCAAAGAAATGGGTGAGGGGGTAAAGAGGTATATATTGACGCTGAGCTTTGGTGGAAGCTGACAGGATGTCGACGATGGGTCTAAGCCTCACCATCCGAGAGCATGTCATAGTTGAGCTGGACTGCAGATATGGGGGCGTCACCCTCGAAAGAGCCGTAGGAGCCGAAGTCATTGCCATAGCCACCGTTAGCGGAGGCCTGGGACATGACGGACGAGGGCAGCTCCTGCTTGAAGGGCTTCGGGCGGGCCTGGGGAGGGGGGATCTCCATGAGATCGTCGTCATCAGCCTGGTAGGCAGCGGGAAGGGTAGGACCGGCGGACGATTGGGAAGCGGCTTGCATCATGGGCTGAGGGAAGTACCACTGTCCCTCGGCAAAGGTGGACTGAGTTCCGGTCTGGGCGGGCTGAGCATTGGCCAGTTTCAGGGACGAGGTGGCGTTGGCGTTGGCGTTGATAGCCGTGGCGGGCTTGGCCATCTTGGAAGGTCGCTTGGACGGGGTCACATCCTGGGAGTAGTCACTGTTGCCCAGGTCATCGTCATCGCTGACAACATCGACAGCTCGCTTCTTGCCAGCAACGCTTCGCTTGCCAGTGCCGGCCCTGCTTCCGGGGGTTCGGGTGGCGGCAATTTTGCGATCGCCAGGCGTCGAGGCAGCAGAAGAGGGTCCACCAGCCTTCGAGCCGGGAGCAGCGCTACCGATCTGGACCTTGGAGGGGTCCTGGCCTGCGGCGAGGGCGGCCTTCTGAGCCTTGCCGAGGTTCTTGATACTGCGGAATTGGAACTCGATGCCATCAGGGGTCGATTCACCGAAGAGCGCTTGAATGGCTGTTACAGATAATTAGCGACTCTGAAGTAGCAAGCTTGGGAAGCAATGAAACAGCAAGAAAATAGAAACGGATTCGCGTGAATGGAAGAGTGTGGTCAATTGCGTAGCAGCAGCAGCAGCAACAACAACAACAACAAATCTTACCTCCAGGCTCGGTCGGAAGGTCAGTAGGGTCCTCACCCTGCTCGACGCAAAGATTTTGGGCTTTGGCCAGCAGCTTGATAGGACGAAAGCGATGCTCAATGGATGAAACTGTAGCGCCCATTCCGACGCGCTCTGCAATGGCTGAAGAACATGCTGGTTAGAATCACCACCACAACTTGAGGGGGATCCATATCGCATTTGATGGAATATGGAATAACAGTAATAATAAGGATCGAAACACACGTACGACTTACCCTTGAAATCCAGCTTGGGGCCAGCCGAGGCGATGACGGCCGCTAGCAGACGGGTCTGGGCCTCGTAGGTGCGGAAGTTGGTCTTGGCGGGAGCCATTATGACGATGGAGTGGGAGGAAGAGGTTAATGAAGAAGGATAAAGATGTCGATGGTAGTTTCCGACTTGATTGCTAGGCCGTTAAGGTGGAAGGCTGCTTGAGAAGGAGAGTGTATGGCTGCGTGATGGGTCGCGCCAGGTGATGAATCTGTATGCGGTTCAGAACTAGTAGGGGCAGATGACACTGGCTGAGGCACAACCAGCTGTTGTAGCTTGGATAGCAGTTCTGCGGTGAGGTGATGAGCCTGTGTTTGATCCTTGGTGTGCAGTCTCTGGGATGTGATTCGTGAAGAGTCGCGACTTACAAGTGAGATGGATATGAACCTGCTTGGCCAGGTACCAGGTGCCTGCCGCACTCGACAAATTTCCAATGTGTAAGCTGTGGTCTAAGATGTAATGAAGAAGCTGCTCAGGCAAGAACTAATGCAGAGCCTCAAGGTGGTGCACAGCTGTGATGTGTTAGCCTCCAAGGGTGAGACGTAGGGACGAGCTGTCGGTGCCTACTGCCAGCTTTGGAACTCAGATCACAATCCTATCGTTGTGACAAGATGAGATTCTTGAATTTTCATCAGGGGAAGATACTAGGCACTGTACTTACGCAACTTCACGGCCGAAGATGTCACTTGCACTCTGCGTTTGACGGTGGCAGGTGCCTCGGAACTGACGCAGGGTGGTTGTAACAAAATTTGTCGAGTTTGCTAGAATCAAGTCCACTTTGATGGTTTAGTTTGGGGATCAAGTAGCAGGAGGAAAGAACTGGACGCAGCGGGTTGTACGCTTTTGTCTGGAGTTTGCAAGATGATGGAAAAGTGGTCCCAGAGACAGACGGCAACGCATCGAGGGAGGCACAAGGCAACTAAACAGCCCCAAGTAAAAATAGGTAACTGGATGTTTCCAGGTGAACGTGGGTACTAGACCTCGCCGAGTGAACATAGACAACTAGCCCTTGTTGAATGGAACCAGGCAACTTGCCCATGGGTGAACGCAGGCTCGATAGGGGCACTTGACATGTGGTTGTGACCTCCACCGCTCCTGTCTGTGGATGCAGACGTAGCCGCCGGCTTGTAAATGGAGAAAGTGGCATGATAATATATTTAGACTAGGGACTCACCTTAGTATGTTGTGCTTCGAACGACCGAGGTGTGAAATATTCGTTGACGCCAATATGTTCTGTTGTTGTTTTCCGAAGAAGGAGTGTTGGTACTAAGCATTGGTGGAGACTCTCATGCAGAGTAGACTGCGGATGTGTGCAAACTCCTGCTCATCCAGTGAAGCTAAGAGGAATGCTCCTGTTCCACTTATTGACCAAGGGTACTAAGGGTATTGGTCTATCAAGTGGCCTGAGTTACCCAAGTCAGTTGCTTTAGCTCTGTCAATTTGTTCCATGTCTTGCAGCGAGTATAGTCACACATGCGCCAGAAAGAGAACTTGGAGATATAATGATGAAAAGGCTTATCAAAGCTGTTATAGTCATGCGGCTTTCAGAGTGGTTGACAGGCTGTATTGAAGTCCTGTAGTGAAGCACATATTTGAGCGTATCCACAGAGAGCTAAAATATCACTTACGGCATGTATATATATAGCAAATTCCTGCGTCTTGTACGGGCGGAATGGGGATGGTAATGGCCGAATTTGAGGTTGAAGCAAAGTGGTGGCCTGAGAAGGCTCTACAAAATTTGAGGTGGTTGGGAACTGAAGGGCAAATCGGTTGTCTCGATAGGCTCTTGCACCTCGCGGATTGCCGTGCCATTGCGTGTGGATTAGATAGTGGACTATCCCGACTCACTATCAACATTGAGTCTTTGAAGTGCATCGAGCATATGGAATCTAGATTGAACTTGGGCCTTAGTCCGGCATAATTCACTCAAGCGTTGGTATGTCTACAAGAACCATTGAGACTGAATTGGCTTGTGTATGGTTGCTGTATTCTCGGTGTTGGTTGTACTCGCTAACCCTAACGCACGTCAGTGCACGTCTTTCAAAGAGGTATGAGCTCATGTTTCTCCCAATAACAGGGCCCAACTTCTTCCAGTCACACCAAAGATTGGACACAACCACACGGCAACTTGCAGCATTAATATAATTTCCAGATCGACGATGCATACTTCCTCGAGTAGAGATTGAATTGGCCTTTATTCGCACAGTAGGAAAGTGGAGTTCGGATTTCACATGGCATGATAATACAGATCATAGATCGATTAGAACCAACAGACGACTTGGAATTAATACGTCTTCTCCCCAATCGGAGTCATCCTGCCTGTAGGTGTCCGCATCCCGTTAGACATCCTCGGGAGATGAGGCTTGATGCCGGCATAGGGCCACTGCTGCACCCTCGTGGCAACCTCCTTCTCTCCAAACATCAAGTATTGAATCCCGAGAAGCGAGTCACAGCATGCTTGGAAAATGCCGCACAGCTTGAAGGCCCAGGGTATTGCCGTCATAGAGGTGAAGAACCAAAACATCTTCATCGCATCTCCGAGCAGCCAGCTAGCCAAAACCGAGAGACGGAACCCTTTGCACGACCGCGATCGCGCGTTGGCGAACAATTGGGGTAGCGGCAACGTCGCCTCGATCGAAAGTCCCATGTATCCAATGAGCGCCGAGTACCCCGGGTATATGTAGCCGAACGGCGCCAGCATGAGCTCGAGAACGGTCAAGGTGATGAACAAGTACAGCAGGAACTGCCAGTACGGTTTCGGGCTGCGCCATTGCCAGAAGTTATACGGCCTCTTTCCTCCCAATAGCCCATCCGAGGCGCCACCCGAGAAAGGAGTCGCGGCATCTCCGCCCTTCGAAGCGGGACCAGGTCGGTTGTCGAGGGCGATCTTGAGCAAGATGGCTTGTATAAAGATCATGCAGAACGACTGGACGAGGAGGGCAGTGTCGAAGCGTGCGCCCGGATAGTAGAATATCCTGAAGCCTAGGTTAGTATTGTTCCCCAACCAGCTAGCTCTTGCCTAGTGAGTGTGCCGAACCTGAGAATAGACGCCACAAGCATGATCAACGGGATGTCGAGAGAGAAGCCCGCACTCGACCGCGTCCGGTGCATCGACAGCGCCTGATCGCTGTACGACAGAATGGGGGACAGGATCAGAAATATGGGCGCGGCATAGCCCAGGAGCGACGTGAAGAAGGACATGTTCAAGATTGGCTTCGCTGGTGATCTCAGCTGCAGTCGGAGGGCGTGCTGTAGAAAACGAGATGGCAGCCCTTGGCGTTGCGCGGAGGATTCGGAGGAAAATACAAGCCTACAACAGCACCACAGCCAGCCATGCAACGAGAATCACCAAGCACAAGCAAAAGTCAAGAGAAAATTGAGGAAGAAGTAGAAGATTCGAAGCTTGGCCCCTATCATACACAATCTGTCCCAGGGGCTCGTTCAACGGTGGATCTAACGCGAGCAATGAATGGAACTTTTTTCATCGTTGTGACGGCCGGAAATGACCCGGGTGACCATTGTGGCCGAAGTGTGACCATCAGTGGGAGTCCACTGTACGCGGGGCCTTCGGGGCGGCATTTGCAATGCGCCAAGACAGCATTGCATCATTCGACCATTCATTGGGTTATCGCCAAACTAGTATGCAAAAGCAGCAAAGTTAGTAAGCAACCACGGAGGATAATATCCTTCATACTTGCTCATAAGGTATGGTATATGACTACGGTTGGAGGTCGAGCAGCATTAGCGATAAAATGTCTAGCAATAACCATGGCGCATCAAAGGACAGGGAACTAAATTACAAGTCAATTCTAGTAATGTTATACCCATTCCTCTATGTGACGCCCGTCGCCCAAGTCAATTCTAGACAGCCGCGCCTTCTATAATGTGATACCGACGAAATCCACCGAGCTCTCAGTATACACGTCTACATATTTTACCAAACGTCCATTCCGCAAGTGACGGTGTTGAGGTTCTCTCCACGGCCGTGCATTAAGCACTTACGTCTAGATGTACTTGCATTTTACGACGCACTGATACACCGGTTAGCAACCACTGCTCCTACATTCCCACGACGACTCTAGGGGTACAGTCTCGTCTCAAGACAAGTTTTAGAGAAAGTTTCGTTCAGCAACCTTTGCTCTTGGGACGAACCAGAAGGGGTGGGGTATTTGAGTTCGCTTACTAGGATCAAACATAGCTCCCCCATGATAGGTCTTCGTGCCACCGTTGCTTTTGGATTGGAGGGGTTCAAGGTCTGCCTCGAATGCCATGTAGTTCATGAAGTTTGTGACCTGTCCGGATATATTAGCTTCTTCCCAGCGGCAGCACGCAATAGCGACAACGAACGGGACGGCTGTGCCAGCGCCCACCACCGGGCTCAAACCATCCGAGGTGGCCGCCAAGCGACGTCGTGCAGAGGACTGTGTACGGATTCTGCTTGACCTCCTGCACTGGCAGTGCTTCGTACGATGAGATCTGTGACGACGAATTAGTGCATCATGTTCGGCCTCGCGGGACGTACCGACTGGTTGTACTTACGGGGTCATCCGTTGAGTTGATTGCCATGTATGGAATCCGTATGGCCATTACAGAGTCAACGCTTGACGCATCGCGGTAATATGCGTTCTCTGTGGGGTATCCCCATGCAGCACACCTAATGGAACCCCGTCAACAGCTGCAGGTGACGTATGGGTAGGCTAGCACTCACTGTACTTCTCTATCAAATTCGTAGAGATACGTAAGCTTGGAGATCTTCTCTAAGTCGAAGTCTGTGTATTTCTTGATCTCTGTCTTGTTTGTCTCTGCTAGTTTCTTCATGGCGGCTGTGACAGGCATTAGTCTCGATGCCAGGTTAGATAGATGAGAGGGATTACTCACTGCCAAGAACTTTCGAGTAAACATGATGGCCAATGAAAGTCCGGTTTAGAGCGTTGTTCGACGTCTCCAGATTCCATGGGTTCGCGCACGCCAGTGCCGCTTTGAGTTGACATCCTGAGCCTTCCTCACCAAGATACTGGCCGTATAATCAGCGACAGCAACAATCACTACAAGGTCAAGCAACTTACATTGGTAAGAATGCAGGCGCCAAGCGAGAAGCCGATTCCGAATAATGGGCGATTGGGAAATGTCTCCCTCAGCCATTTGACCGTTTGTCGGACATCCCACGTTGCCCTCGCATTGTAGAGAAGCCCGCTCGTGATCTTGCTCTTGGCACAGCCCCTGCTGTTGACGACGCAGGCCTCCCAAGCGCCGCTTTCAAGTAACGGCGCGATGGCATATCTGAGATAGACTTCATGCGAACCACCAGAGAGCCCGTGCAAAACAACAAGCATGGGCCGCGAGTCATCAGAGCCTATCTTGAGAAGCTCATCTTTGCTGAAGTACACTGTCCTTGGGGGCAATGAGTCGTCTTCCTCTTCTGACGGGTCCTTGGCGAAAAAATCCACGGCAAAGCTGCCAGCATAGCCACTGTGATCGGCTTCGAAGAGCTTGCGTCTGTAGTGCACTGGAGGCGCGTGTTTGATAGCGGCTGTCCAGCAAGTCTGAAGATGCCCGTTGAAGAGCAGCGGGTTGAGCTGGCAAGTGGGAACGGTTTCCTTGCACACATCCACAAAGCTTTTGGAGGAACCATCCTTCTCCTTGACAGTGATTGGTGTTGCAGAGGCGTGGAAGTCGAGCTTGGCTCGACCAAGCCAATCCATCTTTGGTAACTTGAGTGCAGGAGCTCAATGGTTCTCAGCCACCTATAGACCCTGAAGACGACTTGTGAAGTCGCAAACTCCAACCCCTACCAGCTTCTGGTGGTCAACTGCAAGGAATAGCGAACAATCTTCAGAATCACGCATCAAATGCTGACACCGAAGATGTCACCCCACTTGCCTCGGCTTACTGAATGAAGTTCTTGTATGTTGAGTGGTAACCCCTCCTTAATTCACCGGCACCACGTCCTACCTTCTCGAGACGTATGGAAAACGGTCGGTTTAAGCGATTGACCGCAATTCCACTTTAAGCCACTTTTATCGATTCGCAGTGAATGCTCCGACGAAGATCTGGTAACCCGATTGACAGGGTCCAAAGTGCGGCTCACTTCCGCGGCGCTTGGGCCGCCTGCACCTTCCCAATCACCTGATCAGTTTAACCTCGTGTGCCGTTTCCAACGCGACCGCGCACTCTGGCCCATGGTTTCTCGAAATGCGCCCTAAACGACTGTAACGATTTTCCTCGAGGCCGCAGAATACGCAAGCGGCTGCTTAAATGCGTTCGAAAATACACCCTAGGCAACGATGGTCGGTTGAAAGTGTTGCTGGGTTGATATAAGGTATTCACGGCAGGTGCCATGAAATTATGACATATCGCGGCTCCTTCCCTGGGTCGGGGTACAGCGACCAAAATGGCCAACCAGGTTCATGGCCTCCGCCTCAGCAACCCATTCAAAACGGGTTTGATGCCTACGGCAACCCGCAGTTCCAGCAGCAGCAGCAGCAGTATCAGCACCAGTTCCAGAATGCCGTTTCCGTGCCGCTTTGGTATCCGCAGCAGCAGCAGCAGCAACTGCAAAACGCCAACTTTGCCTCCATCCAGGCCAACCAGTTCCAGAACTACGATCCCAACTTCAACCATAGGCCCCAGCAGTACTCCCAGCCCAGCGCTGCCTATGGTCAGATTGGCCAGATGTCGAGTAGTGTGCCGGCTCAGCAGCCACACGGAGGCTCCCGCATGAACGATTATTCTCAACAGTCGAATCACCGATATGCACAGGGCAACCAGCACCCTCAGTATGCACAGCAGTCGCAACTTCAACCACAGCAGATGGACTGGCAGCAGATGCCTCCACCGATGCCCTCGACGTCCCCCATGCCCTCTTATCAAGCGAACCAACAACAGCAGCATTCACGATACCCCCCGCAACCTGTTCCGCCGCGCGTGAACTCTCCACACGTCAATTCCCCAGTCACTGCGCAGTCGCCCCAATATCCGCAACAGTTCCTCCCGAACAACAACCATAAGATTATCAGCAACGGTGCCAGGATGGAACAGGCAGGACGGGTATCCGCAAGCCCCCGTTTGAATACGCAGGGCTTGACCCGGAGCCCGAGTGTTAGTTCTACGAGGTCTCCGGCCCTTACGCCCGGCCTGTTACCCCATCACCAGGACACGAACTCCCTGTTGGTCTGCGTGGCCGAGGAGTTCTTCAGCAAGGCACGGAAAGATGTTTTGAAAGTGGCGGACTCCTTGGATGCTCAACGAGTCCACGAATACCAGAAACTCATTGCGACGGGCTTAGGGTGCTTAGAGACGGTCTTGAGCAGTAATAAGCTCGCCCCACGCCTCGAAGCAAAACTGCAACTCCGATATGCGAGTATACTATGCGAGGAAACGAACAATATCATGGAGGCCGAAACTGCCTTGACGAAAGGCATAACTCTTTCTGACAAGGTGAGATACCGCGCTGCGCATCTGTCATTGTCCGTACTGACCGTTGCGTCAGTATCGCTTTTATGACTTGAAGTATTTGATGCAGTTCCTTCAGCTGAAAATGCTGTCTCAAAGGAAAGGCAAAGCTGCCATGATCACAGTCGATAAGCATATCGAAAACGCCGAGCTGTACGTTGCGTCCGACCGTTCCCACTTATCTAGTCCGTGCTAAAGTGACTCAGGTTAAAGCATACGCCCTGGGTATATGCTTTGAGATTCTTCAAGGCCTCATTGTATCTTCAGTCGGCGAATCCTTCAGACTTGCATGCCATCGATAACTTGAAGGCCATTATCAACCTGGCCCTTCAGCGCGGGGATACCGTCATCTTTGTAGTTGCGTCTCTGCTCGAGGGCCTAAGCTTGCTGAAGAACATGAGAGACGATGCCTTCGTGCGAATCCAACATTGCATTGCCCAGTCGCAAAAGTACCAGCTAGATCCCTCCATACACATTCCGCAAATTGACATATTAGCCCTCATGCTGGATTTTGCCTGCAGTCTTCACCAGAAGTCGCCGCAGATGATCGTTCAGAAGATGAAGGCCTTGCAAATTCGGATGGATGTCTCGATAAACCAAGACTCCTGGAGTCTATCTGACACGGAAATAGCACTTCCGATCAGGAAACAATCGAGCAATGTGCAGGTCATAAGCGAAGATACCCGGGCTGTCTTGAGGCCGGGCAACGAGGGTGATGGATGTGATTACCTCACAATGTCTTTCTGGAGCAAAATAGAGGCATTTGTCATGACGTACGCGACGAGTCGATCGAGTGGCCTAATACATGCTAACCGGGTGCAGATATACATACAGCGGCATTGGCGTATTGTATCAAAATCCTCGCAATGACACAAAAATGTTCGACATGTGGAATGAAGCACTTGCGCAACTAGCAAAGAGTAAGCCTACTCGCATACATGGGTTTGCATCTCTAACACCTACCTAGATGCACACAAGATGAGGAGCCACCCAACGTCTCTTCAAGCGGCGATTCGAAGTGCAGATTGGCGGAGAGAATTAAAATGCTATCTTCAGATATTGCGAGGTCTTCATCTGGCAACGCATTGCCGATGGGGTGACGTGCAGAAATGCGTCGAAGAACTGGAGAACCTGGTTCCGATCCCTTTAGAAGGAGTTGTTGGCCTCTTTTCGGTTTACCTGTCGGGCGTTTACCAGCAAGGCCTTGGGAATCTGCTGAGCGCTGACTCAATCTTCAGTAACCCGGTTCTCAGTCTGGATAACCACGGCAAGGTTACAAGTTCTGGTTCTGAGGTGCGTATACTAGCCGCGTTCAATCGTATATGGATCATGCAGCATCCCGATCACCGGAACGACATGTTGACGAACGAGCTGGTGGAACAATTGCGCCTGTTGTGTCCAGACCACCCCAACCGAGAAATGCGTCTCATCTGGAATCTTTTGCAAGCCGCAACGCAAACCAACCCTCCCATTCCCGTGACAACAGCGAAGTCGCATTTGTCACATGTATTACACGAGAGCAAGGCTCTTGGCGACGTTCAGACGCTGTCGATAGCGCTGAACCTTATACGGGCAAAGCTCTTTCAGAACATTGTTGGAGATCAAGCAGTCAAAAGCGCAAAAGCAGGTGCATCGCAGGCTAGGAAAAGCGGCAACGTCTTGTGGATCAGCGTAGCAGATAATTTGCTTGCGCAATCGTACGAGGTTCAGGGACAGATGGACGAAGCGCAAAATTCATTCAGCACCGCGGTGCAATACGCGAATGAGGCGATCAGGCGTCGGGAAGACATTGATAAACATGAGTGAGTAGTGGCGATTCTGCCTGGGCGGAGGCAATCTGAACGAAAGCACGAGAGTTTGGTCATTGGAAGGAATGTACAGATGTACAGATTACGGAGCACCGGGCATGGGATGGCGTTACGGAATATTTCATGGCACGAATGCCGGTGCTATGTATTCGTGGGATTTGTTGTCAAAAAGGCCAGGAGGAACACTGGCCGGTATACCCTCTTGTGATCACTGCTAGCGAGCTTTGCAATGCGATCCTGATGCCACGGTTTCGCAGCCGCAGGACCAAACAACACTTACAAGTTTTGTCAGTTTGCGTCACAACCTAAGAAAGTGCACTGCAGCGCGTGGATAGTCCCGACGGATCGTTTGCCACACCGAGCCTTTACACCAAGTTTGATCGTGTCGGCTTTCATCAACATCCATCCGCAGTCGTCAATTTACATTCGACCACTGCTCTGTGCTTACTTATGTACATACATCCTTACATGCAGCCTCCTCCTAAGCTGCTCCACCCCTCAGTCAGGACCAATCCTACCTCTTTCGACGATGCACATCGTGTTTCTCCCTGCAAGCGTATCCTACAGAGCATGCAGAAAACCACGAATCGTTCGTTTCTACTCGTGCGGGTTGCGAAACAACACACCAAACGCAACGAACAAACGAACCGGCCCGCCTGCACGGGGTGGAGGGGTGTTCTATTTGACCAAATTGATCAGGTCTTGGCGCGCGGCAGGGAGGCCTGGCCAGCAAGGCCGGTTGACCGGGACGAAGTTCCCTGTGGCGTATTTGGGGGTCGAGGAAACGAAACCCCATCTGCTCGTGAAGTTGGGGACGGATGGCATGTTCTAACTCGCCTTCAAACGAGTGCCACGACGACGGACAGCCAGCCGGGGCAACAGGCTTTGGGCGTGACAGCAGACCCACCCCAGTAGAATAATACGTACGCAGTCCACGTTTCGGGAACTGCAACGGTAAGGGTTGGTTGGGATTGGTTGCAAACCGCGATCCTTTTATTTTTTTTGTTTTTTTTAGAAATCCCGCGGTCGTATGCAGAGAAAACCACGATGCTACGCTAGCGCCATGTTTGTTTGTTGCGGTCGTTGGCTGGCTCGTCAAAAAAGCTAGGGTCGTTATAGAGCCTCCAATATCGAAACGCCAAGATTCAATGATGATTACGGCGGGGGTGAGAATGGCAATCTTGTGTGTGTGTCACGCTGCTAGGGATCGAAGCCCGCCCGGCACACGTAATCAAATGTGGTTAGAGAACGTGTGGGTAGTAGCATAGTAGTCAAGGTAGTGTGCCTGGTCGGTTGGCGGTGGTCATTGGATGATATCCTCCTATTTCCGAAGTAATTTTATACCAATCTGTTGGTATCTACATGGCTATACACGATCTAGACTAGGGTCACCAGCTTCAGCCATAGGGTCAAGTTTTATTGCACTCTCACAGTCGCATCTGCACGTGGACGCATCTGGAGATTTCAAGATGTTTCGCTGCAAGGGAAGTGGACAATACGATCACAGGCAAGGGAGCTGGCGATATCTTGATGTGAGCGTTTCGATGCAAGGACTAATTCGTGTTTGATATCCTTGTTTACAGATGACGAGGCTGTTACAGAACGGGACGACTTACGTCACCGTATATGCTCTTAACGAGCAAAATAGGTACAAGAGAAAGGCCATATGGTACAGGAACGATTGGGTATTCGGGAAATGTGGACAAAAAACATTGAGTAGGTGTAACGGAAGACAATTCAGACCGCCAAATGGACCGAAATCACATCGCTTCCTCCGTGTCTTTGAGCTTTTGCGAGACAAATCCAAACATAAGTTAAAAATCAAATAAACGCCGGTTGTATCTGCATAGCTCGTAGCTCTCGTTACGAATCGGCGTAGCATAATCAAACAGCTGCCGTCACTTGTGTTGCTTGAATCGCTGGTAGTAGGCCGTAGACGACGTCGTTTGTCAGGGGGAATCGTGTTTCGAGTGGTTCGATGATGCGGTACATGAGGTTGCTCGATTCAGGGGTATTGGGGGATCGGTAAACCTGGACGCCGGGTATCGGGTCGGCGATTGCGTTTGCTTCCCTGTCGCGAAGAAGCATGAGTTTCTCTGTCCTCTGGTCGAGCAGTGCCTTGTGATCCCTTGCGCTTTGCCAAACCGGCGACAATGCTTCGCACAACTCCTTGGCGATGATGGTTTCCTTGATCGAGTTTGGGATCGAGGATAACGAGCCGCCAGCTGTCATGATGTCAACAGCCTCTACAGCTGCGTACATGGCCATGGGAGTCGGTAGGTATGGAGAGCTCGTCGTGCACCTGGCCACAAACCGGCTGTGCACGATCCCCAGGACGAACATCAAATCGCCTGCGAGAGACAAACTCTTGTGGGCGGCGGTTTCAGGTCGCGGTGATATCGATATGCCCGACTGCACATGGCGACTGAATTGGATCTGGGCAAGAATCAAGAGCAAGTGAAGTGTGACGAGGCAACTCTCGATGCCATCCTCGCATGCCTTGGCCAAATTCGATTCCGAGAAGCCGTATTTCGGCGGGAGAGCTTCCTGGTATTGCCGAAGCCTCTCCGTAATCTTGTCGAGCAATTGCGGGTCGGAATCGGATGTATCAGACCCTCGGGTTTCTCGGTGGATCTTTGCGAGTACCCAGCCCCAAATCTCGACGATATAAAGCAGGTATCCCATGATGCCGACGCCTTGCCGTAAAGATGACTGCCCGCGCACAATATCAAACATGGGAGTTTCGGGGGCGTTCTCAACTCCTTTGTTGAAGAGAGTTTCATCGTAGGGGAGGCGGAGGAAGATGTCATCGGCATTCAGTAGTGTTGGACGACTAGGAAATATCCCATTGGTTCTCTCAAGAATGAAGCAGGAGAAGAAAGTCCTTCTCCTGCTTTCTGCATAGGTAGTCCGATTCATCTGGTAGGGGAAACTCGTTGGGACTGGGCTGGTCGCTTGGTCAAGTTCAAGGTTGTACTGCAGCGACAATCCCCCTGAGATGGCCGCGTTTAGCATCTCGTAGCTATCAAACTCCCTCGAACATGCCAGGTAAAATGTTGAAAGAACCAGTCTAGACTGAACGAGCCGCATGCCGGGGTTGCTCCTCTCGCAGGCAAAGCGGGCCACCTGGGCGTATTCATGGGCAATGTGTTTCGGGCCGCCGGAGACATGTACGCCAAATGCCAACAGGCTATAAAGGAGCGTGAGGTCTTCTGGAGATTTTGTATGAGCATTGTTCTTAACCCAGTCTTTGATGATCTGCGCCGGGAGGAAGCGCAGAGCAGTGGTCTCGATGTGGTTGAAGAAGGATGTAATGATAATGGTGGTGGCTTGAGGATCGGAGACATACGGGTCTGTTTGCCAGGTTCGGCAAAGAATGTCCTCATGTATACGAGGCAAATCCCGCTGTTGCCACGAGTAGTTCTTGGCTTCCGAGGCTTGGAACATCCGCGACGGTTCGCGAGGTGAAGACTCGTAGTGCTGCTCGTAGCCAACTCGCACCCTTTTCAGAGGCATTCCTGGCAGCTCGGGCGAAGGGTGGGATAAACTCGTGGTTCTAGGGGAAATAGAAGTGCTCGAGGTACTTCGGGGTCTGGCGTGTTCCAGTTGTCTTGGATGCATCCCGAGTTGTCTCGGTTCGTCGTGCTCGCCTGGCGAAGTGATTGGAGAGGTGTTGTGTCCGCCTCGGGGACTTAAAAAAAAGCGTCAGTGTATATGCCTTTATCAAGCCTCGTTCCACAACTTACGCATTCTTGAACTTGCATACCCTGCCGAACTTTTCGCATTGAACACAGCGAGGAAAGTCGGGATCGCACTTGATCTTCTTCTCGCGGCATGTCAGGCACGCAATCGCGAGACGCTTCCTAGGTTTCCCAGCCTTCGTAACACCCCAGTGTGCATTAACTTGTTCCCCGTCTATCACTGTCTTGCAGTGCGAGCCATCATCGTAGAAGTAGCACAGGCCTTCCCCTTGCACTTCCGCCTGTCGTACGAAACGGGGAAGGAAGTGCGTCCCTGTCCAGATCTTGGGCCCTAAACCATCCTTGACTGGCATGCCTTCACAAGTACCCCCAGCTGTCGACGTTGGAGACAGACTGGGCTGGCCTGGATGCATCTGGCCGTGTTCCCTGGGCCCAGAAACGGATTCATGGCTCGTCTTGTGCGCAAGCTCAGCAAAAGAGAAACGGTCATTGACTGGCCGAAATGACGACGCCGAATCCCGGCTGCTGAAGACATACTCTGATCGCCTAGGGTCTGCATGGCTGGAGTGACTGGGCCATCGACCACTCAACGCCGATTCTTGTCGTGGTCCACCGTGTGTCTGTTCGAATTCGCGGGTTCTCGGGGACGTAGGTCCAGGATACTGGGGTCTACTGGAGGGTAAAGGGGTGCGGGCACGTTCCGAATCCAGCCTCGGCTCGTACATGCTGCGTGGTTGTGCCGCCGGCATCGGCACGGGCGGGAAGTAGGAGTTGGAGTAGGACCTCTCCGGGTTTGTGGATGCCGAATGGGGCCGGTCCAAGGGCGAGTATAGAGGACTCGGTCGGTCTGAAACTGGCGAGTGCACTGGACGCATCTGATTAACTGGGCCGAATATGCTGCTCAGCGATGGCAGCTGCAGTCGAGGGGCGCCCTGGCTGTCCACTCTCGGCGTCCGGCTCTCTTCGGAACCCTTCCCAGCCGACATTTCGGGCTTGCTGCTATGATCATAGCTGGACATGGGAGGAGATATAGGCCGCGTGGCTTTCCCGGACCAATCTTCGGAGGGCCTGGACGAGTGTGACGAGTAACTTGGGCTCCCCAGGTCGGGGGGAGGCGTGTCTGGTATAGCCAAGGGACGTGGAAGGTCTGACCTAGAAAATATCCCCATTGAGAGAGTGTTCGTCAAGTCGACTAGCTCTCTGGCATATCCCGTATCGCGCCAGGAGGTTTGCTCTTTATCTAATGTAAAATGGTGTTGAGGCGTGTTAGTCGTTCGAGAACCTGCCGGATAAAGGTCCCTTGGCGGCGCGGCTGTGGACGAGGACACCTTTGGTGCTGAAGTCGTAGGGTTCGATGTTGCGTGCGGTCCAACTTCCGGGTAATTGAACAAATGGGACGTCGGAAGCTTGGAGCGACGTCGAGGCGCAATGGGCTTTTAGTTCGAAGGGCCGCCTGTTGGTCCCCGAGGGCAAGTCGGCAACTGATGTAAGAGGGCCAGAGAAACTACTCCAGCCAGCAACGGTAACTTGTGTGGGCAGGCGGCAAAAGTAAGCAACCGCACACATATATGGTTCCTCGGTGTCACTCGGGGGTATAGCCGCAAGAATGGGCCGAGTCAGCGAGAAAAGTGATTCGAGGAGAAAGGAACAAGACGTGATAATAGGAGGGGATAACGGGAAAGATGTAGTCCTGTTCCTGCAACTACTGGAGTGACCCACAAGCTTAACTTGGTTCCTTCCAGGGCACCTGGTCGGGTCGTGGCTTGACATACGTATAGAAACGAGAGATAGAGTAGTAGAGCTGGGTTGGTGGCTGTCGGCACCGACGGCATAATAGAGTATCGGTTCTTGGCATCTGTATTGGAGCGCAGGTACTTACTTTCATCAACGCAATGTACCGCACCCAAAAGACCAGGCACAACGTATGCAGGACCACTTTGGGAGGGGGGAGGAGCCAGGCTGGCACGGTGACAGTTGCCTCACATGGGTAGGTAGCAGTGGCTGAAGAAGGCAATGCCCAAAAACCCAAACTTGAATGGCAACGACAGGGTGATATAGGGGAGACAGGTACATAGTCAGGAGATGCAGCACTAGAAGGAAGCTTATGACCTACTGTGACCCGTTTGGTACGCACTGCGGCGTTGGTAGTCAGGGGCTCCTAGACAACTGGAGCGGGTTGAGGGCCAGTGTGAAGCTGGATTGCCATGATAGATTGTGTCTTGTGTGCAAATAGCGTGAAGGATGATGACAAGCCTGACGGGGCCGTGGCATCGACTGGGGATGCACATCCCATGTGGGCTTGCACTTGCACTTCTTCATGAACTAGCTCGGCTGCATGTACCGGTACGAAGTACCAGATAATTGTCGTTGGCATAACCCTGAGCAGGGATACCCAAAGGCCTGTCTAGGACCACATATCTAGAGGCCGGGCATATGGGGGTAGGAGACGAGATTGGGAGGATCCTGTTCATGGGTAAGCCAGAATTACGGATGGAAGTCTCACGCGCTTCTGGCAGGGGACCCGGGACTTGTCTGTCGTGGTTTCCACATAGCTCAGAACTTCAGACGACAGGGACAAGAAAAAGTGAGAAAAAAGCCGGGGCCGTCAAGAGGCACAGCAATACGGATACGGGCCCATGAACAGCATATGGATGTGGCTGAATAGAGAACTCCATCATTTTAGCATGGCGAATCCTTATAGAGAGGAATGTCGCATCAGTCCCTTTGAGATGGCGTTATGGTTCCATGGTTCTCAAGTTGCAAAGTACGTCGGGTGGCACGGAATTTGACTAAAGTACCTACGTACCGGCAAAAATTGGGAAGCCACAATCAATACCCCGACGTGAAGCAAGTGCCTGAAGGTGCTAAACCTCAACTAAAGGCGCAATAAAATGATCGGTCTGTACATAATGCGGCAATGCACGTAATGGCCCTCGGCGCCATTCATTATCAATCAAATGCAAGCCGCTGCCGAGTGCACCTTAGTTGCATCGCAGAAAAAAAAATGAGGGTTGGTTCACAGTCGCCTCAGGTTCGTCCTTTCTTTTTAGATGAAGATTACATTAAGACTCCTAGAAGGTATATTAGACGGCTAATAAGGTGCATTGAGCGCCGGCAGGTCTGCTTTATCAGCCTAGCGTCTTCTCGTCTAGTGTCTTCCCAACGCCCTGGGTGCACTGTACGATGAAGGCGGGAAGGGGGAGGGGAGGGGGTGAGGAAATGGCGTGCGCTAGGTATAGACCGATTGGAGATGGGACGGGATGGATGGAGGGGGTCGGCCAGAGCTCTCGGACGTCCACCTGAGGAATCCTGGGCCAGAAGTCGTCTGACAATCTCATTACTTTGGTAAACGTCCGCATTAGCGATGTCCCTCCCGGGGTGCTTTCGGCGGACGGTGTATGGTGGACCACTTTGCCAAACGAGCTGCTCAAGCCGCGGTGCAAGAACTGCTGATATGAGAGGCGTGCGCCAACGGGATATCTGTAGCCGTCTTCGCCGCTAACAGCCCAAGAGGCTAATTGGCTCGCGCTACCCAAACACTCGGAAAGTAATTGGGTAGCACTGGAAGAATAACGCGCAAAGAATACGCAGCTCCCATCTCCACTATGCCCACTTGTAAAAGGCGACTTCGCAAAATACGGCACAGCCAGAAAAAGGCTCCTCCGGCCAAACTTTACAAGTCGAACGAGACCCGCCTTCGCTAAGCCGACCCTTCTACGGACTGGACTCCTGAGCTAGGAGCAGTTGGGAAGCTGGCAGGTTCCCAATTCCATCGAGATAATCCAAGCCTTGGTCACTTGCGCCAGCAATATGCATGCCACAAGGGCCGACGGAGGTTGTGACTTAGTGTCATATAGTGTGTTGGGGTTATAGATAGATGGCTGTCAGAAGATCGCCAAACGATGGAGCGCCCACCTGTTGACTTGACGAGCCGAGGCTTGGGAACGTCAAGGTGAAATTGCCGACAGAATTTTTCTTCTAATTTTGAACTCTGTCAGATTGTTGAGTGGGTTCGCTCGGTCTAGACGGAAAGGACAGAGAGGTTTCCCAGACTGCTTGGTTCTTGGCCCTGGGGATCATCACGTATGAGGTACGATGCGGAGTAATTATCTGGCGGGGAGTTGACGTGGGTCAACCCGAGATCAACATCTCTGTTCTTGCAAGAGAGAAATGCCTCCCGTCCCGACCTGAACTGTACTTGTTTAGTTATTTGTGCAACGTTATACAATGCCAACGCTACAGATATGGTGGGTGATAGGGTTGCATTGTCTTGTTGCCGCGACTGCGGCGTTTATAACGACGAATATTTCCATGCAGCCGCAAGCGCAATGGCCCTCGGTAAAATCGACGGATCTATTTTACTTTTTGACAAGGAACCAACACCTGCGATCGCGGTACGCAAGGACGTAAGACGATGGCACAGAAAAAAGGCAGAGAGGCACAGGCTGCAGGCAGCAAAGAGAAACTTGATTTTCAGCGTTGCGTCGACGTCAATGGCACCGTTTGCTCATCTGACCAGATGCAAGTAGAGATAAACTGTTCAGGCCCGATAAAATAGTTGTATCATCCGCCCGTCGTGCAAAGGCCACGATGTGGGTTAGTGGTTCCTCAGCCACACACATGCCGTAGCAGCTGTCATTGGCTCAAATTGCCTCAACGAGCAGGCACTACCGGAATTGGTTACCTGCAGGAGACTATGACAATACTCAAATAGGCTACCCTCTTCCATTCGTGCGAACCAAGCATGATTTTCCAGGGAAGTTGGGAATGCGGTTGGCGCTTGAAAGTTGCAGCGCTCTGGCGATGACAATTGTAAGCGACTGAGGCCGGCGGCCCATTCGTTAGATGATGTACCTTTGCCTCTGTGCGGAAACGGCAGTTTTGGGACCATCGTGCCATTTCCTAGTTCCCCATCTCTTCCCCAGCGGCAATTACGGATTGGCTTACCAGCAGTTGGACAGATACAAAGTAGCACAGGCAAGTACAACACAGTTCAGGGTTGGCGCAGGGTAGAGTACTTGAAACCAGTCGGCTGAGTGACCGAGTGGCCGCTGAAAACGATTACCTATTACCGTCCCAGTCACCGCCCAGGCCGCTGCACGCATACTCGGTGAGGTCTGCAAATGAGACTTTGCACTGATGATGGGGCCGGTCAGACCCTCCCTTCGAGCGACAGCCTGTGGTACCAGCGATGGATAGGCAGTTGGGATTGATCGTCCCGTTGCTCGAACAGGGGGTTGTGAAACGGTGAAGGACCGGTTTAAAAAGGAGAGCCTCCCTGTGTAAAAACCCAATTAAAAAGACGACGTGACGACATCAAATACTGTTGTGTAAATTGACGTGCCCGACAACCTTTGCTTGTGAATAAAGGAGACGAGCCTTTGCAAATGTAGGAAGTTAGAGAACATTTCGTCTCTCCCACTCTGGGTTCCCGTCAATGACTGACACGTTCTGTGCTTTCCTTTTACTAGGTTGGAGGCCAAAATAAAACCACCCGCGCGTCAGGTAGTTGCACGGGCCAAATCAAGCCAGATACATAGTATTTCATCTGCCCGCTGCCAGACCCGCAGGTTCGTTACTGGGGAGGTTCTCTTTGCCCCTCAGACCTCGTAAAATGAGAGAAACCTCCATCATCTTAAAGATTCACTTAAGATCGACAACTTTGGGCTGTGTGGCAGGGGCCACGTACATACGCTTGGCCCAAGTCAGTGCAGCGCAAAATAGCCAGGGAGTTACGGAGTGCTGCCGAGCGATGTGGCCTTACTCCTGGTCGTAGATGCAATGTACCTCTACGACTGGTCCTCCCCGCATCCGGAGTCCAGACAACAGCTCTCTCTCGCAAGGGTCCGTTTACACCGTCGCGCATAGGTTTCATTCGGTCATTCTGCCGGACTAACCGCATGTTCTTGCATAAGATGGGATTGGAAATGACTGGATGACGAGGGGCTTTGTGCACAAGAATATGCCGCACGCTTCGACGCAATTTACCAAACCAGCGAGGATCGAATATGAGACAGAAACTGCACAATGTCTACGCACGCGAAATGATAGACCGGCGGGCAAATATACAACAATGGCAAGAAAAGTAACTATAGAATGGCTTAGTGCAATCCGATGGCTTTATTCGCAGTGCAGTCGTTCAGCAGAACAGTCAAAGCACAAGTAAGAAAAGCTTGGCCGCCGCCGAGTCAGTTCGGCTTTCAGGGCTTCTAGAAGCTTTCGCGTAGACCCTAGCCAAAGCAGCAGGGGGTTCGGGCCCGAAGCAGGGGTCGTATGCGAGATCCCAGAGCTTTCAGTGGTTAGCGACCTGCGAAAACTTCCTCTTTGAGCAGTGATTCCGTTGGTTCGCAGTAACTCTACCAGAAAAACTGATTCCTTAAATCTGCTTTTATCGTCTCAAGGCCGTCGCCATGTATCCCTTTGATGACCGCCACAAGCCGAGTCGGAGCTGAATAAGATGAAGGGCTACATCGTTCCGCAGATACGAGTAGTAGGCTTGGGTATTCCCGAGGCCCACCTGAATACACGTTTTGCGCTGTGGGTCGAGGAGGCGGCTGTTGTCCTCGGTAGCCGGCCATGTTGTCTTGTCTGGCCTCGGACTTGTGATTGTGCCGATCTGCGGCAAATTCATACCTGGGTTTCCGGCATATAACCTGTCCACATAATTGTGCTTTGGCCATGGGCAGCAACTATGCCATTTGCATATCACTGAGGCTCTCCGTCGGAACTGCGACCGAATGATGACTGCTCAAATTATCATAACGGCCCCTCTCCCAAATGAAATTCTTAGATCATTCATTATCCTTACTATGATTCAAGTGGAGTTTGTGTTCCAAGTTGAGTGCAGCGCCATGCCGACAACAGGGCGTGCAGAATAACATAATATACCACGTACACAAGACACTCACACGCGTCAACGCAATACCGCAAGGACAAGGACTGCCCAAGCAAGGGACGAAATGACGCGCTCTTGACCACGATGGAACGCCGCAAACAGAAGGAAACTGTCATGTGGCACGACATCATCGTCATCGCGCCTTGTGGGAGCGCGCGCCCAAATCCCATCTTGCACTACCGCAAAAAGATTCAGCACACAACTGCCGTCCGTTACGTTGCTTCTACGCGAGGGGGGTGGCCTACCAAGGCGGGCAATCAGCAACGATGAGATTCAACGGCACTCCTCTCCGTGGTGATGAGATTTTGTAGGGCTATTTTTAGGCCCAATGATGCAGATAATAACTGTCAATGGCGGTGCGGGTCCAATCCTCTTATGGCACCAAGGTTCCATCGACCGTGCGAGCTGACGGGTGCGGCTGGGGTTTTGCATGCCCCCCGCACCAAAACAAGATTGCCTCAAAAGATTTTGGTTTATTTGTGGCTTCGTTTTGTATGGTAGTATTTTGTGTATTACAACTTTTCAGTCTATAATTTCCCGTGGCGTCATCGGCCAGACCGGCTTCCCTCAACGTCGTGAATATGGGCTCATGGAGTGTTTCATGGTGGAACTAAAAAGATCTCTGCATGCTAGTAGAATTGCTGGAGCCTACGCGACAAAGCACCAGGATGGATCTCCCGTCGAGCCGTTTTCATTGCCGATAACCATTATTAAGCAGTCTGGGGCCGCCTAGTGGAGCCTAGATCCGCCCATATGGACCTTTCCATTCCTACACTATTACCGGATAGGTTCCCTTGGACGTGCTATTGGGGGTTTAATGCAAACTTGCACATCTGCAGTGGTTGTCACGGAACTAAGATGCTGTTACAAGACACACGAACAAACACAGCAAGCCCAGACACCGGACAGTAGACGGATGAGGATGACCAGGCTTGCATGTGACCTGGGCTTTCCCACGAAGACTCAAGAACCCAAGATGCATCAGGATCTGAACCCCCGTCACTCGTGCCCTACAGGGATTCAGATTGCGTTAGATTCGGCATTCCGCTCCGTCAAGGAAGGATCATGGCAGCGGGCCCCGTCTGCACGCAGAACCGACCGGATCATGGTTCTCATTCGCTTCATCACCTGTCTACGCCGCAAACTTGGCGATAAGGGGACGTCTTTCCTACCCTAAGATAGCCGTTTTATTGGAGACCCGAGCCTCACTCCAAAATCAGATTCCGACTTCCCACGTCTCCAACCGCGCAAGCGTCCCCACTTACGATTATACTGCCGTACAAGGCAATTGACGGGTGCGATACCCTGAGCTAGCTGTGGGCCTGACAGCCTGAGGAAGCTACCCTGGACTACCCCTGGACCTTCAGACGGTGCGCTAGCACTAGCGATAGCCGTCTGTGCGTGTGGGTGCTCGCCGGAACTCTGCTGCTGCTACTACCGCTGCTGTTGCTGCAGGTGCAATACCGATGCAATTTCACTGTGCAGCTGGGGAACTCTTAACCGGAATGCCGCCCGAGCCACTCGGAGGTTAGGAATTGCGGGATCCCAAAGCTGTGTTCCTGCAGACCGTACTCGTCACCAGAAGTGGTCAACGACGCGATGCGAATCTTCCTCCCCCCCCTTCCCCCAAAAGAAAACCCAGCCAATACGTCATATCATATTATTGGGGGTTGTGCCGTCACCATACTGCCATCGGCCTAGCACCTCGCATTCGTTTGGTCCAATCTTCTATTAAAAAGTGTGGTTCATGCTCACCATTACTACCCACCTGCGACGGCATATAGACAACAGCCTAGCGCAGAGACGGCACCTCGCGGCACACCGGCACGTGTGTCTGTCGTGTCTGTCGACATTTCAGCTGAAGCTAGTGCCGCTCCTTTGATGAGACTCTAAGCCGCCAAACGAACTACATGCAGCAGTAGTCTTCAAGATCTGCAGGCCATTCGTTTCCTCGTGGGCTGATGGTTAAGGCAAAAGCCACGGTGAAAGTCGCGCCACCAGCGCCAATAGCTCCTCACAAACCGTGGACATTGTTGTCCCCGGCAAGTTTTAGGGGTCAACGAGACTTGAGCCGAACCGTCGGTGGTGGCTTATAGGGTCAATCGCCTTTCCCCGATGACGATCACTGCAAGCAAGATCCACGCCTGATTGGATTCTTCCGCATTAACAATGAAGTCCAAGCCAGCTATGGCAGGTGGTGTCGGGGGAGGTTCCTCAAACCCACTCGTCGGTAGTTTTGTTGTTATTGCCCGGCCGAATGGAATCTCTATCACAGATACCGGTTACATAGCGAGGGTCTTCTCCGTCTAAAGAGGCAAAATGAGGCATTGAAACGTTGGATATTTCCAATTTGTCATGGTGACAGTACAGTGACCTACCCAAATTATCGACGCCAGACCTTTGGCCAGAGGGTGGGGGCACAGTCCTCTAGCCCCGATTCGGGCGAGCCGTAGGCCAGGCTGTCCTGGTAATTCATCCCATCGTGTTCCTCGTGGCTGGGACGCCAATGTTGCCTTTTCGTCGGAACAGCCGCCGTCATTGACAGAACAGAAGGCGTGTTTCGGCATTGAATGTCTTTGGCACAACACAAATCTCGACGATGATGCTCGGGGTGGTATAGTCGACTCTGAGGGTGTTTTCCCAGTTTCTCCTGTCAACGTTGGCCTATCCAACATGTTCTCCGCGAGGCTTGTGACGATGTCTAACCCAATACTTGTCTCGCAAACCTGCTTCTCCTGTCCTTTCCGAATGGAGTTTACGCCAAGCAGCTGCATGCGAGCGGTCCATCATCCGAACATGCTATGTTTGGCAGGGTCTCCAACTGAAAATCCTACTCGCTCAAGCCACATGTCGGGCCGACCACCACGTGGCCGACTCTCTTGACAACTCTTGGGAAATCCAGGTTTGCACGACAACGGCCTCATCGAGCTCTCTGACGATGACATGTGTTCATGTCGGACTCACCCACCACCACCCTGGCACAAATCAAAGTCAGACGAAGTCCCCGCGCCTGGAGCTTGTAAATTAAGGTACCGTCAAACCCCTACCAAGGTCGCATTCAACCCTTTAGCACAGTCGGGTTCGCAGCTTCGGCCGAGATAATGCGTGTTTGGCAGTGGGCTATTCTTAGATTCAGACATCCTGGACGAGGCAGATCGTCCCAGACAGACGACTTCGTTTCCCAATCGACGCAATACTGTACATGCAGGTCGCTGTGCAACCCCCAGGCCCTTGCCCAGTGGCCCAACCCCCGGCCTGCCAGGACACACAACGAGAAAAGGATTGATGAAATGATATGCGTCGACCAAACAAGAGCTTGTGATTGAGGGAATTATTATGCCCGGCCATTTCTCCGTCGAGGCTCACCGTTTTACCACTGAAGGGTATTGATTGCGGTGACATCAGCCTTCGCATTCGGTTTTCCGATATCTGACAAAGAGAAAAGAGAACAGTCTCGTTCGATATCGAAACTTTCTCCAAACAGAAACTCCCCTCCATGCCACCCCCCTTGAATATTTATTTCCTAATCGGGCTCGGGTGGGGGTGGTTGAACACAGCTAATGGGCGGATTACACCTCCGGCCAGTTAAGCACGGCTTGCCTGTCTTGTTTCGCAAGAACTAACGGGTGAAGCATCACTGAGATCATATCCACCACCCCCCGTTCTCCCAGTTCACATCAAAGCGCCGTATGTGGCTTGGTAGCGTGCTTCTGATCCTCGGGCTTCCTACTAAGCCCCGTCTATCTCTGGCTACAGCTTGTAGCTGTACTAGCGACCGCTTCCAATTGCTAGCTGTGCATGTTTGAACCCTTCCCCCTCTCCTTTTCCTTCATCGATGAAGAATACTCCCGAGATGGAGCATGTGTGGCACAGGAAACTTAGTCAGTAGGACATGCCACTATGGGTCACGATTCCGACTGTCTGGAGCCGACGACATCCGGATATGAACCTAACGAAGGCGACGCAACTGGAAACCCCGTGGTGTCGTTCAAGCAGGATTGGTATGGCTGACTTCATGCAGTGGAGTTTTTGACGTAAGTCCGTATCTCCATCGTTGTCACCCACCTACATAGGGCTACTATGGTGTGTGGGTATTACGCACACCGGCTCATATCGCTCTATCAGTGCTTCGCCTCACCAATGCGTCGGCCGTATGCACCGTTGTGGTCTGGGCTGCCATTTTCTTCCTCCCATGACATCTGATGATGGGGGATAAGACGGGATACGAGTTCGCCTACTAGACAAGTCAGCTTATGATTGTGTTATGTACTAAAATGTTGTGTCTTGTCATTCACTGCCATCCACATGGGTCTCGCTCGCTGGCCGAGCTTCCCCTATCTGAGAACCTTGATTTAAAAAAATCCTAGTCACACCTACCTACACTGACCGTTCGACTCGGCCCAACTAAGAAGGCGATCTGTCTTTAGCCCAGTCATTTGCTATATCTGAGGGATCCCTCAGCAAACGATCCACAGTACCGGGTCTTGTCTTTCGAGTTTCTACCTCGTAGCTTACATGGGATAGGTTACCATCTCATCGACGTGGCGTTTTTGTTTGTTCTCTTCCTCTTTGAGACGACACACTAACGGCTACGACCAGGTTGGCTGCCGGACAGCACTTCGGGTCTTGCGGATAGTTGTCCCGTCCTTTTCATGCAGCTCTGCGGTATTTGGAGTATCAAACTTGTGATTGCTTGGCTCCATGTAAAAAGCTTGACATTGGGTTGTCTTTGTACTTGCGGTCCTCGCGGTCCTCGACATATTGCTGAGAGTCGGGAAGCGGCGGTGGCGGTCTGGCTGGCAATGAGATTAGGCCCGCGTGATGTTGAGGAAGACATTACCCTGCCCATCGGCCTGTCTTGAGCCCACCATCTCCACTCACTCTACTAAGTGCAGGATGAAGTCAGACCCGGACATTAACAAGACATTGCTAGGCTCTGTATTCTGATCCCAGTTTTTGTGTACAGCCTGTGTATCTCAACCCGGTAGGGGGGTTCCTGGGGCACGGCTTTTAGCATGCCACCCATTAATTAGGTGATGTGACCCGATGACTTCCAAATTCGTGGACAAGTCTAGATAGGAGTTTGACGCTCTATAGAACCTAGTGGCTTTGTCGAACGACGTATGACTTCGGGTAGAATCCAACGCCGCTCGTGAGCTCCTAGGTCCTGATACACCTAGTGCTCCTGGTGCTGTTTATCTTGATAGATGTTGTAGCACGAGTCTTTGTAGTGAGAACTGTTTTCAGTGCTATTTCAGTGTAACGAACATGAACACTGTCAATCCCGAGCCTTTTAGTTTCGTGATAATACCTGTCGTGGAACTCGATGCTGTAAATAGCCGCTGGTATCGAGATAGATATTGGGATGCGGCCGCAAAGACGGCCCCCGCGACGCTCGTTGCCCGCCCTATTCCAGTTCAACTATGTACACAACCGTGGGCTTGCCTCGACAACGTCCTTTACATCATGACAATCAGGCTTCTGGTAGGCTCCGACTCATTAGTGCCGGTCTCGTGACTAATAAATTCGTAATCACACTATACTCATACTTCGATCATCGTCGAAGTTACGTCGACTTGAGCGACGTTTCCACCAATGCTCAACCATCCCTTCCCATGCCGCGAAACCCCCAAGTCGAGCCGTCATCGAGCATGATGCAGACCAACAACTACCATCAAGATCAACCATATCCCATCCCATACATCGGCCTCGCCAGCCTAGCCCAAAACCGTTTCCCACCTGTTCCTCCGTTACAGTTGGCTGGAGGTGTGACGTGTACCTATTCGAAAATGGAGAAGGTCGACCTGTCGAAGATACCGCTGCGGTCTATCAACGTTTGCCGTATATGTGAAACACCTGGGCAGGGTACATACATAGCACAAGCCAAAGATGCGTACGGTCAAGAGCCATCATTGATCCCACCGTGGGGTGGGAAGACGAAGTTCTACTGCGAATCGTTCCGGACTTCAGGGGCTTCCGCGTGTACCAACTTACGTTTCGAGTCTAGGGCCCTTCCCCATAGACAAGATCCGGGAGTTGCATAATACACCGCATAGCCCCTTTCGTCTATGGCGTTTCTATTGATGAAGCACGAAGTCTAATTGTGTTCTCGCGCGAGAGAGGGAGCAGTGAAAAAGACCTCGATACATCCACCCGGACCCCAAAGGTCCAACAACTTTGGTACTCGGATATCGCGTTCTACCTGCTGGTTCACAGTCCCATCGTACAACACCTAGGATGTACGCCAATGCCATGTTGCGAGTACTTCGGTTGTTGGTGGGGAATATTTTGCACCATAGTTGAAAACATTTTCGTTGAGATCACCCTCTTGAGTAAGGGGTTTGGCTGAGACCACCGCGTCGCATATCCTACGGAGCCGGCAGTGAAGAAAGCCATCACTGTTGTTGACAAATATCACGGTACCTTTGATCTTCACGTGTTTAACGAATCGATAAAGTCCGATTTAGGCGAGCTCGAATATTCTATAGTGGAACCTCTTATACACTATCATGATAAGTATGCTGCGCTTGTAGAAGCCAAGAACAAAGCGGTTTAGGGTCAGAACTGCGGCATCAAGCTGCTGCTAGCTTGGATCGCCACGAAAAGCAGCCACGGAGACATCATTTCGACTTGATTAGGAGGGGCGGTCCGTTCAGTAGCAAGACACGCGTCGTGGCCTCGGACTACATATATAGAAATAGAAGCAAGCCAAAACACGCCCAATGTCTTTTGATCGCTACCAACTATGTATCCAACCTCCCAGGATGACCTTACTCCGAAAGCCTAGTTACTGCTCTCCTCTACCTGTTGGTAAACATGCCGAACGGAACTCTGACCATGGCCGAATATGCTACATCGGCAAGATTCGTACTTCAAGCATTAATAGATAGGTGCAGTCCCACGCCCACGTTCTGGCAATGGCTGATGGGACTTCGGGCTGCCAAAGTCGGCATACTTCCTTATGTTCCTTACCTCGTCCAAATTTTGCGCATGTGCAATACAAGACGATGGTGCACAAGACCAATCCGCTCCGGACCCTTGAGTGTGTATCCGCTGCAATGGAGTCCCAAGGTTGGCCTGGGGCTTGCATGCTGAACATCACAATCCCTTACGTACTATCAACCTTCTTCAGGCTCAACTTTATCCGCCAGTTGATGAATTCGTCCGTGATGATCCTCCCATGCCCAGCTTCCTCAACTCGGAACACCTCAATAGTCTGTGATTTCGGCTGTCTCCGGATACGCCAGATTCCATCGTCATTAATCACCTGCTTCAACCATTCCAGGAACCCGCTAGCAAAGTTGATACACATGTTTGCGTTCCACGTCTTGACACCGCGCTGGGCTGCCGTGATCGGAATGCTCTCCGTTTTGATCTCCTCGATCTTAGTGAGGATTCCTCGCTGTGAACGGAAACCCACGATGATTCTTGGGACACCGAGCAGGAACGACTGGATCCAGAATTTCATGAGTTTCCGCTCGAAATTCGCCATGCCTCTGTCATCGCGAATCTCGGCGCTGGTCTTGAGTTCGACCCAGTTGATGGGCGCCCCGTGGGCCATAGGCTTGGAATCCCAGACTGGAGGTTGTGTGAGGAACGTCGCCTGTATTTAATTTGTGTAGAGGTACGTACGAGCATCGACTTCACCTCCAAGACACATGATTGTCTTACCGAAACCGGTGCGTACAACTGAGCAATACTAAAAACCGACGTTAAACGACGCAGGTATCGAGCACGAACAGGGCTAGGTACCTGTGCCTTGTTGCTGACAACTTGCTCGTCTCGACTTTCGATGTAGTCTCGACTGGTCTCAGCCCAGGTAGCGGGTAGCGTCGACAGAGTTTCGAATTTGTAACCTGAGCCGTCAGCCCAAGCATTACAACGAGAGGGAGATTGCCTGCGATACCCCAGAATGACATCACATCGGGTGAGAACTGTGGTTGTGATTGCCCGCCACGCTTTGCTTGCTTTTTTTGTTGTTTTCGTTGCTCCTTCATTGACGCCTGCTTATACTCATGGTTCTCCTCGATAAAACTGCTTCAATTCAGCCTCGTGGATATGGGTAGCGAGGATATTCCATGCATACATGCAATCCTTGTTATTCAGATCAGCCTAGTTTCCTCAAATAATAACATCAGAATCGCGCACTTGGTATAGAGTAGCATTCATTTCGAATCTGCACATGCTGCGTTAGAAATTTGGGAAAACGGCGGAGCATGGATATCTTCGTACCCATCTCGGTCCTCAAATGGGGATGACATGATCTGGTCCTGAGTGAGCATCAACTCTCATAAAGGGCAGGGCACTACTGAAGACAAACCTTGGTGATCATCCCCCGCCATGTGACGATCTGCGCATCGATTTTCTTGCCTTCTTCTTCTTCATGGGCCATAATGGTCCGCAGAAGACTATCGAGATGCTCATCTGCAGAGTCATCATGTTTGTCGAACTTGTCAAATCCTTTTGACAAATCGGTACCCAGCTGAGGCGGATAGTACCATTTCATTGACGAGTATCCCAAGTGGAACTCGTGGTTGTCATCGTAGGAGAAGCAAGCTATTTCCTGTTGAAAGGGTCAGTCCGTTGGTGGTGTCATGAAGCCAAACGCATTTGTTTGAAGTGCCGGATAACCGTGCTCCTTTACCTTCGGACGCTTGACAGGGTGGCTATCGCCAGCAAAGCGGGCGACAGGCTGGATGTTAAATTTAGACATAGCTCTATGCCTGCTTATGCTTATGTTGTTGACGATATTTGTGTTGCAAGGGAAAAGAAAGGGAAAAGAAATCTCGTCCATGACACTACGACGAGCTCCCTGAAGCTATGGAGTTGCTTTTTAGATGCCAGTGGAGACCCGCAACAGTGCATGGGAACGCGCCTGGCGTGCAGCTAATCCCTGCCCGGAGCAACGATGGACAACCCCGCAACGTTGCAACTCAAATTATTGCCATTGACTTCATGGAGGAATTGAAGTTGGAAGCTTTGCAATAATTAAGCACCTTCAAGCTACTTTTACACTTCGTTCTCCCGCCAACCCCAGTCCCGAGGTTACCCCTATGAAAAAGACAAAAAAACAAGTATCATTATATATCTTTCCCTCTCTTCAAACAGGGCCCAAATCATGGCCGACCGGCCCCCTCCAGTAACGCGCCCCGGCGCCCCGCGACCAGCGCGCAACAACCACACCGCCGCCACCGGCGTTCGTCGCAACCTCTTTCAGTCGCAACTCACGCGCCGTCCGACACCCGCGTCGTCCAATTCGGCGGAGACGATGCGCTTCGATATCGACGTCCTGTCCGAAGCCGACACATCGGAGATCGTCATCCGCGATCAGAACGGGGAGGTGCAGGTGGGCGACCCGCCGGCGCCGTCGGACGATGAGGCCGAGGTGGAGGCGCTGGATGATGCGCAGGAGAATGAACGTAAGCTCGAGAACACTGGGAAGGAGCTGCAAGGGAGGTCGGGTTAAATTGTGCTGGGAGCTAATTGGCTTTGTAGGGGAGAGACGCAAGCTTGCCGAAGCAGTCAAACATCACCAAATCAACCATAATAGGGCTCCTGCAGAACTGGAAGGTGGGTGATCGTTGTTTCACCATTTGCGCTGATTCTAAGATTGCGTCTAGAAGTTCTCGAAACGTTACGTGCAAGCATGAGGGCACAGGTAGCCGCTTTGGCCGAAGACAATTGGATGTACGAACCAGAAGAGCAGCCACGAGGCCAATGAGCTGTTCTGGAGACGCTCAGGTTGCAACCGTTCTGTTGCACAGACGGGAAAAGCGATCAAGTGGCATCTACCGAAGCGACTCGGATGTGCACCAGTGTAATATCATGCTATCTACGCACATGTGCAGGGTATCATGCTCTAGGAGAAATCTCCCCCTGGTACGGTTAGTCTGTTCAATCCAGGCCCTCGGCAGTGGGCATAGGCGTAGGTGCCTTCACAGCAGGCCTGCTCGCTCCTCCAGCGGGAGCACCCCCGGTCCCTCCCCTGAAGAAAGAGCCCATCATATCCATGAGCGGGTTGCTCTGTCGCGGTCTCGAGATGCCAAAGTACATCTCTGCGATCATCTCCAGGGACTCGTGCCACATATCGAGCTCTTTGATATGTGCAGCGTACTTGGCGGTCAACTGTCGGTAGAGGTCTGCGCTGCCACGTTGTACAGCCAGAAGCAGCAGTCCGAGGAAGTTCAGGAGCGGAATGCTGGGAAATATGCGGATATCGGCGCTGTTGCTGCTCACGTCCTGGACGCCGAGAGTGCCGCCCTTGTCTTGGTTTAGAGAGCTGGTGAATGTGCGGTACGCCGTGTTGGCAGCTCGGACGTTTGCGGTGAGTAGGTAGGGTAGAACGGCTCGACTGGCATACAGGGCCGCCGTGTGGGACTCGTCCTCCTTGTACCACTCGTATTCCATACGTGCCAACACCTCGGGTGAGTCTTTTGTGCCTAATACCAAATGTTTCTCTGCTTCCTGCGTTTCGTGCTCTTCTGCGTAAAGGGATCCGGCGACGTGGTGAAGTTCTGGGTCGCCTGCGGGGTATTCGCCGTACTTGGAGGACCATCTGGGGGCAATTAGATCAACGAACTAAAACAAAGTCCATTGGAGATAACTCACGTTATAATCTCGCCAATGTACTTCTTTCGCGTTGGCTCCTCACTATCGAATAGTCGTAGACAGGTGAGGAGCTTCCCCTTGCTAGCCGAGTCGGGCTTCAGCTCAGCCTGTTTGTACGTGTCCACCAGCATGACACACAGGTCTCCTCCGCTGCCTCCCTGGCCGGCCTTCAGTAGCGACTGCGCTACGCTGTAGAGAATATCGATGGCTGCAGACCAGTTGGCGGCCCTGGTGTATCGAGCTGCTACGACGCGAGTCTGCTGCTGGGCTTCGTAGAATTGGCCCTCGCCAATGCGGGCTTGCAGGCGGGAAATGATCTTTTCGATCTTGTCACCTTTCGTGCTCATGTTTGCGGTGGGGGGTTTGAGCAATTGCTAAGGGACTGGTTAAGGGCTGGCTGACGGGTGGCTCCTCCAACGAAGAAAGTCGTAGGATGATGATGAGGTATTGGAGATGGGTTACTTCTGTCTCGAGTCGAGAGCTTGCTGAATCAATGACGGAGATCGTCACCATTGCATGAGGAAGCTGGAAGTAAATGGTGGGGTTTTACTGTTGTATGGCCCGAGCTTTATTACTGCATCATCAGCTCTTGTTGGAACCCGTGGCTTTGGATGTTGTTTCCCCTCTAAGCATCGTCATTATAAATGTAATTACAACCAGTTTTCTCCACAGAACAACACGATTTCGTTGGACAGGAAATATATCTCCTGTATTAGTTCCAAAGCACTGTTGGTGTAATGGTAACATCTAAGCTTCCCACCGAATTATGTTGAGTTTGCTTAGGCCCCGAGTTCGATTCTCGGGCAGTGCAATTTTTGTCTTCTCAGCGTGCAACAACTCTTTGGATGTGGTTTGCGGCTGTCGTCTTACAAATAAATGTATGTATGCTACGGCATTTCACATGCGTACACTCCAGAATGGTGATCTAAGTTAAATGATAGCCAGTATCAACTTTTGCAATATTGTAAGTAATTGCATTGATAACTATGCAACCGTTCACTTTGCTGGCTGGTTTGGCTCGTAAGTGGTCTCGTCACGTTGACAAGCCGAAAGAGATTAAAATGAATTTACTTATTGCTCAAATCTGCTCTGTTATTTTGAAGTCGTGAGAACCGTTCACATCAAATTTGTTTTCGAACCAAAACAGAACACCCGCAACCGATCCTTACTCATAGACATCAAAGCCACAGCTTCAGCCTCAAGTCGTCTTCGTTTTGGCGGCGGTATAATGTGTTCGCAAACCTCATCTACTGTTTATAAGCGTTGGGTAGTATCAGATAGGTGCGAGATACTTCTTCGAATTTGGAACCAACCATGTCCTCAATGGAGAGACAACCCCATTTATTATCTTTAAAGGAGCAGCCTGCAGCCTCGCGGCCACAAATAATGTATGCTCCATCCGACATGCGGAGATGATCTTCACCTTTGGCCTGGAAAGTGATCCTGGAACCAGTGAAGCTGGGTCTGCGGTATGGATGGACCCAACTAAAAGCCTCCTCGTCGGCAAAGATACAACCGTAAACCTATAAATAATAGCATCAGCACTTGAGGTTTCTCTGAATCATATGTTGCCTTTCATGTTTTGAACCGGATGTCGACCAAGCACAAGGAAAGAGGGGCCCCAAGCATAACGCCACTTTACTACATTATTTTCGAATGGTGGAGCTTCTTCAATCTTGGAGTTGCACTCGGCACGCTGAAATCCTTAATCTCAATTTCATGGAGAACATTAAAGAATTTGAGGATGTCGGTTAAGGACCTGTGGTTTTGGAGCCCGAGATGACCAACCACACCTTTCGAGAAACGGAAGACGTACCAATCATCAACCAACAGTCGAAATTGGCCGAGCTTGGGCGTCAGCAAATATCAGGGGGCTAGACCAGATTCTTCCGAAACTCATTGAACAATGTGAGAGAGACGAAGATAAGTTTGCGACTCAAGCCATGCAAGCGAGGTATGCCTCAGCCAAGCTTCACATGGAAGAAGACGAGGTACGAGAGGCGACGGCAATACTCAGAGGGGCAAGATGGTTATTCCCTCGTATCATGACCCCCGAAGAACACACCCCCCCTTGCCTCCCCAACGCTCATGGTCGAAGTTGCGCGCAGGCTTGCATTCATGCTATTGGAGGTGAAGGTTGAGCAGGGATGCGAGCTGACACGAATTGATGGGGTGCATGGCCTGATGAGGTCCTCAGAGAGACTCTTCCGCTTCAAATTGGAGTGCCGAGACGACTCTATCGAGGTGATATACAGAACAAAGACACGGCCGCGGCAACGCAAAAGCATGGAAAGGGGCCGAGGTCTTCGTATTCGATAATTGAAGGCTTCTGTGGGCAGAACGAGCCGTTGATCATGACGGCGTCTACGGCATTTCCAATGGGAGCTGGTCACTGTGGCGAGCAGCCAACAGCCAGTAGGGTAGCGTCATGGTTCGCAGCGAGTCGTTAACGATGGGACAAAGGAACCGATGATGGGGACGACCGCTTGCACGGAGTCACGCTTCTCAAGCCCATCTTCGACAACGACCTTAAGAGAATGCAATGCGGCGTGTATGCCTTTTGGGATTGCATTAATCTGTTCTTAAGTATGTAACTTTCACGACAAGATGCACGAAGCGCAATAGTGATTGCTATGAAAGGTTGGCTACAGCCTGAGCTGATTGGCTGATTCTCTGTCGAGACACTGCAACCCGTCGACGTTTGAAGGAGGCTGTTTCATATTCGTTCAGTGGGGTCAGAAGCGGGCCTCAACCTTGCGCCGCGGGTAAAGGGGATCCAATAGTGCTGGAAAACAAGAAGGTCGCAACGACTCCTCCGTCGTCGTCTCATATTGCCGTCCCAAGGCCCGCAACTTAACCTTGACGGATGAGGCTCATGGTTGCAGCGACCCGCACCCAGGGTAAGTGCCAGTTGCCGCTTTGGTTAAGTCCGGGATGCTTGAAAAGGATGGAAGTTGAATAAAGATCTCGGTGATCCGCGAGTGTTTCTCGTCTGATATTTTGGTTCTACATCAATTGTTTCCGCTGTTGTATCCGTTTCTATTCGTTCACTTTTTCACTTCGTTTTCACAGCTGTGCTGTCTTTACATTCTCTGACTGTATCTTATACCCCAATATCGTCTTTACCCACCGAAATCGAAAACTCAAGACATCATGTACTTCTCCAAGGTCGCCGTCTTCATCTCGCTCGCTGTATCAGCTTTCGCCGCCCCTACTCCGGCAGTCCAGAAGCGTGCTCTCTCTTTCCGCGCATACAACGACTTCCAGATCTCTGACGGCGTGGGCGGAAATGCGCTTGCGGAAGTGAACGAGGCCTTCCCGGTAGGCCGACTTGCACCCACAAGACTCTCCCTTGAGAACCCTGACTAACAAAGCCCACCAGGTCGACATGACCGACCCAGCATCCGTGTCTGAAGATGACTTTAACATCCTGGTCGCAGCGCGTCAAACCTCAGAGAACGCAGAAGCTGAGTTCAATGACGCCATCGATGCGGCGGGTGGCTCATCAGACGGCGACGCCCTGACGGTTGGCAAGATCAAGAACAAGGTGCTCAAGCTGCGCACCTTCGAGATGGTGGTGCAGATCCAGCAGGCACAGGGGACCGCCGGGTCTGACGCCGACAAGCAGCTCGAGGATATCCAGGCTAAGCTTGCCCAGAATGTGCAGACTGATGAGCAGAACTCTGGCAAGACTAGTCAGGGTGTGAACTTCACCGGGGATGTGCAGCCATAGGTTGGGGACATTGGTGTTATGAAGATTCGGGGATGAAGGGGTTCTATGGACTTAGTTGCCGTTTGGTAGAAGATAATCTCATGCTTGTTCATTCCCAAGCAATGCGTAATGTATGTCCGAATGGGGGGCACTTCTACGACGGGCTTGGATGGAATGTTTGCCAACCCTTAAGTCGATAAGTGAACGATCCATATTGCAAGACGCGTCAATGAGGCGTCAAATTTATGCTTTGATTAACGTGGCTCCCCTAGTCATACTTCCACGGATGTGTGGAGGGTTTTCATTGAATAAGACCCTTCAAGTTCTTCGAGGAGTCGTGTCCAAACTTACGGTTCCTTCACGGCAGTCGAGCGAATAAGATGTCTCTGTGCTACACACAGCCAGGAGGCGCTCTCGCAGCATACCTCCATCCGACTTGTTCATGATATTACCATCGTTGTGTTATGAGAAGTTGCTATTGACGAGGCCAGAGATAGTTGCGAGGCGGTCGTGATGAACGGCCAAGATTTCTCAAAGTAGCGCCAAGGTACAACGAATGTTATTGTTTAACCCCAACCTCAAGTAATAACTTACGGAAGATGCAAACTATCCTTGTTGAATGGCAACTTCATTACCACTTACTAGGACAGAACGGCAAGCGCTGTAATATTTAAGTCTTGCCAGGTTATATAAGCCGCCTGGCAAGCTGTTAACAGAATAAATACCGCATCTAGGTAGAATAACTAGGTTATATCGAGTCTACTACTCCTAGCCTTGGTTAATTCAAACAAGGCTCTGCTGCTATATCTGCTGTGGGCTTACTTGAAGCCTGTTTCTGCGTTAGTCCTGAGACCTCCTTACAGCTTATGGTTCTTAGCTATTCGGTATTATTACCTCCTGGAACTCTTAGAAACCCAGTGTGTTTCCAACATACATTACTCATGTGTTAACAAAGTGAAAGCATGGCCAGAGTCTCGTTAGTATAATCAATGGTAGACATGCTTCAAAGCCCCCAATGCGCCCCTCTGCCGGTGATTATTTTAAGTCTGCAATAGTCATTTTCTGAAATAAATTTCGAAAATGAGTTTACTCAAGATAAAACCAAAATCTGGGGTTTGACTTCGATAGAATATGGCTTGAGATTGAGAGATTTCTGAATCTGTACCTGGAATGTCGGGTTCTTACGTTAACACTCCCATATCCATGTTTCTTCCCATATTGTCAAGATTACAGCAAAAATCGAAATGAAATCTGGTTTGTGAATTCTTGTATGAGAGCCGAGTTTTCTTCTTTCTTTCTTTCTTATTCGTTCCTCGGTCCGGGAAGCAAAGGCTCCCTTCCTATTGTAATGTCATATTGAGGGGCTGAGCTCTTCCTGTAGGTACTAGGCTGGCGGCATTGGATGCAGTAGATAGTGACATCCTTTTCCTTGTCAATAATTAATCCAAGAATCCTTATTTGCTTCGTGGAAATTGCTGCCACATACTTGGGGGCTCCTCGATTGACAGTGAAATGTCTGTATGTACGATTAAGATTAGATGATGTCCAACGTAATTATGATGCCGCCTCTGTTTTGTCAGGATGGTATTGCCAGAGCGGGCACGCTACATCCAGGCCGACTCTCTCCATATGCGGCATCTCCGCCAAAATATCACGCCCAATGTTTATCATAGAACTCGAAGTGCTGCCAGATAGCTTTTCGTCGAAGCAAAACTGAAAACAATATTCCCATAGAAGTTGACCCTCACTGGACTCGAAGTTTAGGTCCAAGATGGCCCAGAAGAACTTGTATCCACGATGCCTGCCCTATTATTTCTACAATGTTCCACAAGGAATGAAAAGGCAACACCTCGAGGGCCAGTATCACAAATATCAAACTCTCTGCGCACGGCAGCTCTCACCGTGAAACTCTTGATTGACTGTGAATGGGCCAACCAAAAGGGGGGTTATTCCAGTGAGTGCCACGGAATACCGGAAAGGGAAAGAGCATCACATGTTCAACAATGAATACAATACCATGGCATACGCTTCTTATCGAGTCTTCCCAGGTCCAGTTATTCAAAGACAAGTTTAATGTTTTGGACGCTATCCATCACGGTCTACTAAGTAGCACATTGATGTTTTCCAAATGATCTAGAAAGTCATTCATAAGCTGCAGCGTCGGCGGCTGTTTCCTGAAGACGTACACGACAGCCTTCGAACGGTACTCAGGCCCACCGAAAGATATGTTGTCAGTCCTCTTGACCCGCTGAGGATATATAGCGCCATGCTTATATATTTGGCTCGGTTCCTGCGCAAAGATAATGCTAAAACACGACCCAGTCGGGATTGGCTGTCCTGTTGTGCAGATCCGCTGGAATTTTCTTGAGCAACTCGTTGACGAGGAGGGCCATACAAGCCGTGAGGGCCGATGCTGACAAGGCCAAAGCTGACTATTGTACAAACAGACATAAAACAGCGACCTTCTGGTTTATCGTACGCCTCAAAGGTAGCTATGCTTCGAAGACTCTTCGAAGACTGGTGCTTCATGGAACCATTAAGGTTTCCCTGTCTCGATCCATCTTACTGCTCGCCTCGTGCTATGCAGTATGCATCACAGCCGCTCCAGTGGTTCTGGTCAAAGAGCTCAGCAAGCTGGATATGCGAAGGCAGACCCGTTGACGACTTGGTTCAGTAAGACCAACTAAAATGGCTATGACTCACGGGCGGAGACTATCAAGTTGAAGAGGTTTTCGACTATATGGCTCAACAAGACAGACAAGAAAGGTTATGTACCGCAGTTTCCAGCCACTTTGCAAGCTGTTCATGGAAGTCCAAGACAGGGAGCTTACGGATAGCTTCGTGAGTGCTATGGAAGAAGTCATGCAAGCCTACCTAAGGAGCCGAAACAAGTCTACAGACTCTGGCAAGGTGCCGCGAACTTGATGCACGCAGCAACGACTTGAAGCAACTTGGCAGGTTTTGAGAAATGGAGGTCACGATATTAGGTGTGAACAGGATTGGGAGTGTGAGAGTAGCGAAGATATGAAGCATTGTAGAAGTATCGCAGCAAGTAGTCTGTCCATAAGCATACAATGAATGCAAATTTCGAAGATGGCCGTACGGTTGGCTGCATGTATGAGTCCTCACGTGGTAGTTAAACCATAATGGGGCAAGCTGCTGTTCAAGGTGTACTAATGAGGCCCAGTGCACCTGTAAGCGGATGAGAGTATATATAAGTACTTATTGTCGGTAATGAGGGTTGGGGGTTGGGTGTTGGGGCGCGGGGAAGTGGGGGTGATTGTATTGCGATTATGAAGATGCGTGGGGGATCAATGTGTCCATTCGCCACTAAATACATATTCCGTGTCTGCCTGTCTTCAGGCCCTCCATATCTGAGGCCACACTTGCCCATACTTATATCGCGTCGAGAGGCAACTGTACTGTCGTGTAGTGAGTCGCAAGGAGTATGAATGGTACTCGGTAAATTGCGAAGCCACGCATTGCCCAGTACCACATATTGTGCGGTGCGAGTTCTATTTATCGATTGTTGGATTCTAATTGAACACGATAGAAATCAGAACCCCCGTGAATCTGATTTGGATCTAAGGGGTTTCCCAGTGGATTAGTGGATTAATAAACATATGGGGGAGGGGTAAGCCTATGTTAGAGTTGAAGTTCCTCAAAACTCGATTACTGCACAAGTCATGTTCCTGCTTGGCCAAGAAATCAACACGATAAAATAGAGTCGCAAATATATGCTTCTGATTGATCGGTGTTCCCAACAACATATCCGAATTGGTGTAGTGGCTAACATTACACGCTCTCATTCTCCGATCCAGGAAAATAGCACCGTGTAGCCCGGGGTTCGATTCCCCGATTCGGAGTTCGAGTTACATGACACATAATAAGTTATTTTTGCTTGGTTTTTGCTTCCCAATTCATGGGCAAAAGATTTAAATACCCTGCACAATCCCCTGTAAAGATCTATTTACCCTGCACTTTTTCTGCCGCTTTTCTCTCCACATTTCCGCCATGCTTTCTGACTTCATGCCTCTGGAATTAGCATACGACTACTATTCCTCAGCTCAACATGACGTCGCTACCCCTATTATCTATTCCTATTGATGGACAAGAGTTCCATGACCTTGATACTCTATCGCTTGCCCTCGACAACTGGGCTGTAAAGGAGAAATTCTCTTATCGGGTTGAGCGGCGAGATAAGACCCGTGGCTCCTGGGTGTGTGCCTCTGCGTTAAGCGGCTGTTTATGGCGCTGCCGAGCAACCTATTCCCCTAGTGAGGATATCTGGCAGATTCATATTCTCGAAACGGAGCATAGTTGTAGCGGAGCTGCAAGGCAAAAATTCTCCTCTGCGTCTAAGAAAGACTGGTTAGACCGTATTGTCGCTGCCAATATTGCAGTAACACAGCAGACCCCCCCACAACAAATACTCGACCTCCTCCGTATCCAATTCGCTGAAGATATCGACTACAAGAGAGCTCAAGAGTGCCGGTTGCGACTACTCGACGGAGATATTGGCAAGCAACGACATAGCTTCCAGTTACTACCCGCTTATAAGGAGCTCTTAGAGACCATCTCTCCTGCTATCCATATCGACTTACTTCGAGACCGCCATCAACGTTTTGAACGAATCTTCATTTGCCCTGCTGAGAGCCGCTCTACTTATACCCTTTGCCGACGTCTCCTCGTTATCGACGGAACCTTCTTAAAGGGTCGTTTCATCCTTACTCTATTGCTTGCCGTCACGATCGATGCGAATGGCGAGACTATTATCTTGGCCTGGGCGGTAGTCGAGTCGGAAAATAAGTCTTCTTGGACATGGTTTTTACAGCATCTTCGTTGGGCTATCCCAGAGGTCTCAACAGAGCAGAGCACAATTCTATCAGACCGAGATAAAGGACTCCTTGACTCGGAGAAGGTCCTCGGTCCGTTAGCTACAGGGGCGTGGTGCTGTCATCATATTAAGGAGAATTTCACGGGAAAGTTCGGGAGAGGGCTTGCCTCTTTATTTTGGACTATCGCCCGAGCACCAACTCTAGCCCAATACGAGGCAGCTTTAGAGAAGCTTCGACAACAAAAGCCCGAAGCTGCGGCATATCTAGAGGCGGCAAACCCTTCGCTTTGGGCCGAGGCGCTATTCTCTGGGCGTCGATATGGCCACGATACAAGTAATATCGTCGAGTCGCAAAACGGAGTACTAAAGCTTGATTGGGAACTTCCAATTATTGCTCTCCTCGACTCAATATGGCACCGGGTTATGGAGAAGAGGGCAGCTCGGCTTCAATCTGCTTTACGGTTGATAGAGGCAGGGAAGACAGCTACCCCATTCGTTGAAGGGAAATTACGAGAAGGGAGGCAATGGGCGTCTAGTAATCGTGCTCAGTTTTCGTCACCAACGGAAGCAAGAGTAGTACAGCCTGACGGCCTTATTTGCATTGTAAATTTGACAGCAGGGACATGTTCATGCCGTCGGTATCAAAGGAATGGAATCCCTTGCGGGCATGCCATTACCGTAATACTAGCAGGAGGGGACGATATAACCCCTTATCTACCAGAATCTCTCTCTCCGACAGTTTGGGCTGCCACATATAGTAGCCCGATGCCAGCTATCAACGTCTCTGAGCTCAAGCTCAAGCCAGAGGACCCTTGTAACCCTCCAATTACTAGAGTACCTCGAGGACGCCCTGTCAAAGAGAGGATTCGAAAGGGGGATTCTCGCCGCCCTCCACAGAGCTCACAATCACGATGCTCTAGTTGTGGTGAGACTGGACATAATATGAGAAGGTGCCGACGCCCCCATGGATAGCTTGATAGGCCCGATCCGTGGGTCTGATGGATTGGGAAGGCGGTGGGAGGTCTGGGAAATTGCGGGGTAAATAGATCTTTACAGGGGTTGTGCAGGGTATTTAAATCTTTTGCCCACAATTCATATATCATAAATAAAATAGCTCCTGGGTACGAATATTTACATTTCTATGATTTTCTCTCCTTGTTACTATTAAGAATGACGTCAACTCATTACTGATTGCTACTAGTACTATTTGTGTAAAAACAGCCGGTAGAGTTCAGCCTGGGCAGGCTTCACGCTGCATTACCTATGGGAATGAGAAGCCCTTGCAGCATCATTTCAGAATGGGTTTGAGGTCTTATTGCTACACTATGGAGCACAAAGAAACGGCATATCTGCAGGTGCTGGAAGAGGACAGAGACTTGAAGGACTTTGAGTCTCAAAGTAATGCTTACATCTGTTGGTGGCGTAATGTTTCTTGACGTTGCTACTGTTGTGAGAAATGAGGCTGTTGGGAGCTTGTGACCGGGATCCCTCACATTTGCCACTGGCTCCTCGCTGCTTGTTACCTCCACTATCAAAAAGAGCCTTTAACTCCCCTTGAATAGTCTGGGCCAACTCTGCCGGTGTGACAAGTTGGAACATTGCCTTAGGGAGGGAGAAATATACTTGAGCTTGGGGGAGCAGCAGCAAAACCTGCCTCTTTTCCGTCGGAGGTCTCCAGGCACTTATGAAGATGAGATGCAATGACAAACATTCAAACTTTGGACACCAAATGTGATTGGAGCTTGTCAAAGTTATCAGAGACGATCCACACAAATCATCTCAGTACAGAGCTGTACCTCTGACAGTTGCTTTCGCCATCTCGAATACAAGCTGATCTTCCAAGTCCCTGGCGCATTTGTAGAGGCGTGCAATTGCCGTTGAAACCTCAGGCTATTATTCATTGGATTGGACCAGATCGACAAAATTACCCCCAGGCACATATTCCCTGGTTCTCAATAGAGCCCTTCAAGTACTGTAGGTCAAACTGTATACTATTCACTTGACGACTCCTCTAAGTGTTCCGGGGTGCTGTAGAGGAACAATTGTTAAGAAGGTTGTTGGTTGAGCTTAGTCAAGACCTGCCTTGCACTAATCTACCATTTGAACTCTTGGTGAGTTCAGCGATAATTACCTTTCATTCCGAAATGCGAAGTCTTCAAATTGTTCGTCAGGTAGAAGTGTAGATGTAAGCAGTTATGTTAGTACTCATTCAACATCACTAAAGTAGTGGCAGGAAACGTTTGTTTGAGAGGGGAAAGTCTAATAAGGGCGCTCGGACCACTTTTCATATCACCGCAAAACCGCTTAGCGCAACTTTGAGCCCTCCGACCCTTGGCCCGGCGCCCACAGAAAAATTGGGCGAGCTTGGAATTTCGCGATTGTTACTTCCCGCAATTTTCGACCTTGCCTTGAAAACACCAAACGCCGACACCACGAGACCACTGGTAGTTCAGGTAAATATTGCCCGACAGAAGTGTTGATTCCAACCAAATTACTCTGTATTGTGGTCAATTTCTTGCATTTCATTCATTGCTATTCAGCTGACATCAAACCTCTTCAGAACCCCACGACTTCGCCATGGCCTCGCGACCGACCGTCACCATCATCGGGAAGGATGGTACTCCCTCGGGAGCCACCCACACCATGCCTTCCGTCTTCAGCGCTCCGATTCGACCTGATATCGTTCAGCAAGTCCACACTGGAATGGCCAAGAACAAGCGCCAGCCGTACGCCGTGAGCGAGAAGGCCGGTCACCAGACCTCTGCTGAGTCTTGGGGAACTGGTTAGTGATATTTCTACATTTACTGTGATGAAGAATGAAGCATGCTGGGAAAACGGAGCCGAAGAGCATATATGACGAAAGGGGGCGCGGAATTGCGAATTCTTCGGAGACAACAGGCCAGACGCAACTGCTCAAGAACGCAATGCTGACGATGAACCCGCAGGTCGTGCCGTCGCCCGTATTCCTCGTGTCTCCGGTGGTGGTACTCACCGTGCTGGTCAGGCTGCCTTCGGTAACATGTGCAGATCCGGTCGCATGTTCGCCCCTACCAAGATTTGGCGCAAGTGGCACATCAAGATCAACCAGGGTCAGAAGTGAGTGGCATATGATTTTCCCCGTGGGAATACCCGCTAACTTATACGTGCAAAGGCGATTCGCTACTGCCTCTGCTCTGGCTGCTTCTGCGGTCACTCCCCTTCTGCTCGCTCGTGGCCACCAGGTCTCTGCCGTGCCCGAGGTTCCCCTGGTCATCGACTCCGCCATCTTCGAGAACGGTGCCGTTGCCAAGACCAGCGCTGCCTTCGCCGTCCTGAACGCCGCTGGTGCTGGCGTTGATGTCGAGAAGGCCAAGAAGTCAAAGAAGCTCCGCGCTGGAAAGGGTAAGATGCGTGGCCGCCGCCACCGCCAACGCCGTGGACCTCTGGTCATCTACGACCCGGTTGTCGATGGTCGTGAGTTGGTCAAGGGATTCCGCAACCTTCCCGGCTGCGAGACCTGCGACGTCTACGCCCTGAACCTCCTCCAGCTCGCCCCCGGTGGCCACCTCGGTCGCTTCATCGTCTGGACCTCGGCTGCATTCAAGGCTCTCGACAGCATTTACGGCACCACCACCAAGCCTTCCGACCTCAAGAAGGACTTCCTTCTGCCTTCCAACGTTGTGTCCCAGGCTGATCTTGGCCGTCTGATCAACAGCTCCGAAATCCAGAGCGTCCTGAACGCACCCAAGGGCTCTGCCCTGACCAAGCGTGCTGGTGTGCAGAAGAAGAACCCTCTTGTCAACAAGCAGGTCATGCTCCGTCTAAACCCGTACCACTCTACATTTGTCAAGGACAAGGTTGGCCAGCAAAAGGCCGAGCCTGGCAAGCCCAAGCCAACTCCGGCTAGCTTCTTGGAGGTTGTGCACGAGGATTAGGCCAACGCTTGGTGAGCAGCGTTGTCTTGAGGGTGATTGCATCGGTTGATACTCTATGAAAGGGAATGGTTGAGGCGTAATGGTTCGGATGGTCAAGTAAATCTGAATTTCTCATGAATACATGCCGTCGTGCCTTAAAAGTGACCATTATCACCTGTGTTCAAGTACGATTGAAACATGCAATCATAACATTACAACGTAGCGAGTCCGTCTTCCCTATAACCCGCACTGCTGAGGGAACTACTACCAGTTGCGCTCTTGTATTCTGAAAAATCACATTTGGTTTGAGCGTTTAGTTTCTTCTACTTGTTCCTGTGGGCAAGTGTGGCTTCAGTTATAGAGGGATACAAGGCACCCAGGCAACGCACAAACTGGTATATGTAGGGACCCCCCGAGGGCTAATGGGGTAGTTCTTCCCTACGCACCTTGGTAGTACCAATACAGCCCCCAGTACTCGGAATCCGACAGTCCTTACATTAATAATCGAGACCAACTGGTAACTGTATTGCCTTATCGTGAGGCCTGTAGAATCGTGATGACAATGTCCATGAGTCCAGATCAGGTGTGTTTCTACTTTGGTACCCTTATTATCGTTTCCCTTCTTCGTCGCACACTTTCCTCCATTGCCCAAGCCCAAATCATTAGTACAAAGAGGCCGTCGTTGTCCAAATCGTATATGTCCTCAACATGCTGGCTTGATCTCCTTCTAATATTTCCAACAGCCGATGTTACAATCATCCACATACTCAACCGTCGTTTCATCGGGCTTCCACGCTAGTTACAAGACGTATGAGAGGAGACAACTATGCGGCTACCAGCATTTCCTGCGTGACAAGATTCTGACTAGCCCCAGTGAGCTTGCAAAGTGTATTGATGTGTAGTCCTTCTTCTATATAAAAATGGTCACATATCTCTGTCGTATGTCATGTATTTGTCCTGTACGTGCCCTATTACGTTTCCTTACGACGTAGCTACACTGCCTGTTTGTACTCCAGCAGGCACGCTCATCGCCTCTCAAATATTGTAATTGCAACACATAGTTTTCGTCCAAATTATTTTTGCGCTGCAAAGTCATTTGCTCATCCCAAACCCAGGTCTGCTAAAACCGCGTTTGGACCAAAACCAAGTCAATCGCAGATCAGTCGTAATGTCGTGTTCCCTTCTCGGACAGATAATCATATGGAGGGTCATCCCCTTAACACCCACAGAACGCACCCAAGTCAGTCAAGCCCTCCGTCTCAACCGCAGCATTCTGCATAGAATTGAACTCGTCCAAAATAGCCTCAAGCTCCTCAACCTTCTTGATCCGCCAGAACCTGTGGACGCCCTGCACAAATCTCGCACTACATGCATCGACATTGGGCTCGCTCTCAGCGGCAAAGCACAAACGGAAGTAAGCCCACCCTCTTTCGGCGCGGATCTCAGGGGTAGTGCTAAACATCATTCCCGGGGAAACAAGTGTTAACCATGGCTTGTGCGTCAGGAATACCATGAGGGCCGTGGACAGGGCAACGCCGTTGATAACGACGCCCTTGGAACCAGGGGTTTGCCATAGCGGGTGCGTCTCGAAACGCATATGTAGCCAGAGGAACATTCCTGCACGGGGCCAGGAAAAGTCGTAGATCTGCGTCTTGGTGATGACACACCAATCGGCGTCGGCTTCGCGAACGGGGGTGCATTGCTTGAGCAGATAAGACCCTTCCTCAAGGATGGAACTCATCCGGTTCATGCGGCGCTCATACTCTCCGCGGAGACCAGACAGCCAGCGCACCCAGCCATCCATCTGCCAGCCGCCAAAGGATGCCTTATCCTTGCTGAAGCGCAGCGAGGCGAATTGGGACGAGGCGTCGACTTGCGGGCCCATGATGGCTTCGGCTAACATGGATTGGACGAAGCCCGAGGGCTGCTGGGTGCCTGACTCGTTGACGCGCAAGAAGCGCTCGATGATCTTCGGGGCGGCAGTAATCCAGCCCACGCGGCAGCCCGGAGCTACGGTCTTGGAGAAGGTGTCGAGGCGGATTACGCGGCCGTCGGTGTCGACGTTTAGGAAGGAGGGGACGAGGGAGTCGAGGAAGGGGTAACCTGACTGTTTCCAGCCGAGGGCGCTGACTGATTTGGATTGTGGGACGGGCAGGTTGCGCGCCCTGGCTTCTTCCAGCTCGGCGGAGGGATATTGCAGATACCAGTAGGGCTCGTCTTCGATGATGATAACATCGTACTTGCTGCAGACGGCGTAGATCTCCTTGCGGCGCTCGAGAGAGAGGATGCCGCTGGTGGGGTTGTGGCCCATTCTGGAAGTAAGGTTAGTATAAGTGACTTACGTGAGTAAGGAACCCGCATAGAGTTCTGCAAAATTTGGAGCAGGCATTGTCCAAGGAAAGGATCAACGTACGACACTGTATACATGAGATGAGGTCTCTTCCCCTTGCTTTCGTCCCAGTTGCCCAGCACATCCTCCAGCCCACCAGGCCCCTCAACTGCCATCCCCTCGTCGTCCATTTCCACGGGCACAACCTGTACTCCTCTCGGCAAGGCCTGGCTCAGCACATTGGGGTACATGAAGACCTCGGCCAATAAGCCCGGCCTCTCCCGGATATCATTCTTCCCTTCCGACCAGATGTTGGTGAAGAGGTCCAACGACTTCGACATGCCGTCGGTAGCTCCGGTCGTGAATATGACCTCGGGTCCCCCACGATAAGGCACATTGGGGTGTAATCCCTCGCGCGCGAACTGGCGGATGAAGGACAGCAGCGGTGGATAGCCATTGGCCTGACCATACTGCAGCGCTGAGGCGAGGTCGATCTTCTTTAATGGATTCGGGGCGCTGGGGTCGTCGTGCGGGACCACAATATGCGATGCCGCCTTGGGATTCGAGGAACTGGACGAGATGGATGCCGAAGCAAGCTTGGTCGAGATGCTGTCTGCGCCCGGTCGGTTGGGTGTTGGGGTCCATCGCTCGGGTTTGGCGGTCTGTGCCTCGAGGGTATCGAAGGGGAAGAAGCGTGCGTTGGGAAGGCCTGGAGTGTGTCCTTTGTCAGTATTGAGATTGAAACGAACAGGGAGACCAGGGAGATGCTCACCGCCTGCCAGGTTTCCAATACCTGGGATGAGGAAGTATTTGTAGTACTCCTTCATCTTAGACGGGATCCGGGCCTTGGTCACGTCCGAGTAGTAATGGCTCATGTCCTTGGGCTCCGGCTTGTCCATCTCGACGCTACGGACCGATTCATCCATTGTGGTGGTCTGCTTTGGTATAGCTATCTATGATGGTTAATGTGAGTGAGCAGGGCTGCAGGGCTGGGATAGATGGAAAGGAATTGAATGTCAGCAGGATATGGAAGATTGGGGAAAAGAGATGAATGGTCTCGATTAACTATCCGAAGAACCTATGGACACATCTGGTGTATATCATCCTCACCAACTACCCTAGGATGGATTACAAATGATACGGGAACGATGATAGGACCGCACCGAAACTGCTCTGCTAAGACACGCACGAGTATCTCAGATAAGACGGTCGAATAAGAAACCCTGCGAGTCCTTGGGGAATCGGTACTTACACCTGTACCAGCCCTCTGATTGTTAGTGTCATACTTGCACCACGCTTAAATAAATATGCGCCAGGCGAGTATGGCGCTATCATTCAGGGGGCTGGTAGAGCTGAATATGATTGTGTGGATCTCCAATACAGGGGATTTGATAGGTCGCCTTTTCTGTCCCTGGCTGAGACTCCGGAGATGGGTATACTACCCATTGTGTCGACTTTGGTTCGTGCCTTCATCTCGTATTGCTTGGTGCTGAGAGGTTAATCTGTATAAAACAACTCTCGGACTGTTCCCCTTCAACCATTTTCTTGCCGAGTCCTCCAAAGTATTGAATTCCCAGGAATACGGATCTCGAGCTATGAGATGAAGTACCGCATGTTAGCGGGTAAAGGTACCTGCCACGCCAGACGGTGACAACCAGGTGTCAAAATGTGCAGCAGGTCGCATCATCATCGTAAACTCGACGTGCTTGAAAACATCAACAGGCATTGGATGCGAGCCAGTCAAGTCATACGGAAGACAACTTGCAACATCGAGATGAACGACCCCCACGACCTCCAAACAAGTACTCGTACTTTTTTCATGTAGGCTAGGTTCTTGTCGGGAGTTAAAGAGCCAAGATACCGACCCCACATTGTGGCTTGCGACAACGGCGGGGTACCAGAGAAAAGCAGGTGCGCAATGCTGTAAATTCTCATCAAAGACTGGAAACATCTTGGCGGGTACAGGTGACGATTGATTTATTGCGACGCGACAAACCGCCATCTGCGACCCTTGAGAGAATTATTGCTATTTACACGTAGCAACCAATACAACGATAAGAAAACTCATCGAGAGGTCATTCAATTGGACTTTACCCTGTTCGTAAACGCAAAATCAATTACCCAAACGTACCAAATCTCGCGTGGCCATCATTAGTACCCAGAGCACACGACGATCTCAGCTGAGTGCATTTACTTGCGAACCCACAAGAGATAGGGATATCTGTGAGAGAAGGTAAAGACGGAATCTGTCCAGTCGGAATTGGTTACACTGTCACTTCAAAGCATTGGGATACGGACACAATGATGGAGAAAATCACAGACAAGATCGCCGCCCTGCCGGCCGATGCGAACTACTTCTCGCTCGAATTCTTCCCACCCAAGACCGGTATGGGTTTCTCCAACCTCCGCGACCGTCTCGACCGAATGGCAAGAGCTCTGCGACCGCTCTTCGTGAATGTGACATGGGGAGCTGGCGGCTCCACGGCGACCAAGTCGCTTGAACTTGCCGAGATTTGTCAACGGGAGCTGAATCTGACGACGTGTCTACATCTTACATGTACAAACATGAGCCGCAAGCTTATCGACCGTGCGTTGGAGGACGCAAAGGCGTTGGGCGTCCGCAACATCTTGGCTTTAAGGGGTGATCCGCCCCGAGCAGCAGAGTACAGAGACCCGAACGAGCAACCCGAGGATGCCATCGACGAAAGCTTTGTGTGGGCCATTGACTTGGTGCGGTATATCAAAAAGACCCACGGGGACTATTTCTGTATTGGTGTGGCCGCCTATCCCGAGGGCCATGCCGAAGAGAGTCATCCCTTGGGCCAGAGCTTGGAGCATGACCTGCCGTACCTGGTTGAAAAGACGCAAGCTGGAGCAGATTTCCTGATGACCCAACTGTTTTTCGACACACAAGCGTACGACAATTTCGAGAAGGTTCTTAGGGAACACCCGAGCGGTGCTTTTAAGACGATACCCATCATACCTGGCCTGATGCCCATACAGAGCTACCAGATGATCAAGAGGACCACCAAACTTAGTCATGCAAGAATTCCTGATGCGCTCATGGCTAGGCTGGATGATGTCAAAAAGGACGATGAGAAAGTCAAGAGCGTTGGTGTTGAGATCCTCTGCGAGATTGTGGAGCAGGTCAAGGAGATCAAGAGCCGGACAAATGGGCCCAAGGGTTTCCATTTTTACACACTGAATTTGGAGAAAGCCGTTTCCTTCATTGTGGAGAGAACGAATCTTATCTTGCCCGAAGCCACCGGAGAGGAGGAAGCAGTCGCTGACGATGACATGCAAATCGTACCAACAGTGACAATCAATGGGTCATCTCACCAAGAGCACCTAACTTCGCTCCACGATAGCTCGCGGCGACAATCGTCGATTGGATCGGATCCACGCAATCGCGTCATCGTGTCAGGCCGACCGCCATCGCATCCAGAGTACGAAGCAACCGCCACTCAGGCTAGCATACCTGCTGAGCCTATCAACACACGAGCAAATACCCTGGCAATCTCAGAAGGCGAAGGCACCCTTGGCCGCGAGGCCACCTGGGACGACTTCCCCAACGGTAGGTGGGGTGATGCGAGGTCCCCAGCCTATGGTGAAATCGACGGATATGGCCCAAGTTTACATATGACGAACGTGCAAGCAGTCGGACTTTGGGGGTATCCCAAGAGATTTGAGGACATCAGTGATCTCTTCATACGTCATATAAAGGGAGAGTTGAACGCAATCCCCTGGAGTGAAGAGGAATTCAACGCAGAAACAGGCACGATCAGCCCTCTGTTACTGAGACTCAACTCGAAAGGCTGGTGGACTGTCGCTTCACAGCCCGCCGTCAACGGTCTGCGCTCATCAGACCCTACCTTCGGATGGGGTCCCGAAAATGGTTTCATATTCCAGAAGGCTTTTGTCGAATTCTTCATCCCCTCGGCGGACTGGAAAGTCCTGCTGGAAAAGCTACAGAGCTCAGAGTACCAGGGCACAGTCTGCTTCTACGCCAGCAACGCGGCCAGCGATTTCGTCTCGTCAGACGACACGGGCGGGCTGTCGGGGGAGAAAAAGCCAGCGAGCACCAATGCGGTCACGTGGGGCGTCTTCCCGGGTAAGGAGATTATCACACCTACTATCATAGAAGAGGTGAGCTTCCGTGCATGGAGCGAGGAGGCCTTTGGCATCTTTGGCGAGTGGGCAAAGGTCTACGATAAGGGTTCGGAGAGCTCGAGACTGCTCGAGGGGATCAAGGCCGACTCGTGGTTGGTCAATATTATACATCATGATTACGTGGATAAGGATGGGTTGTGGGATTTGTTGTTGGGGTGATGGCAGGTAGCGGTTGATAGCTCTAGTAGGAGAGAAAACGAAAAAGAAAACAAAAAAGAAAACAAAAATGCAGATCTTTAAAACGCCCTTCTCAGTCAAGAAATGGAATGATGAGGGATACAGGACAGCGCTTCAAAGTGAAGAAATTTGGGCTGGGACATGCCATGTTGCGAACGCCCTTCAGAACTTCAACATGCTACTTCTGTTGTGCATGCGCAAAGGCGGTTGTCATGAACTTGGCGGCTCCACTGCCATGCCGTGGCGCTGGGTTGATCAGAATCCAGAATGCCGTCTAGAATGAGCCTCGTGCACTTGCCCCTTATACAGTTCTTGTTTTTTCTTGTTGAATTCAACAATATGACACGTAGCATCACTCAACTTCGGGGGAGGCCTCTGATAACGTGATTTCTCAAGACTCCGAGTCGAAGTTACAACTTTACCTTAGTATTGCCGAGCTCCCAACTCGGTTCCTGCTGAGAAAATGATCAAAGCCCCATCCTCAGAAGAACCTGGAGGAAATCTTATGCAGTATGGTGCAACTACAGACGTTGGCAAGGGGTGGTCAAGATAAACTCGATTAATATGCTGTCCCCTTTTGGTTGCCCCGCAGACTGCCCATCACCCATTGTGCTGCGTGCAATTCCAATTTCTCACAAGGTCGCCGCCACCTTCAACTACCATCAGGTGCAGTTCAGCTATGCTTCCAAAAGCAAATTACGCTGGCCGACTTGGAAAGTTAGGGAAACTTGAAATGACACGGCAAGCGAACAACAGTGAGCCTATTGGAATTAGCGCTCTGCTATTGCAAACTATCATAGTTCACGCCGGCTTAGCCAAGTACCTGAACCGGCTACTGCTCTGACCGTTGAAACCGTTTACATCGTTGTGGAGTCTACCAGTCGACGGCTTGCCACGCGTGTGGTCAAATTCAATCAACAAGGAGCTCGTTCGAGGATTGAGGCGTACCACCGATAGCTTTCTGAAGCCGTCAGATCTGAACTGCTGGCTCGGGTACCGCAGGTAACGGGACAATGCAGTAGAGATATTGAACGCGATCTCTGTAGCTAAGCCTTACCATGTCATGAGGGATGGGACCGCAAGTATTGATTCCTGGACAGTTGCTGCACACGCGCTGATGGTATCCTCAGCACGAGGCGACTGCATGGGCAAATCTGGCTGACCCTGGCGCTCGGCCCTGCCCCATATGAATCTCACTGGTAACGAACCTATACTACGCACCACCACTTATTAGCACCATTTTTCTTTTTTCCAGTTTCTGCTCTTAGTCCCTGGCAGCCGGACATGCTCAAAAGAGCCTCCACTGAGAGCCTCGAGTGTCGTTGGGTATACTGAGACGATCTTCGCGGTATGGAAACGCGCTTCGAAAGATCGTCCCGCTCAAGCCAGATGATGAATATATCCCCGGATCGTCGAATGGATCCCAAATTGAACTTCACGCCGAGTCAAAATAAGCTGAATTCGATATTAGCCCACATACTAGGCGGCTTTCATTAGCGGCCCCAGCTACTGTTGCGGCTGGCAGCCCTCGAAAGAACCAGCCAATCCGTGTTCATAGTTTGGACGAGCACCTGCCTGTCTCGACTAGAAGCGTATTTTTGTCTTACAGGGGACCATGCATCTCTACCACACTGACGGCACTGCCAATACCCAGATCGATAATCTTGATACACAAATATGGCTAGGCACGATGGTGTGGCACTGAAGGTAAGCAAAACATAATGTAGGTCGGAATATATCTTCTTCAGGTCCGCCTCCGGCTTCGTATGCCTCTTTTTACTCTATATACTCTCGTTCTGGTCTGTATTACACCCGTTTCTCTCCCCGCTGACCGTCGTCTTCACGTCCCGGCGCGCGGCCTTCATGCTGTGATACGTTTTTTTTTCTTTTTACATATCCTTAATATTTAATATCCCAGGTTCAACGGAGATCCCGAACTAGTCCGTCATGCGGTTGAGCACAACTCATCTGAGCGGTCTGCTCTCCTTGGGTACACTCGTCATGGCAGATCCAACATGGCCCTCCTCGATCGACGAGCTAGAAGAAATCATGTACCAGGTATCAGGTTTCAACTCTCGACAATTTGGCGGCACCGTCATCCCCTGCTCTAACGAAGCATCTGGGCCTGGCCGGCAGAATGCAGCAGAATGGCTTCGTACCGGATTCCATGATATGGCGACAGCGAATATCAACTTCGGCACTGGTGGATTGGATGCGTCCCTTCAGTATGAGTTGAGCAGCGCCGAGAACACGGGACCGGGTTTCACGACGACCCTGCGGTTCATGAATAATTATTACACGAACCGGTCGAGTGTGGCCGATCTAATAGCCCTTGGTGTATACTATTCGGTTAGATCTTGCGGGGGGCCGTCCATTCCGTTCCGGGGCGGCAGAGTCGACGCCAGGGCAGCGGGTAATATAGGCGTGCCGCAACCCGAAAACTCGGTGTTCACGTTTCAGCAGCAGTTTAGACGGATGGGGTTCTCGAACACGGAGATGATCCAGGTTACGGCATGTGGTCATACCATCGGCGGCGTGCACGAAGCCGAGTTTCCCAATTTGGTGCCCCCTGGATCGACTCCGAAAGGAGAGGCGCCCATGGATTCTACCGTGGCTGTTTTTGACAACAAGATTGTCACTGAATACATCTCAGGCAACACTACCGACCCCCTTGTCGTTGGGCCCTCAGTCAGGCTCACCCGGAATTCCGATAGCAAGGTCTTTGCTTCCGACGCAAACGTTACTGTGACGGCCATGGCCGACCAGACTGCATTTCACAATACCTGCAAGAACGTGCTGCAGAAGATGATCGACGTGGTTCCTTCCGGAGTCACGCTATCTGACCCAATTCTACCGTACGCCGTCAAGCCGGTCAATATGCAGCTTACTCTTGAGACGGGTGCGTCGACTATGGCACTTACCGGATGGGTCCGGGTTCGAGTGACGTCCGCTTCCGTGTCGAGCATCGCACTAATCTACAAGGATCGAAATGGTGGGAACAACTGCGGTAACACAGGGTGCTCGTATACTGCGACCGTCTTGGGCGCCACGGATGGGTTTGATGACAAGTTCATCGTAAGTATCCTGCCCGCCATATTCAGTTCCTGCGTACTCATAGGTGCCGCAGTGGTTTCCACTCAATGTCAAGATCTCGACGTCTACCGGCATCTCCTCGTTTACTGTGACGTTGAACCGTGCCGACGGAACGAGGCAAGTTTTCGACAACAACGGTGTTTCATATCCTATGGACGACGCTATACTGATCCAGAAGCCTCAGAGTTGTCTTCTTCAGACCTCTGGTGCTCTTACGGTTACTGCAGCTGTAAGTTAAAACCCCTCAAGTTTCTGCTTGAAGTAGATAATCCTTGTCTTTGAATCTCATACCCAGCAGGTTCGGAATGACCGCAACTCGTTCCCAGTCAAATTAGTCGTTTCACAAAAAGTAGCAAGCGGTCGACCCATCGCTACTCTTAGCTCTAACACCATAGCCATGACCCGAGGCGATTGCGTTGGCCCCTACACCTTCTACACAGCCAGCTACACAATCCCCGGCGATACCAGCTCTGCCGCCAAACTCGATGTCGTGAGTGGAACAGGTGAATATGCTATTGGGGACTACTTTAATGCGGCAAGCGAGTTGGGAGGTACCTGCCGTGCTTTCAGCGTCCCGCCAGCTTCCCTCTGCACAACTGGTTCAGTCACGACAACCACCCTTGGTGGTAGTTCGTCGACTTCATCATCTGTGACAGCGACCAGTACCACCAGTTCCTCTACTGGCCCAGCTACAACGCTGAGCCACCGACAGACCATGGGCGGGTATAGGCTTGTGGGCTGCAAGAAGGAACCCACTACCCCTGGGTCCCGAGCTCTCAGCGGTCGCAGCTTTGCTTACGACGGCATGACTCTGGAGACTTGTATGACTAACTGTTCTGGGTTTGCTTACTGGGGAACGGAATATGGGCGTGAATGTGAGTCAACCCAAATATGGATTCTGCCATCCCATTGCTGATCCAACCTCATTCCCACAGGTTATTGCGGTGACTCCCTCGAATCAACCAGCGCAGACGCAGCCCTAGCCGAATGCAACGTGGTCTGCTCAGGCGACGCAACCCAGTACTGTGGTGCAGGAAATAGAATCGAGCTCTACTACACCACGGCCACCGCAACTCCCACGGCAACATTAGCGCCCAAGCCCACTGTTTCGCCCTACACGCGCGTGGGATGCTACGATGAAGTGTCGGGTCGCGCCCTGACGGGTGCGGGTTATGCTGATGATGCGATGACCCTCGAGATGTGCGCTTCCAGATGCGCTGGGTTCACGTATTTTGCTGCCGAGTACGGCCGCGAGTGTTATTGTGGGAATACTCTGGATGCTAGGAGCGTACCGGCTGTCGCTGAGAGTTGCAATATGGTTTGCGCTGGTAATAGGTTTGAATACTGCGGCGCGGGAGATCGGTTGGAGTTGTACTCGTTGGCGGGAGCTTCATCGTCGGCGCCGGCCCCATCAAGCTCAACCACATCGAGCTCGCTGATGACCAGTACGACGTCTTCGAGTATCCCCGTTGTTAGCGCAACGTCCTCAACCTCTCCTGGTTCTAGCACAAGTTCGAGTTCCACCGTCTCCAGCAGCTCAGTCCAAGCCTCAAGTGCCTCAAGCACCACTAGCACCACCTCCACTCCAACGACCCCCAGCACCTCGAGCTCCTCGTCCGCAACGGCAGCATCCCTCCAGCACCGACCCACCGTATCTCCCTACTCCCTGGTTGGCTGCTGGACCGAAGGCACGGGCGGAAAGCGCGCACTGGGCTCCAAGAATACCGTCTCAGGCGCCTCGATGACCCTCGAGGCCTGCGCTGCATTCTGCGACGGCTACCACTACTTCGGCACCGAGTACGGCGGCGAGTGCTACTGCGGCAATTCGCTCGATGAGACAAGCAACGAGGCGCCGCTGGCGGATTGTAGCATGACGTGTACGGGGAATAGGTATCAGTACTGTGGGGCTGGCAACAGGCTTGAGTTGTATTATACCAATACCACCACTGGCCCTTCGCAACCCCCTACCATAGGGGCGTACTCCTGGTATGGATGCCAGACTGAAGGAGCTAATGATGTACGTGCTCTTGCGGCTGCAAGCACGGCGAGTGCTACGATGACGCTGGAATCTTGTGCGACTTTCTGTGGGAGTTATCAGCATTTTGGTACTGAATATGGCGGAGAGTGCTATTGTGGTGATGCGTTTAGTGCTGGATCCGTGGCGGTGCCCGTGGGTGAATGCTCGATGACTTGTACAGGGAATGATAAGCAGTATTGCGGGGCGGGGAACAGGTTGAGTGTTTATTCTAAGATGTGAGAGTAGGTTTCTAAACGAGGATGAAATATGGGAGTTGGGTTGGTTGGGAGCGATCTGGTACATATGAGTGGATGTGATTCTCGATGAATCTTGCTCACTTGTTCATACATGTCTCTGGTTCAAAGGCAACTTAGAAAAATGTCCAAGGACGTTTCGACCTTGTGTTTTCCTCTGGTTCTTTCGTAGTGACTCGATACGTGTCTTGGGTGCCCATAATTGGAATGAACGCCATATTGGTCTGGGTATGTTCCATTCGCCAGACGATTAGGCCTAGCTTTGTTACTCGGTCACAGTAAGTACTCAAATGTTAAAGGACCTCAGTAAAGATGCCAAGGTTAGTAAACAACGTCTCGATACAACTGCAAACGACCATTGGTGTATCGGCCGTTTCCATGTTTTTCCGGAGAAAAGTGTCATACAAGGCTCAGAGTCGTGTAAGGAGAAAAGTCGTGGCTCTGCACTACTGCAGTGGGAATCTCAGCAAGCTGCGTGTCTAATTGGTGTTGACAAGGTTTCGAGTCACATCTCACTTTCCGTTTGTCCATCACTTCCTTCCGCTTTTTGTTTTTGCAATGGATACATAAGTAGACAGACACCACGATCCGCTGCAGAGGAAACTTCGCATCTAATTAAGCAGTTGAGAAGTTCAGTTCATGCATTGTTTTCCAAATCCTGGGACTTTTCGTCTTACAATTGTCACGACCCACGCAGGCGATCTGAAAGGAGTGAGCCTCGATATTGTCATGATAGCGATGTAAAAGACCCAAAGGATGGAGGAAGTGAGGGCGGATGAAGATGCACAGCATCAAGAGGTGTGTTGTTCCCACTTTCATTGAATTTTCCCCCTTTTATATTATTGCTTTCAACATCTTCCCTTCTCATGGACCTGAAAGCACCCACTACCCATGCAATTGAGATCCCTGTAATGGGGTTTAGCCTCTAATAGTGGGGCAAGCAAAGCCTGCAAGGCATAGCAAATGAGCGCTGTTGGAGGGCGAGGCTACCCAAAACTTTAGCGCACTGGCGGCAGCCGCGTGCCTACCTTCTCGGCGCTTTTGAAACCGATCCCACATCATTGCCGAATGCTTGCCACCACGATACCCGATCCCAGGGTGCTGACTTTTCTTTCTGCTCCAAACAGACTGCACGCCGTGAACCGGATCCCTCTGTTGGCCAGGATAAAGAGTATGTTGCCGCCCCATGAACTCCAATGCCGAATCCGCCTCTGATCCCCGCAGCAGCAGCAGCGGCGACCAACAGCATGCGGCGTCCCAACAGCCTTCTTTGATCGCGACGTCACCACAAAGGGGTCTGGATGCGGTGGAGCGCTCTGCCTGTACCACGAGCAAAAAATCGACGAAGAAGAGGGCCAATAATGTCGACTGGTAATCAAGTGTCCGGTTCTGGATTGGTTGGCAGTGCTAAAGTGTAGAGAAGGGAACCCCTCGAGAGATATCACGCCCAGACGAGTGCTCCTGGGCATTGCCAGTAAGCTTCAGACTCTTTGGAAAAGATGGCTAGCGGCTGATCTCCATTTCCAGATCTCAGCAGAAAGATCCAATAAAGATGGATTATGTGGTCAGTTTGGAGCATACGTCTCCGTTGGTTTGTTCATTGACAACGAGGCAGAAGAATAAATTGAACGGCCTCTTCGGGAGTGTCAAACCCATGAACCGACTTAATGACGATATCGCCTCCTCTCCAAAACCTGTCATCCGTTCTTCGAGCCGCCAGGATTGCAACCCCTCACCCGCCAAGAGGCAGAAGCTCGAGCAGTTTATAGATGCCAGCTTTCAAGTGATGGACGAGGATCTGTCACAATTGGATGGGCCTGTAGACTCTGGACCGCCGCGCAGGACATCCATTTCTAGTGCAAGGAGTGATGGACAGGGTGCCAAAAGCACACAGTCCGCTAGCAACCACGCGAACCACTCCAACGTTTCGGAGTTTCGTGCTGTGCATCAGGTCACGAAACCACCCAGCCGGAGGAGGTCCCGGTATAAGAAACCTGGCGAATCAGCAGAAAACCCCGAGAGTATAGAGGACAGTGACACGGAGACTGACCAAATACGGCGGTTGAAGCATCAGAAAGAGCAATTACTTCCAGGTGAAGTGATGGCAGATCGTTACAGACAACATGCGGATGCGGCTAATTCACTTCTGAACGGTAAGAAGCGGAAAGTGGTCAGCAGCATGATTTCCACCAAACGCACCAGAGTCTCTAGTCCAGATCATCTGGCGTTGTCTGAACATGTTGCACCCAGGAACGGACCATCCAAACGCAGTACTCCAGCTTTTCCGAGCTTGTCCCAGAAAGGCGATATTCCTCACACCAAATTTCTCAACTCTGCCAAACCCGGGCAATTACGGCAAAAACAGCAAGACGGAGGCGTTAAACCTCCTGACTTGATGTACGCCAAACAGGTCATCGGGCCAACAGGATTAAAACTTGTTCGAGGTGTATCGCTTCCCTTCGGATATCCTTCATCAGATGGGCATTACTCTCTTCCACTCACCCTCCAGGTGCATGGGATAAGTTCCGCACTCTTGCCGACTGACGAAAATGGAGAGCCTTTGCCAGACCACGGATTTTTGGCTGTTGAGCTTCCCAGGGTATTGCGAGTGAGAGTTGCGAAATCTGAAGATAGTCGTGTCTTGGAAATACTGCGAGCTACCAGCCCGGGCACCCCCGCGAAACTGCTTCTGGAGTTCTCCACGGCAGATGAGCTACAAGCCTTTCTGTCGTGGGCGAAATTACCTCGAGACGAACCTCTCAGGGTTAACATACAGCCATGGGATGGTGACCGGCTCGAAAGAGAGCTCTTGAATTTGGGGTCTCAGGCGACGCAAACTCGAGTTTTGAGAGACTCTGATGATTCGAGGTTCGACATTCCTGAGGACATTGTCCTAATCCAGACCAACCAACAAAAGCGTCAGGAAGAGGCAGGTACGAAAACTCAAGTGGCGACGCAAGCTGCCGCGCCTCGACCGAAACTGAAGGACTCCATGCTATCAAACGGCCAGCCTCAGCACCGTCCACAGCCTCGTCAGGACATCAAGCCTACTGTGATCCCCGAAAGTCCTCCGCCACCGACTAAACGCCAAACCCGCGAGGCTCCTGTGGACGTTGATGGGTTGTCGTCCCCTACCACTCGCCAAACACGCGCCAGTGCGAGGACTATCAGTAGGGTGCGATCGCCTACGCCGAAAGGATGGAGCGAATCAACTCCGGGATGGCGAGGACAGTGGAGAAACTCGCTAGTCTTTCCTGCAGAAGGCAAAAGCCGTGCTACCGTCGATTTGGATGACATCCCGAGACTAGACGAAGGTCAATTCCTCAACGACAACCTGATCATTTTCTACCTACGGTATCTTCAGTATCACCTAGAAAAGGAATACCCAGGTCTAGCGGAAAGGGTCTACTTTCACAACACCTTTTTCTATGACAAACTGAAGCCGTCTCGCGCCGGTGGGGCAATCAACTACGATAGCGTCAAAAGTTGGACCTCCAAAGTTGATCTGTTCCAGAAAGACTTCATCATCGTACCCATCAATGAGTATTCCCATTGGTACGTCGCTATCATCTACAATGCGCCGAAACTTCTCCCGCAGCCCGGCAACCCAGACGTGGCAGGGGCAGCAATTAGTAGCGCTGCTCAAAACCCAATTTCGCTCGATTATGATCGTGTCGACGTGGAGTATAACTTTGGAATGGCAACTTCCAATGTTGTCCACTCCATTGAAGACCCAGTTCTTCCTGGAACTGCTGTAACCGAGAGTATCCGGCGCATGTCCATCAGTAGCTCTGACTCGAAGGAACAGGAGCCCGTGGGTACCGAGGCTACAGCGGGTCAACCTGCTCAAGCTCTCCAAATTTACAATCGCTCCTTGGACGAAGGGGAAGTCGTTGATTTGATCAAAGAGACCGAATGCACCAATCAGGAAACTCAAGAGACTGGGCCTTTGGTTCCAGCAAGCCGTAAGAAGTCGACCAGGAAATCTGTTGGAGGCTCACGCAAATACGACCCTGACCAACCCAAGATCATCACACTGGATTCCCTCGGAGGCGCTCATTCCCCTGCATGTCAAGCCCTCACCAAATATCTCGTGGCCGAAATGATGGACAAGAAAGACATTGCCATTGAGCCACCCAAGTCACTGGGAATGACAGCCAAGGACGTACCCCAGCAACATAATTATTGTGATTGTGGCTTGTTTCTTCTGGGATATATCCGTCAATTACTGCAGGATCCAGACAGCTTTGTCCGCAATATACTCCAGCATAACCACGATGCCATCAAGTGGAATCTTGACCCGTCAGCACTACGCGCAGAAATCAGGCAAACGGTTTTTGCAGAGCAGGGGAAGCAGCAACAGAGAGAAGATGCACGCAAGGAAGAGAAGAAGCAGACTGCCCTGGCGAAACGGAGTCATAGCAGTCGACCTTCATCTAGTGATGGACCGAAGCTAGCTCGGCAACAGCCCAAGGCTGCAGTCAGTGCGATGAGCCCTACATGCGGAGAGGCAACATCGACGCATCGCGATGGGCCCTCGCCTTGCAGCCCTCGCCAAGACTTAGGTGGTAGTGTCGATTTTCAGTCAAAGCTACGCAGTCCTCGCCAAGAAGCACGAGAAAGTGTTGATATCTCGTCACTGCTACATCGCGATCTTGACAGCATGCTTGCTACTGTTAAGGGCGAAAACTCGGACGTCAATGTGAATAAAAACGCGAACCAAGTCACCGCGAGAGCTGGTTCAGTCTCCCACCGGCCTTCCTCTTCGCCAGAATCTGAACTGGAACTAGCTGCTCCTGGAGTATTCAACCCTTCTCCGGTGAAAACGAATTCTTCTCAGGCCGCTCGAGCGTCTGAGGAAAAGCTTACTCGTGTCAACAGCGACATGAGCAGTGACTCTTGTGTGCCGAAATTCCTGAAGCCTCTTGCATCGTCACCTCTGGGTGGAACCACACCGCGAAGGATTTCGTCTCCGCGCGGAGCTACACCCCAAAACCCCGTGGACTTGGACGAATCGAGCCAGGAGACAACGGCCCACCCTCCGCAGTCTGAAAAGGTTGCTGTTAAATCTGCACTGTCCGCAAACATTCAGATGGTGATTCCGTCTAAGGAACGGCCCAAGGCGGGTTTGAACGGTGCCGGCGCATCTAGGGACCGCTCTAAAGAGTCTAAAGAGAAGGAAACACCTGTGAAAAGTCGGTACTTTGAAGGCAATCTGAGTCCTCGAAGTACTCGAAAGGGCAAGACCTTCGAGGGCAAGACCTTGGCAAAGGCAACTCTTATTGAGCCTAAGACCAATGACGCCCAGTACATCTCAGATTGATGTTCATTGCATTGCCTTGATGCACAGGAACACGCTCATGTTTGAAGATGGCGGGAGAAGAGATACACCCAACGAAATGGAGCATGGAAAGGCGTTTGGTGTCACAATGGATGGTTTGATTGGCATGGGAATTGGAGTCATAAACTGGTCTTGCTTTGCTTTATACCCCAGCGCGAAGGTGGCTTCGGGCCAATGTGGCCTCTGTGCCTAATCTACATAGGATGCTCAATGACAACTTTCTCCATACTAACCCTGCCTTCAAAGACATCATAAATAGCCTTGATTCCCTCCTCTGCCCCCTTGATAACCCGGATCTTAGGAACTTTGATGGCCGTCTTGTGGTTCGCATACACCCACTCCAGTATAGCCTTCATTCGGACATGGTACTCGGGCCAGACCTCAGCCGGACGCACTGCAAGGCAAAAGCTCCAGTTGGGATCGTCCTCGACCTTCAAGCTGGCGCACAGCCGTAAGCCGTCGTTGCTGCCTTCGGTCAGGCAGCGCCGGGCAAGTGTGAAGGAGACCTGGGACACGTCCAAGGGCTTATCCGAGGGAGGATTGCCGAAGCTCGTTCCCTGGGTTACGGCGTTGAAGGCAACGGTGAGTTCCTTGCCGCTGGCGAGGGCGGCGGCGCGGATGTCGTCTACGACGGTGGGGGAGCGGTAGTCGAAGCAGGCCGTTGCGCCGAGCTCGAGAAGAGTGGCATGGTTGTGGGGTGAGGCGGTGGTGTAGATGGGAAAGAAGCCGGCGATTTTGGCGAGTTGGATGGTGAATAGGCCAACGATTGAGGAGCCGCCCTACTAAGTCGGTTGTTAGTCTTTTGGTAGGTTGTTCAGGGGTTTGTGCGGTAACAATCATCGTGAACGTGAGGATAACCATCAAATATCAAGTAAAACGTACAATAAGTATACTCCTCCCCTTCGGATCAGCCCCCTTGACCGAAGCCACAGGCGGGAACGCAAAATCCAAACTATTGAAGAGGGTGTCGACCGCGGTCTGCACCCCGACCGGCCAGCTAACAACCTGCGTCAGCTCGTCCAGAGTCGACCTTACGTCAGCGGGCAGCTTGAACGTCCCCTCGGCCTCGGCCAGGAAGAAGTCCTGGTGCGCGCCGTCGGACGACGGACGCTGGCGAGAGAAGCCTGCCAGGCCGAAGACGACGTCGCCAACTTGAAAGGGAGAGCCGGGACTAGTCGAGACCACGGGGCCAATGAAGTCGTATTCGGTTATGTACGAGTGTTCGCCGATGTAGAAGTGGCGCAGGTCGGCTGGGTTGATGGCGCTGTATTTACCGAGACGAGAGATTGGGAACCGGTTGGGGTGTAAGGGGATGGGATGGAGCAGATGGAGAGGGTGCCCGTGGAGTCGAGGTAGATGGCGCGGGTTGACTGGGAGGCGGAGGACGACATGGTGGATTGGGGTTACGGTTGGTGTTGATAGACTGGATAGACTGCGAGCTTGGTGAAGATTTGGAAACCGGTAGATGTGTAGATTGATAGCTATCGAATTACTTTGTGATTTCCCCATGTTGAGCGTGTTAAAACAAAAATGGCAACTCAAAAGCTAGCCCTGACAAAGCTAGTCAATATGTCGTGGGGCTACGATCTTATACGGGCGAGGCTGTTATATACGGTGGTTATCCGTAGCGCGATCGCCTTCGGGGCGACTGCGTGGCATACTATAAGTGAGGAACCGGCAGGGCCAGCTAAGAGCCTGATGGGGATACAGAACGAGTGCCTCCGGGTAGTCTGTGGCGCCCACAAAGCGACGCCGGTTCGCCACCTGGAAGCAGAAGCAGCAATCCCGCCACTAGACCTCTATCTTAGTGCCCGGGCTGCTAAGTTTGAAGAACGGCTACGGCTTAGCGGGAAGATAAATCTGCTTCGCAGCGCGAGCGCTAAAGCGTCACATATACTCCGGCAGGGTAGACCGGCGAAGAGGAAGCAGGCGTCGCAGCTACTCCGACCGGCAGGGTACACTATGGAGAAGGAGGCCCGGGGCTCCGAGTGGATGAGTGAGGAAAAGGAGGTCCCGGCTGCTCTCCTCGGCCACTGGAGGAAGAGATGGCTCACCGAAGCAGAGCATCACGATCGCCAGCGACGCGCCATCGCTGAGGAACCGGAGGGCCCTTCGATGCAGATACCGAAAGGGGGCAAGTATTTCGGCCTGAACCGAATGGAAGCGTCTACGCTGTGCCAGATCAGGACGGAAAAAATAGGACTAGCAGCCTTCTTATTCAAGACAGGGGCTTTTGGCGTGTACTCGCCGCTATGCCGCTGTGGCGACGCCCCTGAGACGGCAGAGCACGTAATCCTCTTTTGCGGGCTGTTGGAAGGACCGAGGGAACGATTACGGGCCGCTATCGCACCACGGCCACTATACTCTCGCAGAGACCTCGCAACGGCAACAGGAGAACCAGTAGTTAGTGGGACTATTGTAAGGTGGCTGCTAGGGACGGGTCGGACAGCTTCAAGGCCCAGATAGCATCGATCTTCTCAGGGGGGACTTTGTTGGTATGTTGAGAACCAACGTAGTATGGTAGTGAACGCAACGCAGTCGCCAATAGGGCGAACCGACGACGCAGCGTATGTATTTAGTCCAGCCATTAGGGCACGGTTTGACATACGGGAGTACTAGCAGAGGTACCGGGGGCTTCGAGCCTACGGCGTATTTAATAGTAATAATAATAATACTTTGTGATTATTTGGACCGAAAGCCAGACCGTAGTGTGTGGTATTTATATCCTCTCTGTCGGCTGGTGTAGTTGGTCACTTCGCTGGTAGATAAGTCCCGATTTGAGCCTCGCCCACTTGGGTCGGTGACGAGTCGCGGGTTCGAATCCCGCAGCTGACACACAAGGGGGTTTAGTCAACCCTTACGGCGCGCTGCCCACCTTGTTGACTTCGCCTACCTAGCGATAATAGGGAGATTGGTGCAGTTTAGGATTACGAGCATCCTAGCCAGTCGACCGTCAAGCACTACGTCGGCGGAATATAACTCGACAGCCGGTCCAGAATTCGAATCGTTAATCCGACCCCTTATCGGACCCCCTCTCGCCGCGATTCTTGCGAGCGTCTAGACCACGTTACGGTCTATCCACTTGAGCGTATGGTTGAGATGTATACGCTCGACGAGAACCCCAATTAGCAGATACTACGACTTGTCGCGACAAAAAAAAATAGTCGAGCATCTTCTGCACATCAGCAGCATCCCACCCCTGAGGACGAATTTAAGTGCCACATTACCACACTTATCGGTAGTTCAGGCAGGGGTTGTAGCACAGACTTAGGGAGGGACAGGAGGTTTAGTAGTCGTTTGGCTACAAGTTTACCTGTATAACCGCCCGACGCGGCTTAAGGGCCCGCTATATCATCTATAGCCCCTTAAGGGAGTACTTGTAGAGGTACCGAGGGTTAACACCTACGGCGTATTTAATATTATATTATTTTTATATCCTCTCTCCTGCGTCCTGCCCGCCAGTCATATACTCGGAATCTCCAGCATAGCTTCATAATCCGGCTATGATAGCCTGATACAATTAGATATCTCATCAGTGATTCCGGCGGATTAAACCACCGCTTACATCTCAACCTCTCGGTGGGAATTGAAGCAGCAATCTTGATTTGGCCATAAGTCCCCTGGGAAGTTGAGACCATTAGCCGGATCAGGATAGTAGTGACTAACCTACAACTCCACCGTAAGAAATGGGGTGGTTGCGCAATATCACAGACGATTACAAATTGCCCAACTTTACTAATCCACGTCAGTAATGATGGCGACTTCTCCATTTGGGGTAATTCCGATTTGTATAGCATTGGAGGAATCCTGGGGACAAATTGATTTAAAGTCTTGATCTGGTTGATGGGGAGCAGCATGCCAATACTTCAGCAGAGGTCAGTCACATGTAACTCCAGCAATGCCATTATCAGTATAGCGTGTCGTAGGAATGAGGTATTGTGTTACCTGAGTTTGCGGCGTGTAGTAGAGAAGTCATGACCCCAGCACGTGCTATATTCCCATTCAATCTTGAATAGGTGCTTCGCGATACACGATGGGACTGCTCGCACTGAGATCAAATGATAAAGCCATGGCATGGCCAAGAATGGCTAGGATTGGAGCGGCAAGTAACTACAACATCGTGATATATCACCAACAAATATAGGCAAAACAAGAGAACCGGCAAACCTGTCCGAGCCGCCTGAGTCGCCTGGCACTTCCATCAAGCGAAACATCCTTGCCAAACCCACGTCACATCTACACATACGCTAGCGTGTTATCCTCCCTGATCTTACCCAATACCCCCAGCTCTGCCAGTCCACCAGAAACGGCGGGACCACGAACTATGATCTGGCCTTCGATAGTCGACCCATCTTCAGCGGTCTTATGGCTGCCACTATCCCTCAGGAAGACTTCGACGCTGCTAACCGGCGGTCCAAAGTGGGATCCAGTCCCATCGCCATGGACGCGGTAATCGTGGTATTGAGTCTGTGCGACAGATCCAGCGACCTTGGCCGCTGTCAGAGCATATATGACTCTGGCTCCAGTGAAGATACGAAGGTCCGAAAGTGTGTGTTCCGAGAGGGTGGGGGTGTCTGCGCCCGCCGAGTCGGCAACGTAGAGGAGACGCAGCTTGCCAGGGGTGACGCCGATACTGGGCCGCAGGTTGTCGGTGAATTGGGTGAGGAATGAGGCCACTGGCATGGCACCGTTCTGCACAAGACTGCGAGTCTGGACCCAGTGAGCAACACTAGCGATGGCGGAGGTCAGCTTGCCAGTAGTCTCGACATGTGTTTTCCGCATTGTCTCGGGAGTGGCTACAACGACGGTGGGTGCAATGCCAATGGTTGCCAGGGCGATGTCTGACGACGTCCCAGCGACCGAGTTCAGTGCCACAGAGGCGTTGGAGTAGAGTGCTGCGAGAGTAAGGACCAACGGGAATGAGTCAGAGAGAGATGCAGCAGGGAGGAATAGATCAGCAGGCGAGAAGCGCGAGTGAGAGGGCACGGCCGTAAGCTGAGCTGATACGGCGGAAACCAGATTTTTCTGAGTCAAACGAACCATCTCCTCGAGATTCCCCGGCTTGGTCTTCCAGAAGATAACAACATCATTGGGTTCCTTGGATTCGTCATAAGAAAGCAGGTCAGTGCCAGCGGCAACCGGGACATCATTCAGGATGTCCTGCCAAGTAGAGACATTGACGCTGCCGCCCACACCCTTTGGCACTTCGTTCCAGTCAAGGTGCTTGCTACCCTCGTCGACGACCCAGATGAGTTGCTTCAGGGCAGGATAGCTCTTGACAACGATGTCGAAGGGGAATGCGCCAGGGGCTGTCACAACGGTGTCGGCACCAGATCGCTGAAGCATGGAGACGATGACATCTTCCGGCTCATCGAAAGGGAGAAGAATAGCAGTCAGGTTGTAGAAGCTGCATGCGAACAGGGTGGCCAAAAACTCAACCGAGTTGGGGAGGTAGATGGCTACCTTGCTGCCGCCCTGAGAAGAGATTTGCTGACCGATCAGGTTGATGGCTCGAGTTATGCTGTCTGTGAACGATTAGATTTTCATACGTGTAAATGCAGCGGGGGATTGGTACCATGCTTATGCTCAATGACCTTCTGACTGCCCAACACTGTCAAGATCTTGCCCTTGCCCTTAGGCGCCTCTCCTTCAGGAGTACCGAGAACAGATCTTTTCCAGATATCTCTAAGATCTCCATCGCGACCGGTCGACCATTTTGAAGCACCGGGCTCCTTGACATTTAAACCACTGTTGAGGGGCATACCATGAGGTGCCGAGCTGCCTCTGTAAATTGGCGACTCGCCTTCTTGACGGACCGGAGAACCCTGAGCCTGACGGGCAAGCAGCATGGGGTGGATTTCCGCCTCGACCCTCGTCATAATAGAGTAGGTGATGATCAGCACGAGGGCTGTGATCAAACCAGTGGAATAGCCATTCCACTGGCCGATGAGGGAGCTCAGCGCCTCATCGAGCTGGTTCATGGCACTGCCGATACCCATATTGATGTCTTGCTGGGTTTGACGAGTCAAGTAAAGGAGTTAGAAAAGGAGGATCAGTTCATTTCTTCTGGAAGCATGTGTTTCTGCCAGCTCTCAGAGGATCTTGTGAGATATGGATTGAGATTGTGGACTCTGGTCTGACACAATTGAATTGTACTGTTGCTGGCTGGTCGACATTCGGCAACGGCGGGGGATGACGCTAAGTCACATTGAGGAACAGGCTTGACAGGGGTAAGTAGTCGGCCGCACTTTTCCATTCTCCGACTTATGGCCCGTGCGCCCATGCAGGCTCAACGTCTCTGTAGTGATTTGACCTCGCGAGCTCGGAGACCAAAACAATCCCTACGACTATTTCAGCGGCCAAATCCACAGCGGCAGCTGCATTTGCAGCACCATTGCGACTAACCACCAACAGCTACTAACTCGGAGGTAATTCAAGCGTCTCAATCTCAGACTCGAGGCATTTCCAGCAGTATAACCTGTTTGCCACGTCCGCGCCCGAGGGGTCGCAAAACAGGCAGGCCTGTCCAACTACGGTGTCAACAGCCAGTCGCACGACAACAAAGCTTCCTCGTAGCATCTGTAACGCGAGCAGGTCGACAGCAATCAACTATTTCGGCAATCATGGCATCGTTAAAAGCCCAGAAGATCGCTTCGACCCCCCAAAAGTCCCCTGCTGCGCCCGCTCCTCTCGAGGAAAGCCCAGGCATTTGGCGCCATCCCCGACTCGCAGAAATCACTAGCCGGCAGCAAGCAACCAGCTTTACTGAGAAAAACTTGAAGGCCATAGTGTACAATGTCGTTGGGTGGATGTTGCTTGCCGTCCTGAAGGCGACCGCAAGGAAATACTTGCCAACCCCGTGAGTAAACAGTCAGCTTTCCAAGCCAAACTCGTACTAAGTCCCCCGCAGAGCTCCGAACATCAAGACCATATCGACCAACTTCTACTACCTTCTACTTCTTGCGCCCATCTACAACATTGTTACTGCATTCTGGCCTCTGATCCGAGTGCTGATATGGGGGAAAGATGAACTCGCTGACATACCCCTGACGCCGGGCCAACGAAAGCTCCTTGGTCTTCCTCCGTCATCTGCACCTCCCACCCCGGGATCCGCATACAGCACGCCGCCACGATATTCGCGCACCCCTTCGATATCGGGATCAGCTGGAAGCAAGCGAAGCTTCTCGGGCGACTCGCCTCTGTCCAACCGCGGCAGCCTCTTTAATGGGAATGGAAGTGGCGGCAACAGCAGTGGCGCTTTTGGAGGACCAATATCTCCATTCTCGCCAGGGAACAGCCCGCTGTTGCAGAAAGCCATGCATGGAGCACGACGGTCGTCGATAGGTTCGGCGAGTCCGCTGGCTGCAAGCTTCGGTACTAGTTTCGGTGCAAGCACGTCCTCGTCCATCTTTGGCGGGGGAATCGACAGTCCCAGCCCGAGCCCTGCCAACGGCAAGAGAGGTAGTCTGGCTTTGAACAACAAGTGGTTGTACGAGAGGGGAAGGAGAAGTTCCGGTAATACATGGCTCCATACTTAAACCGGGAGCAGGTGACCGGAAGATGGAGACGATATTTAGATTTTGCATCGTAATGACAAATCTCAGGCTCTTCGAGAAGGCTACTTGAGCCCCAAAATTGACCATCCGATGAATGAATTGCTCTCTGCAGTCGCTCGTCTTAAACCCTTGCGATTCTCCAGCCTGGCACTGCCGCGGAGCATGATTGGCATAACCACCGACGTTGACTGCGTCGGTAGTTCAAGTTCATTGTGCCATGGCGGCGACACTCTCATGCCTCAGAACCTCCAAGCACAACGATTACTCGCCTGTCAATTAATGAATATGTGGTGAGTTACTAGTTCCGAGTATACGAAGATACCTAACCTTTAGGTACTTAGTTTGGGTAGCTCTGGTGGACCCCTGTCCAGGATAAGCTCCGACAGAAGCTAATTCCGGACACCTCACAGCTGTGAGGCTGAGCTTAAACACCACAAGGTGGCCTTATCGCGAGTAACTACCTAAAACTGAACACTAGCAATTCCCATTGTCGCGATGATATTTCACTTATAGAAATCCCTGCGAAACCATATTTGGATCGGGATAGAGCTTACTGACAGCACTCGCCGACCATGTACAACTCCCTGAACCGTGTGCAGAATGTCTTCGGCTTCTTCACCACCGTCGCATTTGTAGTTGCGGCCATCATCGCCGCCTCCGACTTTACGGTGCCGAGGACGCCAACCGCAGAAATCAAGACGACCAATGTGCAAGTGTATGTTCTCTTACTGACCTCCGCAAGGCCCTCTCACAGTGCAATGCTGACATTTCTCCCCGCGGAACAGAGTCAAGGGACGCCCCCACTACTACAGTACCAAGAAGGAAGAGTACGCCATCATCAAGTTCTCGCTCGACGCCGACCTGTCATCGCTCTTCACCTGGAACACCAAGCAAGTCTTCGTCTATGTGACAGCCGAATGGCCCATGGTGGCCACGCCTGGCGTCGTCGACGGCAGCCGCGTCACGAACCAGACCAACAAAGCCGTCATTTGGGATAGCATCATCACAGCGCCGAGCTCGGATCACCTGGCGAATATTGGCCCTGCTACCATGAAGAAGCTGAGGAAGAGCGCGCAGGGGAAGAGTATTGATCCCAGCCGGTACGTGTACACTGCACTTAGGGGAGGGGGGTTGTACGGGGAGAGTAAATGGCTAACGGATGTTGCTCATGTGTAGGGGCATCTTGTCCCTGAAGAACCAAAAGCCCAAATACCAGATCACACACCCAACAGGCAAGATCGCCGAGACGAGCGATGTCCAGCTCAAGGTGCACTATAATGTCCAGCCGTGGGTGGGCATTTTGACATGGAACCAGGATAAGGATTACGGATTGTGGAAGAAGATGGGCAAGGGGCTGAGCGAGGCGTTTAAATTGCCGGCTCTCAAGAAGAAGGATGAGGGGAAGAAGGCGAAGTAGACCGGTGGTGCTAGATGAATAGGTCAATACCTAGTGTAGGTATGACACTGGAATCACCAACCTCAAGTCATGCGCTTGAGCATACGGAGATGCAAGGACTCCGTGCCTATTCACGGCGAGGGAAAGATACCAAAAGAAGCTTGAACCTTTCCCGGAAGGTGCTTCATACGCTTCATGACAGTGAGCCTAATCTATGAGCAGGAATAGGACTTCATTGTACCGGTATCATCATACTTACTACCATGTACAACCTCGAACACCTGACCAACGTCATAACAACCATCCCTCAGCTTCACTCGTGACCTAACTCCAAACAGAACCAGTTTCGTAATCAATCAACTCCTTCCGTTGCCAAATCCATTGCTTCCCTGCCGGGCTTCGTGATACCACCGACTTTCATGCGGTCTTCCAGATGAAGCAGAAACAACCAGTGACGATTATGCCCCGTTTCTGTACACCTGCGCTCCCTGGTTCCTGAACATGATCGTGTCTCTCCTTTGCAGAATCATCAAGGCTCTGTTCAGACTCTGCTCGCTGTATCCCTTGCTTTCGACCATTTCCCTCCGTAGCGTCGCTAAACTCGTGCTCCAGCCAATGGGCAATCTCCGCTTCAGCTCTGCCTCAAGCCGGGAAACCTCCTCGTTCAGCTCGCGGCTGCCCTGGTTCGATCCCTGGTTCACGGCGTCCATGGTCGAGCACAGGAAGAGCCGGATTGCCTCGTCAACATGGTGCTCGGTGGCAACGGGAGAAAGCGTCAGTTTGGCGAGGGATTCCGTTATTCGCACAATAGCTTCGAGTTGACGGACAGTGATGGGAATACTGGAGCGGGTGTTGGCTTCCATTTCTGACGCGTGTACTTGTTTGCGGATAGAGACGAAATGTGAAGAGAGCTTCTCTGCTGCTTCGGGAGACAGGCGTGGGGCACAACGGCTGTCGGATTTGTTAACGGACAAGAACATCGGTTTTGTTGGGAGAAAACTTACGACTTGCAGTAAGACAAGTACCGTCTCATCTTCTCAACGGGGATTTCACCCTCGACTTGGTCATCCATACCGCGTCCGCCCATGTGGATGCCCATGACGTGTCTTGCAATCGTCTCGTCCTTTTCTCGCGTGTGCTCGTCTTTCACAATGAAGATCATATCGAAACGCGACAGGATCGTGGTCTGGAAATCAATGTTCTCACCCGGCGTCTTCATGTCGTCGTATCGGCCAAATATGGGGTTGGCCGCTGCAAGCACCGACGTACGTGCGTTTAGAATTGTCGTGATACCCGCCTTGGCGATGGAAATCGTCTGCTGCTCCATGGCTTCGTGGATAGCCACCCGATCCTCATCTCGCATCTTGTCAAACTCATCGATACATACCACACCGCCGTCAGCCAGTACCATAGCACCGCCCTCTAGATAAAACTCGCGGGTCGAGTGGTCTCGTTGCACGGATGCTGTCAAACCGGCCGCCGACGAACCCTTTCCTGATGTGTAGATGGAGATGGGTGCGGCCTTCTCCACGAATTTTAGCAACTGCGACTTCGCAGTACCAGGATCACCGAGGAGGAGCACGTTGATATCTCCCCTGAGCTTCATACCGTCCGGCAGAATCTTCTTGGAACCACCCAGCAGCAGACACAGAATTGCCTTCTTGATGTCCCGGTTTCCATAGATGGAGGGTGCGATACAGTCCGCCATGATGTTGTATAGATCAGGCCGGCGGCTCAGCTCCATGAATTCCTGTTCCTCTTCCTCGGAGAAGGTCGAATTGCCCTTTGCCGTTGAGTCGACATCAGTCTGGATCCCAACGGCGCGGAGGTACGGCGTCCGAATGGCTACTGCGCCACCGGACGAGCTCCCCTTGGAGGCCTTGTTTTGGTAGATCGAGAAGATTCCCATGACGGTGCATCGTGAGCCAGGTACGACGCGGTTGGTGAGGTAACGGTCGGCGGAGATCAGGACATGGCGGGGAAGTTCACCAACGGGAACTTGATCTGGTGCTTCTTGAAGCTTGATGATTTGCTGATCGACAAACTGTGACTTCTCATGAACCACAAAGTATGGATCAAGAGGGCACTTTTCGGCAGGGTCACCCTGAGTCCGTTGTCGACCACATTGTCTGGGCAGGGTGACTCCAGTAAACCCTCCAAATATGGGCACAACTGAATTGTGCGCGCAGTTTCGACATTGTATGTGTAATTCTGTCGCTTTCGAGGACATGACGGAGGCACCAATGACGATACCGGGCACTCTGACCAGTCTCGATATGGTCATCGAGTCCAGATTCCGGATCGAGACATCTTCGGCGGTCGAGTGAAGCAGCAGTTGGTGTTCAGGGATGACGGCATCCCGATCGTGGGGAAAGAGAATGCGATGAGTGCACTTTTTCAAGGCAGATTCGAACTACAATAGGTCAGTATATGCCAGCTTGAGGGCTGCCGGGCATATGTACCAGAGGGATAATCTCCGCTGGCTCTGTAGCCAGGCGATGTGCCAACTCCTCGTTGTACTTGATGAGGTCGCCGATGTCGACATCGCAAAAGAATTTCTTGAGCAGCGCATTCTCTTTTAGTTGATCTCTGTTCGCAAGTCAGCGATTTTCTAGAGGTACCGGATGGATGCACTCACCTATATACAAATTTGTTGTCTAATCTGAAGCTCAGGATGAAGTTGACAAGCTGCTCCAGGACCTGGAGTTTACTGTCCTCATTCGGCCCAGACTGAGTCGAGAAGACAGAGACCGAATATACAGATTGGCGATCCATCTTGCTGATTCGTGAGTCGCGAAAATGAGACTTCGATTCAGCAAAAAGGGAACTTGCAGTGATGTTTTTGTTGTTGTTGTTGTTGTTGTTGACGACCTGGGGTTGGATTCGAGCGCAAATCTATGGGGGGTGGATGGCGCGTTGGAAATTCAATTGAAATAGTAGTAAAGCGCGTCCACGCGTTTGTCCGTTCTTGTGACGCGTGCCATTAAGTGCGTGCATGAGGCACTAGACCAGAACTAGCGTGAGCTGTGGGCCACATAATCCCTGACCCTGTTGACGCAACGTGGAACAAAGAGGCAACAAGCGAATACCTCCTCCGAGGTTGGCCCTACTGTACCATAAAGGTTGTTTCCCGAGACTATGCACATTGACTTGATCAACACGAAGGTTCAGACTAGGATACAATGGCCTAATTAGAAGGTATAGGCTGTTGAGTCTGTGACTGGCGTGCCCATCACCCAGCTTCACCAGAGTATCTCTATCCGTTATCGCTATCATCACGTGCCTTTGAGTGGTCTGGGCAGGAACAATCACTAAGGACAACGCCGCGCAAGTGCCTGTAAGCGTACAGGCTGGCTCAAACGGCTCAAAGGACCAAGATGGATGCCTGATGCCCGCCGACCATTCCCTTAACCAACATTGAGGAACATGACTTTGTTCACCTCAAGCCATGTTTTCCAATCCAGGGGCGCGATTGTCGATGGACAGCATTACGCCATTGCCCCCAACTCGAACCGAGTTTCCATTTCATAGGTGCGCCCAGTTTGTTAGGTATCTGTCCCAACCAAGTTGAGCTGACTTTGGGGACAGACAGGGCTCGGTGACATCATACCCGACAGCGAGACGAGGTTCGACTGCCAGCTCCATACACTCGATAGGAGGCCATCTAGATACCTCCAGTGGTTTGGGTCATGACTTGCATGAGGTTGGCCAAAATGCCATTTCCACCCTCCTTCAACCACCTATCGTCCGCACCGGACTGTTGCCGCATACAGCAGCACCGGCATCGAGTGCTCACAAACCCCCGACCGCTAGAGACATACCGCCCGTCACCTTGACCAGTATTTCCCGCATCGATCCTGCCGAATTCAAACCATACCTGGCCCAGGTTGGCGCGTTGTACGAGCAACTGAGGCGTGTAAAGGAGAGCGACAACGACGGCGCGGATCAAGTCTTCCGGCCTGATGTGGTGGACGAGGCTCATCATCTTCGACCTAGCAGTCGATCTGGCAGTCGGCCTGGGATTGCCCGAAAGTCATCTGCAGCATCAATAACTGCCATTCCACCCCTTGAATCGCCTGCGCTCCGCAGGAGATCAAGTTCCGGATTCAGCCGGAGGGCGGCGCAGGGACCACCCCCTTTAAACACGATCCCGAACGTCTATTTTGACGATGACTTTCGGCTCGAGAACCCCCGAACCTTCGATGTCGTTAGCGAACGGTCCGAGGTTGTACGGCCACCTCCAGGCTCGGCCGAGGAGAAGAGTGCTGCGAATGGCACCCCAACTGCCCCGCGTAAAGCCCTCGCAACAAATGCGATATTGCAAGAGAAGCTGTCGTGGTATATGGACACTGTCGAAATGCATCTCATCTCCTCGATTTCCACCGCATCAACCACATTCTTCACTGCGCTCGGATCACTTAGGGAGTTGCATTCAGAGGCAGCAGAGTCCGTTGACCGCATCAAAACGTTACGCAAAGAGCTCGAGGCTCTTGATCAGGAGATCGCCTCCACGGGCCTCGAGATTGTCGAAAAGCGCAGGCGGAGAGAGAACCTGAGTCAATTGAATGACGCTGTTCAACAATTCCGAGAGATTGTGGAAGGGGTCGCGACTTGCGAGGCTCAGGTTGAATCGGGAGAGCTCGACAAGGCACTGGTCAACATAGAATCGTTGGAGAGGTTGATTGCTGGACGAAACTCGAAAGTCGGGTCTGGTCGGCCGTTGCTCGACCTCCGGGGCGCTGTTGCTCTCCAGGGGGTTGACAGCGATTTGTCTAACCTGCGGTTTCGCGTTGGTAAAGCGTACGAGTCAAGATTCGTCAACGTACTCCTCGGGGACTTGCATCGTCATGTCGATACCGTCTCTTATCAAGAAGTCCTGCTTAGATGGAGCAGTGCGGCCATGCGGTCTCGAGGGGCACAAGCCAGAGATCCATCCGCTTTCCCGGCTTACTTGGCCGCGACCGAGGCTCTCCGTTCTGATCTGATGCCCATTGTGATAGGCCTGCATCAAGCAAAGCACATCAGTATTGCCATTGCATCATATCGCGAAGTTGTATTGCGTGAGGTGCGGAATCTGATCAGGCGTCCTTTGCCGAGCTCTAACGATGACGACAACGAGTCCATGATGTCTGTGTCGACTATGAGTGGCACCAAGTTGACGCAGCAGGAAAAATCATCCATCCTTGCGCGGAACCTCAGAGCATTAGAGCCTGAAGACGCCGAGGGATTGTACACCAAAATCTACATCGGCGTCACCGAGACATTGCGAAGGCTATCAACGCAGGTCAAGGTCCTGTTTGACGTTGCAAGCTCCATGGGAGAAATGCCAGACCCCAGTTCAGGACTTCGGTCCCCGTCCGGGCTCAAATCTCCACCTCTGAATAGTGCGAATCGGGATGTTCAAGAGGACATCCACCTCACGATGGACTTGGCAAACCTTCTAGGCCAAGCTGTCGATGTCTCACATGATAAAATTGTGAAAGTGTTGCGAGTGAGGTCGGACCAAAGCACTCGTCTACCGCTCATATGGTTTTTGAGATACTTTACACTGAACCTCTACTTTGCCAACGAGTGCGAGTCTATTTCAGGTCGTAGTGGAACCTCTCTGAAGACCGTTGTAAATCAACATATCAAAGACTTCATACCACAACATGGCGATCTGGAGAAACAGAAACTGGCTCAGGGTATGGAGTCGGATCAGTGGGGCGCCAAAGACTTTGCCGAAAAGGACAAGATCCTGCTCGACCGAATCCTGGAGAGTAGTACCAAAGACTCCGCAGCCTGGTTCGAAAGTAGCAACATCTGGGCACCTCCATCGGAGGAAGAGCCTGTCCCCAACGGCCGGCCTCGAGCCGAATCGAACGGCACGCCTGCCAAAGAAAAGACACGTAGCGCCGTCATCGACTCGGAGTCCTTTATTCTACCCCAATCAGCCATCCTGTGTCTAGAGGGCATGTCTCACTTCCTGCGTCTCATAGTCAGCATCCCCTCGATGGCCGCCGACATTTCGTCCTCCCTTGTATCCTATCTCCAGCTATTCAATAGTCGCTGCACGCAGCTGATCCTCGGGGCCGGCGCCACTCGTTCAGCAGGCCTGAAGAATATCACCACCAAACACCTTGCACTTGCCTCGCAAGCTCTGGCATTCGTGTCAACCCTGATACCACATGTACGCGAATTTGTACGGCGACATGCTACCACTAGTCCTCATGTCAACAACGCATCAGTCGCCTCCCTCATGGGCGAATTCGACAAAGTCAGGCGGTTATACCAGGAGCACCAGCAAAGTATTTACGATAAGCTAGTCGAGATAATGTCTGGACGCGCTGCAGCACATACTAAGAGCATGAAGGCGCTCGATTGGGACCGGAGTGGTCAAGTGGCTGTTGATGTCTTTATGGAGACTCTGGTGAAGGAGACGGTGACGCTACATAGGGTCTTGACGAAACATCTCCCAGAAGGCACGGTCCAGATGATTATGTCCCCCGTTTTTGACAGCTACAAAAACCAGCTTGCCAAGACATTTGAGGGTATTGAGGTGGGCGAAATCGGATCACAGCGGTAAGTGCAGGGAGGGTCGTGTCGTGTGTTCGTCTTGCTAACGATGGCCACAGGATGCAAGCCGATGTCAATTACCTCAACACCCGTCTTTGCAAGGTAGAGAGCACTTTTGCAGAGACGGGGAAGGAGCTTCTAAAGATCGTCAATGAGAAGACGCCCGTAGCCGCCGCCGAGGCGGAATCAGACACCAACGGCGGTGCCAAAGCCGAAGAGCCTGGCAGTTGACAGGGCAATTGAAATCGCGTAGCCGTCGGGCATGAGCATTGTCCGGACACGATGGTCATGGTGATGACCGTAAATACTGCTGCTTCCCTGGCTCGATCCAACGCAACTTGAAGAATGCGGAGGTCAAGCACATTTATGTTCAAAGAAAGCATGGCCTGGTCATCACCGATGCTTTTGCTAGGAATGACGACCTTAAAGGGAAGAGGGGTTTGACACCGACTTGGAGTCTTGTGTTCTGGATGCATAGCTTGGCAGCAAGAGCAGGCGTTGAGAGAAGGAAGCAGCCATTCTACACTCGGCTAGCCTAGGGACATCATGGGATGGGTTAGACTATACTACTGTATGTTATATATATCCCAATGTGCAAATTTGTATAATTTCGTTCTCAAGGCCACCCAGCTTCAAGGATCTAACTCTCAAGGCGATGGGCTGGCATGCCCTTAGGAGCGCTCATTCCTATGGCTAATGCCGTATATGTGTTCTCTCTGGGTCGATCCGACGTCTTCTTGCCTACTCAACCAACTTTCCAGGTTTGATGGCTCCAATTCTCAATCGTCCTTTCCTCTATGCTTCTTCTGCGTGCTGCTTCCCGCGACCGCCCCTGTTGACGCCGCTATTTCTGGCCATATGCGACAACAAAACATCTTCGACCCCAGCGCTGCGCATTTGACGGCACTACATGTGTCGTCTATGGCTAGGAATATCGAGCTTACCGAGGCCATCCGTGCTCGCCCAGTACCGTCCGAACCTCGAGGTGCTGGACAGCGAAGGGTTGACGCCTTTGGCGTGGGAGGATACAAAAACGATCAGCAAAGGAACACTCAAGCTTCTCGTAAGGGAGGGCCTCGATGTCGACACGAATGCCTCGCCTGGACGCTCGCTTCGGTTGGACGCCTGTTCCACAACAAGATTTGACCTGGGACTGACATTACTTGGGTTGAGTGCTGCTTCTCCGGGCACAGCTGCGCTTCACTGTTGCTGCAAGACAACAATGAATCTACCCTACATTACAACCAAACAAAGTCCACATTTTACAAGTCTGGAAAGCAGTGCAACATTGGACGGCGCGGTCCAGTTGACCAAGACGCTCATGCAAGCTGGAGACGGCGTCGACGCCGACAAGGAGAGAAATACACCCCTCATCATTGCCTCTTGGAGCTGCCTCTTCCCAGTCGTAGAAGCATTTGCTGTCCGTAGGAGCAAGCGTCAATGTTTTGGGCCCCATGTGAACAACACCACTCATAGAAGCATGCGGGGGCGCTGAGTCGTGTGAGCCGGCCGAATTCTGGTTATTCACCATGCAGGCCTTCCGTGGCATGAAGTCAACCCAAATGCCAATACCATGTTCAATGTCACCCCTTTGAGTATTGTTTGCGGGCTATCGGTCCGAGATCCTAGCAAAACAGTCGTCGCACTGCTGCTGATAATGCACGGAGTCCGCCTGGATGAGGATGATTACATCTACAAGGTCTTTTTAGCTGGCGAAGTTGGCATTTGCCAGATGCTCCTGGGCCGTGGCGCAAGAGTTCCAAGTCAACCGAACTTGATGGTCATGGCCAGAGTCGCCGTCGACTGCAAGGTATGCATTGAGTAGCCATGCCTCCACGGCCGGAGCTCATGAACTCTGGCACACTTCGGACTCATGTCACTCTATGAGTTGGATTACCTGGTATTTTGATGCAAATCCAGCAACGGATAATACGGCCGTCATCCGGAAACTGGGGGCTGGGGGGGGTGGTATAAACCAGCCAACGATGTCGGAAAAGCCCAGTTGTCTAGGGAGGGATCCGAATGAGGAAGCAGTGGAACTGCTGTTTCAATATAGAGAGTGGTTGCGGTTCGGTATGGGTACCACGGTACCACTGTGCCGCGAGATTACAACGAGGGGGATAGCAACGTCGCCAAGGCAAGAAGCTGCAAAATATACAATATCTCAAGCCGTTTATAACTGACTTCGTTGCTGTTGAAAGGAAACATGTCAGGAGGATGTCCACAAACTTACACGGGGGCATGGTAGGGCAGGGTTTCGTGGCCAATATCAATAACGCCACTTTGACCTGTTTTCTGGGTGAATTGCCTTGATGTTATGGCCTAAATTCCAAGTATAAAGCCATCTGCCACATCAGCACGTTCCCAATCCTGCTGCCGAGACTACATCCCAAGATAGACCCCCTTGAGGCCCTTTTAGCTTGATACATATACATACTCACTGACCTACATTACCCAATCGCACACCCTTTAACCCCACCTGGAGGTTATATCGTTCTTGTCGCTCATTGCAGTCGCTGCCTACCTCCTCTGGGGCATAGGGGCGACCACAACTCGGCAAGTCCCCGGTTTCACCCCGAGTGCAATTACGCGGTCCGACGGCTCGTCCGCCAACGTCTACATTCGCGATGTATTCGGCAGCGACTTATGTGGCAGTGCTCCGACTGCAACAGCAGTCCCGGTGACATGTCGCTATGGTATGGGACTTGCGGGTTTGGGCTTGGACGGACGGATGAGCATGATCTGCCGGCGAGGCAAGTTTTTCCCTGGTTCCTCGATAGAGTTTCAATGATGCTAATGCATGTTTTGGACACGCGTGATGGTAAACAGGCTCGGATCTGACGATGTCATGGAGCATGTCGCTACGGCGATTGACATCTATGCGAAAAATGGGCGGATTGGGGCGAGCGAGACTATGTATTGCCAGTCTGGCTTGGATAAAGACGGGAATGCGCCGTCGCATCTGGCCATCATGGGGTATATCATTGGGTCGCATGTGTGGTGGAGATCTACCGACGAAGAAGCCGTTGACAACTTGGCTGGGGAAAGCGATGGAGGACCGTCTGCTCGGACTAGAAACAGAGTCCTGCGACTCAAGAGGCAGCGAGGCAGCCAGGCAGGTCGGAAGCAGAACGTGTCCTACCTTGACCTCTTTCCCCACGCTTCAAGAGCCGGCAAGACTTGCCCCTCTGTGTGTTGCAGTAGCACGAACGATACGGGGCGCGAGCAAACCAATGCCCCATACCACAGAAGTGACACAGCAGTAGCATGACACCCGGCCCTAGAGCAGTCCCTCCCACCATTGACAAGGCGGGCTACACAACGCGGCGACCTCAGCCTCTGCCACCGACGTCAACCCACACGATGATGCACAACCACACCGAAACCCCTCACATCCGACCGTTCGGGAACTCGTACAAATGGTGGGGATTGACCCGACGTACAAAAACGGCTTGGGGTTGTTTGCGGCGCAGCTAACCGCGATAGGCGCGGTATTCCAGCGGGAACAAACAGGAGTAGCGGCAACCTGCTATTTTTGACGTGTCTAAAATTGTCTTGCCGATCGCCCGGACAGGTCTTGGCATGTCCAGGTTGTGCCATTCTTGTTTTGACCTCGCCGACGAACGAGGGTTTGGGTCTGGGCCTTCGTCCGAGAAGGAAGAATGAATTTAATCATAACAATTCCCCGATGCCCCCTATGCCGTGGATAACGATCGTCGTGTTCTAATTTCGTGGTACGGCTGAGCCCGCAAATGGGCCTTGAATAGAACAGAGGCGCCGTCAGCTGCGACACCGGGAACCAATAGAGGAAGGAGTATGGGCCTCCTCCTTTGTTAGCTGCGACATGCAGACGCAGCTGCAGGTTTAACAGCTACGAGTAACTGCGTTCCAATGCGCCCCCCCCCCCCCCCCTGATGCATCCGAAGGTGGGAGACACAAGCCTGCAGACGAGGGCGAAAATGCGATGAATTCAGCTGTCCAACGACAATGCGTGTTCCAGACCGCAAATATCAATTTTGATTAGTTGATTGTTTCAGCATGGACAGAGATGAACTGCACCGAAGTCCACGGAAATATGCCTTTATGCGCCATAAATGACGCGGGCTGGCGGTCGCTCGGTTGCTCCAGCAAAGCCACTTGGGGCTTGCGAGAGACCCAGAACCCGGACTCGGCATCCAGGTTGATGTTCATTGGAGCCCATGAAGTGACGACTGAGGGCCATCGGTTCAGCAGAGAATCTGTCCGATCTAGAATCCCGCAAGACTAAGGAAAAGATCAGCCCATGAATGAGAAAGGCCGTTCTGGGCCCGCTTGAGAGCACGTCGCAGTACAAGTTTAAATAAGTGAAAGTATTAATGTTTCAACGAAGAGTGTCAACAAGGACTCGAGTGTGTCGAGAGGAAGATTTTGAATTCTGGTCTATATTCCATCATTTCTGGCCGGGCCGGGACAATCAGGCTTGTCCATCAAAATAAGCCGCGTGCCAATAAAGTTCCCGTAGTAGATACAAGAAGGTAAAATATGCTTCAAAATTATGGGTTCAGCGAGCGTCAAGAAAGGTAATTTATCCCAGAAGTAAGAGCCCAGTGATCTTTTATGTCGCACCTAGACATTTTTTGTCAGCTGATCGTCGAGATCGCGCGATGTGTTGCAGGATTTCCGTCTGCAATAGCGGTGTCCGGTGTCCAAAGCTCCCAAGAGCCCTTCCCTTCCGTGGTCCCTAGTGTGGAGGCCTTGTTTCCCCCCTGTTCCATCGCCCGATCGACCGATCGACCGGACACTTCTTCCCATGTCTATATTGTAACCAGATCCTTTACACCAGGATGCGTTGCCCCTTATCGGAAGGAAAGGGGGGGGACGCTGCCGAGAAGAGAAAGGGAGGCGGGTATCTTCAAAACCGTATCCGTAGTATAGCGTTAAGTCGTCATTGTGAGCGCCCAGCGCTGTACTCTCAAAGCAAGAGGGGGATTAGCTGTATGTTCAAGACAGTTTTCCGAGGACGTAGTGGCGGGCAACAAGGTTGTGTTCTGCGCGCTTCTCCACCGTCTCGGGGCTGGTGCCGAGCGTGCAGACCAGATCCGTCTCACTGGTTGTCACGGTCTGAACATCGTCCCACTGGATGTAAACGGTGTTGCAGGGGAAAGTCTTGCATCCTGAGAAAGATGTCTTGGTTGTCAAGTTCATCTGGCTGAGGGGGAACATCTCCTTAACGCCGTTGGTGTCGGTGGCGTTGACAATGGCCGACACGTCGTAGTAAGTCAAATCGTTCCATCCGTTGAAGGCAACCTCTCCAAGCATGCCGGGGACATCTTCATATCCCTCCGAGACGGCATACCAGTTGCCAATCCACCCTTGAGAGAATTCGACCTTGGATGTGCCTGAAGCTTCCACCTCGATCGTATCCATCGACGCGAAGCCATCGTTCGGGGTGAAGATAATGCGTCTAACGGTTTCATCCTGGTTGACGAAGGTTACACTGTTGGCCGAGACCAAAGTGGCTGCGGTGGCAGCGAGGGCAGCAAGGCTTGCGAAGAACTGCATTTTGATGGTAGTAGAAATGCGGAAATAATGATTGTAGTGGTGTCGTCGTGTTGGAACTTCGTTCGCTATCTTCGAAGTATGCTTCAAAGTGTAGTGTGTAGTGTGTTATGAAAGAGTGCAATGCAAGTTTTGCTAGAGCAGTGTGGTTAATGTGATTAAAGGAGTGAATCACAGAAAAATGAATGAACTGTAGCTACGAAGCCCAGCAGAGAGAATGAATGGTCAGAACGATCTGGGAGAGAGAGAGACACATACCACCTGCTGGGGGGAGTGGGTACGGCTATGCTTTATATGAAGGAAAACAAGGCATGCCGGCAGTCGGGCTTCCCCTTCATCATATCACTGCTACCGAGTACATGGTCAGAGAGCAGAAGAGGATCCTGTCTGCCCTGAAGTGGTGGGTCCTCGGGCCTTCCATGAAGACGTCCGTTGCCTTTGCGGTAGGGTAGCAGGGGGTAGGTGCTCAGATGCCAGTATAGATCCCGGTCGATGGGTTAGCTGACTTGATCCGCTGGTATTAAAATTCGTGAGTCAATGTTGAGCCACGTACGCGGCCCGTCGCCAACTCGATCCTGTCGGCTTACAGTAGTGCTGACGCCTTTTTAGTTCCAGCCGGAACTCGCATAGAGTCGTGCCCTGATTATTAGCATTGACCCAAATTCATCTCCCAGGCTTTAGGAAGATGAGACTCCAAGATTTCCAGTCCCTGTACCATCCATCAGGCTGTGTCCCGTATTCGCTCCACGGAATACAAAATACACAATACGAGCGCTAGAGCAGTGGACCTGGCAGCAGTGGGCCATTGCCAACAACTGGGCAGACTTTGGAGTGACAGCAAGGGGCTCCTGGAAGACAGCGCGCGGAGAGCCCTGGCAAAAGCAGTGGTGCCCCGAGATTGGTCCGGGCCAGTCCTGGCCAGGCTGGCCTTGCAAGGTCTTGGAAGGGGAAAGAGTCTTCCGCGGCGGGATCGACAAAGGAAACGCTCGGGAGGGTAACAATGAATCTCTTAGCTGCATCTGCAGGTCGAAAACTTTGGCCCATTTGGCAAACCCCATTGGCTGTATGTTGGACAACTTGTTCCTGGCGTTCCCGGTATCTGATGCCGTACCTGACAGCACCCATGTGGCGCGTGCTCACAGGCGCTCACTTTTGGGAGTCGCTTGCCGCTCGACGTAAGCGACAGGTGGATCGTGCCGGGGTGAGCAGACGCGAGTCCGATTGGACTAGAATCGGATGAACCTCCCTTCCCAGTTTAGCTCCTGTGTGCCGGCCTTGCATCCGACACGTGGGAGTAGGGCATCGTGAGTTTGATGTCGCAAGCAACTGACGAAACGCGCATTTGACAGCGCGGCATGGGCCAAAAAAGGGGCGTCAATGAATGAGGCCATTACGCTGACGCCTAACGCCTTACGATTCAGTTGCGCTGTCACGGCAGGAAGAGAAACAAATCCCGCAGACCCGCACATATAATCAAAGTTGACGTATAGGCTCGAATGCAATGTGCTCTGGTAATTGTATCTCCTGCCATTTACCATGAGCTACGAGGGTGTTGTCTCCGGGACCTTCGCAGGGGTGATCCGGGAAACGCAAGATCTCAAGAATCTCAAGCAGGGAAATCTGAATCCAGAAGCTGTCCTGGTGGGGTTGCCAAGCAATGTTGGCTAAAGTCTATTGGTGTGCGAAATGGACGACATCCTGGAACAGAATTCTCTCTTGGATGACTGCTGACATCCGGCCGAATCGTGAACGGAATAATGACGGTATTGTGGGTGGAACCGCATGGTGAACGTGCAGAATTTTGCGGCGGAGGCCTAGACTTGTTGGAGAGGAGAGAGTTGAGCCAATCCCTAATCCTAATTCGTTTTTGGTAATCGCCGGATGCCTTCCACGCGCGAGATCGTCAGGAACATAGTTCCCAAGGTAATGAGCTTGCAAGGATCAACCAAGTCCGCGATAGCAATGGAAGGACGCCAAGGTCAAGGTAGCCAACCTTATATTCCCGAGTCATCATGCTACTATTGACAAGAGCTGCATCCAATCTGCCACGTCCCATCTCTGGAGGTCAAAGTGCTTGCTCGATATTTGGCCATAGGCTTAGGCGGATCCTCAGTGGTGAAAGTTGGGGAATGCCTCTGGGCCGCTTTCGTCTGCCGTTGCTTTCACGTCCTGCGGTGCGTTGGTTGAGAACGGATACGGGCCGTAGTCGACTCATGCACAGAGCCAAGCATACCTTGACGTCTCCATGGTTCTTTTTTCCAGGCATCCAGAGTTTTTCCCCGGCCCTTACTACTTCTTACCAGCAAGTCGAGTGTGCAGAACGATCGGTCCGAAGATGGCTATACCCATAGGTTGGAGGGTGCAGAAGCTACATCCCCTATGGATCGTGTGTGATTCGGTCCATCAAAGCGTTTTCAACGGGCCATTTGTCATCGTTTTAATAACGAACCCTTCGACTCGATGTGTTGGTTCCAGTAACGAGGCTCTGGAAAGTGCCGCAACTCCAGACCACCAACAGCGGCTGCACTCGTCATGAGCCTGCATTCGGTAATCAACAGGGAGGAGAACACCAGTGAAGAAAAAGAAGGGAAAAAACCACTCCCCAGGATCCCAACAACGTCGGGTAACATCCAATGAACTGCAAGGAGGTAGTCTGAGGTGGCAAAACAAAAGAAATGCTGACGGTGGGATTACAAACACACTATCATTGTGTGTTTGACCCTGGTTGGATACCGTCACTGTGCAGCCGAAAGAACAGGCACGAATCCAGCCGGTGATGAGGAGATCCCTCCCGGGCAAGCCATAGCCAGTCTATCGAGCTCTTGCCGTCGTAGCGAGCGTTTGAAAAGCATTTGTCACGGTGAGATCGGGCGTCACCGCCGGCTTCCTTTCCGACCGTTTCTCGGTTGGGGGCACCAAGGCCTAACTTCGGCGAATCGACAGCTCAGCTTGTGTAAGGAATTTCCTAGCAATGATCCCCGCACTTGCAGTCGTGTCTTGCCGTCTGGCCCATATCGTGGAGAAAGCAGTCGCCCCCTTCCTAAGAGGTCTTGAGCTGCGCAGAGAAGCTGTTGTTATGCTTGCAATTGCGTCTGCCACATCCGCCATTCCCTCCGTCATTCTTCAATCGACCATTTTGCTGGTGAGTTGTGCCAATCGACCGCTGCGCTGCTCAGGTGAGAGTGGTTTCCAGTGCTGACCTACGGTGGCTGGTTTTGGGTCGTCTTTGGCCATAGCCACTGAGGCGGCGTGCATTCTACTGCAACCCGACGCTGTCGACTATGATGGCTTGATGCAGATGGCTGGGCGAGATGGCGCACAGCGTATTGTTAGCATGGTTTCAGAATCTTCAGAATCTTCAGAACCTTTAGAACCTCCTCGGTAAGTAGTCCTTGGTTATTGCATCAGAGGGGAAGAAGAGGGTGTGGAAACTGCGAAAACGAGGAGCTTGTCGGTTTTCTACCCCGACCCTCGTTATCGCATCTGTTCGTCTCCGCCATGGGAATTGCTTCGTTACTCCAATGCCAAAACCTCATAACCCATTCAAGGATCCACTCACTTGTCTAAACACAATTGAGACACAAGGGTCGGCTACAGGGTAGGCAAGTGCAACCCCTAAAGACAACAAGAGTAGCTGAAGAGTCCCCAAAATTGGTTATCCTCTTGGGTCACGAAGGCTTTGTCGTAAACTAATAGTTTCAGGAGGTCAACCCAATATTACGAACTTGTCATCGCTGCTGCTATTAGTACTTAACTCGGTCTGGACGTCAGCTTCAACCCGTTCTTTCTTTTCATTGTCCAAAATGTCTATTCTTAGGTCGTCATTGGTGGCAAGTGCTCCTCTTAATGTCAATGGTGAGTCTTGTTTTGGATTCAGGCGAAGCTGACGTTCAGCTCGTGCTCAGCCCCGGGCCCACCACCGGTTTCTACGTCCATCAACTCGGCAGCATCGGCGCAAAAGAAGCCTTGTTGACTTCATAATGTATGTTCGCAAGTAAGCTTCCAGAAGACCACATCCTGTCGAAGTCATGCTTGGGTAAGGTGGTTGGCGTCGCGATACGTTGCGAGAGGGGAACACCACGAACACGAGGTTTTTGCTCTGGTCACCATCCCAAATCTGACCGAACTGTGAGACCAACCCGAAATGGACATTGATGGGTATAACGTGCCCAATCATGACGGCGTCGGTCAAATGCGACGAGCTTTTCCACCCTTGTTGGGCAATGCCGCTTATTCTGTCAGCACACCATAAGCCCAGCTTCTCGGGGTATTGGGTACTTTCCTGAGTCAGTTGCTGCGACAGTCGCATTCGCAATGGTCGTCGACAATGAAAAAGGGAGGCTATTTCCATTCTCGAGTCCGACGAAGCCGTTTGCGGCACCGCTAGTGGCTGGTCCAGAGGATTGCGACCGAGGTGGCTTCGCATCGAATCGTTACGAGGTAACCAGCCAGCCCAGTCGTGCATTACGAAGCTCCATTGCACCGGTGACTGAGATGCGGGCTCTCCGGGAAAGCCCATGGCTACATTGTGGGATGGCTATGGTTGCATCTGGGTGGGCGAACCCGTCTCTGCTAGAGACGGCAACCACGACTTGCACTTCATGGCGGTACATGCGAAAGAAGACTGCCTGTCACTGAGTATTGAAATAAAAAGGCGGGTGCCGTCCATTCGGTATCGTCTTCTCGCTCTTCTCTCGGTATCATACACATCTCGTAACTTCACAATCGCTTTTCACCAATAACCCTTGCTTCTCTCCTGTCAAGCTCTCAACACAACACTCGTTATCACTGAAACACCGGGACATACATCAAGATGAGGTTGATTGAGGTTCTTGCTGCCGCTGGCATGTTTTCCGCTGCCAATGCTTGGGGACAAACTGGAACGGGCGCATACACCACGACTGTCGTTACTACCGACTACACCACATACTGCTCGTCTCCGACAACATTTGCCTATCATAACGTGACGTACACGGCTACGTCGGAAACTGTCATCACCATCACAAGTAAGCAACTTCATTATGTCACTACGGGCCTGATATTAACATTCAACCAGACTGCCCGTGCACTTTTAGTGTAACACAGCCTCCTCCGGTGACAACTACTTCGTACTGTCCACCAAGCTCAGTTGCCACTGGCACCGGCAGTCTACCTACGTATGCTAACTCCAGTACGACTGTCATCACCTACACTCCGCCGCCCACGACATATCTCTCGGGGACAACGCCAATAACTGCAACCTTGTCCACCTCAACTCCCAGGACGCCCGTTGGCCCAACTACAGTTATCAGCTCCCCCGTTATTGTGCCGACGGCTGCTGCCGGCAAGGTCGGCCCTGCGGGGGCACTTCTCGCCGTCGGTCTTGCTGCTCTTGCGTTATAGACCATGTCATTTTGAGTCTGACCTTGACCTGGAGGAAGAGAGACTATTTCTGTTTGGAAAAGTTCGGCATGAACTGGTAGCATTTTATGGAGCGTTCTATACCCTCATTCAACCAAGAAAGTCGGGTTCTTGGTATGTTACGGCATTTTTGACGAGATCACATTGGGCTTGCGCCCCTGGAGCTACGCTTGGAGGAAAGGACGGGTTTGCGTGTAATACGTCACTTAGAGTAATGGACTAATCCGGGATACATCACCGTACATACGCTCCCTACATACAACCGACATGTTGATGTCGTGCATCATAATTATAATTATTGGCCTCAATCAAACAGTCTCATGGACCTGTGCGTTGCGTCTCATGTGTCTAGCCGGGCCGAACGGGGAGAGTGTTTCGACATTGTTGCTGCAATAGGACTTAGTCTGGCATCGCAGCTAACACATCAGGATGTATTTGGGTGTGAAAATATGTAATATAATGAAATACTACATATCCAACACATACCCGACGATCACCGAACCTGCGCAAGTGCTTTTTAGGCCCTGGTCTGGCGCACGAACGCAACCATTTCTCTGGAACCCGCCACTCCTTCTCAGGCCCAGTCTCCATCCCATATGAAGTGTGCGAGCCTCGCCTATCCAAAAACTGTTCGTCACGGCCGATCTGCACAGATCAATAGTCCCGTGTGAGCTCACAGTTTACATACATTAAATACGTACATGTCTTTCTTTCCGACTCACCCGCTCTCACCCTCTGTCACCTGCATGTAGACACCGGCAATCGATTGAGATGTGGCACCAACGGAGATGTGCGGTTTTCGCAGAGTCTGCCTTATCAGATCAGTAAGTGACAAGAACCAACCCAGCCGTTCAGATAGACTTCTGGTGTACTACCCAATGGCCCAATGCCAAGGCTTCGAAGCTCGTATCTGCGCGGGGCAGGTGGTCGACAGGGATATAGAAAATGGAGGGGTGGGTAACTAAGGTTAGGTACTCTGGTAAGGGTAGGTATGCAGGTAGGTATAAGTCGATTGACGGAACAGACCACCATCAGTTGCAAGTAACGTCGAGATTCATGTCACCATGGATCATGTAGCCCGTGTAACTAAGCAAGTAGGCTACTACCCAGGGTGTTGACGTCTAGTCAAGGTGGCACCATCAGACTTCCTTGCCGTAGTAAGCAAGTTCAAGTCGACTTGGAGGCTAAGTTGCCGACTTCGGAAAGCTTGTCCTTCTGGCTTCTGATCTAACTTGTTTCGACGCACGGCCGGCTCGATCTGGTCTGTCTGTCTGTCAGACCAACAATGTCACCCTACCCACCCTGCAAGGGCATATATTGATTGCACACTTGATAAGTCGCGCTCAGTCACAATTGATAAACGCAACTACCGAAGCCAGTCGCAATCGACTTGGGTCAACGCTCAGGAAGCACTTGGCGTGACTTGTTCCCGCCTGGCCTAGTAAATGGTTAAGTAGAGTATGGTTCGCGATTAGTGTTGAGTCCCTCAACATTATGAAGCCCGCATGAAGACGGCACGAAAGTGTTACTCTGGAAATGCGATGCATTGGCCATGTGCAGCTGTACGGGCATTCATTGCAGAATGTCGTGGAATCTGCGGTGGACATTACATTGACTTGTTTGGCATGTTGACTGCGAGCACCTCGACCTATATATATATATATTGCTCAACCAACACACTAGCTCTTGGCGTGGATGGGCAGGGGTGTCGTTGGGCGTCTTGGCTTTGAAGGAATGCGGTTGGTATATACGTTTCCATCAAGCCATCAATGAATTCGACGGCCTTCGACATGTTTGGCGTGCCAACGCTTCAACTTGTTCTCCTGCAATATTCATCTCACCACTCAAAGTCGGATGACCCTCCCCAAGTCGAGCGTATAATTTCATCTGCTATTGAGGTCACCACCAACGTTGGCCCGCTTTCTCGGTTGCGCTCTGATCAGCACATCGTGTGATTCTTTCTCAACAAGCGAATACGATGCCCGTCACAACGGGACAAGCGTCCACGACCGGGGGTATCATCGCGGGGTGCTTATTCATTCTGTCGTGATGTCGTACGGCACAACCTAGCCTACTTTTGCCATTGGCCTCGTGGATTCTGCCGCCGTTAACTCCAAGTAACCATTTTCGCTCCATGCGTTCAAATGCTGACTGGTGTCGGTACCCACGTCTTCCACACCGCGATAACACTAGTGACCAATCTCGTATTGCTGACTCCTGCGTCAAAAAGCCAACTGAAATAACATGCCATCGACGACACTCACAATGCTCGAGTATCATGAATACTCGGCCAGGTTCATTGCGCCGGGCCCGCCTCCGTCCCTGGAGCTTCCATCCGTGACCGAACCTCTCTGATCAAGGCCTTGGCTTCTTCAACCTCGACCCCATCCTGACAAAGCTCGTTGGCGAGCCTATTGGCAGTGGTCCAGTCCTGCACCCTCATGGCGTACTGAGCAAGCCACATGCGTGCTTTACTAGTCGCGGCCGTGACGCCCGTGCCGTCCCCTCCCAGCCCGCCTCCGTTCCTCCTGTCCTCACCATCGTCGTCTGATCCGTCGTCCTTATGGATTTGAATACTGTCGCCAAGCTCGTTGGCAGAAGGGCCCTCCTCCTGCGCGACGCACATTTCCATGTACGCTCTCGCGTCGTCTTCCTCTTTCATGTCGTCGTACATGGTTGCAATTTGCAGCAAGATCTCAGGATCCATGTGCGCGCCCCGTAGACCACCAGCGCTGCTTCCCCCACTGCCAAAGCTGCTGTTCGTGTCGTAGTAGCTCTCTGCCAGCAGGGCGCGTTTCAACGCCTTGATGCCATCAAGATTCCTGCCCATCCGTTGGAGACACGAGCCGACGGCCATCCACATTTTCCCATCCCACGGCCGCAGCCCCGCCGCCTTTTTGTAGTACCACAGCGCATAAGCATGCATCTCGAGCACCTCATACGTTTGGCCCAGGCCGTACCAAGCGCGATAGTCCCGCCTGTTTACGTCGACGGCGCGGCGGTACGACTCGATCGCCGAATGCGTATTCTTGAGCTCCACGTACTCGTGGCCCATGAGCGTCCAGGCCGAGAGGCAATTGCGATCGAGGGTCAGTGCTCGCCGAAAGTATTGCACGGCTTTCTCGTGGAGTGATAGCAAGGAATAATAATTACCAATGACCACGCAAGATTCGGGCCGGAACTTGTCAATGCTGGAGCATAGATGGGCAAGGAAGGCCAGCTTCGGGCGTGAGTTCATTACATATAATATGTTCGAGTAGTGATCAAGAGAGTCCAAGCGATGCGGATGCAGAGACAGCAACCGACTGAAATGTTGCTCAGCTGCGACCAAATCCTTGGCGTGGTACGAAAGGAGAGCGTCGCACGTCAACAGGAATGATGAGGTAGGGAATATGTTCAGGAGCTGGTCGAGCGAGTTGGCAAGGTTGGTGTCATGCTGGTACAGCTCGAGAGAAGTATTGATGTGAAACATGAAGGACACGATGTTTTGAGGCAGGCGTGGCATTATTCGGTTGAGCTGGCAACACGTCAGATCCAACCTCAGAAGGCGTCGCTTGCCAACTTACATCCTCAACGCGCGAGATCAGAGAAGTCATCTCCAGCCAACATCCCCAGTTCATGGGGAACAAGTGCACACTACGCACAAGCCAGTATAACGCCAGCTCTTCGTTCTTCTGCTTGGCAAGGACCATGCCGTAGAGATACTCCAGCCACCCCTGACTGTCGGCATCCTCGCCGTCCTCAGTCTTGCGCTCCTCGAACCAAGCTTCCAGATAGCGGCTGACTGTGAGCAACTGCTTGTTGACGCAAGTGCCAAGGTCCTGAGGGCCCATGACCATCTCCGTCTCCTCATCCTTTCGTTTCTCGCCGGACAAGAACTTGGCGTACAAGGCCAGAAAGAGGCTTCGTTGACTGAGTTTTGGCAGTGCCGTTCCAGATGCCGCCGGCCTCGCACTCGTCGCCTTGCTCTTTCCTTTGCCTTTAGGGGTCGTGTTGACCTCTTTCGAAGTGGCAATTCCAGCTAGCATCGAGTCGGGTACGAACACGGCGGCACAGCGGTCAAACTCCCGGCAATCGAATAGCGACTTCGCCAACAGGTACTTGTTGATTTCTTTTGCCTCGAGTGCTGCCTCTTCCGGGTCCGCATTTTGGACCAACACCGTCGGCGCATACCCTGCATCTGATAGCTGAGAATCATCGAGGTCTATCGAAAGTTCTGGTATCGCATTGAGGAGCTCGGCCGCCCTGGTCGCAGAGGTACAGGTTAGCAGCAACTTGGACAGACACAGGCGCGACAACCTACCACTTTGACGCCTGGTAGAGACACCTCTCAGAGCACTTGACCACAGCTTCTTGCAGAGCGCCCCTTAGCTGGGACGTCTCCCGGTCGTTGAGAGCCATGTTGTCGTGGGTATCATGGCATTGGGGGGCCGGGTCCTTGGTGAGGTAGGTCGAGCTTGATTTCTCGAGGTGCGCCGTGAAGCCGCGGGTCCTATGACACGCGCCCCACGTTGGCTGGCGGGGCAGTGTCCTGGAAGGTGAGGGGCAATCACTCTGGCAGTCTGGATCTTTGAAGCTGCTCAAGTTGTCCCAACCATTCGCATCTTTGTCGAGCGGTTATCAAACTTGGCTCAACCGCCATGCAATTCGCAATACTGAACCACACCCACCTCACTCCGAGGCCAAGGTATTGTTTACTTGTCCAATGGACCTTGATGCACGTGCCATGCGCTAATGCGAGTTGGGCTTAGCGTTATCTCCGTCCACAATCTCGGTTCGGAGGGTCAAGATGGCTGCTGTCAAATACAACTGCCTGCCGCAGATCGGCCGACAGGCTCATCTCAGTGGTGTGTCTGGAAAGTGATGGTCCCTTACAGCTTTTGGACCCCTGAACGCCAGTGCCGCCGACTGCCGCGCTGTAAATAGCCAAAACCTTACCCGCTATTTCGGTCGTTTTTCTGAGCAGAACTCTGCAAAGGTCATCCACGGTGATAAAAAGTTTCGTCCCAACGAGAATCGTGTCGTCCTCCCCAAGACGTCCGTTTGGAAGAATTCAGAGGCTTATCTTGCATTCGAATTTCACAGACTCAAGATGACGGGAACCGAGCCAACCCCTCTCGCCAAGTTCGAGGCCGTCTTCCCGACGCTCGAGCAAGAGGTCCTCAACCATGCCAAGAAGTACAAGCTCCCTCAGGAGTACCTTGAATGGTTCAAGAAGGTCAGAATAAGATCACCCTCTATTTTTTGAGTTTGGAACCAGTTGCTTCTCACATTAGCTTCATATCTGCTTTACGTTCAACGCTGGCTCGGTCGTTTCCGCTCAGATCCACACCCTTGGGCAATAAGCGCAGAAGAGACAAAATCGAAAATGATGCTAACATGCTACCCAGTCCCTGGAGATCAACACCCTCGGTGGAAAATGCAACCGTGGCATGTCAGTTCCCGACTCGGTCGGTCTTCTGCTGGAGCGAGACCTCACCGAGAAGGAGTACTTCCAGGCCTCGGTTCTGGGCTGGATGATTGAGCTTCTCCAGGCTTTCTTCCTCGTCTCGGACGACATCATGGATGGCAGCATCACTCGTCGTGGCAAGCCTTGCTGGTATCGCCAGAACGGTGTCGGCATGGTCGCTATCAACGATGCCTTTATGCTCGAGTCCGCCATCTATCTGCTTCTGAAGCAATACTTCAAGGACCACCCGGCCTACATCGACATGGTTGAGCTGTTCCACGAGGTCACCTTCCAGACCGAGCTCGGCCAGCTGTGCGATCTGCTCACTGCGCCGGAGGACCACGTCAACCTCGACAACTTCAGCCTTGAGAAGTATACCTTCATCGTCATTTACAAGACTGCCTACTACAGCTTCTACCTCCCCGTTGCACTTGCCCTGCAATTCCAGAACATCGCGACGCCCAAGAACCTTAAGCAGGCCGAGAACATCTTGATCCCCATGGGAGAGTATTTCCAGATCCAGGACGACTACCTGGATAACTTTGGCGACCCCGAGCACATTGGCAAGGTTGGCACCGACATCAAGGACAACAAGTGTTCGTGGCTGGTCAACCAGGCTCTCAAGATCGCCACTCCCGAGCAGCTTCAGGTTCTCCAGAAGCACTACGGCCGCAAGAATGACAACGACGAGGCTGCGGTCAAGAAGCTCTACAACGAGCTGGGTCTTGAGAAGATCTATCTCCAATACGAGGAGTCGCGCGTCGGTGAGATCAAGAAGATGATCGAGGGTCTGGACGAGAGCGAGGGTCTAAAGAAGTCCGTCTTCGAGACCTTCCTCAAGAAGATCTACAAACGATCCAAGTAAGGTAGACGTGTCAACACTCCCCTGAAAGGAGCAACGAATATGTGCCTTGGATGATGGCCTACGAACAAGATTTGGACTTGCCACGCATTCATGGGATCTAAGATTACGTTTTCGCGAGACGGGTGGCATCAACGCTCGCTGCAAAGGCCTTTGCTAAACAGAACTCTCAAGAATCCCAATGGCATGTGATTGGCAGAGATAGGATGCTGATACCCTTTTGCTTCAACCGACTAGCAATAGACTTGATTTGCATTGAATTGGGAGACTCGAGAGTGATTCTTGACATGGGGCAGACTTCAATCGACGCATAGCTGCTGATTCCCCTGACGGGAATGATCAATAGATGGTCAACCCTCCCCCCCCCCCCCCCCGAGCACTTCCATGTAGCCAGAAGGTACCTGATCACTCCTTGCGCACTTCGTAGGCGTGAGTTGGTGCTCAGGGCAAGTCCCTTGCAGGCTGTTGACGAAATGGGTGAGTGACTGTGACACATGTAATACATGTGATACGGAAAGGTCATTATCAAAAAAAAATGAGTAAAGCAATGAGCCCGCTGGCTGGCACAGTCTACAGACGTTGTACTGATATTTCCGAGAAGGATCATCAATCACACGTATGACCCGCTGGGCTTATACAAGTACACCATTTCAGATATCCACCCGGCTAGTGTCTCACTTATTGTACATGTAACATTTTTCATAGCTGGAAACTCCAGGCACGCTCAATTCTGCCTGTCTCTTCCGTAGCACTGACTCTCATCTGGTCGTGTTACTAAAATGACGGGACAACCTCGGCATGGTAATACCAGATGGGGATGCAGTAACGACGATACCCTCTTGACTACGCAGCATGTTCCACTTTGACGTGGAATTTGAAACTGTGGCTGGGAAGACTCTTGATGCTTAGTTGCCAGAATATGGCGAACAGACCACCGGTTCACCGGCCAGGTTACGCAACAAGCCGTCGGACGACTTTCAATCGGATCAAAGGACTTTATCATGTCAATTTCCCCAGCGTAGTAAGTAACACTGGAAGCCAGAAGCCGAAATTACAGGCGAGTAGTCTCACCCCAGATTACGGTGGGAGGTTTCATGAGTGATACGAATTCATGAAGCCGTTGAATAATGCCCTTGAGCTCTGCATTTAACACAGGTGAACAACAATAGATAAGGAAGTAGATAAACTCCATACATTACTGGGGTGTTGCTGGTTGAGTGACTGATGCTTGTCATGCTGGTTCATGTCACGATCCGCCAGAAAGTGCTTGAGGGAGGGTTTGGTGCGTTTTGAGTAATGTAGCAAATGCGACTTACTTGGTGGTTCTGTCCTGGCGATTCACGAAACTTGGGCCGAGATTCCCTGCAGAACAAGATACACGATGAAGTGCAACTTACGTGTTGAATGATTTTCTGTTTTTTCGGCTGTTCCAATTGTGATAGTTACGTAGCGTCTGACCCCTGACGGTCACGCTACTGGATATTGACGCGGAGCTGACCGGGCCCGAGTGGTTTTACTGAATGCGATGTTCAAGTCCTAATCCCGAGTAAAGAATGTGACGTATATCTGGTCAGAGTTCCTGAGCAATAGTGCGTCCGTCAATGCATCCTTGAAGACCTCCATTGCGTGAAGTCTCCGGCTCAGTGGCATCGACTGGACTCGGAAACTCGCCAACCCACCCTCAAGTGAACTAAGACTTGTATCTCAAATAATTCAATCGAGACGGTCAAACGTGGATATTCATGGCTTAACTCCCTCTCTGAGGATCGCCAAGGCTTAGTTCGATGCGGGGGAAATCTGGGGGCGGAATGTCACACACCATCCCCAACAGCCAACAACCAACCAACCAACCAACCCAAGTCCTATAACCGGCATGCACCTGTGCGGCGCCCTTGCTTCTCAAAAGCCACAAAACTACAGTCCTGCGTGGTTCCGACGTCACACCCATCCATCGAGATTCCAAATGGCATGTTTTCTTCCCTATAGGCTGCCACACCGAATGCAACGCTTACCATCGTCTTCTGATCAGGAGGAGGAAGAGATACCTGGCGCCACAGGCGCGCAGTGACTTCATTTTGCGACGGTCAGCAGCGGTTGTAAAGCATCTTATTGGGCACCCACCCCGTTGGGAGAGTGAGGGGGGTGGTAAAGGAGAGCATCCGCAACTTGGCTGTTCAAGCTTTGGACCAAGAAAACGGTATACGGACAAGACGAAAGCCTCAAGGCCTGCCTCACTGTGCGGCGCTGATCTCTGGGCGCCAAGAGGCACATCGAGGGTTCCGGTCGGAAGAATGGAGGGGAACGAGTAGGGAAGCGAAGAATGGAAGAGAGAAGCAGGCTTGGATTGAATGGGATGAGACATATGTACAAGAGAACGCTCGCAGAGCACGCCTTATACTTATCACAACCACTTTATCCACCAAAACTGAGGTTGCGAAGCTGATTCTGGGGTTTCGCTCCCACACGTATCCGCTACAACATGGCCTCCCAAACCCGCGAAACCCGGTCCGACAGCATCGGCACCAAGCCCGACGACGACCATGTCGAAAACCCCTCCCAAGCCCCCGAGAAAACACCAGACGGCCGCCGCGAGCTTAGGGAAGCCGACGAGTACGCCAACCTGGGGTATAGCTTCCCGACCTGGCGCAAGTGGCAGATTCTAACCGTCATGTTCCTCATCCAAATCAGCATCAACCTCAACGCCAGCCTCTACGCCAACGCCGTCGATGGCGTGTCGGAGAAATTCGGCGTCTCCAAGCAAGCGGCCCGCGTCCCGCAGCTCACCTTCCTCTGCGCGTACGCCTTCGGCTGCGAGCTCTGGGCCCCCTGGAGCGAGGAGCTGGGACGTTGGCCCACACAGCAACTCAGTTTGTTGCTCGTGAATATTTGGCAATTTCCATGCGCATTCGCACCAAATTATGGGACGTTAGTCGTCTGTCGTCTGCTAGGCGGGCTTTCCACCGCCGGCGGATCAGTGACGCTGGGTGTGCTAGCCGACATGTGGGAGCCCGACGACCAAGAGTATGCCATCGCCTTCCTGGTCCTCTCCTCGGTTGGCGGATCCGTAGTCGGCGCCGTCGTGGGCGGCTTCGTTGAGGAGATGCAGCCGCTGCCTTGGATCTTTTTTACGCAGCTCATCGCCGGCGCTGCTGTTCAGTTCATGCACCTGGTCCTCGTGCCCGAGACGCGGTCTACCATGATTCTGGACCGGCTAGCCAAGAAGCGCAGAAAGGCAGGCGAGGACGTCTGGGGGCCCAACGAGGTCAAGAATGAGAGGATGCGCTTTAAGGAGGTCATGACTGTCTGGGTTCGGCCGTTTTATATGCTCTTTACCGAGCCCATCGTTGCTTGGCTGTCGGCTGTGAGCGGGTTTAGTGACAACCTCATTTTTATCTTTCTTCAGGGGTTCCAGCCTGTTTATAAGCAGTGGGGTTTTGGGACGATTGGCATCAGTCTGGCATTCTTACCGTAAGAACTCTCAGGCCTTGATATCTGTAAGCTGAGGATTAACCAGAACAGTCTCCTCATCGGCTACTTCCTCGCCTACCTCTCTTTCCTACCTTCCATCCACATGTTCCGCCAACGAAGACGAAAGAATGGATCCGATTCCGTGACCCCTGAAGCTCGTCTCTGGTGGCTGCGATACGGTATTTACCCCTATTCCCCCAATCTCATCCCTAACCAAGAACCGAACTAACCCCTGTCCCGCCCACAGTAATCCTCCTCGAACCCATCGGCCTTATAGGCTTCGCCTGGACCTCCCTCGGCCCCTCCCGGGGCATCCCCTGGATCGTCCCCATGATCTTCTCCAGTCTTGTCGGCATAGCCAACTACTCCATCTACCAATCTTCCATCGACTATACTGTCGCTGCGTATGGTGTCTACGCCGCTTCGGCAACAGGAGGAAACGACTTCGCCCGCGACTTCCTCAGTGGCATTGCCGCGATTTACTCAGCCCCTATGTACGAGAACATCGGCAAGGACCACCCGCTCGAATATGCCAGCACAATATTGGCGATCATTGCGGTTTTCGTCACGGCGCCTGTGTTTCATTTCTATAAGAAGGGTCCTGAGATTCGGATGCGTAGTAAGTTTGCGAGTGAGATTGCCAAGGCAAGGGAAGAGGGGAGAGGGGGGAGGCCGAAGAATGAAGGGGAGAAACCTGCGTTGCCGGGTCATGAGCAGGTCTGATAATAGGCCAATTTTTGTCCTGTTGTTTACCGTCATGTGGAGGGGTCCTTGGGGTTTGTACACTATACCTTGATCCCAGCTAGAACTGTAGATTTCTTCATATACTCTGTACGTGTAGTATCAATCGATACCGTTCGGCGACTTGACCAAGTGTCAATGTTTGTCCACGCATTGATCTCATGTGGACAAAGCCAACATCATCTCCGAGCACAAAACAAAGAGCCCAAGCTTTCTAAGTCAATATCATATTTCCTGGAAAGGGAAAGCTCGGCATCAGTCAAGGTGTGTTTGATGCAAAGGGGCTATCTCAGGCGGATCATCATGATGTGCAGGTTAAAATACGGTCCAAGTATTTTCCGTATATATCATTCTCATTCCTCACGCCAATTTTTACGCTATAGCACGCTGTATACTTATGTATCCGATGTGGAAAGAATTTTAAGCACAGGGAAGGCACTTGCATGCCACTTATTACCAGATGAAAGAATGCTTCCACCAACCACGAGAGAACGGAGCGACAACCATCAGGCCGATGTGGCTTGCTGGTCCCACAACTCCTCGCAGTCGTCGGCCCAGTTCAGCGGCTCCCCGTCGCCACAAAACAGACTTGGCAGTGGGTCATGAATATGCTTGGGATAAATCATCTCGTTGGACGTCACTCCCTTCGCAGTCTCCTCCTTAACTGTTTCTTCCTTATCCTTAACATCCTCAGCATCCTCAGCACTGTCAGGGACAGGAACCGGGGGGAGCGGGGCTCCATTTCTAGTCTGGTACACGCGAGGAGCGAAGCCTCCGAATCTCAGGACCCCCTTTGACAAATACTCATTTGTGGCCTCATTGCCGGAGTCATTGTTAAGGGCAGCTTTCTTGTCAGAAGCCTTGCCACTGGCAACATCAGACCAGCGCATCTGCGTAGCTGCTGCTATTCGAGTGGAGACAGTAGTAGTGGATCCCTTGCTCTCGTCCGCCTTCGCCTCTGAGTTATCGCCGCCAGCAACTCGAGGCTTGTGAGTGAGCTTGAGTTTCCTGGGCCTAGGCGCATGGCTAGCGACCGCCTTCTCATTCTGCTTCTCAATCGGCTGCTCGATTGCTTTCTCAAGCGACGTCTCAACTGGCTTCTCGACGAACTTCTCGGCGAACTTCTCGGCCGGATTTTCGCTGGACTGCTGGGCGGGTTTTCCAACGGAATACTGTACGGCATGGCTGACAGGCTCTTCAACCGACTTATCAACTGTGGGGACGCTACCCATGTTCCCTACTTGACCATCACCAGATACCACAGCCAGCTTGCCGCGTGTGGTGTTACTAGAAACGAGCTCCTTTACAGAAGTTGATGAAGGGATAGCTTCTTTACGAGTAGGAATGACGCATGGAGTAGACACCTCCTCAATGCCACCATCCGTCTTCTTGTCCGAAGCCGCCGCACTGTTCGACACATTTGCAACAGACTGGCAGTCAGTAACAGGCTTGGAAGAAGAGATAGACGCCGCAACGTTCGGCTCGCTATCACAAGCACAGGGTGAAGTAGATGCCTTATGATCAGCTGATGGAGGAGTCTTGGGCTTTCCATTGGCCAAAACTTTGGAGTTGAAGTTCAGCGGGATGACCGGGACGATGGGCTTTCGCTTCAAATTTGTAGCTGGAAAAATCGAATTCTTGTTCGACGAAGGTGTCGAACTCGAAGAAACATTGTTAGATGGAGGCGTGGATGTGGCCGCACCGTGTTCCACTGACGCGGTACTACGGGGTTCCGGGGCAGCGATATGGATGAATGAGATGAGGCTGTCTGTCTTGTCATCTTCTACCGCGACCACATCATCCTGCTTCTCAGGGGTTGATGTGACACTAATATCGGTGTTCTTTTCATCATTCACCTCCTGGGGAGACCTAGCTCGCTCCAGATCAGTAGTAGATGTGACTGTGATGAGGCTGTCTTTCTGGTCGTCATCTACAGCAGTCACAGCATCCTGCTTCTCCGGAGATGCTACGGCGCCATCCTTTACATCCTTGTCGAAAGATCCAGCTCTCTCTGTGGAAGCTTTGTCTTGGGAACTGTTTCGGCCCTTTTTCTTTTTGGTTTTCTTGCCTTTTTTGGGTCTGCTCTGTCGTTTCTGGGCGTTGAGTGACTCCTGGGATTGGCTGATGACAGTAAGGAAGCCGTCACCATCATCCTTCTTCTCGGCTGCCTCATTGCGATCGACCATGCGGGAAGCTGCTGCATCAGCTGCAGGCTGACAAACAACAATCTCCTGAATCTCAGCATTCCTGACATCATGACGGTATTTACGTATGATTGCGGGATGTTGCTCCTTTCTTATAGCATCTCTTATCGCGTCTCTATCATTGGCGTTCTTCTTTACGAGCTCTCGCGCCAACCGTTCTGCCTGAACACCACGGGAGGAACCCATATTGGCCACAGCCTCCCCGAGATCTTTCCCGAGAGTGACAATACGGCTGTCCATACCATAGACTGGAACGGGGACCCTCGCACCATTGGACTCCGGGCTTGAAGTCGGAGTGGCAATCCCAGTAGACACGGTAGTCGGAGCAGAAGCGACATGTCCCAAGGGATATTCATGCTCCGGAGGCGCAAGCATCACCATTGTGCCATTGTTTGCATCGGTACTCTTGATTCCATGGGTGGATTCTCTGGTGCTCTTCATGAGTGCATTGGGGGCTGTTGGGGTGTCGGTAGCCTTTGCTTCAACTGGATCATGAGATGATAAACATTTGGACCCGTCACCGGCCTTGGCCGAAGGTTCGGCGCCGTTGGACGAAGCGTTGCGGGTACTGCCGAAGCTTTTGGTCGAAGTTCCAATCTTACCGCACTTGTCATCTTTGTCAAGAGCGGCATTGCGAAATGTATCCTTCACCAATGCTTGGGCGTCATCGAGATTCGAGTCTTGGCCTTGAAGACGGTCCACTCGATCATCCTGTTTCTTTCTGGTTGCGAGCGCAATATCGCCATCATCGGCAGCAATGTTTGCACTGGCCCAAGGGTTTCGTGACGCCGGACAGTCATCCGGGATGGTTGGCTGTTCATGGCGGCCAACACCTCGACGGCCAAACCCCTCATTCCAGCAGTTGTTGTACGCTTTCGTATTACGCGCAGAGCTGGGAGAATCTGCCTTGACGTCGTCCAAGAGCGTTGTATAACGGCTGTTCGAAGAAGTGTTGGGCGCTGGCAATATAGTTGAATCTGCTACAGCATCTTCCAAAAGCGTGGAGTTGCCTGTGGAGGAAGAAGTGACGGGAGCTTGGGTTGAAGTCGGGTCTGCATTAGTAATTTTCAAAGTGGCGGAATCACCCTCGGGCCAAGAAGCGACGGGCACTGAGGTTGCAATTGAATCCACCGTAGCATCAGTTTTAGCGGACGGGGAAGCTACCGGCGTCAGGATCATAGTCGAATTGATTAAGACAGTGGGAAGTTCATCCGACATAGAAGCCGCGAGCATTGGGGTCTTGATCTCCGAGTGCTTTGCTTGCTCCTCAATACTCTTCGCCGAGCTTGATGTAGGCAAGGCTAGCCCCGTAGATTCATTCGAGATGACCGCGTCCTTAGTAGCGGTTTTAGTCGTCGACAGCTCGTGAGAATCAAGGGGTTGAATCGCGGAATCTTGAGAATCAACGGTTCCCGAAACAGTTATGCCACCCTGTAAACTCTTCGCAGCTGTAGTAGCCATCTCGGCAATGGAGAGCATGGCGCGCTTGAGCGAGTCAATTTCGCGGTTCTTTGCGATGGTGAGTTCATGCTTGAGACTCTCAACTTCGCGGTTCTTTGCGGCGGTAAGCGACTGCTTGAGCTCTGCAATCTCGCGATCCTTGGCATTGGCGAGGCTCTGCTCAATCTGCTGAATCTTAAAATCTTTCGCAGCACTTTGCTGCTTGATCTGATCAATACTGGCCTTCAGCTGCTGGATTTCGTCGTCCTTGGCAGAGACTCGATTGACCCTGGCAAGCTCAGCTTTCAGTGATGCGATCTCACATCTTCTAGCGGTGATGACGGCGATGTTGCTTCTCAGCTGCTCGATCTCACGGTCCTTGGCTTCAGTAACTTGGTCTCTCGAAGCGATAGGGGCACTGTCCGCGCCTTGGTTGTTCTTCCAAAGCTTCTGAATCTCAGCCAGTCCATCTTCAATCAGCAAGACTCCGTTGCTATCCTTGTGCGCCATCGAGGGAGTGATGTGCTGTTGAATTTTCTTGATCATGTCGTCAGTTTCGGCTGCCTGAGCCTCCAACAGTACGGCAGCATCCTTTGATTTGAGCTTTGTGTCCATGGCCTCAAGCTGTGCCTTCTTCGAGTTCAGCTCGCAAGCAATGCCAACAGTGAGCTCCTGTGCATGCTTCTTCTTCATGGCTGCACTTTCAGCATCATGTTTCTGGACGAGACTGGCTATCTCGCATTCCAATTCGTGATTCTTCTTGGCCAGAGAGTCCATATCAGCTTGTCTAGTGGTGTCCTGCGAAGAGGAAGTGACCTGCTGATTAAGAGACTTTACGCGTGCCAACAGATGGTCGTTAGCAACTTTGAGACTTTTGTGTTGGCTTCTGGCTCGTTTGAGGTCTTGCTTCGAACGTTCGAGGTTTCGCTCCAGATTGTGAATCTCAAGCACTTGACTGGATCCAGTCTGGTTGAAGCCGTTCTCGTGGGCACGGGTAGCCGCACGCAGTGCACGAAGATCCTTCAAAGTGGGAGCGACACCAACATGAAAAACAGTGTCAGTCCCAGATAATGCAAATTTGGTGGGTCCCTCATCCTCATCCTCACTAGGAACCGCACCTTCCTTCTTTGCGCCTTCCTCAAGGTCGCTGGCGGTGGTAGGAGCCTAGATTGGCGTTAGCATGTCTGCAGCCAGTAACGGTCAGAAACAAGACCTTGTTACAAGGTTGCACGAGTGGTCGGGTCTGCCAGGTTGTAAAAATAGTGATAGAAAGTGAACGTACCTTGAGCTCATCATTTAATGCTACTGCCTTGGAATCCATCTCTACTGACGACTCGGTCTTGGGCAACCCAGGCAACGAGTACAGCGGGGAGTATGGCGGCGAGGATGCCATCTATAACAGTTTAGTTACTTGTTGTGTAAAGACATCTACAAAGCTGGACTAGACCAGATCATTACAATTGGCCGTGATTTTTCGGCGATCTAGATGGGCAGACGGGTGTTAGTTCACTTACCAGTAACGGAAAGTACGATGCAACCTGCAACGTGCTCGCAGTCGCTTTGCAACGTCTTGCGAGGTAGAATACCACAAGAAAGCGTTCTTGAATATGAATCGGCGAAATCTTTTGATCGTGACTTTCCAAAGCGGCCAGCAAAATAGTTTGGATGGCTCGGGGATGGTGGTTTGTAAACCAGCTGTAGTGGGTTGCAACAAACAGAGCGGCGACAAAATTAGGTAGGCAACCCAACCCCAGTGCAAGCACTACCAGTACACAACTGCAAAATTTCTACCTGAAAATTGACTTTCAGCTCAATAAAGAAAATCAATACTTGTGGTTCTAAAGGGGAAAGAGCGAAAAGAAAACACTTTGACTCAGTAACATCTTCACTGCCGACGTGATTCAGGGCTGACAATGGCATCACCATCGTCAGAGCTCTGTGAGAAAAGAGCCAGGATCATAACCAGTATATAAATACGATCACAAATCATATCACTTACTGGTTTCCAAGATACCACGTTGAGTCTCCGATATGAATTTCCCCTGGTATCAGCATGCGCCTTAGTTCTTGGAATTTCAGCACAACACATGCCAGACCATCTCCGTAGTAGAAGAGTGCATGGCCTTTCGAGTAATGCATAGATTGATGTCTAGATTGTTTTCTCGGCTGTCCTACCCTTGGACAACTGCTCCGTAGACCGAACAAAACCCAACATACCATGACGAACTGGGCGGCACAGTCAGCAATATTTCGAGACTTGTACAAGCTTCAACACGTTCCTACTCTTGGTCAGACACAGTGTACATGGCTATACCTATGTACTCAAGTACTTGAAGGATTGCCGGTAACTACAAACTGACCGGACAATGACTACCAACAGGCCTTAGCATGAATTTAGTTCTGGTTGAGTGATGTTTCGATGTGCGGATGGGATCGAATGCGAACGCATGCCCTCTAGAAATATGTCCAAGTCACTGAAGTACTTATCACCGCGAAAACAACGTGCCAGGGATCTATATACTGGCTCGATGAACCAAGATGGACTGGATTTGTCCACCCTAGTGAATTGCACCCTTTCATGACCACATCGGAGCCCGAGTATTACGCACATGGGTCGGTTGTGCCCGACAGGACCCATTCCATCTTTGGCTAAATGGTTTTGCTGAAATGTAGATCGCAGAATGAAACGAGATCGAGATGGCAGAACTCGACACCGAGATTAACGAAGGATCCATCTTTCCCAAGATATGTTTGCTCTTCGAGCACCCATACGACACGAAGCCGCAGCGACATTTGCGCAATGTCCAGTGGTGGAGCATTGTGCTGTCTGGATGCTCGGTGTTTATCTGAGGAAGAAAAGGAAAAACGAAAGGATCCGAATTTTCGTCGCTGCCAGTTTTGATGTGTCGTTAGAGATGCACAGACCACCTTGCAGCAACTCTGAACGCTAAGGACCACTTTGCCGGCTGACTTTGTTCGATTTTTGATTGGTTCGTTGATCCTCGGCAAGGAAGGGACATGTGGGATTGTTCCCGGCGGGCGATTGCACTTTCGGTCTCTATGATCATTTTGACATTCTGCTACTCTCGTTGCCGTGACGTTGTTTCATTTATCGACGTCAATACTGCCAACCGGTGACACGAACTTGAGAAGTTGGTAGCACAAGCGCGTGCATTGAATCTCAGAGTGAAGATGAATGCACAAAGACTGGGTTTGTCGGCACTGCGCCAAGGTGAGCACCAATCTTGAGCTCCATTCCCCAAGCCATGATGTTATAGCACTTGTTTGTTGTATGACCGATTCCGGGGCCGTTCAAAAGGGATATGGAGAAAGAGCCACAAAAGAAATGAAAGAGTCGAGGAGCTTGGATATTCAACAGCGGCGCATCTCCGCAAACGATAATTCCACCGAATATTGTGTCGACGGAAGAGACATAATGGCTAGGCCATTGAAACAGAAAAGCGAATGATGGACCATTGGACGGGACGGGCAACCCATGATCTATACAAAGAGCACTGAGTACGGGGGGACCAACTGGTGCTAACCTACTCTACAACAGGCGCCAAGCCCAATGTCTTCTTCTCAAACAACGTTCAGCGTCTGGCAGTGACTCTAATGCAAACACGGTATGTCCAGGCACAATCATCTTATTCAACTATCATACGCAGCCCTGCTAACAACTAGCAGCCCAGTAACTACATCAAAGCTCAGCGAGGCCGACGCCCAATCTCTCCTAGCACAGCAGCGACGCCAACGACCCGTATCACCCCATCTCGAAATCTACGATAAGTCCCAGACATACTACGGCGCCTCAATCGGCACTCGTATCAGCGGGTCCATCTTTTCCGGTGGCTTCTACGTCTTCGCTACCGCATACCTCGTCGCTCCTCTGTTCGGCTGGCATCTCGAGTCCGCCTCTCTGGCCGCAGCAGTCGGTGCTCTCCCCATAGCGGTTAAGGGCGGTCTTAAGTTCCTCATCTCATGGCCATTCGTGTTCCACGCCATCAATGGCATCAGGCATTTGGTGTGGGACTTCGCCCGGGGGTTCTCGAAGCCGGCTATCATGAAGGGTGGATACGCCATCGCTGGCGCGAGTACGGTTGGTGCGCTGGCACTGGCCTTCCTGTTGTAAATTTAGTTAATGGGCGATGATGAGGATGTTGGGCGCCATGGCGGAAACCAGGAGGGCAAGAATGGAGAACGCAGCAGAATTCGGGATGACCCAACTGATGTTTACGCATGATTATATACATCACTGTAGCAATATAAAATTTCTTTGTTCTATTCATCATAATACTCTGAGGACTCGGTGACATGCTGCCGTTCGCATTTGATGGCTTGGCAGCTGTATCTGCTAGAAAGATTAACTAGAAACGGGCATGTTTTGAGACGGCAGTTGACAAGACTGTACACGGAACAAACACGTCATAACGCCTATAGGCAGGGTAATGTCAAGGGCGCATGAATAATTGCATCGCAAGAGTATATATTCTCAATCGGCCTGCTATTTGCTCTTACAAACAAGTTTGTAGTGCCTTGGATTTGAGGAAGTGGGTCTCCATCTGGTCGCAAATCCAGTGAAGTAATGCTCATGTGTAGTCGGCCCTGTACTCCATTCGCCTGATCTAAGTCATCCTCGGGTATAACGTCGGGCTTTAGACGCGTGAATGCGCAACAAAACAGATTGTCCCGTCATCATAATCAATGGCCACTTGAAGACACATGCTGCCCCATATTTTCTCATCATGGTCCTCGTCTCAAAATAACCAAACTGCCTCTCTTCATGCAAATCCTCAGTGGCCCGGGTTTTCAGAGAAATCTGCGAGAGCCCACCTACACTTCCACAGCAGCATTTCCTACATGAAGGCTCTTGCCTGCAGAACTACCTCGATCAGTCGATGATCTCCCAGTCTCAAGATCCGTTCGCCTATGATTTCACCCAGAAACTCCTTGAGTTGGGTCGATTCATGTTCATTGACGCCATTGACACCGTTGGTCATCGACATATCCTGACTGGGTGCCACTTCCCGGATAACCTTCACGATGGCTCCGACCAATGCCTCATACTCAATACGGCTGCTCTCGGTGTCATTCTTGACTTTCTGCAGTATCAACTGCTCAAAGCCCTTCAGGTTCGGCAAAACAAGCACCTTCACGGCCTCTGGGCCACCCGTTGCCGACAAGCCCAAAATGGCCCCATACCAGACAGCTGGGGTCATGTTGGCATCTAAGAAGTGCTTCAGGCAAGATCGTGTGAGTTTGGGACGGAGCATCTTATTAGTCCGCGAATACTTCTTGGCGATCTTGCCGATCAAGCTGGCTGCAAGCTCGCGGAGCTGGTACTGCTGCTTCAGTTCGTCCGTTCCACTCTCGGTGCCCAGTTTACGGCCCATTAGGCACGTCAACACGGGTGCTGACAGCGGAGTGGCGTAGGGGTCGAGGAACATCTCGGGGTTTTGGATGAGAGCATTGGTGAGAGACATCATATGGCGCAGCACGAAGAGATCGTCGAGGTGATGGGTGACTTCGTTTGAGATGAAATTGACGAAGTAAGGGATCAATTGGTGAATACCAGGATCGGAAGAGATGGACTCGAGGGCAGCATCGCGAAGTCGGTCAACTTCGGGATCTGGGTTGTCGTCGAGCAGAGCAGATTGAACCTTCTCAAAGTAGAGCGTCAGTTCGGTGCTGATGATGTGCTTTACAGCAGGGCGGAAGTTGGCAGCCTGGTTTCCAGCCAAAGCAGGAAGCGCAGGATGAGCGCCAGGGCCTTTGGGCAGAAGCTCTTGGTTCCGTGCCTCGCCGGTACTGGGGTTCTGGGGGATTGTAGGCTGGACGCCTTCTATAGCGAGCCAATGGCCTGTGATTATCAGCAGCTGCGTATCAATGGTAGTATTGGCCGTGGGCTTACCCGTGAAACTCATATCCCTCGGGACCTTGGGCAGTGGGGCATTGATCAACTTCTCAAAGTCGACTTCCTCATCTTCGATATAGAAGAGCGGCTGGCCCGGACCCAGGCTTGCCTCGCCATATCTCAGCGGACGAGTGGAGTCATAGCCGTAGAGTGGTTCCACGTCGAGAACTTTGAGGGCCAGCAGAATGTCCTGAACAGTCATGGTGGTTCGCTTCGCGGCTCGCATGAATCGCAGTGCCTCTACAATGACCTGACCGATGCGATACTCGACGTCCTGCGACAATGTGCGGAGGGCCTCGTCGCCGAGGTTGCCAATGCCAACAGACTCAGCTACATCCTTGACGTTCTCGGGGTTCCATAGAAGCCGCGGATCGTTGGAGGTGGGGGCCTTGTTGGCGGCATCTTGGGGAACGACAGAGCGCGCGTTACTAGTCGAAGCCATAATGGCTGCGGCGAAGATCCAATCGCGGAGCTGCGCGCAGGCTTTCAAATACCGAAGAGTGGATTTCGCGGCTTGTTTCGGTCAGATGGATTCGGCGAAGAAAAGGAAGTCGGGTTGCGTCGAAGAATGCAAGCCTGTCGCACGACGAGTTTCTGTGGTTGTCGAGATGAAGATTTGCCAGGCGCGGCAGGAAGTTACAAAGGTAACGTGTGCGGCGATGGATAGAGACGGTTGAAAGGATGGCCGCGATTGTACGAAAGAGCGGACGGGGGTTTCTTCCGGGACTGCTTGCTTCCTGGAGCTTGCTTTTGTGAGAAGGCGCGAGGGCGAACAACGGTTTGAACAACAGAGATTCACCAATCGGGCGCTCAAGCGAGCTCAGATCATGGGTTCGAGGTCGACGTAGAATCGGTTCAGTGGGTAAGGCAAGTTCACGGCCGAAATTGCTGTTACTTCCTCCTTAGCATTGTCAAAGCAACCGCGGTCAATCGTGTAAACAATATGGAATGGCAGTGACACAAGATTATCCTCCAGTTTCAATATAGTGCGAGTTTGACCTGTCGAGTCGTTGCGTCGGCTCGGGGGGCTGGACGAGGCTACTGGACAGTCGACGACGAGATGTATTCGTGCAGCCTCACGGCAAGTAGGAGGTTGAAGTGAATTGACGAAGAGGAAATGGCCTTACGTCATTGGCCACATCTCCAAGGTGGGGCGCTGGTGCGACCGCAGGCCCAAAGCTTTCACAGGGGTCAGCCAGCGCAGTTGGAGCTTTATTGCTCCCCCGAACCATGCCAGTACTGTTGCATACCTGCCTTACTCTGCGACAAGCTGAGAGAGCGATCCTCTGCCTTGTAAATATTTGGTTAACTCGGCTCTATCTGTCACAAGCTGATCACGCTGGGATTCTACCTGAGCAGTCAACCTTGAGAGAGGGAAAGTGGTATATCATACATTTCTCCGGTCAAGCGAGCCAACTCTGGGATATTGGACCTCGGCTTCTGCCTATGTCGGAGGGCTTGATATAGTCCACACATACAATATCTTCGATGAAGATGTTAGTGCCCGTTTCTTTGACCATGGAATGGCCAATATGATTGGGCCTCTGGGAACGCTGAAGGCGACGACAACACCGTCGTCTCTGGCCCCTATCAGACATTGGCACCAGTTACGATACAAAGGGAAATCAGTTGGCTGAAGTTACGTTTTCTTCATGGGACCTTGGGGAGCCTGGCTTCACCGCCTTGCAGAGGTTCTCGTCTGCACCGTATGTTAGAAATAACCATAGTCGACATAAATACACAGCGTCTCGGACGACGCATGAAACCAAGCTCGATGCACCCAAGTCCGGGAAGCGGAACACATCCGTTGGGAGCAATCCGTCATGGTCGGTGCCTATACAACCTGGAATGCGGGTCATCGAAATAAACCACTCCTCTGGTCTAGCTACGTAGTATAGTGACTGTTTTGGGGAGCCTGGTGTCTTTTTTCATTTCGTTCATGTTCCTAATTGGCAGTCATAATTTTTACTCGGTGTCGGCTGTCACTTCTACTATGTGCGTCGATTCTTTGTTCAGCCAAGTCCAAGTTAGCAATTCCAGCAGAGAGTCACAACCAACATGCACTTGAACAAGAAAACCACCTTCCATCCGATGGCATGTGCAAGTTTCAGGATCAACAAACGTACAAATGTAACATTTCTGAACAATTGTGGTCGTCAGATGATGTAGCTCACCCGGCGCCAACTGATTTTGAGTGTCATTTGCACTGATAGACCCAATACCAGGCGTGGAAGACTCAGTTCGCCTTAAATTAGGACTTTATATCGGGTGTACGGAGGACGATCGGCCATATGCAACTCGGACTGGACAGCACCTCAACTCCAACCAGATACTTCGAGATGAGTACAAATGTCCATTTCTCCGCTCCGATCTTCAACAACAGGCACTCAAGGTTACGAGGAACTTTTACACCGGAGCACGATGTGACGATTTCAAACATTCATACGCGGGCCGGCCATTTCGCTTCTCTTGACCAGACTTGAATATAGTGATCCACGTGGAGCCTGTTTATTCACTCGAGGGCCCACTCCAAATCGACCAGACGAGGGGACTTTTCCGCGATATATGGTCTTGGATTTGTCTGACATAGCGATATCACGGGGAAAGGGTGGTGGAGGTCGTGCATCATTGAATTTGGTATTTCATTGTGCGCCGTACATGTAACTACTCCTATCAGTCTTTCCAGCATGCTGACAAGAGCTACAGAGGGTTACAGACCAGTACATTAGGTATCTCCGCTGTATTATGGGGAGTACTTTAAGATGATAGGAGCACTCTTTAGCAATTCTGGCGAGCATTGGGGAAACGCCGTCAAGTTGCTTCCCCGTGTCAAGAGATCTGGCTTGGTCCACGAGCTGGGGATAGGCCCATCAATTGAAAGTTTATCAACGGCCTACGCTGGCGGGGCAGTTCGGGTCTACACGCCTAGCCTTGGGATGGTTGATGTGGAATGGAAGGTAGTGTAAGCCGAAATCATGAAGCCCGTTGTAGTCAAACACAGAATACAATTTTCATTACAAGGCGGGGAATCGATTGCAAGGCACGACTTGACAAATCACAGAGCGGTGGTTTAAAGCATCGTAACATTTCTTTAATGTATTTTAAATTGTTTATTCAAGTAGCCTACTTCTGTTGGTATGATCTTAACTATGGCTCTCGTCACATCCAGTGCTAGAAGCTCGGAGATACCGCTCGGGCAATACCAACCAGCACTGATCGATAACGCAACCATCCTTATCAGTAAATCATGGATTTGAGTTTCCTGGCATGAGTTACGCACGTTGTGGAAAAGTTTAGCCTCAGGTATAGAGGGGTAAAAGGCACCCAGGCACGAACTAGTGTATTTAGAGACCCCCCGGGAGTCGATAGGGCAGTTCTTCCCCTCGTTCCTTCGCAGTATCAATACGCACCCAATACTCGGAATCTGACACATGTTGCGTTATTGCCTCTACTTCGAATACTTTGGGGCGTCAAAGACGGTTTACAGTAGCTTTGAAACAAACAGCGTGTCTTGCAGTAGGCACGGGGCAGTCGATTCGATCACCAGGTATAGATAGAAGAGATTCAAGAGCCCGCCAAATCTTTGGCAAACTGCTACGCCAGGTTAACAATAAACTCATTTGATGTGATAAAGTTTGCCGCACCCAATATCCAGGTTGATGAAAACTTTCACCCGTCATCTTGTAATTAGTTTTCTCATGTCAAATGGAGATATGTCCTTCGCATCATATCCAGAGATAATTAATCGGACTGCTTCAATTTGGGGTGCCCACGTTCGTACACTTGGTAGATCGCACAATACGTCGTTGAAACATGCCCGATACAATCCGATTTATTTCCAAGGCTCTACTCTTTACATTTACGACTGGCCTTTTCAACTATCAGCTCTATGTCCTCGTCAAAAATACCCTTGGATTCTAAGACGGGACATTGGGAAAACCTCATAGAAATACTTGCACTCAACCTCCAATCTATGAATGCTACCTACGAGCAGTTCGTCCACCTATCCACAATGGACCACAAAACCCCAACCTCAATAAAGCCAGCCGCATCTAATTGCCGCCAGGCTCATCTTCGAACAACGCGACGCCACGTACGTGGTGATCAACACAGATTGAGCCGTGGAGTTCCTCCGCAAGATGGAGCGTTTTCTCTCTATCATGATCATCCTCTGTTCTCTAATTGTTGGGTTGACCTGGGGCCCTGGGAGCCAGATGGACAAAAGGGGGGTCCATGCCGTCCATGCTGGACCGACTCTGAGCATGGGGCGTGGTTATTATGAATCTGATAAGAGGTCATTGCTATATGATCTGGCCCTGTTTGGACGTCATCACTCTGTATACCGCGTTCAGATGAGGATGAAGATATTGGTAGTAGACGTTGAATACGGGGCGGATACTACTGGATCGTTCGTGGAACCGAAGGATGGCCGGCCGCTCGCTGTATGTCAGATCAAATCTGGACAAGAGCTCGAAGTGAGAATCTATGTTATAGTCGCCTGAGGTAAAACCCGGAGCGAGTACAGGCCCTACACACATGATGGAATTACAAATGGCAGCTTCGCAATCTGTTAGTCGCATGGTTAGGTAAATGCTTGATACTGTTATCAAGCGTAATACTGTTTGAGACATTCGTGTTCACTAGTACAAAACTTCTCTGCATATACCGGTATGCGGTTAGCTTCTCATGCGACATATGCTTGTGTGGTTGGCTCGCATGTCTGGGCGTTTGATATGATTCGCAAACACTGGCATACATGATTTATTGAACTGCAAACTCTTGCCATTCATAGGAAGTTTATTAGCAGATGCAGTTGCGTTTACAAACTCAGTTGGGAAGTAAAGCCGGATCTGATGTAGCACTATGCAGATCCGTAGCACACACTGTCAACGCAAACACATATAAGTACACATTTATAGATCAGCAGAGTTGCAACCCCATAACTCCCTCGAACTGCAAATAAGATACCCATCCCGAAAGATGGGAAGAAAAGAATTCTCCCAAGTTCGCACGAGATCCGGAACTCGGCGCATCGATCTCGGGCTTCCAGCTCAACATAGGCTTCGTCCACCAACTAGCCGAGAACTGGACCTCCAGCCTCAGGGGCACGTCACCGCCGACCCGGGATGAAGCCTGTACCGACCGATCCGCCTTCACCAAGAAGGTCTCCGAGCCGGATAAGATGGACGTAACGCCGCCCCCAGAGCGGCATGCGGACCATGTTCCTTGCTCAGCCCTCCTACACCACCTGCCCCAAAGCAAAGCCACCGAAATCAAGCGCGTGGCCACCACCGAACATAATCCCTGGATCTCGACTTAGGAGGCCTTCATCGCCTTCCACCGCATGCCCATCTATAACCGGGACCCGGCCTCACCCGCTTTCTTCATCGAATCTGTCAACATGCGCACGCAGGTGCAGCCCCAACTCCCCAATTGATATCAGGGGAATGCTATCTGACTTAGCACATCGCAGTTTGACCCCCCTATCCTCACTCTCGGCCACACATAGCGTCGTATATACGCCAAGTCTCCAATGGCACCACACAGGCCGTTATGGACAAGGCCCTGGATGCCACTGTGCCCGTCCGTAACAAGGCGTCGCTGTATGTTCGCCTCGACGCGATACTGTCCATAAGTTCTTTTGTCGCCAATTGATGCGCAGCCATAATTTTCGAGGCTGATAAGGGCTCTGAATTGTAATTCCATTTGAGAAGCGCATTGTCAATGTCTTGATTGAGGATCCTACAGTAAAGAAGCACTTTGAGTTCAGGGGTTCTAATTCACATACACCATGTAGTTTGACTAAGACTGGGATACCACTTGTTTAGAGAGACAACGAAAAATATCATAGATACTTTGGCACTCAGCCGTCCATTACAAAGATTCAATTTCCCAGTGGCGTGTTTATTGCTGCATTCTCCCTCTCATCATTTGGCTTCCGCAACTGGGCTATTTTTGTGATATTTTGTGTCCAATCCCATTGACATAGCCACCCAATTCCCCCTTATCCCCCGATCTCACAACTCCTCATGCTCAACACCCACACAAGCCCCTTCCGCAATGCCCTTAACTCCTACTCGCCAAGCCACCGTCAGTCACTTTCCTTGAACCCTCTTTCCGACTTGCTCCTCGAACTTACTCAATTTATCACTTATCCAACAAGTCCCCATGATACATCCCTTAGCCTCCGCAGCATACCGCTCCTGCTTTTGACATAGACATTTCAAATCTGCAAGATCACACCCAATAGCCTGAGACGCGGACACGTGACAGGGCTTCGCGCAGTTGGGGAGCTGGCTATAAAGCGCAGTGCCGTCTGCGATGGCGTAGACGGAGGGAAGAGTCATGAAAATGGCGGAGGCGACAATTTGAAGACGCATTTTGCTGTGTGGTGAGATCAAGAGCAGAGAGGGCCCGTCAAATTGTGGTATGAACCTGAATCTGAAGTGATCTGAGACAATTGATATTGAAATACCAAGGCTGTGACTGAAAATTTTTGGGAAATCAAGAGAAAATGGGAAGAATGCAGGACGGCTGGTAGCTCTGATATGCGGAGGAACTTATTCGCGTTGGAGCGGGCTCCGTCAGGTAATCGGCTTCTGAAGTTGGTGCAGGTGATTGCTTCGATGTAATTGGAGGAGTGAACGTCAGGTTTTCCAGTTTGGGCCTGACGATGACACACCTAAACCAGTAAATAAATTGACTTCGGCGGTCCACAACTCATATTCTATCGATTTACTCGTATGAGCTCGGCAATGATCTGACAGGGCTGCTCGTGGATGTTGGTGCGTGTTTACATTCTACCCGCTCTTTTGTCATGTTTACATTACATAGAGTCTAAATAATGCAGCGGTTACATCGCGTCCCGATACACCCAACTTTTCTATAATCGCAACGAAATTTCCATCCGCCGTCGCTGCCACATTAAGCAACTGTGACTCCATAAAAAACATTACATCCCTAGGAGAGCACGAGCTCCTAGCTCACTGCAGACGTAGATGACGTCGTGGGCATCGGAGAAGCCGTTGAACTTCGTTGCCGAGCACTTGGTGTAGGCGCCCATGTCCTCGAAATACAGCCAGTCTCCGACGTCGAGTTCTTGCTTGAAGCGGATGCTCTCGGTAATGCGGTCAATACCATCGCAAGTGGGGCCCCAAATGGAGTGCTCAATCCCAGCATCGACTCCCTCAGGGAAGGCCTCCGCAGAGGGGGTGTTGTACAAGGTTCGCTGGCCGGTGCGCAGGACCTTAGCAACAGGTTGCTGGTGGTCAAACATGATGCTGCTGAAGTTTCCATAAAGGCCGTCGTTGATGTAAGTCATATAGCTGGCCTCACCAGTGGCTGGGTCCTGAATGGTACGACGCGCAATGATGTTGCAGGCAATGGTGAATGCTGACGAGACGTAATATCGGCCTGGCTCAGCGATGATATTGACGTGGGGTGGGACGTACTCGTCGAGGGCATCGCGTAGAACGGAAGCCATATCCTCAAACGTGTCGCCGATGAAGCCGCCACCCACATCGAGAGTCTTCAAGTCGAAGCCATGCGCGTAGGCCTGCTTGAAAACAACGTCGGCGTCCTGAACGGCCTTTAGGAAAGCCATGGGGTCTGAAGCGCCAGAGCCGACATGGAAACTGACGCCAACAACATTGAGGCCGAGTTCCTTGGCCAAGGCCAGAAGATCGTCGGTCGTATCGAGGGAGGCGCCGAACTTCAAGCTGAGCCGGCACAAGCTCGACGAGTCATCGGTCAGGATGCGCAAGTAGAGCTCGGCATCGGGAAACAGCTTGGCAATCTTACGGAGCTCATCGGCATTGTCAAATGTCATCTGCTTCACGCCCTTGCTGGCGACGTACCGCACATATGAATTGGTCTTGCAGGGCTGAGCGTAGATGATACGTTCAGGCTCAACGCCCATGTCCAGGACCTGCTCAATCTCTGACTTGGAGGCGCAGTCGAAGCCAGTGCCGAGTCCAGCCAGAAGTTGGATGACTCGAGGGTCGGGATTGCATTTGACGGCTGCAGGAAAGGTTAGCCGTGAGCACGACGGTTGGGGTGAACGAACGTACCGTAGAATGGCTTCACGCGTGGCAGATTCTTCTTCCACCGCATGTGCTGGCGGTAGACCTCGCCAAGATCGCCCACGAAGAATGTATCCTCGTCTCCCGGTTCGCAACTTTCATGGTCGATACCCTCGACACGTCGTCGGAGAGCATCGCCGATCAAATGTTTAGCGAAAACAGCGCCATTGTGATGATGCTCCAAGAAGGGATTCTTCTTGAAATCATTGAGTGCGTGGTTATTTTTAAATATAACCGGTGCAAATTGTTCGACGACAGCTGTTGCCATAACCATATCCCTCAGGATCGCCGGTGACGGGATCGAGAGAGGATTTTCGGGATTCGTGGATGCGACTTGTTCAGAGAAGACTCTGGTGGTGTACGCTACCTAGCAAGACTAGATAGTGTAGAATTTTAAGATGATTGAACCAGAAGATGATCTCTGATGTTAGGGGGGTCGAAAAGGGTAGCTTCCTGCTCCCGTAGCGATCTGGCGAGGTCTCCTCGACTCTCCCTCAAACAGAGGAAGAACCGCAGAACTCGTCCTATGCGGCAGCTGGTGGTGGGGGTAGTATACGGGGTCCTGGTTCGGAATCGAATCGAACAAGAGAGGCACGCGTTTTTGCTTAGGAGACTTCAGCAGAGGGAGGCGGTCGAGAGTTGATGATGTGGAATGTTTGCCGAAGGCTGAAATCTTGATCAGAGACGAAGTTCACGGCCACGGGAGCCGTATTGATGGTGGTGCCTTTGAGAAGACCAAAGGCAGTCGCGTCCAAGTGACGGTGACAAAGTAGCTCTGCGTAGAAACACTTAGGATAGGTTTTTGTGCAGCGATGCAATGGCTGCAGGGTTGACGAGGTCCAAGAAGAAGTTGATGTTTGGGCCAAAGGTTGACGGAGGTGCCCAGAGTGTAGGAAAACGGGTGGTTAGTGGGGAAACTGGAGCAGAATTTGTGTGGTGCAGCGAGAGTGCAAAATCAATAGCATAGTGGGGCAAAGTATGCTGGGGCATCACATGCAGACCAAGATGCGACACTCCGTTTGGAAACTCTTTTCGACGAATGACGTATCGAGCAGGTTCTACCGTTTTATCTGGGATTATTACAATCCTACGGGGCGTAGTAGGGTGACGCAGAGAAGAAAGGCGAAGGGCCTCCGACAATGATGCTTGAGAGGTCCCGCTGACTCAAAGGGGGCAAAGGGGGCGATGCTGGAAAAGAAGAGCCTGTCGATATTCTGCCTTACGGTGCTCGTGGTGTGGAGATCTATCACAATTCAGACAGCATCAAAGACGGACTAGTTCCGACCGTGACCAGGGCCACGAGCTGAAGCTTCCACACCCAGCCAACAGCAGAGACTGGACCGGATGCGATCAGCCAGGGGAAGCCGTTTTTCATGCAGAGAGTGTGTGGCGGGGTTTGCCAATTCTTTTTCTCTGAACCAGCAGAGGCCGAGTCGCATTTGCCCCATTCGTTCAAATCTTCCAACGGAAATCCAACGGAAGCTCTGAGAAACTGCGACGCCAGGTCACCATCACCCATTTTTGCATAGAACTTGGAATACCTGGGAGATGCTTGTCGAGACACGCCAACGTCGCAGTAACATCTTTCCTTCCGGCCAAATCGGGACTCCCCGATCCTTGACCGCAACTTGCTAGTTGTCATTGGCTATGCAGCTTTTGCATGAAAGCTTGTCGCATCCTCCTGTCATCGGGATTAGTCGCCTTGATCTACTATATTTACATGCTACCCTAATCACACCAGGAGCTTCCGCATAGGCAAATAACGACCAAAACCCCATGGACTCAACAAATCTTGGCAACCTGCGCAAATGCTTTACAATCGGGCCTTGCAAACCACCTAGCAGTCATGCCTAACCTGTCTGATGCCGAAAATCGCGCAGAGCTGGAATTAGCCTATTGTCCAACCGGGAACAGTTCACGATGCTGGATATGGGTATGAAGAGCGGTCAGCGTGCTGCGTGCCTTGTCCTCTTGGATGCGGTTTACTACCTCGGGCACTCCCACGTAGGTATTCGTGCTCATTTCTATAATGAACATCGTGTACACACCCTCAAATTTCTATCTTTTTCTACTTTCTGTATTTCACCACTGCGCTGGCAGTCATTGGGTGGAACCCTGCTATCTGACTATGCATGCGCTGTTACATGTCACATACCCTCAATCCTCGAAATTGCCGAATTCTTATTCACGGAAGCGGCGACGTCTCCTAGGATTATGAGTCGCCATCCATATCATCAGCGACTCCAACGTTCATCGCCAGACTAAATGTACCGTAATCATGTCTTAGGCCATCGAAGGTGCAAAGAAACCACGTGTCAAAAGCCGAATGTATATGCTAGTGGACAGCGATCTTGTATATTTATGTCCACGTGTTTCTAAGACAAGCTTAATTCGCAGGGCGATACAGTTATATAGGGCCGACTAATCATGTTGCCTACTCTCTACATAGTAAGACGGGATGTGTCGAGGGACGCCACCGGCCTACTGGGATGAATAACAAAGCTGGTCAAATACCGCAATCTCACCAATGTCCTTGGAATAATATATATGTTCCCATATCACAGGAAACTTGCAAGTATTCCTACTCAGGTAAACTTTTCAAATGCCAGATGCAATACTCATTGCGGTGTTTGGGCAGCCTCGAGTTACACGGGTCAACGACCACTAACATCCACGCAGCGGCAGCCTCCAAGTCCAGTATCACCCGTCGCTAGCTCGATGACAGCGCCATGGAGGGATGTAACCTATACCGCGTCGACCAGATTTCAGAAGAGGACCTGCAAAACCTTTCACACGACGTGCGCGACCCTACCGCAAGAAGGCTGTTTTCCAGGACCCATACTGGTCGCGCCAGCCGTCGCAGCGAAAGCGTCAGAATCTTCTAGTGCCGCCGGCAGCGAATCCCACTCAAGTCTACCAACACTGCACCAAGAAGCGATGCGCTGACGTGTTGATATTCCTGCTGCACTCGTATATGGAGAAAGACGACCGCGTAAGCCGCATACGGGCGTGCATGCCTGCCGACTGGCAGAGGGGCTACGACACGGAAAATTTTCGCCCCGTCACCCGCGAGGAGGCTGGCGCCCCCTTTAAGATCGCCGCAGACACCATCTGTAGTTGATGGATGAAGCGTCACGATGACCTGCCTGCTTCTGTGTTCGAGTTCGAGAAGACGACGAGCGACCCCAGACCCACACCAGAGCGCACTCGCTATGGCAGGTATCTGCCGCCGCGCGACACTACCCATGGACGAAGATGACGATGGCGACGGCAAGTTGGTTAGTGATGATGAGGATATAGACGGTGATGACCTTGCGCGAGAGTTGGAAGAACAATTGAACCGTGAACTGGAACAAGAAAAAGCACCTCAGTTGGATACCAATGACCCTCAACCCTGACTTTTGCGCCTGAGCCTACGGCAACGGCGCCAGGCAATATCATCATTCAGAGCCCAATTACGCAAGCCTTGGCAGTAGGCACCTCCATGACCTCGGAAACGGCTCTCTTCCAAGACGTTGATGCCCAAGTACAGGCAGAGAATCCAGCACCCTGATTGCGCGTGCGATGCTCAACATGATGCGCCCATGGCGGCATTTTGCTTGAAAACACAACAGGTACGGAGTTGGAGCAGAAAGGCGATGCATTGGTACATCTGGGGGCTGGTACTGAGTATTTGGATTTCATTCCTTGTTATCGTATACAACGCTGGAGCTCGAGTAATTCGTCGACCTGTTCGAATTGTCCTTAAGTCACTCGGCGCCCTTACTTTTGGTTGCACGTAGCAGGTATTCTCTTCGTCGAGAAGATAACGGAGCATTGCAGTTTTCACGTCCAAGGGCCGTTCTGCCAGCCGTGGCTTATAAGCCATGCGCCAGGAAGACCACCTACACCACAGCTGAGCCGACTGTTGCTTGTATTCTTTCGGTCTTGGAAGCCATCCTGGGAAAAGCGGCAAGCTGGCAATGATTTTTGACTTCAGCGCCGGAACAGAAGACAAGGTAATTCAAAGCTCGATACCGGGTTGTGACGATCGAGCCTGAGACAGTTGAACGTCAAGCGTCGTTGCGGTCTCCGAATTTGCAATTCTTGCGCCAAAAAAATGCTTAACGCTCTACGCTCAATCGCAACCCATAACCATAAATGTTCGTCATGCCGACGATGCAGGTTGACGCGTAAACGTTTGACGCTGGAGCAGAGTTGAAGTGGAACTGGATTTGCCTGATGCTGAAATTCTGTCTGACTTTTGCAAATATTTTCTTGACGGCTAGGGTTTATCAGAAGCCGGTTTGAGCCTGAAGGAGCTAGCTTTTCCGGTTGATAACCTGGCACAGTAGTGCTGAGGACTGGGGCGGATGGGATATTCGCGCAGCCGAGGGTGATTCAGACATGGTCTATGATTATAAGAAGTGTAGTCTCTGTATGCCCCGTCGTTTCTTGTTACGTCCAAGACCCCATCGATCTACCAATGATTCCGATAATAAGATCCAACTACCCACCATGACATGCTTTCTGCGCGGAGGATGTCGAACTGCCCAGGCAGCCTGAACATAGCTTCATCTTCGAAGCGCGGTTCTCAATCGCTACTAAACGTCTGGCTGTCACAATCCACAAGCAAAAACATGAGCAGCCGCAACAGAACCGTGTGAGGTATGTGTTACCATGTGTGCACTGGTATATTTGCAACATGGGAAACTGATGTAGCGGTGACACCTAGGACTTGTACTTTGTGTGCTCAAAGCGCTTATGCTGTGAAACTTGACACCCCTGTCTGGATACCAACATGTGAGACCAGATCCCGCTGCTATCCATATACATTTTCAGAGCACATGCCGGGCCGGTTAAGCGCATGCGGTGCAATAATATCTGCGACGACACATTAGCGTCAGGTTCTGCAAGCCATCCTGACAATATTAAAGAACTAAGAAAGGTGGCCATATTTCAGAGACTGTGTAACAAAAGGGTATCGGTCGTTGCTACCCTGAGGGTAGCTCCGTTCTAGAGCTAATGTCCTTCATCATCAAGGCGAGGGGTGGACTGGAAGTGGTTATCAGTAGGAGGGGGAATATATTACCTGTTATTAGTGGCTGGGGGATGTAGTCCTGACACCTAGGCCGTCGCCGAGTAGCATAACCTAGAGAGAATGCATGCATGTGCTCTGTCCTATAGTCCGGAGTTCCAAAGCTGAGGAATCCGAGTCTGAAAGGACGAACAGGCCATACCGCGGATCTGTTTCCGACCTCCCCACCTCTTGCGAAGTAGACAGGCCTTCCACTGACCCAGCAGTTCGCCATCGTTTGCTCTCGCGTCTTTATGTGGTCTCCTTGCTACGGGGAAGCATACGCAAGAAGACGTATCGTATCTGAACGCTGTTGATATAGTGAAATGGTAGGTTGGATGGCGACGATAGCGGAGGCATCCTCCCTGGAAAAGCTCCTCCGTTCCGGTAGATGATTAGTATTCATACAGGAGTAGGGTATATGCACAAATATGGTACAATATTTACAATGTGCCCATCAGCACTCTTACTCTTCGCCCTTGACATTCATCTCCCGAACAGTCCAAGTCCCGTCGACCCATTCCTGCTTCTTGCCGAGAAAGACGACTCTCTCAGCTTGCTTCTCCAGCACTTCAACAATGTACTTCTGTGCTGCCTCCCTGACTTGGTCTTTCGTCACATCAAGTAGTTCCACTCGTCGCTTTTGCTTCATGTTCTCGGTGATGCCCGCGACGAACTGGTCCATGCCCTCGGTGTTGACTGACTTCGGAGCGTCGATGCCCTGGAACACTGAGATCTTGGCTTCTTCGAGATCTTGATCTTCCCACTGTTTATCAACAGCCCAGCGACCGGCGTTGCGTATGATTGAGAGGGTGTTTTGCGGGTTGGGGTCACGATACGAGTAGAACCCGAAGAGTCCCTCCAAACCCTTCATGTATGCACCGCCACCGTAGGCACCACCCTTTTCGCGAATCTCATGATGTAGATGCTTGTGCGTCAGCAGTTGCGATAGGATTTGGAGTGGTGCGACGTCCGCGTGGGTGTACGAAACGGTGGGGAGAGCCAAGCCGCCATAATATACTTGATACGGGAGCGGATAGAAGGCCTTGATATCACGGGTAGAAGTTTGAGTCCTAGAGGCTGGGAATGATACCGCTTCCGAGGGTCGCGACGAATTGAAGTTGGCCAGAGCTGACGTGTTTGTGCCGACGCTGTCAGAGCCACAAGTCAAGGCAAAGCGCATATTGGACCCGGCCAAAGCAAACTGCTGGATTTGCTTGAGCTTTGCAATGATGTCATCATATCGGTCGGTATCCGGTCGCCCAGCTAAGGAGGTTATGAGCTTCACCTGTGTCAGACCGGCAACCTGCTCCGTCAGCCAGGCGTCTCGCGTCAAGCCAGCTTCTGCCGCCCTGCGCGCATAAGCATGGCCTGATGAAGCAATATCATTGACCACGCCATCAGATGCAGCCTCGAGCAACTGCCTGATGTGTTTGGCCGCCTCCGGGCTGTCGAAGTTCGTTTCTAGAATAAGTTTCTGGATTAATTCGAGCATGACCGGAACGTTTCGATCCAATGCCATACCACGCAGTGCTATGCCTTCAGATGCTTGATGGAAATCCTTGGGCGACACGGTGCTGTGGTAACCAATCGAAATACCGCCCGTCTTTAACTTGATCATGTCTTCCAGTTGCTCCATCGTCATATCCTTGGTGCCGAGCCGCATTATTGCGTCCGTGAACAAGGGAATCAGAGCACGGAGCTCATCTGGTAGGTTCTCCAGCTTGTTTATAGCGCGGAAGTAAGTCAGGCCATTGGTAGGCGCCTCTCGCCACTGAGTTTCCACCCCTTGCGTCTTGTCATTTCGAACCTCAATGCGCTCCTTCTCTCTGGGGATGTCCTTGACATATACCGTCGGGAGACAGCTCAAGTCCTGCGTATTTGACTTTCCCTGTTCCTCCAGCAGTGCCAGCTCACGCTGCGCAAAGAAACTGCGTGCTTCAGATTCACCACCGGCTTCTCGAGTTGCTTCCATAATCTTGGCAGCCAATCTTTCGTCCTCTTCTTTGGCGAGTTCCTCGCCGTAAGTAGCTGAGGGTGCCATTGTGAAAGTGAGGGTGTTCTCATTCATCAAGTACTTGTCCATCAGACCTTCAAGATAACCACCCTCGGCCATGCGAGTCTCGAAACCCCGGACGACGTCATTCCAAGCCAACGAATCGAACGGGTCTGTTCCCTTGAACCATGAAGACTTCAAGCGCTGCACGATGCCCATCCCAAAATTGGCAGTCTTGTGCTTTAGACCCAGTTCCAGCTGATGCAAGTATCCGTCGATCTTGGATCTGTCGAAGCCTTTCTGTCGGATATCTTGTAGAATCTTTTGGACTTCGCCCTTGACCTTCTCCACATTCGTTGCTTGAACTCCAGTGAGACCGACAGAAAAGATGCCAACCGCTCCATGGCTATCGTAGCCAGCGTTGGGACTAAAGTCTGTACCCAGCCCGGCCTCAATCAAGCCCTTGTAAATAGGGGAGCCGTATCCATCCATCAGCAACTTCTCGAGAATCGACAAGGAGAAAGACTCGATGACATCGCTGGTTTCTCCGGTTGTCCACGAGACGGATGTCTTGTATTGCTTGTCTGGATCTGCTAATGGATCGACCGGACCGAAGACAGTTACCACCCTCGGTCCTCCACTAAGGTCAATCGGTCGCTTGTGTTCCAGGTCGGCTTTGATCTTCTCAAACACGGACAGACGCGCATCTACTTCCTTCAAATGGTCAGCCAACGGCATATCCCCATACGTCAAGACCTTGGCGTTGCTTGGATGGTAGTGCTCGGCGTGGAAGTTCTTCAGTTGCTCGTACGTCAAATCGGTGATCTTTTGAGGGTCACCACCCGAGTTATTGATGGAAGGGAACATGCTGTCTTGGAATCGGATGTAGAACAAATAGCCAGCATCCGACATCTGGCCTTTCATCTCGTTGTACACGACGCCTTTGAACACAAGCTTGCTGTCTTCCGGTTTCGCCTCGCCTTCTGCTGCAGCAGCTCGTGGATTCTCAGGTCCTATCCTCCACCCCTCTTGCGTGAAGTCGGTCTTCTTCAGCAAAGGATGTAATGTGGCATCCATGTATACAGACATAAGGTTCTGAAAGTCCTGAGCGTTAGTGGTCGCGAAGGGGTAGAACGTGTGGTCCGATGCGGTAAACGCATTCATGAAGTTGGACAAGGTGCGAGGAAGCATCTTGAAAAAAGGGTCGCGGATAGGATACTTTTCGCTGCCACATAGCGTCGTGTGCTCGAGGATATGCGGCACTCCCGTGTCGTCTGGGGGGTTCGTCTTGAAGCCAATGGAGAAGACATTGTTGCTGTCGTCGCGGGCAATGTGGAGATAGTCTGCACCAGTCTTGTCATGCTGAAGATGCAGAGCCGTCAACTCAAGTTCAGGGACATGTTTCGTCCGCACCAAGGTGAAGCCATGGAGCTTCTCGCCAGGCTTTGGGTATTGAGAAAGCTCCGTCACGGCCTTCTTCGCGGCACCCTTGGCCGCATTGGTCGCATTTCGAAGCATTGTAATAAAAGATGCTGAATGCGCCTATATGTGGAAAGGTGAAAAATATGAATCACGACCGGATACAGGACAGATATGGTTCAACAGATGCAATGCGCCATGGTTGTTTGGACATGAAAATGTTGGCGTTGCTCCAGTTCTTCCAAAAGCTTCCGGGGTAATAGTTGGACGACGCATATTTCGTAATAAGGGGATTTCTAAGCTCGGGATCAAAGCATATCACTTATCCACCCAGTTGAATATACTCGGGCCCTCCCAACTAACCGGATTAAGCTCCTAAAAGGTAGACATATGGAGGATATTGGCAGGGACGACTTGAAAGATGACGAAGGGAAAGAACAACTCTTCAAGTCATAAACGCGTCTTTAATAAAAAACCAGCCTTAAACTGATCTTCATCCCAATTACCACTTGCTTTATGTGTCTTTACAGCCTTGGAGTGCAGCTTTATAGGTGAATATCGTCAGCCAGCGCGGCTAATCTTCCCGGCTAGGTCCACCAACCTGGGTCGCACGCGATTCATGCATTGCGTTTATTTCCTTGTAACCGACACTAGTCGTTTCCAGAGTATCTATCATCAAAGTCTTCATCATTGATACGACCAGAGCACCAAACCTAGGCGTCTAAGCCACCATCCTCGTTGCCGCCCGTCTCAACTCACTGGATCAATCCTGGCCGCCACCGCAGTACCTATGAATCCGCTTTGGGTCTTCCACCGCTTGTCATCGCCAACCCCCAACATCCCGTGTCCGCTCAACTCGTTCGAGAGGTCGACTCTGATGTGACCATGGCGACCGCAAACCATCTCGTCAATTCGGCGACGCCTGCTCCCCTTGCTTCCATACCGAATACGAATGGCGCGTCTGTAGGCCACGCGCACGACGAACACTTGGCCCACCAAACGAACGGTCATCATCACCACCATGTCCCTGTACAGGATCCCCGACCAGCGCCCACGCCCACACCCGCCATGACGTCGAATAAGAAGGCGAAAGGCAAAAAGGCTTTGGACTCTAATGAGGCTTCAAAACTCGTTGCTGCACGCATCTCCCAGCTCGAGGTTGATACTGCTGCAGAGAAGGAACAAGAGGCAGAGATTGGTACGTGTTTTCACTTGCGGCGACATTACCGTAGAATTTGGGAACTAGCGCTCTCGGAACGACCACGAAACCATGCGATGCCTACCTCTATCCTCTTTCGCGATCGTATGACGACGCACGAAAAGCCCGACTCGGGGGCACATATCCAGTAATGTCTCTACTTTGTCGCACTTCTACCGGCTTGATCCCAACCCACAAGCGCCCACATGCACGAAAGGAGCCCGTTGTCATAGGCAAGTACTCGGCGGGCTTGTACTGGCGCAACGAGATGAGGATGTACATCACTACCGGAGCCTGGAATCCTGACCATGATGGAACGATATACTGCGCAATGTGTTGCCTACTTGACTATTATCTTTGCTGCTCGCCTCTCATATGCCAATTTTCAATGATTGTGCCACATATATGCTGATGCATCTTGTGTAGATCGAGAAGTCCGCAAGGCAAACCGCGAGCTCAATCACCAGACAAATAAAATGAACGACATGGAGAAGATCGATCTCTTAACCAAGAGATGGTCCGAGCTCTTTACCAATATGAAGCGCCTTGAGCGCGATAACATCAAGAACAAGAAGCGTGCCGACCAACTTCAGAAGGACAAGGATACCAGTCGTACCGAAGTCAGCAAACAAACCGGTCTCAAAGAGAAGCTGGAGAAGCTGTGCCGTGAACTGCAAAAAGAAAACAATAAACTGAAGAACGAACAACGCACCCTCCGTGATGCTCACGAAAAACTTAGGAAGGATTCGGATAGTCGTTTCGAGTCGGTTCTTAAAACATTGGAAGGCTACCAGGAAGAGAAGGACAATCCTCGCAAACAAGTTATGAACACCAAGGTGGAGGATTTGTACGTGCCAATCTATCCCTGCCGCTTTGGAGGAGGCGTTTCCCGGACTACTGACACCTGCTTCAGGTTCAAGAACCGCTTCAAGTCACTCATTGAACAATACGAGCTGCGCGAGCTACACTTCCACTCGCAGATGCGCACGAAGGAAATTGAGGTGCAGTGGAACATGGCACGCTACGAACAACAGAAGAAGGCGGCTGAAACCGAGACGGCCCGCTCCCGCCAGCTCAACAGCCAAGTCCTGACTTTCTCCAAAACCGAGACGGAGCTGCGAAACCAGCTCAACGTCTACGTGGACAAATTCAAGCAGGCAAGTAGCTCTTCACTTTTGCTACAAGCACTCGGGTTGACCTTTGACCCGCTTAAGGTCGAGGATACGCTTAACAATAGTAACGACCTATTCTTAACTTTCCGTAAGGAGATGGAGGACATGAGCAAGAAAACTAAGAAGCTTGAGAAGGAGAACGATAGCCTGAAACGAAAGCAGGAGGCACTTAATCAGAACATCTTCAAGATGGCCGACGAGCGGACCAAGAACATGAAGGACCTCGAGGAGACCCGCAAGAAGAGCGAAAAGCTCACGAGCATCATCAACGCGATGCAGGCCCAGGGGCGGGGGATACCCCAAGGCATGCAGGGGACGGTGGAGAACTGCTACGCCGAAGGCGACGCAGCCAACGGCGATGAACACGAGGAAGGCGAGGAGGAAAGCGATTACGAGTACGGGGACGATGAGGGTGACGAGGATGCAAGCGAGGAGGGTGAGTTCGACGACGATACCGAGGAAGAGATTCACGAACCTACCGCGCAAACGTTCGGCCCTGATCGCCCGCCCGTTGTGGCTCCCACGACTAACGGTCACCGCTAGGAGCTGGATATTTGCCCTGGCGTCAGTGGCCCGAGGCCTACCTTGATCGGTGTCATCTTCCGGATATTTGGCGAGGAACCGCAGTCATTGTGAGAGATATACTGGCGGGTCTTTGTCGATTTATGATTCGGGGGTGCTATTTCAGGCCGCCTCTTCATTGATCTGGGGCATCCAGGGAACCTGTCTAGCGACACTGTCGCGATTATACACGTACTACCAGCGAATTGAGTTTATACCGTGTGAAATGCAAGTGCGCATACCGCGAATACTGGCCTGGAGTTCATATGCATTCAGAGCAGTAGTTCATGAGTGATGAGTTAGACGTATGACAGGACAGAGTAGACATGATTCTTTGTTACGAAAAAAATATTTCCCAGCAGAAGACATAAGGACAGCTGCAGCTAGATCGGGAATCACTCAGCGTTGTGGCGGACCTTAGATGACAAACCCTCACATCTCGTTGGGTCAGCTATAGTACAAAGCTCGCTGACCCAAATAGGTCCCAATGAGTGGAGTAGCTACTGGCATCTTTTGCAAGAGTCCTTGGCAGTTCTTCCCCTCATTAGTGGAGCTCTTCCATAGCGGATCTGTCTAGTAACTGACTCTGCAGTTGCTCTACTTAAGCACTGACAGTTGTGTTCGATAACCTTGCGAGTTTCGAGAGAGCTCAACTGGCTTACAAGCATTGCGAAGTATGAGACAGATATGAACTTTGACTGGGTATTATATTCTGTGTCATGTTACGACTTAACCCCAGTCTTCTTGGCACTCTTCGTCCTGAATCTAGCCGGTCCCAATTCTTTCCGAATCTCATCCAGTTCAGCTATGCCGCTTTGCGGGCCCGTCTTGCGCACAAATTTCTTGCCACGCATCGAGTGATTGCCGAGGAACTCATCCAACATACCGTCAAAATCCGATCTGACGGTGCCTGTGACGCTGGATACCGCCGAGACTCCAGATACCGATCCCATCTCGTCATCCATGTCGGCGTTGTACTCCTCTTCGATTTTGTCGAAACGTGCGTCCAAAATGCCTAGCTGTTCTGTTCGAACGAGAGATGAAGAAGTCATCGAGTACCCCGATTGAGACGTCATCGCACCCTTTCTCCTCTTCGTTCGACCACCGTTTGTCGTCGTTGTCATGAGGGAGGATTGTAGATCTGACTGTGAAGGTGTCGCACCCAATGGTTTCCTGCCCGTTTTCTGGTCTTGCTTGAACTTTTTAAAGTCGTCCAACCAGCCTACTTGATCTGCCTCTTCCTCAGCTTCTTCAGCGCCGGGCACAGATACCAGATCTGGTACTCTACTGTCGTTGTTTCCATCGTTGAATTCGTTCGTGGGTTTGGCAGTAGCGTCGCTCTCCCAGCCGTCGTCATCTTCGAACTGGCCGAATTCAAAGTCTTCGAGTTCGCGACCTTCTTTGGTCAATTGTTGGAAGATGTCATCGTCCTCTTCATCGACATATGCCTCGTCCTCGAGTGCTTCGAGTACCTCTCGCAGGCTGGGGTCCATATCAGGCTGGAAACCTCTGATAATGTCGGGGATTTCCTGTTGATTCTGGTACGTCAACCGCTGGAGGTTCTTCGAAGGCAGGAAGTCTTCATCGAGTAGTTCGCGCTTCTTTGCATCGGCGCTTTCGAGGTCAATCTGTCGCAATGCATCTTCCAAGGATTGCTTCTGCTTGCCCTTGCCCTTGTCTTTGGCGACGTCCGCCTCGACGAACACAACATCACCACCACCGGTTCCTGTGCCTAAATCTCTCAAGTGCTGCATGTAGTCATATTCCGTATCGTCGAAATAGACGCCGTGAGCTGCGGCTTCGCCCTCATTTTCACGAATTTGACTTCCATATTCGGAAGCTAGGTCGTCAAGCTTCTTTCCCTTAGACTCATTGGGCTTTGATGTTGGGTTCAGCACCATGGACGGAGCCGCCTCGTCGTGTATAAGGGGATCATTTTGAGGTCGATGAACGAGGGTGAAATGTTGGGCTGTCTTTTTGTTGCTGCGAAAGGTATATCAGCAAATAGTCTGCAAGTAACCTCAAAACAGATGGCATGGCAGGCGCAATATATAACGTTAGATCGCCTCTCCGGTCGACCATATTTTTAACACCATGGGGGTCATTTCGAAGACTAGGGCGATCCTAGGGTATTTCACCGCGGCTGGCTCGTCGCACTTGCGACAGGTTTCATAAGAAGAAGAGAATTAAAACATACATCCACTTGCCTTTTGGCATCTTAATGGTGTTGTGAGAGCGATGAAGCCCTCGGAATGCGACTTGGAAATTGGTACCGGAAAGTTCGAGGCAAACACAATGCGCTTTCGACGATGGTGGGATGAAAAAGTTAGTGGGGTTGCAGCTTATCGTTATCGAATCTTTAGTGACGCAGACAGCGATTCCTAAGACCCGAAAAGAAAATTCGCCCCGCGACCCCTCCATTATTCAGCAGATCTGATTACCGAGAACTCGACTTGTCGCAGCCAGTCTCACAACACCACTTTTACCTCTTCCCATTATCACTTTGTTGTCGCATAATTAGGAAGGCCATCCAGAAATACCATCATTGAATTTGACCCATCCAAGTTGCTAAGATGCCGCAACCCAAATCGAAACACTCGGTCGGGCTCGGCAACTCGCTGATGAATGATAGGTTCGGAAAAGGAAAAGGAAAAGGATCAGATCGTAAGAAGACCGAGGGAGTCACAAGAATCAACCATGCGACCGGCGAGGAATATGTCACCAACGACCGCAAGGAGGCATCATGGGTCAAGATGCGCTCCGTTACTCAACAGTCAGCCATGGACGAGTTTCTGTCGACCGCCGAGCTTGCTGGGACTGATTTCACAGCCGAGAAGATGAACAACGTCAAGATTATCCACACCGACCAGCGAAACCCCTATTTGTTGTCGGCGGCCGAAGAGAGGAATGTCCGTGGAAAGCACAAGCAACACAGGTCGAGATTGACGGTGCCCCGACGGCCAAAGTGGGACGACAGCACATCGCCTCAGGAGTTGGATGTGCTAGAACGCGAAAGCTTCTTGAACTGGAGGCGAGGTTTGGCCGAGCTTCAAGAGAACAACGATTTGCTCATGACACCCTTCGAGCGAAACTTGGAAGTGTGGAGGCAACTGTGGAGAGTCATCGAGAGGTCAAACCTCGTCGTACAGATCGTGGATGCGCGAAACCCGCTGCTATTCCGATCCGGGGATCTGGAAGCGTATGTGAAGGATGTTGATCCGAAAAAGGAAAACTTGTTGCTGGTCAACAAGGCCGATATGATGACGCTGAGGCAGCGAAAGGAGTGGGCCAAGTACTTCAAAGAGAAAAAGATTGCGTATCGTTTCTTCTCAGCGCATCTGGCTAAGGAGTCGCTCGAGGCAAGGGAATTTGATGATTCCGAGGACGATACTCAAATTGGCCAGAGCTCCAGTTCTAACCCCAAGCCTACACCCAAAGAGGCGCTGGAGGACTCTTCTGAGAAGGACAGTGTAGCATTGGAAGATGAGGAGAGTGGTGAGGAGAAAGCCGAGACAGTAGGAGCTCCTCTCAACGAAACACATGACGACGATGACACAAGTATTTTGACGGTTGAGGAACTGGAAGATATATTCCTCCAATATGCTCCGGATCCTAATCCTGACAGTAAGTTAAAGCCTGGCCCGACTGGAGACTGTTTCTGACCTAGCCCGTAGATCCAGATCAGAAGCTCGAAATTGGTTTAGTGGGATATCCCAATGTTGGAAAATCCTCTACAATCAACGCACTTATTGGCGCCAAAAAGGTTTCGGTGTCTTCGACACCCGGAAAAACCAAGCATTTCCAAACCATTCATCTGAGTGACAAGGTCGTATTGGTAGATTGCCCAGGTCTTGTTTTCCCCAATTTTGCAACCACCAAAGCAGACCTCGTCTGCAACGGTGTGCTGCCAATCGACCAGCTCCGTGAGTACTCGGGCCCAGTAGGTCTTGTCGCACAGCGGATACCACAGCCGTTCCTCGAGGCTATATATGGTATCAACATCCGCACACGCCCAATCGAAGAAGGAGGCTCAGGCCACCAGACGGCCAGTGAGGTCCTGTCTGCATACGCCAAAGCGCGAGGTTTCCAAACCCAAGGTGTCGGTCAGCCTGATGAGTCGCGAGCCGCGAGGACCGTCCTCAAAGACTACGTCAACGGCAAGCTTCTATACTGCGAGCCGCCACCAGGCTACCCCGACGCCTCCGAGTTCAACCGCGAGCTCTACGACGCGGCGCATCTGCCCGAAAAGCGACGCGCCGCGCTACAAGCCGCCATGGAGGCTCTGGATATGCCCGATGACGCTACGCTCGACACGGAGATTATGGCCCTCCCTGCGGGCGCCAAGTCAAAGAAGCTGGACAAGCAGTTCTTCGCTACGAGTGGTGCCAATGCCGGACACATGAGCATGCCTTTCAGCTATAAATATACGCAGCAAGGAAAGATCGCTGTGGGCGTAGACGGAATGCCTCTGAGTAGCCGTAAAGCTAGGGCGTTGATTGCCGCAGAGACGGGTGTGGACCCCAAGGATGTCCAGCTGGGGAGCGGGAAGAAGCATTTCAAGGGCAGGGCGAAGGGAAAGGGAAAGAAGACGGATGACGTGAAGGGCTTGAAGGACTAAGGACTCTAGCATCATAAATAGAGCTTGATGAAGGGGAAAACAGTATGTGTGAAACTGGTACGGTTCAACTGTGAGCTCGTCCTTCAAACTTAGTCCTACTATACTTAAACGAGTGGCAGGCCTTGAATGTTGCACATGCGCGTCACTATTTACATTCGCATTGAGAAATCTATACGAGGTGAGGCGCAACACAAGTTTGGAGCCAAGAGCAAGCTCGTTTTCAACTTCTACAATTCTCCACCATTCTTTTTCTGATTCTGACTTACTTTACATCCACCTTCCCAGTATGGTGGTGGTGGAGGGTACTCATGTAACGGGAAATCGTATTAGACAGAACGAGTAGCCGTTTGCTGAGAGGGACGCATTGGGATTTGCGTCGTATAGTTGCGGAGCGGCTTCATCTACACTTGTCCGTCAGTGCCCTTGGTGGCGCCGTCACGCTGCATTTGTGGCTGGGAGCTCATGCTGTAGTAGTGGTGGTTATAAGGTGGTTAGAGTTGAGAAAGACTCGATTACAAGGGCCGATAATGACCGACAGTAAAAGTACTATACATGCAATGAGGTTCTTTCCTGCCAGACTATCATACGCTACAGCTTAGAATGAGACTATTTGAGTACCCTGTCCGAAGAGTGTACCCAAGACCTGTTCTAACAAAAAGCAGAGTCTCCGAAACCTGCACAACGCCTTGCACGCACCCTTCCGGCTTGCACCGTCCAGCGTCCGTTAGGAAGCTGCCAGGTTGGGTGGAACAGACCCCATTGCGTGGGGGTCGTGGAGCTGTGGGGGTGCCTCGGTTGTATCCGTAGGCTTGCAGGTACTGGTACGCACTAGTGGGGACGTCGTCTCTAGACCTGTAGCCGGAGTAATACGGGGTGAGATGGGGGGATATCTTGTGGTGTTGGCAGTCCTTTTAGAGCAGTATTGCTGAACATGTAGCTGAGGCTCATGTCGTCGTTGCTTATGAGTGGTTGCACCTCGGTCAACTTCGGGGGCTTCGCTCATGCTGGTATGCATGGCGAGAGAGGTCGTTATGGGGTGTGAGGAGAGAGAGCACTTCACGAGGCTAGGTTCGTCGAGAACCTATGTCATGGTTACAACCGCTAGCAAACATTGACCGAATATCCATGGTGCTGCTATATCCGACATAGGATCGATCGTGCTGATCGAAACTAGTCACAGGTTAAAACCAAGTCAAGCACTCATAGATTCTCAACGTACTAACTATGTTGACGCTGGTAGACCCCTTGCTCCCTAGGCGTGCCTCAACTCGAGTATTGAGGAGGTGGTGGAGGACGCGCAAGGGTTGGACTTCAAGATCGGGGTCTGTACGAGTCGACTGCCCTCCTGGAGTCAGTGATCACGATTGCTGTCCGTCTTGTGATAGACCGGATGGAAATGATTGACGTGATCAGGATTCAGGCGATGTTTGATTACCGGTTGCCTGGGATGATCTATAACTCCAATTATCTGAATCAAGACGAAAAATGGCAGACGGAGGATAAAATCGGCCGAAGAAAACGATTTGCTTATCAGAACGAACTGCAAGGGGCGTCTTTGGTGGACGAGTCGTGCCTACGTAAACTACGTCACCACTGCCTAGGCTACAGCTAGAGGTAGTGCCCGCAACCTTAGAGGGGGCCACTTCATCTAGCATCGTAAATTCCTTCAAGAAGATATGCTACTTACATGTTTAAAAGTATTTATGGAGGTATACCAACCCCCTCCAAATAAGCCGTTGCCCTCAGTTGTTCCCAGTGCAACAAACACGGGAATAGTAAAACAATACAACATAACAAAAGAGTTCCACTGGCATAACTAGGAATGAGCAATGGAAAACCAAATCCTTCTAAGAGATTTTCGGGAAGCATTAGTACTGATTGTCTCCAATGTGTGCCTATAGACATCAGGTATGGTACTCAGTGCTGGGGCGGTGGATCATTCAATACGAGACTTAACGTCACCCACAGGTCAATGCCCCACACGGGTCTTTGCCCAACTTTTCACGACCTCCCAACCTTTAATCTTAGATAGATCAACAACAACCCGTATTCATCCAAGAAATTAATCAGAATTCTTTTCATTATCTGTTTCTACATCTGCCTGACAAGTTCGCGCATTATTTCCAGTTCCTCCGCAAATGCCACAGCGCCTAGCACCCGTTGCCCTCCTCCTTGTAGGACGACTACTTTCACCCTCTTCCTCGCATCATTGCATGCGTAGCCTTTGTAATCGAGTCAATTGAATGAAGAATATGCGTCTGAGAGCTGTCTTGATGCCTCTGAACGCTATTCTTAATCAACGTTGACTGCGATTCGGCTTCAAGGGTGGTAGTAGGTGTCTTAGAAGTCCAAATAGGGGGTAGGAGTTCTGGGTCGGCAGAGGGTGTACGCGCGACTTCTGCGACATCCAGGGCAGATATAACCCTGTCGGGGTCAAAAGGGACAATTCCAGCTGCTTCGAAACCAGATCTGATGTTTTGTTCAGTAAAAGCAGCGCCAAACGCCTCCAAAAAACCGGCAAGGAAATCCTCCTTCGCAACGTGGGTATGATGCCGTCGCATCAAACCCTCAACAAACACACCGTACGCCCGTTTCAAAACACTAAAAGGCACCAAGTCGAGAGGCTGGAGCTTATGGGACGAATGGGCAGGCATAGGAAGGGTAATGATGCCATGGTCCTTGCAGTATTGTTCGAAATCCATCGAGTGATGGCTTTCGTGACCGTCAAGGATCAGGAGGCGTTTGACACCCTTCGTACGATCGCGTGTGTGCAGATCGAAGTGAGCTGCCCAGCTGAGACCAATATCATTCGTTGTCCATCCGTTGTGGGATAGATCAACGACCCAATTGCCCGGTAATGTGGTGTCGCGATACCACGAAGCGAGGTGAACTTTGGCCGCGAAGATGATGTATGGCGGCACCGCCCAGCCTTGGGAATTGGCCGCCTGAATGACAGTAACCCATTCCCTATTGCCTTGCTGGGCTTTCCTAGGCCTTCCACGTCTTTCGGTACTCGTAACGACCATGCCGGTTGAGATCATGCCCATTAAAAAGCCCGTCTCGTCAAAGTTGTAGATATCCTCCGGCTGGATGCCGTGCTTCGCTATTGTGTCCGCAACACGCTTAAAATAACCGCGATACGCGACAGGATCTTCGCAGAATGCCCGCTAGTAATCGATTCGACGATTTAAACGCGTCCGGAGGTCTGGTTGTCGCCGTACGAAGCTCGAGGCCCGGTTCTTGCCGACGGGTGACGCTTCGCGGTCGCGTCGGAGAATATTCGCCATTTCTTCAACGTATCGAAGCCGGGGAGGAAAAGTACGCGAATCTAGCTCAATTACGCGTCGGGTAATCGTATTCTCTTCGGTTTCGGTCATTTTCCGTTTGGACATGTTAGTAATGTGTAATGGTTGTACGCCTTCGTAACGGCGCTTCAATGTCTTATAGTCGACTTTGAAGATTTTACTAAGCTTGTTCCAACTTAGGTGAGGATCGCGTCGTTTAGTTTGGATGGCTAATTGAAGATTAGCTTCACTATATTTGCATGCTATGTTGTGGAAGGGAAGAATTGTATAAGTAAAGATGGAAAGTCAAGATTTCTTGAAAAGTTGGGCAAAGACCCGTGTGGGGCAATGACCTGTGGGTGACGTTATGCAGAGTATCCAGACGGTGATGCGCCTGAGTCCGAATCAGGCTCGAGATCCACACACAGTCCAGGTTGACCTAGAACGGCGCCGAATGGCATGAGTTGCATATTTTCATGGGACGCTTCTTACTGTATAGATTTAGAGACGTGATAACATACCCATGAAAATGGATCATACTCCTGCTTGCTCTCTTGTTGTATTGAATTCCACGCGGGCCATATTATGCAACATTGCGCCGTGCTTTGTAAAGTAACGTGAATGTAACCGAGCTGGCCGCCCTTACATAACCTCGCATAGAAATTTTACGATAGTAAAACCACAACGCCGTAAATCAATTGAAACTACTCTGAATCTTCCTCTCCAGAAGATGGCAATGCGATGTTACAAGTTCGCGCATTATGCCCAGTCCCGTTGCAAATACCACAGCGCCTCGGGCGCGTTTTTACGCGTTTGGAGGGTGCTTCGGGGGACTTGGTAAGTTTTTGGTCATTTTTGAGAGCTTGAAGGGCTAGCATTAAGTCTGCTTCGTTGTATGACTTTGCCATAATTGGTTGTTGAGAAAATCAAATATTAAGTTGGCCGGTCGCGTTGGCGCATGAAAGTGGCCAGCTCGGTGTCATGGCCAGCTCGGTGTACATTCACGTTAGGCATATGCATTTTACTTTTGGTTGCAAGTGGCTTGATCCATCTAAACTAGATCTGATTGGCCCAGTCGCATTTATCATGTCTGAATAGCCCTCATGAATCAAATTCGACCACGATGTCCCATTTATAAAGTGGAAGGCGGTCGAATGCTATATATAGAGTAATGAAACTCGTTCACTCCCAAACATTGTGCTAGGAATTGAAATCGTAGGGAAATCATAGGAGCCGGAGTTTCGCGTTCACAGCCTCCAAACAATTAACTACCCAATTTGTTTTCTGACGAGTTCCTATTGGTCCGTTCAATCAATAGCTCGCAGGGGGGTCTCAGGCAAAGAACTTCAGTTGAGATCGCCACCATTGTTTCCCATGTTCCCAAAACTTGCTCAGCACACTATTCGCCAATAGTCGGAAGACATATATTCTATCGCATGATCTTAGGTAGAAATATCCCCGCTGGACGAGTTTCAGGATGCATTTGGGACCGTGGCAACCAGTGACTTTTCAGTGTCCCATGTTGCCTGCGTCCAATTGCTAGACCCGTTACTCTCTAGCGCGACGAAGTATAAGTAGCTGGAAGGATGTTGCCCGCAACAATGAAATCCGGGATCCTAAAACTATCATTCGTGCGGGGTTATGAAGATGGAATGTCCCACAGGGCAACACCGCAGCATCCTGGAGGAACTAATGGTGGCATAGCACGGAGTAAATGTCTGGGTGTGTGGGACGAGCATCGCCTGGTTCAGTCCTAGCAACTTTACTCGTGCGAAAATGCTCGTTCATGCGTTCACCCAAGTCTTCTCCCGCCACGATACCTCAGCCTTATGCGCCTTGAACTGGTTCTCGCTGGTGTCTTGACCAATTTCACATCGCCGCCTCGTGTCTAAACGTCATGATGCATAGTGTACACCTGTGGAATTGGGACTGCTTTGTCCTCTTCGCCATGGAGCAACAGCAACGTGACTCCGCCCTTTGTCGTCCCCGTCAGTAGCTTCAAGTCGCTGATGCAGTAAATACACACCGTTGGCGAATATCTTAGCGTGGCAGAATTTTGCCTGCAGGACACTGTACCCGCCAGTACTACCGCCTTTTCAGCCAGCCTCTATTTCGGCGAGGTAGCGGACACATCCTGCTACGTCGTCGACGTCGATAGAAACCCAACTACCCTTTAGTGAGTCGCGGTAGGCTTTACTGTTCCCGTCCGAGCCGCTGGAGTTTATGGAAAACATGGCATGTCCTCATGAGGCCCAATAGTAGGAAGGGATTTTCAATCTAGGGGTGCTATGGCCTGTGAACTGCATGAGACACAGCGACGAAAGGGGCCTTCAATTTGTGGTTGTGAGGTGACCAGACAAGGCCATGAGTTTCTCTCTTGAGTCCGCCTCTGACAAAAGCGTAGACGTGCAGGATTCCCAAGTGCAGAGAAGCTGAGAACATCTAGTCAGTCGGATTTATGAAATTTCTGATCAATGACGGCTTTAGCTCATCATGGGCCATTTCAGATTCGCAGAGGGGTACTAGCTCTGGTGATGAGAGCTGATGCATCTATCAGCCCGTCTATGCCGTCGAATGTAACGTCAACAAGTAGTTATGACAACCTCACGGCAAGTGTAAATTTGACACTAACAATGCCCTCAGCTGTTCTCAATATATATAGCGGTCACATTTTTATTCGGTAGGGTAGCGTAGGCACAACCAGGGCGTCTGGGGGTCAGGTTACTGATGTCAAGGCTTGTAAGGGGGAGAGACAAGTACACCTCCCAAAGCCCGTCAAACGTTCCCAATTTCAGCATCCTCATATCCTGAGATAATTACAACCGCGTCGCCACCCTTTGTCACCCGTGCGACGCCTGTAGATCTGGCAAAAGTTGGACTTCTCCTGACAGAAGTAAAAGATTTACGTCCGCGTCTCAGCCATGATACATTACACTCATGCTATGACCTCCCAGTCACAAGCACGGCGTTCCAAAGTGTGTCGGTACCGGTCCAGTCTGTCCAGAAGAGCTTCCTTCATGCCTCGCCAGGACATATCTGTGATATCCCATTCAATCTAACAGACCTTCTAACTGTCTAGACTGAAATTTAGAACATGTAAAGGTCCGCCACCTCGGCCGACCCTCTGGACCTGACCTGTTTCCGGGTTCGAAGCAGACAACGTAATTTATGACCATGTCATAGACGTCGATCTCAGTCTTCCGCCGCAGCCCGGGTATATGTCGAAATCGGCGTACCTCAGGGTGGGCCTGTGCATCAAGCAACTGCTCTTTCTGGTGTCTGAGTTAGGGATATTGACGGAGCCATCCTCGAAGTTTGAGTTGATGAGACGTGGACGTGACGGGCGGTGTAGGGCCTGCCGCCACACTGAACTGTCCTGCCGCGGTCCTTCAAACTGGACAAGAGCGCATATGCACGCTCACTGCTCTTCAGTTCAGTGATGTGAGTTACCCCGTCAAACTTGACTCCAGCAGAGTGACCGACCAGTCCGTCGCTGTTTTGCTCAGCTAACATTCATTTAGGGTTGGGGCAGCTAAGACTCACGCAAACCTGAGGAGAGCTCAGGGCCCGATTGTCGCGGAACGAGGCCATCGCTGCTGGCCCATCAATCGTAAGATGCAACGGAGGCAGCGTCAGGGGCTACAGCACCATTACCCATAATTAACTCTATCGGAAGAGACACTGGGTAGGCGCATCTTAGCAACGTTCAAGACGTTGCCTAGGCTGTGTAGGACTGTCAAGCCAGCTGATGATGGACCGGCGCGTGGTTGGTGTAAACACTGAGAATCAACTTGACACAGTGTAACGAACCGGCATGTACATTGACAACCAGGTTACCGAATTCTTTTCTGATCTCTAGCTCATCACAGCATGGGTGATAGTGGTTTGGGGGTAGGCTGAAATGCACTATGCCGCCGCATGCCACAGGCCGATCATAACCACAGCAGACAGCAGCTGTTACCTGCCGTCAACCCCTGGATGCAGAAATTCCCTGTAGACTCTAGTGTCTGAATCATCTTTTTCATCGTTGGATTCAGCGAACTTCGCATCTACCGACCCATGCTGTCACGTCTGGCCCGTTGGTACTCTGGATTGTGAGGATGATACACGGTGACAGGCGATGTGACAGCACTGGGAGGAAACGTGATCTCCGGGTCCACAATGCTAATGACTGAAACGGTTTTCGCTTTGGCGCTGACCTTGTATTTGGGATTCTCTTCCTGCGGATTTGGCTGCACACCGTACTTTTGGCTGTCCGATGGTTGGATGGAACCCAATTCTGGATCCGGGTTCGTATCACTAACCGATTTGGCCATGGGCTCAGGAATCTGCTTGCTACGCCGACCTAGGGTAATGTAGTACAGTGGTTGCAGGAATGGAATGCAAGCTGCCATGATCATGGCGCTTCCTTCGATGCTGCGCTTCTTATTAGTAAAAAAATCCAGTTGCCCATGTCTTGGAAGAACTCACTTGGTCCAGATGATCAGCTCCGCAGTGTCGTCTGGCCACTCAAATTAGCTTTTGAAATTGCGACAGCTTTCATGGCGAGTGCTACTTACACGTCCAATCGGCGCTCGCTAGAACGGTCAAGCGTGCGTTCTTGTTAATGGACACCACGGCGGCGCTATGTCAAGTTGTGATTAGCCTGCGCGTCTTCGAAGTCCAAGCGGGCAACAGGTGTCATACATAGCACCAAACCCAAGCATAACGCTCAGTAACAACTTCTTCTTCAGGCAAATATTGAGCTTGAAAAGAACCACGGTCGGATACACAGCAAGATAAAGGTCAACAAAGGCCGAGAATGCTAGAGACTGTCAACGACGCGCGCAGGAGTGAGATGCTATATGGCGCACCTGCAGCACCCATGTAGTAATGGATGGTCAACCATGGGTCCCACGACATGTTGCGTGGAGCGTAAGTGAACCAGGGCACCATGACGAGCACTCCAACGCCCACGAAGACAATGATGTTGAAAACCACGAGAGACCAGAGGAATGCCCGGTGCCACTGAGTAGGCAACAGCAGCCGACAAACCATAGCCACGACAGCAAGTTTGGGAAGGGCAAGCCCCAGGAGTCCTGGAAGTGTCGAAAAGACGAACAGCTCCACCGCTTTGTATCGCCGCTCAGGACTGAGAGTATCAGAGTGGCGCCCATCGCCCGAGTCCACGCCAGCAATAACCATCCCAGCCCATACCCATTGGAAGATCTGACTCGTTTAGTTCTCAAAGTCACATCGCCAAAAGGGAGGAAGTAACTTACCACAGCGAGAATAATCATGCCATCATCCGCTTGCGTCTTGCCCTTCATCTTGATTTGAGTGTAGATTCTCGCGACGGCCATAATGGTGGCCAACGCTATGAACCCGATGGTTCCTTCTATCAAAACCCTCCTATCATGCCGGTCCTCAGCCACAACTACTGGTGAAGTATGAGACATGTTCTGCATGTGGAAGGGACGATTGACTAGAATGCAGATTTATTCTACCGACTGCAAATTATCTTGGGCGGATTAAACTGGATGTGACGAGATAAATAAGCTGGCTTTGAGTGACGACTCACCACGGACATTTGTGCTCGATCCACATGGATCAAGGCGGTTGTGGGAGCGTTGAACAGTCCACTACTTGGCTCGATCTTGGCATAACAAGCAATCCGACTTTGATCTCAGAGCTGTCGACTAAACTTTCACCGTGTCAGTCTGTTTCAACCTCTCATGTGGGGGCAAGTAGAGCCATCCCTTCGCTGCATCCAGCACGGCCGTGTGTTATAACGAGTTCAGGTGTAGCTGGGGCACCCTGATCCCTGGCATCTAGTCGACGTCAAACATTCTGGCAGGGAAAGAGGGCCCATCAACCATTCTAAGAGGTGGACAATAAGTACATGAGTTGTGTATTTAAATCCGACTTGTCGTCAAGCTCCTAGGCTGTGTGTTTTTTGAAACGAGAACAATCAGACGAACGCTGCTCTGGTTTGATACGAAGGACTGGGGAACGTGCTTCGGTTTTAAACTTCTTCGGCAGGTAAACAACCAATACCCACTAGTCCTTGAGCCATCATAGTCATGCCTTCGGTTATTTGTTCCACTCCGGCAGGCCAAGTCTTACGCTACTCTGCCCAAACCGGGCTAAACTTACTCAGGTCTAATGGGGCATTCCCAGTACTAGAATCTTATAGGATGATGAAAGATTCTTCGTAACAACGGAAAACGGAAGAAAGCACATATTGCCGATAATTAAATAACGAATTAAGAAATAAACTGGTAGCAATCCTCAAATATCCGCGGTATACTCGGAACCTGATAAATACGAATGCTTCGTTGCAGCCTCGTAATCTTGGATTGATGAGATATGTTCGTACCAGCCTTTCGATATCTATAGTAGAACTTATTCGGCCTACTATAGTTACGCTGTATTAGGATCAAAATACATTCATTGTGACCAGGTTAACTTGGGAAAGCCCGCGCTTCCTTTGCTGTCGATCGCAAATAATCAACTGATCCCTAGCTATCGGACTCTGAATTCAAGGGACTTTACTTGAATCTAAACGCCACAAAACCTCCACGACTCAGAGCCACGTTTGATGGTGGACAAGGAAAATAGGGCGGGAAAACTTGGGGAGCAAGGTTGCTGCGGAGATTGGCATCAAACTTCGTCTGATATACGATTCCCCACGCAATAACAGCTGCATATAGTTCTGGGGAATATATTGATCTTGTGCTGAGATGATACTTGGAACTCGTTTCAAATAGCTTCGTGTCTTGAGTTCGAGAGTCAGATGAAGTTAGAATATCACGTGGAACTTAGCTTTGACGTCCACGTTTTAGCTTATGTATGGAATGGACGCCCAGTTGGGTTCGGTTCTTTTCGGTAACTCCCAAACTCCAGCTTATAATGACGTGAATATCAGACGTGGTAATAACAGTTAAGCTGGTAGTGAGCATTTTGGTCTATCGAAACATCTGAACCTATTGGAGGTCCTGTCAAGCCTATAAAATACAACATAAGTAACTCATTCAGTATAATAGTTTAGGATGATCCAATATTCCCAAAGTAATTAATAGACATAAAGCCACTATGGGTAACGTACCCCACAAGCAAGTTGGCCACTTTTTCTTGGCACCGTATGAATAACTTCAATAACTTAACTAAACTAAAAAATAATAATTCAAACTAATCGGAATCCTCTTCCTCGTACGTATCTTTATCATTCTCACAAGTACGAGCATTATGTCCGGGCTCTCCGCAGATCCTACAGCGCCTCATACGACGACGACTTACACGTATATCATCCTGTAGCTGCTGTTCAATATCCCGTTGAGACTGCTTAATATCCAGCTGTGAAATCACATATTCCGGGTCGTATGGAATAAGTCCTGTCCCCCTGAAACCTGCCTGGATATTCGACTTAGTTATAGTCGTACGATACGCCCTATAGAATAGCGAAAAGAAATCCTCCTTCGAGATATGGGTTATATGCGCCCGTATTAGGTCTTCAATTTCTTGACTAGATTGTCGAGTATCGCGTCGAGATAGTAGTCCGCGTTTTCGGTTAGCTAGAGTTGTACGAGGGACATTGTAGAGTTGGGCAGGGCGTCGGATGCTTAATTCGGGTTTCGATTGAAGCGCCTGACACGCTAGAATCATGTTGCTTTCTTTCCAATTCGATCCCATCTTGGTATGTGTAAAGATGTTAATTAAAAGGTTGTTCGTACGGTGCCAAGAAAAAGTGGCCAACTTGCTTGTGGGGTATGTTACATAGTATCGCTCCCAGTTTGATTTCCCATTTCTTGGCCCCTTTTTTAGCTAGCCGGCAGGTCGTCTTTCCGGATGCATTACTACCAAGTCTTGGGGAATAAACCTAATTCTGTGATAATGCAGTAAATATGGGTATAGTCGACTCGGAGTAGAATGTTGGCATCCGATGATGTCTTGTCCGCCAAGAGATGGTAGAGCTGGTGGATCTACTTTAGTCAGTCGCCGAAGATTGAGCTTGAGAGGGAGTTCCCGTGAGCCAATAGTCTTTTGAGCCTCAGCCGTTGAATCTACTTGTCAATCGCCGAAGATCGAGCTTGAGATGGAGTTTCCATGAGCCAGTGATATTTTTGAACCCCAGCCATTGAATCCACTTTAGTGAATCGCCGAAGAGTCAGCTTGAGAGACAGTAATATTTTGAACCCCGGCCGTCGAATCCACTTTAGTCAATCGCCGAAGAGTCAGCTTGAGGGGGAATTCCCGTGAGTCAATAGTATTTTGAGCCCCAGCCGTTGAATCTACTTGTCAATCGCCGAAGATTGAGCTTGAGATGGAGTTTCCGTGGGCCAGTGATATTTTGGATCCCAGCCGTTGAACTACTTTAGTCAATCGCCGAGGATTGAGCTTGAGAGGCAGTGACATTTTGAACCCCAGCCGTTGAATCTGCTTTAGTCAGTCGCCAAAGAGTGATTTGGAGGGAGTTCCCATGAGCCAGTAATAATCTGAATCCCCGCCATTGGCTCTGCTTTAGTCAGTCGCCACAGATTGAGCTTCAGAAAGGAGTTCCTGTGAGCCAAGAATATTTTGAATCCCAGCCAGGCAGTTGGATGGAGCTGGCGCTGTTCCAAATCCATGAGCCCCAGAGCCAAGCCGTAGCAACCGATTACCCAATGCGGTATAGATATCTCGGTCCCATATGAAACTCGCTTTCCAGTCCCTGTGAGCATGTTTCTTGTCGGTTTCTATCTTTGCAATCAAGAAGATCGTTCTTCTTGGTAATATTGCCTGGCACCCCCCGATTGGACACTTTCCCCACTATAACACTATATGTTGTATGACACAGCACTCTAACGATAATTGAGATATGAAGCCGTAAATAGTATAGATACATATTATTTAAAGATCTCCATCGATATATGTAATAATTGTGTCGCGCTGGGCGGCGAAAGTTTCTGGTATGAGTTATACGTTACGGATTCCGATTCCGACCCCGAGTTAACTATTAGCTCTTACCCCCCTCACCCCCTTTGAGCCTAATAATCGACTCGTTAGAGCTGGAGCTTTCAGAATCGCTAGCTGAGCAATAGAGGACTTATTATTAACTTCAACGGCTACAGCGGCTCTCCCGTGACATAGCATATGGCGATTGCGTGCGGTAGCAGTCACCTGCTGTGCGATTATCTCTTTCCTAGAGATAAGTCTCTTATTTGGATCTAGCGTAAGAAACTTCCGCTTACGATGCCTTCAAGTTCTTCTACTCTAGACGTGTCCTTAGTGTGACGAACGTCTAAATAGTCCAGCTGCTAAACTACTAAGAAGTGCTGTGACCGTTTACTGGCAAGGAAGTCCTGGTAATGGAGGCATAGTTATAGAAGTGCGTATTGAATCTGATTGATCATAGTTATGTCGAATTGGTGGCCTAAGGTCACGGTGAGGCACATCTGTGATGCGTCTGCATATGGGGGGTAAAGTGTGTGTGTTGGGAAAGCTTGGTTGGCTAGTTAACTGGCTGACCGAGGGCCCTATTTGGCTGGCTATTTTATCTCATCTACAACTACAGGGCCCTTGTGCGGCTTGGACCCCTACCCGCACACCTGTACTTCCCTTATTCATCTTGGTATGTAGCCAGAATCCCAGTACCAGTGCGATCCAACATGTGGACGATCAACCTAGGGAGACCAGGAAGCAATCATACTATCCAGAAACCACAACATTCAGGAAGAATCGAATTATTCACTTTCCTCATCAAGCGCTCAACAATCCGGCACTTAATGTTGCTACTTGCAGTAAGGGTTCGTGAGAAACGCTTGAGCCGTAGGACGAACTTGTCGTTCTGCACTATTTTCTATTGTTGATGTACTTCTTGGACGGTCCGACCATTTCTTACGAATAGCGCCAACCTTCTAACACGTGCCGTTTCCATAGGCGTCTTCAAGTGAGTCATTCGGCGAGATAAACATGTATGTCTTGATCAATGTCAACTTTCCGGGATATATTACTCTACACTGCATTTCAAACTGAACCCGATCACACAACCAAGAACAAGATGGCAACCGACGATGTTGTGATCCAGAGGATGCCTCTGCGCACATCCCCCGAGGATCGCCTCAACTCTTATAATCATCACTCCTTGGCACCATGGCTGGAAAATACAGGCTACCTTACCCCATTATTTCTGTACCACCGCGAGCGCGCGCTCGACGAATTCAACATGGGCCGGTGGCTTTCACTCCATGTTGAAAAGCACATGCTTCGATCGCCTTTAACCGTTCTGAACTTGAGCAAGATTCAACTCCAAGAGCTCCTCGCCTTAGTGGCAAAAACAGATTACGGGAAGACCATACCTACTGACGAGACCTCGCTGCAAAGCCTAAGCAACGAATTCTCACTGCCCAGTGAGATCCCAAGATCGGGCTTCTTCGTACGCATGAGCCACTGTTCCCCCAAAGACGCAGACAAAGGCGATCTGAAGCCCGTCTTCACGATAAGTGAAGCTCTCATCAAAATCATCTCCTCAAAACGCACTGTGCAAGCGCTCCTGCGTCTGCTCTCAGCTCCCGATGAAACCGACAACAAAATCTATCTCTTCCCATACCATGCCGAACTCGACAAACTTAGCGAGTGGCGCTGTTATATACACGGCAACAAAGTCGCCGCCATCAGCCAAAGCAGGTTCTACCAGCCTAATTATCCCGACATCCCAGATGATACGCTCCGACGACTCGTACAGCAGGTCAAGGCCCTATGGGACGATATCGGCCCTACTTTCAGCTTCAACTCTTGTGTTTTGGACGTGTACGCTGAAGTCCGTAAGCTGGATTTCAAGACAAGGCTTATAGAGATCAACCCCTGGGGTTCTCACTTGGGGTCAGGGAGTTTGTTGTTTCACTGGCTCGACGATGCGGAACTTTTGCAGCCGCAAGAGTCGTCTACTTCAACAGTTTTGAGGCTCGTTGCATCTGACACCGCTAGCACTGCGGCGAACGCAGATTTTAGTCGGAAGGAAGCGTATCGGATTGGGCGCGCTGGCATCGTTGAGGACGAACTGGCGTGCCTGAGAGATCGAGGATTGGTCTGGGTTTTGGAGCCCTCCAAGCATCGACAGTTCATGAGTTTGCCTGTGCATGACCTAGAGCCTTACAGAGAGGCTGTTACGACGAGGAAAGCTGGTCTTGCGGCTTTCATGGAAATGTACGGAAACGAGGGATATTCTAGCAAATCAAGTTCGGTGAGTGGTGGGGTGGCAAATCATCCGCGGATGAAGAAGTTGCAGCAGCTCTATATGGAAACGGTTCGTGGCTATGTTCTGAGCTGAATGTATATCATAAATTAGATGCCAGGAAAGACCATAACAGTAGTTAATGGTATAGTCAGATAGAAGTCTGATTATAGTAATATTTATGCCTGTTTATTCCAGTGTGCATACCGAACTATCACGCTGTTTAAAGCCACTAAAGTACCCAACCACCAATATAAAGATGAAAGGTACTTGATTTAATGGAAAGCCTTGAGTCTCGAAAGTTTTCCGATTTCCCAAAACTCCCTGATGACAACTCTTACTCAACACCATCAACATGGAAGAACCACCGCCATTCGCAAGAAGATGTAAAAGCCCCAAAGGCATAGGAATACACCAGCTAAAGAGAAGGCAGAAGGCAGAAGGCAGTTAGAGTTTTATCCCCCGCAGAGCCAGAACTATGTACAAAATCTGCGAGACAATAACCCCATCTCGTGCAGACACCTTCGACTCTGCCGGGGCCGGAATTGCGACCACGCACACATCAGGGCGCATAGATGTGGGTTCAACCCGCCGAGACAGGCTAAAATAACACAGACTGACCAAATACCAGCGCACCATTAGCGCCGACTCTAACTCAGAAGGTGACCTCCAATAAGGCGGCGGCGCGACACTACCAACAACCTCGACCCCAACTGGTGGCTATATTTGGAGCACGCGAAGCTACGAAGTACGAACATTTGGTTCAACTTCCCGTTAAGAACAACAGCACCAACACAATTGCCATTAGATCGCCAAACATGGTTACAACTAGCTTTCCCAGACGGCCCTCAGACTCAACTTCTGGAAGGCCATGCTGCACGTCTTGAAGATAAGCCCGCACGATCGTTTCAACTGGAGATTGCGTCTGTTTCCAAAAAAGACTAGAGACGAGTGGGACGGCCTCTGGTAGGAGCTGACCGTCCTGATATCTCACCCAGTATGGGAGGCTAGGTTGCCACTTTCCGATATTGACTCTCGCGGGCAGTTCAACTACAAGTCAAGGAATACCTCGATTCCTTGGGTCCACTTCCGCAACGGAGTTCGTCGGCACTATTCGATCAATTTAAATGACAGAACGCCCCAAGAGAGCACGCCAAGGTTGAGATATCCACCATTGTGCTGGATACATGGGAGGCCACCGAACCCGAAACCCAACGAACGGGACAACATCTTGATATCGAAACTGAGAGACTGGCTCCTCGAACAAAGCCTGCGCGGCATGAACGAGAAACGGGATATTTTCAATTGACCAGGGAAGACGTCGACTTGCTTCGACAGTCCCTAAACCACATGGCCAGCCCCCACCCATTCGAGACCTCCCAAATCAACTACTATAACAACTACACTGCTGTCATCTCTGCGATCTGCAATGGTGTTCCGTTTGACCTTGAAACTATGAGGAAATGAGATGAGATCAACATATCGAAGAAGCGGCAGCCAACCGGTATTTGGATTACATGCGGTGGAGGTCCTTCGTATCCCCGCCAATAACGAGTTCACTGGAAGGAGCACTTCTCTTGACGATATCAGCGGTGTCTGGCACAATCCACTGACACCCACCGCGAGAGAGGTTCAAACCCAACTACGCCCAGCATTTTAGCTCCGCCTCCTGAGCGCCAAAAGGAGGACCGGACGACCCTCCAAAGACACGGGGCGTTTGAAGCCCGAGAACCAGGTGTTGCTACCCTAAAGCCAAATCCGTTGAAAAGGACACCGCGAAGGACTGACCTTGAAGATCGCCCCTTTCCCCAGTGGCGGCTGTAGCCTTTTGATCGGTTGCCCACCGGATGTAGTCACCTTCAGCTGACTACAGGTGACTGCACCTGCGACTATTACGGCGGGAGATGGAAAGAGAGTTGAAGACGCAGAAACTTGCCAGTATGGCGCGGTCATGCAGGTGTTTAACTTACAATTTTATCCTGGCTTTGACATCTGTCGAAGTTGCTGCGCACATGTCTAAGATTCGATTTAGTCCCCGAGCTGGAATAAGCTGGCAGGATCTCAACCTGGCGTCTCCCTCGAAACACGATTCGCATTACCCGTAGTGCGCCATGACTGGGTGCATGAAAGCCTCGAGCTGGAGAGCTCAGATGCCTGGCCTTTTGGAATCCCGCTTCCCCGAGGTTGATTTTCCATAGCAGGGGATGGTCATAACGAACTTTGTTGCTTCACAGGATCGAGCATTCTGAGAGTATGCGGAGGCCCCCTAGAAAGATTCCAGTGCCGTTCTGGGGCTATTTTGGTATTATACCAGTTTATTCCAGTAGAAGCATCTGGAAAAAAATACTCAGGTTGCGAATTTCCTATTTGACTCCCATAGCCATCGTCTGTTTGATGAAAATGGTATATGTCTCCTGTTTACCACAAACCATGTATACACAAATCATCATGCGTGATACCAATCCAACGTTTTCATCCAGCAACCAGATCATCCTGCCTCACATCATCCTCTCAAACCAAAACATGCGATCGTCCCGATGATGCCTGATAAAGCTTGGCAAAACTGCTCTCCGAATCTCTCAGCAACTCAGCGGGTCTCCCAAACTCCACAAGCCTTCCCCCATCAAGCACAGCGACGCGATCGAAGTCAAGCAGGCTAGACAGACGATGCGCGATCATGAGGATGGTATGGTCACGGAACTCGGAGCGGATAATCTCCTGCATCTTCGCATCCGTTTGCGTATCAACACTGCTAGTCGGTTCGTCAAGAATCAGGACCTTGCCCTTCTTGAGCATGGCCCTGGCGAGGCAGAACAGCTGGCGCTGGCCGTGCGAGAGAAATTCCGTGTCCATCAGGTTATTGAGAATGGTGGACGCAGTAGGATTATTCTTGTCAGCGGCTCTGTCTCGGAGAACGGTCCAAAGACCGACTTTCTCCAATGCGGCGACGATGGCGGCGTCGGAGGCGTTGCGCCGGGGGTCGACGTTGGAGCGAATTGAGGCGGGGAACAAAAAGGGGTCCTGGGTGAGGCAGATGACTCTTTCTCTAATGATGGAGCCGGGGATGGTCGATAAGTCGACGTCGTCGAGGATGATGCGGCCGGACACTACGTTGATCAAGCGCATGACGGCGAGGGTGGAGGAACTTTTGCCGCTGGGTCGCAACATGTTAGTCTACTAACGGTAGACAAGCTCTGCGGTATAAGGGAAACCAACCTTCCTGTCCTCCCGACCAAGCCGATCTTTTGGCCTCCTTCGATGCTAAAGCTTAGGTTCTTCAAGGCAGGCGAACTTGGGTCACTTGGTTAATAATGCGATTAGTATAGTTCCAAAGCCAAAAAAAACAAAAAGAAAAAAAAGGAGGATCTCACCTGTAGCTGGCAGACACGCCCTCAAACCTGAGAGCCCCTCGCGTCGGCCAGTTAGCACCTGGGTCCTCACTATCTTCCAGAGACTCCTCAGCCGGTGTCTTATCCGAGAAGTCCTTGATGCGGGCAATGGCTCCTAGGGACGTCTCGAGATTTGTCCAGTGTTGCACCAAGTATGTTAAGGAATGGGACAGATTCATCATGTTCACCAGGGCCAGACCCAGAAAACCAGCAACCAGCTGGGACCGTAAAGCAACGGCCATGCCAACGAGTAATACGGCAAGTCCTGCAACAACGAGATCAAGAACCAGAACCAACCACCTCTGGATACATAGAAGTAGATAGAAGGGTTTTTGAGACGTATTGAGAAACTGCACGTTTCTAGCCGTGTAATACCCAGTCCACCCGAAAGACCTGATGGTGACGAGGCCGTTCAGACTTTCGATGAAATGGGAGTACAGAGGGGCATTTGCCTCGAGTCTTTAGACGGCATTAGTTTTGGGAGAGGCGGTGTAGAAGCCGAAGACTTACTCTAGAAGTCTGAGCTGACGCGATGTGCGGAGGTAGAATCTCTGGATGAAATAAAGCGCACCCAAAACGGCGGGAAGTACAGCAGCAAAGTATCCAACTGCTGTTACTGACAATGCTGTGACTACAGCACAGGTTCCGAGTTCTACATGCTATGAGTCAGCCTCTTACACATGCCTGACATCAAGAGACTCACGGAATGCGCAATTAATTATGCTCCCTGGCAGCGTCATGTCTGCAAGGCGAAGATCTTGGCTGAATCTGTTTCTCTGTTAATTAGACGATAGGGTTGTGCAGATGGGCCTTACCGGTTAACAAGCACCCCAGTTTCAGTTTCTGCAAAGAATGACAATGGAGCTCTATCGAGCTGTTAGCAAAGTCGTAGGCATAACACGTCGCTAGACAGTGGATACTGACCTCATAGCAGCATCCAATATAGATCGATGCAGGTTGCTGCCAGACTTTGGGATGATGACAATCCACAGAAACCTGTCCTGGTTAGCAATACGAGAGAGCTTCGGCAGAACCGAGGATCTCACGCAACGGCTCCGACTAAGAAGACGCCTTCCATAACGCCCAAGAAGCCGTATATACCGAGCCAGTACCCCAAACGAGAGTCGCCGCCACTTTCATTACTCGAAGCCCACCAGTTTATCCACACATCTGCCATTTGTCAGTTTCCCTTGAATGATATTCACGGTAACTTACTGATCATGCCACTGCACACATCGTTTGCCGCCACAAGGGCGACAAAGGTGGCCATGTACCACGGACCGAGTGAACGAATGTAGTATTTGTAAGTTGTCCAGTCTCCGGTCTTTCGGCTCTCATCGGCGACGCTTGTTTCCGAGCGAACGTTCTTAGGCCTCGCGTACGGCTGGGCTGTGGTCCCGTCCGTTTCTTCATGGCGGTTCTCTTCTTCAAGTTTCACCTGGAGGCGATGAATGTAGTTTCCCGGCACATTGAGCTCCGAAAAAGTACCCTGTTCAATAAGCGTCCCTGTCTGATCAAGCACGAGAATAAGATCGGCCTGGGGTAGGCGTTTTACTGCAGAATATTAGGACCTCGCGTGTAGCCGAGGGTTGGGCCATACCTGAGTGAGTCGCCATAATGACCGTGGTGCCGGTCATGCGGAAGATTCCTTCCCGGCTGAAGACTCGTTTGAATACAATTTCTTCTGTGGCCGAGTCCAAGCCACTCAGGACGTCATCGAGAATAGCCAACTTCTTGCGCGAGTAAACTGCTCGAGCGATAGACTAAAATGTCAAATCAATCCCATCCACTTCTGGAATGGCCAACTTACCAGTCGTTGCTTTTGACCACCGCTGAGTTTGACGCCCTTGCTACCAACAACTGTCGAGTCTCCCTCCGGCATCTGGCGTAGATCTGTATCGAGGGCAGAAACGTGGACTGTGGTTGAATACCACGCCTCGTCGAAATCCGAACCAGCAACGACATTGTCACGAATCGACCCATTGATGATCCAAGGGGTTTGATCACAATAGGCAATCTGGGACTCGGAGACGGACAACTGACCTCGAAGCTGGGGGGTTTCTCCGAGAAGGGCTTTGAGAAATGTTGATTTACCACAACCCACCGGCCCAACCAGGATGGTGAGGTGTGAGTCGGCTTGGACGGTGGTCGAAACCTCCTGTACAATATTGCAACTGGATTCTGACCAACCGAAACTGCCGTGATCTAAGCGAATCGCATTTTGCATGGGTGATTCCATAGACTGCAATTCTATGCCAGCTTGGCTTTGAGTGGATCGTCTGGTATTATCCCTGCTTGGCATCTGTAGCAACCGCTGCTCCACACGAGAAGGCTCCAGTAGGAATTCCCGAATTCTTTCGAAACAGCCCAAAGCAGCCCATCCTGTAGGTATCGCGCTGAGTATGTCGGCAAGAGGCGATGTTAGGAGGTTGAGAGCCGCCAGGGCAGTGATTGCTTGTGAAACGGAAACACCATCGGTTCCTTGGATCTTAGCCGCGATTGCACATGCCGCAAAGATGAGGAACCTATTGAAGACCTCGGGAAGGTTTACTTGCAGAAGCAATCAGCCTGTCGTTCAACTGGGCCATGAGTGAGAGTGCTTACCTAGTGAGACGTTGAGTGATTGCACTTTTCTAGATCTCCTGGAGCTATCCATTTCAACCTCGCGCATTTGCTGTATGTTTGCAGACATGGTCTCGGTGAGCCCCAGCATCTTGACATTCCTCATCGAACCCAATATTTCTGATGTGTAGTTGATTCTCCGCTGGATGACTTCAAACCATGCTTTCTGCCTCACGGTGACATGACCAGCGAGCAGTGTGGACAATGCTGTAGATACTGTTTCACGGTCAACGCCATGGGAATTGAAGGTCTGTGTTGAGCACTTACTAGTGGCGATGATGATCGGCGCAACGCAGACAGCACCAAGTTGGACGTAAAGTAGATACATGGCAATACCAAGTTGGACCACAGACGGGATTACATCGATGACTAAGAAGTAGAACGTCTCTGCGATCCTCTGAACATCTGCGCCCATCAAGGTCATAGCCGCCGACTCGTTCAAATTGTTTATTTGGAGGGTCATCATTTTTGCGTAGATGGCGGTGATGAGCTCGCCACGTATCATGGTCATCATTCGAAACGACAAGTGAGAGAACCAACCCGTCATGATCTGGGATAATGAGCAACGTAGGCCTAAGATCATCCGGCTGATATCGTCAGACTTACCGCTAACCCCAGATAAACGAAGCCGAATGCACCGATCAAGCCATAGCCGGTGTTTTCAGATTCTGTCTCCGCCGTCTGGACAAAAGCGATGACATCTTGGATAAGGTACGGTTGAGTCAGACTGAGTCCAACGTAGCAGAACTTTGGCACGGCAATAACCAACACCTCCCAGCGCAGACTCCACAGGCAAGCATATGCAAGTGAGTGCTTTCTCTTTTGGTTACCTGTAATCTGTCAGCATTCGTCTCCGTCAACGTTGTCTTTATTCACATTTGCCCCAAGCCAACTGTAATTGTACAGCCAAGCGGTCCGAGTCCAGCTTCTCGTGGATAGCAGGTAAGTCGTCCATGGTCAAAACCTTTTTGAAGCCACTCACGAGGAGCGAGTTCAGCCACCAGAAAGAGCTGCGACTGAACACTCCGCTCGTGCTCTCAATCGAGAAGTTCCTGTCCAACCCAAGAAGCAGAGAGCGTTTCTCTGCAGCTTCCAGCAGAAGCATGCCAACCTTGACCGCCACCGATGCCGTCAAAACACCAGCAACGACGCCGTCTTCTCCCAGGAGCCATTGTGTCCGCACTCGGGCGATGTCGAGTAGTACAGTTGCGATGAGGTAAATGTTGATTAAGAAAGAAGGCCGAATAGATTTGGCATGTTCCAGATGAGATAGCACTGCTAGGCTAAGTCCGGAGGCCAAGGACAGCGTTGCCGAAGCGATTGAGACCTGTGTTTGCACCGCAGAATGGGCTGTCAACACCAGAACCGCAAGTTGGAGACCGATGTAGGCCCCGATCGCAACCACTTTCCCAGCGTACAGGGCTGTTCTCTTGACCCTGATCCTGCGCCGAAGCAGCCGCAGGGCTCGGAACGGAGCAAGGAGAATGAAAAGAGTTGCTGGAAGAATTGTGAAGATGCTTTCTTCAAAGAGAACTGCTTTTCGTTAATCGAGCTCATATTCAGGCGTCGCAGCAAAACTTGCTTGTGAAGTCGAAACTACCCCGACAATCCGGGGACTTTACCCCAGGACCAAATGAATTATCGTCGCAAACCAAAGGCTTGGCGGAATCCATCTTCGCCTAGACGTAGGGCATTAGACCCCAAGACGCTGAGGTTGGGGTGTTGCGGCTTGTTAGAATATGTGCATGTGTCCTGCTAAGATGTCCAATGTCGTTAGTTGATTGCCTAGATAGAACGAGATGAGCTTCGGACGACATAGTTGACGTTCAAAGGCATTCGGCGCAACTTACCTCCTTGATTACGGCCCTATCAGGTTAGAGCCAAATGTGCCACACCGACCAGAATCAACTGCGTGAACCAAATGCTCGGGTTGCGCGTAGCCCATGAGAATTGCTCTGGGTGACTTGGGGAAGCCATGGGGGTAAATCATGATCAGGGTGAGTTATCAACCCGGCGCGGCCAGTGCCTATGTAGTACCTATGCTGCGAGATGGTAATATCACCAGACATGCACTCCTCAAATCGATATATCATGGATAGAAATAGTCTGGAATGAAGATCGATCTATCACAAAACCATCGTGTACATCAATATAAAGAAAAATTGAGTATGCTGTCTATCAATGATGATTCAGTATGTAAAGACATATAGCACGTAACCGCAATATTATGGGTTCACCAGATAAGCCACCCTAATAACTCGGATATACACACTAGGTTAGAGTAGAGAATCATGAACATTATATATAGATACAGATTGTTCCGCCTCAGAATATGATTGGTTACGCTCACTGCCCCCGCTCCTTTAGTCAGTTCTGATCAACCAGAGGCACAGGGTCTGATTATATTGCACTGAAGCGGTGGATGAAGCAAGCGAGAGGGCAAACCTCGGACTACCTTTTGCAAGGCATAAGTCGCTTCTATTTGTTATCAACACGGCGTGCTTGAACAAATGATCTTGCAGGAGATTTTGAAGGCTTATCCTGAAAACAACCCAGATTGATATCTGCCTAACTATAAACATGTAGCGTGCGCCTTTAAATATGTATGAGGCAAGCCATCGCCTAATCTATGTCTACCCGCCCTGTCATCGACCCTTCCTCTAACGCTCAGTCCTCAATCGCGTACCCCTCAATCTGCAGCACCGTCTTCAAATGCTTATAGGCTAGCATCTCCCCCTTATGACAAGCAAGCAAGTGGCTCGTCTTGAGCACATTCTTGATGACCCGTCCGTTCATCTCCAGCCTGGCCAACTTATCCACGTCCTCCTCCGTCAATTCGTGCTTCGCAGCAACAGCCTCATTACCAACGCTGCTGCGGTCCAAGAATCCAGTCCAGACGGCCTTGCGCGCCGACTCGTCCAGCGCAGGATACTCGAGGCTTATATGTATGCGACTGTGGAACGCCTCGTCCATATCCTTTACTCGGTTCGTGGTCAGGAAAAGGATGCCCTCGTAATACTCTAGAGTGCGCAGGAAGATGGATACGATGCGGTTGCGGTCGAGATCGTGCGTACTCCGGGTCTCTAGAAATACGTCGCATTCGTCGAGGAGCAGGACGGCGTTCCATTTCGCCACCATCTCAAGCACTTGATTGAGATTCGTTTCGATCTCCCAAGATGCCGAGCCCAGATCTCCGGCGGACATCATGTAGAGGGGCACTTGCATGTCCTCCGCGACTGATTCAGCCGTGAGCGTCTTCCCGATTCCTGGACCACCAGACAGCAACATGATGATGCCCTTTCCCTTTCCAGATATGACGTCATCGAATGCGTCCTTATTCTTGATCTGGCTTTGGGCGAAGGCCAGAATGAGAGATTTGTGACCCTCGGGGAGAACCAGACACTCGAATGCGCGCTCATTGAAGACAATCTCTGTGATCTCGTCGACGAAGAACTCGAGCCATTTTTTGGTCTTCAGCGCATATCCTTTGACAATGGGCGTGCACAAGAGGAGCTGTTCTTCGGAAAGGGGGAGTGGCTTGTTGCCTTCATTGACGAAAATGTCGTCGTCCCGGTCGTTGTCAAAGTCATTATAGCTGTTGGACGAGTAGCCATCGTCAGGGTCGGAAGAGTGGATGTTCCCAGTGTCCTTCACTTGTTGCAAGGGCTTGAGGCTTGGCTGTTGGTTCGGGTTCGCCTTCCCATGGGCATAGGCGTCGATCACCACACGGCAATCGACTGTGATCTTGGCTGGACCCCATTCCTTTTGCTCAATGGCGTTGCCCCTGTATGCCTTGTAGTGATACCCTGCGAGGCGCTCAAAGAGAGCCCCTCGCGCAATCAGGGTGGCGGTAACTGTCTCTTGATCGGAATGGTAGGCCAGGGGGAAGCAGTCTAGGTCGGTGATGGAAAGAGTACCTGCGAATGGGAGAATGATGTGTTGTGACAGGTCGTATCCGAATTTTGATCCGTCCCAATCGAGACGATCGCACTTGAGCAGGTAACAAGGTCCATACTTGCAGTGATTGGTGAATTGTCCCTCATGAAGCCGCACGGTCACAGGGCGACCATACCGGGACGCAAAGATGATGGTGCCGGGCTGGAAAATGGTCCAAACGTGTTCATAAGTGATCACCTTGTTCTTGATGTAATCCTTGGTGGCGGAGATGATATCTTTCAGCTCCTCGAACAGAACCGTGTGGAGCAGTTTTAGGTGGGACTTGGTTGTTTCGTCATAATCGCCATCAAGCGCTGCGGTCAACTCCTCCCAGCGGTGAACGAAGGGTTTGAAGGGCGCAACAAATGTCAGCCGGGCCAAGGTGGTGGTCACACCAGGATAATCCTTGAGTACGTCGCGGAGAACTTCCTTCAGCAACGGGCTCTGGATCACGACACTGTCGATTTCAAGCTTCTTGCGGGAGTCACAGCTCCTTTCTGAACAGGGTCAGATTTTTTCGACTGGAATATATGGTACGTGAACTTACTGTTGCGCACTAGCACCGCGTATTTCAGAGTTTCCTCATTCTCGGCAGCTTCTTCTAGGTCCTCGGGGCATCTTTCCGTCCATTTGGGCTGATTGTATTTGTCAATGACTTGATAAAGGTCTTTTCGGTCGGCGACCATGCCAACTATAATCTTGTCCTTCTGCTTGTCGTCAGACTCCGAGTCCGAGTCCGAGTCCGAGTCGGTGTCTTTCTTTTCCTTCTCACCGGCGTCTCCAGTGTCTGCTGTCTCCTTGGAATCGGACGTCTCTTTTTTGCTGCAATTGACAGCCTCCTCTGCTCCTCCATCGGATCCACCAGCTGGAGTCACCATGACCACCGAAGAGGTCTCATCATCAACAGATCCCATGATGCTGGTGTTTGTGCTGAGGGAGTAATGGATGTGGGAAAGATTTGGTAAGAAAATTGTCAAGTAATCACTCGATGATGCTTTCTCTGCCTGGCTTGAACGAACTGCAGGTATAGATCAAGTTCTGGGAATGAAGATGAAGATTAGGGCAAGAAGTTGAAGTATGGGTGAGCTGCCGTCCTGATCTTATACTAAAACCTGAAGGTCTCCCCTATATATCTTACCTGCATGAGTGTAGCCTTCAGGGCGCTATCACAGAATGCTTCTTGGCAGCAGCATTGACTCAGCCCGTGGTAATAAGCTGTGATTCCATTGGCGTGGCCAATCAAAAGTCTATCTCAACGGCCGTTCCTTGCTCGACTGGGACAAGTGCATTGCGGGTATCACAGAGTCCCCAATGAACTGACATCTTAGTTTCAAATGGAGCGGGATACCTACCCCGAGGGGGCAAAGCTTGTGTAGCCTAGTGGCAGGCTGCCTTGGCTAGACGTTGCTTATGTAGGTTCTGACCATTGGGAGGCGGAGCTAAGCCTTCAGGCAGCCATGCCCGAGCATCAGACTAAGCGGAAGTGGCCTCCATTGGAGCAGGATGTTGAACAACAGAGTATCGCCTCAATGAAATCGCAGATTCTTACACGATGGGATGTCAGACAATGTGCGACGTCGGTCCACGACAACGTTGAGGAGTCGAAATTGCCTATTGTGACGCATTATGGCATTTACGAAGTGCTATAGTTGTTGTCGTCGTTATAAGCATTATCGTCTAGCGGATATTCCTTCGCTTAATTGCAAACTCAAGTATTTGACCACACCATTATCAATACCAGCGCCTCCTTCTGATTCTGCAAACGCAATTCGATTCATGCTGCCCAGCTGGAATAACGTCACAGATGACAGAGTGTCCAAGGTCTAGACTAACAAGAGCTGGCAGTTGGTGTTTGCCCAGTAAAAGGCGTAGGCTACGCCGACAGGATTAGTCGAGTGCTGGGAACCCCAGTTGGCTTTTTCCAATCCACCGTACAGTCAATGGAGAACACATCTCGAAGTTCACGCCCCAAAGGGCATTCGCTGCTATCAAAATCCTCTGATGTCCATCATATCCATCAATACAGTACGAGCCATAGTAAAGAGTCGCAAGATCTCTGTGGGCAGAAATGGCAGTGTTCGGCCCCGCACGGACCACCCAGTGTGGCCACTGTAGATTAGCCAGAGCTTACGGCAAGTAACGATAGTCATAAGAACAACAACAATGAACGGTGGGCTGCGATTGCCCACAATGTCAATAGAATGCATGTATTGCTCGAGGGGCTAGACGCTGGGTAACTGTATACCTCCGCCCCCTAATTACCTAGAGAAAAGCAAGACCTGTAAATTTATGAGTAGTCCAGGAGGACTATGCCCAAAGGTTTCCGAACTGACCTCGCTCAAAGTATGGCCGCAAACCCCAGAGCATCCAATGCAAATCAACGATGGACGGAGATCCACTCCAATAAAATGCCTGCCAGCCGTCTAGTACATCAGAGATGTCCCTCCCTTCCAAAACGCCTCTCAGGGGGTATCGAGAATAGATCACAGTAACCACAACCATGCCGGGGATCCGTTCCATACTCAGATTACTGTTTTCCAACAGTACCGCTGTGATGCCGCTCCTGGTTTTTATCCGATGATCACGTCCTCGGGCAATCCAGTGTTACGATTCTTGACATCCTTGTATCTGTTCTTGAGAGCCTTGGGCTCCGTCTCCTTGTTCACCACAACCACAAACTCGAGCTTCGTGATCTTCTTATCCTTGCCGTTGCCCTTTTTCCACTCGTCGAACTTCTTCCGCAGTTCCACCTCACGACTCTCTTCTGTGATACGAAGAATGGCTTTCTCCTCTTTGTGGTTACCTCTCAGAGGTTCCTTCATAAGATAGAGTGTCTCCAGGTTACGCCACGCATTGCTGATGCTCTCCCAGCAGGGCAGAGCCATCAGAGGCAATCCACGAGGCTCCGTCTGGACCGCCATAGACCGGACTGCAGAGCGGTCATCGTCGCTGAACTGATGGCGAGTGCAATAATGCCCTCTGCAACCGCTGCAGCAAGGCTCAAGGATAATGATATCGGTTTCGGGATTGACGACTTGACTGGTTCGATCGTCGTCGGGGGAATGCAATGCAAACATATTCACATACGAGCTCTTCGCCACTTCAGCCGAGATTTTTGTGGTCATAAACCACTTGGGCTGTGAGTTCTGAACGTCATTCGTGAACGGAAAGTTCCAGGCGATCGAGGCTCGATTGCGGATATAAACCACGCGAGGAGTAACAGCGGCTTCCCAGACACATATCTTGAGCTCGGGAGGTAAATTTGCATACATGTGGAACTCGGTCAGGGGTTTGGAGAGCCGTGCCGAGCGTCGTAGAGGCATTCTCCGGGGCTTCACCGGTGGCTTTCTGTGCTTGCTGCGTGCTGAACCACCAGCGCTATTCAGTTCGGCAACTTGCGGGGTTCCTTCCCGGAGATCTTCATTCTGCGGGTTGATCCTCGCCGAGCGACGGGTAGCGGTTTGCGATTGCTCACGTGTCGAAAGTTCGTTGGACGTGGTCAACTTGCGCTTCTTGGTCGGAGGGCGCACGACAACCTCCTCCATCACTTTTTCTTCTTCATCACCTTCTCCTCGGCGCTTAATATCTCTCGAATCCTCCAAGCTCGAAGCTGTACCACCTCCAGAGGCCTTGGAGGACGCACTTCGCAGCCTACTCAGAAGTTCTGTTTTGGGATCTGTCTTGGGACCTGATTCGGTCACGCTCGAGACACTCTGAAATCTGGATATAGACCGAGTAGTTGGCCGCGACAAGGAGCCTGAGGGAAGAACAAAGAATCCATTGCCAAGTTGTTGTGGTGTCGCCAGGTCCGGAACTGCCGTGTCTCGAGAAGGGTCATGTTCGGACCGGGAATTTACATCCACGCCGTCGTCACCGCCACGATCTACTTCATCAACTGTATCCGCCATTCTTGCGGCGACAAGTTTGTTTTTGTGAAAGTCTTCCTCCAGATATGCTTTTGATTTTACCAATTCTGCCAGGTTGGGGTCAGCTGAGGGTACAGGCTTGGTGTTGGCTGCCTCCACATGCGATGCTCGACCTCCACGTGCCCTGGCGACAGGCAAAGATGTTGAGGTTGCAGGAGGTGATTCCCGGATGACAATAGAAGACAGTGCGGTTCTGAATAAGATGGTGAATGGCGACCAGTGAGTCTCGTGCGAGGTGAATATAGCAGCGGAGGGTTGTGCGCTGAGAGGCAAGTGTGCAGGTACGTTATCGGACAGCCCAATACCCGACGATAAGGCTTGATATCGGGCTTCAGGCGCAGACAGATCAGAGCCTGCAGAAGCTGAGGACACTGGCAAATATTGATACGAGGGTTGAGTCGCCGGCTGATTGTCCACTTTACTACACAGTGGAACGAATGAGGATCTGTGACGTCGCTTCCAAATCTTTGACGGGGGATGCTCAGGACCAGATCAGCGACAACGCGAGAAGCCCTGTTAGCAGGAGCTCTTAAAGTCGGTGTACGCCTTGCAGCACAGTTGATCGCCAGTCAGTTTGTTTGATCGGATGGCGTATAACAGATCTTATCTCATGGCGAAGGCTAAAAATGGGAAGATGCCAAGTTACTGGGTAGTAAAGTGAAGCGCAGATAATGTTGTGTGGAGAGATGTGGATGATCATGAAAGCTCGAGATCGAATGATGCGGGGCAGTTGCATCACCTTGGAGGTCTACGTTTATACCAAGGTGGTGGTGGCAGCAGCAGTCATGGTGGGGTAGATCAATGGTTCGGGCAGATGCCATAGCCAGCAGGTCGATCATCTGGACTAACCTTAGAACTTGAGAACAGACACTTGTAGTGAACGTATCCAAGTTCATTGTAAGCGTGTACAATCGCAAAACCGCAAAGGAGCTGCCGAGGCTTCGATCGATGAGTTGGTCAAGTATCAGTCGCAGCAGAGTGTTCTCGTTTTCCCGCAATTGTCCATGGGTCCGACGGGTTCGTGCTGCCTCGATTGTGATCTAAATTTGTATGGGGTACTCGGTCGTGTCATCCGTCGGCGGGCCGGGCTTTGGGTCTCTTGCTCAAATTCAGGGTCCTCAACAGCGCGTCCATTGTACCCCAATAGCACGACCTCCAACAGCGAGGGACTCCACGATCTTTATGGTGAGTCTTCAGCAAGGCTCCCTTTTGAGTTTTATCTTCCGACCTTCCCACGTTCACAATTCACAGCGACACACTCCATCTACTTACGCAGGAGCAGTCTTACGCAGGAGCAGTCTTACGATGGCCACGAAAGTCTTGAGCCGACACTGCAGAAACCGAATTCTGGTATGGAAAATGGCATATCGTCGTCTTTAACCATTCTAGATCTCGTCGAAACGGCTGCGGCTGGGGTAAAGTTAAACCGCGATACGCGGGAAGAGTGCAAGGGCCCCAAAAGAAGAGAGCCCCTGTTTGTACTACTCAAGCAAGCCCGCAAGTAGCACGGCGTGGGCTGCAACAATCACACATCAGCGGGCGATATTGTACGCCTAAGGGCAACCAAAATTGACGTAAACAGCATTCTGCGCTGGTTGTCAAAATGCAAACAAGGTTGTTTTACCCCACGCTTTGCGCTGCGGCCGATCGATGCCGTCGTGGAGATATCGCGGGGACTAATTTTAGAATTCATCAGCGTGCCATCCGCTTATCACTGATGACGTTCATCCTGGACACCACTAGTCTCAGGTTAAGGGCAACTAGACATCAGATAAGGCTGAATCTCAGGTCTCAAAGTTGAATTGAGCAATGCTCTACATCCTGTCCCTTTTTGACATCTGAGGATTTTGATCAAGAGGATGGCATCGGATGCACCGCCCACGACACCATTAGGCTAGCACGGCCTGACGCGTTGGTATGCTGATATACCTGCAAACTCAGAGCCTGTTTCGGGTTCTTCATCCAGTACGTTGTGGCGCGTTCTCTCTTGGTACAATATCTTGCCTTTGCTGCGAGGAGCCAGAGGCGGAATGGGCAGGGTAGCGCAACGAGGCTTGATTTCAGCCGTTTAATTCATTAAAGTATTCAACTAACGGCGTTGGCTCTGACTGCTCCTGGTGGCTTACTATGGGGAGATTAGAACAGCCTCAGATGTCATCCACGACTACATATTAGATGATTCGGCCGTCTGGTAGAGTTAGCGCGTGGGTTCATGGAGCTGGAGCATTGTCGCATGCTCAAGCTAGGGATATGGGCGTTACCCTTCTTATCCCATTTTTTCGTAAAGAAAGTCGAATATGGCGACGCAAACTATAATCACAGTTGCAAGCCCGGATGAGCCGTATGTCGTGGTAGACAATATCCCAAGACCATCACCAGATTTCAAGCAAGTGCTGGTTAAGAACCTGGTTGTTGGCGTCAACCCTGTTTGAGTGTCTGTACGTCAAGCTGGACATACGAAACGCTTGACAGTATAATGGACTAATGTTGCAGCAAACGGCCTCCAGATCACGAGCTGGCCGGCGGCACTCAGCTTCGATGCTGGCGGTGGTGCATAGTGGAAGGTGTAAGTTAGTAGTGTCAATGTTGACGAAGTGCCTAGCGTTTGTGTTGGCCAATATGTAAAAGATGGTTCGGCAAGCTTGAATAGTAGTGAATTGACTCTCCAAGACTGTGGCTATGTGTGTTTCAGCTTGTCTCAAATTTATCATGCCAGTCCCTGGAACTAAAGCCGAGGAGAAACATCAATGGGTCAACGTGTTTAGGGCCAGTCGAAGCTCGGTCAATACGGAATTCAGGTACTCGCCCCAAATCCCTCGGAGATTGCATCATTTACATCTTAAGCTCGATTAACTTTGCGAATACAGAGTCTTGGGATCTTGCTCTTCTGATTAAAACCGATGTATTGTGACTTTCTTAATGCGTGGGACCATCTAATCAACTCACCAAATTGCAGGTTGCCTTCACCAACGGGGCGTCAGCGACGTTAAACCACCGCCTCTCCGCCGAGGAGCAACTAAGGAGATATCCAGCATAACCAGGGCTGAGTTCGGCCGAATCTTTGATTCTGGGGCGTACTCGCATGATGTTAGTATCAAAGCTTTTGAGGACATTTCCTCTGCCACGGAGAGTTTGTTCTCGTCTGTTGATGACAAGTTGCAATTATTTCCATTGATGTGCTCAGAAGTGTAAAGGAGGTCAGAATAAGAAACTAGCATATCTCGAGCCTGCAGATGACACAATGCATTATCCTGGAGGTTTACTGCCAATCAGATGAACTCATTGGTCTGAGCTACCAATGGCCAGGTCACAATTAGGACAACCTAATACCGATCCAAGTCAGTCTATCGTGTCGAGCTGGGTCTCATTCGTCGCATCGAAGATCAAATCGGCGCAGAGACCACTCGTAACATTGCATCGCGGATTGGATTATTTGAAGGCCACCTTGAGACTGGTGCACTCAAACCCCGAAGTATCAGGTCTTTGAAAGCACGGGTTGGCAGGCTGTCAATGACGGTATCGCGCTTCTCGAGTCTGGAAAAGCTGAGAAAAAAATGGTGGCTAGAGTACAAGAAACTTCAAGCTTGGTTGAGGTGAGAGTGGCTCTGATTGTACGATGTGGATTGGAGTCGTTATTCAGGTTTCTCGCCCATGAAGTGTAAGGTATATATATGGGAAATACACGCAATTTGTTCACTCAAGCAGGCCGATCTCTAGGACATTTTCAAGGAATTTCAACTGATCCACGTCCAAACCTCGACCCCATCAGTCATGTTGTATGCTTTGATCAATCCAGCTTTTGACTTTCGAATTCGATGCGACTTTTCAATTGACGGGCACAATATTACCATCGTATCCCCTCCTTCGGTGAGATTTACTTCTGCCACGCCCTTGGACAATATTCCTATGCGAAGAACCCTACTGGTAAGCGCGGAGTATGGCATACTCGACGACACTCGACCTGGGCTTCCGGCCTCGTTTTTGGGGGTCACATTGCTGATGACATGATTTGGACAAGTCTCAACAATCACATCGTCGTCTGCTGGTGTACGCCCATAATCGTTGGCTTATCGTTGGCTGATGGTTCTTCGTGAATATAGGACCCAGCGGGACTTGATGTTGCATAGCTAATATTTGCAGGCGGGTATGGACTGAGATATTGTTGCTGCTGTGGATACGTGGCAGAAGACTCATTTGCGTAAGCTTTTAGACCTGCGATATGATATCCTATTTCACCTGTGGGCTTTGTCAGAATTTATCAAGGAGTCGCAGGATTGAGCTGTGAGTAGCACCCACCATTGGGCAACTGAATGGCTTGCCAGGTAAATCTTCCGGATTGATCCAGTATAAAACTCGACCATTGCGAAACGCCATAAGTTTGCGACTCGTTGATTTCCTTCGCGACAACTTTCTCTTTATGATCTTTCGACGTCTTTTCCCCACCATCACCATGACTTTTGCCATGACGGTTCTTAGGAGAGTGCTTCGATGGGGTGTGTGAATGTGTTTTGTGAGCCATACTGAAAACTCAGACGAAAGGTCTAGGAGCATATCTCTTTTGTACTTTGCAACCGAGCAGATAAAATGCAGCTCTGTCGGCGGGATGGCGGACGCGGCGCTTTTAAATGGAGGAAAATAGAGTGAGAGACGTGTCGTCTACTTACCTCACGCCGAACAGTTTAGCACAGCCTATTCATTACTTTTGTTATTGACTCATGTGTCTTCTGATATACACCACTGGGTTTATCGGGAGACGTTGGAAGTTCCAATCATTTCCTTTGCTATTCGAAACCCCCTGGGCCACTCAGGTCGCCTGACGCAAGGTTGGCGGGCGCAGCCGCATATGAAGTTGGAATTTCCAAGCCGAACTCCGAAGCAGGAAAACGCATGTCCCCCTAAACAAATGAGCGTTCTCGCGTGCTCGCAAGACAGTATTGCTGCAGCGCGATAAATGCCCATTGACACACACATTGATGTGCATCATCTGTTGCGCAAAGGCGAGATTTGGAAATTTATCCTTGGGCTCCTTCTCTCCCAATGAAGAACCCCCGCAAGCCACCCGGTGCTTTTCGAGCTATCAGATATCCAACTTTATGCATGAGGCAGCTTGAGGCTAGAAGCAGATTCAACTTCATATAAGCCTCCTGCGGGCTATGTCGAATAACCAACAGGGTAATACCTGTAATATGTGGTAGGTGCATGCTGCGTCTTCTTGTGTTACCAAGACGAGGTAGCGTTCGCTTTTCCCCGGTGGTGTGAGCCCTTTGCGGCGGAGGGCTGTCACTTTTTGTTTCCCCAGGGCTTGATTTTGTCACCTCCACCATCTGTGACCTGAGTATCCAGTTTTGAGCCGCCCTATTTAAGCTCGTGCACTTGTGAGAGCCTCGATCGTTCCTAGGGGTTAAATTCGAGGAATGAGGTGGTGTGAAGCTAGTTCTTGGCTGAGTCTAGAGCAGCGTGTATACGATCTCGATGCAAGCTGTCGAGGGCCGCAGCATCTCGGGACTGGCTCGTCCCAAGTGCACAGGTTTACAATGCAGGTAGCCTGATAAGGAGGACCTCGCTGGTGTTTTTGTATAGATAAAGCAGGTAAAAATGTCACAAAGCGAGCCTCGCTTATAGATGATGTCGCGAACGATTCTTTTATTACGGTTTCTAGGTGGGCCTGAAGCATGGAGGTGGTTGGCCATGGTCTATTTGTGTAATGACCCAAACTTCTGTCCTTGTCTCCGCCTGTCTCCCAAGGTTATAGAATTAGTATAGCACGTTGATATAGAAACCATGCTATCATTTAGGATACCAATGGAACAAAGGGGGTGACATGGGGGGATAGACGACGACCCTTTTACTTTTCTCGCAAATTATCGATGACTCGTCACGCACACCAAGTATTTAAAACAGTACGTGGCTTTCTATTATGCCCCTCTGATGAAAGCCGAATCGATAATAGCAGGCAACAAAGCACCGAAGTAGACGTTCCTCTCCTTTTTGTCGTAATTCAGAGCCTGAGTCTGGCCTCATGCTTCCTCAATGCCTGCTTACTCACATGTGGATGGAATTTTCGAATGAAAAGACAAGTAAGTTGTGGCCACTCCTTTTCCAGCCTTTCTCCGACTTCGGGAATTTCATGTTGCAGAAACAATTTCATCCCGCGTCGAACATCTCCTGCACTGAACTTCATTTTGTTCAACGGGCCGGGCTCTGCTTCACTCCCTTGGGAACTTGACCCAAAGTCAGCAAGTAGTTTCGCGACAAATTCTTCCTCATCTAACATCATCACGACAGGTTTGAAAGGTACATCGCCTCACCTAGAACAGATTGGTATTTCCATTGCCCCAGCTTTTGCCCTAAACGCCAGAAAATGATCATCCCCAATGTACCAAATTCCTCATCTACCACCACGCCCACTTGCTCTTGCCCTGCTGACCGTTGCCCTTCCTCTTGCCAAACCCACACCGCGACCTCTAGCATTGCGACTTCGGAACATGGGTGCATTCCTGGAGCAGAAATATTAGCATGGGCTTCCGAAAACATGGAAAGATATCGCAAACGTACTTCAACATGTCAGGTACGATGAAGAACCGCACATGGCTGCCTCGAATGTAGACCTGGTCCAAATGACTAACGCGTCCGTCTCGTGCCGTCACAGTGATATCCTTGAGTTGAATATTCATGTTGTCCTCAGCTATCAGGTCGTTAGCACAGTTGATCTTTCCAACATGAAAGGTGAGAGCCTACCTTCCAACAGCTTGCCGCGGTATGTCTGGCCTGAGGTGATTTCGAGGGTGATGATGTGTCCCTGTGCTTCATTGAGCAGCTTGATGGGGATGCCGATTGTGGAAGTCATGGTGATTTGGGGGGCACAAGCCAGGTAATGAATGGTACTCGGTGTTCTGGCGACAATCGGTGTTAAGCGTAGGGCGTCGACTAGCTGCGATTTCCAACACGTCCCTGGCAGCTTGGAGTTTGAGTTGTTGACCTGGGAAGCTCCAAAAATGGCAGAAAGATTTTCCGCTCCACACCGAGCCTATACCGAGATAGCACTGCGACTTGTTCCACAATCACCGAAGACCCGTTGCGCTCACCTTACAAGGACCCCTGCAAAACTACCCCACGCCGGAAACTGCCCCTCCATAGCTCGAAAACGGTGACTCGCTTCTATCACAAGTTGAGTCACCAATTCGAGAGCTGCTTCAGCGACATATGCGAACGGTATTCGAACGTTAGACCAGAGTATTCTACATTTTACTTGACCTGATTCAGTCACGTTTCGACCGATTGGCCTTCCACAATCACCACAATGGCCGAACCCGAAGCGCCCACTGAGGCCGTACCAGCTTATGCGCAAGATGCTACAGCTTCTGCCGCAACCGCGCAAAAGGTTGATCCATGGAACGTATCCGGTGGAACAGGTGAAGATGGAAAGCCGAAGGCAATCGACTACACCAAGCTTGTCGACGAGTTCGGAACCAAGTTGATCAACCAAGAGATGCTCGATAGATTCGAACGGGTGACAGGCCACAAACCGCACCGATTCATGCGCAGACAGATCGTATTCAGTGAACGAGATTTGGGGTTGATACTAGATCGATACGAGAAGGTGAGATGGGGATTTGGCTCGAACTTTTGGAGCGATGTCTAAACTCACTATAGGGGCAACCCTTTTTCTTGTATACCGGTCGAGGGCCCAGTAGCGACAGCATGCACGTTGGACATACGCAAATCTTTGATTTTTGCAAGTCAGTTCTAGACAGCTTCATCCTATCTTTATACTCCGGATACTGATTTTCTGCCAGGTGGTTGCAAGATGTCTTTGATGTACCTCTCGTGATCATGCTTACAGATGGTGAGTCCTATCCCTTCCTGCTTCCAATAGTGTCAGGTCTGACTAGCTTGTGCTCAAGACGAGAAGTTCTTGTTCTCGGAGAAAAGGACTGTTGAGGAGGTCATGGGCTATACACGTACCAACGCAATGGACATCATTTCCATCGGATTCGATCCTGCGAAGACCTTCATATTCTCCGACTACGACTTCATGGGTGGAGCATTCTACAGGAACATCACTAGATTTTCCAAGCGTGTGACATACAACACTGCCAAATCCGTGTTTGGGTTTGATGACAGGTAGGTTTTGCTCTGTGCCTTTTGTCCAGTAGACACTGACCAACTGCCTGCAGCTCCAACATTGGCAAGATCCACTTCACTAGCATCCAGGGCGCATCGGCGTTCGCATCGTCATTCCCGCACATATTTGGCGAGGATGAGGCCAAAACGTCTGTTATCCCCTGTCTGATTCCCTGCGCGATTGACCAGGACCCCTATTTCCGTCTCACGCGAGACGTTGCAGCAGGCTTGCACTACGCAAAGCCCTCACTCATCCATGCTCGCTTCTTGGACGCCTTGCAAGGTCCAGGATCCAAGATGTCAGCCAGCATCGACAGCTCTGCTATTTTCATGAAGGATACCCCAAATCAAATCAAGACGAAAATCAACAAGTATGCGTTCTCTGGCGGACAAGTATCGGTCGAAGAGCAAAGGAGACTCGGCGGAGATCCAGATGTCGACGTTTCGTATCAATACCTCAACTTTTTCATGGAAGATGATGCCGTGAGCCCAGTACCTTCATTTTTGCCTTGCATGTTGTTACTGACACATTCTTAGGAATTGAAGGAGATTGGAGAGAAGTACCGAAAAGGAGAGCTTCTCACGGGCGAGGTATGTGTTTCATCAGTAATCCATGGTCTCCCGAATGAGCGCTAACACCAACCAGCTCAAAGCTATATGCATCAAATACATGCAGGAGTACGTCGCGGCGTTCCAGGAGCGGAGGTCAAAGGTCACGGAAGAGACGGTTGACCACCTCATGGCGAAACGGCCACTGGAGTGGAAAGGCAACCCCAGGGTGGAGAAGGTACTTCCTGTGGTTGGGAACTCGTCGAAATCTGAAGGCGCAGTGGGCGAAGGTGGAGATGGGAAGCTAACCAAGAACCAGCTAAAAAAGCTGGAGAAGGAGAAGATGATTGCAGCAAAGAAGGCGGCAAAGGCTGCTGAAAAGGAGGTGCCCAAGTAAGCTCGCGATTTGCTTAAACTGGGCAACATGGCGCTGGTCGGACGACAGCTCAAATAATAAAATGGGGAGAGCCAGAGTTACACTCATTGGGTTGCGAATTATCCTAGATATCGTAGAACTCCACCGTTTCCTTGAAGGGATACCATATCCTTACAGAAAATGATATGCGTCTGTCATTTATAGAGCGGCCCCGTGAAGGCTGCGTCACATCAGCGAGGACCTGGACATGCCATGGGGAAGACATCGAAATTCCACTATGACACCACCCCAGGGATTCTGGACTCCATTATACCTGCCTATTTCACTGTTTTGGTTATGCTGTCCACCAGGGTCCTGGCACGGCACGCGATGAGCTCAGAAGAGGTTTAGGGGCCTGGTATTGGACTGAGAGCAAACAAACAGCATCTCTATTCCAGGTTTATAATACAAAATTCCGTTGCAAAAGCCTTAGGAGCGGTGCAATGGCCGCGAGGCGATGGTTTGAGGTTCGTTGGCATTCAGGGGTTCGAATTCAAGGGTCATCGTGTTTGCGATGGGAATTTTCAGTCGTACATTGGGTGATCGAATCTGGCGTTAGATTGGGCTTCCAATTTCGACGTCACCCAGTTCGGCTTCCTCGATTCGCCGTGTATGAGCAGGATACCAACCTTCTCGATACGCTGTGGAACCGTATTCACAGAAGAGTTACTGTATCACGGAGTCTGACGTATGTACTTAAGAGGAGCCGGATTCACATGACGGAAAGTAGTCGATGTGTTCATGAATCCCGAATGACCCATACAGCCTTACAATAGTACACATATAGTCAGGCAGGGGGTGAGGTGTACATTTTTGTATATCCCGGTAGCTAGGTCAGGCAGCTGGGCGTAGTCTACAACAGCCTGGAGATGTCGAGCATTGCCTTAACAATGTAGGATCACCGACCAAGGCCAGGCAGGTCCTTGAGCCCATAACTGCGTTGTCAAAGCAGCATATCAGCTTTCTCAGCCATAGTGCCGCTGACGCACAAATTCCTTCCCGTCACTGCTGTAGCGAGGAAATCATCACTCGACGTCAGCCAAAAGCTCCTCAAGTGATCAAGCTTCCTCCTTCACAGAAACACGCGGTCCCGCATCCTCGTGATGGATCTGCTTCTCTACAGCCGCCGTCGCACGATGAGCGCGCTCCTCGTCCTCAAACACTATTGCGATAGTTAGCAGCTTCATATCATCCTGTACAGCCGAACTTTTGTTCGCGGTACACATACAGAAAGTAAGCTCCTCTAGGGTGCGGTTCGAAGTCTCTGGCCACAGCCACCAGATCAGGAACGCCTCAACGGCGATCCAGCAACAATACACGATCAGGAACTTGTAGCCGATGCCGTGGACGGGGTCAAGTCCCACGGGGTTTACGTTCGTGCCGAAAAACTAATCCTGGCGTGTAAGAAAAGGTATGGGATCTGATCAGCGTGCGTCGGAGAGAGATAACTTGCCTGTGCAGCCTTTCCAAAGAACTGATACACGGCAAGGCCGCGAGCTCGCGAGGCGTAGGGGAAAACCTCGACCAAAAAGGCTTTGAAGTTGTCAGCGCATATTCATCAATATTCGCGGCGACTAGACTCACTGTACGTGAGCGCATTAAACCCGATATTGTAACAAGGCTGGTATGCATAAATCCAGAAGAGACACAACTTGGCCGCCACCTGCGAGTTGGCATTTAGATACTCAGCCGCGGAGATTGTCCACGCCACGTAAATGACCAAGATACTCAGAATAGACGTCAGGTACATAGTCCGCCTGCGGAACCGCATAACGACTAACGCGGCGATGGAAGCGAAAACCCCACTGCTGCACTGGTTCCCAATATTGAACTTGGCCTGGAACGCCGGGTCCGTATAGCCGACCATGGCGAGGATATCGCTTGTGTAGTACGAAATGACGACGTTTCCCGAGAGCTGGGTCATGACGCCGACAAGGGCTCCGATGGCGAGACGGCGCCGGTTACCAGCTGTGTTGACCATGTCGAGCCAGGAGCGTTTGGCGAAGTCCATCTCTATCGACATAGTGGTTTTAATCTCGGCCATTTCGGCCTTGACAAATTCCGAGGCTTCGTCGCCTTCGCCATGGTACTTGACGAGTATCTTGAGGGCTTCTTCGTGGCGGTCTTGGCTGATGAGATAGCGAGGGCTTTCGGGGAGGAAGCTGGATTGTCAGTAAGTAAGAGTGAAGCGACGTGTTTCTTGAGCTTGGGGTAGGCTTACAATATCAAGGAGACTTGAAAGATCGAAGGGGACATTTGAAGGAGTGAGGGGACCCTATGCCAGGTCAGTTGATTCCGTTTCATTGACACGCCAATAGTCATGATAAGACTGGAAGTTTGTTACCTCCATGACCTAGAAAAAGTGCTGTTAACATATATGTCGAACCCAATGTCACAGCTCAAGCTCGTCCTCATAATTAACCGGGGCAAACTCACCAATCCGAGGCAATGGTCTGCGTCCCAAACGTGATACCAGCGGCCACAATGGCGCCGATAAAGTACGCAGCATTGAACAAAGAGGTCATAATAGCTCTCTCCTTGGGATACGCAAGCTCGCCGATCAAGCTCGACCCAGCAACAATGGCATAAGGAAGTCCGAACCCGATGATGAGTCGCGAGATGATGTACATTGGGGCTGGGTTCATGTCAGAATGAAAACGATGCAATAAGATATGGTATCGATATTGTTCACATACCATTAATAGAGAATCCTTGGATGAGCGACCCAATGATCATGATGACCGAGCCAAACATGACACACCATCGTCGACCAAACCCGTCGTTGACGTATGGAATCAGAGGAAGGCCGATACAGGATCCCAGTGGAAGTGCTGAGGCGAGGATGCCTTTCAGCCCTCCTTGAGGATGTCCGAAATCTGTGAGTTGGTTGTTCGTTAGCCTCCTTTACTCGTAATAGTGGCTCGGCGGCTGCGACAACAGATGGCATGAGCACAATTCGACAACCTCGAAACATCCATCGTCCATCAGCCAGGTCATACGTCTCGCTGCGCGTTGGTTTGCTCTCATCAACGATCCACAACGACGCCTAAGCTCGAACAACGGTCGGTTTCACCCGGTTCATCCAATCGTGTTCGCGCCATGCTCTTCTCGCAACCGCTCATCCGAAGTTTCAACTTGCATGAATTCCACGCCGGAACGATCTGAACAGCGTTGATGACCTGCGAGTCGAACCCGGAGGTCATCTCGATGCCCATGAGGCATGGAAATAGCATAAAGTAAAGGTATCGCAGGTTCTTCTTCCTGTACCACGGCACCTTATCCTCTATCGCCATGCGATGGACGATATTGTCGGCCACTCCATTTTCTGCTACGCCCGCCATTGTGTCTCGAGTTTCGTGTAAGTCGGAGGAGTCGGTCCAAAAGTACAGAGCAAGTCGTGCATGCTTGGGCTAATGTTGCTCTCTTCCCTATAGCGGCCTGCATTGCGTGTTCATATATATCAGCGATCTCCGGCAGCCTGAAATTGTTGCAGAAACTCAACAAGTCAGCGAAATAGCTGGATATTGCTGTATACTCTGCAGCGTGGATAGACCTCCGAAGGGCTACCGTGAGATGTGACTTCTCCCTTTTAGCCGCCAATAAATTTATCATCTTCGGCAATTCTGAAGACTTGAAACCTGCGCAAATGGGGAACATGGCAAATTCTGTTGATATGGATTATTCCTCTGGTTGAGTTAAGCTTACACATATTCTGAACGTAGCCCATAAACCACCGCTTGAGAAGCACCCTCACCGTGTAGGATGACAATTGTCTCAGTCAAGAACTCGGTCGAAGGCGCGCTACCATTGTATTTAACGAAATGGTACATTAGTCTTTCGATTGTCGCTGCGTTCATCTTACGAGTGTGGCTTCTGCGTATATTGTTGAACAATCTCAAAGATACATATGCAAACGATACATATGCATATATGTCGCAATGTGCCCAGGCCTGGCGTCTGCCGCCACTACTAGTAGGGCAAGGATCGTCTGTTGCAGATTCGCTTGCTCCTGTCGATGCCGTACGCTATCCGGGTATATTCAAACACCTCACAAAGATGCAGTTTCGTCCCACGAATAGAATTTCGACGGCCTATATTAGACCGTAGTGGTTCCGTTATCGTTTGAGTCAACGGGAGATACTGCGATCCACTGATCCTCAGTCGAAGAAAATTAATGCAGCTCGCTTATAGATAATTGGACGATATAAAGGGGTCGCTCGGGTAAGCGAGGGGGACGATGAGAGGACGATGAGAAACCCTACCACCGCGCTTACCGCAACACTTACATCATTAACCATCAACATTGACTTCGGATTCGACGTGAAAATATCTGATTTGTCATGTCGAGGGTCCCACAAGCACTCTTCAGTTCTTTATCTTGATACGGTCGATGATGGATACTTGTTAGTCTCCGCCTTGTTGGTTTTCGAGAATCTCGATGGCCCAGTCGGTCAAGAGAGGTAAGAAGGAGCTGGCTGTTACCGGGCGCTGAGAAAGCCGAATATTGATCTCTCAGTTCAGACCCTGTTTTCGTGATGCTGTGACAGCACCACATTGGGGAGGACAGACAATACCATGGCCCACTTGTAGGGTTGATGAAGGAGGGGACTGATGTCAGTAACTATGTCATAAGAGTCTTTCGCTCAAGACACTTCTGGAGTCCCTTGTGGACCCAAGGGCGCTGTTTGGTTATCTTGGCTTGCTGTGATGTCAGCAACTGGGCGCTGGTGCCTGAAGATGACTCAAGGCCCAGGCAAACACATCACACACAGAGCTCATCAATCGTTCAACGGGTTGATAAGGAGAAGGAAGAGGCTATGATGCGAACCGTTCGTCATCACGAGGGATCGTCTTGAGCGCCCGGGGTATGTGTGAGGTCAACCTGCCCAGGAAGGTCTAGGCCAGCGCGTCTTGGGAACCTAGCCTCCGTCCCGCAAGTCGTCAGCGGCGACACCGCACCCTCCTCCGCCTCCGATTTCTTTCTCGGATTAGCAAGCGCAGTGCTCTGGCGACGATCTCCGCTACTTTTGTGGATGGTGGATGGACAGAGCCGCATGTTGGAAAATTACAGGTAGGTTTGCTTCTCGTTTGGAGCTAATTAGAAGGCTGCAACATTGTTGATCGCTACGGTGCTGTTATTTTTTGCTGATATCGAGAGCTGTTGCGGCTGACATCATAGCGGTTTGTGCTTCGGTGGTTGGGTGTGACATTGGTGCGAGAGTGACCTCATCTGCTCACCTCACCTATGGCCTGTTGGCCGCCAGGGTTGCTGTTCCTCCCGCGTCTTGTGTTTCCCCATGCACTCTGGACCCCTATTTTTCCTATGCAGCTAATGCATCCGGGCGAGATGCAAGACTAAGAATTGTGACCTGCAATGACCTTCTGGAATGCTGCTGAAAGTATAGTTCGATGACAGCTGTGACGTGCGGGGCCCGAAGCAACAATGTTACTTTGAAGTCTTATGACGAACTGTCTGTGCGTGTGGGCATCGCGACGGCGAACTTGGTTGCTTACGACCGGGCCGTGGTGGAAGGGAAGGAATGCGTGTCCCGAGCGGCGATGGGAAGGATGGCAAAAGGTGCAAAATAGCATTTCCCGGAGACTGGATTCTTTGAAACCTGTTCGTGCCCAGGTCTGGAACAGGGCGGGCCTGGGCTTTGGTCAGGGTCCCGGTCGCCAACAACCACCTATCACATTGGCTCCCCGTCGATTCAGACTAGACAAATCCAAAATCCAGAATCGAGCCACACATGTTGTCGAACAAGCTGGAGATAACCCTACTTGAGACCGTTGCTCATTCCTCCTGCTTCCTAGTACTACTACTCTGGACAACGTTTCGCACGTCGCTCTCGTTGGTTTGAGGAGACAGAGCTCCGTAGCAGCAGAAATCCACTAGCCAAGTTCGACTTGGGAATGGATACATCTCGGGCACTTGGCACCGAGGTGTTTGGTAATTTGTGACACCGGTCCTTGGACGTGTTCTGTCATGCGTTGCAAAAGGGAATTCCGTGGCGCTGCTCTCGTTGTTGCGCAGTTGACAGCCTTCCTCGGTGAGACCTCGAGAGCTAAGCCTTGACTCAGTATAGCCCGACTTACAGATGAAATGACGTAGCATCATCCACTTCCAGCAGCACCAGCGTTGTCCGCATCCAAAGCTGTTGATAGTTTCACGACCAAGACACACTTGGCATTAAGAGATATTCCCAACCTTTCTCCAAAGCTTCGTCCCCGAAACACAGTCCATCTTAGCTTTGTAGCCTCAGGGTCTATCAGCACTAATTACGACGGACAGTCGGAAATGAAGCTTTGGCCAATGATGACATAGCCGATGACTTCAGTTCCCTTGGGAGATCGGCAGGGTCTTTCCTTTTTCGTCCGCATGGATGTCTCTTGTCCCCATGCCACCACCCTCATTTCCCCCCATTTGCCTGTGTCCGTTCACCTCTGTTGTTGCTGACGTGTGGGCACCACCCCAGCTGCAGCAGCATACTCAAGCCTATCCCTGGTGCCCCCAGAGCTTGTGAGGGACTACACGGCATCATCAGCCTTGTTCGTGGCAAAAAGTCAAATGGACGCGCCTGGGATTGATTGGCCACACTGTGAGCCCTTACGCCATATGGCCATGGGTACCGAGCTACTCGTGCCCATCCCGAATTTCCAACACGGGCCCAGTGTCTGTCGATCGGCACCAGTCGACATGGACAGATGCAGCAGCGGATGAGCTTCTATGGTCGTACCAATCTGACGCTGTCTGGTTTCCAGCCCCGGCAGTCGTTGGCGACCAAAAAGAGGAGAACCCAAACATGAGCGGGGTTAGGGCATTTTGGCGCGGTGTCCCTGTGAAGTCAGAATCCGTCCCAGGTGCCATCCTTGCTCTCCACTACGCATCATACGTCTAGACGCCTCTCTGTTTCTTTATTAAAGGAGCCTCGTCGCCCATCAACGGCTTTCGAAGAGTCAGATCCAACGCATTACACATCTTTAAGCTATCCACTCCCACATCAGCTCGAATTTTCCCGTTCCATCCAAACTCCTAGAATAATTCTATGCCATATATCGTCAACACACTCGCCAATATCTTACAGTTTCCAATGTCTTCCCGCGATCAGTACAACCCTGTTTCCATGCCTATAAATATAACTCGTCCGGTTGATTTGCCATCATATTCTCGCTCGATGCATCAACACACTCAACGACAAATGGAAGCTGCATCTCGATCATTACATCGTCGCGGAAACAGATGCAATAATTCACACATATCCAAAATGTCTGCCACCGGGTCAACTTCATCATCTGGATCTAGCGTGAACAATGACTATCACGATTGAAAGCCCATGGCTTAATATTCGACACCAACAACTAGTACGGAGCTAGTTCCACCAGTCTCAACCGTTATCAAGCCCCACAGGAGCTGTCCATAATTTATGGAAAATATACCGAAAACATACACCAACCATTCATTTGGTTTGGACCACACAGAGTGGACAGGTTATGAATTGAATTATACACGAACATTTAGCGACAGGCGTCAAGGGTTGGGGCATTACTACGGCAGCATTCGACAGGAATATGAAATGTCAGGAAAACATAGTAATCGCGCGTCTTATCCAGTGGTATATTAGAATTTCACATCTGCAAAGCAATACTTGTGTGAGGGGAATTATTCATGAATAACAAAATCTGCCAGTTACGCAAGCTTTCCGTCCATGGTGCGATGGAAATGTGTCAATGTATTCTAGAACATTCTCACAATTCCCGTCATTAGTAACACTATTATTACCATGCAGCAATTCCTTGTATTGTGCTTGACAAAAACCGATTAGCTTTCTAATCCCGTTATGTGGCATTGTAATGTTCGACGACTTGTACTGCTCCACCAGTACATCACGTCACCGCCTGGCCAGGCCAGCCAAATACTGGAAATACCACAATTATATTCTTCCTCACCGTGTTTTATCCCAAGGACCATCCTGGTGGCTCGAGCATCTAGTTCATGCCAAAGCTGCCTAAAATGGGGTTTCAACCTGGGAAGCCTCCCTGCCCGGACAGCCCGACGATGTAGTCCAGCCCCGGCGTTATAGGTACGATCGGTCCATTTACCGACGGTTCCACCTTAAACACCGCTTTGTGTGATCGTAACGATGCTGCAGAAACTGGCCAGAACCGGGTTGGGTCACGATGTTGCGATTGGCCAACCTGACTCATGTGCATTCGGCGGAAGGAGCGAGATCCGCCAACTTGTAACGTGATGGGACGGTACGTGATTCTTAGAATAAATATAGCTAGGAATCTGTCATTCACATATATTGCCGTGGGCGAGGCGGCTTTTCCTGACCTTCTCGACGATGACACTGGCCCCTCTGAAATATAGTGGTTGCAGCCGTGCGTTATTCTCCCCAGACCCACGCACCTTACCGGTGCAGAACTCCATAGGGGTGTACTTTAAAATAGATCATACGATTTGTGATAATTTTGCAAATCCAGATTCGCATGTGATCAGTTCATGTTTTGTAATTCATGGTAGAGTATAGCCTCAACGTCGCATCGTGAACCATCGTTATGCCTGTAAACCATTCCCATCCATAACGCCGTGCTCATGTTCTCGAAAAATCCCCGGAAGTCTAATCCGAGTCGGAACCGTAATCTACCAACATCGACGGCTTCGTCTCCGGTACTTCCTTCTCCTGGACCCCCAGCACCGCAGCGGCAGATTTTCCTCGCTCCATATCCTTCTTCTTGATGCCTGCCACGATTTTCTTGGCGATGCGCTCCCGCGGCTTGGCCCTCGGCAATGGCGGAGGCGGCATATCGTCAGATAACTCCAGATTCTCACCGTTATCCATGACCTCATCGTGCGCCGTTCCTGCCTGACGCGCAAACGCAAACGCCCTCTTTGCTGCCTCGGCATCCTCCTTCTCTATCCTGGCCGCCTCGTCGTCCTCGGGCATCGCAAGCGCGACTTCAGCACCGTACATATCTGCCCTCTCCAGCCGCGCATTGCGCGTGCGAATTTCATCGAGCGCGTCGGCGACCGCCATCTCTCGTTTGGCGTCAACGGTCTTGGCCTCGAGCTCGACCATAGCATTGCGCTCTTCTTCCTCCTTTTCGAGCCGGTCCAACCGTTCCTCGTCCGTCTCTTCAGGCCCCCGTGCCCACGGCTCCGTATTGCGCTTGGCGCCGCGCTCGCATGCGTAGTCCTGGTTCTTTGGATCCGTCTTGAAGGTGATCTCGGCGCTGCAGCGGGTACACCGGATGTAGAAGCGGAAGATCTGGATGCCTAGGTACTTTTCGTCGGGCGTCTCCTTGCGCGCGTTGAATTTGCGGCCTTTATAAATGTATTCGCCACCTTTTTGCCGCGCGGTAAGTATGTGTGTCTGGTCATGGGGCTGCAGAAAGCTGGAAATACTCACATGTCGTGCACTTCATACTGAACGGCGCCATCAGCCGTACGACTTGGATTCTGGGACCGGCATTTTTGGGACCACGAACTCGCTGGATCTGTCGTGGATCGAAGTCGGGAGGGTAGTATTTCGTCAACACTTTTCGTTCGGACATGATGGGCTGATGTGGCAGGCGTGTTCGGCTTTGCGATGTTTGGGTGTACCTTGATGTTGGACGACAAATCTACAAATGCATTGTCCCAAGCAGTGACCGGGATCCTACCGTGGCGTTTTCAGCCTCAAGTGGGGCTGAGCCACCCTCTCAAGCTGCAAGCTGCCATGACAGGTGGCATGTGGCAGGTGGCATGGGCTGGCTTTGAACTCAAAGGTTCCAGGGTAAGCTCGCTCACATGTTGGTTGGATTCGTTTCCACCTCAACTTCATCTCTCTTGTCGTTAGAGTTACATCTGAATCTAGACCTCCATCTAGATGTAGCCGAATTCAAGCCTCTGACGACAATGGAAAGATTCATAGGCTCGCATCCAACACAAGTTATTCGTAAATCCCAGAAAACCATGGCTAATAACTTTAGTCTTGACGATCTCTACAATGTGCACGACACTGTGATCTTGATGTATGGCCCCATAGGGTTGGATGCTAGGTTACGCCGCCACAGTGACGCACCTACGCCATCGTACTCAAAACTTCTCAGAATTCACTCTGAGACAATATACTCCAGGCGATTGAAAACGCCCCCTTTGCAATCAATCGACCAACACGTCAATTCGTGTTCTGTACGGGGAGCTGGATACTACTAAGGTGTTGATGTGATGTCACATTGCGCCCGTGGATCGCCGAAGTACATCGCCTCATGCGAGCCGCATCATGATGACCCCGCCCAACTGCCTCTACCACAATTGGTGCGGTGCCCCAACTTCAAACATCTCCGCCAGCGTATCCCATTTCCTCGCAGCAGCATCTCCGCTCGCTCTCGCCACACCCTTGAGACCACCGCTTATGAACCGGAGGTGCTTATCGAAATCCCTCCGTATCTCGCGCAGAACCTCAAGATACGTCCTGTCCGCATCGGCTGTGACGGCACTATGATCCTGCTCCGAAAGAAATGACTCGTCTTCCTCCTCACTGACCTTTAAAAATCGTTCACCGTGACTTTTGCCCGAATCCATAGGCGACCTCATCACAGAAAGTCGTGACAGCTCCTGTGTTTCCTCCGCATCCCGTTCAGCTTCGAACTTGCGTGTGTCTTCGAGTCGGATGGCGAGGTCCAGGATATCGAGTATACATTGGTGGATTGCGTTCAGCCTGCTGTTGAGACAGGCCTCGTCAAGCATACGCTTTGAGAAGGTAGCGTGAACGGCAATCATAGCGTCTACATCCTCTGCCCTGCCGAGATCTTCTCGGAGCTTACTAGTGAGAGGGCCAATCACAATGTTTAAAAGGTAAAACTGCAAGGAACTGGTAAACCAGAGTAGTTTCGAGCGGAGACCAAAGTATATGGCCTGCTCTGGGCAGCTGTCGGACATTGCTTGTGAGACTAAGCGTTGTTGTTTGAGGACATAAGTCGCGCGTCGAAGCTGTAGAAGCAGTGTGAAGACGGCCTGGTACTGGGCAATACTATCGTCGGACAATATAATTCGAACAGGCCATGCCATCCTGTACGCAATCGTAATAGCTGGCAAGCAATGCCGGACTGATCTTCGAGCAACTACAATATCCTCCTGAGCATGGTGTCCAGATCCGGACACGCTGAGTCGGTGCGAATCGACTATCGTGGCGAATGCCTCATGAGCCTGTCCCGTGAGTGTAAATCGATCATGCCATTTGGGGTTGAGGAGGTCGATGTTGTTGAAGATTCCGAAGGCCAATGCATCGGCTCGTGACCCATCTGCCATAAGATAGACATGGTGGAGTGCGTCTAGGACTGACCACATGCCGCAAGAGTCAAACAACGCATGTCGGAGTGTTACAGATGCTGCGTGGTGTTTGCTTTCCATCCAACTCTCGAATGCAACATTGAATATCTCGGAAAAGGGGGCGAAATGTCCAAACTCGGACGCACCCAAGCCTGCAAAGTCGAGATTGGGCTCAGGCATTTGTTCTTGACGAGTTTCGTGCCTCCCGAGAAGCTTCAGTATAATGACACTTTTCCCAGTTGTGAATATCCTGTTGGAAGCCGGCTGTAAGAACCCTGGGACGTGTAAAGCACCGTCTGGCGTTCTACGCAGTCTGTATTGGTCTTGCCATACTTGACTCATCGGTACTTGCACTTTAGCCTTGGTTATGAAAAATGTCTTGTCCCCTTCGAGAAGATCTCCTTCCTCCATCCATCGACGAATCGGGCGGAGATAAATCTGAAAGCATTCGAAAAAGATTGTGCCAAGGAATTCGTAAATCGAGTTGTTGTTCTCCAGTTGCGCAATCCCGGCAGACTCGAACAGCAGCTCTAAGTACCGAAACGGATGGGGATATTTCTCGCGATCCAGCTGTTGGATAATGTTTGATAAACTGAGCAGCGGAGTGACATGAGGTTGCACTTCCTGCAGCAGCTTGACGAGGCTGATAACCGTGTCCGCCTTGATATCAACCAAAAGGCATTGGATGGCAGATGTCTTTTGATCAAAATAACGAAGCCTTTTCTGCACCACATCCGCAAACACCTGCATCAAGGGGATTTTCTGGGGTTTGGAAGTGAAGTCTCGAAGGATCTGTATCTGGCGACCATATTCACCGAACGAGCCCAGAAGTGCTCTGCATGTCTCCCATGACGCATGTTTGAGCTGGAATCTCGTCAACGGCTCCCCCCGAGGACCAAATAAGTCATTTGGAAGTCCATTCAGCATGAATAGTACCTCACGCACAGCCTGGATCTCCGAGATAATGACTCGGTGAGGCTTGCCCGCGGAGGTCCGGTGCGGCGTCGTTCTCCACGACTGACTGTCGTCGAGTTCTTTCAATACATCCTCATCCCGGACGTCAATGACATAATCTGTTGGCCGTGGCCGATGTTGGGCCTCAAGGCTAGACTGCGTAGTGCTTTCAGACTTGACCGACCCTTCGAAATCCTCATCTGCGTAATCATCGTCTGAACTATCATTGGTGAAATCGACCTTCTGCCAAAGCTGACGATCCGTTGCCCAGCCATCTTCTTGGGCAATTTCATCCCATGTGAGCTTCGCCCCTGGATCTTCTTTTGGTTGCCGGAGCAATTCCAAATCGAAAAGCTTGGACTTTTTGACAGGTTGATCTGATAACTCCAACAAGAAGTGCAGCATCTCTGGTGTAAATTTAGTAGAGATTAAAGAGAGTGCATCCAGGTTTTCTCGAAGTGCATCGGCTAATTCGTCTCTGTTGAGAACCCGAAAGTGCTCTTCGAGCCCATTGAGGTGATCATCTACATTGAACTGGTTGGTGCGCAAGAAGTTGTTATATCGGAGTTTGCGTAAGCTGGACTCCCTCAAGACATTGAGTCGTTCCACGTCTGACTATTGGTTCTTTAGTATCGGAGGTTTATACTGTCATGGATCAGTCTCATACCTGGCTTGAAGATGAGGTTATCACGGTTATCAGCTCTTCAGTCAACTCGGTGAGCCTCGCAGCAAATGCCATGGCACTCAAGAGAACTCGAAATTAAGAGTACATGAGACAATGGAGTTGTAATTTCTCGATATCAAATGGTGGCTGTGGTCAATGCAGGGAGCGATTCTAGATCAATATTATGCAAAGCATTAGTCGAATTAAAGTGCATCAACTTAAAGCATCAATGTCGTTGGACGCGTTTGACGCGTATTTGGGCTCCCCAAGCAAGGAAGCTGTAACTGACGCCAGGGAGTTGCCAACCCGACAAGCGATAAGCAGTTCGCACGGCGCAGCGTCACCCAAAATCCCATTTTTACCCGCGGATTGAAGTACCCTAACACTGTGTGATGCCCCTTTTTGTAGATTTTTCCGATTTCCTGAAACTGCAGGCAGTCAATCATCGCGGCCTTGCGAGCAAAACTTCAAATCTGTCACTTTTGCTGACATTTCAAAGCGCAGCCACTCGTCGCACAGCAGACGAGATACTATTTCGAATTCTCACGGGGACGCAATAATGTTTGCGTAGCCGCCAACTGCTTTATCTAAAGTTGTTTACTTTTCATGCCTTTCTCCACTACGGTTTAAACCTCTACCGAAGCTGGCTGGATACGCAGCCCCGATACCTCCCGCCATCGACGTGAAATAGTTGATGAACCACGCGCATTCACCGACACTATGGCCATTGCTAGGCCAGTCCGCGCCCTCGGGCTTGCCGCTATCATGATGTGGTGTTTTTTCCTCTGGACGATATTCCGGCCAGGAGCAGGCATCAAAGGACCGGGCGATAGTCTCGCCAACCTCGAGAGGGATCCGAATCTCGACCGTAAGCATGTCCTTCGCCGACGATGTTGGGGATGCTCGTCTGTACTGATATGATGAATAGCCACAGGAGAGCCGGAAGGACACCTTGTCCATACCTCAGATGCCTATCTACCCGATGCCAACCCGTCCGCTCGTATAAACGCGACTCTGTTGGCCCTGGTTCGAAACGAAGAGTTGGAGGGCATGTTGCAATCGATGCGCGACTTGGAAAGAACATGGAACCACAAGTTCAACTACCCATGGACTTTTTTTAACGATGTGCCCTTCACGGAGGAATTCAAGCGAAAGACACAGGCCGTGACGAAAGCCAAGTGCAACTATGGTATGTGTAGCTCAGCACTGGCACTTGGGAAGGGATATATATGTCGCTGACACTGCTGGTGGCAGAACTCATTCCGAAGGAACACTGGGAGGTACCGTCCTGGATCAATGACGATCTGTACAAAGAATCCGTCAAGATCCTCGAGGAACATGATATCCAATACGCTGACAAGATCTCGTACCATCAAATGTGTCGCTGGAACAGTGGGCTATTCTACAAGCATCCAGCTCTCCAAAACACCCAGTACTATTGGCGGGTCGAACCCAAGGTCCATTTTTTCTGCGACGTCGATTATGACGTGTTCCGATACATGCACGACAACAACAAGACGTACGGGTTCACCATCAACCTGTACGATGCACCCTATTCGGTCCCGAGTCTGTGGCCCGAGACGATCAAATTCTTGGCCCAGCACTCGGAATACCTCCACGACAACAACGCTAGGGACTGGGTCACAGACAAACTTCGACGTCCTAGCCACAATGACCAGGCAAGTGGCTACTCAACTTGCCATTTCTGGAGTAACTTTGAAATCGGTGACATGACGTTCTGGCGAAGCCAAGCGTACGAGGACTATTTTAACCATTTGGACCGAGCCGGAGGTTTCTTTTATGAGCGATGGGGCGATGCGCCCGTACACAGTATTGCACTCGGTCTCTTTGAGGACTCGAGTAGAATCCACTGGTAAGTCTCAATCACGTGTGTCCTACTCATGTGACGATGCTAATCACCAATTCCAGGTTCCGTGATATCGGATACCAACATATCCCCTTCTTCAACTGCCCCAACTCGCCAAAATGTCACGGATGTACCACAGGCCGCTTCACTGATGGCGAAGCTTGGCTCAACATGGAAGACTGTCGGCCAAACTGGTTCAAATACGTTGGGATGGGCTAGACGACTTTGTGGTGGACTTTTTGGACCACCTGCATGAGATACCATTACGGAAAGGAAGTGTATTAATGTCAGGGTAGTCCGTCATGGATATAAACTAGCATTGAATGATTGGGGCACATGGTGTTAATGGCGTTGGGAAGATATTGATATAGACGCATATTTTGCGCGACCTGATGAATACCACAAATATAAATTTATGTTTTAAGATGCTCAAATGGCCTTGGCCCAGTCTGTGTGACTCGGTTCGGCTGTATCTATTCTATTATTGATATCCGAAGACGGTGACGGCACCAGACGTTCCGCCTACACAGTATTGATCTCCGAAGCCATGCTCTCGCCAGGCCATGCAGCTAACAACGTTATTGCGCTCCTTTTCTTTGCCATCCTTCCCTATAAGCTTCTTTCGTGTCTCCGCTCCGGCAGGACCCCAGGGGACATTGACCTTTGCTTTCACCTCTCCAGTCACGACATCCCAAGCCCACAGCTTGCCGTCTCCGTTCTGCTCCGGTTTGCCATTCATCTCATCACCGGCTAGGACATACTGGTCCTTGCCTCCCAAAATAGCCTGCATACGTAAATCCTCATTCTTCCTCCCCGGGTCGGCATACGTCTTCAGGCAACCCCCGCTCTCCCGATCCATTAACCGCACCTTACTATCCAAACTCCCCACCAAGACCGCCTTTCCGTCTTTGGTTAAACAAAGACTCGTCACGCTCGGCCCCTGCACATCCGTCACGCACCTTCCCATTCGCACATCGTAGCTCCTCACCCTCCCGTCCACGCTACCGGCCAGAATCTCAGGCCCCCGCACCACCACCGCCGAGATAGCGTCCCGCGCCTCGGTGAGCACCTGTACCGGCTTGAACGAGGTGCTCTTGCAATCCCAGAGCCGCACGCTCGCATCCAGGCTCCCGCTTACGATGAGGCTGTCGTCCTCGCCCGCTAAAGCGACGGCATTGATGCGCGCGCTGTGACTTTGCGCGTTGCCGCCGAAACGCCGGATTGTCTTGGCTGTCGTTACGTCCCACAGGAAGACGGTGCGGTCGCCCCCCGAGGAGGCGAAGCGCGCGTTGTCGGAGGAGACGGTTAGGGAGAGGACTTCGTAGCCGTGCGCGGAGTAGGTTTGGATCAGGCGGCCTTCGGGGATGGAAGGTGGTGATGAAGGGATTTTAGCGGTGATGTATGAGGAGTTGGAGGAGGAGGGGTAGATAGAGGTGTTAGGTTGGGGATTGTAGAGCCTGATGGAACGGTCTGAGGAGCCGGTTAGGATATAGGTCCCTGGAGAGGCGGAATATGTGACGGCGTGGACGGCGCCTGTAAGGTGTTAGTGTTGTTATGAGATGGAAGCCGGATATTCGCAGCCATTTTCCTTCCGTACTCCATATGATTCAACATACGAGTTGGGAATTCACCAGGGGTACTTACCGTTTGAGCCCAATAGGTGCGCAATGGGCTTGTCAGGGAAAGCCATTATTGACTTGTGCGGTTGCCATAGCCGTGCTTGAGAGATACAACTCAGAACAGGGGGGGAATGCCCGAAGCCCCAGTAGTGAATTTTCTTTGGCCAGATATATGATCTTCAATTCAACTCGATTCGTGACAGCCTCATTATGGCCGAGACTAAATACCGCAGTGGTATATTTCAATGAGTTGCTGGATTAAAGATGAAGTGTAATTTTATATCAACCCAACTTGCACGACTTCAAGACCAGGGAAACTGTAGTACTCTGGCAGCCCCACTATGGTTATGAACCACCACGCGCTATACGGAATGGGTTAATCATTAAACCGGCATGCACTATCGCCTGCCGCAGTGCCTGTAAGTGGCCGGTACATTACTGGACGCGATGCCACCCCAAAAAAGTTTCGAAGCTCGACAGCCAACATTTGGCGTCTACACATTCGCCTCTACAGTACCTCATAATATGCACACCACTTGACGGCAAGCGGTTGCAATGCTTCGAGCGAGTAACCAGGCAGTGCGCCGTATCGGAACCCATTACATTTTTCCGACTTGTGTAGTAGGAACCCGCAGCGCTTTTGTTTCTGGACTGCGGCCACCCGCAAGCGCAACCCATCATGTCCAGAATGCTTCTAGATTGTTGTCGGGGACAGCGACGAGAAGTGCCCCGACAACAGCTGAAACACCACCCGACTGCGCCGATGCCAATATAGTAAGCCTCGTGAAGACTGGTGGCAAGAAGAAGAAGAAAAAGAAGTCAACCCCGACGCCGGCAAAGACTGTACCGAAACCCGCAACGAAAACGGCGAAGTCTGCAACGGAGACGGCGGCTCCGAAAAAGACTGCCTTGAAGCGAGTGAACAAGGCCGCATCCGCACCAGGCAATAAGACAGATGCGCGTCGTCAGTTGGAAGTGCTTCAGGGTGCGCTCGTCGCGCTCAAGAAAGTGCTTGCCACAGAGAATATTGATATTGGTGACGTCGCCGGCCTCAAGTCAGATAGCGCACCAGGAGAAGCGAAAACTACATCTTCCAAAAAGGCCAAGAAACAGAAGGCAGCATCTACCGTCTCTACCGGGCAACCTGGGAAATCGGAAGCCGCTTCTACCGACTCAGCTAAGCAAGATGGCGTCCCACCGCCTCCAGAAGGGCTCAAGAACAAGAAGGAGAAGCCGTTGGGAAGGAAAACAAACGCCAAATCAACCGACGGAATTTCCTTAGGAGAATTGAGAAGAATGCTTGCAGGCGACTCAAAGGCTTTGGCCGTGCCAAAAGAAATGAGGATAGACCGTGACTTACAAGAAGATCTTGCAGAGGACCCTACTCTTTCTCTACCTCTAGCTGTGGCTCACTCACTGCGATCGCAGGGAGAACTTGAGATTAGGGAGTTGGGTTCCGAAAACCCCTCAGTTGAAGCGGCGAAGGGCGTTTTTCCGCCCACGACCCAAGGCGTAAAAGGAGGGCGGAAAGCATTTGCCAAAGCGACGGCCAAGGTCAAGACCAAAACCAAGACAGTCAAGAAGGCGGTATCAAGATCCCGCACTAAGTTAGCGCATGATATGCTCGAAGGTGGCGAAAACGCCCCTTCTACAACGCCGATCGATGTCAAGCGACTCTACAGTCATGACTTGAACTTGGTGCCCATCGTCAAACCTCAGCCAGCCGTGCCATCGGTATCTTACGGCTTAGACCGAGTATTATTTAACCCTGGTGTTTACCATCTCCAAGACCCTCGTTCGAGAGTCTACAATTTCGATCCCTACCTTTCGAAGATTATGCCCATCAAAGAGTTCGACTTCAATGCTCTGAAACAATACGTCACATCTTCCAAGGACGAAACCCTGATCGCGACCGCGCGTGAGCACGGCAAGAAGTATACTGGCTCTACATCGAGCATGACATCAATGTTGTCTCACTTTCACTTCCTCCTGTCGTCCTGGCGGCCCATTAATTCTGAGATGGTGTCACAAGGTTTCCCCGTCGAGTCGGAACAATACACTGCTATTATGAGAGCGCCAGCTGCAACTTTCCTGCACTGGAAAGATGGCGTGTACGCTATAGATGCAGACAAGGAATATGACAGTTCTAATATTCTTAGCATGCTTGGAAAGTCAATGGAGAAGCTGTTGACAATGACAAAAGAAGAATACGAACGATATCGCCATGTCAACTCTGATCAGATCTCGGAGGAGGAGCGTAATGCCGACGAAGCTTTTCATTACACTGGCTTGGGAGATTTCATGATGCGTTCTCAGTTGGATGCCCATGACCCCAGAGTTCCCGGGACTGGTATGTTCGACCTCAAGACGCGGGCCGTCATCTCCATTCGCATGGATGCCAAAGGTTTCCAAAAAGGCTTGGGATATGAAATCCGCCAGCGCTTCGGACAGTGGGAATCATTCGAACGAGAATATCATGATATGATACGGTCGGCGTTCTTGAAATACTCGCTCCAGGTTCGCATGGGCCGAATGGATGGCATCTTCGTTGCGTTTCACAATACGCAACGAATATTTGGGTTCCAGTACATTCCTCTTGAGGAGATGGACCTGTCTCTTCACGGGACATCTAATGTACTTCTGGGCGACAAGGAATTCAAGCTTAGTCTCGGCCTCCTCAACGAACTTCTCGACCGTGCCACCAATAAGTTCCCTGAGCAATCTCTGCGGCTGCACTTTGAGACCAGACAATCTGAAAAGACCCCCTTTATGTATTTCTTCGCTAAACCCGTCGCCCCCGGCGAGATCGAGGCCGTGCAGAATGCCGGCAAAGCCTCCATAGACGCTTTTGAGACGGAGGTTTTGGGGTTGGGAAAAAGCCCAGCTACGACAGGGGCTACCCCTGAAAGCGAAGATGTTCTTGATATCGAAGATGCCGAGGACGCTGAGGACAGCGGACCTTCCGAGATCCAAGACATGGAGGACGTTGCAACCTGGGAAGAAGTCCGCGCCATGGTTGATGAGGCCATGGAGGCCGATGAAGTCGGTGTAGGCGCCGTGAGAGAAGCTATCGAGATAGCACTGGACGAGAGTGGCTTGCTAGAGTCCCAGTCTATTGAGAACACTCGAAGATATGTTGATGCTTTGCTCAGCGCGATTACTGGCAATGAAGTGTCTGACGAGCCTCAGCCTTCCGAGGACAACTCCGTTGCCCAACCATCAGAATTGGGACAGGACGAGGATATGGCTGACAAAAACACATCGTTGCCGGATTCCTCCAACGAAGACGGAGTGATAAATGCTGTGGAGGCCAGAAACGACCCCTGCGATGAATCGGAGTCCTTGGCCGATGCCACTAGTGGCGACTCCGTTGAGACCGAAAATTCAGGGCCCTCAGAATCTCATCCTGAGGGAGATTCTACGAGCAACCCACCAATCAACCAGGGTGCTCTCTATCGCTCTGCCCAATCACCTCTGGGCGAGACAGAACAAGGACTTGAAGACGAATCTGCGCTGGAGCCTCTGCAAATGCAGGATGAACAAATCCCGAAATCGGACGACGTCTCTTTACAAGAAGCCAACGACGAACAGTCGCAGGAATCGCAGAAGATCACCTTGGCAGCCTCAGACACCGAGGTTGCCAACGATGTTGGGATCTCGACTTCGGAGTCAGCTTCAACACCAGCGTCTTCACAAGAGGAAATTGAGGCCGAAGATGAAGAGGAAGCGGAGGAGTCGAATGGCGATAACAATCCAAATGCTAGCATGATGACACTGAGAAATCTGATCAAGCGAATGGCTCAAAAGGTTGACGTAGGAAAGCCATCGGCAGCCCAGCGGGAGGCCGACGATTCATCTCGACTCAAGGAGTTTGAGCGCATCCTGAGAAACATGATTACGCAGTCTAAAGCAGAGGACGCTGCTAGGGACATCGAAGATGCGAACGACGAAGAATTGGCCGAGCTTACTGAAGAAAAAGCCTCGTGCAAGTCCAAAGAGGCTCGTGATTCAGAACTCGATGGCTCGCTCCTCGGCATGGTGCTGACTATACGCAACACGGTCAATGGTGAGTATGTCACACGGCCTAATGAACTCGGGGAACACGACGACTGGGCCGTCGAGTACAATATCGATGAGATGGACGCCAAACGAACAAGAAGGCTCTACGAAATGTGCAAGACAAGGCGGCAGAAGATTTTCTCTTCATCTGGTGACAGGGATGTGCAATGGCACCAGATGTGGAAGGGTCAGCTAAGCATGTCCACCCAAAAGGGTCGCACTTTCCGCGAACAGGAGACCATGGAAGCCAAGACGAAGCCTGTGTACGTCGTCGGTGAAGAGGGTGCCAAGACCTATGAGGAGGTTTTTGGGGCCGACGAGGTCGTCGAGCTGGAAGCAGTCACGACAAGTGGGCAGGGGAAAATCGAAACAAGCGAACAGGAAGAAGTCGACACGGCTGAGCAGGAGATGGAGAAGAAGGGGGGCGATGACGTGAAAACTTGAATGTACGATCCACCCCGACCGAGAGAGGTCTGGAGATGATGTAAAATTAGACATGTGCGATGGTTGTATTATACGTCACTCATGTGAACTGAGGAAATGGATATCAGACGCAGCCAGTTGGGGAGCTGGTTCATGTCATCAAACCTTTACAACCTCACTCTGTAAATATACACACAACATTTCGATACTTTTCACTGCTCCTCCAGTGGACTCACAGATCCGGTCGATCCGTAATACATCAACATAGACCAGGTGACAATTGTTAATGCTCCACTCGCGACCGTATTGACAAATACTTTAATCATTACATATGTAGTTATTCCCCGGTGTCCAATTCCGGCCGTCCGGAACCGGTGGAGATCTCAGGGGCCGCCGGCAATTTACAGACCCCACTTCCCGGTAGGTAACACTGCTCGACAACGCCGATCCTTCCGTGTATCCAGTCAATCCGAATAATCCCCCTAACGCCGATTAAATATAAGGTGGGTTTGAATGGCAACCTGAGGATAGCCTGCTCTGTCTGCCTTTGACCGGACCTGATCAAGGATATATATGTTCCTGTAATCTCGTTCTCCCAAAGCTCCAGACATCGTCATCCATAGACTCAGCCCCCGCTTATCCAGATTTCTTCGTCATCTCATGCTCGGCTTACGATACGTTTCACATCCCCTCGATCCTTCCCGCCATCTTGCCAACCATGTTCTTGCGAGAAACGGAAAAGGATTTTCTCAATGGATGGCATATTACACACAGTCAACTTGGGGGGAGGAGGAGGAGGGGTGCCGGCATGCGACAAGCCGGGGACAGGATGTACAAAAGTTTTTGGGGTATGATTCCGACTATATCGACGACCTCAAATCACAACGCTTCTCAATGCTCGTAGCCAGCTCCGCGCTGCCAAGGACTGTTGAGCAGTATTAGTCATTTGTGCCAAGACTGGGGTCATAATAACCTTACCTTGCGTTGTTCTCTGCTCGAAACACGTGCGGGCTGGCATTATTCTGCGTGTCAAGGCCGTCTGAGGGGTGTGCGGGCTGGGTTGGGGTTACCGATGTGATGGGAGTATGCGGTTCGTGGCCTGAACTGGCAACTGAAGGCGCCTGGTGCGTATACTCATTGGGCACGTGCCATCGATCAGAAGATAAAGACTGCTTCTCAGGGTGTTGGACTTCACTGTGAAGTTCTAATTCAGACGCGAAGCCTCCCCTACCATCCCCGCGGGCCGCAGCACCCAAAGCGTCCAGTTCCGTCGTTGTGTTCAGTTGGCTTTGAGACTTCATGAAAGAAGTACGATCGTCGGCCATGTACTGATATCTACCATCAGGGTTTCCATGGAAGAAGACAAGGGTAGTCGTGATGATGAGCATGATCAGTAGGACGAGTGTGAATGCCGCATTGAGAATCCACAGGACGACACCCACGATACCCGTCGCCAACGGAGGCTGGTTGAAAATTTCGGTGAAGATGAGAAGCATGATGGCGTTCAGGAAGTTAACGACACAGATGGCAATATTAAACGAGTTAGTTTTCTTGTCCATCCATGGCCGTAAGACGGTGGCGGCGATCAGTGCAGCGGCTTCGATAATGATCAAGGCAATGGCCTGGGCGGCTCCTGACGCAAAAGCAATGAATATCGCCTTCAACAAGGTGTACCCCAGCACAGGTACTATGAAGTAGTATGCCGAGGCTCGGAACTGGATGTACAGGAATCCCCACTTGTTGAGAGTGTGTAGATCGGAAAACAATATGTAAGCCGGATTCTTGTGCAGTGTGACAGACCGCTTGGCAATTCGAATGACCTTGTACGACGCCCAAGCCAGGGTTCCAGTTAAGCCGAGAAAGAAACCAATCGCCAGGACAACTTCGGCAGCCGAATCCCTCTCTGCGAGCTGCCAGAGACACAGAATGGCGATCGGAGCATATCCGATCAGAGAGATTCGAAATAGAATACCCTTCAATACGGTGCGCCAGCCATTTCGGAAGTCCTGGAAGATGTCGCCTCTCATCCATTTCGCCTTGACGAAAGCCTCGCAGAGCCCCTTGAATGCAGCAACAAACACAATCGTCGCGAGGAGAATGATCCAGAAGAAGATGACTCCGGTCATGAAAATATTGGTAGTCTCGATCAAAGCTCTAAAGGCCACTCGCGGAATGCCCGTGATGACATAACTGCCCGAACTGGTCTGCGTGGTGTCTGCTCGCCTGGCAAGACTATGCGCAGCTACAGGCAGTCTTGCGGTTGCGCTCTCGAACAGATCCAAGGCCGGTCGAACCATGTGCAGAGCACGCTTTTCAACTTGAACGGAGACTTGCGCCAAGGAGCTGAAGAGCTCAGATGGCGTTCCACCGGTAGCTCGCTGGTACCAGGTGTAAATGCTCTCCAGAAAGGCGACTTTGATTATGCCGAGACTCCATTGAAAGTCCTGGGTCCACGCTTGCACGACGGGAGGGAGGGATATTCGGACGAGACCAACAATGGCCTGGGCTTGAAAGTAGCTACACAATGACAGGGCATTGGCAGCGACGTGTGACGCGGTATTGGAATGGCCCAGGCCAGAAAAGATAGCAGAAGATAGCAGGGCCAGGCCGGTAACTATGGCGGCTGCCCACTTGACTCCTAGGAGGTCCACCGTTTTTCCGTTGGAGATGTTGGTCTCAACACAAGCCACGCTGTGTCCAGCTGACGAGCCATCGGTGCTATTGATGAAGACTCGAACCTTGGCATCAAGGTCCGGAAACGTGTAGGCGATAGTGGGAATCTGATCAACCGCATCCTTGTTCAGGAAGAGGTTGAAGGGAGTTGACGTCTTGCCGGCCGTCATGGGACAGAAGCCAGCGAAGCCGGTGTCGCAGGGGTTGATGGTTCTGCGCATAAATTCGTAGCCATAAATGAATATGGCGATGTCGAAGACGACGTGGCTTTCGATAGAGGAGACGGCTAGCATGTTGACGAAAACAGAGGCATTGTTTGGCGTAAAGACGACATTGAATCGACTCGCTGTGAAACCCGAATTCTCCTGACACGTATTGAGGGAGGTTGAGCTGAGTACCCTTTCAGCATTTGCCACGGGAGCGCGGGAGATGGCCGCGATGGCGAGGAAGAGGCCCGCCGACGAGATCCTCATCTTGCTAATTGGCGCCGATATTCCAATGGTAATCCGATCGCAAGGTTAACACAGTTCAATGGATAGTATTGAGGTCGCAACTGAGGGTATCGGGTCTCGCACGACCAGAGTTGTTGTTTGCCGCAGTCGAACGGGGAGGTCTGAATCGGTAAGGTTTGGGCCGCCCAAGGAGGTAGCGAGGTAAATCAGAAAATGAGGCTGCGGTCAGGGAGAGAAAGTGAGTGACGCTTCCGCAGGATGCCCAATTCGCCCAAGTATGATTCACATCGAATGCGATGATGCGAAAAGATGGGGAAAGGCGTGAAATGTCGAGAGAGCAAGGCGACGTGAGATGTTGATGCGGAGGCCAGTTGTGTTGCTGCGGGCGTGGGTGAACGGGAGGGGGACCAGAGGATGGGCGACGAGATAACCTTTTAGGTGAAATACGAACTTGCTGATGTACTAGTCAGAGGCCACCTGCAACTGTAAATCTGTATCTGCAGACGCGTCGGGTTGGCTGAGATCCTCGCCTGTCTAACCTAAGGGTACACCAGGAGCGGAAAGATGATTCAGATTCGTCGTATCGGAATTGAGAAATTAAGATGATTCAGGTTTTACGGGCACAAACCTACGAACTTGGGACGGTGATGAGCCTTAGTAGACAGTGTAGTGTTTGACAACAGATGCGACGAGTTACGAAGTAGGACATCAAGGCACTCAACGACTTCAGTGCACCACAATGGTACTCATTTTTGCGACAACAGATCATCTCGTTCACGACAGTTCTGTTTCGGGTACAATGACAACATGCTATCACTGGAGAATTTTGTCCGGGGAATAAGTTGGCAGGAACAACCGAACAAACAGTCAATAATCGACGGAAGGAAGCGGCGCAGAGCGTTGCATCATGCATTGCACCCTGGTTCGCATGCTTGCCTTGCCTTGCAGGGACAGCGGCGGGGAATCCGGAAGCGGGACGGAAACCACAAAAGTTCACGACTACTACTTATAAGTCAAGCGTGTAAGTCAATTCTTCAAAAAGGTAAGTTGATCGCGTTGACCCAGATGGGATTTGTTTTCAGTCTTGGGGACATGTTCCCAGTTCAAGAGCTTGTTCGTCTTCCCGGCCTGCTACTACGGTATTTGCAATTCCCATCTTTCTTTCCACAGGTCAGCCGGCCGGCCGTGACACACTCTGCAAACATGGTGCAAGCAAAGCCCATCAGACCCACGACGACACGACATAACGGACAGCTCGTCGGTCCCCGTAGAAAGCTGAGGGACCAGGGTGATATCAAACTAGAGTATGGACGGCACGTGCTGTGGGAACTTGGGACTCTACTTCTCCTAATATACCTCACAACATCGTCAGGGCCGCCCACGCAACCAATATACTTTGCTCACAAGTACCTTGGCAGTTCTGGTCACTCAGCGTGCTGTGGCCAATAGCCTGCGAGACATCGTGGACTGCTTCACAAGAATGCCGGCAGTTACACTTGACCACTGCACGTGCGGCATACATGTTTCGTTTGATCCTGAAGGAGGGAGCATGATACTAATTATCGGGGCATCCAGCGTGTCCAGCTAGCCGGGAGAAGGTATGATATGAAGACCAAAAGTTCAGATACCTCGTTTGGGAACAAGTGGCGATGCAGCCGGCTGGTTATGAAAGTACGGAAATCTCCCGGTTTCATGCCAGCTTAATATCGACGTATATCTCTTTCTGATATTGCTAAGCAATTTCAAACATTTGCTAATTGCTAATGGTGTAGTCAGAGTACTCATCCCCTTGCGTTCCTTAACGTAGTTCCTCGAAATCCTGGTTGCCATAGTGGGACTCGATCTCATGGACATATCTGGCTCAGTCTCGGGAACGCTGTGACACTAGAACGACTAAATATGAGCAATGAAGGATAGCTCCCTCCGCGAGAAGTAGCCGTGGTTAGCACTATAATGGTGGTGCTCATAGGACTTGCCAGCTGACTCGACTTTCAACGCTCGATATCCCATCCAAACCATTTTGCGAATGTCACAAATCGAGCCAGAGACACGTTAACATTGTTATCTGTAAACTACCAACCGTTCCCTGGCACCAGAAACTCACTGTTATCAAGTTCCGTGGCTGAAAGAACAGCTTGATGGAGTGGTTCAAAGGCGTCGATACGTTGACAAGGGCGTGACGAGCATGCAGCCTTTCAACAACCTACATGCTTCTATTGTTTCCTAGGGGGGTTTTCAGTGCAACTGTGTATCCCCAGGTGTTCTTAGTCCGCGCGAGGACAGTCCAAACGAGGCAAGGCGCTCAGAATCCCCTCGTGTTTCGAATAGCCTGCTTTCTCCAGGGGAACGGCCAATCACCGCCAGTTTACCTGAAAGTAGGTCTCATTCAAGAGTCCCACGATAACCTCAAGGCGTATTATGGTCTCTTGAAACTACGTGCACAAGTTCTATATCATTATCCTCCTTAAAGTGCCTCCTGGCAAGCTTCAAGCAGTCACCGAGGAGCACACATCACGCTTGCTAGAGCCCCAAGACAGCTTGGACCTGGGCGATGTGCTGAAATGAGCAGGATTCGTATATTTGTGCAGATCCGCATCGGACATGCTACCGTCTCAATCCGAGTGCAGACATGTTGTGTGAATTGGCGTATGATCTGGAGTCACTTCTTGAGTCTGGTAACCGGCGAACGTCCCACAGCAGTACGGGCTAAGAGACGCTTGAAGTAGAGTAGACAACCTGGCGGCATCTTAAATCCGAGGAATTCAGCGTAATCAATTGTCAACTGAGAACCCTCCGTGATAGCGGTGAGAGACGCCAGTGAGTTTGGTATGTAGGCTCTGTTCAGCAGCGCAACTGTATTCCGGATTAAACACCCGAACCATCTTCGACGCGTTAGTCGACGTTCGCCGCGAAAACGAGTCATCCCCTCTGCTGTCCAAGATATTTCGGAGGAAATGAAGCCTGACAAATCTCAACGAGGGATTCTCGCAAGAGGCTCCCGAAGCCCGACTGCCTGTTTGTATCAGTTTCTGTCGTTGGGGAGACCCAGATGTCCCGAATGTCTAGATTGCGGGGTTCTCAAACACCGTCTCTTCATCAAAACTCTCCTTTACATCCTCATCAGACGAGCACGATTTTGCTCAGGTTAATGAGACGTGGGAGGGTTTGAGCTGACCAATCACACTCGCCGACAATATACTGGCTTGCATTCAACAAAGAGATTCATTGTGGAGCATCGATTAGAGTTGAGGGCTTGCGAGCTTGCAACGGGGATCCTTGACTCTCGCTATCGGTATCGTTGTTCTCACCCCTCAACTTGCAGATCCGGGGAAAGCGCAGAATGCTTGTCGCTTGTCCGCCGTTGTTACAATGCAGACGGCAGTTTGACACCACGAGACAGCTGACATCTGGTCAGCAGATTTCTCCAAGATACAAAAGACGAGGTCTCCTCCTCGAGTCAAACTTTTGCTCCGTAGCTTTACATCTACGAGCCGACAGACATCAAAATTAAACCATGTTGTTGGTTTCGATACAGCCGGCAATGTCCGACGTACAAGTCCGTTGCGAGATGACGCTGCGGACCAGGGTCACCAGCCACAGCCCCTCTCCGGGCTAACATCTACACTTGCGTGGCTTTCTACGTCAACCCCCCTCCTAGCCTCATGGGAGAGGGAGCAATTGAACAGGCAACCTCCAGCATATAGTGAGGAACCCAACCCATCGCATGCCCGAATGGGGCTAGATGGAAGCTATAGAACCAACAGCCAAACCTTACCGCCACAGTCAGGACTTCCTCGTCGCACCTTGTGGGTTGTGGCAATGAGTGAAGGTATCCACAACTTGACCGAAGCGATCGCATTGCTCACACCCGCGCGACACCAACGACAATCCGCTATGGAGGACCCCACCTCCAGCCGACCGCGAGGGCCGCGTCTCTATCACAAGAAGTCGAGAACGGGCTGTGTACGATGTAAACAGAGACGGGTCAAATGCTCTGAGGAACGTCCGTCGTGTGCTGGTTGTTCGAGGCACATGGTCGAATGTGTGTACCCTTACCAAGCAGCCGCGTCGTCCGCATCGCCTCCGGGGCTCCCACATGTGTCGTCCTCGATCCGCGCCAAGAGCAAAGGAGCGGTTGTCAGCGCTACTACCGACTTTGGCGCATCGCGACACGGCGGGACGGGGCTCAGCCCGTCAAACACCGAGAACGGGAACCGCGCCCACACGCCCGGAAGCTTTGGACATACACCGGGTAGTCAGGGTACCCAGTCATCGCCGGGCTCGTCGCATCGGACCCCGATAGAAGGCCCAAGCGAGGCAGATTTGGATATCCCCGAATCGAAGGAACGTCGGATGTGGGAGCTGCGCCTGCTACACAACGGCCTCCTGATGGCTAATCCATTTTCTTCCACACAAGCGGGACCGATGACACATCTATGGAACGTCGACATACCGAACATGGCGCTGCGGGACGGGTCGGATCTAATACTTTACGGATTGCTTGCGCATTCGGCACTCAACATGCTAACCAAGCCGAGCACAACGGCCAAAGAGCGCGAAGAATTGGAAGTGCTCCATCAGACGTATTTGGCTCTGTTGCTGCGCGAACAACGGCGGGACGTGGCCAAGATGAGTCCCGCGAATGCCGACGTCATTTGTTTCTCCAGCTTGCGCATCCTAACGCACGCGATGGCCATGGTGCAGACCGTGCCGATGGATCCGTGGGAGCCCCCGCTGGATTGGTTACAAATGGGGCGCGGTGCCGGCGTCGTCTTCCTCACTGCGAAGGAGGCTGTCTTGTCCGGGGAGGGCAACAAGTTCGGGACCTTCCTCAGAGCCCCTGGAGTTGTTGAAGACCCCAACGAAACGATATACGGCGACCACAGCGAGTTGGACTGGCTGCTGGAACATCCAGCGGGCGCACATTCGGCCGAGGCACAGGCTGACGTGGAATTGGATGACGCGGAGACGCTGAGAATCTATAATTCGGCGCTCTCGTATATTTGTTGTTCGCGAAGGGCCATCGAGCGCGGCGAGACAGATTATGCCATCGCCAGGCGGCTCGGCGGGTTTTCAGTATGGATGCCGAATGATTACACACAATACTTAGTCGAGAGGAGGTCGAGGGCGATGGTAATATTGGCACATTTCATGGCTCTATGGATTGATTTTGAGGACGCTTGGATTATCGGCAAGGCGGGCGAGAGGCAGATCAGGGGCATCCAGAAGAGTCTGCCCCTCGCGTGGAGTTCTAAGCTGGACGGGCTGTTTTCGAAGTTCAGGACGCCTGGAAATAGGCCAGAAGCCTCTAGGGAGGCTCCCTAAAAATGGGCTTGGTTTGGGATTTGGGTTGTATAAGTAATACATGAGATATGACTGAAGTATGCAAGCTCAGACAGTGTAAGTTTGGAGTGTTCGTACGTTTGTAGCGTAGTAGCGTGTGCATTTTCAACCGTTCGGGTTTACCAGCACCTCGCCTGACATAGACTCCTCAATCCGAAGGCCTCCCAGGCCGAGATCTCCGAATACGTGCCACCCGTGAACATTCTTGAGTACTCCAGCACAGACTGGTGGAGTCAAATTAAGGCGGAATACCACAATTAGATATCCTACGAAAGCCTCTTGCCAGGTCGTCCTCTAGGAGTTAATGTGACTTCCATACCTGACACTAGCTACGGATGTGATCGCGTACAGTATGGGCAGTGGGAAAGGCCCACAAGGCGCTACGCCGCCACCGTGGAATTCAGTTCGGGGCGACTGTATAGCGAAGAGAAACCTAGACCTCGTAAATCCAAGAGTCAAGCCCACACGTTACAACTTCGGTTACAGACCCTTCAGCACACATGGAAGCAGGGAATCTGCGTAACTTCGAGTCAGCCTCAACAGCCGACATTCCTCAAAGTGAACACGTCGACCTCGGTAGCTCAGATATTGCCATTGTCGACAAGCTCAACCAAGCTTACTTGGAACGTCCTAGGCGGAAGCAACCCCAAGCAGAGACCGGCTGGGTCGGATTACCAGACATGAAGTAGCATCAAGGCAAAAATGATCGCGGTTTACAAAGAAAAATAGAACTTGCCTACTTGTTGAAGTCAGATTGACCTAATGGAGATTGCTCCATCTCAAGGCAGGCTTTCGCAGGTATCAATTGCCATCAAAATTTCATCACAGGTTTGGGAATGTCCGGTATTGCTTCAGGTCATCAACGCATCATGGGTAGCCGCACGAGGGGCCCTCGTGATGATGGTTTTATAAGCAACGGCTCGTATTAGGTTGATCTCGACCTACACATCGGAGTCGTCAACCGCGTGGAAAAACAGGCAGGTTGGCGATGATTTGAGTTGGTGGTCTGAACTGTGGAAAGAAAAAGGGAAAAACTCAATTGCAGCAGCAAAAAAAATTCGAAGTTAAGCAAAGCTGATGAGGATAACCGAACTTACCCCGAAAGAGCCGCAAGTGGGTATGATCGGCCAATGGCTTGATAGCGCGGTAAAGCCTGGTATCAATTCCAGGAGACTCGGGCCAGTTCTAGCTGGTAAAAATTGAAGACGGTGTCGAAGTTATGGTATCATGTACTAAGATAGACCTAGCTGTGTCCCGCATCCTCAATTTGCATTGTCCGGTTCAGTTCCTCGGTGGGCAAAGTATTACATCATCATAGCAACCACAATCACCTCACATGCAAGGAATTCCAATAAAGACCCTGATACAATCAGGAGTCTTACAGTGGATTACACCAGCCTCGTGATTTTAATGCAGGAATCTGCAACAGCACTCATCATCTCAATCATGCCTCTCTGCACTCCATAGCATCACGAGTACCTCGTAAAAGTGAGGTATCACTTGGGCAATTCGTCGACGACTTCAGGAAGCTGAGACCAAAGTGGGTCGTGCAGGCCAAGTGCTCTTTGAATGCGCTCCATAATTCCAGGTGGGACCACAACAGTTATGGCAGGCGTAAGTAAAAGGTTGTTGTTCGCATGGCGGCAGCTAGCGTCAGTTACCTACCACCTGGTCGGCCCTGCATTCACGCCGCCTGCTGAACGAATCTGGGGCGCATTGAAAACATTTTGGCCTTCTTGTCTGATATCTCCAAACTTTCAAATCAATCTATCTGCACGACTTCGCCCATCCGCTCAACCGGACCTGCTACGCCCACCGCTACATCAATTAGATAATTATTTGATAACTACTGCGATTCCTAACCCCCATTCCCACACCTGCCGATCAAAGCAAGACATACTCGCCCAGCCCATCCTGACATCACCATTGTCGCTCAGCTCATCGACCCTTGCCACACACCCGTGTGTCCCATTGTGAAGCGTCATCGCAAGCCCCCAAAAGCGCCTATCGAATAGTCTGAACCGCGCAAACTTCAGGAAAGCCAGTATAGCATTTGGGGGAGAGAAGGTCACAGGATCACATTTTGCATATATCGCCAGACGTCCCCCAAAGTTTTCCTCATGGATAACAAGAACCCCATCTGGAGTCGTCGTACTAAGTGAGTTGCCCCTCTGCCATACGACGGTAGTCTGTTGCGTCTTCCATGCCGTCACACAGCTTTCTCACGGCGTAATATGATTTGTTTTATTCAATGCAGCATGCGTTTAGTGACAGAGGCAATCTCTGCCGAGTTTTGACTCGCACCATCATTGGGCCGCTTTACCAGCTCAGCTAGCTAATTTTACATATAGCACTAGCAACCTCTCCTTGTCAACTAATCAGACCGACAGCGCCGCCAACCCTCGGGACTACTCGTCCCTCTCCCGCCGAAATGGACCGACATCCTCCCATGGCCGCTCCATCCCCTTCAACTCGGCGCCGGCGCCCGGTGGTGGACTAGCTTCGCCGTCCGCAACCGGACCCGGAGGAGGTTCTAGTACCTTCGGGCTTGGCTCGGGGTATTCGCCTCCTTCAGCTCAGCTAAGACGCCAAAGACACCGGGCAACCCTTTCGAGATGGCTATGGGTATGGTTGGGAGCAAGACCCCGTCTGCCGAGAAGTCGTCCAAGGAAGCTCTGAGGTCGACTGTCGGCAAGCAATCTATCTTAAGCTTTGATGAGAAGAAGATTACGCCTTCTTCGCACGCACTTCTCGACACATGGGTATTCTGGACTCGACCGCCCATCAGCAAAGCCAACGGCTACATCGAGTACGAGAAGACAATACATCCAATCGCTCAAGCGCAGACGGCCGAGGAGTTCTCTGCAATTTACAAGCACTTGAAGCCGCCTTCCGCCCTTCCTGTGGTAACGGACTACCACCTCTTCAAGAAGGGTGTGCGTCCGATATGGGAAGATGACGAGAACAAGCAGGGAGGCAAATGGGTATTACGACTGAAGAAGGGCATAGCGGATCGCTACTGGGGCTTGATCCAACTGGCATGCATAGGTGGCCAATTTGGAGAAGGGGAAGATGACGTGGTGAATGGGGCGGTGCTGAGCGTGCGTAATGGTGAAGACATCATCAGCATCTGGACAGCGTCCACAGGCCAGCGAGTCCTCAAGATAAGGTATATACGGCCTCATCTGCTACCTCGGCCAACAGCTAACCAATGCAGGGACACGATGCGCTTGGTACTTGCATGTCCTTCTGACACTCGCTTCGAATTCAAGAGCCACGATGAGAGCATGCAGCAGCGTGCCTCCATTGATGAACAGCGTCGCGAGAAGGCTGCCGCTAACCATCACCATGGCGAGGGCGGCAAGCGAACCTCGCGCCATAATGATAACAATAACCCAAGACAATCTCAAGAGGAGCAGCGGTCGTAGTCTGATCGTTGTCCTAGGATTACAGCCTCCATAATCCTCAAAGCCCAAAAGCTAAACCCCTGAAGGCCACTTCACCGGGTTCTGCTAGGTTCGTAGCTTGAACGACTGGACCAGTTGGTGCCAGTAAGATTGGGCATGGTCAATCCCAAGCTACTACCCATGGCTGTGACATTTGATGGTCAGATTCGCGAGGAAAGACCGTCACCGCCTGACATTACGAATGGAGATGACACCGGGGGGGTTGCCCACCGACGAGGAATATGTTTCTATGCCATTTGATCATGTTTATCAGTGGCGCAGAGCTGCAATAGCGCGTGTACTTTACTGTGTAGCATCACCAGGAAATCATGGGAGGACCGGTCTAAAGCACTGGTAGCGGCCTGAGTGCTAAAGCATAGCGAAAGCAATCTGATAATAAATCTAAGAAGCTTATGAAGATATGAGTTGAGTTAAAGGCAAACTCGAAGTATCTCATTGACATGTCGTGAGAGAAGGAAGTAACACACAGCGTTTCATTTTCACAAGTTGGGGATCACTTACAGTATATGCAGATGCGAAGCCTCATCTACCAGTTAAGAGAAAAGCAGCTCGGTAAGTATGAGCTGACAGCATGTCCCGGCTGTGCATAGAGGACCCACCCTAGGGTAGCGAGAAAACGAATATGGTTCAGTTCAGTTCAGTTCAGTTCAGTTCACTTAGCTATCCCAGATTCCATGGCCCTGTTTTGAGTAGGTGGTGTAATTTCCAAGTCTAACAATCGCTGTGTCATCATATCTTCATCTTAATTATCTATAGAGATCCAGTTGCGGATGTACCAAAAGACAGCGGATTGGTTGTAACCCCTATAAACTTAGTGTAGGTACTCTAAGCTCAGCCTGTCCCTCCTTCCTCTGTGTCTGCCCTCTCATACAGTGGTTAACCGGCTGACAACATCAAGTAGTCCGTCTCTTTCGTCCAGCCGTTACGGATGGATGACGAAAAACAAATAGCCATCTCCTCTTACTTTCCCTTCCGTACGCCTCTGTTGAATACAAGGCTTTTTGCCATTCATGCCGTACCATAACGCCGTTGCATCGAAATTGGATTTAGGGACCAAAAAAAGCTCAAACGTGCAGTTGGAATCGTCGGCACAAAGGTTGTGTCTGGCTCGTCCCCGAAAGCCGGAGGTGATCTTCTCGCCTTCAAAGAGCAAATTCGGGGAGCAACACCCAGCGCTTGTCCGACTTTCGTCCACCGGGAACAGGAACTCGTTCAGCGATCTTCTCAATGGTATTTTTGACTTGCGCGCGTGTGCACAGAGGAAATCTCTTCGCCAGCATATCAACAATCCCCACCTTGGTGAGGAAATTGATGTCATCACTAATGACAGCACGTTTAAATTCGTCAAGAATTTGTTTCGGGACGATGTCCTTGACGTCCGTAGTGGAGGCAGAGCCGGCAGCTGATGCGGCCAGCCTCGCAAACGCGTCACTCGGTGCTGCGGGAGGTCCCATAGGCGCAGATGTGGGAAGGGCGGGCGGTTGCTGAAGAGCAGCCGCTGCAGCTGCCCTTGAGGCCGAAGGCTTCGGTTGCCAGTACTCAGTCGAAAAAGGATCAATCATGGAATGATCTTGGAGAGGTTCTGGGACAAAAGTTAGCTCAATTTCATCGTTGCGCCTTGAGTCTTCTTCAAATTACCCAAAAGGAACTCCATGCGGTACTTGTAAGCAGCGGGCTGGGGCCCAAGCCGCTTCGCATTTTCAAAACAAATACCAGTGCTCTTTGGTGAACTTTCGCGCAGAAAGCCCGGCCGGGCAGTGGCTGCATCATCGGCATCATCCAGAAAATCTGCCATTTCCTCGTCAACCTCGTTGTCGTCATCTTCTTCCTCACAATCATCAAGATCCTCGCCCTCTTCTTCCTCCCACTCGGCCTCAGAATCGTAGTCGTAGTTGAGTTTTAAGACGCGGCCAGTCGGTCGACGCGCGAGCTTGTGGAGGGTACAGTCCATATTGGATGTGACAGTGCCAACGTACGGCGGGCGTACGTCCTCATAGAAGGACAGTATTTTTATCGGAATCGCATCGAGTTGCTCTTGCACGCTATTGTACCGAACCATTTGCGACTCCGTTCTAATGGGCGGGACACCAAGCCGGTTGTCAACGGGATCGCCGTACATCTCGGACATGATCTTTGCAACACTGAAATGAAGGATCCCCCGCCTGGTATGCAGACCATTCAGTTGGAAGGCGTTCACAGGTTCAAATGGTGTGACGGAAACCTCGCCACGCTCTCCACAGATATACTTATCCAGTATGTCGGACTTTGCCTGCTTCGTCTCTTCGTCCATAGAAAATGACGACGGCCCAGCCATAGTCACGTCCTGTTTGACGTAGAATGGCTTGAATCTGCGCTCGTACTCTGACATGTTCGTCTTGCGGTCTTTCTTGGCGAGATCCGGGCTCGCATTCGCAACATCATCTGTCGTACGGTCTTTGGCAGTATTGCCACTTGTTTGCTTCACAGGCGTCGTTGGACCAACATCCACTTGCTTGGGTTTTATGAAGAAGGCTCGCAGACTGGGCTGCTGCTTCGCTTTTTTCTCCTTCTCCGCATCGGCTTTCGCTTTCTCTGCGGCCTTGGCAGCGTCTCTCTCACGTTTCGCAGCTTCTCTCTCGAGCCTGGCAGCTTCTTTCTCGGCTTTCGCAGCTTCTCTCTCTGCATCAACCTCGGCCTTTTTTCGCCGCTTCTCTGCGCGCTCTTGCTCCTCTTGCGCTTTCTCGGCGGCGGTCTTCACAGCTTTATGCCTTCGTTTAACACCCGCCTGAATCTGGTTGGTAGTTGATGCGGACATCGTGGTTGTACTTGATGGTTGCACAGCGGGTGCCGTGGGGTGTTGTTGGTTAGGGCTAGGTGACTTCTGAAGACCAGACGACTTTGAAGATGTAGGATTCGGGGAAAAGGAGTTCTTGTCGGGTGTGCTAGATCCCGCTTCGGTCATAGCAGCAGGGCTGCTGCTCGATGGCGGCGATTGGGCGGGCATAGTGATGATAGGAATCGGAGATGTTTCTGTAGGAGAAGCGGGTTAGAGTAGAACCTATAGAAGAGGAGGTGATGAACACTTACGGCGTGTGGGTAGGCCTGCCATCGAGGCGGATGTTATGAAATCCTTAGGCAGTCCCAGATTCTCCAACGTGAGGCTTTCGTCAGTGGGGAGGTGGACAGTGGCATCAGCGAACTCGGCGTGACTGCGCTTTCTCGCCGCTGTCTCGGTCTGCTGGACGTTGCTGGCTACGTCGAACAAAGGCATTTGCGTTCAGAACAGCCCGAAGCCTAGCTTGATGGTTTACAGGTTGCCACAGGTCACGCTGAGTCGAGATGTTGCGGTTAAAGTCGATGCGGAAGAAATCAAGATGAATTGCCTCGGGTGACGTTGGGGAAGAAAGGAAGCACGTTAGGGGCTCAAAGGAACAAATTTTCAAGGCATTGATTGTTCACCAAGGACAACGGTGCTGACCCTTACTTTTGGATAATGTGGCCAGTTGCGCTGACCTTCGATTGCAGGTCACGTTTTCTGGAGTTTTGAAGCCATAAAGATTGAGAGTCGCCGCCTGTTACTAGAGGGAATGCGCGAAGGGACGCGTTTGAGCGCGTTGCGGTCGAATAGTCGAAGTGCATTATGATTTGTCGGGTCCGTGCCCTCAGCCGGCAGCTATTTTAGTGGAAGAAGTAGTAGCCCTGAATGGCTTCATTTCGATTACCACTCAATAATGTAATGGGATGTTGATTTTGCTGAAAACTGCGATTGTGTTTTTCTGTTAACATTGAGTGACATGATTTTCTTCATTTGAAGCCAAGGTTTGTGTCGTTCCGGTTGAGAGCTGGTCAACAAATGTGTGAGTGGTATCATGAACATGGCTTCATATCATGCCTCAAGGTTTGCAAGCACAAATTATAACGCTTTAACACGACTGGCCGAGTCTTGGATTTTGAGCTCCTGTAGGTGTTATCAGAAGGTTCAGTTACAGAAACTATTCTAACATTAGATCATGTGTATCACATGTGTAAGTTCACCAAGCCACGCAAAAAGCTTTCTTTTTAATAAAAACATAATCAAAGTGGATTAGGGACAGGCTGAACATGACATTACTTGTGCTTGTCAAGTTTCAAATCTTCAAGTATATTTTATTTACTTGCAGTTTTCCAAAAGTCTATACTCTGGGAACAATTCACAGTTGCTTTGCACAACCATGGATGATGACACCACAAGGAATGCCAAGAACAATTGAGCCATGCGCTAGTCTAAAAGTAGATGACCCCATTGTTGATCCTCGGTTGGGATGAACAATAACACGCCTCTTGGCAAACCATTCTGCCACCCGACCTCTCCCACCGCCCAGGGATCTCAGTACAAATATCTGGCCTCCCTCCCATCTTCTGCATGTGTCTTTTCTCTTTTCTTCTTCATACTTACCTTCTTACACCTTCCCAAGATCAAGCATTTGGGGAGGTAGCATGGAAAACCTGCATTGCACATCGCGGTGTTTGCCATGCTTCACTGTCCTTCGGGGCCGTGAGTGGGGGAATTTTTGATACCACATACACATTTTTCGTTGTGAGCATTGCCTCGAGCAGTGTCATGAGGAAGAAAATCTTTGTGCTTTGTCTTTTGATGTATTATCGTTGTATAAATTGTACTGGGGCTACACGCTGGGAATTTTGCCTGGATAATGTGAGACGGAATTGTCAAAGTGCTGCCTGCGGATTTCAAGCGTGGGCCACGAAGGAAAGGCAGTTCTGTCATTATAGAAGAGTGACTGCGAATGGTGAACTGTATCTTATAGTGATGGACGCAAGACGGCCACCTGATTGAATAAGCAGCCCAATGCGTCGTGTCCTGAAATATTTTGACCACATTGGAAACACGTTGCAGGTTATAATGAAGGTCGAAATAGTCATGGCAATAACCACAAGTTTACATGTCGTCCATCTCGGCGTACCTACTTAGGACTTACTATGGTACGTATGCACCGTGAGTATTGCCCTTCAGATTATTACCTAGATTCAGGTGTATCACATATTCAACATGCCAAACGATATCTCGTCCCTGCTAACAAGGTGCCGCGTATAAGGTTCGCGATGTGAAGCCTAGGAGTTTAGTGGTGAAGTTCGCCTCAAATGCAGATATCAGAGATCAGAGTCTGAGTAGCTTGGCATAAAAGATGAGGAAAGAAGCCATTGGGAAATGGCTGCTCTGGTGCTCAATTGTACTTTATAGCCACGCCGACAATGGCTTGATAGAGATGATAGTAGAAATAGCAGCGGCTGCCGCTAATGATCAGACGTTAGCCAAGTGGTATCGGATTATGGCGGGCCGACAACCACTGCTGGGAAATTTTGGCAGATCGAGCTACGAGCACCGTCCACCCTGATGACGAACGAATCGCTTGTTGATCAAAGACAGCTGGATTGAAGTTCCAACAATTTCCCTCGATAAGTGGCTGAAGAGATCGCCACCCATATCTCACCGCTGGATACAATGAGGCTATTCACTCTCTCGTCCTCAGCTCGAGTGGCGCTGTCGCGAGCTTGCGGGTGCAGCAAGGTCGCGCCTGCGATCTCAAGCAGCCAAGGCGTCGTCGCAAAGAGGTACATATCATCCTTACATCAGCTTCCGTTCATGACGCTCACCATTGCCAGAAGCTTCTCATCCCTGCCATCTCTGCGCCCAACCCTCCAACCACGCTTAAACACCGTCTTTCGGTCATCTATATTAGCCAACCCGGCACCCACAGTCATCACCAGTCCAGCTGATTCGGCAACACTCGATATAGTCCCAAAGAGCGCGATCACCTCAAATCCCGCACTATTTGGTGTTCAGATCCGATGTGGCCCCCGCCCAACAATGGCGCGCACGAGTCGATTGGTGCGAAAGCGTAGACATGGGTTCTTGAGCCGGATACAAACACGGACAGGGCGCCGAACACTACAAAGGAGGAAGAGCAAGGGGCGGAAAATGCTGTCCAACTAGTTCGCGCGTGACAGTATAGATGCGGCGTGGGGCGTTGCAAGACGGGTGAGCAGCTACGCCGGCAGGTCGTCAAGGGCCACTCATGGCCGGGCCCTTGATACCTTTTCCGATGACGCTACTTTATGTATAATATGCTATGGGTTGGCCCGGGTTATAGAACAGGCAAACCATATTATAGATTGGGAAGGAGATACGACTCTATTTCACCACGGTGTATCATAGCAGGAAGGCCTCAACCCCACCGTGAAATCAAACTGGCCAAAAAATTACTGGAACATCTTATGAGTTTGAGAATTGCAGGTATGAAGCAAGATCGGCTGTGCTTTCGGAATGTCTTGTAAGCACGAAGCGAACTCGCTCTTGGCCCTTTCGTCACTCCAGTAACCAACGATGACATCTGTGATGATGAACTCGGCGTTAACACAGAATTTGGACTGAGGTGACGTCTCTTCAAGTATTCTGGGATGTTGGACGCATATAAATAGGTAAAAAGGGCAGGGACATATGGAGCAAACGAACCCTATATCTACTCAAGACTAGAGTAGACAATGGTGACAGGTCGAGTTCATGTGTCCGGGGAAAGGCTTGACAATTCAACAGGACGGTCTCAACTATTTGAGGATTTCCAAGTCAGGCTGCAGAATGATTTAATTAATTCAGATGAAGAAAAATTACACCTATGAGTCGATCAAAACACAGCAACCACTTCAACATTCTTCAACTGATCTATTGATTTTGGGAACCGCATTCCTTATCGATAAGCTATGACAGCTTCAAGCTTCCACAACCGCGTTCGTTCCTGGCCTGCAAACGCCGCCGTTTGCGTCTAAGCTCCAAGTTTCGTCCGTCTGCACACAACATCATCCAGAACGACACGAGGCCAACAAGGAAAATCAGATGCGCTACGAATAACGATGAGCCAACGATGGCTTTCAGTGATAAACCAACACGCATAGCGCAGCTTAACCCTCAAACGGGTTCCAGCGTGCGCGGTGTTGTCACGATCGTTTGGCCTTACAATTCCGTCAATAACTCGATCGCATTCACTCTAGCAGAGCCAGAATTCCGTCTCCGGCTTTCGAAGGGCCAGGTTCGCGTCAATTTCGCAGGTTCGAGCGCGAAATCGGTCGCAGACTGTGGCCTGGGTCCCGGCGACGAAGTACTTATAAGCTTGGAAGGCGCAGAATGGGAAAAGGCCGACCAGTCCAGAGTTCCTGGAGCCAATATTGACTGGCAGTTGAAGTTCTCAGAGAAGCTTCTGTTACAGGTCAACCTAGCCGACAAGGGCGGCGCGACTACGATTATCGACGTAGACCACCCTCCTTTACCCGAGCCCAAAGAAACCGCCGCGCCGAGTCCACAACCTGAAGTCAACATCGCTTCATTCGATCTCTCGCCGGTAACGAATTTGGCGCCAACACCACTCAAAATCCCATCTCTCAACAGACTGGAAGAGAACGAGTATGCGTCCCCAGCATTCATCAAGAGGGCTAGGGTGTCATATGGCTCCCTTTTCGAGGGCGGCTTGGATGTTTTCGATGATGACGGCGGTGTCAAAGGCAAAGGTCGTAAGAGAGCGCGTTTTGGACGGTACAGTGGTGCGTGGCGGTATAGTAGCCAGTCACGGAGTCCTGAGCCGCAACCAACGCCTGCCGTAGACGAATCGGATGATGAAACTTCCAGTAACAAGCAGGAGACGCAATCTCCCTCTTCTCCACGTCCTGAGATGATTGATGGGGGTTGTCAGACTATGGAACTCGATATACCACCCCCAGATACATTGTCTCAAGACTTTGGGGAACCTTTTAATCATCAAACAACCCAAGCGATGGACCCCTTCGTAACAAATAGTGCGTTAGATCACGGCCATCGAGTGTTCCCTGCCAACGGCTGGGAAACGACGACACACAAGTCTAATCCATCATATATGAGCACGGGTACTTTCGCCAGCAGTCACGAGAGAAATGCACCGTTCGGATCAAACATTGAAATTGGTATTGGTGTTACTCACTACCAACGAGGTTGGGACCCTTCACCAATTCAAGACCCATCAGCTACCTACCCAGACCTACCTTCAGACGATGTGCCCCCAGCAGAACTGCCGGACGCGTATCGTCCTAGCATACCCTCGCCTCCACCCGGTGGCTTCGGAAACGCCGGCTCTGCGATGCCACATGAATCTCTGTTTCCACCTGTTACTTCTCTGCCCTTCCCGCAAATCACCACCTCGGCACCCACCAATCCTTTCGCGCAACAGAGTATCGCTGCACCTGCGAATACATATGCGCGAACGACCTCTGAATCCCGACAACCCTTGGCCACGAGTACAAGTACTCTGCTGTGGTCCACCGTGAACAACCCCCGGCGATCTTCTTCAAGGCCTCTCACAGATCATGTAGGCAGCAATGATGGTCAAACGCCCGAATCTGCACTGGTCATTGGTGAGAACGACTCCGAAGATGAATTAGCCGAGCCGGAGGCTCCCGCCGAGCTACCCGCTAGACTAGACCATGGTGAGCTCTCCATCAGTGGGCCGGGGGGGTTTGGTGCACAGGTTGATGTCGAAGAAGGGGATCTTGATGAAGATGCCGATCTAGAAGATGAGATTGGCGTTCAGTACTCGGATGACGATGAGCCGGAGTATGACGACGAGGAGAAGGGTGGCGACTACGATACTCGGAATTACGTTGGGCCAGCGGATGATGAGGATGATAGTCACGACGAAGATTTACGGCCACATCAATTGGAACCAGAATTCGACGATGGCGAGGAAGGGGAGAATTGGGACGAGGAAGATGGGTACGATGACGACGAGTATGACGAAGAAGAATTTGAGAGTGATGACGAAATAGGCAATAACGCACCTTCAGCACCACCATCCAAACCGGCTGAACCCATGGTTATCGACCTAATATCGTCATCAGAAGATGAAGGCGATGATGAAGATCAAGAAACCCAATCGCCTCCCCGGCCTCCTCAGCCGCTGACGCGGAGCATATCAAGTACGCAACAAGGGCCAGTTGCAGTAGAGTTGATGCCGGAATCGTCCGCATATGACCCTGAAAGCGAAGAGGACGGGGAAGGCGAAAATGAGCGCGAACGTGAGGCAGAACACACCAGTGTCCATCAGGGTCCGGCGGCGGCGGAACTGATGCAGGGACCACCTGTTTATTGTCCTCAAAGTCAGGAGGGCGGGGAAGGCGAAAATGAGCATGGCAATGAAAGCAAGCAACAAGGCGCCGCGGCGACGGAGCCAATGCCAGAACCACCCGTGTATGGCACCATTAGCGAAAACGAAAACGAGCCTGAACCTGAGCAACAGGAAGAAAGTAGACAAGGTCAAGTGGTGGTGGATTCGATGCCAGAATCGCTCGTGTATGGTGTTATGAGCGACGACAAAGATGAGCAGGAGCAGGAGCAGGAGCAGGGACAAGAACGACAGATGACAGAGGGGAGCGAGGTTGAGGGCTTTACGGACAATGGTGAAGATGCCGGGTGCGAATTCGGTGGCTCCGAAGCTGAAGAGGGCTCTGAACAAGAGCTTGCTGACGAAGAGGCTCTGGAAAACCTGGCCATGGCTGAAGATGAGGAGCTTGAAGAGGTGCAACTTGTGGAAACTCCACTTCTAAGTGGCACAACGCTCTCAGCCCGATTAGACACCAGGGAAGTTGTCCCCAAAAATAACGCTCCAGCCATGGAAGACACAGAGCCCGATAAACATAGTCAAGCCCGAGCAGATGACATGCAAGATGGACAGAAAGGCGAACGAGAATTTGGCGTCGAAGAATTAATTGAGCCCACTGGGGGCAGTCATCAGGATGTCGAGATGGGAACAGGCGGTTCTGTCAAGGAAAGCCAAACTGATGATGATGCCATGGAAATAGATGGGCCTGTCGACGGGGTCAGAGAAGACGACATGGCTGGAATAAAGGTGGTGATTGAAGATGTTCAAATCAGTCGGCAGGATGATGTGGCAGAGCACGACCAAGCCGAGAAGAACATGCCTCCGCCAACATCGAGCGTCATCGAGCAGAAGCCAGAGCCGGCAGTGGAACGTACTATTGCGCCGACCTCGCCACCTCTAACCCAATCATTCCCGTCCCAAGCCATCGAGGATGAAGCAGATATTGTGATGCAAGAGACCGCTTCCTTGGTTGGGTCCCAGTTGGCCGTGGATCAGTTATTTACACCCATGGATACACAGCCAAACGAGTCAATCTTGTCTCAAAAATCTGTCACAATCTCCGAGATGGAATTCGTGGCAGACGAATCTCTCAACGCCGCTGAACCCTCGTTGATGGTTGAAGAATCCTTGGAAGTGGTGACTGAAGAACGTCAAAGCCTGAGCACATCGCAGGAAAGTCATCGAGAAATTAATTCTGACCAGCATGATTCCGAATCTGAGTTGCCCGTTGAGTTGCCGATCAAAGCACAACCCCAAGATACTACAATCTCTCCAAAGGCTTCTAGCTTCCAAGATGACGGTGGTTCCAAATCCGAGTTGCCTGCCGAGTTACCAACCAAAGAACTGCAACATCCTACTGTGTCGGACGAGGCTCTCAGCGCTCAAGACGATCAGATTTCTGGATCCGAGCTGTGGGTTTATTTGCCGGCCATGGAGGGCGTGCAAGATCCTAGCGCCTCGAGGGACGCCCAAGAGGACATTACTGAGACCCAAACTGAACTTCGTGTGGAATTGCCCCTCATGGAGGATGTGCAAGCCCCTAGTGTATCGCAGGAGGAGCATCTGGGGGCTCAAACGGAGACATCAGGGCCCGAGCCTGAGTTGCGGGTCGAGTTACCAGCCCTGGACGGTCCTAGTTTATCGCGAGAAACCCCTTTTCAAAGCCGGGAAGATATCCCCGTTCCTGAAACAGAGGTGCGGGTTGAGATATCAACCGGCATCGTGGAAACCCAAATCCCCGAAGATGATGTCGCTGTGGCAACTCGCAATGAACACATCACACAATCTGTCCGGGAGGCCCGTGTGGCACTCGACCATAATTTTGATCAGTCTTTCGGGGAAGGCGCCTCTTTCTTGTCACAACTAGAAGCTGATGATGCTCTGCAAGCTGCCCTTATGGAGGAAGACTCGCAGTACTTTGAGGTAGAGTTCCGTCAATCCTCCAAGTCAGATGATGGCCCACCCGAAACCCAGGAGCACTTGCCAGAATACGACAACGAGGACAACATGATGATAGAAGAGGAAGGGTCAGCCCCATCTCCTATCCTCGGTTCAACGCCATCGAAGATAGTCTTAGTAGAAATCAATGCGGCCACTCCTGAGCTACCAAATCAGCTCGAAGTCATTGCTGGATCTCCAGACGAACCTGCAGACGACCTTTCGGACCCGGATCCAAGTGTGCAGCTGGCCACAGGCGGAACAGCTCCCAAAAGTGGAAAGAGAAGACGGGAAGCCACGCCGGAAACACGGCCACACACTAGATCTATGGACCAGAAGAGCTTCATGTCAGATATTGACGTCGACGAAAGCGTCCAGTTGGCCAAGGCATCTTTGAAAACTCCTTCCAAAGCTGCGGCCAAGTCCTCACCTAAGACCCCCAAGTTTGGAGCTAAGGCCGCCGCCAGCTCGCCAGTTAGCACGGTGCTAGAGGGAGAAGGCAACAACGTTGTGTTTCAGTCGAGGCTTGGGCTCATTCGTCACCTTCGAGACGAGTTGGCGGATTGTACAAACCTGAAAGTCCTTAACCAGCACCTGAGCAAGATCGTGGACGTCATGGCGGTAGCGCTGATAACGCCTGCTGACCCGCAACGGGCCAAACGGGGCCCCAGGGAGTATATGATGTCTTTCACCATCACGGACCACAGCATTAGTCCAAACGGCGTCGTGGAAGTGCAGCTCTATCGACCTCATAAAGAGTCTCTTCCCAGAGTTAAGGCAGGCGATGTCGTCCTCCTACGCAATTTCTCCGTCGTCAGCATCACAGACAGGGGCTTCGGACTTAAAACAACGGATACCTCTAGCTGGGCCGTCTTTGACAAGGAGGACCCCGACGAACCAGCGCAGATTAAGGGTCCCCCACTCGAGTATGGGGAAGCTGAGGCGGTGTATGCGGCATCTTTACGAAAATGGTTTGGACTTTTGGACGGGAAGGAGCGGCAAAAATTGGACAAGGCCAATGATAAGAACGTTGCGGCGGGCAGGTCTAAGTAGATCATTAGGCTTTGGCTCTCAACATCATAGGGGATTTTGCTGGTAATTACATAGCGTAGTAGGAAACATGACGATTTCTTCGATTTCATGACTTGATAAATCGAACTTGACCACTGGTTACTTGCCATTGTTATACACTCCAGGATTTTTGCTCCTGTATGCGAGACTGTACATGTCATTTTCGTCACGTCGGTCATGGCATCCAATGGTATGTCTCGACGAATGCATATGATCTGCGCTGATTATTTTGCACTGTGTAATATGCAGTCTCCTTCCACAGAGAAATATGATATCGTGATTTTCCCGGGGTATGGGGAAGTCAACTTTTGTCTTCGTTCTTGTCGTCATTGCTTGTTATAAGGCGTAATAAAACTTGGCCTAAATCACTGCCCCAGATCAACGTGTTATGATGACATAGTGTATACCACAGCCACGATTCTAGGCACGTCTTCTAGCGGCTCTTGCCATTAGCAATGCTTTCGGCTTCGCGAAATGCCACTTTCTAGCAGACAGCCCTGGAATGCGGCATGTCCCATTTGGGTCTACTTAATTCACTGATACCGCGTAGAGAGAACATGTCGATATCACTTACACGGACCGCTGGTTCAGTACCAACCATTGCCAAGCTTCGAGCCTAGCAAATATCCCGTGGTTATTCATGACTTCCTCTATAATAGTTGATCGAATATTATGTATTTTTGGTACCATTGGCAAGTAAACTAGAGTAGTTTCGGGGTGTTTTGTCTATATGCCTAACCCAGGAAGGTTGACCTTGCGGCAACGGTCGAAAATTTACTTCCAGATTCCCATATACCTTTAAGTACCTTATCTCTGTACTTCTCCATCGCGTACCGTTTTGTTGAGCGACTCGTCCTGGCTGTTAAAGCCAGACTGGAAACCGTTTGACGCAAGTTCTTCCATGTCAGACGTGGTGCAAGTCATCTAGATTTGTTTGGTTCACATACACCTTCGCGCATGCTATCGAAACACGGGGCAAGGGCAGACTAACGACTTGTAGATGATCATTGTGACATGTCTACAACGCATCATGCAAAGAAGGTCGTCCCCATGGGAGGCGCAACCCTGAGAGCTGGCTCTTCCCGGCACCTGATCCGCGGCTCGTCTGGTCGGTGCTTGACCAGAGGGCCTGTTCACCGCCAGTCACCTTGGGATACTCAAATGGTTAGCACAGTCCTCGGAGTATGCACCATTCCGTTTTGTCGTAGCAGAATTTGTTAAGTAAGATTTGTTAAGTAAGCCACGATAGGTCATCTACACGGGGAGTTCCTATGTCAGAGAAACCATCCGGTGAAGAACTCGGCCAAGAAGGGGTTACGGAACGGTCTGTTCCTAGGACGACCATGGCCGGGGAAGAGTCCGTGAGAATGAACACATGGCATGAGCCCATTTTCCTGGATGCAGATCTCATCCGATTGGACCGCTTGCCAGTTGGCCAGGCATAATCCATGAAATTCAATGAACGACAATCCAGTCTCCCCTGCGGCCGGGGCCCGAGCCGAAACTTAGTTCCATATCCGCCGGGCGAAATGCTAATGCAAGTGCACTTGAGTCACAGGGCTAATACTGTTGTTCTGCATCAGATATAATAGAGTAGAAGTGGAGCAAGTCAGTGTGTTGGCAGATCTGGAGAAGAGTTAACATGGCGAAGTGGTTGACGAGCTTCGGGTGCAGTCCGGAGTAGGCAGCGTTACGATATTGCAAGGGGAATCAGCTGGCCGATTTTGGCACGAGATGTAGATTTCATGCGCGTCTGAGGTTTCTTGTGAGCGGCTGCAAAAGAGGTGGTTGGTACAGGGTTTTGTAACCTTGTGTGGCGAGGCCAGGGGTCCATGTTGTTCAGTCTCGGCGTGTCTAGAACGCCGTGACCCTGACGACTTATTCGACAGGTACGGATAGTCTAGGGCAAATGATAGCTTTCGTAATACCCTGAATTAAATGATACAGACCGGAAAACACCGAGCATCACGGAGAAACACCAAGTCTAGGCATTAATCATCCAGACTCATGTCGAGAACACACTTTTATTTCCTATCGATGCCTCAAACGCGCCAGGTTTGGTTTGCCACACTCTCTAGATGCCGCACATAATCCCAAGATGTCGTCGAGGTTGCGTCTTAAAGCATTGAGGCCAATGCGTGCGCAATAGAACATCTAGTAGTTCATGTCCAAAGGCTCTGGACAGGCTCATTTCTGTGAGCTTTGTCCTTACCCCTGCTCTTCCTTTCGGACCTGTTGTCATTGTTCCCATCCTGAAGAATCGTGGAAGAAGCAGTGGATGGTTGCTTTTGTACGCCTAAAAAAGAACGCCTAGCGCTCTGAGTTAGCAGAAGCAAGACAGTCAACCACAAGAGCAATACTTTGAATTATGTTGGTTGCTCCTGGGGGCTTTATCGTCGCCTGTGAAACACGAGCATAGTGAGCCCATATTGACGTGTTGGAGTTGTGTACCGTGCTGTTGTTTTATTTTGGCGGCGTCGGCCTCTGCCAGGCTGCTCGTGCAGTGGGACTGATATTGCAATTCGCGCGGGAATATACCAAGCAGAACTGACACAGAGTTTTAACTGCCTAAGCATGCAATCAAAGTAGAAACTCGTCTGATGGTCAGAATCGGTTTGATCTGACAGTTTGTGCAAAGAAACCGACTTTTATAGGGGTGGTTTTGTTTCTGCCCGTGTGACCTATCACGTACTAGAAGGAAGGGATAACACAGTTCAACTCATCATACCCGGGGATCTCGAACCATAGTTCCGGCGTCAAGTGCCAGCTGCTCAAGGCTCTGCTGATTTGAAAAACCCCAGCGAGAACCGGAGAGCGCGGACCCACGGACCTTCTTCGCTCAGCAGTAGGCTGCATCCAAAAGTCCTCTGGTCGAGGTAATGAGAAATGGCCATGCTTGCACGGAGGGCTAACCATCTGGGGTACTGCGTTATCAGTCGACGTGCAGCGGCTCTGTGGCTCTCAAGTCTCTAGGGCTCGCGCTTTGCGTCATACCGCCCGCGGCTCAATTCCTGCGACAATCCGTGGATGTAGGTATACTTCGAGAGCACGAGCATGCGCTGCCACTGTTGCAGCCATGTGCAAACCACTGTCAACAAAACTTGCCTCGCGGCATATCCCATAATCGAACGTCTGCAGTAGGGGCCCGGTTGGCGTTCACACGACTAGCGAAGCCGATAACCCTCTCGGGAAGCACTGCAACCACAGCTGACGAGATTCCACCCACAAAGAACTCGACTGACGCTCTGCCGAAACCAACAGTTCCAAAGCTGAGCCCAGTTGAGCTGCCTCAAGCCTTTGACTTGAGTCGTCATCGGGTTCGGCGCCTGGTGGGGCTGTCGGCCTCGAGGACAATCCTGGGCAATTCAAAGCAGATCCGAGGCAGTGTTTGACGACAGTCCATGGCCGAGCTTCCAGGCCATCGTCCCTTCGTAGGACGTTGTTCGTACGCCCAAATGCTTTACATCCTGGCGTCTCCGACGATGTCCTGGTAGTATCCACTGATCAGAGGACTGCTGAAGATGGAGTGGCTCGCGGACCCGACAATCGCCCCAGACAATCGCCCCACTAAATATGGGTTTGGGGTAGCGTTCAAACTTGAGAGTTGATCTCGAGCGATGAGGATAGGATCCGTTGGAGCAAAACGATTGATTGTCCAATTTGAAATGCTGGTCCCGCATCACCATATACCACGGACTCCTTGAAAGACCTGAAAGAATCAAGACGGGTCAGCAGTTGTTTTCAGGGGGAAAGGGGGAAGGGGGCCACGACGAGGAGACCATGTGATGATGGCTTCGGAAGACAACGTTGGGAAGCACCACCAATCCGAAGCTGTGGAAGGAGCCACTGTACCCGACGGATGGGGTCGCTTTGGGTCTCACTGCATGACTTGCAGCGATCTCCGGATTATATGCTGGGGTGACACGACGATGATTCTTCCTCGGCAAAATACATTGGTTGCAGCTGAGAACCATGGCTGTCCATCTTGGGATCCTATCGAAAGACCGTTTGCATGTTTAGATTTTATCGACTCTCCGATGGATCCGCTGGAGTACGTTCTCGTTTTCGCTTTATCAGAAGGATAGAGGGGACTCGACATTCCTAGTGATCTTGATGGGGCCATGTCTTCGCACCATTTGGCATCCGATCCACTGCCACATCCAAGATTGTGTGATATTCGATTCAATTCGTAGACGGTGGCATCTGTGTCGCATCTAACATCCATGCAAGGAAGGTCCCGCTCCCATTTCCGCGTCTTGGGCAGTCTTGGGGGCAATTGGGCTCATCAAGCAATCCCGGAGATATTTCCCAAGAAAATATCGTGTTCTGCGTCATTTTCATGGGGGTGCTGGAGATGGACGGCCGCATTCGGTTCGTTGCCAGATATGCAGTGCATGCATACGCCGAGAGGTGAATCAAGCAAACGCATCCACCTTCCCACGTTGCAGTTGATGGTCAAGATGGGGTTTCAATGGTGCAAAAGACATCTTGAACGTGACATCTAATGAGGTTGGACGTCAAACTGCAAGTCAGCACGGCCCAGGAAGTTGCCTTGAGGCTCTGCTAGCGGACTCGACGACGGCTGGCATCAAGAGGGCGAACGATTAGGCTTAATAGGGCGCAATGCTGAGAGAGAACACCAGCTGAAATGTCTTCACTAGGGTGGGCGTGATCATCGCGTATTGGCTGTCTCAATCTGACACTACCTCGGCACATTCGACTCGACCAGTCCCCAGCTTTTCTGACCTAGTACCTCCTGAAGGGGCGGGAAGCCCCTTCCCATTCATTATTTCCCCATGTCGTCTCCGGAAACAGTAGACTTTCTCTTCGGCAGTGTTCCCATGCTGGCTTGAGACAGCGCGGGTCCCGATCACTTCCATGATGTAAATAAAATCAAGGCCCGTCATCATTACCCCATGGCCTACTCACACTAACCCATTTACCTTCTTCTATTAATGGATTTTTCTAACGCTGACGCATCTTCCCAATGCTGCTTCCCCTTGACGGAGCCTTTACCGGGACCCTCGATATTGGACTGATCATACGAGAACCAACTCGTCTAACTAACTAACTTCGAGTATACTGCCCTCGAGCGCCACAATGTTTCCCACTCGAAAAGTATCATTCCAGGATCTGAAGCTGTTAGAAGCCGTTAACTATTCGACGATCTGTGGCAATTTCCGGTAGCATGTGTCTAACGCTCAACTAAAGTAAGCCAGCCCAACCAAGGAGCATCGTCGTCAACAGAATTCTACCCTCTGTCCGGCGAGACGAAAGTCATATGGACCCCCATCCTTAAATCGAGCCCTCGTCTTTGAGGGAACGGCCTTTTCAATTTATTCGGCATTTGTCTCGGCATAGCGAAGACAAACAACCTGTCGTCCACGTTCTCGTCCCCCCATCGTGTTGAACAATCGCCTCAGCCCACCCAAAATATATGGTGATGTCCTGAACGGCCCCCGTAAGCTTGACCTCACCATGATTTCCTAATAACCATTCGTGAACTTCGACCATGAGATGGCTGTACCGAGGACCGAGCCTAGTCAGAACCAACCCATGAGAGGCGACGATAATTCGCAACGCAGTCTTTTCTATCGACGTCCCCCCTTCCGTTGAAAGAACTAGTCATCTCGTATCTAACTTACATTATTCGTATCTACACCGGTCATGATCGTCACAACTAGCCCCCAGGTGTGTCACATCGTCGCTGGGCGTGACCGCCTTGTCTCGAAGCATCAGTGGTCCCTGAAGGGTCCGAGAGCCTGCTGTCTGGCCCTGCGTCTATGACTCTCACTCGATCATTTTGTGAATATGCACCAGTCCCTCGCATATATATGCCAGCTTAATGGCCAAGTCTGGCGTTGGGCTGCAAATAGATGCCCTTTACATCTTCACACACCCTCAGCAGATATCAAAATATTGCCATTGGTGTTTGCTACCAGGCCGCATGGCACCGGGCCGAGGCCTTCTATTTCTTCAACCGGGCTGGCAAATAAACCCGGTCTGTCCAATTGAATGCGGTACCTACTTATACCCTGGATTGAGGCATTCTACCCATCAGAACGAAAGCCGCTACACCCTCCTGACGAGGAACTCAAGACTTGAAGCCTCAAAAGAGGGTCAAGGACGCAAAGGAAGCGCTTGTTGCCTGATCTGCCCCCGTCCAGGAAGTTGTGTATTTTCGTCATGGTCCAAGATCTGTCTCTCCTGACGAAGCATGCCTCGAACTCGACGTCTATTTAAGGCCAGCTGCGGGACGACCTCAAAAGACATGTTTGTTGGCATTGAGGAATCCAGACTTGAACCACTCTTTCCGGAGCCATCATGAATAACACTTCAGCCATGGCCGAACAAGGCCAAGCATCGCCAATCACCCCAGCCCATGCCAATAGTACGCAGCATGCCACAAGTAGCTCTGCTGCTCAAGTGCCAGGTGCTTCATCAAGAGCCCAGTCGACAAACACTGGTAAGGCTTCCAGATCATTTCGGCGAACTAAAACATGGGCACCGAAAAACATCGCTAACCTGCCAGGAAATTCTTCCAGGACGTCGTCCCACTGGACAACACGACCAAAATACCTGAGTCAGTCGCTTCTACAACACGCTGCAACAAAATTCATACTGAGCCTTGAAACAGGTGACGCTACTAAGGGCTGGCCGTTACTGGCTGCCAAACAATCTGGCCTGTCAGGCCAGATCAACGGAGGCATCGTACGAAACTTCGATTTCCTCTTTCATCGAGTCCTCATCGACGAGCAGACCAAATTGTGTTCCATGGGCGCGGACCTATGGAAGATGGACTTGGAAGACGAAGATAATAACTCTGAAAGGTTGCGAACGCTGTCGTTCGACAAGAAGCGTCTCCTCAGCCCGGACATTCCATGCCATACCCACTTCCACTGCGCAGGCGACGAAAAGTTGACGCAGGACAACAGGAGGCGATCTAGCAGCCTGGACTCCCCCAGCCGGATGCGTTGCCAATATGTACACAATGAGTCAAAGCAAGACCCCAAAGACGCCATACTGGAGAGACTCCTCCCGAGGCTGATAAGATACGGTAAGTAACTATCTGCCAGCCACTCTGTAAGTTACACACTTACATCCCAGGGGAACTCGTGCTCCTCATCAGCAATCTGCGGAACCTGCACAAGGTCAGCAGCCGAGCGTCTCAAGACCTCCTCAAACAACTACACCTTGACGCACTGGATGAAGAAGCCGTCCGATTCCTACGCGAGGGTGAGGACGACTTCATCTCGACGCGGACCAAACCCTTTTACGAGCCTCTCGAGTGGCTTTTGTACTACCGGAGAAACTCTTTCGTGGAGAGGCTATGCTCTGTATGTTTTTGCTTTATCACGAACAATATAATCATCTCAGTCCCTACTGACCCCAGCGAAAAGAGCGTCTTCAGGTTTATCTTCAAGATGCGGGGTGAGTCCGCGGCGGACCCGCATAGCGACCATATCAACGCCAAATGGCTGCAGCGTGTTTCCGAGGGTATTTTGGCCTTGTTCAGTATTGTGATTCTCTGCTCGCCGGTAGCCATATTGTTACTCGCATCGTTGTCGAAGGAGACGTCCCTGGCTGTCGTGGTCGGCTTTGGCTTCGCATTTGTGATTGTCATGACATCCATGGGCGTCAAGTTCGACACCGTGCTGGTTGGCCTCAGTGCATATATGGCTGTGCTAGTTACTTTCCTAGCCAATCTACAGCAGTGCCATGATGGATGACTTTGAAGTTGCATTGTTTCTTGTGCTGGTCTCGACAGGCGTCGGTGTTTTACGTGCGATGTACTGGTTTTTCGTACATTCTTTTCCTATTTTGGATCACCTATATGCAACGCTGGTGCTACTGGCGTTTGAAATCCAAGACTGGCAGATGATCTTCGATGGGTGCCGTGGAGCTTGATTCGTCTGTTAGGTAAATACGAAGAAGAATTCATAAAAGTCATCTATTGTCGCCGTCCTAACCTCAATATGGCTCAGAGTCTATCTACCAAGTTCGGAATATCTCAAGATATGTCAGGATTGACAAGTCTCTGCAAAGCGCAAGCTCTTTCGTGGTCCAGCAAATCTGCAGTCAGAGGAGCTCGCTGTTGGATATTACTCCTCGAAAACCTTCGCAATGTCTTCTTTTCCCGTGCTTCTTTCATGAATGCCTCGTAGTCTTGATCAAGGAACATCTGTCCATATCTCCTAACTGCAGATTGCGAATAAACCATATTTGACCTTAGCTATGATTCAATATGGGAGATGAGACATACCATCGCCTCCGACGTATTCACTGACAATCTCCACTTTGAAATTGATGACTTCCTGTTATCTATTAGCGAGTGAGGTAGTTAAAAGTAAGTTGGATATGCTGAATTGATTTATAGCAAGAGCCGGCTCATTTGAGCCAAACGAAATGATCACGATCCGAATCACCTTTGTCTCGAAGGGCTGCCTTAATCGCATGAATATATGCGCCACAGCGAGACGGCTCAGAAGCAAGCAGCTTAAATCCATGTGGCAAGAGGCCATGAATGAGTTAAGCGAAGCCCAAAACACCGGCGCGGTTTTGTATATGCTGATGATAAACCACAGTACCAAATGAAATTCACTGTAATACGCCGTTAACCACCTCGCCTCACTAGCTTTTAACAAGCCCGTCCTCGCGGAGTTGATCGAACAGGTAGCCAACGACTGCAGACATTTCACGCCGGGTATGGAGAAGTATCCCACCACCGAAAACCCGGCACATTACATTTCCGAGGCCTAGATCTGGGAACGTGTGAACGAGGATTTTCTTGGAACCCTAGATGAAAGTTGGGGTTCCTAGGTTGGGGGATATGTCCAACATATTTCCAGCACATTCGACAGTATTGTTTTTCTGCACATAACTTCGTTCTTTCTCTGCTAGCAAGTTCCCAGGCACCACCGGGGTTCAGACGACCTGGTTTCATCAGCATGCTTCAGCCCTTGATATAAAGGGCTTCGAATCGGCAACGCGAAAGATAGCAACCAAAGCCACCGAGCTGAGCTCGACCATGGCTTGATCACCAGCAATGCACTACGCCCCACCGTGTTACCAGGGCGAGAAAGGAACAGCTTTCTCTTCGAAAAAGAGGCTATGCGAGACCTTCGATCCCAAGTAGCAGGTCGATCTCTTGATCTCTCCAGTTCTGTGCCAATGTGGCAACTCTGAGGGCGAAGACTACGATGAGCACATGGTTCTGGTCAAGACGGATGTGTGTGTGTAAAAAGGGATACTTTCTTTCAAGGGTCCATACTTCGGGGGATATTGCAATGACAGAGTGGACAACATTCTGAGCATGGGGTCCACGTTCGTAGCTTCCATACCTAGCAAATAGACAGTACACATGACCCGATTATATATGCCCGGCTTGACATATTGCTTCGTAACACAACTAAAAAAGAATTGGAATCGACTCTAAAATTGTGTTTCTGAAGCTATATGATGAATGATTTACTGTATATTATTGACGAGCTTTGTTCTGGGAAGTCGCGAGTTAGACAATAAAGACAACTTGCCTTGGTTGTGCTCGAATCTCTGAGAATACCAGCGACAAAGACTTAGACATGAAAGAACAAGAGGGTCCACACCTGTCCCCCGACCTGTCCGAACGATTTCAGACCAACCTTTTCCCGAAGACTCTCGTCCAAGTCATTAGAGAAGGTACACACGACGCGCATACGAACCAACCCAAGACAGATCTCGCAACAGCGCAATCAGCCCCCGCCGAGAAACACAAGACCCTTACCCACAGAATCACCAAAGCCATGCAAACAACCTCCTCCACCTGGCGCTCCGAGAAGAGCGCCCTCGAAGCCCGAATCCATGCGCTCGAGACAGAAAACACACTCCTCCGAAGCACCCACGGAATGTTCCCGTCCTCCCCCGACCGCCGGCGCAGTCCCCACGACGAAAGCCTCTCCCCGCGAAGATACCGGAAGAAGACCGAAGAGCTAGAAACAAAACGAAACCCCACGCGGTGGACGTCGCCGCACAAAGGCCCCAAAACCGACACCATGACGCTCACCCGAGGCAAACTCGAACAAGTCGAGCAGCGCTTCACAGACGTGACGGACGAACTGAAGCAGAAGAAACGACTCTGCGGCGACCTGCTTCTCCAGCTCCGCGAGATCAAAGACGCAGACCCGAAGGCAGGGTCGTCCATTGTGGACGAGACGCAAGTCGTGCAGCAGTGGTCTCGACTCCGCGAGATGATCCGGCTGCTCACACTGAATCGGTTTAACAAACCCATCGCTCGGAAAATCATCTCGAATCAAGAGAGGAACGACTTCCAGACACTGTCGGGACACTGGCGCACCTACCTTAGCACCGAGGGACTCGTGGGCTACTTTTTCCGGGCGTTGATCTGGCAACACCTGTACCACGGCCTATTCCATAAGCCAGGCGCTGTGTGGGGGTCGCGGGTCAAAGACGGGTTCCACGCGCTTAATGATATGATACAGAATTGTGAGCGGATTGGCACGGATGAATATATCAGCTGGCGGGTGCATACGGGGCGGGTGTTGGGGAACGGGTTTCACTTTGATGCCAAGGCTGTGGGGAGAGTTGGGGAAGGAATATACGATGTGTTGACGCGGTATGCAACGGGAGTGGATACTGAGGCATTGAAGAAGGCTGTGGTGGCGATTGTCGAGCTGGGGGCGCAGTTGAGTGCTGTGTTTGCACGGTCAAGGATCGTGCCCTTGATGTCAAATGAGCCGGGGAGTCTTTTGACTCGGGGGTATCCGTTCAACGCCAAGACGATGGATCTGAAGGGCAATGCGGGCAAGAAGCAGGTCGTCGATATGATGATTACTCCTTGCCTTCTAAAACGTATTGACGACGATTACTCTGTTTTGATCAAGGCCGAGGTGATTTGTTGAGTAGGTTTTAGAGACCAGTGATGTGGTTTGCGATGGTGTTAGTTAGCTGTGGTCATTGGGTTGTTGCAGCTCCAAACGGCGAGATGTACCTGCAACAATCACATCAATCAATAACTTGTCCTAATATGGAGAACTGTACACGCGTCTTGACTACTGAACGGCACCCACCTCGGTCCATGGCGAGTGCCATTCATTCACGTTCACGTGTCTCTGCACTAATTCCATGATCTAGAAAATGGTGGGAATGCCGTCATTATAGACCTATCCGTATTGCCTACGAATCTATACATCCAGTCATCGTTCGCAAGTATTCACCTACAAACCTCATACTTGACCTTATGCCAAGTGAGGTATCACCTTCACATCATTGGTAGGCTTTTTTGTATTACCTCACGTCAAACGATAAATCATGTCCTCGTCCCTTCGTGTCGAAAGTGGTCAACCACAACGCCTTCCATCCAGTAAAACGCCAAACTGCCTCATACTCAAATGCTGTCCTCTATAGGATCCTCTTGAGTTCTGTCTTTTGCTGCGCTGTCAAAGTCGTGGGGAATTTGACGTTATACTTGATGATGAAGTTGCCTCTCTCACCGGGCTTTTTGGAAATCGGCATGCCTAGACTCGGATATGTATCCGAACTGCCTGGTGCAGTGGGGCCCCCCTTATCGATGGTGAGTTGCCTGCCGTCAATCGTCGTCACGGTACGTTTCCAGCCCGTCAACGCCTCCTTCAGAGGGAGGTCCATGGTGTGGATCAAATCATCGCCATCGCGGACGTAAAGAGGATGTTTTTTCTGTCGTGATGTTAGCATCAGTCCTCGGTCGAAAACAAGATGGTCTGGCTTACCTCTTCTACTATGAAGTGCAAATCCTGCTTGCCGCCCTCTTCCTGGTCTCCCACACCCTTAAACTTAATCTTGCTACCCTTCTTCAAGCCGGGCTTGATGGGCACCTCCAGCACTTGATCGCTGGTAGTACGCTTTCCGCTGTCATCGAACGTTTTACGCTTAATCTTCATCTTCTTTGTGACGCCGTTGAACAGCTCTTCCAGCGTGAGCGGTAATCCGCGTTCTACCGTGGTGACTTCGGGGGTTGCCTCGCGCGCACTGCTACGGAACGGGTCAGGGCCACCAAATCCCGTGCTACTGCGCATACGACTGGAGCGTGCTGATCCGCCTGCTGACCGCGGCATTGGGCCCATGCCACCAAAGATACCGGCGATATCTTCGCTGTCCAGTCCGCCGACACCGCCGCCACTTCCGCCATTCCGCATGAATTCGGCAAATATGTTTTCCGCATTGCTGAAGTTGAAGCCACCGCCGCCACCTCCTCCGCCTGTGCTGAAGTGGTAGGTTCTTTCTCCACCGCCCGGCATGCCACTGCCAAAACCGAAGCCCTCAAAGCCACCAGGCATACCACCTGGACCGCCGCCGGCAAAGGGGTTCTCACCCGGCGGAGCAGCCGAACCGCCCCGCAACAGGAACTCAAGGCCAAACTGGTCATACACCTTGCGCTTTTCAGGGTCGGACAGAATTTCGTAGGCTTGGGAGCATTCCTTGAATTTCTCGCTCGCATCGGGATTGTCTTTGTTCTTGTCCGGATGCCATTTTAGCGCGGTTTTTCTGTGTACAGCAATGGTTAGCTGAGTTTGTAATAGAACGGATGGAAGGGCCACTACGGGGTGGTGAGGACGGATGGTAGTTAAGGTGGAGGTGGTCCGCAGTCAACAGAAATCACCTCACTAGGCTGTAGATGTTGGCTTCCCCTGCGCAGTCTTGACAATAATGATGCGAGGTGGTAGGGGATGCTTGGGTATGAACAATTGGGAATGAGCACAACTCACCGATATCCCTTCTTGATCTCGTCTTGTGAAGCATCCGGCTTGACGCCGAGCTGATCATATAACTTCGTCTCCTTCACCATCGTGACGATCTTTCCACGGTGTGGAGAAAAGTAGGAAGTTATAGGTAGGTTGATTGATGTAAGTTTGCGACAATGGTTGAAGTGGCAGTGAGCACAAAGTTACACGGTGTCGCAGTGAATTGAAGTTGTCGAAAGTGTGTTGCAGAGAAGTGATGCAATGACTATGAGGTGACAGAGAGCCAACAAGTAGCTGCAGCTCGATGTCCTTGGGCAGTCACGTTGGCTCGTGCAGGGGGGCAGGTGGAAGATTCGGGAATTGAGGCACCTGAGTATGCCGTGATCAGCTACTAGTGACACGGTTCCAGGTGAGATCATTCGACAGGGGTTTGATCAAGTTAGCTGCGTCTTGATGGTGGTAGATCCTGCTCGAGCTTGAAGCATTGGCCAACGAGGGTTGTGCTCGTCTGTCTTCTGGACTCATTTCCGGAATCTTCACATTTCTGCGTATCTTCGAATGGAGGTCATTACTTCTTGCTGTTGCTTGCAAACAATGTAGGCGGTCAAGTATGAATGCCATTGTTGCGGATTGCGGGGTCGTGACTCCCTGCATAGGTGCCCCGCGATTATGGCAATCATTAGTTTGTGCTCTTGAGAACCCTGTTCGTCCTTTACTAGACAACGAGGTATCTCAACTTCAAATAAACCCCGAGGCTGTATTGAATATCCACATATCTCCCTTTTTGGAGCAATTAGTAGTTTCTTGTATATGCTAAATCTGAACGAACCTAGAAAGATGCTTCCGCTGGGCTAATGGGGCGATGTCATAACAGTGGACTTGTAGAAGGTTCTAGAATCTTCCATCAGATTGGTCATGTGTACAAAAGTTTGGCTACAGCTCTTTTTGAACGAGCACATGTTCTTGCACCCTCTAACAAGGCTAGTGCTCAGTTGGCATATTAGGCACTCATGGGATATGAGGTCCTCCAAACTTCTACCCAAAGCAGGTAAAACAATTAGCCGAAGTCTTATGCAAAACGAATTGATTTCCCTGACTGCAGGTCGTTGAGATGCTGCGGTGAAAGCATATAAACATTTGTCATATTGGTTTCCCACGGTATGGGAAAAATGAAGTAGACATGTAATATGCCTGTGCCGGAGGTTCCCATAAGCTTTGCCAACAACGTAGGGGGGATCATATCGCAAGGTCTCATTGCATCGCAGTTGGAGAGATACTCGAGTGTGGCACTAAAACTACAATACTTGCCTTGAATCTAGGAGAGCTGCTAAACTTTTTGTCATTTTATCTGATATTTATCCGTAGTACATATTGATTGTCTCTAAGGGACTCCGATATTTGGTGTGAGGATCAATGCGTGGCTCCACCGGGATCACTGCCAACGGCAGATCTACATCACGCGACACGATAGGGTATCTTCACCGTCCGCTGTCCCATCTCTGTTCGTGCTAGTGCACTATCAGCACAGATATCAGCGGGTGAGGTAGAACATTGACACAATTGAAGGATGTCTTGATGGCAGCTCCAACAAGGACGATTGAAGGCTTCGTTGTGTTGAGTGCATGAGAATCGCGAAGCAGGTTGGGGAGATGACGGGTTCGTCTCACGAAATAGAGTAGCCCGCCGAGATAGTCAATCCGTATAAGTATTTTGCAACTGTGGAACTATTGATAGCGAGATATGTCCTTGTTGGGTGCCATGCAAGACACCCTGAAGTCCTGCCTGCATATACTCGCGTATATAGCAGTACGGTGGACACTTTCGGGAAAGCATGCATGGTGGCATGCTCCTTTCTATATAATGATTCCGGCAAGACATAGCTTGGTGCAGGCTCGCTAAATCCGCACATACTTGATATCCAGACCATGCAGCCTGCCTTCCTCAACAAAGGAAACACAACAAAGGAAACACAGCAGCGTAGGTATAGATTTCCACTGACGTCCGAATGAGTCGAAGAGTCCAAAGCGAAGGAGCTTGGATACCGCGATGTATCTATTATATAGTTGAGCGTCGACGACGTCTTCTGTTCGCCCTGGCCTCCCAGTTTCTCAGGGGCAGGGTCCTACAACTCGGATTCATGGGAGAATACCGTACGGGGCTACGTGCTTGGTGTTACAAGCCACATCAAGTTGTATGTCAACGGGCAGATCAAGTGCAGATCGATCCTGGTCTACTACGGGCCGGACGAGTACACGGGCTGGTGGGACAGCAGAGCTCGCTATCAACTTTCCGACATTGGGACATGCAAAGGGGGCGAAGATATTTACATGCGGGCTAACTATGGTTCGGAATTTCCTGATGTAGAAGGCCATGGCGACCACTCAGATCCAGATATGTGAATTGTAAAGCTTTAAGTAGGGCACCGACTGTGACTTACATAAAACACAGACCCTCCCGACACCCGCCCCCTTTCCCCATTCTTGTGTTCTAAACCACTTGGAGAATTCGAAGAATATCCAATAAAAATCCCTGACCGTCACCTCATGTTGCTTCTAATGTAGATTTCCGATCCTGTCCGGCAGTAGGAAGTGGGTCGGGCAAGCTGATTAATGGCATGGCTTACAAATATGACCCGAAATAAGGAGAGGACTGTTGGTGCCCCAAGTGTTGACATCCAGAAACACACCAAATAACCCATAGAGGTGCATAGCAGCCGTAACAGATCTTATCAGAGTGGGCTCAACGTCTCGGGAATTTGTGCAAGATGATCGGATAATTGCCCCCACGACCCCTCACGTAACACAACGATGGCGAGTATTTAAGTTGTGAACCTAGGCCACATTATCATCGATACAACAAGACGACTATTACATCCTGTCTGTCATTCAATCATCCCTGCTGTGAAAGGCTTTTCAACCCTCTCGCCCTCTAGTCAAACACCACCATGTCTAGTATCCCAGGCCCCAACAGCCATCCCGCCGTGGTAATCACCCAAGTCCGCAGCCCTCTCTCAACCCTCTACTACCCCAACCTCACCCCAAAAGCAGGCGAAATCCGCATCCGCGTAGAATGGACGGCCTCCTCCCCCCTAGAACTCCACCAAGCCGACGGCGGGCTGCTCATCCAACCCCCACACATCATTGGTAGTTCCGCAGCCGGCACGGTGATGGAAGTTGGCCCCTCCTCTTCACCTACCAACAGCAACAGCAGTAACAACAGGTTCGAAGTAGGCGACAAAGTGTTCGGCTACAGCTTCAAAACAACCCCCGAGCGCTGTGGTCAAGTCTACATCACCGCCGCGTCGCACCAATATGGCAAAGTCCCCGCGGGGATGAGTCTCGCAGCCGTGGCGACGGTGCCCGCAAATCTAGTTACCGTTTTCCGGGCCGCGCACGCGGATCTGGGCCTGGACCTGCCGTGGCCAAAGCCGAAAGGGTGGGAGCCGGCGCAGAAGGACGACCCGATTCTCATTTGGGGCGCGGCGGGGAGCGTGGGGATGTATGCCATTCAGGTGTTTCGGCATTGGGGGTATGAGAACTTGATTGCGGTTGCGTCTTCGAAACACCACGAGGTGTTGAGGGGAATGGGAGCGAAGGTGGCGTATGATTATAATGAACACGGTGTTGTGGGGCGGGTGTCAGAATATGCGAGCAGGACGAATGGGAAGAGCGATGGACCAAAGGTGCCTTACATTTTCGATTGTATAGGGTCTTTGGAGGGGACGCTGAGGCCGCTCGCGGAGATTGCTGAGAAGGGGACCAAAGCCGCAATTTTGTTACCGGTCATTGTGAAGGATGCGACGGCTACGGACGTGCCTGAGTACGAGTTGGATGTTACAAAGACACTGCCGGGGAAGTGGGCGGAAGGGGTGGAACTGAATGGCGTGAGGGCGCATTTTTGGGAAGAGGTCAGTTTCTTCGACATTCCACTAACTCCGTATTGAAGTTAACCTTGACTAATACCGTACCAGACATCCGGCCTCAAGGACCGCTTCATGGGCGAAATCATGCCGACTCTGCTTGAGGAAGGTATTGTCCAGGCGAATAAACAAAGGATCGTGGAAGGAGAGACTATGCTGGAGCGGGCACAGACGGCGTTGGATCTTCTGAGGGAAAAGGCACCGAGTGGCGAGAGACTCGTCTGGCGGGTTGCCGACGATGAGTGGTTATGATCTTGCAACTCAAGGCTTCGTGGTTTTGCAAACTAGGGGCCCATTCTTGAACACGCCCAGTACCTATGTCATCTCCAGGCGGATTGCAGGCGGATTGGTGTCAGAGTATTGACAAATTGCTTCCTGCCGAGGGGCACGAATATGTATCCCGTAGGCTTCTGCGGTGCCGTGGACGGGAGCATCCTCCTGCCTCCTAGACATTGCAGTGGGGACCCACATTGCCAGAAATATGCAATTTGTTCATACCCAATGCCATCTATATTTGCTTGCCCATGTTGCCCACGTACACTTGTTTGTATCCCAAAGTAGAACCTCACGATCATTAGTTCCGCGCTCTCTATGAGGATGAGGATAAAAAAATCTGTCGACAAGACGTATGTCGAAATGGCCATCCTTTCGTCCCTCATGAAGGCAACGCGAGGATTGAGGGTAAGTACAAAGTATATCGACGATAATATAAATGCTGGAACGGTGGCAAGGTGCACATAAACATGCACCCCTTCATAATTATGCATTCAATCGCCGCTGATCTTCGCATGCCTGAAGTATTTCATCCCCACCCACGCGGTAATAACCCAAACCCAAGCCATGATACACGTCAAAATCATCAAGCTCGGATAATATCCTACAATAGGCAACGTGGGATCATCCTCGAACTCGGGCGGCGCGTACGGTGTGGTCCCTACATCCCACGCCCAGCTCCAGACGCCCAAACAGCTCCCCATACCCGTTGTGAAGACCGTCCATGTCACGATCAGCACAACCCATCCCCACCATTCCGTCTCGCTGTAGTCATGGTCCTCCTCCGCAGCGGGGAGAGGAGAAGCCGCGAGGCCTTGGAGTGATAGAGGCGACTTGGCATGCTTAACCGAGCGTCGCCGTTGTATCGATATGGATGACGAGCGGGCAATGCTGGGGAAGTAAGATTCGGAACCCGAGGAGAGGGAGACGAGACCAGGTCGCACCGTGGAAGACGCGTGCTTCTTCAGGGAAAGTATATCTTCTTCGTCGGTGGTCGAGGTGTAGGATATGGTAGGACTAGTGTTGAGCGACTCGGTGCTGCCTGTTATCGGCAGCGCGGGTAGATATGTAAGCATTTCGGTTCGTCGCGCGTAGCCGTCCATGGACGGACGCGGTGTGATGTCTGAGATGCCGAGGCCAAGACCATGCGCATCGATCGGCGGTGGACTCGCTGCCTGCCCGTCAAACCCCGAGTTGGTGGCAGCAGTACCCGGCGGCTGTGAGGGAAGTGGTTGTTGTGCCGCCGCCGCCGTCGTGTCAACTGTTAGGAGCGGCTGCTTGAGATCGCGCCTCTCGCGTTGCGCGCCACGACCGAGGAGTGCGACTTTCCGGAGGGAGCCTTTCCTCTTGCGCGTCTTCTGATGTTGCTGTTGGGAGGATATGACGGCGAGTGCGCGTGGAGGAGGGGTTGGAGCATCTTGGGCGACGTTGAGGTGCTGTGGCTCCTTCAGGTTCGACTTGATGTCCGACGTTCTCATGAAAGGGAACTTGGACATGAACCCACCTCCAGAACCACTCCTTTTGCGGCTCTGGACCGAGGCGGCATTGGGGCTCAATTGGCCATTCTGGCCAGCTTGACTTGGCGTCAGTGGCCTGTTCTCCATGGTAGCGGTACTTTGCGTTAAGTACGGACGGCTGTGTGCTTGTGATGAAGCTTTCCTTTAGGTTGTGCGGTGGCGCCCGTCATAATGTCTGACCACAAGTTGTCGACGTGAGGAAGACAGTCGTCGCATGCCTCCTTGGGGCTTTCGAGAATCGAAGTATGTTATTTCGCTTCAGAGCTCTCCATCAGAGAATATCCTCTCGAGGTTCTTCGTCTGTAGGTGCAGTTACCTCCAGGTCGTCAAGTTCCGGCGAATATCTGGTTCGCTGCAGTGGGATCTTATTTCCTTGCAAACCTACTCAAATCGCAAGTAACACCAGGTCCGGCTTGAACCAAAACGTGGCGGGCACTGCACTTGCAGGCAAGTGCCCTGTTCCCTGTCAGTCATCCCAACTCTAGCGTGGCTAGCAATACCCTGGTACAGGGGGAGAAGGAATGTCCCGCTTGCATCATGGAAGTGACAGTTCATCAACTCTAAAGTCAATGTAACTTCTCTCCAGTGTCTCCGCATTAAGACGGGAGCGGCCATTTTCCAAATTTAAGCGCACTCTATACCGCTCTGAACCAGGCGTCTCCTTATCGCACTGAGTCAAGACGGACATACCGGCAAGGCGTGGAACGACGAGACCTGATTGGCCTTCTGTATTCGACAAAACTGCGACTTTACGAGATTAACCACCATCTGAATCGGGATAAGCGTCAGGAACGAGGCCCAGCCCTTGTCCACTTAGTGTTGACCTCTCACTTCTGCTCATGATCAGTCCATGACTGTGTCTCTCTATCCATGGCTCCTGGCAGCCGCCCACAGCCTATTTCCATCCCTTCCATTTCTACTCCAACCATAGGCACACCCTCTCCGCCCTCCTCTGCCGACAACGCCCCGACACTTGGCCATCAGAGCAACAGCAGCGCTCCGTTGCTTCGCGTTCCCGACAACGTCGACGACGGCACATATGACAATCGCAGCAGCTTTGAAGAGCCCTTTTACGACCCTCAACGGCTGTCGCCCGTAGCGCCCACGTTCCCGCACAACCCTTCGCTGCTTTCTCCTTCCTTCTCTCCCACGATGGTGGCATATCCTTCCCCTGGCCTTAACGGGGCCTTCAATAGGGAGAACACGCCTCCCGTCGAGAGTCCAACGAACCCATTCAACTTCCAGACTCAGATCATATCCACATCCCCCGTCAAGCCCAACGTCGGCCAACGTCGCGGTCATAGGTACAAGCACAGTTCCATCTCGGCGCAGCATCAGATCTTCCAAGAGCCTCCGCCTCGACCGCCATTGGCTCTCCCACGCGACTTGCCCATCCCTACTTTGAAGGAGGCATGGAAATCCATGTCGACAGAACAGCGTGGACGGCTGTATTGGTGTTGCTGTCATCTCCTCATCGCCATCTCGGTAATGCTGTCAGTTCACGGCTCGTTGGCGATGACGGCCCTCTCGCATCTGGTCTTCTTCGACGTCGGTAGTGCAGCAGTGTGCGTGGCGGTGGACGTGCTGGGCAACTTCGAGGTCTGGAAGCGAAGCAGTATACGCCACCCATTCGGTCTCGAAAGAGCTGAGGTACTGGCCGGTTTCGCCATGAGTGTATTCTTGTTCTTCGGAGGATTCGATCTTGTCAGTCATAACTTGAAGCACGTCCTCGAGGGCTTGGGCGATCATGAGTCGCATCACCCCGATCCTCATGTCGGCGAGGATTCCAGGGTCCCACCAGGGAGTCTCGACATAGCAAGCCTGGCGGCTATCATAGCTACACTGGTTAGTGCATACGGTTTGCGGAATCACGGTCGGATTAGCAGATTGATGCGTGTGAGCTATCTGGCTAGTCTTCCGAGCATCCTCAGCAACCCGTTCCATTTCCTGACGCTCTCGACAAGCTTTCTCATGCTGATGCTTCCACTGCTGTCGATTCCCATCCACATCTGGCTAGACAGCGGTATTTGCGGCGTAGTGGCCGTGGCCATGTTTGGGCTAGGGGTTCGGTTGGCAATTGCGCAGGGATTCATGCTGCTCATGTCGTACGGTGGACGGTCTGAATCCTCGGGCAGAAACAAAGACGTCGGAGTGGCAGACGTACTGCGTGAAATCGAGGCTGAACCGAGCGTTGCAAGAGTGGAGGAGGCGCAGTTCTGGCAAGTACACTACGGGCTCTGCATGGCAAACATGAAGCTGGCTGTCATCAAAGGCAGTGATGACGGCGCATTGAGTCATTTAAGAACCAGGATATCTACGCTAATACAAAACCGACTGGGAGAGCCATACGGAAAAGGGGCGAGTTTGAGGTGGGAGGTCAGTTTACAGATGACGGCAGATGCGAGGTAGATGTAGAAGACAACAGCTTCGGCTTCAAAGCTATCTGCAGAGGCTTGACATCTTTCCTGGGGCGTTGGGCGCTTGCTCGAATAGTACTGTGAAGACTGTTTGTTCCCTGCGTAGATATCTTTCACCAAACCATACACCAGATATATAAACATATTCAGCTCCTCGTGAGTTTTGTCCATCATGCTTCTCTGTGCTATGATACGCTAGCAGCTTCATGGTCACGGCGCTACGGACACTTCTTGTATCAAAACTGTTTCTGGAAGCATAATTCAGCCGGTGACAACAGCCGCTTTAGCAGTCTGCGTTGGAATCGATTAGGGCGCAATGGTAGGTTAGTAATCAGTTAAACTGTCTTTATATGCAAAATCTCATGTTAAAACACGCCTCTGATCCATTGTTAACCTAATCCTCCATCCTTTTTCTTTATCTCTATTCTTTTCTCTTCTTTCTTCTTTCTTCCTTCCTTCCTTCCTTCCTTCCTTCCTTATTTTCTTTTTCGGAGAAATTACCATCTAAGTACATAGGTAAGTGTTAATGATTGAACCAACTATAGGCTACGGTAGTCAGTCCGGCTCCTATAATTATTGCCTTGAACCAACTGCGTGAACCAATAGCCGGTCTGGTCCAAATAGGTACGAATTTCACCAATCTCGACTCTATTACAAGCCCTTTGTCTTTTAAGTACCCCCCGGCGTACGAAAAACCTGCATGAAGTCAGCATGCGTTTTAACGTCTTGCACAGCCTTGCGACTTACACCAAAACACCAAGCACCCCCAGTCCAACCACTCCGAGGCCAGCACCAAGCCCTACTTGCGCCCCCAAGCCCAATCCTTATTTGTTAGTTGACCCGCTACTACGCAATTTCATTTAAGTCTCACCAGACGGATATGCGCTGCTCCCATTGCCACCGGCACTAGAGGGAATAGCTGTGGACCTCGTCGGGTTAGTCGTGGAAGAGGACGCGTTCCCGGGCGAAGCTGAGAACGGCAGGGAGTTGATGGTAAGTGTGGACGGCGCCTCCGTATATGTCGTATTATATACCAGGAGAACAGATGGGCTCGGGCTACTAGTTACACACCCGTACGCAAATGCACCATTCATGGGCTAGCTTACAGTCCCGCAAAAGGGCGCCTGGTACGGGCTGCAAAAGCTGTTAGTGCTACCCTGACGAGCGGCGGGAACTTCCGAGGTTTTCTGCTTCACCAAGTTAACGTAGCAGATTTTGTCGAGCTTTGGGTGGTGGACAATTGCGTCGTCCCGTCGACGCAAGCGGTAGCGAAGCCACAACTACTACTAGACTCAGGGCAGCAACCTGCAACGACCAGTGATGCTTCATCCCCAAGGGCAAGGAAGACGCATCGCTCGTCCAAAGCACATTCGATCACAACGTCTGCGGCAGTGCTTCTGATCAGTGGAAAACGCCTTCGAAGCCATTGAATAATAAGTACTCAGTTCCGGAGAGTAGCCACATTGCTGTAGATTCCTCCCCTGTCGTTTTTCAACGATATATGCAGTTCCGGTGGTCTGTGAACTGCCCGTGCTTTTAGTCGTCTCCGACGAGGCTGTGGTCTGTAATGGCTCTCGAAAAGCCATGTTGTCAGAGGAAGCGACCCCTAAACATTGAAGGAGACCCGTGGCCCAAGTGCACTTTATTGCGGTCTGGCAGTCGACCAAATGCTTTAACGCGAACCTTCATCGGGACGAGGCTCCTAAACGGTTTTGTGAGTGGGGGCTGCTTGCTGCCTAACGTTGAGGCGTCGGTGTATCGTTACATCTTCTTGCTTTCCTATTCAGCTGAAGGCCGGGGTTCACATCACATGCGTAATGCAGCGCGCAACGTGAAGCCGGGTTCGTGCCGCAGCCTGCTCCTGGTACTGCAACACCAAACAACAAAAAGTGCTTCCCAGATGCGTGTTGGAGATTGGATCATGAAATGAAATGGATTGTTCAATCCTCGTCGACTTCGAGAGTTTCGAGCAGTACATGCAACTGTTGGGAAACACCACAAACTTTGGCGTGGACTCGATGCGGGCGTGTCAGCCCGTTATATGCAGAGCCATCTGGGGCACCGGGAATCCGGACATTTCAGGAATAGGGGTAAGGGAGAAGCCACAGTCGTATTCCCGATACATGATCTGAGACAAAACTGATAGATATTGATAGATGTTCGTTGGGTATATCCTCGAAGTCGGTCTCGGTTTGGGCACGACGCTACTGTTTGTGATCTTCCGTCACTTCGAAAGCGATCACTGGCTTTGGCGGTCGTTCAAAAACCCTCTCGGGGACGGACCCGTCATGGCTGTATTCTTCGACAGCGCAGCGTACTTTGCAGCTGCAGTCGAGCTCGCCTGCATTACCAGTCTCGTGAAACGTGACTACGGCATCGACAGCAATGGTTTTGGAGCCAAAGAGGCTCGAATTACGTGGGCCGTGTCTGTTCTCGTCGCTCTCCCGCTCATGTACCCCATCGCAATACTGGCAAAACAACCGCAAAGGAGCAAGCATCGCCTATTCCTGTTTTGCCTCGTGTTCCTTCTTTCGCTATATTCGATTATCTCACAGGCCATACAAAATCTAGGCCCCACGAAAATAGGGGAAGGGGCTGCCGACGGAGGAGGGACAGTAGTGACAGATAAAGACTGGCAGAATATCGAAGCAGTCTGTTTCGGTGGGGATGCCTTATTTTCAAGTGTTGAGAACACCGTACTGACGGCTTTGCAACTTATCGCTTTCGGATTCTTGCTCATGTTGGTACTGGTGTCAATTTTGAGGCACTGGCTGCATAGGAGAACACCCGGCCAAGACCCAGGGGAAGACAACCGAGGCATACAACTGCTACCCGCAGGCAATCCCGTACTTGACCTTGTGGTTAAAGTAGGCATAAGTCTCAAATCCAGGAAAGGTGTCAAGGCCTTCCTTGTACTGGGCCCAACAATTTTGGCAGTGCCGCTTCTCTGGGGTGTGTTCAGGATGAGACAGGTCCAAAGAGCGCTCGCGAATGCCACAGGAAACACCTACGCAGACAATGAGTGGACTTTCGGCCAGATCATGTCTGTTGTGACTTTCACGCTGGTTCTAGCAGAGGTAGCCTATTTGTGGTATGATGGATTGGATGACCGCCGAGCAGAGGCTGTGATGACGAATGAAACCAAGGGCATAGGCATCTTCGAACAGAAAACCAGCCCACCGCCACGACACCTTACATATTAAAAAATAATATTAAATACGCCGTAGGTGTTAACCCTCGGTACCTCTACAAGTACTCCCTTAAGGGGCTATAGATGATATAGCGGGCCCTTAAGCCGCGTCGGGCGGTTATACAGGTAAACTTGTAGCCAAATGACTACTAAACCTCCTGTCCCTCCCTAAGTCTGTGCTACAACCCCTGCCTGAACTACCGATAAGTGTGGTAATGTGGCACTTAAATTCGTCCTCAGGGGTGGGATGCTGCTGATGTGCAGAAGATGCTCGACTATTTTTTTGTCGCGACAAGTCGTAGTATCTGCTAATTGGGGTTCTCGTCGAGCGTATACATCTCAACCATACGCTCAAGTGGATAGACCGTAACGTGGTCAGACGCTCGCAAGAATCGCGGCGAGAGGGCGTGCTGCGCGCCTTCTATCGTGAGGGGACGGGTTCGCCGACGAGCGTTATCGGAAAGGCGAGGTCCGATAAGGGGTCGGATTAACGATTCGAATTCTGGACCGGCTGTCGAGTTATATTCCGCCGACGTAGTGCTTGACGGTCGACTGGCTAGGATGCTCGTAATCCTAAACTGCACCAATCTCCCTATTATCGCTAGGTAGGCGAAGTCAACAAGGTGGGCAGCGCGCCGTAAGGGTTGACTAAACCCCCTTGTGTGTCAGCTGCGGGATTCGAACCCGCGACTCGTCACCGACCCAAGTGGGCGAGGCTCAAATCGGGACTTATCTACCAGCGAAGTGACCAACTACACCAGCCGACCTTACATATTAATACTAGAACGACTATATATCGATCAGACTAGATTTATCCATGTTTAAGTGACTATAGTTGTTCACACGCTTCCGCTCAAGTCTACGATCAATTTTGGTCTTCACACCCTTATTTCTCTTAAAGAACTTTTGGAATCATCCTTTGCCGAGGGTTCTTTTTTCTCCCCGTTTTCTTTTCTGTCGTACGGTAGCCTTGACCTGAGAGTGTGTAGAGGCATAACCGAGAGATTCCTGGCGAATTATACACTGTACGGGCTTCTCTTGCCCCTGAGTGATTCTTATGTTGGGATATAAACCACCAGCGTTGCTTAGTTTTGACGGCCCGAATAGCTTCATTCAGGTCATTCTCGGTGTACGCAGCATAGCTACTATGGTACATTACCTGCCTATCTTCACTTCTCAGTAGGTATCTGCGCGTGCACTTCGCACTTGCGTCGAAGGTGCCTGATACGAAAAGGTAGGGGAATCCACTGGTTAGGTGAATCCTATTCAATTAGATACTATAACGTTGCGCACTGCTGCATTATAGAATCTTCCCCCCTAGGTGCACGCATCAGTGCCCCTTGCTGATGAACCGAGACGCCGCCCTCCCAACTGCCGTCTATGCAATGGCCGCTGCAGATGATCCCGCTTTATATAACGAGCCGAGCAGCACCTACGGACTCATTTAGACCGAGATATAGTCGTAAAATACATGTACCGTGAGGGAATGGATGATGAAATAGTAGTTTTATAAGCAGCTCAAGCTAAATAAAAATAACTATTACTGTACCTCCGAGCTTTAGCTCGCTAAGACAATAAACACAACGAACTTATAGGAGTTAACTGAGATGACTGAGGCTTAAGTTAATACTAGTAGTTAACCACGTAGGGATGCTGTTACAATAAGACTCTGGTTAGGGATAATAAAACGGCAGCTAACTATAGACTAAGCTTGGGGAACCTATCTTTACATATGGAGAGAAGCTCTCGCGTTGTGGCCTATAAGCTGCCGCCTACGCCGAAATTTTCAGGTACAATTTTGTATTTCAGTATACTCGATAAATTCTTCTACAAATGTCTCTATTAGGTTATAGACCTCCGAGCTAGATGCATAACAGTTCACCTACATTGGTTTATTAGCGTAAGGCAGGAACGTAGTACTATCTGCTCACCTCTGCGAAATATCCTTCATCGATCTCATATAGTTCATAAGGCTCCTCCTCTGACTCTCTAGGTTATCCGGTTCATTGATTCCATCAGGTTAACTATAGCCATCTACGTGATGTTTACTGTTACGTTCCGAGGAGCAGTTCGGAAACAATATGTAGTTTGTTGTTATGCCTACCTAGATAAGTAGGGCTCTTTAAGGTGAGGGGATGTTAACCTGTTTCAAATTCGACGACTTGTTCCATATTCTCTGGAAATCTATAGACCAGGCTCCACCTTTTCTCGTTTTTCATATTATCTTCGATCTTCTATTAAAGAAGTTTAACTAACAGGCCTACTAGTATATCGACCCCCTCCTTAAGGTATTTCTTTAAGCATTTTGCGAGGAGATAATTTTTCACAGCGCTGGCGATTACAGAGCCACATAGTGCTGTGTATAGCAGTTAGTGGAACCAAGTGTCAGTGATCTAGTGGCAGTCTAGATCTTTTGGTCTATTGGCCTAGGGGCTTGGTCCTCCCTTGTGACATATTTCCAGTCTTTAGACCTTTCGCGCAGAACATCCTTTAAAGAAATGCATCAAAGGCTAAGGTCGTTAAATCGAGGAGTGTCTCGTACCTCACTAGTACTTAGGTAAGATAACAGGAGGCCGCCGTGTTCTTCGTTAAAATGGGCACTTCTCTGCTGCTGCAATAAATCCAGCTACTCTGTTCCCTAAGAATAGCTTGGTTTTGCATATAATCCCTGGAATTCTTCGTGGTCCTTCTTTCCGTGAGATAATTCCTCGTACTTATATGCTTGTGCCATATATTCAAGCTTATCTAGCTCTCTTACTCACGGACCTTCCGTTGTCCTACCTTCTTCATAGTCTAACCAAGCATCCGTGATCTTGCTAGTAAGTTCTACACTATCGAGCTTTACTAAGTTCTTAATATACAAAATGTGGGATCACATTGGTACTGGCATTCCGGCTACATACGAAGGTGAAGAGGGAATGTACATGTTAGGCAACCTTGGTGGGCTTTGCCAAGACCACCAAGGTTACCACGTGACTTAGCCCTTCGGGACTAAGTCCAACCTTCGTGCTCCATAGGACTAGATAGAATGTCATGCTTTTACAACCTCACAAATCTTTGACCACCTTTGCGTGTAACAGTACAGGTGGGGGGTCCAAGCCGCACAAGGGCACTAAAGTATCTCGCGTGTGTCTCACGTGACCGTAGGCCACCAATTCCACACAAAAAGCCGAAAGACTCGAGCTTATGTTTGTACTCTGCTACGTATTAGTTATTTAGTAGTGATATGTCAGGTGTGAATAAGCCACAGTGGCTTGCCAGGCCTTAGGGTCGGCAATGTACAAATAAGCTGCTGTGACCCCCCTTATCTTCAGGAGGGGCAGCAATTAACTTGTCGTATTTTGAGTCCCCTACACTACACTGCTGTTACTTACCTGGTGACGAGCAACCGACTTCTCTCTAGCACTCTCGTCCTTATTATAGCCACTCTACCAGCCACACACACAGCCATACCGGAGGCATAATCACCTATCCATAAGATCACACTGGCAGTCAATCGACTGTGACAAAGACAGATATACACATCAATAAATCAATCATTTGAACCCTCATTTTTGGTCAGATACACGTGTGATGCAACAACTTTTCACGCATACAGGTAGGCTTAATGTCGTAAATACGAGTGCCTCCGTACCCAAATAGCATGATAGGCCTCGCGCTTTGGCTTCATCCGACGGACATAAGAGTTTTATCTCCCTTCTCGCCGGCCAGACTACTGAGTAATACATGATGAAGTTGGGACAGGCTTCCACGGTAGGGTTTATAAATCGTCTCTCTCGCCTGACACTCCTTCACTCCCGACTCGATGAATGTTTGGCCGCTCAAGAAAGCTAGCCGCCGTATTGATTCGTTCTATAACACGACCGTTCAGATATCACCAAACGAAAACCTTCTAGGCACAAAACGTACCCAAATCTACTCACTCAACTATGGCCGAACCAACGCCCCCCACCGAGTTGGGCCGTTTGCGCGTCCTCTCGTCTAATGCTGGTGTTCGCGTCTCCCCTCTGCAATTGGGTGGCATGTCGATCGGCGATGCCTGGGCCGGCATGATGGGCTCGATGAATAAGGAATCGGCCTTCAAGCTCCTCGATGCCTACTATGAGGCCGGTGGTAACTTCATCGATACTGCCAACGGGTACCAGAATGAGCAGTCCGAGATTTGGATCGGCGAGTGGGTCAACGCCCGTAACATTCGTGACTCCCTGGTCCTGGCGACCAAGTTCGCCATGGATTATCGCAGCTATGCCGTGGGTAAGGGTGTACCGGCTGCCAACTACGCTGGAAATTCCCGCCGCGCCATCCATGTTTCGGTCCGTGACTCGCTGAAAAAGCTACAGACGGATTACATTGGTAAGTCTTAGCTTATCATTGGTGGAGAAGCCGTTGCTTACCATCTTTTCTAACCAGATGTCTACTACATTCACTACTGGGACTACACCACGTCTGTTAAGGAAGTTATGGATGCTCTCCACATCCTCGTTGAGCAAGGCAAGGTGCTATATCTTGGAATATCTGACACGCCCGCCTGGATTGTTGCTGCAGCCAACACCTACGCGATCGACCACGGAAAGACTCCTTTCAGTATCTACCAAGGACGCTGGAACCTATTGGACCGAGACATTGAGCGCGATATCATTCCTATGGCCCGCCACTTCGGCATGGCACTTGCACCGTAAGCACCCACATTCTAGCTTGCAAAAGCTTTCGCGGCTAACAGGCACTCCAAATAGATGGGGTGTCCTTGCTGGAGGCAAGTTCCAGTCCAAGTCTGAGGTCGAGAAGCGCAAGGCTGCCGGTGAGGGCCTACGAGCTTTCGCCGGAAGACCTCCTCACCAGACCGAGGATGAGATCAAAATGAGTGAGGCCCTGGCTAAGGTAGCCTCGGAACACGGAACTGAGTCTGTGACCGCCGTTGCGCTGGCATATGTGATGTCCAAGGCGAGCAACGTCTTCCCTATTGTCGGCGGGCGCAAGGTTGAGCACCTCAACGACAACATCAAGGCGCTGAGCCTCAAGCTTACCGATGAACAAATTACGTACCTTGAGAGCATCAAAACTCTCGACCTTGGCTTCCCGCACAACTTCATCCCGCAAGATCCAAACATCACCGGGTCTTCATTCCTGATTGGCAGAACAAACGCCATGAAGTTCCCCAATGCCCACAAGCCTTCGTCTGTATAAAAGGCTACCATCGACGATAACCAGGACATCTACCATAGATAATGATCGAGGTTTTGAAGGTGACGTGATAGCCGCTTTTCTTCTTCAAATCAGCCTGATTTAGTAGAGCAGGCGGTGGCAAAGAGTGCGCTCAAGGAATTGGCTATGTTCAATATGAATCCTGCGTGTCCCCCACTGCTGTCTTCACGTCCAGCCAGGTCCTACGGCTAGACTTAGGCCCTGATAATTTCCCAATGCGGAAATTCGGTCGGCAACACCTGATTCTGCCTGACCATTGTAACGAGGGTTGTTGGGTTAGAGGCTGTATAGCTGGCTAGAGCTACGCCGCTTACTATATTATACACGCTGAACGCACTATATGTATGCAGTGAACTTCGAGAAATACATATACCCCGCTAAAAGTGTACTTATCGGGTGTGTTTTAGGGTTCCAGAAATAATGGGTCTGGGTTGCCATTTTCGGCCAAACCCCGACACGGGAACCTTAGGTGGAATTTTCTCTGCACTTCCCTTCCTCTAGACTTTCGTCCTTCTTCAACACCGACACAACCGAGACCAACCTCCCGCTTCGCCGGACGCTTCGCTACCGCTCGTCGTATCTTCTATCAGGGCCTGTCTTATGATGGCAGGTAGTGCAAGATACTGTTCAGCACTGGTATCAGGCAGAAGAGTCTTGTGTGTCTTGCGGGAGGAAGTTTTCTCGGCTGATGTCGACGCCGGACACGATATGTGGTCTATTCGTTTAGTCTTCCACGAGGAAGAGAAATGAACCAAAAACAGCTTCTACAAATGCTAGAGCTTGCCGTTTCGTTATCACCAACAGCGATGCAAGTGTGGACAATGAAGCAAGATGAACATAGTTAATGCTACCTCGGTAGTGTTGGCAAGCCCCGACTGGGTACTTTTAGTCAGCTGGCCCTGTGGTCTGGTGCTTAGTGCTTGTTGGGGACATTTCCCGTTGCGTTGATGTGAATCGTATGTGTTTGACTTCTTGAAATGCTTGACCTGGGCCTGTATATATCATCCATGGTGCAAACCGGGTTCAAGATAACGTTCTGCTTTGGAACAAATATCCCAACGGTCTGCTACCTTAACCCGGCATGGACACTCGTAATATTTCAAGCTTGAGGCGCACCTTTCGTTGTGCTCATTGCTTGTTGGCCAGACTCGTTCCTCCTTGTCGGTCAACCAAGTCAAAGCCATGATAATCATAATCAGCATGCGGTTGCATTGAGTTAGATTGTGCTTTGCTACCAGAACGGGAGCTCTATTACCGTATGCATCAAAGCCACCACAAATGCAATGGTCAACGGCTCTAATCCCAGGCAGCGCCTCCAGCTAGACGACCCGGGTGTATTAGAGCTTAGGTCTATTATCCCTCCCCTTCACATCCCCTCCGAGATCCTCAACCACCAATCCACAGTCACCTCCCCCTGACACGCAAAGTTTCCCTTATACTCCATACCCCCACCCCTCGTCCCAGCCAAATGGAAAGAATCCATGACCAAATCATGCACATCGACATTCCCCACGTTCGTCCTTGCCTTGTTATCCACCGCCACCGCACAGCTACCCTGGATATTCAGCGTCGTCCACTCGTCGTTCCCGCCCGTGCCCAGGTCCCATATGCCGTTGTTGCTGTTGGCCCACGTCGCAATCTGGAGACAGTCGTCGGCGTTGGGGGAGGCGAGACTCGAGTCGGTGACGACCTGGGGCGTGGTGGTGCCGCACTTGTCATAAGGTTGGCAGCCCGGGGCGAAGGGGGCGGTTAGGAATTTGGAGGTGGGCGCGAGGGGGGTTGCTAGAGCCAGGGCGAAAAGGGCCGCGATGGCTAGACTGTCGCTAGTGGTGTTGAAGAGCATGGTGTGTGAGTTGATCGGTTGTTGTGGGCCTCGAGGGGTGATGCGAGGCAGCGTGACCTTGAGGGTTGGTGAACAAGGTACGTTGTTGCCAACTACCGAAGGGGGCCGATGTTTCTGTGGGAGATGTGCTGAAGGAAGGGGAATAGGAAACTCCTCAAGAACCTCAAATTTGAATGTTCAGGCAGTGTTTGGTTGTTGGGTAAATTCACTGTAGGATGGGTTTGCTTTTATCTTGGGGGTTAGCTCCTTACATGTCAGTCTGCCCAAAGTATCTATTTTCCATGCTGACTATTCACCAATGCTCGTTCGTGTGCTGTGCTAGTACGTCAGTTGCATTGGGCTCGAGAATAGAGGTCTTGCACCAACGAGGACACCGAGCCTGGAGTAGCCATACGTAATTGTACGCCGCCGCTCGTGTTTCACGTAGCATAGCCCACCTCCATGAAGTATCGTGGCCATCATAGCATTAGAAACCTATTTCACCTGATTCATTTCGCGTATTATGTACAAATGCCAACACCACTTCGTGTTCTGGCACATATGCTTAGAGCTTGCTGCCACTTGGTGGACTGGCAATCGCTCAGCACAGCCCAACCCCTAAATTCAAGTCATGACGACGGGGCTCGCCTACTCACTTGAAGTTGTTCTTCATTTCACGAAGCTTAGCCATGACCTCCACGGGGTCGGTCTTGCCAGTCGCCTTCTGTATCTCCGGGTCCTGCAACATACATGCTGTTAGTCGTATTCAGTAAATCGCCTTAAGAAGAGCGGGACACACCTCAACACGCATGAATACGTTGTGTTCCTGTAACGAGCCAGTCAGTAGAGGACGGCATCATAAGACACAAAACCTAGCGTACCTTCTCATCTCCAATTGTAAACTTGCCCTGTGTCTCTTTATTCTCCTTTGCGTAGGATTGCAGCTTCTTGATAGCCTCATTCTGCAGCACCGAAACGCCGAACTTCACATTCGACGCGGTGTACTCGTGGCCAGGCTGCCATTTATCAGCATCCGCCGCGCATGCATCTGATGAGTAGTAGTAATAAGCTTGGGATATCTTACATAGACCTTGGTATCATTCGGCAACGCAGCGAGCGTCGTGTTGAGTGCCTTGTGCATCTCGGCCGCGCTGCCCTCGAAAAACTTGCCGCAACCTGTTGATGACATTTCAGTCTCCTGAATCTGTCGGCGCAATTTTGGTAGTTCCCAATCAACTCACCACCATGAAATAATGTATCTCCCGTGAAGACAACCTTCTCGTCACCATCCTTCATAAACCAGCAGATGCTGTCTTGAGTGTGGCAGGGCGTGTAGAGGCTCTGTACTTCAATGCTGCCCAGCTTGAAACTACCTCCATTGATCGGTGTTTGGGTCACACCATCGCACTCTCGGCCGCCGATGATGGGGAGCTTCGGCGTGCCGAGCTCCGCAAGCTGTAGGTAATGTCAGAATCCTGGATAGATAACAGGGCGCGGTTTTGAACTAACCATCTGCTTGTTCCCACCTGCATGATCCCAGTGACTGGTTCATTGCATCAGCCCCTTGCCTCACATCATACAGACACAGGATGATATCCAAACTCACTGGTGAGTGTTGACAATAGCCGTCAGGTTGACCTTGCCATCCGTGATTGCCTGCTTCAAGACTGGAGCGACCCTGGTGTAGGAGTTAATTGTGGTGAACACCGAAGCTCTGACCACCCTTGGACATACTCCTCAGGGTGCGCCGGGTCAATGATAACGGCATCTTTGGTCTTATCGTCGGTGACGAGGTATGCGTAGTTGTTACTACTTCCCACCCCTATCATAAAGCAATCTATTTAGAAAACTGAAATCCTTAGTTGGGAACTGCGGTTCTGACTTACACATGGGTATCGACTGGATGTGCATGGCGCGGGGCGAGGCACGCTGTGTGAGATGGTGTTAATCCACAAACTCCAAATACCTCGGCGGCTCCTTCCACATGGGGGTTTCCAAAACTCACAGCTGCAGTGAAACCGAGTTTTTGAGTTGCTAGTGGTCGTGCTCTGACGAGGCAATTCATAGAGGCGATGATTGTCGTTGCTGGTTTACTATTACAAATCGGAGCACCTTCATTCGTAATGCAATATCATTCGACAATGACGTCGGAAGGCACAGCCAGGTAGACGGACCGGCGATCTTAGCCAGCTGCCATCAGTTGACGCAGCTACTCGCACTGTGTGGACCCTCTTACTACTCGTCCTCACAAGCTCCAGCAGTTCTTGCTCAAACTGCGCCGGCTGCAACTGTACGAGAAGCAAATGTTGAGCTCGACTTCGACCAGATTACGACGACGACCCACGTTGCTCCTGATACTTCAAGCCAAATGACTGGAGTTGACGTGTTTGTTTGTATACTTGAACAGTGTCTACACAATTCCTATAGGTTTGGGTTTCCACTGCCCAACATACCTCGACCAGCCCCTCACTGAAACTAGAGGCTCGAGAATCTTCTTTTCGGTATTGTCATCTTGGCTGGCTATGCTGCCCAGAGACTCGAGCTTGCTACTCGTTTGAGCGATTTCCGCCTTGACAGCTTTTATGTCCTTGGTCTTGGGTACGTCCACGTCATTCTGCTGCGGCGTTTTCGATGTTACCAAGTCTCCGTCCATAATCCGTCGTGAAAGCTGCAGAGCCCGGAGCAACAGACGAGGGTTCTGAGCCGAGTCCCCAATTTCCGTCAAGGATTGGAGAGTCGTCGTGTCATCCCACTGCCTCAGTCGTAGTTCCAACACTCTCTTCAAAGCTGCGTCTTCCGCCTCAAGGCAACTCAAAAGCAAATCCTTGCACGCATCCATTCCGTTCTTGCCGTCATCCGTCACCCGATCCTCGGACAGGTGCTTCCAGTAGTAGTCCCAGATCCATGCCAGCGACTTGTGGGCTGCGGACCTGAGTTTTAAGAGCGAGGGCAGCTGCTCGTGTGTGCATTGATGCCTGAGCTCGACAAACGTAGCTGGCAACCCGATAGTTTTGGCTACAGAGTACATGCTCTGCTTCTGTTGCTTATCCTGGTGGCTGTCCAGAAGTCCAGTCACGAAGCTATGATTCACGGGATGATTAGCAGGGATGGCAGGTCTGGGTAGTACAACAGAAAGTGTGCTAGGACAGTGCGACGTGCAGTGAAGTGAAACTTCAACTCTGCCGAGATAGGGTTTCTTAGGTGGGAAGAGTCGCCACCTCAACTTTCACGGAAGAAGACAGATACGATGCTGCTTTGTCAGCCTTGTGCCGCACCTATCAGCTGAAGTCCACTGAGCAGGAGCAAGCTCAACGCTTAGATACAGCTTGCATCCTGGCAGGTTTCACTCCATTATTTTGAAGCAAAATTGAACAATCCTCGAGCTAGAGAAGCTCTGTACAAAGCCCTAGCACGACGTTAAGCTGCGCATGAAAATAAAAAATAAAAGGACCCAAGAGTCAAATCGACAAACACAGCTTCAAACGAAACGTACCGACTAAAGGCAGCTGAGTACGCTAGGCGCACGGCAGATGAGGCAGAACTAGACCGAGTCCTGGCCTCCTGAAAATCGTCCAGCAAAGCCGCCATCAACAGGCTTGTAGATTCCACCATGTGGGGACAGCTGCCGCGCTGCACCCACACGGCCACGCGCGACACGGCGTGTCGCTGTTGTTCTTCGGCGGCGGCTTGCTGGTCTGTGATGTCGTCCGTCGTGCTTTGGGTGGCAGGGTAGAATTGCCCGCGTACCTCCAATAGTGCTGCCTGGTCCCGCCACGGCGTGTGAATGTACTGCACCATTTTCCGCAGCAAATTAACCCGGTGAAGATGCGCGCAGATTGTAGAAACCGAATGGGAAGGTGAGATTGGGAATGTGACTATCTGTTAGAGGGGCTCAATGCGCTGGTTATGATACGGCGGAGACGTGGTACGGTTTAAGATTTCTTCGTGACCGTGAACTACCCAAAAAAAAAAGAAAAAAGAAAAGATTGGATGAGACTTTGCCAAATCTAAAGCAGATTTCGCTAGTCAGCACCACCCCAACGAGGATCATACCCAAAACTACAACCTTAACATGGGCCAAAAGTACGTCCTTTAGAGTACACTCCCCAATCAGAAGACGGGCTGCACATCTCAAAATATACGAGCAAAAGAGACATGATTTAAACACTGACGTTTTGGTCTATTTGCATCTATGGAATTGTGGATATGCCGTCGGCCCTAGTCTCCTTTTTAATTACATTGCCCAACTTGCAAACATTGTAATGGACTAGGATATTGTCTTCTCGGTCAGGTAGATGCCGTATTTCTCCTTGAGCTCCTTCATCAGGGGGTTGTTGATTTTCGAGTTCATCGGAGCTATGACACCCTTGTCGGATATGGTACCGTTGAGCACCAGCTTCACGGCCACACCACATGGCACACCGACTAGCTTTGCCATGGCCGAGTAACCAGCAGGGTTGCCGGTCTCAATCAAAGTCGACGTCTTGGTCTCGCGGCTGCCGTCCTTGTGCTCGATCTCGAACTTGTGTTGGAGCATGACGAGGTCACGTTCTCCTTCCTCGTACTGCATCTTCTTCTCCAAGACGGCGCACAAGCAGTCGAGCGGGTTGCCCCTAGGGGTGATCTTCTCGTCAGAGAAAATGCCAATCCACCGCAGACCGCTAAGGATTCTTTGCTTCTCCTCGGGAGAATCGAAAGTAGCCTTGGCCAGGATTGCCGACTCCAAGTCAGCCTGGCTGCTTGAAGAAGCACCAAGCACCTTTTGCGTGGCCTCTTTCCAGGAGACCGGCTGCTTGAAGATGTCCTGCTCAGCGTCGCTCAAGAAACCAATCTGAACAAGCGCCCGGATGAACTGGGGGAAGCCCTGGTATCTGAGTGTTCCTCGGACGACAGTCTGGGCCTCTGGAATGTTGTATCTCTCCTTATACGGGGTCGAATCTCGGTTGGGATACGCGACGAAGGCGTACCCAGGATAGATGTAGTACGGCTTGGCCTCACCCATCAAGTCCTTGCCTGCGACGGTCATGACCTTGCCATCCTTCCACCATTTTCCATCGTTGCCAAGAGCCAGAAGCACGCCACGAGATGACCAGGAGAACTTGTAACCGAGCGGGTTGTCCGAGTCTTCTGGCGCAGGCAAGCCACCGCAGTACGACAAGAAGCTCAGGATCTTGCCGCCAGCCTCGTGAACCTCCTCGATGGTCTTGATGGCGTAAAGGTGATCGATACCGGGGTCCAATCTATTAGTTCGCGGTCAGCAGCTATTCTTTACGGCTGGTCTTCCGCTCTCTAGAGAACTCATCTCCTGTGAGGTCTTAGAGAAGAGAATTTGTGCTCACCCAATCTCGTTCATCACGGTAATACCCGCATCTTTACACTGCTGGTCCAGCTCCATCATAGCGGGAGACACGTAGCTTGTGGTGACGACATTCTTCTTCTGTCGAATAGCAGACTTGATGACGGTAGCGTGGAAGGTGTAAGGAATCAAGCTGATGACCAGGTCATGCTTAGCGAGCTCGGCGTCCAGCGCGCTGTCATCGGTAACGTCGAGGGAGATCGGGGTGGTGTGCTTGATGCCCTTAGACAGAGCCTCGGCCGAGGCTAGAGTCCTGCAAGCTGCAGCCGAGTTAGTCGTGCATTCCAAAGCTTGTTCGCACTCGTAATCATACCGACAGTTACGGGAATGCCGGCTTCAGACAGGATGTCGAGAGTCGGCTTCACGACAAAACCGGCTCCGAGGCAGAGAACAGACCTGACGTCATTCTTGTTAGTTCGTGAACGGCAAAGACGCAGAGGCTAATGAGAGTGCTGTTGCAAGACCTAGCTAGCATCGCGATTGTCATCACCTCCCAGGCCATTGGCCTGATGCTGGTGGGCTTGCCTAAGTTAGGGGAACAGCCCCGCCATGAGTTTGGTGATGATACTTGTTACCTCAGCATCAACACCACTTGTCATGTACAACGCTGGGAGGGACTGTGAGGGAGATGGGGATTTTCACTTTTGGGACGACATCGTATTCTGACTTGGTGGGATATTTCGTTGTCAGATGTTGAAGAATCTTCTCAATTAGAAAGTTGAATGCAGCAGCAGCAGTATCTTGACTCAAGACTTCTTTCTCCCAATGGTGGGGTAGGTTCGACGTTCCGTCATCGGGGGTCGATGAGGGGGAGTTTTCAACGTGTTATCGATAATGTCCGCCCTGCATTCAGCAGTCTGTAGGGTACTCTGTATTCGTACTCCATATCCCATCTTCGCCCCATTGCCAACATGAAAGAGGTGTGTATACGAAGAATATCAACCTCGACCTCGGGAATCATACACACCGTGACACCGTGGAAGTGTTCTGCCTCATAGTGATGTAAAAGTGCGTCACCCTGTCCTACTAATTACTGCAAATTATTTCATCGCCTGAGCGGCAACAGTAATAGCTCCTGATTCTTTGTGCTACACCGAGTTCCATGATTCTCTAAAGTTCGGGCCAGATGATTTAAAACCCTGCAACCAAACGAGATCCTTAGTAATGAACACAGCTCCTGTACGAAGTATGCAGTTTTGTGCAATGTGGAAGAGAAGGGGGAAAAAGCCTTCGTCTGACGTTAATCAAACAAACAAGGGATCCTTCCTCAGCGCTCATCACCATGTCACTGAAACGAACAAAATGTCATGGAACCACTTCACCTGCAAAGTCAAGTCCGGCAAATTTTTTTCAACTGAGTCACCATGGCGTCAACCAGTGTCAGGTACAACCGAGCCCGACCTGGGGACCCTCTCGCCAATCGCCAATCGGGCAGAGCCGTTGAACTCTGCAAGACCACGAGCTTGGACGAAGGAAAAGAGGGCCCTGCCTTGATAACTCCACATTGAGAAAGTGGAGATAGTGCATGGATGTCGGCGGCTCAATTTTATTTTTGGACCCCCTGTTAAGGCTGGAGCCGAAGGACGCGCGCCGCTCTAACGGGTCGGCATCCCACACTCCGAGAGAGCGAGTTGGAGTGCATTATGGACTTTGTCTAAATCAGGCATAACTGGTTCGCGTTGTAGCAAAATTCGTTTTTGACTGCATGAACTTGGAATGACAGCAGTGAGGAGTTTGGATCAATGTCCTACCTACTGAACTGGCAACTTTGGAAAATGTAAGACGTGTCTCATAGAGGACACGGAACTTTTAATCGATTTATCAAGTGGAATTTTGTCACGACTGCCACGAGCTTGAAACGAATGGTGTGGTTTGAACATTATGTATGTTTTTTGAAGTCTGGGCGGCGGCATACTAATTCGCCACGCCTGTTACTTCTTGCGTTTCTATGTGTTTTACGTATTCTTCATGGCACTCTTGGTGCGCTTCGTGGGAGTTGGTTGGCGAGAACGCATCGTCATTCCATCATCATCTTGCGATCCAGGAATTGGGTAGATGTGCGTTGGACCTTTGTAACCCGGGGTATAATCATATCCAGCTCTGCTGGGCGTTCGAAGCCTACTGCTCTGTCGCGTCCTCCTTCTGCTCCTCGCCGTCGGCATCGCCCTCTTCACCATCGTCGGACTCCGCCTTTTCCTTCGAAGGTTCCCAAGCCTCCTCGAGCTTCAGGCCAGCTCCTCTCCTGTACGTCGACCCTAACAGGTGTGATGTTGTAGTTCGATAATGGTCCAATTCTGGATCCGTTTCCGTCTTGTCGGGGGTATCATAGAGACCCATTCCGAACAGTATTTCCCCTTCCTCCTCTGGCTCTTCCAGTGGCTGATATGTTATGGACTCTTCTGAGGGCACCGTGGGTTCCGACTGAGGAATTGATTGGTAGTTATCTGGTGTTGATGGGGCAGTGCATGAACCGTGGTCGAACCCATGAGATGAAAACGAGTCCCAATCAAAGCCCGGTTGTCCTGTGTAGGACGGGAAAGGCTCAGTGCCAATCGGGCTCCCCTGGGTTGAATATGGCGTGGGAGTATACTGGGGTTGGGCACACCAAGCATCAACCGTTACGTATTGTGGTGGCAGTTGCTGGTGTGACGACGCCGCATAGGGTAGAGACAAAGGTGAATAGCTGGCCAGTGGCGACGTATATCCTGAAAATGCAGCGGGTGTAGGAGGGAATTGTTGATATGTCGAATACATATCCGCCTCAGGGTAGAACGCAGGTGTGGGGGGGATGTATTGCGACAAATCGAGGTGAGGGAGCTGTTGCGGCATAGATATTTGTGGTTGTTGGAACTGGGAACTGGGATGCCAGCTCACTGGCCGACTTGATCGTGTGACTGGATCTTGGAAATCTGCGTATGATGTTGTCTCTTGCATGTGTTGAAAAAGTGCGTGATCCAAAACTTGCTGCCGCCTTCTTGCGAGGCTGTTATCGTTCACTGTCGTTTTCCTCATCGCCACGGCCTGTGGACTGTTGTTGGCGCTGCTAGGCTTCACAACACGCATGGCGTTGGCAGGTCGGTAGTGGGACATCCGACGTGCCGAATCTGATAGTGCTATTTGCTTTGAGTATTCATCGAGAAGGTGTCCCGTGGAATATATTTGGTGACCGTTGTCTGGGAAGCCGACTCCCGTGAGGGAGTGCATCATCTTTAGAGTAGAGTTGAGAAAAGAGGAGATGGTTGTGGGTTATGCTGTTAGGCGGATGGCGGAAGGCTTATGGTCGTAATTGGGATATGGGAGTCGAGATGATTAAGTATAAGAGCTGTGTGAGATACGTGAGATGATCCACTCTTGAACCACTGATAGTCCACGAGTGTTTGCCGGTAAGAAACACAAGGCCTCGTCGAAAGGGCAAAGGGAGTTCCAATGTGGTCAGACATGCTGGCATACGGATTATATTGGGCGTTGGAGCCGAGAAACAACTAGGCGGTTTGGCATGTGTACATGGTGTGTGTGGTCTGCTAGCTTCGTCTGTATGTCGCTTGTATCTGCGTCATATGGTTCCGACAGGGATCCCACCTGTCCGGAAAGGAGGTTGTTCATTGTGTTGATAGCCGGGGACGATGGCAGCGTTGGCGTAGTCGTGTGGACCGGACCAGGTTGTAGAGTCTTTGACTTATGGCCGTCTGCAGTGATCTAATTAGGTGGGCGGTCAAAGGAACGGTTTCGAAAGTGGTCAAAGGGACAGAGGACACTAGGCGCTTTTGCGAGTACCCTTGGCGCCTCATCCTCTTGCCTCTTCCGTATGCAGCGAGCGGCGGATACTGGTGGAGAGCAGGGGGTGTTTGATGGGTACCTCACCGTACTACATGACAAGATTCATTATAAAATAAGCCGAGGTGTGTGTATCCACGCCTTCAGAGCTAGGGTCTCTCTGATTCGCTTCTTCTCTGGCACCTTGTAAGTGAGGGGCGTCGCAGCGGCAAGGTGGGCGTGTACAAAGCTCTGCCGGACCAAGAACATGAAGACTAAAACCCACGCACTGACGCGCGTAGAAACGCCGAGGCATGTACTTTTGGGGCCCAGGGGACTGTGGAAGCCCAGATATTCCACGCCCCGCCGTCGAAGATGCAATATGTTTGTGCTAACATAATAAGGCGGTACCGTCGGTAAGGTTACACCCACATGACAATCCAAGACTGGCGACTAGGAGGGACTGTGACAACCTTGCAACATAGGAAAGGCTTCCACCCTAGGGGGTCGGTGATATGGGCAGGACTGCTCGATAGTCGGTCCACTGACCACAACTGAATTCACCATGCACCCTCCAAGGGTCAGGTCAGATTGCATGCGCACACCCAGGCTCCACCAAGCTTGTGCGGGTCACAACGACCGCCAACCGCCTGCAAGCCCGCCCCTCGCCTTGTCTGTGTGGCCCATTAGCTATGAAAACGCTTGCCCGGGATGATGGAGAATTATTTTAAAAAAGGGATGAGGTTCCGTGAGACGTGTGGGGAGTGTGCGGAGATGGTTTGTCAACCAATCAGGCTGGAATGTCTTCTCATCTTCGGTGGGCTCCTGCATCTTGATTCCCGATCCTGGGTCAACAAGTAGATTTGTACCATGGCAGAACCCTCTCAACAGCCCGCATACTACCGCATACAAGACCTGTTTGCGACGACTCCGGCTCCGGCAAACGGGACGTCTACGCCATGGGCCACTACGACTGTACTTCAGAGCGTTTGATCACACATGGTGGTATAGCCATATGGGCGCCGCCACCTGTGACCTTTGGAAGTAACCCCATTCGGGCAACCATGAAGCATGCCTGGCTTTCCCTCGGCGCATTACGAGTTTGTGCTTCATTATCCTTATATTGCTGGTATACGAATAGGCATTCGGCCCCACGCACATATGATAGTGGAGAGAGTCGGTTCCTGTATGTGTATTCCTTACCGTCTTTGGGTAACGGTAAGAGGGAGGCATTCCTTCAAACCCTCTGGAAGGCAAGCGACAGCAAAAGCCCGCCGGGAGCTTGGCTGAAACCCGATGATTGCAGCCTGGGATTGGATTTGGATCAAAGCAGCCACACTCTCACAATCGAGTGCAGAAGCAATAGCAGACGTGCGACGACAACGCCTGAATCGGAATGGGAAGGTCGGCATCAGGCAAGCACTGGGAAATTTCACAGCGGTCCAGCCTCTCACCGTGGTGGCCCTAGTGTTGGAGAACTTCACATCTCAATCCAGTTGATACAGCCAACGAGAGTAGAGCATGCTCCCCACGCAAGCGTGGCAGTGTGGTATGGGGTACATACTTTACTCGTACTGTACAGCGCATTGTTATGGCTAGTAACTCCGTCGAGGGGTCCTGTCGAGTGCTCCTGTCGATATCTAGCAGGACTCTCCGCCAGGGCAGGGATGTCGCCAAAGACCCCGTACCCGTACGTGGTAGAGGCTAATTCTAATGTGGCAGGGTCACTAATCTTACAGCCCGCAGCCCACAGGTACAAAGCATCGAAAGGGTTGCATCCATCCATGCGGAGGATGATGGGCATTGCACATCGTATGCAACTAGCCTGGCTAGAGGCTACTGCGCGGCCTTGATAGCGTTAAATGCCAATCGGCTCGACCAGTTTCACAGTGGTGGATGACGACGAGTTTCCCTCCTAGCAATTTCCATGTCGCAGGCTTTTTCCAACAGGCCCGAAGCTCGCCTAAAGTCACACCCTGTGATGGAGTTACGAGTAACCTTACTGCTGGCCAGCGGCCACCAAAACTCGCCAAAGCGGTCCCCTGTGGCCCCATTGGGACGATCAATATCAGACGCCTTCTGTAGCTCATTATCCTTAGTCTCAAACCCTGTGCCGCAGTGTGCGCTTCTGTTAGTTCTGCAAAGAAAAAAACGACATTTCGTCGGCAGCTTCCCGGATGACTGCTAGATCCATTTTGTCGCAGCATCAGGTGGGGCGGACTAATTATTACGACGACCAAAGTCGCGAATACACAACAGCTGATGGTCGGTTGCACTTTGGCTGAGAAACCCCCCCTTGCCTGTATCCGGCGACACAGAACTAGCTTGATAATGAAGAGTTATCGGATAGAAGTATCGCAAATCATGAATAGAGACGGCCATCTTGCCATCCACCGTGATGACGATTTGCCTCGGAGCTTCCATGACTCCGCAAGCGTCGTCAAGGCATTTCACATCTGTTTGTGTCTCCGGTCGGGCCCCAATACTGTAACGATCCATGCGGTGTTGCTGAGCCACCGATCAGGATCTGCAGAGGTACTTGGGCGAGACAAGGTGATCCGAAGACAAAATATAACGAAACCGTCCATGCCTGGAACCCATTAAAGTTGACCAAAAAAAGCGACTCCGAGACGCAGGCGCAACTCACGATTCAACCGTCATCGACACGGTTCACTTGGAGAGGAAAGAGCCGAAACAAAAGCACCACCAACTTGCACTTGCCATGCCTGACCTGCAGGTCTTTGTCAGCGAGACATGCTCATATCTGCGCACAAGAATCCTACAGGTACCTAGCAGCCAGCGCCAGCCCGCATATCCCACGGACCGTGGAATTTTTAGACTCGGGTTGCTGATTCCGTTCCGGCTTTTGCTGCCAGACCTGGTACCCTACATCCCAGGTGACTTTTCCGTTCTGACCAACTTGCCCAACACCTCGTACCTATCCTGGTCAACTCTCGCCCCGTCGCCTGCGATCTTTTCTTCGAACAAGGTTGGGAGCCACGCGAGTCTTGCTGTTGTCACTCAGGGCCCACTGTAACTGCACTCCACCGGCCAACTACTTTACTTTTCTTTTTTGTTGTCGTCACAATGTGTAAGGTACAGACATTCCTGCTGACTGCTGGCACGGACTCGGTGGGGCTTCTCTTGGCTCACAGTCGTGTCGAGAAGCCGTCGGCGTAACTCGAAGCTTCCAAGTTTATTACATGGTGCACTAGAAAATGTCTTCAGGAGGTCAGGTCTAATTTTTCCTCGGTCAGTTGAGCTGCTACTGTGCCCCTCCTAAAACCCCCACCACACCATCATCGGCGGATCCAGAGCAGCAATCTTCAATCTGCCTGCTGCTCATCTACATGCCGAGTTGTGTTTTGTTGCAGGGGTTTCGATGGCCATGCGATTTGCCAACAGCGGTCTTGAGTCGCTGACGTGCACTTTGGTACACATGTGCGAAAGAGCCTCGTGAAACGAGGCCCTTGAGAGACGGTTATGCAAACGGACCGGACCACGCTGGATGAAGACGGAACCCGTGCACGGAACTACTGGAGACCAGGTGCTCTGCACAAATCTGTCGGCCTCTGCAAACTAAGCCACGAAGGCACTACCTTCACAGACGGGGCGGTCAAATCGAACAAGCACACGACCTCGAACCTTGACCGAAACGGCCATGATGATCACGGCATGAATTCATGACGCTTCTCAAGAACCGGCTAACTTGTCGGTGCTGCGACTAACCAAAGACGATGGGAGAAAAACGCTCAACTGTGATCCTGGTTGTTTTAGGCTACGGCTGACCTCCGCTAACCGCGTCGCTTCGCTACATCCAATATTCATATTCATCATGCCAAGCTTTCCTAGTCATTAAGGGCACACCCTTGATTGTATGCCACGCTAGACTGTCATGATCACCAGCATGATATCCCGCTAGGGAAGGTATTGGCTTAGAGATGATCAATGCAAACGCGGTCGAACGCCTACGTTCCCATCACGCTCGCGGGGAGGATCCGTTGTCACTCACAACCGGTGCCACTGCCATGGGTAAGGCATGGACCGAGCATGGCTCCCTCGTCTTCGCAGTGTGCTCGTAGCCGTTCAAATGGCGCTCTAGGCGTTTTAACAGGGGCTAAGAAGTACTCAGTACTGCTCTTTCAAATCTACCCAAAACGAACGCAAGGCTTTCCTTTTCGTTTGAAGGGAGCTGGCATAGTCAAAGATCATCCAAGCGACAGCTCACGATAATAGTCCCTGATAATAGTGTGCTGCAGGTCCCCTAGCTACTACTTGCTTTTCTACTCTCAAGTACAAAGTTCTAGTAACAATTATCTAAACATGGCTGAAATTGGGAGGTGAGCATGTCACCAAAATGCATACGCGGCATCCACACTAGACCTTACCGCGTTGAGTGTTCCGCAGGCTGTCCCTCTCAATTTCGCCAAATTTGCAACGCTAAGAGCCTAGCATGGCCATGCGGTTGATGATATTCTCCTCAAAGAATTCTCTGGAAGAAACTCTATCAGATTTGTACAGGGACCCAGCTCTGGAACCCCATGACTCGCGACCAATCTTGTTCGAGTGCACAACTCCAATCCCTGTAAGACAAGGCTTAGTTTAGGTCACCCCCACAAGATCACACAGAACTCGCCAGCAGCCGGCCGACTCGGGTGGACCGTGCGATATGCACAACAGAACGATCACCTACGAGGTACGTACCCCTTCCGACCTCCTTCCCTGTTGCCAACCACTCCAACCGACGTTATTCGAGCTTGTGGCTTCAGATACGGCACTGCTCTGTCCATCATACTAATCTAGCTAGACCTCCGCAGACTGCCAGGTCTCAGTGGCTGCTACCCGGATACACGAAACCCGCTGTCTTCCATTCTTTCGCGGCACTTGCGTTTCGATTAGAGTTCATAATTCTGACTCTTTTGACGTCCCTGACAAGCTGCATCGTAAACGAAATGTGACATGGATTGTGGCGCGACGTACGTCGTGAACAGTCCCTTGCCGCCTATTCGTGTTCGCGTGAAGTTGAACTCCGAAGCAAGCAATTTATGCATTGACGACTGCAGTGGGGATTCAGGACTCAAATGCACCAAAGCTTTTGAGTCCTGACAGGATTACGTTAATCTGGAACCCAAAAAAACGTAGTAGGTTGCAAAGAAGCTGAAGTTGCAGAGAAATGTTTGCATAATGACTGCAGTTCTATATCGATCAGGCGACAAACTCGAGATTGCCAACCCGGCTCATTGGACGTCTTCCCTGTAGCTGGTATGAAAAGCTACACCTCGCGCTCGGTCCGACCAATCATGCATCACAAACCTGCATTAGAGCGGTTTCGGCACGCCGACTCGAAGGGAAGTTATACCGTTACTAGTAAGAAGATCTCCGTTGCGATACATCTATTATCACACTGCAAGGATCGAAGATCATGGCCCCAGCTGTAGATGGCGGCCAATTCGACAGACTTGAAACCACCTTGGCGGATCGGCTTCGACATTGGACGGCCAATACTTCGTACTTGGTTCGCAGTACCTTGCCTTCCTTGCCTGCCATCCCATCCACCAATCACCTGGTACCGTAATACATCGGTCACTCCATCAGCAGCTCCCTAACTGGGAGTATCGTCCGTCAGCTTACGATGTACTCCGCAGCTGCCACCGCTACGCTGCTTGTGCACGAACATATGACTTGCCAACACCGAATCTTCTCCACGGCGGAGTAGGTTTGAACCATGTCGCCAGCCACGAGGCGCCGGACTCTCTACACGGACCACCCGTCGACCATGTCATGTCATTGGCCTTGAGGTGCCAAATGGCGACGAAAACACAGCCGGTTCTGAAATCCTAAAGGGATGCCCCAGGACTATCGTTTCCAAGGTGGCACGCCTCTGCACCTTTTATTGTGTCAAAGAGGGGACACGCACGCCGCAATACAGCACGACCTGACGGAACACACCACCCTATCCATCTATCCCGGGCCAAGGCTACTTATCTCCCCTCCTGGGATCGCGGCTCAACTTTCCTCACCTCTTCGGGCGATCCTTACTTGAAGCGTAGTACAGATACTGCGCCGCACTCACCGAGGCGCGAAGTGTTATTTATGTCACCACTTGGTATTCGCACGACCCCGTTATTGCATCGGCCATGGTATGTATTCGGATGCTGTTGGTAGCGCTACCGACACCCAAACGGCAAGTGACAAAGTGGACTTATTCAAGGACTCGATAGATTACCGGCACTTCAGCGACATAGATGGGTTGATCAAGGCGGCATGCATTCAGCGAGACGACCTTTGGCATTCGGCTGAGGCATTTTTGTACTCACTACTTCCTTCAATCTCTATCTTCTATCCGACCGGCAATTGGACAACAGCTCTACATATGGGATTGCGTCATGATCATGAACATCGTCAATGAGGGACCTTCTTCGTAGCCGTTCGGCCCAGTGTAATCCTGCTTCGCCCCACGAGGACAGCAATGAGGACAAGCTCTGGGCATCAAGTATTTGCGAGCCATAGCCCCCCAACCGTCCGAGGAACCGTCCGAGGGGCGATAGTGGAAGTGGACCGAAACTCCCCCTCGCATCAAGGAGCCACAAGCTGACAGACAAGGTCATGGCCTAGAACATCATGACGGGGTACCATCCATCAACTGGCGCTACCAGGTTATTAATGACTTCCTTCCGGCTTGTGGCATACAATGGCCCGGGTTCGGCGGATGGCATGACCTACTTAAGTGCGTGCATGGACGATGACAAGGAAGTGTGGCTGACAAGACGGCGCTGGTTACACGTCGTAGCTCGGCGGTCGGTTTGGTTTGTTTCGTCTATCACTACGTCTTACTAGAGTAGCATTCCTCGCCAGCCTCCAGCCGCACATTATTCTCAATTGGATTTGATCCACAGTCTCACCGCTCCTTCTGCCTGCCATTCACTCTGGCCCATTAATATTCTCCAGCGCACTAAGTATTGCAAACAGGCCTGACCGCGCCATCTGCGGGATCATCACCCGCCAACCTGACTTTCTAAGCCAGTCTCCTCTTCCCACTTCACGGTTGGGCTTCGTGTCAGTCAGTCACCATGGTATCGAGTCGACGAATATCCGCAAAGCAATCATACTGCGCCTATCCTGGCGCGACTGTGCAAGCTGGCAAGCAACTAGCAACGGAGTAGCCTGCCTGCCTGCCTATCACACGACCAAACACCGCTGCAACCCGTCCAGAGGTGGTTGTCATTTCTGATATACCGAGTTTTCGCCCTCGTCTAGACCCATCGCACATGCTCCGACGCCATCGAATCCCTCTCGTTGAACCTTGCATGTAGCAAGCTGCACCCCAAATTTGACTCTGGCCTCTGTATCCCAGTCATGCTGGTGACACAACAGCCCAAACAGCACACTGCCGATGAAGGTGTCGCCCGCGCCCACCGTGCTACAAACATCGGTTAGCGTGTCAAACTCATGTTACCTTTTTTGCATGAGGCTTTCAAGACAAACTCTCCCAGCTGGAGCTGGCCCGGGTCTGACATACTCAATTACATTGATAACCTGTCCTGGGAGTAGAGCAGGACAAGACACCAAGTGCCGGCTAGGAAGTGAAAGCGCTGAAGCACCATCCGATCCCCACGTTACTAGGAGGAGAGACCTGCAAGAGCATTCAGCCCATGCCACAAACACTTCTTGCATACGACTTACGCTTTATGGGTCACTTCGGATTGAACAATCAGGCATTCCGCAGCGTTGCGGTAGCCTTTACGCTGGATGATGAGAACGATCAGTCAGCACAACACTGCCGACCCTGTCGACTGACACACACGACCTGCACAACACACCTCAGCCCATGTCTTGGAATAAAAGACCACGTCCGCTTCTGCTGCCAATTGTTCCAGTCCCTCGCGCCCCGGCGTTTCGACCTCGACACTGATCTTGCATGCCGGGTAATAAAGTCGTAGATGTTGGATGCACATTAGCGTCGTCTCCGGAATCCGCCCCTAACCCCGCGCGTCTTAGTGAGTCTATAGTCTATTTCCTATTCATGAAGTCTTATCAATTAGCCAACATTGGACGGACGCACCTCAAAGTGCCACCACGTATCATCACCATCATCGCCGTCCACCACCAAACCGCTAGCCAAGTCGACGAATTCGTTCACCGTCATCTCCGGTAGGTCGTTGTAGTTGACGAGCGTGCGGGTCCCGCTGGCCTCGCTGCGGATGATGTAACTGCTGGCGGCATCGCTGTGCTGGCTGCGAAAGATGCACCTCGAAAAGTCAACGATGGATCGGGGCCCAAACGACGATAGGATCCTGGCCGTCGCCGGCGCTGCTTCCGAGGGTAGACAGGACACCAGGAAAGGCTGCACGTTGTGATTCGGCTGTTGGGCTAGGAGCTGCTGTAGAACTTCCAGGCTATTGGGGCAGTTGCCCCCTCGTCGCACGCTGAGACTCGTCGCTCGTAGTTTCAAATCTTCTTTTGGGAAAAAGGGGACGCTTTTCAAAACATGTGAGCATCACAGTGTGGAGTTGCGTCTCGCCGAGCCAGTACTTACCTCAGTATTGTGTCGAGGTAGCATGCACCTATGCAGATCAGTTTTGTCATCGCTGTGACTTAGTTGGTGCTCTGGATGTTCGACAATGCAACAATCCCCAGAGACCTAAACTTGGTGTAATGTTCGGAGCTTGATGCACTGGTTGATTTCGATGCGGCACGAGTACGCTGCTAGCTGAGGAATGTAAATTTCGTCTTGCATGCAACAGTTACGGATTTATGACGGGTGATCGTGGGACCGTGTCAGGTTGTCGAATGCGGAGAAAGGCACAACTGGATGGGTGCACATATCTCAGATGGGACCAACACTCATGTTCGACAGGATTAAAGATGGTGTACGGGAGAGTTTGAGCTTACCACGCACGTCAGGTGATTGTTTCTACTTGTGATGGCTGGGGATATGCACATGCCACCGGAAATTTAGGCCAACGTATCCATTCAAATTGGTGATAGTCAATCGTCCATAGATAAGATAGACGTATGAAATGTGTTAATATTGCCCTCTCAGAGAATACCGCATAGTATTTTCCACATGTCGTGGTTACTTTCCTTGGCAGGCCGCTTTCATCGATTGCATCGCCAGACATTTGGCTTGATGTTACGCTCGAGAGCACATGGAAGAAGAATACAATAGTTGGCGAGAAGTTCCGAAACTCTGTATGCGAAAGCCAACTTTGGTTGAGGTTCTTCGTTGCTCGTCATATCATGTGAATCATTACCCAAATCATACAAGTAGCGTTTTCTCGGAATGGAGGCATCTATTGCACTCGGAAATCGCGGGCCGTGGGGCCACGTTAGATCACCATCCTTCCACCGACCTTCCACCGACTTTCTACCGACCCGGAAAGGTAACGACTTGAATGAAAGAGGATATCATAGGGATTGAGCCTGGTTTGATGTTATATAAGTCTAAAGCTAGTCTGCGAGGTTTGTGGAGCTGTTCCGGTTTACGTGACATCGCCTTTGATTCCCTGATAACCTAACATGTCAACCTCCCAGACTGTCGTTGAAACTGTCCAGCTCGAACCCCAACCAGTCTCGAGAAATGGAAGGATTGCATCACCATCCGAAGCAGTCGCAGAAAGTACAGGCACTGCAGGCCGCGAATCCAGCTTGCCTGTCTTCAAGGTACTAGTCGCAGGATTCTCCTTCTTCTGTGCTGGACTCAATGATGGGACGCTGGGTCCATTGATTCCTTACATACGGTCCACGTTCCATACAGGAACAGGAGAGGTTGCCATCATGTAAGTAGCATCACTATATCAAATTATGCACGGAGAATAGCTTTAGTGATTATCCTGAAAACCAACCAACCTACTTAGATACGCAGCTACCTTCGCCGGCTGGCTCCTCGCCGCCGTCACGAATCTCATTCTCGCTGCTCACTTCACCTTGGGCCAACTTCTCATGACAGGCGCCATCTTGCAGCTCCTCTCGCAAAGCCTGCGCCCGTGGTGCCCTCTGCCAGTCTTCTGCTTGAGCTTCTTTCTTCAAGCCCTTGGCATGGCATACCAGGACGCGCACTCAAACACCTTCGTGAGCAGCATCAAGAATGTACCACATCGATGGCTCGGTTTTATCCACGCTTCTTACGCCCTGGGGACCCTCGTTGGGCCCTTAATCGCCACTGGCATCGCCAACATGCAGAGCTCGACTACAGACGAGGTGTGGAGGCGATCGTATTTTGTTCTCATTGGTATCGGGCTTCTGAACGTGGCAGGCGTCGCCGCTGCATTCAGGGACTGCGGAGAGGACAATAGGAGTGCGCACAGGAAGAATAAGGTCGCGTTCCAGGACATAGGTGAACTGCTGAGGACGAAGACTTTATGGCTACTTAGTCTCTTCTACTTCTTCGAGCTGGGCGCTGCGTTGACAACCGGTGGTTGGGTCGTCGAGTTCCTCTACACGGTTCGAGGGGGTGATCTATCCAAGATGGGGTACGTCCCGGCTGGCTACGCGGCTGGCCTACTTCTGGGGAGACTGCTGCTTGCGGAACCCACGTTTCGGTTTGGTGAGCAGAGAATGCTTCTCGTGTACAGTACTATCTGTGTTGGCTTGCAGCTCGTATTTTGGCTCCAACCTAATATCGTAGCTTCTGCCACGGCACTCAGTCTAATGGGATTCTTCTTTGGGCCATTCTTTGCTACCGTGAGCCGCTTTTCTATCTCATGACTTAATCAAATCACTAACTCATTTGGTCCCAGGGAATGTCTGTTGCTTCCAAAATATTTCCGAAGAAACATCAATCGGCCGCTATTGGTAAGACGCTATTTGCAACACATGGTGTTTCACGCCTAATCCCGTGTTCGCAGGGCTCATATTCGTGCTTGCTCAAGCTGGAGGCGCCATCTTCCCATCCATCACTGGCCTGATTGCTACCAGCCAGGCCGGTGTTGGCGTTCTGCAACCCGTGGTGCTGGCGCTTATTATCGCTGGGGGTGTATGTTGGTGGTTGGTTCCAAAGGTGCCAGATCACAGGGACTGAGATTGTTGTTATTTGAGCATCTCGCGGTATGGGCTGCGATGCAACATAGTGTAGCTGTTTCGGCACTGAGCGACATCCGGAATCATATGGCGCGCTTCGAGTCTATGGAAGTTGTGATGCGTAAATATATCTGACCATCTGTTGCAAAGAATGTACAACCTGTCGCGGCTCGTTCAACCCCGCCATTACTTGGCATTTGGGTAATCGGACAGCAGAGAGAACATTGGGGCCGTACAATTTCAGTCACACATTGAAGGTCGAGAAAATATTCATAGCACCATGCAGCCGTGTTATGTGTCTTTCGTGGTTGCGCGATTCGTCGAGGGCGATGGACAAATGGAGGAACCCCTGGCTGGAATCAATATTCAAGGTGTATTTATATTCACTTGTGGTCCCTTGCGAGTTGCTGCCAAGCAGTGGGATCTTGATGCTGGGCAACCTGCAGCTGCCTCGAGAACTTGGTGAACGATGGCTTGATGTAGCCCATACTTCTGTCATCGAAATGCGTCGTGTTGCATGTGCAGGAGTGGATGTCCCATCTGAGCAAGGGCCCATAGACCTTCTGCAGAGCTTGGCAAGATCGAGCCGCAATTGACATCGTATCGGGGCTAAGACGGACGAATGATATTATGTAATATCGTGGAGGTGATCCTCAACACCCAGTTGTCGCACGCCCCCAGAAGACGTGACGGACAAGGCAGACTTAAGATCGTTCACATCTCGTCGCAAGCCGGCGTGACAGCACATCGGGATGTCGATAAGTATTTCTTCCTCACCTCGTTCCACCAGGGACCGTAAGCAAGGAAAAAAGAAACAGAGGTTCTCTCGCGAGATGAGTGCCAAAAATTCTCTGCCAAGCTAGGCTCAACAGAAGCGGTCATTGTATAGTTTTCAACTAGCAAAAACGCAGTCTCAGGCGAACCTTCACTGACATGCGTAAAGCCCGTGCCTAGGGAGTTCGTTAGCCGTGATGCCCAAGTATGGGGGTCGGGATCAAGACTCACACTAAGATGAGAAAGGAAAAGGAAATCTGTTGGCAATTTTCGAAGGCCGCCTGGTTTTGTAGTTCAAAGTGGGGACTCTGGATTGCAGGGGTTAATCGGATAATCAATCTGCCGGACCTCCCGCCAGTGGAAGATTTCAGGCGGAGCGGGGTGCCAGGCCAGCCGGCGGGCAATCGCCCCACTTGAAACTCGAGCTCACGTCAACTGGCAACATTCCAACTTTCGCCCGGGGGAATTGCAGTACATACATTTCGAAGGCCGCGACAGGCATTTGATGATTTTCCGACGTACAAGCATTTATCTCAGTGTGAATCAATATTCTCATCGTGCCGCCAGTCATCTGCGCCGTCATAATAGCAGTTTGTTAACTGTTATCGCTTTCAACACGTCTACAAATCCAAATCGCCCATACACAACCGATGCGACCTTACTCGCGATAGACCGTTCTAGGGGCATTCAAATGATATGACTTCTTCGCAATGGGTGCCAGCGACTCCAAGCTAGTTTTCAAGAAGGGCATATTCAGGCTGTCAGAGGAGCGACACATCCCCGCCGATGATGCATACTGGACTTCGGTTTGTTGCCTTGCATTGTTCCCCAAAGCCAAAGCCACGTGTACTGACTCTGTCGTGTAGTTCTGGGAGCTCCCAGAGTCATCAGAGGATGTCTTCAGCCTGTTTTCGCCCTCCGATATCCGAAGAACCAGAGACAATGCCATAGAGAATCTAGAGACGCTAATACTCGCCGTGACATCCCGGCTATTCATACTGCGCCATCACCCATCGTTTCCTGACCCCGAACTTGCGCCCGAAAGAGATGCCCTCAATTGCATCAGAATACTGACTCGGATCTTGCCCTACATATATGAGGTCGATCCTCTCCAAGCCTGGGAGGAACGGTTCTTCTGGGGAGCGAGGAGGAAACGAACTAGACGCGCCGTCATTGCGAACGAGGTGCTCTTTGATGAAGCCCAACCAGATGAACCCGATGTAAAAGCATCGGCGGAAGAGTACGAGGACGCAAAGCCGTTGGCAGAGGAATTGATAGATACTCTGATCGATCTGTTGTTTTTCTCGGATCTGACGGGTCCGAAACAACCCCATGGAAATCCGAAGGTCACCTACGCAATTTGGCAGAGTGGCGTTGGCTGCAATACAGCAGTCGCAACAACGAAGGAATATGAAAGCAACCGTTGCGAGATACTGCGCTTGCTCCTGACCTTGGCCGGTCATAGCATGTATATGTCTCCTAATGTACTGCCAACCAGGGGGACCAGGGCTCTGACGTATATTTGCACATGCTCGGACAAGCAGGTAGTACTCTCGGTACTCTGCTCCTTGCTCAATACGGTATGTTTAGTTGAGATGTCGTTGGTTCAAGTGGGCGCTAACTGTTGCAGACCCTTAAATACAACCCGGCGACCTGGAGAGTTCCGTACAATACGTTGGTATTCAAAGATCCCAAGGAAATTCTGGTTACGTACACGTTACAATTCCTGCTGGTGACCGTACTTTACCCTATTCCAGAGTCAATTTCGGGTTTTGCGCCAAAGAACTTTTACCGCCATTTTCTGGGAAGACTACACCGGCCCCAAGACTTCCAGTTCATCGTCGATGGTATGACCCGAATATTGAACCAGCCATTCCAGGCCAACACGTCATATATACCCGGTACACAGACGACGACAAAGTTCTCGCCTGAGATCATTATGCTCTTCTGGGAAATAACCCAGTGCAACAAGAGGTTCAGGTCCTACATGATTGACACTGAGAGGGCCCACGACTTTGTCATTCTTATTTTGTTTTACGCAACAGAGTACAAGGAAGACGCATCCAAGCAAGGCGTTGTGCGGATGTGTGTCTTCTTGTTGCAAACGCTGAGTGTTGAAAAGAAGTTTGGAGTCAACTTAAACAAGAACTTCGACGCGCAGGAAACTTTGCCCCAGGTCATCAGGATACCGGGTTTCAAAGGCACCTATGCCGATTTCTTGATTCAGGTGCGTGTTTATGACCTCCCACCCTCTCCATATAGGTATGGATAACTAAATCACTTACAGTCGATATACAACCTCATCGCTACCAGTCAAGGCAAATTGTCTGCCATCTATCCAGCACTACTCGCTGTGATTAACAACATCGCAGCCTACCTCGAAGGCATTAACGGAACGACCTGTTCCAGGTTAATGCAGCTCTTCACATCAATGTCGTCTCCTTCGTTCCTCCTGGCCAACGAGTCCAACCATGATCTGTTGAGTTCGCTTCTCGAGTCAATGAATGCCATCATTGAACACCAATACAAGAGTCAGCATACCCACTTCAGCACGGCATTACCCCAACAGCTAACCTCGTAACAGAGAATGCCAATTTCATGTATTCCATCTTGAAGAACAATAAACGCTTCGAGGCTCTGCGATCATTCACGCTGGAAAGTGGACAGGAGGAGATAGAGCGACGGAATCGTCGGAGGAAGGAATCCGGTCAACCCATCGATCCTTTTGACACGAGCTCGAGAAGCTCTGTAGACAGTTTACGAAGTCCTACCTCAACGCAACCGAGGACTTCGACTTTGAGCGACGTGCCCGAAGAAGACGGCACTTTTGCAATAGGGGACGATGACGAGGATAGTGATGAAGATGAACGACCAACACCAGCACAATCGAGCCCCAGCGAGAACCCCTCTCGTGCTTCGTCAGTAGTCGATATAGACGATGCAGTGCCGACCCAACTCAGGGGCATGTCGGAGAAGGCTAGGGGAAAGATGCCCGCAGGGACCGCGACCTTTTCTAGGCAAAATAGCACCACAAGTCTGAGTAGCTACTCGGCAGCTGGGCAGTCGGCAATGGGCGTTTTTGAGCCTTCCACACATTGGATTGAGAGCTGGCTTCCAGAACTGCCTCTGCACACGGTTCTCACGGTAATTCAGCAGCTGACAGCTCTCATCACGAGACAGGGGTTGAGCGCTGATGCAACAGCATCTACGACCCTGAAAATTATACAAAATGTGGATTTGGTCGGTATCGAGCCATCGGCGGTGCGGGTCCACTCGTTCGAGTGGTCGCCATTAGCATTGGGATGGTACGAGTCGCTGGTCTGGAGCTTCGTGTTTGCGAGCGAGATGCAGGTCGCCAAGGGTACAGTAGGCATCTGGAACGGGACCTCGATCAAGCTATTCAAGGTGCAAGAAACAGCAGCGGAGGGTCCAACACTAACTTCGCCCCGTGGAGCTGTTGATGCGGTTGGTAGTAATATCGTATCGAGAATTGGGTCGATGAATTTAAGAGGGGTGTCCGGCGCTCCTGGTACCTCAGGCTCGACCGGGAGCCTAGCGCTGCAAAGAAGCAGCACGAGTTAGTGCGGATTGTCATGTTGCGTCTTTGGATTGTGGTTGGAAGACTTAAGCTGGAGTCGGGCACAGCGACGGAGCATAAAGTCACTTGTAAATTGAGGCTTGACATGACACGGTAGCGTCCTTGGTGAAGTAGGTAGGCCGGGGTTGTTGGAGTTCTTGTTTGACTGACAGAAGCCTGGGACGAGTGTATTTGGGCCAAGACAGCATTGCGCATCTTTTCGCTCGTTTGTAGACGATGTTCGTATAGCCAGGCTATCATGACAGATGAAAGTCGTTTCGATATGGTTGTCCGGCGGCAGAGCCTCCCCTAATAATAGTCCGTGGCTGATTGATAGGCATTATGATGCCCCAGCCTCAATTTTAGTTGCAGCTCCTATCAACTCCCTTCGCAACGGACCCATATTCCACATGAACTCAATGATCCTGTCGCGGGCGTAGTCCCAGCCCAAGCTATACCTAAGCCAACTTAGCAATGATGTACCGCCAATCCACATAGCAGTCGTCGGCCACCAGGTCGGCGCATGGCCCGCCACATCCCTGGTGTAGTCTTCAGCGATAACATGCTGCGCCTTCCTAGCCCGATGGCCAGCGACGTTGCACTCGATTGTGGCAGAGGCCAGCAGATACACACTGGTCTCGGGTAGCTTCTACCCCTTGGCATTGGCGTGAAAATGGGTCTGAACGCCACCCGGGACGATGTGCGGGAGCTCGATGCTCAAGGGCCGCAGCTCGAGGCGGAGGGTGTCGTTCAGAGAGAACAGGGTGCCTTTATTTGTGTTGTCTTAGGGTAGTTTTAGTTTATGTCTCGTGAAACAAAGCTTCTGGGGTCTACTTACAGGTGGTAGAGACCAGAAAAGACGTGCAGATCCCCTGCCATGGGACGCTCCTCCGCAACACGACGGACCCGATATTGACCGCCCGCGCCTTTCTCCTTTTCCACCCATTCACGTCTTCGCTTTCCACGGCAACGCTCACCAGCAACGGCGCGAACCCCTGCATCACCGCCAGCACGCCCCAGAGATTCACCTCGAACAGCAGCCGTGCCTCGTCCAGGTCTGGTAGCCGCCGGCGGCATTGTTCACTAGAATGTCCAACGCTGCGCCTGTGCGCTCCGACACCGCCTCCACGGCTTTCTGGATGGAGATTGGGCCAGTCGCGTCGAGTTGCAGTCTTCTATGCCCAAGTCGACGAACGAGGTGTTGGGGTTAGTGAGGTCCCGGGCCGCAATGGCGGAATTCAGCCGCTGGGGCGGAGCCGATGCCGTTTGGCGGCTATGGCTAAAATGAGTTTCAAGCCCAGTATGAATTACGCCATGTCGTTCGTTCACATGCTCAACACCTGGACCATGTTTGTGCTGGGTGGCGCTCAAGTAGTGTCAATAAGAACGTTACGAGGTTTGTACCGTGGGTGTGCCCTTCTCCATTATCGGAAGGGCTAAGGTAAGTTGTTTGCCATGCTGAGTATGCTCTCAGGCAGATGACCAGATACGTGGTGGATGCACATTGAACTATCATGCAGTTGGGGAACGTCTCGGGGACAGACTGCATAATTGCGTTACCACTTACACGATAATAGGCTGATGAGTTTGGGACTGGCAAGTCCCGGCTACACCAGATGCTAGCCACTCTTGTTCATTGGTTACCAGGTAAGGCTGAGTTATGTGATTCGTTCACAGCTGACCAATCTCAAGTTGAATACCAAGTTACCTGGACTTAGGGATTGCACGGTTTCCCAATGCGAGGAGCTGCTTGCTGTGTGCCTGTATCAGGGCCGACATTACCTTGGATATGCAGCTCAAGTCAAGAATTAGGTCTCGACCACAGCGTAAGCAGACAAGCGTTGCTGCATGATCACGTCTTGATACCAGCGAAGCTGTTGATGCTGCCATCGAGGCATCGAGGTGTGGGTGTTCTCCCAATCAACGCCTCGCTTGCCATGTCCTTCCCGATTTGAATACTCCAGGACACCATTTGTCGGTGAGCCACAGAACTTACGGTGACCGGCAAGCCATCCTTGTAGATCATTTCCGAGAAAAGGGGATGCCACGTATGCACCGCCACCTCTTCCCAGGTCTGCAAGGATCTTAATGGGGTCGAGACCAGCCAAGCCGGGTTGAATCTTGATTCCGTCACTACACTATACCTTGTGCAGTATAGTGGCACTCGCCACACTTGACTGTTGTCACCCAAGCCACAGAACCCTTAAAACCTGAGATAATTTACTGTCGGATAGGCGGCATGGGTAATATTGAGTCGCTAATTCTCCTGGTCTTTGTCTTTGCTCTCGCGTGTTTGCTTGTCGATAATCTTGTTGTTCAGCGCGAGGTTTTATGTTGTGAATTGCTTCGATTGCCTCGCCCTTTCTATGTAATAGTAACCATGGCTTCTGCAGCGGCGGAACTAGCCGCGACCAACGACGAGGTCAAGCCTTACCGGATGCATGTGAGTTGTTTCCATTCCAGCCACGCCTAACCGGTTGATCGCGTCGGGGTGTCACCAAACCTTGTGGCTGACGCGCCGCTTAGGTCTCGTCGCGATATTTGGACCTCACCAAGCAGAAGCTCGAAATTACCCGGCTGCCTCACGAGGATTCGCAACCCAGGTCGAAGGACTGGTGGGAGCCGAAAGGTGAAGTTGAGCCCCTGATAGACTTTTGGTAAGTCCAATCAAATGGTATGATGAGACGAGGTACTGACGTGTCCACAGGCTTGAGCAATACTCATGGCGGGCGCAAGAGGAAGCGCTCAACGACGAGCTGCCCCAATTTCGCACCGCGTTCACAATTGCGGGAGCTGAGGCTCCAGTCCGTATTCATTTTGTCCATATACGTTCATCTCACTCCTCTGCCGTTCCTCTGCTATTGATACCCCCATTCCCTTTCACCAGCCTATCCTTCGGCCATCTCGTCAGGACCTTCACGGACCCTGAAGATGCGGCCGCCGACCAGCCCTTTCATCTGATCATCCCGTCCCTCCCTGGGCTTGCGTTCAGCGATGCGCTGCCCAATAATACGTCCGTCATCTCCACCTCGGCAGAAATACTTAATGCATTAATGAGCCGGCTGGATTATCCCCATTACCTGGTCACCAATGCGGGATCCGGTTCCGCCTCGCCAGCAGAGATTGACTGGAAACTGGTCCATTACCTTGCAAGTCAGTACTCGAACACTTGTCTCGGGACTCATTTCATCTCGCCGCCACTCGCCGAACCAAAGCTACGGGAGGCGCCGATGGAGTGGGCGAAATGGTCGATAGCAAGCTTCTTCCACGCCCCTATTCTCGGTTACCGCAGCGAGGATTTCTCGGCGCTGAAACGGAGCCGTCTGGTCGAGAAGTCTAGGAAGTCGCCCACGCCTTCGCAATTCGGCTTGAATCAACTTGGTCTCGGAGAGCCCAATACTCTCGCTTACGCGCTTTGCGATTCTCCAACCGGACTTCTGGTGTTTGCGCTCAAGAGTTTACAGTTGATCGGCCCGAAAAAGAAGTTCACCCCGACTGAAATCATCAACTTCACGCAGCTTTCTTGGCTGCCTGGACCCGAGGCAGCGATGCGGTTCTGGGCACACTGTGTGCAACACCCGGAGCCGGCGGCCAAGAAAATGACCCGGAAACCCAAAGTCGCCATCACAGTGTTCCTTCGAGATGAGACTGAGACGGAAATTCGGCCTGGGGCTCCGGCGCCGGCTCAACAAGATGTGCAGGCCGACCATGTGGCGGCCCAGACTCCTTTGAAGGTCGAGGACAAAGACGGCTACGCTTGTCCCAGCTGGGCAAACGCGAAGTACCATGTTGTGTATACGCATCGAGCGAGCGGCAAGTCGGGATTGCTGGCCTGGGAAAGACCTGGACTCATCGCAGCGGGCGTGAGGGGGCTCGCCAAAGAGGTGCTGCGTTTAGACCCGAGGCTCAAACCAGCCCCGGCTCCATCTACAGCGCCATTAGAGCAAGTAGTGTCCGACGATGGTGAAGCTGCAGCTCGAAATGGAGATGCTCAAAACACCGTGGCCGCACTGGGAGCTCTGGCTTTGCAAACCCCAACGCCAGCTGCCAGGGCAAACTCCCAAACGTCGGCGAGGAAAGGGGCCGATGGGCTCCTGGCACCCATCACGGAGGAGCGGGGACACCCTCAGCGCGAGATTAGTGAGGAGACTAGAGTCGAGTCGGATTCGGAGAACAGGGGGAAGTTGTACACGGAGAAGAGCGATGATACCTTGGCTTCGGTGAGCCCGAACGCGATTCCGGTTGTGACGCCGCCGCCGGCGAAGGCGCCTTGAGCTTGGATGATACCATTTGTTATTATGTGGATAATGAGGATCGGGCCCATGGGCTCTGTGGCGCTTCCTATATATGTGATGTGGACGAGGGTGGTAAAGGTCGTATATCCAATAATCTGGGATATTGTGACCCGTGTTATCGATTACAGTCGGCATTGCGCTCCATGGGCAGGCACCCTCTTCCAACAGATCTTGGGGGCGTGCTTCTAAATCATACTCACAACCAGACCAGAAATACCGAGCGTTGCCTAGCCTGAGCCCCGGGTGCGTCGTCAAGTCTATGACGACGAGGGAAGTAGGGAAGTCGCCCCATAAACACAGTTCATACGGTTCACCCCTGCGCGGTGAAAGGAGCTCAACAGCTGGTGTGGTACTGGACGATGTTAGTGATAACCCCCCAAAGACAAAGCTCCTTCTGGTGTGTTGTGCGTCACGAGAACAGAGCCGCTTTCTGGCATGAGTTGCAGGTTCCTATGACGAGCAACGACGTTGAAAGCTTTGCGGGTACAGCCAGAACCGACATCTAGAATAGCCCTCCCGTGGCAGGTTCACCGAGTATCACATCTGGAAGGTTGCCCGCTCGCTGAACATAGTCGGTCGGTGCTGATGCCGGCTTCATTCACTTCCTGGACACGGAAGAGTAGCCCCCCGCTGACGTAGGGTTTCAGCCAACAGCGTTACCGGAAGATTGGCTATAATCATGCTGCGATGCTGGATGACTTGGTCGGAATGGAGATGGGAGAACAGTTGCGCTTGGGTCTGACGAGTTTGGAGACGATTGAAACCCGCCGCCTGCGCCGCTCCCCTCCAACCAGGCAACGAATATCGATGATGGGCTGGTGCACACCCCTGAAGAGGTGGGAATCGTTCTCCTTCCCGACCGCTGGTTGCCACGGAACCCCCTGCTTACTCAATCAACGTACGAAGAAAGAAGAAAAAAACGAAAATAAAGGAAAAAATCAAGCCGACCTCAAACATGCGTTGATATTTCATCACGGCTCTTGGTAGTTATGAATATTAGGACTCCTCACATCTCAGATATAACGCGTTCAATCATAAACTACCAAGACCGCATATACAAGTATCAGACCAGGAAAAACCGTAGAGAGATTCCATGTTTGGAGGCAAAGAAGGGTATTCGTTCAAGCCAGCCTCCTAATCTCAACGCAAACTCCATATCCCGACGCCAACGCAACAGATCTATGCAACCATACCCATCCCGTGGTGCCTTTATCCTCCCAAACAAATCCTGCCACCTAATAATTCAACAACCCATTCTCCACCATGTCCAAAAATCTATCCCTCGGCTCCTTAAAAACATACTTCTCCCCCCTAACAACACGATCGACCTCCTCCCTCACAAACGGGTACACATCCTTCCAGGCATTCCGCCCCATCCAACAGTCCAAATGTCCATAATCGGGCACCACCCTCCTCTTATACTGCAGCCCCTCTCCATCATGCAAATCCCGCGTTCCAAACGCATCGCACAGCTTCTCGTACGTCTTCTCGGTACTCGCGGGGCTCAACACGGCGTTGTCGCGTCCTACGAATAAGAGGAACGGGATGCCCCTCAGCCTCAGAATATTCTCCCGCGTATCAAGGCGCTCGCACAGCGGGGTATTAGACATGACGCCCCCCTCGACCCCCTGCTTCATGAGCAAATGCAGCAGCGTCATATTGACGCCGCCGAAGAAACGGTCGATCTGGCGATGCGTAGCCTCGTTGAGGTTGTGATGATTCCAGCACCTTCCAAACACCAGCGCAGTGCGGTGACAACTCGCGTTATTGCAGAGCTCCTTCCGCTCATCAGGCATAAAGCGTAGCATCTCATTAAACGCCTTCTGGACAAAACTGTCGTCCGGTCCCGTACTGCAGCTGAACCAGGACCCCGCGACGGCCTTGTAGGCGCGGTCGAGCGGGACGGGCGCCGCCATGGCCTTGATGAGGTTCATGGTGTTCCACATGGGGTTCATGAAGACCTGGCTGCAGGTCACGCCCGAGATCCAATCGGTGGGGATGGTGCCATCGAGAAGGCCGGTCGAGAGCGCCACGCTGCCCATGCAGTGCGCGATGGTGTAGATGGGCTTCGTGTCGTACTCTTTGCGAATCGTCTCGAGACACGCCTTGATGTCGAGACGCGCGTCGAAGGTCGTCCAGTCTTTCTGCGCGGCCATGACCATGCCGATGCGGTGCACTGTGATGAAGACGCGGTATCCCGCTCGGGTGAAGTAGTTGACCGCATTGTACCGGATGGTTGGCAGGGCGTAAATCTGGTGGTCTACGGCTGCTCCCGGGACCATGAAGAGGTTCTTGGCCTCTCCGTCGACGATGTGAGTAGGCTCCCACATGTGCATTTTGGAAATGCAACCGTCCTCGGCTTCGATGGTCCAAGTAGCACTGGGCGGGGTGTCGTTGACGTAGCCCTTGTAGCTTTGAGTCGGGTACTGCAACGGCGTAAGGGGCGCCAGGAACAGCGACATCGACTTGCGGGTGAAGTAGGTCAAGAAGCTCGTCGCGCTCACTACCTTTTTTAGGAGGCTGCTGCCCGTCGGCGTGACCGTCAGCATCTGACTGGCAAAGTCTGCCGGTTGAATCTTCATGATGCCCTTGGCGATGATTTTACCCCTGGCTCCAAGATCATCCTCGGCCTCGTCTTCGTCGTACTCGTTGTCGACGTAAGGCTCCGTGATGGTGACGTATAGAGTGCTAGTAGCACGCCAGAACTGCATGGGCGACAGTGCCACAGAAGAGTCGACAACCTTGTAGCCACGGAAGCGAAGTAGCCTGCCGTCGACCCCGCGCATGTGGAAATTGTAGATCAGATTCCTGGTACCCGGCGCCTTGAGGTCCTGTCTGAAGAGGTTGAAGTCGCCCCGTTGCACCATGAAGGGAGATCCTGGGATGGTCGGGCAAGAAAAGGTGCCGGTAAGCATCGCCCGATGTTCGGGATCGTTTACAACAGACCGAGTGTTGAAGGACTGCACGCTGAGGAAGAACCGGGCCGACTCGCAACGAGATTCGGCCATCCTAGCAGCCAGCTCGTAAGTTTGTCGGCAGTCCCGCTTCAGGCCTTCGTCGCGATGAATGAAGCCCGACATGACCTCGGTGAAGCCAAAGCCACCGTCTTTCAGGCGCTCAGCTGTGTTGATGACTGTCTTGGCACTAGAAATGCTCATGCTCTCCTCTCTATCGTCCTCGTCGTCGAACCATCTCCGGCTGTGATGGGAATATTGAGGAGACCCAAAGAGATCGAGGATCCCGTTCTTACGGGTGCTGATTCGCAACCGTTCCCGCTTAGCATAAACGTCAAGGGATCGTTCTGCGAGGGCCGTAATGGTTGCGAGTGGGTTGGCACCAAGCGCAGCAGGGATCACTGCGCCGTCGGTAACAATAAGACCTCGGTGGGTCTCTCTGCCCTCCCCAGCGAATACTTCGCCAAAGTGGTTGGTGGCACCACTCTTACCAGTGCCATCTGAAGACATGCAAGCACCACCGATCGGGTGAACCGTGATTTGCTGCTCTTTCATGAGGGAATAGAAAGGGTTCTGGACAAAAGTTCCGCCTACAGCGCGAGTCGCCTTTCCCAGAATATCGTTCAAGTACTTGACATGGTCGCTACGACCAACGCCAAGGAACTCCAGAACGGGCTTGTCTTCTTTGAGCGTCAGGATGGCCTGGTTGCTATCGTGTGACATAACGAGGAACACTTGCGACCTCTCGATAGCGCCCTGGCGGAAATAAGGGCCGAGGAAGAGACTGCCCGCCCGGGCCAGATTGGCTCGGAACTGTTCGATTAGGGACTCGCCCTGGGGCGCAACGCTACCGGGCAGGAGTTCAAGCATGGCCTGAAGGAAGGGCGCCAAGGCCTTGGGGACGGTGCCCTCTTCAATGACGTATCCGTCCAGAGGATTTTCGTGACCCTCTCTGTTGTCAATGATGCCGGTGATACAAGGTCCGACTGGGTGGTAAGGGGAAGGGAAAGGACTTCCTACGGCGTTCACTTCGTGGTTCGTGTTATATCTGAAATGCATTAGTTATAATTCCAGATCAGGTAAACGAGGTGTAATTACCCGAATGCCAACATGTCACCGTTGCCACTCATGTTCTGGCCGACTTGTTCACTCATGTCCAATCCCATCTCCTTGCTCCTCAGCAGGATCTCAGTCGTGCCAATCGCACCGGCCCCGAGGAAGACGGCTTTCTTGGCGTGCACCCACATTAGATCGCCGTGGAGGTTAGCCTTGAAGTGCCCTCGGTTTCTCCCATGCCAAGCGAAGTAGACGATGTACCCCTCTCGATCTGGAGCCTTGGTGATGTACCGTACTTCAGACTCACAGAACATCTCGGCACCCCAATTCCACGCATCGGCCAAGTAGGTGACCAGAGTGGTGTTCTTGGATCCGTCGTTCAGTCCTGTGGCGTCTTGACCCGTAAGCGCCGAAGGGGCCATCTCGACACCACAACTGTTTGGCCCATTGTGGAAGCGTGTCGTCTGATGCACTCTCCTGAATTTCTTGCCCATGTTCAAGTGGTTTGCTTGCTTTTCAAGCAGATCCAATTTGGGGAGATCGGGCCATTCTTTCGGGTACTGCTTTGGCTCGAGCACCTCTTCGACCTTTTCAAAGTCTGGTTGAAGAGACAAGTCAGCATGGAGCGGGAAGTTCTGCAGGCTTTGCTGGTGAAGTGATTGTGCAACTTACACTGGTCCAAGCTGCTTGGATCATTCCTGATCTCTTCGGGCCACATTTCCATGGACAGCGTCGCCTTGTCGGCTCGTAAATATACATTTGCGTTCATCAAACTAGTCCCACCAAGTCCTGTCGATAATCAGTTTGCAAATCGAGATCTATACAGGGACGACAACACTCACCATTGGCAACGATGGCATTCTGGCCGTTGCCGAATATGATATGGTACATGCCCGTCGGGTCACCGCCGTTCACGATCTTCTTGGGCAGCCAGCCCGGGGCAAACTCGCCCGAGTAATGGACCTGGTCCAGCGCATCGCCCATATCACTCGGGTACTCGCCGGGCCAGCGCTCCTTCCCGCGTTCCAGCAGACAGACGGATTCTCCGGCGCGGGCCATGCGGGATGCGGCAACACCGCCGCCATAGCCGGAGCCGATAACAACGCAGTCATACGAACTACGCATTAGCTCCGTCGGCTTCGAGATGCGCGGGAAGGCGTTGGTACCCTTGGCGTCATCACCCCACGATCGTATTCTCGCATGGATTCGAGACGGTCCTGCGCTGTCGTTTTCATGGACACCGAAGGACTGAATGCGATGAGAGCCTTTCTCGATGAAGAGCTCCGGGAGCGGCGACGGCACAGGGGTAGGGATACCATTGGCGTGGCTCGTCGTTGCACCACTACCATTGAAGGGGTCATGGAAAGCTACAGCCTTGGCTGCCTGGACTGGTTGGCTCGGTGGCCTTTCCGCAGAGTTGCCATTGGTGTGGGTGGCCATATTTCTGGCTCTGTTCATTGGTGCCGGCGCTGGGGTTTTCGCCGTGTCTGAACTGGGAGCCATACTTTGGATTCGACTGGACCGAGAAGCTAGACCCAGTGTCGGTTCAACTACCAATTTTGGGCAGCCGGGTTGAGGCTCTCCACCGCAACTCGAAACGAGAAAACAATATTGGGCGATTATATGAATGAAACAGCTATAGACAAGAGCAGCGGGTTCGTGGCTGATATTCAGGATTCAAAGTATAGTCGCGGGAAGGAAGTATAAGCAACGGCCAGAGGAGAATCGTGGACAACTACCGATTATCACAAGCCCCGTGGATATTGGTGGCTTCATATATGTGTCGACATTGGTTCGCATCCCACAACTAGGCACGGCCATGTGCGTCGGGGCATGTATGACGGAGGGACCCCCCTTCCCAACGGCATGAACGAACTACAGTTGTCATGTTGTCGTTCCTCGACGACTAGAGCGAGGTACCAGAAGGCGGCGCAGTGTAAGCCCGCATACATTAGTAACCAGAGCTGAGGCAGGGCGGGGGAAATGGTATGAAGATCGTCGCCATAATTGGCCCACTCTGCCATATCTATTCCTCAAAATATTCGCGTGCTGAAAATGGGCAGCGTGGACGGTCCAATGGCGACCCAAACACCCCGTACTCGACCACCTGCAAGCCAGTCAAGTCCAGCCAAGATGACCCGCTGGATCGGGCTGAAAGCAGAACAGCTATGCAGACACGGGCGAGACTAACCAAAAGAACATTAGCCGAGGGGGTCTATCGATCGACGTCGACATCAAGATGCCGACGGACGAAGATGAGCGGATGGAGGATTGAACCCCCTGTGCCCACTGCGTATGACTGCTCGGCACTGGCAGGGCACACAGCCCCGGATCGATAACGGCCATGAAATGGAGTCCTGGCCGCCCTATCATTAACTTTTTCTTTCCATAGACTCGAACGTTACTTCTTCGGAATTCGACCGTGACCTCGTGGAGGGCGTACAAGCTGGCTGCAGTCCTGAGACAGTCGACTCCTGCGAGTTTAGACTTGACACTGACCGCTCCCGAGGTCGAACGACGAGTGAATAAATATTCTTGGACGGGGCCTTTGTCCAGGCGCCCCGGCCCACGGGAACTAACGACAAGTTCCGCGCAATTGACAGGGGCCCTTCGAAATGTGGCTTTTTTCTTCTCGTCTTTGAGAAATGTCGATGCGTGCGTAACGTTGATTGGCGCAGGAGCGACGAAGAGTGCGATAGGCGCCAAACCTTACTCAATGTGACAGGCCGGTTCGATAAGTCATCATTGTCCGATCCATCGGTTGCTACACCCCCAGAGATCCTTTTCCGCCTTACTTGCAGCATAGTGCAGCCGGGTTGGAAGGAAGAGGCGGCCTTGTCCTCAACCAGGCTGTGCTGCTCACACCGTAGCAAGATGCGCGACACCCCGGTATTGCCTATCACCGGCGATGCCGTCTTTGTTCGAGTCCAGTCTGTCCATTCGAGCTGGATCTCGCACTTGCATGCCGTTGAGAGGCCGTGAGGCGCTGCTCCGTCGCTCCAATCTCGGTCGCAGGTTGCAGATGCTATCTGCGAGTCGACGGCACAGGATGTATGTCATCGCGATCACAACGTCAGCTCAATCGCTGGGCGCACACCGAATGGCCTCGGCCATCTCGAGGTCCGGCACAATTCTCCAGTCGTTCGTCGAGTCAAGACGAGACGGACAAGTGCCATAAGGCTGATTTTTCGGGTATGAGTCAGACCAGCTCTGTCGGTCCGTCTTTGAGCTACAGCGAGTGGGATGTTTGTGATACGAGACGGATCGGGGCAACGGTATCATGTCAGAACTTCGACCAGATGCCTCCCGAAGACAAAATTTCCCCACGACATGTCCTGTCCCTCCGCCAGTTCGTCGGCTACATTTTACCAATGTGCAAACGAATTAACTGATTGCAACTTGTGCCGGGGTTGCGTAACAGCTGTTAGCTTTCAATATTTGTTTCTGGCTGCAGATGTTAAATGAAAAACTCCCCATAAGTGACTTCTAGCACTCCGGTTGGTGAGGAGATTTGGAAAGAAACCCCCGCTCTCTCTCTCTCTCTCTCACACACACTCTCTTTATTAAGAAACCTACCTTAGGTAAGTAGGCGAAGTCTAGCAGCAACTGATATTAATATGAAGCCCGATCTAGCTGCTTATTGGCTTTCCTATGAAGGCTGACCTTGTCGGTGTGACATTGCCTATCCGACTTCCCTAATAGCGCCTCCATCTAAAGTCTGCAAGTGAAAAAAGCCAATTGCGTTGCAGCATTGAGCATTGGCATCATGGTAATCCCTATTCGACGCAGCTAAAAAAATACCGCCTAATGAATTCTATCTTTGGGAACCCAATTCGAGCATTGCATATCAATTTTTGGCTCGCAAGATGCGGGCAATGTGTCAGCTCCGCAGCCGCCGCTTGGTGGTGTGTAAGACTCGGCTCTTCTCCAACTTGGAGGAATGAACAAGATGCCGTCCCTCCACAAAGTCTTGCCCTAGGAACTTTCCGAAGCTGACACAGTGGCTCAGATGCACATGGCATCGTACCGGCATCACATCAGCATCATCCAAAACTGGCAATGTCGAAAACTTCTTAATGCGCAATTCTCCTTGTTGCTCTCATGGTTCGTTTACATTCAGTCGCTGTGAATACATGGTAAGGTAATAACTCGATGGCGTATCTACGACGTACGAAATATTGTTGCCAGTGATCGCTGTACACCCCAACCCCAGCCCAAAGAAGAGGACAGTTACTTTTGCGGCGTTGCCAAATCACCACCTCGACAAGGCGTCGTCGAGTTTCAGCTTCCAAGAATATTCGACCAACAATCGTCGTCATTGCTGTTACAGTTCCACACCATGTTTCTGAAATAACAAAATTTACCGCCCCCAATAACTCCTGTTCGTACTTCGTACAGATTCCGCTACACAGCAGATCGTCAAGATTCCCCTTTCTCTCCTCCCAGTGATCCATTCTCAACACCTCGCCTGTTTGGCCTAGTACCAGTCGCCTTGATCCTTCATGGCACTCACAACCTTCACGAAACCGGCGATGTTGCTGCCAGCAACTAAGCTGGGCAGTTCACCGTCCTTGGTTGTGAGGTACTCCTTGGCCGTGTTCAAACCATTCTCGAAAGCATTCTTCATAATGCCCTTGAGCTTCTCATCGACTTCCTCCGAAGTCCAGTTTAGACGCTGTAGGGTACGAAGTTAGCACTGGGTCGTAATAAGGTGACGCAATTGGACTTACCTGGCTGTTCTGAGCCATCTCCAAACCAGAGACGGCAACACCACCAGCGTTGGCAGCTTTACCTGGGGCGTACCAGATAGACTCGCCTCCCTTAGCCTTCCTTACGCCTTCGAAAACATCGATGGCTTCCTGCGTGCAACCCATGTTGGAACCTTCGGCAATGAACAAGCAGCCGTTGTCGACAAGGGTCTGCGCTTCCTCCTTGCTGACCTCGTTTTGAGTCGCACATGGCAGGGCAACGTCAACCTTGCCGACATGTACCCATGGGCGGGCACCTTCAATGTACTTGTATGAGCTGTTCTCGAACGCAGTCAAAGCCTTTCGGGCCACCTTGAGGTCGGCAATTTGGTATACCTCCTCGGGCTTGAAGCCCTTGTCGCCCTCGGCGATGAGGGCACCCTTGGAGTCGGACAGGGACACAACAGTGGCTCCAAGCTCAATGCACTTCAAGGCGGCGTACTGCGCAACGTTTCCGGAGCCGGAGATAGCCACTCGCTTTCCCGTCCAGTCTCCCTTGCCGGCATACTCGAGCATGTGGCCGACATAGTAGACGAGGCCGTATCCGGTAGCTTCGGGCCGGATCAAGGATCCACCCCAGCTGCCACCCTTTCCAGTCAACACTCCTTCCCACTGGTTTCGGAGCTTGCGGTAGGTTCCGAACATCCAGCCGATTTCTCGGCCGCTGACGCCAATGTCTCCAGCTGGGACATCAGTGTCGGCACCGATGTGCTTGGACAGCTCCGTCATGAAAGCAACGCAGAACTTGCGGATCTCGTTGTCGCTCTTGCCCTTGGGGTCGAAGTCGGCTCCACCTTTGCCACCACCCATTTGGAGTCCCGTCAAGGCATTCTTGAAGATCTGCTCGAAGCCAAGGAACTTAAGGCTGTGTTGCTTGCATCAGCAAATCCGTTAGGTAGCTCCCAATTTCCCGTGTACTCACATGGACAGGTTGACAGTGGGGTGGAAACGAAGACCGCCCTTGTAGGGGCCTAGCGCTGAGTTGAACTGCACACGGTATCCGCGGTTGACTTGCAGGGCGCCGCTGTCATCTTCCCACACGACTCTGAACTGGATGATACGCTCGGGGATGGACACAACGCTCAAGGCCGTTCGGAACTCGGGGTTCTTCTCAAACAATGTGCTGTTCTCAAGGGTGCTTACAAGCTCTATTACCGGTCAGCTCAAATCCAGTAGGTTTCAGTGAAAATACTATATACCTTTGTATGCCTGCTCGAACTCGGGCTCAGATGGAAGGTTCGACATGTTGGTGGCGGTCTTGCCTAAGGCAAGGGTGTTTGGGTGGCAATGGTGAGTTTGTTGGGGATCGGGGGAGGTTTCTTGTGGATGAAATTCGTCACGCTAGTCTCTGGGGTATCGCTGGGTATGAAAGTTCGTGAGGAAGGAGCTACGAGACAGCCGGAGGCAGGCACGGGCTTTATAGCCAGGCAGGAGCCATCGTCCGTAGTCCGCATCGCGCAATCCATTTATTCCCTGGGGTCCATGGACTGGGCATGAAGCTAGCGCGGTGCTATAGACAACGTTCATAGAAATGAGCACCGAACACGGCTCACTCGTCAGCCTTCCCCTGCTCTGATTCCACCGATACGGGTAGTTGGAAACCCGTCCCTTAGGGACTTGCATTATACCTATGTGGATCATGCGGGCGCATAGTGGGGGCGGGGTGTCGTTTGTCGACAGTTTTTGCTCAACTCCATCACAGTTGTCAGGACGTACCCTTCCCCATTTTCCGACAGAGCAAGTATCGTTGCGCTGTTATTGGGCGACAACGATGCAAGCAATGGTTCTGCAGGTAGCTATTGATGAATCTAGGCTGGTCGAGTTATCATGCCGTCATAGAACATCTTTTATGCCTCATGTGAGGTCATTGCTTAGCTCTCAGTTGAAACTACCTTTATTCCTGGGTCTTTCAAGCTGCATAATCCGGCCGTTCAGTGTCGCCCTAAACAATCAGGGTCATCTAGGGACAGGGAATATCCTCGGGATCAATTGCAAGCCCATAACCAAATCTGAGTTGTTCATCGGCTCGCGTGCGAAGTCCTTACGAATTGTCAGCCAAAGAAAATACGGCGATGACGGAGATGTCGCGAATCTTGTCCTGTACATACTACGGTATCAGGCCAAAGTTTTCACCCCCTTGACAAGTACCAGTGGACCACTGCCAAGGTAACGCTATATTGATTCTTACCGATTCTTACCTAGCCTATTCATACTAACGAAAAGGTACTTCCACCTCTGATTCCAACTTGCTGTTAACGCGTCCTAATTATCGCGTATGTAGCAACTACAATAGGGACTAAACACCTTACAGAAGCAGATCGCTAACGAATTCGAACCCTCCATTTCGACGGTGGTAAATGGAAAGCCGAAATTCAAACTACTACAACGTTTTCTTTTAATCTGATTAAGACAGCTGGCTGTTAAGGTCGCTTCAAGCCAGGTAGCTAAGAGTTGGCTCGTGCCTAGGTGGAGCACGGTACAAACACACAATTGAAAACTTACCCATGATACCATAGTATAGACCCTAGCGGCTGCACGGCAGACCTAGTGCGGAGCTGAGAGTTACCCCTGCCCCTTCAAAACTGCCCACGTCTTATCCCGCGCTGCTGATTCGCCGAACGGGCAATTGGTGTGACACAATTCTCACAACATTGCTTCTTGTAAGAGCTTCTAGAAACGACATTTCCTCTATTGACTCGATTGAGGGTATGGCAGCGACCACGCCGTCACCGGTCTCTCCTGTCAAACCAAGACCTTGGAACCCTGATTTCCATCTCTTTCGATTCGAGTCTCATGCGGCCAGCCTCGTGGGATAGTGGGGCATTTGCCTTCTTCGGATATCACTCCTCGTGAGGTTACGGAATCTCTTCACTAACAACTATGTGTAGCTCTGAAACGGCGTTCCGCTACCGGATCCCCAACTTTCTCCCATCCTCAGTCACCTATCAGATCGATCTAGCCAAAGTTTTTGTCTTCACATGGACACATCATAAAAGGCAATGCACTATGCCAAACATTGCGGAGATAGTATTCTCGTTGCAGGCCCTCCATCATTGACCCCAATACCGGATGAACCCGGTTGAGTCCGTGTACTCTTACAGTATTTCCGTAACCGGAACCCGACTTACTATTCTGCCCAATCAACGACTGAGCTCTTCTTTGCTCTTGACAATCACCATACTCAGTATTCTAATATACCCGGCCTGCCTGCGCGGGCCCGTGGCGACGACTTCGCAATTCAAGTCGCTTACTGCGGCCAGGCTCAAAATCCAGCTCTGAAGCCATTCCAGGTCGTCCGCGAACGGAATTCCTACTTGACGAGTTACCCCCTTCCCCACATGAGGCTCTCTACGCCACCATCTGCTCTACACCATCTACACTACTTACAAGGATTGCGGTTGTGGGGGTTGGCTCACCCCTGACAGCTTGCAGTTCTTGTCGCCTACCCCGGATGGTGTGCGAACATGCCCCGTGCTGTTGTCGTTCCGCAACCGGCCTCGAGTAACAGAATCGGGCCTTTGGCTCAGGTTGCACCTAGCGCCCAACACAACATGACCCATTAGAACTTGTCATGGCGACGAGAACGATTGAGATTCAGATCCAGGGCGTGGGCTGCACACAGTCCATCCGCTCTAACCAATACCATCCTCGGCGTAAAATGTCTTGCGAATTGCGTATCAACTCATTTTGGCCAAAGTTTAAGTGTATAACGTGTCCCCCAAGGTTCTCATATCGACTAGTGCCATCTGGCACGCATAGTCCTCCCGTGCACGCAGTGTGATAGCTCTAACAATATTACTCTCCGTATAACTCCGAACCCCCATATGAACTCCATTCACCATCCTCGCAATGCATCAGATCCACCATCATTTAGTTGGTTGTATTGTCCCTTCCCCCCATTGTTACTCCATTACCATATGGCAGCCTGGTCAAAATCGAATCTCTTCAGCTCCTTACCTGCATCCTCCAGATCTTTCTTCGCCTTCATGCGCATATAAAAGATAGGACAGTCCTTGCTACTGCAAATGACTTCGTTGTGCATGCTTCCCTGACAGCGTTGACACTGAGTCCATAGTCTTCCGAACCTGATCTCGAGGTCCGATGATCTGCTTAAGGTTTTGTTGTACAGCTCGCCTACTCGTGGCGCGCAGTTGGAGCAGACGGCACCGGCACTCTCCTCTTTTCCAACAAGTGGCTTCTTGCAGCCCATGCAGGTCATGGTCTTCTTGGCGAACTTCATCAACCCTCCAACCGTGGGCGCAGCAACGGAAATAGAACGAGTATGGTCGCCGGTCAGCAACGACTTTGCTTTAGTCTCTCCTAGGATGGGCTCGAAAATACGCGTAAGTGGCTTGGCCAGCTGGTTATCCAAGTAGTACCGCGTGTCAATGGGGACGTTGTTCTCGAGGACGAAGATCGGGTCTTCGGATTTCTCGTAGTTCTTGGCTCCTGCTGCGCCTTTGATCATAACATAGGCTACTCGATCGCCAAGGCCAGGAGCCGAGCCTGGATCGCGCTTCCTCATACGCTCGGCAAGCTCAACGTGGGCCTGCTTGCCATCGTAATGTTCTTTGGTGAGCGCTTTCGTGATGACTAGCTTCGACATGTCAACCTTATTTTGCAGGAGTTCTGCAATCGTGTCTTTGACATAACTGCGAAGTTGTTAGCAATGAACTGCGTTACGTAAGTGTATCGACGGCCTACTCTTGTGCTCCTTGGACGTCCTGAACAATGAGAATCATTCTCAGAACTTTCTCGATGACGGTCTGAACGAGTAGACAATTGTCTCTTCGTACCGTCTCAATGCCCTTCGTGTCCATTTTGTCGAACTTCTCCGGCTTGGTCCAATACAGACCAGCATAACGTTTCTTGTTGATAAGTAGATACGGGAAGTAGCATTTCTCAAATTCCAGCTTAATGGGCCTCGTGAATTTGGACGAAACGAATTGAGCAGCTTCCTCGCCCAGTTTCATAGCCTCTCCTAGGTCCTTCATCCCAAACTTTACCATGACGGAATCTGTGTCACCATAGATGACCTGCGCGTCGTGCGAGTAGCCGTTCGCGATGCAGTACTTCTTCTCGACTTCGTCCTTTGTCTTCTCAATCATTTGACGACCGTAACTCGTCGTACTACTGGCGATTTCGAGACAGGGGAGCTTGCCTGTCGTTGCGCCTGTCAGACCGTACACAGAGTTGGCGCTAATTTTCAACGCAAGTTGACGGCCGTTCAGCACGGCCTTCTTGAAGGGGTCTGTTTCCACGGCCAGCTCCCTCTTGGCTTGCTTTCTGGCCGTGAGCAGTTCCTCGAGAATTTGAGCCAGAAGCCCCTTCCTGTGTTTGACCGTTACGAACATATCGCCGTTTGGCGTAACGATGTAGTCCTCATCCTTGGTCAAGCCGAACTTTTCGGCCGCTCGCTTGTTCAGCAGCGTGGTGTAGCAGAGGTTGTGAGCTTGCATGATGCTGGGATATAGCGAGGCGAAATCGAGGGTTGCGATGGGGACATCGTAGTACCCCCGAGTGGGCTCAATGACGGTGGCACCCTCGTATTGGTCCCCAGCATCGGCGTCTGACTTGAGGTTCGGGATTACCAGTTTCTGCTCCAGCGCCTTTCGAAACAGTTGACTCAGAAACTTGATTTGTTGTCCACGTGACAGAAGAAAGTTGAACGGCACACCCGTGACTCTTGCCATTTCTGTGTAGTTGGCTAGACAAGAGAGCTTGTCCATCAGTCGTTGTGGTAGGTAAGCATCCTTCAAGCAGTACAGCGCCAACCGTCTCCTCGATTCAGGCGTACCGTTGAAGAGCTCCGTGATCATGGTGTAGTGAACATCCTCCTTTTGCTCCCCAAGAAAATGGGAACACACAGAGTTTAACGTGTAACTTCGCAACTGGTGATCGCGTTGAATCAACTGCAGAAGATCAAGTTGTAGCCGCCCGTTGGTATTTGTAGCTTTCGTGTCACGATTGCCCATCTGCTTGCTGGAGAAGTTGGTCTCTTTCGAAACCGACTTGACACTCGGCAATCTAGTCCAGTATTCAAACCCGTTGAGCTTCAGATGTTTCGCACGGTCCAGTAAGTATGGAAAATCGAAGTTGGAGATGTTGTAACCTGTGATTAGATCCGGATCTACTTTGTCGAGGAATTTCTTCCACGCCATCAACATATCCTTCTCTTGCCCAAAGTCCAAGATTTGAGTTGCGACAATAGAGCTAGTGGTGTCTAGACAGAAGACATTGCGAATAAAGGGCTTGCTCTCTCCATAGCGCGTAACGACGTTGGCAATCTGGATGACAGGATCCTGGTTTGCCTCAGGGAAAATACCCTTGCGACCAGCACACTCAATATCGAATGACAGAATTCGCAGAGGCGCCATCTTCGACCATTCCCCCTTTGGCTCGTGGCAGACCAGGTGCGTATATGGAATCTCAGCCTCGATCTGGCAGTTGGACTGTTTATCTGCGTCTCGAAGGAGTCTGTATTGCTTGGCAGGACATTCGACCCATGACATGCCAGGCATCTAGGAATGTTAGTCATCCTGTAATCTGGGAAACGATGTTCATGGTCGTACCTTGCAGTCCACCATGAAACGTAAGACATATTGTAGACTGTCGAAAGTCATAATACCCCCCTCGACACCTTTCCACAGGCCCTTCCAATTCGCATCGCCTTTCTCTATGGTTGTCCGTACTCGGTTGATGAATTTCGGGTCGGTTACAACGACTTTGATGTAGGGGCTCTGTGTGTTCCCCTGGAAACCGTAGATGTTCTCCCTGAGAACCAGCTGGCAAGCATGGATTGCTGGCTGATGCTGGGCTATTTGTGCTTCGAGAAATGCTTTGAATGGCACGCAGTCCTCGGGTCGGAATGAGACTGGGGCGGCAACGTAAAGGTAGTGTTTGAAGTCGGTTACGTGCAACATAACGGAGTGGCCATTTTCAGTGACACCGAAAAGCTTCACCGTCGCCCCTCCGCCATGTAGAGTTCCTTCTTCTGCATCAATCTGCTGGAAAGTCAAGTTGTCTCGTTGCGGGTCAAAGTTGACGACGGGTGGGCGCTCCCATGCTTGGTCCTTCTCCGAGTTGCTCTGCTTTAGGTCGGAGATATCCTGGCTGAGCTTCTCCAAAACCTCCGACTCAAAGGCACTCTTTGGCTGAGTGGACCCAAGTTTGAAGGAAGGTCCTTTCTGGGAGCTGTTGAGACGCGAGGCAGGGGAAGATGACAGTGGCTCCAGGCGTCTCTTCTTCGACGAGGGAGTCGAGGGAATAATTCGGCGGGCGTGCGGTGCCTCGCCGAGGGCTCGCTTCTGTGGCAACATCGCGGTGGCCATGATTCGAATGGGAGGGTCTTCTCCGACGAAGCTTGATAGGAAACAAAGATCAATGCATCAATGGTAGCTTGAGGTGTGTGGTAATGTGGTTTTTTGACTAATACCAGCACAGCGGAAAGATTCGAGTAATTGACCATGGGCGCGTCCAGCTCTGGAAGTCGCGTCTGGCGTTGGCGTCACTGTCGCGCCAGGTGGGGCAAACTACTTTAAGTGGCCAGCACTAGACCAACCCCTAGCGAGTATCTGGAGAAATTAAGGCATCACAATAGCCAAGGCCTTTTTGTTTCTCATTACCAGCTTGGACTTAATATTGTTTGCGGATATGGGTTTTGTTGCATGTTGCCCTCGTGACTTAGAACGAGTCTTGCTATTCTATACTACTGATTTCGTTCGAGTTCAATCATCAGAAGTCACTGTGCCCGACTACAGGATTTCCCTAGAAGCAACTGCTCTTGCTAGACAGCATGGCCGATGTCTCTGGACATTGGCCATGTCACCGGGGCTCCATGGCTCATGTCCTCTTTGACATCCTCCCAACGAAGTTTCATCACAGGTCACCTTGTCATCAGCAGAAGTGGTCCCAAGTGATGTCTGCAAACCCATGCACAGGTCAATTGCTTTGTCTTTTGTTCATGTGACTCGTCTACTACATGCCATTTTGGTCTGCTAGTACACATATGAAGGTATCCCGGGACGCCGTGTCGTCAACCGCCAAGCCAAAGCCCAATTCCGGGGCAGCATGCATCGTGACTCCTCAGCCACACCGTAGCATCAGATGGTTAGGTGAACTCCTGCGCTGCCAAGCCGACAGCACCAAGAACCAAAGGCCTTTCCATGACACAGAGCCACTACAGTCATCACAAATCCATCATCATTGCCAGTTTATGCGGTGTGCTTGCCCTTCTTGTTCTTCTTAGGAACCTCCTTGATCTGCAAGTCTGTCATTACGTCCAATGTCAGCATTGTCCACAGATACAAGCATGTCATTATGGAAGGCGGGCACTCGTACTGGGAGGCAGGCTCTGCTTCAGCTTCTCAGCCTTGTCGGAGTCCTTGAGAACCAGCGTGTACAGAAGCTTAGAGCATCGGACCTTGAATTTGGTCTGAGGGGCCTTCTTCGACTTCTTTATGCGCGCAGCTGTAGTAATCCATCGTCAGAATGTATCCTTTGGAAGCAATAATTTGGCCGTTGCCGTCATCATCATCGTCTCATCGGATCGAACATACACTTGGCATCCTCGCGGCGGCAGATCTCGATGAACTGTGTAATCAATTGTCAGTTTGTGTTGCTGGCAGATCTCAAGGTGAAAAGCAGCGGCCTACCTGCTTGATGTCGGCAATTTCCTTAGGCATTTTGGCGGTTGTGATGGGGCTGAATTGACTGTATTGGGTGGAAGGCAAGAACTTGCTGCAACGCGAGCTGGTCTGTGATAAGAAAATTGGCCGTCTTTACAAACCTCGTTGGATTTTTTGGCTGTGCAGGGGTGATTCTCTACTGTGGGCGAGACTAGCGAAACTCGCACCGGCCAAATACACCCCACTATCCCCAGACCTATTCAAATGAATGGTATGGATACAACCCCAGCCACATGAACAGGGCATTCGAGATATCAAGTCGCAGTCCAGTCATAGCTTGTAAACTAAGAGATTATGCATATCTAGATCTGGACAGAAATTCATATTCCTCATTTATCTCCTTCAATCTTTGTTGAGATTGCCTTTGTTGCCAGTAATGCCTCTTACCTCTTACGATGGCGTTCCAGGAATCATGGGCAACGCCACAACTGCGACCACACAGCGCAGCAATGGGCTCGAGCGTCACAAACCTCACTTCCGAAGTTTTCGCGGACATCTTGCAGTGAAGGGTCATCAATTCCCCCCACTTGGAGAAGTTGAAGTTGGAAGCCACGCTTTCGCAAGAGAATCAGTGCTGCGGGCACTTTGTCATTCATTGTCTTAATGGCTTTAGCACGAGTCTAGCAATTTTACCAAGCGCCTTCGGGAATAAAAAATAGTGGCTGATTTTTGGTCACGTGGTGTTTCTTGGCACTAACACCGTCGAGGCTGCCCCAGCACCTATGGACAGCTCTGAGAGGGTTTTGAATGTCTTCAATATTGCGAGCAGCGCTACCTGGGACCGGTTCCTGCAGGGCTGACTCACTGTTTGAATAATTTGATATTCCCGAATTTCTTACGACTTCAACAATTCTCGGATTCTTGTTTAGATGCATACTCGATATTGACCAAGATGTCCGTGGTGGGACGATCGTCTCATTCGGCAATGCTGGGCGAACAAGATGCAGAACGACTTCAACAAGCTTATCATGGGGACTAACTCTCCACCTGAAGATGTACCATTCTATGTGGACGTGGCGAGTTATCCTAGGCAAGTTGCGGCCAGGCCATATCCCTGAATCAAATACGCATTATATACAGCAAGGCTAAAGAGGTCCTCATTTGGGACAGATGTCTGCTTTACGACCAAAAACTCGCGGCCAGCAAAATAATCGAGATGACTGTTAGGTTTTGCCTCGGTAACCAGACCAGAAATCTCTTGACGCTGCTAGAGGTAGCACTTGCAAGACGTATCGCAGTTGCCTTCAGTAATGACGTTCGTCGTCCAATTCCCTAGCTCTATCATTCGCATCACTCTCCTGAACCCAGAGGCAAGGATATTATGGGTCGACATCACGCATACTATGTACGAATTGTCCAAGATAGTCAGGTACCCAGAGCGGAGAGCCTGATGGAGTAGTCTCAGGATATAAAAAGACACGGAGTTGATAATCATCCTCAGTGACGCCGACCCGAGGAAAAGGGTCCACTGGCTTACTAGTCAAACCCGTGCAACGGAATTTTCGGGATATGCTGACGGTGCTGTCTTCGGCGAATAGTCAGGCAGATCAAGACTGGTTCGTCGATGGCGTCATTTAGGCTTCGATTTCTTGAAGTTATTACCTGTTGGCGGTTTTCTGTTGGCAGATGGACATTCAGATTGACACATTCAGGGATTATACAAGATTATTGGTAACAGTTTATCCTATCATCTCATGATCCGCAGTATATTGAGCATTGCACCTTAGTCAATCGTTAACTCCACCACCAGTTGGTAGATGAGCAGTCACACACCTGGCAACTTCAGGTTATATGCTCCAGAATGGCCCCTTTACAGTTGACCTTCTAAATATCCTTTGAGTTTACTCCTGAGCTTAGACTTTGCATCTCGATGTAACTAAGAGATACCCAGTCATCTCATAACTGGCCTTTCTCAAGTGATACCTGTTTTCATGCGTTGAATCAATCCGGCTCGACTCAGGCGTGGTTGATATTCAAGAGGAGGCGTATCGTACATATTGTTGCAAAACATTATGCCCAGTGCATCTTACAACCTTAATACTAGGTCGACCGCAACACCAAAGGCATAGAGCGAATTGATGTGTTCACTGCTCTTTATGTCAGGGTTGGTTCCTACTTTCTGCCTCCAGTCGCGATGGGCTGAAGCACACAACTGCACCAAATTCCAAGGCCACCTTTTGTTATCGTTCCGTGTCACAAATCACACTTTCTTCTCCCCTTCTCTCCCTACCCAGGCACTCATATCACCACAATACGCTCAGAACTCTTTCAGGCCCAACACCCGTTATCCTTTGGTCCATATTGATTCATGGGCGACTATGACCTGCAACAACTCGTCCGGCGAGAGTAAGGCCAAATCTCAAGCCCAAGGCAGCCAGAATGAATATGGAATGGTCAAGGGTGGAGACTGCAAGGGTCAGGTGCTATCGCCCAAGGCTTCAGAGACGTCGACGCGCAACAAGGTCCGCGATACTGGACCAGCCACGTCTACGAGTCGTGAATCCACTGCCGATGGACTCTACCATGGTGAAGTTTAAAAGCGAGATGTAATGAACGGTGCTGAGCCTTGATATCAAGAAAGCGATGGTCATGGTTGTGGCAACGATGGATACTCTGTCGATGACTATGGTGAGTGCGGGGGCTTGATAACAGCTCGGATGAGAGCTCGGAAGCAGAAGAAGATGACGAAGGCGAGGGGGAGGACGATGACAAGGACATTCATGATGATGGTAATGGAAGCTACGAGGATGATAGCTATGGTGGTAAAGGAGGCTACGATAATGATTGAGAGTGGCGAGCTTTGATACGGTGAAATATCCGTCACTAAATTTGATATTTTGTTAATCTAGTGCGGCGAGTCAAAGATCTCATGGGAAGTATCACGATGTCGTAGACGGGCAGGGCCGAGACTATGCTGCGGTCCTCGTTGCGGGCACTAATCGTGTGGGCTTCAAGAAACTCGAGAAATGAGTGTCTAGAGAATCTGGAGAGTGGCCTGCCAATCAATTGTGCGTGCACATCGACCGGCGAGGTTAATCCCAACATACATGTAAAGAACGAACCACCACCCGCCCCTTTCGCCCCACCCCTCCCATCTAGTACAACAAAGACGATAACGATGCTGTGTGAATGATTGGCATAACCGTCTCATCACCAAGTAATAGTCCTGTTACCCGGAAGCGTAGCCATCCCTAAAAGGCGAGCGTAATTAGTAAGTATTCATACCCCGAACCAAACTTGACGTATTTACGTACATCCGTCAGTGTCCTCGGGGATTAGCTGTTTGTTGACGCATTTCATGGCTTCCTCAGCCGTCTGGGACTTGAGTTCACTGCACTTGTCATTGGAGCATCGAGCATCCAGGGCCCTCTGAAGCGCATCGTCCTTCCAACCGAAGAGGTAGTCACCGTGCTGTCCGTATCCAGTCCTAGCAGCGCAGCCACGATTAGACAAACGCATATGTCAGCAACAGTAGCAATGAAATTTAACTCACTGATCACCCATGCTGTACACGAACGGCTGAGAGCCATCCGTCGGCCAGAGATCCTTGTTGTTAAATTGTCTAGTATCCCATACAACCTCGTACATAACCTGGGGAAGCGCCACGGGGTGGCTCTCCGGACACGGACTAGTGGTCTCGAACATGCCGGTGCTGGGATACGCAACGTGGGACTTGTGATCTGGGCTATCGACGTTCACGCCATCCCAGCACGTAGGGAACGTGATTGTGGTGCGGATTCCGCCCTGGCACATGCTTTCGGGCAGCGCGGCGGTGTCGTCTCCCGTGCAGGGAGGCCCGCCGAATGGAATCTGCGAGACGGTGCTGTAGCAACGATGGCATAGTTGGCGTTGCTGGCCTTCGGACTTTCTCAACATGGGATCGCCGACGAGCATGCGGAAACCCTGAGGTGGATGTTAGTGATCATGGCGAACCTCGAAGCCAAGAAAGGGGCTCTATACAGGTTTGAATGCCGTCACGTTGGACTTGCCGTCATATGGCGGGATGTAGTAAACAGTCAACCCTCCATCCGCCTTGAGACCCTGGTTTGCGAGCTGGGGAACACGCTTGAAAGTCCCATTTCGCGCCTTAAAGTACAGGTTGGCAGTCCAATAGTTGGAGAAGTCCTCAGAAAATGTGCAGCTTGTGCAGGTTGACTCCTTGACTGGGTCGTAGGAATCAGGAGGCATCGAGGCGTTGAACGAGTTGCCGCCTCCAACCTGGTGAGTATGTGGCGACTGGATTTCTCCGGGGGAGACTAAGGGGTCCAGACGCTCGATGGTGAGCTTTGAGCATGAAAAGCGCAGCATCGCGGCCTCTGCCTGGGCAGAGACCTCTTGCGCTAGAAGCGCGATAGTTCCAATGAGGGTCCTCAACTGCATCTTGACCTTGTTGCCAACAACTCCCAAGACAGGCGTGAGAGAAAGGGTATGCAAAAAAATGAAAAAACGAAGACTTGCTAAGTCTAACAAAAGTCTCGCATGGGATTATTGCCATCTTTACAGTTATACTGGGAGATGCCCCTACTTATCCAGAGTATCTTACCTGCCGACACAGGACGGCTATCATCCGGATGAGCCTGGTTCAAAACCCCTACCCTCAACACCGGAGACAGCTTGTTGGTTGGTGTGTGTATTTGCCGCATATTACAATGATTATGGTTAATGTGACAATGGTACCTGGAGTAAAGGAAATGATATGATTGGATAAGCCTAGATCTCATGTTGCCTCGAGAGAAAATATCACCCAGCCATCAATGTTGGCGAGATCATCAATCCCCACCCTGCAGACACTTGTCTTGACATTGTACACAGACGGCAGAAGCATATCAATACTTCTAGATGCATACTGCGGGCCATCACGGGAGGGTTGACACGCCGCTACAGCCGGCACCCCACTGAGTCTCAAGGGACTTGTCGCATCCCACAAAAGCCTGATGATGGTGCTTATTGTCTTTCAGCACACGCCCCCGTGATAACAATCAAAACCGCTTTTTCAAAGCAGAAATATGTCCCGTCTCCAGGCTGTAAAGAACGAAAAAGCGTGAAGTCGGAGAGATGAGTTCACCTCACACCTATTGGCGGTTGCAAAGGCCCAAGCTAGGGTACAACTAACGGGATTAATGGGGTTTTGTAAGGCTTACTAAATCGGAGAGTTTTGGCCAATCAAATCACCATTCTTCAAGGCGAACAGCACATCCGAGAACCGTTTCAAACCAGACCAACTCGTCAGATTGCAGCTTCCCCTCGAGTTCATTGCCTCACCGCAAGTGGTAGCTGCCACAGTTTCTTGAACATTGCAGCAGCACCATCTATTTGATGAAGCTGCATCGCGACAGCACTCTGAACAGGTTACCCTTTGTTCACACTGCGTGACGCAGTTTCTGGCAAGATGGATCTACTCCAGGTAAGGCTGTACTGACGAACGTCATTCATCTGGCTTTGCACACTAATGCTGTAACAGCGCCTCACCCAGGCTCTCGACCGGCCGCTCTTTCCTACACTGCGTGACGCATCTTCTGGCAAGATGGATCTACTCCAGGCAAGTCTTCGCAGACGAAAGCTGATCCGTGCAGCTTTCTTCCATGAAGTCGCACGCTAATGTTTTGACAGCGTCTTGCCCATGCCCTCGACCGTCCGCTCTTTCCCTGGAAGAAGATCATTGTCGGTTTCTCCGTCGGACAATACCTCTTCGAAGAATTCCTCTCGTATCGCCAATACCAAGTTCTCAAGAAGACGAAGCCACCCAAGGTGCTTAGAGCCGAGGTATCGCAAGAAGTGTACGACAAGAGTCAGGAATACGGTCGGGCCAAGGCGAAGTTCGGCTTCGTTCGAGGTCTTTGGAGTCAAATTCAAAACATCGCGTTCATCCGCTACGACGTACTGCCCAAGCTATGGTCATGGACCGGTTCCTTGCTGTTGAAATTCGCTCCTGCGCGTTTCTCCGGCGAGATATCCCACTCCATCGTCTTCGTCCTGTCCTTCATCCTGATCCAGCAAGCACTCTCGTTGCCTACGTCAATTTACCATACCTTCGTCTTGGAAGAGAAGTTTGGGTTCAACAAGCAGACGCCTAAGCTCTTCATCACGGATATGCTCAAGTCAAACATGTTGGCCTTCGTCCTCGCACCCCCCGTTCTGGCTGGATTCCTCAGTATCATCAAGAAGACCGGCAACCAGTTCTTCTACTACCTCTGGGTGTTCGTCGCTGGTCTCCAGGTATTCATGATTACCGTCTACCCTATTGCCATCTTGCCCCTGTTCAACAAGCTGTCTCCGCTGGAAGAGGGCAAGCTCAAATCTGACGTCGAAAATCTGGCCAAGAGACTCAAGTTCCCCTTGCACGAGCTTTTCGTCATTGATGGAAGCAAGCGCAGCGCCCACAGTAACGCCTACTTTTTCGGTCTTCCCTGGAAGAAGCACATCGTCATCTATGACACCCTTATCGAAAAAAGTAAGGAAGAGGAAGTCGTTGCTGTTCTCGCACATGAACTCGGTCACTGGCAACTCGGCCACACCACTAAACTCTTCGGCATTTCTCAGGTACGTCTCCTCCCATGGCCTGCTGGCTCCCCATGCTAACTATTGCACAGGTTCACGTATTCTACATATTCATGCTGTTCTCGGTCTTCATCAACAATGCCTCCCTCTACGCAGACTTTGGATTTATCAAGGAACACCCTATCATCATCGGCTTCATCCTCTTCTCGGACGCTCTTGCGCCGATGGATACTGTTATCAAACTGTTGATGAACATCCTCAGTCGTCGCTTTGAGTTCCAAGCCGACGAGTTTGCTCGCAGCCTCGGAAAGAAGAGGGAACTTGCCTCCTCGCTTATTAAGCTCCAGATCCAGAATCTGAGCACGATGGATGCGGACTGGATGTACGCTAGTTACCATTTTTCTCATCCCATTCTGTCCGAGAGACTCAAGGCTCTTGACTGGCACCCTAGAGGACGAGTTGTCGAGGAAATCGAGGACGTCGACAAGAAGATGGACAAGAAGACAGAGAAGAAGCCAGAAAAGAGGATGGAGAAGAAGTCGGAGAAGAAGTCGGAGAAGAAGCCGGAGAAGAAGTCGGAGAAGTCGGAGAAGTCGGAGAAGTCGGAGAAGTCGGAGAAGTCGGAGAAGTCGGAGAAGTCGGAGAAGAAGACGGACAAGAAAACGGAGAAGAAGAAGGACAAGTAGACGGACGGCGCTGAGAGGGCTTCTGGCAGAGAGCTTTGATTTCTCCAGATGTGATCAGCCATCATGCGCATGGATAAAAGTTTACACCAAAAAGGTGTCGTACATAAGGTAGAGTAGAGCTCTTGGGATGAGAGCTGCCTGCAATTGAAGCAGGATTCGCGAATAGGTAAGGTATCTAGTACGGAGTGCTGCACGATGCTCTATGCATATGCTCCAATATGCTGGCATCCCAGGGGATACAAATAGGAGATGTTAAAAATCCGGTATATATGTAAAATACTTAGCGTACTGCACGTGGTGTATAGATCTGAGAAATGAAATGAGTCAACTTGTTGAAAGACTAATTGCCTCGGAAAGGCCTACAGGCTACCTAGGCCAAATGTGAATTGGAGGGGAGACCGTGGCATGCGTGTCCTCTTGCCACCTCGCCCCATCTTCCCAACCTCATTTTAACTATTCTGCTTGCTCAGTTCCTAAATTCTAGGCATACCTGCTTTGAAAACAGGTGAATAAACCAAGTACCAAGCAGTGGGGTACATGTTCAAAATTCCTAATAAGAGCTACCCAAAATGCCAACTCCCATCGACAATGTCATGAGGTCCAAGGTATGTTGCAGTTGTATCATCAAGGTGTCCGAAAATTACAGCATTCCTACTTACCGCCAACAATAGAACGCCGTCCTAGGTATTTATTTACCGAGTTACTAGAGTCCTTCACCCTTTCACAACCGGTCTCTGAATTCATATACTGATGGGCATCTATTTCCAAGGCTTCGCAGGCTTGGTCGCGGCTGCGAGCGTGTGGGCGTTCTGGGGCGGAGACGTGTTTCCAGCTCAGCCGGACCCCAAGGGTGACCCAGAGAACTGGACGTGGGATGAGATGAGGCGGTGGTTGGCTGCGGTGAGTTCACTTTTTCATTTTATTCTTTTTCTCATGAGTTTGGAGATACGGGGTCGGATTTGATGCTGATGAGAGGGTATAGCGGAACCTACATCCCCAGTCGAACGATACGAGGGAGCAACTGCTGGAAAGGATTAAGGCGAATATGCGATAGGGGTGTCCGTAGGCTCGTTGCTTGCGTGACGTTATGGCTTTGAGCTGGACCAGCACATACATCCATCCTTGACCTTGTTGAGTCACGTCAATTTGAGAATATAGAGTTTGGGGACTAGACCTTTTCATTAACCGTCGAGTCTTAACTCTGGGCTCTGAAATAATGACCGACGGATTCCTGGCGTTTTCAGTACTCATCATCACCAACGAAGAAGTCATGCATACCCTTTCAAAGTTCCCATATGCCGGTGTATACTCATAGCGATACTGCATTATTGGGCATCCGAGTAGGAAGGAAGGGTGTTGCAACCAGATTATAATTAGAGTAGCCAATCACACGAGACCTCCATACCTCCTGACAGTGAGTGCCCTTTCCCTTCCAAGCATAAACATCTTCCACATCAACTAATTCATCTTCCATCCATCCATCTACCCATCGTAACCCTCCACGGTCACAATATCCTCAAGTAATGCCTCGTCCCCTCCAATTGCCCAACCCCGATGAAAACAGACGACATCCTCTCGAACCCCCCTTTCTGCGCACAACCAACTGCTTTTCTAAACTAGGCCATCCACAAACCAAGAAAAAACTGCTCTTTCTCCTCTCCCTCCTTTTCTTGAACGAGCCAGCCGTCCTGAACCGCATATGGTCTCGCATAATCAGCTAACAACTCCTTGGCATCAGCCCACTCCGCAGCGAACAGAGCCGTATCCAGGCCCTTGACACGGACGGTACCAATGCTAACCACAGGACTATCCGACAGCGATATCGACTTCTTTCTCCTCTCCCTCTCTCTTGCCAGACGAAGAAAGCACCCCCAAACCCTCAACATGCAACCTCATCATGTCAGGCAGATCAAACATCCCCTCAAGATGTCGATAGCCTTCTTACCCTTGTCGCTACCCACCCAGTCCCGGTGCCGATTGAGGTAACTCCGCTGTCCCGTCCTCGAAAACACTGCCGGGTCCTCGACTTGCTGGAACAGCGCCACGCCCCTTCTCGCACGCCCCTGAGGCAGACCGGGGTACTTTCAAGTATATCATCCTTGTTGCGCGGCCATAGCGCGCTTGGAACCTTCTTTGAGGTCTTCGATGGGGGTTGGGAGGTGGCTGTTGTTAACCAGGCGAGTTCGGTGATGGGCAATGTGTATTTAGCCATTTTTTGAACTCATTGTTAGCGCGCTGGTTACAGACGAGTTGGCAAGCGGGGCGTTGTAATGGATACAGGGCTTTTCAATATGGTGGTTGATAAATAGGTATGTGTCTAATGGGGTCTAATTACCAACGCAAATAGGTCATATGCTTGATATAAATATATGTATACACATTATACGCCCGTCATGTACACATCCCATAAAATGATCACTTGGCCAAAATGCCTCAACATAGTGCATATTATAAAGCTTCGAGACAAATCGGTCCTGGCCCTGATGGGCGGGCGGTGTTACTTTTGAGCACCTCGCTGCAGCTGGTGCCGCGTTAGGATTCATGAGCATAAGTTTTCAACTGTTTACTTCGACGTTGCCAACTCTATCTGACAAGATTACCGCATTTGGTATATTGGTGGCGCAGCAAATTGTCCAGTGACCCAAGAGGATTCATACTTTTTGCTGGATATTCCCAGATATCCATTGATCTATCTGCCTATTAGTGTCGGATGCCCAAGCAAATAGCTACGGTGAGTATGGGCCGACCAATATCCTCTGCCCTAGCATCAATGAATAACTCTTTGCAGGAGTTTGTAAACTCGCCAGAGATGAGAAGACCACGAGCTCAGAAGTCGAGTCGCTCCAGCAGCCCTCAGTGAGGCTCAGGCCACAGGTCGTGGCGCTTATATATCAAGAGTCAATCCGAACTTGGATGTTCAAAGCTGAACGCACCCCTCTAGACTTCAAGTGTTTGTCTCCGGTACTCCCAGTAACCCTGGCGAATCCGGTCCCACTTCTCACCCAGTCTTCGAAGGCACAAATCCGCCTTCTCCTTATCGCCAGCCTCCTTGTACGTATCCGCCAGCTGGTCCAACGCATGAGAACTACGAACCGCCTCGCTCTCCTCCCCCAAATCCTTGACGTATTCTTCGACATACCCCTTCACACTGCCGAGCTTCCTGCCCCCCTTGACCAGCACGCCGCGCAGATAATTCCACGGGCTCTGGTTCTGCGGCGCAAGCTTGATTTTCTCTTGTGCGTACCGGATTTCGCGGTCGATAATCTCCGCAGGCACCTTGGGGTCGTGCTCCGTGGAATGCGAGTCCTCCGTCGCATAGCTGGGGTTCGAGAAGACGAGAAAGAAACGGTGCGACCACGCCGAGTTGTTGCGCACGTCCTCGTCAATCATGCCTTCGATGCTCTGCAGCTCGACTTGGTCCCACATGCTGAGCTTGTGGACGATATACTGCCGATACGACCAGACGTGGTAGTTCTTGGCGTCTTCGGCAAACATCTGCATCAGGAAGTCGCGCTCGCTGTTTGCGAGTATCTTGATGTCGTCGGGTGCGTCTGCGATGGATGGGTAGTAGTGGTCGATAAGCAGCTGGCGGTGATGCCAAATTTGGTAGTTCTTAAGGTGTTCCAGGGCGACATTATTGAGCCAGGCGAGCTCCTCGAGAATGGAGATTTTGAGGGCCTGGACAATGGAGAAGCGGTAGAGCCAGACGGTGTAGTGGGCTGGGTTCATGAAAATGATGTCCTCGGTCAGCTTGAGGCAGCGGGGAGAATATTCCTGTGCTGCCATTACAGCGCGGAGATAAGACATAGCTGAGGCATGTAAGTATGATAGTAGCAAGCTTGGGTATGGGCTAACGTACATTCCGCGTAGTCTTCGGGGTACGATATAGCTGCCAACGCACCCTCTGGCTCCGACTGAGGAATGGGCACTACATCATCCCAATCCGGGTCCATCGAATATGAGTTGCGCTTCTCCCCGTACAGGTCGTCCTTCAGTGCCGCCATTTCTTTTCTTCTCACTCTCTCCTTCTCCACGGCGCCGTCTTCCAAGGTGAAAGGTTCGCCGGTGTTACCGTCCACGAGGCCACTTAGCACAAGGTCCCGCCGGTTCCTAAACCGGTCACTTGCGCTGGTCAGTTTTCTCAACTTGCTTTGCTTAGTGAACCGCACGTTGCGCTCCTCGAGCGTGTAGTCGCCGATGTTCCGACCGTGTTTGTCCTTGCCCCACTGGTCGGGCGTGGGCTTGATGTGGGCTCTGCGCACCGGGATGCCCAAGTCGCTGACCTGCTTCAAAATTTCCTTCTGCGTCTTCTTGGAGAGCTCCTCTATGACTCCGGGTTGGGCCGACTGCTGCGTGATCCAGCCCTGCTTGTCTACTGCGGACATGCCATCGAGGCCATGTCCCTCGTAGGCGCGGTCGAACGGGCGGGTCAAGTAGTACGTATGGAGAGCGTCCTCGTAAACCGTCTTGGGCTCCTTGGATGCCCCTGTGGCTAGTGATCAGTCAGCGTTAAAGTGACTATATGAGTTATTGTCCTTCGTGTCTCACAGTCGGCTGTTTTTGCCTTGGAAGCTCGCTTCTGTTGCGACATGCTGGTGAGCTGTTGGGACAATAGAGGTTGCGATGAAGTTAAGGTAGATGGTGGGGGGGCATCACCGACAACAAAATATTATCTGATAACCCGATACCCCAGTGGAATAAGCGGTATAAGCACACGTAGGAGCAAGCGGGGTGGACTAATGCAGACCTTTGGGATGACTGTTTATTTATGTATTCAAATTTATATATCAATGCTCCTCAAGCATAAATATGCATTGCTGCTGGTCTACACCGCAAAGTGCTATTCTTTATTATCAAATATCTAGGTTGGGGGCATGTGTGAAGAACCAAAAATATAATACAGCATGCTGTCGAAGATATATACCGTGAATGCTCAAACAGGGGGTGATATCACTCACACCATGCGATCCTCCAACGTCATCAACGAGACAGTCCATAATCATGATTTGCCCAAGCCCTAAATACCAAAGCTGTTGGAAGCCATGGTGGCTAGTAAGCCCTGATGTTGAAGCGGCTGTCCGTTGGAAATCTAGCATCCTGTGGCTTCCATGTTGTCAATTGAGGAATCTCCGTCACGGCCACACCCTATGCTTCTGCCAAGAAGGAAACAACGTCGGAATTAGTGGTTTTCAAGTCTCCAGAACTTCCAACCCTCCCTCTCGGCACCGCCACCGTGAACTCCGACCAGCTTCTCCACACCTTCGGTCCCGGGAGCCTCGAGGAAGTTCTCCAGGTCGATTTCCATTCCTCCCTCTTCATCCTCATCAAGCCCGTTCTTCAACACTGCAGGCCAAAGGACTCCAACGCCATCCCCACCCAGAGTCGTTTCGAACTTTTGGTAATTCTCCTCCTCAAGTTGCTCCTCGAGTCTGCCCAGCTTTTCCCTAGAAACACCAGGCTTCATCAATGTTATTGAACAGCCACCGCCTCCTGCCCCGGTCAGTTTCGTCCACCCAATACCTTCATGATCGAGCAGCTCCCGTACGCGTTCTAGGCGCGGGTGTGACACTCCCAGAGACACCAAGAGCCCGTGGTTAATCGTCATGAGCTCGCCCACGCGCCTTAAGCTTTCGACTTCCTCGCTGTTGAAATCCTCTTCGTCTATCAACTCGCTTGCGCTCCTCGTCACCCCATCTATCGCATCGAGGATTGTGCCCACCAGTTTCGGATGGGTTTCCTTCAGCTTCGCCACCTTGGCCACCTCAGCGGCCGTGGACTTGGCTTGCCTGGTATCGACCAACAACAGGGGCAACTCGGGGAAGTCCCAGAGTGGTCTTACTACCGGTGGTTTCTGGTAATCTGTTCTTTGGAATACCACTGCCTTGCCCTGGGTTGAGACGGTATTGTCGACACCTGACGGGTTTCCGTGGATGCACATCTCCGCCACGAAAGCCCAACGGTTTATCCTCTCCACCTGCAAGCGCGCCTCTTCTGGGGGTTGATCAGGATGCGGGCCAGAGAGCGTCCGCAGTTGCAACAACAGGGCGGCAGCCTGGCATACTGCAATTGAGCCACTACTGCCAAGACCAGCACCAATTGGTATCGTTGATCGGAGGGTATATTGGCAGCCCGGGAATTTCGGCGAACCCAACGAGAGGAACAGGTAGAGGAAAGAAGTCGCCGCGTTTTGGTGCACCTTTCGCTCGACGTCCCCCTTTCCTAGCGAGACATCCTTGAGATGTGGTTGTATAGCTGCGAGGAGATCTGGATCGAGAGTTGTTACCAAGTCGTAGTAGTACTTCTTCTTGGACGGGTGATGGAAGATACCCCACGGCAGATCGTCGATATTCCAGGTATGATCGAGGTCGATATCGGGGAATCGCAGCGTTACCGTTCGCCTGGATTTGGAGAGTGCGGTGACGAGGAGATAGGACCGAAGCGAGATGGACGCGGCAATGGCGGCCTAAAAAGAAAGACGATTAGCTTTGCACAACGGGCCAGGAAACATCGCACAATGGCGAGGCTCATTCGTACCTTACCATGCACCACGGCATGTTCTCCAAACACAATGACCTTACCCGGCGCAGACACCATAAAAGCAGGCATCATGGGACTCGACATCTTGCGATCGAGCTTCCTTCTGGGGCTGTCGGGCGACAAGGACGGGGACAGCTTGCCGTTTACACCGTTGCTGGTGCCATTGCTGTCACCGTGAATCTGCAACCTAGCCAGGCCGTTTTGGACGCCATTAGTCCCGTTCGACATTTCGGATCCCAAGAAAGCGGTGTCGGGCGTGGTTGGAATGCAAGTCATTCAGTTGATACCGTGGACAGTTGTAATCCACTTTGGCGGCCGTGGTCGAGCTCGCGTTGCGCGCGCTTCCTCCAATTGGGCTTGCGCCGTCTCGAGTCTTTGTTGAATACAAGCAATTACCTTTGCCTAAGAAGTGGTAGTACAGGCAAAACGTAACGAGTGACGCTGACAGTTGCACCGCAGGATGCAAAGGCGACGAGATCTCGTTATCTAAGAAAACGTTGGGGGAAACGGAACTAGCAATTGAACTAATGAAAATAAAAGTGAAGACGGTAGCGAGCAGTGAAGCTTGTGGCAGTCTTTAATCTCAACAACGGGATCTAGCATATACTTCCCAGAACTGACCGCCACGAATCGTTCGAGAAACAAAATGTCGAGTCAAAGAGATCTGGGGGAGCTTTGTCATAATATATATCGAACTTTACTAGCATAGATGGTCAAGGATACATACGACACTCACGCAACTTATCTCAACGTGGCACCCCCAAATTGACTCCAAACTCAACCAAGGCCCCTTTGCTTCATCTTCCACTAAACAATCACTGGACCCTGGAAGGTCCTTGTAGCAACGGCCAATGGGCAAACCCGGCCAGACGTGAGAAGTTCGCACCGACGCGGTGGAACGGACAGCAGCCAGTCATTAGGAACCAATTGGAAAAGGGATTGATGCCGGGATTGTTGGTGCCTCACATCGTTTTCGGGCCATCTTGATGCCTTGGCAGCAGACGGTGCCACATAGTATGCGTCCGAACCGAGCGCCAGATATTGACAGTTGACGGCTTGCTTCTCATCATCGCTGCCGCTGAAAGCTGGGGGATTCTACACCAGCAAGTTGTCAATTCGATCCGTTGATGGTATCTCCGTCTCATCTGATGTGTTTATGTAAGCTGACTGCATAGAATGATGACACGTCAAGCTGGTTAATGCAGTACTGACCCTGCAGAACTGTGTTAAATAAGATGTTGCATCAATTACCGCATCAAAGGAAATGAAGCGATGCTTGCAACTTGAGATGATTACACAGTGTGTAGAAGATGTGCTTCCGTGTTCGCACGGTTTGAGCAATTGGTGGGCTTATTCATCGACAAAATTGTCGATAGCTTGGAGCTTGGAGCTAGAGATAGAGACAGCGTCAAGCTTCACCCCTCAAGGGCAACACTTGATGCAATGCGGGGCTTCGCATCACTTTCGACTCGAGGGCTGCTTCGACTACAAGCCACTGCAGCTCCTCGCGATGCCTGGATCTGCTCGTCATGTCATTATGGGCAGGTGGCACAATTGCGCTCCGCAAAGAGCTTCAGCAGCAGTAGCTATAGGTTTGGGAAGGAGCTCAAGGACAAGCCGTTTTATGCGACAACGCCCATATTCTACGTAAATGCTTGTAAGGACATACTCGGTTCCATGAGATGACGGAATAAGCTGATTGTCTCTTTTTGAAGCTCCTCATGTCGGCCATTTGTATACCATGGTCCTTGCCGACGTCCTCAAGCGCTGGGAGGTACTGAAAGGCGGACCACCCGCGTTACTATGTACCGGTACCGACGAGCATGGCATGAAAGTGCAGCGCGCCGCCGAGCTGCAAGACGTGGCTCCAAAGGTATTCTGCGACAGCGTGGCTCAGACATTCAAGGACTTGGCGAAGAAGGCCAATATAGCCAACGATTTCTTTATACGGACGACGGATCCCGACCATCGAGACGCAGTCGAGTACTTCTGGCAAACTCTACAGGCCAAGGGCTTCATATACGAAACGAAACATGAAGGATGGTACTGCGTGAGCGACGAGACCTTCTATCCCGAGAACATGGTCACGAAGCAGGTGTCACCAACAACTGGCAAAAGCATAATGACCTCCATCGAGACTGGCAATATCGTGAAATGGACCGAGGAAAGGAACTATCACTTCCGCATGACAGAGTTGAAGGATAGGCTGCTGGATTTCTACAAGAAGAACCCAGAATGGGTGGTGCCTGCCAGTCGCATGGCCGAGGTGGTAAAATGGGTTGAAAACAACCTCGAGGATCTATCGATATCACGCCCGGCTAGTCGTCTGACCTGGGGCATCCCCGTACCAAATGATGAAAGCCAGACCATCTACGTCTGGGTCGACGCTCTCATCAACTACTTGACCAAAGCGGGATACCCCAACTGGACTCCTGGCTCCGAGCACCTTGGGGGATGGCCAGCAGATGTGCAGGTCATTGGCAAGGACATTGTACGATTCCACTGTGTGTACTGGCCGGCTCTCCTGATGGCACTCGATCTTCCCCTTCCAAAGCGCATACTCTCCCACGCGCATTGGTTGATGGGGCAAAGAAAGATGTCCAAATCGGTTGGGAACGTCGTCAATCCTTTCTTTGCCCTGGAACGATGGGGCGTCGATGCAATGCGCTACTATCTCATGTACTGCGGTGGGATTGCATATGACACCGATTACGGCAACTACTACATCACTCAATCCTATGTGAAGGGATTGCAGGGTGGTCTTGGAAACCTCCTCAATCGAATCACGCGACCTAAGGTCTGGAGCGTCAGGGACGCCGTGACACACGCACATGAAGTAAGGCGCCAGCGCGAACCGAAATCCACGACGGCGAAAACTTTGGCTGAGGGGATTGGGAAAACGTCTTCACCTGTGTGTGAAACAACGGACCTGCACCACAAACTGATAGCCTCGTCGGCCGAAACTTTCGCTGAGCAAATGGCAAAGTTGAATCCCGGAGGTGCTCTCAAGGGAATAATGGAGATGATCTTTGAGGTAAGTTGGACATGAACTATAAGCTCGTGTTGTGCTCGCTTACTTATTAACATCCGTGGAAGACCAACGCATATCTACAGCTGGCTAAGCCTTGGGACCTGGTGAAACAAGGAGAGATGCAACTAGTCAAGGAAATCGTTTACTGCGCTGCGGAATCAGTACGCGTTGCGGGCATTCTCTTGCAACCTTACATGCCCGAAAAGGCAGCGGGACTGCTTGACCGACTGGGTGTCGAACCTGAGCGGAGAACGCTGGCGTACGCAAAGCTTCATGCGGATGATACTTACGGGGTTTCCAGGGTGCCTCTCGGTGAAGGCGCGCAAAGTAGCTTGTTCCCTCCTATTCCGTACCAGGAATTCGACGTAGAAGATTAATCAACACAGTGCCGGCGTGGCATCAGCTGGAGACGAACTGCAACAGCGTAGATCATTATGTTCCTGTATAGTAATTACTCACTCGATACCCAACTCATAATTCGAAATGGCATTTGCTGCTTGTTGGGGGTATGGGAATGTGCTCGGCATCAAATTGATGAATTTTGAACCGTCCAAAGGATCTGTCTGCAATTTGCTGAACTTCGAATCCTCGGCGAACGTCAAAAATTGCCGGGTAACAACAACACTGCTGCAACTCGCACGCTTCCAACATACAATCACATCCCAGAGTAACATTATTAAAGAAGCACCAACTGTGTCAGGAGCCAAAACCCCATTTTCGAGACGTTGGCCGCAATGAAACTCAACGAAAACACCGGTGCGGACCTTTCTCAAAATCACCTCATGTCGAGGTCTCACAATCCTGACTCACACTCACCAAACAGCAATTTCAACTTCCAAGGTGCTCCTCGTGCCCTATGACGCCCACCATGTGCCCCAATATCATCATTGGATGGAAGACCCCGTAGGCATTTCTGCATCTCATTGCCTCACGCAATTGTTTCTTCACCCTCCAAAACGAAACATCGTTCGTTCGAGGGCTAATTCACAGCAGGCCATCCAAGAAGCAACCGCGTCGGAACCTCTCACGCTCGAGGAGGAATACGAAAACCAGCAGTCCTGGCGCACCTCGTCAGACAAGTTGACCTTCATCGTCTGCCAGCCTGTCCCAGTCCTACCTGGTTCCTCTTCGAATGGTGGTGATTCGGAGAAAGACCAGCAGCCGCCCATCATAGCCGGCAAGGCCGACGCGGCGGATCGCATGGTGGGGGATATCAACCTCTTCCTCACGCCGTGGGAAGACGACATCGATGGAGCGGACAACTCCACGCCCGCCCCGAGTGATAGAAAAGACTACGTCGTCGGCGAAGTGGACATCATGATCGCGGACCTCGCAAACCGCGGCAAGGGGCTGGGCAAAGCAGCCGTGTCGGCGTTCCTGCTGTTTATACGGAGGAATCTACGCGCCATTCTGGATGAGTATGCGGCGGGGACAGGTAGAGGAGTCGCTGGAAAGACGAGGAGGCCGGAGATGAGGGCGTTTATGGTTAAGATCAAGGCGACGAATGTGGGGAGTATGGCGTTGTTTACCGGGTTAGGGTTCGTGCAGAGAGGGGAGGTGAACTATTTTGGGGAGGTCGAGATGGGATTGGACTTGTTAAATGGTCTTGGTACTGCTGTAGGGGATGATGCTTCAGGGGGTTATCGGGAAGTCATTTATGACAGGAGCAAGTTGGAGACCTAGTTCGATGTAAGATGAGATAGGGGATAACTCTCATGGTTTCGAACGTAGGTTGGAGTAGTTTACCGATATCAGGAGGTCGCTTAGTGTAGTAAAAATAAAACTCTAACAGCATAGAGTACTGCCCGTTGATTTTACACTATTTCTTAAGGTACCAAAGCAGAAAATCAAGATACCCCATACTTCTCCTGATATGCCCTAAGCATCTCCAGCGTGATATTCGAGCCCCCGCAAACAATGACAACCACATTCTTCTTACTCCACTCCTCGTCACTCAATGTCTTCCCCAACTTCCTCCTAAGCTCGCCATTGAATAAAACCGCAATCGTGGCACCACAAGCCACCTCGACCAACATCCGCGCATCATCAGCCAACCTCACCGAGCCCATAACCGCCTCGGCATCCGTTACCGTCGTATTAACAAAGTGCTTCTCCATGCTCCACTCGAAGGTCTGCCTCGCCACCGACGGCGCGCCCAAGCTAGTCGCTATGCTCGTGATCTTATCTAATGTCACAAGCTTGCCCGCCCTGATGCTGGCGGCCAAACTATCAGCCCCGACCGTCTCCACGGCCAGGACTTGCGGCTTGACCGACCAGGCTTGGCTATCCACGCCCTCCATAATCCCGTTCAGCAAGCCGCCGCCGCCGCAGTTACACACAATCCCATCCAGCTTGATCCCAAACGGCTTCATCTGATGCACCAGCTCCTTGACAATGTTGCTCGCCCCCTCCCAGATATGCGGGTGGTCGAACGGGGGCACGTACACGCCCGTCGGATCCGCAGCCAACAGGTTCTCCCGTAGATGTGCATCGGCTTCCGCCCAATGCGCCCCCACCTGGTGCACTCCCGCACCAAGGAGTCGGAGCTTGGCCACCATGTGCGCCGAGGTCGACATGGGGACAACGATGGTGCAGGGCTGATCGAGGGCCACGGCCGATGTGGCGCAGGCGAGGCCCGCATTACCGCCTGAGGAGCAGTAGAAGTGCACTTTGTTCGTGGGGGCGGCGAGCATGGCACGGTGCATCATGTTGCCTATGCCGCGGGACTTGAAGGAGCCCGAAGGTTGGAGGTTTTCTAGTTTGAGGAAGATATTGCTGTGGGAGTGTGGTTAGTTTCCGGATGAAAATTGGAGCTACGGGTCGGCAGAGGGCAACTGACCAGCCTGCAGCTCGGGATAGTGCCGTTGAGGGTATGGTTGGGGTTTCTATCCAGAGCTTTTGCGGCTCTGGGTCTGGTGTGATAGAACCCATAGTTGGAAGCTGTGATCCGTCTTGGGTCTCTCGAAGTGGAGTGGTATGGGAAGACGACTGGGTAGAGGAGCCAGGGGAGCACCACAGTGAGTATAGAGCTGAAGACGACGGAGAAGGTAGTTTCCTGGATTCCAGGAGCCGGTCAAAGCTGACTTCGGTTCCGCCGACGCTTTATGAGCAACTGGTCCGATAGTCCAATCTCCAAGGTCAAGCCCGTCCAAAACGAAAGTGCGTACTAAAGAATCGCAAGATCTCGTCGTAGTGTAAGTGAGGAGCGTAGTGGCCAGATCCGATTCGGCGCAAGAACAGGATAGGATATTTAAGCCGACTAGGTTCGGTCAAGCTCTCCCCCGGCGTACGTTGTAACCTTTCGGACGGGTCCCCTTTAGTCAAGTAGGTTCCGTCCTGCGACGGCCCAACGGAGAGTATTAAGACGCCAAAACAATCGAGGTTGTGGTACAGCTACTTGCTGAAGATCCTCCGAAGACGCGCCGACCCTGATTCATGCATGGTGTTGTGACAATAAGGCGTGTGTTTTATCTTAGGGCGCCATCTGCAACGCGATAAGACACCGCAATTGCGTCTCGCGGGCTACATTTTGCTGATGTTGACCGTCAGCCAGTCAACCACACATGCTGGCATTTGACGCAAGTCCGATAATAGTATATCCACGGAAACGTCGCAGGGTCTGGAGATCTGGAAATTGGGAAAGCCGGAGTACCGCTGCTTGCCGGTGTAAGCCGTGTCATTGTGAGCATTCGATTTTGTACTGGTAAGTTTGAGATGGCGAGCGGGTAAGTTGTGGAGTGTTTTCATTACTCTACGATTACCCTATACTCGCAGCGCCGTTACCCTATACTTCCAGTAGGAGGTTGCATGAGGAAGTCATCGGACCTTGGTGAGGTTGCACAATGGCTGCCATTTGACTCGACATGTTCTAGTGCAACCGTGCGGTTTACCCAAGTATTAAATTAACATGTAGGTGCTATTTATGCAGCAAGCGGGCTATAGGGTAGCTGTCGCCGCCGTCGTGGTGGCATGGCCGTCTAGAGCCATTCTACCATGAAATCAATCCCACATCAACAGCTGTTAAGAAGCTGTCATGGGTTGAAATATCAATAGCTTTGGTACCCGGTGACTGCCATGATCATGCATCCTCCTCCTGCAGTCCACGCAGCCTTGGAAGGGAGTCATGCCGGTACCCTTCTCTTAAGGCCAGCAGAGCGAAAACATCGGAAGTAAATCAAACCCTGTTCATGAATGTAATGAAATTGTCTAGGTTCCTTTTCTTCTGCCCGTCCCAGACGTAGTGTCCATGTGCCTAAGGTTTTTATCGTAGCCATTTCTTTTTTTTGGCCTCATCTACTAATTATCTTGAACACTCCCGGCTCTTAAAGCAACCGAAAATTCTGACTGACAACAAGCCACTTCCTCATCCCCCTCGGCGCCTTGGGCCCCTGCGCCTCCCAATGCGGCACCAGCATAAAGGCTTCATTAAACGCCTGCTCCCTGCCATCCTCGCCCTTCCCATACTTGACGACGCCGGCGACCTGAATTGCGATGCTCAGCTTGTCGCCCCTGTCGCTGAGGGACGCATCGGGCGCGCCGATGACGTAGTGCGGGTTGACGGGGTGCGCGTCGAACGACTCGACCGAGTAGCTCGTCGGCTGACCCTGCTTCGCCCAGAGGGCCTCGGCCTCCGCTACGCTGCCGACGTGGTGGCCGTTGATGCTGATGTCTGGCGTGATGGCTGCGGCTGTGAGCTTGGGCGACGCGCTGACGTAGAACTCAGCTAGTTTGTGCCGCCGGTTGAGTTTTTCGTAGTAGTGGTCTACGAAGTTTGATGCAGCTATAAAAAGTCATTGGCAACGTTGCTCCCGATGGCGTTAGAGGCGGGATATTCACCGTCGCTGGCGACTTTAGCCTGCGTTTCTGGACTGGGTAGCGACATGATAGAGGTCTGCGGTGGGGTATGATATCTGCCGCTCGTGTCTGATACTCTAGCTCTTGGGTCAATAAAGGTTGATGTCGGCAATTGCCGTCGTCCGCTGCAATGTAATTTGATTTCTTGTTCGTTTTGCAATGTCTTTCGGAGAATCTCGGAATTTAATATTGTGTAAGTTGTAAGTTTTGGAAGTAGATAAAATCAAGGTGGAGATGTGATAGCTGCCTCTTTGTTTTACTGATTGTGACTATAGCCCTATTATATAGCCCAGGACTGTGTAGGTTCTACAGATTTCTCTGTGACCACGTCCTTATCTAGCCTCAGCATAATTCACTTACTTGAGCAGTTTGAATTGATGTTAGGGTATTCGAGCGAATTTATGCATAATACTGTAAACCCAACATGCCCATACCTAGTACTGACGGAAGCACTGCACCTAGACATGGCCTTCGTTTGTGGCGGAAAACTCAACACGACTGTTTTTGCTTGGGTTGTACTCGAACATGCTGTCAAACACTACACACCATCTGTCTGATTAAACGGTGCTCTTCTGCCATGTGGTCCACAGAATGCCTGGTTGCAAATCGTTTCAGATCTTGGTCACGCAAAGCGCAAAACACTTTTATAAAGTCGTGAGAAGTCCTAATAGGGGCAAAAATATTATTCACCCACTTACAGGACCTCTTGTCCGATCTTTGGTGACTATTGGGGGGACTAGCAGCGTTCATAATCTACATAATGTACATTTCTTAGCATCACGCAAAAGCAAGCCGTAGGGCTCTCCAACACGCCTACCCTAACCATAAAGGTGTTGTTCGGGGCATCATCAAAACGGAGTAGTAGAGGAGTAGGTGGCCCTGCGATGTATGCCCGGCCATATGTGATATGCACTACAGGTCTGGTCGGCAGACTAACCTATACCAAGCGCTGCAGGTCGTCTCACGGTGGGGCGATGGAAGGGTCGACGGGAATGGAGGGGGAGGGGAGCATTGGCTCTCCTGAAAAGGAGCAATGTTGGTGTTGAGGGATGAGAAGGGTCTATCAGGGATAACGCGTGGGCGGACATTAGTTTCCTCTGAAAAGGAACTGAAGGTCCTCCGGCGTCAATGACTCCATGGCAGCATCATCGGAGTTGATGGTTGAGTTGATCATATTCGTCTTTTTCTCTTGAAGAAGCACCATGCGACTCTCCACAGAATCCTCAATGCAAAGCCGGGTAATTGTGCATGGACGAGTCTGCCCAATACGATGACAACGATCGGCCGACTGCCATTCAGCCGCGGGATTCCACCACCTAGTGATTATGATTAGCGGATATGTATAGAAAGCGAGGAAGGAAGGCCGGATTCAAACTTACGGGTCGACAATGAAGACTCGAGATGCCTCCGTCAGGTTCAAAGCAACCCCTCCCGCCTTCAGGGAAACCAGGAAACACTCGACGTCAACATTCGTCATGAAGTGGTTAATCGATGCCTGACGCTGCGCCGGCGTCATGCTCCCATCAAGCATCACCGTAGTGATTCCGGCTCGTCGCAGGCGCCACTCGATAAGCTGAAGCATTGTCGTGAATTGGGAGAAAATTATGGACTTGTGGGAAGCATTGTCCGATCGTAGCTTGTGAAGCTCGTGGACAAGCAGCTCAATCTTTGACGATGAAGTCCAGTTCTCCATCTTAATGCGGTTAATGATAGACGACTTCTTGACGAGTGATTCATCTTGCTCCATCTCAGGTTGCTCAAGATCAATGGACAGCAGGATGTGGCAATGGGGGCAATCGGGTTGCTCCTGGGAGTTGATGTAGCTCTTGGCACAAGAGCGGCAGAAATCATGCTTGCATCTTGATCGAATCGCTTCCTCTGCTGGTTCGTCACAGATGCAGCAGACCAGCACGTTTTGTCCGCCGTCACCAGACTTCTTCAGGATCAAATCGGGATGGTCAGCAACTTGACGCATTTGCATGATGAGACCGAAGATGTTGGCGTAATTGTTGAGAAGGACACCCTGGGCCACATAAGTGTCGAATTTGCGTTGACCACTGGTCATGATGCTGTTCGCAAAGTCATTTTCCTCCTCGCCGAAGAATTGACGGTCAACGTAGATTTCCTTGACGGGAAGCTCCATCGAGTTGGTGTGGTCCTTCTTCAAACGACGCAGCATGATTCGATCAGTCAGGAGGCGGAGTTTCTGAAATGCTGCCTTGCCTTCGCCCCTATTACCGTATTTCTGGATGGGATTGAGTAGCTCCTGGTTGAACACGGATACGTGACGCATTGAGCCGTGGTTGCCTGCAAGCAATTAAATTAGTACAGTGAAAAGCAGTACATAAAACAAGGCGCTTACAGTGTTTGCAACGGCCGTCATCGCCCATGGACCATTCAAGGGTTGAACAAGAACAGTTTCTGCAAAAATACGATGCGAACGGACTGATGTTCAAGAAGCGGATCAAGGAGAAGAACTCGCCAATGCGGTTCTGTAAAGGGGTTCCTGTCAAGCACCAGCGATACTCTACCTTAAGGGCAAAACAGGCCTTGGCAGTCATTGTAGTTCTTGTCTTGAGATACATGTTAGTTTTGCTTGCAAGAGTTGTAAGCGTGTAACTAACCTTGATGCAATGCGCCTCATCCAGGATCACTCGATGAAACTTGATTGCGTGAATGGCACTCTTCTCTGTATACATGCCTTCCTTGCGCTTGAATCCCTTCTCCTGCTTGCGATACATGGACTCCAGGCTGTTGTACGACATGAGAATCACATCGTACTTCTTTAGCTCTTTCGGGCCCATGTTTCTGGCTTTCGAGTTGGTGCCATGGAACACCAAAGTCTTCAGTCTGCCATCGGTGTATGATTCAATCTCGGCAGTCCATTGCATCAAAGCAACAGGCGGGACGAGGACAAGTGACGGCTGCTTTGCCGGGTAGTCCGACATGATGAGTGATACTGCCTGGATTGTCTTTCCGAGGCCCATCTCATCACCAAGAAGGCCACCTTTCCACTTCATCGCCTCCATGGCTTTCATCCAAGCAAGCCCTTCAAGTTGAAATGGCTTGAGTTGGCGTGAGATAGTTGCCGGCTGCTCAGCTTTGCCAGCTTTGAGAACAGGCATGTTCTCCAGCGTGATCCACATAGTCTTAAGCTCGGGATGGTTCTTTTCCAGTGTCACACGTTCGTTCTTAGTTCTACGTGCATGTACCGGACCTCTGAAGCCACGACGTGTTTGACCAATTCGTCGCATAGAATTTGGAGTGGTAGGCTGTGGTGGCTCATCCGCCTCTTCATCGAATTCTGCATCAGAATCTCCTATTGATCCGTCTGAGATCCCAGACTCGAAATCTTCGTCTTCAGTAGTAGGTAGAGGTGAGTCAAAACCAGCAGTCTTGAGCTTCTTGCGGGAGCGAGACAAGGGTATGTCGTCGTCCTCCTCCTCCTCGTCCTCCTCCTCCTCACTGTCAGGGATAGATACAGCGGAGCGGCGTCCCTGCGGAGCCTTGCGCTTTACTGTACCAGGCCTTGCGACAAATTTCTTCAGCAGACCATTGCGGCCAGGCTGAGTAGTTGGGAGCCCATCGGTTTCGTCATCAAAAAATTCATCATCGGTCTCATCTTGCTTAGCCAGAGACGCCCTGGTGGTCCGTCGTAAAGACGGCTTTGCGATAGCTTTGCCTTTCCCCTTTAGGCCAGGCAGTTCAGACGAAAGTCCACAGATGACATCATCAAGGTAGTCATTGTCACTCTCGTCGTTAACGGTTAAGGGTTTTCTAGTGCTTCGCCGTGAAGGCTGTTGAGAAATAGATTGTTTCATAGTGATCGCAGCAGCAGCTTTGTTGTCCTCGTCGCGCTGAAGACGGCGAGCCAAGGCAGCATCTGGTGAGTTGTCGTTGTCAAGATCCAAGTCATCACCATCAGAATCCTCCACAACATGCGAGGTGAGTCGAAGAGATCTTCTAGCTCTTGATGACGAGGGCAAGGATCGAGCTGTTCGGGCGTTACGCTCGTTGTCAGGATTGATGATTTCAGGCAGCTCGACTACCAGTCGACCTTTGCCTTTGTTGGACTTCGTCTGCTTCACCATGATAGAGGGAGCTGGCGTGACTGCATTGCTGGTCGCAGGCGTGGAGTACTCGCCACTGTCCGATATGGAGGCTGCCGGTGTAGGCACAGTTGAGGCAGACTCGGACTCGATGGCGGATGCGTTTACTTTGGGAGGTCTGCCACGGCGCTTAGGCGAATCAACAGAAGCTGTAGCACTGAGAAAGGATAGGGCGGTGCCTGCGTTGCCCACAGAGCGTCTCGTGTTAGGCGCCATCTTGTATGTGATAGCACCGTGATGCTGGTGGATGTAAATGGAGATAGGTGAACAGAACGCAAGTTCGTCTCTCTAGAGGTGCAGAGTACCAAGTTTGGCCAATCAGCTGCCACAATAAATCCAGTAAGATGGTGGTAATGAGAGCTTTGGTGAGATCGCCGTGATCACTCAGAGTCAGCTCCAGCGATTTCCCTCCAGCTACTGGATAAGGAGACCAGGCCCAGCGGAGCCTGGGTTTGGTGAGTGAAAACGCTGAAATCGGGCAATGAACAAAGGAATCAGAAACGCAATACAATTTCAAGCCTAAATAATTGCGTCGCTTCGGATTGGACGAAGTCAGTCGTCAGCAGAGGTGATGTTGATTCAGGATGAAGATCCCCTGAAACATTTCAGCAATTGAGTGGCAATCCCCAATCCAAGACAATGCGAGGGGCATTCAGGCAGACGCGTCGGGAGCGCCAGTTCACCTGACTGCACCTATTAAAGCTGGACCGAAATCATATGTATTTAGCCCGGATAGGAATAGCTACACTTGGAGTCCCCGCCAAACCATTAAACTATTAAACTGATAAGAGCTGGTTATTGTCGCTCGCGACTTTCCAAGTGGCAACCGCGTCTCTTTCAAGATTGGAAGGTGACAATCCGATCCGCATGCGCCGGCTTTCATTCCTAGAGCTCAAGTTCGCATCAAGGAATTTTTCTGCGATACCACGAAGTTGCAAGCTTTTGCTTGCTTTTACGACCCTCCCAATTCTGCTGTCGCGCATTTGGCAGCAAGCTCATAGCCTGTATCTTATTCCATCTGCACTGTTGGACGCTTAGCCTTCAGCGTACTCACCAGAAGCCGTCAGGTTCTAGGAAAGCCATCACGATGTTCGTTATCATTCATCCACACATGATTTTGAACTTTAGTGTTGACATCGGTCTACAGGAGTAATCGACAAGATCGTCCAGCCCGCCAAATCAGAGGCCCGTAAGTTAGCCTCCACAGTACTCAAGAAGGCGGCTTGCTGATTTTGTCCTAAAGCCAGTCGGCTCTAACGGATTTCTTGGCTGTATGTTCTCTATGTCCATAACGTAGAACCCTCACAATTAATTTCGAAATACAGTCGCAAAACATCTCGGCGAATCGTATTCGTGCAGATGCGGAAGCCCGACGCAATGCCGCCGCTGCAGCTAATAACCAGGGCGGCTCTAATGGCACTGCAAACACTGCCAATGGCGCAACCGCAACTGGTGATGTAGACGACGATAACGAGGAAGAGGCTGCTGAGGTACAAGTTCCGTCAGCAGCCCGCAGCCGAGCCGAGGCCCAAAAGCGCAAGAGGCAGGCTGAAGCTATTGACAAGATCCAAAAATCGAAGGCCTTCAAGCGGAGAAAGCGCAACAACGAGGATTCAGATTCGGATGATCTGGCTCGTGCCATTTTCCAAGAGAAGTCAGCACCTCTCCCAGGCCAGATGGAGAACTGCGAGATCTGTGACAAGCGCTTCACCGTCACCCCTTATTCGCGTGCCGGCCCCAATGGTGGCTTACTCTGCAGCAAATGCAGCAAGGACTTTGCCAAGGATGATGAGGGCGTGAACAAGTTGAAGAAGAAGAAGTCGGGACCCGCAGGTGCCAGCAGAAGAAAGTTGCAGAGCCGAATCTTGGACGGCATGTACGCAGTTGGCGCGAAGAGCCTGATGACCCTCTGCATCGAGACGTTGGCGAAGAACATCGAGCTTGCAAGCGACCTTGGCGATCTACCCCCTTTTCTGGTCGATCGCATTGCGCGAATACTGTCTAAGCGCCGACTGCTCACTTCGCAATGCCTCGACTTGTTCTTGCAACCCAACACCGAGGACGTCACGGTGTATGATGGATCATACCTGACCGCGAATGACTACATCCGAATCTTCCAAACGGCGTCGCGCCTCAAGAACCTGAAACTTCGCAATGCTGTGCAGTTCAAGGATGAGGTGATGATGTATCTCATCAGCAGAAACCTCGTCCTGCATAGTATACACTTACATGGTGCCAACCTTTTGTCTGAAGACTCCTGGAACGCCTATCTTGAGGCAAAGGGCAAGACTCTCCAGAGCTTGCAGGTATACTACACAGACAAGCACTTTGGGAATGGCGTCGTCGCTACTCTGAAAGATCGATGTCCAAAACTGAAGCGGCTAAAGATCGCCCACAATCAGAAGGTCACAAACGATGGCGTTGAGCACATCGCAAAGCTCGAAGGTCTCGAGCACCTAAGTCTGAAGCTGTTGCAACCAAAAGCCACGGAGCCATACATCAAGGTTGTGCAGGGCATTGGTCAAGGCCTCTGCACCTTGTCTCTGAAGGATGTGCCTGACCTAGATGATCGGGTTCTTGACGCCATCCATGAACACTGCCGTTCACTCTCGAAACTTCGCATCACCGACAGCGAAGTAATGACTGATGCGGGCTTTGCAAGACTCTTCAAGGACTGGGCCAACAAGCCACTGCTTTTCGTTGATTTTCAAAAGTGTCGGCATGTCGATTCTACAAAGCCACGGGAGAACCCACACATGGTTGGTCTCTGTTCCGACGGCTTCCGCGCTCTCATGAAGCATTCCGGCAAACGCCTCAGATATCTCAATATCCATGCTTGCCGACACATTTCTCGAGAAGCATTCGAGGAGATGTTTTCTGACACAGAAGTGTACCCTGACCTCCTGGAACTCGAGATCAGCTTCTGCGAGAATGTCACCGACTTTGTGGTCGGATCCATCTTCCGAAGCTGCCCCAAGCTGAAGGAGCTGAATGTGTTCGGCTGCATGAAGGTAAAGGAGGTTCGCGTGCCCAAAGGGAAGATCTTGGTCGGTGTTCCCAATGCTGTGGGCATGATCATCGAAGGCTCTGACAATGATTCCGTTCCCCAAGCTGGCATGCCTTGCACTCGTTCTGACACTGCCAATGACAAGATCAACGGCGCGACGAAGCAAGATTGATTAGTTCAGCATCGTCTGAGTTATCATGCGCTGCATCGTATACTCTGAGACTTTTGTCGCCTTCATGTAATTTACTGCAGGAGGAGTATGTTTCTGGCTCAATAACCGACCAGTTTTGCTACGGCATGAAGGGTGGATGGAGTCCGTTTACGCATGGACGAGCGCGCAGTTGTATTTGACTGCAACGTAGATAGCATGAAATCCATTGCCAAATTGAACTGCTGGGCTAATCGGTCACCAGATGACAAGACGTAGGCGCGGCGATTCCGAGAAGCCTGCGCTCCGATGACTCCCATGCCAGAAGCAGAGACGGATACAACCACATGTACGCAAGTTCATCTACGAAATACTGCATGTTGTTCTGTTTGCAATTCAGTAAGCATGCATTGGCGATGGTGGCGAAATTTCCTGGTTATTTACTTTCGAGTTTTGTACTATATACATATAAGGGTAAAGACGGTGAAGAAGTATAGCATCTGTGTCTCCTGGTCACCCTCCCCAATCGTCCCAACTCCCGAGTGTCAGTCAGTGTGTCGATGATTTAGTGTTTTCTCCCCACGTCGACAAAAAGCTCAAACCTCCCTGCCCCTTCCATCACTTAATGAGCTAGAATTCCCCTGTCCCTGCTGATTCCATAATGCAACTCTGGGCTTGGATTTCCAGACAGAGCTTAAGCCTCGACGTCGTCCTCAGCTGGGTGGCCTCCCTTGCCTTTTCCTTTCCCCTTGCCCTTGCCCTTACCTTTGCCTGGAACACGGCCGGGTATTAGCAAGTTGTGCTGGCCACAGACATCGGGGCCAAAGTGGGGACGATTAGGCTTCGATTGGGTCGTGTTGGAGAGCACGAACTACCAGCCGAGAGAAATTGATCCGAGAACAGGCCAACATGGGAATGATGGAATTAAAATTCACCTTTTCCTTTGACCTTGCCCGTGGGAGGTGGGGGAGGTCCCTTTGGATCAGCTTCTGGCTCCTCGTCTCGGGCCTCAACAACTACGTCTGGGTTGACAGTTAGTATTGATTTTCCCCCAATAACAAGTCGCGGTTGTTGCAAATACTCGTAGGCCTTGCCTTGAGAGCAAGTGCTATCCAGCTAAGCCACAGTTGAAGAGTCCTTGCTCTCGAGGCTTACCGTCGATGTCATGATAACGATGGAATGTGTATACTGACCTGGCAAAGGCGGGTGGCTTTTCCCCTTACCCTTGCCTTTACCCTGAATTCGAAATATTATATCAGCAATAAGATCTTTGGCAAAATATCCGTATCGTATCTCTTACCTTGCCCTTCCCCTTCCCCTTTCCTTTGCCTTTGCCCTTGCCTTCTTCGACAAGCTCGTCGGAAGCCTCTACGGCATCTTCAACATCCCGGGCATAAGCCAGGACATTGACGTCCTGTACACGGCAAGTTATGTTACCTAATATTCTCATCAACACCTGTTACAGTGCGCATACGTACGTATTCAGCGGCACGGGCCTCCAACGGGGCTACCTGAGCGCCAGCGTCCTCTCGGAGAACGAGGGCCAAGGCCTTGGGGGACAGCAGAAGAGCGGCGAGGAAGGCTTTGAAGATCATTTTTGAGAACTCCGAGGTTCTTAATATGTGTGTTATCTGGTAGAAAATGATAAAATAATGAGATATAGAGAGTTAGAATTATCTTAGCATTGGAAGGGAGGGGATCAAGCAACCCTTTATACCTGTTCAAGGGAGCATGAGAGTACATACCAACTCCCGTCCCGTTCCTTCAACGGGTACTCCTCACGGAAGCCACAACCTATCGACCCTTGAACAAATGATACTCGAGACAGATTTCCAGAATGGCAGCTTTTGGAATATCAGATCTCTATGAGGAGTTGATTTCCGCCGGAATGTGGGCAGCCCCGGGAAACAAGTGAGGCGCCATGACAGGCCCTGAATAAAGATACCCAGATATTCAGGTAGGCGCAAGCCGTGTATCTCGACACATCTAACTTGGTCCTTACGGGCGCTCGCTCCGCATCATGCTTTTGACGGGATTGTTTCATAGGTTCCCCTGGTGAACTCCAAGGCTGAGAACCGTATTTTGCCAAGCGACACCAAGTTCTCCATCCGATGAGCAAGAACATGAACTTGGCATCGCGCAGGTCTGCTGAGGAGGGACGAGGAACACATAATTTATTCCGATATTGCCAACAGGTACTAAATGGTCACGATATTGTGTACGACCCGCCGAAGCTTACGCGTCACCGCACGCTACAACTTTACCACCTGCGGTGCAGTTTACAGTTTGATGTTGACGAGGCTGGTAATCGTGGCTCCAACATGACGGTACGTCCAATGCGTGTCATAAGTTGCAGCAGTCCATTCGTAAGTGGAACTGACAGCTCTAGCCCTTTGAACTTCGTATGCTTAGCACTTTCAAGTTGGCATGACTGCCCACGTACAGACTCATATTTGTGGCTCCCATCTGCGAATATTTCTTATAGCTTGTCACTATGTATCAAACTCACGTTCAGGTACTCAGATGATTTCAATACTACTGCGATGACGTGTTTTTCGGTACATCGACAATGGATATGTTAACGCGAGTTTGCCCAATATAGCCGAGGAACCATTTTATCCCCCGGTCAAGACGGCGTCAAAGATCCCAGCTGAGGAAACAGTCACCACCATGCATGTCTAAATGAGGCTCAATCTGGATAATGTCTTGGCATTTGCACCGCTGTTACCCTGCCACTAAATTACTGTGCCCAGAGCTGTCCCCTGTCGAAGTTGGATAATCCTAGCACTTACTTATACCAGACTCGTTTGTCACCAACCTCGACGCTTATGTCTTCATCCTATGTCTAGCAATACGTTTATTTGACATTTGCAAAGATGAACTTCTCAACTAGTTAGACGAAGGGAATACAACAGCTTTGACAGAAATATGCGACCTGGATATACGGCACTAAAAATAGAGAGGATGTTGATATGTACGAGAATAAGTATGCACCCGTTATGATGACGCTGTATCAATGCGCGTACAAGCAATGCTGAAATTATAGGGTGGATGGGGGCGTTTCCTCATGTCGTCTGATCCGGAATGTGAGAGAAAAAACGAACCCTGGATGTCGAGCGGCATCATTGTCGGCGTAGATCCTTATAGCCATATTGAGTACGCGCCATCTCCATTGTAGCTCTATTATCGGGTGGCCCTATGAGATTGCGTGATGTGATGATCTCTAACTCTTGTGGATTTATCAGCGACCGCCATGAGTAAGTCGGGACAGGACTTGATGTCGCCTAGCCTTGAAGATTCTAGTCTGCCCCTTCTCCCGCCATAGAGGTGTTCATCTAATCGGAGCCCAGTTATGTAGGTGACAGCAGCTCCCATGGGCAGTTCAGAAGATGTAGCCCGAGCCTGCAAGGTCGCTTAGGAGAATAAAACGCATGGCTCCTGCTTGCTGGCCATTCCTATGGATCTATCACCAGGACGGCTGATGCCAGTCATGTCCGAGAGATGTAGGCCTGAAGAGATATGAAGGTTGAGGTCAATATCTACTTGGGACCACATCACCTCTCGTCTTCCTCTCGTCTTGATGTCCAAATTGCCCTCTAATCCTTTCTCTTGAGTGGTCAAAAAGTCGGGGATGCTTCCGTTCCCTTGCGTAAACTTGATGTTAGGGGTTCACGGGGATGTTCTCATGACTGCATAGCCATCAGAGAATAGGGGGTCCTCGTAGAAACGCCGCTGAAAAGAAAGCGGGTATTGGCACACACAGCTCATAATGATTGCCTCCCCGCCCTAGCCGATGTTCTTAGCGTTCAGAATGAGCCCGTTGTTGCTGTCAAGCCAAAAGATTGTCCCAACCCTCTCCCCCGATCCCACGATCACGTCATCAGAAAGCTATTCACGCTCTGCAGCGTAGCCCTACTAGGATTCGCCTCAGGATATTCCGTCATTATACGACCCAGCTTAGCCTTGATGACATTTTTATTCACCCCGTCATTGCCCCCACCAGCCTTCAAATTTCTCCCCTCGTCGTCGAAGCACTGACATAGCAACGCCAGCGTAACCCCAATAGAGAAGTCTTTCCCAGTTTCGCAGAGGATCAAGACTTTTCCTTCCTCGGTCGCAGCATTTGGAGGGTTATGCTGAGTAGACGAGAAAAAGTTGTGCACAAAATCGCAGATCTGTGGAAGAGCAGAGCGGAGGTTTCGGCTCGCGAGTTTATGTTTACCGAGACCAACCTCCATGCGCGAGGTCGTCTTGACCCAGGTATTTGGGTCCGTGACTCGAGGTAGGATAGAGATGGTGCAAGTGCGCGTCGTGGGTGATTCTGCTGAAAGCGTGCCCACGAACACGGATGGGGTCAGTTGCCTTGTAGCAGAGACACAAGAAACAATCGAGTGCCTCTCAACCAGCGCCAAAACGACGTCACGAAGATCAGCTTCAGGGGTAGAAAGCAGTTCCTTTTCATGCTCCCAGAAAACAGGCGGCGTGAGACCAAGCGCCCAATTCTCCGTATCATCCCCAGCACCTTGGATATAACCCCCCTCACTCATCTCGCCCCCCACAACCCGGCGCGAGCAAGTGCAACATATGACCGGATGGAAATCTTCGAATACCTCATTAGTCGGCACGAGCTGCGAGTCTTGCGTAACCCACATGGGCCTCAGCGGCCTTTTCACTTGTCCCCGCAATCCTTCCAGGTCAATATCAAGCCGTTTCAGTGACTCCACAAACCCCTCAATCCTCGCCTCCACCTGCGCATGCTCACTCTCCGAAACAACATTCGGCGGCGTGTACAACCGATGCCGTTCCGTCGCGTTAGGAAACAGCGCCCTGTTCAGTACACAACACCAAACCGGAACCGTCTTGCTCAGGGCATCAGGCATGCGCTTCCCGCGCCTCGTCGAATCGACGATAATACATCCATCGTTTTCTCCAATAATACTCAACAAATGCACGTTAAGCCGCCGCGTGCTGAATTTCCACTGGCCGGTGTGGCCGTCCGTAGATTTAAAGTAGGCGGATCCTCGCTTGTTTTGGGGCGCGATGTACCAGCTGCCGCAGCGCTCGTTGGCGATGAGTGGGCGGTCGTTGAAGGCGCTGGTCACTTCCGAGACAAAGTAGGCGTCTTCTTGGATGGAGTGCAGGCGGTTGGTGATGGATAGATTGGACCGTTTCAGGTCCGTGAGGATGCGCGAGAAATTGTGGTTCGCTTGTGGTGAGAAAACGAGGTCTGCTACTGCTAGAGCCGTCTTTGCCTCCTCTTGAATTGCTGCTGTGCACTCCATGACTGAAAATGTGTCTACGAGGGTGCGGTTGGAGTGCGAAAGTCCGCATCCAGATTCGACAGATGCTTATTATCATCAACTGCCCCACTATAAAATCGTCCTCTCAGCACGCATTCAACTGTCAATTTACGACTACGATCGTCCCAGTTTTAAAACCAGCACGACTACCCAGTGTTGCTTCTGTGTGGAAATCTTCCACAGTGTCTAAGTTCGACAGATCAGTTCAGGGAATGGGCTAGATGTATCGCGCATCAAGCAAGAGCTACAGCCGAAGCAATGTGGGTTTTCCTCCAGCTCGACAGCTTCTCTTGGGTATCTATCATCTACAAACACCGTGCTGCACAAAGCAACGGTTAACATGAATCCAACGCCAGCAATGCGTCCATATGACCATAACCCAACGAACGTATGCAGAAGCCCAACCCCCAACCCCCAACCCCCAAAGCCTTCGTTAACAGAGCCCCATGACATCCGAAATCGTTACGTTCGTCACGAGCAAACCTGCATTACATCCGAGACACCGCCATCGAGAGCACGGCGGGGGCTAACACTCCCACTAGTTGGCTTCATGCTTCTCGAGATCCTCGTCCCCGATTTCCATCATGTCGATATGGCTATTATTCAGCGTCTGACTCCCCTGCCTAGGCCGGGTGATGAATGGTGGTGGACCGCCCGACCGCTCCTGCATTTCCGGAACTTTTGATCCAGAATCATCACGTTTCGGAGTCTGCGGACCATCGCGCCTAAGAATTGGGGACTCGCTATGAGTTCGAAAGTTCGCCAGGGACTCGACAACGCCACCGAGCTTATTAGTCTGCGGTGCCGGGTCGGCGAATTCCTGGTGGAAGGTGCTAGGTGTGCTATCGTCGGGAAACGGATCGGGTTCATCTGAGAAGATCATATCCATCATATCTCGTGAGGATCTACTCCCCAGTGTGGCCACAGACGATCCAGCGCAACTATGCTTCCGTTTAGTAGGCAATGTTCTGATGGGATCGGTGGGCACGGATTGAATGGCTTCCAGCGTCAACGGAACTGCTTCAGAAGTCTGCTCTTGTGCTTGTGCTATTTCCTGCTGGAACGAGCGGTTATCCGCGCGGACGAACATCTTGTGCAATCAGTCATATTGTCTTTTCCCACTCCTCAAATGGAGAGACTCACCTTCAAAGCATCAGACAAGGGGATTGGCTCCGCATCCATTGCCGTCTCTGATGCGTAGACGAGGATTGGGAAGTTCGACTCGGTGCCCGCGGCCAGGAGCACGGTATCTACGTCCGTCTTGTCGACCTTGACTGGGTCTGCATGATTCTCAACATATTCAAGTCTCCACCATTGATCGCAGGATCCCGATCGTTCTTCGACATCTCTACAGGTGGCTTCTACCTTGTCCCTGGTGCAGATGTATGCGATTTCAGGCGTGGTAGCCACGCCTCGGAGCGCATATCTGTGAGTCGGATTCCACCAGTTGGGATTATATTTCTCAGGCTGTGACGGCAGGATATAATTCTCCTTAAATTCGGCATCGGCTTCGTCTTCTCGGCAGGTCAAACGTCTCTTGAGGACTTCCAGAGCTAATTTGCAGTGCTCTTTTCTCTCTTGAGCTTTGGCTTGTTCTTCCTCCAACTCGAGGAGGTTCTCTGCAGACGTTTCGATCATGTGCTTTAATGTCGCTTGTCTCTTTTGCTCTTCTTCGTTGAGCTCGTATGGACCCGACCAAGTGTGGATGAGACGTAGGTCTTCCATGCTGAGCGTTGTGCCTTGGCTGATGCGCTCCTCGTAATACCGCCATTGGGCTTTCTTTTGTTGTCGGTCGATCAAGTATGCACTCGTCTCGATAATCTTCTTGCAGCACTCACGCGCATCATGAGGCTGTTCCAACCATTCGTATTCAGCGCAACCTTGCTCTCCTTTACACGTCATTTGCTGTTTCTCCCACTGCTCAAGCCCCTGCAGCCCGTCTCTCTTGATCCAGTTGATCTGGGATTGCAACTCCAAGGCCTGAACCTTCCGAGACTCCAAATAGCGATCTACATAAAACACAGCAGGAATATCGCACGGCTTCTTGAGGCCCTCGGGCCCACCAAATCGAATGGTGAATATTTCAGCCGGGTTCGTGAAGAAGGCGTTTCTAGCACCTTCGGGGAACGAGTGGCCCGGCGACAAAGCGTCATCCCATAAAAGATGATCGATAACATCATAGAGCGTGGTGATCCAGTCGTACTGTTCAGGATTTAATGCAGCGTCGAGGAATGCAAACTTGGTTTGTTGGTCCTCGTCGTCGTCCTCCCCTGATATTATCTTTTCGACTTTGCCATCAGTGAGCAATCGGTTCATCAACTGTTCAAAGGTTGGGTTGTTTTGGCTCTCATTCTTCAAAGCCTCGAAAAACTTGTCTTCGACTTCGTGATCAGCCCCCCAGTAGTTGGTACCAATTTCCTCAGTCTCAGCTAGGCAATCTACAGAGCCATAGCTTCGCTCTGTGCCGTCCAGGAAAGCTATGAGGCGGTGAAGCTCCTCACTAAAGTCAGGATGAGCCTCACCACCCCAGACCACCTCGCCTCTAGCCATGGCAGCCAGCTGCTCCTGCTTCAGGATGGGCTGGCCCTTCCACCAATCTGTATTATGCCCGTAGCTGCGTGCCGAATATCCACAGGAAAGGAGAATATTTCTAGCTAGGGGTATGGCATGGAATATTGCCACAACCGCCCCAAGACGGTGTTTTTTGCTTGTCCGCAAAAAGGCCGGTTCCCCGACTCCACGCTTCCTAGCGGAAGGAGGCACTTCCGTATTTGTGGCCTCAGCCTGGGCTTTGGTCGGCACCATGGCCCACTGGTCCTTCTCATAATCATTCCGGTTGGCAGGGCCAAAGTACTTGACATTGGCACCATTATCAACAACGCCCGTTTCCTGCGGCGGAATGCCGGATTCGGCAGCTGATTCGGCCAGGGCTCGTGCAAGATCGGCATCTTCCTGAGCAGCATTGGCGGGAACTCCTGTATAGAGAGGCGTCAGCTTTGTTGACGGAAGCATGCAGAAGATGTACCTGCTGCCTGAAATGCAGTCAAGTCTACGAGCCTACCCAGTGGTGATCGGTTGTTGGCTCTCGAAGGAGGGCGCGTGGGCGCTCCGCTGCTGGTATTCAAGTGACTAGTCTGTCCGACAAGGTCGTCGGGGCCATGGATATTGAATGATATCGCCGGATTTGCGGGTTCTCCCTGGCGGCCCGCACCGAACGCAGATTCATCCCAACGGTATTTGTTCTTGGAGTCGGTAGGGTCGTCTAGATACTCGCCGATCGCGCGTTCGGGGTCGTTATTATTGGCCTGGAGACGTTTAATAGCATCGTTTCTATCCAGACCAATGAACTCGCAGATCTGAGATATAGCCTCATCCGGCGGAATGCTTGTCGTGGTCATCTTGAGCGGTGGGCGGCTGGAAACTTGGTAGGCGAAGCTCCTCGATGTGGTCTAGGTTAGATTGCATGGGAGCAAGTTTGAGGCGACGACCACTACCGCGCACCAGGTTGTTTCGCCCGACAGGCTCCCCAACTGCGTCTAGCGAGTCTCGTGACCTCTCAAACAACGATTTCTAAGAACTGTACCAGATTGGCTGTGATGGTGGTTGTGATTATGATGACGTTTATGGACCCTTAACGCTGGGCGGCTTGGTGGGGGGGTTTAAAAGAGTAAGGGTTGTTGTCGCCGTAGAACAATGATGGCCGAAATGGAAATTTTCTCCTAAAAATAAACTAATACTACGAACAGCGATAAATGATGCTTGGTCGATAATGTCTGCAAAGAAGCAAGGCCTTGATGCTGACGCCGCTTGGCCTGATTACTTTTAAGTATTTTGGAAGTCGGGGTTGAAAGCTCCAAGTCTTGGTCTCCACGACAGGGAAGCTTCTGCCACACAGCCTCTGCTCAAGTGTGGCTAGAAATGGCACACTCAGGTAGGATCATCAAGCTAGTCTCTGATCTACTATGCAGGAATATCGAGCTATGCCGATTTTTTTTTTAAAAAAAATGTTTCTTTTAAATTTTATTGGCAATGTTCTTGTTGCAGCATTTTTATGTCACCTTCGTAGTGACTAACTGACATCCGGAGTTTTATGTATTAGGAATCTGGTATCCCGCACCCACTTCTTTACATACATGGAATTTGTGTCCTTTTTGGAGGCATGCAAAATCGATCCTCTCGTATTTCTAATGTGTAAAGGATTCGACCCTTATGAAGACTTTCGTTTCTCGAGAGTATCAATTGCTACTAATACTGCTCGATCAATCGTACTTACGAGCCCCAAAATCTATACAGCATATTCACGCTTTGGCAGGTGCGCAGGCCTCCATATCTTACCTAATCCTCCGTATTGTGCCACGCGTATTACCCGACAATATGTGACACTTAAAGCATTATGAATAGAGTACTTATAGAATAATTTTCTTTGTCGTATAGGAGCTTAAACTACTGAAAGCTACCTCGACTCAGGCATAGAGGGGTAAAAGGCACCAAGCACGAACTAGTGTATTTAGGGATCTCCCGGGGACCGATTGGGCAGTTGTTCTCACCTTCGTAGGACCAATTCAGCCCTCAGTACTCGGAATCCGACGTGCTAAAGTTGGGGTTGAAACATACAGGCACTTCCTTCCATAATTCACAGCAGATTATTAATATTATTCTAGTCATATACCTAATTCTAAGTACATTTATGACCTGTAATTTTAAATGGGGGATCTGCGCATACTTGGGTTGTTAAGTATATCTGTACTGTTTCCTTGACGTACACATGAACTACTTTAATCGTAGCCCTGGTATATCTGTGGAATGCGTTACGAAGTTCATAGTTACCTCATATCCAGACTGCCCACCAATCCCAATGGCGAAGATTCTGGTCGCCCTCGCAGTGTGAGCAGCTTCCTCAACCAGCTGTTTGTGACATGGCTTGATCCTTTACACTGTAACTTAATGCAACCATTATTGACTGTGCAAGGGCATTGTAGTCATTGTCTCCGCTTCTCCTATTTGGCACACACCATCTGAAATAGCAGCTTATATGGTATTGCTGCATAATCATGCCAACGTTATTCGCAATCCAGACATCAATTCCCGTCGTCCAGTGGGATGTGCATCAGACCATAACGTCCTCAGATACTTGTAGTGTTGGTAAGTAATGTTGATTACGTGAGTGATATCCCTATAAACATTGTATAACTGCTAGTCCTGCATACCGAACCGGCCACCTCCGCCCTTCCAGTGCGATATGTGTATCCGAGATCATCCTCCTTGGTGAAGCATGCCGGGGCATATGTGTCCGAGATCGAATGCATCCTCAGCGAAGCTTAGGAAATAGCCCAGTCCCAAAGCAAAATGTCCAAATGATAAGGACATGTCAAGATTCTCCAACCACCAGGTGGAAGAAACAAAATCCGTAAACGCCGGTCGTCCGACGCTATGCAAGTTTATAGGTACTGATATTAGAAAATGGCCGCCCAAGTTCGCGTTGCGAGTGGGCTGTGACGTCATGATGAGTGACGATAGTCGTCCTCTAAGCTGGGGACTCTTCGTCTTCGCTAGCCCCGTCTTCATCTTCGCCGTCCTCATCGAAGTCGGCCATATCTTCATCATCACCAGTATCGCTGCCTCCGAAGTCGAGTTCTTCGTCGCTCTCATCCCAGAAGGCAGCATCATCATCCACAACCTTAGGCGGCGGGGCATCAACGAGAGTTGTGGGCATGATGAAGCCCTCGGGGACATCCTTCTTGGACTTCTCTACAATCTCTGCCGCACGCTTGTTGTATGCAAATCGATCATCCCGAAACATGACGCCTGCGTCTACGTTTGCGGGCGAGTTGATCTCTGGATCGTCCAGGAGAAGCAGGACGGATCGAAGGACGGATTCGACGCCTTGCAGTGGTGTCCAACGCTCGCTTGCCTGTTCGCCCGACATGATGTCCTCGCCCGGTGTGTGCAGAATTGATATGCAGAGCTTGCCGTCGGGATAAATGTTGGGGTGGTATATGGGGATCAGAAAACGGAAGGTGGGGGGCTCGTAGGGGTATTCGTCGGTGAAAGTCATCTCCGCCTGTACTGTGTGTAAGCGCCCTGTTTGAGAAATCACCGACATGTCACTTGGCACTCACCTTGAAATAACCGCCATTGAAGGCACTCTCGGGGTTGACCACGATGAGACCAACCCGCCACCGTAGAATGTTGTCGTTAACAACCTGGTAATGCCTTTCGTCAGTTCAAGTCCGATGCCGGATGGATATCGACGAGACCAACTTACGTCAATGTTTACCCACTTCTCCTTGTCGAGTTCCTTCATTTCTGACATGAGGCGTGTCTTCGCACCCTTGCCATTGTGTTGCCGCGAAGAAGACATGTTGAGGTAAGGTTTGTGTTGGAGGACGCTGGGTCGACAGGGGGTGGATAGAGAAGCCGTCGAGTCTTAAACGGGTTTCTGGTACTCGCGCGACAGACTGTCGAGTCCAGTGTCCGATCGAACCGAAAATATGCGTTGGTTGAGTGGGGCGAGGGTGTAAAAAATGAGTGTTGGCGTGGTGGAAGTGCCAGTCTTCTTTGTGAACTTGGAGATAGAATTGTCAGATCGAAGCAAGAGGAGAGGTCGGCACTCATGGTCAGAAGAGCAGCGGCCTTAGGTGAGTTGGCGCCTGTGTCAGGTTGGAAGTTGCAAGGGTATGACAGAATAAACAGTGCACCAGCGATGGAATAATATGGGATAGTGCGATACTCTAGTATACTAAGTCAAAATATAGGGCTAACGGAGGCTGCGCTTCCATGTTTCCAGTCCTGAATCAATGATCACCACCTGGGCAGGACCTATCCTTCATCCCTCCTGCCCAATCTGACTTAGCACCGTACCACATTGAGACTTCAATCCCTATGCAACCCATTAGAGGTGCCCCCCCTTTAAGACATTTCTCCTCCATAGTTATAATTTTCCAAAAAGAATACAAGCCTTACGGCTATTGGAAACATTTACAGTTTTGAGGCCGGAAATTTATTCAAATATTATTTGAATTAAACAGTGTTAATCGTAAAAACAATGTTAATACTGTGTTAAGAGCCTAGCCCGTAGTATATAGAGCAGTAAGAGATAATATTCTATTCTCTATAAAGTAAATAACTCTGATATTACAAGTATACTATAATTTTATAGTTACTAAGCTACTAAGAAAGCTTTACATTAACTTAATGAATATATTTCTACTAACATAATAGTTAAATTAGTTGAAATTACTTCAATCTACCGGTATAAGAATTATATTAGTTTAATTAATTAGTATTGTATAATTCCTCAGCTATTTATTTGATTATAGTTCTGAAGAGATTGAGCCCTCTCTTCATAACTCTGTGTAAACTTCGTATTGATTACTATGCATGCTCTATGTGTTGTGCTACGTTAGTTAGTAGAGTAAAAGTACTTTATAGAGCTTTTTAATACTAACCTGCGTAGCATAACGCGTAAAGTAGGAGCGGTTAACACGATGTTAGACAATATTAGTAAGCTTTGCTAAGTCCCTAAAGTTTACTACGCCACTAAGCTATTGGGGCTCAAGTCCGGCCTTCGCTCTTAATAGCTTTAGTGTGACAGGCTGTGCCTGATCGCAGTGAGCCCTTCACATTTAGATAGGAATACATAATTTTATAAACTCACGATCTTTAACTATTAGAGCGTGTAATAGATACCTAGTAGTATTTAGCCTTCTTTCGTATCTGATATTACAGTCACTAATTATAAAATATAATACTAAAGTTAAAGTATTATATTAACATAATAAAATAGCGCGCTTACTTATAGAGTACTAATACAGCCCTTAATGCCCGGGATTCGACGTTTCCTTATAATATAGAGTTCATTTCTCGTATTTAAAGTCTATTAGCGTAAGAATCGGATTAGGATACTAATAATTATAAATACAACAAGTATGCGGCTTAGCTAGCAAATTATCAAATATATTCGTAAAAGTCATAATATTTACTAAAGAGAAGAACAGTGTGTCTTCCTGTATTCAAAGCTTAGCTAATCTCTAAGACCTAGACTTCTATTAATGCCATAGCTACTGTGGATACATATTCTCGACGCCCTCAAATGCCTATTACTCTGTTCCAACGAAGACGAGGAAAAGTTGCTGTTCTCTGCGTAGTTCTCCAATATTGTGGCAATTTCGGAATCGGCCGTAAATGATCTTTCCACTACGAGTCATTTTATTAAGGAACGATGGCATTGGGTCGCTTGACAGGCTGGATATCGGCATCGACCTCGAAGTCGGCGCTAAGGATCCATGTCTGATGTCTGATCAGATACTATGGCAGTGGGAGCATTCGACGGTTTTGATGTGGGTAAAGCACCACGGACTCGGAATATCACGGCCGCAAATGCCTCAAGCAATTGCAGGTCATTCATGCACACATGTAATGCATTGAGGACAGCAACCTCCCAAGCGCTGCAGAGGTCGATGTGATGGGGTTTTCGTTGGTTATCAAGGACTACAAAGTGATTGTGTAACGGAGAAAGAAAGCCAACGTCAGATCTCAATGGAACGTGTGAAAAGTAAAGTACGAAGTACGGCCTTTGCCGCCATGTAGTTGTTGGTTGATTGCGATGGGGTGGATCTATCAGCTTTTGTGGGGCCAAAGCGTCCTTTGGTACCGCAAGTGCCTTTCTATGGTCGCCGTCCAAGCGCGGGCCGTTCTTTCCCTCATTCAACAATCATCAACCACCTCGACGACCTCATTCCCGACGCCCGCGACGTCGTTTGCGACATCGAAAATATCGCAGCCGCCACTGGATTCTCATCTACACGTAGTGTGTGTTCGATACATCGCCGCGGCCAATTCATTTTGTGCATGCTGGTGGTCTGTCGGGCAAGTTCGACCACGACAGCCGGTCGGCGGTTTTTCGTGCGACCTCTTGCCATAGCAGACGTCTAAACCATCTTCGCGGACACACCGACATCGAGCGTCTTGTCGAAACCCGAAGGAGCCGTTAATTCACCTTGCGGGTTTTCGCGAAAATCGCTTTTTGGCGACCATTTCCGTTCCCGATCGGCTGCAGTGTTAAATTTTTAGGCGTCGCTCGTTCTCCCGTCAACCTCCCATCACAACCATTTGACCTCAGCAACACCGTCCATTTGCGATCGTTTAACCCTTCTCCCTGCCTCCCGCGCTACGGCATTTCTATGGCAGCCATGTCCTTCAATCCTCAAACACCTCAGAGCCCCTCGCAATTCTCTCCGAGCACTGCGGACGCTCTATCAAGCATGAATACCTCCATGACATCTGTCACGACTTCCCTTCCCACGCCAGCTCATAGCATCAGCGGCTCAACGACACACGACACCATGATGACCGACGCCGACTCGCCGCACAAGCGCAAACGAATGCCCGATGACATGGGCGATCATGAGCAGAAGAAAGTCCACCTCGAGGATCCTCGGAGACTCGGTATTGAGAACCTACACCTTGATGTTGGCGAAAAGTACCTTCTCTGCAGAACTCGTAAGGCTCCCTCTGCTACTCTAGCGCAAGCTTGCCCTAGCATTCCCTGGTTTCCTCCCAGCTACATTGGCTACTGCTCCTAACTCCTGATGCCCTTGCGGTGACCGTTCCATGACAGAGTTTTGGTTGACACTTTGCTGCTCTTTAGCCTATTCAATGTCCCTGCCACGCACGTCAGGAGATCTATTTGAGATGTTCGGTTTGACTGGCATTGCGGCCGAGGTCGCGCGGACAAAACCGAATGGAGAGAAAAATGCGTTGCGCAAGACCTACAAGGGTCATATCAAGACACTTGGGGTGAACGGCCAATTCGAGGCTGTCAAGAAGGAACCAGATGATCCCAACGGCTTGATGTTTATGCTCCACCTACCTCAAGAGGACTGGTATAATACCGAGGTGCGAGGCAACGAGATCGAGCGAGGTTTCTCAGATCAGGTCCAATCGAGTTTGCTCAAAGCAACGTCGATGGCTAAAGGCCCCATACCGAAGAACGAGTGGGACAGCGCGGTTCTGGGCGATTTGGCTCCTTCCAATATATCAAAGAAGACAAATCAAGATGCCGCAAGCCGCACTCCAGGCACTCCCCTGGCGAACACGGGCGTACCCAAGTCTGGCAAGACGCAGCTGGCACACATTGATCGCGCACGACGCAACATCAAGAAGCGAAGCTACCAGGACAGCAGCTTCGAGGGCTATGGTGATGGCTTTGACGAGGACCAAGGTGCCGAGACTGGTTACTCTACAGGCGAGAATGATGACCGCTCGTCGAAGCAGAAGAGGAGAAAACAGGTGCATATGGACCATCCGTCCTCGAAGCTCTTCGCTGACCTCTCCCAGAATTCTGCAGGCGGATCATCGTTCACTGGGGGCATGCGCCAACAGGGGGGCTACGGGGGTGTAGGATCATGACATTGATACCCAATCGCGGGCAAGAATACGCATCTCGCACGAAGGTAATGACGTGGCAACAGTTCTTCGATGGAGAGGGGCTCGTGGGATTCCCATGAAACAGCGTTTTGGTCTTTTCAGTCTTTGCATTTACTCCGTGATTTTCAGCAAGGCGTTGGGGTTGTCGTTTTATAATGCACAAAAGCAGCAGCAATCTGCGCCAGAAGGCCTGGGGATCTTCCATCGGAATATGAAAGCCCGGGCACTCCTGGCATCGCTGTAGATATACCATGATACAGAAAATAAAAAGCATTTTATTTCACGAATTGGTGAGCATGGCAGGATCTCCCTTGTCCAGTGCTATGTACAGGAGTACGTGCCGATTGCTGCATGATTGCTCAGTGCCTAGTCCACCTAGATGCACAAAGTACCGCAAGTGAGTGCTCAAGTGAGTGCTTCACGTACGCACTTACTTCAGGAGATAGCCATGACGAAGAACCGTCGGGGAGCACGTGCTTGTCAGGTCTCCAGATCTACATGACTTACACGAGCTCCTAGGCCATTGATAGCCACATTCACGCAAGTTGTAGTCAACTGCTTACATCTAGACTTGAGGATGTAGGTGGTTTACCGACCGAGGCTCGTCGACTTATGCGTCTCAAGCGGGCCAAGTTAGCGCGATGCACTCTGGGTCTTGCGTCGCACACCCGCCCAAGTGGCCGCAGTTCTCCTTGCACACTTTTTGGACAATGGAACCTGGGAACGGCCCCGCCCGCCAACATGCTTAACCAAGATCATTGGCCTCTGTCCTTTAACAAACCAACCCACCTTCATTAGCTCCCCTCGACCTCTTCTCATCTCTCCTGTCGACGTCTGCCACTATGATCCTCATTCCGACCTAACAGTGATTCAGAGTCCCAACGTAAACTCAAGCATGTCCATGTGAGGCCAGCAGATGTTATTGCGGCGCACCATGACTGGCGTCGTTTATCTGGATCTGCCTTTTTAACCACCAGCACTACCTAAGAGTATCAACCCATAAACCTTTCCTTTTCGACTTCTCAAAATGTCCATCATGGATTCGAAGATGCCATCGCAGCCTTCTCCTTCCCTTGATGTGCCGCGGAGGATTGGGACGCGCTTCGGTACACCGGGGGCTGGATACAGCGATGTGTACGGACGGGACCCACGGTCCTCGTCCATGCAGTCCCTAACACCATCACTGCCAGAATACGAGGAGGTCGAGAGGCGCAAGCTGCTTCTTGTCTACATACATGGTTTCATGGGCAACGACACATCATTCCAGTCGTTCCCAGCCCACGTGCACAAGTACCTCAAGACAGCTCTGGCTGAGACCCATGCCATCCACTCCAAGGTCTACCCGAAATACAAAACTTACAAAGCCATTGAGGTGGCTCGTGACAACTTCAGCAGATGGCTGGAGCCGCACGAGTCTCCCACGACAGATGTCGTTCTTGTCGGCCACTCCATGGGGGGTCTTTTGTCTGCTGATGTTGTCTTGATGGCGAGTATATTGGCCCCTATGAAAATCATCAGGCTAACCGATCCGGCAGCCAACCCGAGATCGGTACGATCCAAGGCTCTTCCAACATAGGATCCTTGGCACGGTGAATCTGGATGCTCCTCTCCTTGGCCTGCATCCTGGAATCATAGTCTCGGGCATATCCAGTCTCTTCCGCCCCAAACCAGACAATGACAATGACAAAGATACGCGGCAGGCATTCAACACAGTTGGACAGTATAACAACGCCAGCCAAGGCTCTGGCATGACTTCCCCAAATCAGTCATCCGTATACTTACCCTCGATACAATCGGGTCCGTCGACTCCATCTGTGGCTCCATCAATTTCACCAGCACCAGCACCAGCACCAGCTCCAGGCATGTTTCCTGCAATGACTTATGACCCCAACTTCAACCCCAATTTCCCCAACGACGTTCGACTTGAGGAACGTGGGTGGTGGCAGAACATCGTCCACTTCGTGAAGAAGCACAACTCGGTAATTTTTGGACTTCATTACTTTCTTACAACATCCATAGGTATTTTTATTGCGGCCATGGGACCTACCCTTTGGCTCAGATGTAGCTCGTTACTAACACGAGCATACAACAGGAGGGACTGGTGGACGCTGCAACTCACCACATCATGTCCCATTTGGAGTTTGGAAGTGTCCTGATGGATCTCAACTGCCTCAAGATCCGGTATGAGAACCTGCGAAAGCTTGAGGATGTCGACGATATAAAACACTACGGCATGCCTCATGTGGCACCTCGGGTGCGCTTTATTCAGTACTATACTATTTGCCATGGGTATCCAAAGAAGCCGAAGACGCCCAAAACTGAACCCAAGGCAGAGATCTCGAGCTTGAGGGCGGGAAATGACACCAATACTGCACCGTCGACACCCCGCATATCTGTTGAAGACCACAGCTCCAATGCAGGACAAGGACAAGTACAACCTCTACGGACTATTCCTAAGGAGGATTCGGCCGCACTGAACGTGTCCGAAGATGAGCGATCAAGTATGGAACTGGAAATGCTCGATCCTGAGCCCATATCAGAAGAGTTTCACACGCCTGAAGGGAGCAGGCAAGGGTCGCCTCCGCCTAGTCATCAAGCCGGGGCCCCTCCACCGGTACCAGCGACTCAATCAGCAGACACTAAAGACGGGGACATAAATCAGCCTCGGTCTCAAGAGAACCACCCTTCAAAAGTCACAACAGCCAGTGCTGTAAAAAACGGCCTGGAACCTGCTGGTGTTGAGCCAAGTGTGTCGAATATGCCTGAATCTGGTAAGTTTGCCGTGGGCATGTCTGATGTTGACGCAATCCCGCGCGACATTGGTAGTATATGTCACAATTCCAACGCCAATATTTGTGCTAACCTGGGAACTAATCCCTCCACAGATACGGATGCCGTCGCCGTCGCCACTACTTCCACGGACGAAATGGCTGATGAGCTTGCGGCACTAACGCTTGATCTCCCGCCAATACCCGATATTCCGGAGAAGCCAGTGGCTCCAGATTTCAGTAAGTATACCGACAAGGACGCACGAAAGCAAGCCGAGAAGGAAGCGAAGCGCGTGCAAAAGAGTTACGATCAGGCAGTTAAAAATCGGGACAAGGCCATCAAAGAGCGCCAAAAGATCATAGAGAAGCGCAAGAAGAAACGAGCTCAAGAAGTCGACAAGCGCGAAAAGGAGGCCCAGAAGCAACGGAAGAAGGAAGAGCAAGCCGCCGCTACCGCTGCCGCCAAAGCAGCTGCTGAAGACCGGAATTTCCTTGCTGAAGATGCTGCGGCCACTTCCATGACTTCCACAGACACAATTGCAGCGTCTGCCGTCAGCCAACAACCTCCGCTGTCCCAGGCACCTTCTGGCCTGAACCAGGAGAGCTCGCGCGCATCGGTAGATTCAGGACTGCAGCCAAATTCCAGTGAGCGAACCCAGCAGCAACGGAGCAGCAAGCCGGAGAAAGCGCCCAAGCCACCCAAAGAACGCAAGTTCTGTAGCTTGCCGTCCAAGGTCAATGGGCAGATGGATCCCAAATGGGTCAAGATCTTCATGAAAGATGTGGATGAGGTGGGCGCGCACACTGGCTTGTTTTTCCCGGGCCCGCACTACGAGAAATTGGTGGGTGATGTTGGTGATATGATTGTAAGCTGGGTGCAGGAAGATGCTACGAAAAGAGCTATTTTGGCGTTGCAATGATGAGGGAGAACTGGTTTGCTGAAGGAGGTTATCATCGAACGCTGTCGTTGGTCATGACGAATTAAAGATAGGGCTCAGGTGATGAAAGAGAGATACCCATATTGCATACGCAGTAGCCAGTTTAAGATACTTGGGTTGTTACTGAAACGGTTAGTTTCGTTGGGTCAAGACTTAGGCATTGTTGTAGAGTACGTTTCATGGTCATGTCGCGAAAGTCCTTGGTTTCAGTTGGGGAGGCAAGCCCGATTGGCTGTCCAGGGTGAATGGTACTCACTGTAAAGCAGAGGAGATGGGACTGTAAACGGTTTTCACTCTGGAGGCAATGGAATGGTCCCAATGCAGATCTCTGAGCTGGTTCTCGGATCAAGTCTGAGGGACAATGGAAAGCGACGGTTTGGAGGCCGACTCGAGCAACCTTGAGGATACTTATAATTCAAATGCCCATACCCTAAACAAAATGGCAAGACACCGTTGGGCTCGTATGGTATTGAACACACTAAAAGACCAACACGATAAACTCATGGCACTTGAAATTAAAAAAATGTGTTGGCATTAGAGAATAGAATATTGCGAAACATGTCCAGTTGGAACTGTATCCATCACGAGCACCCATTCCGTCCGTCTCACAACAGCCAAAATCTTACGTATCATTGTCTCTGCAGACTTTACACGGGCCCAGCAAAACCAACCTCACACCTCAAACTATCCGTATAACATACCACGCCCAAATCATCACTCGCCTCCCCCACCCAAATCTTATACTGCCCCTCCGCACCCGGCGCAACCCAATTTTGCAATTCCACATCCCACACACTCAAATCCTTCCGCGTGATACTCAACTCAACCGCCTCGCTCTCCCCCGGCGCCAGGGACCCCGTCTTCTCGAAATCCCGTAGCTGGATAACGGGCGTGTCGTAAGGCATGCCCGAGGGGAACTGCACGTACGCCTGTGGCACAGCCTTGCCCGAGTGATTCGTCTCGCCTGTGTTGATCACGGTGACAGACACCGTGTACGCGACGTCCCAGAGGGCCGGGTTGCCACCGTTAGGGCCGCCGGCAGGGGGGCCGACTTTTTGTTTGGTGGAGTACCCGGCTGGGTAGGCATAGACAGCACCCGATTGGCCCTCAGCGTAGGCGGCGTTTGCGTCGGATTCGGAGAGCCATGAGTAGAGGTAGCGCCAGATCATGTTGAAGCCGGCGGGGGCGACGGCTTCGGAGGCCGAGGGGATGGTGGTGTTCATGGTGGCGATAGGGGAGGTGGATTTGACCGGGCGCGTGGGGGGGACGGTGCTCAGGGACGTGACCGGGGTGATGCTGATGGAAGAGAAGTTGAAGCTGGCGTAGCTGAGGCCGTGGCCGAAGGCGAAGCGCGCCCTGATTTTCTGCTTGTTCAGGGAGCGGTAGTCGATGTAGAGGCCCTCCGAGTACGTGTCTTGGGGCTGGCCGACGGCGAAGCCTACCAGGTTCGACACGCTGGACGGGTAGTCGGACTCGGCGACCGGGATGGAGTAGGGCAGGTGGCCGCTGGGCGAGACCTCACCGAAGAGGATCTCCGTCAGGGAGTCGCCGGCTTCTTGCCCGGGCAGATGAGCCACGAGGACGGCTTTGACCGAGGGCAAGTCGATCCAGGGCTCCATGATGATGGGGCCGACGGTGTGCACGACAACAATGACGTTGTTGTATTTGGCCGCAGCTTTTTGGACGAGCGCGTCGCCGCCGTGCCACGCTTTGAGGCCGTCCGTGTCGCGGTCGCCGTGGTTGTTCTCGACTGTGTACGAATTCTCGCCCGAGTCAGAGCTGATGAAGACGATGGCAACGTCGTCATCGCTTGGCATGGGAACCGTGGGGAACGAGTCGGTCGCGTAGTAAGTCACGGTACCGGCCTTGCGCTTGAGCGAGCTGATGGGGTCGTCCATATACGGGTAGTCCGCGCTTCCTGAACCCCAGCCCATACCGAGGGTGCCGCGGTTGCAACTCTTATCCGTGCACGAGTTGATGCCCTGGGGGTCGGCTTGCGCGTCGGTTCCAAAGACAGACAAGGACACCGTGGTAGTGATTGGAAGGAAGCTGCCGTTGTTCTTGAGGAGCGTTACGGCTTCTTGGGCCACCTGCTTGGCAACAACTTTGTGTTCTGCCTGGACGTTGACGTACTGGTTCACGACTCCAGAAGGCGAGAGCAGAGCTCCGGGGTACAGCGGCCCTTCGCGATCGCGCGTGTTGGACGAGAAATTCGGCTCCGGATAGTCCTGATCCTGGCCCATCTTGTACCATGTGGCCACAATACGGGTTGCCATGTCGTTGAGGCGGTCCATCGGGACGGAACCGTTGAGGGCTGATCGGGTCAATTCATACATCCAATAACTGTTTCCAAATAGGGGAATCTGCGTGTCGCCGGGCATGTCCATATCCAGTCCGGATAGCGCCGAGTCAACACCGGATAAGTGGGCAAGCCAGTCGGTCATGACGAGACCCTGGAAACCTAGCTCGTCCTTGAGGAGTCCGTTGATGTTGTACGAGTTCTGCGAGTCCGCCGATCCGTTCACTGCGTTGTAGCTGATCATAGCAGCACCAGTTCCCGCGTGAACTCCCTCGGCGAACGGCCAGAGGTATAGCTCGTGCATGGTGCGGTCATCTGTATTTTGGGTTACTACGTCGGGTATATGACGGTTAAAGAATACATCACTCACCAATATTAGAGCTGTAGGCTGGCTGGAACGGGTTATACATGCGCCACATTTCCTGTTCGTTTCCGATCAGATGCTTGAGCACGGCGATGACACCCTGTTCCTGGACACCCTTGATTGTTTGAGCTCCGGCGACACCTTGAAGCACGGGGTCGGAGCCGAATGCCTCCCAGTTTCGTCCACCTCGAGGTTTCCGCCCCAAGGGGCCAACGGATGGACCGAGATACATGTTGGCACCCTTTCCCTTGAACTCTTCTCCAAGTGCCACGCCTCTCTCGTACATCAGAGACTTGGAGAAGGTTGCGCCGGTAGTGATGCCGGCGGGGAAGGCCGTCACGTTGTCGGTGCTGCGGACACCAAGGGGACCGTCTTGGAGACATAGTTGTGGGAATCCAACTCGGAGAGCGCTTCCGGTATTTCCAACGCAGGGTCTGGAATTTGTCAATATTCAGTTCATCCTCAGTGTATATGAGTGACAGTGACATACCCTAATCACCTTGTTAGTCATCATGCTCAGTTTCATCAGCAGAAAGGGGGCATTGCCAAAACTCACCCATAAAAAACCCAGAGCCGGCAGTAATGTTTGTCTTCTCGGCCAGAGTCATCTGCGATACCAACTCCACGGCCTTGGCGTAGCTGCCTTCCCAGTCATCGGCCCAACCTCCGTGCGGCGTTGGGTAGTACGGGGCGGCGACATAGCCGGCGGGCACGCCATCGCGGGCCTCCAAGGCGGCACCGGAGGAAGGGGATATTAATAATGACGATAAAGCCAAAAACCAGAGACTGCGGGATCCCGAGGGAACCTCAGGGTCAAAAATTATTACCATGATGTTTTATGTTTTCTACGAGTAGAGGCGAGTCACACCCATATGAAACAAGACTTAGAGGAGCTGTAGGTATATTGTATAGCCCGTTTGTTCAGGTTGCCTCGGAAAGAATAGGCGTTGAAGTTGGACTTACACGGAACACGCTGGCCTTGGAGCGTTTGGGGCAACCGTAGAAGCAAGGAGACACCACTCGGGTAGGGACCGCGGAGTTTATAGACACAATAAGCTCGAGTGGTACAGGCGGGCTACGGCAGGAGAGCAGCCAGCACCCGCATTCCGTATTCCGCATTCCAAGGAGTTGCCTAAACGTAGGAGTTTGAAACTATCCACAATGGGCGGACACGAGACATTTGGGAGGGTATATGATAAAGATGCAATATGTGACTCGCTTGGGCTTGATTGGCATCAGATAATAATCGGCGGAACGTAACCTTACCTGACTTCAACGCTTCAGGTCGAGATAATATTTTTGGAAGTCTATGCATCGCGTGCCTATCATCCGAGCCAGACGAGAATGGAAGGCCAAAGGTACAAGACTGGCCCAGATGAGGAAAAGGCCATGCAGTTCTGCATGTGGAAGCGGAGGACGAATCGGAGGATGGGTATTTTGAGCTCTTTGCGACAGCTTGCAGAGTTGGATCACTTGCTGGCCTGGTGTAGGCGGCCGGTGTTACTATTATCGATGCCCTGTGATAACTCACGACCTTCGGCGCTGGGGCCGTTGGGGGCCTTGAATGGGCTACCGATCATGGTGGATACATTCATCTCCGTCATATTCGGTCGTTTGGTTGATCGCGACTCAGATTCCGGCTGGGAATGATACGCGATTGGAAGGTGTGAGTTCAACAGACCTGTTGTGGTGTTGTTGTTCTGGTGACCTTTCCGCTGCTTGGCTGGCCGGAGGAGGGGTTACAGTCGGAATCGATGATAACAAGATATTGATACAGGTGTGTGTGTGTGTGTGTTTTCATGAAAAGTTGGCAGCTACTCCGTATTGTATGCAGCTCTTTGCTAGCTGCGAAGCGTGAATGTTGATCATTGTGGCAGGCAGCTACTAGAGGTGAGGCAGGAACGATCCGGATTGGAACCACATGCGATTACCCGATAACATGAGGGCCTCGAGACCCTCTGTGCTAACCTTGAAATTACAAAAAGAACAAAACTTTTGCCTCACACATTTTTCCCGAAGCTGAAATGTCGCTCACCAAGATGACAACATATTCTGAAATTCAAGCTCAGATAAATATGTTTGTGAGACACACAAGCGTGTCTTGCAGAAGTTTATTATGTGAAGTGCGTTCCCCCAGATCCGCCGATCAAAATACGGCATTGGAAGCCGAGAACGGGAAAGTACCCTTGCTGCCTTTCACCATGCGCAAGGATGGTCCTGGCTTCGTGACTGCTTGTTTGCGCTAGCCTCAGAGCGGGAAGTCTGTCGTGGAGTTGCTGCGTTCCCGAGTCTTCGATCGCCCAAAACAGTTGCATCTCATCTCACGTTTTGCCTTCTACAGGATAGATCTACTCAGTCGAACACTGAAGTCGGGGGCGAGTACTATTTCAGCTTTCAGTTTGCAGTTTGATTTGACATTGTCGGCCTTCGGCTCCGGGGTGGGTGGACTAGACTGGATTGGAGGGATTTAAGGTGGCTGAACTCCTCCCATCTTGACCTCGGTTTCTGTGCGCCAATCTTGAACTTCGTGCTGCTGATGAAGACGTGCAGATGCCGAGTTACCTGACGGGTGCATTGACAAACTGCCCGTGAAGTATGGCAGCGCTCTATTATTATCCAGGAGCTGTATTCGCGAGTTCTGGGTCGGGGCAACTTTCCGTCTTGCAAAGCAACTTGGGCACAGCCTCAGGCCAAGTTCGAGACTTCTCGCGACCTCAGACGATGCAAGTGTTATCTGTTCAAGCGGCTACTCCTTCCTTCCCGATTTCAATCCACACATCTTAAGAATAAGCCCCAAGCATATGAAGGCTCATCAAAGATATGAGGGAAGCTCCGACCAGCGGGCAGTCTGTATATTCTGCTGTATTATATACAGGGAAGATACAGTCATGCCTGTCGTCGCCATCAAAGGCTCGGCCGATGATTCGTGAACCAGCCGCCCGATGATACCGCAGTATTCGAAGAATCTTCTGCCTCCTTTCCGCACCGAATATTGCAATCATGTCCGACCAACTCTAAAGTCTCCCAGCCTCTATTTGGCGATGCCATTCGTTCACATTATGCAACCATCTACGGGGGTAGATAATGGATCACACAAGGTGGTTGCAGAGGCAGTTCATGGCATAACGGGGCCACCCACCTTTCTGGCCACCTAACATGCCAACTACAACAACCTTCGGCACAACAGATTATCGTCGGTATTGGCTATTATTATACAATGCCTCGATATTCAGAAAATTCGATTCAAGCCGCTCTCAATGATATCAATTAAGGGATATCCCAGCGCCAGGCTTCCCTCCGATGGGGCGTTCCACACTCTACCCTCCAATTACGACTCGGCGATGGCCTCAGCCATTCTGACGCGTCAATCGCGTCGATGAAGCTATCTAGGGATCAGGAAGACGCGCTGATTGGATGGATCCTCGAAATGGATCGCGAGGGTTGTAGCCCGTCGGCGCTATTCATCGCTAAGATGGCGTTGATTCTGTTACCTCAGGATCGTCGATCAGCGAGCCCCGGTCGCCATTGGGTTCATCGCTTTATTCAACGCCATCCAGAGGTCGGAAGTATCCAATCTCGACGCCTCGACCGTCAGCGATTTGATGGCCCATCGACACAGAATATCGACGATTTCTTCGAGACGTACGAAGCCTTGATGTCAGCTCACGACTACTTTCCACACAACGTCTGGAATATGGACGAAACAGGCATCGCGATTGGCGAAGGGATCGAGGGTATAGTGTACGGATCGTCAGAGAAACATACAACATTCGTTCGGAGTGACGAAAGCCGCGAATAGGTCACTATATTACATGCTATATCAGCGATGGGTAACTCGTTGACCCCAGCAGTAATATATACTGGCAAGAGCCTCCAAGCCCAATGGTTTAACGATTGCGACGATATACCTGATTGGCAATATACTTATTTGTCTAACGGTTGGATCAGTACTGATATCGCCGTTCGATGGCTTCGTGATATCTTTATATCTCGTACACAACTAGTTGATCCCGACGAGCAGCGGCTCTTGATATTAGATGGTCATATCGCTCACGACAACGTCGAGTTTATGTGGTTAGCCTATTGTAACAAGATCTCGTTACTATTTTTGCCAGCACACTGTTCTCACGGGCTCCAACCTCTCGACGTCGCCGTGTTTGCTCCATTAAAGCGGTACTATCGCTCGTTAGCGACCTCTCTCTCGATCGAGTACTGTTCTATTCCATTTAAAAAGTCGACGTTCCTCTCGCTATACATCGAGGCATATACGAAGTCGTTCACGATCAGTAATATACAATCAGGCTTCTCTGCAACTGGAATATACCCTGGTTGTACCTGAATAGCTATAATAGTACGTTGAATACACTGTTTCGAATACCTTCAATTGGATTGCAATATGTGGCCAGAGAGGTGGGTGGCCGGAAAGGTGGGGTTGTACGTTACATAATAGGTTCACATTTACCATACTCGCTATAGGAATCTCCGAGCACCGTATTTCCTTATTCCCAACTATTTCATTACGAAAGTGGCATGCGTCATCACGCAGCGTCAATTTTGTCACAATACTCGAGCTATAGTGCTTGGGTGACTACAATGTACTACGCGCCCATATCCCTGTTTTTGGACAGCACACCGCGATCCAGGCCTCCCAATCCAGGTGTTGTGATCTACAACGTCAGGGTCTCTTTCCAGGAACGCGTGCTCGTTCCCCGCGCTGCAGTCGACAGCCCTGTCGAGTAAGTATTGAGAGCCAATTTCCACTGCGGTGAAATTCTTCATGCTCCACGATGCGGATTTCCTCCGTGTCGGTGCCCGCCGGTTGGATGTACCGAACCTGCTGGATTCTCCCTGGTTTCCCAGTACGGGGTATATAATTGGGTCAACACCGCCATTGCAATGTCAGATGATCGTTGTGTCTGTTGCTTCCCCGTCAAGCACTCTGCAACATAAGCCTGGTTTACTTCCTTGAATAGGCCACTATTCTTGGCTGATACATCTTTGTCGCTCTGTGTGGAGATCTACATTCCTCCGTCGCCAACAGCCGCAACGGACAAAATGAAGCCATTTACTTGGACTTGCATAACTAGCTTTGCCCTATTGGCAGTCGCAAACCCAATACCTGACAGTCTTCGACTGTACTTGAACAATCGAGGTATGCCTAGGTAATAATTGCCGTGATCATAGAGTCCGCTAACACCAAAAAGCTGCTGCAGTCACCGAATCCGAGGTTCAGACATTGGACTACTACGCCCAATATGCCGCCGCAGCCTACTGCAATAGCGATGCCGCAGTTGGCTCGGTTGTGACATGTGGAAACAGCACCTGTGACGATGTGACAGCGTCGGGCGCAACAATTTTTGCTACATTAACGTGTGTATCATGGATAGTCTACACGTTGATGCTAGCTAACGTCCAAACAGTAGTGCCGAATTCACCGATGCCCAGGGTTTTGTTGCCGTAGACCCCGTTAAGGAAGTCATCGTATTATCCCTGAGAGGTTCGGCGTCTGTCCGTAATTGGATCACCGAGTAAGACCACAACTTCTTTTTCAGACTTTGTACCACCCACTAATACACATCGCAGTTTCATCTTCACACAAAAAGCCTGCGACCTCGTCTCCGGCTGCCTAGTCCATACCGGCTTCTCAGTTGCCTACGCCGAAATTAAAGAAACACTCGCCGCGGCCATAGCAGCCGCCACGGCCGCCAACCCATCCTACGGCATTGTCTTCACCGGCCACTCCCTCGGCGCCGCGGTGAGCACCCTGGCCGCGGCCTACCTCCGCGACGCTGGCTACGCCATCGACATCTACGCCTACGGCAGCCCGCGCGTCGGCAATCTCGCCTTCGTGGAATACGTGACGGTCCAGGCGGGCGCGGAAAACCGAATCACGCATTATGACGACCCCGTGCCCCGGCTGCCGCCCATCGTGCTGAACTACCGGCACACCAGCTCGGAGTTATGGCTGTCGACGGGGCAGGCGACCACGGACGACTACTCCGCGGCGGATATCAAGGTTTGCGAGGGCTATGCGAATGTTGCATGTAATGGGGGCACGCTTGGGTTCGATACGGATGCGCACGGTCATTATTTGGTACCCATCACTGCTTGTGGACCCTCGGGCACGGTTTGGAAGAGGGAGACAGATGAGGAGATGGAAGCGAAGGTAAATGAGTATGTGGCGAAGGATAAGGCTTATGTTAAGACTTTGCCAAATGTGTGGAGTTGAGAGGGCCTAGAGGGTTATTGGAGAGGGGGTTGGGTATAAGCAAACGAGCGAATGGTGTTCTAAGCAATGGGACAATCATGGGACAAGGTGGAGGGAATGTCCGTCGGCGTGTGAGGTGTAATAACGGCGACTTTCGGTCTGGCCACGAAGTAATATTGAACGAATAATGACCAAACATGTATATAAAATGTCTTACCAAAATGCCTCGCCAACGAAAAATGTTCAAGTTCTTAGAAGACAAGTCCACGGCGTGTCAAAGGAATCAAAAGGGCCACGGAGTTGGGAATTCGCGTCAAAGTGTTTCAAAGTATTCCGAGGACCACCTCTTTTCCTCAATAATACACATCAAAAATTTTGCTTCAACTCTGATCGTCTCTTGTTGCTTTACTCACTTGACTGCACTGATTGCTAACTCGTCGCAGGTTTAGACGCTTTATTGAGCGGGTATATCACAAACATATATCTAGCATATTACTACTCTATAAGTATATCTCTATCCAGCAAATTCTAACTCCGGGTTCCGATCCGGCTTAGCCTCCCCCTTTGCCGGTTCATATTTGAACCCTAACTCCACTAGTGTGGTAGCCTTCATCCCCGTCCTCTCAAACTCCATCTTAGCCTGTGTGTATATACCCCTCTGCCACAACGCCTCCTCGTCCCACCTCGGCGGTTCCTTGCCCTTGCCATCAGCTAGCATAGCCCAGTCATGCATTTCATTGATGTACGCCCCATCAGCCCCTTTGGGAAACACATGGAACGCCGGCCCATTTCTCTCAGCCTCCTTGCGCTCCCACTCCTTCATGGTCTCCCGTGACGGCAGTTCCAGCGCGTTAGCCCATATCCGCGCGTACACGGCGGCCTGCGCCTCGGACAGCGGGAATGGGATGGCCTTGATGGGCAGGCCGGGGAACACGAGGGTTGGGTGCTGGATGTGGACCAGCTGCTTATATAGCCCGTATACACGCCGGCCGTTGGTCACCAGGGGCGGGTCCATGCTCTCGAAGAACGGAAACGAGAAAAGATATCCTGTGCAGAATAACACGAAGTCGACATCCGTAATTACTCTGCCGTCCTTGAGCTGCAACCCTTTTTCCTCAACGAGGAAATTTTCAATCTCGGCCACCTCATCGAATCCAATGGCCTCCCTAATTTCCTTGGGTGTTTCCTCCCTAACCGAGACGAACAGTGGCGGCCGACACACCTTGAGGATCTGTGACGCGATGTCGAGACCTGATGCCGCGTTGCCTACTACAACCACTTTCTTCCCTTCGTACAACCCCGGCGTCCGGTAAAGCTTCGAGTGCGAAATAACACCCCGGTGCTTCGCGTCAAATTCCCTGATCCCCGGTATATCCGGCATGTACGTTGTCGCATAGTGCCCAGTCGCCACCACAACAGCATCGTACGTCTCCTGCCTCTTCTGGCCTGTGATCAGATCCCGACTCCTTACATCCCACTGATCCCGTCCCTCCTCAACTCTGAGTTGAACATCATCGACACTAGTCGAGAACCGAATCAACTCCCTGATCGAGATGGCATACTCCTCCAAGTACTGCTGCACCACCTCTCTCGTCGGGAAAATCTTGACTTCATCTTCCTCCTTTCCCTGTCCCTTCCACAGGAACCCCAGGTCCGAGAACTGCATCAAAGTGTGTGGGATATTCGTGTGTAGCCTCTCGTACATGGGACTGGGAAATACCGGTCCTCCCTTGCCATCACGCTTCAAAGGTGGATCAGGCGGACATAGCGCGCTCGTCTGCGGCACGTGAAGCGTCTCCGAGGGGGTGGCGCTGTAGTTCCACACGCCGCCGACATTGGCCTGTTGTTCTAGGACCACGATGCGGTTAAATGCCTCTTGCGCTTGCAAATACTTGGCGGCTGCGAGACCGCTGGGGCCGGCGCCGATAATGGCGATATTCTGGATGTTGAACGGGCCGGGGATGTCCTTGCTGACGGAGCCCATGTTTGCAAGTGATGAAGCCGGCTGTGGCCGGAGGTCGTGATAATGGTATAATTGTACGATAATTTGCTTTCTGGCCAAAGGTATAAGCGATCTCATGTATGGTCGACGGGGCAAGAGCGTAAATTGGAAACTTTAGTAAATGCTCGGATATGCTGAGAGATTCGAAGGTGAGTAACGGCGATAAGAAAAGTCCCGCGCATATCCCACCATCACATCATCGCACCATCGCACCACCGCACCCCACCCCTTCCCCGAAGTCACACGAGTAGACTCCGGTCCCGGGCCGGCCACAGATTGCGAATTTGCGGAGCTCGCTCAAACGGAGGTTTCGACTTCTTGAGTACCTCGTTTAACTCTCGAAAACGGGTATTCACTTGCTACACTGCTTACCTACCTATAGTGGATAAGGTAGGTAAGCAATAAACCAGGTTCTAATGGACCGCCACTTAGTCAAGGGTGGAAAAAAAATTGCGCCTTTCAGCAGCTCTTCTATAAGGTTCGAATACGGCCTACGGAGGATCCGCTTTTGAACATTAACGAAACGTATATACCTAAGTATGCTTCGCTATGCCGGTTGAGTCGTGATATTCACACGACAAGCAAGAGACAAGAAACCATGCTCCCCTGCATTCGTACTCCGAGGCCCGATGGTATTCAATGAAGCCAGCATCCACACGTCCTCAGCTATGCAAACAAACGCTAGTCAATGCATATCGCGGTGCCATTTTTCATAATAGCAGATAAGAGGCAACTACTATGTGCGCCAACGCTCCCAGAATTTCCACCACGGAGTTGACGGCGCTCCGTGTTCCCGCTTGGACACCTGATCCCGCCCGTGTATTCTCCAGTAGAACACCGGAATGCCCATGAGCACAAACAAGATGACTATTATCGTCTTGAACGGCTGCGCAAATACCGCCCTGCTGAGCAGAAACAGGCTTACACAGCAGAAAATGAGGGGGGTCGTTATCCAAGTCCGGTAGGGTCGCTCGAGGTTGGGTTCTTTGACTCTCAGGATGATCAGCCCCAACACCGTCAGGAAGTAGAACGTGTATCCGGCGACGCCATAAAACGTCAACAGCTCGCCAAATTCGCCGACAACCACATAAGCAGCTGTGAGCAGCGCGTTCAAGACCAGTGCGTTGACCGGTGTGAAGAAAAGCACACCATCATCGTCGCCTAGCATAGTATGCATCCGCTTCGAGAACCAACTCCTAGTCCGTATCGACGACACTCCTGAACCTGGAGAACCAATCCCAATGCGCCCGAAAAAAGCCGGGACATAGCCCTCCTTACCCGCAACGTAGACAAGACGGCTACTCGTAAAAGTCGACGAGTTCAAGGCGCCAAAGCAAGACGCGCTCACGATAAGAGCGAGTATCAGCGCACCGATTGGGCCGAACACCTTGCTGCCAAACATGACGGCCACGGTATTCGACGAGTTGATAGTCGCCAGTGGTAAAACGAGGAAGTATGCGATGTTAGCAAGGATGTAACTAATGATGACGAGTGGCATTGCCGAGTGAATTACGCGCGGGAGATCTCGTCCGGGATTCCGGAACTCTCCGACGACGTAGTTTGTCTAGAGGTCTGTTTAGCACCGTCGTAATGTTTATTTAAAGGGGACACTCACGTTGTCCCACCCATCGTAAGCCCAGAGTCCAGCATATAGTGCAACCGCCCATTGGCTCAAATCAGTACTCGTCCCTTCAAACCAATCATGGTTCTTCCAATCCGTATTTGCCTCCCCCGAAAAGGTGAAGCCGGTGAATGCGACCACAACGCCAATGGTGGTCACTGCGATCAAGGCAATAAATTTCAAAAACATGAGCATGTTATTGACTCGCGTGCCTAGTCGTGTGGATAGCGCATTCATGAATGTGACGAGGAACAATCCAACCAAGGCCATCCCCTTGTTGACCCAGGGACTCACCGTCTCAGCTTCGGCACCAATGGTGGCGCGTGTAAGGTACTCGCCCATAATAATGGCGACGATGGCAGCACTGCCGGGTTTGAGCACAAGCACTGCGACCCATGTGAAAAGAAAACCTGCCAACTCGCCAAGAATCTTGGACAGATATGCTTGCGAGCCACCGTTGAGCGGAATGGCACCTCCCAGCTCTGCGTAACTCGCCGCGCCTGTCCAAGCCAGTATACCAGCTATCACCCAAACCACCAGCGACGCGCCCGGCGACCCGACATTCGCATTGACCTGGCTAGGGGAAGAGAAGATGCCCGAGCCGATGATGAGACCGATGATTAAGCTCAGACCGTTGAGATATGTCAGCGTCTTGTGTTTCTCTAGCGACGTCCCTCCCAGACCGCCGTTCTGATGCGCTGTAGATGTAGGAGCCCCGAGAGGAGCATAGCCGTTGCCGGTCGACGAGGATAACGGAAACAAGTTCGCTGCGAAGTCAAACGTGGAAGCCGTCGAGTACGTGCGGCTATGACCGCGTGCGCTCAAGCCCGGCCGGGCTGCGGGGTTGTTGTCGTCTAACGGGTCATCTTGCTCGAGCGAGAGCTTCCGCGAGGATGATATCGAGGGTCGAGAGTCCGACTCGGAGCATGTATCGGGGCCGTTATCGGATGACGCGAGGGAGGCGAGTTCGAGGGAATCGCGGGCGTTGGCTTGAAGGCTCGACGAGTAAGGGGGAGGCATCGCGGTGAGGTTGCCCGATTTCCGCCAAGTGATGATAGACAAATATGCTGTCTATATAACTTTATGTGCTACGGGATTCGAGGTACGAGAGCCAAACACATGTCGGAATATCGACCCAGAACCAGTGGTGTGTGCTTGACGGGGTGTGGTCGCGCGTGGTAGAGGTTGGTGATGTCAGGTGTCGGTATTGAAACCGCCGGTCATAGTCGCATTGGACAGATACGCAATTAAGAATCTTGTGAACCCTCCAAGAACCCACCACACGACAATACCGCGGCAGTCTCCGTTACCAAAATCCTCGAGTGTAGCGGATAGACTTGATTGCTCGATAAAGTCTTCTTTGAACCAGATGTCGATAAGGACGACAGAAACGCTGGCAAAGAGAACAAGTGGTAGCGAACAGCAAGCGCAATGCATCCTGGGTAGGTGTTACCTCTGTTTGAGGCCAATCGGCCAGTCGCGGAGGCTCCTTTTTCCCCTACTAAAATGTCTGTGCATTAGTCTTGCAGCAACGAACTTCGGCTCTTGCAATTTCGACCCTTGGAAGATGTCCAATCGCTGCGACGATTTAGGGTCGAGTGCCCAATCGAGTGACTCGTGAGAAGATGCCAAAGAGTGTCGAGATGCATTGCTCTCGGGTCTCAAGCTTCATTGATTTGCATTTGAACATCAAGCCTTCAATTTGACGGCTAGGTTTGCCTGTGGGTCAAGTAGAGTCAATAAGCCTCTTGTCAGTTGAATTGCCACATTGTCAATTAACCTAGGTTAGTTACTTTCTACTGCCCCAGCCCAGACGACGGGCCGATATGCGCCGGCGGCTTACTTTAAAGTATGACGTTCCCATCCATGCAAGTGCCGTGGCTTGCGCCGGACAAGCCCCCCAAAAATGGTACAGACAGCTACTGAAGGGCGCTATCAAAATTCGGTCTCGCAACGTCACACAGCCAGACGACACCCGCACCCTCAAGTTGCCATGCCCCGAATATGCTAGTCTCCCAATGCTAGCATACACGATTAAGGGCTTGGGTGGCCTCCGGTCTCGTACAAGACCCTTGTACATCGCATCTATAGCTACGCGCAGACCGTCCCGTTCGAGATGCTATGCGACACAGCTGAACCTGCCAGGTATAGATGCGAAATGGCAGAGGATATGGAAGCGACAAGCGCTATACGCCTCTATGAAGGGCGAGGACAGCGGTATAACTCCTAAGCCTGCGAAAGACAACTTCTACGTTCTGCCCATGTTTCCTTATCCGTCGGGGAATCTTCATCTTGGGCATCTTCGAGTCTATACAGTTGCCGATGTCCTGGCCCGCTTTCATAGGCTCCAGGGACGCGATGTGCTCTTTCCAATGGGCTGGGATGCCTTTGGTCTACCTGCTGAAAACGCGGCAATTGAAAGAGGCATTGACCCGGCAACTTGGACCAAGCAGAACATAACACGTATGAAGCAACAGTTGGACGTGATGAATGGCAGTTTTGACTGGTCACGGGTTCGTAGGAAGCTATCACGCCGCTTCGAATAGTGGCTGACTTGACTTGTGTAGGAATTGGCGACGTGCGACCCCAAATTTTACAAACACACACAGAAGATATTCTTGCTCCTTCTGAAGAATGGCTTGGTGAGCCAGAAAGAAGCCCAAGTCAACTGGGATCCCGTTGACAAAACCGTACTGGCGAACGAGCAGGTCGATGCTGAAGGACGGTCTTGGAGATCAGGGGCCAAGATCGAACTGCGGAATCTCAAGCAGTGGTTTTTCCACATCACAAAACTCCAGGATGCTCTGCTGCGTGAGCTAAAAACTCTCGGGGAAAATAGTGCATGGCCCGAAAAGGTTCTGACCATGCAGAAGAACTGGCTGGGCCGAAGCCAATCTGCATACTACAAGTTTCAGATCACCTCCCCCAGTGGATACGAAGCAACGGTCCCGATATTCACTACCCGGCCGGAAACTATATTCGCTGCTCAGTTCATTGCGCTATCCCCGCATTCCAGCGTCGTTGCTGAGCTTGCCAAGGGAGATGCCGGGCTTCGTTCATTTGCTGAACGGGCGAAAGACTTGCCTCACACTTCCACTGAGGGCTATGAAATCACCAATGTAACAGCAGTGAGCCCCTTGCGATCTGTCCTGGGCGCATTTGCCGTTTCATCGGCCCCTCTACGAGTTTACGTTGCGCCTTATGTTCGAGGAGACTACGAGACTGGTGCAATTATGGGCGTTCCAGCTCATGACGCCAGAGACTTTGCCTTCTGGAAACAGCACTGTCCCAACGAACCAATTAAATACGCAGTATCTCCTACGGAAGATGGTTCAATAGAGAGCCTAAACGGGCAGCCCTTTCTCGACTCAGGGTACATGACCTCTTTGGTAGGCAAGTATCAAGGTCTTCCGTCCGAACAGACCGCGAAACTCGCCGCAGATTTGATCAAAAATAAGACCGGGATGGCTGAAGCCATAGTTAAATGGAAACTGCGTGACTGGCTTATCAGTCGACAAAGATATTGGGGAACGCCGATTCCCATCATTCACTGTGCCAGTTGTGGTCCCGTCCCGGTACCAGAGAATCAATTACCAGTCACTCTGCCCAAGGTCGATCACCATTGGGCAGACGGAAAATCTGGAAACCCACTGGAGTCTGCTACTGAATGGATTAACACCAAGTGTCCTAAATGTCATGGGCCAGCGAAGCGAGACACTGATACCATGGACACTTTTGTCGACTCGAGTTGGTACTACATGAGGTTTGCAGACCCTGAAAACCCGCGCCAGCCTATATCCAGAGCTGCACTCGAGAGTCGTTTGCCCGTGGACTTGTACATTGGTGGCGTGGAACATGCTATCCTGCATTTACTCTATGCCCGTTTCATATTCAAGGTTGTCACGGATCTACTCTATCCCAAGGAAAGCGAGTCAGTATTTAGGGCGTCGAGGGAGCCTTTCAAGAGACTCATCACGCAAGGGATGGTCCATGGGAAGACGTACAGCGATCCCTTGACTGGTCGTTTCTTGAAGCCTGACGAGGTCGACCTATCCAACCCGTCAGACCCCAAAGTAGTCGCCACTGGGCATTCAGCTGCCATTAGCTATGAAAAAATGTCCAAGTCGAAACACAACGGGGTCGATCCAACCGCTTTCATCGCCAAATATGGTGCTGATGCAACGAGGGCCCACATGCTCTTTCAAGCACCGGTCAGTGATGTTGTCAACTGGGACGAAGACAAGATTGCGGGTATTACAAGGTGGCTGAATCGATTACACGCCTTTGTGCAGACAATATCATCAATGTCGGAAGGGCCCCAAAGGCGGGAATGCCGGCCAGGAGAGGCTTATTTCTCCCAACCACCGCAAGGAAGCAGTATCGCTGCTACTCAGTGGGCGGCGGACGTCGTGGTGTGGCGTACAGCACAGGAGACCATTACCGCCGTCACAAATGCATACGATAAAGTCAACTCGTTGAACACCACGGTGTCGCTTCTCATGAGTTTCACCAACAGAGTCTTGGAAAACCCGGAAGCATCAAATGGAATCAAGGCCGGAGCCGTCAGTATCCTCTTGCGCATGATGGCGCCCATCGCGCCAGCGTTCACGGAGGAATGCTGGCAGATGCTGCACCCGACGTCCAACAGCATATTCGACCTCGAGGACGGGAAAGCGGTCTGGCCCATACCCGATGGAACGATGCAGTACCTCAAAGAGGCGGGCATCAAGTGTGCCGTCCAGGTCAACGGCAAGCTGCGTTGTGTGGTGGACATAGCAGGGCGGCCACAGGGGCTGGTGGAACATACTACGGCTTTCAAGGATTGGCTCACGGAGCAAATCCTCGGGTCTGAAGATGCGCGCGCAAAGTTAACGGGGGATGGAAAGGATATCCGCAATGCGAGGAGGGTGATCGCTGTGAAGGGGGGCAAGACGGTAAATTATGTGTTGTAAAATACCAGTGTGACATTGAATGGCAGGTTTGGAGATAACCCAGCTCAATGGTCGTGTATATCATAGTGGCTGTACTCTGCCTAGATTTATAGTATAGATCAAGTGGCATATGCTTCGGAGCTACGAGTATTCGACATGGATTGCCTCGGTAACCTGGGCTCGTTCAGGTGCAACTTATGCTGCAGGTAGAGGACCCGGCAGCCAACCCACGAAGTATTATTAATTGAGGCCATTTCCCTTAGCCTATCCACCGTCCCGACAGTTGGGTAGCAGCGGGTCCCTGCACTCACTCCTGCATGCATCAAGCCTGCAGGTCGAACAGATCACGGGATCATAATTCTCTTCGTGCACACCTATCCTTATCTTCAATCACCTCAATCCTTCTGTCTAGGTGGTCAAATTTTCCATCAACCCGGTGTGCGAATGCCCCGCCTGCCACCCACGCTCATCCGGCGCGCCCACTCCATCTCACCACACCTCGCTACCCTCCTGCCCGTCTGCAGGGACATTGCCTCGGCGCGGAACGAGCTGCGCTGGATACGCGAACATGTCTCGGTCTTGTCTTCATCACCGTCAACATTGACGAAAAGTCGCGATGCCGTTGTCCCATCAGTTGCTAAGAGTGAGCGGCTGATCGGAAAACTCTGCCGACGCCGCGGTAAGGGAGCACCACTGCAGTACGTCCTCGGCTCGCAGCCGTTCGGCAATCGGGTCATCAAGTGTCGCCCGGGCGTGTTGATTCCTAGGCCGGAGACGGAGGCTTACGTTGTGCATCTTGCGGGGCTTATTCGGAAGCAACGCATTCTGGGGGGGTCTGCTGTTGGAGGAGACCAGACCCAGTTGTTGAGGATCGTAGATTTCTGCACAGGGTCAGGCTGCATCGCGCTCTTGCTGGACTCGCTTCTGCGACCACGGTTCCCGGAGCTAAGGGTATACGGGTTCGATATCTCGGAGCGAGCGGTTGCGCTCGCGAGGGAGAATTTGTGGGGGGATGCACAGCGCGGATCACTGCCGAACGCAAACCTGGAGCAGGGTGTCGTGTTCGAGAAAGCGGATATCTTCTCCGACGACTGGCTGTCCCACCTCTCCGAAACCCGCAACGGCCAGGGGGGGAGAGTTTTAATCGATGTGCTCATCTCCAACCCACCGTACATCTCGATTGCGGGCTTTAATCATAGCACTGGACGCTCGGTGCGAAACCACGAGCCGAAGCTAGCGCTTGTACCCGATGGGAAAGTAGGTGCTTCAGTTGCCGCCTCGGGGTGTGCGCCGGAGGACGTCTTCTATGCGAGACTTTTCGAGATTGTCGAGGTGGTGCGACCCAGGGTTATACTGATGGAGGTTGGTGATTTGGAGCAAGCTTTGCGGGTCGCTGAGATGGCTTCTGGTGCTGTGGAGAGTTCAGCACAGGGCGTTATTGAGATTTGGCGAGATTGGCCGGACATGACGCCTGAAGATGACGAGGTGACGGAAGTGGATATGAGGGGAACGAAAGTCCCGATTAGGGGAAGTGGGAATGGGAGATCGGTATTGGTGCGCTGTAGAGCTTGATATGGTCGAATTTTTTGTTTGAGATGCATTTATATAATTGGTATTGCGGGAATTGTACATTGTTCGTGTATAGTACATGTCTAAGCTGGGTTGTTGTACATGAGATCATCAGAGTGCGCGTAGAGATGCTTCAGTTAACTCTCATCTATAAACGGAGTATTGCCCCATTCTGCTTAATCGCACCCCTAAACATGTCCTTGACAATATTGCCATTTAGCATCGTCTCCAGGATCAATCCTTCCACATGCTTCGGCTCGACCCTCCCATACCACACCCCATATCCGGCAAGCGGATGCGGCGAGTTATCCCTAATAGTCAGCTTGGGCGGCAGATATATTATGATGTTCCCAGCAAACTTATGTCCTCCAATGTGACTGATAAGTCCCACTCGAGCCGTTGAGGTCATATTCTCAGTGCTTCCTGATAACTGCGGCGCAGTCAGGCTCTCATCCACAGCAGGCCCCTTCATGACCTGAAACCCCGCCCTCGGCAACTTCTCTTCGAACTCCCTCTGCAGCACCGGGCCCATGACACCACACCGCATATCTCGCCCTCCGTGACCGCATATAAGCACGAGCACGTCCTGCACATCGCGCACGCCATACAACAAAGCCCGGTAAGCCTCCTTCCTCGTAAGCCGGTCCTTGTGTATAGGCGACAGGCCATCATGCATGGGGTGCAACTTTTCGGGAAGCAGATAGCCCTTGACCAGCGCTTGCACCGAATCAAACGAGACGCGGGGCAGAAAGGGGATATATTTGAAGCTGGGGAGCAGGTACGCCGACGTGGTCTGGACCTCGGGACGTTGCGAGATAGCGGATGGGAAGGAGGAGTTGAGGACAGAGATGTTGTGGAATGGCTGAGAAATGAAGCACTTACCGTCAGCAGCCGACTAACCACCGTTCTTTGGGGCATGGGTACGTGCCATAAACTATATAGGCAGGTATATGGGTAGGTAGGCATAAGAAGGTTGCTGTGTCTCCACGTCTCAACTCACATCGCTATAGTCGCCACCCCGGCCGAGCAGCTCCTTGAGGTCGGCGGCCAGATTGTCTCCGCTGTTGTCCTCCTCGATGCGCGACGGCCAGTCCGACTTGCCGGTGCAGACGAGCAATTGCTCTGCGTAATTAGATATCAGACCGTTTAGCTTGCCGTCTTTATCGATCGGGAGGCCCTCTGGCATTTCGGGTGTCGCGGCGCATGCGCATGTTGGCGATGGGCAGGCTGGGACTATATTGAGGAATCGTCGAGTTGATCGAGATGGCGCTTGGGGTAAGCGAAAAGCGTGCTTCCACAGGCGCCTGCTGAGTGACCGCAATGGTTGGAGAGCCATTTGTGTTGGTTTGTGACCCAGAACTCGCGCTGGGAAGCAGACAGCTGATTGAGAAAGGCTGTCGTGACGAGTTCCATGTCGCGTGTGTTGGCTGCTGACATGAACTTGTACAGTGATGATTGACCGGCATAGGTGACGTCGCTCCAAATTGAGCCCTTTAACTCCGAGACCTTATTGCCGGTTCTGCAGAATTCGTATATCGCATAGTACACCCTGATGCACGCATAATTATGTTTTCAGGCATGACGCGAGTTTCGCATAGACCCGAAGTTTTCCTCAATGTCCAAGGCATAACACGACGGGCACGATGTACCTCGATTATCAAGAGAGGAGTCCAGCAGCAAGCTAGGGGCTTTGCTACACCAATGAGTTCCAGGGTGTGCACAAGATGCCTTGCCGGCAATGGGGTCCGCGCAAGACAGCTTTCCCAAGTTGAAGCCGTCACCAAGCGTTTTCTCCATCACCAAACGCCTGTACAAGTATCCGCATACAAGCAGGCCAACTTGTCTCCCTCCACACCACGTCCCAGATCTAAACCACAAGAACCTGATCCCAAGGCCAGAAAGGCAACATATATCAGATCCGCCACGTTCACCCTGCTTGGTGCCGCCCTTCTAACCACGGGCTACCTCGCCTACAGCTCCGGCATCGAAGATGAGAGCCTCAACACCACCAAGTTCACCGACTTCAACATCATCTCCAAGGAGCAAATCTCACACACGGCCTTTGTACTAACCATCCGCTGTCGCGATACAACAAACGCCAAGAACCTCGCCAAGTACAAGGCCGCCTGGGAGCACGGCCTCTGGTCCGTCGAGATCAAGCAGCCGCAGCTGCAAATCGCCCGGAATTATACTCCGCTACCGCCCTTGAATTCCGCCGATGGGGAAACGGGCGAGCTCCGCTTCTTAATTCGGAGGATGGACGGGGGTGAGATGTCAAATTACCTCTCGAAATTAAAGGTTGGAGACAAAGTATGGCTGCGCGGGCCGCATTATGGGTTTGATATCTCGAAGAGGCTAGGGAAGGCGGGAGAGGTGGTTTTTCTGGCGGGTGGGACGGGCATCGCTCCTGCTTTGCAGATTGCCCATAAGCTACTGGATGGGGCGAGGACTGGAGATAAGCCGTCGATTCATATTTTGTGGGCGAATAGAAAGAGTGTCGATAGCGTGGCTCGCGAGGAGTTGGCTGGGAAAGTGGCAAAGACAGTGAAAGACTCCAATTCCCTAGGGTATCTTTCGAGGTCTTCGCTGCATGACCAGATATTGGATTCGAAGAACCGACATGGCGACAACTTGAGTCTGAGCTACTTTGTCGACGACGAGAAGACCTTCATCGGACTGAAAGACATCGATGCGGCCATGGGCGGTTCTATTTCTTCGAGGAAAATATCCAAGTTGGCGCCAGTGGACCAGAATTGCCGGTGGCATTCGCCCGCCATACTCTCTGCATCCACCGACGAAGAGGACGCACTGCAGGGCACAGCCAGAGACTGTGCCTGTCCGTCCAGAAGCCCTACCAGCAGGGGACGGAACATTTTGTGTGTCTCGGGACCCGACGGCTTCATCCAGGCTTATGTTGGCCCGAAGCGGTGGTTCGAAGGAAGAGAGATACAGGGTTCGGTCCAAGGGCTAGTGTCCTCCATGAAGACAATGAGTAAAGGGGGCATGGATGACTGGCTTGTATTAAAACTGTGACAGTGGTCGAGCATAAGCGATATGCCTGGGATATTGTAGCATATCTGTGTATATTGACCTGTATTACATAAGACGTTGAGTCAAGCTATGTTGGAATAATAAGACTCGGAATGATAACTAGATTCCCACCATAAATTAAAGATCGGCTAATAGCTGCAGACTCATATGAAACATGTTAATTATATTTCAAAGTTATGAGTACTCATCAGTACCACTTTTGAACAAAGAACATGGGGTTTTCAGATATTTAATCATGAAGAGAAGATAATCACGTTTAGTCACACACTATAGTAAAGCTCACTGCAAAACCTGCCACATGCTGTTGTGTCATGAACAAAGAGCTCTGAGGAGCCTGCTAGATGCTTTTCATGCACGCCGACTGTTGTTGATCTGAGCCGGCTTTGATCATAGCTCAGTTTGAACAGGAACCTTCAGCAGCTGTGCCCACATCAAACTCTATACAACTATCACCATTGTTTCATTACCAGTTGCACAAGTTTGCAAATTTTTGAATGCGGGCAACACAATGAAACGGCCAGAGATTTCTTTCAACGTCTACATGGCTCATTGTATCCATGGAAGACCCATTACACCCAACGTCTCCAATGATAGTGTCAGTGGACGGATGAACCTCGAATCGGCCAGATCACATTACAGTCACAAGAAGATCAGGCCTCTGGTCTTGCTGTATGGGTATGGAATATTTAAACCCAACCTGTCAATCCACAACATTAGACTTTCTCAATCTAATGGTGCCTTCCAAATCAAACCAATCGCTCTTCCCTACCAGTAACCGAGATATCAGAATGCTTTCCACCTTAAAAGCATGCTTACCGCACTCATTTTTTGAGCAGACAAATCTTACAAAAATGAAGAGAAGAAGTTCGGGCCAATCCACCCCAGAGTCGAAACGACGACGAATCGAAGCCAGCGGCATGGAGATAACAGGCGCCAAAATTAGGCAGACGCTCGTCTACTGCAACGAGCAGCTCGAGAAGCAACCCTGCAGCATCCTCCCACTGCAAGCCAGCATCGCAAGTGCCCTCCAAGCCCGCGCGGAGCCAGCCCTCGGAGCATCTGCCATACAGTCCAACAAGGCAGTCCACGACTTCACCCTCGTCCGTGCGCACCAGACCAACACTGACAACCTCGCCATCGAGCACTCCAAAGCCTTGCACGACCTCAAGGTCATGTACATGTTCCACTACATCAAGCTATACGGCGGCTTCCTCGAGTCGAGCCTGAACCACCGCATCGCCCAGTTCGAGCATGCGCACAAGGCCTATCGCCACGCTATGCGGACGTCCTGCTCCTCGACCATCGCGGCGCGTGAGCCAAGGTACAATTACATCAAGAGCGCCGAGCAAGCCGTATACTGCTTGGCCCTGGAACCAGACGCCTTTCTGCGCCAGGGCGAAGAGTTCTGGTGGCGTGTGCTCGAGGGGATCGATTGGGATGTCGGACGGATCAAGTTCTGGGAACGGGAAGGGCATGGGAAGAGCCGGGCGCCGCCGACGCCGTGGTTGGCGAAATTGATTGTGTGGGCCGAGATGCTGATGGAGGAGGACTTGGGACTGCTCAAGCACATCATCCGGGAGTTTGTGAATCGACTGAAGAAGTTCGATTTCAAGCAGGAGTGTACAGTGTTCCGGGAAATGGGGGCCGAGGCACTGGCGACGATGATGAGGGATGATGCGAAGCATTTCGATAATAGGGTGCCGGTGGCGTACGATGCGCTGCTCATCGGGGATGCGGTGTATGCGGCGAGGAATATATTTTCGTATGGTGGGATCGATGAGAAGACGGGCGAGGCGTGGTGCATGCCTTCTGCGGCGTTGCTGGCCCTGAAGTCTAAGACACGTGAACCGACGACAACTGAGGGGATGAACCGGGATGCGGAATAGATTGACCATCATACAGGTGACATCAAGCCTCAAATAATACAGTGACTGATAAAAGGCACCGGGGCAGCTTAAAAGCAGATTGAACAGAAGACAGTTAGGGTATCAACCAAGCGTGTACAATGATTTGTACAATATTCCATACGAATTTCGAGGGTATTCCTTCCCCAATGCAAACCTAGTGGATCAGTCCACTTGTCGAGACAAGTAGAACTTGACGTTCTCATACACGAGAAACGTAACCCATGTAGCCGGCAATACTCGTATAACCCCCGGCACAATCCCTCGATAGAAACCCCGCCATCCCTCCTCCGTCCAAGTCCGCCTCACCACCCCTTGGATGCCTTTGCCAAACCGTTCCTCAGCATTGTAGTTCTGCAGCCTGCTCCTGATGACCTGGTACGGATACGTGACGGCCCCGGCGGCCAACTTCGATACACTTGACACAACCAGGGTTCCCTCATTAGTCATGCTCAAACTGCCATCTCCATCCACCTCCCGTCCCTCCTGCTCCTTCTCTCTCTCGACCCGCCACCGCCGCCGCTCATAATACATCTTCTTGGCCGGCTCGTACACAGCAAACTGCACTGCACCATGGCTCACGCCGAACAAGCTGATCCCCAGGCCACGGTAAAAGCCCCGCCAACCTTCGGTCCGCAGGAGCTGCATCGCACCCGCCCACATGCTAGGGTATGCCCCGGCGGCGCCGCGGTCAGAGGAGAGCATGCGCGTCTTCAGGACCCAGACAGGGTTCGTAAGGATCTGAACTCCTACACCAGCCAGTCCGGACGCGACAAAGTAGTCGGTGGGTGTGAGAGCGGCAGTGACATTGCTCGCATCTTTACCATCGTTAACATGCTGCGTCGCCTTCAACTCCATAAGGGTCCCTTCAATGCGTGCCTTAAAGAAGAAAAAGGAGGCCCAACTGGACGCATTGCCCAGCAGGTTCGGAGTCAGTCCGCGGTACAGAGCGCCGGCCGGATGAGAGGTTTGTACCAGGTTCCGTATGAGCTTGATGGTGGTTAGGCTGGCTGAAGTCGGAGCGCGGCTGCTGTGGAGCTGCATGCGCGTCTTGACGATGTCGAGGGGGTGCACCACCAGCGTCGCTATCAACCCTGCCGAGAGTCCGGCGACAGTCTCGACGAGGGCGGGGGAGAGGCCCGCATCGTTGTCGGGCATAGACGTCGGATGCTAAAGATGAAGGTTCACTGGATCATGTGATTACATCCAGACAGGTGATCCAGACAGGTGTCGTGAATGAAACGATCTTAGCAGCGCTCTTGCGATTTTGTAATGTGATAAAAGTAGGTTTGCTGAGATCTAACGCTAGTAGTGGGTCTAACCAGATTGACCAGATTGGGAACGACGTCAGTGTAAGTGCACCCAACGTTGCTAACCGCATTGACCACCTTTTTGTATGCATTCCTATTATGCATGGTTCGACGGAACTAGCAGCGGTACTTTATTCCTGATTATTATATATGTAAAATGTCGGATTCCATGCCTGCCTCGTACCTGTCAGATAGGACACCTGGTTCCTAGGTTCAGAAATAATATGGCACTAGAGAAGACTAGTGTCACTTGAAGTTCAGACGGCGAAATGAACCCCTCTTCCCGAAAGTAACTCCAAAGTTACGGTCCACTTAGGGGTCAGACACCTGAACAATGCACCTCCGACATTTCCGAAAGAATCGATAAAAGGCAGAGCAACGGGAGTTCGCGAGAATAGAACACAGACAAGAACACACCTCATTCATATACAATCTTATGCACTTCTGACTACTCGATTGGACACACGTGATATTCGACACTTATCTATCTTATCTCTAGCTATAGGGTAACCCCCCATGGGGTCACGTATCAAAACCTCAAAAGCTGTGCCGCTCTCGGCTTTTTCTACAGACTCAAGTTACTTGGATAAGTATTACGCTTTCTAACAACTATAAGCGGTAATGTATCATGCGGAGTAGGTCGGATATCCTGTTTGTCCTCCAAAGGTATGGCGAAACAGCACGATATAGTCGCTCGTGCAATGTAGCGTAGTCCGAACTGATCCTCATCCGGATCCGGCGGTGCATACCCTCACGCTCTCGGCAGGAGAGGTCAGGGAAGGGCACCTCCAGAGTTGCCGACCACTGGGACCCAATCAGCTCCGATGAGGGGCAGTGGTCCTCCCAACTGCCGATGATTTGGAACTCGGTGAGGACGTCGACGCGAAAGGTCACAGGTGACACGGGCGAGGCCGTGACGGGTGTCGTCGAGATCTCATGTCCCACGAACGGCATCTGGCGGCTGCCATGCTGGTCTGTGGATCGGAGAGAACTCGGATATTTGAAGCGAGGCTGAATGCGGGCCACCTGATGTGACAGATGTCAAACGAGGTTTTATACCTGTGAGGCCCACTGAGACTTACCTAGTCTTCAAATGGAATATGAGAAACTGGGACGTTGGGGTGGTCGAGGTCAACTATGGTGTTCGTTGGACTTAGAAGCCTCGCCTGTTAATGGCTGCGAGGTCCTTCAGAATTTAGTAGTAGAATTAGATGCTAAAGTTAAACGTTAAGTATGCTATAAATTTATGAATAATGCCTACGCTAGTAGATCCATTTTTACCCGCTGTGTGAGGTAGCTCCTGTCGGATAAGTAGGATGGCTGTATTGCGACTATGAAGGTGCCTGGGGGACCAATATGCCAATTGGCCCCCGGGGCCCCTAAATACATATTCCGTGCCTGCCAACCTGGGGCCCATCATCCTGAGGCCACGCTTACCCACAGATCCTCTCTAGACCTTTTTCGCTAATTTATTTCTGCCTTCTTTATCGAAACCTGCTATTGCTACTTCCAGGTTTGTATGATACCACGTCACATATTATATATATGATGATGACATAGTATAGTCTTATAACAGTCTTCGAAGAAACAGTTCATATCCCACAAACATGAGCCAAGATACAGAATACATTGAGTCGCTGTCACTGGGGTTACTAGCACTCTCTTGATTCCTATGATATCTAGATGCTAGCATACTATTAATAGGGCCTTCTTAAGAAAATTGCTGAGATAGACTTACAGCACGCTGGACTTGAACTCACAACGCGATGCGCAAGCCTTATGTGAGGTGAAAATCAGTAAACTCGAGTCTGATAACTATAGATTCGGTAAGAAAATTGGATGTCGTATCTTCATAATCTTTTATGTAATTGAACATAAGTATCCTAACCATATCTCAGAATCGAGATCCTTTCGTTATCGTGCTGGTGGACAGCGATGAAGCTAAGAAAGCTGTCCAGAATCTCAGACAAGCCTTTCGCCAACAACTGGAGGGCACGAATCTCAGCAGCGCTTATATCACCATTATAAGTCGAGTCTATGCCAATCTTTCCGGGTTGTGGAAGGCGCTTTATGAAAACAATGTCACTCGTGGACCTTTGCTGAGTATTTCACCAATTGTCTTGTTGACATCGACTTTGTTCATGTCGACTGCGACAAAAACAAGGCTGGCCACAAAATTACATTTCTATCGTTGGCACAAGCATATTCATTATTCAGAAGCATTCATATATCACTGCTGCGATAGTAGTGTGCTCCGCAAACTATGACGGTACCAACTCCATGAAGACGCAAAAGCTGGACTTGACGCCGTAGATATCGAAATACACAGGTAAAAGGCGAACTACCCGCCGCCAAAGGTTCGATTGCTACCTTGGTCATCACTGCCCCTAAGACGACCGCTGCTCCCTGGGGAGCCAGTGCAAGTTTTCACATACTCCGTTTGGAACTTTGCATTATGGCATGGAGCAACTGCAGCTGTAAGTTCCTTGGTCCGAATTCTACTTCAACAGACACTAACACGATAACTTAGGTATGAAATAACCGAGGACACTGGCACTATGAGGTCGTGTAATGGTCGCGCCGCCATCCACAACAGCGATCCCGCAGATTCTAGGGCTCAGTATAGTCGGGAATAACAATCCTCATTAAAAAGTGATCCCCACTAATTACCAGAAGATCTGACATTGCTGCGGAAGTGAGATCACCATGATCCTTTACACAGCTCGTGCCCAGAAAGATTGGTCGTTGAGTAGTGTCACTTGTCGCGCAATTTGGCAACTCCATCGGCTGCGAGTAGCACTGGGGACTGGGCGCGTTGTAGGTCCCATGAGTGGTATCAGTTCATTACTTATGTTGTACAGCTTCGCAGGCCATCATACACGCCTGGCCAATGGACTCAGGTGGAACAACGACCAACGCCATAGCCACATCTAACGCGCCTCAAGTCCAATGCCAAACATCGTCATCGTTCAAAATGCTGGTGCTTTAATGTACATATCTCCAATTGTGACAAGCCGCCTGAGGGTCTCGATCGTCTTAAGAGAGGGGCGAGAGGAGCCGAATGATGGACGGTCTCGGGTCGCTGCGGGAGTAGCCTGTTATGGAATCATGAGTTGGAACTGGGTGCTTCGAAGAGAGTGCATTAGAGGTCTAACATACCGAGGTAGAGGATCAATGGAAGATAACCACTACCGACTGTTAGCCTAGTCCTCCATATTGGTTCAAGCCGCTGGTACATACTAGTGCATCGCAACTCGACCGACCTCGATAATCTTGCCGATGCGCTCCTAGAAGATTATGTAAGTTTCATGGGATTATCTCTTTGCGTGGTTGTCGAACCTTGGATTCTTCTGAAAGGGCGAACATCTTGGGCGATTCGGCTTCGCAGACTCGAGACTTTTCTAGGGAAAAGTTAATATCGCCAACTCAAATGCATAGTCATGAAACTTGCTACTACTCACATGGGGGAAGAGAAGCTCGATGAACAAATGGTTTGCTACTTTGGTGCGACCAGAGCTGGCTTACTGGCTTCATCGACCTCCGTCACGAACGAGTTTCGGTCCCAGCGTCCAAAAAATTCGATGACGGCTCAGACCAGCGGAACAATATTTTCCCCGACAATCGGTACGTACCGAGCCCAGCGTCCTTCCCAAGCTTCAAAAGTTCGCGACTTTCCGTGACGGCGTTGAGAGATCTCAAGTTCTTACTAGGCCTGCGAAAATAGGACAGCATCGCATATCACCTCAAGATGTCGGGCCAGAAACACTGGTTAGTTGCTATTCTGACAATTGAGTCGCTTCATGAGATTAACATTCTGATTCCAGGGAACAAGACAAGGAAGCCACCGTCTACGTTGGCAACATCGACGAGCGCGCCACCGATGCCCTCGTCTGGGAGCTCATGGTCCAAGCTGGACCGGTGGTGAATGTCCACTTGCCCAAGGATCGCGTCACGCAGTCTCACCAGGGTTTTGGGTTTGTCGAGTTCAATAGCGAGGTAGATGCCGACTATGCAGCCAAGATCATGAACGGAATTAAACTATACGGAAAACCTCTGCGCGTGAACAAGGCCTCCGCCGACAAACAGAAGCCCCTCGAAATCGGAGCCGAGCTTTTTATTGGAAACTTGGATCCCATGGTGGATGAGAAGATCCTCTACGACACCTTCAGTAGATTCGGCACTCTCATTGCACCGCCCAAGGTCGCACGGGATGACAACGGCTTGAGCAAGGGATATGGATTTGTCAGCTACAGCAGTTTCGAAGCTAGCGACGAGGCGATCAACAACATGAATGGCCGCTTCCTGATGAACAAGGACGTTAGCGTGCAATACGCCTACAAGAAGGACGGCAAGGGCGAGCGTCATGGTGACGAGGCAGAACGAATGCTAGCAGCGCAGGCGAAGAAGCACAACGTCGCTGTGGAAAGTCAACCAATGCCATCAGCATTCCTTCAACAATCCGGTCAAGTTGCACCTCCCCCGGTAGTTGGCCCACCTCCGGTCATGGCGACTGGCGGATTCGATCCCTCTATGAACGCAGCTATGCCACCTCCCAGACCTGGAAACTTCCCGCCGCCTGGTGGACATCGACCTCCACCAGCAGCATTTGGTATGAACGGTGGCGCCCCGCCCCCTGTTATGGGACGCGGCAACAATGAACTGCCACCAGCACCCTCGGGTTTGCCTGCACGACCACCACCTGCTCAGGGCGGCTACGGCAGACCAGCCGATTTTCACCCAGGGTTTCCTGGTCCAATGCCTGGTGGTGCTGCCATGCCTCCGCCCGGCTTTGGTGCTCCCGGTAGCGTACCACCACCGCCGCCACCAGGGTTTGCGCAAGGGTACGGTCGTTGAGTTTTGTAATGCCGAATCCGCATTGCCAGATCCAGTTGGAAGGATATCTCAGAGCCGGTTCGCGAGATATCTCGCAGACGCAAGGGGGGCATGGTTCCAGTCCATTGTGTCAAAGACCGATCAACGAACAGGATCAGCCACTACCGTGGCTTCATTACGGGCCGTTCTGGTTCTGGAGGGTTGGCGACAGTTCAAATTTTGCTACAGGCCAGCAGAAGTTAGGGTCGGATATGCCGATGAAGGTGCTTACACATTTGCAGTGTGCACCGACCGGACATACAAATAAATGCTATTCAGGACGTGAAACGAGTACGGGCATGGTATGAGGTGCAATGGGGTTAGATGAAGTAGCTCATGAACTTGGTGAGTGCATCTCATTAAATCGTCTTCTGAGGGTAGAGGAACGTTGTGCACTCCCAAGGAGACTTGCATTGCCACCACTTCTTCACTTTCAGCAGAGTGGCTGATACAATATAAAGTATAGAGATACCCAAATAACCAAACGAAGTAATCAAGTTTTAATATGTGCCAACTCATTGTTGTCGGTGATTCCAATGTCCCGTGGAAACTTGTGCATTCCGTTCCTGCATGCTCCTTCTGAACTACGGAATCATTATAACGCCGTCGTTGAACTCGTGGGCAAATCAATTGAGTCAAACCACAAACTATCAAGGGGTGCATCGTGCAACCGACTCAGCCGCTATTGCATTGGCTACTAGTTTGCCCTAAACAATACGACTTGATGATGGCAGTTAGTGCCTCTGAAAGTCGCACAGAATGTAACTCCCTCAAAACCTGCATCGCTGCAGCGAACATGCTTGGATTAAAGTCAAGTTGCATAGGCAACAGGTCCATAGTCGACGAGAACAACGCAGCTGGGAACAAGGTCTAGGTTCTAGGTTGTTGGTTGTTGGCGTCCACAACCTATTAGGCTCTTGCCACCTTTCCACAACATGAACCTCGCACATATCACGTTGTTTTTCCATTACGTTCTTCGTCGTGCTCCTCCCCCTAGCCGGCTTGCTGTTTCTAGAGAGGGCGTATCGCGCAGCAGTAGGGGTTTAGGGGTAGCTCCCGACGTGCACTTTGATGAGGAAATACTGGAAACCGCCCAGCTCTCTAAACACATAATCCCTCTGCTTGCGTGGTGTCGAAGGCGCCAAGGGACCTCGTTGGACAATGTAGCCCGAGGTCCCTGCGGTTGATCCCCCACGCCTCCAGGTTGAAGGTGGGAAAGCCACCAATGTATCAGACAGGACACATGTTGGCTTTTACGAGTAAATAATTCATCATCTTGCGACGTTTTCTAACCTTCGCTAATCTGTATCTGAGATTCGGGTCTCTGAGACATACCGGTCGGAGATCACCGGTGAAAACCAGCCGTGTATCATGCTGATGCTATAACTACCAGCCATGCCTGGCCGGAATTCTTGACGTTCATCCCTTCGATTGCGTGGCGCAACAACTACTTGCCGTTCAAGAGCTTGATTACTACAAAATGGTGACGATTTCTCGACTGTGACTTTTAGTACGTACTCCTGATCAGTGCAGCCCCGTAGTGTATTGTGTAAGACATTGTTGCAACTCTAGTGTACGTGGCGTGATCTACTAGGCAGTTCTCTAGATCACAGTATGTACAGTACATCATACCATCAGCCAGGGCCGTTCCCAAGCCTCTAGAGGCTGCGATGAGCGAAGCACTTCGACTGCGGGCGAAGATGCAGATCAACTGGGCATTGGACATATGACTTCGTACTTGGACTTCATTTGGGAAGAGTTTGCGAGAGAGAGAGATAGAGCGCATGCCAGATGTCAAGGCGGGTAAAAAGCAACAAATATGAGCACTCATCTGCTGGAGGATCTTGGTAAACGTAAGATCCGGCACTGCGAGATCTAATTTGCCCCACACATATCCCGCATAGATGCAGCTAGCCGAACAAAGCCACAGGCCAAGCATACTGTGAAACCGAGTGAATGATACTCAAAGTGAACAGGTGCATCTGAGCACATATATGAAGTAGTCCCGAGCTGAGCTCTTGCAAGAACCTGGGGTTTTGGGGCAGTTGGAGGGTACATAGCGACGTTGTAGCACGGAGTATAGACTGATGTGGTTGAGAAGTTAGATTGCCCTGCAAGAGCTGGAGTGAAGGGTGTGGGTTTGGCACCTGGGACGGGACGAGACGAAGCAGGGCCGTTATATTGGGATAACTTTGACTCGCAGCGGAAATACTGCTAGATAGAGGTTCTAATCCTGCTTGCACCCTCATGAGAGGAGCCGATAGTATGGTAGGAAGTAGACGGTACCTCATACCGCAGTGTACGTGGGGGAAAGAGTGACTTGCTGTGTACACACCCTCACGCTAATACCTTGGGGTTTCATGGGGTCAACTGAGTCATTGGTTGTTATCACGAAATGTAGTTTGCCATCAGGGCACAACTCGTCTCGATCCAAACTCAAACGGGGCGCTGCCCAAATCGCTCAGATTTTGGCCAAAGCCCCCTAGTAGCACTGTATGGTTCATCCGTTCCTTACAGCGAATGTCAGATCGATTACACCAGATCTAGAGCTTCGATTGGGTCGGCGAACAGATCTTCTCAACATCGCTAATACTTTCGGACAGTAGTCCATTCGCATGCTAACCGAGGTGCAAGCCAGAGCGTCAAGTTCGCGGGTACCAACTGCACGCAAACACTCATCCTTCCGTTGAGCACGCACTTCAACCTGGTCTTGATGGGGCGGGTCTCCATCCCGTTCTATCCAATCTATCCACAAGGGTGTCTTCTCCACAAATCTCGTAAACTCCATGAGTGTCGCCAAGCATGAGAATGGGGCTGAAAGACAACCTTGACATGAGCAGATGGTGAGAAATTGAGCACCAAGCCGATATCAATCGAAATTGTACTTAAGCTAAGATACAGGCAGGTCACGAAGAGCATCAACGCCACCAAATACGGGGAAAATGACGAGAATACTAGAAGACACCTTAATCAGCTCTCTATAGAATAAGGTAGGTTTTCTGTTTTTATTTGGTTATTCAGGTGTTGTGCGATCAGGAATACTAAGTTCTTTCATAAGTTTTTTGGCCTGAGTGCAATTTCTGTTGATATCGGCTTGGCGCCATGGCACTGCTCTCACGACGATGGTGTCCCTCGGAGATTGCTTCGGCCTGAATAAGAAGACACGCAGGCTGTCGCGCTATTATTACCATCCTCGCAACATATGAAAATTATCGAACATATTAGACAAAGGAATTAGCTGCTCGAAACTGCTGCTCGATCGCGAATCCGTGTGGTTGGGCAAGATCAGGCATCATCGTCGCTTGACGAAGAATATCCGGGTTGCCAGATTGCGTGTCTCGTGGGCACGCAGGCCTAAATATGATAACTGATATTTGACTGCTTTGGGAGAAAGTCGCGAGCCCCATGGTGTGCGACGTGGATCCTGGTTTCTCATTTGAGTAAGAAGCACATGGCGAATATCGGCATTGTGGATCCACTGGACCGGCAAGTTTGAGATCTGATAGATCTCATTCTGAAGGTTTCAAGTAACTAGAGGTCCATGGTAAGTGGGTTCATATGTTTTGATGAAGATGTTGAAGTGGAGTGTCAGCAATCGGCGGGGTCTTTTCCACGCAATTGTTGAAGAATCTTTTACCGGCAGGCAAATTGGTCCTGACCTGGTCGGACTGGCCGGTATGAGGTGTCAGGGCCGCGGAACAGTATCCGGTGTCTGCTTGAGAAAACAATAGATCACAGCTTCGGCTCTGACAGCCAATTTGAAACAAACATCCATGTAGCCTCTCATATTCTTGCAGGTTTCCGTTCCCGTTTTTATTATCGTTTTGCGGCACGTCGAGCTTGGCCGTGCAGTGAGTATCACCGAATTGAAAGCAGGTATCCGGGGATTCATGAACTTCCAATTAAGACACCGCGGCAAGAAGCCATCTGACAGTGTAGGGATAGTATCTAGGATCAAGCTTGAAGAAGTGTCTTATTCCCCCAGGATCCCTAGCGTTAAGGAAGCCGGTCTCCGCGGACTCTTCAGTGAGCCCAGTTGTACTGCTTGTCGAAGTTCGCGGCAGGTGTTGGAGGTCAGAGTTGCAATTTCTTGAGTAAAGGGGAAAACCAACTGATCTGGATCATACACATTATCGCCCCATCATTTGGTTTGCGGATCGTTTTTTTTCTTTCTTTTTAGCAAGCTAACTATGCGGCATGATGTTATGTCGTCTCTTTTGAGTTAACACTGATCGAGGTCCGTACCGCACTTTAAACTTTGCTAGCAGCGGGTTTGTGCGATGGAGTTTCAGTTGACAGCTCCCGGTGCACATTAGGGTAGCAACCGCGTGGGCTCGTTCCTGTCATTCCAATCCAGAATTCGGCGCCGGCCGCTGTCTGTGGTATTGTAGCAGTTGGAATCCGATATCCTTAGGGCGGCTGCACTTGAATTATGGAATTCGGATTTAACTCGAGTTTGTATACACGCGTACCTGCCATGCAGTGTGCAGTGGTGGCCACTAAAAGTGTCTGACCCTGATAGTGTATATTGCCCCATAACTCTTCCAGCAAAAAGTTAGATCTGTATATATAACTGGATATACGAAAATTCTGGGATCATCTACTTACAGGGCGCTTTACCGGGTATTTGGAGGCATAAAGTGGGCATCTACGGGGCTTACAGTGGGTATCTCTAGCGGATTGGGTACGTACCTTCTTAAAAGCAGACCGGGCTCTCAATAGTGTAGTACGTATTTCCCGGGTTTTCCAGATTTCCCCAGTTCCTCTCAGTGTATGAGGCCCCCTAACTGGATAAAAGTACTCTGCCCATCCTACATGCAGCTACAGGGGCCAACTGGAATGGTACATTGTCATCGCAAAAACCCCGACACTGAACACTTGGCTCTGGCCTTAGACAAGCGATTTCAAGGATGATCCAACTCATGTACCAGATGGCAGAAAATTGTCCGTCAAGCCGTCATACCGCTACGACAAAATTTCGAGTTATCAGTGGCAACAACACCATCAAGGGTGAAATCATCGCAACAGTGAGGCTTGTTTCCAGGGCTGGATTCCACGACGATCATTGCAACTCTGCCATGTTGGAAATTCTCCGTCCGTCAAAAATGGGAGCAAAAAGCAAAGGTGAGGCGGCAAGAATTGGCCGAGCATGTGTGGAGAAGGATCCCTCCTTCTCAATTGGCCGGCTCTCGGCCATCCCCAACCTCCACGTCCTACGATCATTACGTGAAGTTGATCAGAGATGAGATGCTTTCTCAACATAAGTATCTTGCAGAATCGAGATGGGCATGGGCGTGGGACACAAAGCTTGAGCGCTTCAAATCAATTGGTCCGCGCGTCTGAGGGTTTCGCTTTCCAACGGTCAGCTACCAGTCTTAAATCCGGTCAGAGGGTCACAATTTTGACCTGTTACTGACGCGAACGGATGTTCCAACAAGTTTCATTTGATTTGGAGACACAATGTCCCACGATGCCCCAAGGATGCGGACCGTTCCCTCATCGGACAGTACCGGATGGGTATCCAATCACTGAGACTGATCAACCGTCAACCATCTCATTGGGATTCCCATGCTGACGGGGATGTCCCTGTAAGCAAGGACATATTGAGCCACGCTTGTCCCAAAGAAGGGTCCCACTAATCAAGGACCTGCCAACCAGGCTTGAACTACTCATTCGTTGGGGGCCCGAATAAGCCAGGTATGAGCGCGGTGCAACGCGTTCACACTAGTTCAATACGGTAAGGCTCCAAAGTTACAGGAGGTCCTTCTGCGACTAGTCTCACCAACAGGCCCATAGATGATAGGAACATAATAGACAGACACTGGACCCAAACGTGGTGCAAATGACATATCATATACGTCGTCGAGGCGTAAGTGCGTCGAGCCTTCTTTCCAGCAGAGGTATCCTTGTGAACACCATTTGGTTGGCCTACTCGTAGGCGGAACTATCCGGATGCCACTATTATACGTATTTTCGGGAAGCTGCGCATTGCTGCCCTATTTTCCTGACTCGAAAGGTAATGACGCAGGAACCGCCCAGCACATTCTCTGGGCGGATGATATACCCAAATGTGGGGTGGGCTTCATATTGGTCAATACGCTGAGCTGACTTTGTGGCTTGCACCGAGAACCATTCCCACGGATACGAGAAATGTTTGGCAAGCTGGGAGGATCAAATTTATTTCAGCAAGGATTATAAATGAAAGATGCCGAAATCGATATGACGATATCTTTCCCCATGGACATCCCCAAAACGATTACACAAAATTTGTGATATGTTGCACCCACAGACTGTCACGCAGCGACGCATAAGGGGCGAAACGTCTGGAAGACAGAGGGTCAGACGCGGCCATGTCACTGAGAAGCCAGGAGTGATTAGTCACATTTTCCACCGGATAGCATTAGCCGGCCATGATAGGGAGGCGAGTTGTTACTTGTTGGTGGTGGTGGTGTTGTTGTTGTTGTTGTTAGTATGTAATGGAAACCTCATATATCAAATGTCACGGTTAGCTCCGCTGTTCTGGGACTCTTGCAGGTGAAAATCTTTATAGTTAAGGAACACTTTGGCGCATGTAAGTGCATGTACTTCGAACCCGAGGTGAAGCCTCATGCGTTCGTCCCCAACCGGTCCGGGAATCCGAATTTTTGCGGAAGCTGTCCCGTTCGGCGGAAGGGTTCGAGTTCTAATGGCAATGACGGTTTTTGTGATGCGAACACCCCACGCTGGCTTGGACTGTGTAACACCAACTCTAGATCTCTTTTTTTTTCCCCTCGCTTCTGCTGCCTTGCATGGTACAGATGAGCTTCACTTCCGAGCCTCCCTTCCGAGCCTCCCTTCCGAGCCTCCCTTCCATGTCTTTCGTTAATTAATTGGCTGAGAGCTCGAGCATAATTGAAGCTCAGCTGAAGTACACTTACATAGTGGCAGTCATTAGTGTGAGGCGCATAATTCCGCCGTTGTATGATAGCTGCCACAATACCTGCAACTGAAGCTCTCGTCCTACGTTGAGAAGGCCGAGCGAATTACTGATAAAGCTGCTGTGATGCTTGCTGGAGGAGCCAGTATAGCAATAGCAAAACCAAGTTGCTAAGATTCCCGCGAAGTCATAGCTAGAAGCTGATTGCTTGTGTCTCAGATCCGCGACCCATGTCCTCCTCAGCGTAGATCTCAGTGAAGTGACATAATGTAACATCGCAACATCGTAACATCGTAACATTGTACAACGCTGTCGCGCGCCACAATGCCCATTTACGTGAGTATATGTGCCCTGATACAAATGCAAATTGACCATGCGTCAAGCCCGATACCAATAGACGTACAAGTGAGCTGAACATGGCATTGAGTGATTAGTGATAAATATGCCATCTTTCCATGTGTCGACAAAGATTGGTGGGGGTTTAATCGGTTTATAATAGTTATTGACCCTAGCCCGCCAATCAAGTTGCATAGCAGGCAACTTCAAAGAGGACACGGGGTCAGGATTAGAGCAACGTCTACTCATAGTTACTATATCCAAGGTGTGCTCATGCTCTCAGCTCAACTACTATAGGCCGGGTAGAACCACATGTGCTGTGACACCGTCTATAGGTCTCTGGTCAGCGCTCGACATCCAATGCTGAGAAAGGACAAGACAAAAAAACGGCTAAGAAACCCTCCGAGGTTCTACTACAGTTTAGCAACCTGTGAACGGTCTGTTAAATTGCACAAAGACGGTGCGTGCAGGCAAAACGAAGACGACTTGGAGGATCTCGCAAGATCTACTTGTTTCGTGCCAAAAATAGACTCGTGGAAATGTCAGCTTTCTTAGCATCCGTGATATCGTCGTCACCCAATAGGCCTACTAATGCAATGACTGGGTTTGCTCGTCCCCGTGGGTGTTGGTGAAGTTCAGCTCCCAGGGCTCCAGGGAATAGCACGGCTTCAAAAGCGCCCAAGAAGGTCCTTCTAAGTTGCAGTGAGTACGAAGTACATTGGCAACTGCCTTGGTGCCGCATCCGGATGGCAGACAAGCTGGGGCGTATGCATAGCGTGCTTGCCTCGGACTGGCAGAGGAAATTTAGAGTGCAGGGAGGATCCCTGTCTTACCCACAGCCCTGGATTGTGTCGCCCACCAATCCTGGCCTCTCTGGCTTCTGGGCCTCACATTCGCTCTCACATTTGCTCTCACATTTCTACCACGTCGAAATATGCTCGACCAGCGTCTTTTCCCCTTCGCCTGTCGCCATTCAGATATCGCCGTCACCACAATCCGTCCAGGGCATTGAGGGCTGACACGGGCTTCGTCCTCGGTTTTCGCTGCCCCTTCCCCTGGTTGCTACTGCCCCTTGTTTCTCTCCCGCATCCCATCCTGGCCTCGTGGGAAAACACAGAGCAGCCAGATCTGGGGACGTCCTGGGCCTCGCCTATTTACTGGAAACCCCCGGTCTCGTTTCAAGCACTCAGCGAATTGCACATTGGTGGTTTTAATTTGGAATCGCGGACCCGACATGCTCACATGGTTCAAGCTCTTCGGTGCGGTCCGCCCGTCTTTCATAATTCCGCTCGTTGCGCCATAATAGTAGGCAATGCCTCTGACGGTATGACGGGAGGATGTCCAACATGGATACCTACTGGCTTGCCTCCGATTGCACGGTCCCAGCCGCTCTAGAGAATATAGCCAGCGGCGGCGGCGGCGGGCACCTCCTCGTAAACCTGGCTGGCACTAGTCTCGTCCATGTCCTGCCTCCGACCTGTCATCAGGCGGCAGGTAAGGTGGGTAACTTGACAAGGCTCAAGCCTCATTCAAAGAAGATCCCGGCCATGTCTCTCATCGAGCAGGACTGGACTGGGGGGTGGGGGGCCTTGATATCGCAACTAGTACTCGGCCCATACATCGACGTGTGAACTTGCTGGTCTAGCGCAAATCCTGTCGTGCGTGCCCAAAACGCCCGCATACTCTTGCATCTTGCAAGATCTCCGTCTTGGCTTCCAGATGTACCCTGGTGCACATCACGCACGCCTGAGTATATACATCTCATCTCCCTCGGACTCCATCTTGTTCCTGATTTTGCCAAGCTCCCTCCGCTGACAACAACTATTTCCCTTTATACCCGGTGGTGGTTTAGATTTATTTGACGCTCTTTTGTCTAACCTTATTGCATCCCTATCACCACAGAGCGCACCTCTTCCACATAAGATCAAATTCGCTGAAGGTCGACTAATTCGACCCCAAAGCGTCAAGGATTCGGTAGCACATCTCAACGACAATGCGATTTTGTGGCCGTCTTCATCGATCACCTTGCCCTGGACAAGACTGCTGCCACAACGAGAAAGTCTCTCTCATGGCTCAAACACAGCATCAGCCCAACTGGGGCCGATGGCATGGACACCATCACCCAGGTCCCGAATACATTATCATGGATCCTTCGACCATAGCACAATATGACTCGATCACGACGACATCTATACCACTACAACGGCCATCTCCCACGCCTCAATACATGGTTGGGACTGCGTACAGCATGTCTCCGATAACAAGCGTAAATGCTCCACAGTACCATTCGGAGAACACCTTTGCTTTCAACTCGTATACGCCCCCGTCGCCAGCACCTTTGACATCTCCGCTCAGGCCATACCAAGAGGAACGACCCCAGCCACGTCTGATGCCAGCAGACCACGAACGGATTCAGGGGATGGCATATTCCAGAGGTGATCGAGCGGACTACGGAAGCCCAGTTCACACGCCGCCGGTCAAGGGTAAGGCGCAACTCTCAACCACAACAAAACCAAGTGTGAAGTCGGAAACCAACACACCCGGCAGTGCCAAAGATGAAGTTGATGAGGCTGTATTTCACACGGACGTTGACATATTGCTGAGGAGGTTTCAATCTAAGGCTGGCGACAAAAAGACGGGTTCTTCGCAGTCTGGCTATCAATCACCACCCAACTCTCATAATGGCTCGAGGGCCTCGAGTCCAGCAGAAACCAAGGACGACGACGAGAAACCTCACATCTGTATGTGGCTTAACTGCGACAAGGCCTTCAAACAGAAGACCCACCTGGATATTCACCTTCGCATGCACACTGGTGAAAAGCCCTATGTAAGTCAGAATTGGTCATAGAGGTTGATTATAGCTGACTTTGCCATATAGAAGTGCCTGTGGCCTGATTGTAATTACCGGTTCTCTCAGCGGGGGAATGTGAAGGTGGGTGCATCCGTCCTGCGCGATTTTGAGTCGGTGACTTAAACCCAACAGACACACCTGCGTCGACACACGGGCGAGAGACCATTCCCTTGCCACAAGTGCCCCAAGCGGTTTGCTCAACGCGGCAACCTCAGAGCTCACCTAGATACTCACGAAGGCAGGCGGAAGTTCTACTGCTTCCTTGATGGATGCAATAAGGTCTTCACACAGCTCGGCAACCTAAAAGTAAGAATTTCTGATCATGGCCATGTGATACTATAGCGCTAATCGAGGCCCATAAAGGTTCACATTAACAGATTCCACAAAGACACACTCCGTGAGCTGCTCAACAAAGTTGACTCCCTGGACATTGATGAGGTCCCACAGAAAGATCACGAGACGCTTGAAAAGGTTGCCCACATGTTCCGGAACAGCAACAAGGGCATCAAGGGCCGTGGGATAGGCCGCAAATACACGACGCCAGGCCAGAAGAACGTCAGCATCAACATATCTAGCCTATACCCCGTGCAACAGCCCTCGCCACCGATGTATCACATCCCTCACCACCTGCATCTACTCCCCAACTCGGCTCAGCATGCAGTGACTCACCCGGGGAGTGTCAACCACTACAACATGCCTACAGAACACCACATGACGGTTGGTCGAGAGTCCCGCACTTACGGCATGTTCGATGCCCAGGATGGTCTGTCCACTAGCAGTGCAGCTTCCAGTTCTCCGGAGACCCTGTACGAAGAGGTACAGAGTCGTGACCTCGACTTTTGTGATCGCGTATACTAAGGTCCTCTAACATCTGGTCGAGACTGGGGACAGACTCGCCACATGAACGACTTGAAAGATCACGAAGAGGTGGCCGTGGCCACACATTACACCACAATGGAGCATAGGAGCATTCATGATCTTGACGAGCGGATCCATCCACCGGACAACCATGTACACAGAAACTTATCACGGAATCTGCTGGGCCTTACGATCCGAATTGCCGATATCAACTTTTTTTATATGAGACAGGTCGATTACTTTCATCTTTTCTTCCTAGTCAAAACGTCGGTCTGATCCGTGTTAGTATACATCCTCGCAGATCAAAGTACAGCACACAACAGAAAGAATGGGAGCTGGGAAGCGGAACCAAGTGGCCATCTGTTGTTGTTGTTGTTGTTGAAGAATCTAACTGATCAGTGTTCATCAAAGACAAGCAGGATGGAGCTTGTCAGCCAAATGCTGGGTGGTGCGGCTATCTCATTTGCATTTCCATCGCGCTGGGGTGTCAGGACCAAGCATATCGAAGGGGTTACCAAAAATGCGGGATTCGATGGTGGTGGTCGATGCTATCTGAACAGCTTCTGTTACCAAATTCCATCTTACATTTTCCCTCTTTCTTGTCTCCACAGCTTGTCCTTGTATCATGACAAATTCACACTTGTCTCGGGGTTTATTAGGCTGTACATTGTATTGGTTGGCTATTGCGTTGGAAGGGACGTCTTAGTCCACACTGGCTAGCTGGCTGCGAGTGACAGGGCAAGATGTGATACGTGAGAACTGTCTGGGAAAGGGCATGGTTCGCGGCTGTCCCAGCCACCGTCATGTAAAATTACTACTTTGACTTCAATACATGGAATCCGGCGCATATGAGACTACGGAGGTCAAGGATCCGCACTGGAGTCATGGGTAGGGACGCAGACAAGCGCACGCAGAGCGGCGTGTCTTGATATAGAGATGGAAGACGAAAGAAGATATGTACAGGTAGGTACGTTGCGTCAGGTATAACAGGCTTGTTTAATATGAGCCAAGGCTATTTCCATTAGGCGTTATTGGGTCACCAGACCCTACCTTGGACGAGTCTTGGTCATGGGCGAGGAAGCATCAGGTTACTAGACTCCAGGATTGGAACTCTGCATGGTTGCATCATCTACGTAAGTTAGGTCACAGGCTCTACGCAGCAGCGCCAGCTTTACCAAGCCAAATAATTATTCCACACTTGCCAAGATGTCATAGATATGGAAGTCACTTACAGGGTAATCGACTATCTTCAGCCTTCTGTAGCAGCTGCACGTTGTACTGGACTCTTGGACATTGCTGCCATAGCTTATCAACTGTCTGTCTATTCACCTCTACCCTGCGAGAGGCCAGTGTGAGAAAGGCCGCAGCAGATGTAGATTGCACCCTATTGGCTAGTTTCTGATACGTAGATGCATTAATCTGCGTCACCGCCCAGTGTGCTGTATCTTCTTCCATGGCCTCATCTAGCTGGCCTCCCATCGTCGCCAAATTCCAGGTCAGTAGCCATGCTAGATGGGTGATGATATAATCTGGGGCTACTCCGAAGCGGAACTTCCATAGATAGCCGAAGCAGTGGCAGTCGCAGCCGGGGAGATGGCTTCTTTCCCAATAGCCTCAGTGGAAATTGAATATCGGGTTAGTTAGCCGCGTTTTGCGCACAACGGTAGTGTCGTCAGGTGAAACATAATTGACAATGTTTCAGATACACATCAAGATTGAGATGTCGGGGGCTGGCTAAACTGAGATGCCATCCGCCGGTCTAGGCTCGGCTCGATCATCGACCTGGCCTCCTCCCTTCCTCATCATCCAAGACGCCAGACTCAGCCGTGATGAATGGTCCAGACGTGCCAATTGAGGGACAACTATATACCCACTAGCCACCATGTAGCGTGGATACGAATAGGATGTTGTCACCACTCTGAACCTCGTACGCCTCTTCTCCCTCCAGTTCCCAGTCTGCGTCGTTGATTAAAACAAGGATGCCCGGCCGGCTAAAATTCCACATCATTAGCTTTGCCCACAGCCAGCAGAAGAGGTGTGCATGCGCGAAATCCAGCAGCCATGGCTCCGGGAATAACGGGGAGGTGGCGGATGCCGCAGCCCTCAGCTAGGAAATGGACCTACAGGTGGCCGTCGAGGACGAACAATTCCGTGCGCTGGTCCCTCATCGTATGGCGACATAGATGGTCGATGAGGGAAGCGATCGTTACTGGCTTGCCATCCTGGTCTGTGGCGGGCATGGACAGCGAATGACGGCGCTGATCCGAGAAGAGCATCTCAAGTCCTCCACTGCAAAAAGGCAGTCAGTGAGATGCGACTGGAACGGGGTCGATGTGATATCGGACTTTTGAGCATCACGGCATCTTGCAGACACTCAACGAGATCCATATGGGCAAGGAGGTAGGGGTAGTCAAGGTTGGTTAGGTAGGCGGCCACTTACGAAAATTCCACCACCAATTCTATCTTGGGTACCTCTTGGGCTACGCCAGGCGTCTCCTTTGGCGTCCCCTCGGTTGTCATTTGCTCTGCGTCGTTATTCATGCTGAAATAGCATGGTTTGTGATGATGCCTATTTCCTTGTCGTGATTAAACCTTTTCCCGGACTCCAATTCGAAATCGGGTTACTTGCATGAGTGCCCATCGAGCTCGAGATACGCGCCGGCCACGCCCCGATAAGCAATATGCAATGAAATATTGTATTAGTGCATAATAGTAGTACTACTGCTGCTCCAAATTCGCCCCTTCTCATTGCAATGAACTATAACTCGGATATCGTCCATGAACATGACCCTTTGTATGGAGAATTTGTCGCCGCTTGAATGAGCCAGCAGGCGGCCTTCGAGCTAAGGATTGCCACCCACTTAACAGTGCTGCATGCCTCGCCTGGCTACACATCACTACGTGTGTAATATGGCCATTCATTAGGAGTAACGAGCTCCTTGAGTTATATGTACGGACTCGTCCTTATTGTGGGGTGACAGCATCACTAGCAGAAACAAGAAGAATGCTTTAATTCCACTTCAGGACTGACCACTAAGATTTCCTGTGCATCACCGAGTATCGACGTACTTTAAGGCCCAGCTTGATGCTAGAACTCTACTATCCCGCCCCAAACCGATGCTGGGGACTCGGAGGATTATAGAGGTTATGATGACTGTTCGTACTTGCTTCTTTTAAGGAATTTATAGTCCATTTCTCGTCGGCAAATCCTTTCGTCTCCTATCCACTAATGCATTAGGCCCGCTGAATGAGCAAAATAGGGGTTATGTTGACAACCACCACAAGCACCGCCGCAACATCCTGTAAAATACGCACAGTGTACACATCGCATATTAAATGATGATATCCTTCCTGCCGGCTCTTGCGAGGTTGATCGTACTTGCGGGCACCCGATTGGGCCAAAATCCATCTCCCAGCATGTTCACGCTTTGGCAGGCGTGCAGGCCTGTATATATTTTCTAATTGTGCTGGCGTGTTATCTGACATATACTATACAGCAATATGTTTGAGATTTGTCTACGATAGGGTTGGTTCTGCTTATGCTCGAATGGTCTTGATTGCCAATTGATCTAGCACGGTGATTCATCTACTTACGACGAAGAACTCAACTCATCATTTACCACAGCCTTCTGGAGATCCCCAAGTCAGGCCTCGGCTACTTATCAACCTCAACTGACCTGCAGGGAAGCCCGGGTATTGTGAATATATTGTGCTTAGACAGCGCAAAACTATGACCTGCTTGCCGACTTCAAAGTCCCCCGCAACGCAACCAGCAAGTCAACTAACTATGCCAAATTAGTCTTGTTTCATACCACTAATCGCTTTCCGGATTATTTATTCGTTTGTCGCATTCGTCTTAGAATCCCGCAGGGTTCTCCTGAGAGCTAATTTCGAGAGTGGGAATGAAGCAGCGGGTAGTCGAGATGCGCCTCGTCTTCGCTTTCGCCCCCCTCGTTGTTTCACAACGTACAAAACTCATTCTATCCACATGCTTAATAATGGTCTTATGTAATTCGTCTAGTACATCTGACATGTAACTTATCCATTTCGCTGAGACACTCATGAGCTACAAAAGTTACTACAACTGTGGAAACAAACACCTGGAGATAGATTATATCTTCTACTAGAGTGTGAGAAGTCTTGCCTTGAACTTGTTTCCAAGCTCAGAGTCCACAGTTATCGCAGAATATCATATGCGGATCGTTGCGTGTTGCGTGGCTTTGTCTCGGGATTTGAGAGAAGAAGTGTTACAACGTTGACCTTGTTACATGGGATACGCTCAATACAATATTTATTCACACATTGCTTGTTTTCTTCAAGTCAGTATTTCAGCGCACTGATCGACTCGTCTCATACTCTGACACAGATCACCATACGTGACCAAGAGGACTCTTCCCATAGTTTTCATCAACCGCTGGGAATAACTTTCTGAATTGTTCGTTCGTCATTATAGGCAGTATAAGAACATGCCCGTACGCATCTCATGAGCATGGTCTGATGTTCCCAAGATTGAAAGCACATTGGTTTATATGCTGGAGGCTTAGAACGTGTTAGACTTAACACCTTTAGAACACAGCCAAGTCAGCATACAAGATGACAGAATTATGATTGTCAACATGTATGGCGTGGGATATGTACACAGTCATTTAGTATATCCTCGACAAGAGTACCATACGCATCTCCCGGATTGATGCATAATAGATCGTCCCCACTTTGGAAGACAATTGCCCGGTGAAGATCGCGCCTTGGGGTCCTGTGGCAGATGAACATATCAGCTTGATTTCCGTGATCGCCCCTGCTGTTATCATGCGATGTGTTGGGTGTTAGTAGAGGCGGAATCCTCGCATCTCGTGTGATAGGTGTGGCATCTGCGCTTGGAATTATACAACCTCCGGCAGTATTGTGATTGGGGTAAGTGAACGTAACTCTACTCTTCACCCGGGGCCAGATCTTGGGCTACGTGGACTCAGAAGAAGTGTTCTCTTACCAAGATACCAAGTATTACTGGGACAGACAGCACGGAGTGCTGATTAACTTCTTCTTGATCATGGTCAGAGGTGATGTTTATTTCGAATCCAGTAACATAAATACGCGTCTTAGTAACGACTAGATTCACTGCGATATATTAGCTGCATCCAAGTATCACCACAATCAGATTGGCGCCAAGCAGGACAACCTCACCACTGCCGGATACCGCTTGTGACTGTTTTCAGCCCGTGTGTGATCCACAGCTTTCATGATTGACGTACTTCATCTTGACTTCAAGTGTATAAATATCCCTTAAATTTCTAATCTCAGGTAAGCTTCCCCTTTTCTGAAAAACATCAAACACCATAGAGGCGATCCTCTAGGGCATGTATCATTTCTTCCCCAATATCACGAAAGCCCCGCTCATTATAAGCCGGAGAAACGTCAGCAAATACACTAGGACTTATCAACATGTCCAAGGCCCCCAGCCAGTCAACGGGAAGCCGAGCCCCAGGCTCCGTGGCACCCACCCCCTCCGCCTCTGTCAATCAATCCGTCGCCTTCTGCTCCAGCACAGCACCATCAAGCTCCAAGCACCGCAGCTCCAAAGCCGTCTCCCCGGCCGTATCGCCCTCCGCCTTCCTCCCCACGATCGCTCTCCTGCAACCCATCCCCGCAACCATAGTCGGTGCATCATCCAGCAGCCGCACCATCATACCCAGCAACACCGTAGCCTCGAGCCGTGCTCCCCCCACAGCAGGCGGTAGCATAATTCCGACGACGCAGGGGCCGCTGCAATCCATGTACACGGACCCGACGGACATCGCCTTCGCGAGCAAGCAGACCGTGTATGCGAAGCTGGACGAGGAAGAGCGCATCCTGCAGGACAACTGGGCGAAGGCCAAGGCGACGCAGCTTGCGCCCTGCCCGGCGGGATTGCAGTGGGAGCGTCACCTGACGTGTCCTGGTTTCCGCTGTACGGGAGGTATGCACTACATGTCGGATCTCATCATTGCTTCAGGCGTGCCGAGTATGTATACGCGCCGCTGTCCGCCGGATATGCAGATGGGGTATATGCCTAATTATGCCGAGGGCATTGTGCCGAAGGGGTACTTTGGCCCCGTGGCGCCGATTGGGATTGATCCGCATAAGAGGCAGCCGTGTTATCCATTTTGGACGTAGGGTGGTTCTCGGTGGTTCTCTGGGCGCTCCGTCGATCTTGCTGCTTTTTGACAACGGAGATGCCAGGTTTTGAAGCTGGCAAGTTGGATAACAGCAGAAAGGAGGGGGATGGGGGTGGCATGGGCACCTCATGCCTAGTTTCTTGCCAGCGTATCTACTTCATTTTCCCCATGTGTCCCGAGATCGTCGTGATGAATATCAGAAAACACGAGTCATAACTGCGAGCTGGTAAATACTGTAGCCGCATATAGATAGATAGATAGAGACGAGCAACTACCATCAACAAAACAAAACTCCTGAATTCCCATGTTGTGCCGCCAGTCTCCCCACTCATCCCTAGATGCATGTCATATTGTACACGTGTCAGTCTGGACTTCAGTAAGGAAATTGCCGTACCCTTTCTACAATCATATCGAACCAACTCCCCAGCTACGCAACTACCCAACTTGGCACAGCTGCGCTCAACTTGACACCACCCCTCTGTAAACTGTGAGGCCTAGCTCACAACGCCAAGTTGTAGCTATACTCATCCTCCATATTCTGGCTAATCCACAAAACCACACTGCTGAGTCCCACGAGCCCATTCGCAACGACATTCTCAACCCCCATGCCCATCATAGGCCAACCCACGCCCGGAACGACAAACTTGAGGACGAAAACCGTAACCCCGCCCGCCATGCCGCCCGCCAGAGCGGCAAACCCCAGAAACAAAACAACGCGGGCCTTCCAAGCGACACCGTTGCCCGAGTAGCTAAAGCTGTCGGTGCTAAGACGCGCTTTCTCGACGCTGTTGATGATGAGCATTCCCAACGAGCTGAAGATGAGCGGGAGCCAGTCGACGAAGGTAACATGAACGTCGGAGCCATTGAGGCGCGACTTGGACCAGACGGCCGCGTCGAGGAGGACGTAGAAAGCGAGAGAGAACTGTTCGGATTGATTTGCTGGTTAGCCTTTTGAAACAAGTCGACCGAAGGGCGGCTGGTGGGGGTAATATCAGGAGGGCATGGACGAACCAGAGCTCCGGCGCCGTAGACGCCCGAGTTGCGCACCCAGGCGCTATTGAGCCACTGCGGCTTGCGAAACTTGAAGAGACGGTCGTCCTCCATGGCTACTTCGTTCGTCAACTAGCGGGATGTCGGGCTGCTGCAAGTAGTGGTGATGGGGATTCAAAAGTCGGCTGGCGAGAAGTAATCAATGGAAATAAAAAAAATCTTGGCTCCTGTCAGGGAGATATGCAGATAGGAAAGAAGACTCGGAAGCAATCGGCGTTGACAAGGGAATTGAGGGAACTTGGAGATGTTCGGGGTTTGGTAGGCTGATGCGAGCTCCAAGTTCGAGATGTCGCGAGGCTGCCGGTACAAATGCCAAGACCCGTCGTCATCAGGAATGGCACAAATCACGTGAGTTACAGCAGGGGTTGTTGTACTGAAGTTACATCCGTCTAAGTATTAGAGCGAGGCCCTTCAAAGTCAACTGCACCGGTATCATTGTCAAATGCCACTTGCACAGACAAGCTCTAGCAATTGGTTGTAAACGTTACTCGTTGCAATGTGATGTAACTAATATTAATGGCTGTGAAGCCCCTAATACGAGACAATTCCACCGAGTGTATCTGGAATGCTGGTTCCCCCTTAGTGTACCACTTACGTCTCAATGCTATTGGGCTGAGACGAGTGCCGCCTTCCAACGCCTTTGCAAATCTCAATCCCTCCTTCAACGCCATTGCGAGGACTGTCTGGCTCTTCACCTGTGTACATGGCCGCCGCAAACGCCATCGCGAGATAGTGATGGTACAGGACTAGAGCGCGCAGCATCGGTGCCACATCAATCCTTTGAGTTTTGCCTTTAATGTTGGCCGTGTAATGCGTCCATCATGTTGACTAACTGAGATCATTTTTCTCCAGCTCCCGAGCCCCCATGGCCACGACCACGAGAGTGCTCAGGCTGCTGGAAGGAACCGCCAACATAAACATCGTAATTAGTACAAGAGTAGAAATGAACCACCGCTCTATGTTCACGCCTTCAAAATCGTGGTCAGCAGCTTGACCTCAGAGTCTTGTGCTTCTGAGTCCACCAAGCCCTGTCCAAATACCTCGTAATGTGGATATCTCCAAGACCTGCTCCCAGTCCAGAGGTGCATTAATCAGAAAGTATTCCGTATTCTGGCGCAAGAATAATCGTTCCTCGTAGGCTGTTCGCGATGCGTCCGTTATCTCGGAGCTCATCGCATCTTTACGTCGTCCGTTGTCCAGTAGGCCACATTGTCTTTCGAATTTTTCGATGCTGGTGAGATTTTCTCTCGTCAAATCTCGATTGTCTTCATCGCATCCTCAAGTCCCTCTGCGTGATTGCCGTTCATGGCTGGAGCCTCCAAGGTGGCATTTTCCTTGCCCTTGCCTGTGTCGGTTCCATTGGGCAGAGATTTCACCTCGTCGTCTGGACGGGGTGTATCAACTTCGACGAGCTTAGTGGTCTTGATCCCGTTTGTGACGAGCTTCGGCTCAGGAAGAGCTGGTCCGGAGGCAGACCCGGACCCTTCCTCGTTCACTCTCGCTAATGGGCTAGACTTTCCGTATCCTGGACGGATGGGGCTTGACAGGGGCGAAGGACTGCTTAGTCTCTGGAGTGACCTGCCACGAACTTCTCCGGGGCCGTCAACGGGGCCTGAGTATGGAGATCCAGTCGGCGAGGCGACACTGCCAACCATAGACTTTCGCTTTGCTGACGCCCTGGCTCCACGGCCGTACTTTTGATCCATTCTCCATCTCAAAATTTCGAAGTAGGAGGGCTCAACACGAGTCGTCTTAAACTCCCGCAGCTTGAGCTCGTTAGTTTCCTCGTCGATAGACCATTTGCCGCTGTTCAAATCGTCCGCAACCAGCGCAATGAAGGCAGACCAAGATCTTGCCACCACATATTTGATGTCGTAGTCACGTCCGAACATGATGATCTGGCCCCATGTGCCCATAGGTCCAGGTGCTAAATCCACAGCGAGGTTGTTGCCTCCCCAGTCACGAACTAGGGGGATCCAGCCCGAATGAGCGTATGCCCGCTGTACGGCGCCTGGAGGGACACAGTCCTGCTTCGCCAGAAGATCCTGTCGCCATGAAGAAGTCTGGGAGCCGGCGGGGGATCCTGGGGCTGATTTCGAGGAGGAAGCCTGGTTGTTGTTGCTGCCCCCCAGCACCTTGGTCGGGATGGCAGGTTTTACCACGGATGTCTCCAGGAGGAACTCTTGGTTCACCTTGCGCCACTGGTCCCATTCCTGGACGATTTCCTCGCAATCCAGTAACATCGAACTGAAAATGATACCGGTGGGGGTCCCCCCACGCTCCTGGCCATCGTGCATCATCAAGGAGTCTCTAACATCTTGGGGCAACGAGCAGTCTAGCTGGTGTTCTAATTCGTTCAAGTCGTTATGTGTGCAGCCTTCACAAAGCTGATCGAACAGCTCCGGATAGTTCTCCTCAGCCCAGTGATCTATTCTTTTCCACGAGTGGGAAATGGGCGGTGCCGGGGGCATGCCATCGGCGAAAGATTGCATCGGGATCTCGCCTGGACTGCTGACCGTCTCGAAGCCGTCATCTTTGGAGCTGTTGCGCTTTGTGTTGAATGATCGCAGGCCCGGTGAGTATGGACCATTGGAGCCGGGCGAGAGAGGAGATGAGTGCGATCCCACACCCATGTACGAGCTTGACCCGTCAACGGCGGTGGACAGCCGACCCATCTCGTCCGTGTACGGGGATGTGATGTCTGCTCGGGATTCGGAGGCTGTGGCGACCGACGTGAGGGTTGACTGTCGGTTCAGGGGCACATGTCGACCTGTTCGGTAGGGGGAGTCGTATGAAGAGTCTGGCAGTAGATCATCAGCGAATGCAAGGCCGGCAGAATCGAGGCCGAGTACAACATACGTCGGTCATAGCTGGTCATAGTATGCCAGATAGATTTGAAAGCCGATCCGATTCTGCAAGTACGCGACATCAGTATCGCGGTAGTGTCAATTGATTGGAGCTCGCGGGTGGTATACTTACGATTGAGACATGGTGAGCGAAACTGACTGCGCTGCTTTGTGTAGGCGTAGGGGTTACTCTGTGTCCCAAGACTATGTCAGCGCAGGGCCGCCGGCGGAAGTGGTTTGGCAGTTGGGCAATCCAGATATTCCGCGATCGGCCGTCGAAAGAACGAAGAGAGAGTACTGGATTCGAGGAGGTGGGAATTGTTTGTTGTGGAGGACAACGAGTCGCGACCCTCGACTTGGACAGAAAGATTGTTCGAGGCCAAGACGCGACGTTAATGATGAATGATGGGGCGTGCTCGTGCCACGAAAAAGGGGTCCTCTTCCCCAGTACTTGTTAGTAGTGCTGCTGCAAGGAACGAATGCTGCTGTTCAAAGGGAAAACGACCGTTTGTTTATGTTGGCTTGAACGAGGTTATTGGCGATTGATGGGGGCAGACTTAGTTGGCCTAGCGAGACGAGGCAAAGCGAAGCTTTTTGGGGGGTCAAGCGTTGTATTTTCCAGGGACTTCTTTGTCATTTCATTCCCAGCTTCACCGGCCTATGGGCTAGACCAGCAGGTTTGACCCGCCCGTTTACTGGAAAAAACGGATTGAGCGATGTGGAGAAGGCTGGGTTATCGACGACGCGCAAAAAGTGCAAGGGCTTGTCATTCGTCGGTGGCGCTCTCCCCACTGGCACTGGTCCAGTTTCACTTCCTTCAAGGTAAAGTTCAAGACTCAGGAGAAAGCCGTTGATTTAGCAGGCAGGTGCTACCCAGGTGGGTGCTAGTGATGAAGGCGGGAACGAGTGTGAACCTTCTGTGACGAGTCGCAGTGAATCAGCAAGCGAATGGAATTGGCTTTTGCCCCAAGTCGGATTTCGGGTTGACGGAGGGAAAGGAGCACTCAGGACACCTGCGCCCTGGGAAGGGGTTGAACGGCCATATAAATGAAATTGATTTTCCGCCGGAACTCATGCAAGTTTGGCGGTCAAGGGCAATTAGATACAAGGTAGCCGTCATTGTACCACTCAACTTAGATGGTACCTGTCCAGGACTCCTGGCATTTCACGGCTGATGCAGACTGCGGACCACTGAGCAGAAGAGGGAATCACTAGTACTCCGTAAAATGGCAGGACATGGCTAGGAGACGGGGGTGAAGGGTGTGGGGCCATCACTTGCAGCTGCGAAAGCAGTGGCCGGCAAGCAGGTGGACAAGACGGTTGATAATCGATGTTTGTCGAGTACAATCCAAAACGCCACCAGCTTTATCTGGCTGCCAACCTTGGAAGTATTGCCTTGTGATACTTAATAGCAGAGTTCGTTATAGTCGGGTCGTTTTAAAGATATGGTTGAAAGCTACGCAGTAAAACCAAGGCCTTGCTCTTGATGCACAAGGGCCATTGGTCGCTACGGCAGTGGACGAACCCAGGTCACAATACGTCATTGCTATTTCACCTCTACAGCCACGCGTCTGGTCAAATATCCAGTGCTCCATCTTCTTCTTCTTCTGTACTTTTTGATCTTGCCCCTTTGACTGGGTCTTTAGATCTTCCTGGAATCGGGGCATTGCTGCTGCTCTTATTGGCTACTGCAGGAAGCAATTTACAGTACCGTCCGACCATAACACCATGCACTTCAACAGGCACGCATTTCCATCCCCCCCCCTTTCCTGTTGCTTTTGAGCTAACGGGGCGGGGGGCGGCGCCATTGGATACCCGTGGACAACAAATTGTACACAACCGTTTCACGTCCTACGCCACACGCCTGACTGGCTGCTTGCTACTCCGTTTCTTGGGGACCGACATCGTATGCACACCCGCCCAGACGACATCGCATTCATTTTACAGCCTTGTGCATAGGTAGTACAGAATTCGATTTGTGTATACATCTAAACATCATTTGTCAGTCGCAACCACACGTACACGCCAAGAAAACAACTGATGCGCGCCTGTCTGACCACTGCGAGTTACAGACCCGTCAGCCTTTCTTGTGCCAATCGCATTAATGGTTTGGACGTACCGGTGGTAGGCACTCCGTACAAGTCAATTGGTTTCTAACGCTTCCAAGGTTCAAGACGGCGCTTGTTCAGTCAAGCGTTCGTCCAGACGCTGCGGAAACTTGACTGATGTCAAATCTTAGATCCTCATGAATGCTGCTGAGTAGTTGCATGGGTTGCTTCTCACGGCGCACACTGCAGCATCGCCAAATCAGTTACAAGTAGTGATTGTGTATCCGAGTATTGTAGATCTTGTGGCTATATTCGAGCACCATGTATACGCATGCAAGGAGTGTAGATCATGCCGGTTACAACCAGTGACATCTTCAGGAGCCAGCAGCAGCTTCCGGCTTGTCGGTTGCAAAGCGAGCTCTTTGGGGGGCAAATTTTCGTTTAGATGTCCAGGTGTCTGAGATCACCAACATTGCATAACGCGTATTCGAATACTGCCAACCCCATGCAGGTGTCCAATATTCTATGTTCATTGCGGGTTTTATGACATTAGATGACTGTACCGACTACCTGTCGTTGCATTTATATGCTCGTCGTCAGCTCTTGCAAAATCAATCATCACGCTCCAGAAGCAGAGTTTAGAAATGTCAAGTGGTTCACGCGTCGAACTTGTATCGTGTGTCCATTCCATTACTTGCGCGTGTCGCCTTTATTGCCACATGTCCAACGTCTTACAAGTTGCTCAAGTGACGGTGGCAATACTTATGAAACAATGCCGAACTGTCGCACTAAGGCAGTCTAACGGTCAAGTGCATAGTAAGCGGCAATGAACCCCTATACTGCCGCTATGGGGGCGCTCAGATCGCTGATTGGGATATCGCAAGACATGTTCAAACAACACTAATGCCACGGTTAAAACGATGCATTGTATACACTAAGGGTAAGCCCCGAACACCGTACGTAGTAAACCCAAAGAACCCGCGTTCCCTCTATTCCAGAACCAGCATCTCGTTCTCGCCGCAGAGAATCTAGCTCTGCCACATGTACTCGCTCAAACTCAGCACCTTGTCGCCCATCTGCCTCTTAGCAGCAGCTGCGATGCCGCGCTCCGGGTTCGCCAATTGCTCACTGTAGCACAACTCAATGAGAGCCTTAAGCTCGTCGTAGCTGAATTTATCGGCACTTCGTACAGCGATATCCTGGCCCCCATTTTCTCTCTCCTTGTCGTTCTTCGCCTTCTCGACGATGCCGTCGGGTCCGGCTTCGAACAGCGAGAAGTAGTTTGCCGCCCTCGTGAGATCAACGCCCGCCTCGATGTTCTTGAGGTTCTGCTGAAGCACCAGGATGTTGAGTTGCATCCGCTCGCAGCCCCGCGCGTTCATCGGCTGCGTGGCAAGGGCATTGCTGACGAGGTAGGAATTAATGAGCAGTCCTAACCCAGTCCGTACAAAGGCGATTTCGGGATCTCGTAAGTAGCGCACAGCTGTCTCGTCGTAGGCGACGAGCTCGGCGTTGAGTGTGAGAATGTCCGGGTCCGGGTCTTTGATTTCCTGATCCAGCGGCAGGACGTAGGGGGCTGTAGCCGGAGATAATGATAATGCGAGTGAGTAGATAATGCGGCAGCGGATTTCCAGGTGTACCGTCAATAATACCGTTCCAGCCAGTTCTTCGTAGGCGAGCACGATGCTATCGAACGATCTATGACGTGTAAGTAAGAGAAACTTACAGGTCGCATAGGGCAGGGGAAGTACTTACTGCACTGTTTCCTGTGTCATTGGCAGATACACAGGGCCGTTTTCATCACTGCTAGCCTTGTGAGGGTCATTCAGGAGAGTCCAGCGGCGGTTCTGATTCTTGGGAAGTGTTGGTCGCGAAGAGTCCGTGTCATGACTTGTGATGTGCCTCAGGCCTCTCACTTTCACTGACAGCCACTTCATGCTTGTGTACAACAGGCAGAGTGAAGATATGACATCCCGATCTTGAATTATGTCGTTTGGCTCGAGTGGCCTTTCATTTGTCCGCATGATGAGTAGTCCGATCTCCTTGTCCAGGAGTTCATGGTCTACCGTCTCCGATGTCCAGAGCTTCTTGATGGTCTCTTGAATATCGCCTTCGGTGGTAGCGATTTCGGCAGAGAACCTCAGAGCCTGTTGTGGTGAGACCGATTCCAAGGCCTTTGCAACCAATGATTTGTACCAGCCGAAGCAGCGTTCGTAGTACCTGTTCATCTGCGAGAGAATGAGGGAGCTCAATGCTTGATCATGTGGAATTGTGCCAAGCATGCGGCAGAATGCAGTTATCACTGCAAAGAAAGCGGTAGTGCCCTTGAATACTGGCCGTCGAGCCGCCAGGCTCCAATTGGAGTCTAGTTGGAACGAGTCCGCCTCTCCGAAGACCGCATCACTTAGTTTGCCCAGAGTTTCGTCAAGCTGTGGCTGGAAGACATTCACGAGGAAGTTATCGAGGAACGATGTCAAAGTGCTGGCAGCCAGATCCGATCCAGGTGGGACAATGACCTTCAATCGCTGAAGGAAAACGAGCGTTGGAGGAAGCAACAAACTCATGTTGAATACACTAGGCTCAACCAAAGGATTGTACGAGCCGGGTGATGTTCGATTTTCGAAAGCACCGGCATTTGCGCTCTTTCGCGAGTCCTTGGTGGCCTTTTTGTCCGGATCCTTGCCTTTTCGAGAGCTAGAGGTAAGACCAGGCACTGCGGCCCGTACGATGCCATCTAAAGCCTCGTATTCGGCGGCTATCTCTACAGCTTTCGGGTCCGTCTCTGAAAATTTGAATAGATGCTCCCTGGACGCATCTTTCGAGCCGTTGGCATTCATTCCGGGTTTGGGCGTAGTATTGAAGTGGTAGACATCGGCGTCAGTGGTGACATAGTTGTGTAGGAGGGTGCGAATCTCATTTTGATAAAGGTTCCACAGCTCCTTGAAGCTCCCCAGGAGTGAGTTATTGTTGCCAGAGCCTTCTCGCCGGATGAGTGCTTTGATAGTCTCATGGAAAACTCTATGACCCTCGGCAATGGCCTCGAACTTGCCGTATAGGGTCCATAATAGGTCATAAATGACATCGGCTCGCATCTGAGTCCCCCGGTTGCCGTACAGATGGATGCTGTCGGCATTCATCGATCCACCCCGTAAGGAGCTTGGGTGCCTTTGATCCACGTCATTTATGGTCTCATTCACTACCGCAAAGAGCTCCACCGGAAGGCGTTGCTTCAAAGTATCAACTGCAGCATCCAGCTTTCCGAGCTTGTTCAAGGACTCGACAACCAGGCCAATATACCAAAAGGTGTCTGCCTCAGGGTTCTTGGCCGGATCCTCCGTTACTGGTTGGTGCAGGTCCATCGCATCGAGAATGATATGAAACGGAGTGACCGCCGGCACATCGTTATAGGTCTCCTTCAATGTACCTTGGTTCTTGGACAAGCTCTGCCATCGCTCCTGGCAATAGGGCGACTTCAGGTATAGGTGTTCGTGCAACTCCTCCACCAAGATATCCATCAATGCCGTTTCTTGGTTCGCAAGATAGCTTCGCAGATCGCTCAATGCCCCGATATCGTCCAATTCGGGCTTCCTTAGCTTGCGCAGAGCGTTCTGCAGGACTTCAACAGCCGTTAAGAAGCGTTTTTCGGATATGCGCGCCTCGAGCTGATCGGGTACTATCCTGAGGTCTTCTAGTTCATTCAACGTCTGCAGTACATCGTCGTACATCTGAGATGTCTTGTACATCTTCTTGAGTTCTGGATCCGTAGCGCAAAGGCTTGCCCGCGATGCAGTCAGCGATTCTTTCAATGTGCGGACTCGCTTCTGGGAGGCTTGAATGCTGCCCTGGATCTTGTGGAAAGTGCCAATGGAGCTGTTGAAGCCCTGGTGATGCTCGTGGACCAGTCCCTTCAGGGCATCTTGTAAGTATTGATGCGTCTTCTGGAACTTGCGATATTCGTGGGCACGGCCAACTGAGCTATTATCGAGGAGCTGCAAGGCCATCGACGCAGGGATGCAGTCAGTCTCACACATGGCCGGCCATTCGGCCCTGACATGCTCGAGAACTTGAGCTATCTGCCGCTCGGCGCTGCTTTCCTGTGCTCTTTGCAGCCGGGCGGCAGAAGATGCGCCATAGCTGCCACCAAAACCGGCGCCATTACGGGATGAAATATCGGGAGGTGGTCGTCTGTTCGATTGGAACTGTTGCGGAGGTGAACCGTACCGGTCGTCGCCGAATGGATCATAATCATCCTCCTCTTGTCTTCCATATGAGCCATACCCATTCGTATTCCCATTACGGTACGAGCCGGCGTATCGGTTTGCCATGGTTCAACGTTGCGGGACGTCTGGCGCGAGGATGATTAGAGGTGTCGCATTGGGTTTCGTGGGCATACTGGGCCCTTGCCCCCGTCTGTCCAAGGCCAATCCCAGAGAAAAACGTCGGAATTCTGTAAAATCAATTGCCCGTTGTTCGTTGGTAGACTGCGGGTTGAGCAATTGAATTGTTGATGTTGGCCTTTCCACTAAGTTGAGGTCGGTGTCAGCGGGCTGAACTCACTTTAGATGCCGGCTACTACAGGGACCAGCAGCGCATAGACTAAGTGAGTTCGGGGTGCAGAACTTCACACACCCAGTTCTCATATCCTCGAGCCATGTCGTTTCATACATCTTTTTCTGCATTGAACTTTGGGATATTCTGGCCTACTTGTGCATTATCCATCTTCAATCATCGTTATTGTTGATAGTACTTAATCATGTGTGATTATAGCTCAGCCACGGGCAGCTTTTACGATCGCGGCTTGGACGCGGCTGCTACAATGACCCCGAAAAAGTCTCCGGACACCCACAATTAAGTCCCGACAATATAATACAATCAACAACTTCAAAGATGAATTTCTTAGCTAATTTACGCTTAAATTCTAATCTGTAACTTGTAAATTGTGAAGGTCAACCCTCGCAGACTCACTACAACCAGGTGACGTACAGCTGGAACACCTGCCATGGCAGTGCCAGATGGGAAGCCAATCATAACCCCTGCAGGAGCCCCGCCAAGCGTGGACGACTTAGTCGCGCTCCCTCAAACCTAAGTTTGTGATCTTCTTTCCTTCGCTCCTTAGAGTAGAATCTTCGTCGATAGCACCTAATCGAGGTCTCTACCAATGCGATGCAACCCAGGTCGTGACATAAATCGTCTCTTATTTAATAGTACGAATACTAGCCCCTTGCTTTTCTTACCGCTATAAGCCGTCGCGGAAGGGACTTTATAAGACCGCGTACGTACGTTAAAATCGACCTGTAACCACGTATCCTCGATCACTACCCTAGCCTAGGCCTCGTAGGGGACGTTAGACTTTAATTCGGAGAAATTAGGCTCTATTTCACGTATTTTAGCCTTTAGGGCTTTCTATACGTGCTTAATAGGGTTCAGATCGGGGCTATAAGCGGGCTACTTAATCGTCCAATACCGTAATCCTCTAGCTACCTCTGTGTATAGCTTAACATATGTATTTTTGCGTTATTATGTATAAAGGAATCTCCTAGCTCGTAGAATAGAAGCAGCCCTTGCTGACTGTAAGGACACTCTAGAGCGCGGAGAGTCTAGATCGCCGTCGTAAAAGACTAACTTCGATGCGCCCCCTTCATCGTCCCTTAACCAGATCATACCCCACACTATAATCGAAATTTGTAGGCGCCCGTAGTTCTGTAGGTTCACGAGATCCTCTCTATATCTCTCGTTCGTATAGCGGAAGACCTATTAGCCTGGAGAGTCGGGCGAATTCTGGACCGTACACTCGTTGTGACAGGCTGTGCCTGATATGGGATCCGGAGCTGTAAGGACCGTGCGTCCGGATCCACCAAAGGAACCATCGAGGGCATACAAAACATAGTCCGTGTTCCCGGGACAACTCGCATATTTTACTTTCCTCCTCAGTTAGATAATTAACAGTATTTGGCCATGTTGAGCTGTATAGTTTCGCAGTGAGCCCATCACACTCGTACGAGAAGAGTATCCGTATAAGTTGCCGGATCTAGGCCGATATACGGTGCTGGCGTGTAACGAGGATACCACACGTCTCACAATATAATAGTCAGGTAGTGCAAAGGGCAGCTAGAAGTAGGCCAGTGTATGGGTGCGTATATTGCAAGACGTGTGGTATCCTCGTTACATGGCGGCAGAATTTAAGGCGCTCCTTCGTATCTTCGGCTGTTAAGATAATTCGCTTTACCGTACGCTATTTCTTCAGGTGATAATAGTGTAGAACTGCCTTAATAGTGTCTGGGTGTACCGATATACCTGCCTTACTGGGGTACGAATCTTACGAGATACCCCGCCCTCGGCTTTCTCTATCGACTGTAGTTAGCTAGATAGTTGCTGCGCTTTCTGAGGAGTAAAAGCAACTAAAGGTGGTGATATATGAGGTGGAGGATCTGGTGTATGAGGCTCCGGAGGATCACAGGATACGTCGACTAGTCCTTCGGAGCCTAGGGGCCATATACCAGTCTTCCGCCAGCCAGATTTAATATTTTCCGTAGTAAAGGCTCTCTCCGAGGCACGTAGATATGCTTCTAGCATACGTTGCTTGTAAATTGGGGCTGTAGCCTTGTAGGAAGCGTAAGCCCTGAGCTCTTGGCGGTAGTAGGTCTTCAAAGGTGAGAACGGCCCGATATCGCACGGCTGGAGATCGTCACTGCAGTGTGAGGGTAAATACAGCACGGCGACTCTATTCGAGTAGGCTTTCCACATAAATTCGGCATGAATATGTGTCTGGTGGCCGTCGAGGATAAGGAGTCGCCATTCGGTACCCCTAGGCTTCGTCTCGGGGAGAAAAACCTGATCTAACTACCTATTTGCGATAACTTTATTACTCCAGCCCTTACTCGTCGCGGTGTATTCCCATTCAGGGATATTTTGGTCTGGGAACCACTGTGCTTAGACTCTCTTGCCGGAAAATACGCAGACAGGTGTACCCCGTTGGGTATGCGAAATGTACTCTAACCAGGAGCACCACGACGAAGCGTCCGACTTTGATACGCGTACCCGGCGTAAATTAGACGTCCCAATAACCGTACCATGCCCAGATTCCCCCTCTTGGACACCTGTCTCATCCATATTATACTCGTTGTCGGGTTTGATACGATACTTCGTACGTAAGCGTTCGAGGAGGGTGTAGAAGTCTCGGATCTCGGTCGAATCGGACGCTCTAACTCGGCTAGCATCTACGACGCGCCCAATTTTGGTACGTATCTGTGGATGGCGGCTAACGAAGTGATCCACCCAGTGTTGGCCGAGTGTATTGTTATCCCCTTGAGCAAGGAGGATTTCGGCAGCGAAGTCGGCCACATAACGCTTGCTAGGAGCCCGTCCACACACTTCTTCGTGTAGGATCCAGTTCACGATAACCTCCTCTTGCTCTGGAGTCAACTTTTGTTGCCTGGAGGCCGCGTCGCGATGCGAATTACCGTGACGAATACGGTAGGACAGTGTAGTCCCCTTGATACCGTACCGATGAGCTGCTACGGCCCGGGAAGAGCCCTGACGGACAAGCTCTTTAGCGCGTTCGATTCGCTGCTCAAAATCGTCCAGACTATTCTCCACTGAATTAGCTATTTTGTACGTAGATAGGGAGCAATTGCGAGGTAAATTGAGAGACGTCGTGTTGTTGAGGCGTAGAAATTCCCTGCAAAATGGGGGTGCATGCAAAAAGGTGGTCAATGCGGTTAGATATCTCTTATTTCTTACGCTTAGCTTTCTAGGGGCACCTGTCCGCTTCCTCGTAGCTATAGTTTTCGTTATTTTGGCGCGTCCGGCGATATCAGTGATAGTTTAGGGCCTTGACATGCCGAACGCGTCTGCTACCTCCTTCCGACTTATACCACTTGCCCTAGCGGCTATAATAGCGGCTCTAGCTTCTGGACTGAATTCGCAATTCGTGCCGCGATTACTGCTTATTTCTATAGCAAAAGCTCGAAAATCTATTACAAATTAGGGTTATAATAGCTAGTTGAAATCAATAGGCTGATATTGTTGTTATTCTGATTACTAAATTGGGGTGTGGGGTGTCCGGAAACTTTTTCATGATTAGTGTATCTACATGCAGAAGCGGAGCCTGTAACTGAGAACAAGATACTTCGTGGTTCGTGACTGAACCTCAATTTCATCCTCTTGGCCACAGCAAGCTTTCTCCACAAATATCCAATTCACTTTGAGAAGGCAGCTTGAGACGTCTAAGGAGACTTCTGGAGCAATAACTGCCACCGATACTAGTGAGCGCCAGCATCAAGCCCAACCATGGCATCCCTCCGACGCTTTCGGCCTGATGATCTCAACAAGATCTCCAAATGCAACTTGGATCCCTTGACCGAGACCTACGACTTGAGCTTCTACATGCAGTACTATGCGAAGTGGCCCGCCATGTTCCAGGTTGCCGAGGATGGTAACGGCAACATCATCGGCTACAGTACGTGGGATCCCCGGAGCGAAGTGTCGGTAATGTGAAACTAACTTGGACGCAGTTATGGGCAAACTCGAGAGCTCCCCGGATTTCATGAGACGATCAAAGCATTTCCTCCCTTGGCATGCCCACATTACTGCTCTGACTGTTGCACCCGAAGCCCGTCGCACCGGCATTGGCAAGATCCTAACGGCGCAACTGGAAGCGGCTGCCGACGTTGGCGATGCTTATTTCGTCGATCTGTTTGTGCGCCGAAGCAACACCCGAGCGATCAACTTCTATAAGAGCCTGGGCTACACCGTCTTCCGCGTGGTGAAGGACTACTACGGCGAAAATGTCAACGACCCCACGGCGTCTGGAGAAGATGCCTACGACATGCGGAAGCCGATGAAGCGCGACACGAAGGGTGAACACGTCCGCGACAACGGCGAAGAGTTTGAGGTGGATCCTGAGGACGTTTTTTGAAGTGTGTGGATGGAGCTAATGCGTGAGTATTTCAGGTCAAGAGACATGATTTCATGGTGCACTCTCAAGAACATCTGCATTCCTATGGCGCTACGGTATCATTGGCGACTACTTGAACCAGTGTTCGAGCGATTATGCCCCTTCTCACCATGCGCCGTCAACTGAATAGACGCTTCCGCTTACGTACTTGCTCTCGGGACTCAAAAGGAAGACGATCACATTGGCGCACTCCTCCGCTGTTCCCTGTCTGCCCAAGGCCGCTCCATCATCAAAAGGCGCACCCGTTGGTCGATCATGGAGCTGCCAGGCTTTCTCCATTAACGGAGTGTAGATAGCCCCTGGGGCCACAGCATTGACACGGACTTGTCGCTTGCCGTTCTCTTTAGCAGCACTTTTCGTTAGTCCTATCACGGCATGCTTGCTCGCTGAATAGGCCCCGTGGTTTGCGAACCCTAACATTTGTTAGTAAGACGTAATGCGTAAGGCACACTAAGACCTTCTGGAATAGACTGGCAAGTACCTTGAATACCCTGAATAGAGGAGATATTGACTATAGAACCCCCGTCTACGATCTTTCGTAGCTCGGCCCGTAGACAATACATCGTACCGGTCAGGTTGACTGCCTATGTATCGATGAGGCGTTAGCATTCAACTATCCTTAGGGCTACATAATCTCTCAGACTCGAGTACGGACCATGATCTTATGCCATTCGTCATCCTCCAAGTCTGCAACGGCGCGAAGGCCGTGGTGTTTACCGATGATGCCAGCACAATTTGCCGCTCCATCAATTTTGCCGTATTTCTGGACGATACCGTCGATCCATGAGTCTACCTCGTCTCTTTTCGACACGTCCACCTTGGTCACCGAGAAGGGGACCTTCAATGCAGAGAATGCTTCCTCCGCCTTCTGTAGTGCGTTTGGGCTCACGTCAGCGATGCAGACTGTGGCTCTTTTCCGAGAAAGAATCTGTGCCGTCGCTAGTCCAATGCCGCTCGCAGCGCCAGTAAGCGCGATAACCTTGCCCTCAAGGGACATCTTCAGCGTCCGAGCAATCCTATAGGTGACGGTGAAGAGCAAACCAATACTTGCGATTATCCTACAGACCGATGATCGAGTTTGAAGTAGATAGGGTTATTGAGCACTCGAGGAACTAATTATTATCGTTCTGTAGAATTTCGGGTAGGAAGAGAGGTTCAATCCTCTATATACATGTTACGAACCGTTGGTTCTAACCTGGCCAAAACCAACCCGACAGGCCCTACAATAGGCCATGACGGAACCCCGCAGGAACAACTAGGCCCCCGACTAAAGGAAAAGGTCACGTGATAGGGATCACGCTTGGCAGAGTGATCCCCTACTTGGGATCACCAGGAGCGACGTGATCCAAGTGATCCAACGAGATCAGTGAAGGAGAGATGGATATATAAGGGACAGGACTCCCAGGCATTTCATAGATAGACAGTCTCTACTTCAGTGATCAATCTAAGCATCAATCTAACCCATTGGTGAGGCAAACTGCCTTAACGACTGTGAAGGTCAACCCTCGCAGACTCACTACAACCAGGTGACGTACAGCTGGAACACCTGCCATGGCAGTGCCAGGTGGGAAGCCAATCATAACCCCTGCAGGAGCCCCGCCAAGCGTGGACGACTTAGTCGCGCCCCCTCAAACCTAAGTTGTGATCTTCTTTCCTTCGCTCCTTAGAGTAGAATCTTCGTCGATAGCACCTAATCGAGGTCTCTACCAATGCGATGCAACCCAGGTCGTGACAACGACTCTATTCCCGATTACCCTACTTGAATACTTCAGTTACCCAAAGCACTCTACTCCATGCGTCAAACCCCGATATTATTGCTTGAGGACTCCGCAGCAGGACTTACTTACTAGCACAAACCCCTACAGACTCTTTAGTGGTTTACGCAGCTAGACTATTAGAGGTTTCGTTACAATACAGCTTATCTGAATAATCTGAGCTATATATATTAGTAGAGTTTACCCCGCCTCTAGCGCTGTTTTAGGCGTATTTTGGACACCTGTATATCTCTAAGCGAGTGCAGTACTAGATACCAAATATTGCTAACACGTTCCTATAAATATCGGAGCAGGACCAAATGACTCCTCACCCAGCGGCATTTCGCTGTAAAGCGGAGCGAGCGACTCCTCTTATTGTTACTTGATACTTATCATCAGAGGGATACAATTCGGACCAAAAAAAGGGCTGATATGAGTAGACGCAGTGGTAAAAGTCTCATGGTCTAGATCAAAATTATTGCTGACTCGAAAGACTGGATGGGGAGCTGTTATGCCCGCCATGCCCCTCAACTCGACCATTTGTGATTGTGCCCAAATGCGTACTTCTTCGGTAGTAGAAAGAGAGATATGTCCTCTATTAACAGCTATTCTATCCTAGGAATAGCGCTAGCTGCTGGTGTTGCTGGTCATGAGGGGAAGTTTGGAGACTCGGAGTTTTGGAGACTGACCTACCACAGGTACTTTATGTGTGTGTTCGTAGTCCGCCTGAAGCCACCTCCCTATCTTTTCTCACCGCTGTGTAAATTTGACAGAGTTTGGGAGCTTCTTCTTGACCACCGGCCTTCCCAATACTGGCTGCGCAGGCGGTGGGCGGAGCCGTCGAAACAAAAGTGCCTCGCTCAAAGTACACCAAAGTTGACTTTGACACGGATTTGAGGTCGTCGTCTGGTTTAGAAGTGTAGAACTGGACACACTTATTTGGAAACAAAGGCCTCTGCACTACCCCACCATCTCTATGCTCGATCACCTGGACTCGTTACGACTCTGCGACGTGGGACCACATTTTCAATACTAAAAGTTTCTGAACGAACAACTTCGATGATGCATATTTTTTTTATTTTGTAGTTTGGCTTCCACTGAACAGTTCAAAACAAAGTTTTGAAGGCAACTGGAAAAATTCAAGAGACCCCTGATACGGGAGCGGACACCAGTCTCTACTAGAGCCTGATTACCCCGAGTGGGTCGAACTCTAAATGCACGACTATCCGACTATCCGGTAGGTAGTATTTCATCGGTTTCTTGACTCTTGCTTGAAAAAACCAAATACCTACCACCTGCCTGAATCAGTTCGATGAGTCATGGTGTAGCAAGAACAACTACAGCATCACTGAAAGCCCTTCGGACAATTATCGCACTCGAACCATCCTCGGTCCAGTGGAAGTCGGGTTCATTTGCAATGAAGCAATAAGCGTGGTCACCAAACATTCGAGGGCCGTTTTCAGCTGTTGCGCGCTAATGCAATCCCCTGGCAAAACCCCAAGCTTTTGGCGTCCACGCGACAGCCCAAGGACTTGGTTATGCAATGGCATTGCGGTGGCTTCAGCTGGCGCTGGTAGATGTGTAGCCGAAACTGTCGTGCTTCCCCCAATGCGGCACATCTAATGCCATCTATAGATGTCCGAATGATCAGATTTGCTTGGCAGCATATAGTTCCTGACAGTCAAATGACTCTCTCCCTGCAGGGATGCAGTCGTATTTTGTGGGGGCGGGTCTGACGAACTCGTCCCACTTTCGTCATCAGTCCGTCTCTTAGATCTATGGCTTCCAAGTCCCCAGTTCCATCCGAGCGCCCTGGTAAGCTGGCAAGCTGGGCGCAGCAGTCGCAATTCGCAATGTCGTTGGCTGGCCCGAGTCTGACGTTGTTCCACTTTCAGTGTTTCGAGCCTTCTGTCCCGAGGCGAGGTCTTCTTCACTCTTTGTGCCCTGGCCATCCCTTCTCAAAATCCATTTGGAAACTCGCATTGAGGAATCGGGTTCCAACAACGGCTCTTCCGCAAGTCGAGCTCGACACGTTCAACGTCTCCGTTGTCACTCGGTTACAGTACATGTTTATGGAGGATTGAACCTCCAATTTGAATCCACTACATCATTTCCGTTCTGGTCCTTCTGGTCAAGGTCTTTCATTACCCTTCGCCATGAAGTTCAGCATCCTGTCAGTCCTTGGGGCTCTGGCAGTCGTTGCCAATGCCTCCGTGTTGACCCCTCCAGTCCTACCATTAGCTGTGCGAAACCCATATTTGAGCACGTGGCTTGCCGATGCCCGGAAGAACCCATGGGATCATTGGCCCATGTTCTGGACTGGTAGTACCTTCGGGTTTGCCATCATGGCGGCAGTACCCGACACTAACTCCGTATATCCCCTGCTTGGCCGGCCACAGGACTTTCTGCGCGAGAAAGATGGGTTTGTTGTGTCGAAATATATAGGCTTGAGCTAGAGCTGATGAGAAAGTAGCTATGCTGTCCAGTTCCCAAAGTACAACGGGGCCACATTCGACGCCTCGACCACGAACCTGACCTACACCATCTCGAGCCCCAAGAATGGAGATGAGGTCAAGATCAACTTGTCGTTCCTATCTCCCATCACGCCAACCTCGACTTTCCGCCAAGCTCTGCCCGCGTCGTACATGACTGTCCACGTAGAGGGAACCCTGAACGTGAGCGTCTTCGTGGACATCAATGGAGAGTGGGTTAGCGGTGATCACAACAATGAGATAACGTGGGAGCTAGGGAAGGCTGAAGCTAGCACATCGTCTGAAAGTGACGTCAAGTTTTGGAAGATTGCTAGGCGGTTTCCGCAACATTTTACGGAGCACGCAGACCAGGCCGAATGGGGAACCCTATACTTCACTGGGCCTGCCGACGTGGATCACCAGACCGGTGAGGCTGTCTCGTTGCGCCGGTATTTTGCGAAACATGGAGTCTTGAACAATCACCATGATCATTCATACCGCAAGATGTTCGACAACGAGCCATTGTTTGCGTTTGCCAAGCACTTCAAGCTCGGAGGTGGAACGAAATCTTCTCCGAAGAAAGACAGCACCTTATTCACATTCGCTCTCATTCAGGATCCAGTCGTACAATATGCTTCAGCTAGAGGGTTGACTCAGATGCGACCGTTGTGGTCCTCATATTTCTTCACGCCAGAGGAGATGCTTCTATACCACTACAATGACTTCGATACCGCAGCTGCGCTGGCATCCGATTATTCCGAACAGTTAGCCAAAGATGCATTTGCTTCGGGCTCTCAGGACTATCAAGACATTGCGGCTTTGTCTGCACGGCAAGTACTTGGCGCGACCCAATGGTCAGGTACTCCTGACAACCCAATTCTCTTCCTAAAGGAGATCTCCTCCAATGGCAACTTCCAGACAGTTGACGTTATATTCCCTGCGTTCCCATTCTTCTTGTACACGAACCCGCAATGGCTGAGCTATCTTTTGGAACCCTTACTCGAGCATCAGCTTTCTGGTCAGTATCCCAACAACTACTCCATGCACGATTTGGGCTACCACTTCCCCAATGCAACAGGTCATGGGGATGGTAATGATGAATACATGCCTGTTGAAGAATGCGGTAATATGCTGATCATGGGTCTTGCACTGGCCAATGCTATGAGAGATAACCCACGGCCAGCGTTTATCCGGGCAGCGCATACGACAGCCGCTCTTCCACTGGGCCCACGCACGGTGGAGACACGATCCGTTGATGACTACGGCATGGATCTCCGGTGGGAGGACATGGGTACAACCGGTTCTAAGGCCGCTGAGAAGTGGACAATGCGATCATACCCTCTCTGGACGAAGTGGACGGGCTACCTCGTGCGAGAATCTCTCATTCCTGCCAACCAACTCTGTACGGATGACTTCGCGGGTTGGTTGGCTAACCAGACAAACCTTGCTTTGAAAGGCATCGTCGGAATCAGGGCCATGAGCGATATGGCCAACCTTGTGGGTGATACCGCAGACGCGGCCAAGTACCGGCGAATCGCGGATGACTACATCGCAAAATGGCAAGACTACGGTATTTCCAGAGATCAAACGCATGCCAAGCTGTCGTACACATGGCAAGGATCCTGGACTACGCTATATAATCTCTACGCTGACGCTCTTCTCTGTTTCCACATTCCCGAAAACAAGCCACCGCTTGGGACCAGTAGATTCTGGTCTTCGAAGCAAAGTCCGATAGGTGATGACTCTGAGGCCACTTCGAAGTCGACTTTCATCCCCGAGCGAGTCTACAAGATGCAAAGCGATTGGTATCACAATGTCCTTCAAAAGTACGGTTTACCACTCGATCAACGGAATCTACAAACAAAGAGCGACTGGGAGTTCTTTGCGGCCGCTGTAACCAGTAAGAAAACCCGCACAGAAATCCTACAGAACGTTGCTAGATGGGTCAACGAGACGTCTACGGGTAAGCATAACTTTAATACTCCACTACGTGCATATCGCGAGCTAACACGACGCGTAGACCTGCCTTTGACAGATCTATACCAAACTGAAGGCACTGGGGGTTTCCCAGGCGTCAGCTTCAAGGCCCGGCCAGTGGTTGGAGGCCACTTCGCCTTCCTTGCTTTGGAAAGAGCTTGCGGCGGCAAAGCAATGGAAGCACTCAGATATTTGGATGAATCAGAGCCTGCGGTCATCAATGTCCAGGCAGCATTGGAGGCTGACATGCCCGATGGGCTCGATAGCGACGATCCATCTGAGCTATAGGATACGGAGATGCCAACTCTGCTCGAATCGCTGAAGAAAGGGGTGCTTGAGGTGCGTTGAGACCCCTAGGTATATTCTAAAAAGCATTGGATATGACCGGCCCTCAGATATGAAGTAGCATTATGAATTTCTTGCCCAACTTGATTCCTTGCCATTGAACCATCTTGATGAGATACCAATTACAGTGAAGAAATCTGCGGCTCAGTCATGTCTTATTACCTCACAAGTTAGATACGTTTGACAAATTTATCTGCTTGTTTTCAATGAAGCTGTGAGATTGCTGTTTTGTGAAGATGGTAAAGAAGCGGGTTTTCTTCAATCCATCCCCTATCTGGGGGGCCCATCAACAGTCAACAGAATGCGCTAAATGCCTGTTGCTGCTTTGCCATGCGGCGTCCAATCTATCAACTTTAATAAACATTCTCTCGAAGTGCACCTGTAAATGATTGCTTTTAGAGTACTCAGGCGGTTACGATAGCTGTCACGATCAATGAGTGCTAGCCGAAAGGCTTCGGGATATTGGGTGAACCATTTTCCGAGTCCGTTTCTAAACCCGTTTCCAACATGGTGTAAATGCCAACTGGAACGGTCGCTTAAACTTCCGAATGCGGATGATATGGATCCCTCGGTGGCTGCCTGAGATTTTTTTGCCTCGTCTTAGAACGTGAGGCTCTGGACCCGACTTCCTGACCAACGCGTTGCAGCGCCAAACCAAAACGTGACCCCGTTTTTTTTTCTCTTTCTGTCCTGTTTGCCCAACACATTCATCTCGACTTCCTGCACGCTGCGATAATCCATCACAGCTTTGTTTTGCCGACAAACAATTTCGTCCATCTCTTTCACCTAATTCCACATCCACTTTCTTGTAGTTGACGCCAAGCGGCAAAAATCATACCGCGTTAGACTTTGCGCGCCTTCTGCAGCCAGTAAGTTCGCACCTTCCCTATTTCCTCTTCTGTGCCACTGCCACTCTGCCTCGTCGCTTCAACGGTCAAGCCGACTTCATCACAGTATCCCATCCCAACCTTGACCATTCAGCCAGGCTCCTGTTTGCATCACCATCCAGCTGTTCACTCAACTCTCAATACTTCACTTCATTATTACCAACACCTGGCTTTCCATTCAACTCCACTATTGAAATCACACTTGGTCACCAGTCACTCACTTTCATCCGGAACAACAGGCACACCCATCGAAACTATGGCTACCGCCGCAATGGACTACGAGACCGCCGATGGTGATCGCTTCGATGGTCAGTCAATTCAGCCACATGCTGTGTCTCTCGCCAATCCACCTGTCCCCATTATTGACCAAGATCACTCCTGCAGATGACGGCCCACGTTACGAACGTGATCAGCGCAGTGCCTCTCCTCGCGCCTCGCGTGATGATGGCCACGATAGCCGCCGTCGCTCTGCCTCGCCCAATGGCCATGGCGACCGGTAAGCCATCCAGAGCACAAGTCCAAGTCCAGCAGCATTATAAATCCATATACTACTTGACGAGGCTGGCTCCTCTTCCCTTATGCCTGGTTCCCTCTGACCCATGGCACCATCACCAAGCACCACATATGATCAACTTGGAATGGCACGCTAACATTTTGTCTCAAAGCACCATGAAGGACGACAACAGCAGCCGGGACGATGATGGTGCCATCAACCCTGGCTCCAACCTCTTCGTGACTGGCATCCACCCCAAGCTGACTGAGCAGGAGGTTACTCGCCTCTTTGAAAAGTACGGCGAAGTGGAGAAGTGTCAAATCATGAGAGATCCCCATACCAAGGAGTCTCGCGGGTTCGGATTCGTCAAGATGGTTACATCTGACCAAGCCGATGCTGCCAAGGATGGCCTCCAAGGTGAAGTCATTGAGGGTCGAACCCTAAGCATCGAGAAGGCCCGCCGTGCTAGGCCCCGAACTCCTACTCCTGGCAAGTACTTTGGCCCGCCGAAGCGAGGTAAGTTGCGCCGTATATACTCCAGCATATGCCACTTCGGCTAACAGAGCAGATTCAGATGGTCCTGGTCCCCGTGGAGGCCGCTTCGACGATCGCCCACGCCGAGGCGGAGGCTACGGTGGTGGTGGCTACGGAGGCGGTCGTGATGACCCGTACCGATACCGCGGCGGCGGTGGAGGCTACGGCCGCGACTATGACCGTGGCTCCGACCGAGGCGCAGACCGAAGCTACCGTGAGGATCGTGGCTACGACCGTGGCTACCGTGAGGACCGTGGCGGCTACAGAGGAGGTGGTGACGAGTACAGACGTGATCGCGGTGACGATGCCTACGCCGGTGGCCGCATTGACCGATACGCCGGCGGACGAGAAGACCGTGGTGAACGCTATGCCGGCGGCCGTGGCGGTGATGATCGACGTGCCCCAGGCGGTTACGATCGCGAGCGTGGTAGCTACGAACGTTCTGAGCGCGACGCCCCGCGCGCCCGTGATCCCGCTCCTACTGGCTACGGCGAATCCACATCTCGACCGGACGCCCGCGAGACCTATGGAGGTGCGCCTTAACCAACTACAACAACTCTTTTCGGTAATGCTCAACTCCGGCTGCTAATGCATCATCCAGGAAGCATGCGCTAAGGGGACACAACCCTGAGCCGAACACTCGACTTCGTATGGTTGGATCTATGATTACTTCCATCTCCTTCCTTTGATCTTGTTTGTTCCTTTGGGATGCGAATTCGGCGGATACCAGAAAAGTTGCGACATATGGAGTTCTCTCGGCTGGCAGGGAGGAAAAGGCATCGACACCTGTGTTTCTCTATTTCAGCCCTAATTTCGAGAAGTGAGTTCGACAGACAGATGGCGGCGGCGGATTCAGACTCGTCGTCTCACGTCACTAGTTCGATTTCTTTCTCATGGCACGACTCAACTTGATGGCAACATCTGGGCTTTGGTCGACGGCTCCCTGTCCCCATTTCCTATTGGATGACGCTTCATCAACCCTCTACACCATTCCCGTGGATACCATATCGCCTGTCACTTGTATCATTATTTTATTTTCCGAGATTTTCGAGACTTGACGAAGCATGACGACTGCTGAGTTCTCGGCAGCAGCAGCATTTTGCCGGCATTTGGTCGAGACAGCTCAGCATGATGGCCAGCAAAATGCAACACGTAATTAAGCGCAAATTCCCATGGTGCAACATGAATCGACTCGACTTGCCGTAAACTCCGTTGACTTTTCGCCATTTGACCACTCTAACTCGGCAGCATCGTGCGGTACGGCATCCACCGTAATCAAATCGCGCCCGTCTAAACGGTGTGGGTTTCGCCCTTCAGCCTTGCAACGAACCCTTGTGCCATATTCGCCTTGACAACATCATCAACCGGCTATTTTTCGCGCCAGTATTGCAAACCGAGACTGCACTTTGATTCAAAGCAGAGCCTAGGTAATAATCCCCCAATTGAGAATGCTAACTAATGAGTCAGTGCATTGGGGCATATTTCTAGCGCAGAGTTTCTGGAATGCATGGAGGATACCCAGGCCGCATTCATGCATGCGCTGTGCGCACAAAAATGGCTAATTACGCCCGCCAGCAGCTGCTGTCCTATCATATTTTTTGCTACTAGACTAACTGTAGATACAAAAGAAAATAAAATATTCTGAGATTTTCTGCTTTCGTTCACGGTGCGGGATGTCTGTTGTCTGTCCTCTTATAGTCTTCGATATTTTTCTTTGCTGTTCATGTCAACTTGCTACTTGCTGTTTCAGTCACCTTGCATCTATGCCGTCTGCTTCCGTCGGTTCCCTCGAAACCAATGCGTCAGCCTAATTTACTTGACAGGCTTGGCATGTTCAGCCCTTTGTTCCGGAGACGGGGGACATACAATGGCGGCCTCCGAAATATCTGAGAACAGTCGGGAATAGGTGTTCTAAAGATCAGAGACAAAGACATTTACCGGGAGCATCGAGGCAACCCCCAATATTCCCTGAAGTTGAGTCCGAATTGGGTATTTTCTTAGACAAAGGTGAGGATGTGTCAGCAGCTCATAATCTCCTTGGGTCCTCGGGCCCTGCGTCGGTTGAGATGTTACCTTTTTGTCTACTCGTTTATATTTCTAGTTTCTAGTTTCTACTCATCACACAGCTCAGGCCCGAACGTCCTACCAACACATCAACCGCTTGGTCGGGTTCATCCATTATCTGTCTTCTGTGTCTCGTTGTCGAGTTCCTGGCACCGAGTATCTCTTGATACAAGAACACACGGAAAGAAGAAGTCGCAAGTTGCAATTACTCCGTCACCATGTCGAGGAGTATAAAGGCCAGGAGAAGGGCGCGGAGGAGACATTCGTCTCCCCTGCAAGAATTGGCGTCCCTTAGTGACTTGCAAGAGCTGCTTTTCGAGCACATGAGAAGCTCAAGCCGGGGAGACGAAACAATGTCATACAATGAATTAGTCGAACACCTCACATATGCGTTCTTGAGGTACTACCCCCAGCAGGTCGCTCATGTGCTGGATAAGACCAACGAAGCCACAAACGACGCGCAGAAGCGGGTAGAACTGACGAAGGCTCTGAACCAGGCTTTGGAAGAGGTGATGGACTGTCGCGAAACAAAATATGGAAATTATGACCCTTCACGATTCATGCCGATACAGAAGCGGTGCGCCAGCCCGATAGGCTTGGATTCAGGAAGTGGTAGTACTAGTGAAGGCACTTGGGACCCCAACGAGAACAGCGGTGAGGACCAGCAATATGAGCAGAACAATCCCTTGACTGAATCAACGCCGAGCACTTCGAGCATACGCAGTGGGCAGGAGCAGCAAGGTTCTCCTCAAACGCCGAGACACATCGGGCCCCCTGAACCACCTATGGACTACGATCAAGCGAGTAGCGCAGAGCTCAAGGATGAGTGTGGAAGACGTGGTCTGACGAAAGCGGGGACCAAGCGCGACTTAGCAAGGCGGCTGAAAGCAGCGGACGACGCCTACGTCACGCATGACTATGACTACCCGGTGTGGTTGGTGTCGGCGCTGAGGCTGGAGTGCGCTTATTCAGGACTGGATGACGAGGGCAGCAGAGATACTCTCATTAAGCGGCTGCAGGATCATCGGGACAATGGCTCAGATAACACCCCGCCCGTCTTGCCGGATACTTCTTCTCCGCCTCCGCCCGAGCCTACGCCTCTAGATACATCCCGCTCTAATATTAGGCGTGGTCACAGGCCCGGCGGGGATAATCGCAGACCGAGGCGGGACTGGGTGTGGGAGGAGATGCCGGAACAAGCCAGACTCAAGTGGAAAAGGCAGAGAGGGATGATAGAAAGGGTAAGTAAAGCCAGACCTCGCGAGATGAGTCCTTCGGTTTCTGCAGCAACGTAGAGAAAGACACAGACTCAGGAGCAGAGACTCAGACGCAGACAGAAGCTAACAAGGCGCTAGCAAAACCTGCTGCAGAGAGGTATAAGGTACATGGATCCCGAAACCAAGGAGGTCACCCATATCAATTACGAGTGGTACAGCCCGGGCATGCACGGCGGCTTTCCGGGCGAAATGGGTCTCAACCCGTCAGACCGCGAGCCCAAGCAGTGCCACGAGCCCTCCTTCAACGACCTCACCATCACAAACCCGGCCTACTGGGGCGATTTCTACCACGAACCCTGGTGGTTTGGCGACAACAACAGCAAGAGGCGCGTTGACTACGATTGTGACCGCAAGAAGCGCGACGCCAAGAACTGGGCCCGCGCCCGCCGCAACATGCTTGATGATCGCTACGTGCCCCTCGACAAGCTCATGGCCTTTGAGCCCTACACGCCTGACACTATCAACAGGGCAGCTGACGATATAAAGGGGCGAAAGAGGGATCTGGTGCCGAGGGACACGCAAATTATCAAGAACTGTAAGTCAAGAGACATATTGCACCGAGCGTGGAACTACGACAGGACGCCTGCGGATCTTGAGAATCGCAAGGATGCCTACACGCCGCCGCCGAGATCCGTGTTCCCCGAGCCCTTGGTGCCTCAGCCAGAAGGCGAGTTGGCGCCGATGGATGATGATGACAATAATACGCCCACGGGAGGCAAGAACCCCATGGATCTTGATTCAGACGATCACTTTGCTAAGCCGTCGTCTTCTGGAACCGTAGTTTTCACGCCCTTGCCGTTGCAGCCCACGACTTCTCCATCCTCCGGTTTATTCGGAAATACAATTCCCGAGCCGGAACATGTACGAAGGTTGTTCGCACATAGCCCGCCGCGTACGGATTTGTTTGGAACGGCACCCAATGATGATGATGATGTCTTCAAGCTCACCAAGACGAAGGTTGATCGGTTCAGCAAGAAGACGGATGCGTCCTCTTCTGAAGACAACAAGACACCGCTGGTCTCCTCCTCTGGCAGCAAGAAGACGGGACTGGTGTGCCCTGCAGGCAAGAAAGGCATTGGTGGCACTCCTGTACAGCTGCCTACTCCCGATTCTCACACCAAGTTTCTGTCAAATATCAACGACAAGGCCGCTGCCGACGAAAAGCTGCTGTCAAAGTTGAAAGAAGCATCCAAAGATCCCGCCAAGGCAATGTCGATTCTGAATAACATGCTGTTCAGTCCTTCACTGTCAAGTTCTCCACCACCGAGTACATCCACTTGGCAGGTATCCCGGCCCGATCCGAAGAAGGAGAAGTTCTTCCAGAGCTTCAAGGACACGGACTACTTGACACCGCCGCCCACAGAACGCATCAAAACGCCTCCAACCTTATCGCTCAAGATGTGGTGCAAAAGCCTCGTCAGCCCCATGACGCTGAGCGAGGAAGATCAAGAGCGCTGCTTCTGGCAGTGGTGCCGACCGTCAAGTGGTGACGATACTGTGGTCAAAAGCATGGCCGTAGGGTCCACCACAGGAGACTTGGTGACTGAGTATCGTGCTAAATACGCGAAGGTGCCGGAGCAGGAGAAGCCGAAGCTGGAAGAGTGCCACAACGAGGTAGTCGACTATTGCTTAAAGTGGTGGGCCAATTCGCTAGAACGGGACGCCGAGTGGGCTGCAAAGGAGGCGGCGGAGCAGGAGCGGCTGGCGGAGAGAAGGAAGTCGATAGAGGAAATGAACAAGAAGCTAGATGGTATTCTTCAGAAGCAGGCGAAAGAGATGGAAGAGATGAAAAGGGTTGGAGAGTATCTCGATAAACCTAAAGCCGAGATCATGAGAAAGAAGTCGATACAGCAGCAGCAGCCGAAATGCCTTGATGAATTGGCTAAGCCGACAACTACTACCAACGGCGACGAGGCAGTAATTACTAGTACTGAGGAGCCGTCCGGTGAAACGAGAAAAATGAGCTTCCCGCCCGACCTGGAAGTGCACACTATCGAGGTGCACAACCAATTGTACGCTAATCTGTACAAGAAGCCTCATGGCAAGTCGAGTACCCAAGGGACGCAGGTAGTGCCACCCCAGTCTCTTACTCCTAGCAAGGACTGGGCAAAGCTGAGGGATGAAGCGCTCGAGGCTCAAGATGATGGGGAGACGGTGGTTGCTGGCTGCGAAGACCGCAAGAAGTCAGTTGAGGGTATGTTCCCCGGAGTTCATGTTGTTGGATACACGAGTAAGGACGGCGAGCAGAAAGATAAGAAGCCCAAGGGCGACAAATCCTCGACCCCCGGGTCAAAGGGCGAGAAGCCCAAGACTTTTAAGGAACAGAAGGTCAAGGAACGGAAATCGGACCGCAAGAAGCCAAGAGACAATATGTCCTTGTCCTCGTCCTTAAGCCTCGATTCAAGAGACGAAAAGCCCAAGATCTCCAAGGAGCATAGGTCTAAGGAGCGAAAGTTGAAGGGCGACAAACCCAAGTCCAGTGGAATCGCCCCCTCCCACCCTCGGAAGAAGGACACAAGCAAGACCCTCTCCCCCATTCAGAAGAAAGACTCCGGCACGACTGCCAAGAAGCCCGACGATGGCTCCAGCGGAATTTTCGACATAATAAGTTCCATCATTCGTTGGTTCGGCCGGGACATGCCGGAAAAGGAGACGCTCAAGCTGATGGAGAAGACACTGCCCAAGAAAGACGCCGACGAGAACATTAAGAAGTCGCGAAAGAAGCAGAATCGAACTGCTGCTGCTGCTGCTGTTCCTGTTGTTCAACTCACCACTTCCGCCTCTTCCCCGCCAAATAAAAAGAGCGACACGCCCGCCTTCGACAAGATGGTGGAACCATTGTATCTCCAAAGCTTGGTGACCGAAACGAAGCGAAAGTTCTCCGACCCCGACGCGGACATGTTTGGCCCCTCGACCAAGAAAGCAGATGTCGAAACCGGTATTTTCGGCGCCGAGCTGTCATCAACAGCGTTGGAGCCTGTCGGAGGACCTACTGATTTATTCACGGGACCCGAATCGCTACTGCCGGCGGATCCAGACACGAATTTGAATTTTGGGACCGCCCCTTCGTCATCGTTGGGCTCTACCACGGAGAAGACAAACGTGTTTGGACCGTGTTCCTCTGGAACAAAGCGCCACGAACCAATTTCGGTTGGGGTTCACCCGTCTTCGGACTTTAGGAAGAGGAAGAGGAGTATAGTTTCGCCTTCGCCTCAACCAAAGTCCAAGAAGCCATGTTCGTTTGAATCCAACGTCCCGCCATCCGTGTCGGTGACGAACATATTTCGGCCGCCCTCTACAACGCTATCTGACATCGAGAATTTTCCGTCTAGTTTCGGCAAAGTGCCGTCTTCCGGAACACAGACAGACGGTGATGGCGGCACTGAATATTTCGGAACGACGACAGGAGCGGGACAGCGAACGGAGTCGGCGCCCACCGGACTGACTTTCCCACCGCAGAAGTCCAAAGACAAGAGCAAGGACAATGACACATCCAAGCACGAATCCAGGACCGAGGAGAAGAGCAGCAGCAGTATCAGCAGGAAGAAACACCAGTCTCAGCACCCTGCATCCTCGTCTTCCTCTCCCTCCCAAAAGGCCACCGTCGACGCCGCCAAAACGCAACCCCCCACCGACAACGGCATGGCCACCATAAAAGCCAGCATGAAACCGCAACACGAGTCCTGGGCCTCAGGTCCGATCCCCGGAATCAACAATGCCCAGCCTTCAAGCCCGAGCGCAACAAATAAACGAAAGTACGACTCGCTCTTTTCCGCTCCGGAAGATGACGAGGTGTGGAGATGGGACAAACAGGCAGCCATGCAGCTGCAGACTGATAACAAAGGCAAGGGCTGGATGAGTCCCCGCATGAAGCGGGTGGTGACCAAGACGTTGAAGGACGTGGACAAGAGTAGGAGTCTTTCGGCTTTGGGGAAGGGCTCGAGAAGTAGTCATCAAGGGAGTGCTGAGGTAAGTGAGTTGACTTAGTAAGTAGGAAGAAAGGAAGGGTTTGTTGATTGGAAGTGTGCAAGGCAGGGTAGAGAAGATATGTGGGTTTATCACACTAGCTGAATTTTGTGATGGAGTTTGGCGGAGGGAAGGAATATCTGGCCGAGTTTGATTTTCTGTCTTTCTTACATGTCCACTGCGTCCCAGCCAGCTTTTGTTCAGTTCGTTTCGAGAAGAAGGGATTAACCGTGGAATATTTAGAGATGTTTGGGGCAATATTATTTTTGTCCTGCTTTATCATATCATACTGCAATACATTTGACCTGACTGACAGTGGTGAAGTTTAGGCACACAGGGCTGTTATGTATATTTGTATTAGTTCATATGCTCATCAAAAGCGTGAATGTATTCCTCATTCATTCTCATTCGGCTTGACGGGCTGCGCCCCAATCAGCCAACCAACACCCGAAGCCAGTGTCCCCACAGCAGCTTCCCTGAGCTGGTCTCTTTTCCGGGCCTTTGGCTGCCCAGGCGTATGTTCAAGCTCTCCCTGTGCGTCCTGTGCATCGTCTCTGGCCTGTCCACTTCGTTGTAGACTTGACAGCAAGTTGAAGTTCTGTTGTGCCCTTGACATACTTACCCTCGACAGTTCAAATAATGACATGGGGGCCTCCTCTTGTCTCGACTTCGCCCTCGTCTGTTTCTTCACTCCCGCAGGGACTGTCATACTGAACGCTCCCGGCATAGCTTTTACATCTCCCTTGTCATCCCATGCCGACTCTTGTTCATCCTCCGTCTTGACAGCAGCATCCAGCTCTTCCTCGCAACGCCGGAATACGTTCAAAATCTCTTGCAAGGTAGCCGGCGGGGCTATCCGCAGCGCCGCTGATAAACATTCCATTCGCTTTTCGAGATGGCGGATATCAGGATTCCCGCTTGATGTACCGATGTGCGTAGGTCTGAGGGTGCGTGCTGTGCGACGGTACTTGCCGGCCTGCAATGCAGCTTTCCACGAGTAATCATCGACGAAGGCGGAGGCTTGCCTGGCTGAAGATCCAACGGGAGTGGATCCACCTATTGAGCCGAGTCGGTTAACAACATATGAATAGGCTGTCTCGAAGTCATCTTCCGTCAAGGCAGCGTCGACACACATAGCCGTTACCCGTTTCTCCGCAAGCGACCGCTGTTCTGACATTTCTTCAGAGGTTGGGCTAGGTTTCCCCGGCTTGTCGCGAGTGGCCAGTCCAGCTTCTACCATATTGGCGCCAATTTCCAAGAAGTCCTGAAGCCTCGTGTGGCTCTCCGGGTTCTGTTCCAGGACCTTTCCAATTATCGATATGGGATCCGAGTGAACTCTCAAGACTACTGGCCTAAAAGGCTGATTTGGTTTCAGAACTAGCCGATATTTGCTGAGTCCATGTGTTGCCTTGAGGAGAGCCTCAATTCTTTGAGCGGCAGGGTTGTTTTCTGGCATTGTCTTTGGAAACGCATGAATGCTTCTACATGTCAACAGCGGCTCAGAGTAAACATTCAAGCTATAACTTACATGTCATCACACTCTAGCAGGCGGCCCCGGCTGCGATTGGTATTTGAAGCATCATCATAGGCATTCATGGCTGCCGCGATGATGGTACCTTCCAGTACTTCGTTGGAAAGTGGCTTTGCGGGCGAATCCTCAAATATAGATCTTGCCAGCGAATATCCTGTTCTTATTTAGTACAATCCTTCGCAACGCGGGATTTTCGACTGACGGCCACTTGAAAGAAAAGCTTTCAAGCATTCAACTTCAAGAAACTCCTTCTTGAGCTGACCAAACACTCCATGAATCTTCCCATGGGAAGACTCCTCAGCCTCTTCAGCACCCCAGTCCCGTAACCACATAAGTTCATTCCGAGCCCTGATCCAGTACTTGTCGTCGGCTTTGGGTGCGTTATTTCGTAGTTTGTTAATGAAGTTGAGAGCTTCCGCCTCCTGTTCCCGTTCATGCTGAAGGAATGCCAGTTCTCCCGCCCGCCGCACTGTACAAAGTGCGCCGGCTTTAGTCAATATGAACGCGCTCAAAGTCAGCGCATGCAAGAGTCGAGTGGATCTTGCTGAAGGAGTTGTAAGAATATTCGACTCCTCAAGCAAGTTATTGCGCATCATCGTCGCGTTCTTAGGACAGAGCATGGACTCTGTGCCATTATCTGAGTATGGTGGCAGGATTGTGGACGCTACCTGCAATGTGGGATATGGATCTTGATCTAAAAGAGCCATGATCTTGGCGATGATGCTGTTGACACCAGCCAAAGCCTCCACTGAGGCTTCAGGGATTAAGTATGCTGACGCCAAGGCAGCTCGGGCATATCTCTGTTCCAGATAGCCCTGCTCCTCGTCCTTGAACCACATACATCCGTAGCCGCCCAAGTCAACGTCATCAAGGCCATCCCACTGTTCGATGGCGTTTACGGCGACCTTCCACGACTTGGATGCGTGTGTCGTCAGCCATTCAAGCATCTGCTCCCACCCAGGACAGAGGTTCCGTTTGAGGGTAGCCTCGCCGCTCTCGGAGACAACGCAGAGATCCGCTCTGTTGCCGTCTTCGCGCTTCCACCTTGCATCATTATAGAGCCACGGACCCATCAAACCTCGTAAATCACGTCCTATGAAAGGCAAGTCTTCTTCGCGATTACCAGTCTGGTCCAGGAGCAGGCTCACTGCAGCCCTATCATTCAGATTCTCAAATTCTGACAGGGTGTAATGTATGGGGTTGTCGGGATAATATTCGTGGTTTCGTCTCAGTAAAGGCAGCAGGGCCGAGATCATCCAAGATCGAATGCACGGAGAGTGATCCAAGAACGGCACGATCAGGTCTGGTAGCTGTGTGAGCAAGCCAGCCTCTTCATCTACTCGATGGGCCCGCTGTATCAAGAACAGGCTGATAGGATCTCCAAGCGCCTCCTTCGATACACCAGGAGCTGCCAGAGGTAGCAGTCGAAGTCTTCGAACCTTTTTTGTCGCTTCAGTTTCTGTAAAGTGTTCTACTGATGAGCAATCAATATCCTTCGGGTGTTCTTCCACGACGTCGGCGTCGATGCGCTCAAGTAGTGACACGTATTCGCTTGATTTGAGGGTTTCGGGCAGGCAGGTGAGAAGTATTCGAAGCAAAAGCTCGGTATGAAGCACCTTGTCATGTTGCGACGCCAAGGATGTCAAGCTGTCGATATCGGCTTTCGTAGCAAGATGGACAGCGAGAAGAACCACTTTCGGTGCTGATATGCTGGTCGTCATCTTGAGGCGTCAAGATGCATAGTATTCCACAGAACAGTTTTGGGTGGCTAGATGCAGAGGAGACCTTGAAATCAAACTGGCCCGATGCAATAACATGCTTGGAAGCACCGACTTGGCAGTCGCAAGCCAGAGCTGTAAGTCAAATGACGGGTGTGGCTGAAGCTCCACACCAGCCCCATGCCAAAGTGGAACTTGGCCTGCCCAGCTCCCGCGACTTCAACGTCAAACGTGAATCAAGTACGAAGACCGGCGTTCAATTGAGTCCCAATACGCCTACGAACTCATAGCTCCTTGCGGCACAACCATGGCGTCTGGATTCGGTCTCCAGGGAGGTTAGTCTTATTCTATCCTCAATGCTCTCAAACGCTTACTCAATTGATCCCGACAGGCCCGGGCCGATGCTTTCCTTTCTGGCAGGAGGTCTTAGCCTGCTACGTTGTTAACACATCCTCCGAGGACGATTCAGGAAAGAAGAAGTGCGCGCCCGTGTTGGAGGATTACTACGAATGCTTGCACCACAAGAAGGAGGTCAGCAGCCAACGGTCCCCAATGCCATTGCTTCCAGGGACAATGCGAAACTAACACAAGCCTTTTGTAGCATGCGAGAGTAAGAGCTCTACAAGCTGCATTCCGAAAAGCTGAATCTTCAGGGGGACGAGAAAAAGCGCCGAGCGCAGGTCAAATACGGACTCTGGGGTTGATAGACAATGAGGATGCTGCGAATGGGAAGAAGGCCTTCTTCCTGGACAAGGCGTGAGCCGCCCCTGCCGCCCTGCCGCTATCCTGATGTGTATATATGGGACTCGGATTGTATGGAATAGAGGGCTCTATGAAAGAATACGCTGGGACGAGTATGTCTATCGTGGCACAAAGTCTTTCGACCGGTTACGGAAGTGTTGACTGGTGCGGACTATTCAAGCTTAAGATCACATTGGCCTGCGGAAACGGACGAAACAGGGAGCCCAAATTGCTGAGAGATCATGGAAACAATTTCTGGTTCCTCGGGTGTGCCCTGTTGCCCCTTTCGGTGGCAAAGATATTCCAGCGCAAGAGATAGGTTACAACAAGCCAGCATTTATGCAGAGTTCCCCTTTCCATTTTGGCCACTTCGTCTTGTACGCGCATTATAACCCAAGCTCACACGCAAATAGCAAAACCCCGTGATTGGTAATAGACGCCGTTCCCAAAAAATCTATCTCTGTCGATGTAGCACCTGACTAGTTTCGAAGTGCGAGCGTGTTGATTCTGTGCGACAAGGGCTGTTCTGATTTCTATAATTACAAAATTTTGTGGCAGGTTATTATAATCTCTCGGATTTTTCGACAGATCACGAAATGAAGTGATGTGATGGCGGGGTGTTTGGCTTCTGCTGGTTCGGGCAGGCGCGCACATCCCATACAGATATTGCAAATGGGAAGTTACGACCCTGAATAGCTTACTCGGATGGAAGGCAGGACGCAATGCGCGACACAGGTTGAACCAAATTCTGAAGTTTACGCCTTTCGTTGTGGACCAGTCGAGCGACCAGAGCTTCGTTTCCATTCTGGTGACCTACCTGACTCTCGCGTCACGTCACGTCTGCCATTCACCATCACATTTGCATTGTATCTCTACCAGGTACATTGTCAATCACTGGGCAGCCTCATTTGCCAAGATGCCCATCTTTCGTGGAATCGAGATCTCGGTGGTCGCAAGTCGCGAGGCCAAAAGGCTGACTGAATACCCCCATCCCGACGGCTCATCTGTCTGTCTGGTTGCTGCTGATGATGTTCGTACCGAGGCAACAGTTCTTCTGGGTCCGCGACATCCATCTGAGGCTTCGATGCTCTCGGATGGAGATCCAACACGCCAGCGAAAGGTCAACCCTCGTATATCTGTCTACATCCCTTCTATGCCAGGTAAGATTGTTAACACCTTATGCTCTACATCCCGATTGATAATTATCTAGGCGAACAGTTCTGGCTGAAGTATCATGTCATTCGTGTCCCTGAACCAGCCAGCCACTTGTTCTTCAAGATGTTTATGAATGGACGTCTCATCACCTCATGGGGGATCCTGGCCAAGAGCGAGAATAATGAAAAGCACAGCCACCCGCAAAAGTCCCTCAGTGGCACTGTCGTGCGGGCATTGTATGAACCCGGCCAACGATGGCAAGACGAGGCCAGTGGGGTCGAGTGGAAGGATGTTGGAATAGAGAGTCGTTATTTCCATTTCATGCCTGGCTTGGAACACAAGTCTGTGGCAGAAGATGGCGGTCTTATAGAGGTGCAGGTATTTCGTTCTAAAGGGCGGAAGCGTCGCACTCCCAAGATGACGGAGTTCCGTACCCAGGAGCGTTATGGAATCGCGTAAGTCACCACATCGTCGCAACGTCGATATGGAGTTGCAGGGTGCTAATGGGCTTCAAAAGTTCGCCGAGCGGAGGACTGGTCGAGAACCCTCAAGATGCCACATACTACGATTGGTTGCTGATCGACCCGAAAGATGCGCCATATGCAAGCTTCCGCTTCCATTATCGATCTATGAAGCATCTCTTACAGCTCAATCTCATCCCTCAGTCTGATTCTCGGCCTCAAATTCTACGAGACGACTCACGCAACTTCGACGAAGACCAATGCCAGGGTGTTCCCGACTCGTCTCCTGAATTGCAGACTCCTAGCACATCCCAATTCACATTCGGAATCGAGTCGCTAGACTCGGAAGTATTCGTTGATAGCGACAGAGGAGTGGGAAAGGGGGCTGCAGCGAACAACACCCCAGACAAATATTTCCTGAGAAGCCCCCCAGAGCTTCTCCCGTCTGCGGCGTCTAGTCAGGCGATCCCGCAGCCAAGCAAGGCCATACGCGATGCCATTACGCCAGAGATGCTTCAACGACCACTACCAGAGCCTCCCACAACAGACCTGAAATCCCGAGCATCCTCTAAATCATCACTCCGATCTAGCTGCCCATCCCTAACCCCTTCCCTTGCCCAATACGTCGATAGCGGCGAGTTTGGTGATGACGACATTGGTATTGATGTTGCCCGTACGGTCATATCCTCCCACCCGTCGCTGGTCTTGCTGCCTCCGAAAAAGAGCAAGAGCAGAGAGGACGACTCTGATTCAGACTATGAGAACTCGCCACCGTCAACTGTTGCTTCGCTATCGCCCAAACGACCATCCCCGAAGGGCTACTTATCCACTACTGGGAGCGTTCTGGAACGTCAAATTGCGACTTTCAGCTCCCTGATCGCTCAGCCATTGCCGAAGAGACCACGACCTAGGATACCCATGTCCATTTCGGATAGCACATTCTTTCACGATTCGGTTGATGTTGGCTCATTATCCTTGACCGAGTCTGAATGGATGAGACACACCCCGTCCCCAGTTCAGTCGACTCCGTTCGATCGTCTGTGGAGCCCGCGACTGGAGAAGAAACACACCCCGCCCCGCTTGGACGAGCATCACCGTCGAGCCAGGTATAGTGATATCGGACCTCGATCCATTGATGAGCATAAGGCCTGGGACCCAAATACTTCTGCCAAAGCAGTGGAAGCAAACCACTCAACCGAGAAAGCCCACTACACCACCAAGAAACCTGCAAATGAGATAACACATGAGCTGTACCATTCCAAATCGGAGCGAGGTAAAAAATTATATGTGGATAATGGTACTGATGGCAGCGCGGCGCCGTCCAAGGAGCGCCACACTTGGGAGTCTTGCCGTGATTCTAGGCTGAAAAATGGAATGGAGGACGGACCAGCTAGCAACTGGATCTGATCCAATGTTCCTGCGGGTCACTTCGATAGGCCAAGAAACTGTTTTCATGAGTCGAGGTAGGCAGGTCAGAATGCAGCATCCATATTTGCTTGTCCTGAGGAAAACTCTACGCTACACCATGACAGGGCTACTGAACTTCAAGTCCCCAGAACGACGACGCGGGCAACGCAGATAAGAGGGCATCGTTTGCTTCCAGTACCATCCGCATGAATAGTATTATGAATGGTTATTTCAGCTCAAGTATTCCTAGGCAGTCTTGAAGTAACCCATGTATCTATGTCGCTGTTATGCGTGCCAGGCATGGGTAGGCTAGGTATTTCGGACAAATTTCTCAAGATGCTTCCGTTCGCCTCAACATAAACGAATGATGGGTTTTCTTCGCATTTTCTGCGGGACTTAAACTAATACTATTGTATAATATGTTTCCTTTTGTTGACCGTCATCAGAAGTAGCATAGTGCCTATAAATCACCCGCCCTTCAGTGGGACATGTACATGAAGTGAAATCTATGTTTCTGGATAAATCATAGAACTCAGCAATACGGTTGGTCAAATACAAGGTTTCGGTAATGCAGGAGGCAATTAAGATGAAGTGTAGGGTCATTTCACTCTCGGGCTGACGCTCTGGGAGTCCGGAGTCGTCATCATTCTATGACTGAGTATATTCCGGGTTGTGACGCGCCGCCCCCACTTAAGCTTTCCTCTCGACGGAGCTTCTTCCCTCTCTATGCAGCTGCTTTCACTTCATCAGATCTCATTCAACAAACACGTGGGCCTGGGGCTCTCTATCGAAGTCACAATCTGCAAATACACATTTTCGTGTCGTCCCGTCTCATCTGTCATCTATTAATTGATGCGAACACTCTTGAATGGTAAGAGCAGCTCGCCAGGATGGCATCCGCTCCAGCCGGGACGGGTCACTTAGAACGGACTGCGGCAGAGCCACGAGACAAGGCATGTACAATCGACTAGCAGTAGATTATTTTGAATGAAATTTGACCTTTGGTTCAGTCCCTCAACACCGTGATAGTCAAGCAGATTGACGAGATCAACGAGTCAATACGCCTTTTTCGCCTCGAGGTCCCCAAGGACGTGCCCGTCATCCGCGTACGTCACTTAATTCACTTTCACTCATCCCCGGATTCAATTTTCATCCAGTATATCACACTACCTACCTAGCAAGCACAAATAAACTTACAACCCCCACAGTTCCTCCCCGGCCAATGGCTCGACCTCTTCCCCCCCTCCATTTCCAAACCTGGCGGCTTCACCCTAACCTCGACCCCCGCGCAAGCAGCCTCCTTCGTCGCCGACTCGCCACCAGGCTACCTGGAACTCGCGGTCCGGAAATCCCCCGACAACCCGGCCGCCGCCTGGCTATGGCAGGATCCTTCGTCGTCCATCCTCAGCAGCGAGATCCGGGTCCGCGTTGGAGGCAGTTTCGTCTGGCCGCCCCCGGCAATCAACGTGCGATCGCTGCGCAAGGTGATTTTTGTGGCGGGAGGGCTTGGGGTCAACCCGTTAGTTAGCATGTTGGGAGCTATTGCCGAGAAGGGGGATGCGCACACGCATTTGGAGGTCAAGTTTTTGTATTCGATGAAAGATCCTGGCGGGGAAAGGGAGACGGATAAAATGTTGTTTCTAGATCGAATCGCCAACATCTTTGCAAGCGAGAAGGTGAAAGGGGAATTGAAGCTTTTCCTGACGGGTGGAGAGGAGGAAAAGGGTGTGGTGAGTTGTAATGAGGTCGATGTGCCTTTTTGGGGGCGGAGGATGAACGAAGGGGATGTGGAAGCTGCGGTTGGGGAGGCGGACAAGAGGTTCTCGGTTGTGTATGTCTGTGGGGTGCCGGACATGACGGATGGATTTGTGACGCGGCTTACTGCGACGGAGAAGGGCATGGGCATGGGGATGGAAACCCGTCGGGTCTTGTGTGAAAAGTGGTGGTAGACCGGGATACTCTGAGATGAGGTCACAGGAGGGAAGCACATTCACAAACCTATGGTGGCAGATACTCGGCCATCAACAGAGCCTCCGAGCATCTATTCATGTTGCGACGCAACCAACTATACGCTCTGGATCTTCAGTTTGTAGTACATTATGAAAGGCTAGTTGATGATGTAGTTCGTGATTGCTCGCCATCTCCTACTTGTTAACTCTGCCGATGGGCCCTGCTGTTGGGATAGAATACATAGTTGGTGGCTGTCGTCAGGGGTGATCCCGCAGTTTAACACTAACTCTAGTGATGATATGATTATTGCACTTGCTAGCGTTGTATATTGTCGTCTACCGTTTACTGTACGCCTTCCGTGTCTTCAAATCCGCTAATATTAGAGCAAAAAGACCGCTTAGCATAGTAGCTTTCTGACCAAGTTATTACTGACCCTATCTGACAAATTCACATGATATAATTCCATCTGTAATATTGCATATTTCGCCAGCCCAGTACTATTTCGTCCGTCATTGACAACTGTTAGTTCATTCGTTATTTTGAAGACTAAACATTTCGTGCGTCATCTAAATTCTAATCACCAAGTCGCTCACACGCATCCAAGTCAAAACAATAGCTGCAAAAGTGGGATATCGGACACCTGAGCCTCCTTTTATTTCGCGTATGCTAGCACTCAAGATGGTTCCGTCCAGTTCACCTGATCCACAACTTGTCCTGCCGAAGGATGTGAATAACCGATTCTCAAACGTAATCTCAGAGGCTGCACGAATTGTGTTAGTCAAGTTCTTGAAGTGTTGCAAACAAGACCAAAAAGAAGGAAACAGGGAAAAAGAAAAAATTGCCAACTTACTCCCTTGCTACCTATGATCCTCATCATCTGCGTTGCTTCACCACCCGGCGGAATTTCCGTGTTCGAAATACTCAGCAGCTGCAGCTTTTGGGACTTCGGCACCGCAGCTTGTAAACCAGCATTGGATACTTGAACCCCCGAGTTGTTCCGGAATCGGCTCAGAACCTGGACGGCACCCTCTGTGTTCCGCTGGAGTTGCAACGTCACGTTGACGCCGTTGGTGTCGTAGCAAGGGATACCGGCAGGGGCTCGAGGTGCAGCTTGAGGCTGAGGTGGAGTACCCATACCACCAAAGGCATCCAAGCCGAAGCTGGCGGGTGCTGCGGCAGGGGCAGGAGACCCAGATGGGCCGCCGCCAAAGAGATCCATAATAGAAGAAACATTAGATTGTTGCGGCGCGGGCGAACCAGAAGTTGGGCCTGATGAGGTGCCACCCAAGATGTCTGCGAGGAGATCCGTGTTGCTCTGTCCGCCGTTTGTCGTTGACGTCAAAGACGGCGAGCTGGTGTCTCCCATAAGATCCAGCAGATCTTGATCCGTGGTCGGTTTCGCGACAAGTTTGGATTTCCGGTTTGCCGCCCTCTTGGTCTTCAGGCTAGCTTCGCCTAGCACTCGGGACGACTCCTTGATTTGTGGCGGTGGCATCTTCTCCAAAACACCGCGGCGTATCTCATCGTACGAGAAGAGATTGCCATACTCTACGGACCTCTGTTGCACCTCGACGTCCAAGCTAGTCTGGTGTAGCTGAATGAGCCGCCTAATTCGTTCAACCTGAGACGCGTCGGATAGCCGTGTGCTGAGTTTAATCAATGCTGTAACGATGTACTCGGTTGATACTTGCGTGGCGTAACTGCTATTGAGGATGGTGGAAAACAAATCGATAACCTCATGTTCTTTGACCTCCGTGACAAGTTCCTCTTCTTCATACTGACCCCCGCGTATCAACGAATCTCCATATTCGCCGATACACCAAGCTCCGGCTTGGGTTAAGCTTTCTTGTGTGATATCCTTCTTCAGGTTAGCGTATAGTTTCTGAACCGCATAAGTCTGCAGCTCGGGTGTAGTAGCAACAAGTCGAATGAAGGAGGACATGATAGGTTCCTTGACATAGTTTCCAGCCAGAGTCAAGACTCTCAGCATGGTATCAATGTGCCACCTCTTGTTAGGGGAATATCTATCCGCAGCGATGCCGATCTGACTAGTCATGGTAGGCTTGAATTCGTTGTCTGCAACCTCCAAGAATGCCAAGAGCTCCCGGATCAGAACACGGACATTGCTTTCGTTGATGAGCGTGAAACTCAAGTCCAGCGCTCTCCGTCGAATGCTGATATCGGGATCTCTCAAACACTCGAGGATGGTGTTTCGGTGTCTTTGGACGGCATTGGGTTCGATAGCAACCACCTTGATGAGCGTATTCAATGCAACATATCGAATATTATTGTCGCGGTTTGTGAGGAACTTTCCAAGGATGTTGACACCCAGCACTCGGAGTCCCGAATCAGCCTCTATGTCCAGAATAGTGAGTACAGCCTCGTAGAGAATAGAGTTGCCAACATTCTTGGACGAGTCGGTATTTGTCGCAACCTGGGCCAAGATATCATTGATCTGCTCGGTACCCTCGGGGTCGCCACGGACAAGTACTCGAAGCAGCCGCAGAATCTTGACTTGCAGGAAGGGATCGGTAATGCCGGTAACATCGTGTTCGGGGGCATACCCAGATGTGGCAAGCCCCTTCAGCGTTCGCACCAGCACCGGCACGAACTGCTTGTACTTGTCAACAATGCCCTCTTCGCCGCCCTCTTCCTCATCTGCTTCACACATGCTGGTGACGAGTGTGAGACCGCACAACAAAACACCGTGGTTCCTGTCGGTGAGCAATGCAGCCGCCTTTTCAACGAAATGTTCCGTCAGATCGGGCACCTTTCGACATATCCTCATGGCGCACAGGGCGCCTTTTCGTTTAATGTAGGGGTTGCTCGTCGATATTATCTTCTCGATGTCCGAGAAGAGATCTCGGGACATCTCAATGGAAGCAATGTTGCCAAGGGTACAGAGCGCCAGACCGACGACATATTGGTTACTATGGGCAAGGTCACTGATGGGTTGTTAGTATATCTATATGTAGCCGTGGGCATGTTTGGCTCGAGCTGCAGTCCACCTACTTCTGCAGTGAGTTGGTGACTAATGTCAAGACCTCCTGATTCTCGTCGAGCAGCAGGCTAGTGGCCAGGTGTCCCAAACGCTTGTCTGCGAAGCGTGGCGACGCCAGAAGCTTGAGGCATTCTATTTGGCCGAAGTGTGTTCTCTCACCGAGGGTAAAGAGGTACAACAGCTTGGCCACATTGTTACGTCTATCAACCTGGTCAGTCCACAGTATACGCGCTATCGCGGTACCTAGGCTTCATCTCGTTCGCACCTGACATTGTGGTCTCCGCTCTCTTCTCTGAAGCTTGCTCGTATCGACGCGCTTTCCTTCTGAATGACGGCGCGCTCGTCGGCGATGGTCTTGGCCGCACGCACATTGCGGATGAATTGCTTCACTGTGATGGTGTCATGGTCAACGTCGTGGGATATTTCAACCTCCAAGGGGAGAGACATTCCACTTGAGGCCAGCTGTACAAGGCGCGGGTCGGGTTGGACTTACGAGAACTCATGTTGACAGATCACAATCGCCCGCGACGGGCCAGCCGAGGAGAAATTACCAGCACTGAGGAAAGGTAGCTGGCGAAAAGAGCTGGACGGTCGTTACAAAAAGGCGCCGAAGTTGGGTTGATCGAAGCTCGTTGTCTCCTTTGTACGCCTCTCGAAAGCCATACTAAGCAGCTGGCTGTTATGCTGGCCCCACCAAATACGTGGCTCGTGCGTCCAATTAGGTCGGGGTCCAGGTGGTCGTTTCCAAACTTGTGGCTACGGACTTCCACCAGCACTCTCAAATTGATATCTCGAACCGGCAATAGGGTAATCGCACTGAGCAGCTTATGGTAGAGGTCTGAACTATCAATCAATCCCAATTACGTAGCGACGCATATGCGCCGATAATTACTCTTTTCTGAGTCGAGCGCCATAAGCAATGCCTAGCTCTTGCGGTCAACCGCAGCGCCCTTCACTCCACGCTGCTTCCTCAATGCCACCTGCCGGTTTGCCTCTCACAACTTAGAATTAGGCGCATTTTCCGACAGCGGAGTCGGTGCCGTAGTCGTAATAGTAGGAACACGGCTGCTATCAGCCTCAGGCCCAACCCGCTTCAGAATCCAATTCACGACATCCTGATAAAACCCCTCCTTCCCCGGGTCAGCATGAAGCTGGTGATAGAACCCCTCATACGTTTTAAACTGCCCGTCCTCAATGCTCTGCGCCTCGAACCACTCCTTGGCCCTCTCGTAGCTACACGCCTTGTCGTGGTCCCCATGCATGATAACAAGCGATTTGACCTTGGGACTCAGCTTCACCTTGCGCTTGAACAGGTTGTCCGTCCGTTCCAGCAGACTAGCCAGCCCTTCCAGAGTCCCCATGTTGTGTAACAAATTATCGTCGCGGATACTCTGTTGCACATCGGCGTCCCGGACGACGTGCTCGGGCGGTATGACGTGCTCTAGGTGGAAATGCGGCAGTAACCGACTCGCCAGCTTGCCGCTGAGCACTTTGAACCACCCGGGCGTCTCCTCGGGCGCGAACGCGATGAAGGGCGCTTCTAAGATCCAGCCACGGACTTGAGTAATCAAATCCTCGTACTCGGGCGAGCTAGCCAGGGTTAGTACCTCGCCGCCTCCCATCGAGTGGCCAAGCACGAAGATGGGAACGGGCGAGGGCAGCTGCAACCGGATGAAGGCGGCGATGTCGGCAATGACGAGAGAAGTCGGGCCCGTCAGGCCGCGCTGCGACGGGTGTTTGACGCTGCGGCCCCAGCCGCGCTGGTCGAACCCGTACACGGCTATGCCGGCGCGCGCTAACGTGGGGAAAAAGTCGTAGTAGCGGTCCACGTGGTCGTTGAAGCCGTGGACCATGATGACTTTGGCTTTGGGCGGTCCATCGGGCTGTTTTGACTGTCAGTGAGTATGCAGATATGACTGAAGTGGAAATATGCACCATCCAAGTTTTGGTGTGTAGGCTCACATCACCAATGGTGAAGCTGCCTTCGGTCTCGGTGACCATTGTGCAGAGAGGTAGGAACTCAGTTGTGTTGGTTTTAAGAGCCGATGGTAGCAGTCCTTCAGCTGCGAAATTAGCCTCTTATATGTCCTTGACGTTCCATCTTCCGAGCTTACCTCAGTATTTAAGTAGTATTGAGCTTAGCTGAGTTGAGCCAGTGGATTAGGCAGAGTAATCAAACTCTCAAGCCACAACAATAATGTGTATGTGCAAAGTAGGTATCTTGTAAAGACTCAAAAATCGATGTTGTTACTAGCGGACTTATCAACATAATATCTAGAAAATACGACATGGACAAGATAATGGTTCGAAAGCTGAAGGTAGGTCGATGCACACAACGAAAGGGCAGGCAAGCTTGTAATCCTGGTAGCCGGGAGGGATCCTGCAAAAAGTCGGCATCCACCGGCGTGCTTCACATGCTTCAAAAACTAAGCATGTACACCGTCCTTGTGAACTCAGCCTCAATCCCATGACCCCAACAGGACAGAGAGTCCAACTTTTAGCAGCTTCCTTGTCAGCTTGAGTCGTATCTGAGGTTCCTCAACAGTTACGGCTGCCTGAGATGTGGGTCCCAGCAGTTTCTGCTTGGCTGCGTCACTTGGTAACGCATCTCGAGGATTCACTTGTGTAAAACTAGCAAGCTTGGAATCGCACATTCGTAAATTGTCGTTTTCGAACCTCTGTCCGAAAGGCCCTTCAATTGCCTGGCAAGTCCAAAAATGCAAGGTATCGAGTGGAGTGCCAGGGCAAAACCTAATTCTACATGTACAAATAGGATCTCATTGATCTCGATTTCCTCTTTATGACCTGGCTCCCTTCTAAGAAACCTGTCCAAGGTCCGCCCATATATCAAGGACTATCCGTAAAATGCCAAACCTGTACCGCCGTCAAATGCATAGTGTGTGGTATAACAAGAATTATTTTTGAGGCTTTTCTTCACTCGGGACATCAGCCTGGTCTTCTGCGTCTTCTTCTTCTTCTTCCTCCTCCACAAGTTCCTCCAGCTCCTCATCGATCTCCTTAGTGTGAGGATTTCCGAGCTGGCGCGGATCTTGGACTTCGTTGGCACTCATCTGCCACTCCATGAGTTTGCTGAAAGCACTATCTGGATTGGCACTGAGTTCGGAATACGGTCCGATTTCTGCCACGGTGCCATCATTCGAGAGCACAATGATTTTATCGGATCGCTTTATAGTAGAAAGTCTGTGCGCAATCGAGATTGTAGTACTACGACCTTTGAGCAAGTTGGCCAAAGCCGCATTGACGAGCGTCTCTGATTCAGCGTCAAGGGCCGAGGTGGCTTCATCAAGAATGAGAATATCCGGATCCTTGAGCAAAGCTCGGGCGATAGCAATTCTTTGCTTTTGACCACCAGACAGCTGGGCACCTCTAGCACCGACTTGGGTCTCCAGACCCTGCGGGAAATCTTGGATGAACTGACAGTTGGCTTTCTGGGCAGCAGCGATAATTTCGGATCTCGGGGCCTTGGGTCGGCCATACGCAATGTTCTCAGCAACAGTGCCCGAGAACAAGACTGGCTCTTGTGAAACCATACCAATGCGACGACGCAGAGACTTGACGTTCATTGTGGAAATGTCGACTCCATTGATCGATATAGTTCCAGAGGTCGGGTCATAGAATCGCAACAATAAAGATGCAACCGTCGATTTTCCACCTCCAGATGGTCCAACGACACAGACATTGCTACCGGAAGGAATTTCGAAATCGAGATGGTTGAATATAGACACTGCTGGTCGAGTAGGGTATGCGAACGAAACTTTGGAAAACTTGATAGGGCCCTGGGCCGATACGACCTTGACGCCCTTTGTAGGGGGTATGCCAACTACTCTGTCCTGAAGTTCGAAGAGTCGGGTTGCTGCGCCAGCGCCCTTCATGAGCTCCGAAAAAAATCCGGAAACACCGAATAGGCTAGACCCTGCGAATACCGTATACATCATGAAAGACGTCAAGTCTCCCAAGCTCATTAGACCGTCTCGGACGTAGCCACCACCGAACCACAGCAACGCCAAAATCGTCATGTTACCCATCCATCCAGTCGAGGCAAAAAATGTCGCAGTGAATATCGATTCCTTCTTGCCGAGTTGGAAGACCTTGCGAATTTGCCTGTTGTAACGGTGCATTTCCTGAATCTCGCCCGTGAAGGCTTGACTGGTCTTCACGTTGCTGAGTCGCTCCTCTGCAACCTTGGTCAACGTGCCAACATTCTTTTGGATGTCACGGCTGAGCCTCCGAATCGCTCTAGCATAGAAAAATGCAGCACCAGCGACAAAGGGGCCTGCGTACAGAATGACAGTAGTAAGGCCAGGGCTGATCCAAGCCATCGCACACATGCCTGCTATTCCACTAACAATTGATCTGAGACCATCCGAGACATTTTGAGTGATGCTCTTTCCGACAATGATAGTATCTGCGCTCAGCCGAGAAATTAGGTCGCCGACTCGGTTTGCATCAAAGAATTCAGCGTCTTGAATAAACGTCTTCCGATAGAGCTGCGATCGAAGGCGTGCAACCACACGCTCGCCAATAATGCGCAACAAGATGATTCGGCCAAAGTTAGCCGTAGCACCAACGGTGAGGACAGCACCCAAGGCAGCGAAGAACTGGTAGAAGGTCAAACCAAAGAGCTTGGCCTCGTCGGGAGACCCTTTGGTAGCGAGGTCCATAATCTTGCCAACAGACAAAGGGATTGACATGGTTACCGCAGATGAGATGAGCAGTAGAACCACAGCAACACCTAGATATTTGAGCTCTGGGCGAGCAATATACAATAGCCGCCAAATCTCACGCAGTCCATCGAGCCACTTCTTCTTCGAAGCGCCCTTGCCCTCCTTGGAGAGACGTGCTCGTAAATTGACCTGGGCAGCCTTGCTTGCTTTCTCCGTTGTACCAAATGATTCGAGATCGGCCAGTTCCTTCTTGTGCCCTTTCTCAGAGGTCGTCTCTTTAATCTCAGCAATCCCGTCCTTCTTAATAGCCTTGTAACCGTTCTTTTGGGCTGCCTTTGTGGCAGAGAATCGGCGTAGAACAGAGACCGGGGGGCTCCATACTGCGTTGGTCTTGAGATATCGCCGGCCCGCTAATCCACTGATGGTCTTCGGAGTAAACACGGTGGTGAATTGGGATTCGATCACACGTTCTTTGAGAAGAAGCGTACCGCTGAAAAATCCTCTTTGACTCCAGCATCGGATCCCACTACCGGAAATCGGAGGAACAGCTGGAAGTGCCGGCAATACTTTGTGGCTCAGGCCGAGGCCAAGACCAGTAGAATGCTGCTGTGAGCTGCACAGGAACCTGCCAATGCTTGAGCCGCGTTGCGGGAGCAGCCCAGCGCGTCGCACCGCTCCCGAACCCATTTTTGAAAGGCTTATCGATGTCGCGTCGTCATGAGCTGAAGAGCGCTTGATATTACGCACAATCGCATTGTTTTCGGTGAAACTGCCGATTTTTTTTGGGTACTCTGACTTTGTCGATGCGTTGAAGATGAAGTTCACTGAATAGACAGTGGGCTATTTGGAAAGTACGTTCAACAACATCAACCCGTCATCGCAATCGCCGAAGCTCGGGAAGGTACACTACACAGTTAGCGCCGCGCTATGTTGATATTACCTAAGCGATGGGTCTGTACCGCCGCTTCAGGCTGTGATTAGTCACGTGTCTATGCCACTATCCGATAGAGGCGATTGGGCTGGTACTCTAGCGGGGCCTGAACCACAGTTCACCTGACTGTTGACTAAGCAACCTACTTCAATCACCAAGACTACACAGCAAGCATCGCTTGTTGAACAACAATCTAGATCGAACTGGATTGAAGCACAAGTCGCATGTACTTCGTCTCCGGGTGTGATATGTTCCCAAAGTAGTTGATGGAGCGAGACCATACTTGTATGCATGTAAGTCCTGCTAGAGCTGTGGCTTCCGACTGTTGCTGTACACCTACAAATATTGTCGACGACCAAGATGCAGCCAAAGTGAGACCCAACATGCCGAAGAGCCGCTGCCTCCACTTGGTGTGCGTACACAAAGCTCTACCGGTGGAGAAGCATGATTTGAATCATCAAGTCCCTTGAGTTGTCAACTATAAGCCTATTTGCGTTTTGCAGATGGATCCACTGCCTGCCGACGTAACAATATCAACCGATTGGAACCCTCATAACATTCCAGGAGGGCAGAAAGTATCTACTAGGGATGTTTCTTGAGCTGCTCACCGGTAAACAGTTAGAACGGCTGAGCGAAAACAAATACTTGATTCCTATCGCAAGAAGCGCAAAATGAAAGGGTATCTAACCTGTACAAGAATCCGTCATGGAATCTTGGGTGCCATGCCATGAACACAGACTCGTGGGTGAACATCTTGAAGACCAAATCTCTCTCTTTTCACGGCCCCTTTCCAGATCTCCCAACCAGGCCTGGGAGATATACTCAAAGTATAGTTGAGTGATGATCGCTCTGGACAACAACAAACTCCAATGTCCTTAATCCATGCGTTCATCGCCGCAGAAGCGACTTGTGTGCATGTTAACGACGTAAGCTGTCCTCATTGGGACTTGCCTCGTGTCAGGTTCTTCGAGTCTCATAGCTGCAACGACTCCCTTTCTTCAAGAGCGATTCTCTTCTGTAACGGCGACTTCTGGGTGTAAAACGTGAGCACCCCTCACCAGGATTCGCCTCTCGCAAGGTCCAGAGGTTCTTCGGATTTCATAGCTGCCACGGTTTCCATCTCCCAGGAGTGAGTCTCTTCAGGAACAGCGACTTCTGGGCGAAAGATTTGAACAACCAATCCGCCTCGTGCAAAATTCAAGGTTTTAAGGATCTCACGGCAGAGAATCCCACTCTCCAATCACGGGTCTTCTCAGCATCAGCTCCCACCCCTTGCGGTAATAAGCTGGGTTTTGTACCCAGTCCTCCATCGGTAGCGAGCCCTGGGCAGATTTGAAATCGACCTCGCCATACTTGCCGCGGAAAACCCCACTCAGCTTCATAGCCCCTGCCTCGGCTCTGTTGGAAGACATCGACTTCGATATGGTCAGGTATCCCGAGCCCGTCATGGGCATGCCCGTCTCGATGTCGCGGCCGCGCCAGTGGAACTTCTCGGGCGCGCCGAAGACGAAGTCGGTGTGTGCCTTCTCCAAGAGCATGAATCCCTTGATCACACCCGTGGTGAAGACGCCTCGGACGTGGCGGGTATCGTTGTCGACGAGGATCACCATCTGGCGGGGGAGTTTGGTAGGGTAGGCGCCGTCTTCGTCGCGGAGGGCCTCGCTTTCGAGGTCGAATGCGAGAGGGAAGGATTCCAGAAAATCCTTGAACTTGGCCCAGCCAGCGATATCGGATGATGTCGTAGTGGGTTCGGGGAGCGGATGAACAGTGTGGAGCTTCTTCTTGGAGAAGTTAGACTTGTCTAGCCCCGGCGGAGGCCGCTCAGACTCGACCGACCTCGTGATGATAGTCTGATCGGATAGGGATCTAGTCTGCTCAGGTCCGGATGATGACTTCTTGCGGATCAGACTCTGGAGCGCAGGTCGGAGGAATGACTTTCCTAGCTCGCCGGTTGCCAACCCCAAAGTACTCTTACCCTTGGTAGGACCTGGGCCGGGTGCTGGGGGCGCGGCAGGGGACGCGACCGGAGATGCGTCCGGGGTGATAACTGGACTCTCACCCGTGTTTATTCGCTCAAGATGTGCACCGGCAGGTAGCCGCCTCTCCGACCGACTTGTCCGTACTGCCTGGGGGCGCGCGAGTGTCAGAGGTCGTCTTTGCATGATGAGTTGGCTGTTCAGACGGGCTCGGGTTCGCTCGATCAGCGTCTTAATGTCTTGAGGGCGGTTCAGAATCTCAGAGTATATGAAGTTTTGAATCTGATCCAAGGAGAAAAGTTCACGCATCTCCGCAGGCAGATTCGTCACAGTCATGTTGATGACATCCTCAAAGGGTAGACCACAAACAGAGAGTCCCAAGTTTACATCGGCTGAAAACGAGGAGGGGCTACGACGTTGTGCAACGTGGCCCGAAGCATCTGAAGCGCTGCTTTCGTCGAAGAAGCTACAGCTTTGTGATGAGGTAGGGTCTTGAGGCGACGCTGAGCGGTTGGATTCTTGGGTGGTGGTGAGTTTAACGGCTGGGGGGAGGGGGGACCGGTCCAAACGCTTTGCACGCTGGGCTTCTAGGATGGCATCACACTCAATGTCTTCAGGGAATGGCGAATCTGGCCGTTTAGTACCTCGAGTGTTGGTGGTCTGATGGGTTACGGGTAATGAATCGCGGTCCAGAGCGGCTTCTCTTGGAGTGAGGGACGAAATCGGCTGTGATGAGAAGCCCTGAGACTCCGGCACGGCGAACTTGTGAAAAGCCATAGCTCTGGCAGTGAAGTCCGGCACAGATATTGAAGAGGGCTGATCTTGGCCGGACGCTTCCCCAGACCGTCCTTCGGGGTCGCATGACTGAGATCTCTGGCTTCTGTGGCTATAATGGCCGTAATATGAGTCATCCGTGGCAGCGAGGACATTTAGCTGATACCTCTGCCACAATTCTGTCATATATCAGAATTTGATCTGCTACGCGCGGTACAGATCCCCCCTGCATCACTGATCCTCAGAATGCAAAGCACCTGCATAGGCTATGTGGATGAGGGTACCTTCAGGGGCAAGCGAGGATTTTAAGTGCAAAATCCATAAACAAAACAAAAGATGAAAGAAGAAGGAAAATCAAGTAGACAGTGACTTGCCATCGTGGCTGGGCAGTATGCCCCTGGGAGTAATGTAGTCCGAAGAGATAGGGCGGTCAATGTCCAAAGCTTGATCGCGACGCCGAACGGCAATCCGCTCCGAGGGAGAATTTATGCAGCTTTCGTGCGTCTCTTGCGACATGACTGCGATAATTTATTTGGTACTGGTGAAGACGTATATACTGCAAACTGGTCAGCATGCTGCCATGATTTGAGTCACAGTCGCTGGTGCTGGTGGTAGTATAAGGTAAAGTGGATCCTGGATTTGACTTACAACGTGAGGTTACTTGGAGACGAACTTGGTGTGTGCTGGCATCGTCAGTATGTGTGGGATCCTGCAACCGGGTTGCAATGATGCCTGAAACCATTATCACCCGGGTTGGTATACGATATTCATATAGTGAATGAAAATGGCACAAGAGTACAGTGGGACTTACAATATTGTGAGTAGAATTGCAGAACCTGGCCTAGACGCTGTAGCTCGGCGTCAGAAGGCTAGACTGGGATCGGCGAGTTTGACTTGAGCTTGATGCTTGATCTAATCGCGCCTGCGTTGTAGCTCTACCGAACTGTTGGGCACGTTAACGGCGAGATAACGAGGGTAATTGCCGCCGGGGACCAGCCGAAAGTATGTTGCCGACTATCGATGATTCATGCATAAAACCGCACTGCGCGGCTGTCGGTACTACTGCAGAAAGGTTACTATACAATCCGTGGGCTGCGATCACCAAAGTCGAATGTCGGCCATGTGGCTCTTGCTTAGAGTTCGCAGGCATTGAACACGTCGTTTCGGACGAAAGCCGTGTGGGTTAGACGTCGGCGATAGAAGAATCATAGTTTGGTTTCGTTCCATCAACACGAATCGCAACGCTTGGTGGTTGGCACATATGCTATTGGGTTTGAATCATCTCAAAAAGAATGACAGGTCATGTCAAGTTGAGCAGATCCATCTAATTGTTAGCCTCGTCTGGGTTGTTAGTGGCAGGGTGTGCGACTGCTTGGACCTTCTTCTTGTTCTTTGATCCTTTACTACTGCTGCGCCTGCCTCTGATGGGTAGATGAGAAGAGGCTATGACGCCGAGACGACAAAGCAGCTCGAGTAGTTGGGTCGCCAATTGGGAAGATATCAATCGCTGGCCGCACGAGACTTCCCAAAATTTTGAATTCAATCCGACATTTTACAGGTCTAGAGCTTGATAATGGAGATATCCTTTGGTTGTGACTTCAAAGCTGTCACGAGCACTTGCCAGCGTTGGGGTGGTGATTACATTGTACATGCAGAACGACGAGCTGGGATATCAGATGCCGAGAGTCCTCAATGCAGGGGCAACCACTAATTCTAGATGACGACGGAACCAAGGGGTCCAAGGGGTAAAAACTCCCGTGTTGGCGAACGGCGAAGTCACTAACTGATAGACGCCGGGTTGGACGATGCTTGAACTTGAATATTGATATGGCCAATCGATGATTGCAACAAATCATTAAATAGGATAGTCATAGGCATAAATACAGTTGCCGACTTCTCGTAGTAAGATCAGCTTAACTCAGATACACACAGATCTTCCGGCCACAGTACAGATCAGAGCATATTGTTTTTGGTGAATAAGTCTCCCGAGGTTAATTGGAAACCACAATGACAAGTGTAAATACATATGAACAACTCATGACGTAGCCGCCGAGAGATACAAGCGGATAGATGTGCAGTCTAGATTATTCTCACTTACCAAAGTTGCATGCCAAGGCACCCAGCCTAACTAGCCTTCGACAAGAATGCTTAAACCTACCAGGATCACTTAAATGCTGGAATCCAAAGACAGATATACCACAACAACTCCTAGAGCTGTATATGTTGCTCAGAAAGCTCGGACTACTTTGGGCAGAACTGACCCTTCATCGTGTCCTAAAAGGAAATCCATGAAACGTCCACAGGTGGGGTAAGGTCTGAGGCTTGGCAATTCCCTTATACTCGGCCTTGTCAACGTCATCATAGCATATAAATCTAGGTGGAGCCTGTTTGTTCATTTGGGCAACTCGGTGGAAACCCGCTTGCCTCAGTCAATATTGCATGGTGGTCCAAAATGGACTAAACCATAGCTGCACTTGAGATTAAGATCCTGAAGATCGTAAATGCTTTATGCAAAGCTGGAGAAAAGCGTTAAAACAGGCACGCATTTCATTCACATGTTGTTGTCACGGTGTTGGACATAGAAGATAGTTGAGGTATTGTTATTTTTATTTAGCATGTCAGTTTGTTTACTGAGACACGCAAATATATTAAAAGCAGTTCCTATAACGCGATCTATAAGTTGATTAATTACCTAAGTCACTTGTACACTTTACAACTATTATCTTATTGTTAAGATAAATTAACTCTACTGTATCGGATTAATTTAATTAATTGGAACCCTCTTTATTAGGTATGTTTACTTATACGACGGTTACTACGTAGGTAGTTAGTTGTCACAGGTATTCAGTACAAAGTGAAGGACGAGAGTGCTAGAGAGAAGTCGGGTGCTGGCCAACTTAGGGGCACCGGCGGTGTAGTGTAGAGGGCTCAATTACGACAAGTTAATCGCTGCTCCCACTCTAGTTAGAGGGGTCATAGTAGCCTATCTATACATTTCCAATCCTTGCATAGGCTAAGAGCCGGAGCGCCACTGGAGCCCAGCTACACAAGGCCTATAAGCCACTGTGGCTTATTCCCACCTGACATTAGTCTCCCTAAGGTGCTCGTTCTCTTAATATACAACAGTATTCTTATATATTATTACGTGTGTTGTCTTCATAATTAAGTCTATAAAGTCTAAAGTATAAGTTAGCGAGCTATTCTAGTACCCTAGATACTAGTTTAATTAAGGCTTAACTAAGAAGTAGCCTTAAGAGCAGGAGTAGATGTCTTAGAAGTCTAAGTAGCGGGGGTGATTGTCACAAGAGGAGGACCAAGCCCCTATGCCAATAGACTAACTGCTATATACAGCACTATGTGGCTCTGTAATCGCCAGCGCTGTGACAGTGATGCAGGTGCATATCTGTAAGGAAAGAGCCGTTGTGGCGGGCCGGTCTCAGCTGACAAGCTGAGTCGGGAGGGATTCGCCCCGATCCGGTAGAACCCCGGAACCGCCCAGCTTAAGAGGAGAACTCGAGACGCTCGCACCTAGTTTGGATTCTTCAAGAATCAGTCTTGCAATATACTCACCCATACACTGGCTTACTTCTAGCTACCCTTTGCACTACCTGACTATTATATTGTGAGACGTGTGGTATCCTCGTTACAATATCAAGGAGATAATTTAGGGTTAGGGGAGGTTGTACGGGCTTCTAGAGGAGTATCTACCATAGAAACAACCCTTTCTATATCTAAGGGGACGAGTCTAGCTACTTTGAAGCCTAATCGATTATTAGATACCGTTATTGCCTAATTGAATACCGCTAGAAATCTAGGTAAGAAATCTTCTTTCGGGATATAATTTTAGTACCGTCGCATAAGCTCCTCGATAGAGAGACTACATACGCAGTTTAATATACTAGAATACACTATATCTAGAGGTAAGAGTATATAACGAATATATAAATTGTGACGCCGGTCACGATGCCTGGCCCCTGGGCCCCTGGACGAACACAGGGACACCCTAGTATGGGTGTCCCACCTGTACGCGCTGCCCTTTTCCTTATAATGTAGGAAAGGGCACTTGCACTTAGATCTCTTTCTCTCTCTTCTTCAGTTTAGTATTCGTCAACAGAGATAGACTGATGTCGCAACCCTGATTCGAACTTGCAGTGCCTCTGCCGTGTCACATAAATATGTAAAGAGTGTCAGCAATATTTAGTATCTAGTACTGCACTCGCTTGGAGATATACAGGTGTCCGAAATGCACCTGAAACAGCACTGGAGGCGGGATAAACTCTACCTATGTATATAGTTCAGATTGTCCAGACAAGCAGCATATAGAGAATTGAACCTCACTTCCAACCCGAAATCCTACATGGTAGCATCTCATTGCTTCGCAAGATAACTTGCTTCTCCCTTAAACATAGCCTAATGAAAGGCTGTTATGTGCTAGTTACAGTAGTGTGCAGCACCCTTGTTAAATGAACGAATAAGCGCGCAGCCGAACCCCGCAAGATGGCGTCGGCACCAACCGGACAGAAAGCTGAACCGACTTCGCCTACTGGTGGGCCTGATCAACCTACCTGAAAAGGCCTGAAAGTCAAGCTTGAAGAAGGCACGAAGACGCTCCGAAGCGGTCGTGAAATCACCACACCCGCGTCAGCACAAGCCCAGAGGGGCCTGAAAAAGGAGACTAGAGAGTCCCCTTCAGTCCGAACGAAACAAGAACAGGGAGAGACGAGCCAGTCTGCAACTGGCCCTGTCAAAAGCAGTTTGAGCGATGAAGAAAAGGAAGACACCCCTGAAGCCACGAAGGAATCAAAGGGAAAAGGGCGCGAATTGCAGACGAGTCCCAACTACCCCAGTGGCGAGGAAACAGACGACGACCCCGATCCTCATCACTCGAGGAGAGTGAAGCCAAGGACCAAGCATGGCTCTGAGTATCCTGACTCTGATCCAAGCAGTTCTAGCAGCAGCTATGAGCTTTTACGCAAGTCAAAGAAGGAAAAAGGCTCGCATGTGAAATGGGATCGATGGTGTTTCAACCCGGAACTAGACCAATATCTGGAGGGCCTAGACAACTGGAAACCCTTCAAAGATGGAGTCTACGGCGCTTGCCACGTTGTTGGTATCGACACAAAAACCTGGTTAACTACGAAAGGGAAACCAATTTTGCCTAACGACGATGAAAGACTTGCCTCGAAAATCAAGTTGCTAACTAGGAAGTCCTTTATTAACAGCCTTATGGGAATCTTTTCGGGCAAGGAGCTGTGCCAATATCTTGAAGAACAGTTTGAATCGCAAGGCACCAGCAGAGAAGAAGTAACTCTGCATGATATCACGCATCTGGAGTACGATGGCGGTGACCCAGTCAAATTTAATTCTGCTTGGAGTGAGAAAATCAGAGACCAAAGGGTTTCGGGGGAGTTCCCTATCAATATCGACATGGAACGACTGTTGTTTCTCTTCGCAATCAAAAAAGGCACCCCACTTCTATCGAGCAGTGCGACTCTCAGATCGTCAAAATCCGAGCAACAAAATATCGCTTTCTCGAGTTAAGGCTGATTTTGTTGATGATTTTCGACATAAGATTGGGAAACCCACACAGGGAAACGCCGCGAACTCAGCCCAAAATCCCGACAAGAACAAGAGCAAGAAGAAGAAAGGAAGTCAAAATGGTCCTTCGAATGGTGACGAAGCCAACGCTGCTGGCAATGGAAACACGAGGGGGAATAGTCGTCGAAACAGGGGTGGAAGAGGCAGGGGACGAGGCCGAGGACGTGGAAGAGGCGGCCAGAGTCGTTGGACAGCGGATGGCAAGCCAATCTGTGATGAGTGCCAGAGTCCAGGACATATGCGACGTGAGTGCCCAAATTTGCACCAAGGGCGAACTCAGGCTACAGATGCACCGGCTCCAGCCCCGCCGCTATCCCTCGAATGGTTTTACAACCAAGATAACCAACCGGGTGTAGTGCAGACTACACTTGTGAGCGAATCCCCAAAGGACGTTGTCGCCCTTTATACGCTTGAAAATGAGTACCTCGACTGCGTTCAAACCATAGACCTCGGGGATATCTGCGCCAATTCAACGATCGTCAGACCAGCAGGAATCAGCATTGAAACTGGCATGAAATCCGACCGAGACTATCGCTCTTCAATCATCATGGCATTTAGTTCTCCTTTCAACATTCCAGAGAGAACTAGCATTCGAAATCGTACACTTTGGGATACGGGATCAAATGTCGACATAGTCAACGGAAGGACTGATTTGATACCGACTACAGTCAAGAATATCCCTCTGGGAAATGTACGAATACTGACCGGAGCAGGTCCGGTTTTCGCCAGCGCAGTAGGAGTTTGTGTGCGGAAGTTTGTTGGCCTAGACCTCAAATCACACAAAGTCACTACAATATTCACGTTGCTCGTTGAAAGATTCCCTATGAATATCTTCTCGGGAGAAAGGTTCTATTTGTCTGGTCACTCCCTACAAGACAAGAACTTGGTCGCTAATTCAGGGGAGGTTATTACAACCATTGACCCCCGAAGGCGTGGGTTCTATCTCTGGGTGTATGGGCAACCAGAACCGTCAGTTCTGAAGTGTCCTTCACATTGACAACTACAGTCTCAATGATTCAGAACTACGCCAGTTGATCCTTTGGCATAGACGACTTGAACATCCAAGTACAGAACGGTTGAAGCAAACCATTCGTCTAACGAAAGGGATTGATTTAGCGGTAGACAGGGTCCGAGATTTACCTTGTGAGGCCTGCGATAGAGCCAAGATCAAGAAGGTCCTTTCAAAAGGACGAGCAGAAAAGAGCAGATCACCCTGGACAGATATTCTGGGGTGATGTTGGCAAGATAGAGCCTATATCCATTGAAGGTTGCAAGGTCTTCAGCTTGTTAGTTGATGACTTGACCAGAAAGCTCTTTCTTCGATGCCACAAGCAAAAGAATGGTGCTGAGGGACACGTTATAGACGTGCTCACCCAAACCGGAGGCGTCTACGTGATCGAGTAAAACGCCAAAAGACTCGAGTCAAGGAAAAGGATCACAACATAGTGGATGAAGATGTCACTGGAAGTGAAGGTGAGGTCCACCCCAAGAGGGGAAGGCCCAAGAAGGATCCTATTGTAGAGGAAGAGTCAATCTCCACGCCGAAACGAAAACGTGGGAGACCTCGCAAGAATGAACCAAAGTTATCAGACCTTCCGAAGAGAGTCCTCAGACCTAGGACAAAAGCACCACCGAAACCAGGCGGAAACCAGAGTGAAAAGTCGCCGAAACGGAAGCGAGGAAGACCTCACTTCCAACCCGAATTTCTACAAAGAGGAATAATGATATAAGAATACGTACGGATAACGCGTCGCGCATACTTCGGAGGATATTAGCTATATCGGCTACGTTTTAAAGCTACAGAGGAAGTTCTCGTGAATCTAGCTTAAGTATACGTCGGATAATCTTCTATTTTTCTATCGTATTTGAATTCCGCTTCGTAATATTCGTAACATAGCGTAGTTATTTCCTGTTATATCTGCCTATAATAGTGTTAAAAGGGACTTGATAGATATATTTAAGCTTTCTATAACTTAATTAAGGGTTTCAACATTTAGCCTAAATAGCTAATTAAATATTAGCTTTATTTAGGACTTGTCGTATTTTGAATCGTGAAGATTAATTATTCCAAGTTAAGTTAAAAGGTAAAAATATTTATCATTATTAAATACGCCGCAGGCTTGAAGCCCCCAGTACCTCTACTAGTACTCCCGTATGTCAAACCGCGCCCTAATGGCTGGACTAAATACATACACTGCTTGGTCAGTTCGCCCTATTGGCAACTGCGTTGCGTTCGCTGACATACTACGTTGGTTCTCAACCTACCAACAAAGTCCCCCTGAGCGGGGGAAAATTATAGGAAGTTTACGAGTAACTTAGGTGATTGATTCAACTTATGGGTCACGTTAGATTTTTTTAAAGAGCATTAGGTAGCTTCACTATTCTCCTTTGAACTGGCTCATTGTTCGTGTCTTGTGGATCTACCCATCCTCCAATGAAAACGAGACAAGCATAAGATGTCTTGAAGGCACCAGGGTTCTCCGTTGAACCATGTCAGCTTCGACAATGTTTATATTATCAGAGTCACTGACAGGCTTTGCTGCAAGTCGACCAATATGCAGGCAGGCGGTATTCCCATTGCTCAAAAGACGTCGAACACAAGGAAAAAGCCTGCAGACACATGGTCAAATAAATCAATAAGTAATGGTATAGGGCCCAGATACGAGCTCCACAAACGGTGCCTTAATATATAGCTCAATCAGGCTCTACCAAAAAATCCGGGTCAACTGAACAACGTTTCCGACCGAGACGTTCAGGGAGGACCGGGGGGAGGCATCTTAAGAACAGCGCTATTTTATATGTTGACATACCACAGCAGAAACGTTGCATCAATTTATGATCTCAGCTTTTATCTTAAATAGCAGCCCTCCGGGACACCTCGGTTGTCTGCGAGGAATTATCACATTGCCAAGTTCCTGCAGTGGCCAAGAAAGCCAAGTCCGAGTCAAGCATTCAACAGCGACGACAAGCCTTGTCAAGGCGACTTGACTATGGCGATGTGCTCGCTATCCCAAGGATACGATCCGGGAACGAGGTGGATTCTTCTATCAATTTGAGTGTCGGATATCGTCACAAGCCTACTCTCAGACATTTCGGCACGATAGCCAAGGTAAGCCGCGCTTCGATGATTGAGGCAGCCAGGAGTCTAGCTGACCGATATTTTTAGATTTACTTTCACTGAAGAGTCTCTGCAAGGTTTCTCTCGGCCAGCTTTTGTCCCTTGGAATCTAAGGAATACCAGGGCGATGATGTACGGGGTGTGACATGATTAAGTTTCAGGGCATTAACCCTGGAGCTATCGATTGCTTCACATAGATTTGCCTTGGCGACGTGTACTAGGAAGATTTCGTTGATGCCCAAAGACAATAGTACTGTCTAGATGACGACGTTCTACAGAATCAGTAGGAAATAACCCAGCATTCTCCGAGAACTTCTACTCATCATGTACTCTGCCATCCTTAACAAAACAGGGGTAACGATTGGAAACACCATCTACCCAGAACCCGTACATTAAACATTTCAAGAGCTCCGGTAAAAGCTTCGGCGGTGTGTGCGTCTATGAATGAAAAACTAAATTTTGCGAAGTGGTGTGAATAAAACCCCTGGGAACCCCTTCCAAATGTATCACATGCCTCAAGCACCTGGGATACTATATAAAGATATTTTAGAAATGAATACATAGAAGCTTCAGCCTTTCTGCCCGACCCAAGAAACTGTGACGCGATGATCAACATCTCACCTTATTGCAAAGTTCGGTTGGGGTCCAATTTTAGCTTAACAATTCCTTGACTATGCAAACAACTTTTTGGTGGTTAGTTGGGCAACCTAAAAGAAAAGAAGATAGGCCTTTCCAGGCCTTCGGATTCGGGTATTCTATATCATGTCTTGACAACCTTGTTGGTGATCTACCTTGAGCTTCGAGCCCTGAGCCATCATCTCTGGTAGATGTGCGTCCAATTTTTCAGCCACCAACATCAACACTATGTAAGAACAGTCACACAATTCAACAAAGTGGCTCTAAAAGGTACCTATCTCGATCTTTTTTGGCCGTTCATTCATCATATTGAAAGCAGAATAAGCAACTTCAGCAGTGTACTCACGGACCCATCCCCTGGGCTTAGTACAAGCAAGTGTCCCACAAACATGGATGGGATGAAGGAAATATATTCACGGGGTAGCATGGAGCACATGCAAAACACACAATAACACGTCGAATGCTTTCATGGTGTGATTCTGAGATTTGTTTTGTTATTCACTTACACTCCAATCAGTTCACAATTTCTAAGTCGTTGAGCTGCCAAGGTTTCGCTCCCTTTAGCAGTTAACCCCTTCAAAGTATGGCAGATAACAAGTCGACACCAAGTCATGGGCAACAAGCTCACTGCATTAAAATGTTGTGGCATGTACACTCTGCTATGTCTCGAATGACTCCTGTTATGCCAGTAGCAATTGCTTGGGATAACATAGCAGCGTCAATGATCATCATGCCGTAAAAACAGACCGGGCCTCAACCACACTCATATTGAGCCACTAGAATGTAACATTGATATGAGTATTGTTCTGCAGTTGTTCCCCGCCAGAATATCTCTCTTTGGGCTAGCCCAGAGCAAGGGCTATTTTAACTGCTCTTCCATGGCGATGTGCTAAAACAAGGTATTTCATTGACTGAACGCAAGGGTCTTTCAAGGAAAGGGTGTGGGTTTAAATCAGACGTGGAAGCTCCAGGTGCAAACTTGGATAATCGTTTACATGTTTCAAATCTATTAAGCTCCTGCAGTGCTTCAGCTTGCACGTCTCAATGGTAATAACACAGTAAATTATCTCACAAGCAGGATAACGGCAGTGATCCTTAAAGGCCGAAATTTAAATTCCCCACGCTGACTTGGCACCTGGCCTGTATTGCTTACCATGCATCAACACCCGAATCAAGCACCACTGCTGTCCCTACGAAGCATCTCCGTTACGTCGGCATCAATCCCGTCGTCTCCTCCTAGGTCCGGAAAATCGTCACTACAGTCCAGCCTACGCTTTTTTGCCCCATTTGTGGTTGTTGGTACCGCCTTGTACTGAGAAGCTATGCTGCTGAGCATCTCGATACCAGGAGCAGCTGCTTGATGGAATGTTGCTTCTTGGGGAACCTCTGGAGAAAATGCCGGCACGGCTTCCTCGGGTTGCTGCGGGAACTCGGGCCCCGCAGCAGGTGGTGTGAGGGCTTCAATCTCCGGCCTCTCGGGCTCAGGAGCGGGCTGTGAAGCCAAGCGGTTAGGTGGCATCGGATCATCGCTCGAGAGTCCTTGCATTATGGCCATCTCCACATCGCGCTTCTTGTCGTCGACCTCTCTCTTGCGCTTCTTGAATGTGCTCAGTTGCTCCTCATCCGTTGCCAATGCAGCCTTGTTGGTATCCAGAATCTTCTGGAGTTCGCCGACCAACGCCTTCCGAGCCTTGACGCACTGCTCAACTGCCCCTTCGGCATTAGCGAGGGTCTTTAGCAATCCGTTGAGTCTGGCCGCATAGACTGGTGGTGATGGAAATGAGGCACCGGGATCCATGAGCTTGCTATAATCCTGGTTGGCGGTGCTTATCGATGTTTTCGTTGGGAGCTGGAGTTTGGTAACGTTGAGCTGGGGAGCGGCAAGGGAGTTCAATTCCGTTGGCAGTGACGAAGAGCCACCAAAAATGGAGCCGCTGAAGCCAGTCTTGCCAGCACCACGAGCCTTGTCTAGCTCTGAAAGCTTATTAGCGCATGCTCTATATGCTATATTGACTCCAGAAACTTACCATCGATACGGGCCTCTACGGCAGCTTGAATTGGCTCTTCAAAGACATCGCGCTCCCTCCACACATCGATGACCCGGCGGAGCCTTTGCTGAACATCGGAGGGTGCGCCCTTATATGCCGTATAGGCTGCTTCAGCAATGAAGGGCGAGAAAGCAACAAGAAAATCTTCCTTCTTTCGGACTTTAGATTGCTGACATACTTCTGTAAATAGGAGATTAGCAACGCGGCACATATGAATGTCGAGGCTGTTATATAGTCGGTGTACAGCTGCCTATTGTAGATTCGTACCATTGGCGAGGTAGACCAGGTTGAGTCTCTTGTGGCTTGACGAGTCTTTCAGGCGCTGGAGCCATATCTGAACTGTCCGATCTGCATGTCTCCTAGAATATGGATGGGTCAGCTGTAATATTCCACATACAACATTAATGTTTTGGTTTTGAAAGCTTGCCTACCTATGGAACATGATCCACTGAGCTACCGCAACTATACTGTCCTGAGTCTCGGACAGAGTAGAAAGCTTGGCAAGCACCGCATCGTCGGTATAAGACATGGTGTCGATTTTGGGCAGTGACGCGCAGGAAAATGGCTCAAAATTGGTGATGGGTGATAGAGGTTCGTTCTGGTGACCGGGCGCTAGGTAACTTCACTTGTTGGGTGCTTGTTTATTCAGGACATCTACAAGTGGAGCTGCCAGCAATGGCGAGAATTTGAGCCGCACGCAGGCAAGAGCACACACGAGCAGGTGCTGCGTTTAGTTATTTGCTGTTGGTAATCCAAGATATGCACTTGAGGCACTGTGAATGCAGTGTCCCGGCACTGTTGGGATGATGTATAGTCCCGATGATATCACTACAACTTCCTGTGTGCATCTGATGAGATAATGAGAGATGTTGATGAACAAAACATCAAAGTGAAGCTTGAGGCAAAGCTCAAACAAGCAAGCGGGCAGGAGCAGCACGTGAGACCCGGAAGGAAATAGCCAATCAGCGCCTATGGAAAAAGCCTTCGGACTAATTACCCTTGCTCTGGCTGTTTGACATGAAATTTCCAGGCGGCTGAGAAGTTCACTGGTGGGTTCGGGAGCCAAGAACAATTAGAGCCAACTCGGCAGTAAGGTGGAACTAAGACCTGGCCTTGCGACAGAACGTCGCGGTCAACATCAAGAAGCATCAACCCCCTTCAACTACAATTTGGCAAGAAAGTATCAACAAATTCAGCTACGATCTGATCCAATCACCCGCAACTCCACGTACGTCAAATTTGACTTTTATCTCAACTGCAAGGCGCATTCGTACCGCATACAATCAACATCATGGCGGACCGATTCCCGTCTCTGGATGACTTCGACTCCGGTGGTAAGAACCCATTGATCGTATCAATAGGCCTGATGTTCGACTAAACTCTGCTTCACAGCCCAGACGGATGTCAAGGATGCTGGATCTCCCTCTGCCGATGACTTCCTTGCCCGCGAACGAGCTCTTCTTGGCGACGACGCAACTCAGTTCGCTACTAGCAACGATTCCGCCGCATTTGTAGATCCTTCGTCCGACGACCTACTCGGTGGAGAGAGCGCAGGCGCTGGGACTTCTCAGTTCGAGAGCCAATTCCCCGATCTCACCAGTGGCAACGAGGTAGGCTAATAATTGCCCGGACTGTTGTAATTTACAACCAGCTGACCACCTCACCCTTATAGCAAGTTGCACCCGGGGGCGCCATCACCGGTCCGTCTGTCAGCTATAACTCGGGCTACGCAGCCTACGCCGAGGAGGAACAGGAGCCCGAGGTCATCAAGGAATGGCGCGAGAAGCGAGATGCCGGCAACGCCAAGCGAGCCGAGAAATTCGCGGCCCAGAAAGCCGAGACAATCAAGGAGGCGCAACAGAACATTGACGACTTCTACGAGAACTACAATACCAAGAAGGAGAAGACGATTGCACAGACCCGCAAGGATGCCGAACAGTTCTTGGCTAGCAGAGAGGACACCGTCTCTGGTGGCACAAGTTGGGAGCGCATCTCGAAGCTGGTTGACGTGAGTGGAAAGGGCCAAAAGGGGGGTGCTGGTGGTTCCGGCAAGGAGCGGTTCCGTGAGCTTCTGATGAGCCTGCGAAAAGACGAGAAGGCCCCTGGTGCTGTGGGATACTAAACACACGACTTTGGACATGCACTTGTACCTGGACATAGGTAGCTAGGATGGATCTGGTATGATCCGGTTTGGCATTTGGCCTGGTCACATTGGCCCTCCTGCTCGGGCGCAAACGTCCATATTGTACTTTAAAAGCCCCATACTGGCAGGAAGACTGGCATTGGGCAATCATGGCGTAATGAAGACGGGTGGTTTGTTGAATTTCAAACTTGACATCGATTTTCCGAGAGCGTATGAGTGAAAGACGACTTGTGACGCGCTCGATGGCGTATGGGAAAGATCTATTCGGTCTCTCTATCAACACAATGTTCTGCCCCTTTCGCCTATGATATCAACTCCCGCCCTACTTCAACATGTTCAGCCTAGTCCTTGCCGAACCAAGTGTTGTGGCCCATGACTTTGCGGCCCATCATGTATAACGAAGCTATACTTAAGCATTAGAACCTGATCCCGAGAGTAAGCAGCTTTATTCTGGACGTACCACCGAAGGTTCCCCACAGAAGAGCTTGGTAAGGGAGGAAGAGAACGTTGCTTCGGGTTCCCTGCGTCATTATATCAGTCGGCTGTCCCCTTTCCTCTTTACACTTCGGGTTCGGGAATTACGCACAATTCTCCACAGGCGAACGTGCTGGTTGTAAGCCTGCTGATAGAACTTCTGGTGCTGAGGCACCTTGTTGGGGGCGTCGACCATACTGCAGCGCTGATTAGCATTGATTTGAAAGACGTGGTCAGGGTCGGCTTTGCGGGCCAGAGAATCAATCGATCGTACGACGGCCAGACGGAGCCATTGAGCGACTTGATGCCATCGTAAACTGGATGGTGTCGAGGAATCGGTGGTCACTTACCCCATCTTGACGTTTGTCGCAGAAGAGCGCTAGAGGTTCTGGCGGGTTTGAAGGGTTGCTATGAGCTGCGGATGACACTTGAATGCAAAATGATCAATTGCTGACCTTTGATTGAACGTGGCTCGGCTCCAAGTTCCAACTGCTACAGCCCATCTGAATGACTAAGCACCGCATTCAAGGCTCTTGCCCGAAATTTTGCCCACCTGGATCCACCCACCCACCCACCTGCTGAACCGTGAACTCGCAGCTGCTTGGGAACATTAATTTTTCCAAAGCATTCTCTTACGACACTCAATCGTCGCAATTACGAGCACGCGACGTAAGGATATTTCTACAAGTCAATGCGGTGACACGGAGCTGCACTGTCAATGCTCACATCTGGGGTTATGTGACCAGACGCAGGAATGCGATCGGTGAGCCGGACTCTTCGAGATGTGAAGCTCCGCCGTCTCCTTCCTGGCTCTGCGCAGTTTCCCGGATACCAGCACCTTCACCCATGGATTTCCCACGACTACTTGCGGCTTTCTCGCCGTCAGAAAACCCAGTCGTTGCCGATTTTCAGAGCGCTCTGGACCTCGGAAAATGCGAATATTGATCTCGTTGTGCCGGGCGATGAGGGACCGACTACATTCATGCCTGCCAGCTGGAACGCCGACATTCCATCAGACGAGGCGGTACTCCGCAAAAGCAGCTTATATGGAAGATGGCAATGGCTGCTGACCAAGCCGGAACGGCTATTGGTAGAAACCGACTTTGACCGAAAAGGCCCAGCGAAGGAGTGGCGCGCAAAGTTACTGGTTGATCACCCAGACAATCATGGTGACTTTGAGCTGTGGGGCTGTCTTCTGGATCAACTACAGAGGATGCATGGAGACTCGGGTGTCTGGGGATTATGGTACGCATTGTGGGGACGAAAATGCCTATTCCGAATCGACAGTCCACCAGCGAGACTTCTCTGGCAAACAATTCTGGATGCAGCTGTAAGATTGAACAACGAGAAGTTCCTGGATAGCGTTTGGATCTACGCCGAATGGATGAATGACATCCACGATACAAAATGGCCAAAGCTGTACACCACCATTGTCTCTCACTTTCTGAGCAAGCATGATCATAAGAATGCCTTGAGATGGCACATGCGCCTAACCCCCAATTTCTATCCTGGGTCAGAAACATTCGCCAACATCATACGCCAATATTCCAGTGACAGAGTCCTGAATTCATCATTGACTCTCCACTCCTTGTACGTTGCAAGTCCCGAGCGGAATCTGTACGATATTCTCGTGCCTCACCTTTATAACCTCGGATACGAAGACTTGGCCCGGGGATGGCGCAGGATTTGCCTGCGCCATAACGATGAACCAAAACTACACTCGCTGAGTCGACCCTTCCTGAGATATATGGCAGGGTTCTGGCATGAATGGGGAAACGCCATGAGTGAACAGGAGCTTATTGCACTGGAACGCTCCAACTCAGAGGAGGTGGGAAATGTGCAAGCGGAGGTATCCCGAGAGTTCATGAATCGTGTCCATGGCGCAACTTTCGGAATTTCAGCCAAGACTTACAATGACAGCCTGGGTGCCAGGTGGTTCGCAACGTCTTGGGTTAGCCTTGACACAGCCACCTCTGTCATTGCAGCATTGGGCATCAAACAGATCGGACCGTTATCTTTACAATCTATCGCGCTCAGGGAAGGTACTGCAGAAGGTTTCATGGCCAGACTCGCTCACCTCGAAGAATTGCGCATCTCCATCCCCGATTCTAGCTACGTGAACACGCTACGATACTTCGCAAAGATGAGGGATGAGGAATTTCTCTTTGACATATTGGAATGCGATCTACATCCGGACGTCTTTGACGACATAAAACTGCACGGAAGGTTGATGGACTCCAGCGCAGCGGCGGGGAATTGGAGCGCTTATAAGGCGCTGGTCGGTACCAGGCTTGCAACAATCGACAAAACAACGGGCAAGGCCGCCAATATGCTGCTTCAGACACACATACTTCAAGGCGACTATCAAGGCATCCAGAGGGTGCTTGACGATATGAGAGCTCTCAAGATCACGCTAAACAAGGAGCTGAGCAATCTCATGTTTAAACTCATTTTGGACAAAGTTCCACGTCATCCCAAGGGCAATAGACCACCCAAAAGCCTCATTGATTGCATATCTATATGTCGCCAGCTCAGCTCATTTGACGTGCCAGTCCCCGTCATCTGCTGGAAAACCATACTCTACTGCCTTGGACGTCTCGGCCGCCTTAATGAACTCCATGAGCTTTGTCTCGAGCTGCTGGACTATTATACCAAACGGCGATCCGCTCGACCAGGTTTCGTTCCAGTCCATCTACTAGATTTACCAGAGTCCATGACGGAGCCCGTACAAGATGTGGAGAACCTGATGGGACTTTATATCCCCTCGACAACGCCCCCTAGGCTACCATCCCATCCTCTTTTTCAATTGTTCGACAGCAAGTTTCAAGGGAGCATGACCCGCTGGGCATTCCGCCGAACACAATTCCGATCTGCGGCCATCCGCCTGATAGGAGACCCGGACGTGTTGTTGCAAAAGTTCCAAATCACCCGAACGATCAACCTATTCCGGCAGCTTCAGAATCGTGGATTCAACAAGCTGTCATTCGAGCTAGAGCTGCAAAAGGCACTCATTGTGCGGCTCGCTGAACTCTATGGCTCCACGGAACCGTGGAAGGGTACTCACAAAGCCGTCAGAGAGGCGAATGTGTTGACGCTAGCGCAGATGAAGACATTGTGCGACGAGGCCTGGGGCCACGAGCTTCTCCCGCCTCTCGAAGTGCTGGAGAGTAGAATCGCTACAGCAGACGCAAAACGTTTGAAGACGCTGCGTAAGTGGGCGGAAATTGGAACCCCTTGGGGACATAATCGCAAAAGGCGGCGAGTTCTACCACGCAGATGAGTCTGCCAGGTGCGTTTTGCGTTTACGGCACATTGCCTGGGAACAAGGACGCATAGCAGGGCTTTCACTTATGCCTACCTCTAGGCAACCATGAGGCTGATGATCAGCTGGCCATGGCTATCCGATTTGCGCCAGTGGACTTTGCCTTGTGTCTACAATATACCTACAGCATATTCCTCTATCAGCTTCCGGGTGGAAGGTGAACAAGTCGATGGCTCGTCAATTGACCAAAGTTAGTTGATAGGCACATTGCCGGCGGACGGTCTACATCGTGGTTAGGCACTATAGCCGGTCTGTCATAGACATATGTTCCTACTACATTTGTACTCTGCTGTACTTTACATTAAACATAGACATATACCCCTGTTCAATTCATATAAATGAAGTGTAGTCGCCTATTGCGAGTGCATAGCCCGGTGTTCCTGAGCATTCACCACCCTCGCACTCTGGGCCCAAAGTGAACGTAGTTTGTTATGTATAGGTATCGGAACACTACGACTCGGCATTATTCGTAGTGGCTCAAGTAACCAACCCAACGGCTCTGCCAGCATACAGAACTCACGTAAGTACACGGCAGTAGACAAACATTGAACATGCCGGTATGCATACCACAATTTAGACTTGTAGGCTATCCAAGGTAACTGGAGTCTGGCAAAAAATACGAAATACAGTAGATCAATTTGGGTATGGTTAGACTTCCGGCCGTCGCGTGGGCCTCCGGCCTTCACGCATTGCGAATCACCAAGCATTTATCTATACATGTCAAGAAAAACCAGGCATATCAAAGGAGGCAGATGCGCAAGGGGGACGTGCCGGAAGCAGAATGGCTGAGCTTCAATTCTCTCCTGAGAGGAAGGGGAAAGGTGGAGCTAGTAACAATCCGTTTCCGTTTGAGGAAGAAAAGAATTCTCCATCCATACTGCCAGCCGATTCCCTTGCCAATGATATTGTGTATATCCATCCCTGAGCCGAGCCGCACACGGCCAAGGCTCACTGTAACTTACTCTGCATATCAACCCCGGGTGGACAGAGAAAGGAATAAAGGAGCTTCATCGCGACATAAGAATGGGTATGGTGATCAATCCGTCTAGACAACCCCGGAGCCATGTTTTGTTTACTTTTGCATCATGAGCTGGACGAACTCGTTGTCTAGTGTTGATGAGAATTAGTATAAGCGCGTTGGGATAGTCGAAGATTTGAGAGAAGACGTACAGTCAATGCGGCCGTCGCCATCCTGGTCAGCCTCGCGGATCATCTCATCCACCTCGTCGTCGGTCAGCTTCTCGCCGATCGAGGTCATGACATGACGCAGCTCGGCAGCGGAGATGAAGCCGTTGTTATCGCGGTCGAAAACCTGTTCAGCATGTAAACAACCGTGTGTGAAGGCATATGTTCGTTTTCATGTAGAGCTTACCTTGAATGCTTCACGGATCTCCTCCTCGGAGTCGGTGTCTTTCATCTTGCGGGCCATCATGGTCAAGAACTCTGTACAACGGTATTATGTCAGCCTGGTGCCTGGTGCCTGGTGCCTGGTGCATAGATATTGCAGCCCGCGTGCTTCAGATGGATGGTGACATACCGGGGAAGTCGATGGTGCCATTGTTATCGGCGTCAACCTCGTTAATCATGTCCTGCAGCTCAGACTCGGAGGGGTTCTGGCCAAGCGATCGCATGACAGTGCCCAACTCCTTTGTGGTGATTTGACCTGGCAACAACTCGTTTTAGTATCATGCCTTCTTTCATATAACGATGTCAGGGGTCTAGTCGGTTTGGAGTACCGGGCCACTAGCAGTCGAACGATGGCGAGTAGCGGACTGGAATCAGGCGTTGACATGGGAAACTCACCATCACCGTCCTTGTCCTATATGGCAAGCTAGGTCAGTTGTACGTCATCAGGTAAAGGGGCGACGGGCGAGCCTCGCGCCGAAACGATGCACCCGCAAAGAGTAGAAGTGGTCTTACAAAGAGGGAGAACGCCTCCTTGAACTCGGAGACTTGTTCCTCGGTCAGAGAGTCGGCCTATTGGTGTTGATTCCCATGTCAGCGAAATTTGCTACTGCTTTGTTTTCCTGCTCGTCGGTGAAGCCCCTCAGCGCGGGGTTTCGAAAATGGCGGGGGAGCAAAGGAAACTGGAAACTAGGCAAACAAACCATGTCGCAGGTTTGCGGGCTGCAATAAAGTTGTCAATGGACGTTGGTGGTCGGGTTGGATGGTGGTGGTCAAGTAGGATATCGCTGTTGTGTGGACACAGGTTGGTGCCGAGAGGGGCGGGACGTTGGCTGATCTTGATGTCGTCTTTCTTCGTTGACGAGGAGGTGCTTTCGAAGAAGAGAAAGCTTGCTGTGAGGGAGCCGTGTTGCCGTCTTTCATGTTTGGTGCACTAGCCGCATTGGCAATCGCGTGGCCTACTGCAATGCGTTGGCTGGCCTGTGCGCTGGGCTGAATCCCGACTTCACCCCAGGGTCTTGGTTTTAGAGCTCTAGGTTAGAGGCTTTTTAAGATGATTACTTGGCATTCCCTGCGTGTGCCTAGACCTGCTAAAAGACCACCTAGACTGCCGATGCCCAATGCTGCCAATGCAATGATATGTGGCCTCAAGCAGATTTGAGAGCACCTTCAATCTTGAGCTCATTGCATTTGGGTGGAGCCCTTCTCCTTGCCGGGCTGCTCCTTACCGGGAGTGCTACGTCAGCCTCATACGCCGATCCAGCCTTTGGCATCTGAAAGTCCCAAGTGCACACCATGTCCTGTATATTATCGCCAAATCAATGAGAATCAACGACTCCTTCGCCACAAGACCACATTAACACCCGCCACAGCTCTTGCATCCTCTAACATCGTCGTATTGCCAAACTGACGGGTAGGACCGTCTTTACCGGCGTCCGCCATGTGGCGAGACCGCACCAACCTGTAAGTCGCATCCGCTAGTTGAGCAACAGATAGACCTCAAACAGCTTCGCCAATTGCGATCCGGTCCTAACCCAGCACGCACGTAGCTACATCTCGTACCGCCAGTCCTGCGCCCATCACCCAGCCAAGAAGACGCGATACTCCGGAACTAGCGGAAATGGCTTCTCGGACTTCGGGCGCGGTAGTGCACCGGTCTCGGAAGATCAGCAAGGGCTGTTGTCGGGCGCCGACTACGACGACGGCGATGCCGTCATCGAGATGGACCTCCTCCCGCCGCGATGGGCCGACATCTCGGACGAGGTGACGGACCTGCTTGCCGACATCGCGCGCAAGTCGCAGGTGTTGGAGCGCCTGCACCAGAAACATGTGCTGCCGGGCTTCAATGACGAGGAAACCAAGAAAGCCGAGGAGAATGAGATCGAGCGGTTGACCCAGGCCATCACCAAGGGCTTCCATGAATGCCACCGCTGTATACAAAAGGTCGAGCGCATGGTTCGCGAAGGCAACATGACGAGGGCAGAGGAAGTCATGGCGAAGAACATACAAATCAGTCTGGCGACCCGGGTGCAGGAAGCAAGCGCAGGCTTCAGGAAGAAGCAGAGCGCGTATCTCAAGAGTACGTCAACGCAGACCACTTTTCTCCTCCAGAGCATGATGGGTGGGTATCCACTGAACTCGACCCTTTGCTAACCAAATTCTAGAGCTACGAGGCATGTCTGGCCTGGGTGCTGCTTCGCCAGCTGGAAGGTCATCGCCCCCTGTCGCCGCCAACTATGCGGCAGACCCATCACTGCTCGAGTCGGATGCCGACAGATCATACTCGCAATCCACATTGCAACAAACAACCCACCAAAAGCTGCTCCACAGTAACGACGCTGTGATCCTGCAGCGCGAGCGCGAGATAGAGGACATAGCACAGGGAATCATAGAGCTCTCTGATCTGTTTAGGGACCTTCAGAACATGGTCATCGATCAGGGGACGATGCTGGACCGGATAGACTACAATGTGGAACGCATGGCAACGGACGTGAAGGCCGCGGACAAGGAGCTTGTCATTGCGTCCGGCTACCAAAAGAAAACGACAAAGCGCAAAATCATCCTCCTGCTTGTCCTTGTTATAGTGGGTATGGTCATCTTGCTAGTTATCAAGCCGAAGAAGAGCGGCAGCGGTGGTGGAGAAGACGGTTGATAGTTAGCGGCGTCGAGTTTGAATGGCTCATCAACATCGAAGTGCTCGAAGTTGAGATATAGTTAGCCTGTTAAACCTTTATCCCCTCAACATTACAACGGGTGTGTGAGGGCCGGTTCTAGGGGGCTGCAACTGACTGCTATGCACAACACCAGTCAGTGAGCGTGACTTGGCCCAGGCCCCAGATATGAGGATGTTTGTGACAGGAGAGAAAATTGTATGGAAAAAGTCAACGATGTGTAACACGAATTATTTGCAGGGGAATATTATAGCGAGAGAGAGAGGTACGACAACTGAACTACAGAATTGGACCGTCTTCCTTGCTTCGAAATCGGTAAGGCAGACTTTGAACTGACGACAGGACTGAACAACCTCCTGTGAGAAATTCATAAGTGGTTGGAAATGATTATTTCTCGCCCGATTGGGCTTGTCTTCCATTACTCCGTGATTGTTGTACAACGTACTGCATCTGCCTAAGCAACTACTCAAGAGTAATCGGCTTGGGGTTGAAAAAGCCTTTCTTAACGACTCATTCTGGCTCCGGAGTTTCGAAGCAGTTCAATCCATTACAGTATTTCTCCAAGGTAGTTCGAATCCGGAGGAAGTATTTAGATGGCTCGTGTGTTCATCAGCTCGGTAATATCAAAGCCGTATCACTTGTTCTTACCTACTCAACTTGTTACACGAAGCCTTGGAATACAGACACGGGATTGTTATTATCCCTGCACATGAACTACGGATAGTTTAAGTTATGACAGCTTTCTACCCTCGAACGAGCCCGCGACTAGATAGACATATGCCGTAATCATACCGGGTTACACATTCGAGCCATCTCTTTCGGCCACTTACAGAATATCCAGAACCAGTTGCTACAATATGGCAGAGCACGCTGAAAGTCTCCTCTAATCATCCTTGCAGAAAAGGACAATGTTCTCACCCCCACTAGCCCTTTGCGTATGAGCAGTCTTCATACCATGTGTTACTAGTGTGGGCGCTTCAAATAAACCTCTCTGTGCTGACTGTTATAGGACGCTGTCATCACTTAACGGCCGTGTTAGTGTGGCATATATGCCCACGCACAAGCATATGAGGGAACCCCTCTCTTTTTACTTCCATAGACGATATCACCAGCTCAAATATAGGTGCTTAATGTACTCAAAGCTTGTTTCAAAGTCTATGGTATGATATCGATCCCTTCCTGTTTGTCGGCAACGATTCTTGCACGGACTATCACGCCCTTGACGCTCAGTATATCCAAACTTGGCGCTGAGATGGAGAGCTAGCATATTTGGCTTTGTAGTTATATAGGAGGTAATCGTCCAGATAGGCGATGTATCTACCCAGTCAGTTCTCAATGCGTCTCCCACATGTATACTCACTCATGGTGCAGCACAACCGTACGTATATGTCGATGTGAATGATGCCGGTAAATGTTTCACACTAAGTAATGATGACTGTAGAGGAGTATTACTAATTGCGGATGAAGATCCTTCTGTCAGTTGTAATCTTAAGGAGGCAGCACTGGTATGCCACCAATCATTTCTCTGGAAAAGGGATGGAGAAGCACCCATTTCTCAGAAAGCCTATAACCCCCTAACCTCCAACCACGCAGAGGACCTTTTCAATTGATAATTAAACGAGGGCATCATTCGAACCAGATCTGAAACTACTTAAAGAGTAATGGTTACAGACCAGATCTGGATTGTCCTACTCAACTGTAGTCGCAATCCAACCCCAGACCCAAATGGCGGCAGCTACAACGCCCTAATCGCTTCGTTCTTGAGGCATCAACCATACCACGAAGCCAGCCATGAACCGAAGAAGCTGACGAGGCATATCATTCAGGCTACGAAGCCTGTCAATCGATCAAGCCGGTTAGACAGCAAAAGACAAGCTAAAACATCAGATCAAGACAAGTAGACCCCCTAAAAGGATCCCAAAGCTGATTATACAAATGGGAGGGCAATGCCCCGTGAGTCTTGCTCAGCACAACTCAGTATTTGAGTTTGGGGCAAGAGACCTTCCTATCAGGGTCGATTTCACGATATGTTGTTCATCACCTTCCTTCCCGGGCATGTGACGGCAGGGCAAGGTTGCATCAGGAACCTCCGAGCTTTTTCGGCCCAGCGGAGGAAAACATCGGCCCACCTAATCCGAAGAACAATTACTTCGTAGAACAACATCATGGAAGACTTCAACTGAGTAAATGCAATTTGGCGAGGGCACTTTCAGTCAATCAACATGACGACGCCTCTGTTGGGACCAGTTGTGATGCCAGTTGCAGTGCCATTTATGACGCCGGCGTTGTTGTCAACCATAAGAAAACAGAAAAACCTGCCACATGATACATGGTATATAATCGCAGCAACGGTTCTCACACTCCTCAACCGCCCGGACGAGATCCGTACGGTGTACCGGGAGGCGATGGACCGAGGGCCCCGAAGTATGGACATCAAGGCAAACCTAGAGGAACAACTGACCATCTCGCGAAGACTACGCGAAGCACTAATCAAGGCATCCGCTGTGGGCGGCATCCCTAAGGTAAGAAGATTCTTTGTCACCCCTACATGAGACTGCCAGCTGGATGAGAAAATATAAACGGCACGCCCAGATTGGATTATCAAGTTGTAACTTGTATACTACACCGGAAGCATGAGGTATCCTATATTGTTCCACCCTTAGGGCGCCGTTTACTTTGCCACCCCTTTCAATATAATCGATGATAACTTGCTTACAATCGCGACCCATATTTCAGTCTATCAACGCGCTTTTATCGCTCAAGGAAGTTACACCAGTCCATTTACTGGACGAGCCTGGGTCATCCACGCCAACTGGACGATGGGCGGATATGTTCGAGGCTCCTTCGTCTCAGATCTTGGACCGAGGGCAGTCCTTCTTCAACAAGGTCTACGGCAAGGTAGCAAAGAGGATAAGTAAGCTTTCATTTTATCTTATCCTCCTTTTTTTCACATCACCTGCCCCTGATTGAGACGTGCAAGTAGAGGACGAAGCAAACAGCGCACTCAGGAGGAAGAATCAAGTGACATCTATTTACTACACGGGGATACCGGGCTATCCTATATTGTTATTTTGGTGCGCCGTGTATTTTGTCTTCTACTTGACCGGTTTCCGTGGTTTGGTTTTCTCGACAGGACTGGGCAGTCCCGGGCCATTGCTTTGCTCCCCCCAGAGTAGTACATACTGACCTCCCATGCGTGTCCAGTGGAACAGATGGACAGATCAGGTACCGAGGATCTTGGCCTTGTGGCGCGATTAGTGTACGGCCACCTGCTTAGCAACACTCGAGTCTTGTCCTCTGCCGAGACTTCATTCGTGCTGATAGCGGGACTAATTCCGCAAGATGTAAGTCACTCTTTCAGGAGCTCCGTGTCTATTCTTGGTATATCTCTGCGTTGCCCCCCTAGTGGGTTGCGGTGGACGGATGGGGAAGAAGATCCACAGTCGCCCGAAACGCATATCTGCCTAAACTGCATTCTACCTACTTTGTATTGCCATCATGTGAATAACGAAAACTGACGTATCGATGCTGTCGCCAACCAGGTGAACCCGCAGCTCAAGGGCCATCTGCGGGGGGCATTGAACGGCGGCGCTACCGTTGAGGAGGTGAGAGCGGTTCGGGAAGTAGCCGTGACGATCTGCGAGGCAGCGGGCATGACGAGGCTGGCTGAAAACGCTACGGGTGGGTGGGGGTGGAGAAGCGAGGTTGCCAACGTGTAGTAGTGGTAGTGGTGTTGTAGGTTAAGGCAGCCCTGAGCCCTCCATAAAGGCCCAAAGGCCATTCCGGATAGCCGTCCGCAGCTACACCACGACGAAGATGTACGTGTGATGATAGTGATAGCCTGATAGAGGAGCCGGGAGGGAGGGGTGTGAGCGACTGGAGCGGGCCCGGTGAAGATCTATTTGCTTAGGAGACCGACCTACGGTGGAGATGGGGGCCAAGGACTCAAAGTCGACTTCCTCATCGTGCTTCTCAACGATGCCCCCCATGCGGCGACAACTCGGCCAGCATATGATGTGGCACTGTATGGAGTGCGGGATTTGGTATGAGAACAAAGCGGCTCAAAACTGTCAACTTGCCCATCTGCCAGTTCCGCCGCGCACCACCCCTCAAGGGTGCCAAAGCTAGTCCTGTTCGTCCGTGGCTTGAGGTTCTGCGGCGACACGATGGCCCTATTCAGATGGATGCAACCATGACGACCAAGGTAATGGGCCCATCTGGGTGCGCATGGTGCTGCATTAGGGATCGTCCAGGGCCGTTCGTTGGTAGATTTACGCTGGGCCGCAGAGCGATAAGACACCCACCCTTGACGCCTGTCAGTGATGCCACGAGGGCTGAGATTGCAGATTGCAGGCATCATTGCAATGAGATGCCGGATACTGCAACCGGCGGGCACCCCTTTTTCGCTATACTGGAAGTGTGCGCGAGAAACGAGAGTGGGACTCAGTGACACGCGGCAACCGGGACCTCGGCGCAGCTGGCCACCACCGTCATCGGCAGAGAGTCGCATTGCCGACCGCTCTAGGTTTAGAACATTGCGTCCTCGCCAGCTCAAACAATACTTCGTCGTTGGCAACGTCGACATCTTTTCCCGTTCTTGTTCTTGGACCAATCCCGGCACGCAATAGTCCCGCGGCCATTGGCAAAGAACGGCAAACTAATTTCGGAAGCTGCAGGCCCCGGACCGTGAGTTTGACAACCTCGGCGATCAAATGTTGTGGCACTTGACCCAAGTCGTACATGGCGTACATGCAGGTTTTTCCTGTTTCTCCAAGAAACAAGATGCTGACTACAAACCTCTCTCTTCCATCGTTATGCCTCTCCTCTCTTTGTTGGTCTTGGCGAGCAGTGTTTCCACCACGAATTCCCACTGTGTCAACTTGCCATTTGGAATTATCACGGAGGGGCTAGAACACGGTCTGGGAACTCCTCCACACCCATCCATCATCATGCCATCATCATGCACACCCAGGTTAACGTCCTTCTGCCAGAGTTCAGCGTGGTCTGTTACGCCGGTAGCAGCGGGATGCGGGGCGGCGCGCAAGAGCACTAATGCGTTGGGTCAAGCTCGCGCAGTCGAAACCGACAGTTGCGAGCTCTGCGCTACTCGAGACTGATCAAAGCAAGAAGCACAATGCAGCGTTCGCAAGCTCTCTCTCATGATTTGCGCCCTCTTTTCCTCCCATCACATCACTGACGAAAAATTGGAAGAATTGCCAAGCCCTGGATCTTCAACTTTAGCATGCTGCTGGGAGACTAGGGGAGCTCACGCGCGGGACCCAATGAGTTGCGAATGCCAAGGGTATCCCGAGACATTGGCCAATTCACCATCGTCCCAACGCATCCGCAGGTTCACACGCCGCGGTCGTGGGACGTGCTTATTGCTCGGGACCAGCCCGCTGGGAAGCTTGATGCATCCGTCCTGATGGTAGCAACCAAGCATCCCCCATCAGGAGGGCCTTGTTTCCTGCCGTCAACTGGAAAGCGCACGGCCATTTCCGATTGAAAATTCGCCATGCAGAAGCCATCTCGGTGTCAGCAAGCTTGTATTGCGGTGCCTATGAGAGGGCAGCTCGGACTCTGAACGCCGCTACGTAAGTGCGAATACCTGCCGCTGCATCGCTGGCTGCAGCTTTCCAGACCCACTCGATCCCATCGTCCCTGCTCTGTGTTACCCGAACGTTGCTGCTGCTGCTATGTTGGACGGAGTAGGCAATGGGGATATCGGGCCAGGTTCACACAATCTTAACGTGCATCTTCGTATCGGTTGCATAGTACCGATATCGATATCACGGCGAATCAAGCAAAACAGCTGTCAGTCGGTTAGCAAGCAGAGTAATGTAGTACAGCGATATTTGGCGCCTAGGGGTCTTGAAGTTTCAGGCCCGGCGTGGAGGTGGTCGAGAGGCACATGGCTGGCAGTTGAGCACGGTAGTTGATGTGGAGGAATAGTATCAGAAATGGGTGCCACTGGTGCAACTTGTGCACAAAAGGCAGGGTTTGGCACGAATTCATGGAGGTAAAGCGGTAATGCCTGCTTGATTGCTGTGGGGGTGGGTGATAGACAAGCCAACAGACTAGGACTTGTCCCCCGCGGCGACACGTTGCCCGCTGGTCATTGTCCCATATGAGTAATGAATATGACTTGAGAGCTTGGATCTCGATATGGAAGAACATAATCTCCATGTACGGAGGACTAGGTAAAGAGACCCGACAGAGTGTCTGATAGCCAGGACAACCATTACGGACACGTTCATGGCGTCTAGGGGCTTGCCATCCCCCTTGAAATCGAGCGGCCTTGTCCATTGTAATTCTGCAATTCTCGTTGGTCTACTTGAGAAAGGTTTACCGACAACGCCTAAACCGTGCAAAGGTTGTCGGCAAAGAAGAAGAGGCGTCGATAATGTCGCTTCTTTGAGGCGCGGTCCAGGGCATGGGCTGATCATGGTACATCCCCCCTTACCCCATATCACAGCCTTCTTATAACTCATATATGAAGTTGATAAACTTCAGATCTCACTTGCCCTGGTCGGCCTGGTCCAGTGGGAAGGAACGCTAAAATCTGCGCTCGACTAATACCCTGCTCTCTGCCAGGCCACACACCGTTGCTCACAATCTAGTTCTGCGAAAGTGGCGGAAACTGTACTAGTTGATAGGCTATTGCTCATGGTCTCGGAAAGCTGGCGTTCCGGGAGCGATTCACTAGCGTTACCAGGTCTTTGGCCAATCAGCTCTCCTATCGCATGACCATTCCCATCATCAGATGGGCATGTCCAGTTGGAGAACGAACCCAGGAGACCGGCTTCTCCATAGCAATCCTCTGCGGCTTGATGTCAGTCGTCCAGAGGAGCTCTGCCGTAAGTTGAGGCAGTTAGGCTACTGTGCTAACCTACTGCTAGACCCAGTCTCACACGTTCATTATAATCGTCCATCTTACGGCATGTTGCGTGCGAGGCGACGACAAGCCATTGCAGCACCTTCAAGTGGAATAAGCGCAATGCGCAATATACGAAAGCGAGGTCACGATGGTCATTTGACACTGTTTTCTCATTGAGGTTGGATTTATTGGACGGACCCTTACATGCGTGATGTTTCCAAAATTAGTCAAAATTAGTAGTGTTACATTGGCTATAAGGCAGAACAGAAAGAGGACCCTTGTCGATACGAACCCGTCACGTACGAAGTACAGAACGAACCGAACGGGGGGAAGGATCGATATCCATGTATCTTTTTGCATACACAGTACCGGCGACGACGACGACGACAAGGAGCGACATGGGATGAGGAATGAATGGCGCTGCTGTGTTTCCAGCAAATATCGATCCTTCCTCGCGATCTTAATTCCGAAGTTATGGATGCGATGCTACATGCTTGCTTGATTGGCAGCCCAGGATCCCCCTCCGCCCAGATTGTTGAACGAACGTAAGCTTAGACGCATGCCTTATTATGTAGCTGGACGATGAGTGGTTCAGGACACATCTATAGTGTTTCTTAGTTTGGGGTTCCGTCATCTCTGACTTCCTTGTCCCTTATTCAAGACTCTGATCATGGTGAAAATCCACATGGTGGGCGCAATAACCCCCCTCGTCACATGGGTTGATGACGAGATTTCCCAAAAGTACACTGCATCGAATCCACAACTCATGGGTGGTTAGGTGCAGGGCTCCCTGGTCTCTACAGGGACGTCAACAAGCCTGTTTGGGCTGTGGAAAGGGCGATGCCGGTATTTGGACAGCGAGATGAGTAATCAATAGCCCACTCATTATCTTGCGTGGATCTCATGAAGTCGACAAATGGGTAATTCAATAGGTCTGGCCGAGTGCAACCTTGTAAATGGGACTCAGACTCCGACCGTTAGGGACTTGCGACCATCATACGATGGGCGTGGGGATTTAGAGAAGGACATTTGGGGGCTCTGGAGGCGGAGAGCCGACTTGGTATCGAGGACTCTAGATTCCGCAAGCTTCTGAGGTCTGCTCGGGTATTTAGGGTCCGCATCAAACATAACCAGGGCGTATTGGTTTGGTTTTGCACGTCAAGCGTTGTCTTGAAACACGGTGCGCAGCGAAATCTTTCCATGCTCGGAGATTCGGCGTGATAGCAACACACTTGGGCAGGCCGGGGGGTTTCGTGAGACTTGATGCCCCCATACCATGATATCTCTTGGAAGCCTGACGATATGTACAGGCAATGATATCCAAGCCCATGGGCCCCAAGGCAGGCTTCTTGAACATCTCTAGCTAGGGGGCGGAATGCAAGTTTGTTTCAGGACGGAGATCATATGGCAGCGGGGGTATAGTTACACAAGGTATCGACGCAGTGAAAATGGAGCTCGGTATAATGCTGATTCCGAATATGGGAAGGCCGAGTATCTCGACCATGTGCAGCTCGGGACCGAACAGGCTACCTCGGCGCGACGCGAAATAACAAATACAACATTGGGGATGGTGCCGGCGCCATGTTCTGCTCAGTGAGAAGCTTTATGATCCAGATAGAGCGGTAAGCTAGATCCCATGACCAGCTCGAGGCTGCTCGAAGTACTAGCAATCTAGTGTTGGAATATGTGCGAAGTCGTGGTAATGGTCGCTTTTGGCGTTGGCGTTGGCGTTGGCGTTGGCGTTCGCGTTCACTTGGCCCTTTGCACTTGGCCCTTTGCACTTGGCGTCCCGCCTAGCGATGGATGCTACCCAACTTTGAGCGCGCTCTCGTCTATTTTATCTTCTTTCGACTAAGCTCGTTGGGACCGGGCCCCACTATCCCTGGGTTCATAACATCTAATCCGATCTAATTTCGATGGCAGCTTGGAATACTCATATTTGCGAGATAGGGCGGGGCCCGATGGAAATTTTCATACAATTGCCCGCGGGGCTTCGCGATTCGATTTAGGCAGCGCAGATGTTCGGCAGTGCCCACGCAAGCGCGGAGGTTCCTGTTTCAATGCGACCGCAGGCAGCTAGCATACTGTACGTCGTAGATGCGCGGTGGAGTGATCGCCTCGTTGGCAGGTCCCTCTCAGTGAATTGTGGTGGGTGCCCCTTGGCAACGTTTCTGCCAAGAAGCCAAATTCCACAGCTTCTGGCCGCTGGCAAACGGATTGAACGATGCAGTCATGATTATCAGCCAGCCTGCGCCCCTTGAGGGACTTGCCGGCGGCTGGCGTCAATTCTGACAATGAATAGGGTGCCAGGGAAAAAGGAATCAAAGGGTCTTTTTGTGGCTGGCGATCCACGTTTTGCCGTGCTTACAGTACCTGGCTAACGAAGTCTCACTGAAGAATGGCATCAGAGCAACTGCCAAGATGGAAACGGGATACGATCGATTTCCCCCATGATGCATTGCTTCCGTCTGCAGTTGCATTCTCAGGCAAGCTGAGCTGCACCAACAAGAGTTCTCGCAACATATCATGAGTGTCGAAACTCCCTCGCGTGTGAACCATAGGCATGGCTCTGCCCGAAGGCCGTGCATAACCCCACAATGGGAAGTTCGTCATACTCGGGCAAACCGTGCTTGGCAGCCGCCGCAAGAAGACAAGTGCTGAGGCTATTTTCCAGTTGAGGAAAGCGCGGCCCAATATTCGTGCCGTAGTCCCCCCTTGGAAGCTCGCAAAGGGAGCAGTTGGATCCGGCTGGATGGAAGGTTTTTCTCGCCGTCGAATGACCGACCCAGGCCTTTGGGTTCTAAAGCACGCCGCCATTCCCTGATGTCTGCCACACTGGCGGATTCCAGTAACACGCACCGGGGGAGAGCGGTCTGAGAGCAAGTAAGTAACCTATGTGCGCCCGCAGGTTCTCCGGGAAAGTATCCTGGACACATCACCTCTCAACTCTCGTGGAAAAGGGGAAGGAGAAGACGAAGCAGACAAACGAAGAATCGACAGCTACGACAAGATGGGTGGAACTTCCCGTGACGATCTTGAAGGATTTGCAAGGGACCGACTCTCTACTATCCCAGTGAGCAACGATCAGGTTAGTGAACAAAAGAATCCTAGGCCATCCTAGGCCAACGTCGTAAACAAGTTAGATGAAGCTATTCGTCGCGAGAATTGCTGGAGACGAGAGGGGCTTAACTTAAGCCTTGGAGTAGCCGCTGTTTCAATTGGCTATTCGCACTGGATGAGAAAAGACAAGGGTGAGTGAGATGGGAGTACTTCTCTTGGAGGGTGGGGCAGGTACAGTACATCGCCTGGCGGAGAATGGTACCGCGACTTGCTCAGCCCTATGTATGCTCAGGTACTTTCTTGGCTCCGCGCCTGACACCGGCCAGCGATGGATAGCCCGTGCATGTTGGATTCTCACACTGCGGAGACACCAGGGAGACAACACGTCCCTAACAAACGACGTATACTAGTTTAATGAAGATTTGGCTGGGGTGCTCATCTTGTATGGCTGGCTGATTACTACGCCTGGGAAAGCTCGAAATGACGAGCTTCGCAAGCGAGGATACGGTATAGGGGCTCTGGAGAGCGCGAGCTCGCTCCAATCCAAGGTCTATTTTGTCCTTGATGCATAAGCAAAGCCCGCTAATAAGCTTTCGTACCCGATTCGCGCGCATTATAGTTAATAATGTTCCTAGTGCTACCGCGGATGGGAGGGAATATTGACTGCGAGACATGGCTTGATGCCAACTCAAGTCGTCGACAAGGTAAAGCAGGCTATGCACGCATCCATCTTCCCGAAACAAATTGGCAGCATATCTAATCCTCCAACGTGGAAGGCTTGCAATCTTACCATCCTTCTTTTTCCTTCGGAGAGATTAATTGTGTCGCAGTCCAAACCAACTTTATTAGGAATTACATTGGGGCCGGGGGGAGGGGGAGAGGAGAGGAGAAGGGGGGGGGCGGAAACTTGGATGCGGCTCTCTGGCCTCCCCTTGGCCCTTCGCTCTCACCCACCCCTCATCCTCTCCAAAAAGAAAAAAAGCAAAAAACGAGAGCAGGAAAGCCACCAGGCACCTGTGTTGTAGTTGCGAAACATGGCCCCTATTCTCGACAGCAGAAGCAACCATGCTGACACCAATTATTCCCTGCCAATCAGTACAGCATGAATAAGGGACCAACTTACGGCGCAACGGCCACTGATGAAATCAACTGGACTGTTGTTAGTCATGGCCCAGGTCGGGTTGGACGACCCAGAAGCCTCACAACTCATCATCCTCTCAGGTCGCATTTACGGACAAGCGATGGAGCATATTTTCAGGCACCATTTGCGTGGATCCCATCTCGTTTGTTCTGGAGGTGGCTATGCCGCCGGCTCATGGACCTATATTGGCCCTGTGCGCCCCGTTCATGTAAATTTTTCCTTGCCGAGAGGAGGACAACCTCACCCGCTGCCGTAGGGCTGATGGTATTTCGAGCATGCCTTTTTTTCTTTCGCATACCTCTCCCTTGACGCCATGATCCGATTCCTTGGCAACTGGCTTGTAATTGCCGACTTATGCCAGCAGCGTACCGTCTCATTGGACAATTTGATCTGCAAGAGCAGACTTCCGGGAATGGAGACATATACTACTCATGGTTGCTCCGCTGCGTTGGTTCCATAGCCGCATCAGCGTTGCGTTGCATCCGTCTCTCCAGATGGACAGTCCGCCGCGGTCCGTCAATCCATCAACCACAAACGAGTGAATGGTGGTTTGGCTAGACATTACGATGGAATGCTGGCATGATGGACGGCTGTTCCGCACTTTGCTGACATGGTACCCCAAGAAACCCTACAGCGGCACTGTCGGCAGAAAACCGTCCAGGGCCAAAGTTTCTCCATAGTCAGGCTTATACATGCGATTCCTCAAGTATCTCCGATGACATGCATTGCTTGTCGCGGGAGGAGTTGATGTCAGATTAATTTGCCGCATACGAAGCGAGACAAGCGCGGGAGAACAGAACCCGCAAAAAGTCGGCTCAACTGTTATGACATCTCGTAAAGAGCACAAATTTGAACCAATACTGAAGTTGACGTCTGATGACGAGGTTAGTAGACAGGTCCTAATGGTAAACGCAGAGAGCCGTTAGTTATTACTGACAACTGGGATGAACCATGCTTACTGGAACCTGTCTCACAAGCGGCTGGCGGAAGTCAAGGTACCTACTCCGTGGTGCACCGGTTTAATCTTACGTCTACTTGACAACAACAACAACCTGGAGGCAACCTCCCCAGACCTTGCCTTGACATGCACAGCATCTCTACTACGGTAGCAGCGTGGTGGTGAAGCACGGCTTAGTGAAGTAGGAACAACACGCGATGTCATCGACACCCCAATGTCGTGGGGCTGGTGACGCAAGAAATCGATATTGCACCGCCTCACCCAGTTGCTATCTTTGGATTTTGACTATTCGCACAAGGTTCAACCCTCCTCCGTATAGGAGCCAATCAAAACCTCCGAATCTGATCGCCGACCACTATGCTCCGGCTAGTCTCCTTCCGGCTGGGATTGCTGTATAGCACCCCACGTCCTCCAATCACACGCGGAACAGCAACACGGTTGCTCAAACCACCCCCATCCAAGGGTTTTTTGGTGACGAAATTGCGAACACGGCCTCCTGAGTGCGAGTCTCACTCACTTGATTGATTCTTTGCCATGATGACACTGCAATCTACGGAGTAGTGAGTGGACTGCAGTTCTGTCATACACCACCATGAAGGACTGACTGTTTGCCAAGACACGTATGTAAATACACAGGCGGTGTTGAAGCGCAAGACACAAGCTATGCTTTTCGCGATTTTCCCACGTAGCTCGGTTCTCTTGTTCTCTTGTCCCGTTAACTTCACCCCAAGTCTTAGCTGTCCCATGCCCTACTAGATATTTCATTAGCGCGCGCAACTAGGCGTCCGTCTGTCGAAGCTTAGAGCCTCGGCAAATTGCCTCGACTATATTTCCATGATTGCCGCCGCTAGAATGCATGCACTCACTCTGAATTGGTGTCTCGCACACACTGTGCCACCAGGGTGCGCTGCTGGACATACAATCGGAGTTGGTAATGTGAAAACCCTGGGTTGACATGGAGATCCTCAGAACTTGGTGATCATGAGTCCATATCATTGGTTCCTAGAATTATGTCATCCTTCCCCACTGTGTTCCGCGAAAATCCGGGTGCTACTGACAGGCAAAACTGGGACGATTTTGTTTGTGCCGAGTACTCCGAGTGTGACTTGCCGCTCGCCGGCGTCAAGGTGGTCTCGGCCCCCACTTCGCACAGAGAACAGCTTGTTCAATGAAAGAAGAACAGGAGGGAGGAAACGCGCTGGTTGATTGATTGATTGATTGATTGATATTCAGGCTACAGCAGTTGAGCAACACGTTGGACAGCCAGGAAGAGGCCCGGACCGTAACCGACACCCAGCACCTGCTTCTCTTGAAAACGACTGGACGGAATACGGCCAATTGTCGTCCCCGAGAGACAAGTCCTCGTCACGTCTACCACTTTTGTTTGTTGCAGATCGTCGCGAACGAGAAGGCCTGTACGGTGCAGCAAGGCAGCTATTTGCCATGGCCCTTTGCACCGTCGTATCGTATTACATCGCATAGTAGACCCCTATATGCCTCCCGAGCTTGACCGCTTCGGTGGACGCACGGCGAAGAATGCGCGGCTTCGCTTCTTTGGGCAAAGCTCCTGCAAACAAGATGCTTACGGCTTCATGTCATGATGATCGCAAGTGATTCTCAACTAAACAGCCACATTGACTGATCAACGTGGTATTGAGCGCTGCGCAAATAAGTAGTGCAAGAAGCATGTGCACCTAAAGCGGGAAGGGGGGCTGGGCGTGCATAACAAATCGGGGTCCAACCTAGAAAGCGCGGCACAATGCGATTGGATCACCAGCGGTCACATTGCAGAATTGCCCGGCTGTGTACAGTAGACACAAAATAAGTAGATCACTTATGCACAACCACTGCGGACAATGCCAGCTTGGCAAGTGCAGTGTGTAAAAATACTCTTTGCATTACTAAGTGGGTGGATATGGAATGCAGGGACTTCATGAGCCGTGCTGGGTGGCCCCGAGAAGCCAGAGAGCGATGCAGTGCAACCAGGCTCATCAATGGACTCTGTTTCGTGCCTCTCTTCATGCCAAATAAAAAAATAAAAAAAACGGTGAACACCTCTACGAAGCGACCCTCCAAGGCTCGAAGCCGCCCCTAAATCCCAACCATGGCTTTAGAATTCGCCGTGGAAACCCAAAACGACGACTCGTTCCAGCCTCGTCCGGGTCTTCGATATATCGCCAGATCACGCGTCTAGCAGACAGTCGAGACCCGCCGTTAGGCTGTCTGCCCTCGTCTTCTTTTACTCAATCGAGACAACCCCGAAAGAAGTGCGCTCTGGTATTTGTGGCATAGTGTGGAAGCCATCGAAATATCATTGCTGCCACCACCACCACTTGGGGCACGAGACAAGTCGACGGTCCAGATGGCCGTTTGTTTCTTGGTCGCTGCCCCAATTTTCCCATGTGCCACGCGCCCCAAAACCTTCTTGCCGGCCCCCAGTCAAGGCTTGCCTACCCCAAGTGCCTGCCTGCCCTCAACCAAGGTAACTGTTCCCAAACGCGCGCACAGAGCAGGGCAATTGCTGAGGCAGGCGAAATGAATTGAACCCCAACCCAAAATTGCAGAGCCTGGCGATCTCCTTGTCCTTAAGCTCTGGGCCCGCAATCTCGTGATGAACCCAGGTCTGCCGCGAGCTCAAAGCCCAGCGCCCGGGAATCGCGAGGGAAGTGAAAGGAAAGTGGAGGAGGGCGTGTGTGGCCGGGTGCCGTACCCACAGATATGATCGCGGAATAGTTGAAACGCAGTCTGAGGATCTTCTTTTCCACCCCATGTCCTATATCATCTAGATCAACTCATGTCTTGGTAATTTGCATGGGACGCTACAAAGTACCTTTGAGACCTGTCGCAAAAAAGCACTTGGTGGACGGGCAGCGGGAGGTATTGGCGAAGCCTGCCTAGGCTCGTACATTGGGTCATGTACTTCCCGTACCTCGATGACTTGATCATCCAAGCCATGATGCTGGGACCCTGGCAATTGGGACTGCGCATTTTTCTGGTAGTTGGGAAACAGGGGTGCATAATCCTTGTGTCAGGGAAGGCCTCCAGAGGTCGCGAAGGTACAGTACTTTGAACTTTTGCTAGACCACGGGCGGTTGCGACGGGAGTGCCAGTGCGAATTGTCGGTTTTTTTTTTTACTACTCCTATCATTACTCAGGCTGTGTTGGTGCTGTAATGGCGGGGATACGTACCGCCAGCCAAGCCCAGTGTGCTGGCACCGGACACGGGGATTGCCCCTGATGATGGTCACCCCGCCGTCTCGTGTAAGTACTCTCGTACTGTACTTTGGCATCCCAAGCCGGCCAGGCCCCACCGACAAAGTCTATGACCTGTAGCCTGTCTGTGAAACCCCTGTCACTTAGAGTGTACCGCCTCTCTGCCCTACCAGATACAGATGCACTACGTCTCAACGCGGCTATGTCTATATATCCTCAACCCCCCCAATGCCTCCAAGCTATCTCTTGCCCCCAATTCCATGACATATGACCTCGACTATCGTAACTGATAGTCCATATACAACTCGCGATCATTTCGTCTGCCCCCTCGAGAGACAGGCAAGGGACATCCCTATTTACCATCGCTGCCTAGGACCGCCAACCTCATCCTTGGTCATAATCATCGGTGCGTGACCTCGTCCAAGTCGACCGTGGCCCCAGCAGAAAACACGGCACCCGGCGAAATTTACGGGCTTCGTGCAAGCTAGAGCGCCGTTTCTCCTGACAGCCCGTCTGAGTTTTTGCAACTTGCCTTACACGTAAACCCCCCGGTCGCCATCTTCCTTAAAGTGTAACGTTGGCGACACGCGCACCCACACGCGCATCCCCACCCCCGACTTCACGAGCACTGTTTATAGAGATATCCAATCGACGTTTTGGACCGTCTGCTACCGTTACCACCTTCGGGCATGAACTAAACGGCACGCCGATCAGCAAGCTCGTCGTCTCAGCACTGACGGCAACCCAATCCCTGGCGCCAGCGCCTGACAAGACCGTCCCACCTCAGATCACAGCAAGCCTCATGATGGAATCGATGGCGGAGCAATCCTACGACATGTTCCCCAGGCACAACGACCAAGATTTCAAGCTCTACCCGGAACCTCATCAACAAACGGCGTACGCCTCGCCCCCCATGGAGCCGCAATACAGTCCAGAGGGGTTTGGATACCCTCGCAACGCCCACGACGCCTTCCCCCACACCCCTGGCTATGAGCATGGGCCGGTGTACGCAGCAGAAGCCCCCCATTTCGCATACAACGGCAGACCATCACCCGGCGCGTATCAAGAGGACGGCGACCTGCGCATTCCATCTTCGAATCTGTCGACAGCTTCCGGGCCTTCGGCATCTTCCTCCACAGTCGGCTCGCCCCACTCAAATCACGGCCAACTAGCCTTCATACCCGAGTACAGCCAAAACGGCCTCGGCGTGAATCCCAGCATCGTCAGCCAGACCGACTACTACACCGGCACCGAGTACTCCTTCTCCGGCCCCATCCCCGAAGACTTCAACATGACGTTCGACACCAAGCCCGGTTTTGTTGGTGAGTTGGCACAGATCCCTAGAAGCAGCATTTCTCGTCCTTATGTGCATCCCGACTCTTCCTGTTCCAATATTTCATGTACCCTCGTTGCACACGACTTGGCCCTCGACACAGAATTGTCGCAAGGCGCCTCTCCGGACTCGCCTGCAGTGACGAGAAGGGGCAGCATAGCCTTCGCATCGCCAGCTTCCACCTCATTTTCTTCTCCTGTGCCTGCTGGGGCGCATTGGACCAGCCCCCATCTCGTAGACAACAATATCAGTCCTGTAACGCCTTCCAAGGCGCCTCGTATTTCTTTCTTTTCTCAAAGCAGTGGCCATTTCGTCGCCCCGCTTGCTTCATCTTGTTGGTTTCCTCTGTAGCATCGTCCCGACCGCACCAGAATAGCATGCTAACTCCACTCTGGCTTCAGATCCCTCTCTAATTCATCCGGAAATCCGTGGGCCCATGGGTCCGCCCATGCAGGGTTATGAGGGAAACCCAAACTTCTCCCCGCAACACCCCTACCCAAACTCTCCAGCACTTTCTGGCGCCGCCTCACCTGGTCCCGTCATGCGAAATGGCAGCGCATCGCCCTACGTTCCGGGCTATCAGTACAGCCCACTCGCCCTACCTGCTCAAGGGGGACGCCGGCCATCCCTTTCATCCTTTCAGTCACACGGCAGCCAAGAATACCAATACAGCGGCGACGAGTCCAAGGAGAAGCAACGATGTCCGCATCCCGACTGCGGGAAGACGTTCAAGGATCTCAAGGCGCACATGCTCACCCACCAGACTGAGCGCCCGGAAAAATGCCCGATCCAGACGTGCGACTACCACATCAAAGGTTTCGCGCGCAAGTACGACAAGAACCGACACACCTTGACGCACTACAAGGGCACCATGGTGTGCGGTTTCTGTCCGGGGTCAGGATCGCCGGCTGAGAAGTCCTTCAACCGGGCCGACGTCTTCAAGCGACACCTCACGGCGGTGCACGGGGTTGAACAAACGCCGCCCAACAGCAGGAAGAAGACTTCAGCGACGGTGAATAGCGGTAAGAAGTTGACGGGATATGCGCCAGATGCTACCGGGAAGTGCTCCACTTGCTCAGCCACCTTCTCTAATGCCCAAGACTTTTACGAGCACTTGGACGACTGCGTGCTGCGCATTGTGCAACAAGAGGACCCCGCAGAGGCCATCAACGCCCGACGACTGGCCGAGGTCCAGAACGACAAGGATGTGCACAACACGCTGGAAAAGAACCAGCTGCCCCTCACAACCCAAACCGCATTCACGTCCGACGACGACGAGGATGAGGACGTGGTCGACGAGGACGACCTCTTGGACGAGGACGTCCAGGGGACGAAACTTAACTCGCCAACCAAGAGGAAGGGGAACCCTGCGAATGGCGTACAGAAGTCGCGGGGGATGACGCACTCGCGTGGCGGTGTTACGTTGACCTCCAAAGGCAAGAGCCGCAAGAACCGACGCGACTACCCCTCGTCCTGGGGTTTCGACAAAGGCCAAATGACCATGAAGAAGAGGGTAGTGGCCGTCTTCGATGGCCCGCGCCGTCTGGCCAAGGACGATATGATGCTGTCCACGGAGCACGAGGTCCGCGTCAAGTTGTCGGACGGCAAGTCGTGGGTCACAGATCTTGACGTCCAAACCATGAAGCGAGCACAGGGCTTCCTCGACGCCACAGACGAGGAGAAGGGTGTCTGGGTATCAGATGACCCCACCGAGGAAGACATGACGCGCATGCTCGAAATGGCCTGCCATCGGTGAGACTCGACAGACAGAAGCCTCAACTCAACTCACCGCAGGCCAAGCATGGCCACGGCCTCCATGGCCGAGTACATACACCTAAATCAATAACACCCACCCCACATATACCATTCCACCACACACAAACGCAGAGATGATTCCTCCCTCAAAGAGAGAGATGACAGCATGGGTGGCGCAGGATTTTGTACAGAATAACGAAACTTTGCCATTTCCAGGGACTCCGGCGGAATAATAGAGTGAGACGTGGGAAAAGAGTGAGAGCACGCGCAGCCTCCTCATGTCAGAACATACGATGGGTTGGGGTTGGGGGATTGGGGGGGATGGAAGGCTCGGAGTGTTGGAGAGCGATGTAACTTGAACATCGCCTGTTTTGGGATTCTCCTTTTTCATCTACTCATCTCGATGTGACGATACCCTATATTTTGACATAGTCATTCAAGACGGTGTACTTGACGGCCTAATGGAAACTCATCAATACAGACTTGCTTTAGATCTGCAATCAACAATATACTCTCAAGACAGACACAACAAGACGCAACCGACCTGGTGTTACTCGTGCTCTTTAGACTGTGACCGTGATGACTGACCGTCATGGCCTTACGGATGAGGTCGCCTCTCGATCGATCTCGCAGTGACGCTGACTCGGGGCCATCCCCATTAGCGAACAGTTTGCCCCCGTCTATTTTCGTCACCCGGTGGCGACACCTTGAGGGTGAGTGAGTGAGTGAGTGATCAATGAGGTCGGGAGCAAGCTGCCGGCCATCGGTCCCTGGCCTAACATTACTGAACCACGATAGGGTTGCGCGGAGAAGGTTCGCATCGGCCCCGGGGTCTTCCCTTGAGGAGGATATGGTCCAAAAACCCGTACAGTACAACCGCGAGCTAAGCTTCAACTCAAAACGCTCCAAGCCACTCGTTGCGCGCGCGTCCCTGGACAGATCGTCTGCCTCTTCGGCGTAGTCCGTGTGTGCCGAAGCCACATCGACGACTTGGCTGCTGCGAAAGATGGGACGACGGCTGGAATACGAATACGTAGAAGCTTCCTCGCTATGGTATCCCTACTGTGCCCGGGAAAGCCGATTCGAGATCAGTGGAAATCGTTGGCTGGCACCGGATGCGGGACAGACGACGCTTGGCCTCTTTCGGCGAGGTCCATAGGGCGGTGATGCTTTGCAGAACTGGGTAGGTACCCTGTCCCCATTGCGGTGTGTCGTCGTTGCTACCCCGCCATGGCCAAAAATAGCTGGACGGTTGCAAACGTCTCCGAAGCAGCTGCAAGAGCTCAGCCCGCTGTCATCCGGAGGTACTAAACATAAGAATTGTGTAAGTCGTTGGCTGGTCCTTTGGGCGCGCAAGCAAACACAGCCGCAAACTGCACTACCACCCTACCACGAGCTGCGGTCCGGACCGCTCGTTTCGTCTTGCGTCGTCGATCGCCCTTCCGAATTGGACCATCGTTTGAGGTTACTTCTGCTCCTTCTCCTTCGGATTTTGCACCAACACCCCAGTGCGCATAGCCGCCAGGCAACACATCCAACATGGCAAGCCGGCTCACATCCCGCATCTCCGTCGTGGGCCCACCGCTCGAGGACCCGGAAGACTTCCTCGGCGATTCCCTAGGCGTCGTCTTCCCAGACGAGATCATGAACCTGCACGGCGACGCCCAGCACGCGCTGCACTATACGTCCCCCCATCTACCCGAACCACTGCACATCCAGCTCTCGGACCCAGACGAGGAGGACGACCGCCGGCTATTTAGCCATTACCTCTGGAATGCATCCTTGCTGCTTGCTGAGCTTGTCGAGGCCGGGACGTTGGGCTTGGAGATTGATTCGCCGACGGATGGGGATGGCAAGGAAGTCGGGCAGTTCAACGTCACTGGCCTGACGACGTTGGAGGTTGGCGCGGGAACGGCGCTGCCGAGTATGCTCGGCGCGTTGCTCGGTGCGAAGCGCGTTGTTGTGAGCGACTACCCCACACCCCTCGTCATGGAGATGCTGCGCCGGAACATGGCGAAGAACATGAAGCCCGAGTTGTCGCCACGCAACACCGTCTCGCCCGTCCTCGTAGATGGGCATTCGTGGGGCGAGCTCGATACGCCCTTCGCGGCCGAGCACAAGGCGGCGTTCGACCGCATCTTCGTGTGCGACTGTCTGTGGATGCCAACGCAGCATGCGAACCTGCAAAAGTCCATCGCCTGGTTCATGAAGGACGACGCGGAGGCGCGGGCGTGGGTCGTTGCCGGCTTTCACACGGGCCGGGCCGTGATGCGTGGTTTCTTCAAAGAAGAAGGGTTAAAGGCCGCGGGACTGGAGATCGAGCGCATATGGGAGCGAGACTGCAACAATGTGGAACGAGAGTGGATTGAGGATCGTGGACCGGAAGATGACGGCATCCGGAAACGGTGGTTAGTCGTTGGGGTGCTGCGGAGGGCGAGGAAGTAGGCGGTATGGATGTCGTGAGGTTGGATAAGAGACCCCTGGATTCATTATGTCGCCAGAACGGTGGTGAAATGAGCTGGGAGGAGAGAAAGAACCATCATTCCTCTGCAATATGACCTGGCCGTTTGCCGCTACAAGCAAGACTCAAACGACGCAGACCGGGAAACGGGAGGGTCTTCGGCTGGGACTTATATTGTCTCGAGGCACCACCACCCTCGCAGACCCATATCCACAACCCATCTCAGCCCAATTACAGCAACGGATGACGATCAACACTGTTCTTACGCGGCCCCGCTGCACCGTCGCAGCCAAAATAGTCCCAGTATAGCGCAAGCTTGCGCAAGCCCAACCGGTTCAGCTCGTCCACCCGGAAGCGGCTGATTGGCTATTGCGAGGACCCGTCGCCGTGGCGCCGAAGAATAGGCCCGAGACAAAACAACAAAACTCTTGGCTGAGCCGAATAAACAGTCCTTCATCCGACAGTCACGGCGTGCCCCCTTGTCGGGGTATACTGCTTAACCTGGGTAGTTGGTGGCAAGCCATGGCGGAGTGGAGGGCGGAGCTGGTCTGCTGTGAATTGACGGAGATACGCGCTGACATGAACCCCGCTGAGGCTCGGCGGCGTAAAGAATAGAAGATGTGGCAAAGAGGAAGAAAAGAACGAATGAATGACATAATGGTACATGTTTGGGAACTGGAAATTTATATGAATATGTAAATACTTTTTTTTAAAAAAAAAACCAAAAAAAAAGGACTCGTCCTGTTTGAGCTGGCTGCCAAATACGTATACGTGCTCGCCGTCGTTCTATGCTGTCCGGGGATATGTAACAAATTGTTTTCCTGTTTTCATTCAAAAAATGCCCATATAAATATCACTCTTCAAACGACGTATAGTAAATGAACCTTGAGAGAGGGAAACAGCACAATTATCTACTGTAAAAAATATGAGTAACGTCACCCACAGGTCAATCAATGCCCCACACGGGTCTTTGCCCAACTTTTCACGACCTCCCAACCTTTAATCTTAGATCAACAACAACCCGTATTCATCCAAGAAATTAATCAGAATTCTTTCCATTATCTGTTTCTACATCTGCCTGACAAGTTCGCGCATTATGTCCAGTTCCTCCGCAAATGCCACAGCGCCTAGCACCCGTTGCCCTCCTCCTTGTAGGACGACTACTTTCACCCTCTTCCTCACTTTCCAAACCCGTATCACCCCTAATAGCCTGTAGAACTTGTGCATCTTCTATATTAAGTGGCCCACCATACTGTATTTGCTTGTTTTTGGTTCTGCGACGTTTGCTTAGCACATGCTTAGTAAGATAACATTCTCTTGCATCATTGCATGCGTAGCCTTTGCAATCGAGTCAATTGAATGAAGAATATGCGTCGGAGAGCTGTCTTGATGCCTCTGAACGCTATTCTTAATCAACGTTGACTGCGATTCGGCTTCAAGGGTGGTAGTAGGTGTCTTAGAAGTCCAAATAGGGGGTAGGAGTTCTGGGTCGGCAGAGGGTGTACGCGCGACTTCTGCGACATCCAGGGCAGATATAACCCGGTCGGGGTCAAAAGGGACAATTCCAGCTGCTTCGAAACCAGATCTGATGTTTTGTTCAGTAAAAGCAGCGCCAAACGCCTCCAAAAAACCGGCAAGGAAATCCTCCTTCGCAACGTGGGCATGATGCCGTCGCATCAAACCCTCAACAAACACACCGTACGCCCGTTTCAAAACACTAAAAGGCACCAAGTCGAGAGGCTGGAGCTTATGGGACGAATGGGCAGGCACAGGAAGGGTAATGATGCCATGGTCCTTGCAGTATTGTTCGAAATCCATCGAGTGATGGCTTTCGTGACCGTCAAGGATCAGGAGGCGTTTGACACCCTTCGTACGATCGCGTGTGTGCAGATCGAAGTGAGCTACCCAGCTGAGACCAATATCATTCGTTGTCCATCCGTTGTGGGATAGATCAACGACTCAATTGCCCGGTAATGTGATGTCGTGATACCACGAAGCGAGGTGAACTTTGGCCGCGAAGATGATGTACGGCGGCACCGCCCAGCCTTGGGAATTGGCCGCCTGAATGACAGTAACCCATTCCCTATTGCCTTGCTGGGCTTGCCTAGGCCTTCCACGTCTTTCGGTACTCGTAACGACCATGCCGGTTGAGATCATGCCCATTAAAAAGCCCGTCTCGTCAAAGTTGTAGATATCCTCCGGCTGGATGCCGTGCTTCGCTATTGTGTCCGCAACACGCTTAAAATAACCGCGATACGCGACAGGATCTTCGCAGAATGCCCGCTGTTAATCGATTCGACGATTTAAACGCGTCCGGAGGTCTGGTTGTCGCCGTACGAAGCTCGAGGCCCGGTTCTTGCCGACGGGTGACGCGTCGCGGTCGCGTCGGAGGATATTCGCCATTTCTTCAACGTATCGAAGCCGGGGAGGAAAAGTTCGCGAATCTAGCTCAATTACGCGTCGGGTAATCGTATTCTCTTCGGTTTCGGTCATTTTCCGTTTGGACATGTTAGTAATGTGTAATGGTTGTACGCCTTCGTAACGGCGCTTCAATGTCTTATGGTCGACTTTGAAGATTTTACCAAGCTTGTTCCAACTTAGGTGAGGATGGCGTCGTTTAGTTTGGATGGCTAATTGAAGATTAGCTTCACTAGATTTGCGTGCCATGTTGTGGAAGGGAAGAATTGTATAAGTAAAGATGGAAAGTCAAGATTTCTTGAAAAGTTGGGCAAAGACCCGTGTGGGGCAATGACCTGTGGGTGACGTTAGCCGACAATCCCAATACTCCCAACCAAAATACCCACCTCGGCCCCCTCCTTCTTGCCTGCACACTTTCATGAACGAGGAAGGACAGTCATCCAGCACGTGAGATAAAGAGCAAAGACATCCGCGGTTGCTGACTCGTTTGCCTCATAGCATTTCTCTCCCCAATTCTTCGATATGATTAAGATGTATGCTCGATAAAAAATAACAAGTAGAGCACCTAGCAATACACGTACCCCTACTCTCCGTCCCCGTCTGTCTCCCTCCAATTCGCTCCAGCTCCCCGACGTCAACCCATGCATCCATCACCAACTATAAACACCCAGAAAACGCCGGAGGCCGTCTCATATTTGTACATATGTGCGCCTTTGACACGGACCCCCACGATCGCCATGCAGAAGTTGAGCTTTGTTCACACTGGTCAATTAAACATTAGTCGCTGGAGACTCGTACTGCTTCCCTATGAGTCTAGCACATCTCGCTGCTCCTCGCTTGGCGGCAGCGGCGTTTCTTGTTGCATGTAGCCCTCGCCTTTTTCAAAGGTAGCTCCGGGGCCTGTGTAGCTTGGTTCGGCAATGGTCGTGGATTTTGCGGTGTCTGCAGTCGTGGTTGATTGCGGCGTCGACTCGTCACCGGACAGAATACCACGCATCAGGCCAGAGCTTGTGCTGTTTCTTCTGGGCTGTGGGCTCAACACCTTGGCTGACTGAGCCACATACGTTGGCGACGTCAGTTCCTCAGAGCCATAGGGTAAAGGTCTCGGGGGCAAGTCGCTACTGTCTCTCGCACCACCACCCAACTTCTGCAACAAGACTTCTGACTGCTGCTTAGCCAGTTTCTGAAGCTGAGCCACAGGATCCTTGTGATAACGTAGCACGTTAGTTAAGTCACAAAGGCAGTCTGCTGGTTTCCACCGATTACCATGCACACATACCCATTCAGTCTGCCGAGGTACGCCCTCCGCATGCGGCAGCAGAGGGTCCTCGTCGCCATCATCACCGATGCCAGGGCCACCACCACCCCAGAACTTCGGTCGGCGGATGGGCGCGGGAGTGACAGGAAGGCTAGGCCGCTCCGCTTCGCTGGGGAAGTCGGTCAGTTTGGTGCCATGCTGTCGCCATTCGCTCTCATTTACCGCTCCGCCCGGGCTTGGCATTCCAATCGAGCCAGGGGACTTGAGACTCTTGGAACGTCTGTGCTTCTGCATGGCGCCGACGTACCGCTCTATCTCCGGTACTTCGTCCCATGCATTGGTACGCGTGAAAGAGGTCCAAGGATCCGATGACGTGACATGAACGGCTGGTGTGGTGGGCGTGACGGGCTCTATCACAGATGACTCAGCTGACGGCTGGGTCTCGGAGGGAGCATTTGCCCATGGCTCACCCGTAGCCGTGCTCGGTGTCTCTATATTGAGTCCGGCTCGAGACGAGTCGTCGGCAAATACGCGGGAAGGACGGGGTCGATGAGTTTCCCAGGGGAAGATGGACTTCGGCTTCTCTGTAGGACGTTCTTTGGGCACTTCAAACCACATATCCTTTGGAGGACTAGGATAACGTACGGGAGGGACGAACGGAGTGGGATCTTGAGACATCTCGTATACGGTCGCAGGGAGGTTGGCAGCTTCCGGTTTTGCACCTGTTGGAGGAGCATGTCTGTGGTATTGTCAGCAATTCGAGTTCCAAAAGGGAGTGGTCGGTGGCTAGTGGCTGGACTGACCTTTGAGCATCCCAGTCAGAAAAGGTAACTGGACGTGACTCAGGCTTCTTCTGCTCAGGCGGGGGAGGCTGGGCCCTATGGTGCTGTTCCTGCTCTTTACGAGCCTCAGCTTGAGTTCCCTTAATGGTGCTACTTAATGACGCGCTGGGGAATTCTGGCCCAGACTGCTGGACGGGGCCTCCAGGCTGAGATTCTACGTGATGCTGCTGCTGGTGGTGGTACGGATCATTGTCATGATGTTCTGCAGCGTATTGTTCCGGTTGCTTGTGATGAAAATGAAAAGATGGCAGTTGCTCAAAATGCAGACTCCTATCATGGCGATGTTCACTATAGGGCTCACCGGTGGTATTGGTATGCTGGACCTGGATAGTTTGTGGCCGTCTGGGCTGGTATTCGCCCTTGGTCAGATACTGAACCAGCTCGCGACCTGGTTTAGAAGGGGTAATAGAAGGCGACTGTAGTAAGAAGATTTGTAAGTAAAACGACCGAGCTCAAAAGCAGGCAGGTGGGGAGGACTCACCATAACTCGATAATGTCGGTCGTAAACTGCCCACCATCTGCCCACCATCTCGTCGTATGGAGAGTTCCCAGTACTCGCATATCGTCCCTGGAACCACGGCTTGTTTGGGCCAATGAAGTGGACCATGCTGATGCTCGACTGGAAGTGACGGTAGGCAGGGATGTATTGGTAGTGGCCCGACGGCGTGACGTTATAGGTAAAACTCAGGCGGTTGCAGGCATTCTTGAAATGCATGTTCAGCAGGCCCTGGTCGGCTCCATCGAATGATATGCCCCTCTCGGCCATGGCCATCAAGGCATAATAGTCACCCATATTGGGTGTCAATACCATGACTCCCGTGTTGAAGATATCTGGCCATCCAATATCTGGCGTCGCCGAGAACGGTTGCGCGATATCAAACAGCTCGTCCGGAGCTCGGTACGCGACAACATCGGCATCTATGTACACAATCTTTCTGAAGCTGGTTTGCTTCCATAGGTTGATCTTGGTGAAGGCAGATTGCAGGTCGGAGCGGTTCATCAGCGAAAGGTTGGCGGGGAACTCATTCCGTATCCGCGGGACGGGAATAACATAATCATATATGGTCTGGTTCGTTACGTTAGATCGCAGAAAGATGCCGGAAAGGTGGGTCTCAAGCTTGCCTTGAGCTGGGTTATAGCTTCGGCGGCGACCGAGTCCAGTATGACCATGACGCCGAGCTTCTTCGTGGTGCCGCCATCTCGCAACGAATGCGCAAGAACCAGAGCGCCTAATGAGAGGATTAGAAAGCGCATAACAGGCCAATTGGAGCTGTATGTCGTACCAGGCAAGTATGTATCGTTCAATAGAAGCTTTGCGATCCCAATGTTAGCTATCATGTGTGGTCTCGCGTTGATGATGTCGTGGGGCTTAAGCTCCTCACAGTTAGGTAAACATCCTCCTCCGCTCCTGGCACAGCCATTGTGTGCAGGAAACTTGACAAGACAACACCAAAACAAGAATGCTGATCTTCTACCGAGGTGGGATACAAATGCTTTGTAGCTTGATCGAGGGAGCACTTCGGCAGTTACAGCGAGTGCAAACAATAAAGAGAGGGCGTGGAAGTGAGAAGCAGTCGCGAGCAAAAAAGATGACAAACGCCGACAAGTCGGAGTCTGGTACAAATGTCGACAGAGGTTGTGCGGTGGTGGACCACTCAGCACTTTTAAGGAAAAGTGGCGCGGTTGGGCAGAAAAAAATCCAAAGTCACCGGCCGAACAACACAATGCATCGACCAGGCCTTGGGAAACCGAGCCATGGATGCTCAACTCCAATGTTGTAATTCCCAACCTAACCATGCAGGAAACACGCTGGACACGGCCCTCTCTCTGGCCATCATTCTGTAGCTTGGCTGGCAAACCCACTTGGTCACCCTACAACAATGGCGCAGCTTGACCTAGCAAGGGCCTCCTCTTGTTGAGGCAAGGCAGAGGCAATGCGAAGAGAAGAGCTCCATTTTGACAACGCCGAAGCTGTCGCCATGGCATGCTGTGCCGTACGAATCGTCTAGAAATCGTTCCATCATTGCGCACGCTCATCTCCATGGGGAAGTTTGGACGCTCCCGCTTGCGCCGTGCTTTCCGTTTCCACTCTCCAAGGTCATCCTGGCGGGGGACAACCCAACATTTCAATAACAATGGCTGAGTGGTCAACGGCGGGACTTGGGGCTTGATAGATCATCGAATGATCTACATAGTAGGATCTCCATCATTCGGTTAAGTGATTGGTCAAGTGGGACCAGACCTAATATGGACTTGAGCTGCCCCTCCCCGGTCGGTCACTTGCAAGCTTGCACGCAGCTACGCCGTTATGGTCAATTGCTGGCTCCTTAACGACCTGCATCTGGAGATATTTTGCAAGATCTTCAAGTCAGACGACGTGATATAGCTACAAAGGTTGCACAGCAGGACGTTTGGTTAGACCTTGAACAAATTTGCTCTTTGCGATGCTGATGATTGGGTATAGAGTCACTCAACCCAACATTGCTCGACTCGCCAACAATTCCGCCTTGCATTCAAAACAAGTCGTGTGCCTGGAAAGAAATTGCTGCCAGCCGGATGCGTATTTTTGCACAGGTACAACGACGGCTAGCTCGCGATAACCTGCCCTTCCAATGTTGTCTCTATCAAGAAGTAGGGGGAGGCAGCAATTTGAATAGATTGCAAATGCACTGCAGGACTATGCATAATTTCAACCGCGCATGCGTGCTAAGTATTGGTCCAAGCAACTGCGATAAGAATTGCAGAACCCAGGCTCTAGCTTGTATGAAAAGCTTGACCAAGATATTAGATGTCGTGTGCTTTGGGGAGTTCAACTCTCATCCGGCAATGCTAATAACAAAGATCGTCAAGTGACGAATGACGGCATCCCATGGAGAAATGGAAATCTATTGATGCATGAACCCATGAATCTTCCAGTGCTAGACCTCTTCAGGTGGGTTTCTGACCAACCACAATGCAGGACAGGGCGTCGAAATACCCAAGTTGGAAAGTATCTTTAACTACAGTAGCTATTGCAAGGTAAGTCCCAGAGACGTCTTTTACTTATCACAGTCACTGCAGTTAGTACACTGACCAACTCACCCACTTTTACGTTCGTTCTAAAGATGCATGAACCTGTAAGACCGCAGAGTAAGAGGTCTTCGGGATCTACGCTTAGACTGTAATTCTCTGAAGCCATTTACGTACGTACTTATCATGGAATTGAGCTTCGTTACTCCACCACTGAAAGCGCCCACCCCCGCATGGGTGACTGCATTCTTTCCATCTGGTTTGAACGAACAGCGCAAATTGAAGATGCTTTCCGGTAAACCATGGGGCAAAAAAATCACCCACCGTCAAGCTGGTGCCTCACAGGATTGTAGCTATCTACACACATGTGATCTTAGCCAGCAAATCCATCAGTCCTCACTTGAAACCGGAATTCTAAGCACCACCCAACCATGCCAACCGAGCATCCCCAGCATCAAGATACTCGTGCCTCATAGATATCATGCTCCGAACAGTATCCAAACCTGCCCCACAGAAAGAGGTCATCCGCCATTCTGCAGGACGATCACGACGATCGGTCCAAACCAAGAAACTCAATCTCGTCGCTTAACAATGACAGAGCCGAGCAACGTGGTAAGATTCAGTCTAAATGTGACTAACCGCATTGACCACCTTTTTGCATGCACCCCCATTTTGCAGGGAATTTCTACGCCTCAACAACACGACGTCTCTCAATTTACCTCGCAATTGCTCCCTATCTACGTACAAAATGGCTAATCCAGTGGAGAATAGTCTGGATGATTTTGAGCAGCGAATCGAACGCGCCAAAGAGCTTGTCCGTCAGGGCTCTTCCCAGGCCGTAGCAGCTCATCGGTACGGTATCAAGGGGACTACACTGTCCTACCGTATTCGTCACGGTAATTCGCATCGCGACGCGGCCTCCAGGCAACAAAAGTTGACTCCAGAGCAAGAGGAGGTTATCGTGAACTGGATCCTACACGAAGAAGTGTGTGGACGGGCTCCTAGCAAGCGTTATGTGGCCGACTTCGCTGCCGAAATCCTCCTTGCTCAAGGGGATAACAATACACTCGGCCAACACTGGGTGGATCACTTCGTTAGCCGCCATCCACAGATACGTACCAAAATTGGGCGCTTCGTAGATGCCAGCCGAGTTAGAGCGTCCGATTCGACCAAAATCCGAGACTTCTACACCCTCCTCGAACGCTTACGTACGAAGTATTGTATCAAACCTGATAATGAGTATAATATGGATCAGACAGGTGTCCAAGAGGGGGGATCTGGGCATGGTACGGTTATTGGGACGTCTAATTCACGCCGGGTACGCGTATCAAAGTCGGACGCTTCGTCGTGGTGCTCCTGGTTAGAGTACATTTCGCATACCCAACGGGGTACACCTGTCTGTGTATTTTCCGGCAATAGAGTCCAAGCACAGTGGTTCCCAGACCAAAATATCCCTGAGTGGGAATACACCGCGACGAGTAAGGGCTGGAGTAATAAAGTTATTGCAAATAGGTGGTTAGATCAGGTTTTTGTTAAGGAAAGAGCCGTTGTGGCGGGCCGGTCTCAGCTGACAAGCTGAGTCGGGAGGGATTCGCCCCCGATCCGGTAGAACCCCGGAACCGTCCAGCTTAAGAGGAGAACGCGAGACGCTCGCACCTAGTTTAGACTCTTCAAGAATCACGTTAGGCAACCTTGGTGGGCTTTGCCAAGACCACCAAGGTTACCACGTGACCTAGCCCTTCGGGACTAAGTCCAACCTTCGTGCTCCATAGGACTATATAGAATGTCATGCTTTTACAACCTCACAAATCTTTGACCACCTTTGCGTGTAACAAATCAGTCTTGCAATATACGCACCCATACACTGGCCTACTTCTAGCTACCCTTTGCACTACCTGACTATTATATTGTGAGACGTGTGGTATCCTCGTTACATAGAGTCGATAGAGAAAGCCGAGGGCGGGGTATCTCGTAAGATTCGTACCCTAGTAGGCAAGGCGGGCAAGGCCCTTACACTCCAGGCCGCCGAGAATGCCAAATTACGTATCGAAAACGAGCAACTATATAAAGAACTCGATAAATACGCTCCAGATATACGCCAGCCCGTCGAGCCAGACCCGAATAAAGTATTCGTTAACTTATCAGCGATCCGAACAGCCCAGGACAAGCGAAATAAGCGAATACGGCCTATTTTACTCGATAAGCAGTTAGAAATTGATACTTTTCTCGAAGGAAGGGTCCCTCCTAAAAAGAGGGCTCGAAAGAATATATCTAAGTCTTCGGACACTTAAATTATTATTATTAAATACGCCGTAGGCTCGAAGCCCCCGGTACCTGTACCAGTGCTCCCGTATGTCAAACCGTGCCCTAATGGCTGGACTAAATACATACGCTGCGTCATCGGTTCGCCCTATTGGCGACTGCGTTGCGTTCACTACCATACTACGTTGGTTCTCAACCTACCAACTGTCACGACCTGGGTTGCATCGCATTGGTAGAGACCTCGATTAGGTGCTATCGATCAAGATTCTACTCTAAGGAGCGAAGGAAAGAAGATGACAACTTAGGTTTGAGGGAGCGCGACTAAGTCATCCACGCTTGGCGGGGCTCCTACAAGGGTTATGATTGGCTTCCCATCTGACACTGCCACGGCAGGTGTTCCAGCTGTAAGTCACCTGGTTGTAGTGAGTCTGCGAGGGTTGACCTTCACACTATTTATCCTATATATCTCGACGCTATATGAGGAACTAGCGGAGAAACACCCCCTACTCTTAGTCGTAGGGTTCGCGGACGATACGAACCTACTTAGCGTGAGCACAGACACGGGCACGACCTGCCGCCGACTAGAGGACGCTTGGGCTACGTGCCAACGGTGGGCCGCCAGGCACGGGATGGAGTTCGCTCCGGACAAGAGTGAGCTGATGCACTTCACTAGAACCCGAGACCCCTCCCCGCAGAGTATCCGTCTTGGAAACGCTACAGTAACGCCGAAGGTCTCGGCAAGGTTCCTAGGGGTCTGGTTTGACCGCAAATTAACGTGGCACGCCCATACCGAACGGGTTAAATCAAAAATAGCGACTCAGAAGCTAGCCCTAACAAAGCTAGTGAACATGGCGTGGGGCTGCGATCTCATACGGGCGAGACTACTGTACACGTCGGTTATTCGCAGCGCGATCGCCTTCGGGGCGGCTGCGTGGCACACTATAAGCGAGGAACCAGCGGGACCAGCTAAGAGCCTAGTCGGGATACAGAATGAGTGCCTCCGAATAGTCTGTGGCGCCTACAAAGCGACACCGGTCCGACACCTAGAAATAGAGGCAGCTATCCCGCCACTAGACCTATATCTCAGTGCCCGGGCGGCGAAATTTGAAGAACGGCTACGGAATAACGGCAAAAGGAGCCTGCTTCGGAGCGCGAGCGCGAGAGCGTCACACATACTCCGACAGGACACGCCGGCGAGACGGAAGCGGGCGTCACAATCGCTCAGACCAGCGGGGTACACGATAGAGAAGGAGGCTAGGGGCTCCGAGTGGATAGGCAAGGCGAAGGAAGTCCCGGCCGCCCTCCTAGACCACTGGGAGAAGAGATGGCTCTCCGGGGCAGCACAACACGACCGCCAGCGACGCGCTATCGCCGAGGAGCAGGAGGGCCCCTCGATGCGAATGCCGAAACAGGGCAAGTACTCAGACCTAAACCGACCGGAGGCGTCTACCCTATGCCAGATCAGGACCGGAAAAATAGGACTATCAGCTTTCTTATTTAAGATAGGAGCCTTCGGTGTGTACTCGCCATTATGCCGCTGTGGAGAGGCCCCCGAGACGGCAGAGCACGTAATCCTCTTTTGCGGCCTGCTGGAAAAATCGAGAGAGCGCCTACGGGCCACTATCGCACCATGGCCGCTGCATACACGTAGAGACCTGGCAACGGCGACGGGGAAACCAGTAGTCAGCGGGACTATCACAAGGTGGCTACTCAGGACTGGCCGGATAGCGCTTAGGCCCGGATAATATCGATCTTCTCAGGGGGACTTTGTTAGTAGGGTGAGAACTAACATAGTATTGTGGTGGACGTAACGCAGTCGCTAATAGAGCGAACCTACGTAGCAGCGTATGTATTTAGTCCAGCCATTAGGGCACGGTTTGACATACGGGAGCACTTGTAGAGGTACCGGGGGCTTCGAGCCTACGGCGTATTTAATAATAATAATAATATTTAGGTTGGTTCAGTTAGACCCTGCAAAATGGGGGTGCATGCAAAAAGGTGGTCAATGCGGTTAGTTATGTCTGAAAACATGCCCCTCCCTAACCCCCTCTTCATTAGCGCTATTTCCCCGCATCCCCAGACTACAAACGCTTGGTGGTTTCCAGACATCGTCTCAACTTGATGGATGACGTTTCACCGGGTATGGCCAACGTACCCCACACTCCCGACTCCAGCCTCCAAGGGTGCAGGGTCTCGACTAGTGAACCAAAACTAAGTTGAGCCCGGCATCGCGGGATTTCGGACGAGCAGTTTGTGAGACTCAATATATTAAGCATAGCCAGCTCTGAAATCCAAGCAGAGAAAATGTGACGCAGTTACCAATAATACACGGTGTAAACTAGGCAAAACCCCAACCCAAGGAGAGCCGCCATATCAACTTCTTCCTGGTCCTGGGTCTTTCGTCCGAGTCATGCCTGGAAACCTATGATACTCCTCTGTTTCCCGAGAGCGATCGAGATATCCCCGACGTGGCGCCAAGTCCAGCCGGGTTCGAGATGTTGCTTCTGGCACCGATACGGCTGGCCTCTGAGTCAATGTCAACGGCGGGACAACCAGCCAGATGTGACGCTTCTGCGCACTTGTAAGCAGATTAAACAGAAAGCTACTAAGGTCCTGTACCGCCAAAACGGCGTTATCGTCGGTTGTGAGTAACATATCCATTGAATTTTTAGCATGGTTCGCAAGGTGATTCGAGACAACGATCTTGGCTGAAACATCAAGCTACTTAGATTCCGAGACTACCACCTGTGAACCTACGGAGAAGACCTCACATACCAACCCTACCAACCCACTCATTTCTTCCTCTGGTATCTGCGGCGCTCTACCATAACCCAAAGCAAGTCCATCACCTTCCATACCGGCGGTCATTGCGCCTGCTGGACGGCATCGCGTCACCCGCGTAAACAATGGAAGAACAACGGCAAGGTTCTGAGCAAGAAGTGCTGCCCCCTGTCTAGCCTGGATTGGCTGCTGCCTTCGCCCGGTAGAGCCTGGGAGGTTCTAGACGTGGGTTTATTGCACATGAGTGAAGCACCCTCCGCCGAGATCCACGTCTCGCTCTTTCTATACGGCTCTACTGAATTCCGACTGCCATGGCAGTGTCGTTTGGTTGCGCAGGGGGGTCCTCAGATATCTGCTTAGGAATGAGCATATGAGCATCTGAGAAATGACGACAACTACTTAGCTAGAAGCAACTAACTGAATTGGAAACTGGGCGTTGAGTAATTGAGTTTAACTGTAGGAAAAACGGGCTTTGTCATACTTTGGCCACAGCTATCATCAAAAGGCTAAATTAGAGAGCGGCTCTTAGAATCAATCGATCTAAAAATTGAATCGTTTAGTCTATTATCGTATAATATATTGAGAAACTGTCTCGGTATCGGCGTTGACCATGTTAAGTAGTGCTGACCGCCTCGTTGTTCTAACCCATGAACTCGAGCATAAACCGGTCATGCCCAGTAAAAACTGCTTTTTGATAATATGCTCTTATGCGCTGCCATAAACCCACATGCCCCGGCAAGTGCTGCCGTCCACTCCCGACCATTGCTCTGTAACGACGGCTGCTCTAACTGTTATAGTGTCCTCTCAAGTTTCGTACTTGAGCGCTATATCTATCAAAATCTATGTGCCATGCCCGTCTCGTATCTTCACACCTCGCTAGATTCGCATGCACGCACGCACCTGCGACCCGTCCAACCGAGGACTAGATATCCTTCTTGAAGGCATGTTCGGGCTTATGTGTAGTCTCGTAATCAACATGGACATACGCCCTCTCCACGTCAGGCAAATCCTCCAGCTTAAATTGCAGCTCCTCAGCAACATCGTGCGTATCCCTCAACGTGCTGTCCGGGTCCATAACAACATCCACCTCAGCAATCAGCCTGGGACCCGAGTGATACACCCGGACGGTGTCGATGCCGAGGATCGCGGGGGAGTGAGTTAGACAAACGTAGGTGATGAGCTGCTGCATTTCAACGCTTGAAACAACACCAACGAGTAGCATGAACTCATGGAAAGCAGTGCGCAGCCAAATGGCAGAGATGAGCAGAGACAGGATAATGGCACCCATGGGGTCAAGCCACCAAACGAGCTTGGACCCGCCGACCGACGTTAAGATACCAAACCCGTTGATAAGAAGGTCGTTGCGATGATCCTGCCACAGGATATCAATCTGGCTGTACTTGTCCTTCAAGCCCCAGCAGTAGAGGAAAAGGAAGAACTTGGTGGCGAAGGCAATGGTGACGGCGATAACGGACGGCAGGTGGAAGTTATTGACGCCCGACTTGTTCGTGTCGGCGAGGTCCTGCGCCGAAAAGGCGATCAGAATGAAGGATACAGCCGTCATGAGGAAGCAGAAGACGGTGTTGCCGACGGTCTCGAGGCGAGCTTTCCCTGAGGGAAACCGACTGGGGTCGACTTTTTTGACGGCTCGGTGTGTAAGGATTAACGTGATATTGCTGAGGGGATCGAAGACAGAGTCGGCCATGGTAGTGAACAGCGATAAAGAGCCCGACGAGATGGCGCCGTAGAGCTGCAGTATCGACAGAATCACGTTCGCAGCAAACGATCCGTACACAGCAATCTGGTGGCGCAAGTGGTCGTCGCCCTGCGTCTCCTTCGCCTCAGCACGATGCTCCTCAACCGTCTTAAGCAGCCGTTGGATAGTTTCATTTTGAGTCTTGTAGAAAGTCTGGACCTTGCGGGCGTGCAAATTATCGCGGCCGGGGACGCATCTCAGAATGCTGGTTTTACTCTTTGTCGCAGCGCTCGCGCGCTTCCGAGAGGTATTGGCTTTAATCTCGTCGAGCTGCTCATCCGTCTTGTAGGCCAGGGAAAGATTGTACGGGTCGCTGCCCGAGTAGCGGCGGACAGTTTGGGACTCGACGTCGGTGCCGGCCATAGTCGAAGGATGGCGCGAAACGGGCTGTTCGCCTTCGTCGTTGGCTTCTACGCCCGTGCTAGCGCCATTATGGTGTATAGTCGAATTGAGCGGGATGGATCTCACAGTCACCGACGAGCTTCGGGGCGATTGGTTGTTCGACATGGCGGCCATTTAAATCAGATGTTTGGTGGCGTTTATTTCGGTCGTTGCGCTACAGGTAAAGTCAACGTGGGGTGTAGGGTGTTGCAAAAGTCAAAAACACATAATCGCTCGTGTGAAGGACTTGATCAGGCAGGTCTGATGAGTCGTGTGTTCCCTCGCACAACCTAAGAGTTAATGCTGGTTCGGCAGTTGAATGTCTGCAAGTTTTGTCGAGACTAGATCATTGGTCCCAACACACGAGACAAGAGGTGGACCAAGTGAACAAAGTGAGAACTTTCGCAGATCCGTTCCACGACTTCGTAGATTGTGGGCAGCAAGCGAAAAAATTGGCAATGAAGAATCCTACCCTGGAGTGCGAGTATCGGCCAGTCGTTGAGTAGCCGCCTAAGTCCTTCGGGCAGCGCGGGAAAGCTTTGTTAGCCATGACACACCCCTTCGCTCTCCTACACACTAACACCCTGGGCTTCTCCATATACCACATACGTGGGCTATCATGTCTGTATGGAGAGTGTGCTGCGTCCTGCTGCATTTTCATGCCGGAAAGGACAGCGCAGCATTCCGCTTACCAAGACTCAATAGCTCCATCGCTTTCCAATGCGAGTGGGCATCGTCGGCCAGCACAAGAATAGCGGTTCACCGAGCGGGCGTTTCATGCCACTGATCAATGCGGCGTAATCTTCAACAGACTTGGGAACTCCCAAAACCGGCCATTTCACGCGAAAGAATGTCCTAGATTAAATGTTAGAGACGGGGAGATCGTTGGCTTAAGTATGCATCTCGGATCGGCAACAACCGGGTGCAAAAACGGGTTTCAAAACCTTGATGATCCCGAGATGCGTCACCGATTGTGGGGTATCGTACATAGCAGGCGCAATAGCAAATATGTAACTCTTCTTTTAGTGGCCCTTCAACGCATAAGCCTTGTAAGGACCTCACCATATGTTACGTCTTGCATTGCTAACGAACTACGTGCTTCGAAATCAAATCTATACCCCTGGTCCTTTGCCAGCATTACGATGGTATCGCAATGATAGACGCAGTAAATCACGCCGCGTCCGCACGTCTGAAAGCGTGTGCCTCTGTATTCAACACCCATGTATCCAGATCAACCACATCCCAGTCGCTAAATACCAAATAAAAGTACTTCAGCGTCTCCGCGAGCCAGAAACTTTCCATGCTGTCGACTTGGTATGGGCTTTCCATCGTTACATCGTCCAGCGAAGCGGCAGCCACCTTGGTACGGGTGTGCTTCTCCACCGCTTCGAACATAGCCCACGCTTTGTCCATCCACGAGGCATCACCCGTCATGCGACGCATTAGGAAGACCGACTCGATTGCTTCCGGTCGTAGAATGTACTTCCGGTCGTTGACTTCCGTCATGCCCAACGGCAGCCTCCGCTTCTCGATGATGCCCCGAATCTGCTCTTCTGAGGCATCCGGCCTGTCCTTTTGATGCGGACGCCAGTGCTCGCGCGCAGCGTCAATCCACCGTTCCTCGCTCCACTTGCAGTCGTCCTTCTCCTCGTCTGGATCACAGGGGATGAAGGTGAATATCTCGGGCCCGATCCCTGATGGCGTGCTGTTGTATGCCCAGACACAACCATCGGTCAGCTGTATCGCCACCTCCATGTCCGCTGGACGTTCGAATATCTTGGCTGCTAGTCCGACCATACCGCCGGCAAAACATGTGAGATGTTGCGCTCGTGGTGTAGTCACTACCTTACCTGCGTCACGCGGACTTGCTATTCGAACATCGCCCGAAAATAGTAACGGCAGATTGTCAGGATTCAGGGCACGACGAAACATGTGCTGCTTGGCCACATCGATGAAGCCCTCGTATAGCCTTCTGGGCTGCTCAAGCATGCCGCCTAGCAGTAGATATTGCTTGGGGAAATATTCGTACAGCGAGTCAGACATTCCTCCAAGCGTGAACGTGTCGCCGTTGAACGCGATCGGGGTTTTGGAGGCGTCGATGACAACGGGCCACATCCCAGGCAGATATGTTTTGCTTTGACCTTGCTCCATCTCATCCGATATCCTCTGGGCGGCGTCGTGCCAGCGGAGGTCGCCCGTCAATTGAGATAATTTAGAGAACTCGAGGCTGAGAGACCCGATTTCGGAGACCAGCACGCTGTAAGGGGCTTTCTGCGAATCGCCACGGACATAACTCTTCCAATTCCAGCGACTGATAGGCATACGATTGGGCGTGTCAAAAGCACAAATGAGCAACTCCCCAACTTCCACGGCCTTTTTCAGCAGGGTTGAGTATTTCTTCTCGCTCAATTCGTATGCCGCCAGGAACCCGCCCAGATACCGAATTGTTGTCTCGAAGACGTTGATGTCCCTTGTCGCTGTCGTCGCGAAGTCAATTTGGTCGCAAGCCTTCACGGCCATGTCAAAATCGTCCTTCATGCCCATAATCCATAGAGTATCGAGCGCGTCCACAAGGGTGGCTGACCAACCCCCAAAGGGATCTTTCGCCGAACCAGTAATGGGCATCACTTCGTCTCGTAGCCAGGCATTGGCCTTGTATCCTTCCCAGCTATGTACGAAGCTTTCTTTAACGGCGGCAAGTCGCTGCAATCGCAGACTCTTGGCGACAGGGTCTTCTTGTGGGTTTGGTGCTTGGACCCGAGGGATGTTGACTTTGTGGTCCTGTCGAGGCAGTTTAGCCAACGTTTCCGCTGGGTAACGAGTCGGCAACTTCTTCCACCGTACGACGTTCGAGCTAGAGCTCTGCTGGCTTGCTTGCAATTGTCCGTCCGGTGCCAATGGCGGGAGGACGTCGGGAGGTCCCCATTTGTAGTACCACGACCCAAGAATGTAGAGGGCTACGACAGTAATGAGAATACGCACGCGCCGCACGCCCATTTTCGATAACTGTCTGTATGTGTGTAGGCGTGTTTTATATGGAAGGCTAGCGCGGTTCGTCTCAAGTCATTGTATCGCTTTCAAGGCGATGGACGGGGAGCTTGAGTAGCTGGCGTAGGTGTCGGCTCCTGTTCAGCAAAGTTTCGAGCTTCGGACTTGGGATGGGGCATCAGTCAAATTACGGTTGCGGGCGTCAAAGCCAAAGTAAGAACAATTGCAGCTGCAAAAGAGCAGGCAGGCAATTGCTGAAGTGAATAACAGTACAGCAAGATAAATAAATCACCTCTATGCCAATTTGACCAACTGCAAGGCTCCCCAAAAAAAAAGGAGTGATACAGGTCGGAAATTTCAAGAATTGGATGATCGGACTTGGAGCACCTAGTTGTCGTTACGAATAGAGAGTTCTATTAATCCCTGTATGGACCCACTGCGGGCTTGTATTGTGGGGAACCCTTGCTTTGCCTGCGTCAGGGGTTGATACAGATCAACATCTTCACCATCCCGCACTCGCAGATGCAACTTGAAATACTTGTTCAGATGGAACCTACCTGCAAGTATACAGTCCAGATGAGGTTGCTTGAACCTTTTACTACCTGTCAACTAACGTAATAACAGCCTCCACACATCCGTGCCCTTTTCAAATGTCCTCGAAAACTATGTCGGCCACAAACATACTCTACGTTAAGGTTACACAGCTGGCTGATAGATGTCAGCTATGTATCTCTCGCCCAGGGCATCCTTCACATCCCTCCCTAGCAAAGCACTCAAGTTGCCACAGAAGTCGCTTTCTGCTTCAGGCTTGGCACAGACAAACACGAGAGCGTTGTCCTGGATCTTTTCCACCAGCTTAAGGCCTAGTCCTTCCTCGAATACCATATCCTGCGCACGCCTTTTCTCCAGGTTGCTGGGCATCAACCGGAGCAAGTCGAACAAGCCCAGCTGTTCGGCGTCAGCAAGCGCTTCTCGGACCAGCGGCTGGTCTTCAGCTTTGAATCCAGAGAAAAGGGTGATGGGGGCATGAGGGTATGGTGTCTTGCTGTTACCAACCGCCCCTTTTTGCCGAACAAGCTCCGTCCGATGTTGTAGTAAGCCACGGACAGGAGCTACACCGGAACCTGTCGCGAAGATGATGAGAGGACGATCAGTGGCTCCAGCCATGGATTCCAGGTGCGTTGCGCGCTCGATCTTGCAAGTCAGTGTCGAGCTGATCTGGGTCATGCTGAGGAAAATATCAGAGAACCTGCCCCCGGCGTGTTGCTGGACAAGCAGCTCCAGTTCGCAGCCCTTACGACCGCTATTTCCGCTGTAACTGGGACAACTTGCAATGGAGTACTTGCGTGGTTGTATTCTGGGTACAGCACAGCACAAGTTCTCTAACGCAGCCCAGTGTTGCCAGTTTGTCGGCAGTCCCGCCACCGCCTCTAGAATCGGTAATGTCATCAGCTCTTCGGGAACAGCGGCCCCCTGGAACGGAATCTCTGCTGCCCAATCAAATGTTTTGAATGGTTGCTTGAGGTCTGCGTAGAATCGGAAAAACTCCTCAACTGTTATGCCGCTGGCAAAATGTAGTCGCTCGTCTGGCTTGATATTCAGATTCGAAAGGAGGGCTTGTACGGTGCTCTCGGCATTGGGTGGCAGGAGTGAGAGGTAACTCATCGTTGCGTATGTGCGGCTCCCGATGTCGAGCTGGACTCGCTTTATACCTTGCTCGGAGACTCCGCCAATAACGTGTTGAATGTGTGCTCGAAACCAACTGGCGGTATCGAGCAACGGCTCAGCTGGTGATCTTAATGGAGCCGGTTGGGGTAAAGTATTCCTCGGGCCTCGACAAACTCCTGTCAATGACTCGAGAAGTTTCTCGCAGAAACTGTCGAATATCCTCCAGGGCGGGCTCTCAACCGCGGTATCTGCAAATACCGGATCAAAGAGCGAGGCAGCACCACCTATTCGTAACGCCCTGTCCAAGTTGATGGCGGTGTGGTTGAAAGTATCAGCGTAGTCTCTACTTCCATTGCCGAAGATAGCAAAGGAACATTTCACGGAGAATTTATCAGTCTCCAGGCCATGGGCAAACTCCTGGCCATTCTGAGGCATTTCTCCTTGTCTGGTGTTACTGGCTATGACGACCAAAACGTCATCGGGCCTCAGCTTGGACTTCTTCAAAGCATTGAGAGTCTGTATCGGCATTACGCAACCAAAATCGGGTCTGGTACGTGCGGCATGGCAGAGAAGCGTTTGTAGTTTCTTGCATAGCTTGCTAGCTACCGTTCCGGAACTGCAAAAGGCCACAGAGAGTCTCCTTCTCCGTACAACAGAAGGGGCAGAGTCAACTTCGAGACGAATGTTCAGTTGTGATTCGTGGGAAATTTCGATATCACTCTGCCCGTTCTCCCTCCGCCAGGTCTTGATTGGGTCTTGAACATGATGACAGATCATCGGCTTTGGCTGGAAGTTGGGAGAAGCGCCGCGATGCCAAAGTGGTATGATTGATCCTTGAGGCGGCGCGAGCCAGTAAGGGTCTGAAGGTAGTCGATAGCCGTTTTCGGCCAGGTGCTCGTCATCAAATCTCGAGAACACTTCTGATGCGCTGAGAGAATCGATCATTCGGACTTGAGCTTTCGCAAATGAATAAGAAACGGCGAAGTTGAGCTCAAGTTGTGCTCTCGACTGATGCATGGTCAACTGCTGACAGTGCACACGGTACGCGGGCTTGTACTCACCAATAACGCGAGGCGTTCAAAGTCTGGAAGACTGTCAAGCTCGCCATTGAAGAGCCCCAACTGCTTGATTATTTGAGGCAAAACATTGTACCTGAACGTATCTGCCAAGTTTCTCACTCCGATCTCTGCATCCATGAACCAACCCATAAATGGGCTTGCAGTGTCTGGTAGCAGGTCAGAACCCGGAGTCCTTATTTTATACATCTTCTTCGATGCTTTCCCACACGGGTAGACGGGGTATTTCTCCTGAGAAGGCAACTACTTACTACATACAGATCAGTATTCTGTCTCGTATACTAGAGCCATTCAGAGCCAACAGCGTAGGGTTCTGGCAGAGTATTTCCATACGTACCATTGTACACCGCCAATGGTAAATCCCAACCTGCTCAATGCAGGAGAAGGAACCCACCTCAAGCCCAGCTTATCAAAGGCAAGCCTGTATCGTGGGTGCTGAATTGGTACACACGGAAAGATATCCTTCGGGATCTCGGTGATGACCGGATCCTCACCTTGGGCCATGGTCACCAGAGGAAGCATATCCCACTTTGTGCGGACCCTCGGTGGTTTCCAACCAAGCTCAATGATCGCCTTCGTCAGCTCGACATTCATAGGGTCCCCCAGGATGTCATTGTTATCTTCAGCGTACTGATAATTATCAGCAAGCGGCACCAGCCAATTATAGTAGGAGGAGTTGGCTTACGCCCGCAAAGGAGAAAAGCTGTGGGTTCCATATCATGGGACCGCGCTCGTTGGGTCGACGAGGTGGAAAGACAAAAACTGACATGTTTAGTTTCGGTCCGCATTTCTCAGGTCCAAAGGCAAGATACCTGTCGGGCGAATTTCTCCATGATTGAAGGCAACCTGGGCGTTTGCAATTAACTCTTTAGCCATTGCGGAACTCGTGGTGATATGGCGGAGGTCGCAGAGCCTAACGACTAGTCAGTATAAATCCAGGAGTATTAGACTGTGTGAAGTATTTCAGGTCTTACCTGAGATCCTTGTATTCGGAGCGCATGATGCACTTTCTAGAATGTTTCCATGCGAGTCGAATACCGAACTCAAGCTCCTGGGACGTTTGGCTCCAATTGCCGCCAACAATCCCGACCGTGGGAGTCCGGACCGAGTCTGAGCCAACGCCATTGCAGGCATTGTATCTAGCGGTAACCGAGTTGGTTTTGATCTCCTTTATGACATACTGGATCCGCTTCTTCAAGGCTTGCTCGGAATCGATCATGCCAGCTTGGCGGAGTTGATGGAGGAAGTCGACAGCATCCTTCTCGATGGCATCCAGGGGCTGGTTTCGTCCGACTCGTTCCTCGTCAGTATGTTTCATCCGCCCGGATTGGCAGAATTTGGCAGTGCATCCTGTGGATGAGAGGTTTGGGTAAGCCGTGGTTATTCTCATGAACTCGTTGCCGGCTGAAGGCTGGCTCGAGATGATATGGGGGGGTTCGGCAGAGTCATCGCCCTGGAAGCCACCGTTGACAACTGGGCACGATGGAGAAGACATATTTAGGACAGGTGAATAGCCTTGAAATATATATATATATATACATATATAGGCGTGGTATTTGATCAATGCAAAGATAATTGTCCAAGAACTGTTGCCAGTGTTGAACTATTCAGTTGGTGATCCAGGAAGGAATACAAGAAAAAAATACGGCGATTTTATAGTACGAATCTCACGTTATGCAGCTCAAAATCCCATCAGATAATGTGGTGAGTATTGGTCTCTATGCAATATTGTACGCATTTCAGTCGTGTAGGCTGGCTATGTACCTGGGCAGTTCACCGGTGAAGTTTGGCCAAGAAGGTTGGTACTTGAGTACGGAACGTAAGTTGGTGTGCGTCTCGACGCAAATAGCGTCATGCTTTCAAATCCACAAGGGCATTTCAGACACACGCCCCTAGAAATATGCCCCATATTAAAAGTTTCGGTAGTGTCGGTTATGTCGAGTGCTCTCCTCAGATGTCTACCATATTATTCACAGGACCACAAGACCTGGATAGTGCATCCAAATATCACAATGCCTATTATTTACCTCATATATTGACTTAGCTAAAGATTTGTTGTCGTAATTCCTGCTGTTTTAACACTCAAAAGCCCTGGACATAAACTGAGAGGTACTCGGGTTTCCTGCCTGCTGCCAGCTCACACGAGGCAGTCACATTGGGAATATGCATTTCTCAATCCTGTACACTACATGCGTCTTCCAGTTACAAGGTTCGGGGCCGTTCATGGTAAGGAAGCCACTATTTCCAAGCAGCAAATGCTCCCTACCGTGATACCTACGTTGGTATACATCCACAAACCACCATTGGTTACTGCAGCATCGCTCTTGAGGTCATGCTCCAGTTGATCTGACCGAACATACTGCGTTTAGGTAATAGGAACTTCACCGGTGATAATCATGAGGCAACAATAATATCTTACGAGTGGAATCATAGTCGGCTTGAACTGAAATTATTGCGAAGGATCTGGCGGGTGGTTATTGCTGATTCATCCAGGAGTGTAAGCCTGGATGTGTGGTCGGCCATGAGAAAGCTGGTGATTGGATTTTCTGGTTCGTTCAATGCATTGTACTTGTTTTAGTAAGTCTCAAGATTTCGGGTCTCAACAATTGGCCCGGGGAACAGGATCTAGATCGGCATTAATCCCTGCAAAAAGCACAATGTCTCATAGGCACACTGTGTCTTGTCAGGCCATGGTGATGTCCGCGGCTGAATACCCGATGCACAAATGAGATATTCATCGACTAATCTGGACTCTTGCAGCTGCCCAAAGTCGATCAACCCGTTTTTACACAACGGTCTGTATTACAGGTTGCCAACCTTGATGACACCATCTGTAGCCTGATCCTGGGTCAGCGGCCTCCACTCGTAACTCGGAAAATCGGAATGGGCGCCTGGTTGGTATACGCCAACTACCTTCATGCTGCGTTGTTTGATACAGAAAAGAGACCTGCTCAGACCATATAGTAACCACAATGCAATTGAACGTAAATAATTGGCATATACTGGCGACGCAAATAAGCAGGATGATGCCGGAGTAGTTCACCCAGCTACAGGAAAGCTGCAGGCGCCATGCCCACTACAATCAAAAGGCCATTGGTGTGATTTGTTTGAATAAGACATGAATGGCCTTGGTGCCATCGCATCCAAGCTCATGTTGTCCCCAACAAGCTCTGTTTTTGTTACCTAAATTGAGTGCAGGTGAACAGATTGAGATGACCCCCAAATGCAAACTAGGCTCCCAGAGCTGCCTGAACAGGTAACTCCTCCGCAAATTGCAACATAGTAAGAAAAATGTGAGCCTGTAGAAGTGACGGTTACCGTTGTACGGAAGAAGCCGTGCACATCTGACTGTTGTTCTGTAAACAGTGATGTTCGTTATTTCTCCTGCAGGATTTTACCCCATGTTTCGTGGCCAACATGGCTTGACTGAAACCTTAGTGAAAATAGCTATTGGTTAACCCCGTAGCCCAAATTTACGAAAGCACGCAGGTAAACTTGTATCGGGAAGGCAACACCGTAGTAAGTTATGATGATCCCAGGAAGTTCCATTGATGGTGAACATGCAAGGCATCCAACCCCCACACCACGAGCCTTAAATATAGGATAACTCAGTAATTGGTAAGACTGATTTGTGGCTCGTGAAAAAATCCACCAATCTGCTCACGGCTTTCAGTTCTGGGTGGTCAGTCTATAATAGCTCATCGCCAAGCTGCCACTTGAGTTATACGTGCCGGTTGGAGACTTGGTAAATCCTGACGAGTATACCACGGCCTAAGATACTTAATCCACTTTTCTTACACATGACATCCATCTCTCCTACCTCTTGCGTGACTAAAGCACACAGTTATCAGCCGCGCTTCCCCTCCCAAGCTGTATCTATGACCTACAGCTTCTTACTTCTTACTCAAGTTCATGACAAGTAAACAGCGCAGGGTCTTATAGCCCGATATTACGATCTACTACAATGGAATACCGGGCTATTAGTCCCTACGCCGTTTATTGTGTCATGCCGTTGGCTCTATCACTTATAATGAGTCCTCGTTGCTAAAGTACTCCGGGTTTTGTTAATGTGGGCACTGACAAAGTGCCCCAAGCTCAGCCTCGGACGCAACATGCTGGCTCATTTGACCATATTGATGAATGGTATTCAAGCCGTGCATAATAACCGAAGACGAACGCAAGTTGGAGGTACTTGCGGAATTGGTAATTTTCCACGCTAATGCCCACTCTGCTATTTCTTATCTATCTGATATTACTAGAGGCGTCATTACCAACTTTAACACGCTTCTATAGCGTCCTTACGCAAGTGTCGAGATGGAGCTAAATATCAAGGAGTGCTCTACTTCAGTGTCTCCTGGAGTTGGCGATCTATTATCGTCCAAGTTTCCTGCTCATACGGCGGCAAAAATGTTCCGGGGAAACCTTTGGTGGCTGAAATTCGGCGTCGAGATGGATTATTCTGCTGTTCAATATGACACAGCTTCGTTGCTCCCAAGTTCGCATCCGGGAGACCTTACATACATATATGTATCCAGGTTTGTGTAGATATTATACTGCCTTACCACACATAACTCCGCTGTGACCTGTTGACTCAAATTACAGTCCTCACGTGGGCATAATACCTTAACTGTGACTATGCATGTCCGTGGATCAATTATGGCATGTAGCTGTGGGCCCAGTTCCGCCGGCCTTTTTGTAGATCCCGTTTCTGTCTCGCCGGTAAAGTTGGAACGGGCCGGCTTGGCATTCTTTATCTACATAAATCGATGCCAAGAACTAATCTTGATTAGCGGGGCCGCCGAGTGTCGTAGTTGCAATCTACCACCATTATTGCACCTCGCTAGCTGACATATGCAATTAAAGAGAGGGGTGGCGCCTGCTGCGTCATTCAACCTGGGTCGCGGTTGCAACTTCCGACTGTCCCATGTCATAACGTGGCATCAATTGAGGGTGAATCAAACCGACGGCGAAAGCTCCACGACACTTCTTCCACCGAAAAATGGCCACTTGATTAGGTATCGCGAGTATTCCCCAATTCGTCATCTTTTGTCTAGACCCGCGTGACAAGATGAGGCTCGCGTGGTACGCTGCGGTAAGCTTCCGATCCCCCTGTTGAGGAGGAGCCGTACCGTATAGCTTCTCCGTATAGCTTCGCCAACTGGACTGACTTGGCTTACAGGCCTCGACGGCTCTCGCAGCCAGCGTCGTTACTTATGCCTTCAACCAGAGGGCCAACTTCTACTCCGCCATGGTATATCTCTCGCAGAATAACCTTAGCCTTATGGTAAGTTGCGGTTGTCATAGGGAGTCAGCCCCGAGAAGCGACGGTGCACTAACTCCATCCCTGGTGCAAACAGATCCTTATCAACTTGGTCCTCCTGATATATGGTACCGTCGTGTGGGGGCTGCAACGACTATGCTACGGCCAACTGCGACCCGTCGAGATCGAACAGCTGTACGAGAAGGCCTGGTTCGCCGTGACAGAAACATGCCTGGCCATGACTATTTTTCGTGAGGAAGTTGGAGCATGGTTTCTAGTCATGTTCACTGCGTTGGTCACCGGAAAGGTCTGGGAATGGATTGGAGAAGGTCGCGTCGAGATTCTCGAACAGCAACCGCCCGCGAATCCCCGACTGTTCCACACGAGACTGAGCATATCCCTGCTGGTCAGCATCATCTACGACACCTGGCTGTTCATGTACGCGGTCAACACAGTTATCATCCAGGCCCGTCCCAACATGATGGTCATGTTCTTGTTTGAGTTCGCCATATTGACGACATGCTCGTTCCGCACCGGAGCTAGATACATCCTGTCGCTGGTAGAGGCCGATATCGTCCACAAGCAGACCCGCCAGAGGCTGCAGGAACGCCGCAAACAAATCAGAGATCAACGAACCGACATTCTGAGACGGCGCGAGTCGGGCGATGCTGCAGAGGCAGAAGTTGCCAACCAGGAGGAGTTGCCCAACGAAGATGATGTGGACGAGATGGACATCGAAGTCTCTGGCTGGGAGTCCAAGGGACAGTGGATATTGAGTCTGGACCTCTTTGCAGGTAAGCAGCTGTACCAGATACATCTAGTCTGGCGGTTTGGCGGGGTTTACTGACTACCATACAGACTTCGTGAAGCTTGGAGTGTACAGCGCCTTCTTCGCAGTGCTCATGATGTTCTATGGTCTGCCTATCCACATAATGCGGGATCTGTTCCTGACCACGAGATCATTCCTCAAGAGGCTCAGTGCGCTCATCCGATACCGCAAGGCTTTGCAAGACATGAACAGATATCCTGATGCGACTCAAGAAGAGCTATCCCGCGAGGACACGTGTATCATTTGCAGGGAGGAGATGAGACTGTGGGACCCCAACGTTGCCGGGGCTGTGGAACGAACACGTCCGAAGAAGCTCCCTTGTGGGCACATCCTACATTTTGGGTGTCTCAAGAGCTGGCTCGAGAGGCAACAAGTCTGTCCGACTTGTCGGAGGTCTGTTGTCATCGATGGAGCAGCCCCTAATGGCGATGCTGCTGCTCGAATGAATGCTGGGGGGCAACCACCGGCCCCAGGCCAGCCTGGCCACGACCACGGAGCTGCTGATGGCAACCAACCTCGCCAGGTTCGTCTTAATGGGATTAGAATGTTCCAATTCGGACCCCTTAGGCTGGGGTTTGCTCAAGGCAACCCCCAGGAACTGGCTCAGCGAATTGCCTTGCAAGGGGGAAATGCGCCGGCCCAACTTCCAGCGGTAGCAGCAGCAGCAGTTGTTCCACCGCCCATCCAAGCTGCTACCCTGAATGCTGGCGGGAACAGTATCGCGGAGATGACTGCGCAGCTCCACGCTATTTCTCAAAGATTACAACAAGAAATGCAAGGCCTTCAAGCGACGCAGTTCGAGCTGCAGACGTTATATGCTCTTATGGGGGAACTTCAACGACTGCGTCTAAGTCAGCAGCAACCTCAACAAGTACCCCCACCAGTGCAGCTCCCGGGAAGTCAGTATTTCCAACCCCAGCAGCCACTACCACCATTTTCAACAGTGCCTCAGATGGCACCCTTTCCAGTTTATCCTCCTCGAGCCAATACACCCTCTCTCACGCGACACAGTGCTCCCACTACATCTGCGTCTATTCCTGCTGGTAGCCCTGATCTGCCCGAAGGTGTAGTTATCCCTCAGGGATGGACGCTTATGCCGCTCCAGCGTGTAGATGGCCAGCCACTGCAATACTCTGCGCAACCGAGCGGAACCCAGATGGAAGCTCACGATCAGTCACACCAGGTATCCCAAGCCTCAGGCAGTGAATCTGCACCTGTCCACCCTGAGGTTTCAAGCCACACAACTGGGGAAGAGACTAGTTCCCATTATCATGTTGGACCAAACGAGTCCTCAACAGCACCGTTGCAAAGGCAGACGGAACTCCCTAAGGTAGCTGCTCCCACGCCTGTGGCGCCGAATTGGGGTGGTGCCGCACAGCTCTTCGCTAATGGCGGAGCTGGGCCTTCTTCTGCAGTTGGATCTACAACCGAAACGGAGCCGAAAAACGATGCACCCAGTGAGAGCCACGCTGATAGTGAGCCGGAGGAATCAAGCAGTTGCGATAAGGGGAAAGCGAAGGCTGTGACCCTCGAAGAAGCGGAGGATGAATAGGAACTCAATGCTTAGACTACTACATACGGCTAATTCAACAGCCAACTCTGTACTTAAATCAGGAATTGCATCGTGGCCAGGCGTTGGGGTGTTTAAAGTCATCTATGGATGATGGTTGGTAAAATAGGAACTCAGGTTTATTTCCCGGCAATCCAGCTACGAGTACATTCACTTCGTAGCGTCATGTTCGGCCCATTTTCCATTAAGGGCCGAAACCATTATTTCCATTTCCTTGGCGGCACTTAATACTGACCCCCCCGCTCCTCCTTTCACATGTATAGCCAAACCTGGTCTATATCATCTAACGTACCCCACGGTCCAATTGAACACTTCTTAAGACTGTGTATCCTGGTCGATCTGACCTCACAGGACTCAAGTCACGAATATCAGGATTGATTTCGTGCCAAGTCAGTTGTGTGGTTCAGATCTCTTTTGATGGTGTTTTTTCTAGAAAGCTCAGCTATTTCCAAAGCTACGAAATGTTGCTTAAGAGCAACGATGTAGCCAATCAGATCCTCTGATTTGGATCCACAAGACCTCGTACAATAAGATATAAGTTAATTAAACTATAACGTAAAAAAACAATTAAAACTACTCGGAACTATCTTCTTCAGATATCTCTTTACTATTCTGACAAGTACGCATATTATGACCGGGCTCTCCGCACGTCCTACAGCGTTGCTGAAGTATCTCTGGCCTCCTCGTACGACTACGACTCCAGCGCGATTTATTATCTAACTCTCCGTTAACTAGCTTCTGAGACTGTAAATCTTCCTCAGCTTGTATACGAAGTGATCCTCCATACTGTAAACGATTTTTTCTCGTATAACGCCGCCGGCTAAGTGTCTCATTTGCCTTTCGAAGCGCGGCGTTCTCACCCTCTAAAAGAGCAAGCCGGTGCATAACCTGCGTCGTACCCTTCGCAAACTGGTCAAGTGCAGTAAGTGTAGCTGTCGGAGAGCTATTTTGATGTCGTATAACTCGGTTTTTCACGTATTCGGTCTGGGATTGTGCCTCAATTGGGTTATTTGGGGTCTTCGACTCCCAGATAATAGGAAGGCCAGACGAGGTACCCGGAGGTGTTGGAGTATGTAACTTCACATCTAACTGCGAAATCACATATTCCAGATCGTACGGTACGAGTCCTGCCCCTCGGAAACCTCCCTGGATATTTGATATCGTAAAAGTTGCCTGGAACGCTTTTAAGAACGCGGAGAGGAAGTCCTCCTTCGAGATATGGGTGATATGTGCCCGCATAAGATCCTCAATTTCTTTACCGTACGCTCTTTTCAGTGCACGAAAACAGCCGATATCGAGAGGTTGGAGCTTATGCGACGAATGAGCAGGCATACAGAGTGTGATAATAGAGTTCTCTTTGCAGTAGAGCTCGAAAGAGGTCTAGTGGTGGCTCTCGTGGCCGTCGAGAATTAAGAGGCGATAAACACCTTTCGTACGAAGCTTTGTATGTTGATCGAAATGTCGAATCCAGTCCTCGCCTCTTTCATTTGTAGTCCAGCCATTTTTCGTAACCGCGATAACCCAATCCTTTGGTAGTAGGCTATTTTCGTACCACGAAGATAGGTGAGTTTTACCAGCAAAGATGATATACGGAGGGATAGTATAGCCGTCCGATCCGACGCCCTGGATAACTGTAACCCATTCCCTATTCCCTTGCTGTACTGCTCTAGGTCTTCCACGTCGATCAGAGGTCGTTACAACTATCTCGGATGAGATTTGACCCATAAGAAACCCAGTCTCGTCAAAATTATAGATATCCTCCTCTTGAATTCCATACTTATTAATTGTATTCCGTACGAGATAAAACCACGCGCGGTACGCGTCGGGATCTTCGCAAAGGACTCTCTGGTAGTCGATTCTTCGATTAAAACGCGCCGGGAGGTCTGGTTGTCGTCGTACGAAGCTCGAAGCCCAGTTAATACCGACGCGTCCTGCGTCGCGTTGGTGATCGTATATCCTGTCGTGAAGTACCGCCGCGATATCGGTGACGTAAGGTTGTATGAGGGATATTATAGATCCGTGCTACGGATCGTACGCTTAGTTTGGGGTTATTTTGAAGCGCTTGAAGCGCTAATTGAATATCGCTTTCTTCCCAATTACGTGCCATTGTAGAAGGTGGAAAATAAGGGATAAAACCTAGGTTGTACGGAAATGCGCGAAAGTGTTGAATTGGACCGTCTGTTCGATTGGACCGTGGGGTACGTTAACGTAGATTTCCCCGTCTTACTAAAGCCGCTATCTTTGCTACCTTTGCGGAAAATCTGTATATGGAAATAATACCACATTGCCATATATTACTCACTTGGCCTAGACTTAAGTCGAAGACGCAGCCGATGTTGCCGTATTATGTTCCCCATCTGTCTCTCGAGGACTTAATTACGTTCACACACGCACACTTGGCACCCGGCGCAGTTTTTGGAACACGCAGCGCCCAGATGAAGAATACCGTCATGTTGTCGTCACGACTACTAGACTCTTGAATTGCATGCCTAATAGCTCTGCTTCAGACTAGGTATTTTGCGGGTGGTGAGTCACGACCCAGGATGCATAGCCTGTCTGACATTTTGGCTGATGACTGACACTAATGTAATCCTTGCTTGGCGGCTGATGGTCGTGATAGTTCGGATGGTGGGGAGAGAGGCGATGCTCATATTCCGGCAGGCAAGCTTACGGCGCCGTGTAGTGCAATCTGGAATCTTTAGTAAGCATACGCGGAGATATTGACTACCGTATTCTTAGTCAGTTGATTAACAGCTTGCTCAGCAAAGAAGGGCCATGAACACGTCTAAATTTCAGGGGAACTGAGAAAGCGTAGTATGGACGAAATCATGATAGGAGTTGAACAAGCTTACAAGCAATAAGCAGACTATGAATGAGCTGTGCAGCTATGAATTAACACTACTTAGGTACGTAAGTCAATAGGAAATGGTATCCGATATCCTCGACAGTAGACATGTGCTTTCACCCGCCATCTTCGGCAGGCAAATCAATCTGTTGCCTTCCACCTGCTTTCCCACCATGACCAAAACTGCCTCCCCCATATGGCCCCTTGAAAGATACAGATAGTAATGCTCGTAAGAAATCTTAGAACTCAAGCCACCGACTCCGAGTGTGTATGCATGCATTCCAGATGCCAAATCAAATCGCCTCCTCTCAACTCCCCACGTACCACCACATGCAATAATAACAAACAATAATAGTGAAAGTCGCCTCGTCAGTCCGTATCGACTGGTAAGATGAACCTAACCTTCTTCTTTGGCTTCGCAGCCGGGATATCTATAGGCATTGTTTTGTCGCGATCGTAGTGTAATAAGTCCTCCGCACTGAAGCCCATCTCGCTCATGGTCTCCTTTTCGGGCTCCTCCTCAATGGCCCAGACGTCGGGAGAGGGCTCGCGCCATGAGTGATGGCGACGAAGCAGGGGTGCGCTGCGGGTCCTTCCCCGGGGGAAGGCGGGACGCCGGTGTGGTGGATAATAAGCGGTAGAGGAAGGGGGAAGGGGAGGAGGAGGCGGTGAGAACCGCTTGGCCGGCCGACCCCGCGGCGAGCCGATGTGGAACGCCGACGGTGAGAGCAGCGCTTCCGTCGTCCTGGTTTGCGTTACACCGGCTGGTTTGGGCCGGTCGAAGCCGACGTCAGGGAGGTCGAACGGGAAGCCACCCTTGTTCAGGCTGTTGTGGGGCGTGAACCGGATGTAGTCCTCATCGTCGTCGTCGTCGTCGTCAATGTCCATGTCACCATCGTCAACGATGGCGCATTCAGTTTTGTTCTTGGGTTTGTATCGCTTGAGGCCGTCGAGCGTTGACGGGCTTATACTGCGGACGATCTCCGGTGGATGGTTCGAGTCTTCGATTCCGGCATCGAAATCGAATTCAAATTCGGGTTCCTCATTTAGAGGATCAGGGGGTGTAAGGAAATAAGTTAGGGGATTGCGTTCAAGTAACGGCATGTCAAACTCGTCATCGGTCGAGTTGTCGTCGTCCAACGACGGGGGTTGTCGAGCCGGGCTAGACGCCAATGAGTCCGACGGCCCGACGTGTGTCAAGGTTGCGGCTGGTAGCAAGCGCATCTTGCCTGTGAAGTTTGATTTGACTAGTTGCAAAGAGATAATAATGACCGGACGAAGTTGGCAAACATCCTGCGCACCGTTCCCAGGTTTAAATATACCGCAAAGAGACTTCTCTATCTTTCGGTGAACTTGTGTAGCAAACCTCAAGGAAAGGTCGCCGGGCTTGTGCCGGCTCAAGTATGTGATCGTCAAAGAAAAAGTAGCGAAGCCGACGAAAACCTTCAAAATATAACTGATGTGTCGGGAAGCACAAGGGGTCGTATCCGAAGTTCCAACAGATGTGAGGAGCAAGAACGGCGACACCGCCGGGTTATATACGGCCGCTAGGCAGAGAGACAAGCACCTGTCTCGAGTCCTACTGGTCACCGGCCCATCTACGAGATAGCCTTGTGAGTGTTTACATGCTGAAAAAGTGGTGGTCATGCAGCGCCATCGAACCAGGACATTTTCCATCTGTGGAGCTGGAAATGACACTATAATAGCAGTGAATTACTCCAAAAGGCTGCGCTGGGATAGATACAGCCGGCCAACTTCCAAGTATTGATTGCCCGAAGTGGAATCATGCGTCTGCCAGTGGAGGGTGAGATGCATTCGGAGCGACGCCGATGGAAGTGGTGTGGGCCGTATGAGAATATGATAGGGAAGACATAACACAAGTGTGGAGGTCTTTCCCAACAGTGGCTCACTCAGCCAAGACAACGAGGCCACCTTCACCTAAGTCAAATTGTCCTTCTGACTGTGTTGCACAAATACTGCCGGCCAAAACTGTCGTAAACACCGGATGCATGCCGCTCCGATTACGACTTCACGAGGCTCAAGTGTAGTCACGCTTTTGGCGCAATGTTTTATTTGATCGAAATGCCACGCTTTGCGGGCGCGCGAACACGTATGCATCGTACCTTGCAGGTTGCCTGCAGTGGCGCGGCCGATCTCGAGCGTGCGAATGGCCAAGGTTGTCTCTTGAAAATCCATGATGCCTTGATCAGTACTGTAAATTGATGCCCGTGAAGGGTGTATGGCAAGCTAGAAGCTAAGATCAAGCGGTCATCGTCCAGGATCTGCCCTGGTTTAGAGCCGCACTTGACGAGACGTGTAGGCGAAAGAGTGAAATTTCGCTGAGATTGTGCCGCACAACCAAGACAAATATTGGCCCCGCACTGAGTTTGTCCTGCTCGGTCAGATAAACTGTCGTTGGGGGATATACTAAGTGCGAGATGTGTGGAGTGGCGCGTCCAAATCTTGGCTCAAAGCCGGTCTGGAGGAGTTTAGCCTGAAACATAAAAATAGCGTTGGTGATTACGTTCGAGAGGCGACGTCAGACGACTGACTCCTCTTATCCATCGTTTCTGACACTATGCACCCAACCTGTACTCATCACACTCAGCGAAAGGCCACACGAGTATGTAATGTCAGCGCTTTTTTGGTTCTGGCCGCGGGTTTCGGTCGATTTCGGACGACTCATCTTCCTTGTACATGCCGCTTCTCAACTGCTGGACTTGATGGTGTTTTGAAGTCGTTAATGCAGAGGTTGTGGCGCTGAGCGACACCACGACGACTTGGGACGCTAAACCTAGCATCGCCATGACGTTGAAATATTCACAATCATGAAGCGTGCCTTAGCGTCGTCATGCGGGAGGCTAGAAGCTCAGAGAACGGATGGCAGGAATCGACTGCATTAAAATCGACACGCTGTGCCGGGTTCGTCATGGGACAGTTTTTTTTGGCAGCTCTTAGTCCTATCGCCCTGGTTGCCATGCTTGCTTTGCAAAACTCTCTTCGCAACCAGCCACGAAAGTGACGTTTCAAAGACGTTGAAGCCGCCGCCGCTAACGTGTTAACTTAATAGCGAACTTGTAACGCCCAAACCTAATGGTTGCTCCGAACCGAAGAGTGTATTGTCAGCAGCTGTCAGGGTCCCGAAGCTGAAACCATGGTCGAAACCAGGTCGTGAAGAAACTCTTCATGGCGACCGAGTCTTCCTGCGTCACTATCGTAGCTCTTGTGTCTTTGCCAGACTTCGAGCAAGCTGCATCAAAGAAATTGCACCGGCACGGCAGGTTTGAGTAAGTCGTCGTTGCGTTGGAATCCGCATGTGCTGATAAAGATAATGACATCCGCTCGGGGCCCTCGTGGAACACCGCACCACTGAAGACAACACCAGAGCATACAGGCAGGCCCTGTAATCCCTTCCGACGACCATAAATTTCCGTCGATGGGCCTGGTGATGATGGATGGTTGTATGCTCGAAGTTGACATTGTCGTTGAACACAACCATTGTGTACAGCAGGCAGCCGTCCTGTATACACAAATCTAGCGGTTTCTTGCATCCTCTCTTTTCTACTCTGACAAAATTTGTTATGCCGGGAATTAGCAAGTAGCTTTCTCTGCGTGCTTCCAGACTTGTCGTGAAACGCTTTCTGAGAACGCGAACGCGAGATATAATCTTTCAGCAAAATATCCATTATTCAGCATACTTTGAAAACGGTATCATCCACTCGAGTGAAAGGGAAACCTTATTTGGAAAAACTGCCATCTCTAAGGTCATAAACCTGCAAGCTTGGACTTGGGGGTGTATACTCGCTTCGTGACCATAGAGTGGAATGCGGAGTTGAAAAACGGTTGTATTGAGAACCTCATCCTGTGTTATCAAGTAAGTTTCATCGAAAACACGCGAAAGAGCCCTTGGGCAGATCGAACGATTGGTTATCTGCACGTCATTCTGGTCCCAGATCTTTAGTAAGGGGTTTAGGGCATATCATTTGACGGATAGGCCTTGGACGGGTTTGCCTCGTGGGGGTCACATCACGTGGAATGCTGCTGCCGTCCCATAATCACGACCAATGCCACTCACCGTGTTAAGTCGTCATCAAAGCTTATGCCTCAGTGACCACAGGCGCTAACCTCGACTCCTCCATCACCGACAACGAAGTCGCTTTTCCCGTGGGAAAGCGAAACCATTGATACCATCAGTGATATACGGATAACACGCTGAAGTAACAGTGAACTGCAGCTCTGGACAGCAACGGTGTCTTTGAACTGATGGAGTACAGCTTCTTTATGTTATGCTCCATGTGTATTACAAAAATTTCCCTCATCGACGGTGGTCGCGTCTATTTGTGAACCACGAAGTAGACGGGACTGACTGTCTGCAGGTGCACCAGCGCCTTTTTTATGCCTACAAGAGACTTTGCAGGTTACTACAGCCGGACCTCAGTCTAGGACAACACCTCAGGACAACAAATGCAGGTTTCAACACGCGATATGCATCTGTACTGCGGGAAGCCCACTATCAAGGCATGGGGGGAGGGAGCCCACATGGTTCGGATCTCTCAATGGACCACGATACATTGACACAGAGTTTGGTGCTTCAAGTCATGGATGGATCTCCATAAGTCTCGACAGTGACCTTGGTCCAGACGGGTTCTGCAGTTTTCGCTTCTTTCGGGCGGTTTATATATGTGTACGGAAGAGATTTGCGGCGACTTGTGGGCAGGTTGCTCACGCCAAAATGGACGAGCTGGATATCTTTGATCTGGACAAGGCCAACCAAGGACAACCCGAATACTCTCCCCACGTTGTGGAGGGATTATGTTAAGTTGACGGTGCCAGTCTCGCAAACTACCACATATCGAAAAAGGGTGGTTACGCACCCCACATTTTGGGTGCTTTGCCATGCATTAGCAACCGCAAGTCTGAAGGCGTTTTCATGCTGCCATAGCGCGGCTCTCTCGTACAGTGGAGTTCCTTGGCAGCGAGACGATGCGCAAATACGAAGATGGTTAGTATTCGCCTCAACCCCATCAGATCTTCACCGCTATTTTCATCAAGCACATCCTCGCCTAGTAGGTATTGTGCAATAGCGCTACAAGAAGATGCGTATATGTGGAAGTCTCATCCCGGATTGCTTTCGTTGCAAGCGGCAGTTCCGAGGTAGCGGCTAATTAGGTAGGTCCATTCTACGACAACACATTGTGGGCAACTAAACCACAGGGGCACTTTGTTACGTGCCAAGTGGCGCGATGACTACCCGGTATACATGCTCGGGGGGCGCCTCCCTTCAGGACATTGCGATTATTTGCACACAGGCTCGAAAGGCCCGATCTACAAAACCCCTCAACACCTTCACTGTGCTTCTACATGGAAGGATTGCGCATACATCCGAAACAGACGATGATTGTCTTTCTTCGCAGCTGGATCCATGCAGTTGCGTCAATGCCCTATATGCGGCTATTCTCCACGGCAGCCTGAGTAGTCGACGTCTTGAGTATTGAGCATGATTGAGTCATGGAAGAAGGCCCACCTCTACTTTGCGGTTGTACTATCGATCGTCGGCCTGGAAGCCTCGCAGGATGGCTGCTTGATCGATCCACAAATTCCATTTTTGCACAATGACATGCATCACCGGTGGGATGGCAAGCAGCGGCCTAGACTTCTTTGACCGGCTCAAAACCAACGAACTGCATACACGGCGCCGATTTGAAAACTGCTTGCGGATGGAAGGTTTCCCATCCTTGAGTCTCCCACAGCTCATGCCTTTCCCGCATCGGATATATACCGTGGCATTAGAATGAATACCAATTCGCGTCGCGAACATGCGGAAGCTTGTTAAAAGTCAAGAACAGACAGGCTTTGCACTGCTGGCTTAGTGCAATGTATACCTTCACGAAGAAGGTAAGGGTTGTCTTTGACTATGTCCCTCGGAATTCCGTCTATTCCACTTTTGGCACGGGTTGTATACCCGCTAGTTGTTGATGGGAGACGGAAGTTTGTGATGCTCTGAGACTATCGACAACTGGTCGGGTAAACTTGCTTGTCAGCGATTATGGCGAACTTACAACATTAGGAGGCATTGAAGGGTTGCTCGTAGATACGATGACTCTTGCGCTCTCTATACCCACTGATGACGACCCTAATGTTCCTCGAGCAATCCCGACCCTATGGCAGAAGCTTGTGGCTGCGACTAGTGATGCAGCTGCTGCAGGCCAGCATACAAACCCAATGACACCTTGTCTTTCCAAGGCTTGGGAAACCGGTGCTAGGATGGCATGGTGTGTGTTGGCAGAGGTATCTACCAACCGTTCTGCCTGCGAGCCAGTGGAAACTGCGCGCCTGCCATCGTGGGCATGCAAAACGGCATCACCCTTCGATTTCTTCGGGAAGACACCAGATAAAATTTCTCTCCCTCTCCGTAGCCATCTTTCTTTTTCGCTCCAGAACTAAACACAGGAGAAATGAAAAGAAACTGCGGTCTTTTTCCCAGGAATTACGACTCAGCAACATCAATGTCCCAGGCTTCCTTGTTTCAGACGCAGTATTGATACCCAAAGTCGTCAGTTGGGCATTAAACGCGACCTCGACACGGAAGATTACCACAAATTCTTACCGGTCTAGTTTCGTTTTCGGTGTACTTCAGGCCTATTTTTCGCCTCTATCTCATCAAAGACGCCTCTCCCCCACCCACAAATCCATGCCATTCGCAACCCAACGGGCCATACACATTTGACAGTCAGCCCGAACGAGTGCCTGACGAGCAACCATAGCCAACGGAACGGAGACACCCCCCAATAACTGGCAGTCCAATCCAAAGATCGACAGCAGCACCAACACCGCGCACCCTGTCCTTGTATCCAAAGAGTCACCAGGACAACTTATTGGCATTGGTTTCAAGGTGTCGTGACAAACGACATACGGGAAGAGCCTTGAGTGGCCCCGAGTTCTCGACTTACCTTGTACCCTGCTACAACAAGTGACAGAAATAACAGTTTACGTCCCTTCGACAACCATCACTCAGCTTAAACAAAGATATATCCGCCCCCTTTTCCCCTCACAAAAACAGAAGAGGGTTGAATTTTGTCGATACATAGGCATTTCGCGGGACTAAGACCCACCTTTGGGTACCATTTTTGCTAGAATCCCCTACCCGCTGGCCCGCCCTCTCCGATTATTATCTTTTCTCCCACTTAAAAAAAACTTTTTTGTCGATCAACGAGAAGCCTCCAGGAAGGCCCCAGTTCCATTGCTATCGATAAAAACATCGGGACCCTTTTTGGACGGACCGTGGTGACCCTGTTCCCTAGTCCAACCCATCTACCCACATTGACGTCCGGCGGGTGGTACTTTTGTACTCCGTACTTCTAAAGTGCTTCTTGACTACCTCAGTCAGCCCGCCCTGCCACTCTTGCGTTTCCCCCCCTTTTGGTTTCACGGAGTTCCCATCGCAGACGAGAAGGCCCCTTCTGCCGCTGCCCGCCTGCGCTACCTGGCAACCCGGCCGTCGCAGAACTCGCAGCGTCTTCTTATCGCCCACCTTCCCCCCCCCAAAAAAAAAAACTTGTCGCCTTCGCAGACCTTGCTTACTATTGTTCCTCGTCTTGCTTGCTTGTCAAAAGCACATCTGCACAATCCCCCTCTCAAACATCGTCGACCCGCTTGCTCGCACGGTCAACAGTGTCACTCGTCAAAGTCGCCCACTTGTTATCGGATCCCCACTCGCATCCAATTCGGCATCTACCCTCGATTGATTGCAGCCTTGGACACTAGATCCGACCGACCGCATCGCTACCTGCCTCTCACACTCAAACGGCCTGAATGCATTGCAGTCACAATCAACACGTACGCTAGAAATGTCCTCGAGGAGACACCGGCCACCCCCAGTGGCCATGGTCGAAGATCTAGACGAGAACGACCAGGTCGTTGAAGGTTCATACAAATATGCGCGGTCAACCGTGGACAGCGATTTGAGTAGCCCGACAAGACCCAACACGGGAAAGAAGAAGAACACGACAAGAAGATCATCTTCGCCGACCGATTACAATGATTCCGACGCAGCCCCGCAGCAACCACCGGTGAGGAGTTCGAAATCCAAGGCCAAGGAACCAGCGAGACGGCCGTCCACCCACAGGAAGTCGGCTGTGGTAGAGACTCCGAGGCGGCCTGCTGCGCGTCCCTCCAAGACAATGCCTGTCCATCCGTCTCGGGGGTCAGATGAAGCCTCCTATTACGGCGTTCAATCTCAGACGGTTGCGACGTCGCGACCACGAGCGCAGACGACCAGACCCTCGAGCTACTACGGGCACCCTCCACACCCTCCTCTCTCCAACTCAGCATACTACCCGCAGCCCCAACATGGAGCTCCACCACAGCCTTTCATGCCTGGATCATATCCTGCTCCATTTGTTGCTGGCCAAGCGCCCGTGGGGCACATGATGGTTCCAGCGACAGGGGCCGGTCATCCCCACGTTGATTACTTCAATACCATGCAAGATAACCTGGCTGCGCGATTCGGTCGACAGGACCGGCCGCAGTCGTCAATGGGCTTCCACAACGGCTATGGACACGAAGAACATGCACATGCGCGTGCAACCGCGCAGCCAGAACGAACAGTCAGTCGACGGGTCTCTCTCAGTAGAAGATCAGCCAATGACCAGGATGACCGGGCGAAAATGCCACCTCCACCCCGTCCCTCATCTGCTCGACCACCAGAGCGGGTGGTATTACGACCACCACCGCCGCGCAAGCAGGTTGGCTTTGATAACGGCGATGACCTCTCGGATGATGAAGATGATGATGGGACTGTGTCCCATTCCGCATCCCACCGTACATCGTTTGAATACGGTACAAATGCTATTCCAATAAGAACCAAGCGTCTCAGCTACGGCAACCCTACAGAGTACGAATATACCGAATCCGCTCTGGAGCCATCTTCGCACAGCCGACGAAGGTCTTCTGGGTATGGTTTTGAAGACAAGTTCAAAACTGCTGCTAAATACCAACAAGATGTGAACGGCGGCGTTGCGGCACCACTGACGGCTGAGACTCTTCGCGCGGTCAAGAATAGTGCCAGCAGTCGCTCGACCCGAAGCAGCGGAGAAAGCCGCGACGAAAGCAGCTTCAAGCAATCGGCTACCACGCGGACAACGCGATCTGGAAACAGTGATGACGACATCACCATTAAGGTGCCACGAGGTGCTATCGTTGAGTGGGGCAATGCGAAAATCAGTTGCGAAGAGGGCGGCGAGGTTGCCATTTCCCGTGGTGGTAATGGTGCTAGTCAAAGGGGGAGCGACCGTGGCACCGTCTACGGCGATGATCGCAAGAGCCGAGCAGGAGATCGTCCTCCGGTGCGCACTCGTACGAGTTCTCAGTCTGGGTCTTACTCTCGTGGAGCACACCCAGGCTTTTACGCTCAGTCACAGTACGGCAGTCCTCCGCAGTACGCACCGTATTCGGGTCTCGCGTATCCGGAACATGATGACTACAAAGAAGATCGTCACTGGATATGAAACCCACAAATCTGAAAGCAAACATCATTGCAAACACCATACTTGCCCAGAACGACAGGACCTACGAAAGGATCCAAAAACCCATCATGCCATGCTTTCCGCTTTAAATTGATATCCAGCAATTTATATGCGACCTGTTGTCATGGTCTTATACCCTACCCCGACCTTGAGAACAGCTTGATTGTTTCCTTCCAAGAAGCAGAAACCAAAATTTGATACCCCTCCCACAAGCTCAAGCCTGGAATAGCGATGCCACATGGTTCTTTTTATTTATGTTTTTTTCTCACTTCGGGCGAATTTTGCGCTTTCAGATCATGTGTACGAGGAACGAGATGATGAGAAAAGATGATGATGGGCTTCTGGATAATTGAGGATTCTTGCTATTATGGTTGTCAGCGATGTGAGCTACGTGTTAGTTACTCTTTCACTCTTTTCTTTCTTAATCCTCCTGATGTGGAGTTTCGTTCTGCTTTTGTCGAATTTCACACGAATGGCTGTGCCATGCTGTTGCGATACCCTGTGCTTTGAAGCCGAGATATTCGCATTTGCATGGCGTAAGAGTTGGATATAGATTTGTACGGCAATGAAGTTCACACTTCTTTTGGCGGGGATATTTATACCGCGAGGCTTGCCATCTCGACGGATAATGTGGAATTCTACTTGGATGATGGACTTTGATAGTCGGGAATTTGTCATCAAGATGGATGGGCTGCCCCGTGCCTCTTGAAGAGGTAGGCGGGCGGTATTGTAGGAGCACTAAGCTGTGAAGAGTGAGTGCTCTTCTGGCCAGGTATTAGCATGAGGAAAAATGGAAAATTTAGCACATTGGCGCAACCTCAGACGACATTTCTTGTGGTCAGCAGTCATTATTATTATAGAGACATGGCGGTTATGATGTCGCTCTTGAATGGAAAAAGCGAGGAGCTTACGAAGCTGTGTCGTCATTTGTGCACGAATATGATGTCTTCTGTTTACACACTGTGCCATTTGTGTCACTCTTTTGCCATGTCTTTGTGATCCTCGGGCCAGTAATTTTGCATTGTTGCTGGTTTTTGTCTCCTGTGACGCTGGCCACTTGGAGCTTTGCGGTTGCACAAAGCAACAATGGGGGAAGCCGGCTTGTCGGGGTCTCCAGGTGACAGGTCGGAAACATGGCTTTATATGTTGCCGCCGCATGAATGACAACGGTCTGAGGCTGATACCTATGTGAAACCTAAGCAGCGAGTAACCTGGGGCTACTGGGCCGAGGCTTTCGAGCCTAAGCCTGAGCTCAGAGCTCATCCAGCTCGAGACATGGCCATGACGACAGACAATAAGAACAACGAACGAACGAACGAGTAAGCTTTCTGGCGATGGGATGAATGTCTCCCAGGGGGCTGGTTTGGCATGGTTCAGGGCGGCTAGCGATACCAGGATGGGTTTAAAACCTTTACGGACGGTACCTCGTTGGGACATGGAACTCATTCGCGTGGACATGAAAGCTTACATAGACCATGTTCGATCTGGAAAGTGAGGCAACGTCCGTTGGTTTGGTGATGGAAACTACTGACTTGGTGCGAGAATCTCCAATTGGGTCACAACAGAGCTTGAAAGCAGCATATATAGAAGCATGTACGGGCAGACTAGACCGGGACCCACCCCGAAGAACGGTACTTCTCCAGGGCGGTGTGGTGGAGCCACGCAGGGATGCAGTTGCCTGGCGAACAGTGTTTACTATGACGTGCAACACCAACCTCCCATAATTAACCGATGCTGGGCCAACCTCGTGCATTATCGCCAGGAAACCACTAAGCACGTCGTAAAGCATTCGCACCTTTGCCTCCGAGTTGTCATCATTCCACCTGCCTGTGTCTGCAGCACACCAACCACACAACACCGCATGCATCAATTGAACGACAACATCAGAGCATTCCATCCACCGGGTCTCTGTTATTTGACGAAGCCGAGATAGACGAAAAGTTCAGGTGACTGGCTGGTTTCCCAGCAATACCAGCCGAGTCGTGCACCCCGATGCCAATCACGATCTGCCTCATTCCGACCGAACGTGCATCAGCATCAATATTCCATTCTCCCCCTCAACATGGCACCTCTACTTCCAGCCCTAGCAGCAAGTGCCAGGACCTTACTGTCTAGAGCGGTTGGGTCTACAAACGGTCTCACCGACCGCTCGCCCTCGAACGCGCCATCGGCACCTTTCGGTGAACTCGGTCCTCTAGCCGCCCGTTCTTTGCTCCTCGCGCGAGATGACAGCGGTCAGATCGACCCAAGCAAGGGTGCCATCAACCCTCACGACATCAACAACGGTGGTATCTTCGCACTTTTCGCCCTGATCGGCGTAGGATTGGTTTGCGGTGGCATCTGGTTCTTCTTCTGGGCCAAGAATGGCGGCTTCGTGTTCAAGGAGAATGACTGGGATGACTACAAGACGACGGTGTTGAGACGCAGAGGCCCCAACGGCACCCTGTTGTCCAACGCAACCAAATCGACCAAACTCGGCGGTGGCAGTATATACAAGGACCTGGACGACACTAGCACCGAGTACACAGGCGCGCAGACCCACTCCCACCTCGGCACGAACGACACGGCCAGCACGCTGTCAGGCATCACAGCGGGCGCATCGGACATTGCATCCCGGGAGAAGCGAGCCCGGAAGCGAGAGCGAAGGGAAAGGGAGAAGGAGAAGAAGAAGGACCGCAAGAGCCGCCACGGCCGCAAGGTCGGAGAAGACGGAGCCCTGGTCGACGAGGAAGCTGAGGCAGAGGCCAAGGAAGCCGTGCGTCATTACCGCCATGAGCGACCGGCCCGCGTCGGCGGCCTGAACAAGGAATCAGAAGGCAGTCAATGGGACGGCTCGAACCCGAGTAACTCAACTAGCGCCGGGAGCGATCTGCTCAGCAACCGCCAGAGCACCCCAACCAACACGCCGACCAAGGAGAAGTCTGGCGGCATCAGGAAGGTTTACAGCACGGCGGACCGCAACGCGTCCCGCGAGAACGAGCGCATGAGGGCTGAGGCGCGACGACTACAGGCCAAGGACCGGGCGGTTGGCAGGCGCGACTTCAGTTATCAGCGTGCTGAGAGTTATCAGGGACGCGGTGGTCATGGTACTATCGAGGAGGAGAGCGATATTGGCAAGAGCGAGATGACGGGTAGCGGGTACTTGCTGGGTGAAGGCGACACGACCAGTGATGTAGGAACCAAATCTTACACTCATCACATCCCGGGCTTGTCGTCGGTATCGAGCTCGGCTGGGGGCACAGACGTGAAGGATTATGCGGAAGAGAGAAGGAAGAAGCGCGGTGCAGAACGAGGGTACCGACGCGGGCAGTGATGGGTGTAAGTTTCATGAAATGGATGGCCTGGATACATGCCGCAAGAAGATACGAGGCATGGACATGGGATGAACTTTCATGTTTGTTTTCAGGGCTGGTGTCAGAACTCTCAGAGGCATCCTGCGAGGGAGGATTTCGATGGATTTGTTTGCTATGGTATGCATGAGAAACGATGTAAAGCGTGAGAGAAGCCATACGGCTGGAGGGGGGGGGTTCGAAGTCATAATGGCGTTTGCCTTTATTTTTTTCTCTGGGTTGCTTCAGCGTATGAGAGTTATGTATGTAGAATAGGATCGTCGATCACTTAGAGATTGATTCAAGAACAAAAATGAACCGAATATGTCAATTTGGCCAGCTTAATGTCGTAGTCTGTCGAGTGGACGAGGATAGGGTTTGGATCAGTCCGACTACTTGAGTAGGAGCTCATAGATGAGGAAGCATGTTTTGTAGTAGCGTTAGTGCCCTGTAGCAGCCTTTGATCATCTGATGTTTTAACATATCTAGAGCAGGTCCAGACCCTGAGCTCTATGTAGACTATTACGATATGGCAACTTTATGTCAAGAATTTTGCTCACTCGGGAAGTCAAAGCCACGCCTGTGTGGCCATTTCTGCCTACGAGTTCGCGGTAGATCACTAGTCGGCTTACCGCATTAGGGGCGCAGGACATTCTGGTTCTCAACGCCCGGTCTATAAGGATGAATAGATTAGGCCTGGGAGGAACATGAAGCAAAGCTTACAAAGCTCGACGCTACACCGGAAATTGGGTCATGTCCCTCTATTCACGAAGAGAAAAGAATAAAAGCATACTTGTGGCGGCTACACAGCAGAGCCTTTGAGCCGTGGTATCTCTCAATGGATCGCTCCATCTAACCCAGTGATTCAGGTAAAGAAATGACAGAGTGGCAGATGCAACGGTTCTGCTCCGCCAACCGCCCCTTGATGAATGGATTGGCATTGATTGGTCGATAGATTCCATCTGTTCGAGACAATACAGACACAAGCAGTTGAAGTATTGAGCATTCTTATATCTTTGAACGACAGCCTTCTCCCATCCGCTCAACAACGGAGTTGGGGGGATCAAATCTGCTCCCCTAGGTTCGGTTCTTACGGCAATGTCTTCCTTATCCACGGTATGAGCTTACAAGTCTAGCAGTCTAGGTTATCTATCTGGCTATTACGCGGACATTTACAGCTTATAATCTCTTCTGGACTACTTGCTGCACGATTAAATCACTTTAATAGTCACTGATGTTAAGTTAGGATGAATGGCTGGGTGTTCCGTTTTCGGTTACGCACGATACAGCTCTTTCGCGTCGAACTCGGAGTTTGAAGTGGTATTACAGTCGTTCCGGATAATATACAGTCATGTCCCATCAGGGCCGTAGTAATATTGAAAATAGCGGTAGCTCGGTCATTCGTTTGCCTGTGTTTATCCATATGCACTACTAGATTTTCGAGAAGTTGAGCCTCGAAAAATTTCATATACGGGTAAATCCACCTCTTGTGGCTCACAACGGTAGGATATCAAATGAGCTGTTCCTCATTTATTCGATTCATACTAGGAGTCTCTCCATCTCTGGATTGGCACAATGAGGGCAAGGATACACTGTGGCAGATAGTATTGCAGGCTTAGATGAAGTCTCGGGATCATAGCCAATCTAATATTACAGAAATTCTTGCTCTTCGAAACTGCACGGAGCGCGATATCGCAAGGCTTCGAAAACAAAAATATGAGGGAAGGGCGGGCTCCCTCGACTCGGCCTAGATAGGGGTAACACCATAAGGGCTGGCTATATGTCTTTCAAATCGGGTCTTTTACATACACCCATGTGAGTTTGTGCCCACAATCACTCAGCCGACGTTGTGTGTTCAAGTATGAACTTCTAGACCGGCAACTGAGATTGCCTCACGTCTGGCTCCCTCGCTTGAATGAACTGAACCGCTAGCTGATAGTTGCGGCCGAATTGGTCTAGTACATAATACGGTATCACGGCACCCAGAGTTAAATATCTCTATTACATGTATTATAGCGTGGCGTGGTCTTCAGGACATATCCCAGGCCAAATTCCGACGAGTGAACGAATAGTTCAGTACCAGTTGAAATAGGTCGTGCTCTCTGCACATAACCAACGATAGGAAGTCATAAAATGACTTTTACGAGCTCTGACATCTCGAAGGATACACTGGGTCTTTACTTTGCTCAGAAGCATCTTCATCAATGCCAGACACCACAAGTTCCGGGCCTCAACACTGAAGTGCGGTGCCAGATGTCAGCTCGTACTTACATCCGAGTAATACGCCAGCCAATCCCCGCCTCGAGGATACGAAATATCCAGTGATCAGAGATAGCGATAATCACATCAATCTGTCATACTGTTCTCTCATACATCCGCCTTCCTAGGGCTCTTCAAAATGGACTCGTCGACAGCGGGACAGCCACATTGTGTGCTGGAGATTCCGCTGCCATGACAGTGCGGGCATGCTAACGCATGCACGACACCCCTGATAATATTCCCCACAAACGCGGGGTAGAATTTTATCACCGGAATTGCCTCATTGCCTTTTCTTTTCTTTGGAGCAATGCGTTGTCGCCTCTGCGCCACGAGCTGTGGCTGGCTGCATTGGGTATGATAGATAGGCTCCTGTGTTCTGGACCCATCTCGGGATTCGTGGTAGACTAGCATGTCGGTCTTCATCGGTATACATACCCTTAGTGTTATCAGGACGCAACCGATGCGCGGTGGCTGGAACCGATTCCAGAGCCCCGACAACTCCGAATTCTGGAAGGGGAAAGCGGGTGTTTTCTGTTGATACGGCACAGCTGAGTCGGTGACGGCGAGGTGTGGCTATATGACTAGATGCTAGTTTCGTCAGAGAGTTGCCGTCTAGATATGGACTATGTGCTACGTCGCAATACTTCTCAGCCCTAAGTCAGCGCAGTCAATCCAAGCTGAGAAAGAATATCATCTCAGTCGGCGGACCCCATTTCGACAGATTTCTGTCGCAGCATCCTACAAACTCGATGATCTGAAATCAAATAGCCCTGTGTGGCCGGGTCTGCCACAAAAAAGGCCATCCGATGTCCAGGGCGGAGAGCAATTTGTTGACATGTCTCACTTGGTGTTGATTTCGCGAGTATACGTCGAATGCCTCTTCTCGCAACTTGATGCAGTTGCCTTCATCGACGATCAGAGCGGCGCCTCGTCCAAGTAGTTGAAATTGCTGGCTCGACCAAAGCACTCGGCGATAACTCCACCGTTCGACATGGGTGCAAAGCGGAGGATTCTCATCTCTTTATATAGATTTCTGATCGATCGGCGGGCATCGGTGAGAGAAGCACACTCTACCGGGGCCGGGCGATGGGGCCAAAACTTCTTACCACCCAAACCGGGCGACTTGTATCTGCAGGCACCTCTTCCCCGAAACTCTGTTGGAAAATGGGCTGCAAGAGCGTGGCTCAAGAAACCAGCGGTCTGGTAATCCCGAGCGCGTACCTTGCAGAAGTGCCCGTCATATCAGATCTCAAAAGTGGATTAGGGTTGAGAAGGCTATTAAGGCATGCAGAATTGGAAATTACAAAAGTTTCAATGTTTTCTTACATCGCGAGATTTTTGTTCTCACCTTCGCTCAAGCTGTCATCTTGATCAGCCGCAACCCAAATCCTGAATTCCCAAAATTTCCAATAATAGCCGACGCATCCCGATTCGCTCTCGCTCTTTCGCTTCGCTCTTTCTCTGCCTGGCCACCGCATCCACACCCACTCGCACCCTCGTAGGGGCGATTCTACATCCAACATGGGGAGAATCAGAGCGGTGACTCATATTTTCCATGAAGCACCGCTGCAAAGTCGTGGTACCCTCCATCACGTCCCGTTTCATCCTCTGGCGCGCCATTCACCGGCCACTTTCGCCTTCTGGCAACAGCCATCGCCAATCAAGCACTTGTACCGGATACGGTCGACCATAGGAAGGCGAACTTCCTGGTTGAGTGTAACCCTCTCGGATTGGAGGGGGAAGAAGAGAAGAGAAAATTGGTTGTCACCGCCTGTTTCTCCTTCAATACCCAGCTCCTTTGGTAGCAGAAGGACGGTATCACCGTCGTGGAAAGAAGGCACCCAATGTGGTATGGTTTCAGACAGAAAGATAAAAGCCTGCGTTTATGTGCAACACGTACATGATAGCGACGAAGATGGATGGATGGATGGTGATGCATGATGATTAAAGCTAGTGTACTGCTAGGTATGATCCGCGATAGACAAAAGTTAGCTAACGGATCGCCCGTGATGAGGCAGCTTGTGCGTCCGCCGACGGCAAGTCGTGATTTGACGCCTATGGGTAAAATCGAACGATCAACTTGGGGGGCATTTCGGCCCTACCCTCCTCCATGCAGCTGCCACCGGTGTTGGAGAAAACCGTGTGTACGTACTTGGTTCGAAAGGTACTTCTGAGTTGGCAAGCGGTCAGAAATCACACCATCCTCGGGGTTTGACTCGCACATCCTGGTCATTGGTGACGAACGATCAGCGGGGAAGCTTCGAAGAAGTCTTTGAAATAGATCATATATTGTTGAGTTGTCAAGGATGGGGTACCCTAGATATAATGCAGAATTGTGCGCTGTGACTTTCGAAGCCTTAGTAGCGGTATGACATTCGTAGCCTCTAATTCGCTGGTAGTTACGGTGTTAGTGCAGTAAAGCTCGGCCCGCTGTGTGTAGCCATGAAAGACTTCGTCGTGGCCTTTTATTAGATACTAGACGTTGTCTTGAATCCACATAGGGTCTCAAAATAAGTGAACTATACCCGACCCCATTGTTGTGTTAATTTTTCGTTCTAGAACGGCAGACGCTGCCGACCGAGAGAATTCCATCGTCAGGAGACATCTCAACAGCGGGAAATGGAAAGCAGTTTTCAACATAGCATCGATAGCTTCTTCCAAATTCCTTATTATCTAGAATTGGCTGCGACAGATTCTAATTCCGTGATGTTTCTTGATTGTGTGTTTCTTTGTTTTCTGTGACTTTGTTATATCACCAAGAACGCCTCCTTAATCCCCATTCTCGACAATCATTTCTATCATCCCTTCTATATGTAGACACCTACTACCGGGGCTTCAAAAACTGCAGTCCTAATTGTACAAATCCCATCTAACAAAATCTTGAGAGTATTCGAGGCACTCAATGTGACAATGTGCTCTGACAATGCAATGGGTATCTTCCAAATCTCGGGTGCGTCGCGTTGAAGGTATCCAGAATTTATCCACATGAAACAAATGAAAACCCCAAAAGTCGGTCACCAATTAGTTTCATCAATCTGCAGACTGGCCAGCAGCGCGTTCCGTCATTCCTGATTCCGACTTCCGGACATCTTCATCGAGAAATACAGCCAAACTGCTGCGTTCCCCGTACTGCCCTTCAACGTGAGTGTCGTGCGCAGCCTCATCTCGTGCCCAAAAGTAAAGCACATCCATTTGCCATCGCTCTATGTTGAGGATTTTGAGGAAAGAGCGGAAGGTAGCTGACAGCGTTTCAGCTTCCATGGCAGACAGACGAAGTTTGTGCAATAGCCATCTGTTGATGTAATCCTGTTTGTTTTCCCATTCCACAACCGGTCCATCTTTAGAACGAAGTTCGGCAAGCGTTACCTGGGTACCGTGAGGAGGGCCCTTATCTTGTTGCAGAGCGTCTCTTGGATTGTCTCGTGACCCGTTTTGTGTCGGCGCAGGTTGAGCGATGTGCTCCTTTTGAGCTTCTCGAGGGGGAGTGACTGTAAGTAGGAACTGAATGCCACATTCCCTGCGAGCATCTTCAACGTACTTGGACTTGAGCGGCACATGTGCGGGAAGGGAGACTGCCATGCGCAGATATTGCTGTGCAGTTTGCGGAAATTGACCAAGCAAATGGATGGGGTTTGACAACAACACGGGAAAGCGCGGGTGAGCGAGCGTTTTTGGACCGGTGGCCCCTGAAAAGGTGTGCTCTGGGCCTATCTCTTCGAGGTCAACGTCGTCTTTGTATAAAGTATCGAAACCAGACCCCTGTCGATGAAAGTCTACAACCGGCAGATGCTTGGGCATAACGTCCTTCTCCCGACACTCAGTTTCCAAACTTTCTGCAGTCTGTGCCCAATGGTCAATTTGGCTTTGAGCTTTCCTTTGCAGTCCGTCGTGGTCGTCTAGGAAATCTTTGTCGTCAAGTGTCTGCTCGCAGACTTTCTTAGAGTCAAGAAGCCTTTTCTTCAACCTCAGACTCATCATGAATTCCCTGGCCAGCTGGAGTTCCCCCAGCGAGTCTTGTAGTTCCGCGTAAAGGGGATGTATGTCCTCAGGTCTGTCAGCTGGTATGCCTCGTAGCGATGTGCGGGATGACGGCCGCGATTCTGTATCGGAACCATCCACTTCAACCGAAGTTTCGCTATGGGCAACTGCAGTGAAGAATCTCCGCTCTTGGATCTCTAAATCGATTTCTCCCTCTTCAAGTTCATCTATCAACCCATCCAGGTGCATCTCTGCCTGTTGGCAATTAAGGCTAGCCTCTCTTGATGCCTTGCAGAGGCGATCTAGGTCGGGAGGGCGCTGAAGATTACTGAGGATGGCCATTTCCAAAGCTCTATAGGCTGTGTCCCTCTTCTGGCGGAGATCTAACAGCTTATCACGCTCGGTTTTGATTCGGTCAAATGTCTGCTTCACAGCATCGCGGGAATCTCTCATTCTGGTCCAGTGTTCTGTAATTCGACGGATCTCGAGTTGGCCCGCGTACTGGCTTGCATTGACGTCATCATCTTCGGTGCCATCCCACGAAGATTTCACATCGACGTTGCGTTCTGGGAAGCTACGAATACCTTCTTCTTCTTCGTCGTCCCTTTCCCCCGAACTTTCAGCGATTGAGCGATTCACCACAGGCCCGGGTTGCTCCGTTGATCTAGGTATGTCCGACCAGGCACTTTCTGGGAACGACGAAGTATCCCTGTTTTGAAGCCCGACACCAATTTTCGCATGGGTGCTCCGTTGTTGCGAGTGTAGTATACCCTGCAATTGAGCATGCTTGGTCGGAGATCCCGGTCTCGCCGTATTCTCGGCGCGATGTGGAGCTCTCAAGGCTACGAGCTTCTCGAAGTGTCGGCTCTGGGCTGAACTCGCAGATGGGAGAGCTGGGCTACGAGCAACTCGGATGTAAGCCTCTTCCGAGAATATGGACGACTCATCATCTGAGTATCGATTGTCCTTCTCGAAGAGTTTGGCCTCCTTCGGTGATGTTTGTCGCTCCGAGCCTTCAGTCATGATGGGCACCGGTTGCGATCGATTGATATTCGGGTTATCACGTTGGTTTTCATCGTATTGATTCGTGTCTTGGAGGATCTCGAGGTCAGCAAACCCCACCGCATCCTGCTTTTCTAATGGAAATAACAGTGGCAGTACGGCCGGCGTGGTCACAACAGCAGCCATACAATGCCTGGTCTTGGCAACACGTATAGGTGAAAAGCAATCGGGCTTGATGTCTTGGTGCGTTATGAATCCTCGTCGGATCAAGGGTAATTGACGAGGCTACTCGTTTGTGGTCTCTCCCAAAAAAAAAGAAAATGACACCAGAAAAGACGCGCCAGCTGGTCGCAGTGTGTTTGTCATTCATTGTCCAGCATTCGGGGCAGGTGCGATACAGGGTATGCAGCCGCGCTGCACTTGCCACATCAATTTCCCCATCGTGCAGTCTCCAACCGACCGTCCAAGCCCAAGTACTCCAGGTATCAATACTCGCAGAGCCTCAGTTCATTCTGTTTCACAAGGCAAAGAATTTACTGGGGTCTGAATATGGCATACACCTGACAGCGTTAAGGACCAATCGCTAGACCACAAGCGACTTGGGCAGCAATATGGACCCAGGTGCAGCAGGACATCATTCCTCCATATGGCTATCCGCTCTCTCCACACGACAGGCAGGTCAAGCACTTTGTTGCGAAGGGAGTGGGACATCCAAATTCCATAAGACACACGCCCATCCCAAAGCCCACTATGACTCGACGGCGGATCTCCCATGCTAATTTTATTCCGATTGGAGTGTTGCAATCCCGCCCATGCGCCGCTTAACAGCTTCACTTATTTGATCTACTGACAGGCACTTGGTGGGTCGCTGGTGACCGGTACCGCCAGTAGGGGTTTTCCCATCGTCCTCATCCGTCTGGATGATTGCCGCCACCTCTAAATCCCTAACGCGTCTTCGTCTTGCCATACAGAGATAGAGACACACACACACGCTCGAATATCCCCATTATCCTCGTGCACTGTGGGCGTCTTTTCCCATATATGAACAAGCCAATGATCTTTCGCCTTTTACGTCACGCGCATCAAATCGAACCCCGCCAACCAACGACCAACCCAGGACTTATATCCCAAATATCTTGCACGCAACCCGCCGATGTAGCGGCAGCTTTGGGTCGTGTTGCTCGGTCCTTCTCCCATGAGAAGCCGAGATACAGCTACGTGGATAACATCCGGCGGAGAAGAGCCTCGTAGCTCCTGGGCCAGCCCAAGGTTGAAAAGGCAAGACCCGGACCCCATCCCGAGTTGACTTGATAAGTTCTTTGTGAAGACAGCTGATCGTCTTCATCTGCAAAACTGGTATCAACGGGAGGATGCACCACTCCAGGATGTCAAAATGCAGAAACAATCACATAAACATAAGTCTTCGAGGCGGGATAGACCACCGCGATCAGCAAACGACACAACAGAAACTGCTTGGTCCCTTTCCCAATGGCATCCGGAGCACAATCAGTTTTACAGGTCGAGATACAAGGGAAGTGGTACGTCCCTGGTTAAACTGAAGACTATCCATGTTCCGCCAATCACACTAACAGTTGATCTTAAGGCGAAGTAGAATACGAGTGGCTCGGTTCTGAGCTTCCGCCCACCACTGAGTCTGCCCCTCGGACAAATATCAATGTTGATAGTCTTGCCCAGGGCATGACGAACTTGGATGTGAATCAAAACGTTGGGTACGGCCAAGATCCATCCGGCGGTTACGCGGACCCTCACACAGCCGCAGAAGTTTCCGCAGGTGAGCACCAGCTATTGTTCTCACAAACCCGGGCCACAGCTAAACTACTTTGCTCCAGATCTTGGGCTTTCAACTTCGCCCAGGTATACACATTCCATTCCGCAGGACCACCACACAAAACCCCATGCTCGGAAGGGCAATGGGAAGGAGTTTGCTTACGAAGGAACGACCGTTCCATCTCGGAAGGGAAAAGAGGTAGCTAACGAAGAACCAATTGCTGCGTCTCGGAAGGGGAAAGGAAGAAGCAGCCACTACGACGACCAAGCTGGGTTGCAACCTGCATTCTCTGCAGCTGGCCATACTTCGCAATGTAAACCCAAATTGAGCTTCAACACCTGCTTTTGCGATTGGACATAGCTGACTGACTTCTGAAGCACAATACTCGGGCTACCAAGTGGAGGAGGACACCGACGCAAATTACGAGAGAGAAATAGAGAGGGCTCAACGTGAAAGTCTAAGAACTGTTGACTCCTATGGACATGAGGGATCTTCCTCTTACGCCAAACCATCCACTTATGGTGCACTGTCATCTTATTCCTCGTCGACACCATACGGCACATCATACCAGCAGGCTGATGCATCCACATATGGCCTACCGTCATCGTATGCCTCATCGACATCATATGGCCAATCAGGGTATCCGCAGCATGGCCCAACCACCTACTCACATGACCACAGTATGTTGCTGGACTCTACGGCAATGACACAACTAATCACATTAAGTAGCTGAAACAACCGCAGCCGAGCCTGCTGGAGGCGCTCCAACCCCTCGTGTTCACTCACCAGTGCTCTTGACAACTGATCATATCGTTGGGACGGAGGGAGATCACGAGCACCTGGACCCCCGTGAGCATTTCCATCCCGCCCTGTATGTATTGCTAACTGACCATTTTCAGGGTACAAAGTAGAATTTTCCTACAAGTTCCAGCCTGGGGAGGTCAGTCGCTGCTCATCATCATCATATATGCCACTGACGAGACAACGCAGGTTTTCAAAATCCTCTGGGCCGAGCCTACTGGCACAAATACAACCTCTGTGTTCGACGAACCCCTCTCGGATATCCAAACTGCTCCTGGACAACAAGGCCCGCGGGGAAAGTTTTTCATTGGATTCCGTCGGTTTATCGTCGTTGCAACAGATGAGGGCCATAGCACTTGCGTGTAAGGCATTTCTTCGCTTGTTTATCCGTGGATTTACTGACTCAACGCAGTCCCATACTGACATACGAACGACGGGGCTGCAACAAGAAGGGAGTCAAAGCTAATAAGCATGGCATCATATGCAGTGTTGGACATCGACCAAAGCTTCTTAAAGGCGAGCCAAATATGGGTTACCCTCCGGTTTTAATGAAGATGAGCGCGGAGGGCGAGAAGCTCGCGAAAGAGTCTCGTGTTAATTACTCGAAGCTGGTCACCATCGAGCACAACGTCAAAGTCTTCTTTATCGGGACCATCGAGGGTAGGGATTTCGAAACCGTTCAATCCGCCGTCGACGAGTGCTGGCAAAGGAAGCTACACCATACATCCAGGAGGACCAGGAATTAAAGCATGCCCCTACCAGCTTGCAAAACGTTTTGCGCAGCGCATCGCGCGTCACCAGGCCGAAAGTGTCGGGTGTCCGAAATTTACGTTACTCTCAGTGTCTCTTGCCCGAACTTGCTTACGACCCAGGCCCTCAATTCCTTTTACTACGTTCATCAATCCCCTTATTTGAGAAACAACATTATTTCTTTCGAAATTTTTTTTTACTTTTCGGTGGGATGCTTCGCGCTCACTAATCAGACGCGGAAGTGCCCAGATCACACGCATTTGGACCTGACGCCTGACGGAAAATTGACTACAGAATGCTCGGGTACACAGGACCGGATAGTTGGTCTCGCACAACAACTGGCGCAGAACGAACGCTGACATTATGATGATTTCCGTTGCCTGCCTGGCCTCACGATTAACGACAGGATTCATGTTACTTCACCATGATTATGATTTGGAACGATTTATGTATTGTCTTGGCTAGCTATTCCTAGCGCTATTATATAGTTCTCTTTCGTATTTGAGCAACATCTAGGCCCACATTTACAATGCTATCCACCTATTTGTCAACCGTTCTCACTGTGTGTGATGTCAACTTGTCCAAAACTGTAACATCGTAGGATCTACTACTTCTTGTTATCATAACCCGAAGTTCTGCGGCATAGGATTTCGGGAATGTGTATCTTTGAAATACGCCAAACTCAATCCATTACCGTGTTGTGTACTTCGCTAGGATCAAAATTGTAGATTCTCTAGGGTTCAAAACAAAGAATTTTCCCTATTCAATTCATGTCGTCATGAACATAGGTGTCACCGACGTAGCGTATCACAGGCACGGCATTGTGAATAACTAGCTCAAAATCCAAAAATGTGCGAGAGATATCGAACTCAACACAACCGAAGTGAAACGATTAGTTAATATCATTCGAGGTACACAATCTATGTCTTTGGCGAATGAAGCCATGTCGTAAGCGTACACATACATCACAGTTCATGACAAAGCGCAGAAGGCAGCCGACCTCTAAGTGGCTTGGCGGGTGTTCAACCAAACTAGCGACATGTTTGCATACGATGTGTATACAACTGCTAATACTACGTATGTATTGTCTTCAACTTGTGTGAATCGAGAGAGTAAGCGTGGAGAGTAGTCACCCGGGTGGCGCATGTTAGATCTACCATGTCTTCACCTTCACACTGTACAGATACAGTCGGTATTATGGTTTGTACATTCGGTTTTCCTTCGGTTCTTTTTGGAAAAAAACACATTATTTTGATGGAGTTCGCACACATACTGTTAAACCCTGTATGTATTTACTGCGGCCGCCTTCTAGCGGCAAAACTATGTAAGGGTAGCAAATTATACGTAGAGGTACACGTAGGCTGTAAATAAATATACTGTTAGGCTAATGTAAGTAAAGGTAGCCGCGTTCAACTTCCGGGATGTGTTTTTTCCATAAAATAAACGAGTTGAAACCGATTTTGCAAAACCACAGCAGCATATAAGCTGGTATGCGGCACAAGACCCTCGCTCCTGCTTTGTGTATGTTATGTAGGCAGGCCATGCTTGCTGTTCGAAAGTCTCGAGAGCCAGTGTCAATTGATCAACCTGGCCCCAATAATGGCCATTATCTCACCTTTACTAATATCGAGCCCCGTGGAACTGGCAAATTGCAGAACGAAGGCCCCCATAATGAGTTGCATGGTCTTATATATGTGTATAACATCGGCAACCAATGCAAGGCCAACCTTGCAGTTCGTCCTAACGTATTATTCATAATCACATGGCGTACCGAGACGCTGCCTTCTCCATCTTGGCTCAGAAATTTTGTATTGGTGAATTCATCAGTTTCCATTCGCAAAGTGCATGCCTGACCCTGTCCCATGCTTTACGAAATGACCGCCTTGACACCAAGCCAGAGAAGCAATACATTCCCCACTGACTTTCATTCATCTAAATGACCGATTCGCTCCTTCCACTTTACGCAGCAGTGATGGCCTTGCGGCGGGCGGCGCCACGTTGTCTTGAGCTCAAGTGTGCGTCACGGCCAGCAACATCCTCGGACTTCTGTACGACCTCCTCGCCCTCGGTCAAAATCAATTCGATGTGGCAGGGGTTCGACATGTACGGGTTAATCTAAATTCAGTGTTAGCATACCCAGCGTCTTCTTGTGATCGCCACATAAGATGGCGGATAACATACACGACCGTGGGCACGGTAAGTTCGGCGGCGCTGCTTGGGGGCCTGGTTGACCTGGATGTGCTTGATGATCAAGTTGCTGGTATCGAGACCCTTGGCATCGGCATTGGACTCGGCATTCTTGAGGAGACCGAGCAGGAACTCGGCTGACTTTACGGGCCATCGAGCACGGGAGACACCGAACTGCTTGCCTGTTGCGGATAATTTTGTCAGCACTTCTGTTGGCCATGACAAAATTTCCCCATGAGTCCCGAAATAGCCCCTATAACTTGGTTCCTAAAGAATTCCAACAGAATCGTCGTACCTTGGGCGGTGCGTCCAGTGCTTCCGGCGTAGCGACGCATGGGGACAGCCTCGGTCTTGGTCTGGACATTCTCGAGGAACTTGACGGCGCGAACCAACTTCCAGCCGTTGATGGCCTGGGCGGTCTCGCGGGTGTTCTTGAAGGAAACACGAAGGTAGGCACCGCGGGCGCGAGCCGACTTCGCGGGCGCAATCTCAGTGGCGGCGTATCGAACCTGAAGGCCAGAGTCAGTCATCCCGGTCCCAGTATTTCGCTATCACCAACTTTCGGGCTGGGTTGAGCATTGTTCCAGGAGCCAAAGCCGGAATCAGACACGCAGAAAATTCCCAATCCAGCCAGAAATTGAGTCGCCCGATCGAAAGTCACATACCATCTTGGTTGAGTGTTGTGGAGATGGGTTCGAGGTGGTCGTCAAAATGCTGCTCTCTGGGTGAAGTCAATCAGTGCCCGTCGCTCGAATTGTGAACTTTTCGCGCCCCGGACGCTAGCGCACTCGTGGCCCACGGAAAGCGGGCTCGCTTATTTTTCCGGACTCTACTAGGGCACAGCAGCCCTACAAAGTCGAAAACTCACCAATTTAACGCTCAATATGGGCTACTGCAACGAGGTGAAATGCGAGGTGAAATGCAGTTGCAATTAATTGTCCTGTAGGTAATTGATTGAGGTGGATTTTGTACTTTTTCCAGTCGCCAATTTGCATCGCAATTGCATCAATCCGACCAAGTTAGTGAGGTGGCATCTGATTGGCTGCTCATTCCCCCACCTTTACTAGACCGGAAAAACCAGACGCCGACAAAAGTTGCAGCTTCCAAAAAATTTCTGTCTGAGAGCTTCAAGAGTTTTGCTGCGCTCAAGCTCAGGGAAACTGCACAACTTACCAATTGCCTCGCCAAAACAGCACTTGTGGCACCCTTGATGTGCAAATAAGCATATCTTATACAGAAAAATCTTTACCAACCATAAAATGGGCTTTGCACCAAGAGGTCGAGGCGGTCCCCCCCGCGGCGGCAGCCGTGGTGGCTTCGGTGATCGCGGAGGACGTGGTGGTTCGCGAGGAGGAGCGCGAGGTTGGTCTATTGTTGCATCATCTCTAATCCCCTGAATGCTAATTGTGATTCCCCCAGGTGGTTTCGGTGGAGGTCGCGGTGCACCTCGAGGAGGTGGTCGTGGAGCACCCCGCGGTCGCGGCGGACCCCCAGGGCGTGGTGGACGTGGTGCTCCCAGGGGAGGAGGTGGTGCTCGCGGTGGTGCAAAGGCCATCGTCGAGCCTCATCGTCATGAGGTTAGTGACCAACATTTACCAGCATGGAAACCTCAAACATATGAAGCTGGGCGCAGCTTAGTCCCCAGCCGAGCTCTGTCTGAGGGCCCGAAGCTTTCCAGATATGCCTTTACTCTGAACTTGCCTCAGAAATCTGCAAAAAAGCATTGACTGACTTGAAGATGAATAGGGCGTCTTCGTTTCGCGTGGAAAGGAGGACCATCTGCTGACTCGTTCGAGCGCGCCTGGCATCGAAGTATACGGCGAGAAGAGAATCACAGTTGACAACTCTGAGAAGGGCGAGGACGGCGCGCCAGTGACGACAAAGGTTGAATACCGAGTATGGAACCCTTTCCGAAGCAAGTTGGCAGCTGGTATCATCGGTGGTATCGACAACATCTACATGGGACCTGGCAAGAAGGTCCTGTACCTCGGGGCTGCGTCTGGTACCTCCGTCTCTCACGTCGCTGATATTGTCGGCTCTACCGGAAACGTTTACGCAGTCGAGTTCTCCCACCGTTCTGGTCGTGATCTGGTCAACATGGCCCAAAACCGAACAAACGTTATTCCTATCGTCGAGGATGCCCGTCACCCCATGAGATACCGCATGCTTGTACCCATGGTTGACTGCATATTTGCCGACGTGGCACAACCTGATCAAGCCCGTATCGTCGCCTTGAACGCACACATGTTCTTGAAGATTGGTGGTGGAGTGGTCATCTCCATCAAGGCCAACTGTATTGATAGCACAGCCGCCCCTGAGGCAGTATTTGCGCAGGAGGTACAGAAGTTGAGGGCAGAGCGCATCAAGCCGCAAGAGCAGTTGACTCTGGGTAATTTCCCCCTATTCCTTTACTAAAGCGGTCACCAAAACTAACGCACTTATTTAGAACCCTTCGAGCGTGATCATTGTATCGTCATTGGACAGTACCAAGAGGCAAAGTAGACATCGGCTCAATCTAGGGGAAGACAACTGCATTACGCAGAGTTTCTGTCTTCGATGTGTGACTAGATGTCTTGGTTGTTGGATGGCGGTTCCATCAGGCACCGGCGAATTTGGCGTTAGGGACATTGAGGGACTCTGTTTTTACTGCTAAGTTTATTTGTGCATAATGACAATGAAAGGAGTTGATATGGCTGATACCAACCGCATTTCAGTATCAGCTCCAAACTATCTACATCATCACATGTTGATTTGAACCGTCCAACGCCGTGTGGAACATTATGTCTTTCCTGTAAAATTCCTCCAGACCGAGGCCTACCTGCTCCTCGACCAATTCCCGTGATAAAGTCAAGTTAGATTTATCCTTAAAAGTCAGACTTGGATGTCATGACTTGAAGTCTTCAAGCCTCTGGGTGTCTCATCAGTCAGCGAAGCATAGTTGATCTTCTGAGGTAGGTCTTGCCAAATAGAACTGTGGAACTCGCCGCACACCCGCCGTACTCTCCACGGCGTATCAATTGTCCTGCAGGTAGAAAAGCCACGCCGAGAGGAGAATTGAGTAAAAAATCCACCAAGCCGTTTGTTGCTTCATAACTCGGGGTTCTCAGTCTCGATGGTTGTCAGCATTCGTACGCTCATCCGTGGGGGAGTTTGCCACCTGCCTGGTTCTCCATCATTCGCGGCTCCATCGGTATCTCGCGCCGCCCAGCATCCGCTTCTAACTCCACCTCCGCCTTCGCCCGTCCTGCTAGGGTATACGATAACACGGGCACGCTTGACCCGGTGTATGTGGTGGGATTACACCCGCTTGTGTAGCTGGTGAGTACACCACATCCTCCTCCCGCGCGTATCCACGCACTAGAGTTGGAACCCGCCTGTCCCTGTCCGTCTTGTCCATCAAAGCTGCCGTCAGCCCAAGACTGAAACTGAGTTTGAGTCTGCTGCTGCGAAGGCGAGCCCCACTCACTCCCCGCCTCACTCTTTCCCAAATCCAGCCCGTACTCTCTAAGCCTATCCCTCTCCCGATCCACAACCAGCACCAGCGTAATCGGCTCAGGCTGCCAATCCATCTCGTCCTCAGCAATACCAAATGGCACCCCCACGTCGTTGCTCCACTGCACCAAGCCGCTCCAGATGCTCTGCAGAGTGCGAAAGATGTCGTCGCGGGACTTGAGATTGGTTTTGCGGATCTGCCGGCAGTCTTTGCAGTTTCGGTTTAGGGGAGCTGATGAGGGCAGGGAAAGGGGGTCCATGGTGGTGGTGTTGTTGTTGTTGTGGAAATAGGGGTAGCTTTGCTCTGTGGGGCTGAGGTCGTCGGATTCGAAGCCCGAGTCGGACGTATTTTCAGCTAGATGGTGATGGTGCTGCTGGTGGTGGTTGGTGACATCCCCGGCTATGTTGTGACTGAGGTTGTGGTGGTTGCTGGGATGGTAACGTTGACCCTGTCCGCCACCACGGCCTCGGTGAGTTCGCTGGTTTCGTGGAGAGTTGTTGGGGTTATTACTATTCTTGTTGCCGAACCGGACTGGTGGCCCTTGGCTGTGATGTGGGCTGTCGCGGGAGTTATTATTGCTGTTGTTGCTGTTGCGCTGGGAGCCTCTGTGGATACCGTTGTTGCCTCGCGTGGCCGACACGTCACGCATTACTTGGTCGTTATCACGAGCTCTGGACCAAGGGAGGCCGTTGCGGCCTTTGGCGCCGGTTCTTTTATGGCCCATGACGATTCCAATTTTGCCTCCTCGATGTGGGAGGAAGAGGGTCTGGTCTGGTGTGCTCCGGTCTGGAGTTTTTGGCGAAGTGGTAGGTCCTGCTGAGTTGCGCCTGTGGTTGATCAGGCTGACTGTCCAGTTTGCTGGATGCTTGAAGGCAACGGGGCACGAGATGAGCATATATCAGATATTTGGGCGTCACATCGCAAAGGGAACCATGGAATTGTGAAAGTGCTTTATATTGCTTTAGTATTCACCGTGCGATGGGTGAAAGCAAGGTCTTATTTGATTGGCTGGTCTGAGAATCGCCTTGACTTGTGAAACTGTTTGAAGTGAGTATACGCTGGGAATAAAGACGACTACTAGGCAAACGGCCTGATGCGATGCTCTTGACGGAGCTCGGAGTTGTGCTTGTGTACAGCAACGGGAAACCTACTGAGCTTCTGGCAATGGGCTAGAAGGAATAGAAGGTAGTGCTTGTTCAAGAAGCAAGATCTAGAAGACTTCTGAAGGGGACAGCCTGGTTGTCTTATCGGAGGCTGAGAACAAAGGCTCTAACTGTTATGGGTTTGTCTTTAGTAATGATTAATTCCCACCATGTGTTCTAGGATGATCTCAAACCTCACCGACGGGATAACAACAAACTGACACAACGAACATTGTCTAATGCTCGGAAAATTTTATCAGAAGGTTCATAGTTGCTTTGTGTTCTGAGCAGCTCATTTATTTATCTTGGACTTAGAAACAACATATACAAGGAGCCTCATAATGGAGTGACCCAGAGTGTTTGGCATATTCCATAGCACAACACAGAGCAAGAAAATATGGCCCCCTGTAATTCCCAGATAGCTAGTATCAAAACAGTGTCATTTCAATTTCTCCGCTCTTCACCAGTGTCAATATTCCCTCGAGAGCCCTGAGAACTGGAGCACGAAGTTCGCAAGCCCAATTGGCTGATTTGGAGACTAGAATTCCAATAATGTCAGTGCCAGCCTGAGAATTCTGTAGCGACCTGAAAAGTATAAGGCTTTCTTGATGGATGTTGACAGACTTATGTTGAAACGACCAATAAAAGGGGTTCGTTGGAAACGGGCGACACAGGTGCAGCCGGTAAATGAGTAAGAGCTTGTCAAAAACACCAGATGCTCGATTGTAAGTCCGAACATTTGGATTTTGTGAAACGTAGACAGCGCTTCGACAGCTTGGAAGTGGATGGCTTTCACAGCCGCATTGACCATAGAGACGAGAGGGTTCCAGGAAACTTCAGCTGAGGCATTCCCGGAGCTTGACCTTGCCCTGATAAGTGCCTACAACGGTTGGAGTTTATCAGCGGTCGATGTACAACTTTTATATAGTGGGTTGGGCATGTTGATGAGGTGGCTGTTGCGGCTGAAAAATATTCCCTGCTTCGGACTGGCATGGTGTTGAAGTTGCCTACGTTGCGCTTTGCAATGTCCCCTTCACCTCTTTGTGAAGCAACAGGACTGGGACAATATGCAGAAAGATGCTCCAGTGATATACCCAACTTCAGTCCAGACTCTTGACTGCGACCCAGTTCGCTCGTGGTATATGCAGAACAATCTGATTTGAGAATGACTGAAGTCACTCCCACTCGGAACATTCGGTGAAGCTGTCAGACATTTTGAGTTTCTTGGCACGTAGAATTCTTTAAGCCTCATCCATGGATACCACACCACAAGTATGAGTGCTTCAAATAGGTAACCGCCAGCTCATTTTGATACAACGATCCCTCACGAGCTAACCCCTCTCGGTCAGCCAGCTCCGAAAAGAAGCAGGCACACCGCTCGGATCCGAGATGCGGCGCAACCAAGTCGAAGTCAGTGGCGATTGACAAGATGGCATCTTGTTCTCGGCATTGTTCTTAGATTGCGCGATCTGCGAGTTTGAATAGCCAGAAAATATAGCAGATGGTTCTGAAAATGCCCAAGTCTAAGCAAAGTGTAGGGTTGAGAAAGTATCAACGCAACGCCGTGTTTGTAACTGACATGAGGAGTTCTATTGGAAGTTCTAAAGAGCCAAATATATGAGCAAACAGCCCTAAAATGATAATCTTGGGCCTTTAATAGCCAATGTTAAGACTGACATGTATTCTCCCTTACCTGCTATGCCTTTGTGGGATGAGGGGTGGGTTTGGTAGGGGAGGGGAAACACTGCACCGTGAGTCCCGGGCCAGAACAAAGACGGCTTACAAATGGCGCGCTTAGGGCTCGATTACCGCCAACCAGATTGTCGAATGCTTTGTACGACGTCGGTTAGCTGTGTTCCTTGAACAGTCCGACATTTAATGGCGGGCTTCCGATCCTGCTGGATTCTGAAGACGGCCCCGAACCAACAATTGCAGCGCAACATGGCATGGCCACTGTAAGCGAGTACGGGAAGATTCGGCTAGTGCTGGCACGTCATGACCGTCTACTCGCCAATGTTGTCATCACTCTCCAGTTACTTCGGGTCCGTTCTCGGCAATTATGATGAAAGGTATATCCAGCCTCGCAGTGCCATGTCATACCTCTCCCCACGTTTCAGATGAGCTGGTGCGAGGCCTGGAAAGGATGATCCTCACGGCAATTCTCTCTGAGAATCCTTGATGTGACGTAGGTCTATAGTATTGACCAATTCCACCCAATAATGCGACGTACCCTCCGAAATTGCGTCTGGCGAGCCGCACATGCCGAAGTCTGACGTCGATGTAAACAAGGCGGTGGACGTTGAATTAAGCGGCTGTATTATATATACCGGCCAAGTCGGTAGCGAAGAGTCTCCTCTGCAGGGTAACAACAGAGCACGGACACGTACCTATCACGCATCTGCAAGTGCAAGGGGTTTTGACCTCTGGCATATCTGAACTAAGTGTGCTGAGTCGATCAACGACGACATAAGCAGACAAGCGTGGGGTTTGACAACAAAGTGTAAAATGGGGACGTTTTCCGAGACCAGTCTGCGTTGTCATCAGTACCCGATTGAGGTCCGGGTGGTACGCCAGTACGATATGGTTGTTTGGCTAGAGTGCTTGGACGGCTAGAAAGCGTAGTTTTGATAACAGGGACGAGTCTGGTAATGTGGTCCCTGAATCCTTACAGTGGGGGCAGCGGCTCTCGACTTCCAAGGCCCTGGGATTTGACGGCTGCAAGACTCCGGAACTGGATGACTAGAATCTGATTGGCAGCCAGAGACGAGACTCCACGCAGTATCCGATGAAGTTGGTATCGTCTGTTCATGGACCAAAGGCGAAGGAACTAAGAATGATGAATGTGCACCTCGCATTTCTCGGTGCAGACATCGTTTCAGACTGCCAGTTAGTATGTTGAGCAGACTTTGGGATGCCAATCGAAAGATCTTATCCCCTGCTGATTGCATCGTTCTCGCACAGTAAAGGCAAGGTGTGTTGTGATAAGCCATGGGTGTCAGAACTAAGAAACTAAGAGTTCCTATTGTGGTATACAGCGTGTATATTGTGGACGCCGCAGGCGTTATGTTTCAATAATGTGGCAACTAGAAACGAATTTGGCAATCTGACCAGTCGGCACATGGAGCAAGCAGGTGGTCAAAAGTCCCGAGGATGCAAGCGAGCCGCTGATCCAACAAGGGACCCTATCAAGCCGGACTGGAACGAACTGCATTGCGAGAATCAAGTCCAGCGAAGCGCCTTGGGTAAAAGCTGAAGTGGTTTCTATGGCAAAGCTGATTAGAAGGAAAGAACAATGTATGGGAAGATTTCAGGACTGAACGTTATTTTAAGATTGCAAATGAGACCCGCTTCCAAAACATGGTGAAGAAACAGCTCGAGCTGGTGGGCTGAATGAAGTCTGGAGAGTGGTGGGCACCAAGGCAAGCCAAGCTCGGGAGCTCCGCCCTTGCGACCCTGTGCGCCCTAATCCGGCGGTATTGGCTTAACGGGGTGCTCCCAGCTAGGTGCAGAATCGTCGTCATTTTGACATGTTGTGGTCGCTTACGTTGGCTTTAGAGTGCAGATATTGTCCTTCTGTCCTTCCCTAGCTGAGTCGATCGAGTCATCCTGCCGAAAACACCCAATGGTCATCAAACATCGTCGTTCACAAAATGACTGCTTACAACGAAGTAATCCTCACTGCTCCCCGGACCGTATCCGATCAACATAACAGGTGTAACTATGGCCAAAGAGCGGTCGACCTCAAACCTAGCTGGGTTCATCACGCACGTCAATGCACAGCACAAGTTGGCTACCTCCTAAGGCCTGGGAGGTCGTATCGGCTCTTCGAATCGTCTGGTGTGTTCCTCCGCCAGCAACCGTTATTGTGTGGCCATACCACCCACGGCTAGTTGCGGTGGCGCGTTGGGACGCTTAACAATGAAAGCTTCAAAACATTTCATTTTTAACAGATCCAATCACACAAGCTCCTGGTCGGTCGTTTTGGCAGCTTGACGGCTTGAGAAGAGAACGATAGAGAATCCATGTCAAAGTTTGGTAGTACAGCCATCTTACCCGTCTCAACGGTTCAGCAAGCTGCCTATTCCCCGATGGCTGTCACGTATGCCGCGCAACAGAGCAATTTTCTTCGTCTTGGCAGGTTCTACTCACATCTCGCCCCAAGCCCATTGTTTTAAACCATTGCTACAAATGCAATGCGAAGGACGTCACTGTCTGGACACGACCCCTACAGATAATTGCTTGTCGATGCATGCAGGCTTCACCAAGAGGACCAGGCTTGAGGTCAAGACTTGGGATGCCAATGTTGTCCTTCCTGTTCGTCCACCTTGATGCCTGTTCAGACTGTGCGCTAAGTTCATCCCACGTTGTGTCCCTAGCATCCAACTAGGGGTTAGAGTACACTACTTCACCATTAGCCAAGAGGTACTCCTTCATAAACCAGCCAGAAGCATTCTAGACTGGGCTTTGCAACCCTGCTTATTATGTTCTATTTTATGCCATGGGACACCCGCATTGGCACCCGCCAGCCAATCCTTGGGTCTAAATGCCCCTGCTGTTGGCCATGCTTCGGTACGCAGTGCTGGCACGGGCTATTTTCTGCATTTTGCCATCTGATCGGCTCGAGTGGACATGTCGCACGGCGAATATCTCTTGTCCCTCCCTCGAAGGCTTGCATGCTTCGCAAACCTCTAAACCTCTGCCAGATCTCCGCCGGTTCGTTGATTACACGGCATGGCACCCCCGCCAGAAGCTGCATAGGATCCCTCTGATTCCAATGTTCGAGACAACGTTTACGTCTCTCTTCTTCTTGTACATCTTCATCCTGGGCTTCACACCAACCCTGTGCTCTCTTGCCTTTTTGCCATGCTAACCTTTTCACGACCAACATATCATAGAGCCTAATTTAAGAGTATTTCAAGATCCACACCACCCCCTCACATCATAAACCCTCGACGCAGCCATTACTATGAACACCAGCCTGTGTGGTTTTGTTGGGATTAGCGACCTATATTTGGAGGACCTCTCTCTGGTCAACACTCGTCACCGGCATCAACATCTCGGTTACTGATCTCCCTACCTATCCACGAACGTCCTTGGCAGACTACGCCATCGATTCAAGGTCAACTCTTCATACACTGTTGGCAGAACACAACGCGCAGTGTGGGATATTTCTGGGGGCTATTGTTGATCATTGGGACATGCCAAGCGGACCCTGTGATATCATCTTCTGCAATCCAAATTCCACCTACTCGGATTTATATTCAACCACACTACATCACTGAAGTTGGACATACCAAAATGGCAACAAACGACAAAAACGCCCCAGTGGATCCCTTGAGGGCTGGGCAGCTCTTAGCAATCAGTGTCATCGAGCGCGTAGGCTCGGTCTTCTCATTGTTAGGATGTCTCTTCATCATTGTTACCTTTTCCTTCTCCAGGGCTTTCCACAAACCTATCAACCGTCTGGTATTCTATGCCTCCTTCGGGAACATGATGACCAACGTGGGAACACTCATGGCTAGAGAATATATTGGCAACGTCGACTCAATCGGATGTCAACTCCAGGGGTTTCTGATTCAGATGTGAGGCATGCTTAAAGCCCTGCGCTTGTATATACAGCTTTGCTTACTTCTTTAAAATAGGTTTTTGCCGGCTGATGCTTTTTGGACGTTGGCCATGGCCGTCAATGTGTACTTGACCTTCTACTTCAAGTTCGACGCTCAGCGCCTCCGCAAAGTGGAGATTTGGTACTTCTTACTTTGCTACGGAATACCATTCATTCCTGCTCTTACGTACATCTTCGTCAGTAACAAAGGCCAAGGACGCATGTACGGAGATGCGACGCTGTGGTGTTGGGTTAGTTCGACTTGGGACGTTTTCCGCATTGCTACTTTCTACGGACCTGTCTGGTGAGGAAAGTCCCTGATTGTCATGTTTGGTCAAGGCACTTACGAGAAGTAGGGTTGTGATTGTTCTCACTTTCTTCATCTATCTCCGTGCCGGTGGCGAAATCTACAAGAGACGAAAGCAGTTGCGAAATTTTAGCAGCACTACTCACGACCCCGAACCGTTGACAATGGACGACCCCTTTTCCACCAAGACGACAGAGGTGACGGTTACCACCGAAGATGCGACGACTATCGGCGAACAAGGGATCAATCTTGGCCCCATAGGTGGCAGTGGACCAGAGGCAGGCCCTGTGCAACAGCAGTACTCGGTGACCATCTCGTCAGATGCTCGCAACAAGCGCGAGTCACATAGCGATTTCTCCTTGCCGATACAGAGCAACGTCATCAGCCAGGTCCCACCCACTAGGCACGGCAGAGCTCAGAAACGACGAGCCAACTTCGAAGCTAACAATGCTGCTTGGAGTTACACCAAGTGCGCCATCCTCTTCTTCACGGCTATCCTCGTCACATGGATTCCGTCTTCAGCCAACCGCGTGTACAGTGTTATTAATGCAGGGGCTGTCTCGGTGCCTCTCGAGTTTATGAGCGCCATCGTCCTGCCACTACAGGGTTTCTGGAACGCGGTCATCTACGTCGTCACATCATGGAAAGCTTGCAAGATGTTCTTCACCGATATTGGCGACCGCACGAGCTACCGCCACAGTAATTCGAGGTACACGGCGGATTTTACCGACAAGAGGCATACAGCGTTCAAAATGCCTAGCCGCATCCCTAACAAAAATTACGAAAGTGAATCGATGACCGAGCTCGCGAATGACACGCGGCCGAATTCAAACGAGGACCGAAGCAGGCCGCCGGGCGTCTGACCAAATTGCGGGATTGCCCGGGCACTTTTGATGCTCAGGGCAAACTCGATTTCCTTTTCTTCTTTGTATTATATCCCCACGCATGTATTCATACAAACTACTGCTGTATTACGCGTATTTAGAGGGAGCACAGTCTGAAGGCATTTATGCAAAAGCGCTGTACAAACTATCCTATATACCCGATGTGCTTCATCGTTGTCACGCCAAGTAGCAAAAAGCGTGAAATGGATTTTGAGTCATACATATTGCTCTTTCAGTTGTTGTGACTATCGGACCGATGTGCCTGGCGAAATTCGCAAGTTGCTAAAAGCGAGCAGAAGCGGCACGCATGGCTTGGGACAGCTGCCTCAAAACTTTCCAGCCGAGAACGCCTACCGCTTCCTCGGGCCCGGCCACATGACACAACGGCGAAGAAAAGAAAACCCCCGAAATTACAGCAGCTCGAGACCTTTGTTGGACTGTGCCATGTGGCGCGGAAACAACAACAACAACAACAACAACGATCATCTAATCAACTGCGGGAAATCCGGAAATAGCAGTTCGAGTTTATGTTGAATGCACTCAGAGCAACATGGTAATATCGGTCCCAACACCGTTCATTTAAGCCTCAATTGGGCCTGCATCTGTGCGAGAGATTCTCTCCAGATTCATGCAACCCACGCCGCATGCGTTTTCATGTAGAGTAACTCCTATCCGGAGATTTCTAGTCGCAAGTCCTACTTGACTGTCTATGTGAGATCGTACTTCTCGCATCGCAGGACGCCGGTTGGTTTGCACGGGTTATGGGCGGAAGTCGTGCGTTCCCCTCCTTTTCACCCTCTACACAACATGCACATATGCACAGAACTTCACACTACATGAGCAAGAGGTCTGATGACTGGATGACGAGTCCCTTCGGACGCGGTGGATGGTGGTGTGGTGCTGTAGGTGGGGTTACCCGCTGCAATCCGGGTGATTAGCCGTCGGCCCCACGTCTGCAGTCTTCCAGACACTCATGTTAGACTTGGCCTGTGGGCTTCGGCGGGCGCTTTCTCTTTCTTTCTTTCTCTCCATCAGTTGCATTTCAGGAACTGCTGACGGTGGTCGATGAGTGGCGCAATGCCCCCTTCCGCAGCGTTCACACCGAGATGCAGGTTAACTAGCATCAAAACGGCAGCCACCCTATCTGTCACTGTACCGCTTAGAGGCCGTTCTGTGGCGCATTGGCCAATAGGAGAGCTGTATCAAAGTGCAGACTGGACGGACAAGCAACCCTCGTCCAGCTTCGTTCACGGCTGTTCCCAGCTCACTGGGACGGAAACAATGACATGTGGGGAGAACAAAGGGTGAGAACCTCCCCCCCCTGCTTTTCTGTTGTTTCGCGTGGGTGCCCTGTAAGGTCAGAGTGAGCTAATTGATTCTGATATGGTGGTTTTATGTAAGTAAAAGAATTTGGCGAGCAAGGAGTTGCATAAGGTACTCATCAGGTATTCAGCTTTTACGACGTAGAAACTGCTGCAAATTTCTCACCAGATGAGGAAGGTGCTCGACCCAGTCATTTCCGGGCTCCAAGAGAGACGCCTCCTGATATTTGGCCGGCTGGAGGTTTGGACCAGGATACGTATCCCTTGCCCGTGGTTTACTAGATATAGCAGGGCGATGATGCACGACAACACAACTCACCGGTGGTCCTCGAGGAAAAGCAAGGGGTCAACTTTCATCATTTCGAGGCATATACTTACTCAAGCTGCTGAAAACCATATGGATACTCAACTATACGCCGTGATATCCATGGTGCTCAACCAGGGTCTTTGGGAACCAAAGTGCGATTTGCATAAGGTTTGATATTGCGAATGCTCTCAGCCAGAGCTGCCGATCGGAAGCATTCGTAGCGAAGCGTGTTACCGGGAAGCAATTTGCAGTTTCTTAGGTACAGCCCTTGCGGCGTACGTCGGGATGCTGAGCTTGAGGCGTGCTAGTACTGTAGATTGGCTGATCTGGATATCCCACGATGTCACGTCTTGGGGAACTCCTTTGTTAGTGGACCCTCTTCCCCGCACCGCAAGACAGAGTTCAGAGAGGGTCTCACGGAACTGAGGTGGTAGTCGCCTCACCAACCATAAATCCTCCTATCATGCTTCTGCCAGCTCATTGAGTTCGCCAAACAAAAATATGAATAGCTTGGACGCCAACGATGCAATCGCTTCACCGAGTCATCGTTGCATTGCAGATGTCAGACCGTGGTGCCGAATTCAGTCAGCAACTATGGTGAGTTCGTCTGGAACTGCAGAACTGCTTTGCACATGCTATACAATCACCGAGCCTTCCGAATTATTGCTATATTACGGTTTGAACCCGACATGTCTGTGGACGACGTGCGAGTGGCTCCACCGTTCTTCCCCACAAGATAATGCTCGTGGGGGGATTGACAAGATTTGGTGTGATGGACCCATAATGCATAGAGCGACAGATGTGATGTGTGGTTCTATCGGGCCGTTGACGATGCCGACCTTTGAGCGAGTGTGGTAGCAAGTGAGAATTGTTGATCCAGGTATCTCGGTATGTGCATATCGGCAGGTAATACGTTCGCTCTTGGGGGGGGGGGGGTTGGGTGCATTTCCCGGCTCAACGGTAGCGTCTTCTTTCAGACGATCCCTGGTTCAGGGGTTGGATCGCAGTTGGAGGCTCTACCGTACAAGGTAACCCAATAGAAGTTGTCTGCCCAGATCGTCTGCTCCTCATTTCCGACTGGTGACCGTGATGAAATGACCGCCAGCATCAGTCGGGGTCAGATCTTTATGGTGGTTGGGATGGTGTGTACCCTTTCCAGCCGTCAGTAAGACGGTGTACTCGCGCAAATCGCTGTCTGGAGGGTTGCAATGAGACTGCTGCTCACCGCAGCCGCAACGGTGACCAACCATACCGCACAAAGAGCTGTCAGGTACCCGAAACACAACAACGCCGTCACAGCTTCGGTCGTGTTCCAATCCAATGGCTCTATCTGCAAAGTCTGTGTGCTGCAGAAGTCATGTGCTTCTAAAGTGAAAATTTGTCATTCTACCTTCTTCTACCTTCCTATCTTGGTCAGAGCTGCTGCTTTCAACGGCCCGTCCATATCTGCCCACTAAGTCGGCGTGCTTTGGATGAATTATGAGCGAGGTGCTTGAGCCGGAATAAATGCGCATATTCATAAGGAACACGATTAGCAGGTGTCCCATCCTTATGCGCTCCTTCCTGATGAATATACCTGGAGGTAGAAACGAGGCTCAATTCTCTTGGCCTCCTTTCTGCACAGCCGCCAATCTCACATAGGAATCATTAAACCCTAACTGCTGGCAGCTTGCAGTCGTTTGAAGTGCAGCACATTGTCTGAAGCTTAAGCCAGTAATGCGAACGCCGTCATTCGCTGAGGCAGTCTGATTGGGGGGCCTGCGAGCATGCAGCACATTTTGCTGTTATAGAGGGGGCCCCGACGCTCAGTAAGTACCTGCCCCTGGCCACTGAAGTATCTTCGTCGGCCGGGCACAGCAAGCCACTGAACGTTGTTTGGAGTCGATACTCGAAATAGGAACAACAACCGACTGGGCCGCTGGATTATCATGCCTAATGCCTGCTTTGGAAATTGACAAACCCATGCATCAAATTCTTTTTTTGCAGTGAAGTATACGCGCAGGCAGTCAATGCAATTAGACCTAGCAAGTAAGACCCTGCTTACCTAAGTTGCCAAGAATTGCTATGTTGCATATACCTTGCAACATTATCGTTATCAGGATGCGGGGGTGACATCGCGCAATGTGGGGAGGTGGGGGAGTGGGGATAAGTGCTTAACCCGCACCATAGTTCCATTACATGGGCTTTGAGATATTCAATCCTCTATTGATGACTCTGCGTAGATCCTGTCTTGATTGATCTATATCTCTGCACTTTTGTGTGTTATGTGTGTAGCTATTTTATCTACGAGGAAGGGTTTTGACCCCACGTGTGCAATTGCTGCTACACCGCCTTCGGCCTAGGGCATAACCGTGGCGCTCAATCCCGCAGGCTTGAGATGATATTTGCAAGATAGTGTTGGTAGTCATCTAGCCCTTGAAGGTACAGGAGACACTTCTAATAACTGTCGCAAGTTAGTTGCTTTGGGCGGAATGAACAGGGTTACTGTTTAGTCAAGAAGTCAAGTTAGGAACAAGAGGCATACCCTTCTCATGTGATGAATGACACTGGCAGCCACCGTAGGCCAATTTTTACGATTGCATTAGATAGGCAGCAAATCCCCTCTAACATTGGATGGTATTGATGACGGGAATTGAACTCTACTATTCAATCTAGCTTAGCTTATACTTCGAGTCTGGGCTGAGAATGACTGTGGTTCAGGACTAGTCAGTCAATTGCTATGAAAGTTGAACCATGTGCTGAGTATGTTATACTTATAAACTGGCCGCACGTAGAACAAGCCGCCGTCTGGCGACTAATGCACGCCAACCGCTCTTCACTCTTCGAGCAGTTTGTTTGTTTATCCCGAGTTGTTTCAGCAAAATGATGTACGTCAAGATCGTTCGGAGCACGCTTCTCGCTGTCCAGGCGGAAATTTCACCTACTTGGCCAGTAAATTCACTACCATATGCACAGGCGAGCTCGAACGGATGTGTTACTCGTGGAGAATTGAGAATAAAGCTCTGTGTTCGACTTGTCAGTCACCAATGCAAGGTAAGAAAGGAGCCTCATCTTTATTTGATTCATCCTCAACTTACTGACTCGCCGTATTCACTGTCAACGACGACTGATATATAATAATTACGATGTTTGCGACGCTCTCAGCCTGAACGGCAAGCTCGTCGAGGCGCACGGAGGCATTGCTTTCCAGGACTGCTAGTAGTGCGAATTGATGGATCGTAGCGGTATCCATGCCGGTGCAGGAACCGAACGAAGGCAGGGGAGAGTTATCGTAACGATAACATTAACATGAGGGAGTTTTGCCAATATGCTGACGTGAGATCCATCGTCAGACGACTGAAAACCATTCTAGTCTGAAATCCAGGTGACTTGATCTTGAACGACAGCGGCCGTTTGGAGTCCTTCAGGGAATTAGCGGTTGAGGGCCTTTTTTGGCCTGATTCTGCATGGTTGAGTCTCAGGTTATGAAGAAACTACCATGACACGATGAGCATTTTACAGTCTCGCCCCATATATTTATTTAGACCTCGAGTATTCGGGCCCAGCAGCTGCTTGGTGTTGTTTACAAAGTCGACGGCTGAAAAGCGACTATCTCTCTTCTTCAAGCGGGATTCAGATGAGAGGGAATTTATCAGATGCGATCTAGACTTGTTCGAGCCACGCACGTTAGAAATTACGTTAGCCAAAACCATGGCAGGTCGAATGCAGCTGATTATCGTGCGGAAGCAGCTTCGTTTAATGTGTTTGTTTCATGTATCGAGATCGTTGAGTCTTATCACTGGGGATCATCGATGAAGTTGCGCCGCTTTTGCTGTCGAAAGTTTACCCCTATACATGAGAGAAACACCTCAGATCGTCGTCAAAAACTTCGCGTCTCATAAATGCCACAGCAGAGAACACAAGATTGAGCAGATGTTTTGAACCATTGCACGTGCCTCCCCAATAAGAGCATTCCTTGAACCTCGTGTCACCTGTGTAGCTGGACCATTTGGTAGCTCATTTAGCCCTTAGTTTTCTCCAGCTGATATCTCCAGAACGTTTGGAATAAGCAACCCTGTCAAGGATAAATTGAGCCAACAGATATCATGAGATCCCTAAAGTCCTGACCTCAGTCAGCGGTGAACCTATGATAGATAATCGTATGGCATACGCGTCATAAATGAACAAATTTTCTAGTTTGCTATGTGTTGCGAGTGGTCGAGTACTACGACAAACTACCAAGTCGAGATCTGTGGGCCTGTTTCATGCAATACTATCGGGTAAGATTGACACGGTCAAGAGGGATGGCGGCGACCGACATTCAGGGGCAAGTTGTTTGCCATAAATTCCAACGCATGGGATCTAGGTGATACCATCACTTGTAGTACATCATCGTGGAGGTATCCAGCGACTGGCACCTTGCAGTGTGTTTTCGGATTAGACAGGGTTGCTCCAGTAGTTTCAACAGGCAGAACGTCCTTGAATCATCAACTGGGTCCGGAATAGGCAGAAATAATTAGGGAATCAATTCTATATGCCTGGGCATGGCATTTATTGAGCAATATCTTCGGGAAACGCCCTCGCCGCCAACGCCTGCGCGATATATCAAATCCATGACGATCCCCACCACGTGCATGTCCCCCTCTAGAAACATACAATGCGAGTACATGGTTGACTTGACGTAAATCAGGGCCGTGGCGCGCTGTGAGAGTCGTCGTCTCTCACAGCGATGATATGTGAGTACGCCCAATACGTCCCGAACTCGGCGCATTCCTTGGTGATCTCAGGCTCTTCCCACCACCACTTCTTAGCATGAACAAATGGTCCCCAAACCTCTTGCCAGAGCATCTTCATGACCAAGCAATTCAACTCTTTCGTCGTGGCCGATTGCTCCTCAATATCCGCGATCCTGGAAAGACCCTCGGGCACGGCTGATACTAAAATGGTGGCTTTAGTGCTGCCCTTGCCACGGAGCCTGGTACGAGCTAACCACGCTGGAAAGGTGCTCTCAGGATACGCGAGTCGGGATTCCTTCTCGAGATTGAGTAAGACATTGTCAAAGAGCCACTGCCGTAATATGGGGCCCATCGAGGCCGATACCGGTTGCGGATCAATGAGCGTCAGGTGCAAAGCCCCCCTGGGGCCAAGCAACGGTGGACTCGGCCGAGTAAGGGGATGATATCGGTGGAGGGAAACAAAGCTGGCAAACGTAAACACGTCACCGCGGAAAATAGGCGAGGCGGAAGCGGTTGCGATGCAGCTGACGAGGATATTGTAGGCACGAAGATGGGTTGGATGTTGGAAAAGAGCGACGGCGATATTGGGTTGGGTGATAGATGCGAGATGGCAATATTCGGATGCAGTGCAGCAATAAATGACGCAGAAGCTGGCTCGCTTTCTTCAGTACATGTTCATTCAACGTTTTTGCGAAGGGCCGAATAGCTTACCTTGGGTTTCGTAGATTGCAAGGATCCGGGGAGGACGCAATGAAGCTTGCTTTGCAGGGGGGATGATGACCCGATTCAAGTCCATATATCCTCCCTTTTGGTGTAAAGCCGAGAACATCCAGCGTTTTTTGGTCATTTCAAGTTCCTTGTACACCATGGCATCCGTTGCATCATCCACATCCGCCTTCATATTCGCAAGCATGAGTTCAGAACCTGCTGCAGCCATCATCCGAACCTCCCGCTGTAACGCTGCAAGATCAGGAGACATATAGCTGTCTTCTTCCACATTCGACGTCGGGTTTAGAATCGTTGTTTCTGACAGTTGCGTGGGACTGTCTACTACTGAAGGGCACTGCCAATCGTGAGGCGGTCTCCAGGCCTCAAGGTTGCCCAGCCTATCGTTCCAATCTGAAGCACACATCACTGTGAGCTCCTTGGACAATGCTATTTGAGGCAAGGGAGGCTGAGCAAGCATTGGCTCAGGCATCTCGAAGTTTTCTGGAGCACTGTGCATGTGTCAGCTTTTGGCACCAATCGAAACATATCAACCGATAAACCGACCCTTCTTCAGGCAGATGTGGCAGTGGCGGCGTCTCAGCTTTGCTCCTATCTGCCGAGATGTGGATTTCAGATATTAAGTGATCAGTATCGTTTTTCGAGTCTCGACCAGACACCAACACTTCCGTATTCTTAGTGATGAAAGAGGATGGTCCCAGTGTTTGTACCAAGTGTTCCGACCTGGTGAGGATCGAGTTCCTTGGAGATGTTCCAGCTACGGTACTGGATGTGGCTAGAGATGGCTGAGTCCATTTCGAAAGGGTCGATTCTACCACACGTGCATATTAGTGAGCAAGCAAAGATTTTACTAGAAAACTGGCCCATACCTCGAGAATGGAGACTGGAGCTGCCGTCTGTAGGGTCGGGTTGCTCCACTATAGTGCTGCCGTTTTCTGGCTTGACTGTAACTTCAGAGGTATCCTCATGGAACAAGAGAGCCTTCACGTCATATCCTGTACTTGTATTGTCTGTGAAGTCGTTGAATGCTACGCGCTCCGAGGATGCGGCTCTTTCTTTGATCTGTGACGGTGCCGTGGCCCTCTTCCGGCTCTTGTGGGCGAAAAAGCCAAATGCGCGGTCACTAGTCGATGAGCGGTTGCTCGAAACTGACTGGCGACCACTCTGACTCTTTCTGTCTTTGTCCTTATTCTTGGCCTCCAACTCCTTCCTGGCGATCCTTTCTCCAACGCGTTCCCTGTTGGGATCAGTCCAAATGACGTCGAACATGGTGATTCGACACCAGAATTTTGATGCGCCGGCCACAAGTTTTGAGATGCTGGGTGTGGCCAAATGGCAAAGGAGAAATATTAATGACTTGCTAGTATGACCTCCACGTTATGCGAAGATCAGATGCTCTGGTGATGGATGATGCAGCTGACTGGGGTTAAAAAGTCAATGGACTCGAGAAACGCAGCGATAGATCATGCTGCGGCACTGCGGCCGACGGCGGGTGTGCAATTCAATTGAAGAATAGGGTCTTCAATGCAGGAATGATGAATTTTCCGCGAATATCCAGCCCAAACCGTCCAATGGGTTTAGAAGCAGTGGTGAAGCTGTTGCCGAGTAACATAAATATGAGGATTCGACCAATGGTGAAGGTATCGATGCAAGATGCGGGGCTGAGTGGGAGAAGGGAGGGACGTGTCGTGATAGCAAGGATGACGAGACAAACTTTTGGAGTTTACTCGGTGTAACAGAGGTGATGTCCTTTGAATGATCGAGGCAGGCCGCAGGGAAGGTGCGCTCCAAGGAAATTCAGAGACACGCATCCGCCCGAAAAAGAGTTTCCTCTTTGGGCCACAACTCAGCTACGAGGACTTCAGGAGGCAAGAGCTACCCCTAACATGAAAATGAAGCCATTGCCACTTACTTTTGGCAAGCTATCCAGAGTGCTGTCGAGAATCCGTTGGAAAGACCGCATTGCCTCGAAGATATATGTTCTGCTACAAAACGCCCTCGTGGTTCACGAACCATGCATCAAACTGCTTTGCCCAAGATGTGGCTAATCTGGACACATGACGAAGTTGGCTCGATTTCTGAACTCTCAGTTGGATCGTCGCTGGTGACCTCGACACGAAGCCTCTCTGGTCCATCAATTGAGATTGCCTCGAGCCCTGGAGTTGCTCTCGGGACCGTATTGGATCTTAACGTCTCCAGCTCTTGGAAAATAAGATATTTCTTGTCAGACAGTAGCACCGGCTTCCATAATCTGTTTCCACTGGAAGGCCCTTAACATGGCCTGAAGAGTTGCACAAGTATCATTGCGATCATCAAGTAGAGAAGAGGGGCTGGCTGGCAGTCGACAGGTGGACGTATCACGTTGCGTTCCAGTGTAGAAACACTACACCATTCAGAAGGACGTAACAGCATCAAATGGCATCGATGGAATAGTTGTGGTTCTTCATGCATAGATGCATATGCAAGGAAGGTTGCTTCTATGCGCTTAAAGGCGCAAGTGTTTACTCTACGGCATATGATATGTGCTTGCATATGCATGCTGAGATCAATCGCATATTATTATTTCCTCCATGTACTACTTGAAGACGATGAAAATGGGCGTGTTTGCTTGCTTCGACTTCTGCAGTTTGCCTTCAGCTCGGTCCTTCAACTTCGTCAAGCGAGCTTTCTAGTGGGACAGAGGCTCTTACCAAGAAGGTACGGAAATTCATGTTCATACTACCATGTTCAAGAGAAGGATTCAGATATTGGAAGACTTCAACTTCGAAGAGCTGGTTAGCTCAAAAGAACAGACCGTCCCATTGAAGACAAGCCGCAGAGCAACTACCAGTGTGTTGCAACCCACGCCAGCCACATATGTCACCTTGCTTGTCTCGTGCATTCTGAAGCGAGATGAAATGGAAGTAACCATGTTGGTATCGTCACATTGAAAGTTGTTACAGGGATGCGCCCAGTAGTTGATAAGTCCTATGATCAAAATCGGTTCACGTTTTTGATGTAAGGATTTCCCACTCACCTCGGTGACGATCGTAAGGCTTCAACTAATTATATTGTCTTACTTGACAGAAAAGACCGTGCGGGGCTCAGTATGCTGCAGAGATTTCCCGTTAGGTCAGATCAAACAATGGGAGGGCCTGAATCTGGTGATTCAGCCCATTCCAGGCACGAAAGAGAACCTGCATGATAACATTCAATGTCCCTAGAAGTCAGATTCCGAGGAAGACAATATTCAGAGTAGATTCAGGACTCTGTATAGTCCAATAAAGCCCTGTCAACCCCCCATCCTTAGTGCAAATCAGGGCCTGCGATGTTACTAAAGGGGCCGTGTGTGGAGTATAAACCTCCCTGAAAGATGATGAAATCATTCTTGGTAAACTCCATTGAGGGAACGAGACTTTCACACCTGAAAGTTTAAGCAGGATTGGTCCATCATTAACTATGGCAGAGCTTTCCCTCAGGCAACTTGACCCGATGTCATCCTCGAACTGATCTGGGAGAATGAGCCACGCCAAGCCTTCTCGATAGTCAAGCGTAGATCAATCGTACAGGCATACACAGGTGGTGCTGTAGAAGGTGAGACATTGTGGTCACTTACCCATGTCAAGTCAGCCCAGCTCTAGAATTACTTACACGTACATGACATGACGTCCAATAGTCCTGCAAAGTATTGCCCGAATGGTATGTGGGCGTTTTCTGTCACTTGACCTTGAATGTGCTGTAAGAATTAAATGTTTGTGACTTATCCGATTATTAGACCTAAAAGGTTTGTAGCAAGGCAGTGGTTCGCAGGAGAAGGTGTGCCTAAGTGTAGAGCTCAACCATTCCCTTTGCCGGTGGCGAAGCCTAGTTACGTATTTCCCACCGTGTTCACAACATACACGAGAGATGTATCATGGCGCTGTCCTCATCCAGACTGCATTGTGTGACTCCATGGTAGTATGGGCCGTACAACGCTGATAATCGGTAATTGGCAAATTGTCCCACTTGTCTCATGCAGCCACCCTTTGTCTAGCCCATGTTGTCCTATCATGGGGAGTTCCATCATCATCACCTCATAACGCCATGTGCGACTAAAGACAAAATGGACCGGCAAGGGCAAACGCGGGTTTGCTTCCACCTCGGTCCTGCACAGACAGACTCGAAGGGGCTAAGGGGGAGGGGAGCACAGGCACCGGCGTTATATGAAAAGTGCCGGGCCGGGGTGAGATCTAGGTTACAGATGGGATGAACACTGCATATTGTTCATGTAAGCTTGACATGCAGCTTCGGCATGGGGGGATATAAGCTTTTAAAGCACCCTATCCTTGTCCAGGCTGCATGCTGGCATTCAGCATAGCAATCTACAAATTAACGGGATTGTGCTTTACCGCCATAAGGGGCTATACGAGTTTCCAATGTCGGGGTTTCTTTCGCTAGATAGGATTTTGGACGGGATTGCAGCCGAGTGTGAATGAAGCACGTGCACATAAGAGGAGGGCAATGTCACACTATCACGATCGAGGGTCTACTATGAGCAAGAGGCACCATTCCCTCATTTTAATTCTTTCTCGATCGTGCCACCGTTCCAGAGGAATGGGCGAGAAGCGAAAGCTGAACGCCAACTATTGCCCATTGATGAAATCACGTACTTAGGTATCGGTGACTAGTCATTGGTCCTGATAGTCTAGTGAGTTTTATTAGGGCAGCCATTCACCGACACACCTTTTCCTCCTACATACCATTGGTGGTTTCCTGAATTTTCTGAGCTATAGCCAAGGAGAAATCCATTCATTCCATGAGATCTCGTGGTAACCCATGTGTTTTCAAGTACGGGTACGAGGTGCTTGGCAAAACTCACTCTCACAACGCGTTCACCGTTGAAGCCGAAGCCACGACTGCAGGCTTTTGCATCTGCCTGGCGAACCGCAAGACTTCAACTTCACCACGTTGATTTGCGCGTCCTTTCACCAGCACGACATTGAAATACAAGTCTCAGCTGGCCCCAATCGCTTCGCCGATCTCTTCGGAGTGCAGCCACCATCAAGCCCGGCTCTTACCATCTGGCCCAGCACCATCTCGGCTATTATCTACTGAGGTGAGTTGGACCTTTTCAAACACCATCGTTGATGCCACAGACTCGCCCTTTCCTGACCAACAACTCACTCCTTCAATGTTGTGGCAGCAATTTTGATTCCTCAAGCCTCGTCATTCAATTTCTACCAATTGTCCGAGTGGTTGGATGTCACTGCTAACTTTCATCTTGTGTTTCCCAGGTGAGGTTCTCGTGACTATTTCCACTGCCACCTCCTCCGCAACCGATTTTCTTTACCCGCCACACACAACCACAACATTTTCTTGCTAGCTTTGACACTTTTCTTTTCTATTGAGCACCCTCTGACGAGCTCTTACATCATCCGATCCATGTCTTAGGTCTGCTCAACTAACACGTTACGTTGCAGAACTGACTGGCACTGCCCGATCACGACCGTCCTCAGCACAACTTGCGACGTCAAGGACGGGAGAACATGATGGGCCCCGTGAAAGAAGGTTTCCAGGTCCTCGGTGACAAGATTGGTGAGTTTGAGGATACCGTCAATACCTCAACCTTCGGTCGTGTTTTCCGGCTCGATGGCTCTGGTCATGTAAGTCACCTCGTCCTGTCTATTCGGATGGCACCTTCTCCATCCTTTCCCTCCATAAACCTGAAACTGCATTTTCAGCCATCAAATGACAATGCCGACCTCCCTACCGAAAGTCTCGTTTTTTTCGTCTACATCATAGTCGACGATGATCAGCCGCCCGGCACTTAGACTTGATCTTGCTCAGAGGTTCATTCGTGGTAGTCGGTCGCGATTGCTAACCACCAACAGCCTAAGACAGTCAAAGGCGCATCCTTCTACCGAGAAATCCGCGCCGGCTTCACGACCTTTGCCACCATGGCGTACATCATCGCTGTCAACGTGAGTCTATTTCCACATGTACTGTTCTTCCCAACAGTCCACAGTTGCTCATATTCATTCCACAGGCTTCTGTCCTTACCGAGTCTGGAGGCACTTGCATATGCAAAGGCACACCTGAAGATCCCGGTTGCGTGCTGGAACAGGAATATACCGATTGTCTCTTGGGTAAGCATTCTTTCGAGAATCAATTTTCTTTTCCTAGACTGACAAACGCATCAGTGTTGAAGCGTGACATGATTACGGCGACAGCAGCTCTGGCAGGTCTCGCCAGTATCGCCTTCGGATTCCTGACTAATCTTCCGGTGGCTCTTGCGTAAGTTCAGCCCACCGTAGCTATCATTCATTATGTAGACAATACTGACAAGTTTTCAGGCCGGGAATGGGCCTGAACGCCTACTTCACCTACCAGGTGGTTGGCTGGCACGGCACCGGCATGGTCCCGTACCGGATCGCACTGACAGCCATTTTCGTCGAGGGCTTCATTTTCATATTCCTGGCTCTGACCGGTATGCGACAGTGGCTCGTCAAGATGATTCCCGCCACCATTAAGACGGCCTGCGGTGTTGGTATCGGCTTGTTCCTGACTGAGATTGGCTTGTCATACTCGGCCGGTATTGGCGCTATCACTGGTGGACACTCGACACCGCTCGCTATTGGAGGTTGTCCTGCTAATATGCTCAACGATGATGGCGAGTGCATCCGCCATATCATGAGAAACCCAGCGGTCAGTATCTCCAATAGTGCTATCCTTCGGCCATTACTGACAAAGTCGGGCACAGATGTGGATAGGCATCATGCTCGGAGGCATACTAGTCGCCTTTCTGATGGCCTTCAAGGTCAAAAGCGCCATTATAATAGGCATTGGAGTAGTCTCCATCCTTTCATGGCCGTACGTGTACCCCATCTCCCGTACACGTGTAGCGGAATCGCTGACCACAGCCACAGGCGCAGCACCTCCTTCACGTACTTCCCCTATACGACTGCAGGCCAGGAACGCTTCGATTTCTTTAAGCAGATCATAGCTTTCCACCCGATCCAGAACATCCTCGCCGCGCAGCAATGGAACCTCGACGGCACGAGCGCATCCCAGTTCGCACTCGCCCTCATCACCTTCCTCTACGTCGACATCATCGACTGCACCGCAACTTTATACTCCATGGCCAAATTTTGCGGTGTTGTGGGCGAGGACGGCGACTTCCCTCGCTCGACTGTTGCGTATTGCACTGATGCCGCCTGCATCTCGATTGGATCGCTCTTTGGCTGCTCTCCCGTGACGGCGTTCATTGAAAGTGGTTCTGGAATTGCGGAGGGTGGGCGCACTGGGTTGACCGCTATTACGGCCGGTGTTTGCTTCCTCATCTCGCTGTTCTTTGCCCCGATCCTTGCCTCTATTCCCCCCTGGGCTACTGGATGTACTCTTGTACTGGTAAGCAAGCTGAACAGACAAACTTGCAGACCGTCGTAACTAACACTGCAGCAGGTTGGATGTCTCATGATTCGCCAAGTCACCTCCATCAACTGGCAATACATCGGAGACGCAGTCCCGTCCTTCGTAACGCTAGCTTTCATGCCCTTCAGCTACAGCGTAGCCTACGGTCTCATAGCGTAAGTACTTTCCTATCCCTTCCTATCTCTCCTCTCTAAGAGTCAACTAACATGGTCTCCCAAAGGGGCATGTTAATATACGTCTCCCTCAACACCATGATCTGGGTCGTCGTGCACCTAACCGGCGGCCGCGTCACCCCCTCCAACTGGAACGAGAAAGAAGTCTACAACTGGGGCATGGGGAAGCGAGACATGCCGCGATGGATGCGCATCCTGGCGCAAAAGATGACCGGCAGAAACAATCAAGACTTTGAACAGAAGGACGCGGTGGAAATGGTTGATACCGAGAGCTCAACGGTTCGCACCGCCTCACAACACGGCTCGTCCGAGCCTCCGGGAAGCCCGCGGGGTGCAACCCAGGAACATTTTGGCACGGCGATTACTTCCAGTCAGGGACAAGAGGCAGACCGGACGCACGCAATCTCGCACTGAGAACAACAAATCTGGTGGCTGTGCGGACGACCTCGACACGGCAGCCGCCCGGAGTCGGATTACGGGAAGATGAGTATTCTGTTCCCGACGGATGTGTTTGGGAGTTGTGGCGTTCGTTTGACACGGAGAACCCCCCGGGGACACAGCAAGCCGGAATGGTGGTAGGCGTCCCTCCCCATCAGGTTATAGACTGCGATTTCCTTGAAACTGGTTGAGCATCAAGGTTCGCCGGCTTGCGCGGAATGAGTATATAGACCCCGGGATTTCTTCCTCGAAAAGGAAACATTTGGTGTAAAGTAGCAAGGATAAAGACCAAAAAGCAATGAGTTGCCAGCAGGGTAGATTTTACCCCCACTTGGCGCACCTGTTCATGACATATGTGTACTGTATTTGAACAAGCCTAGCAATAAGCGGGGATCAGGTTTAATCACAAGTACGCAGCGCAAACCATTCCAAAGCGCAGGGACGGGGTACTGGGAGCCTTTGACGAAAGCGATCTCTCGACACCACAATAACCGCTTCGCAGCAACGACGACAACCAAGCCTACTGCATCCAATGAATCTCCATAACTCCATGCCCTGTTTCGTAAAAATTATATGATCGTTTCATGGTTGTTCTTCCAAGTTTTTTGTTTTCACTAGAACAGTCCCCATCTTCCCCTTTGCTTCTCCCCATTGCTCTTCTTGCCTCCGGACCCCTTACCACCACCCTTCTCCCTTTCCCGACCTTCGAGTTGCTTCAAGCTTTCTATCTTGTCCAGAACAAGCTCGAGCAGCTCTTTGCGCTGGATGACTTCGAGATGCTTCTTTATCTTAGGGTCTTCCTTGGCGAACTTCTCCACCTCCTCATCGGAAAGATGGCGGCCGAGCCGCAGGTCTAGCTCACGGGGGAAATTGTAGTAGAACTCAGATAGCAGCTCCACATTGAGGAACAGAACTGCGGTTGAGGCAAGCTTAGTCGCTACCGCATCGAGGAAGACCTCGGGGCAGTGATATTTGTTCTTCATGTTAGCGCACTGTTTTGACTTGACAGCCAGGAGGCGCATTTTGATAATCTCTGCCCGATCGCGGAGGAATGCTGCTTCACGGCCTGCGGTTTGTTAGTGTTTAGCCTGGACTGAGCAGGGAAAGAGAAGACAAACCTTTTGCGAGCAAAGCAGCACTGAACCCACCGGCTCCAATACTGTTATCGCCCTCAACAACAAACTCTCCCTTTCTCGCTTTATCCACGAACCCGAGGACCTCCTTCAGCTTCCTCCGACCCCCGATCGAGGTCTCGAGATCCTTAATAGCACCCTCACATGCCGCCAGCTCCCTTTTCAGGACACCTTGGACATGCTCCCGCCCCTGGGCCCATTCACGCTCTTCCATGTCGATGTCGAATTTGAATGGCTTGATGCAGTTTTCTACCTGATCGCTAGTGCTGTAGAACCGATCGTTCAATATGCTTGACGCGGCTTCGGTGATGGCTTGGCGCGCGTAGGGATGGCTGACGAAGCTTGACTGTCCAATCAATTGATCCACGCGTGATTGGATCGAGTTGGCAACCACCGTAGTTGCCAGACGGCCAATGCCCAGCTTCGTGAGGGCAGAAGTGGAGGCATCGAGTCTTCGGTGCCAGAAGATAGATTCTGGGTCGGCTTTGGGCAAATCGGCCAAGTTATCGGGTTCCAGTATGGGCGGTGAAAGGTCTAGTATGGGCTTGTTCCAGTACCGGGCTGCTAACAAGTCAAGAACGCGTTGATCCAGTTCATTCTTCAGTAGTTCATGCATTTGCGGCCGGCCAAACTCCTCAGCAAACTGCTTGAAAGAGTGCTTGAACCCATCGAGGCTCTCCGCCAGATATGATTCGGCGGATAGTGGACGGTCGTTGTACTGAACCTTGAACTCGTATGTAGCTTCTTCCAATTCTTGTTGAATCGCATCACTCGTACTTTGCAAGCTGGCTGACATGGTCTGCTCCAGGACGTGCATAAGTTTCTTCCGTAATGTCGATGTTCCCACGGCAACTTCTGACTCGGACCCGAACTCGAGCGGATGAGCCGAGAAGAATGAGTTCTCGTTCTTGGTAATAGCGGTAGTGAGATTGGCGTTTCCCTTCTTGAACAGTCCGCTGGCCGGTGCGGGTGCTCGTGACACGACGCCGACATATCCCAGGCGCAAGGGGTATTGCTTGTCTGTCAAGATGGAATAACCCCGCATTGGATCAACAAGATCCATCTTGGTAACAACTCCAATGGTGCGCTCTCCCCGCGGGTCAACTCTCCTGCTTGCTCTCAACGCTGTTGAATTGGCCAAATCAACGTCGGCTGCTGATATAGCGAGAATGACATTTGGGGGCTGGATATACTTATCGCAGAGCTCCGATATCTTCTGCTTCAGCTCCAGAGGTTGGTTGTGACCCACAACCTGAATATAGCCCGGCAAGTCAATAAGTGACAGATCCGGCACATTCGGCGAGGAGATGGAGAGGCGAATGGGGTCATCCGATACACATTGGGATGCGGGCACGGCTTGGTTGAGTTCTGTAAGTGTCCTCTGGATCGAAGAAAAGTCGGTGACCTTGCCGAGACCCAGATCGGGGAATTCGCCGTATTCAGCGTCGGAGCCAGGGGTATTGATCAGGGTGAGCTCAATAGGTCTTCTGGTAACCATGTTTGCTCCCTTGGGCAGGAATTCATGGCCCACGATAGCTTCTAGTACCGAACTCTTTCCTGATGATTGTGATCCGATGACAACGATCGAGGGTAACGATAATGTGCTCGACTGGCCGACTCTCTGAAGAATATTCCGGATTTCGATCATCTTCTTGGTCAAAACCATCATCTGATCGTCTCTTGCTATCTCGTCGGGGCTCCTTGGGTCGTCTTCGGTGGACTGCTCGTAGCCATATGCAGCGGCAGATGCACCTGCTACGGCTGCACCAGATCTGCTCTGTTTCGGGGGTTCGCTGCCACCTGGGCCGTCTCCCTTGCCACCGGTTCCAACCTCCTCTTGTAACCGCAAGATCTTCTGCATCCATTCAGGCAATTCCACTTCATCTTTTGTCTTTTGCCATCCTCTCATCGTCTGGCCCGCGATGTCCTTTGCGCCGTCGAAGATACCTGTCGCCGTACCCGTGACTGTGTCCTTCGCTGTGCTGAACACATCCCACGCGTAGTTGCCGGCCTCTGTTCAGGAGTCAGCAGGGTTGTCATAAAAAGCTTCCCAGACCACGAGACATACGTGTGGCCTGGTATTGCACCCAAGCTATGCCAGCAACGGTCACACCGCCTGCCATAGCGGGGATCCTGATGAGCTTCGCTGCTAGCTTTGGCAGGAAGCGCGCAAAGGACGCATTGCGGACGACGACTGCATTGTGGAAGGCATTGCCGCCAAGCCACATGCGCCTTCGGGTGGCTCGAACAGCTGCATCGGCTCGAAGAAGTCCGCTCGAGGAAAGGTGATGATACTGTCTCGCAGCTTGGGTGGCGATACGCGTCGAGGGCAAGCGCCCGGCCGCTGCTATAAGCCTTCCGCTCATACCGAAGATGAACAGCGGAGGCAGTCTGGCGTGTTTGAAGGGGGCACCATCAAAGGACCGATGGTATCTGTCTTGTTTCTGACACTGCTGAAAGGATTGAATGTTGATGGGGTTCGTCACTTACCTGGGCCGCAAGTCAATTGGACGTCTTCCACAGTTACCCGGAAGCTACTCTGAAGTGACGCATGGACCAACACTGCGGGTAGATGTGGCATACGAGAAAATCGGGCTTATCAAATCGATTGTATTGCCGACCAGGTCCCTCAAAATGGCAGCTGTGTAGGTGGAAAATACCTACGTAATTAAGCTGGTAACTATGGTCTCGAAAGTGGGGTGGCCGTGCGCTAGAATTTTTGAACGTAATTCTACTTCCCGCGATTTCACCAACGATGGCTGCTCAACTGCTCAACTACGGTCGACGAGCCCTCTTCATTCGTATGCAACTAAACCCGCTCGTGTACACAGTCAACGGCACCAACGGAGTCAACGGAAAGGCCGCTGCGCCAGGTGCTGAAGAAGGAACGACCAGAAGAAGAAGGCTCCTACTGCCCAGACTGACCCTCCGAGTATCCTAATTTCCCAACTGCTCCCCAACAACACCCACCCGAAGGGCGAAGAAGTCGAATATGTTGGCCGAGAACCGCCACCTTGCCACCAGCGAGGAGAAGCGACATCTCGACAACCTAAACACGAATAGAGTAGAGACTACAGCCAAGCGGCTGAGACGCACCGTCAAGTTCGTCAACAGGCTCAGAAAAACATCAATCCTGGCCAGATCTTGACCGAAATTGCCAACGGCATCGAAGATAGCGTGCGTCTCGTGGTTGGACATGATAGTCTCACTGAGGGTGATACAATCAAAGCTGGTATGGATTTCCCTGCTGGATTGAACTTGGATCATATCGCCGCCCACTTCAGCCCCAACGCTAGCAATGAGACAAATCTCCAGCTGAACAACGTCATGAAGGTCGATATCGGTGTCCACGTCAATGGATGTATCATTGATGGTGCATTTACCAGGCTTTCGATCCTATGTACGATAATCTTCTGGCAGCCGTGAAAGATGCCACCAACACAGGAGTGAAGAATGCCGGCGTTGATGTCCGTCGAGAGAATTGGGCGGACTGATCCAAGAGGCTATGGAGAGTTACGAGTGCAAAATCAACGGCGCTACCATTGTACCACTATGACTTGCGGGCCAGGCGGGATGATTGGCGAGGAGTGATAGCTGGATATGGTAAGTATATGTGAATCATATGTAATAATAATCCGGCGACTTACAGTTCGTCGTCTTGCTCTTCTTACTAGGAGTGGAAAGGGCTGTCTTATATTAGCTCTGCATGTGCAATTTATCAAGAAGTAGGGACTCTCAATCTTCTGCTTCTTAGAAGGCGTATCCTCCTTCTGCTGAGCGGGAGCGGGGACCTGGACTCTCTGTACATTATTAGCGTACGCAGTATATACACAAGAATCGTTACTTTACCTTAGCCGAGGCGGGAGTCTTAGGCAGCGCGGGCTATATTAGTTGTCAGCATATGCATAGCTCTAGTATAGACGATAAGAGAGAAGTTCAGACGAACTAGGGCAATTATAAAATATTAAATACGCCGTAGGTGTTAACCCTCGGTACCTCTACAAGTACTCCCTTAAGGGGCTATAGATGATATAGCGGGCCCTTAAGCCGCGTCGGGCGGTTATACAGGTAAACTTGTAGCCAAACGACTACTAAACCTCCTGTCCCTCCCTAAGTCTGTGCTACAACCCCTGCCTGAACTACCGATAAGTGTGGTAATGTGGCACTTAAATTCGTCCTCAGGGGTGGGATGCTGCTGATGTGCAGAAGATGCTCGACTATTTTTTGTCGCGACAAGTCGTAGTATCTGCTAATTGGGGTTCTCGTCGAGCGTATACATCTCAACCATACGCTCAAGTGGATAGACCGTAACGTGGTCTAGACGCTCGCAAGAATCGCGGCGAGAGGGGGTCCGATAAGGGGTCGGATTAACGATTCGAATTCTGGACCGGCTGTCGAGTTATATTCCGCCGACGTAGTGCTTGACGGTCGACTGGCTAGGATGCTCGTGATCCTAAACTGCACCAATCTCCCTATTATCGCTAGGTAGGCGAAGTCAACAAGGTGGGCAGCGCGCCGTAAGGGTTGACTAAACCCCCTTGTGTGTCAGCTGCGGGATTCGAACCCGCGACTCGTCACCGACCCAAGTGGGCGAGGCTCAAATCGGTACTTATCTACCAGCGAAGTGACCAACTACACCAGCCGACAGGGCAATTATAGAAAGCAGATGCATTACCCGAGCTAGAGCCCGGGCTCGCTTTTGCACCGTCAGAGTAGCACGCATACATGTTAGTAGTGGTGACGGGGCAATATCGTATAGACCAGACCGGCCGGTAACATCCTCCTGCAATATTACAGCAATTTCATCAATATTATGCATATGCGCTGTATCTGCCTCGCTTGTTTAACGGTGGTGGCTTATTATGTAGAACCTCATTTTGTTGCGAGGTTAAGCCACGTATTTCAGCTTCGGACATGCGTAGCATAGGCACTAGATTAGTATTCGTGGCTAGTGGTGATAAAGGCGTAGACGATTGCTCCGAAGATGCGATACTTGCTTGAGACTGCGGCATATGCGACGTAGGAAAGATAGATAAACCTATCGATTTTGGCTGTGGAGGGGGTCTTTAGACTCGGATCATGTTTAGCGGAGGTTATCGTACTTCTGGAAGCATTGCTACCCTTCTTTACATAGAAGCGGGGGATCGGTCGACGAGAGGAGCAGACGAAGAAGACCACTGGGATTCCACTCGTTTACCTTTTCCCCAGGGCTAGGTGCTTTCGATTCGTGAGGAGCTTGGTATCAGGGTTATGTGGGCTTTCGTGATAATCTATTACTTGGAGCATACTCTCCCGAAATACTCACCTAGCTATTCCACACGTTAACGAATCTCTACCTACAGGAACGGGTAAAGGTTTCCCTAGATGAAGACGGAAATCTCCCATGTAGGGTTGAGCGATGGGGGCAAGAGAAGGCTCACTATTAGTGCCAATATAAGCTCTATTCAATACCTGGTGATGGTGCTCGCTATCATCGCTGCTTTCTGAAACAGTGCCATTTCCCCTCCACTCCAAGTCTCTGCGACGGACCTGGTCAGTTCCTCACCAGTATGCCATCTTTCCTGTCACTCTCTCACACAGTACTACTAAACTCGCAGCATTCACCACGTCCACAGTTGTCAGCTCCCCCCTGAGCGTCGTACGCACCCATTTCTGGAACTCTATGGCGGCAAGCGAATCCATACTGTACTGCATTAGTTGACGCGCTGAGTCTATCGCCTCGGCCAGATGTAGCTGCTTGGCCAACTGCGCTCCCATAAATGTAACAGCGGCAGACACAAGACGTCTTGCGAGTCGAATCTAGAAAGACGTGAGTAAGTATAGCCAAAATATGCAAGTTGGCCCTGCTGTACCGAATCTTACCGGAGCTGCAACCTTTGCGCCTAGGCCGTTCAAGATAACGAATTTTCCAAAGTGTTGTCTCTCTTGAACCAGTTGCAGTGCCTTTGGGATTTCCTCGTAACCCAGGAGCTTGTATGGGGAGATTGGCTTGGCATGGCCGTCTTCGATGAGCTGAGACAGCTCTAAGAACACTCTACGAAACATGTCAACTGAATTGATAGGCTCGTCACCAACAGATCATGAACAACTTAGCCCGCGATAGTCTCCAGTGTCAAAGCCGCTGTATCCAGATTCTTGGAAGAGCAGTTGATCATAGCTGGCTCTAGGAGCAGAGGACTGCTGTATTCGACGGCTTCGTCCTCTATCCCCACTATCGTCCCACCGGGAGCAAGCAATCGCTGGCTCTCATAGAAAAAATTCCCTCTTGGAGACTTGGTGATGATACCATCGACGCCCCAACTTTTGGTTGCCTCGCGTATCCACGAGAAAAGCCCTGACTAAGTACTCCCGCTGTTCTCGGGCGTCGACCGTCGACCGTCACAAAAATCTCACAGTCAAACGCTAGCAGATCTGGATGCACGCGATACCAGCACCCTCCAACAGCGTCGCGTCGGTATTCACGCTGCTAGGGGAATCTCGGCATTACGCAAGGACGATTGCCCGGCAACGTCCAAAAGGGCGTGGATAGTGTCCTGGATAGTGTCCTGGCCACGTTTGGCTGTCGCTATGTATACGACATGGTCAAGTCCTGTACCTTTCACAATCTGTGGAAACGGCCCGGCGAGGGTACTGCTAGGCCTAAGTTCGATTAAGAAGTTTGCGGCGAGGCCCTTATCGCTAAGCATTCTCTTATATGCGCCCTAAAATCGTACGGGGGACAGTATGTTCTCCTCCTAATAGGCTGCGTCGCATACCTCGACTTTAGTGAGTAACTGTTCAGTTACCGACGAAACCGAGTGTTGCAATTTACTGCTATTTCTGCTGCTAACGTTCTTAAGATTGCCTCATAGTTTTAGCAAGTCCCCGTGATGGCTTACCGTACTTCTCATGTGGTGCGAGTGATAAGTAACTTCGACTTGAAGTATTCGTGTAAAGAGGCTATCGGCTTTGATAGTCTCCACTAACCCTGCGAGCAATGCTGAAGACCCGGAGACGGTGACACTGGCAGGACTATTATAGTAAGCGATGAAGACGTCTTCTCCAACTGACGTAGCATCTAGATAGGGATGTACAGCCTTCACATCCAGCCTAACGACTATCAAACCTATTAGCTTAGCTGAGATAGCCCCTTAGCTACTAGCCCTCGGAGTTACGCCACAAGAATAGCCTGTCTACGTGTAATGAACCTAGCGCTGTACGCAGCCGCGATCTCACGCGAAGAGTAGCCTACGATCATATGTGCCTGCACATTCTAAGACTCGAGGACCGCTAGCTGGGCGAGCTGTAGCGCCGTGACGAAGGGCTGCGAGAACTTGGGCTTGCTTGGGTGCGTAGAGGGACGGGGCTCGGTTAATTCTGATAGTAGCGACTATTCCGACCGTAAGCCTACCGGTAGTTCCTGCAGCACGCTATCGAGTTCTTCGAGTACTGGCTTGGCCGTCTTAGGAAACGTTTTCAAAAGCTAGGCCCCCGTTTGCGACTACTGTGCGCCCTGGCCAGTGAATATAAGGCTAGTCTTGAATGCTTCGTGCCCTGTCTTAGCATTTATTGCCGAGCCCGCTTCGATACTGCTAACTTTGTCGGGCAGACCCCACAGGAAGGCCCGACAGAAGCGAGGAGGACAACGATCGGAGAGCTTGTAGCTGAGGTCAGAAAGTTTAGCCCTCACACGAGGGTCAAGTGGATGGGCTGACAAGGCATTGATTTGGCGCTTCAGCGAGTCCTGATAATTAGCCGAGAAAACCATTTCTTGGGGGGAGCGGAAGCGGCCGCGGTACGGCTGTGTTTGATAAGTGACCTCCGCTGCTGCCGAGAAGAGAGAGCAGATCGACAGGTTGAAACTGAGCGTCGAACGCGGCGGGGTCGACGTCTTCTATAAACATGCCGCTTAGCACTTTCAGAGTGCCAGTTCTGCCCGATCCGTTAAAATAACCAGCGCTGTCAACCTGGGATCTTGGAGCCTCGTTCGACACAGAGGGCTTTGGAGTATCCATTACCTAAGTAAATACTTTTTGAGGACTGAAGCCCGCTTACACTTCCCTGCGTTAGGTGAGTAGTTGGGGCAAGTGTTGAAGGAGTTGCGGCGCGTTACCGAGTTCGCCCTACCTACAACCCGATCGGTCGGTTTCCGGAACTCCCTGGTATGATAATCGACAAGTCGGCACTGTTGCGCCCAGAGATCTGGCGCAGACTACTCGATCAAGCACTGATTCCAGTAAAAATAGCGAATCGCGTTCTAGTCATATCTGTATTATTCACCTAGCCCAGGCCTTGAGGGTACGCTCAATTTCACGGATCTTAGTCTTCAGGACCTTCCCAATATGCTCAGTGGCGTTCAAATCGGGACTGTGAGCCGGCCACTTGATCGTCCAGATGCCGTGCTCTTCCAGCCACCCCTTCGCGTAATGTAAGACGTGGACTTTGGCGTTATCTTGCATAAAAAGGTCCCCTGGCTCGTAGAACGGAAGCAGTCCCTTCTCCAGGTTATCGCAATATGACCATGAAGTGACTCCCTGGCGCGGTGCATCCGGATCTCCGTCACAGAAGACGAGCTGTGAGGCCCCCTTCATCTTCGCATAGCCATATCATGCCCCACACCATAGTCGATATAAGTGGCCGCCCATGGCTCTGTGGGCTCACCAGATCCTCCCTGCACCCTTCGTTGGAGTACCGGAAGACCCATTGGCTTGGTGAATCGGGCGAATTCGGGCCTTACACTTGTCCAAGAAGAGTGTACGTATAAGCTGCTGGATCTGGGCCTGTGTACGGTGTGCGTGGCAGAATCCAAGGCGCTCCGCAGCGTCCTCTTTCCCACACGCCACTTCTTCAAGTGATGCCGGTAAAGAATCGCTTGGATAGTTGGAATACTGATCTGAACGCCGGCCTTACGTTCCATCTCCGTATACGTCATCCTAGGGAATCACGACATAAATAACTTGTCGGCCGCTCATGCCGCTAACATTGCTGCACGCGCATGAAGCTTGCACTAGCAGTTAGGGCCGCCGTTACCGCCGAAAATAGCACCAAAAGCTCGTAATTTCAAGATGATTTGGTGGCTCATTAGGTAGTTCAAAGTTCGAAACGCGATATTGTTGTTTGGCTTTCCAAATTGCGGGGGCGGGGGGCGTCCGGAGACTTAATTTCGATTAGTGTACCTCCAATGAGTAACACTTCACTTGCATTGCTAGTCGGTCGCTGTCCGATTGTAAGCCCACCCTACCTACAGCTTCGGCCCTTCGGTTAGCAGTGTACTTGCAGAGTAGAGAGAAGCAAAGTGGTTAGAAAACTGCCGAGGTCAGAAAAAATGGCGTGTTCGGCACTGCTCGACAAAACAAGCCGCTGGTGCAGTGGCCGTCTAACTTCAGGGATGAAGGTATGCATGATTGGACGTTCCTGATCTGTCAAAAACATGTAATGGCGATTGGATGGGGCGGGGGAGGGCTCCCGGGGGGCCGGATTCTACACGAGCAGGACAACCCAACTTGGCGTCGAAGATTGCAAGGAAACAGCATGATACGAGAGCTTTGAAAACGGCACTACCTGATCTTGCCAACCTATAGGATCACTCCAGACAGGCAGCACAACGCTTGGCATGACAGGGACTTACCCACAGGGCTAATTGCGGTTCACAACCCGATGGGTAAGTGGGAATCCTTCCCTTACATTTTGGCATGTCTCGTGTTACCTAGCCTCTCACGAGGGATTGTCATGTGGCTTAGAGGCACAGCATGTCTTCGGGTTACTTGAGCCAATGATGGGGAATCGCTATATCGTGCAATGCTCTTTTTCTGATGTGGACTTTGCTGCAAGGGAGGAGTCAGCAGCTCGAGTAATCAGCGCGCATCATGGAAAAAGGGAGGGGAAAGACAATCTAGGTGAGTATAATAATCTTGGCCGTATGGATCGAGTTGTGCTGTTTCTGTTTTAGTACTGTCAGCAGGGTATGCATACCAATTACAAATGTCTCAGTCTCATAGTCTCACCACTAATGGGAAAGCCAACTAGTGCGATGTCCGCAGTCTACGATGTGAGATTTGCCTTCGCTTCACCCCTGTGACGACGAAAAGCCTCGAATATCTTATTATCTTTGGAATACAAGAGGACTGGAGTATTCTGGCTTAAGGCGGCACAATGAGTTCTTCCGCCCACGATGTCTCCCGCGGGGCCTGTGATCGTTGTCATGGCCAGAAGCTTCAGTGCAAACCAGGAAGGAGCAATGAGGGCTGTTTGCGCTGCCAGAAAGCGGGTGTTCGATGTCTCCCAAGGCCTTCAAGGTCTTCTCGACATCGGACTCGTTCTCACGCCACTCAACGGGCGTCCATGCATAGCAACCCGACACAAAACGTCGGTTCGTACCTACCCGGTAAATCATGATAAGATGACACGAAATAGGGCACTGACGTTACTGAAAGAAAATCTAGCCACCGAGCAGAACAGCCAAGCCGTCTCGGAGTATCTTGGTCTTTCACCGATTAGCTTACTTGATGCCCCGTCTGATCTGGATCTGGGTCTGAATTTCCCTTCGCTACAGTCGGAGCTTGGCCCTCCCCCGGGAACACGTGATTTCCAACCTAATATGGACATCTACACTATGCAAAGTCACAAGTCTGGCCAATCATTTGCTCAGGCACCGCCTCAGTCCCGCAGTGGTGGGCAACGCGAGCAGGAAAATCACACTGATCTTCCTGGCGCTTCTCAAGGCTCCTATCGTTTGACCTCACCCACTTTCAACATGTTACCCCTCTATTCAGAAGAGCCTTCAGCCCCTTCCAAACAACCGTTGTCGCTTCCGAGGAACATCACGCCGCAAAGCCTGACCTATCAGTCTCAGGAAACTGCGAACCCCCATCTCATGGACTTTGATCAACTTGAAGGGGATACTCTTAACATCGACAGTGAGCGCTCTGGCTCTGATTTCGGCTATCGCCCAACAGCATCACGTCGCCCCCAGTCCATCCACGGCGAGTTTCAGAGCTCATACAATGACAGGCCATACAATGACAGGCCATACAATGACAGGCAGCAAACTACAAACCTAGCCGTTGAACCTACTGTAAAATCCTGGATTCGCAAACTTTCGGATATCAACGTGGAACTCCATCAGCATATGCTTTCGATCCCATGTATCGAAGCAGAGCGGGGCATATGGACAGACACCAAAGACAAGACGATGGGTAACGGCCTCAGCTCCACCCGGAACGTTCCAGAACTTGCTGTAGATTGCACCTTTCGACTTTCGCACCAATACATGGAAACTATAAGAGACATGTCTTCCCGAATTAGGACCGGTCAGGCTCACCACGTGCCTGTAACAGCCGCTCTCACACTAGACCAACCCTCACGGCTGCTCATTTTATCCAGCTACCTTTGTCTCATCGAGTCCTACGATAGAGTTATGCAGCATATCAAGTCCTGGACCGAGGTCCGCTTGAACATGGGTGCATCCAGTTCCGCTTACCACTTCCCCATTCAGCTGCCGAACATCGCGATCGGCACCTTCGAGTTCTTCACGTGTTCGTCGACACAGCCCCTCATTATGATGTGCATCCTAAGAACCATGATAAAACAGATCCATGATCTAGTGGACGGGATCATGAAGCCGGCAAACGCTCTCGACAACGGAACAGCGACCATGCTGAATGCACCAGCTGGCGAGCAAGGCAGCAGTGATGGTTGCGACGGGTTAAGTGGTGTGGTTAAAGTCACATTGCAAGCAATCAGGGCCAAGGAAGATTCGACCATCAAGCTCATAGACGTAACTTGGAAACTTGCTCTCCGATGTGGTATCACTTGACGGTTTGGTTTTTTGTGAGCTACTAGCCGTATAGAGAGACCAGGGAAGGGAAATTTTGGAGCTAATGGAGATGAGCGAAAAGGCTCGACCCTGTCGGAACCAGAAGTGATTGAATAATCGAATCTGAGGTTCAAGATAATTAACATGAGGAAGCGTGGTTTGGGAGTGTGTCGCGAATCGGGCGTTTTGCGACATCGTCGCAGGACGAATCATGCCAGTATTCATGGTTACAATCGCGCTACGTTGTAAGCTAAGGCGGTATGCCATTCTATATCTCTCAATAGAAAGAAGATGTTGGAAAAGCCTGTTTTGATGTCAGGAACGACTAGGCCGCAAGACGCTAGTACAGAGCGAAAGGAAGAAACAGGCGTTCCTGCTGTTGATCACCGGGTGGTCACTGGTGGTCACAGGTAGGCGTGCCCAGAATTATTTATTGATTTCTGGCCTTCCTTTCTTCCTCCTCCGAGACACCTCCCTCATATCGATAGCCAAAACCCCTATTCGAAATCATGATACCCCGATTCCTCGGGTTCTACGATATTCCACGACTTCCCACAGTATTCTATAACCCACAAGCCCTGCGCCGGCTCCCCACCTGTGCCATGCACCCGGCGACCAAGCCCGAACTGAAATACCTGTTTCCAATTGAGTTGCGCTGTCCCTATGGGGCAACTTGCGACTCCTGAAATGCTGGATAATTGGGTTTGTCATCTTCACCGATGTTCACAACCTTCCCGTCGCTAACATATGTCTCTATCCAACCGATACTGATCTCCGCATGGATGCTGCTGATGAAAGGCTCCTCCTCCGCCTGCAGTGCCTGGAAATCGGGATCTGACGCCCCTTTGTAGAAGGTCTCCATGTCGCGGAAGAAGAACTCCACCTGAGCATCGTAGTCACGGACAACCCAGGGCCTCCCGCGTTTGGCGTTCAGCTCCGCCGTCATGTCACGAAACGGCTTGGGAGCAAAATACTATAACAAAACACAAACGTTACTAGGTGTAGCTCTATGCTAACAAGAAAGTCCAACCCCGTGAGTTGCTTACTATAGAAAACCCTTCGATCCCGTTCTTGGCATGGAGCTTCGCGGCACGCACGGCGTGCTGCTCGGTGACCCAGCGGTGGAAGTCCTCCTCGCTGACGTGTGGTTGGCGGTAGTGCGCCACTGTCATCCGCAGAAGGCGCTTCTTCTGAATGGGCTCGGCTGGCTCTGGCATGCTGGTAGTAGCAGGCGGGAAAAGACCATGACGTGCAAGACGGAGCGTCGATTACGTGCCCGAGCTCAAATAGTCATAGTCTATTTTATGAAATTTTTTCAGCGTTGGAGACAGCCTGGGAACCAAGTCGACGCCAACTCGTACTGAGTCCATTGTGTAATCCAGCTTAGGTACCTATTCTTGGACCCCCGGCGGGCTCCTGTGGGTACAGGAAGTCGGAAATGCAGAAAGATGGGTGCTTGTCTTGGCACATCTTGCTTTCGCCGAAAACATACCGAACATGTACCGAGACTCTGGTGCTGGCCCCGATGCATACACCGTAACCAATCAGAACTCCCTGTCACTTCCGATTCGGTCGACTTGCAGCATAATGAGGAATGCATCGAGACTGGTAGACCTAGGACTTAATAGGCAACAGTATTGCATCAGCAACTTTGAGTTAGGAAGCCAAGACAGAGAAATGCCTCAGGGTGATCAGTCGAGAAATGTATCAAATGCCGTGCCTATCAGAGTAAAATAATTGCTACAATAGGTCTGCAAAAGGACGCCCTATAATCCTTCCAGGTAGCCAGGCGATACGTACCCGATCGATGATCACGTGATGTAGGATGAGATAAACCAGCTTACGGTACTGTAATTCCTACCAATCGGCAGGCTAGCTGCTGGGCAGATCCACAGTACACACCACTGTAGTAATATACTGATACACCCACCTGTTCACCACTAATCACCAGGATGAAATCTCCAAGTGCGCAGTTTGCAGTAAACCACACTTTGTAGTGCAAAGACTAGTGCATACTTGAGAGGAGAGCCTATGTAAAGTCCTGGTGTTGATGTTCATAGAAGCTCTATTTAATACCTAGTATGGGTCAAGTGAACGTCATAGCGTTACTTTGATGCAATCAATTTGACAAGTCGATATCAAGTATGCGCAATCTGCAAGCTATCTTTTGAAACACATATTCAGTCCAGCTGTGTCGATCACGCTCTCGTATCCACGACTATCCGGCCAGATCTTTACCAACCTGAGTCCGGCGTCCTTGATCAGCACCTTCGAGTAGCTGGGTTTCGTGGCGGCGGTGGTCTGCTTCAGGATCTGGACTGACATCTCGTCCGGCCAGTCTCGAAGCACGGTGTGTATGAAGTACTCCCTGACACCTGCATATCCCATCATATGTCAGGTCGCCGCAGGTGAAGCTTCTTGTTGAAATTGGAAATGACAAGGAGCAGCCTACCTTCAATAGGTTGCGCAGTATTCGGCTTGAAGAGGTCGTGGACTTGTGAGAAACCTTGTTTGCCACCGGATCGTACGAACTTGGTCAGCACAGTGCAGTGTGTGATGTTAGCTACACTACCACCGAATCTATGGGTAAGCCGAAAATCATATTATGATTACCGAAGAGTAGAGACTTTGGCGAATCATTGCATCTCCTATTTGCACGGTGGGAAAGGACTATGTGTAAGATTTTACGTAGGTCAAGGGTACTACAAATTTTCAAGGTATTTTACTTCTTTGGGAAAACGTCTAAATTCTGGAGAGAAATACTATTCAGGTTTGGAAGTCAGAGTTGAAGATATCTCGGAATTACAACACGTAAGACAGTAGCAGAGAAACGGAGCAGGAAAAACGCCCTGCTGCCGAACAGGTGAGATGTATGTCGGCGCCGAGACGATGACCACTTATATATTTGACCACCTCCAATCATTTGACCCTAGCATGGCATGCGTACTGTCTTATCCGTATAAACCGCAAAATTCTCATGTAAATAAAGGTTGCTTCACCAAAAAGCGAGGTGCCCGGTAAAAGCCTACACTAACATGGCGTCGACACGTCTGCAGCAATGCCAAGGTGCAGTCCTACTTCTCGGCGGCACGGGCAAAGTCGCAAGCCGCATTGCACCGAAGTTGAAAGCGGCCAATATACCGCTCCTAATCGCGTCCCGCTCCGGCCGGGCTCCAGAAGGCTATCAAGCTGTCAAGTTCGAGTGGCTGGATAGAATGACATGGGAGACATCTTTGTCCGCGGCGCCGGCGGTGCGGGCCGTTTTCATCGTCTTCCAGGGCTTCGTTGACCCTAGCGCCATGGCCAAGGACTTCGTCGACTATGCGCGGGGACTTGGAGTCGACCGCTTCGTATTACTTAGCCAGAGTCCAGTGGACGAAAACGGGCCCGCTTTTGGCCAGATCCATCGGTATTTGCGCGAGTTGGGCGATCGAGGCAAAATTGGGTGGGCCGTATTGAGACCTACTTGGTTCCAGCGTAAGTTTGGCTTCGATATGGTCGTGAGCGTTGGCTGGAGGACCTCACTTTCTCACCTTTCTGTAGAGAACTTTTCCGAGCTAGGTTATCACATCCAGTCCATCAAGAAGGAGAACAAGATCTACTCGGCATCGGGTCGGGGCAAGATCCCTTGGATATCCTGCGATGACATCGCAGCTGTGGGGTATCATTGCCTGACTACTTCCGAGCCGCCCAACACGGATTTCCTCATCCTAGGACCGGAGCTTCTGGGATACGATGAGGTACGTTGTTTCACCCGATCCTTATTGCTCGCTTTTGGCATTAAGACGACCCCTTTCACAGCTTGCAGATATTTTTACTCAGGTATTGGGCCGGAAGATAGTGCATCACAATTTGACGCCAGAGGGACTAGAGCAGCAATATCAGAAGAACGGCGTGTCGCCAGAGTTCGCCAACTTCTTGGCCGAGCTGGACAAAGGCATCGAAATCGGGGCAGAGAACCGCAAGAATGATGTCTTCTTTGCTACGATGGGATATGAGCCGCGAAAGTTTAGGGACTTTGTAAAAGCCAACCAGGCGGTATGGCAGTAGCTCACCAGGTACTTCACCAAGACACCAACTAGTGTTATTGACGCTAAACATCTCAATACACTGAAACTCTCCTGCAAGTTTTACTTCCATAGCATGATTTTGATGGAAACTAGATCATTACCACTAAAACAGAGGTGCCATGCGAACACGGCCCATTTAACCTTGAGCACGCTGACCGTACGCAATGATGATCTCAATCTTCCCACCCTCGTTCTCAAGCTCCTCCCTCACTCTCGCTTGCATGTTATCAAGCTGGTCCTCAGTGAACGAGCTTGGTACAGTCTTGGCAATAGATGACAGCGGCTTTATGGGCGATGTAACCCCATTGACACTGCTGGCCCGCATCTCAGGCTTTGCCGTCTTGCCAATCTCAATCAGAACGCGCCTCTCCTGCACGTTCTGCAGTCCCGCCTGCTCCAGCATGTCCTTCAACTCGTTAGCAAAGTCACCCACCTTGATCCCCGTCCACGCCTCCCGGACCATGCGCGCGAAGTCGGTCATCGCCGGCCCGTTCTCGGGCGTGCTGAAGGCGTTCATCTCCTGAAGCTGGACCCAGCCGCCGGGCCTCACTAGCGTGGTAAGGTTCTCGATCACGTCGTGGGGTCTATTCGGGCTAGAGCCCGCGAGGCTGCCCCGGAGGTGGACGAGGTCCATGGTGTTCTTCAGGTTGACGGGCCAGGGATCGTTGAAGGAGCGTTGGAAGTATGTGATGCCGTCTGGTTGCGCGGGGAAGAGCTCGGCCTCGATGTCGCTGCCAAAGTACTGGTGCGATGCCGCCGACGGGAGCGAGCTGCGCACGTTGCGCAGCCAGAGGCCTTTTCGACCATACATGAGCGCGCCGTTCTTTAGAGAGGGAGTGTGAGGTACTCACCGTCCGCAGTGCCAGCTTCGAGGATTCTCTTGCCCGGCTCCTCGAGGTTCAGGGGTGCCAGGATGAGCTTGCCATTCAGGGCATCGTGGAATACGGCGTGGAGGTCGGTAAGACGCTGCAGCTCAGGCGTGTGCCCGGCATCCTTAGTCATATTCATGAAGTTGTCCATTGCGTACTCTGAAATTTACTTCTTGCTAAAGATAGTCCCTACCATATTTGCGGTGTACGCATGCCTGAGCACGCTATATGCAATGGATCCACGAAGTAACAGGTGTCTAAGATACAGTGACTTTTGCCGATAGTATTTCCTGACAACAGTTCGTAGTACCGAAATGCGGTTCGGTACGCCGAAAGCACCCATGCCGCCGAGAGATAATTTGCACGCCTGAGGTAGCATACATAGATGCGCCATGCAGGTGCATATTTCCCTGCAACCTAATGAGTAGATGCCCCTCCTGTCCGGATCCTCTCTAAATAACGCCAATAGAGCGGAATCGTATCCACGGTCTTCTTTCAAGCAATTTGGCCGAAGAAAAATGTAGGTCCATCTTTCGGATATCACTGCATAGAAGATGCGAGATTTTACTGTGATCGACATACTCACTGTGTCCAATGCTGCCAAGGGCTCGATGGCAAAGGCGTTATTTTCTTCTATTTTGGAGGTGTTGGTTGTTGGTTGTTAGAAATCACTAGTTGTCAAGCTGAAAAACGGCGGTTTAACCCATTGCGTTAGCAGTGGGTCGAGGACGTCTGTCTCATTTTTGACCGATACTTCCGAACTTCACCAGTTCACAGCAAATTCGGAAGTATTTCTCAAAGGTCTAAATACAACGCGCAGAAGGGTGTAACGAAAAAGCCAGAGTCGGCTTCGCAGCCACAGTTAGTACCATAATTTGAAGAGGATAACGGGATGAAGACCCTTTGTCAATCATACTCATTGTATTCGGATTTGATCTAGAATAACAAGTCTGCGATCACGTACAAACCCCATAGCACTTACAAACTGGCTGCACTTCCAACCTGACATATAGGGTTTTAGCGAATTGAGGTACGTGCATTTATTGTTCTATACCATGTACGTCTTTATTGGGGAGGTACTAGCAGTTTGGTGCAGATTACTAGTGTTCAGAAGTACCGTCAATAATGACATACAGCTGAAAACCTCCGTTTTTAGGCTTGACGAGTAGGTACTCTGAAGGCAGTGAAAGCTAGTTACACTGCGTTCCGTTAGGTGGGGTGCCTCAGGTTGACACTCGTTGTCTGAAGGGCGGGGGCGGGGCGGGGGCATCGGCTAAACAGTCGATAGCCTAGCAAACTTAGTTACCTACTAGCCGAGTCCATCTGAATCACCCAAAACTCAATTCCATATAGCGCCCGCCGTAAGGCTGACTGATCCACTTCAGCAACCTCTACTTCCACCATCACAGACACACCACAAAACCACCAAACGATTTTCTACTCAAATCACCCAAACACGAGACACAGCAGCCCAAAAATCTCTCTGCGATGGCCAACGACTCATCGGACACACCATCCAAGAGAAAATGTCTTGGAGCAGACTGTGAAAATGACGCTGGAGATCTGCAGTGCCCGACATGTCTAAAGCTTGGCGTGAAAGATAGCTATTTCTGCTCTCAGGATTGCTTTAAGAAGAACTGGGTTTGTTTACCTGCCCTCTTCAATAGTAGGAATTCAATCTGACAGATCACATGTCTAAGAGCCAACACAAGGCCCTCCACAAAACCGACCAAGGCAAGCCTCAAAATGGCATCATCCATAGAATTATAACTCCAGGGCTTGTCTCTGACCCCGATCCAGTTACCGCAGCGTACAATCCTTTTCCGACATTTTCCTACCCACCTGGCACTATCCGACCTGTCTATCCACTTTCTCCGAGGCGTACCGTTCCCAAGTCAATACCACACCCTGACTGGGCCGAGACTGGCATACCAAGGGGTGAACTGCGCTTGAACAGATCCAAGATTGCTATCTTGGACGCCAAGGGACAGGAGGCAATGCGGAAAGTTTGCGCATTAGCTCGAGAGGTATTGGACATCACCGCTGCAGCGCTCAAGCCTGGAGTAACCACGGATTACCTCGACGACGTCTGCCACAAAGCTTGCGTAGAACGGAATGTGAGTGCTACCGACCCTCTCTTCAAGATGATGTGAATCGTTTCTAACCTTGACAGTCATATCCTTCTCCCTTGAACTACAACAACTTTCCCAAATCGCTTTGCACTTCTGTGAACGAAGTGGTTTGTCATGGAATACCTGACCAGCGAGTCCTTCTCGATGGCGATATCATCAATCTCGACATATCCTTATATCACGAGGGTTATCACGCTGATGTCAACGAAACGTACTACGTGGGCGATCGGGCCAAGGCGAATCCTGATGCGGTTACAGTGATTGAAACAACACGGGAATGCTTGGATAAAGCGATTGAGCTTGTGAAACCTGGGACTCCCATACGAGACTTTGGTCGCGTCATTGAGCAGCATGCCAAGTCCAGGGGCTGTAGCATTATCGCTACTTGGGGCGGCCATGGCATTAACACTGAGTTCCATCCGCCGCCTTGGATCCCACATTATGCAAAGAACAAGGCCGTCGGAGTTTGCAAACCCGGAATGGCCTTCACGATTGAGCCTATACTCACGTTGGGGAAACCTCGTGAGGTTTACTGGCCGGATAAGTGGACAAACGTGACTGCTGATGGCAGATTGACTGCCCAATTCGGTTCGTAGAAAATCATTTGGCACCTATGGACCTATGCTAACGTTTATTTAGAACATACCTTACTTGTCACAGAAACAGGCGTCGAGAACTTGACTGCGGCAAATGAGAATTCTCCAGGAGGCCCAGTACAGATGCCGACTACGAATGAAACAGCAGCAGCCAACAGCACATCTGACGCATCGTCCGGCCTACCGATATCGAGTCAAGTGACATCGCAGGGTATGGAACGGTGAAATTGCGTGGAACTTTGATCCGATGAATGAGGTAGTGTAAATATGGGCGATCCTGAAGGTCCTGTGGCACACAGGCCAACTCTACGGCATGATGCAATAGACGCAACATACTCCTATTTCAGTTTCTCTCAGGGTTGCGATTGAACAATGCTGTTTCAGTCCACTTCAGTTCTAGCGCCTGTGTACTCAGACGGTTACGCGTTATGACTTCACCCTTCACTCGGTTGCCTTGTGCTTACCACCACTCTCCTCAAAATACTCCTTGACCTTAGCCCGAGCAACGTCCACCACGGTCGCATCTTCTACGGTGCTTGGCACTGCAACATCTTTCATGAATTCTCCATGCACACCATTTTGAACTAAATCTCGTAGTACGCGTCGCAGCGTCTTGCCCGATCTGGTCTTGGGAATCATACCTTTGCCGCAGACCATGCCGCCCAGCGATGCAAATGCGCCAACTTGGTTGCGCACGAGCGAACGGATCTCGAAAAGAATATTTGCGTCTGGCTCAACCGAGTCCGTGAGGGATAGAATGACGAATGCGAATGGAAGCTGGCCCTTCAGTTTGTCGGGGATGCCGACTACGCAGGATTCTACGACAAGTGGATGCGACGAGATGGCTTGCTCGATAGCCCCTAGAGGAGTTTTAGTCAATATCTTGGTCAAACCGTCTCTGCTTTCTCTGGAAGCGTACCACTTGATAGTCGATAAGCACTAACGTTCAGCACATCGTCGTTTCGACTCATCACATGCACGTAGCCCTCATCGTCAATCCACCCTGCATCTCCCGTATCCAATAACCTCCCGTCAAATCTCTTCAGATAACTCTTATAAAAGCCTTCCTCGTCTTGCCATAGTGTCCGGAACGCCGTCGGCGCAAGCGGCAGTCCTAACACAATATTGCCCATCGTCCCCGGTGATACTTTTTCGCCCAGCTCATCCACAACACGAATATCAAATCCTGGCATCGGCTTCCCCGCACTTCCGGGTTTGATCTGTAGTGGATTGTGGTTTCGTACGCTGGTATTGCGAGCCTGTCCAGCGGCATGCGGCGCGAGCGCTCGGCCTGTCATCGGCGATGCTGCTTCTGTTGACCACCAGTTATCGATAACAGTGGCCAAAGGAGCGGCATATTTTTCCAAGAGCTCTTGGTACATGGATATCAAAGTGGGCTCTGAGCGCTCGCCAGCAAGGAATAGAGCCCTGAGTGACCGCAAGCCTCCGCACTCGCCGATCTTGGCCAGGGAGTCGTTATCCGGATCGTCGCTCTTGATGGCCCGGAGCGCCGTGGGCGCCGTGAACATGGTATTCACCTTGTACTCCTCGACCACGCGCCAGAACGCGGACGCGTCTGGGGTCCCTACCGGCTTGCCTTCGTAGAGGACTGTCGCCGCCCCCGCGAGCAGCGGCGCGTACAGGATGTAGGAGTGTCCGACGACCCAGCCGATGTCCGAAGCCGTGAAGGACACGTCTCCTGGCCCGTGGATGTCGAAGACGTAGCGTATGGATAGGTTCAAGCCCACGGCGTGGCCGCCCGCCTCGCGCACCACGCCCTTGGGGGCTCCGGTCGTGCCAGATGTGTGCATGATGTAGATGGGCTCGTCACTTCGTACTGGTATGCAGTCGGCTTTGACCCTTCGAGCCTTGGCGCTGCCCACAAGATCCTGCCATGACACCTGGCTGGAGCGGCGTGTTGTGGTGGTCTTGTTGTCGAGAAGATGTCCTGGTAACAGCCACCACCACAGGACACCACTCCACCAACTCTTCTTACTAATAGTAGCCCAGATCAATCGCTCTCGCTGCCAGATCACGGTCATCTCTGGTTTGTGGGCAGACAGAACAAGCGCTTCCTCGACCAGTGGCTGGTAAGCGATGGGGGGCTTGTTCCCCACGATGCTACATGACGCCGTGAGGAGGATGACCGGTTTGCAGGCGTCGATGCGCTGAGCCAGGGCGGCTGGCGCAAAGCCTCCAAAGACGACGGAGTGGATGGCTCCGAGACGGTTCACTGCCAACATGCCTATCAACGCCGCGGGAATCATGGGCACTAAGATTATGCGAATAAAGTTAAGAACTTTTCCTGTTTCTAACCCCCATAGGGATTTTTGAGAGAGGGGAGGGGGAGTGTATGCGTGCTTACTATACAACATGACGACATCGCCTTTCCTAACACCTTTCTCCCTGAGCGCTCCCGCCAGCGTCTCGACCTCGCCGAGGAGTCGGTTGTAGGTATACCTTTCCTTTGTCTTCGTAACGGGGCTCTCGTAATAGATGGCCACCTGGTCACCCTGTCCGGCCGCGACGTGCCGGTCGACACAGTTGTAACATGTGGATATCTCGCCGCCGGGGAACCAACTCCAGGTCGGATGCGTCGCGCCGCTCGGCAGCGTCTTTTGCGCCGTGTGGAGCGTAGCGTTGGGTCTCGTGTGCCAGTGCAGCTGCTCGGCTTGACGTGCCCAGAACTCCTCAGGGCTCTGCAAGCTCTGAGACGAGAATTCATCCTGGAGATATCGGTGTGGGGGCGGTTCAGGAGTCATGCTGGAATGATGGCGCGAAGTGGTAAGATGACAACCAACAGCTGGCTTGGTTGCGAATCTTTGTTACTTTTCTTCTCAGGGAGAAGCTATTAGTCGATTATACATGCCGTAGCGATCCGTTATCTGCTGGCGGCGGCGATGGTGTTGACGCCGGAGTCTGTCCATGGAATCAAGTCAAAGAGGTCGTAAGGCAAGATGTTCTCGGGATGTGATGTTCAAAACTATTTTGACGAGGAGTGAGCCCAAAAGGTTTGCGACGATGATTTTCGGAACGAAATATGCACTTGGTAACACGACGAGCAGCATGATCTGCAGGACGTCCATGATAGGTCACATAAGCCATGTATACCTAGGTCTTGCTTGCCTGGCATCCACATTGATCCACCATAAGGTTATCGGGGTTCCGAATAGGCCAATGACCGAACGGCCGAACAGCTCCAAGATGATATGACATTCTACTTTCAGAGAGCCAATCGAATATTCAGTAACTAGATCAATTGAAACAAAACACGTCTTTTGCAGACAGGCCGAAGCTGCGTATGTATGTGGTACCCTTCCACAAGTATCCGGAATGAGGTGCGGATTTACAGGTCGACATAGCCTGGACCATAACCTGGAGTTTGTCTTCATAGTCAGAAAGTTGCCAAGAAAGCATTGTTTCCAGGACTGCTACATCATCGTGTTCCAATCATGTTAGGTGCCGATCAGCTCTCAGCTGCCAGGAAGTCACCCTTTCTGCATACTTTGATATTGGCAGCATGTCTTGCCTTGTATATGCTGCTTCGCAATGTCTTTAGAGATATAGAGCATCGACCTGAAGAGCACACAATCACGCGGTCGAAAGCTCGGGTTGAAGCTGAACAGAGGCAGCGACTTACTGGGTCGCCATACCTGACGGATACATTCCCTGGTGGAAGACAGTTTAAGACTGTATATGGAACGATTCAAGTGTTCGAATGGGGGCCCGAAGATGGGGAAAAAGTCTTGATTGTGCATGGCCTCGCCACTCCATGTATATCAATGGGCAATATGGCGAAAGAGTTTGTCAGTAAGGGCTGTAGAGTCATGATATTCGGTGAGTCTTGCACTGTGTTGACATCCCTACTCATCTATTTTCTCGAAATTCTCTTGTCGAAGTCGAACCTCGAGACATGGAACCTACAATATCCCTATAGAGTGCTCTTGCTTACAGTTTTTGCAACAGATCTCTTCGGTAGAGGCTACTCGGACGCACCGAATGACTTGGCGTATGACGCCCGCCTATACACAACCCAGATTCTGCTAGTCCTCTCATCGTCCCCGCTGTCTTGGACTGGATCATCCGTCTTCCATATCGTTGGATTCTCTCTCGGAGGCTCCATAGCTGTAGCATTCGCGGCCTACCACACGTCCATGCTTCGTTCTATGACCCTCATCTGTCCGGGTGGGCTGATCCGCATGTCACACATAAGCTGCCGCAGCCGATTTATCTACTCGAGCAGCTTGATACCGGAGTGGCTCCGCTTGATGATCGTGCACCGCGACTTGGAACCAAGATACGGATCCTCAAGTGCAGAAGTGCCCGAAGAAAGTGATGAGGCGGATATTGACTTTGACAACGTGGTCATTTCTGCGGATCGACCGAGTGTGAAAATCGGCGATGTTATTCGGTGGCAGTTACGAGGGAATCCTGGCTTTGTTCCTTCCTACTTAAGTACCATACGAAGTGCTCTGGTCTATCGACGCCACGATAGAGTGTGGAGAGTCTTGGCCGACGAACTAGCGCGTCGACGAACAGCAGAAGCGCCGCCCGGTCTGTCAGGTGGACGTATTTGTCTCATCCTTGCGCAGAGGGATATTACTGTCGTAACGAACGAGTTCATTGAGGACTCTAATGGCATCCTTGGTGTAGAGGATGTTGACATGCATATCATCAAGGGGGGTCATGAGATTGCCTTCTCACAAGGCAAGGAAGTGGCATTCATCGCGACGGAAAGTTGGAAGAGACAATGCTAGATTGGCCAAGATAGATGATCCAGGCTTCTATATATATTTTCTCTTTCACCTGGATCTACAAGATCAATTTCCTCAAGCACCGCTCCCTACTGTAATTCCAGTATTAGGCATAACCCACTTTTCGACCTTCAAACGCCGTGGAATGTATCCCGAACATTTCACGGGATTCGATGTGATATCCAGTTTTCGAACTCATCCGTATTTCATGGGTATGGTTTTGCAACCCGTGGACTACAGAAGAGAAGCTTTGCTTGCCCTTTCGGCGTGACAAAAGCTTCTTATCCAGTGGAGAGAGTTGAATATGAAAGTTTGAAGAGAAAATTTCTTTCCGCTCACTGTAACAGGTTCTCAGAGCAGATGACTTGTTTTCTGGCAGGCTTTTTCTTCACACATTTTCAATTGACACTAGCACGCTACTCTGTATTCAATCTCTCCGCCACTCTCTGGATGACCCCGACGCGCGCTGGGTCCCTGGCCTCAATACTGCAACCAAACTTCATAGGCCTTGGAGCCGGTACTGGTTCGTACTCTAATGTCTCCCGAGCCTCGTTTCCATTCTGGTTCAACGGCCACCGGATATTGACTGCCCATCCCAATTTAGCGACCAGAATGACCAGACTCCGTTCCGCAAAGTCAACACCAGGGCATGCTCTTCTGCCATATCCAAAAGCAGCAAAGTTGCGGCAGTTGGGGTATACAGACAGGGGTTCCTTATACGTTGGATAAGTAGGTTCGAGCCAACGTGCAGGGTTGAACAGCTCCCCATCTGGGTACGTTTCTTTATCCATGAGGATGGAACTAGAAAGATAAGCAGGCCTGTAATATGGCCGGGATTTATGGTAAAAGATGAAACTTACGCAAAGGTTGCATGAAACACTGTCCCCTTCTCGAAGAAGTACCCATTGTAGACATCATCCGTTTCCAAGCAGTGGCTAACTCCCATCTCCGCTACTATGCTTCTGTATCGAACCCCCTCTTTCACAATTGCCCGCACCGTGGGCAGATTAGAGATGTCCTCATAATTCGGCATCCTATCCTTGCCGACGACTTGGTCGACCTCTTTCTGGAGTTTCCTCTGCCACTCGGGATATTCCATCATCAGGAATAGGAACACGAGCAAATTGTTGTGAGGAGAGCGCGTACCGCCGTCAATCATGCCCTGAAACGTATGAACAGACTCTTCTTCCGTGACAGCATAGTCACCTCGAGTCAAGAGGAAATGCTTATATATGGAATCCATAGCCGACCCGTCTTTGACGCTCGTTTCGATCTTTCTCCTCATTGACCACATTTGCTCCGCATACTGCACCCTGAGACGCTCCATGGTTCTCAAGCTCGGAACTAGCCAGTGGGGCATATACTTTAAGAAGGGAAATAAATTACTTGGGAAGCAGTCCGGACGGAAGGCTTTCATTATTTCGCTGGTGAAGTCCTCATTTTCGCGGATATAGGGGTCAGATTCCGACCGGATCGAGAACCCCAGCATCGAGGTAGTCAGGACAGAGTAAGCGTATCGTAGGAACACATTATCAAATGACGACAGCGATTGGAGCAAGGCGTGAAGGGTGAAAGTGGCTTCGTCGTCCATCAGGCTTTGGTACTTGTTGATTGAGGTGATGGAAACGGCGCTGCGCATGAGGTTTCTCTGGCGACGCCATCCCTCTGTGACTTGTCAGCATCGAAGCTTGCTGTTGAGAGGGTTCCGCTGGTATTAGAGGAAGCAGCCTACCGTCCTTGGGTCTGAAACCAACGCTCTGGTTCATCGATATGTATTCTACCGCATGAGGGGCTCCACGGCCCGAATACCTATTTCCCCTCTTGACAAATAGTTCATTCGCAATCTTCTCGTCGGATAATATGACTTGTTTTGCACCCATGATATTGATTTGGGTAATGGGACCATACTCCTGAGCCCACTGATGGAAGATACGAATGATGCTGGTGCTGTTGGAGGAAGCCAGCTCCAGGGCGTTGCCGACAAGAGGCCATCCTTTTCTCTTCGTTAGGATGATGAGTCACGACATAGACGGGAGTATACCTTTTGGTCCTGGAGGAATCTTAGCACCTCTCATGCGCCGGCATTTTGAGACCGCTCTAGCGACATAGTAAAGCACAACTCCTAGAAGCGAGAGCCACCATGTTTGCCGCAACATGTTCATTGCCATGATGTCGAGGAGTGCGTGCAGTGACCTTGTATCCAACGATGATCTATGAAACTATGGAGCAGAACTAAGAAAGGAATCCTATCAGCATTGTAATCTTGGCGCAACATACTGGGTGGGTGTCGAACCCGGAAACAGCCCCAGGCCGGAGAGGTTCCCCCATCAATACTCTAGGTGGTAGCTACTCGAGCTAGTGCAGACTTTGACGGTCACATCCAGTCTAATATAATGCATCCCGTGTTTTTGCGCTATTGGATTCAAGGAAGATCAGTCAAGTACTAACAGTCAGACCCTAGCCGAATATGCGTAAACCAACCCGAGGGAACCCGAACCACCACTTCCCAGGGCTCATCAGAGCAAAAGCGGGAGATGATTTCTCTGAGTCGGTCGACGACGGAGTTGAAGACTTGAATGTTGCCTCCCCTGAGAAATCCTTGTTTCGGTATGCACCTTTCACATAGATTCGGTTTCGGATCGTAGATCGGTTTTCGGCATGCACACTATTTCCGCATACTATATAGTAAGAGCCATTTTCGGTATATACCCCGCATTCGGCACACTTTTCGGTGTCCCAGTCAATTGGCACGCACATCATTTCTGCGTACGAACCATTTTCGGTATCTTACTCCCGCTTTTGGCACACTTTTCGGTGCCTCAGTTACTTTCGGCATGGTGCTTGGATCCCCTTATCAAACATGAAAGCAACAGTGTAACACACGCTTTGGCACACTGATCGTCCGTGGCTTGAGCTCATCATATTGCCATAACAAATGGATATTAAAAGGCCTTTTGGCTGGGTAATCCGTAAATAACCCCGTAATCGGCCCTCTGTGTAAAGCAGGCAAGAAGTTGTTCAACTATTTATCACCTAATTCCACGAATACAACGAATCTAGCGGACAAACGGTAAAAGCAACGCAAATCCAGGTTAGAAGTAATTTGACTAGTGATACTGGACGCCTGTCAAGGGGTTGTTGGCAGGCAAGCCTGGCAGAGACGCGGCTAGGGCGCGGCTAGGGCGCGTTCCCTGGTTAAGCAGTTCAGGAGTCAGTGGAATCCCACTTTCTGAGCTGTCTTCTCTCCCCTTTTTTGCATTATGGCGACCGTACTATTCGAGCCTGCGGCGTAGAGACTTACAGCGGTCCATTTAATGGCCTCTTGGTCGTCTGGTGCCAAGCGGACATCTTTGCCGCTCTTGGCCATGTTCTCCTGCAGCAGATTGGACACGCAAGATGGCCCGTGGGCGTTCCATGCCACTGCTGCTTGACGAAGGCATAAGTTTACATCGTAAAGCGGACGAGGTCAAAATTTTGGTCTCGTTGAGTCAGGCTTCCTTTCTTCTGTGATGAGGAAGATCGTGTTCTTATGGGGAAAAGAGAATCAAGGGGTTTCCGGATGCTCCAGTTATTACCTCTATTCTGAAAATTATGAATACGTAGGAGGCTCAGGGGTTTTACCAGTTGATAAGTTTCGACATTCTACGCTAAGCTCCTACATTAGAAGAACGGCAATATAAGGTTTTTACTCGTCGAATTATTTGCCCTCGCTGTCGATAGCAACAGAGCACTGTGTCTCTCGGGTTCCGGGAAATCATAAGCTGCCAGATCAACGCCGGAAAAGCCGGCTTTCAGGAGCTGTTCGTTCCATTGCTCCGCAGACTGCAACGGACTCCCCGTCCTGCCTTCATCAACTCCGAGCCACCAGCCCGAAAGCGAGCCGAAAGCCATGTTAAAGTACGGGGTTAACCTAGTGAGCTCAACGAGAGCGACCACACCGCCAGGTTTCAGCACTTGATGAATGGTGCCCAACGAATTGCTCAGAGACCGCGTGGCATGCACAACGTTTGCGGCGATGACGAGATCGTAGCTGTGCTCTTCAAATCCCTGTTTCGCCGCATCGTTCTCGACGTTTAGTGCCTTGAACGTGAGTAGGCTTTCCCACTTCTTTAATATAGTTTGGCCAGTCTTGAAGAAGCCGCTGGAAATATCTGTGTACATATACTCCGCGCAAAAGGGTTGGCCGTCCGGGCTGCACGCTCTGAGAACTTGTAGCGTCGTGCCTCCAGTACCGGCACCGACCTCTAGGATTCTCAAGTCTTTCCTTTGCGACGTGAGGAGTTTCGCGTAATCGGCCGCGTACCGGTTCGGTCGCGCACCTTCGTCGGAAAGATACATGCGGAATAGCAGGTCTTCCCTAAGGATGTGGAAAAGTGGATTGGACTGGCCAGTGAGCATGCGAACTAGCTCGGGCCCAATCCTGCCAATGGCCTCACCTTCGACGCCCAGCTTGGAGGTAAGCTGGTCTAGCTCGGCTTTGGTGTTTGGACTCTGCTGGATGAGCGCCCGCCCCGAATCCGACTTGACGAAGTCATGTAGCGCTTTCCACCAGTGGAAAAGATGGTCCTGCTTTACGGCCAGTCCGCCGTCATTCACCTCCTTGACAGCCCAGTCGATGTACCGCGCGCAGGCCCTGGAGCCGAGATTGAACTTATCTGTCGGGGACATTCCGATTTCGTCTGATTGCAAGGGTACAACGGCAGACTCTAGTTTCTTTGCTGTGATAGATACGCCACCAACCGAAGCATCTCGACCAAAGGGGAAGCCTTTGGCTGCTTCGTTGGTGACTGCATGAGAGGTGAACTCCATATTTGTCCACCCCGAATCGATTTCGCTGTCGAGCCAAGATTTCCAATTTGGTAAACCGCCAAAGTAGAACAACACCCTTGGAGGCCTCCCAGGCATGTTTGTGCCAATGAACCAAGAGCGATGTTCAACCGCGTGCTTCGATAGGAATGCGGAATTCCACATTTCGTTGGCATGATCAGACCAGGAGTCCACAGCTTTCTCGGTGACGTTGATCTTGGCCAGGTTGCTCTTTTCCATGTGGCAGATAGTCTGCCCGATCCAATTCATTGCTGTCTCTAGCATGACCGGCTGATTTCCTATCGGCATGTGGAGGCCGCAGACTATGAACATGTTGGGGAATCCAGAGACAAGGACTCCAGCGAAAGTCTGAGGCCTTTCTGTCCAATAGTTCCCAAGGGACTTGTCCTGGCTGCCTTTGACCTCGATTTCGTCTAAAGCACCGGTACCTGCATCGAATCCCAGAGCGAAAATGATCACGTCGAATTCATGCTCAGCCCTAGAGCCGGTGCGTATCCCTTTTTCGTAAAGTGCGATCTCATCTTGGCTTATGTCAACTAACTTGACGTTAGGTCGATTGAAGGTCTCGTAGTAGAAGTGCCCACAAGGCGAGCGCTTGGAGCCCAAGGGATATTTCGGACATAGGAGCTCTGCTGTTTCCGGGTCCTGGACAATGGCGCGAATCTTTTGCCGGATGTATTCCGATACTGTTTCATTGGATTCTGGGTCCAGAAAACAATCATCAAACGTCTCCATTGAAAACTCGAAACAACCACGCTCCCACCCATGGTCCAAGATTTGTCTGATCTTGTCCGCGTCCGCCACACCCTTGATTGTTCTCCCTGCTGGCTTGAGCGCATGGCCGCCTGGGTGCATATTTGCGAGTTCCCAAGTAGCGTCATGGTTTTTCTTGATCTCGGCAGTCTGATACTCGTCGATGGCATAATTCCGTCCCGGGAGCACGTAGTTTGGCGTGCGTTGAAACAATGTCAGTCCTTTGGCAACAGGAGCAAGCTTGGGGACAATTTGGACTCCCGTGGAGCCCGTACCAATGATGGCAATGCGCTTGCCCTTGAAGTCAACTTTGTGCGCAGGCCAGTCGGATGCTTGATACCACTCGCCGGTATACGAGTCGAGCCCGGCAAAACTTGGAGCCTTTGGAACTGACAGTGATCCAGTGGCCGGCAGAAAGTAGCGACAGGTCGTGGACAATCCATCCACAGTGGTGATTGTCCAGAGATTCGTACTGTCACTGTAATGTGCGGCCGCAATTCGTGTGCCGAATTCGATATGCTTGCGCAGAGCGTAGCGGTCTTTCGCCCATGTTAGTAGAGAATCACCACATCTTCTTGCCGGCTTGTTGAAAGGTTGGTTGCCTGGCGAAAGGAAACAACTGACCAACAACACGACTCAGGTAGCGTTGAATCTCTTCCTGAGAAGGGCAGCGCTCATGATAGTCCCAGTCCTCTATCAACTCCGGCGCGAAGTTCAGGATGTATATCCACGCATCGCAATCGGTTCGCGCCCCAGGATAGCGGTTCCAGTACCAGGTGCCTCCTATCTCTGATGCAGCATCGAAGCACTTCACGGTCAGACCAAGCTGATTGAGTTCCCATAGCGACCTGATGCCACTAAAGCCTGCACCGATGACGATGGCATCATAGTCTGCAGTCTTTTTCAACATGATAGGCTTGATGTTTCTATGCGTTTGTAGAAACCAAAGTACTTGGTCATTCATTTGGGGGGGTTGAGTTCTTATTCTTATCTAAGTAATCCGCCATCACTTGTTGTTGCCCCTTTTCATTTATGTTCGGCATACCGAATCGGAAAACCCAGCTCGCTCAGTAAACGGAGGCCGAGTCGGGTAACATCGGGCGCAGCTATTATACCACTTTTGGAAAATTCTTACTGTACTTACTTAAAATACATTGTCTTGTCTCTTAACTCCAAGAGAGATATTTGTTTGTATACTTATGCCGTCGCTTTCGAGGATCCTAGGGTAGAAGCAGTGTGCCTCGGTTCTTGCATGTGCTTTGGTTAGAAATATGATCTCATCCCGACCGAACAGAGCAGACCCCGTTAATCAAGCAGGCATCAAAACAGTCTGCCCACCTAACTCCGACAATCAGAACCGATGTCGAAAGAAGCTAGCCTGGTAACCGCGGATTGCTTGTTTGTCGGGTATAAATAATAAAGGTGAACTCGTACCAGACTCGACCAATTAATGATTGAATCTGGCCCAGAGACCACTTCAACAAGGCAAGATAGCAAAGGACAATGTCATCTCTATTCAGCACTGCCAATGATCCTCAGCTAGGGGTCGCCCTCCTTCGTATATCCCCTCTGGTCATTTCATCGGCATCCTTAATGTTCAGCTGGGCTCAGGACATTTCGCTTGGCGCCTTCTTGCACCCTTCTTTGCGGAAGGACCCTACCCATCCAAGTGGGAAGATCTTGCCTCGTTATCTGCCGGCATTCATGAAACCCGGCATCTGGGGAATCGGTTTGACGTACCCGCCGGCCACCATCCTCTGCATCTTCAACGGGTTGAGCAGCCAGAGCCGCGAGGTGCGCCATCTGTATCTGGCCGGCGCCTTACTGAGCATCGCCCATTTCTGCTGGGGCCGTTCCATGTTTGCCATTCTCCGCCGCATTCAGGATCCCAAGACAGCCGGAGTCCCTAATGAGGATGCGCTTGAGACTTGGTTGCCCAAGCATCACACCCGGACTCTCTTGGTCAATCTTCCGGCTTTCTTGTGCATTTTTTGGGCTACGATGGCTACTATCATTGAGGGCCTTAAGTAGGGGAGAGACTAAGTCGGATTTTTGACGAATTTAGAGTTGTTAAAGCCTCTCTTGGAAGATAAGTTTCCATAGAGGGCTGTGGGATTACCAAGCAAGAGATCTAAAGGGGTCATACTGTGGAGGAGTGTAAGAAAGCTTTCAATTTCGAGTGTGACGAAGTCGTGGAAGGAAGGGATTTAGAAGAGCTATGAAATACAATGCATTACTCGCACAAGCCTAAATCTTGATCAGCACACTCAAATCTGATTCCGCATCCAACGGTTCCCGCTCAATCCCAAATCTGGCGTCTAGCCACTGGAACGTCTTTTGCGCCGAGTAGCCGAAAGCACCGACCTTGGCCTGTAATCCTCCATGGATTATATCATCGGCGATCCACTTTTCCTTGTCCAAGCCGGATTGAAGACTCGTCAGGCAGTCATAGATCTTGTCAGTTGTGGTTGCAGGATCAAACAACCAGCTTGCTCCTGCGCCGGTTACTAGCGTGGGACACTTCACACTGGCCAGATACTCTGTCCCGTCTGGGTTGAGCAACGTGTAGTCGGTGAAACTCCGCATGATGTCGGACTCCGTCGTAGTACCTGTCGCCCACTTCAAATGATTGAATTCCCAGCGTGCCTGGAAGTCGAGTCTCTGCAGAAACCTCAGGATCGCGTTAAATACACCGTCGGACAGCCAGCCGTTCATGAAACCCCTGAAGAGAGGCCCTGGCATTCTGCCGCCGACGAAACTTGCCAGACTATAAAATCCGTCGACGCTGACGCATGCCTTGATGCGCTCGTCGGCAGCTGCGCGTAGTGCAAAGTAACCGCCCATAGATGCGCCAGTAACAGCAATGTGATCAAGGTCAAGGTCAAGCTCTGGATGGCTCTTCGCGAAGTCAAAGAGGTGATCCAAGACCGCGCCTGTGACGACCTCCCAGTCCGGACGCATCGGCAGCTTGTGGCGACGGAGCACTATTCCCTGACCTGGTCCCTCGAAGGTGACGACTGCATAACCGACCTCTGGCCCAAACGCCGGATTTACAAAGTAGATTTCCTCCTGCGTAGAATCCCCCCCGCCCGAGTTTAGCAGGATGGGGATCTTGCGGCCGGGAATACGCCTGGAATTCTCAGGCAGGTAGAGGTACCCGGGCAATTTGAGCCCATTTTCGTAGGGAATCTTCAAAAAGAACGTCTTCCCGTTGCGGTACTGGACGCCCTTCCGAAAATCCGCGATAGCGCGCTCGATGGTGAGAAGAACGCGCCGGTCTTGTCCGATAGGGCCCTCATTCAACATGAACTGGGCCGCACGGAGGTAGTTAGATGCCCGCAAGTAGGCGCGACGCGCGCCTACACGGTCACCTGCCTGCTCAGCCTCCTTTGCAATGTCTTCGACTTTGTTGCCAACGTCAAGGAAGGCGCTGTACCATGACTCAGGATCTAGATCCTTGATTTTGGCCGCTGCTTCCAGTGACTCTCCTATCTCGGCGCCTTCGTGTGGTGCCATTGCCAAGAGCCGGAGGTACTCGAAGTTGAAGAAAGGGGATTTGAAAAACGGGTGAATGGTGGCCATAGTTGCGGGGAATGCTTCTTGAGTGTTCTGTGATGGAGATGATCTCAACGAAGCCAGCAAATAGCAGCGAAATCAATGTCTTCGTACCCCCGTCAAGTCTCCGATGCAGAAATGCGTCAGCTTAGGCAGTCTTGGGCGATAAATTTGGGGAAGTCGATAACCACATGCAACTGAAGCCAAGGCATTCGTAAAGCAGATCACGTTCCTCGATGATCAAGTGATCGAGCGGTGTTTACTCATGGAGTGGTAGTCTCGGCTGCGAAGACTCCTTGTTCAGCAGACAGAGAACATGATTTGGAGCGAAAAGGTATGCGACAATTACCCCTGGCACAATGGCCGGTCGGTTCAGATTGGTGATCATGGTCTGGATAATGCAGCTCTGCCTAAGGCCTAATTCATACAAGCTCTCGGAGAAGCAATTAGCGGGAAAGAAGACAGTGTATCTTAATATCCGAAACCTTTCGGAAGATGACCAAATCTCGGCCTTCCCCTGACCGATCGGTCGGGTCGTCGATCACTGACCGGACCCGATCCACCTCGTGTTCATTGGCCAAACTGCCGTGTATGTAACAATTCCGAACACCAATTAAGCACTGCGAAACAGAATAGTAGCATGGATACTTGGTATTGCCGGCATATATGTTGTTCTAACACCCTAGCTTCAGTAGAGTGGACCGTTCTGTCTATGTAATGGGATTAACCACGATACAATACACTGGATAACCGCAGTCGCAAACAAGACTGCTTTGTACGAACCATACCCCCTTTGTTTCATGAGGATATTCAGAAGACTATTTTCCCGTTCTTCTGTTTACCTCAGAAACCATGGCGTACAAACACCCACCCAAAGAACCCATAGCTATCATCGGTAGCGGATGTCGATTCCCAGGGGATTCGACGTCGCCATCAAAGCTGTGGGAATTGCTGCGCTCGCCGCGAGACTTGACTAAGACGGTACCATCGGAATCGCGTTTCAATGCTGATGGCTTCTACCACCCAAATGGCGAACGCCACGGAGCCATCAATGTCACCAAGTCATATTTTATTGAAGAGGACCCACGACTCTTCGACTGTGGATTTTTCAGTATCGCCCCTCGAGAGGCTGAGGCCATCGACCCGCAGCAGCGGCTTTTGCTTGAGGTCGTCTACGAGGCTATGGAAAATGCGGGACTCACGCTACAGGGGCTCAAAGGAAGCCAGACATCCGCCTATGTAGGCGCTATGTCGGCTGACTATACGGACACCCAAACGCGTGATGTTGAGAATATGTCTCAGTACATGATAACAGGGACCTCGCGCGCACTGCTCTCTAATCGGCTGTCGTACTTCTTCGATTGGCATGGCCCCTCTATATCCGTCGACACGGCATGCTCTTCAAGCTTAGCGGCCGTCCATCTTGGTGTTCAAAGTTTACGGAACGGCGAGTGCACAACTTCGTGCGTGGCGGGATCGAACTTGATCTTGGGGCCTGATGCCTATCTTGCGGCTACAAGTCTTCATCTGCTATCCCCTTCAGGCTGGTCTCAGATGTGGGACCAGGCCGCAGATGGGTACGCGCGAGGCGAAGGCATTTGTGCAATCTTCATGAAGACGCTATCTCAAGCTCTTAGAGATGGTGATCGAATAGACGCACTCATCCGAGAAACGTGCATCAACTCGGATGGTCGTACAGTAGGTATCGCCTTGCCTAGTGCCGAGGCGCAGGCAGCCTTGATCAGCACGGCTTACAAAAATGCGGGACTGGATATTCTGAGAGCTGAGGATCGACCTCAGTACATTGAAGCACATGGTGGGTTAATTCTTTCAGTACACACGGTTTGCAGAAATATGTAATGGTTTCTTACTAACTAGTTGTACGATGCAGGTACTGGCACACAGGCTGGAGATCCCCGAGAGGCATCTGCCCTAAGCCAAACATTCTTTCCGCCTGGCCATGAGTTTGACCGTACACCCTCTATGCCTGTAGGGTCAATCAAGACAATAATCGGTCACACTGAAGGAAGTAAGTATATCAATCCTACTGAAGATAATTTTACTATGTTTCGAGGACTGACTTGACTTTCAACGCCAAAGCCGCTGGAATTGCGGGACTACTGAAGGTGCTCCTAGCCATGCGACACGGGACCATTCCGCCAAATCAACATCTTCACCATCTCAACCCCAGCGTGAAGCCTTTTTATGACAAGCTTCAAATAAGTACGAGTCCACAAGAATGGCCTTCAGTTCCTCCAAATCATCCGCTTCGGGCGAGTATCAATGGATTTGGCTCCGGTGGCACCAACTGCCATGCAATTATGGAAAGCTACGTTCCCGAGATACATGACACTGGACCATGGGGAATGCCGGAAGCACTGTCGGTGGCTCGAGCTGCCGTCTTGCCAATTGCTGATTTTGTCCCGACCCCCCTTATCTTTTCAGCTAGCTCGGCATCGGCACTGGTTGCAATGCTGGAGAGATATGCAAGCTATCTGGAGGACACCGATGTTCCGATTCAACGCCTGGCAAAGACTCTGAATTCTCATCGTTCAACCCTTCCTGTTAGAATAGCTTTCGCCGAGACGTCGAAACAAGACATACTCGAGGCAATCACCAAACAGCTCTCTAAAGTCCGCGGGAGCCCTGGCACAGAAATCGGCACTCGGTCCCCTGCTATAGAGTTCGACCAGAACAGGCGTCCTCGAATTCTAGGCGTCTTCACGGGACAGGGTGCACAATGGCCAGGCATGGGCCAAAATCTGATGAAAAAGTGTGCTTTGTTTAGAGAAACCATCGAGGCCATGGAGCAATCACTGGCCCAGCTTCCCGATCCGCCGGCATGGTCTCTGACAGAAGAGTTGATGGCGCCGCCTGCACAGTCGCGCATGAGTGACGCCGAACTATCCCTGCCACTTTGCGCAGCCGTTCAAGTAGGGCTTGTGCGTTTACTCTCTCGGGCAGGTATCACGTTTCACACCGTGGTCGGTCATTCAGGCGGTGAAATCGGCGCTGCGTTTGCTGTAGGCAAAATCTCTGCTACGGACGCAGTGAGAATTGCGTACTACCGTGGTATAGTCTGCGAGCTTGCCGTTGGTCCCGACGGGAGGAGAGGTGGCATGATTGCAGTTGGGTTTGGATATGAAGAGGGAATCAACTTCTGCTCTACGGCCAAGATGCAAGACCGTCTCACAGTAGCTGCCAGCAACTCACCCAAGAGCGTGACGCTTGCCGGCGACAAAGACGCTGTCATGGAGGCCAAGAAAATACTGGACGCCGAGGGTTTATTCAATCGTGTGCTACAAGTTGACACGGGTTACCATTCGTCTCACATGTTGCCTTGTGCGGAACCTTATACTGCCCAGCTCGAAAGTTGTGACATTCGAGCTGGCCCAGGCAGCGAGACCACTGCCTGGGTATCGAGTGTATATGATGACAGCAGGACAATGACTTCTGATCATGACACTGATTTGCAGGCAGCATACTGGACAGACAACCTGATCGGAAGAGTGCTCTTTTCACAAGCACTGGAGCGTGCTTTGGATGATGGCAGAGGAGCCCTCGATCTGATCCTGGAAGTCGGGCCACACCCAGCCTTGAGAGGGCCGACACTTGAGACAATGAGACGCCAACTTGGCTACGAAGTCCCTTACTCGGGTGTGTTAGACCGAAAGGCGGACGACATTACGGCATTTAGTAATGCTCTTGGTCTTGTTTGGACACACCTGGGACCTAGCTGTGTCGATTTCAGCGGCTATTCATCAGCCTTCGAAGAAAGCAACGGTTACATAGACAACACTCCTTTGCCGGATCTACCGACTTATCCGTGGGACCACAAGCAGATCTTGTACCGGGAATCCAGACTCAACAAGAAGGTCAGATCCAGAGTCGACCGACCTCATGAGCTGCTTGGCAACAGAACTCCGGATGATACAGATTATGAGCCAAGGTGGCGAAACTTCTTCAAACTAGACGAGATGCCTTGGTTGCGAGATCATCGTATACAGAATCAGATCATCGTCCCTGCAGCTACATATTGTGTCATGGCCTTGGAGGCTGCTAAGGTCATCGGCAGAGGAAAGCCCGTGGAGAGCATAGAGCTTTTGAACATCTCCATCCTACGACCAATTGTCTTGGACGAATCCTCGGGAGGCACTGAGACGTTGCTATCTCTACGCAGTGATCTCGATTCCAGTAAGGGCAAAAGAAACATGATTCGGGCAGAGTTCAGCCTCAGTGCGGGTACAGTGGAGGATGGACATCTGAGGACTGCTGCCACAGGAGATATACGTATCTCCCTTGCAAGCAATGAATTCGACTCCTCTCTCTCATTTCCTTCGAGAGCGTCTAGTCCTCAGTCTGAGCTCGTGCCGGTCAACATCAATCAGTTCTATGAGGCACTAGGCGAGATTGGTCTCGGTTATAGCGGATCGTTTAGGGCTATAACTTCTGCGGAGAGACGGATGGACACGGCATCCGCCGTCGTCGCGATTGATGAAGAAGTGGGCAAGTCAATCCCAGTTCACCCGACCTGGCTCGATGCCTGTTTTCAGACATTTCTCGCTGCATTTGCCGCTCCTCGAGATGGCTCGCTATGGACAGCGTTTATGCCCACAACGATTGGCCGCATAACGTGCGCTCCGACATCGAGCATTACTCCTGGGGTCAACTCGGTGACGGTCAACGCACAACTCACCGAGTTTACACCTGGGTTCCAAGCCACTTTGCCGGCAATGACAGGCGATATGAACATCTACAATTCCAGTACCGGTCAGTTAGAAATACGAATCGAAGATTTTACAATGAGCACTTTCCTTCCCGCCTCTGAAAAGGACGACAAATTGCTATACATGAAGATGGTGTGGCAACAGGACATCCTTTCTGGGGCAGATTTTGAGACAGAGCAGCGCTTTGCCTCTCCATATGAGCTGAGTGTTGTTGATGCCTGTGAACAGGCAGTTCATTACTACCTGTCGAGACTTCGAGCGGACAAGTCCTTCCATGAAATAGCCAAGCAGATCCCAGGCTTATTTGGTTTGGTTGAAACTGCGGCGGATCGTGGTGCAAGGGCACCAACCACATCCGAAATGATAGCTATCTTGAAGGAGTTCGGAGAGCACATAGACATGGTGCTAGTCAACATGATCGGACAGAAACTCTTGAACGGCTCACAGGAGTTAGCCCCGGCTGGAGCTCAAGCACCAGCATCGTTGGGTGAGCTTATGAATCGGTGGCACAACCAAGGACTAGGTTTTGCACAGGTTCACATGCATATGGTTAGCGCAACCAGACAAATCTCACATCGCTACTCAAATTTGAGGATTCTCCAAGTCGGCCCATCCTCAGCCAGCCTTGTACGATCTGTGTGTCAGGAACTTGAACATGCCTTGAACTCTTACACTATTGTGGATGGATCGGCGGAGGCGATCGAAGAGATGCAGGGGCATCTCAATTCAGATCATTTGAGACTCAAGTTTCATGTTCTCGACATTGAAAAGGGCATAGGAGAGTTGGAAGATGCCGTCGCTGTTGAACCTTTCGATGTGGTTATCGTTCATAAGGCTATCAGGAAGCAGAAAGCCACGTTGAAGACGATTCGAAGTCTACTGAAGCCAGGAGGCTTTCTGGTCATGATGGCCGGAACTGGAAATCACCTGCGCTTTCCATTCTACTTGCTAGCAGCTCCGCCCTCAGTGAACGAAGAGGACGCATCGGTGCAGCCGAAATTGACAAATGCGAACCGCGAGGAAACACACACTATCCTTCAGAATGCTGGATTCTCTGGCGTTGATTCCATAGCATTTGACAACTTCCCAGAGAAACATACATATTCTGTCGTCGTATCACAGGCACTGGATGGACGAGTTAGCTTTTTTAGAGCTCCGTTTTCTTCGACGTCAGGCATTCATACAAGCGGAAAACTTCTTGTTCTGGGTGGTTCCTCGCTTAGGGTCGCCAATTTCATCCACCTCGTACAGTGTAAACTAAGCCGAGTGTGGAACGGAGTGGTCATAACTGTTGAATCCCTAGCTGACGTGGGGAGTCAAAGAATTGATGATGTTGAAGCTGTTTTGAGTCTGACTGACCTAGATCGCCCGGTGCTTGAGCATCTGAATGCTCCTGCTTTCAAAAGCCTGCAACATCTGTTGGAGGGGACCAAAACGATTCTCTGGGTTACTCAAGGTGCAAGATCTCAAAGCCCATATCAGAGTGGTACCATCGGACTGGGGAGGACGTTCCAGTCCGAGAACCCACATAAGCTTCTACAGTTCCTCGATCTGGATACGTTGGATGGTAGCGAGTCACTCATTACAGAGAGCTTTCTTCGGCTTATTGTATGCGCCGCTACGAGAGACGAAAGCTCGAAAAATTCGCATCTGTGGAGCATTGAGCCGGAACTGGCGGTCGAGAACGGTAGACTTCTCATTCCAAGACTCTTCCTCGACAAGGAGCGCAATGATCGTCTCAACTCCCTTAGGCGAAAAGTCGAGATCCAAGCTCTCGCTGGGAAACAGCCCGTCTCTCTCGTTCGTTCTCAGCGCAATACTGGTGAAATTGTGTACACGGCTGAGGAGGCACTTCAACACTGCTCAGACCTCGCCGAGATTGCTGCGGGCTCTGAGCAGATCACGTTGAGAGTGGAATTTTGTTCCTTTGATCCTGTCATACCCAATTACCAAGAAAAGCAACTGTTCTGCTGCATTGGATACGCAGAAGAAGGGACACGATTCTTGGCGCTGTCAGCTTCCAACTCGTCTTTTATCACAGTACCACGCATGTGGACTATTCGACTTGATGACGGACAGGGCAAGAACACCATGACTCTCCCTGAGTTCATCTGCCTGCTAAGCGAGGTCAAGGCACGAGTCATCGAGAAAGCTATGCCCGCTGGATACACCACTCTGCTTTATGAGATTGACGAGCATATATCTGCTTCCCTCGAAAGACTTGGGAATAAGTTGAATAGGAAATTTTCATTCATTAACTGCCAGGCAGAGCCAAGCTGTGCTGGTCTTCACATAAATCACATCGAGATTGGGCGTCATACCTCAAGTAAGGAGATGAAGTCAGTGATTCCTCCTAGGACGAGGTTACTCATTCACCTGGGACATAAGAGTGATGCAAGCAGACTTTCAGCTATCCAACAAGTTCTTCCGGCCAACGCTGTTGTTGCTTCTTTCGACAATCTCGACGCTGATGATCTAGTACCACAAGAGATACTCTCAGCAGCCTCGGCTTATGTGAAGCAGATTGGACCAACTATTAAGAAGACATTCGATAGTACCAGCGTGGTGAAGGCCTCGGCGTTAGTCAGGGAAGGGGCCAAAAGACATGCAAATGTTGTTGTTGACTGGACAGGGGCTCAGAACATCACACTGACTCGAAGACCCGCGGATCCACGCCACTTATTTTCACCGAATAAGACGTATCTGCTTGTAGGGCTGAGTGGGCAGATTGGTCAATCCATATGCCGCTGGATGGTCGGAAACGGTGCGCGTCATGTTGTGGTTACGAGCCGGTACGTGTTACATCTGATGATAGCATTTGGGCTACACTAATAGTTAACACAGGAATCCTAACAAGCGAGCATCATGGAAGGATGAGCTAGAGAGACAGGGCGCCAACATTTCGATTGAGGCAGCAGATGTCACTAAGATGCAAGACATTGTGGGCCTCCGCCGTCGTATTCTCAGCACTATGCCGCCCATTGGTGGCGTGGCTAACGGCGCGATGGCGATGGGAAACAGTTTCTTTGTTGAAATGAATTTTGAAACTTTTCAGAAAGTACTAAAGCCAAAGGTTGACGGCTCATTGATCTTGGACATGGTTTTCTCTGCTGACGACCTCGACTTCTTCATCCTGTTCTCGTCAATTTCTGCAGTCACTGGCCAGCGCGGCCAAGCCAACTATGCAGCAGCTAATAATGTAAGTTGAATGATGGGTTGAATTAGGCGTTACTCTCGGCGTGGCTGATTTTGTTTTAGTTCATGGTCGGTTTGGCTTCGCAGAGACGAGCCCGCAATCTTGCTGCATCAGTAATCGACATTGGAATGATCATCGGTATCGGTTACATCCAAAGAACGGATGTTGGCGAGGGTTTTGGGGCCATGGAGACGATTTTGAGAAAGTTGGATTACATGCCCGTGTCCGAGCGGGACCTTCATCAACTCCTAACCGAGGCAATACTCGTCGGCAGAAGTGATGAGTCTCCAGAAATCATCACGGGACTGGAGACAAACAAGAACACCTCAGGCCATAGCCCGTTCTGGCATAAGAGCCCGCTCTTTACACATGTCACAAAATATTTTGGTTCTCCGCGAGCAGGCCATGGTTCTTCAAACAGTGTTCAGAAGACTCTCAAGCAAAAGCTCACAGATAGTCGTGGACCGGATGGTGCCCTTCAAATCATGGAAGAGGCTCTCTTGACGTACCTGGCGTCTTCACTCAAGGTTAGCAGTGTTTTTTGTCATGGAAATCCACTTGAAAGGGCTAACAGTAAGCAAACCAGTTGCCTGTCGAGAGTATACATACAAATGTTCCGGTAATCGACCTCGGCATCGACTCCTTGATTGCCGTTGAGATTCGAAATTGGATATTTGCTGAGACGTCATATGATGTTCCGGTATTGAAGATTCTTGGAGTGTCGTCTATCAAGCAAATATGCGCTGAGGTGGTTTCATCTGTTTCCTTCCAAGGAAGACAGCCTGAAGCCATCAAAGCTCAAGATTCGTCGCCTCCCAAACGTCGCGACTGGAACGAATTATCCACTGATAAATATTCCAGTGGATCATTACCTAAAAATAGGCTGTCTAATCATGCTTTGATCTCGACAGGACCTACGAAACCATTACCTCAGTCAGATCTGGTTCGAGATGATCAATTAACCTCGCAAACGACTCGGACCAAACTACTTGTGGACGCAAATTCCAACGGATTACGACCTGAAAATGCACCAAAAGATGGTACTTCGAGCACGAATAAGTCTCCAGGACCACTGTCTCAGTCAGGTGTGAATGGAAATGGCCATCTTACGTCGCCAACTACCCCTATCATGACGCTAGGCGTTGGGAATAGAAAGTCCTCTCCAGCAATCCCCCTTCGCGCAGAGTCATTGTCATTAGGTCAGGCACGACTATACCTGTCTCAGTATTTGGATGATGCCACTGTTTTGAACTGCACTGCATGTTATGAGCTATCAGGCAAGCTCGATATGCCCAGGCTGGAAAAGGCGCTCGAGGCCGTGACTCAGACTCATGAAACCCTCCGCAGCATCTTCTTTACCGACGAAAAAGATGGACAACCCAAGCATGGCATAATTGAGAAATCCCCTTTCAAGCTGAGGTCGATACCTGGAATGAGTGGTACGACACATGTCCAGGAGGTGTTCGCTCGGACTCACGAATATCGCTATGATCTAACGACGGGAGATACCTTCATTGCTACGGTTTTATCGCACGGTCATGATTCCCATACCATCATCTTTGGATACCACCATATCATCATGGACGGCGTCAGCTGGCAGATATTCCAAGAAGATCTGGCCAAGTTCTACAACGATCCAAGTTCAGTGTCATCTCTCAAGTCACTGCCAAATACGTACATTGACTTCACTCGGAAACAGCAACGGGACATGACCTATGGAGCATATTCCCAGAGACTCAAGTTCTTCCAAAACGAGTTCCGCGAGCCAGTTGATCCACTGCCGCTCTTCCCATTTGCGAAAGTCAGTACCCGTAAGTCTTTGACGCGCTACGCGGCTCGAGACGTCGTTACGCACGTGAGTGCCGAGCTGGTGAGCGCACTGAAGAAGGCGAGTCAGGCTTCGCGAACCACTTCGTTTCACTTTTTCCTTGCGACTTTCCAAGTCCTACTACACCGCCTGCTGGATACCCAACACCTGTGTATTGGCATGGTCGATGCAAATCGTTCCGACCAGAGCTTCAGCAACACCATAGGATTCTTCTTGGAGATCCTACCCGTACTCTTCCGCATAGATGGCGAGCAGAAGTTCAGCGATGTGCTTCAGACCACCCGAAACAAGGCGTATGCGACTTTGGCACAATCTGGGGTCCCAACCGTGGAAATTCTACGAGCATGTGACATCTCGACCTCAACGACTGAGACGCCGCTTTTCCAGGTGGTTTTCAACTACCGCATGGGAGCAAGTCGAACATCTCCGATGCAGGGAGTGGATGTGAAGTTCTTGGAATACGCTGACGCGAAAACCCCTTTTGATCTTGTCATCTCCGTCGATGAGCTGGACAACGGCGCAGCGATGCTTACTTTTTCTCTCCAGGACTACCTATATGACCAGGAAGGTTCAGAGTTGCTCGCCAACACGTATGTTCACTTGCTCGAAGCGTTGTCCAAAAACACCACTCGGTCAGTTGGTAGCATCTCCATATTTGACGCCACTTTGGCGCAGCAAGCGGTGGCTCTCGGTACAGGACCCAAGATGGAGCTTGCACCCCCTTCGGTTGATACTCTCTCGAAGATTATGAATACGTGGATAAATCGAGATCCCGGAGCTCTTGCCGTCAAAGATCTTAGGGGAAATACCAAAACATACTTGCAGCTGTCAGAAAGGGCTAGCGCTATTTGCGCGGCGCTGTTGAGTGCCGGGGCAGCTTCCTCATCACGCATTTACGTCCTGCTTGACCCTGGCATAGACACTATTGCTACTATCCTCGCCATTCTTCGCATTTGCACAGTATATGTACCTCTTGATATCCGCAGCACGGATGAGAGACTAAGAGATATCCTGGAAGAATCTGGTTCGACATTACTACTCTACCACGGGGCGACCGCAGAACGAGCTGAAAAGCTTCACAGACTTTCTGAAATCACTCAACAGATCAAGCTCGTTACTCTCGATACAGTGCCTCCAGCGGCACAAGAAGTCGAAGATATTTCAGCCTCAGACGGTCTCGCGATGTTATTGTATACTAGCGGCTCGACTGGCAAGCCAAAGGGAATTCCTCTCACCAACGCCAACATCAGGACTACCATTCTCGGTGCCTCCGAGAGACTTCAGCTAAGCCGAGAAGTCGTGCTGCAACAGAGTGGGCAAGGGTTTGACGCCGCGATCTTTCAGATCTTCATCGCGCTTGTCAACGGCGGTACGTTGATCATGGGCGACAACCGCAACCACCCGGCAGAACTGGCTGCTCTGATGGAACGAGAGGGCATCACTTGCAGCGTGTTCATTGTCTCGGAGATGCAGTCAATATTGAGGTATGGGTTCCAGGAACTTCTGAGGTGCTCGTCGTGGCGCATTGCCATGGTCGCTGGCGAGACGTTCACGAAAAATCTCCTAGACCAGTTCCGCAGTCTCAACCTGCATGATCTGAGGATTGTCAACGCGTACGGCCCCACTGAAGCATCAATATGCTCCTCCATGCATGTAGTATCGTTGAGCGATGCCAACACAGACGATTTCAGCGTTCCGATAGGAAAGCCTCTGGCCAATTACGGGACTTACATCGTGGACCATGAGTGCACTCCTGTTCCCATTGGATGGCCGGGCGAAATCGCAATCACTGGATCAGGGGTCGCGACTGAGTATTTCAACCTGCCTCAGCTTACCGAGAGCAAGTTCAAGCATCCTACTTCTCTCGACGAAGCCTTGGGGCTGGACAGGCTTTACCTCACCGGCGACAAAGGTCGAATGCTCTCCGATGGCTCCATTGTCATGTGCGGACGCATGGATGGAGACGACCAGGTCAAAATCAGAGGTATGCGTGTCCAGCTGGATGACATCTCCCGAGCCCTCGTCCAAGCATCACGAGGCAGCCTCGTGGATGCAGCCGTCCTCCTCCGAGGTGACGACCCCAGCAACCAACAACTTGTCGCGTATGTCGTCTTCTCAAGGACCAGCCAAGTTCTCGACAAGCATAACTATTTGCTTCAGCTCAACCAGGAGCTCCCGATACCACTGTACATGCGGCCAGTAGTGATCATTCCCTTGGATGTACTCCCAGTGACAGAAAGGGGTAAGCTTGACAGCCGCAAGTTGGCAGCTCTGCCTTTGCCGGAAGTTTCTCTTGATGGGGAGGTCAGCGGCCAGCTCACCGAGCATGAGGCGTGCCTGCGAGATATTTGGAGGAGTGTGCTGGGTAAGATCTCCTCGTCAACGCCCATCTGTCGCAGCTCCGAGTTCTTCGCTATTGGTGGTAGCTCGTTGCTTCTGCTACCTCTCAAGTCTGAGATTCGTCGAGCATTCGCAGTGGATCTGTCCCTTCCTGAGCTCTTCCAAGCCAGCACCCTCGAGCTGCAAGCCGCGCGGCTCGCAGGCAACTCGAATCTTATCCACATCGACTGGAAGAAGGAGACAGAGCTGGATGATACAATGTTCGCATCACCACGCTCCGTGAATCGGCATGCAACCCCGGCGCGTAGTACAAAGAGTATTGCCGTTCTCCTGACAGGCGCGACAGGCTTCTTGGGGACTGCCGTTTTGCGGCAGCTAGTCCACCTTCCCCAAGTCGCCCGCGTCCATTGCGCTGCAACCCGTTCCAATGCTCAAGGTGGAGCCCGACGACCGTCGGGGGTAGAGTCGCCGAAGGTCGTATATCACTCTGGAGACCTCGCGCTCCCGAATCTAGGCATGAACCAAGCGGAACTCGATGATCTCTTCACCAACGTCGACGTCATCATCCACAACGGAGCCGAGGTGTCGCACATGAAGAACTACCGCAGCTTACGAGCAGCCAACGTCGGCTCCACAGTCGAGCTGGCCCGTCTGGCTGTACGGCATGGCCACATCCCCATCCACTACATCTCTACTGGCGGTGTTGCGCGTCTCAGCGGAGCTTTGTCGCAGCCCGAGTCGTCCTTGGCGGCGTTCTGGCCCCCGACCGACGGCTCGGACGGCTACGTGGCGTCCAAGTGGGCGAGCGAAGTGATCCTCGAGAACGTCCACAAGCGCTTCCAAGGGCAAATCTGGATCCATCGGCCTAGCAGCATCACCGCTGACGATGTTCTGGCGCTAGATATTGTGCACAGCGTGCTGAGGTACTCTAGATTGATGAAGGCCGTGCCTGACCTGACGGGCTCCACGGGGGCGTTTGATTTCATTCACGTCGACACTGTATCGAAGGCGATTGCGAGCTGTGTGATATCAAGCACACTTAGCGAGCAGAGAGATTCTGGCAGTGGCTTAGTCTACGTACACCAAAGCGGTGAGAAGGTTATTCCGGTGAACCAACTCAGGGAATACTTGGAAGGTTCAGCGGTTGGGTCGTTCGAAATCTGGGCACCACAAGAATGGGTTTCTGGTGCAGTGGAAAAGGGTTTGGACAAGGTAGTGGCTTCGTTCATATTAGCCTCCAAAGGTGTGATTCGGGCACCATTACTACAGAACGGTCGCCGAACATGTACGGTTGCGTAGTTGATCTCGGGTACCTGGCCCTACACAGCATCAAGACAGCTTACGAAACATACATTGAAATATAGCTTTAAGTTTGAGCTCGATATTCGAAACCGAGAGCCTTCGACCTCTGTGATGCAAGGGCGGACCACGGGCCCATCAACATTATTGAGTGATACGTATAATATACCCAAGCATCGTGGATGGACAGGCCCTTGGACCATCCCTGTAATGATGGGTGGTCTAGCAGGTTGGCTGAACTAACAAGCAAGTATTTCGGCTGCCTGCAAGATGGAATCTCGTTACGAGAAATGCCATCCTGAAGAGACTATAGATGCCCCAAAAAAGCTCGCCTTGAACATGAAACAGACTCATTTCGAAAAGTTTGTTGCCATGTTCTCCAAATTTACGGGTGGCCTTTGCCACGACACAACTTTATAATTGTGCTTCCTCTGGACAGACCCGAGTACGTGAGGCGCGGCAAGCTGCAGCTAGGATCTACTTGACAGGCCACAGATCGATAGGCTTGCCATGTCAAGCAAACGACTTGACGTACATGATGCATGTGAGCGCAGCATGCGTGCGGATACTGGTATTCAGCATCATTACCATGACCACGTTTCAAACGGCGTTGTCGAACGTAAGACGAGATCCGCATCTGCTTTCCCACGTGAGGTGGATGGACTGTTCAACACAGAGCAGCAATCAGCGTGCCAAGAAAATCGAAGTGTTCGTTCCAAAACTTGGATCATGCTTGCACAACACGGAGAAATTCAGCTCTACCGTCAAGTCTCAGGGTAACGAGCCTATTCAGGAAGTATGGAAGCAGCCGAGGTAGCATTATCGTGAAATTGTGAAGTGTTTGTACAGCGGGGGTGACAGAATCCATCCACTTCAGCCCTGAAATTACCCCTAACGTCTCCAGCCGGGCGGGTCGAGTGGCCTGTGCTTGGGGCTAAAGCGCGCAGCCCCAGCACAGAACCCGGAGGGAAGGCGTGATAGCGTGATGTTGCGTCAGCCCCAAAAGAAGCAAACAACGGTGTCCAATTCCGCAACCTATTGAGCGAACCCAAGACACAATTGGGCACCACAACAAAAAAGAAACGCCAACACGAAGTGTGCGCTGCCCGAATTTATATTTGACTTATAACCCCTCCACCTAAGTAGTACTTCAGACCGCCATGCTACCGCTTCCTTCATCGAACAATCCAGACACATCACACTTGTAATGTGCCGATTCTTAGTACGCGTCGCCTGAGTCACGCAAGCGCTTGTCCATGGGCTTACATCCGACTTTTGCAGGTTTTCCGCGGCAGCGACGAGATCCTGCTCTCGAAGCTCATCCTCGACCCGACGCACTCCATCTTGAAGCAATCGTTTGACTCCCGTTTGCGACTGGTAAGTCGTTGTCCTGCGCTATCCGGAAACCCCCATCGCTGATCCATGTTCGCGCGGTGTGTAGGATACCAGACGAGGCCAGAACAATGCTGATGGCTTTGGCATTGGCTGGTACACCGACCCCAAACTAGGTGCCGCTCCGTGCCTCTTCACTTCCACCATCCCCGCGTGGAACTGCACCAACCTGCATCGCATAGCCTCCAAGACGGCCTCCCACCTAGTTTTCGCCCATGTTAGAGCTACTACGGAAGGTTCGCTGAGCGAGGACAACTGCCACCCGTTCTACCATGGCAGCTTGATGTGGATGCACAACGGTGGACTGGGAGGATGGAAACATATTAAACGGAAGTTGGCCGAGAGACTTCATGACAAGTGGTACCTTCGTGTTCAGGGTGGTACCGACAGTGAGTGGGCATTTGCTCTGTTCCTCGACCGTCTGGAACGCCTGGGTGTTGATCCCAGCTCCCGACCCAAGAACGGCTTTGGTCCTACCGTGTTGCGCAAGGCACTTCTGCAGACCATCGAGGTCATCAACGAACTCACCACTAGCATTCCCGAGAGCATTGTTCAAAGCGAGAACGTCGACACGCGAAGTCTGCTCAACTTCGCTGTGACTGACGGAGATAGTATTCTGTGCACGAGGTATGTGAGCAGCAAGACGGACGAGGCCGCGAGCTTGTACTATTCCTCAGGCACCCAGTGGGAGACGAGACCCGCTCCTTCGAATGACCGGGATTACCAGATGGAGCGGCGAGATAAGGGCGCCGACATCGTGCTCGTGGCCAGCGAACCTCTAACTTTTGAGCGAGGTAAGCACACTGCACTGGTTTTCTCGAGGATAGTATTGCTGATCAGCCAGTAGAAAACTGGGTCAACGTTCCCACCAACTCCCTCCTCACAATTCACCATCAGTCAGTCATGGTCCAACCTATCGAAGACGGTTTCTCGGCGAAGGATCCCTACCACAAACGATCCTCGGCATTTGCAACCACCAAGGGTCTTACGACAAACGAAAAGGCCGCAACGCGGGTCATGTCTAGTCCTCTATCCACCCCTAACCCGGATACCGACTCCCAGAAGCGCGTCTTTGGGCCCCTGCTTCCTCTCAACCTTCTCAGCCGCGCACCCGAGCCTACCACTCTTTCTATCCCTGTGCCCGGACCTGCGCGCAAACAAACACCACTGTCGATCTCGGAGACGGCTAATGGTGGCCCCGACCTGCGGACAGTCACACTGTTGCCGCAGCGGCCTGAAATCGGTGCCAAACAACCGAGCCAGGGGAACATTAAGAAAAAAAGACGTTCGCTCATGACGGGCGAATTCTCGCACCCCGCTGAATATTTGGATACCGAACACCAACCTCCGATACCAGATAGCCCGGTTATGAGTCCGACGCGAGCGAGCGAATACTGCAATAATGAGAAGGCAGCACGCGTCCTCGGTCTTGCGCTCTAGAATGGCACCGATGATGTCGTGTGCAGGAGAATGTGCATGTGAGAGGAGCGTTCTACAGGGTGTGGTCGGCGCTCCTTAATTTCCGTATCGGATCAATGAGAAGAGTAGCTCCGGTCGACGTCATACTCTACCTTCTTTTTGACGCAAGCATTGGCTTCAAAGGTCATGATTAGAGGTGTGTTATTTATTAGACCGATTCGTGAAGCAAGGCAAGGCGTTTGGTGAAGAGGGTTCGATGAGAATTCGTTTGACAGGTAAAGCCAAACAAGTTTCGTGTACTCGAGTATCATCATCTAGGATTGAGTTGCATCTGTTCCATGGCCAAATTATAGCGAGGTCTGAGCCCATTTCGAGATCTCATAGAATATCTCTGTTACCAGGAATCCTGCAATTTAAGCATAGAATTGGATTGTAGCTTTACTACTCATCTCGTCCTCTAGAGCTTCGTCGCCTGGCAACTCTGTACTTCTTGCGTCAAGGGAAGTAAGCTGGGCAAGGCGCAGACTTAAACTTGCAGTTCATGACTTCGAAGGGTTGTGACTTCGCTCTCATCACACTGGGATTGTCGGTTGCAGGAGCTTGAAGCATGAATCGGGCTAACTTGGGACTTAGTTATTCGGATTTCTGGATCGTGGCCGGAAGCGCCTGCCTTCCAATATCGCAAGAAGCGAGTGTGCTTTCCTCAAACTGATAAACTTGAGAAGACAAACGCATTAGGTTTGCTGACAATGTTCGACCTTCGAGCCCAGTGTTCTCCCGCCACAGTCTCGTGCAAGCACGAGATCCATATACTGTTATGTGTCGACCATTCGTCATTCTGATAACCTGATGTTTGATTCAGCATGCAACATAAAATGTGACTTATCAACACATGTCAAGATAAATGGCCAATCAGCTGGACATTTGCGACTTCTCCGCGGAAAGCGGGAGTGACACGGAAATCGACATACCGTCGTATGCCAGCACGCCCACCGAGTTCACGAGAATCTTGCTCTCACGAGACACCACGGAGCCCAGCCAAACCTCCTCGCACACAAGCACGACCGAAACATCCACCGAGACTCAATTCACACAATTCCTGAACCTCCCCATCGGCATCCGCCAGATAATATACTCCCACCTCCTCGCTTTCCCATCCAACCTAATCAACTTCCCCATCTGCGCCTACCCACACGTACACCCGAAATACCTCTTCCCGCAAATCCTCATCGCCAACAGGCAAATCCACACCGAAGCGCTCCCCATCCTCTGCCAAACCAACAAATTCGTCGTCGACACTGTCGTCCCGGTGCGACTCCAGCCCCGACTGCGGCCCTAGATCGGCAGGGTATGCTCCCGCGCCATGGTCCGGCTCATCAAGCGGTGGCACATGCGGGTGCGGATCGACCACGGCAAAGGTGCTGCTCCGGCCCATCATGACGAAGTGGCTCACAGGCGCCGAGGAGGTGGTGCTGCATCTGTGGGATAGCCGTGACAACCCAGTCAGAAATAGGCTCGCGCTGGGCGCGTTTGAGGATGTGAGGGGGGTGAGGGAGGGAATGAGGAAGTATTTGTGTTGGTTGGAGAGGAGTATGAAGGCCCCAGTGGGGTCTCTGGTTGGTCTGGGTTGGGCCCCTAGCGGTGATGATGACGATGATGGAGATTATTGGGAGTTCACTAATGAATTGTGCGATAATTTCGGAGGCATCAATTGAGTTGTTAGAATGGATTGGACTGTAGGACGGATGTTGTCAAAAGTCAAGTTCAAAGAGCGCAATAAGGATACAGAAATAGTCGGGCATGGTGCCTAGTTTCAAGCAGCGATGGTATTAGCTAGGCAAGACAATCATCATTTTAAGAGGTGCATCTAAGTTGAGTCCACCGGACAACATTGTGTATGCTGCGACGAATGGTGCTGTCTAGAGGGAATTGGTATTGAATCATAGGTACGCTACATATAGTTGCATGTCTGATAAGCGGTGCGCACAACAGGAAACACACCAGCTATCAAATGCCCCCTTTTTATTCATTTTGGTACACGAAAAAATATTGAAGTATGCTTACTGAATGAATGGCTTCCAACTTCACTTACGTAAATGAGAATTTTGATATGAGTTTCGCTTCTCATGAAGCAACTGCTCGAGGGGAGGAGCAATACATTTACGTAGTAATAGCTGGTTTTGATTTGCGGAAGAGAGCTAAGAAGGCTTGGTGGATGCATACTCATCCACCTGGTGACACTGCCAACCGACGACAGTATACCAAAAGTCGAGATTATATAACCATCACTCATCAAGAACAGGGATACTAAGCTCTAAACACACGATGCCAAACAATTCCCAAACCCGTACCCTCTCCCTCACCCCCCTTCGACTCCCATCCTTGGACTCCACGTCAAAATATAAACACCACCGTGAAAGGGATAGGGAGGAATAGGAATAAGGGGAAGAGGATTTTCGTTACTGCTGCGGCTGGGGGAGTGGGGATATTCGCTGTGCATTTTGCGAAGCTGGTGGGGGCGGGGGCGGGAGCGGGGACAGAAGCGGAGGTGGTGGGCACGTGGGGGTGTTCTAATGTGGAATTCGTGAGGTCACTGGGAGCAAATGAAGTTTTGGACTATACAACTATGGATTTATGGGCTTAGGTGGGGGGATGAAAGTCGCAAATTTGATCTTATGCTAGACTGTATTGGGGATAATGCGCTGGAGGAGGTGTGAACTACGGCCAAGAAAGGGGAGATGGTGTTTAGTATCACGTTGCCGGCTGAGTTGAAGAAACCAGAAGTTTGGGTTGGGGGGGAATTCTGCAGGGAGGTGGTTTGTTGTGAGGCGAACGGGGAACAACAGTTGGACAGTGTGACTGACCTGGTTGAAACGGGGAAATGCAAGGTAGCCTGCGGTAGTGCATTTAAGCTGGACTTAAAATGGGTGGGTGACTGACACGATCCCCCAAATACTTGATTCATATTTCATTTAGCCGTGATTCTACACGAGTCAGCACTCGGAAGGAAAATAGTCGAAGTCGACCACGTAATTCGAAGAGAAAGACTAGTCAAAGCATACAAGTCATAAGTCACGTCGTGGCTTTGCGCTGATGACGCGAGAAGGTCACAAGATTAGCTCATAAATCGCATCACATAACGTACCCCACAAGCAAGTTGGCCACTTTTTCTTGGAACCGTACGAACAACCTTTTAATTAACATCTTTACACATACCAAGATGGGATCGAATTGGAAAGAAAGCGACATGATTCTAGCGTGTCAGGCGCTTCAATCGAAACCCGAATTAAGCATCCGACGCGCTGCCCAACTCTACAATGTCCCTCGTACAACTCTAGCTAACCGAAAACGCGGACTACTATCTCGACGCGATACTCGACAATCTAGTCAAGAAATTGAAGACCTAATACGGGCGCATATAACCCATATCTCGAAGGAGGATTTCTTTTCGGTATTCTATAGGGCGTATCGTACGACTATAACTAAGTCGAATATCCAGGCAGGTTTCAGGGGGACAGGACTTATTCCATACGACCCGGAATATGTGATTTCACAGCTGGATATTAAGCAGTCTCAACGGGATATTGAACAGCAGCTACAGGATGATATACGTGTAAGTCGTCGTCGTATGAGGCGCTGTAGGATCTGCGGAGAGCCCGGACATAATGCTCGTACTTGTGAGAATGATATAAAGATACGTACGAGGAAGAGGATTCCGATTAGTTTGAATTATTATTTTTTAGTTTAGTTAAGTTATTGAAGTTATTCATACGGTGCCAAGAAAAAGTGGCCAACTTGCTTGTGGGGTACGTTATCTGTAAAGCTGAAGTCATTGGCAGGCCGAAGCTAGCCCCAGACACTGCTAGCCAGCAAGACCTACGAAGCGTCACTCCAGATGCTTTAGAAACCAAACACGACAGCAGCTAGCTTGTGAGGGAGTATTCCATACTACTGTATAGTAGTCACATCTGGAAGCCCGATATGTGGGGTGACAGGGCGCATCTTATCTGATCCTCGCATTTGGCAATCGCCAAGCCGTCTTGGCATTCGCGACTGGCGCGGTCCCGAGTCAAGTGGGCCGCATCCCACTTCTCTTCCTTCCTTCCTTTCGCACATCGCTTGGCTCGAAGATTTGTCGTCATTACCTTTAGACTGCAGGCGTTCTTGCTCTCTGTCGCTCACTTCAGATATGTACCCCAATACAACATTTATCGCATGATATTATCTGGCCTGGATACGGTGTACCACTCGTATTGCGACAGTGTCACTTGCAAATCTTTACCCCTCAGGGCCTCAATCCGGACAGCCTCAATAGGAATGATATAGTCGTATGATATTGCGCAGCCTATACACCCATTAGAAGACGCTTGTCTCGATCGCCCCGTCACCACGATGCAGTTATTAGAAGGCCTTTCGTACTTGTTCGGCTGGTTATACACCATCGCCTGGTCCTGTTCCTTCTACGGTCAGCCCATGCTGAACTACAGCCGAAAGTCCACGTCAGGCACGACGGTAGACTTTCCATTTATCAACACATTTGGTATGTCCTCATGTCAACACCAAGCTAAACCCTCATATATATGCTACATGCCTTGCTGACACAGCCACAACGACAGGCTTCACGGCCTACGTAGTCTCCAACGCAGCCTTCTACTGGTCTCCCGTCATCCGAGCACAATACGCCCAGCGCAACCACAACCTGACCCCGACCGTCACATTCAACGATGTCGTTTTCGCGGGCCACGGTCTCCTCCTCTGCATCATCACTACCTCGCAATACTTCTTCCCGCGCGTCTGGGGCTTCGACCGGTCTCCAGGCACCAAGCCTTCCCGCTCCATGCTCGGTGTCGGCTGCGGCTCCATCTTCGCCGTACTGGTATTAATCTTCATGGTCATCGGCTCGTACCCGGCAACCTCGGACCCTCAAACATCCTGGGCCTGGCTCGACGTCGTCTACATGATCTCGTACGTGAAGCTGCTCGTGACACTTATCAAATACTTCCCGCAGCTCGTGTACAACTTCCGCAACCAGAGCACGAAGGGGTGGTCTATATCGCAGATCCTGCTCGACTTCACCGGCGGTGTGCTGAGTATTGCCCAGCAGTCCATCGACTCGTGGCTGCTTCGAGATTGGAGCGGGATTACGGGGAACCCGGCCAAGTTTGCGTTGGGGAATATCAGTATGATTTACGATGTGTGCTTCATCACGCAGCATTTTGTTTTGTACAAAGAGGCGGACGATTCTGGGCCTAAAGATAGAGAACGAGATGCGTTACTTGAGAGTGGGGAGGGTAATGCGAATGAAAATGCTAGGAGGCTGGATTAGAGGGCTGCCTGCTTTCGCGAAGGCGGGGAGTAAGGTCAAAGTACTGTTTTGTGAATAAATTAAGTTGGGGACTATATAGATGGATACCATATTAGAATCTAGCATATCCACTCAGGTATATCAATTGGCAAGGGGCTGGGGGATTTAAAACTGACCCAATTCCAGAGGCACAATTTACTGGGAGGAATCTTATTTTCTCATAATTGTCTTTCTAGAAGTAGTGCAGGTACAAGGCGGCAGTCTACGCAGGGGGTCGTGGCTACGCGCCCATGTTTTAATGCGTTATCGATCTTCCATCTTTGACATAAATTCAATGTCTAACTACAGACTGCTTTGCCCTCGTGTTCACACATGAATAGTTTCCAGCCCTTGGTAAAGCTTCCCAAGACACAGCAGCATACGTATCTGACGAGGAAACTGTATATATCAAGCCGGATTATCACGCTTACAAAGCCCTGTTCGTTCTTCAACAAACTGATCCTTCATATGCTTCACACCATACACTCCGCTCAATATTACAGGCGGCTACGAGTCAACAGATGTGCAAGTGTATCCACAATCATTTATATTCGTACTCGGTTTAACGGGGTATGAACAATCCAGCCCAGCCGGGCCCATTGGCGAGTCCGCCTGTTGCGGTGGCTGCGTAGATGGATGACCGATACTTGCCAGAGTACGAAGACATTGCTCTAAATATTAATTGGTCCCGAAAGCCGGCTGGTCATCCAAATATCATCAAATCCCCTTTTTAAGCTCAAACACAAACGCAAAATCGCTAAACACGCACATATCTACTCTACACCAAGATTTCGTTCTGTTTCTTTCCAGGTCTTGTCTCCAAAATAAAGGGACGGAACCCTCTTAGAAGTGAATACCAACCACCAACACACACAAACATCAAGTTTACTTTCCTTTCCTGTAAAACGCCAATTTTCCATGCAAAAGATCCTCATTTGTCTCGGTGTAGTAGTCCAAACATGCGTGACAGGGCGTGCGGATGGGTCTTCGTATATCGCCAAAGCCCGGGGAATCTCTCTATCAGTCTCTAGACGACTACAGTCTGCAAGAAGAGAATATGATTATAAAGGAATGCTGTGGGTTTAGGCCTCGGGGTTTCCACCCATGGAGGCGGGGACAGACGACCATACCTTCTGGTCAGGAAGACGGAAACGGCCGAAATCCTCATCGAGGTCAAGGATGATCTTCAAAGCATTGCGGCTTCGAGTATGAGGAGATGCGACGTCCTTCTCCTTGATGGTCGAGACAACTTCTGCAACTCCTGTGTGAACCTGCTGGGGCTTCGACTTGCCGGGGAACGGAAGCACACTCTGGAGGACCTCGTATGCGGCCAGGGTGAAACCGAACTGGGGAGATGACCGGAGAATACGAGCAGGTCCACCTTTGAAGAATGCTCTGAAACCTTCCTCCTTCCATATGGTTTGCGCGGCGTGACGCAGGCCGGTGTAGCTGGTGTCCCCCTTACGGGCCTCAACTTGCAGGCGTGTCTTGATGACATCGCATGGAGTGGTGAGGTAGGCAGCCGGCATACCAGCTATGGCACCAGCAGAAAGGAGCTGCAGGATACCCAGCTTCTTGGTTGGTGACTCGCCGAAGACGTCCTTCTTGAGGTGACTGTACGTGGGGAAGTAGATGGCCGAGAAGGGAACGTCTCGAAGCAAACAGGCGCTGGCGCCTTTGTAGAGACCTGCCAGGCCGAGGTTCTTAACAATCCACATGGCCGATCTCTTTTTAGCACCAGCTGTTGTCTTGGCGACCTCTCCTTGTACCTGGAGTCGAATCTTGACAATTTCGAGAGGATTGGTGAAGACCTGTGGTGAAGCAATTAGCACTAGTCACGGAAAGAGGACTCGTCATGAGAGGGTAGACACGTACAACTTGGCATGCACCTGCTGAACCGCCAGCCAGGATCTCATGACCAACCCAAATCTGACTCGACTTCTTGTCAGTGAACGCATTTCGCACCAAGTCGTTCACGGTGAGCTTGATGGCCTTCTCTGGAGCGACACCGATGAGCTGGGGCAAGACTCCCGAGTACAGTCCCTTGAAACCCTCATTGGCAATGACTTTTCTAAAGCAGTCCACAGAATTCTTGTAGAGGCGTTGTCCAGGATCTGCGCCACGCTGGTTCTGCATGCGGGTCTTGACAAGATCAATAGGATAGACCATGAATGCACCAAAGGCACCAGCTCCACTGCCCAAAAGAAAGTTGTATGCCGACTCCAGAATTTGACTGACTACATTCTGCGTCTTCGTCTTGGTCTGGCTGATTGCTGGGCCTTCCCTGGTGCCACGGTTGCGCCAGGAAGGATCCAGGACTTTGGCAAAGTCGTTCAGGCTGAGTCGGCCCGAGGGATCGTCAAGGCTCGCGAAGTGAAACAAGATGTCGGCCTCCATGGGGGTGAAGAAGGAGAAACGCGTGATCTTGGCAGCCTCGTTCAGGAACTCAGCTCGAGTGATCTTCCCATCGGAGCTCTTCTGACAGGCTTTGCGGATAATGAGCTCGACCAAGTCCATTTCCTTGATCATATTCTGGAATGCTCGAACATTCGCGTACGAAATCTTGCTACCAAGGGAGATGTTGCAGAGTGTTGACAGGTTCTCGAGGAGATGGTCGGAGAGCTTGTGCTTAGCCGTCTCACGAATAATTCGCTCAAAATCCTCCGGCTCAATGTAGCCATCGCCATCTTTGTCAAACTGCAAGAAAGCCTGTCTGATGCGCTCTCCCTGGAGTCCGCGAAGCATCTGAGAGAACTCTTGATAGGTGAGGTTGTGGCGCTTCGACTTAGTGCCAATGTACAGCTTTGCCCATTCGCTCTCCCAGTCGAAGGGAATGCTCTTGGGGCCTTTGAGCTCCTCATAGCGACTGCGGAAATCGTCGTACTTAACGCTGCCAGTACGTCCGGAATCGAAAATGCGGAAAGCAACCTCATATTCGGCATCCGACTTCATCAGTATGTTGTTGAATGCCGCCCAGTCGGCAAGTGTGACTCGACCAGTGCCCCTGCGATCGGCGACATTGAAGAGCAGACGGTACTGCTCACGAGTGATATTTCCCTAGAATAAGAAAATATAGTCAGTCTTCATTGCCGCAGTAATTCACGGTTGTGGGATCGGCTCTCACGTAGTCCTCGTCGGGGGGTGCAACCGCGTCCATGAACTCGTTCGGGCCCATGTACAGCTCTCCCGTCTTCGGGTCCTTGACCGCGCTTCCGTAGAAGAAGGCCTTGTTCTTGGCCGTGAGCTCAACTGGCTCATCGATACCAAGGAGGGTCTCCTTGACGGCCTCTTTGACTGTGGTCGACTTAGACATCGTAGCGTTGTCAACCCACCGCAGAGTTGTTGAGAAGGAAGTCGGTGATCCCGAATATCAATTGATCTTGGAAAATCGATCAAGGATCTGGACATTTGGAGATCAATTGAGTTTGCCGCTAAGGCCAGTTAGCCGATCTTCGGCCGAGTGACCCGAAGTATCCATTATCGCTTATCGATACCGACAACGATCCGGGTGACCGAGCTTCCATTGCATGTCCCACTGCTAGCGGCTTGAGGTTGCCTATTCCAGCTCGACGCTGAACTGGAGACGGCAAACTCGAGACTCTAGAAGAGCTAGCTTCTTGTAGACAACAAGCATACTGGCTCAAGATATGATGCAACTGTGGATGGCTACCTCAAGGCAGGCCCATCTGGGACTCTCAGAAACAACAGACCTATTGTCAGCCCTGTCAGTAAACAGTGTCATTGTCTTTCCATGGGCTGAGCAACAGGACAAGCAGGAAGGCGCCATCTTTAGTTGTCGGTGAGAAACACGAACGAAGCCGTAAAGCATGTTGATATGCTTCCATTCTTGCGTGAACTGAGAAAACTGTCCGAAAGCGCTGGTTCTTCGAGGGCAACAAACAGAGACTTAAGGAAAATGACAAAGGTTTCCAGGGACTTATTGGTGGCAATATGATGCTTGATCATTGAACTCCAGATAGCATAGACAGGACGATCCAGATTATGTGGGTGGTTCTGGAGACAGCCGCTATCATATCACAGAGAGAGACACTTGGAGTATTCTCCCGGTGCAAGTCAAGCCCGATAAACAGCCCGTAATTTATGCCGTATATCAAGGCCACTCACAAGAGATGGTACACCTGCCGGAGATAGCCATAATCAAGGTGTTTGGGAAGTGCCTTGCAGCAAGTGCATGTAAGCAAGTGGATTGTGGGTAGTTCGTTGTCTGATAGATCCCCGCACGAGTCATGGTACACACTCGAGAGATGGGTGAGAGAGCTGTACTGGTCTGATTCGGAAACGGAAACACTAGATTATTATTCCCGGCACAAAATGAAGAGGAAGCCCAAGTTCAATAACAGATTGCAGAGACAAAAACGAGGGGAAACTTGTAACATCTGGAAAATGGGGACAGCAGGACCTTTATTACATTCAGCACTTTCAACGCTTCGGGAATTTTCGTTTGTTCCCCGAGCATTGTCCTACACCCGCACTTTCAGACATTGGATTACTGAGCGAGAGGAGAGGTTGAGAGGGATGGATCGATCTCCTCCACTGGACCGAGCCGAGCGGAATCACTTTCCGGCAATAATATGTCTCATCCCAGTTCCTGCATGCAGAGCAATTCGGCTGAAGGAGTTTCAGCAATAATCGCCATTTGCGGTGGGATTTCGGAGGACAGCAATATGGGCTGATGTAGCAGTATTCAGTATATCAAGTGGCAAGGGGGTGGTGGATCTGGATAAGTTGACAGGGTTCAGAAATAATGTTCTAGATGCAGATCACTTTGACAGCTGACAGCTGACCTACAGCTCGTATGGAAGGAACCCAATACTAATACTATGTGAATACCAATGTGGTCGATGTGTGTCTGACTGCCCAGCAGTCCGTTCTGAAAAGCGATTTGGGGACAGTTGTGTACTGCAACTCCCAGGATTATTACATGTAGGGGCCAAGTATTCCGCAACCTGAACCAGGCCTAACGCGAACATGCCGCCTCACGATATGCCAACCATAACCAATGGCCCAGTCTATTAACAAATGTTCCATAACAAAGTACTCCTTCCGAGTGAATCTAAGTCCAGAGAAATTCACGCCAGGCACCAGCAAAGTAAAAGAAGAACTGTTTGAGGTGGAATGCTTCCTGCATAAAGCTCTAGACTACCTCCATTGATGCCTCCATACCATTCATTGTGGTTCGTCATCAAAATACTCGAAACAAATCGAAATGCCATCCCTTTTTCCTGAGCGGAAAATATTATACTTTAACAAAACAACATAGAAAGCCCTTGCTGTCTTCCTATGAACGCACGCTAGCTATATGGTTCGGGCATGATGTTGCGGTGCGTCCGGGTGCATCGGATTGTGAGAAAGGGGGGAATGTCGGTGTAGAAGTAATTGCCAGCATGCCAGTATGTCTGTCCATTGCAAAAGAAAAAGAAAAGAAGGAAAATAAAAGCATTGATCGTTTTGCCTCCCTTTTCCTGGGCCATACGCCTCATACCATGCCCATCTCATCTGCCATGCAATGCTTGTGCCTCAAGTCTATGGTCGGAGTATCTTGCCGGAACGCCGCAGAAGGGGATTCGCTCAAGACAAAACAGAGCCGTTGCGAAAAGGGGAATTTCATGTCTCGTAAGCTTCGTGGAGCATCGTGAATGATGGCGATGCCAATTGCCATATTAGTTTGGGGAGGTGAAAATAGAAGCTCTGTCGGACCAGCTCCGCAGACCAACTAGCACCCGTGAGAGTACTTGTTCGCATGCCCAGAGATCGATTATCAGCGTTGTAAGAAAGCGGGAAAGGGTATCGCGCAAAAAGCGTGGAAGTGCGTGGTTGAGGACTCCGCCAAGAGGGTTGCGAATATGTACAGTAGCCCGCCAAACCGGTTCGATTCGGTGGGGATGGGGATGGTGGGGCTCAACCTTGAGACGGAATCGGCATCTTCAGAGTCGTGTGGGGCGGAGCGTACGAGTCATGGCTCGGCATGTCGTCGAGCAGGTTGAATGAGATAGGAAGGGAGGGGGCCGCTTGGAAAGGCAGGCCGTAGCCCTGGGTCAACTCCTGTTCAACAAAACAGGCCGCCCGCTTGTATCTCTTGTCGCAATACTTGTCGAAGACAGCGCCATGGTGTCGGCGAGCCATACGGCAGCAATCGAGCATCATGCCGACCAAGGGCTTCAACTGGTTGTACGTGTATGTGGAGTAGTGAACATGCTCCGGAGTCTGCGATTTGTCAGCTTGGAATCTAAAATAGGGGTTCATTATGTAATTTCGGGGCGAACTACTTACCCAATCGCCCTTGCCCAGCATGAGACGCGAGAGACAGTGAGCGCCAGCTGCAACGTAGCTCGGCGGAGTCGCGACGAAGCGTTCATCCATGATCGTAACTTCTATGAAGTACTTGGCGAGAGTTCGGGTCTCCAGGTCATAGTCGTCTGCCTTGCTGATGCGTCTGAGGAAGCTCATTGGGCCAGGCCATCCGAGCTCAAAGTTGAGCATGCTCAGCATGAATCGCTCGGCCTTCAGAACCTCGTCGACGGTGTAACCACTGTCCACCATGTAGACGATCTCCTGGACCGAGGGGCAGTTGATCTCTTCGTACTTTGCCGCGACGAACAAGGCAGTGGCGCCAACCAGTTGCAGCTTGCCCAGTGACACGATCTTGTATGAAAGGAAACGATCGATGTAGTTGACGGCAAGGAAGAGAGTCTCGGGCAGAAGCCCAAAGCGGCCATGAACCTGGATGACCCAGTCCATCAAAACCGACCGCATGGACCACTGGATCTCAGTCTGGATCTCCATGTAGTGGGCATTCGGAAGCAATTGTTGCTGAAAACAGAAAGTGAGCATGGCGCGATCAAAAAGTGAGCCAAGCACGACTTACCTCGAGCTCCTTCATATATCCGAAGATCTCGTCGCCGTATTCCGCAACCATACTGATATCCCAAGCCTCTTCGTCAGCCTCGACTGCGTTACGCTTGCTCTCCACAATTTCTTTGGCCGCCTCGATCTCTGCCGCGCCCTTCTTGGTGAGCTTCGGGGGAAACATAATGGTTGTGCCACCTCCGGTTGTGTTGTCGCCTCGGGACCGATTCGAGTGTGCTGTCGTGTATCCTTGATCATCGTAGTAATCCTCTTCCTCGTAGTCAGAGAGCTCAACGGGGTCTTCAGAAAGAAGATCGACCATCTTGGTAGGGCCCTTCAAGCCGTTGCCAGGTGCAGACAGAGAGGGAAGGGGAGGCAGTGTACCTTCCTCAAGCTCTTGAACGGGGTATTGATCTTCTTGGGGGAGCTCTTCGACAGCGTCCAAGTAGGGAGTCTCGGTGATGTCGTCCCCAGCGGGATAGGCGTTCGAGGGTCGAGGATCCGCAATGCTGGTATACTGCTGCGAGATACTGCTGGTCTGGCGGCGTAGATTCTGCTTCTCGGGCTTCAAGGATGGCTGGCTTTGGTGATGACGAGGACGACGTGTAGCCAGAAACTCCTCACGGTCGGCACCCGTCAGGGACTTGTAGTGTGCCTCTTCCAGGGCGTTCAATTGCGGGAGATCGTTCTTGTCGTTGTAGACCATGGTGGTAGCACGCTTGGGCACGGGCTTGACCTTGATCTGAGAGGGGAGGTGCGAGTTACTGGCTCCAGCGTGAAGTGGCATGATGTAACCGTTGCTTGTCGAGGGAAGGATCGATGCGGCCTTGGAGGCAGGCCGTTGCGCTGGGCGCAGGAACGCGTCCTTCGCGGCAGCGCGGCCTTCCACCTGGTTCTCCTTTGCCTTCGTAATCATAGTGGTGCTTGCGGGCGCACCCGCGGCCGAAATTGCACCCTTGCTCATCTTGGAGTCGTCGCGCAAGATGAGAGACTTGGTCGCGTTGTTGCTGCGATCACCGAGGGCTGTTCGCTTGGCGGCAACCTGCAAAGCACCAGTAGTCGGTTGGTTCAGCAGACTGCCAACGGACTTGTTTCGGTGTTGGATGCTTTGCTTTGCGGCGGGTAGATTCTCGTTTCCTGCGGTGGGATGACCTCGCACAGGTCGGTAGGGCTGAAGGCGGCGGGTCAGCAGATGGTCGAGATGGGGTTGTAAAGATGGTATGGTTCGCGTCAAAGTGAGATAAGAATGCATAGAAGGGCGCGATGGGTGTGGGGCAGTAGGCTAAGTATCATAGAGTGGTCTCGACTGTGAAGAGGGCTTCAATTGGTTGTGAATGGTCCTGGCTGAAGCCGGAGCTGTGAATGTAAAAGGCTCGCGAAATCGCGGTAGTGATCAAAGGGCCCATTCAAGAATTGAAGGTACAGAGATCGGGCTGGAGATTTGTAGACTATTGAGAACATGGGATGGAAGATCCGAAATGAACTCACCTTGGCGTCCATGGTTGTAATAGAGATTTGCCCTTGTCACGATTGCGTGGTTGTGTAGAATGTTGAAAGGTGCTGCTGGCGCGAGTCGGAAGAATAAATATCAACGCCTCGTTACGTCGTAATCAACAAAACATATAGCCAAAGGGTCGAGCAGTCGCCGTGACAAATTGGTGACAATGTTTGCAGTAGGAGTACGAAATGCGTAGGTGTTGAAAGCTCGAGCCTGTCGTAAAGGAGAGAAGTTCCAATCGGAGATTAGACTCAGGGTCCTGGCGACGACGCGGAGGGAGGTGATGAAATCGCGACTTCTCGTAAAAAGTCGCGACTCTGGCAAAGAAGTAAGTATGAAATCCCGAAGAACACGAGAATGGGGTATTCAAGAAATTACTGCACAGCGCCTTTTCTAGGGCAATGACTGCGGGCAGGTCGAGAAAATCGATGTAAACAACAATAAACACTCGTTGATTGAAGTTCTTCAAAGCGAAAGAATCTGATTGGTCATAGCGTACCTACCTTACCCATGCTTTGGAGAGCTTCATGCAACCGTTCATGCAGGACAAAGCTAAATTCACAGAGCTTGGAGCATGGAAGCAACCCCAGGCACCTCAGACTTGGATTCCTCGTTTTTCTTTCATAACAAATAGATCAGCATCATGAATCGGGCTACTCTAGGGCACCACTTCCAGGCAACATTAAAGTTGACATATGGGACTCGGATTGGCAGCTTGACAGGAGCCATAAGTAAACGAAGTAACGCATGATAAAATTGGCAAATCTTCTTCAATCCTCAATGAGCACTCCAGATCCCAGGAGCGAGAGCACTTTATCAAATACACAGAATGAACAGCCAAATGCAAGTGCTTCCTCGGACCACAGGGTGCACAGGGTGATTAGAAGTTTGGGCATTCCAACTCCAGATTGGAATCCCACAGGAGCGGCGACGACTTTCTTTGGGGTTGCGTTGCCCAGAGACGGTCGGCTTGTACTAAAACGGCGCCGACTTTTATGACCTCATAATAACGCGTGAGCCGGGCTACAACGCGTTACCGTAATTTTCGTTTACAACAGATTTCTGCAACTGTGAAAACAACCATTGAAGATAAACAATATTACTTCTCACCGGAGGGTTCCTCAGGAGGCATTTGATCTTTACTCGTCACTTTTCTCCATTAGACATATATTTGTGGTTACTATTTAACATGTATTGATGTATTGGGTTTTCCGACCGTGCTCTCACGACAATTACGCCTTGTCACGTGCTCACATAGAGTGCCATGCTCCGCAACAGAAGACGAGCAGTCTCCTTCCGACACCACCGTTCAGACCAGTCAACGCTTTGGAGACAGGAATATCGATGCGAAGTCGTCCCTCAATGCCAAGCGACTAGTCTCCTTGAGTCTAGAATCTCTGCGACAGCTACACAGGTCGTTATCTCTGTTGTCGCATTGTCACTCGAGGATTGCGCTGCTTCTCCGCAGAGGGGTGGGCGCCAGTCACCTTCGATCCTTTCGCATTGAACAACTCAGTCTGCGGTAGTTCCCTTGATGTTGGACTGCCAGAATGGCAGGCACCCGCGGCTGTCAATGCAGAAAAAAAGGCAATCATCAAGTCATGGCCAACAGCAGAAAAAAGCGTCTGGGCAGACATGCTGGCTATACGTGGGGACCTCGCTTTATCGTGCATTGCCGGTTGGTTACTAGTTGGGGTTTATGGGGACGCCAGTTCAGAGCATGCAGGTGGAAAAGTCTGAGAGATCGTGGCTTCGTGGCAAGATGCGGAGGCTGGCAGCTGGCCGGTAAATGAATTGCTTCCCGCGTCCAGAAGCTATTGAGAAGGTCTCCAGAACTGCCAGCACACCGCATATAATGTGGGCTCTTGCCTTGTCGAATGATCGACCTTGGATCGTCACCTAGGGCCCTCGAGCTTCGTCGCCTTCGACCGTGGCACTCAAGAAACAATATCAAGGATAACTTGGGATAATTCTGTCTCATCCGGGATTCCGCCTGAACGTCTCAAGGAACAAGAGCCTCCTAATTAGGTCATTCCAGTTGGGGGAGTTCAGGTGCAACAAATGCCAAGATGGCCGCAGTATATCGTTGTTTTCCCACACTGTCTCAGTGCGGAAGATGCCACCTTTGCGGTAGTCCATCATGCACCTTAACCGTCGAGACCTTGACCAATTTTGATCGTGTTGTTGTTTTAGGGAATGGGCGCGGATAGCTCTTGAATGGATGAAACTCCAAATCTCTAGCGAGCGGGCGGCAATTTTCATCAATGGCACTGATGAAACATTGCAACATGGAACACCGGCCCAGGTCGTTGTCTCGATTGCCCACACACATGCACTTACGCACATCTTCGTACTACACCTTCCAAGAGGGTATTCCCTCAGGGTTGTCATCCACATTGATGAATGGACATGGTGCTACCCTCACCAGTTGGATCCCTGTCGGGTGGCCCTTGCAAAGGGCTTGGTGGGTTCGCTATTGGTTGGTCGCCGTCATATACGCCAGCAATCCAGCGCATCCAAGGTGGCTGGCCGTGGAGTAGGAGCTGGCGCGAACAAGCACTCGTTATTCCTTAGATAATATGGGCGAGAGTGGTGCTACTTTTTTCGATTGACGCACCTGCAATACGGCCTTACCTGGCGGCGCAAGACGTGCGATTTGGGATCATCTCAATGCTTGTCAATGAGTCCAATCTGCTCCACACTTGCGCCTGGGAGTCCAACGGTGAGACGGCGCACCCTGAGAGCGCTTTTGCGCACAACTTTTCGACTTTGAAAGTCATACAATGTATGTCTGCGTGCAACTCATGCGAAGTAGTAGAGCGAAGCGCTATGAGAATCCTTGGCTCTGAATAGTTCCATACCTGGACTGTCTTCAGAAATCTGGAGGAGCTCTCTCACTGTCGCATTGGCACGGTGGGGGGAGGCAATTCCCAACGGTGGGCAGAAGCTGCGCATAGCACATAGAAGGGAATTTGGCAAAAAGAATGAATTAATCGCATAGCTCAAAAATGTTCTCGAGTTTTGATAGGTATTTGGAGTGTGTAAGTTAGTTTTGTGGCCGTAGAGTTGGCATATTAATATATCATGTTCCACGCAAATGTCGGGTGGTCTGGCTCCAGCTTTTGCGAACCGGAGTCCACAGCATCTTCTTCGTAGGCACTTTCCGTTCTCCTCCTCTTTTGGTGAACATACTTCCTTCCCAAGCCATCAACACCGTCACACCTTTTATTTGGCAAACGATTCTAGCCCATCGGTTCCGTTATTGCACTTGTAAGCTCTTCCATCATCTGCTTCACCGAGTATCACATTCTTCAAGTCCGCAAGTGCTCACAGTCGCAGTCGCAGTTGCCAATCCTTTCGCAGTCCATGAGTGCGAGTCCAATGAACCCTAGGCGCCGCAGCACCATCTCTTCTGTTTTCTGGTCAGTAATTCGTGCCCTCTAATATCATGCGATCGAAGGTTCATTCCTATCTTGGTCCTTTTCCTGACTCCTTCACGCATCAATGGAAGCACATTGCCCGTAGACACCGCTCTTGTCTGTTGAGCTTCTGTCTGTTGGTGCCGACTTCACATCAATAACAGTTCAATTGTTCCTCTCGTTATACCGTTTATCCTCAGTATGGACTAACGACAAAGAAGGGCCCTCTAGACCGAACGAATATCGCCAAGTCCAACATATCCATCATTACTCCTCTTCTGCGATTTGACCCTCCGAGCTCGACTTCGGTGACCCTCCCCCCTCTCCCCCCCCCAAAAAAAACCCCACAACCCGACGTCCACGGCTTTATCCCGAAAGAAAAAGAACGGATACAAGCAGTAGGCGATAGCACTTGGTTGTGGGACGAGTCTGATGGAATTTTCAAATATACTCTCAGGAAAAGCCTTCTCGATCATTCCTCCCCACCCCGGCGCAAGCGCTTTTCATCAATCTGAGCATCCGGCGCATGCTGCCGTTGGTCTAGCTTTACAGACGTCGCCTGGCCACCAAGGAGTCGAAATGGCATCCCTTTCACCCATGGAGACCAGCATGTCGCCAGTCCGAAATGTACAACCTAAAAACGTCGCATTCGAGCTCCTCATCGAGGAGTCTCCCCAATACCGTGCGCGCCTTCCCCTGCGTGTGCAGATATACCCCCATGACAGCACCGATTCCATTGTGACCACGGTCAAGAACTTTTACGGTCTCTACTCGGGCCCAACTGGGAGCAAGGGAGTCAGTTTTGAAGACGACCGAGGTAATACTCTCATTGCAAGATATGAGAATTTTAGCAACAACATGGTCGTCTATGTCAGAGTCATTGAAGGTTCTCCACAGCCGCCGCCAACTTTTGTTGCGAATGCCTTTGCGCAAGCGCCCATAGGGGCTCCGCCGTATGGCAATGGAGACTACGCCGCTCAATCTGTCCAGCAGTTCGGCCAGCACCTCTCCAGGCCGGACTCGAGGACTTCTTGGAGGCGCAGTCCTTCGCCCAATGGCGGTCGTGGACGACGTAGCGTGTCTGTCAGTACGAACCCAGCCGCAAGCAAAAAGGGCCGCTCCCGTTCCTCCAAGAACCGAGGGTCTACCTACGACAATCACAGCGACAGTATGAATGGCTACAGCAGCGGCGACAATGCACCCGGCTCTGTCTCGAGCAAGGCCAAGGAGGCAATTGGTACCACAGACATCAGTGTAGAGAACATCGTCGAAGGCGGTCGCCGAAAACGTGCAAAGTTCGAAAGCTCCGTAAGTTCTACCAATATTTCTCTCTGATCCGCTGGATGTCATTACTGAACAGCTACATCCACAGGAACTGCCACTGTTTGCGCCGCCGCAGATGCCGGCTGCCACGTCCAACCCGTCCGTTTCCCCTGCCCGCCGGATCGAGCAGCGCCCCCCTATGCCCTTTGCGCACCCAGGTCAAAACCCCTTCACCAATCCCCGACCGCTACAATCCCCGCAGAACTACAATCACGGCTACAGTCAGATTGGCATGTTCGCGACACCTACTACAGACTCGAGACGTCACCGGGGCAGCATGGGCTACCCAACTGGTGGCGCGGGAATCCTCCCAACACCCGATCCCACCGTTGGCAGCTGCATGTCTGAAGAAGATAAAGATGTTGCGATCCAGCTTATGAGGCTGGGCGATATGTCCAACATCTCTCACGGAAGAACGTCTGCGTCAACATTGGACGACACGTTCAGCGGCAGGGCTGATGCTGCCTCATCTACCGGTGCCACCAGCGAAGCCGAGAGCGAAGCCGACGACGAGCAGCCGCCGCCGGCGCGCCGCCCAAATCTGGACCTGACAGGAGCCCATCGCAATATATATCAGACAACCGAGAGCCACTTCGTAGTACCAGGAGAAAGCGCCGAAGCTAGTGGCGACGACGCTGATTACGAGGACGGGGAAGAAGGCCCTTCAGCACGTAACTCGAACATGACCAAGCCCAAGGCTCAGAGCGGTGGCAAGCCTCGTCTGCCTAGCTTGAAGACCAAGTCCAGCAAGTCTAGCAAGGCTGCAAAGACAGATGGTGCCAAGGTTAAAAAGACCAACGGAGTGTCCGCTGGCCCAATGTCGCCCAACTCCTTGCCTGCCCAATCGCGCAAGCCATCCATCGTGTCTTCTACGGGCCCTCCGGGTCAAGTAGGTGATGACGACCACCCAGATCTGTCCACCAAGCCCCGCTGCCAGCGCTGCCGCAAGAGCAAGAAGGGCTGTGATCGCCAGCGGCCCTGTGGCCGTTGCCGCGATGCTGGGCTCAGTGCCGATCAGTGCATCAGCGAGGATGAGGGCAACGGGCGCAAGGGTCGCTACGGACGCCACATGGGCGTCCCCATCAAACAGACCGAGGCTTCTAGTCAGCCGACTCTCCTTCCTGCTGCTCCTATCGCTTTGCCGATGGCTGCTCCGGCCGACAAGAACAAGAAACGGAAACGGTGATCACGCATCCACGTCGGTTCAGCCGCCGCCATTCGCAGATGATCATCAGCGTCGACCGGCACCGTTTGAGCAGTCGCTGGCTCGGGGTGCTGGGTACAGCCACCTTCGAAGCAGTGTCACTACTTCGGGGCTGTCTATATCCACAGGTTGCTTGCGAATTGGCACAACAAACATTTCAAGCCGGGTTTCACCCATGAACATTACAATCTCTTACCTGTCAAAGATGGAAACGGCGAACGGCGCAAAGGCTGACGGGATGTAATCGCGGGCTACACCGGGCCCTTCCGCTCCTTTAGACTAACGCATGACACGAGGTATGGCGTTCGGCTTTGCTTATCTCCTTGTTGCTTTGGCCGCGTCTCCGTATCGAGGAATTGCGAAACCGGGAGAGAATTACAGTGTTGGAAAAGGGGTGTGTTGGGTGAGGAGCAAGAACAGAGCAGAGCAAGCGAGCGAGCGAGCAAAGTCAAGAAGAAAAGTTGTCGGGTAGAGAATCTCAATGGATGGATCACTGCAGCAATGCCATCGGCCACTGGTAGTATGGACGAAGCTGGAGGAGCGGACTGCCTGTCTTCTGGGAGGACTCAAGAGGGCGGAATACTTCACCAACCAAAAAGGAAGGGAGAAACGCTGTCGTCCCCCTTTCTCCTATATGTTTGGACGGTGAATAACTTTTTTTGATTTTTGTTCTTGTTTTTCTCGGTTGCTTTTCTACGTCTGGCTGCTGCTTGTTATGTATTTCCTTCAAACTGTCTGTGCTCTCTGTCATGAAGTCTGTGTGTGGTACGAGTGAATAAGGCGTGCCAAACGGGAATGGGATGGGTTAGCCTTGTCAGATACTGGACTGCTGTAGTCTCCGTAGTGCCAATATATGAAGCTCTTGACCATTATGTGTTCGCTTTGCGTGCTTGACTCCTTCAGATGGTAAGTAAATGGGCTGTACAATGCTTTCTACTGCGGGTTGCATTGCTGCTTCAGCAAGCGATTTGCATACATATAATTGCTTACATAAACACCAATGTCGTCGCCAAGCTCTATAGGTAGAGAAAAATATACGCAAATAAACGACAGAAAGAAAACTGCACGAGGACTCGAGTAATGTAGAATAACTCGATATTTCCACGAATGCAAGCGATACAATCACTGCGAACAGGTTATCCCATGTAAGAATACACCGTTTCTTTTCGTTCACGTCTTCGGGTAACCAACCCATGTCCAAGTTTGGCGCCGTTGGTTGCAGATGAAGGTCGAAAGATCAAGCTCGAGAGTGGGGGTTGGTGGATGCAGCACCAACTCAGCGTAACAATTCGTCTCGACTTGCGCTACGGGAACCATTGTCTCCAAAGGGGCTGTCGAAACCTAACATAGCTCCCAAAAGCGGCAACCCTCGTGACATTTTGAGCCCAATGACACCCACCGCCATTCGGCCGGTGGCCATGACAGAAAAAGGTTACCCCTGCTCGTTTTGGACAAGGTGCCGCCACCCACCACCATACCACCACAGGAACCTACCTAAGACCATAAAACGAATAAGATGATCAAATGATCAAGTCGCACTGGATCCGCTGAACAACAGGTTGGGATAGTGCATAAAGTTCTTCAGAAATTAAAAAAAGCCTTGAATTCACACTCAAAACAGGATAATGAAGCGTCGTTGGATTTAAGTGTTTACGCTAATGCCCGTTTGGGCTAAGCGCTCATCGGCAATTCGTTGAGATAACGCCAAGATGGGAAGTGCCGCGGTCAGAACTTGCCAAGCACTGGAATGAAGCAAATGGTGCAGTTCCAATCATCCGGCTCAATTCCGTCATCACTTACATCGGCTCATTTCATCAGAGCAGCTGGTCATCCGAAATGTTGCTAGTACGAGTATTTTTATCGGTCTATCTTACCGTGATTATCATTTGTTATGACACTAGAATATCTCGTAACCTCGTAGCGCCGCTTTTATTCCATCCTTCGTTGAGGTACAGATCACACCCTGGCTCATGCCACCCTCCCGCGTGGCCATCCATATGGTCCCCCGCTACCAACCATGTCAGTCGGGATGGGGTGTTCTGGGGAACGCACCTTGAGAGTTTGTCTCTTCGAGTCTCGCTCGCCTCCAAATGTTAATAGCCCCGCCAACCCAAAAGCCTGCACCACGTGAAGCATATCAGAATTTGCGTGCCGACCTACTTTCTCCTTGGCGCCCAAACTAGGGATATGGTCCATGAGGACTGCGACCACCCCATCAGGCGCATCCAGTCGGCGAGCTTTCGGCTTGGTTCTGGTCGACCTGAATTGCGCCGTGCAACTCGTGATATCGTGAGGGACGACGATTCAGGGTGATGATGGGGATTGGGGAGCGTACGTTTCTCACCGCACCCGCGCGTAAGATTCCGGTTCGTTGCGGAGGGGGCAGGCGCATGCTAGACTTCCGGGAAGCAGAAACGGGGTTTGCAGCCCTTGGGCCCTTGGGGGAGCAAAAACGTGCAAAGCCCGTGGTCTAGATGTGCTTGCGCAACTTCTTCTCCACTTGGGTCATTCGATGACGAGCTCCCACATCCGTTAACGGAGATGGCGGGAATGTTGGGCCAGAGGCGACCAGTGTGCATCGATGATGGGAGCAGCGTGCTGAGTTTCTGGTAGGTAATATGCTGACTGACTTGTTTGGGGCTTTGGGTTTCGTATTGTCTGTATTGCACGGCCGGTGGACTGAGTATATGACATGGCGACGGCCCGCTGATTATGGGAGTTGAATGCCATTCTAAGGTCAGGTCAAGTCAGGTCAGGTCAGGTCAGGTTCATACAGTTCTCCAGCGACATCTCCATTTTTCTTCTTCGGCACATCTTCCAGCGTTCGTCCGCTAGTTGCTTTCGTTCTCAGCATGTCTCGTACCGAGAAATCCGACAAGAAGCAGTCATTCGTGGTCTCAGTCTCTGCTGTTCCAGACAGCGAGATGATCCTGCGCCCCGATGAGGCCAGTTCAGATTCGCCAGCAGATGAAAACGACGGGTATCCAGATGGGGGTTCATTGGCGTGGCGGCAAGTGCTCGCGGGGCACTTGATAAGTGCCATCGCGTGCGGCTACGGTGCCTCATTCGGCATATACCAGCTCTACTACACCACCACCCTGGGCCTCCCAGCCGCGCAAGTCTCCTGGATAGGCTCTGTGCAGATTTTTCTGAACAGCTTTGTCTGCATTTTCAGTGGGCGGCTGAGTGACGCCGGCTACGAGCGCGAGACTGTCCTGGCAGGGTCAATGTTGATGCTTCTCGGGACGTTCACGACGAGCCTCGCAACCGAGTACTGGCAAATTTTCATGGCGCAAGGTGTCTGCACGGGCCTGGGACTGGGACTCATGTGGATGCCGTCCATATCGGTCATCAGCTCGTACTTCAAGTACAGACGGTCCCTGGCTTTGACGATTGCTTCAGCGGGGACGGGCACGGGAAGTCTGGTGTTTCCGGCCACGGTGCAATATCTGGTGCCCAGGATCGGGTTTGCCTGGGCGGTACGGTGTTCAGGTTTTGTTGCATTGGCGATGGTGATTCCGATGAATCTGCTCTTGAAGCCGCGTCGCATGGCTCGGAAGAAGGGTGCCGTGGTGGAATGGGCGGCGTTCAAGGAGATGCCATACGTGCTCTTCACAGCCGGGACATTCTTATTTTACTGGGCTCTGTATTTCGGGTTTTTCTACGTAAGTCAGCCAGTCCCACTTGTTGTTTGCCACGGTAGCCCCGTACTTATGCATTTAACAGATCAATACCTTCGCCATGACACTGCCATCCAACGCCTTCACAGCCACGTCAACCGTCAACCTCCTCCTGCTCACTAACGCCCTCTCCACCCCCGCTCGCGTCTTCGTCGGCTACGTCGCCGACTTCCTCATCGGGCCCTTAAACGCCTACATCCTGGCTGTCGCCTCCTTCGCCCTCACGCTCTACTCCTGGACCTTCGTCGGGACCAAACTGGACATGTATATCTGGGCCGCCGCGTTCGGGCTCACCAACGGCGCGGCACAGGGTGCCTTTGTGGGTGCGCTGGCCAGCTTGACCAAGGATCCCCGGAAGATGGGCTCCAGGTTCGGCATGGTCTGCACCGTCATGGCATTTGCGACACTGGCGGGGCCGCCGACAGCGGGAGCGATCATAGATGGGAGTGGCGGGAGGTACGAATGGGCGCAGGTTTGGGGCGGGAGTGTGGAGGTAGGGGCGGCGGTTGTGTTGGGGCTAGCGAGATGGTGGGTTCAGGGGCGAATGTGGGCTTTGGCTTAAGGCTAGGCAGGTATCGCGCTTTGGGGTTCTAGAGACGCGTATGGCAGCATTGGCGACCTGGCTTTCATATGGAAGCACTCGAGCATAGTTTGGGATGCATTGCGTTGCCTATTCGGGCAGGTTAGCGGGAATACGGGATACTGGTAGGAAAACTGTTGGATGCCAAGGCGCACGGCGTCATTGAAAGCGAAACTGGGATTTTGGTTCACTAATGCAGCTTGGAAGGGGAAAGGAAAATGGACAAGGGCTAACAGGTTAGATAGAGTTAGTACAAAAGTACAATGTCAGGTGTTAGTAGAAGCCACACCAGTCTAGATAGATCACAATGCACGTCTTTGGATATGGCGGTTGTCCTTGAGACAAATGATATTCGCCGTGTGCAGGTTGAACAGTTGCCCTTGTACAGAATTGTGCGTCCATCAGGGACTCGATGGTGCGACTGGACATTGAAGACGATCCAAAAAGCCCGCCTCCCCTCCCCAAACAAGCTTGCGCAAGCATGCGACATTATATAATCAAATGAATATGTACTGATGCTGTCCGACTTGCATTGGCTCTCCCGGGATAAAGCCTCGCGTAACAAGCCGCTAGCTTCCCAGCGTAAAACAAGCCCGGCGTCTCACGACGTGAAGTGCCAGGGATACACAACATGAGTCGTGCAGTGGGCTCGTCCTAATCATACAATGTAACCAAGGCTCGAGTCTCTAAGCACCAATTCAACTATATATTGATAACAATGATTTGCAGGTACTCTTCGCCAGGACAGGCAAGCAAATACTCAATGGTAATGTTGGTGAGGACGGACGGCACGTTGCATTCTAACTACGGCATGGGCAACTAAGTTGGAACCGCCTCGCCCGTTACGAGCTCTCAACGGCCTGGGTTCTCCCGAAAGATAAGGCGTTTCAATGTTGCCTCTGGGACTTGAAACGGCTCGACGTCTGTGGCACATTTCACCACATGGCTGCCACGTTCGACTAAAACACATGAGTTCAGCCAAACCCAAACCACATGGCAAGAAATCTTAGCCGCGAATGGTCATCACCCGCAGCCAATCCGATTCGACCAGATGAGTGAGTGGTGCAGAATTGCCGGGAGCCGGGCACATGCTCTGGCCTCAGGGCCGAGTTGAATACTTGAGCAGGGCTGCCTTTTTAGACTCCTGCGACCTGCTGGGTTTTCGTCTCATCCTTCTGTGCCACCCTCTCTGGCTGACAAATTCGGGTACGTTATGTGCCTTGCCGCCTGTCAACGTACCCGAAAGTGCATGCATGGAAAACCTTCCAGAAGCGGAAAATAAAAATAAACAGCACAAGACAAAAGCCGTAACAGTATAACATCTTCACAGCTTCCGTTTCCAGGGTCGTCGCGCAAACGGTTCATTGCATCGTCCCATCTTTCCCGAGGAAAATCCAACCCGATCTGGCATTAGTCTCATCCCGGGAGATTGGAATGGCTAATCATGCAACTCTGCGCATCCCGTCGCTTTTCTCCGGGTAATAGATTTGGAAATCGGCAGCTGTTCCAAGAAACACAGGCATATTTCTGTCCCCCACGGCGAGCCACGCAACAGTTCGCGGGCAACAGGAGGAGAACAGGCATGGGAGGGAAAAAAACCCTTTCCTATCAGTTATCAACAAGACACTAACCTTGTCCCCCCTCCCCCCGCACAGCCAAGCCAGTTGGTTGTATGAACTACATGGGAGTCTCCGGTTATTCTGAGTATTTGGCTTGGCGGAGCCGGGGTGCTATACACCTGAGCTAATCAGAAGCGATGCCAATTCCTGCAATGAATCTGCCGAACACGCAACTTCGTCGGAGTGGGCCTGGGCTCGAGTCTAAGTTTTTTAGCTCCCGGTCAATCAGTATCGGGACATGATTGCCTGCCGTGATCGCTCGTAGCTGTAGTGTACTAAGTAGGTGATGCATGAGACGAAATATATAGCTAGTGACACGGCATGCTCGGACTTGAGTCCTGTGGTCTTGTTTTCGTGATGTGCTACCGAGCTGCGTTCTAGGCACTTGAATACGGTTCTGCTGAAGCGGCCGAAAGAATGTCGGTAGAAAAGCCCATACCCGTCCAGGTGGATGCCCTCTCCAGGAGCGAGGATTCCATCGACATGTCGCCATGGACCGTCGAAGAGGAAGCGGCCGTGAGGAGGAAGCTGGATTGGCAGGTCGTGCCCACGGTGACTGTTCTCTACATGCTTTGCTTTCTTGACCGGTCAGTTCACTCAGTCGCCCCTTGTCTAATACCCACCTAGCTTCACTTCCGTATACAGATCGGTCTCCGAGCTCACGCACACATACTGACCATGTGCATGTAGAGCCAACATCGGCAACGCCCGCATCCAAGGCATGGGCACCGAGCTCAACCTGGTCGGGTATCGCTTCAACTGGGCGCTGTCGGTCTTCTACATCGTCTACGTCATGATCGAAGTGCCTAGCAACATTATCCTCAAGCGCGTGGGCCCCCGGTTCTACATCCCCGGGCTCGTCGTCGGGTTTGGCTTCGTTTCTATGTGCACGGCTTTCGTCCAGACGTTCGAGCAGCTCTGCGGCTTGCGCGCCCTCCTCGGTGTTTTCGAAGGCGGAACGATGCCCGGTATTGCGTTCTTCCTCAGTAGCTTCTACAAGCGTGAGGAGCTGCTTTTCCGTGTGGGAATTTATGTCGCTTCCGCGTCCATGGCGGGGGCTTTTGGAGGTGAGTGACGAAGGACTTATAGAGTTGATTTTGCGGGGCATCTCCTTGAGTTCGCATCAAGGACTTGGTCTTTTTTAGGAGGACTAGTCTCTCCTTTTTGAAACCCTGATGTCAAAAGTCCCAGATCAGTGCTAACTCTTTGATCCCACCACAGGCCTCCTAGCCACCGGCCTCTCCCGTATCCCCCCCTGGGGAATCGCCGCCGCCCCTGTCACCACCTGGCGCAACATCTTTTTCTTCGAAGGCATAATCACCATGATCGCGGGCCTCCTGGCCCCCATCTTCCTTCCGCAAAGTCCCGGTGTCTCAACCCGCCTGACCGAACGGGAGAGATGGATCGCCGACGAGCGCCTCCGCCTCGAGCACAAGATGATCTCGGACGAGCAGGTCAAGTTACGCCACGTCAAGCGCGCCGTCATGAACATCAACAACTACGTCTGCGCCGGCGGGTTTTTTCTGATCAATATCACCGTTCAGGGGTTGTCGGTATTCATGCCAACCGTGTTGGCAGATTTGGGCTGGACAGCGACCAAGGCACAGTTGTATAGCGTGCCGCCGTATGTCATGGCGTCGGTGGTGGCCATTGGGATTGCGTTTGTGAGTGACAAGACGCGCATGCGCGGGCTGTGGTTGGCGCTGTTTACGCTCATCGCTATTACCGGGTTTTCAATCCTGAGGTGGAGTCATAACCCTTCGTTAAAGTACATGGGGGTTTTTTTCTGCACTGTCGGCGCCTTTCCGGGCGGTCCCGGGTTTCTATCCTGGGGCTTGAACAATGCCTCGGGGCCGGCAGTTCGTGCTGTTTCGGGAGGTTGGATTGTCACGATCGGAACGCTGGGAGGTGTTTTGGCTACTTGGACCTACCTTGCGAGGGATGGGCCGGATTATCCTATTGGAAACTCGATCAACTTGGGGGGTCAAATTCTTACGCTGTTTTTGACGCTTTTCGGCATATTTTATTGTATGTGGGAGAATCGGCTCAGGGAAAGGGGTGGGAGAGATTATCGACTTGAGGGGCTTACTGAAGAGGAGCAGGCCGGTTTGGGATACAGACACCCTCAGTTCAGATACATTTTGTAAATGCCGTGGAGTATGCCTGGGACTATGGGGGACACCTTGGTTATCTGCATTCAGCAAAGTGATGGGCCATCCAGACCTTGAGAACTTGGATACCGTCACATATAGTGTGTGGAATAGGACAATCACAGGTAGTTTATTCAATTAATTATGAGTAGGGGGGCACAACTCCAATATGAAGAAGAAACTAGAAGGTACACGGAGGCCCAATTCATTGACGTCTTTGGACCTAGGCGAACGTTCTTTGTTGTTTATCTGCTTGCAGATGAGGAATGCAACTTTGCTGGCTGTGCATACCCGCCCTGCCGTGGGAGGCGCGGAAGAGTAGGCTATATTTCTGCGGAGAATTTGCCCCCCAAACCGACATCTCTCATCATAGTATCCTTACTCGAGAAATATTCAGCTCCAGCTGTATATTCCGCTTGCGTCGTGTCTCATCATGGAGGCACAACCTCGGAGGACAAAGAATTAGCGCTCCACTACATCTCCTACCCGTGTGTAATAGGGATCATCCAACTCTACAGAAAAAAAACTAAACTCAGATGTTATATTCTGCACTGTGTTAGATCAGGGTCCAATACCTTCTAGAGAATACAGAAACAGCCTCCGCCCCCCTGTATCTCCTTCTCAATCGTGACTTACATTGCAAATGTCAACAACCATGGAGAAGAACTGGCTACGAGCTGTATGTCTGTTTGCACGGACATAATAGCCCTTGGTAAGAATGCTGTCTTGAACGATACGATCTCACGGACAATAGCATCTAAATTAACACCACTCGCAGTAAATTCTCTCAAATCCAACGCAGCCTTTCCAGTTTGATTCTGCGATATATTGTGCTAATAATCTCACAAAACTCCAGTTAGACCAAGTATCTCGTCACGCTCTATTAAATACTTAAGTAACTGATACACGACGCGCTCCATCTGCCGTGTTGAGTACAACACCAACTGCGCCATAGCACGTATCATCATCTCGAATCATAATCAAATTCACCGGTTCGGACAGCTCCAGGGCCCAGATAGCATCGATCTTCTCAGGGGAGCTTTGTTGGTAGGCTTCGAACCAACGTAGTATGGCAGCGAACGCAACACAGTCGCCAATAGGGCGAACCGACCAAGCAGCGTATGTATTTGGTCCAGCCATTAGGTCACGGTTTGACATACGGGAGTACTAGTAGAGGTACCGGGGCTTCAAGCCTACGGCGTATTTAATAATAATAATAGAATTATCTTGTGTGTTCGTACATCGGCAAACTCAGAGGGCAATAGAAGTACAGTACCTGTTGCCTCTGACAAATCCTACCTACTTATCACACGTAGGTATGTAAGCAAATCGAGAGCTAATACTCTAACGGCAGGCAAATGAATGGACTCATTAACCCCCTCACGCCATCGCCTCACTATGCCTTACAATAAATTCCCAAATTACACCATGGAAACCGCGCAACTCCATCGAGGAATGCAGCATGGTACATCCCCAGAGTCACCGTCGTCGAGAAGTCCAGTTGGGCACTTGAGGACGCCTACAACGAGTCACAATGCGCCCTGCAGAGGGGGATTACGGGAGAGGGGTCGATAAATTTAGTTCATCTTCCGTTGACGTGACATGTAGATGGAGGTATTTTCCCGCAGTTGAACACATGACGGAAGAACAGGGATAGAGAAAAGGGTTGGAATATGAATTGGTACATCGATGGGAAGGACATGGTCGGAACCAGAAACGGATCAGTCGTGTTTCCCCAGCAGAAATTACCCTCGACACCCTCGACCAAGCACTTGTGAATCTCCTAAGCGATGACCGCCACCTGACGGAAACCAGTGGCCGATCCGATTCTCCCAAGAAGGTGTTTCTCCGATGGCTTCCCACGTGGGGTGATCTGGTCTTGTAGTGTAGTAGGGAAGAGTGAGGAGTAATGAGCGGGGCCGGGAGAGGGTCAAGTTGCTTAGGCCGCGGCAACATCATGCTCCGAGGACATGTTTCTATATTCTGAATCTGAGGATTACACGGTCGGGATGACTGGGGCTGGTAAAGAGCAAATATCCTGTGCTTGCGCATCGAGAGGTATTCGTCGGAAAGGGGCCAAGGCTTTACAGAGTTGGTGGCACGATCTTGTTTTCGGAGGGCATGAGGGCCTTCTCAAGGCGATTTCGCACATGGATGTAAGATGTTTTTTCCGGGCTTGCCGGAGAGATCCTTAAGTGAGATGCAAAGGTGGAACGACGGACCTGCTTCCGCGTCCTTGTAGACTGTCTGCTCGGGTTCCTCAGTGTCCAAGTTCTTCCAAAGTCCTCAAAATGACATCCGCGAATGGCCTCCCATCTTTGTACGTCCCGTCATGTGTACCCTTCAGGTCCTTCAAAACTAGCGTCTTGACTCCGTCCCGTTCGAGAACCTTCGCCATCCCGTCAATCTCCGCCTCGTCAATTAACTCGTCTTCCGTCGACCACCCCAGTGCAACCAACTTACACCCGAAGCCCCCCTTAAACTTCATCGGCGACACTTCGTCCCAATTCTCCTCACCACCAAATGCGCCCCTGAACAAATCCCCATACCCCGGCCCAAACCGCCCCATAAGTCCTTTCAAATCATACACCCCCTCCATCCCCACAATCGCCGCTGGCAACTCGACATCCGTCGGCGCCGCAGCACCCTTAAGAGCCACGGAACCCATCAGGAGCTGCAAAGCCAGCGCAGCGCCGGCCGAATGACCCACTAGGACGTAATTCCCGCCGAACCCGTATCGCGTCTGGAGGAAGCGCAGCGCGGACCAGACGTCGTGGATGTGGTCCGGATGGAAGGCGTTCCGGTACTCCTTGGGCGGCGTGGTGGACGGGTCCTGGGGGAAATCCGGATGCGGGCTGAGGCGGTAGTCGATGGAGGCGAAGGCAGTAACAGACGATGGTGATGAACTGGCTTTTTCTGGGGAGAGAAGGCGGTCGATGGTGGGGATGAAGGTATCATAACTGATGAGGGGGTCGCGCCAGACACCGCCGTGGATGTATCTATGAAAGCCGTGAGTACTGGAGCGAGGAAAACAACATCTTTTGGGTGTGGCGGGGCGTACATCACCCAGTACTTAGATATCGAGATTTGGTTGACTGTGGTGTCCAGGTGCCATATTCCCAATCTCTGGAGAATGCTGTCCGTGCCATAATGGTAGACTTCGTGCTTAAGAGAGGATGCCATTTTTTCTTACTGATGCGAGTTGGCTCCACGATATGAGGCGATATTCAGCCTCTCGAGGGTTGAAGAAATGGAGGTTCTAATATGAAATGTAAATAGGAGCAACCCACAGAATGCCGGCTCCGGAGCATTGCGGGGCAGCCGTCCGGCACGGAACAGGCTCCGCTTTATTCCTCATAACGGATGGCGGATAAGCGGAATTGGACGGAATTGGAGACGGAAGCAATTACGACTCTTGCTCGTGACTAATTCATAGGCCAGAATTTTACATGAAGTGAAATCTTACCATGAATTCCAATAGGCGATGGTGCAATTGCTGGAAAATGCTGATTGTGGGGAATAATTTGAAAGATAAAATCATTCAACTTCGGCTGTGGTTGATCAATGCTCTGTATCCGGACGAACATAATCGTCGGCATATTCTCGGATGAACCTGCGCATCTCACCAAGGACGTTGCAATAATATTAATTATGAAGCCTTCATGTCGATCAGTCAACCTACAATTCCATGTACCCGGGGGGAGGGTTCTGGACAGATGGTAGCGCCATTTGCGTTGAAGAGCCTGGGCCTGTGTCAGCACTCTCATAAATCCAGGAAAATGGAGGAAGAGCCATTGCAGCTACAGGGTCAATTCCTGTCGCCGCAGTCTTCAAGCGGCGCACTCCTTGTATGTGAGAATAATATGTTTCAAAGTACCCTCTCGGAAATCTGTTCCGCTCAGAGCGCCAATTACCCAGCTCGTCTATGTCTGTCAAACCTTGCGCCTCAAGCAGTTATCCCGGGCGCATGCTCATATGTATTATATGCCCAGAAGGAGGAAGTATAGCATTCCAACGGGAGAAGTTGGTGCTCTAGAGGACTTGATCACTTGCCAAGTACTATAGCACCTACCTCCTTGTTGGTTTGGCGTTGCTGCCTACAATATGGGTGCTTCTACTTACACACATATAACGGCTTCGTCACCAACTTGAAGCCATCTTACTGCTTCGCGGAAATTCGTCGTCGGCAATCCTGTCGTTTCTATACGTCGCGTGATGATCCTTTCCCCTCGAAGTCATGTCTTGTTCTTGATTTCATTCTCAATACTGCATTTTTCCTACTCCTATTCTGCCTCCTCGATCCCAGAATTTCCACAAGGAGGTGGCAATTGGCCTAGTTGAGTATACTTGTTTGGGGAATTTCCGTGTCATAACTATCTGGATTTCATTATCGTTCTACATGGTTGTGGTACGTTCACCGTGAAGATCATAACCAAGACGACTTCATCTTATAAAGTACCGGGCTGCTCCAGAACCGCATTCATCTACGAACCATTCGAGATGGGACGACGGACAGGAGCAGCACGTGCAAGGCTGTTGCCAGATCCTCCACCTACCCAACCCCACCGACTCCCAGTCCCGGTTAATTATCTTCACTCCCCCGCCTATGATCTAGCGATGCTCATTTGCACGTAGTCGAGAAAGCAGCCATGAAACCAAGCAGAATGGCAACAAACTCCCGAGACACGGCTCTGCCACTTCCCATTTATTTCTTCTTGTTGCTCAGACCACGGCTGGGGAAGGAACAAAGGGAATGGGAGATACTGGGGATACTCACCGCTTTTCCTTCTCCGAACCTGCCGTCGCATTCGCGACGAAGTCTTGCCTCTATCCCACCGAATATTCTTCTTTGACCAAGAAGACGGAATGGCCGCTTCAAAGCGAAAACTCGACGCCTCCTCTACAGCTACGCTCAACGGCATATGTGAGATATCATGATGGAAACGCTGGGTCCGGTAGCTGGAAATATGGAAGGTCTCGAATACAAAAGCTGCTTTGATCTGCATCCGACATCAAAATCAACAAGATATCAACCAGTGCGTATTTCTGATAGCAGCACAAGCAGTGGGGCTGGTTCGGAGTTTGCAGGGTGGGGAGTGGTTTGCAGTGTTGTTACATAACATGACCTACACCCTGGTTGATCATAGGGCTGCGGGTTCAATTTGTATAATGTTCAGACAGGGATAAATCTGATTCTTATCGCGGATTCAAACAGACTTCGAGTTAGTTCGAATAGCGTCAAGGTACTGGCTCCTAGGGGTTAATGTCAGAGGTGGACCGTGCATATCCACCACTACTACTTGGCTCCAGCCCACCAGCACTAGCCTAGCTTACCTAAATACATTATTATTATTATTATTAAATACGCCGTAGGCTCGAAGCCCCCGGTACCTCTACTAGTACTCCCGTATGTCAAACCGTGCCCTAATGGCTGGACTAAATACATACGCTGCGTCGTCGGTTCGCCCTATTGGCGACTGCGTTGCGTTCACTACCATACTACGTTGGTTCTCAACCTACCAACAAAGTCCCCCCTGAGAAGATCGATGCTATCTGGGCCTTGAAGCTGTCCGACCCGTCCCTAGCAGCCACCTTACAATGGTCCCACTAACTACTGGTTCTCCTGTTGCCGTTGCGAGGTCTCTGCGAGAGTATAGTGGCCGTGGTGCGATAGCGGCCCGTAATCGTTCCCTCGGTCCTTCCAACAGCCCGCAAAAGAGGATTACGTGCTCTGCCGTCTCAGGGGCGTCGCCACAGCGGCATAGCGGCGAGTACACGCCAAAAGCCCCTGTCACCTAAATACATCACACTTCTGTCTCTCTGTATGCCCCAACAGTTAATGACGGATCCGAGATCAGAGGTGAAAAAGCCTCTTTGTAGGTTTACCAAGTATGGGGCGCAATATTACCTATGTGTCGATTGAGACGGAGCTTGTCATACATATTTATATAGTGCTTGCCAGCTACAATGCAGAATTGACATCTGCGTGGATAGAACTCAAAAACAAACCCTTTACCAGAACATTCGACTGCTGTTAATATGTGAGGGGAAACACTTATTCATGTACCAGTCGTACATTACCAATGAACCCAGGTGTTACTGTAAAGTCCTACGAGTGGTTGTCTCACTGCAGGACCAGTGAACTTATCGTCTGGATTGTGACAGGATCTGTGGTTATTGGCGTTGGCATCGTTCCTTTTAGTCCAGAGGCAACTAGGGACGGGTTTAAAAGGGCAGTTGTCGCAATCGGTTGCGGTCGTCAAGTGTGACACACCTCGACAGCTTTGCCATAGTTTTTCCCGGCTTGATCATTACTGGGGCGCAATACGAAGCTCAAGCCTTTATTAGAGCAGTGACCTCGTCAGCAGCATCCGGATAAACGCCCTAAAAGTTGGGAAACTCCTAAAACTAACTCGTAGAACTAAATGTCGACAAAAGAGTCAGTCGCTTCCACTTTTGGTCCGTGCAAGGAAGGAGGACCCAAGTCTCGGACACGCGAGAGCCCCCGATTTTTAGATACGTAGGACCTAAGTAAGCCAATTGACTGCTAACTGTGCTGTTGGGAGGGGGCAAACTTGCGCAGTTATTGTATCATGTTATCCCACATGACTCTACCTCAAGATCCAGTTTGGGCCTGATTGATTGCTGGTTCGCTGATAGTGTCTGAACTGAAAAAGCCCGGCCGCTCTGGAATATTGGTAGAAAAGTTGAAACACTGGGAAGGGGCCATGGAAGGGTGATGTGAGGATTCTAATGAACTCGTTCGGCGAAACGCATCTTCTTTACACCATGCTAGATGTCTCGAGCAGCTGACCATAGTTTTAACTCAGGATCATCCTCCATTCTCATGCTTGCGAAAAGATTGTCTGATTCAGTCGCCCCTCTCACATGGACCAAACCAAGATGCGCATCGTCCAGTGCTTACCACGATATGCGTTTCAAAGGGTAGACAAGGCTTCGGGATGTTTCTCACCCAGGTGGTTGAGGTGGTACGGTAGCATTCATGCCGAGTACGGAGCATCTCGCCAATTAACCGGCGCAGGGGAAAGTGACATGGATTCGGACGGACATGGATTCGGACATGGGGTGAAAGAAAAGGGCTGCAGGTGACCCTAGGGCTACGTTGCTCACTCCGCCCGCCCCAATCACGCGTGGTTACATTCGGGTGGCTGAATAGAAGAGAATTTTAGTCCGTTCTCGCTGTCATGGACCGATAGTAGTAATACCCGATGCTGCAGCTGGCTGCATAGGAACATGCAAGAAATGTCTCGGAATCGGCATATCCAGCCATTGGTAGAAGCTGGGTCGTCTCGCCCGTTGGGCAGATCTCAATGCCGTGTTGAGGGCCTTTCTCGCCAAGCGGTACCGTCTGTTATGCACGACGAGGTAGCATAGCAGCTTCTCTGACATGTTGGAGTTGGCCATTGACATGCTGCTGGGGTGACGGACAAGCCCGACGTTAGCGTGAAACCCCTCCATTGGTTGACGTTCAGCTGTAATAACGACTGTAATAGCGCTGCTCGGCAGGTACGCGTCACACGGACAAGCAACCCACGGCTGCCTCATTGCTCAATAGGTTTGGGTGTCCTTTAAGCATGATCGCAGGGCATTGAAGTGTACTTCAGACGTTGAGCCACTAGCAGATATCCATTGGCCGGGTTCTCAGATTTGAGGAACATGCGAAGAAAACGCAGTAAAGGAAAGATCGGCAATAACATCAGTAGGCACTATAGCGGAATAACCAGTGCGCTATAATATTAATTAAAAATTTATTGCTGTGGACTTGCAGCGGGGCAGCGACGTTGTGACAGTAGAACTTTTGGGGAAGTCACAGTGGAGGAAATGATAAATAGAGTTTGTTTGGCAGCTCCAGTTCGGCCGGATTTGGTTTGAGAATCCTCCAGATTATCCATCACATCAGATTACCCTCACCCACCAGGACACCTTGAGCACATACACTTGTGCATATGGGAGTCCAGATGACAACCCGCGAAAAATCGCGCGACATGTCTACGTAGCAAATTTTCTAAGGCAGACGACTGAGTTCGAGAGATTAACGGTTCTCTTGCAGCTAGCTGTGCCGCGCCCTCTTGAAGCCCCAGAGAGGCCATTTCGCCATGCGGTTCTACCGCCCAGGATCAGGACAGCCCCACGAGCTCGAGCTCGACGAGCTAATTCTCTATACTCTATTGAGATATAACCCGAGCATTTCTCCACTGAATCAGTAGCTCGCAAGTCGCAAGGGTCTTGTTCGCCCTCGTCCATCTGTCCCCGGTCATGTCGTGCGACAATTGTCCGCGCCGCTGGTCGGATCGCATGATGGCTGCGCATGTGTGAGTAAACCACTAGCATTGAGGACGAGATGATCCCCGTGCAAGACGTCAGGCTGTCTGATCCACACCAGCATCCTCCCGCGCGTGCCGCATGCTGCCCGAGTACGCAGTACCTGCCCCATAATGTTGGGTCGCCAGGGGACATTACATAGCTCGACGAGGGCTCGAAGTCGCAAAGCTCGCACGCAATGCTTGTGGTCGCCCTATCTCCCTGCACCCGAGCTTGGGTATTGAAAAAACGAGAGTGAAACCTCGAGCACGTTGTACTTTACACCCCCAGCCCGAAAAGTACCGTACCATTCTGCTCAATAGGCAAAATACATTATTCACCCTGGAGGCTTGGTCACCTCCCCCATACCTGGATGGCATGCAAGGGACGGTCAACAAGTGGAAGGGTGGCCCACACATGTTCGTCTCAGATGGCTCCAGGCCGATACTCCTTCTGACTAGGCTGGTGATCTTCGTCTTCATCCATCCTGCTGTTTCTTCTGAATCGCTATACATTTATTATCATGATTCTCTCTTTTCCTCTTCTTGGCTCGTAATTGGCGGTTCCCGTTGTGTCGCTCTTTGTTCACCTCTCCCGAAAATGCCAGTCCAAGATCCCAATGCGTCGACGGAGAGCAATGGCGCCGCTCTCTTTATCACGTCTATTACCTTCCTGTTCCTCACATGGGTCTCGGTCTTGTTGAGAACATATGTGCGGTCAGTGATGTTGAAAGGATTTATGTCGGATGACTGGTTCATGTTGGCATCGCAAGTAAGTTCTTGCAGGAACGTCGACTATATATAAATCATTGACAATATTAGGCGGTTTTTACAGTATCATGCGCGTTTATACTACGAGGATATCACTATGGGTTGGGACGCCATAACCGATCCCTGGAACAACACGACGAAATCACGGCGCTCAAGTATCAGGCTTTGGCGACGGCAACCTACGTGCTCAACATGATGCTTATCAAGTTCAGTATTGGGATATTCCTGCTGCGCCTGGCGACGCAAAAGCGCTACCGGTATACCATCTACGCGAGCATAGTAATAATCGCGATTTGGAGTCTGGTTTTGTTCTTCTGGAATATCTTCCAGTGCCATCCGGTCGAAGCGCAATGGGACTATCGGATTCTTAACGAAGACCCCAAGTCTTCCTGTGTCTCGGCAGAAGAGATCATCAACGCTGCATACGCTCTCAGTGTCATGACTATCCTGTCGGATTGGCTGTATGCGCTGTTACCGATACCGATGGTGTGGCAGGTGAAGATGACCAAACAAGCAAAGGCGACAGTGATGGTGATTCTGGGCTTGGGGATTTTCGCCAGTGTCGCAACTTTGATCCGACTAAAGTTTTTGTCCGATTTGATAGACATTGATGATATCCTTTGTAAGTCACAACTGCTGATGACACCCACCTGTACATTACTGACACCTGGACTATCAGTCGCCGGAACAGATGCCATGGTTTGGACGTTGGTCGAACCCGGAGTTGCAATTGTTGCTTCGAGTCTCGTCACCATTCGTCCTCTCCTGCGCGCGTGGAGAATTCAGGGCTTCCAATCGACCGAAAACAGCAAACACACCGAAGCCCTCAGCAACGGCCAACTTGTCTCGCGCACGGAACGATTGAACGGCATGCCCGGCTTTGGCTCACGAGACACAACAACGGTAGACATCGAGCTAGGCCATTCAAAACCCACAAGTATAAACTCGCTGTCCCCAGTAGACTTCGGCACGTCGACGTGGGAAAGCGGCCGGCCGAGGATCTCGGTCATGTCCCGCATACCCGAAGTTAGCGGGGGCGTGGTCGAGCCGCTCGACTACCCGTCGAAATACCTCGACAGCAACGCGGGGAGGAATGTGGTCCGCAGTAACGTGCTGTACATCGAAGGGGCGCAACCGTCGCCGAACCTGCCAGGCAGAACTTGGATGGCGGATTCTTCCAGCAATTCCTCGGTCGAGCTCGATAACATGGAGCCTCTGCATGGCCAGACGGACGGACGGGTTGGTTTGGGATCACCACGCGAGCTGCGGTGATACCCACTTTGCGTGTTCACGCGATGGACCGTATCATGAAGATTGTTTCCACGGTGGACAATTACGATTTATCTATCTGTGGCTTTTCTTTGTATTTTCCAAGTGACCTACGACTATATATACCCTCCCAGAAATGGACTTTGGCGTTTGAAGAGTGGACTTGGGTCAATGGCGCAGACACGTGATTACGTGCCGGGAAAAGGGGACCTAGATACCACGGACTGCTTTTTACTCTGTTTTTGGGGCTCAACATGAATGGATCTATCGCTACAGGGCGTCTTATACAAAGTGATTATCGTGACTCCAGTTGACTTCTTCTCGCTGGCTCGAGTACTGACAGTTGTTTTGAAATACGTTGACTGTTGGACCGCAACCAGCCACTCTACTTCATGGCTCACAGCAGTCGCATTGCATAGCAGGATACGATGGTTGGCGTTTGCACTGTATTCAGACCGACGCTTGCTGGTCAGCACCTCGAGTCAATCGTTGCGCTAGCATTGGAATAATGGCGTATATCCCTCCCAGCCGCAATCCATGTGGAACAGGCACAACTTTTCATTCCACTACGCGTAAAGATTGAGCGATGTAGAGTTGTGCGAACCACGGAAAAAGTATCCTGCCTGAGGATCCACGACTGGCAAATCCCAACGAGAATGACAGATAAAAACCGCATTAGTGCCGAGTTCTACCAGAGTCTAGAGTCTAACTAAAGTCGAAAGTCGTTACCAACTCCGAAATGAACTGATGTGCCACCAGCGCTCACATGCAAGCCAGTTCCACCGCACCACTGTCAGTTCATATCCTAGTTCCTCTTTACCCCTCTATGATCAACTGGGATCTTCTGACGCCCAGATGGATAGCTCTCGTCTCGTGTTTTCGGGTGCTCTCGTCTTGCTTCAATGACCCGAACAACATTCGCCGCACCGCCAAGCCTTCACGTATGACTGACAGACCACCACGTCAACCCATTTATTATTATTACTGCAACGATAACATCCAATCAAAACTCCTCGCATCGAACCGAACCATGGTATTCTAGATCGATAGTCAACAGCCCTTTCCAGTCGTGGCGCAACCACCACGGTCAGCGGAGATTTTTGTTTTTGTTGTACCTGGTCGTTATGAAAGTCGGGAGGGTACTAAGAAGGCAGCTGTGGCGGGGAAATGTCCGGATCCAGACACTTGGGTCCGGCTCGGCTTTCGGGGTGGTTACATCGCGAGACTTCGGCAGGCGCTGGCGGCTGCGCTATATGGATTTTCCTTATGGGAGGATACCAAGTTCAATGCACATGCAAGGGCTTACTAGACCACATACTATCCACTAGGTGTGTGTAGATCGAAAGCAAATGAAAGTGAACAAATGCGGTCTAGTAACTGCGCTGGTCTCATTCGAATGCGATAGACCGAGACTACTGAATCATGTTAGCCAAATGCGTACTTTGACGGCCCCATAATCGGGCAGATGCGATGTGGGATAGATCTGCACATAGACGAGTTTGTGGGGTGTTTATGCATTGGCGTATTCTTCGTTTTTATGTAATGGTCCTATAGTGTCTCCTACCGGTGTGGCTTCATTGCCGTATCGGTGGATTGATCTATATTGCATGGCGAAGACGCCGATTGCGGAGCTGTCCCATCCAACTTCCATCGGGTCACCCGTTTCAGATGCGGTAGTATAATGGTGATGGCTCAACGGCCATCATGGCCGTCAACTGCAGAGGATCATCTAGTACAACTCCACGTGGACAGCGATAAAACCCGACGTTGTCGCATTGCTTGCGGGTGCTGTACCCTGAGTTGCATATGTATAATAATGGGGTGGTAGGTAGCGGGAAAGTGACGCAACATTGTTGCATCTATGGCGTTCTAGTCATGGTCGTAGATAGGATTCGCAGTGTCTAACCTCTTAAGGTCCGAGGTAGAGTCCGTCGAGATTTGGTTCCCAGTCTTCCTCCTCATTGAAGATAGGTGTCAAAACGAACTTGCTGTAGACATTGCCCATGCCTGTAGCTTTGCCCACTCCCGAAGCAAGATCGTTCTCTTGTTCATCAATGATGACAGTTGATGTGAGGAAATCCGTCGGTGTCGCTATGCCGAGGTCTAGAATGCGACCGCCCCAATCCAGTTCGACTTTACCCGATTTGCGAACGTTCAGCTTACCGATAAATCCACCAGCAGCCGGCATTGCGTCTGATGTCAACTGAGGACCCGCGGTATTGGGTTCCCTCTTGACCTTCGGCCCCACAACAGCGTTATTGTCCACGAGGTCCACTACGTTGCCTTCGCTATCAAGGTTCTGAAGAGGTGGAAGAATAGGTGGGAACTGGAACAGGTACAGCCGGCCGTCCTTTTGGTCGAGGTCGAATTCTTCAAGCAGTGCTCTCGTGTCGTTTGCCATGGCTTGAAGTTCGGGGTCCTGTAAAGCTCTTTCTCGCTTCTTCTCCAATGCTTTTTCTTTGGCGTCCACCTCATTCTCCCCATCCATGTCGGCATCGTCAATTTCAGGCTTCTTCAGCTCCGGAGAAAGGGGTGTTTTGGGTACGGCGGGACTGTCGTCAAGGTCCATAACGTCTCCCTCCATACCAGGCTCAAGTTTAATGGCAGGCTCCTTGACATTTGGCTCCTTGAGATGTGCTGGAGCGGCATGCCATACGGCATTGTCGTCCGCCATGCCGATGCTAGTCAGATTCCTAGTCAGATTATCCACAAACAGATTGTCGTCGTCTTCCTGCTCCTCGGCCTCGAGCTCAGCACTGGTAGCTACCTTAACATCCTCCTCTTTGTACTCATGTCTAAGGATACCCACAGGCAGGTTTCCAGGAGACCTTCGACTACCAGAACCCGCATCTGAAGGTTCAGCGTTCTCTCTGATTGCATCGATGTTGACTCGGTTCTCGTTGGCTTTTCTGTCGTGGTACCTGGGGCCGTATTCTGACTTCGCACCCGACTTGTAAGACGAACGCCATCCACTGACGCCGCTGCTTCCGCCACCCTGTCTGACACTCTCTGTGACCTTGTTAGCAATGTGAAGTCACATTTCATAAGTCTGAGCATCATACCTGCTGGGACCCCCGATAGCAGGCCAGTGCCTACCACAGTCCGTCTGATCATGCCACCACGAGACGAATCTCCTGCCCCTCTACCTCTGCCTCTTCGTGCTCTGCGCTCGGCATCGCGCTGCTCTTTCTCCTCGACCTTGATCTTGATAGACAGGTCGCGCCTCCGCTCCTCCTCAAGTCTTTGTCGCTCCGACGCATCTCTTCTGACGTTTTTTGGTCTGAATCGCCCAACGCCCCTTGCGGATGAAGCAGGAGTTGCGGACTCGGTCCGAGATGGTGTCGAATCGATTGTTGCAGGGCGATCGGCTTGTGGCTCGTTCATATTCGCAACCGGCGCAACCGGCGCAGCAGGCGCAGCAGGCGCAGCGGGCGCATCTTGAATGACGACGTCGCCATCTGGCGCGACTGGTGCTGGGCCATCGTCTTGACTCACTGACGCTGCTGCTGCTGAAGATGCGCCGTGACCGCCTCGGCCCGCTCGTGCGCCTCTTGCACCTCTCGTACCTCCACGCGAGCCTCTAGGAGCCATGTTTCATACCATTGAAGCCGAGAAAGTTGATTGAGGTTTCATTGACCGAGCGAACCATTTGTCACATTGTGCTGGGAATTTCACAAGCTGAGAAGCGTCGAACTTTTAGGTGCTCAAGCTCCATCGCGGGGCAAGCTGGAGATCAAAAACTTGGTGGGGCACGAATGTCTCCTGCCCGATTAAGTTAACTGGGACAAATGCCACGTTAACAGCTTTATCAACATGACTTTAAGCTAAATGGGGTAGAAGGACTTTGTAGGTCCCCAAGCCACATGGTGAAGGGTCTAACCTTAGTATAGGTGTCTCGGTCAAATCATGAACAGCAAAAACTTGCGTTCAACATTAATCGAACAGTATGCTTCAAGATATAGCCATATGCGTAAGATGTAACATATGCAGACAATATTAATGTGAACAGCATGATAGCTTCAGAGTGAAACTTAGTCATACTTGACATTCTTGTAGTGGGAATCTCTCGATGAAATCACTTACATTACCCGACTCCAAGATACAATTGAATTGCCCATGAAGGGTCATCATAATTAACATAGGAGCCGAGCAAATCTGTCTGGATGAGTAGATAAAATGACATAAGACACCATCTCTGAGGTATTTCACTGTAATGTAGCTCCAGTTTTGATCATCACCACGATCTTTAAAAGGTAATTATAATTGGTTGTTAGGGGCTTTATTCGAATGAATTGAGTGGATCAATACACATCATAGATCATGATCGACAATGTAGACGAACGGGACGAGCAAACTAGGAAGAACTGCGAGACTTTGAACATGAACCACGGATTCGAGTTCTAGCTTTACTTATTTTGACCCATGTACCCAAAGATGGTGTGGTGGGAGTGGCACTCGTGGCTGACGCTGGCACCACAATCTCGGTATGCACTGGTGTCTTCGGACGGGTAATTGGACTTGCACATTGCTTTAATACTCAGGAGGTAGCGGTTGATGGAGTGGCTGCCGTGGCTACCTTGATGCTTGTCCTTCTCAAAATGGGTCTGAGCGGGTAGTGCGTTGGAATGACCGTGGCTCAAACGTAGGGGCGAAATGGTTCAAGTTGCAAGACATCCTGAGATGGCTGGGAGCCCATCTTGGGAACATGGGTCTCTGTTAGAGGGCTGTTTGATCTAGCCCACGAATTGGCTCGAGCGGTTGTCGTTGTTTGCCATATTGCTGCTGCCAGTGATAGCTCTCAAGAGACATGGGCGGTGCAATTTCAATATTGATAATATTAAAATATGTGACAGGGAAGTGCCGAGCTTTATATTTCGTCTTGGATTTGGCTGAGCTGAGATGATCGTAGTCTGACATGGCCGTGGGCCAGCCTGAGCTATTATACAAGAGCAAGGCAGCTCAAGGTAGCGGGATTGCTTATCCCTAGTAGGGATACTTCAGCCGATGATCCTCTGCCTTCCTTGGGTATTCTTCCAGGATGAATTATTATTGTTAGGCAGGCTTTGCCTTGATCCGAGCTCAACCACATATTGAGCTCGGTTCTCGACTAAAGGCTTCGTGAGTTGTCCTTCTTCATAGCTGTTGCGATGCTACCCTATCTTTCTATGCGAAACCAGCGGTTACCTTGCGTAAAGCTGTTCAATATCAGCAACTTGTCCAGAACTTCCTTCGTTTGCGTCAAGGCAGTCGATGACTCCCTTGTCTTAAATATATATATGGAGAAATTCCAGTGGGTTCAGGCCAACACATTGATATTCCTAGTTTACGGAATCAAGCAAGATAGTGCCGCGTGCTTGGCTGGTATTGCTCCCAATGTCCACAAATATACCTAGTTTGCCATTGGGAAAGACATTTTCGACACTGAGACGGTGAAAACAAGACAGAAAAACACAAGAAGGCTCTGCACCAGCCAGGTCCAAGCAACAATATAAAATCTTCAGTCGGGCAGGCGCAACAGTTACACAATGCATGTAGGCGAGATTTCAATATAGTATCATCTGAGAGCATGAGATATCCAGTGACCCTACTCGTATCAGTGACTGGACCCCGTTTTGTTCTTGTTTGACTTTCTCGAAACTGCTTGCCAATACTTTGGTTAACACCAAAAGAGCTTGACTGGCGACCTTGGATATATGGCCTACCAGAATCTATCGATTCTCACCGCACACACATGAGGGCATCGTCTCCAAAGTCATCACAAACACTGCCCTCATACAGAAGCATCGACCCTATCCAGTTTCTACCGGCCTCCACTGTAGCAGCTCCAAATTTAACAACAACGCATCCTCGTACATTGGCTGCTGACCAGAGGACCTGGTCTTGGGTCTCTTTCTTGAGCCTCAAAGCACGCCATCTCTCGAGCGGAGAGTGCTCGGCTGCTTCTTCCTTCTCTTTCGCAGTGCGAAAATCTCTAGCACCAAGTCGCGGCAACGCTGCAAATTCAGACAGGAAGAAGTTACCCAGTGAATTGGTCAGTGGACCCCGAAGCAGCAGGGTACCGAAGACAGCGTGGCCATGCATTGTGTCTCGCAGGTGCTTCGAACGGGCTGCTTTGGGAGATCCGTCGAGGATGACGGTATCTCTGACCAGCAGCCTGTCCTTCACGCCCGACGACTGGCCAGATAGCCATATCTCGTTGCGACCAGTCCACCGGACAAGATCCCAATTTTCTCCTCGGGCAGCTCGTCCATGTGTAACCCAGTCCAAGAGATATAGCGATGCACTGCTATTCAACTTGAAGATCTGGGTCTGCTCGTAGATACTGCCCTCAAACGGTTGAACCGGGTCTGGGAGAAGACATAGTGCAGCGCCATCATTGATATCAACTTGCAGCGTCTGGCTGGTCACAGTGTCTGGCTTGAGCGGCTTGAAGATTTTGGTATGTCCTTGAGTGACTATACTCAACCTGGAGTCGGATCGCATATCGATTGAGAGATTAATTTGATCACCACCGACCAGGCCCCCACCATAAGATAAAAGGAATACCAACACACTCTTATTGTCTGCCTTAACTGACGGTGATATCAGCTTGAGGGGATACTGGTACGAGACGCTCTCAAGCGCTGGGATGTCGTTTGGTAGAAGCTTAACAACAATGCGCCCTTCTCCCGGCTGAGACGACGACTTGGGAAACGGCGAATTCATTTTGGCAACCGGAGTCGATTATACGGATGGCAAAATGAGATGCCAATCCATGCTGCCTTGAGCCAAACGTGTAAATCCAATGTCGTCCTAGTGGCAGCCAGTCGATTGGAATCCAAGCCACCCCTCTTCTGCAAATCCCTCGGGCGGACTTTAGAGCGATAGTTGTAGAAGCAGTCGCTTCAATTTGTTCCTAAGAAGTATGTGAGTAGAGGCGTTGAAACAATGGTAGATCCGCAAGGTTCGGAAACATTAGGCGCCTAGGTTTAGCACCGATGCCTGCAATTGAGGCTTATGCGCATACCCCCACTTTCGTTGCGCCCACACACCATCCTACCCATCTTGAGAACCAAACAGTTTAGCTGCCCACCGTCAAACGACCTGACGCGCTCCTCCACCATCGCACTTCACGAACCTGTGACTGACCACCCCCCGTCATGATCTCGCAATCTTAGGATTTTAATTCATGCCATCAACAAGAGTGCCCCTTATGGAGAGTTCAGACAACAACGCGAGTCCATCCCCATCCGCTGCGGAGGCAACGCGCCGGCGCACGTCTGGACGCGTTGTGAGGCCCCCCCAAAAGTTTTCGCCCGAAGTGACTTCATCTCGGAACGGAAAATCGACCTCGAAGCGTAAACGAGTCACCGAAAATGACGATGAGGATGCTGAGAATGAGGCGCCAGATGCCGATCTGTCATCAGAGCTGAGCGAATTGGACGACGGCGATGACGATGACGATGACGATGAAAGTGCCGTGGAGGAACCTACCCCAAGACCCAAGAAGGGAAAATCGCGAACGAAGAAGCCTGCTGCCAAACGAGCCAAGGTCAATGGAACTGCGCCCACTGGTGACGCGACTGCATCCGCTTCCAACGGACCAGTTAGGTTACCCAACAGACCTAAGAAGACGGTGCGAGTCGCAATTGCGCGACGCGATGGGGATGGCGTTTATGGTGGGTTATCGTGTTTTTCAATTCAGCATTATTGTCACAGCTTACTGACCGTACGGCAGCTGAGATCTTCGGGTCTGGCGATTCTCCTGACGATGTGGCCGCAAACTGGTTTCAGCGATACCAAGCAAACGACGCGCAAGCCCTGACGGATCTTGTGAACTGCGTGCTTCTTGCCGCTGGCTGCGATCAAAATTTGACCGAGGACGATATCCGCGACCCTGAAAACTCGACCAACCGACTGTCAGAGCTCGAAGAGGCGTACGAGCAAACGACTATCTCAGACTATCCTCTCATTTCCAAAGCCAAGAGCAGCAAGAACTTCCGCGAACAACTCGTGGGCTTCTTCGAGTCTCTCATTAGCCTTCTTCACCAGACCGACGTCCTGTACACCGACGAGGCACTGCTGGACAATGTTCAGAGATGGGTCGGAATCATGTCTTCTTCGGCGCTTCGCCCATTCAGACACACCGCTACCACAGTCGGTTTATCTTTACTTACAGCTATGATTGCCGTGACGAAACAGCTGGATGATCGCATCACCAAGTCAAGCCAGGCTCTCCAGGCAGAGTCCAACCGACGAAGCAAGAACAAAAATCTCGTCGCCAACACTCAAAAGGCCCTTGATGGGGCCAGCCAGAATCGTCAATTCATTGATGAGAAAGTAAAGGATCTCTTTAACATTGTCTTCGTTCACCGGTATCGTGATATCGATGACAAGATACGCTCCGAGTGTATTGAGGCTCTCGGCACGTGGATTTGCACCCTTCCCACCGTTTACATGGCCCCCGAGTATCTGAGATACTTAGGATGGCTACTCTCAGACGTAGCCTTCACTGCACGTCAGGAAGTTTTGAAGCAACTGGGGAGGGTTCTGAAGCGTGACGCTGAGAAGCTCGCTCATTTCATCGACAGGTTTCGACCTCGCCTGGTGGAAATGGCCACCAGCGATCGAGAGATTTCTGTTCGAGTGGCCGCCATTGCCGTCGTTGATATTCTGCGGTCTTCTGGCATGCTGGAGCCTGAGGAAGTCGACTCCACCTGCAAGCTCCTTTTCGACACCGAGGCAAGAATTCGCAAGGCTGTTGTGCCATTCTTTGCCGAATTGGTGCAAGAGTTTGTTGACAACAAAGTTGATGAGATCGGAGGCAGTGAAGCTTTGGATGATCTGTTCGGTGAGAATGACGAGGACGATTACAATTCCCCTCGAAAGGAGTGGATCCACATCAAGTCCCTCGCTGAGAATCTAGCCGCCTATAATTCTTCACTCGATCAGGAGCAAGACGAGATGAGACACGGCCTCGACGTTGCAGCCGATGTTGTCAGCGCAATCATTCCCGAAACTCGCATTGCTCTGGCAACCCAGGCCCTCTACGAGAAGATGCCAGAAATCAGTAACTGGCACATCCTTGCTGGCTACTTATTATTTGACCACACAACAAGCTCAAAGTCCAAATCGAAATCGAACTCAACAGAAGCCGCTACAAGGGCGGCTGTGGCTCCGAGTTCGGAAGAGGAGGCTATTCTCCTGGAAGTTCTGTCCACAGCCGTGAAGGAAAGCCTCGTTCCCGGTGGCGAGCACGATAAAACCAAGAAACGGCCAGGTAGACTCGATCTCGACGCACAAGAGGATGCCGGCGTGCAATTGGCTGCGATTATACCCCAACTCCTGAACAAGTTTGGGTCTGACCCACACGTAGCGGGTATAATTCTGCGGCTGGAACACTACCTGGATCTTGAAGTCTTCCAACAACTTCTTCAGAACGCCACGACCTACGACAAACTCTTGGACGAGATAACGAGGCAGTTTGGCCGCCATGTGGACGAGACTGTACTCAACGAAGCAGCTATGGCGTTCATTCATGCCAGACAATACGAAGAGCTGGAAGAACTGACAGACAGCAAGCTTACAGTCTTATGGGATAATACTGTGAACTCGCTACGAAACTTCGAGAAAACCTGCGAACTCAGTGTCCGTGGCAACCTCGGACGAGCATCACTTAATGAGCTTGCGAACGTCTTGAAGAAGATTAGCAAGTTGGCCAGAATTTCGGACTGTGTGGATGTCATGGAGGCCCCCGGAACCGCCAGCGATTTCAACGACCCTGTTGTCAAGATATTGACTGGAATCGTACATCGTGGTTTCTTGGCTGAATCAGATGACGACCTTGATGACCCTGAAGACGAAGTTGTTGCGTTTGCCATCAAAGGCTGCCAATTTTACTTCATGTGGAAAATTCGTCAGCTGCAAGTCGCCATCCAAAATGGTGAGGATTTGTCTGACGCCGAAGTCGACCACTTGGTTATTCTACGGAAGGACTTCGTTACCAACCTGATCCACACTCTTTCGTCTCGGGGTTTCAATGACGATCTGCGATTGTTTGCCACAGGCAGCCTTTGTGATTGCTGTGCGTTGTTCGTCTTCCTGCGGCCGATTGTTTCAGGTCCGCAGGCCAACAAATACAGCAAGCTGCGTCCTCTGCTCGAAGAATTGCCATCAGCACTGATGACGAAGGAAATTATACCCATCTTCGATGCAGCAGAACGCGAGTATGCCAAGCAAGCGAAGAAGACTCTGAACGAGCCTGCAGATGACGAAGACCCGCTCGATGATGAGCTTCCGCCAGAGGAGGATGAAGATGAGGAACTCACGGAACAAGAGCGCGTTGCAGCCGAATTGAAGGCGGAAAAGATCCTCTGCGAACTGACGGGCAAGCTGATCATTGGTATTCTTGGCAAGGTCATCGACCACTCGGGTCCCCACGCCGGCAAGCTTCGCAAGCGCCTGATGCGCAACAAAACGAAGCTAGGATTGACGTTTAGAGACGTCGTTGCGTTCTTGGACGACGACCACCTGCGCGAAATGAGAGGTGGTGGGAAGAAGAAGATTGCATCGAAGGGCAAGGGCAAGGAAACTGCAGCATCGAAAAAGTCTCACCAGAGCGCCGAACTTGTCATCGATTCGGACTCGGAAGACGATCCGTTCGCAGAAGACCCGCCTGAGGAAGGCACGGTGGAAGATTTGAGAAATAGGGAGTTGCTCGATGATCCCATTGAGGATGATGAGGACGAGGAGAGGCCGCCTGAGCCGATGGAGGAAGATAATCCGCTTGGAGACTAGCTGGAGCAATCCAAGGGTGTTTTGCGGTTGTCTGCTGGAGCGGAATCGTGTATGTTGTATAGGGAGGGGGGAACTTCGACTCTAGGGGGGTCTTGAGGTCCCTCTTTTGGATGGTGTTGGATGGGAATTTAGGGGAACGAACTCTGGCCAAGCGGTTATTAGCCAGACCTTACTGTTGGTCGCATGGCATGTGCGATGGGTACCTTTAGCTTGTGATATGGGGCTACGATAACCTAATATTCGCATGTATGAATGGAGGTGCACCTTTGCTGTTGAAAAAAATTAACCATCTGTTTATTAGGGCGAATTTTACAACTGCAGGCAGAGTAGCATGGAGATTTGTGGATATTAATATCTTGTCCTATCGCTCTGTTGCGCTGAGCCCATCTAGCATGGGGCCGAGTTTTCTATGGCAGATATCTCTGGCGAACCCCCTGGCGCAAGCTGGCTGTCAGTAGGCCCTTCCATTTTGAAAACGTATTGCGACGAAAAATTCGCAGCTGTCACGCCGTGTGACTATCAATACCATCTACCGCCCACTTCCAGTTCGACGCTGACTGATATATAAGGGTTAATCTTCATGCTAGGCTTGGGATCACACGTGGACGAATAAGGACGGCAAACCAGGCATTCAGGTGACGACATGAAACAGTGGCAGAACTTATATGTTAAAGGCCACGGCAATAATAATACCACATGAGGGTATCCTAGTCGCCATGTCGTCAAATCACGTAGATCACACAAATCAGCAAAGCCTACATGCGATGGATGTAGAATAAGACCATGTCCATCATCGCCACAACTCGTCTGGACCGCCAACAACAACGCCTACACACCCAGCCACTCCGCAGTCATTAGCAACTCGATTGCCGAATGCAAGGAATCTCTAGCTCTAGCATAGAAATTTCTCCCCACATGTGACAATGAATACATCCGGTTCCGGGAGGTATTCAGCAACGTCCTCAGCCGTCCCTCGTTGGGCCTACTATGGTACATGCTCGACCATACCGCCCGCACACGAGGTAGTCTAGCAAATGCTCCCATTAAATGCACTGCCGCTTTGCGTGTTGACGTGCCACCCGCGCTTAAGAAGCTCCTCGAGCAGCGGCTTCGACTCGAATTGGATAATGGAAGCGCGCGGCATCCGGGATGGACATGCCTTAGTGGCAAGGACTTGGCATGCTGCCTGTTCGAGGATAAGCGCGCAATGGTGGACGACGGCGGCTGGGAACAATCCGTCAACCCCGCTGATAAGTCTAACGACACGCGAGTGCAACCACCCCGCCGTTGCTGGAGACGTGCGCAGCGTTTGGCGTTCTCACCATGTTCAAATTCCATCAGGAGAGACGCGAGACCTAGTCACAACATGCTGCAACGCGCTGTACAAATGACACACGACAGCCTCGACAGGCGCAGATCCCGACGGTATGGTGCAGGAGGGTCCTGACGTAGAAAAGAAGAGAAGTCAGGATTATGAGGCGCTACCTGGTTGTTGAGCGCGGGCTGGATATAAATGCCATGAATGCTAGTGTTTATCACCACCCGCCAAATACACACAATGAGAAACCACTGTGTTATGCGGCTGCTTGTCCCAAGGGGGCGCCTGTCGTTAGATGGTTACTCAAGAAAGGTGCTGACCCCACTGTTAAGATCACGTACTCTCATGGTAGGAGGTATGCTGAGTCAAGGTTGTCAAGGTGTTGAAAGACTGGCAGTGGACAAAGAAATAGAAAATGAAACTAGATTTTATATCAACTATTGGTCGTACTGAACAGTCAATTTCCATTATTATTGTTCGCTGGTTAAACCCTGCAAAGGGTGCCGATACTACCGAACAGGGCAATTAGCGCAAGCTAGGCCCCTGCTGGTGAGCTCCAGTGAGCTGGGTCTAGCTGTTTTAGGGGCGACATGGGATGATCCCAGTTCTGGCTAGGAGATGCGGCTCCTCCTTGAGTCGGTCTTCATATCCACTATGTCCAGTCCACTCCAAAACCCCAAGATGCGACGACCAACCGACTATGCACCATGATCTCGCCATCGCGAGCTCCTCGCCAGAGGATGCTCATCCTCGCGCTCCTCCTCGCGCCCTCCATCTTCATGTACCTATACCATATCCTCCCTGCCATCCGCAAGCACATCTTGCAACACCCTTCGTCCTCCTCGTCGACCTCTCGTCTTGACTTTACCACCGAGTACCCTCCCAACCCAAACACCGGCAATATCTCCGTCAACCTCGTCCTCGCCACCGTCAGCAAAGACGATATCTCCTGGACCTCTAAACTGCACCAACACATCCCCAACCTAAACCTCATCCGCTACATCAGCGACGACCCCTCCGCAACGTACCACCCGCCCGCCGCCAAAGGCCGCGAGGCCCTCATGTACCATACCTACTTCTACGATTTCTACGACTCCCTCCCCGACGTCTCGATCCTGGTCCACGCACACGAAACAGCCTGGCACGTTGACGCGGCACTGCGCTCGTCCATGGTCTTTTCGCTGTCTCGGCTCGATTTGACGGAAGCGCAGAAGCTGGGCTACGTTAACTTGCGCGCGAGTTGGTACCAGGCATGTCCGGCGTGGATCAACACGACCAAGACGCCCGAGGAGAGCGAGAAGCAAGAGGAGCCGTGGATGGGGGAGGCGTTCCGGGCCAACTTCGGGCGGGAGGTGCAAACTCCCGAAATTTTGGCCGGCCCGTGCTGTAGTCAGTTCGCGGTGAGTCGGGAAGCGGTGCGGAGCAGGCCGCGGGACCAGTATAAGAGGAGCATGGAATGGTTGCTTGAGACGGAATGGAGTGACTATATTGCGGGGAGGACGTGGGAACACATGTGGGCGTGGTTGTTCAAGGAGGTGGCGGTGGATTGTGCGGTCGAGTATAAGAAGTTGTGCCGGATGTACGGGGTGTGCTTTGAGGGGCAGGCATCGTTGGATTTGTTCAACGATTTGTTTAAGGAAAAAGAGGGACTGAGAGAGGCGACGGAATTTTGGAGAGAGCTATGGGATCCGGATAAGGCGCAGAAGGCTAGGGATAGGATGGGTGAAATTGAGGGAATTTTGGATAGGACTATGGGTGAGGCTGTACGAAACGGAGGGGATTACAAGGTGAGGATAGACGCTGCGACAGACTATTTTATCCCATAGGATGGGATTAATCTGCTTCACCAGAATGGTGCTTTCAGACGTCGAGGGTAGACTGAACTCAAAATCAGCTCTGCTGACCACTCCTGAAATGGACGCGAAGCAAGCTAGCGTAGGTTTGCGGTATGCTCATGCTACTGCATCCTTCATACTTGCTTCAATAGCTCTGGAGGGTTGTCTCTAAGCCAAAGAACAACTTGATTGCCTTCTATTGGCCTAATTTTCCTTCATTCCGCTCCGCCAATATACAGAAAATGTGCAGCTCGTGCCCTGGGTGAGCCAGTCAGCTCTGCATAAGGGGCCGGCCAGAGCAACATCTCTTATTAGTGAGCTCTGCTAGTAGTGCATTGACCTGCAGGTATTCTATCTAAAGTTCTATATTTATTCGGCCCCGAGACGCTAAGTCTAGAGGGCACTGCTGCTAATGTACATGGTTTGGTGCTCTTCGTTTTGGCATATCCTCGTTAAGCCCATGTATTCCCTTCAATGGTTGGTTTTTTGAACATCATGAGTAAACAATTTGTGTGTATTTGTATGTTATTGAAGTTTGAGACGGAATTTAGGCTTTTGTTTCTGGGAGATGGTTGGGTGTTTGGAGAGATGAGTTATGTTGGATTGTTAGCGGTTGGAGCCGCAAATGAACTTCGGATCAACGTTGTTCACAAATGGTTCGTTGTATTTCGCCGGGAAGGCCGTCCGCATTTCATTGTGGTTCACTAGGTTTGAGGATCGAATTCGAGCTTTGATTCAAAAGGAACATATTAGAGATCAGATAAGAAGGTCAACTGAACTACATTAGAGATGAGATCAGGAGCTCAACTAAGTAAGTAGTTACAAGGTTTGTGGTCGTCTTTTGTTACGAGTGAGGTCTGAGGCGTAATTCAGGTGTCACGGTGAGGATTCGGAGTGATGCCTTAAAGAAATGGTATTTGAATAGACTATCAAAGATGAGGAACAGAGGTTTACGGAAATGAGAGCAAGTGTGGGAATGCAGGCGCTAAAAGGAATTGCCTGCAAATGCCATGAAATCACACGAGCGCTTGGTTCGTGGTTGTGGCGGCCATTTTGATTCTGGGCCAAGTTCATGTAAGGCATATTCAGAATGGAACAAAGATAACAACACGACAAGGCACACGGCCTGTGGAAGAAGTTCAATACCGTCGTGTTGCTCAAGGAGCAGGTACGTGCAGCCGGCGACCCAGAACTGCAGCGGTTGCTAAGGCAGGTGCGTCAGGGCGTGCAAGACCAGGCCGACTTGGACATGCTAAACAACAGGTGCTACCGGGCAGGGAGGCGGATTCCTTGGGAAAGCGGCATAACTGTAGTGACGCCTCTGAATAAGAACCGTTGGAACCTAAACATGGAGGCGGCGTTGTCATTCCAAAGACAGCGCGGGGCCGTGTTGCAGATCTTTCCATCAGATCACAGGTGGAAAGATAGTGACCCGACGGAGGAAGAGGTGTTGCTAATGCTCAGTCAGGGAGACGACAGTGCGATTCCGGTCCCGGCCATCTTCATCTCCGTGCCGGGTATGCCCGTTGTCGTGAATCAAAACAACTACCAGGGCCTAAAAGTGGTGAATGGCGCCGGATACACGGCGGTGGACGTAATCGTCGACAAGGCGCGCCCGGGCTACCACGTCGACATCGACATCATATTGCACTTCGGCCCGCCGGCGGGAATCATTCTCGAGTCAGAGACGACGAAAGACTTTGACTTCGTGGGCATGGCGTCGGGCACGGTGCTTGTAACGCTTATCAGCACTAAAATCGAGCGCCACAAGAAGCGGCCGTGGCAGCAGTCGAACGTCGTCCGCAAGGGACTACCTTGCGCGGCAGCCTTCGCCTGCAAGGACTGCAAAGTACAAGGCAGGACGCTGGCGCAGATCGGGCTGGAGCTGCGCGACACTAGACGGCATCATGCTGCTGTCAGAAGTGCATGAGAGGGACTTGGTTGCCAACAAGATCCCCGAGAGCATGGTCGCGGCGGAACAGAGGCTGGAGGTGCTCAGCGAGTTGACTATGGAAGCCGCGAAATCATAGGCGTGGTAAGACCGAAGGGCGGAGAAGGTTTGGATTCGAATCCAGGGTTGCCAAGGGGTATGCAAGTAGGGATGGTGGAGTTCATAAGACTAGATCAAATATCAGCGCCAAGCCGGACTATGTACACACAGCAGTTGGTTCAATCTGATATTGTTATTTCACTCGAAAAATGGCACTCAAGGGCCTGAGAACGATGTGAGGTCTGACAGAAGACGACGAGCACGACCACTGCCTTCCATAACAGCGCGACTCCGCGCGGTAACGCTCTCATCTGATATCGTACACACAGGAGTTGGTGGGCGCGGGCAGATGTTAACCTTGCACGAAAACACGAACAACCCGGGGAGGAAAGCGAGGTGCAGGCAAAGATGGAGTTGAAGTCAGACCACCAGACCAACTCGGTGTGAGAGAAGACGCGAGTTCTGAGATGGGACGACTTGAGTCAGAGAGGACGACGCGAGGTCTGAGGGAGGACGACGCGAGAGAGGCGCGAGATTGATTGATTGATTGAAATTTAACGTCTCATCACGTGAGACGTGCCGGGCGCAGTGCCGGCATGGTCTATGCTAGTCGAATCTATGTTACAGGGGACTGTCTTCATCTAACATTCCTGTTCAGTGCGATGGGCAGATCTCAGTAAAGAAATTGGTCTCCTCCGCCCATTGACAAAACAAACGAGCTCCCTTGGCCGTGCCTAGGAGGGAATCTATACTATTCTTGGCCAGAGAGGCGCGAGAAGCGCGAAGGTCATGTGAGGGATGTGGCCGAAAGAGGCAAAAGGTCACGTGATTTTTGGATCGTAGGGTGAAAAGCGCGCGTTAGAAAGCGGCGCATAACACCTTTCGTTCAGGTGGGAAGGTACGGCCAATTACAGGGCTACAAAATCCCGCCTCAAACCAGAAGTAACCATCATAGAGAAAGAAAAAAAAACATCTTTTTTTGACCTTCACATAAATCTCGTTCCTCAAGGCATAAAGTCAGGTGATTTTTGGGACGGTGGGATGAAAGCGCAGGCGTTAGAAAGCGGCGCACATGTAAAATGTTGGTGCAGGCTGTGTGCCAGGGAAGGTGACTACGATTAGGGTGCAACGGAATTCAATTCCAAGAACTGAGGTGTTCAAGAGACTTCTATCTGCCGAGCTCAAAGGCATCAGCTTCGTGGCCAAATAACAAGGCCTTGGCTGCAAGGTTTATCGTGTGGCCGATACAGCGACCACGACGATCAGGGCTAAAGAACCCTGTCACGTTTGTCATTTGGCACTTGAGACAATGCTCTGGTATACCTTATGACATCATGGTATTTTGGGACTGAAGATCTATTTGTTGTTGTTGTTGTTGTTATATTTGTAAGCTGCGGCTCTAAGCTATTAGCTATCCCTACTGTCCCAGTCCTGGCCGCGTTATCTCGGTTCAACTACCTGCATGGCAGAGCCCTGCAGTGACTGAAGATCTAGAATCTAAGATCTACGCTGACGTTTTCACAATGGTGCGTCCCAGGGCACAGAGCATTGTCGTCTGTCCCGCTTACCAGGCAGTCACGCTAATGGGAGACGTAACAAACCCTACGAGGTCTCCGAGGGTCTTCATAGCTGTATCATTATTCGAAGCGTTATCAAGCACGACATAGCCGAGCTTATCCTCAGTACCAACGACCTTGCTTAGATGGCGCCCGATTTCTGGTATCCCACGAGTTATCTTGCAAGGCCTGTTTTCCTCGCCTCGAAAAAAAAACAAGTTATGCCATATAAAGAGAGTTGATTTGGCGCCGTCCAGCCGTCGAAGGCTATATGGATGAGTCCGGTGGCGGCAGCGAGGGTCTTAATCACGGTGCCTCTGTGAAGCTTGAATTGGTCCAATATCTTCTTCCTCACGGTGCTGGGCGAGAGGCGAGCTTTTTGAACCCTAACTGATGGATTCAGATACTCAAAAATAGCCCGTAACCTCTGTTGCTTCGCGGTTGCAAAGGGCATGTTCGATGATCCATTCGATGAGAAGGCGGTGAAATTGAGCTTTGTCGAAGCTCTTGATGAGGTTATTCGCGAGCCTTTGATCAGCAGGGTCGTCAGCGTTCAGTGAGAAGCGCTTCAAAATGGACTGTTGTGGGTTATATGGCCGATTCTGCTGCCTTGCTTCCCCAACCAGTTGCACCTTGGACTTCTGCTGACCCTCTGGTGCAGAAATATGGTGGTCTTCGTACATATGCTTTGTCACATTCTGTAGACCACTGTGAATAAAGCTCTCGATACGTGATTTCCTTGTTAGGATACACTGCTTGCAAGAAAGACGGCGCTCTGTGCCACTCGAGATATCGTATCCATATTGCCAGCACCAATGGCGATGACTTCCCTTGGCTTCTGAGAAGATAAAACCACCGAATTGGCGGGATAAAATTGCTTCAGCAGCTTCATCAGTTATCAGCGGCAGCTGGGAATCAAGCTGGCGAACAACTGGGCGATTTTTTGGTGTTTCTGGCATCTTGGCGACATGGTAATATGGTGGTTTAAAAGGGTGAGAAATCTGATGATGGTCGGTTAGCTTGCTAAGAAAAAACACTAAGAAAACAAGGATGCTGTCTAGTGTCACGGTGGGCACAATTAAAGAGTCAAGACACTCTAATGCACTGTATTGACTTAACGATTCTCGACAAGGAAGGAAAGAGAAACTAAAATAGGCTAGCTCGTATCTGAGGTTCTTCACTCCCGCCATCAGATAGCTAGTGCTCCAAAGGGTCTACAGTGGGTTTCGTGACATGGTGACACCGGCCGTCATATCTAGATACCAGGTCCCAATTACAGGTAAGGAATCCTATATATTACCAAGTACCTGGTATCCGTCGATCACCAAGAGTCCCCCTCATCTAAAACACCAAAAGTAAATCCTACTCCAGCCTCACCTTTTCCTAATCGGGCCAACCCCTACCTGCGAATCCACCAAGGATACATATGGATTGGTGGATCAAAATATGAGGACCGATGTAATTGGTGTAATGGAGGATGGATCCATCTAGTGGATCAATCGTGATTCACGGAGAGAGATTTAATGCCCTGCCTCCAAGTCTCTAGAATGTTGCTGGCCAGTATCTGAGAGGAGCGCCCCAAGGTGTCATGTGCGTCATTGGTATCCGAGGTGCGATTCATCGCAAGGGCTAGCCGGTCTAGGCGGTCGCACATCCTATTCAATATGCCACTGGCAAGCTGTCGACAGTCTTCTGCTTCTATCGCCTCGCCTCTACTGCACAACTCCTCTTGCATATCATTGAAAGCATCGGTCGTCAACTCATTGTCAAAACCAAGATGAGCTCTGCAAAATGAGGTGGACTGCTGAGCCGCGAGCATTGCGTCTTCCGGTTTTCCGGTTTTTTTCGCAATGAGAAACAATAACCTGTAACAAAATCCGGTTACTTCACGGTACTTTTCGATTTGATTTGATTGCAAGATCTCCATAGCTAGCTGTTGTGCTTCGTTGTATTTTCTCTCGTCGAACAGGACACTGGCGAACGTGAACTTTGCGAAGGGGTCCGCCAGGTTTGTGCGACCAAAACCGTCGAACGTCAAGCGTCCCATGCTGGCAAGCTCATTTTGGGAGATAACCGCGACTTTCGTACCGCGGAATCGGGACAATAGCATTGCTCCGGCCCGAACAATATTCGAATTTAGTGTGCTGCCAGTGTCCATGTGATCGGATAAAGTCTTGATATAGAGATTGATGACTCGGAGAGATAAGTGGATCCAGTCTTCCAGGCTCAATCTGCGTATTTGCTCGATCCAAGTCGTTATATACCGCGGGCGGCTATCCGAGTCGTAAATCATTCGGGACAAGTCTCCGATATAAATCGCCCATTTATGGGCAAGCTCTGGACAGAAGCTGTAAGAAATCAATGCCGAGCAGTGGAAGTCTGTCAAAATGTCCGCTGTTTGCAGTTCCATGCAGTACTTCAGCCGCTCGAAGGAGAAATCGATGATCCGGAAGGCTTCCCGCATGTGACCCTGGACGAAGGCATTCTTCGCCGTTAATGCTAGATCAATTGACTCAAAGTTTTTCCCGTATAAGCTAGGCTCGGAAGTCCAGATTTTCGACCACGCCCCAGAGCCGAATGTTCCCGTGACATAGTCCTGTATATGGTAGAAGTATCGTTCGGTGGCTGTGGGTTTGATCATCACCAAGTTGGGTGATGGCGTAGAGTGCTCCCTCAAGGAGCCATCATAAATGGCCATGATAATCTGGTGGCGCCTCGACTCAGAAACACGACTGAGATAGACTCGGATCCTTCCTTGATCGACCAATCCAGTGTGAAGACTCGAAAGGCCACTGAGTTGGTGTTTGTGAGGCTTGCGAAGAGCTTCAATGACTTGATCAGACCGTAGGTTCTTTTGGACGCCCCATTTGCGAAGATGTTTCTTATACATCATCAGACTATATAAATTGTGGTGAGCGACGGTTGAGATGGGTTACAGTGCGCAAATGTCGGTGCTCTGACCTAGCCACAAACTGGTGTTCATCGCGCATAATCTGCATTAGCTCTGGTAGCGTATGCAGAGCGTAAAGACTTGTGATGCGTGTCCGGTGTCGCTCCCAGTCTTGGGATGTGACTAAGCAAGAGCGCTTTTCTGGCATGATGTTCGCCAAGAAGGGTAAATAGGGTGTATAGGTACTCTATTATTAGCATAGGGTTTCGTTAGTAGGTATCTTCATTAGCCGTGACAGTCAGACGAGTGAGTTGGCGAAGTAGGAGGCGAAGAGCTCCGATTTTGTGTTTCACTGACAATAGAATTACAGTTCGGCGCCTCGAAATCGTGAACCAGATCATCGCAATATAACGGGAACTTTTGTACGCTAGTGGAAGTATGCAGTGTAACGGGAACTATTGTATGCTAGTGGAAGTCGTGTGCAGTGTAACAGGTCCAAGACCCTCTAGTGTGTATCCTGGTCGATCTACCGCACTGGACTCATGTCACGAATGTCAAGTTCATTGAATTCGTGCCAAGTCAGCTGTGTGGTCAGATCTGTTGATTCGTGGATTGATTGATGATAAGTCTAGGTTTCTATGTAACGCGGTAACAGCGTTGGCTTTATTTCCACTTTTGTGGGGCCTAGGGCCACACCTGTGGGGCTTAGGGCAAGCCACACTCAGATCCACACTAGGACCTACGCAGCTCCTACTATGAAGGGTGCATAACTACAGATGGAACCTTGATATACATAGCTATGATTTTACCCAAGGTGTACAGGACTGCGCCGGGGTCACTCGGCGAGTACGTGTCAAAAGTATGTCAGAGTGATGCGGCCAATCAAAAAAGGTCGATATTTGAAGTATCTTACTCCGATTGGGTGCATCGCCTAAGAACGTCACACATTCCGCCTGAGAGAGTCATATCAGTAATTATGTATGTGCAAGCTCCCCCTTGTCCCATCATACTCAGGCACGTAATCCCAACCATGCCACCAAAATTCCTCTATCACATGGACATAGTATTTGATTGAGATATGCAAGTGGCATATTCTTGTCATGCAGGCTGCAACTTGTCACCAAAAATCCCATGCATGCTCGTTTACCGGGCTGAGGGAAGACACGGGTATCATCAGGAAATCCTTACAGGCGAGGCTGGATGTAACATGTGCATATGCTTTCAAGATCTGACGATTTTGTGTTACACAACATACTCGCTAGGCCTGACAACGGCTTTAAAGTGCTGTAAGTGAGACACGTGGGCCCATCACAACAGGAGCTATTACTTTAACAACGACGACTTTTAAACATAAGTTTTGTTGGAACTGCTCTTGCCATGTGTATCCTGGTCGATCTACCGCACTGGACTCATGGCACGAATGTCAAGTTCATTGAATTCGTGCCAAGTCAGCTGTGTGGTCAGATCTGTTGATTCGTGGATCGATTGATGATAAGTCTAGGTTTCTATGTAACGCGGTAACAGCGTTGGCTTTATTTCCACATTTGTGGGGCCTAGGGCCACACCTGTGGGGCTTAGGGCAAGCCACACTCGGATCCACAGCCATGTTGATGATTTGAAGTTTATGAAAACCATATACAGAAGGCCGTTGGGTCTGGTCGGGACTATATGCCCCGGTTTCTTATACGATAAATAAATGTTTTAATATTAAATCTCTGTGGTTATATATTATGTCAGCAATTATTTGGTGTTCACTGTACTGTTATTCCTTCAGCTGATGTTTGGCCCCGACACGAGTACGAGGCCAGTCTGAAACCAGGGGGAAAGTTTATTCTCTAATATACACTCGTTCATCGCTTCAACGATAGCAGGGCACTTGTACTTAGAACCTCTTCTCTTTCTTCTTCAGTTTAGTATTTTACAACAGAGATAGACTGACAACGGAACTCTACTTCGTACCTGCAGTACCTCTGCCTCGTCACAACGGAGACTTCGAACAGTACCACCAGCGGTTCAACCACACCGAAGCCCTTCTTACCTGCTCCTGCGGGAAGGCTATGGAAGTAGATCACCTATTATACTGCCAGAAGACACAACAGAGGAGGCAACGGTGGCCTACCCTCTACCCTTCTAGTCCGCTCGAACCTATAAGTCCTATGGGGTCACTCGAGCGTGTCAGGAATGTGTCCTCAGAACCAAGATCCAAGCATCGCAAGAGCCAGGACCATAGCAGCGCTAATGTTGATGCCAACCTCTGCACCGCTTGACAGACTAGTAGAGCTTGGTCCCGGCGCAGAAGTTGTTGCCGTAGGCCACGTGATACTCGATAAGTTGGTTGCATTGTTAATCCTAAACTTGGGACTAACACCCAAATCGGAGTCGCTTGCGTCGAGGGATCGTGTCACGGCGAGAGAATAGGTGAACGAAGATGAGTTGAAGTTGACGTCCTGTGGCACAGTCCAATTGAATTGCACCTGGGTATGGTTGCATGAATCGATTGGCACCCACAGGGGGGGCCCGTACTGGAAATGCCATTCTTCTGGGAGTATTTGTCGGCTTCAATATTCCGTGCGTCTGTCTTTGGTGCTTACTGAAGTATAGATACACTTGCGCAATAAGGGAACGTTCGACGCTCCATCTTCCACGCCAAATATGAAAATGACGACACTATCTTCTGTGGTGTTGTCTACTGGTGTTTTTCCTCCAAACCAGGCGATTGTGACATTTTCCCCGAGAAACCAAACATCGGAAGCAGTTGGGGAGAATATCTGGTACGGCTGGTAACCAGCGAGACAGTCTAGTGAATTCGAACCCATGTTGACCAGAGCAGTCTGAAATTGGCAGAATTTGCTTGGTGCGGAAGTGGTTGTGAACTTAACCCGAGAACACTTGAACACGAACGCATAGTTACTATGAGTGTATTTATGTCACTTGAGAAACACTTAATGCGGCTCTGGGCAATGTGCTTTTCACCGTGCACCCACTTGCTCCAAGTGTAACTGAGTATTGGTGAAATACTCAAGCACTTTAGGATACTGGGCCAGGGCGTAGAATCTAGAGTGCATGAAGATCATAATACAATATGTATTACATATCAGCCTAAAATATCAGCTGGAAGTGATCGTGATCAATCGAGAAAGGTGTTAGTTTTCTAAGTTCCTAACATAGGTGGCTGGCTGCACACGTCACAAGCCAACAGTGCGCTCATGCTTTGTTGGGTACCTCCGTCCATCAGGAGCTTTTGTGAGCTAGTAGTTATGGGTTGTTATTAACAGTGGGTACGGTGGTTGACTGGGGGCCATAAATGTATCGTGAGTTGTACAGGTCTATCACTTCCCCTTGCGTGAGTTGGCCCACTCCCAAAACTTCTGCCTGATAATATGATACGTATTTATAGATTTAGATAGGCGGATTGCCGCCGAGGCTCTGTAGGATCAATGCCCGTTTTACACGGCATTCTCGATAACACCTTCCTATTCTAGGTTATATCGAAAATGGCATACGCTTATGCTAATGCAGCGCTTTCAATAATGAGGCTTATCAATCTTGGAGAAGCTACAGCATGTGGGAGTTCAAGGTTGACAAATTCCGTACCGCATACCAAACGTTCTACATACTTAATGCCACACCTATGCCTGGGCACCTAAGTACATACATTCAAGGGGGCATCGAGTACGAGATTGAAGGCTGTATAACTCGCCTGATGGCCCTGTGGTTTGGATTTCCGGGAGAAGCTTTTTGTTCTTTGCTCCTCTTGTTAAATCTCAAAGGCACCACGTTTTAGCCCCCCACCAGGAGGACTGAAAGTGAAGCTCTACTTGAAGCCTGGTGGCTCAATGTGACTTACACGCTTTCGCGACAAAGGTAAAGACAAAGAAATACTCACCAATAACGACTGTTACGAAATGGCGGATACATCAATACTTTCAAGCCTGTATTACTCCAACAACGCAAACGTGTTTTACCCATATTACGTCGATCAGTTCCGTTATGGCATTCTCCCTGTCGAATATACCTTCCCTGAGAATCTCACAATCTCATCGTTTCCCTATGGATACGCACTGCTCAAATTCCTTCTTTCGGCTGGAAATCTTACTCAAGACTGCAATTTGGCATCATCCTGGTATGCCCACAGCCAGTTGGGATCAAACGAGAATGCCAGCTTTGGGTACGGCAATGAAACCATCAACATCGATTTCCTGCGGCTGGCTGCGCCAGAGCTCGTCACAAAAGTGACCGACTCCGAAATAGCAAGTTTGTACAATCTCATGGCAAATTCGACAACCCTAGAGAACAACGTGGCCAATGGCGTGCTTAACATAACCCGACCGGTCATTGAGTATTATTGCCTTTCGCATCAGCTTGCGGCCGATGTACAGCTGGTACCTACCAACCAGGACTGCGATATTCAGCTTCAATACTGGGCATATCCAGGTCATGAATCCATTGATGAAACAATGAATGTTATGGCGGCTTATGCTTCCTTACCAGCCCAGTACCATAATATCTCAATTCAGACTTTCTGGGGATGGTATAAAGCTCAGAACGTATCGACGACAGCGGAAATATACACACAGAAAAAAGATTGCTATCAGTCTGTCTGTGCAACACTGAATTCGTCGGGAAACCCAGACATCGCTGGTATTGGGGTAAGACTGCCCATTCCTCCATCTTCTAATATATGCTTACTAACAGATTTGTCAGATGTTTATCTCCTATATCCTCGAAGCTTTGCTCGCTTCATTTATAATCGTTCAGACTTGCTGGCATAACTGGCGTTATCGGAAACTCGGTTCGAACACCACAGCAAGCGCCGATACTCTGCGGGAAGATTTTGCTCAAGCAACAGATACGTTCCTCGATAATGGAATCGTATTTCTGTTGTCACTCACTGTTGCGCTTTTGGCAGTCGGCTCTCATGAAACGATCGTATATAACGGCTTGATCACGCAACTAGCCTGTTATTTTTCAGCCAGCGCAATTCTCGCCGTTGCTGCAATTCCCCGTCGTGGGTTTGATCAAAGACCCACTCTATGGGTCACCCTGATCATCTGTCTTCTGCTGCTCACTTTTGTTAGCGGTAAAGTAGGCCAATATGACACTGACCTTGGGGCTTTTTCAGATGAGAGGACTGACAAGCTCATATTCGGTATCGGGACCCTTGGTGTGGAACTGAAGTATGTTCAGATTATCAACTCTATAGGCGCCACAGAATTCTTTAATGAATTTGGTGTCAGCATTCCTCCTCAGCCTTTTACAGTATCGTCTTGTTTGATCTGGGGCATGTTTTACACACAACCTGTGCTTTTTGGTGATGAGTATCTTTTTGCTACCGTTTTTGTCGAGATTTTTGGATACTGCTTAGGGATTTTGCTTTTCATCCTTCTTACCAAGATTATATGGGTACGACATATTGTTTTCCGCACTGCGTGGATGGCCAGAACTAAGGAAACGATCCTACTCTGTGCCAGGTCAATTTTTTGTCTCTTTTGTTGGCTCAATATGCGGTTGGGGCTTGCTTGTCTGGCTCAGTGGCGATATTATCAACAGCGAGCGATGGGCTCTTACTACACGGAAGAAACGGTCGGATACGGACAAGTGTTGTCGCTCTTTCTGTGGACCTCGGTTTTCATTGCTTTTGTACAGATTATTACAAAAAAAATACCAAAATGTGAGTACCATTATCCATAGCCGGCTGGGCTCCGTCTGACTATAACCACGATCAGCATGGTACTCTAGAATCCCGACAATTCCGTTCTGGCACTCCCGAAAGAAGGCATCAGCCCAGGGTATACAGTTACAGCAGCTGGCTCCCCTCATTGCCACTGTAACACCCGCGTCACCGACAACAGCGGGTATCCATTCTGCTTTGCCAGGCAATGCATCAAATCCTCCTTCAACCGCACCAACTTCCAACAGTATGGCAAATTTTCACCCAACGGCGATGACTCTCAATAATGTGGTAGATCCTTTTCCAACAACATCTACAACCAACAATCAAGCATCCGACCCATCTCGCGCCCAGCGACGTACGAATACTCGTTGAATTGTTACCGCTGCAAATTCGACAGGCTTACGACAACATAGCGGAGTACAATGCGAGGAGGGGGGCTGGGTGGTAAATAGAGAATTTGGTTAATCGAATCCATTGCGCTGCGCATCAGCCCTGCCTTAGATGCCATTTCTGTTTTTAGTCTAACTAACCAATTCACAAGTTGGTGAAAGCTTATGTGTCCTAAGTCGGTTGATTAACCTTACGGGCCTCAAACCACCATAATAATAGTGGTCAAATCAGTTGTGTGATGGAATCCTAGTTGTCCATCAGAAGGAGAGAATCTATCTGCGAATCCTGGAGGAATATTAATATGTCTACATGTGAGTCCTAGGCAGCCAATCACAAAGTGCCATTAAGCCTACAGGATCCACAAGCTTTTAGTCAATTGGACCTCAGTGCCTTAACCAGCACTGTATCACTTCTATACTGCCTCAGTTTCAAATACTTCTTGCTATTAACAGTACTACCTATTTGCATAGTGAGCGACACACCCCACCAGACCCTTCACCTCAAATAATACTCGTACCAACGCCAACCACATTAAATCAAGTAAGACTACTCAGAATCGTCGTCTTCAGACGTGACTACTACTACTTGACAGATTCGCGCATTATGACCGGTATTGACGGGAGGTAGAAGCGCGGCGCCGGGGTAGACAGTTATTTATTATAGAACACGTACCTATTAATCAGACAATTCGCTACATAAACCTGCGTACAGCTTAATCTACATCTTTACCCGAACCTCGAGCGAGCGAGTTAACGACAGCTGGTAGGAGATTAGTATCTTATCTAAGCTACCCTCCCGCCGAAACCCTGTTCCTCCGGCCAGCTAGCGGAAGATCAAGACCGCCGAAAGAATGACTCTGGACAATCTCCTAGCTATTAGAAGAGTAGGGCCCTATGTCGTCGACCTTATGGACGACGGCCGGGTATGCACCAGGCGAAGGAGCTTTGTGCTATTTAGCTACTAGGTGATTGTACTTCGTCTCGGATTGCGATATACTAAGGTATGTCTGCACAACGAATATTTATGGAAGCGTTACCGTATAGTAACAAGCCGCTCAGACCTAGGGAGCTTGCGGCGAGCGAGTAAGCTGGTAACAGGATGAGATACGTGGTAAGCTAGCGTTGATTCTTCTGCCGGTCTCTTTTGGTCAGATTTTCCTTACAATCAGATCATAGATCCCCGCGAAACCCCGCCTCTTTCGCTACTAGCGCGGCTAGCCTCTATCTGCAACGTTGCACCGGCTTTTCTTCCAACAGGGGCGCGAGGGTAGAGTGACTCACAAGGAAGGCGCAGGATGACTTCCTAGGAAGTTATCATAAGAGAGTATAGCAGGCAGGGGCTATAAGGATTCTGTCAAGCGACGATATCGTTAGATGAACGTCTGACTTTCAAAAAATCCGTTCACGCGTATCGAGGTAAATACTATCCCTTAAAGCTGAGCCTCATGACTTCCTGGGAAGTTATCTTGGCAGAGGGTGAGTAACGGACAGGGACTCAAGAATCCGGGTAAGTGATGCCTGACCTGTGAAGTGAACGCACGACTTTCCCGGAAGCTATCCATGAGGTGGATGCCATGGCAAGGCATACTTTCGGAAAAGCACTAATGAAAACAGAGTTACTAGGGCCGTATAGATCCAAGCTTGATTGTTAAAGCCGTTGGATTTCAAATGAAGCCACCCGGCTTGCGTCACGGCCAGGCAGGCCTCCAGCGAAGCACTAATGAGAATGTCTCGAGCTTGATCTGCCCATCAAGAATGAAGTCATGTTTGTGGAGCAGGAGGAAGCCGAGCTTTCCGAGCATATCGTGCCGAGCGAACAAAGCCAATAGACAGAAAATGTGCAGCCGGGATCACAACTCTCATTGGGGAGTTCTGTCAGCAGTGCATTGACCTGCAGGTTCTCTATCTGCTACGTACAAGCGCGGTCAACCAGGCATATGAATGGACTGAGACGGAACGCCTCCGCAGCACTGAAGGTAAAGGGCTGGTAGTTGGGCTGGGTGTGCGATTGACCAAGTCGGCAGGTATGTATTACAGACGTGTAGTGGGTCCTAAGAGAAACTTAGTACCGACGTGGCTTGGAGGGATGGACGGACTTTCGGTCACATGTCCTCGTAACCTAGAAGCGACCCCATATCCCGTGCGCCTGCCTCTCAGACTCTCCATGCCACCAGTCGACACCGGCAAGACAACGGCCGCCTGAACCGAGCCTGGGTAAGTTGCCCGCCACCAACGGCAAGCGGGCAGAACATATTGACGTCATAAACCTGCTCGGCAGTGCAGTAACGACGGTAATACGCCTTCGCCTCTACCTCACGTTGCCGGTGCCAAAAGTGTTGAATAAGACGACGATGCCGACGCCGGTGAAGGGGACCGCCGAGAGCTGGTTGAAGACGCCGGCAGACAGTCCGCCAATCGCAGTATCTCTGCGATAGATTGGAAGAAGAGCACGTAACGCATATTCCAATGTCCCGAAGCTATCAAGGAATATAGGTCCGTTGGTTTGAAGCTTGCCCTTTCGGACTACCAGCTATACGCTATCCTGGTGGCAGCTCACTCTGTTTAAAACTGTCACGCACAAGCCTTGGAGCCCACCATTGCTTTCGCTGTCTCTGGTTCCATCCCTGGTGGCGGCCCTTAGCCAGTTGACCAGTATCGTCGACCACGAGCAGGAGGAGGGCAATACTGGCAACATTGTCAACGCGGTCGATTTCGAAGGGAAAGCATGAACCACCATGGGATGGAACTTGCTTGGTGGTCGCCACGGATGCCGGGCCGAGACAAATACTAACAAAGGGGGTTTCTCGTCACATTTCACCAAGGGTACCACACCACCATCCATTCCTGACCAGACAATTTTATCTCGTCTCGAGAACCAACCTGCCCTTCATCGTGCAAACACAAGAGGTCGTCGAGTTTCCGAGGATGGGGCTTCTGTGTCCGCCGGAACAACATTGCGCGCTCTTCCGCTCCTGGCTATACAAGCTCCACATCAATATATAATTGTACCCATTCTTCATAATACTCTAGGTATCACTCTCGCACTCACCTGTATGCCAGCGCCATCGCCTCCGATCTCGCGTAAGCGTCGACAAGCGACGAAACCCTTATCCCTGCCAAGCGATGTCCACCAGCACGCGTCGAAGAAGTCGAAGAAACTGAAGCTCGTTCACCCAACCTAATCGCCGCCTGCATTGTGGGACAATCTCAGTAACGTTCCCTTAATTAAACGGACCCTACAAGAATTGGATCCAGGAAACGCCAAGGGGTCTTAGACAATACATACGAACACACCTCGTCCGATCACTCGACTTGCTGCCGCAAGATTATCTAGCTGCGCCCTCAAGCCCCTGAATGGATCAAGGCTATTTTCATTGAGATCCTACGGAACCTTGAACGCAGTACCTTCGTCTTCGTATCAAAGGACATTGCAAGCTATAGGCACATCGTCGGCGCCAAATGGGTACTGAATTCAAGGCCCGTATCGTGGACCAAGGGTTCACACAAAAGGAGGGCATTGATTACACTGAGACCGTGGCGTCAACCTCTAGAGCTATGTTGTGGAGGGTTCTCTTCGCATTAGCTGCAATTCGGGGATGGCATATAGTGCAGGTGGATGTGGTTGCGGCGTACCTCGCTGGCGATCTTCACGAGCGTATCTTTATGAGGCAGTTCATGATGCTGAAAGAATTCTTTACAGCACATCTGAATACTCGAGTTTGCGAAGCCCGGCAGTAAACTGACTGCCCCCGGATTCATCGTGGTGTGTCACATTGCAGGATGAGGGTAACGGTCCGATTTTCCTTCCTGCAGGCTTGCGACTACACTAAACGCACTAAATACGTACTAAATACATGTCACAGAACTGGTCGCAACATCACACTATGGCATCATCCATGCACCTACCCTGAACCCCACGACTCGTGGCTTCGGATTTGTACTCAGCATCCTGGTCTAGCTAATGGTTTCCAATGGGTTTAGGTAACATGTTCGACACAAACGTACCTCATATTGGCTCTGGAGTCACTATGAGAGCAAAGGTTGGCTCAAGCGACTAGTATATAAGCAATTGCTAGGGGGGGGGTTCGAGTTTGGGTGAGGTATGAAGATAACGGCTCGAAGTTCATTAGCACGCCGCAGACTTGTTTGGCAGGTGTTACCATTTTGCATGGTTTCGGAAATGGGGGCCTTGATTCAACATGGTGGAGACACGATCAGGAGTTGTGCGTCCTGGTGGCTGGCCATGTGTGGTGGCGAGGCATTTACATTGCAGTTGGAGGATCCGTTTGCTGGATTGGGGCTGGAGAGCTTGACGATTCTGAATCCGTATGGCCCGACTGAGGAGACCATTATTGCAACTGTGGGCGAGGTGGATTATCGGGGTGTAGCAGCGACTGGGGGTGGAAATATTAGTGTCGGACAGGTACGTTCTTCTTTCACTTGCATACAAGTCCTAGTAATGAGATGTAGAAAGAGCTGACACTGGATTCAAAGGCAATACCCGGTTATGCAGTGTATATCGTGGACAAGAAGAATCAAGCTGTCACTCCTGGATTTCCCGGGCAGGTAGCCCTCGCAGGGCCTAGCGTAGCGTCAGGCTATCTACGCCAGCCGGAACTCATGAAGGCCAAATTCATCTCCGACACTGTTTCCCCACCTTCGGACAAGTCCGTATGGGGTTGGCTCTATTTGACGGGCGACAAGGGACGAATGATGCAAGATGGAAGTTTTCAAATCCTGGGCTGCACCGACGGCGACAACCAGGTCAAGATACGCGGCATCCGCATCGAACTACCGGAAACTTCCAGTGCTCTGGTCAAAGCTTCTGCCGGTGCCATTGTCGATAGCGCGGTAGTGGTCAGGGGCACAGGACCGGGACAGTTCCTCGTTGCCTTTGTTGTGTTTGCTAGTGGGTATCCGCTGCAGAAGTCACTTGGACAGGAAAGGGGTGATCACCAGGTCCAGGACTATCTTGGGCAGATGATACAGGCACTGCCATTGCCGATGTACATGCGACCCGCGCTTGCTGTGCCCATTGTCAGCCTCCCAGTCACCGGACGGGGAAAGCTCGATACGAAGGTCTTACAGGCGTTGGCCTTGCCCCAAATCTCAGGCGCTGTCGACACGGGAGCAAACGAGGTTCTGAACAAGACGGAACGCCAACTCAAGGAAGTGTGGCAGACTGTGCTTTCCGATGTTGGTGTCGAAATTGCAGCTGCGTACCGCAATTCGCAATGTTTTTCGTGCCAACATACCTGTGATCCAATTATTCCAGTCGAGTACTCTCGGAGATCTAGCTGCGCATATTTCCAATAAAACTACTCCCACTCTTACTTCTACCACAGAAAACAAGCACGAGTACACGCACAAGCAGGCCATCGACTGGGAAGAAGAGACGCCCTGTCCAGGACATACTGTCCCGTCTGAACGATCTCAAACAAACCAAAGTCGCTGCCACCACCATCACCAAACCCAAAGGCTCCATCATCGTCGTACTAACAGGCGCAACCGGCTTCCTAGGCAGTGGTATACTCCGGCACCTCGCCTCCAGTCTCCACGTCTCACGCATTCACTGCGTCGCCATTCGCAACAACCGGCCACTCTCTCTCTCTCTCCTCCCACCATCATCCCCCACGCCGGTGATCTGTCCCTCTCCTTACTAGACATGTCCAATCTCGAAGCCGCCGCCGTGCTGGCCGAGACCGACATCATCATCCACAACGGTGCCACCGTGTCGCACCTCCAAAACTACGGCAGCCTGCGCGGGCCCAACGTCGCCTCAACGCAGGAGCTGGTCCGCATGGCCTTGATTTTCGGCAACAACAAGAACGAGAACGGTTATAAAACACCGATACCAATTCATTTCATCTCCAAAGGCGGCGTGGCACATCTCTCGGGCCTCGCCGAATAGCCCGAGACGTCCTTGGCGACGCACCCGCCGCCTCGAGACGGAAGCGACGGCTACATGGCCACCAAGTGGGCGAGCGAGCGCTTCCTGGAGCGTGTCTCTGAGGAGGCTGGTGGGGAGTGGAGCGTCTTTATTCATAGGCCGAGTAGTATCTCGAGTCGTGACGAGGCTAATGCCGTCCCGGGAAGTGACATTACGCACGCTACGCTGAGATACTCGCGGCTGCTGGGAGCTGTGCCAGATCTGTCACTTTCGACGGGAGCTTTTGGTTTTATTGACATTGAGACCATTTCGGGCCAAATTGTGGCGGATGTGGTGCAGAGTATGGGAATGGGATATGTTGTTGTTGGCAGCGGTGGCCGTAAAGGGGTCGCGTATCGACACTAGAGTGGCGAGCGCGTCGTTCCTATACGGGAGTTGGGTATGTTTCTTGCGGGGGAGGGGGGCACCCTTTCAGGGTGTTAGTATGGAGGATTTGGTTCAAGCTGCGGTGGATCAGTTGGTTGGCAGTTTCCTTGTTGCGACTGAGGGGAGGATTCACATGCCTGTATTAGTAAAAGGCAGAAGGTAAGGTTTGGACTGGGGGAGCGTTAGGTGCTTACCGCGAGATAACCGGATAGCATTCACATGATCTGAGTCGCGCGCTTTATTGTTATCTAAGGAGATTCCAGATGATTACTAATGTCTTATATCGCAAAGGGGTTAAAAGTTATAGGGGGGTGACTCACCATTAACTATTATGACACGATGACATTACTAGTAATTAGTTATAGCTAACAAATGCTAATGTGGAGGATGATGGATTGACCATAACAATAAAAGTTAACTGTGGGCGGGTGCGGCCTCAGGCATGGAGAGGTGCAAGGCAGGCACGGATTGTAGTATTTAGGGCCCCGAGGGCCAATATGGGATTGGTCCCCCACGCACTTTCATAGTACCAATACGGCGCCCAGTCTTCAGAATCTAACGTTAACTATTATTATTCATCAAGCCATTGCCTTTAATCATACAAAGTAATCCAGACTGTAACACAGCATCACATCCGGCACTTAATATCTGCACATACTCCAAACGCAATTACCACCCCTTAAGCCAACTTGATGGCAGTTCCAAACAAGCCAAACGTCCTCTCCCAGCGATAGCCCTCGCCTGCGTTCATTTTCTTCGGGTTACGCTCCTTCATCTTGGCTCCGTACTGTTTCAGACAGCAAGTAAATGCATTGTTCGACACCTTTTCGACAGGCGGATTCAAGGTCGCATCTTTGCCGGCACGTGTGTCTTCATCATCCGAACTGTCTGGCGGCGGGAGGTTGCCCGCAAGACGTCTGCGTGAATTGAGCTCGAGCCCGTACTCCTTTGCTTTCACTTCTTCAAGGTTACCCCAGAGCTCGAAAAGCGTTTTGCGGAGACTGGTCAAGTCGGTCGGATTGGCGCGGAGACTGGAGAGCATATTAGTCTCGTGAACGCGAAGATAGGGGCTAGCATATCTTACTCGTTTGCATCGAGGTTCAGCAACTGCTGACCCTCAATGTTGTTCACCACAGCCCATAAGCGTTCCGGCTTGCTACCCTTTGCTAGCTTCCCAGCTTCCTCGAGCTGCAGCGAAAATCGCCATTCCCAGATCTTGTCGCCGGTATACCTGTCCAAAGTGCCCGGGTCGTCATCCGAGTCTGAGTCGGAGCCGCCACTGTAGTCAGACAAGATGTCATATTCATTGTTCTTACGCCACGCGGCAAAGTCCTCCAGCTTGCGCGGCCGGAAGTCAACGACTCGAACGTTGGCACGATACTTGGCGTTGGTGAAAGGGAGTGTTGTTTGGATTTCTTTACCATCTATCGTCATGGTGTATGGGACAGGCTCGAGGATTGAAGCCAGGGTAAAGATGGGTTGGTCAAGGCTTTCGCATTTGATCAGTTTATTGAGCCCCAAATTTTCCTCCTGTTTGATCTCGTGTTCTTCGACTTTCTTTTGTGCGGCAAGTAGTCCCTCTGCGCGCCGTTGCTTTCGATTCTTCTTTCCAGGTGCAGTTTGGTCAGCCTTCCTTTTGGTCCCTGCTGCCGCTCCTCCTTCGTTGGCTGCGAACTTCTTCTTCTGCTCTTTCACCGTTTTGTCGTAATCTCTCTTTCGCCGAATTGCATCCTTCAACCGGTCATCGATGTTTTCCGCGTCCGTGGTATCCAGTATGTCGATTCGACGTTCCGAGGCCGAGGAAAATGCAGCCCGGTCTTCTCTTATAAAGCCCTCGAGATTGTTTGCATTGTGCCCGTATTTGATCTGCAAGTTGCGAATTTTGACCCAATGATTGGCTTTGACGTCACTCTGGACATAAGTGGAATGTGGCTCGAAGCAAGTAATTTGCATAGACCTTTTGCCAAATGGGCCGGACCAGCTCGAGCTGGTGGAGAGTTTAGTGGTGGTATATCCATAAGGGTCGCCCTCACGTCCAGCAGGCATGTCCGAGCCGTCCCACGAGTACTTATAAAACTTGCTGTTTTCTGTGTAATCAGAGACCCACAGGGTTGTCTTATCCATCAGGTCGAAGGGGTCTTTGACTACCTGAGCGATGATATCGCAAAATCTGTCCTCGTGAACATCTTTCAAGAGGCTGAACTTCCCCTTGACGTTGCGTGATAGTTCAGTCAAACGTGAGAATTCTTCAGCTTCAGGTATTGCACCCTTATCAATACTGTGATACAGGTGAGACACATACTCGTGCTCCTTGTCGCTTGGAGCACGCCGAGGAGGTCTGAGGGGCTCTTGCAGAGCTACGACTGCTCCTCTGGGCGGTTTCGGAATCTTTGATGCTGTATACACATGGATCACGCTGTTGAAGCTGGTAAGAAGAGACAGTTCGTTTCGAAAACCCTGGACCTTGATTTGATTTAGAAGGACAACATCACCCGCGCTTGGCTGTGGCATGTCTTCTTCGTTGGGTTTGAAAATCATGACAGAGAGTCCCGATCCATCGTCCTCAGTAGACTTATCGTAGATAGTCAATGTACATTTCCAATCTGAAAACTGTGTTAGAAAATTAGAATCTGATCAAGCCAAAAAGTACTTAACTTTTCTGGTCAGAAAGGGTGCCCGAAAGTCTTTGACCAGGCCCGCAACATTGGTCATGCGATTTTGCCCAACGCGTCCAGCGAGGATATCTTGAACCGTCACATAGCCGGGTGGAAGCTGCGGCCTCTCATTTTGCGCTCGAACGGCGGTGTTTGGAGATTGCCAAGACATATTTGGAAATGCCGAGCTGTAGTCGACCCAGTAAGGGCGATCAAGTTGGATTTGCCTATGGGGGTGAAGAGTCGCGTTTAGAGCGCTCTCTTGGAACTCAATCGCGTCTGCGATACGCGTCTGGAAGTCGAAGGATTGCGCCTGATCACGTGCAGGCTTTATTAGTCTTAAGATGGCCCGCATTTGAGTAAAAGTACTTGGCGGGGTTGCCACATGCCTACCGGTAGAAGGAGATAGGCAACCCTAAGGAGGATCTCATGAGAGGAAGCCTTTCTACCTGCCTAGCAAGAGAAAAAAGGACAAAAATTGACGCAACTAGGAAGAATCATCAGATTATGACTGTTTTATACCAAACTAGACTACGAGTTTACCCATACTATTTCATCTTTTGGCATGTTGCGTATTTTGCCATCCACGACCTAGATACCCTGTTATCCACTATGCCCCTCAGTTTTGGATGCATTCGAGAAAAGAACGAAGTAACATCATAAAGCTCATGCAATGAGGTGAATCTCCTTTGGTTGGTTGGGGAACAAAACAGCAAAGACATTAGAATGATTAGTCAGGTGTGCAGTAGAATCCTCGTGGTTAGATGGTTTCGAGCGGTGTCAGATACACGCCGCTGAGTCTGTATCTACTTCGTAGAGGAATGTCTCTGGATTCTGCATCACCCGTTTATAGAGGATATAGATTCGACAGATCAACGGTTCTAAAGCTTGCAACGCAGCTTCCATTGTGTGCAGAAGACCAGCTCACTTACGTGACGATCGGGGCTTCTGGAAATTTTGTGGCCTGAGGCAGAAAGCCCCACTTAAATGAAAGAAATCAAAGTCATTGGTGGCAAGAGCTAAGAGAAGGAGGAAGACTTGACTCTCCTTCCACCGAACTCTACTGCAACGTAGAATTCTCTCTGCATCTGCTCATATCTTGTACCCGTCGCATTCGGGCAAACTCTGCAACTACTTCCGATTTTCATTGGAAGTTGATTGCTCGACTCGTGAGGTTATCTCTCCATTGTCCGTCCGTCCATTACCAACGTCGGATCCCACCCCGCCTTTGCGCTGGAAGGATCCCTGGAAGCAAAACAAAACAACCACCATCCGATCGCAAGCCTTGAGCGCAACCGCCATCGCAACCATGGCTGACCGGTACATCCCCGAGCATCGTAGAACTCAGTTCAAGGCGAAGAACACCTTCAAGCCCGATGAGCTCCGACGCCGTCGTGAGGAGCAGCAGGTCGAGATTCGCAAGGCGAAGCGAGAGGAGAACCTGGCCAAACGACGAGGTATCGGAACCGGCGACCAGCGCCCAGGTGCCTCTCTGGGTGCCGCCCCAGATAGCGACGATGACACCGCCCCTACTGAGAGCCAGGTATGTTTTTATTCCCATTTGAAGCCTTCTTTGGCGTTTAATCAGTCTACCATTTGTCCGATTCTCGCCGCAAAAACGGTCCAGCATGCCGCATGCTGCATGCTCCATTTGCGGGCTTGTACAATTTGAGATGCGACTCGAATTTCCCACTATTTACGGCAACGCCAAAGCACATTTGGCAGTGGATGAGTTGCACAACTGGAGCGATCTTGACTTTGTTTCCAACTCTCAACGTGACGACTTTTTCAGTTTGCATGGCTAACTTAGTGCGTAATGTAGCTGAACGAGGACCTTCCTCAGATGGTTCAGGGTGTCTTCTCAGAGCAAATCGACCTCCAGATTCAGGCGACCACCAAGTTCAGGAAGCTGCTTTCCAAGGAGCGCAACCCTCCGATTGAAGAAGTCATCAAGACCGGTGTTGTCACACGATTTGTCGAATTCCTTCGATCCCCACATACTCTGGTTCAATTCGAGGCCGCTTGGGCACTCACCAACATTGCGTCAGGCAGCGCCACTCAAACCCAAGTTGTCATTGAAGCCGGTGCTGTTCCCATCTTTGTTGAACTTTTGGCAAGCCCTGAACCTGATGTTCGGGAGCAGGCCGTCTGGGCATTGGGCAATATCGCCGGTGACAGTCCTTCATGTCGCGACTACGTCCTGAGCTGTGGTGCTCTCAAGCCGCTGTTGAACCTCCTTGGTGACAGCCGCAAGCTTAGCATGCTTCGCAACGCCACCTGGACCCTTAGTAACTTCTGCAGGGGCAAGACACCCCAGCCGGATTGGAACACTGTAAGTCGACATAACGTCACCAGTTCTGAATCAGAGACTTATTCTTCATCATTCTAGATCGCCCCTGCGCTGCCAGTCCTTGCCAAGCTCGTTTACTCGTTGGACGATGAGGTTCTGATTGATGCGTGCTGGGCTATTTCTTATCTGAGCGACGGCTCCAACGACAAGATTCAAGCCGTCATAGAAGCCGGCATTCCTCGCCGCTTGGTAGAGCTCTTGATGCATGCATCCACATCAGTGCAGACCCCCGCCCTGCGTTCGGTCGGCAACATCGTGACTGGCGACGATGTGCAGACACAGGTCATTATCAACTGCGGGGCCTTGTCTTGTCTCTTGTCGCTCCTTAGCTCTGGTAAGGATGGGATTCGCAAGGAGGCGTGCTGGACCATTTCGAACATCACTGCGGGTAACAGCCAGCAGATTCAGTCGGTCATCGATGCCAACATCATTCCACCCCTGATCCACTTGCTTTCCAACGGCGACTTGAAGACGAGGAAAGAGGCATGCTGGGCAATCAGCAATGCCACCAGTGGAGGACTTCAAAAGCCGGAGCAGATCCGCTACTTGGTTTCCCAGAACTGCATTCGACCCTTGTGCGATCTGCTGGCCTGCCCAGACAATAAGATCATCCAGGTGGCCCTCGACGGTCTCGAGAACATCCTGAAGGTCGGTGACTTGGACAAACAAGCTGCTGGCGATGCCCCCGACTCGATCAACCGATACGCGCTTTTCATTGAAGAGTGCGGAGGCATGGAAAAGATACACGATTGCCAGACCAACGCCAACGAGGAAATTTACATGAAGTCTTACAACATCATTGAGAAGTACTTCTCAGATGAGGACGAGAACGCAGACGAAGGCATGGCACCTCAAGCTCAAGGCGCTAACGGTACCTTCGGATTTGGCACCAATGGCGCTCAGGGCGGATTCAACTTTGCCAACGGTGGAGATACCATGGACATGTAAAAGTGTTTGATGAAATGTGGTGAGGATTGATGGATTCGACATTGTCCTAGCCAATACAAATCCTGGTCTTCTGGAGACCATATCACAACTGGCCGCCTCCATTCGAGCGACTTCACGTGGGGGATCGCGGAGTTAGTCCACACGAAGTAAGCGGCTATTTCGAAGGAGCAGTCGGTCATTCCGGATGGATCACGCAACTGTCCCGCAAGCAAGCAATCACGTCACACACAGTACAGCTAACACCCCTTGCCCCAACCCCTTCCCCCTACCCCTGCCTATGCCGCGCCGAAGGATGTGCGTGGTTTGTGTATGAAAAGATTAAGGTCCTTTGGTAGCTTTAAAGCTCCAGCCTGGTGTCAAATAGCGAATGGACGTAGAGCTCATGGTTAATTTGCAATTATGGTGGTCCGCAATGTTCACTTAGTGGTAGAACAGTGGCACTGTGGCAGAGCAAGCTGGTACATCTGTCTTGGCCAAGTGGTTAGACTATCTACGATGGTACGTAGCTTTCAGATATCCGGTAGGCTTAGCACCGAAATGTTGACGACCTTCCTCCCTAAGTCTTATCTGACTTGTCGTGTCTTCATGTGATATGTAGCATGCGTGACATTTAGCATTGGGTGAAACGTATGCGTGGTACAGCTTCAATCGAGTACGTTTGTAACTGGGGTATCGGGGGCGCTCCTTAACTGAAAAATCAAATGGAGGGTCTACTATGGAGCAACAGCAATCCTGCCGACTGTCCGTCAGAGCCATACTTCCATGCTCCGCGGAGTCGTTGTGACATGGTAACACCAGATTTATATGAAGGCCAAAAAAATATGTTTTTTTTTCTTTATCTATGATGGTTACTTCTGGTTTTGGGGCGGGGTTTTGTAGCCCTGTACTTGGCCGTACCTTCCCACCTGTAACTCTCGTTGGTTTTGGCTGCCCCCAGACATCATGGTTTCAGATTTGCATGGTGCTTGATACATATACCCTGTGTCATGACGTGGGCTACCGAAAGCAGTACAAGACACTACGAATATGGGTCACATTATACAGCCGACACGCTTCTTCAAGCAGTTCTCGTACATGAAGATGCTTATTTTCCTGAGTAGTTGAGTAGGTAAGAGAACTCCTAGAACGTCGACGTCATTTGGAATAAGGTACGAAATGCTGAAGTAAAAGGACTGCGAGGGCTCGCGGCAAGCGGGCGTTACCCCACATGAGTCAGTTGTACAACCCTCCAGGATAGTTAAAGTCACGGCGGCACCAGACATCAAGACTTGGCTGTTTTCTGGGGCGGCTGGACCACCAAATATTCCACTGTTTAAAGTTGATGGCTGACGGCGCCGTAGCTGTTATTGCCGAGACAGTGAGTGCCCCGCAAAATCGGTGCTTCAACGACCCGATTCAGCAAGAGATGGGGAAAGTACATAGGCATCCGCAAAGCCGTGGCATCAGTGCCTGGGAAGGTGTGTGGGAGGTTTGTCTCGAAGCAAGCCTTCGAGCTGAGACATTTCTCTCGCATCCTTAGCCTCCTGAAATCCAAGTATTGCTGTTCCAACTGCGTTGTCGGTGACCACGTTGCCGAATCCATAGGCAGAATGTGGCTCTTCACTCCCTTGAAGTCCCTCGTGGCTATTTTGTTCATCCCACTCGCAGCTACGTTCAACGCCGCATTCGTTGATCCACACAAACTCCCAGTGGAACCAGTGTTTCCTGGTCCCTGGGATGACTACATTAAAGCTCCTGTCAACAAGTCTTTTATTACCCCTGCAAGGATATGGCAAATCGAGGGCAATGTCACGACCACGGGTTACAACGACCTGGCTCTACAGAATGGCAACTCCATGGAAGATGGCAGCATTTTGATTGGAGAGGGGGGATTGATCACTGTCGAGTTTGACGAAAACATCTCGGGACGGTCAGTGACTCCCTGACAACTAAACCCTATGCCTTGCCAGATTAAGCATCTCAACTTACGTCCTGGTCCCAGGGTTTGTTTCGACGTTGAATCCGTCACCGATGAGCCAGTCTTGCACCTCGCATACTCTGAGTCTTCACTTTTCGTTGGTGAGCAGACTGATGCTACCAACGACGAGAAGTGGGATCTACCACTTGATTTGCATGTGGGGAATCGCACAGGTTTTGTTTGCGTTGATCCGGAATTCATAAGGGGCGGCTTCAAGTATTTGACGGTGTATGTTGACGTCATTCCAGTACACAGGAAGCCCAACGCTTCAAGACGGGAGTATATTGTAGCCGCCCTTACGAGCGCTGCTCAGAAGGTACTCGGCGTTGGTGATCAGATGTCTGCCTTGGATGATAAATGGCCGCACTCAAAGCCGTCTGTGGGGATCAGACAAATCTGGGTCAACTGCACTTCGTTTCCTTCGCAGTCGAACGGACGGGCCTACTCGGGTTATTTCTACAGTTCAAGCACACTGCTGAACCGGATCTGGTACGCCGGCGCCTATACTTTGCAATTGTCGACAATCAACCCGAAAGAAGGCTCGGCCTTGATTTCCGCCAACCGTTATCTTGACCACAATACCTCACCGCCAGGGTCATGGTATTCAAATTTTACAGTCTCGCAAGGCACAGCCGTGACGACCGACGGTGCCAAACGCGATCGTCTGGTGTGGCCGGGAGATATGTACATAGCCATCCCCGGCATCGCAGTATCGACCTACGACATGTTGGCAGTTCGCAATGCATTGGACGTCATCTACGAACGCCAGTACGCAGATGGGCGTCTCCCATATGCAGGTCCTCCGCTAAGCTACCACGACGAGTTCAGCGATACTTACCATCTACACGCTCTCCTAGGAACGTATGACTATGTGCTCTACTCGGGCGATATCGCCTGGCTTCGTCAAAAGTGGCCTGCGTACATACGCGCTCTGCGAGTCAGCACGTTAAAGGTTGACTCAAAGGATCTCATGCATGTCACTTCGACGTATGATTGGAATCGGCACGGCATGGGCGGCCATAACATTGAAGCAACTGCGATTCTACATTTGGTTCTAAAGCGCTCCATTGACCTGTTCGGTTTCTTAAATGACGACACTACCCCTGACTCATCCGGCGCGATTGAGGCGCCTGATGTTGCATTGTGGTTCAATCTACGCCAGCGCATAGAAAACGGCATCAAGTCCCTGTACTGTTATGAAACCGGCCTGTACTCGGACAACTTGGGTGAACGGCACTGTTTTGGTCCCGATCACGTCGATCCTCAAGATGGGAACTCCTGGGCTCTGATTGCAGGCATGCACAACCGGTCCTCCCAGATACCATTGTCTGTGTCTCAACAGCTCCGCGCACGTTGGAATGCTTTCGGCGCCCCTGCGCCAGAGTTTCCCAACGTCATGTCCCCATTTGCATCCTCGTTCGAGCTCCAAGCCCATTGCGAGGCCGGTAATCACGATGCTGCAGTCGAGCTCATGCTTCTCATGTGGGGATACCTGCTTTCGGGGCCTGGCTTCACCAACTCCACCCTGGCAGAGGGGTTCCGAGTAGACGGCCATGTTCATTATCCCGCCTATCCTGTGCCGAGTCGAAACAGTCATGCACACGGATGGGCCGCCGGACCAACGAGCGTGCTGATGTCCTGTATTTTGGGGATCGAGTTCCGGAAGCCGGGGGGCGTTGAGTATAGCGTGAGACCTGCGTTGACTCGGTGGCTTGGCTGGGCGAGGGGTGGGTTTGCGGCTGAGATTGGGTATTTTGAAATTGGGGTGAAGAGAATTTTATTGGAGACGAGCGGAAATAGCACGGGAAGGCGTGAAAGGGGAACCGTGGCCATTGTAAGAGGGCCTGAGGGGGCCAAGGGGCTGTTCGGTTGGGGCGACGAGGATGAGGATGAAGGATTCAGGCAAGATATAGTTGGCGGAGAGATGAGGGCTTGGGTCAGGTGGGAGAGCTCCGACGGTGATGAGGAAGAGAAGCGAACGAACATGAGGACGGAAGAACTGGACGTCAAGGATGTCAACTGTTCGAAAAGGGATGATGAGATGTGCTTTGAGGAAATGATACCTTACAGAGATGGAGGCATGCTTGTGTACGATTACACATACGAAGAACCCATCATGGAGAAGCGGGGGCCTGGTGTCGTGGATTTTGAGGCGCTGGCAGAGGGGTATGCCAAGTCCTTGCAATGGATGAGGTAGTGTACGATTAGCTCTTAGGGAGTCTTGGAAGTATCGCGTTATTAGAGTCACAGTCTCTCAACCCGTCTACCTGATTGCACAATCCCGAGACTCAAAGGTTTGTAACACAAGCATCATGTTCAAGCCTTCCTATAATTATTGTCAAACAGGTTGGCGTCCACTCTGGCCATACTCTACATGGCGCTTCGAACTGAAATCCTCGCCCAACCACACCTAAGTTTCAATCAGCATCCATACATAGAGGACACGCCAAGAAAGGCTCCTACTCGCGTCTTAATTACCGGTCACCAGAAAGGCCATGAATACTCCATACCGGCGCACGGCACCATAGCGGCCTGGCGCGTAGGCGGCTTAAGTATCAGAGGAGTTGCTAGCCGATTCGAATGCTGACCGCCGGTAGTTAAATGTAACACCAACCGTATAGAGAACACCCGATCATTCGTACCACGACACCGTAGCGGCCGCCCCAAAGCCTTAACTATACGGCAGGCCCTGTATATTATCCGAATTGTGAGGAAAACACCTAGAATTAGGTAGGCCGCACTCTTATAAAAGGTCCGCGATTAAGTCGGTTATATGATGCCGGAATACTAGGAAGGCCGCCTTTAAGTTATAAACCCCAAGTTACTAGAAGTGATGCGAGTGCATATGGGGTGTGAATTGTTGTATTGGGAAAGGATGGCCAGGTCAGCTATTCTGGCCTGGCAGAGCTCTTTTATAGCTCTAATCTATCTTATCTATAGCTATAAGGTAACCCCCCATGGGGTCACGTATCAAGGAGTCACCAAGGCGAATCTAGCTAACGTGATGCGTGCACCTAGGGGGGAGGATGCTATAATGCAGTAGTGCGCAACGTTATAGTATCTAATTGAAGGGATTCACCTAACCAGTGGGTCCCCCCACCTTTTCGTATCATAACGCCTAGAGTCGTCAGTTTTACGGACTACGTATTACCATTTTTAGATTGCCGAGGAGATATACACATGAAATAGAGTATGTATGCCTCATACTACTAAAGAGTAGCTGGAAGAGTATAGCATCGGGTTTTCGACTAGCCCGCTTGTAGTCCTGGTTGGTTGCTAATTGAGCATGCATGGCGCCATATGAAAGCTTATATCTGTAAGAAAAAATCCTTATGTACACCTTTTTAAGGAAAAAAAGTCTAATGGAGAGACGATGAGGGTCAGAATCCGGGAGGAGTGGTGGGCAGTCCCACGGGCACTTGTTAACCGGCTGATCGATTTAGTGCCTAACCATGTGTATGAGCCACATCGCGTACGTGGTCTGTATGCACATTATTGAGGAGGAGGGAAAGCAGGGTATTGAAATGCATGTGTTATTATTCAATTTGGCTCAGAAAAGGGTGCGTAATTGAGCGAGTAACTATGGTGTTGAATGTTAGGGTCGACGTGCGCCAGACTTTGTGACACTGATTTTTCTATCCACTCTTGCTAGCTTACCCCATAGTGGTTGTGACGGTCAACCCTCGCAGACTCACTACAACCAGGTGACTTACAGCTGGAACACCTGCCGTGGCAGTGTCGGATGGGAAGCCAATCATAACCCTTGTAGGAGCCCCGCCAAGCGTGGATGACTTAGTCGCGCTCCCTCAAACCTAAGTTGTCATCTTCTTTCCTTCGCTCCTTAGAGTAGAATCTTCGTCGATAGCACCTAATCGAGGTCTATACCAATGCGATGCAACCCAGGTCGTGACAGTGGTTGTAGTTAAGGTGACCATAGACCCCCCTAGTTCAGCCGACCAACCCCCACTTTTCTTTTTAAATCCGTAGAGATTTTTCCTAGTAACTCTAGTCCAAATAACTATAACGAAATTATTCTATAATTAGTTCTAAATCGATTCTCAATCGATTCTACTATATTATCTTTACTATAGCTACTACAGATATCTTCCCTATTATCTAAAATACCCGCTCTACATTTAGAGGTACGTACTTATAGTTATATATATACTACCAGAAGTAGTAGGTATACGGTAATAGAGTTTACTAATAGCTAGTACGACTTTATCTTCCTAGATTATATAGTACTTACGTCGTTAAACTCGAATAGTAGTATACTAAGTAGCCAGTAGTGTGTGCCGTCGACGTAAGTAATACTATCCTTATAGAAGTAATATTAGGGCTGAAAAAGAATGAAATTAAAATCGATTCGAAGTTAATTTAGAAATATACTTACTATATCCTTGTATGACGGTATCGTTACGTAGAACGATTAGCTGAATTACGAGGAAGAAGTAGCGGATAACGGGTTATTACTAGGGAAAGCAGAATCGAATCGAAATCGGAATTCAAATTCAATTCTATGGTCAGCTAGACCCAAAATAGAGGGATTATCTACCCCACTATGGTCACCTGTACCCAGTGTTTTAACATCACGTGAGGTCATGGTCGGCTCAACTGGGGGGGTCTATGGTCACCTTAACTGTAGTCTCACCCCATATGGGGCAGACGTTTATTATGGCCCCCACTGCTGCATTAGCTTACACCACGAATCAGAAATCCGAGCGTTTATCTCGTCCATTCAATATCTGACCTCAAACAAGTTGAAAAGAAACTAGCATTCCCTGAACTGAGCAAAATACAACCAGCCCGCCTTCAACATGTCACAACGCCGTCAGACAGCGCTAGCCGCCATTGATTCATATAATCAATGGTCAATATCCGCCATCATGGCCTTCCGCGACCCGAGCTGCACCCACGAGATTCTCCCCAGCACGTACACTTCCTCGGCCTCTTCGCCGCCGTGTTCTCCTTTCCCCAGTCTGAACCCTAACTAATATAACCGCCCAGAATCTCTTAACCAACCACTCATGGACAACAAAAAGTACGAGGCCTACTTCTCGTCCATGATACCGGCCTTCAAGAGCTTCAAGGTCGTGGTCCAGGATGTGTTCGAGGATGAGAAGGAAAATAAGGTCGTTGTCTGGGCCGAGAGCACGGCGGATTCGGTTATTGGCCCATATGCGAATGAGTATATGCTTGCGTTTTACTTTAACGAGGCGGGGGATAAGGTGGTGCGGATGTTGGAGTTTGTGGATTCTAAGAACAGTGCGGTGTTTTTCCCGAAGTTGAAGGGGTGGTTCGAGGAGAGGGCTGCAGAGGGGAGTGCTGGAAAGGGGACGGCTTGAGGAGATTTATGAGAGATGCAAGTTGGGTTCAGGATGAAGTATTTTGCCATAAAATAGAGACAGACGCACTGGGAACTGCTCAATCATAAGTCTGGGTCCTGTCCTCCCACTGGAATCAATCACTGCAGCAAGTTGCACGTTGCGTCTTATTGCATGATTCTTCCGTCATACAACTTAAACTTGTACCATGGAATTTTGCGAATGCCAACTGAAACATGAACTTCACAGTAATCCAACTCAAGCCGCCCTTGCTGGGGTAATGAACCCCGTATACTCGCCAAACCCAACCCCATTCCTGCAATATACCGTCAATCTAACACCATCACCGTCCTGAAGGTAGACCAAGGCCTCTTCTCACCATCCGACAAGGTAAACGCAACCTTGCTAATCTGCATCATCCCCAGCATCTCCCACCGTCCCACTAGCAAGTGCATCTCCCGTGTTGAGATTACATCCAATCAAAGTTTGTTGTAGTAAGAGATCTCGGAATTTCCAGTATATCCACGACACATCCGCCGTTGGTCAAGATCTCTGCTCTGGCTTGATGGCGTAGGTAGACTTCTCCGTCTTGTAGTCCAGGAACGGGGGCGGAGGAAATTCTTTGGGTGGCGCTGCCATTGTGAAGGGTTCCAGGGCTTCCAGCGTCACCACCCACGGCGAGATGAATGTGCCAAGTTCTTCCGTTCATGGGACCGCGGGGCATCATCTCCAGCCCCTGAATATTCCAAGTTGCTTGGTTCAGGTCAATACTCATCAAACCTGGCAACCAAAAGTCTTTGAGGAAGAAACTCGCCAATCCAGTTATTGAGCAAAACCAACCAAAACACACCTCTCCGCCTCCTCCAATGGCACGCTCTCTCCCAGCTCGCTCGGCTCCCCACCACAGCCGCAACCTTTAACTCATAATCCAGCGCCCTCGAAGTACCAAACTCGACCCCTCCTCCCCATCTACTCTATTAGCCGCCCTCGGCCTGCGCATCGGCATTACCGAGACAGCAATACTCTACGGTGTCCCCGGATACCCAATCAGGAACCTCAGCGCTGCGGGCGGCATCTCGCGCTTACCCAACACTGCCTCGCCGGCGTTAGGGAGGTGATCCTTGGCGCAGGGGAAGTCGGTGGGCCCTTTATGGATAGGGGGAGGGGGCGCATGGTGATTTGGCTGAGGGGATAGCTGTATTTGGAGAGGACACGGGCGTCTTCGAGAGTTCTCTGGAGGAGGGAGCCGAGGTGGTGGAAGGGAGAGTGGAGGGTTGGCAGTTTTTAGGTCAGCTAGTAATTCTGAGATGTTGAATTGGTTTTAATGGGAACATGCCTTGGAAAGGGCTGGTTTGGCTTCTTCCATAACTTCGAGGTCCAAGTCGGCGAGGAATATGACAGAATTATGTAATCAAGGAACTACTGCTTTCTTGCGGTGGGCGCCATCTCCTGAGGTTATGCTGGCAATCCCGTGGGGAAAGTTTGGGATGCTGAAGTGCTCCGCGTATCCCATTTGACAGCAATAGTCTAGTTTATTAATAAAGCAATGCCCAGTTCTCAAATGGTAGGTGATCAACATCCCAGGTTTTCTTTCACAAGCACCATAATGATATAACAATATGACAAGAAGGTATCTACCTTCATAGCATCGCACTCGAATATGCTGGCTTGGATTTCAGAAACATCTCTTCCACAGACTGGACTGTCTATTTCGGCGGAATAACCGGCAGCGTAACGTAATTCTCCAGCCGTCCCCCAAAGTGAATGTGATTCTGCCCAGCAAACCTGGCCGTGGACCTGTATCAAGATTAGCATTCCCTTGATTTTTCCGACGAGTGAACAACATAAAACATACCTATCGCCTTCATCACAATGCTGGAAAATCCCCGAACCCTGCGTGTCCCCACTCCCAACCTCAAAAACCAGCCTATTCCCCTTTTCCACCACCACATTAGTAGGCCAAACCTCTACATCAACCCCATATACTTCATTGGCCTTGACCGACAGCACGTCCGTCGAGAAGTACTCCCGGTACGGTAAGTAAGACCGGTTTTTGGGGTTCTCATCATGGGTCTTCCGCATACTGACGCGAAGCCAGCCCTTGCAAAGCGGCACCGGATCGCCTGCTGTGCCCGTGTAGTAGATTTCCTTACCCGTGGCGTCGTAGTGGCGGAGTGTCACGAAGAGGTCGATATCTTTCTCTCCAGCGGATTCTTCAGGGGTTGGGGTCATGGATACATTTAGGTGTGCCGTGATGTGCCCTGTGATTTCGGTTTCTTCCTCGAAGGGCGCTGTGGTGAACTGCACTAGCTGCGGTTTCTCCAGAGATCCAAGAGCTTGGTATGATACCACCCTCTTCGGCTCCGAAGCTGGCTTTTCTAGCGACAAATCCTTGTCGGGTGTCAGGTAGAACCTGGTGTACTGCGTCCTGGGGATGGGCCAAGCTTCCTCTTCCCTCTTGGCATATACCTTTTCCTTCTCTGCGTCATTGAAACCCACGTCGCCCTTGCGGAGGGTCACGGTCACGGGTGCCACTTTACCCGGCACGCTCCAGCCGACTCGATCTTCTCCTTTCAGGAAGGCGTCCAGGAAACTCTTCTGAATCTCGACTTCATCGTGGTAGTAGAAGGGCAAGTCGTGGCGGCCGGTAATGAAGCGGAGGTATTTGAATTTGGAACCTGCCCAAGTATACCCTTCGACGTTGCCGCGGAGATGTAGCAGGATACCGCCCCAATTGGCAACACTGAGGAGGGGCACTTCGATATCTTCCAGGCGGAATTCCTTGCTTGCGTAGTAGTCCTGGTCTCGGAACTTGTACTTTGCGTTGTCGATCGTTTGGTCTTGTCTGTTTGCAACCAAAACATCTTCTGCGAGGTCGCCCTCCATGGTATCTTCCTGGCCACGAGCACCAGGTCCGTCAGGGGGGAATGTGAGTTTCGACCTTCCTGCCTTACCATACTGGTTGACAAGAACTTGTCTGTTCCACCAGAAACTAATGAACTTATTCGAAAGGATACCGCCATGCTGGCACCTATCGCGGTAATAGTCCGACATCCCCTCCCTACAGAGTCGTCAGCTTTCCATAGCCTCTGAGCTGTCACTCGGCCTGTAAGTAAAACCAACCAAGGAATGATGGCCGCCAACCCCTTCGGCCGCCTCGCAGCAACCCGCCACTGCGTCCCCGCGTAGTACGAAATCCCCAACAACCCCACCTTCCCACTCGACCACGGCTGCTCCGCCGCCCACTCCACCACATCGAAGAAACACTCGCTCGTGCCTTTGCTCATGGTGTCCAAGAACCCGGGACTCTGAGCCAGCCCCCTCTCATCAGCCCGCACGATGGCATACCCGTGTTGGGTCCAGTACACTGGGTCCGGCGTCTCCCAACATGAGTACTTGGACCGGTGTTCAGGGTTCACCTCGTCGAAGGACCCCTTGTGGAAGGTTGCGTAGGGAATGTCCTTGCCGTAGGGGCCGTAAGTGACTAACACGGGATATCGGGCGTTGGGGTCGGGAGATAGGGGGAGGTAGATGTTGGCGCGAACGGGAAGATGGGACGATTTCAAGGGAATGGAGACATTCTTCATGAATTTAAGGTTGTTCTCATGGTCGTCGACGGTGGAGGATATGTCGCGGATGGGGGGCGTTTGGACTTCCATTTTTGCTGGAGATTGGTAACTTCAATCGAATAGGTCGGTTGAATCGAAATGATCATAGAGGATGCTGACTGAAATGATAAAGAGCTAAATGCCCTGAAGTTAAGTCCGAAGTGAGCTTGGTACACTGCGGCTTCCCCATTAAACTCCCGGAGGGGGTGGGGGAGCGGAACTTTGGAGACGCATGCTTTAGCCCCGGGGATCACGGCCGTGGCACAAGCCGAGTGGCCGACGACTGCGTTTCAGATCATATTGAGCACGGAGGCAGAATTCAACACCAAGCTCGCATTTTGAGATATGAAGCGTAGATTTGTGAATCACCGAGTAGAGGCGGTGGAATGTTGGTCATTGAGGTTATCAAGTCGACCAGAACATCTCGACACCTATCCTTACTCCTTGCTGAAATGAATCGCCCCTAATAACTGGAACTTATACTGAAGCACTTATGTATGACGTTCAGTGCGATGGAAAATTTCTCCAAGATGGAAACCGTACTACCTCGTAAGTAGAATGTTCATGGGGGTCTGGGTGCCACATCGGGACCTGAGCCGTGCCGCTTTAAGCCTGAGCCTTGCCGGAGCTTAGCCTGAGCTTGGCCCCTAATGAACGTATCCAAAACAACATGGACATGTATAAAAGAATTGTATATAAATAACTCTAGCGTAACGAATCGACTTTACGGTAAAAGCTATTTTACGGAAGGTTTTTGTTAACGTTTTATAGCTAAACATGTATTTAGACCTTTCCTTTACCTCTTATCTAATTTTATTAAAGCTATCATTATTCCTAGAAAAATAAAACTATATAATTACAATAGGCTCTTTAAGGACTAATAGATAAGGGTAAAGTTCGTATAACGAAGTTACAAGAAGGAAGAATAGCTAGAGGTCTTATAAGCCTCTTGATACGTGACCCCATGGGGGGTTACCCTGTAGCTACAGATAAGACAGATAATATAAGATAAGAGCTATAAAAGAGCTCTGCCAGGCCAGAATAGCTGACCTAGCCATCCTTTTCCAATACAACAATTCACACCCCATATGCACTCGCATCACCTCTACAAATCCCGGTTCGACGTACTAAAAGATAGTTCATGTAAGGAAAGAGCCGTTGTGGCGGGCCGGTCTCAGCTGACAAGCTGAGTCGGGAGGGATTCGCCCCCGATCCGGTAGAACCCCGGAACCGCCCAGCTTAAGAGGAGAACTCGAGACGCTGGCACCTAGTTTAGATTCTTCAAGAATCAGTCTTGCAATATACGCACCCATACACTGGCCTACTTCTAGCTACCCTTTGCACTACCTGACTATTATATTGTGAGACGTGTGGTATCCTCGTTACAGTTCAACTCTCTTTTTCGTTAGAAAAGTATATTATTATTAGAAGGGTTTCTCTGTGCTCCTAATCAGGCCTGTCACGCCGTGCCAGGGGTTGCAATCCTTGCCACTATGCCACCGTACCAGGTGTCTTCACCAAAAGAGACCAATACAAAAGTCCCTGACTTTGGTATCTGCAACCACTTATCAATCTGTTCAGACCAGTGTGGGTCAATCACGTGACAACCGTCACAAGGAGCATCCTTCGCCACCCCAAATTAGCACCAGCTTTCAAGACGGTGTTAAAGATTCCCGGGTTACGCCCTGGACTGCTTTTGGCTACTTAGAACAAGATCCATGTTGAGTGTTATTGAGTTACAACGCCTAGAATTCCCCGCCGACCTTCCACCTCCAATACGTGTCATTGAACCGCCCGCCTGTCTGCCTCCAAGTCCACGATACCATCTTTCAAAATCAGTCAGCTTTTATTCTTCCTAGAGTGTTTCCCAAATTCTTCCAAATCTTACAGAAGTCAGCCAAACACCATGCAACATCGAGAAAACAAACCCGGTCTCTATCGCATTCGACCCCCAAGGCCGCTGTGATCGATCCAATTGGGTGTTCACCGGACGATAATTGGGAACCCCACGATGCTCAGCGTCCCAATTTGGCGGGTTCTCTAACGCCGGCACCTCGTGGTCTGACAATGGCACCCAGCGGTGTTGCGGTAAGTCTTGGGCCCCAGTGAGTTGGATCTCGTAGTCCTGCAGTGATTCACTGAGGGTTGATGTGATGAGTCTGTCTAATGTTGTAACAGACATGTCATATTTTGTATCTGGTGAGATTGTTCGAAAGTGCCACGATGAACTGAGACTGACAAAGCTGAAGACGTGAAGCCAAAATAGAAGGCGAACTCGGTTACACGGAGTCGATCGATGGGTAAGTGGCTTAATACAGAATACTCGACCGACCGACCAGCCCAGGAAATACGAAGGCAAGCCAGATGGTGATACGTAATTCGGGTTCCTCGGGGTCAAGGATGTGAGTTTCTGACGTTGAAAGACGGGATGAGAGAGGCCGGTGGTCCTCCCCCACTTTCCGAACTCCGCATAACCCAAACTGTAACATCCCCAATATTCATGCGGAAACATATCATCAGTTACATCTATTGCTCATATTGAATATCCAAAAAATGTATCTTTTTCATGAGCCTGTTTAATTCCTCGCAGCAACTTCGTACGATCAGTGATCTAGTTTGTTGACTGCCTTGGACATGGCGTCCCAAGAGGCCGCCATAGAGAGGCTTCAAATGGCCGTCATCGATGGCCGTACCGAAAACATTCGCTATCGACAGACCCAACTGCGGAATCTTCACTCGGCTTTGCGAAATGAAGCTGCAAGTATGTGCAGTGCATTGGCCAAAGACAGTCAGACGTCAAATGCCGAGGTTGAAACTGAGTACTACCTGGCTATGGAAGCAGTCAGGCATTTCTACGACTCTCTGAACTTTGAGGAAGAGTACATGAAGAAGTATTCGATCACCAATGGCAAGGACAATACCAGCAGGAGATTGGGTGTGGGGTTGGTTGTGATTCGTCCGACCAGCCATACAAGATTCTACTCGATAATTACGCCATTGGCTGCCGCGATTTCTGCTGGAAACTGCATTGTTCTTGAGGTAATTTCTCCTTACATATTTAGGTCACTTGCAAGTTGACGATGTAGTTAGCTTGAAGACAATCTCTTGCAAGTGGACGCAGTCCTCCGGAAAATCCTCCCTGCAGCGCTGGATATCAATTCGTTTTGTCTCAGTAAGACAATACGCGATTCGTCGATCCTGGAAATCGCAGTTTTGGTTGACCAAACCAGCACCGCATCATCAAGAAGTCTCACTGCTCAACTATGCTCCTCGTCAATAACCCGGACAGTGGCTATTGTGGACCGTACAGCGGACTTACAAGTCGCAGCGAAGGCCATCACCCAGGCCCGATTCAGCTTCGGTGGCACATCGCCATACGCCCCAGATCTGGTATTAGTGAACGAATTCGTTAAGGAAGAATTCTTTGAGGCTTGTTCGAAATACGCAACGCTGGCGTTTGCGAAAGACTCCGCAGTGAAGAAGGTCAACGGAAACCGGAGCGAGGATTCGAGGAAAGCGGTTGCAAAGGCGGAAGAGAGGAGGCAGGTCGCGAGCTTCGGGTCTAACGACTTCAAACTCGTGCAAATTTTGGACAAGTAAAGCATCCCGAATGAAATACAGAACATGATACAGAACGTGATGTCATGCTAACTGTATACAAGGTCGACCTCGCTCATGAAGATGAAAATTAGCGGCCGTTATCTGCCGATTGCGACCTGCTCGGGGCTCATTGACGCCATCTTCAACCAGCAATTCGAGTAGGCAAAACCACCAGCCTTTGGATATCATGGCCTAATCAAACACAGAAACCCCCTACTAGCAGGATATTTCTTCGCCGATCCAAAATCCGCCAAATATCTAGCACAACATCTCCTATGCCACATCTCCTGTATTAACCAGATTCCCATCCATCTCCTCGTCGGTCCTGCCGCACCGATGGCCCACGATGCTGATTTCAGCTACCGCTATAGCAAGGATATGTTATCAGTTGCACGGCCACAGTACGTTGAGCCGCCCGCTGAAGCTTTTGCAATGGCCAAGGAGTTACTTGATGGGTCGAAGAAGACTAGCACGTCGAAAATAAGGGCGCTTGCGATTGTGCCCCTGAAACCCACGGGACAGCCTGCAAATGACCATCTTGGTTTTTTTGAGGCGGGTCTTGTTACTATGGGTAGTATTGTGCTGGCTATCATTTTACCGATAGTTGGGTTTGGGACATGGATCGCGGCTAGGAAGGGAGTTGCGATAGCATCGAGGTGGAGGAATTAGGATCTGGGATCAGTTTTCCAGGGACACTTGTGTGATTAATAAAGGGATATTATCCTGGAGGAGTTCAGACTTAAATCTTTACAATTGTATCGTCGGTTGCCCGGTTGCTTGATCCAGTCGTTCAAAATTTCTAGAAATCCTCATACTCCCTGATAGTGACTGTAAGTGCAAGCAAGACAGACATAATGCAAGCCAAATAAGTCTGTAACACGGAAATTATGAAACAAATAATTTAAAACGTATGCCGAAATAAGGGCCTGGTTTAGGCTGGACATGTCCCCATGCGACTGCCCCGGCATCCAAAACTACCGGTGATAGCCGGAATTGAGTCCCGGCCGGGGATCGGAACGGTGGGGTAACGGAATCACAAGCACCGCCCACTCTTCCGGCTGTCTCACCTCTCGCACTTCAACGGCACATGCGGGTGTGAAACCTAAGTGAGCACCAGTGACCCATACTGTGATTTTCTTGAATTTCGACTGGACGGACGACTTCTGATACCAATTGAGTGATATTTATATATCGTCATGCCGGCACGTCATCAGATCTAATAACCCATTGAGCCTCAACCCGGTGTTGAAACTCCGTTTCGGTTCTCTTACATTCAAAGTTACTGGGGGTCAACCTGAGAGAGAACACCCAAAGTACAGAATCCTCAGAATTACAAGGAGCATGGCTATCGAAAAAGGAGAAGAAGGGACAATGGCTCCCGTCCACCTCTTCTCGCATGGAACGACGATGATGCTGGGCGAAGAGTCGGCCTCGGCCAAGTACTGGGAGAAATGTGGCGACGAGGCATTGGCGAACGGGATAGAGCATGTGGTCATGATGGTATGTATTGCTTTCTTCTCTTTCCTTCAAGTGCTCGACTTACACCCAATTGTCATAAATACTTCTAATCCTTCCATTTATATCCCCCTCGCACCTTCATACCTCCCAACTTCAGACCCGCTATATCGAACCCCCCTATACTCAAATACCCAAATAACATCCACCCCAGGGCGCCCATTGGGCCACTTCCCTCCCCGGCATCCTCATCTCCGCGAACCCGCACCCCAGCAAATCTCCCGTAGCCTTCGTCCACCCCAGCAAATACGCCTCCTACCCCCTCATCCCGGACCTTTCCTTCATCCCTACCATCCAAAGCTTCCTCTCGGCCTCCGACATCCCCTCGCACCCAGACCCAACCTTCGACTGGATCCACGACACCTACCTCATCCTGCTGCGCATGTTCCCCCGTGGCTGCCCTCCTACCACCCTTCTGTCTATGAACCACTCCTACGACCCACACTTCCATCTCTCCATCGGGCTCGCCCTGCGACCGTTGCGCGAGGTGAAGAAGTACAAGACTCTGTTTATTGGATCCGGCGGGAGCGTGCACAACCTGTACCGCAACATCTGGGGCCCTATGCTTCTGCACCGGGATAACTTCGCGCAGCCTACGCCGCCGGAGGTGTGGGCATTGGACTTTAGGCACGAGGTTATAAGTGCGTTTTGTCCGGGCCATGAGGAGGTAGTGCCGATGCAGGAGGTTGGGGGAAAGAGGATTAAAGGGACGAGGGGACTGGGAGGGGCGGTGTTGAGGCGTAAGGTGACGAGTTTGATGAAGCATCCGAGGTATCGTGATGCGCATGGGACGGATGACCATTTCATGGCGCCCATGTTTGTGGCGGGGCTGTGTGGGGGGAAAAAAGATGAGGGAATGGTGAGCGAGATGGGGGCTGAGGATTGGGAGTTGACCAATATGTGTAACTCGCAGTTCACGTTAGGCTCTTGGGGTGAAGCTTAAAGTATGAATGACGAGGTTGTAATGTAAGATATGGCTGGTGGTAGTGTTCAGGGTACATCCTTTTCTGGTAATAGGCTAAAATATTGAGCCCGGCGTTGAGACGTATTTTACTCCTTTTCTGACTAAAGCCACTACCTAGGTCAAGATAGATCCATGCCGTCCCAGCCCTCCAACAAGTCAGCACCATTCCCAACGCCGAATATGTCATCGTCTGTGCCTAGGTCGAGACCCCCCGTACTGTTCCCGGATCCCATATCAAACTTGATATCGGCCGTCCCATCACCCAGGTCCAGATTGACATTGGTGTCATCCGTAACTAATCCATCACCTTGAGCAGCAGCAAGTGCTTCACCAAGCGAGGCCGCAGCCCCCTGGTCAAGCCCAAGGCCCAAATCATTCTGCAGCATCTCAGCTGGCTGTGGCATTAGCAACTGTGCTTCCACTCTTCTATACAGCCGCACGACAGTCTCGGCCATCGCTGGGTCCGACTTTTGTATCTTCTTGAAGTCCTCCACCTCCCACCTCAGGGCAGTCCTCAACGTGACACGGCTCTGCACTGGAGATGGGTGTTGGTTTGGATCACTGAGAAGTGTCGGCGGTGGCGGGGGCGTGACGTTGGTTACGTCTGGTGCACATATTAGGGCCGTCGCAACGTCGTAAGCGACACTTCCGCTGCCCGCATCGGTTTGTTGTCTGACTTCTTCCAGGATAAGACGCAACAGCCTCTTGGGTCCTAGAAGCTTGATCGCAGCCAGTATTTGACGATGCGAGTAAGACGTGGGCATGATGTTAATACTCGGGTGCAGACTCCACTGTACGAACCCCTGCAGAGTATGTCGAACGGATGCGACAAGTCCCCCACTCTGTTGGCCGGTCCACTGCTCGAGTTCATTGTGCTCGGCCCCCCCTGTCCGTCGAGATACTCGAATATTGTCCTTGATGGCTTTAAGCAAAGGCTCAATGTCTTGACTCTTGGGATCTTGACGTTGATATGTCCTTAGTGCGTGCTCTAGAGGCTTTGCCACTATATTTAAAACCCCCGACAACATAGTCTGGGCTTCGTTAGAGCCTTGTTTTGTGAGCAGGATGAGTTGCAGTATCTTGATCACCGCCTTCTGCTCCTTCTGATTGTCTATCCTGAGGTGATTTGACAGGTAGGTAATGGCCATGACAAGCGATGGTAGAAGGAATGTATCGACGAGATCTGGGGTTACGTTAGTCCCTACGTCTGGATTGAATTAGAAAACTGCACTTACATTCGACGCCACTGTTCAACCCCTCCTCACTGAGACGATCGGTGCTGAACGCCAAGACGGTCTGGTAGAACAGTGTAGAAACAAGCAGGTAAAAGTCCTGAGGTGGACAAGAAGACATCAGCTCGTCGCTCAACCCACCGCTCTCACTGTCAAAGAGGCCATGGACCCAGCCACCAATATGGCCCTGTTCCTGCTCTGACAGGTCCTCTAATGATTTCGCGAGATGGCCACTCTGCAACAGTCTTGCAATGAAAGAGTGCGATGACCGGATGCCCAGGTCGGCAACCGTGAGGCTATAGCGATGAACAAATGCCAGCACAAGCAGCAAGATGGAGCCAAACTCCTCGTAGACTGGTTGGTATTCGCCCTGGTCTTCATCGTAGTGCCAATTATCAAGCAGCTCACAGAGTGGGTGTAAGATGGAAACCGGCTTCTCAAAGAGCAACATGACGTCCAGAGATAGGGGCTTCTTTGCAAGCTGACTGCAGAGTAGTTTCAAGGACATGGTCTCCTTGTTGTTGCAAAGGCGGCCAATCACCTTTCCCAATGTTAGAGGCCTATACACAAAAAGTGGGATCAGACAGAAACAAACCTCCGTTATAGCCTGGCACACAGCACCTACGTTGCCATCCATGTTGTCTAGCTCACCAATCAGACTCTGTATCCTTTCGGGGTCTGTCATACACTGTCCGACTAGTGTCTCCTTGACGTAGCGCCCGCCTGCTGGCAAGGTCTGATAGGTCATATCGCCAAGCAGGCCTTCAATGGCGGGCTCGGGAATAAGTCCATGCAAGCAACAGGCAAAGCAAAAGTCTTGCCGGACGCTATCCGTAAATGTGTTGTTACTGTTTGATTCGTCGAACATGGATGAGAGGGTAGGGAAGGCGTTCGTGTCAACTTGGCTCAAGGCTTCAGTGATGCAATACTGCGGTGTGAGTGGAGGAAACATTGATGTTGCCAATGTCGAAAGTAATAGGGGAAGCTTGTTGATCAGGTAACATCGTAAGAGGTTTGCCGACTTCTGGCCTTCGTTCCTAAAAAAGGCATTTGCGAGGACATCAAAAGATGCCAGAATGAGGTCAATCGCAGTAGTTTGGATTTCACCCTTTTCATGTCAAAACACGGATCCTCAAGTTTCTGAAGTGGCTCTTACTTACATTGTACCGATTGTGCAGGTAACTGTAGAATGCAGCATCGTCTATCAGGGGACGCCCAACCAGCTACATGCAGTTAGCCAGGGGATTCAGGAGCTGGGCTCGAGGATCTTACTAGGGCGTTCAGGTAGATATATAAACCAGCTCGAGCATTCGTAACTGGCAACTCAGGGATAACAAAGTTATCCAACCCCATAGTCGAGTCCAACAGATCGTCAATTTCAGCCTTCGCAGCCTCTTTCTTCTTGTCAACGGGCTCGAATGCGGCAAGGGTATCCGTTCGAAAGAACTCCAACCGGCTGGCTACTTGCGATGCGCCAGGGCTCTGCATAATGGACGGCACGAAGTTACTCAAGCTCTCCGACATTGCCTTGCGTGCCTCTTTAGCAAACGGCCGGCTGAGGGCCTTGAGTACGACCTGGTTTTCAAAGATGCCTAAGAGTAGCATAACGAAGGCCGCTCGTGATGCCTCCATATCCTCTTTGGACTGCATGCTGTGCAGCTGCCCTATGACGTCCTGCGCGAACGCCGCCGAGGCCGTGGTGAACAGCGTCATCCACCTGGCCATGACCTTGCACACTTCGATAGCATCGCTAGCCGATTTGATCCCAGTTCCCATCGCAACGGCCTTGGTGAGCCGGTAGAATATCGTCTCTTCGGCTCCATATGAGCTCTTCCACCAGGGAACGGTGTTCTCCGTTTGCTGCTGTTGCGCATTTTCAACGGCATTAGCCTGGTGGGAGTGTGACGTGGAGTACTTGTAGAGCGCTTTTAGGATCGACGGGGTGTTGATCAGCTTCTGGTCGGTGAGGATCTGGACATATCGTGGCACGCGTGGATCGAGGCTCTCGTGGTTGGCAGGGTGTGGTTTCAGGAAGACGTCGGCGACAACGGCGGGGGTCACTGGATGTCTCGAGGACAGGATGGATACGTAGGACGCGAAGTTGTCGAAGTCGAGGCGCTTAGCTATACATAAAGCCAGGAAACTGGACCACTCCTTGGCTGCCGTTCCTGAAGTAGTCGCTTTCATTCCCATTCTCATATCGACGCCACTGTCGACGTCCATCTCGAGGGCCAACTCCATCATGATGTGCTTCAAGATATGGTTGTACTGGGTACAGGTGCGGCTGGGAAAAAAGACGAAAGGTTCCTTGTCGCCATCGAGTTTCCACTACTATCAACTCATCATTCGAATAAACAGTCGTCGTTAGGCCATTGTTCGTTGCGAACACAACTATTATCAGGCCAATCAATTCGCAACGCGATGCGACTGTCGAAGGGGAACGCGACCGCTTTTGCCTTGGCTGTCGCATAAGGTCCACCCAAGCCTGCAAGCTTTGAGGTGTCACGGTCTAAAGTGCAAAGCACTGTAGATCCTTGTGGCTGGCTTAGCCCCTGTACAATTGTAGCGACTTAGCTTTCTAGCGCCAGCGGGAGGAACTGACGCTTGGGCCCATGGGCCTCCACCACCTGAAAGCTGCAGTGCTGTGGCCTCGCAGCTGGCCAAGCTTCGAGGCTTCTTGTGGCGCTCCGGGGTCTTGGTCACGAAGGACAACAACGATTTGGAAACTGCCAATCGACGACGCGATGGGTCAGCAACGAAGTAGGCTCGGTGAAATTGAACAGTGCAGTTGCATGAGCCACCTGAGGGTATTAGAGAAGTATTTGATGCGGCAAGTGACACGTGCTTATGCGCCCCCAAACTTTGTTAAGTCCACTTTGTACATCAAAATCGGTAGATCTATGATTGATTGGAGCTATGATCAACACGGCCAACACTGGCGTCTTGTCTTGATAGTGGAGGAACGCTCCTGCTTCGTGCAACTCTTGAATGTTTGCGGCAGAGTTGGCGAGACTGACAGACCTGAATACCACACCGTACTGGGTCGCCAAGCCTCGTTTTTCACCACCAAGACGGATATCTCGTCTGTCTTTCGCCACCAGTCATGATAGCAGATCTAATGTGGCACCCCTCAGAAATCTTCCGACTTTTCACCAAGTGGCCCATGGATACTCTCGAGAGACCGGGGTCCTAACATCCAATCCTGCATCGCAAGCCATTCGCTCCAATTTTTTTCTGCGCTCACGATCTCGGTCTCCGAGACGTTCTGTAACGGCCGGAGGAACGGAACACTCTGTTCGTCGTCCATATCGTAGTGTGACTTGACATCCACCCAGCTCGCGCTCTTGGCAGCAAATAAGTAGTTCCTTCGCTCGACTTCGTGAATGTGACCGATACCCTTCGCCCAATTGTCCCCAAAGAATCCATGCAGTACCGCGGGTACGTCGAAGCCAGTCGCTACTAGCCGTCGTATGTAAGGATTTAAAGAAATGGGACTCGGAGGCGGGTTCGGCATAGGAAGTTTCCCTGCCGTGCGGGATGATGATGACGGGCCCGCTGAAGGCGAGCCGCACGCTTTCGCCCCAAAGACGGGATGCTGCGATCTTTGAACTGGGAGCTGTATATTCATAAAGGCAGCCAGAGCCTGGACTGGCATTGAATATTGCGCATGGTCGAGGAAGTAGCGCAGACAAGACTGGAAGTGTGGATACCACTCGAAGATGTCGAATTGATCTTCTTGCACAGGCAAGAACGAATTCGATATAGGGGCATCCGGTACAGACCCTCGGGCGCCGGCCGCAGCACTTGATGAAGAAGTGTGGCGTGCTGGGTGGGACTGCGATGGTTGGAAAGCCATAGAGAAGTTGAAAGACGATGGTCCCCCATGGGGAGGAGGGAATGCCATGACCTTCGAGTATTCCTGTTTACACTAAGGCCAAGAACTGCCAGGTGTTCGGCGACACGTTTCGACGGCAATACACTTGGGGTACTTAAAGATAAGCACCAAACGTGGAAACCCCCTAGTGTCTAGTAACACCTCAGGGTTGCCCTTTGACCTTTCGGCTAGGTAGTGCCGGGACGATAGCGGTTGAAATGGAACGTAAATCAGGCACTTGGTAGAAACCGGTATACCAGTCTATAGTGTTGCCCAGAGCCGCATTGAACAGAAATACGGTTCATCAAATCAGGTCGACGAGCAAGATGGTAATATAGTGGAGCTGGGATGGGGAGCGGAGGGGCAGAGTAAGCCTTTAATAGCCTTAGTAGTATGCAGGTGGGAGGAGCTTGTCACGTCTTTGCACCACGTGGTTTATGCTGCAAGGAGACGGGAACATGTACCTGAATAAATAAGTAATCATCAAAGAAGCATACTTAACCGAGTCACAGAGTGCACAAAGTGAAGCCGAACCTAGACAGCTGAACCCATAGGGCCAACACTTCAGGGTCCGCCAGTAGGGGACTCCCGTTCACCATTGTGACGACGGCGGCCATTGTGGGGGGCCGATCGCACCTGGGCTGGGGCTAGGCTGTCGAACAAGATAGACGACAACGTACAACATGAGAAAGAAATTTTTGGAAATATTTTAAACCAAGGTGGTTGGTGGCTTCGTCATTGAGATATCCCTTGTCTGTGTAATCCATCAGAATGAGTTGTGCCTGAGATGGCGAGCTTTGCTTATTCTCCGAGCATCTCAGCCCAAAAGCCCAGTCGGACTCATTCGCCTTGCCATCATCAAGTGAGTGCTAGGGTCGGATTAAGGTAAGAGCTCTAGATCATAAATTGGCCCTTGGACGAAAGCCCTGGAGCTATGGCGAATTAACGACACAGATTGGCCTTGCGATCCTCTGCGCATCGGCACGGGTGTGGCCGAGAAAATGAAACTCGAATCATAATGACAGATGCAAAGCGCTGAGAACACCGGTTCGACGTAAGTATGCATCGATAGAGTTCAAGATCTGCAATGTCTACGGGTTGCACAGGCATAAAATTGTAGGAGATTTTGTGAGACGAGAACTGGCATTGAGTGATTTGGGTGGACGGCTTGAAAGTTGATACTTTGTACTTTATCCACTTTTAGAAAGTGGGACGGGGCCGGCGCGGCGGAGAACCAGCCTGGAGTGGGGAGGAAATCGCAATTCAGACGCCATTCTGTGATCAATGACGCTAGCTCTTCGGGTTTTTAGAGCGTTCGATGTTTCCCCCGCTAGCCTAGATCGAAATACCAAGCAGAGGCGAGCGCCGGCTATTGGACGAAGTCATATCGCCGCGATTGCCTCACCTGCCAATCTTTCTTGGATGGTTACATCCCACCGTCCTTCACACATAATCAACTTCGGATCATTCACGACGATAAAGCTGGAATCCAGTCGCCACATCTCCCAAATTGTTTTCAGGACATATTCTTATTTATTTTGAGGTCTCCCAACGGTCTACGCCGAATGTGGCCACGACGACGTGGTGGCACTCAACCTCATCAGATGTAAAAACCTGGCAACGCGGCCCGCCTTCGAGCTACGTTGCAACTTGCAAGCCAACAGGCCTCCCACGATGTCTTGGCCCTTTACAACGTTTTTGCTTTTCCCCCAGGGCTGCATCATCATGCCCGTCAAGCCCGTTTGACGTCCTGATCTGCTCAACAGTCTCGCCTCCCGTGAATCTGTGTCGGTTGACGGGGTTGACGGCAGCACCCCTGGCCACCCGCTGAGACCCCCGGCTGTTACTCAAACATGTGCCATCGCCATGTCCGACGCGAGTTTCCTCTCATTGGACTGCGGTATTGCGAAACTATTTTGCCAGCCACAACGAGCTTTCCGAATGCAATCTGACCCCTCGAGACGGCTCCCCCCACCCCCCCCCCCCCCATTCCCCATTGACGCTGCCGCGACGTTACCGTCCTGCGCGTACCTAACCGTCTTGCCGGCTTTCGGGCGTTCCGTTATGCCCATACGCGCTCTCGGCGCTTTCTCTTACATGCCTTAAGCGAGTCACAAAGATCTTCTGCCAGTCAATCCTCGCACTTTTTGCCCCTCCCTCGACTATTTGATTTGGTCTTGGCGGCGACCGGCTGGCAGATGCCCAGCAACTAATTGCAGATCGACCAGATAATGTACACCACTGAACGCTACTGTTTTCACTAGTTGGTGTGTTTTTGGCCGGCCTTTTCTCCGACTATCCTATTATCACGGCAGGACAGTCGGATAGGCCAAACACGATATGGTCGGCAGCATCGAATGTTATCTGGATGTCTAGGAGAATGTTGCAGATGCAAACCGCATATATTCTCCAGGATATGGACAATTCGAGAAGGTCACACGAACCAATTGAGAACCGCAGCAGAATGACCGACTGCCCCTGCGAGCCTGACGCTGCAAGAAGAATCTTGTGTTACTAGAGACCAAAGACATGGACTCGGTGTCTGTTGGTGTACCCAACTCATAACGATCCTTGTGGTTTATAGATGACGAGTACAGCATCCTTTATCGTTCCGAGTCACGCCAATTCCTCATGAAGGCGAGTAAAACACGAAAACCCGACTTATACATGGTACTTCCAACGCCGGTTCCCAGAGTGGCGGACATATCGGCGACTTCAATATCCCAGGGGTATTTTCTCGATGCTGACAAGCGGAAGGATCGAATGCTTGCGTTAGTCAGGGTGGGACATGATATGGTGATGGCTTCAATCCAACCACAAAAAAACCCACCGACTCAACGAGGTAACCCGAGATGTGTCAAGCTTACGAACTGCCACGAAATTTAGTGCCCCTCCTCTATAGGACGGATATACGACCTCAGCACAATCCTCGGATTATCCGGGAACTGTGATGCAAGTGGACTTGCTCTCAATTACCACTCTTAGAGCTATTGCTCATGAAACAGATACAGGTCCATCAGCGAGGTTTGCGAGCGATTTGAATCGGCCAATGCTAGCCACCCTTATGTCGGGAGCTGAAACACATGTTGTTGTGCTCACCGATTCCCGATGGCGTCACGGCCGACAACAGAGGTCTACGTATACACTGGCGGATTACAACGATGCCAAGTCCTATCCCTCCCCGTTCCACTCTTCTCAAGCCCCACTCAGCACCATTATATTCCCAGAAGGTCTGGCACTAAGGTCATCTAAGTTCCCGACGAATAAATTCGTACATGACCCGGTGATGAGAAAACTCCCCGACAAAATTACTACACGGAGGCCAAACATCAGCTTTCACCACGTAATACAATAAGAGAACCCTAATTGAAGAGAACCCCAATTGAATACGAGGACTTGACTAGATACCTCTAACTGGAAAGGATCGAAGCGTTTGTTTTTAAGAATATTCTTAGTCGCCCCCAAGGTATCGCATAAGAACACGTATATTTGGAGAGGTGACGTTGAACTATTTCCTAATAGGAGTCCGCTTCATCTTCTTGGCTTGGGGCAATCATCACCCCCGCCTCTTGGAAGCACTATCATCTGGATCAGCCATTAATATACATTGCGCAGTCAGCGACGTTGCACAACGGCCCTAGACAGATCACAACACACGTGAACTACGGAAACCCGATTCGTGGCATCTGATTCATTGGCGGCCATCAAGCCGTCAATACGACTACTTGTATAAATTTGCAAGACATGCATTTAACGACATGTGCGTGAGTTTCGTCTCAATTTGGGTTACACGACGGTGTCTTTAGTAGCCGCAGAAACCGTTTGTGCCCTCCTTCGTTACATACGACCGAAGAGCTATATGTCGGTGCGACTGGCAGCGAGTATTTTTGGCACGTCAAGCCTGATTATGTGGATCATCAAATAAATAATCCGGAAGCACCAGGTTTTCAACAGACTGCAGCTTCATGCCAAGGTATCGCGACATTTGTGAGATTCGCATCACGAACTAGAGATACTGCCTGTGCCAAGACCCATCGCCTATGACCCACGTTCAACCATTATACGACTTGGCCATACCGCAGCAGAATGGCCTCGTGCGTAATATTATATCGTCGGCTGGTGTAGTTGGTCACTTCGCTGGTAGATAAGTCCCGATTTGAGCCTCGCCCACTTGGGTCGGTGACGAGTCGCGGGTTCGAATCCCGCAGCTGACACACAAGGGGGTTTAGTCAACCCTTACGGCGCGCTGCCCACCTTGTTGACTTCGCCTACCTAGCGATAATAGGGAGATTGGTGCAGTTTAGGATCACGAGCATCCTAGCCAGTCGACCGTCAAGCACTACGTCGGCGGAATATAACTCGACAGCCGGTCCAGAATTCGAATCGTTAATCCGACCCCTTATCGGACCCCCTCTCGCCGCGATTCTTGCGAGCGTCTAGACCACATTACGGTCTATCCACTTGAGCGTATGGTTGAGATGTATACGCTCGACGAGAACCCCAATTAGCAGATACTACGACTTGTCGCGACAAAAAATAGTCGAGCATCTTCTGCACATCAGCAGCATCCCACCCCTGAGGACGAATTTAAGTGCCACATTACCACACTTATCAGTAGTTCAGGCAGGGGTTGTAGCACAGACTTAGGGAGGGACAGGAGGTTTAGTAGTCGTTTGGCTACAAGTTTACCTGTATAACCGCCCGACGCGGCTTAAGGGCCCGCTATATCATCTATAGCCCCTTAAGGGAGTACTTATAGAGGTACCGAGGGTTAACACCTACGGCGTATTTAATATTATTATTTATTAATATCATATCGGTTCTGCCCGCTATCCACGGCAACGGGTCGACGGGTAACGACACTCTGCAGTCCACGTGCGACACTACGCATTGAGACGATCCACAGTTACGTTGCGAGGTTCACCGGGATCGAGGCGGTGAGAATGACGCCTCACTTTTGTCCAAATTTCTATTCATGGGATTTCCGGCTATTTCCAATGCCGTACCAACAAATTGCGTTTCTCAGTTCGAGGTGCATGGGGATGATGGAAGTGAGATCACAGCGTTATCTGTCGGTTGTGGAACTATGCTTGTTCCGCTCGGACGTCCCAGAATCTCGGGACGTGACTAGGACTATAATAGGTTGGATTCGTGGATAGCGCTTCCTACTAGTTCACATGGGATCTTCCATATCGCAAGGCACACCGTGCGAAATAGTATTTCCCGACACATGGAAGGGGCAACGAGCTTTCGCCCTTAATTTTCTCGATGGCTTCAATCGTCGCCACATGTTGCAAAGCTGAGGCTCTGCACCTACGTGCATGTGGTGCTTTGTATCCATCATGCTTCAAGCAATGTTCCGGATACCAACGGTAATACTCAATCGGCTTTCGAGTGCCCGTCTTCGGAGGACTTCATGTTCTGTGGTCTCAAACGCTTTCTCAGGACAAGCCATACGAAGCACAGTCCGCCCGATTTTATCTACCGTGCTTGAGCATTGGTTCAGCCCCAGGGGTAGCCACGAGCAATACATCGCTTGTGCACACAAGTCGATAGAGCCGAGCCCCATCCAGGATATACTCGCATAAGCGCTGGCGGTGCAGAAATCACACGCTCTTTCCCCCTAGTTTTGACCAAGAATGGAATACTATGCGTGATGCTTGGTCGTGATCAGTCAGGGGACAATGGTGACCGAAGCGAATGCTGCAGATGTCATTCCCAACTTGGGTTGAAGGAGCGACTAGGGACAAATGAAGGAGGTGTTCGGTTCTTTCTACAGGGCGGGATCGTGCCATGCAAGCACATCCTTTACCTGGTGGTGTCCTGAAAGCACAATCCCGGCAGTAACAACAGTAGAAGGTAAGGCAAGAGACATATTCTTAAGTTAGAAACATCTCGCAGAACGGAGCATTGCGAACTCAGTAGCTCCCACACCCTCACTATCCTAATTGAATACCGGTAACCTCTTAGACAAGGATGACACCCGCCTCGAAACCATGCATCTTGTTCGTCCACGGTTCGTGGCATACGCCGAAGCACTTTGAACCTATACGAGCCATCCTCGAATCCAAGGGCGTCCACAGCTACTGTCCTTTGTTGAGAACGATAGACGCTTGCCCACCAATAAGCCCTGCTGATGATGCCGAGCTTATCGGGGAGACGCTCAAGCGGTTGATCGAGGTTGAAGAGAGGGATGTTCTCCTTGTCGGCCACTCCTATGGTGGTCATGTCGCAAGCGAGGCCGCAGATGCCAACTTCGCGAAGAGAGTGCGAGAGGCCGCTAGTCTCAGTGGTGGTCTCGTGCGAATTGTGTTCATCGCCGCTTTCGTGTCTCCCGTTGGCGCCACACTAGCAGATGCCTATGGAGGCAAACTGCCTCCTTTGTTTCCCGTAGACGTACGTTCCCCGTCTCTAGCTGATAGTTTATGAGCGGTCTTTTTTCGGGAGAGTCGCAATTTGACACAGACCTTGTGACAGGAGCATGGAAGAATGTCGATGATGAACGGCGCAGCAGGACTCTATCACGACATGCCCGAGAAGGACCAGAAGCTATGGACGTCAGAGCTCCGGACCAGCTCCATGCTCTGTCCCCTGACACCGTTGACTAAAGCTGGATACCTGGATCACCCCCTGAGCTACTTCTTCTGTCAGCAAGACCGAGCTCTTCCCATTGAAATACAAAGGGCGATGATCAAGACTTTGAGGCAGAAGCATGGCCTGGAAATCGACACGGAGACTCTCGATTCAAGCCACTCGCCGTATCTTAGTCAGCCGGAGACCGTTGCAGATCTGCTTGTGGAGTTGTTGATTTAGTCAGGGGTCATCAAGCTTGATGATTTCTCTGCACAGTGTTGTTAGTTTATGAGCTCAAAGTAGTCAATGGTCTTACACGTTACATGACACAGGCTAATCGCCGAACCAGAAGTGGAATTCTCGATGCCAACTGACGTAGTTCTTCCCAGCCCTGCACACATATATGATTACGGCGCTCTCTCTTCATATGTGCGTCAACTATACAGCTATTGGATACAAGCGACGATCTCAATGCTGAACTGTCCCCTGACGCCACAATGAATGAATATGTGTGTGTGCGTGTGTGTTGATGGTGACAAGACCAAATCTCCGGGGGGCTCAAAGATCTGTATCATATACATATCCTCCGATGATCGTGCAGGGTAGTGTGAGCAATTAACTACACGATTATCTACCCACGTCCGAAACTTAAGCGGATAGAGATCCCTGCGGTCAGCAGAATCAACGCGCATCTCCGTTCATGACCGCTCAAGGTGGTGGCGGTCGCCAGAGACCGGGCTCCTGGGACTTAGTTTGTGTCACACGACATGGTTCTCCATGCGATATGGCGTCCTTGCGTTACTCAATGTGGGTGTGGAGGTGTCACTGGGAAGAAGTCGGATACCGGAGGTGCAAGCCTCACTTCTTACGTATGTATGTTTGACTTTGCGTGGCGCAATATTGTAAGGCCCTGACATATCTGCTAGCAGACAGTGTATAAATTGAAACATGGTAGGGCTGGGCTGGTAATCACTGCTTGATTGGAGACGCATTTGCGTATTGGAACTGGGTGAAAGCACTGTAAACGCATCCATACTCGTGCAGACTTTGGATGATGGGTAAGATAACGGTGCAGGAGGAAGCACTTTGATGGAATTCGGCAAGCTCCATTGTGCTTTAGCTGCCGATCTTGCCAACAGTCACAACCAAAACACATGATTACCAGGAGATTATCGTATCAATAATCGATCGCAGTTACTTCCTTACAATCGTCAAGAAAGGGGTTTTTCATATTCCAGCATCTTGGTGATAAAGACGATCTTTAAGTATCACCTCAAATTTCGCAATAGCGGCATTCATAGTGTTCAAACAGCACCGTTTCAAAGGATAGCGATTCTTAACAGATGTAGGCAGATCATCGATGTAGTATACGCCGAGCGATGTATGAATATAGATAGGAGGCCATCAAGTAGTCATAGGTTACACAAGGCATGAGCCTAGAAAACCATTTAGGGCACCAGCTTACCTAGACTCCCCACCAATTTCTCTACCACCGTACGACGAGACCTGCTTTTACCCAATGTCCACCCAGTCAACTTCGAAACAGATTTCAACCTCAGAATGCGGTTTTACTCTGTGAAGACGAGACAATAAACTGCCGACAATGATATGATTGGGATAGCTTCAGAGCTCTCGGTCGCAATTGAAGGCGCGGTATCGAAAATCGCTGTCACATCAGACAAGAACCACACCCAGTGCCAACGTCGAAGCCCAACTGTCCAAGGCGGGATTTTCATGAGCTTCGACTTCATTGAGACAATGCCCGATGCCAGCTAGTGGAAGGTGACTCAGCCCGCCCGGCGGTGAATTGGCCCTGTTGCAAAAAGAATCGACGCCAAGACCGCAAAGATACATTCCCGCATCGAGGCTGGTCTGCCACGGCGCCTTGGGTTTGACAGCGCCACCGTGGACTAGAACCATGAGAAGCTATCACGCCGTCTCGAAATTTGCAGTTGAAAAATTCGACGACCTCGTCTTCCAGCTCCTCGTCCAGCTCTACAAATGATGACACAACTTCTTCGACTACGGGCATACCATCGCCGACTCCACAACCCACTTCTCAATCCGAGTCAACACCCGTTGGCCCCATTGTTGACAGAGTGGTGGGCGGCGTCAGTGGAATTGCCCTCATTGCAGGCCTTGTTTTCCTCCTAATGCGCTACTCGAGGAAGAACAAAGATGGCAGCCGCTAGTGTCTACTATCCCGGTCCGGGCCCAGAACCATCAATATACGGAGCTCCGTCCCCGCCCCCGCCCCCGGGGCAAGGAAGGCTATCCCCTGCTGGCTTTGCAGCCGTCGATAACCGGGCCAACGAGTCCATCCGCGAGCTCACCGCCTCAGAGCCCCGGGGTAAGTTATGAGGGCACGACGCCTCCTTTTGGAGACGGGCAGCCGCAGCCCTACACGGCTCATAGTCAGCCTCTGATCAGCAGTATCAGCCTTACAGCCCGCAGCAAGGGCAGGTGTCGGAATTGCCGACTGAGCGATCGGATGGGGAGTTATCGGAGCTGGCTTGAGACTGATGCTTAGGAGGTTTTAACTAGTGTCGCGTGTGTTGGTTTGTCGCTGTACCCTTTGGGTTGCATTGTTATTGACCCATCGAGGAGAAGTACCTATGAAATCAGAGCCGGTTGCGAGGCTCTGGGATGAAACAACGAAGCTACAGTTTCTATCCTTCGGGAATCATCTGAATTATGGTTATGATTTATTTATATGTACTGCTTCCTTACATACTGTATTGATAGTGTTCTGTTGACCATTATTAAGTTTGGCTTTGGGAAACCTCGCCCGTGCATATATATCTGACGTGTCTGCATCACCATAAGAGACGCTATACTTGCCCCTCATGGTGACTGTTTCACTCGCAAAGAGGGGGCCTAGAGCTGGTTTCCTGAGCTGATGGAGCTGCCCAATCACAACCTCTAGTTTGTCAGCCCCCACATTTCAGTGAATAGCGCGAGTCGCAGCACTCTTCAAGTTTGAAGCTCAAGTCTACCTCATAGCCGGCCCTCACAATCTTGAGATATCCGTACAAATTCGCCGTCATGGGTTCTCTTCAAGCATTACCGGCTAACTACGCCACCGGGCTGAAGTTGATTGACGAGGTGCATGCGCTGGACCCTAAAAAGACTTCCGGCGGGGCACCTCACGAATTAGACTATGCACAGAAGATGACCCGGTGGTTGGGCATGAGATGTCCGGATGCCGCGCCGACGTTACAGATCGCGTGTCGGGCCCAGCATTTCAGAAGGTCTGTTGGTTCGTCTATACCTTGATCACATGATATCAACACACAAAAAATGCAATATGCGCAACTATAAGCTAATACACTATATCCAGATGGGAGATCCCGCGCTCCTCCTATCCCATGACGCGCCCAGGCTACCTAACCTGGCGCACAAAACTGAAAGCGCAAGCCGCCACGCAAGTAACGGAGCTCCTAGCTTCGTCCTCAATTGACCCGCCCTTGCCAAAGGAGGATATCGAGAGGGTGGCGGCACTGATTCGAAAGGAGAACTTGAAGGGGGATGAGGGGACGCAGGTCCTGGAGGATGTGGCGTGTTTGGTGTTTCTGGATGACCAATTTGATGATTTTGAGAAGAGCAGCGAGCTTGACGAGGAAAAAGTGGTGGGGATTTTGAGAAAAACTTGGGGTAAGATAAGTGTGGAGGGAAGGAAGTTGGCTTTGGGTCTGAATTTGAGTGACAGGGCGAGAATGTTGGTTGGGAAGGCGTTAGAGGGTTGATGATGATTAGGTGCGACGCGGACTCTTGTTCGGCTCACTAGGATGAAATATCGAACTTGCATTGATACGGGCCATCCGGCATTATTCTCGGGGTCAACTCCGAAACTACGGAAGGGTAGTCCGAATGATGAAGTCATGGAATTCGATGACGGGCCGGGAATGACTACTATGATTCAAATGTCTCGTAGAACCCCTCACCCCATCTCGGCAATCACTCTACCGAGAAGAGGTAACCCGCTCACTATAAGCTTGCGGCGAGCAACGCAGGTCCAGAACTTGGCCGTACAATGCTACCAAGTATGCAGATGAGGACTTTCCATCGACGTTACTACGAAATTCCCGAATAGCAGTGTCGAATATATGTGTCCAACCCCAAACTGGGAGGGTTCTGCTTACTTGCCCTAGAATGGGCCAACGACTCATTTCCGTCGCAGAAATATCCAAACACAACATACCTCGAGACCTTTGGATAGTAGTTGACGGTGCAGTGTACGACATCACCGCGTTTGCCCCGGAGCATCCCGGTGGGCTTCGCGTGCTTCTACAGTATGCGGGCCGGGATGCAACTGCAGCATACTCGGAAGTCCATGCTTTATCCCTCATCAAAACTACTCTGCCATCAACCAGTCATATCGGTATTTTGGATGCGAACAGTGTCAGCGAGGAATGGGCCACACCGCCTATACCGACGTTTCCGAAGCAAAACGTCCTATCAAAACCGCCCTTGGATACCTTGATCTGCGCACACGACTTCGAACTTGCAGCGTCGAAGAGTTTCGCGCCGAAGGCATGGGCATTTGTTTCCTCAGCAGCGACAGATTGCTATACAAAGGACAGGAACAGTTCGATGTACTCCCAGATCAGTCTTCGCCCGCGAGTACTGAGGAATGTCAGCGAGGTGACCACCAGCACATCCATGCTAGGCCACAAAATACGAGCCCCTATTTTCTGCTCACCTACATCGATGGGGAAATTGATTCACCCAGAAGGCGAGAGGGAGCTTGGAAGGGCATGCAGAGATCTCGGGATACCCCAGATCGTCTCAACTAGTTCCTCATATTCCTTAGCCGAAGTCATGAATGCTATCGAAGAAGATAAAACGGGTGGAAGCGAGATGCCGGTGTTCTTCCAGCTGTACATGGACAAAAACAGATCCAAGTCGGAAAAGTTACTGAAGCACGTGAAAGATCGCGGCGTTAAGGCAATTTTCCTGACGGTCGATGCCCCCATTACCGGAAAACGGGAGGCGGATGAGCGCATTAAGGCGGACGAGAGCGTCAGCACACCCATGTCTGGAGTCCAAGCCAAAAACGACAAGAAGGGGGGCGCACTGGGAAGGATCATGGGCAGCTTTATCGATGCGTCGACGACATGGGAAGATATTTCATGGATTAGGATTTGCGCACCGGGTTTGCCAATCGTGCTGAAAGGGGTACAGACTGCTATGGATGCGGTCATGGCGATGGAGGCAGGGGTTGACGGGATTCTGGTTTCGAACCATGGTGGACGGAGTTTGGACACGGCGCCAGCGACAATACTGGTGCTTCTTGAGTTGCAGAAGTGCTGTCCTGAGGTTTTTGACAGGATGGAGGTTTATGTGGATGGTGGGATTACGAGAGGGACGGATATATTTAAGGCGTTGTGTTTGGGAGCGAAGGCTGTGGGGATTGGACGCGGATGCGTGTATGCATTGAATTATGGGAAGGCGGGTGTTGAGCATCTCGTTGAGAGTAAGTTGAGCCGTGTTGAAATGAATAAGAACTTGAATTTGCTGACATGAATGAATTGAGTAGCTCTCAATGACGAGCTCGAGACGACGATGCGGATGTGCGGTATCACGAGCCTCGATCAAGTGCACCCAGGGCTATTACAAACAGGTGCGGTGGACCACCTCGTGCCCAATGGCGAAGAACATCCGTATGCACAATGGAGGCCTAAGCCGAGGAGTAAACTGTAGATGGCACCAAGTGGTATGGATGGGGATCACTGGTAAGGCATCCAGGCTGTGGTACTGCGTTTGCTTTTGGTGTGTAGTGAGGGCTCTTATTGGACAATTGAGCTAAGGAACCCTATCAAGCAGGTTTTCTGCGTGGATTTTATGTTTTACGAAACCTAGCCTGATTCGCGAAACCCTCATGATGGCCTCGTTCCGGAGGAAGTCACAGATTGAGATCCTCGCGATAAAACCCGGCAATATCCTTTGGATCTTTTTATTGTTTTCACTGTTGCCAGCTTCGATGTATATATGAACGTTATCTTACTTTTAAGCAGCCTTTTTAACATTATTTACTTTTTGCTGCCATGGTATTGATCTTGCTGCTGTTTATACTACACGAGCCTGGTGTGAATCCTCATTTGCTCTACTATGCTTCGGGATCAAGCTGCATACCACATAATCTCTGGCTATATTGTGGACACGCCATGTTTCTATATTTGGTGGCAGCGCGTCTTCCAACTCTTCCAAGCTATCGCCTTCCTCTGCATATGCTTAGATATCCATTCAGAGTTTTAGCACCAGGACAAATATTTCCTTCAGGTTCCGTTTAAATGGAGTTTGTGAACAGAGATGCCGTTAGCGATCGGCAACCTGTGCGCTGTCATATACTTTCTCAGAGTTGATCATCGAGTGTTTCCCAGCTGCGAGGCTCCAATATCTCTCGTACCTTCCGAAAAGCCACGCTGGTTGGAAGGGTGGATGCTGTCACTGCTCTTATGTGTGCGGCAGATTGACTTGAAATACATAATGTAAGGGAATTGACGCATACAAGGTGTTCCCTGGCTTTATAACTTTGCGCCTTGGTATTTGTCTCGAGGACATGGCCAAGGGGTTTAGTTATGAACGTGGCTCGTGGGAGAGGCGTCTTCAATTGATAGTCGCCCTTCATAAACCATATACGTATCAATATTGATCAATGTTTCCAAATACTGGGCTGGAACCAATGACTGCGCTAGGGAACGGACTTAATACTATTGGCTATTGCCAAATACTAAAAATCCTTCAGCATTGGGCGCAGGATACCTCTTCCCAGAAGGCTTCTTGTCCCATGTGTAAGGACTCTGGGACTGGGACAGGACTACTGGATCCTGCAATGCGACTTTAGGCATTCTCGCCACCGGGGAAGGAGTGGCCGAACAAGGAGAGTGGGCCCCGACGCATCGTCACGTCATTGGCTGAAGCAGGTCCGGGCTGGTCCAGGCACAGTGAATTGACACGTTCTACCTTTTGTCGGACGCGGCTTGCAGCTCACACAATAATTTTCGGAGCTTAACCTCTCCACATTCTACTTCCTTCTCATCCGCCCATTGCCTCTCAGCTCGATCTTTTGTCTGCTGTCCACCATGGTTGCCTTCCAGTACTCTGTGCTTGCTATCCTAGCGCTCCGCGTCGTCTCTGTCTTCGCCCAGGGCGAATCTGTAAGTCAATTGGGTTTCATCCCAAAGCTCCATCAAGCTTCTGTGACCGTGTCATAGCTGACTGAATTGGCCTCATGTAGCCCCTCGACGATGATGCTGGCAGCCCCCCAGCCGCCGAATTGATGGCCGAAGTCGTTGCTACCTTCCCTGATGCAGACATTTTCGGTGTCAAGTTGGTCAACGGTCGCCCTACGAAGGCAGTTGTGGATATCACGAACCATGAGGCGGACCCGATCCAGGTTGAATTTATGGGCGGATCGCTGTACACTCTGCAGGACATCCCTGAGAGCGCTCACCCTTCGAGCGCCATTGTCCGAAACCTGAGCACCATCCGTTACGAGGCCACAATTCCCGCTGGAGAGAAGCAGTCGCTTCCTTACTCCTTCGTACTCGACATGCAGCCCCAAGACCTCCGTCTACAGATGATTGCCGTCATCACCAACGGCGCCAACCAGATATTCCAGATCCAGGTTTCCAACCAGACTGTCAGCGTTGTTGAGGCTCCTACCAGCGTCTTTGACCCCCAGATGTAAGCAAATCCGACAACCTATGCAGTATCTCCAAGTTCTTCTGCTAACCTTGTATTGTCAGCATCTTCCTGTACCTCTTCCTCTCTACCGTCTTTGCCGCCACCTGTTACTTTGTATACAAGACCTACATCGAGGCCTTCTTCCCCCAGGCCAAGAAGCCTAAGACTGTCAAGAAGGTCAAGACCGTCGAGAAGGAGCCCCTGTCGGGAGGTGAGGGCTCAGCTACCGGTGCTGACAAGGGCTACGATGAGAGCTGGATTCCCATGGATCACATCAACCGCCCGACCGCCAAGCGTGTCAAGAGTGGCGCTAGCGCCAAGTCGAAGAAGATTGTTGAGTAGAACAGACAGTCCGATACTTCGCCTTCGCAAACTAGCAAGAGCACTACTCGTCCAAAACGAGGCAAACGGGGCCGCCCTGAGAAAAAGGAGCAAATAGTCGATTCATAATGTCGGCAATTGACGGCGGGAAAAGGCATTTCGGCCGGAAACCTCAGGGGCCATGCTATGTCATTTATGAATATTGTATCAACAAGCTAACCCGTGGCAAAGCATCCACTCAACTCCGTTTTCCGTATCCACCTTGGTAATCATGTTTACTCTGCCGACCTGACCAGATTGGCCCTCATGCTACATTACGATTCTTAACCCATCAGTCGACGTGGATTAAATATTAACCGTTCTTCTTGCAGATTGACACCTACTTCAACGTTGCACTCCGTTATACACAACACTTTCCGAATCTCCTCCTGGCCCCGGCCTTGATCCCTGTAGCTAGGATCCACGATTCTCTTTGTCCTACTCACCGTTCCCAGCCCTCTGCGCAGCGCAAGGCTGCAACTATTTCCTAAAGATCTATTCTGCAAGCGCAACTCGCACTCTCAGTGGAATATTCTACCTTGATGAATCAGAGAGTAGTTTGGCTCGGTAACAAATTAGTAGCATACCTCAAAGCCGGTCCCTGCGCTGGTCGCGTGTACTCATTATTGCCTCCTACAGAATAGCAGTGCTCAGATAGGACTGCGCCCAAAGTGCGAGGTAGGCGAAGGGTTTCCTGTCTGTGGAGTATACTGGGAAGGGGAATATTGCGAGTCGTATTCCGAAGGCAACCCGACGGGATTCGGACTCAAGTTTTGTTGTTGTCCATATTGTGCACGTGGATGTTCCTCCGCTGACAATTCCACTGGCGCCTGAACTCCCGTGTTTCCCAGCTCTGCCAGCAGTGGCTGCCCGGCCTGGACCGAGTTCTTCTTGGGGTCTGCATAGTAGCCCCCATCTGCGGCTGGCGAGGGCGGCGGCTGCTGTTGTATTTTGCTGAGCTCCGTACCTTCAAGTTGGGCTGGTTGCCCGCAGGTGCTGGCGTACTCGGTCGGTGGTGTTTGATCTTGGGCTTGTTCGTATTTCTTGTTTTGATTCGTCCGGCGTCGGTAGATCCAGAGGAAGACACCAGCGAGGATTGCTGCTATCGCACCGAATCCAATCCCTGCTCCGATTCCGATCTTTGCCCCTGTAGACAAGCCATCCGCAGTATTCGTAGGGTTCGTGGTGGAGGATGTGGCTGATGCGCTCCCCGTCCTCGTTGCTGTGGTCGAAGTCGACGCAGTTGCCGCAGCGGCTTGCGCCATGAAGGCATCGTGTGAGACCGCAATTGTATTCCCAGTCCCAGCACAATTATTTTCCAGCGTCGCGTATACCGTCTCCAAATCGCTCGGGCTTTCCTTGGCGACACATTTCGCCGTGTTGTAAACGAAGTTGCCCCTGTTCGAGCAGAGACATGAGTTCAACGTGGCTCCTGTGTCACCCTCGGTGCAGCCAGCTGTAGAGGCAGAGCTGTAGAGGCAGTCCTGAGATTCGCTCGGGTAGGCCGAGAAGTCGTTCGTCACAGCGAGAGAGGTGCGGATTAGCAGACATAAGGATGCCGGTAGTAGGAGAGGGGTCCTCATTGTGTATTGCCGTTGCTGTTGTGTAGTGTTACGTGCGGCGGTGGGTATTAGAGACCATTACACACCGCATTACACATTACCACGTACACAACGGCCAGAATGATAGAATTCCAAGAATTTCAAAATGCAATAAGTCATATAGGAGTGACACAATACGAGGTATGGCTTTTCAGGAGACCGATACGACGATTAAAACTGGGGACTACCATGGGTTTAAGATCCATAGGACCAAAAACAACAGACGCCAAACGCCTGTGCGAAAAGCCAAGCTGCCGGCCTTGTTTCTGTCCATAACGACCATCTCGAAATCTTGGTTAGGGCATCGCACGTATTGTGGTTTGAGTTGGCTTCTAAGGATTGGTAGGCTGTGCGACGATTTGGAGTAACTGTGGACACACTAGTGAGGTGTCCGAGTTCATGTTCTGCTAATCTTAGCTGCGGGTTTGGAGAAGAGACTTTCGGACACCTTGTCAGAGCGGGCTCAGACACTAGCACTCTTAGCGGCGCGCCTCAAAATCTCACAACCGCCGGTTTCTAAATAAAGCGGGATAATATCCTCGTAGGGATGAGACGGTTGGCAAGGTTGGGGCTCAGGAGGCCGCCTCCTTTATATTTTTGTTTTCGTCAGAGCCGCAGTAAAGTCATCTTGCTGTATGTCATCATGAAGTAGGACCGACACTTGTTCGGCGTCGATGGTCACAAGCGGCAATTTCTCCTGTTCTGGCCTCTGGCTGGGCAGACGTTGTTGGCGTGTTGAGTTTACAGGGCTCTGTGTCGTTCGCACAATTGGAGGACTGGAACTCGACACGGTTGACAAACAAACGTGGCCTGTCCTGGCACAACTTTCAGATCTGCTACCCTCAATTATGCCTGAGAATGTTCATGCAGCTCGAAGTCAAGTCTTCAGGGTGACGATCTCGTCTCCCGTGTGCCAGGCTTCCTACTCGAGTCCGTTGGCGTCTCGCGCTAAATACACCACTACCCGTTCGGCGCGGAGCGCCTTACCTGGTAGTGGCTAGCAATCCTAAATTTGCTGGCACGATGTAAGGCTTATCACAACGGATTCCAAGCACTTGTGGCGAGATACGGAAGGATTCGACCCGAAAGCTAGCGACTCTTATGCTTAAAGCATTTGCATACTAATTCGTCACTCACAAGTACGTATCAAGGACTTATGCCAAACGACATAAAGCTTAGACCACCCAAATCGCCTTTCATCAGAAGGCAGTTGCTACCAATCCGACTTTACTCTCCTCCAGCTTGTTGCTGGCCTTCCTTGCCTCGAGGGCGGCGAAGTTTCGCTTCATCGCCGCCGCGGTGAACTCCCATCCTTGAATCACTGGGTATTTCTTCAAGGGGCCCTGGATTATACAGTCTGTGTTCGGCTGGTTGAAATACGCCAGACTGTATCGCGGCCCAAAGTAGTCGACGGCGGGGTCGGTAGGCGTCTTGACGCGGTGGAAAGTTGACTTGAACCGGTCGTCGCTCCAGGACATCAAGAGATCGCCACTGAGAATTCATGTTAGCTCGAACATCATTCCGACCAGCGAGAGGAAAACTTACATATTGCAGACAATCTCACCGGCAGCAGGTTCGACTTTGGTCCACGTATCTCCCGCCCCGAATGCTGTGAAGACCTCTCGGCCGGGACATATCTCCAGACCGCTTTGGCCAGGTCGTTGAAATAACAATGTGAGGAGATCCCAATCCGCGTGCGCTCCTGCGCGAAAGTATCCCTCTGGAGTAGGCACCGTTGGATCAAGAGGAAAGTAGTGCAGCGCGCGCAACACCGTCTGGATAGTAGGCTTCGTCACATCGTGGTACTTGACAAAGTAGTCGTCAGGAAACCCCAACCCCCTGGCAAAGCAGACCATGAGCTTCTCCGAAACCTTCTGCACCTTCATCATGAAGCCCAGGCTCTGCTTCTTGAAACCAGGCAGGGCCTCCTCTGAAAGCCACATGCCGTCCATCGCCTCGCCAAATTGCATTTGATAGCTCTCCTTCTGGTCGGGTTTGCCTGTGCTGGGCCGAATCTGTGCTCCCTTCTCCCAGCCCGTGTTTTTGTGGCTGAAGGGAACTGTGGCCTTGACTTCGTCTGGTAGGGAAAAGAAGCGTGCGGCGGCTTCGAATTGTTCCTCGATCTCCTCGAAGGAGATGCCATGGTTCACCAGCGCAAAGAAGCCGTCTGTTTCAGCGGCGGCGACGAGCTCCCGGGTGATTTCGTCAATCCGGGTCTCGTAGTCGTGTAAGGAGATTTTGGGAATGCTGCGGTCTGAGTATTTAGTCGCCATTGTAAGGTTTGGACGTGATGCGACGAAGCTGACGAGCGTCGTGGTGCTGAATACCGCAAACTCAAATGGTAGTGTTTGGAAGCTGTTCTTATGCTGGCGGATTCACCTCAACGCAGCAGACGGGATCTCATCTGTTTGAAGGTCAACGGCAACGCAGGCCCAAAGCTTCGCCTCGGAGTTGCACTTTCTGCTGCTCTTGTATAACTGGCCGATTCTCTCAGCTGATGGGGAAAGCCTCCGCGCTCACGACATTATCGATAGGTAAGATATGAATATCACCGGGCAACCCCGTGGTGGAGAACAGTCCAGTCAGCTACACTAGAAATCAGCAAGCTGCATATCTGCGTTGCAACCAGAGCGTTTAGCTAGCGCCCAGCATCATCTCGCATCTGGTGTGGGGAGAGTGAGGTGCTTATCGGTAGCGGAGGCGACCGCTTAGGCCGAGTATCTGCTATATTCCGAGAAACGCGATCTTGCTTGACGGAATCAATGCTACTCCTACTACTATGTATGTACTAGATCCAAACATTACTATTTTTGGTGCTAATCGCTTTCCGATACTCAGATCCAGGACTTCACAATTCGGTCATCTCCTGATACAACATCGGTTGACATAACGTAAGGCCTGCATCAAGCCTAGCGTAACCTTCAACATCAAAAACCGATGACATTGCCATCCAAAGCACAAGTCACTGCGCAAAGCCACCCAACAAAAAAAAAGCATGTCACCACCAAGCGGAAGTGTTCTGCTCAAGGACGTGACCATCATAACTGTTGATGCCACCAGAAGAATCATCCTCAATGGCTGCATTCTCATCCAGGACGGACGTTTCACTCATGTGTCTTCAAAGGCACCAGACCAGATGCCAGAGAACACTCGAATATTATCACTTCCCGGTCGAATAGTCATACCGGGCCTCATTAACACTCATGCACACCTCTCCCAATCCTTGCTCAGAGGACTGGCAGAAGACCTCCCGTTACACTCCTGGCTCTGCGACAGGATATGGCCCCTAGAAGCTGCATACACAGGCGAGGGAGACTCATCAGATGGTTACATTGCTGCTCGTCTCACAATCGCGGAGATGCTGCTCAGTGGCACGACCTGTTTCCTGGAAGCCATGCTCACCCACGGCTCCGGATTCCCAAATGTTGCCCGCGCCGTCTCGGAGATGGGCATACGTGCGTGTCTCGTAAGTATCTGCCTCGCTTGTACCACCCAGCAACAAGAATAAAAATGAGAATGACAAGAAGATTCTAACAACACCACAGGGCAAACTCGTCAAGTTCACCGAAACCAACCCAGCGCTCAATATCTCCGACGCCCGCGACAAAGACCTCTCCCATATGAGCATCCCTTCCCTCCTCTCGGCCCACGCCTCCTTCCACGGCACATCCAACAACCGCCTCCACGTCTGGGCCGCGGCCGGCACGCCACGCGGCGCCCCCCTCTCCTCCTTCGCCGAAGTAGGCAAAGCCTGTAAATCCCACGCCATAGGCCTAACGATGCATTGCGCAGAAGCGCCGCGCGACCTGCCCATCTTCCACGAACTCTACGACAAGTCCCCCATGCAGTTCTGCCGGGACGCCGAGCTGCTTTCCGGCCCTTCGCGGACCGTGTTGGCGCATATGTGTCATCTGGATTTAGAAACGGATTTACGAATTCTGAGGGAGGCGGAAACGACAACGGTGGCGCATAACCCTACAAGTAATCTGAAATTGGCGTCGGGGATTGCGAGGGTGGAGGAGATGGTTAAGGCTGGTGTGAATGTGGCCATGGGAACGGATGGGGCGCCGTGTAATAATGGGTACGATATGCTAAGGGAGATGCATTTGGCTTCGGTACTGCATAAGGGGAATAATTTGGAAGCCAGTTCCATTGGGGCGCACGAGGCGCTTGAGATGGCCACGATTAAGGGGGCGAAGGCGTTGGGGTTAGAGAAAGAGGTGGGGAGTATTGAGGTTGGGAAGAAGGCGGATTTGGTGGTTTTGAGTGCAAGGGGTAGCTGGGCGGCTCCGTGGGATCCGGGATATGTTGCGGAGGGTGGTATGGATCCGGTGAGCCTTGTTATTGGGAGTTGTACCGGCAGAGATGTGACGTATGTCATGGTTGATGGGCAGATTTTGGTCGAGGACGGAAAACTGTTATGTGCAGATGAGGAGAATATTATGCAGGCGGCCAGGCAAGCTGTAAAGGGGATCCAGCGACGTAGCGGAGTCAAGGCGAGCAGGAAGGCTGGATGGACATATGAGTAGTTGACAATACCAAGTTATAAGGTTAAAAGGTTACATTCTATGCCTGAGAACTCTGGTAAACTTCGCATCAAGTCCCAAATCATTCCTACGAGATGGAAAATCGCGCTCCTATATGTAAGTACTCAAAGTAACAGACGGTAACACCTTATGGTAAACCTATTCGGGGGGCTGAATGGAGAGTTGAAGGCACTGTACAGAGCCGTATGCTAGGAAAATGCCATTGCCGTATGCGACTTCGACTTTCTGAGCGTGAAGGTCGGCATGCTCACCTCAACATTCTCACAGGACAGGAGAGCGAGCAGAGACAGTGTCGAGGCCGCGCCTGCTGTTATCTTGATCGGCCAGCAATGACTGTATCTTGGCAACCCAGGCTGTAGCCTCACTGACAAGTTTTTTGCTGAGAAGAAAGACGAAAAAATGTTCCGTTGGCCCAGGCACACCGGCTGTATGCTGGGTGTAGCGCAGGGGCCAACTACCCATAGGTAGCCCTTCCGTACCTGCAGATCTCTAGGGCTCAATAGTCTCATCAACATCATCATCATCATCACCAAAACAGATCGCTTGCCTGTGTTGCCCACAAAAAGAACAACCCCCGTACACGGCAACGCACGTAACGGCCCCTGCATGAGCAATATACCCTAAACGATTGGACCAACCCCATATCCATCCAAGCGGATGTGGGGATCATATCCCCATCGGCCAGCTCCGCCTTTGATAGACAGGGTTGCATCGAGGCCATTAGGCCTATCGGGGCCCACTCTTCGCTTTAATGTGACAACGAAGGATAGGCAATGGTAATTACGATAAGTTCGATAACCATGTGCAAGCATGTTAGGTTTGCCGGTCGTTGTGCCCGACATTGTTGGCGGCAAGCGGTCTCGCGGGGACTGCTCCAGTATAATATGGTGCTGAGACCCTTTAGTTTGATTGCATACGTTGTGTTCGGCTCTTGTTAGTTTGAAAGCCGGCGAACGAGGTTTGCTAATCTCGCGCCACGATGACATCGTCAGGTACGTCTATGGAGAAGGACTCCAAGACGATGGCGGAGCCGGAACCTGCTGGGCCCGTCTCTGAAGGTTTCACGTCGGAACATGAGATTTCGCGAAGAGGAATGAAGACGAACTGGACCTATCTGAAATGGTATTTCACCAGCAGAGAAGGTTGGCTTGGCGACTATGTAAGTCGACCGATTTTTTGAGCAAGTTTGGCGTGAGAACTAACACGACAAAAGGACTACCTGTACCTCGTCACCCCAAACGTATGGCCGCTGAACCGGAAATACAAGGGATACAAGGCCCCTTTCTACGGCCTCAACGATGACGTACCGATTCTCCTTACCATTATCCTCGGACTCCAGCATGCGCTGTGTATGATTGGTTCTATAGTATCTCCCCCACTAGCGATTGCGGGCGGCGCCTTTTACTTCGATTCAGCGACGACACAATACCTGGTCTCGGCAGCCTTCATCACGACTGGCATAGCGACTGCTTTACAAGTAACGAGGGTCCACTTGATGAAGACGCCGTTCTTCATCGGTACCGGCCTTCTGTCTGTGGTTGGACCGACTTTCGATATTTTACCCATCGCCTTCAACTACACCAGCATGCGGTATGCCAACGGTACTTGCCCGACAGCTGAAGATGGGACTCAGTTGCCTTGTCCAGATGCATGGGGCGCAATACTTGGTAGTATTCTTTGTACCGTCTGGGTGCAAATTGCCATGAGCTTTGTACCACCCAAGACGCTGAACAAAGTGTTTCCGAAGGTTGTCACGGGTAGTTTGCTCTTGCTTGTGGGCGTGTATCTTGTGAGCAATGGTATGGAAAACTGGGGAGGGAGCAGCAACTGTCATGACGGCGAAGGCTTCTACGCGCTCTGCCCCGACACAGCGGCTCCTAGACCATTGCCTTGGTAAGTCTTCACATCCAGCAGGTCTCAAACCAAATAGGCCCAGAGCTCGCAGACTAATCGTCATGATAGGGGTCACCCAAAGTTGATCGGCCTGGGGTTCACCGTGTTCGTATCCATCGTCTTGGTGGAGCAGTTCGGGGCGCCCTTGATGAAATCGGCCAGCGTCATCATCGGTCTCTTCGTGGGCTGTTTAGTGAGCGGCTTGACGGGGTACTGGTCCATGTCGAACATCCAGGCAGCCCCCGCTGTGACATTCTTATGGGTGAACACATTTCACCTATCTGTGGATGGTGCCTTGATCTTGCCATTGTTGATCATGTTCGTCTGTGAGGCGGTGTCTTGCATGCCTGATATCCTCGCCACAGCCGAGATCAGCAACGTGGATATTGAGGGGACCGAGTTCAACTCGCGAGTCCAAGGTGGGATCCTGTGTGATGGAATTGGTAGTTTTATAAGTGCCCTTGGAACAGGTCCGCCAATGGTCAGGTAAGCAACACTTCACCAGGACCTTGGAACTGAAAGCTGATCTGATTTCGCATGTAGCCAAGCTGGGAATAATGGAGTGATAAGTCTCACTGGCTGCGCTTCTCGACGAGCAGGCTGGTGCGCCGCAGCTTTCCTGGTTCTCATGGGAGTCTTTGGGAAATTCGGGGCTGTTTTTGGCTCGATGCCCCCATCTGTACTTGGTGGAATGCAGGTCTTTCTCTACTCAACCATTGCAGTGGCCGGCCTCAGGGTCCTCTCGTTGGTGAGATATACCAGGCGGAATCGGTTCATACTAACCGTTGCACTGGGTATCGGCTTCGTCGACATCGTACAGCCTACTTGGTTTGACCAGATGTTGACCTACTCTGGAAATAATGTCGCCCTTTCTGGTTTCGAGCAAGGCATCAACCTCATAGTCGAGACTCCTTTCATTATTGCCGCAGTCGTTGGGGTCGTTTTGAACCTGGTGCTTCCTAACGATGCAAGTCAAATGGATGACATGATTCTAGATCAGGCGGGCCATCCCATCATGGGGAAAGACGATTAAGAAGAATAAATGCTAAGTACTCTAGCTTCCGAGGGATAATACATAATACTTTGTAATATCTAAGCATGATGGCTGATATCTTTGAATCATTGACGGCTCCAGTCTCTTCATCGGCAACTTTGGCGGCGCTGCTACGGTACGAGCCTGCCCACATGAAGCATTTCACGACCTTACCCTAGCCACATAGACCGAATGCAAGCCCTTAAGAAAGTGTCCGATCCAACAAAACACCTGAGAGGGATTCATAACGAGATCGCGTTTCCATGTAGCGTGTTAGGCTGCGGTAGAGTGGGAGCGAAGGGATGCGTGAGACAAAAGCGTCTCCTCAAGCATCACCCAGCGGCACACTTAGATGTGCTGCTGCTTCCAGCGGGAGGTTTACCAACAGAGCCTGAGGTTCTCACACATTACTCTAATGGACAACCTGAAATCACCTTGGAAGGTGGCTCGCATTCCCGAACAAGATAGCAACAGAAAGGTAGAAATTAACGACGGCCTTTAGGAGATATCTTGCGATGAGCTCGGTGGCCTTAGCTATCTTTCTCAGCAATATAACCTGCCCGTTGCAACCGATGTTTCTGAAAACCCCAGCGATCATGACGAGCTGAGGATTGGTGGCCAACCTACAAAACCCGCCAACTCCAATATCAGGACGTTGGTCTCATCTATCCTCGGGCTCGGCATACGGTGTAGGTGATGGCATTGCCATCAGAGCCACCATGAGACAGAGAATCCTGTGATCATTGTGATCATGGAAACACTAGATTCATAAATAACATCTTCCCCGCCGTTTTCATGCGTCAGTGCAAGGTGCTACTGGCGGAGGCTCGCAACCCGGGTCTTCCGCGGCTAATAGTACTGGAAATAGCTATAGGCGACTTGCAGAGGAACGGCAAGGTCCGAGCACGCCTAACTGGAAACGAGCTCGTCAGCGTGGAGATGGTGATGACGATGACGATGACGACCACGACCACCGCGGTGGCAGGGCAACATACCCTGGAAAAGCCAAGAAAGCGAGGCCTACCCGAGCATTATTTTCGAATGCTAGCGTGTTCATTTTACAAGAGGTTGGGGGACCCCATAATGATTTGATGCCTGCATCGATAGCCCTGATGATGCCGGAGGCACAGGATTTTGGACAAAAGACGTTACGGGCCAATGAAGATGGTTTTGGTTTTGGTTTTCAGTAGGCTGTGGATTCTGCCGCTGAATACTGTTCACCTTCTTCATTAGATAACTTAATGTAGGAGAAGATAATGAAAGGTCAGCAACGGCCAACAATGTGAGACTTCGGCGAGGTATTGCTGCCATACTGGTTAGGAAGTAGAGTTCGCCCTAGGGGTACGTCGATTTGCGAGTTTGAGATCCCATGAGCCAACAGTTTAGCAGTGACGTTTGGTATATTGCTTATGTGCGATATATATTATGCTCGGCCATAGCTCCCAATGGTCGTGCCACCATCGTTGTTGGAGGACGGATAGACGAACTGCTGAGAAAAGTTACCATGTTCCGGATGCCTCAGCAGTGCTCGCACGGGCCATCGGACCCTACTCTCAGAGCTCGACGCGCTTTCTCTTTGAGACGCGTGCTTGTATTGCGACTCCTAGCTGTACAATAACTGACCTGATCGCGCCCCCAAAAACCCCATCCACGAATATTCCCGTTCATTGTAGTTCGGGTCAATTCGTTCTACGCCTCACCTTCTCTATCCAACCCTCACTATGGCGCCTACCCAGACGCGCGGCCGCCCGACAGGTCGCGAACCTAGAAAAGCTGCGACTGCCGCAGCTGCGAAAAAGGATGCGCCCATCACCGCTGCAGAGTCTGGAACCGGCACTACCCCCAAACGAGGTCGCGGGAGACCCCCCAAGAACGGCGTCAGCAAGGTCGTGAAGCCTTCTACCGGCCGCGGCCGTGGTCGTCCTCCGAAGGACCCGGCCGAGAAGGCTGCTACCGCCGCGAAGGCCGCCGCAACCAAAGCCAAAGCCGCCGCTACCAAGGTTCCTGGACGCGGTCGTGGTCGTCCTCGCAAGAGCGACGCTTCTACTGCTGCCGCGACACCCAAGAAGGCCGCTGCCACTCCCAAGAAGACTGCATCTGCCAATAAGTCCAGCACTGGCAAGCCCCGAGGACGGCCGCGAAAGAGCCAGGTTACTGAGAAGAGCGATGCGTCAGGGCCCGAAGAGGAAGAGGTAGAGGTCCCGGAAATTGTGGCTGATGCTGAAGCTGACGATGCCAATAGTGGTAAGTTCTCACCGCGTAGCACTATGTCCGCGATTAATGCAACTTGTCGCCAGGCAAGGCCATGTCAAACTCACCCTTCTAGATAGTGACTCCAAACTCGGTGCCGAAGCTGATATTGAGGTGGGTGCTGCACCAGGCGATGAGGAGATGCCCGTTGTGGGAGATATTGATCCTGAGGTAAGAGCAAACCACTTGTTCCGAGGTTTTTACCACATGACTCTGACCAGTTGTCCTCAATAGGAAAATTAGGATGGCCCCAAACCGGCCTCCTTAACAGGAATGCTAGTCAGCTCTTGGCGGAGATCAGTGGCGTTCAGGGTGGTTAACAGTGCACTACCATGCCATATGATGCAGAGCCAGGACAATCACTGCCTCGACCAAGTGGGCTTGATAGATGTATAATATGTCCTTGGATGCTATCGCATTTCGGTATCTACATTGTATGAGAAGAGAGCTACTTCAAAGGTTTATTGTTTGCATGCCGTTTTGTTTTGAGTTTTGGGATTTTGTCAACTTGCGTGGTTATACATCCATGATGACCTGTGAGAACCATCTGGGTAGTTTCCATTTCTGTATTGTTTCTGCAGCACACTACCTCAGAGTGTTGTTTCTTGCCTGTAGTCCTTGCAAGCTGTCATGTCTATTCTCCGTGGTTTCGTCAACATGCGTGTGTATGCGATCAGGACCTGGGAGACCCAGTCTTGTTGGTTACCTTTTACGTTTTGTTGCTATGGCACACTTGCTTGAAAGATTGTTCCTCGCATGGTGTCTTGTCTAAAATGGGTGGACGTGGATTCACGCAAGTAACGAGGATCTGGAAGAATCGGTCTTGGTAGTTGGCCCTCCTTCGCATGTTACTGCCACGGAACATACATCGTGGAACGATTTTTTCCTCTCTTGCCATAAACCTCTCTTTCTTTCCATCACATTGCCTGTCCCCATTCTATTCTCCGTCCCAGGGAGTTCTATCCTGTGAGACAATACTTCTGATACAGCATCTACAACCACCTACTGCCGCTCATAACGGCCGTCCCCTCATCGACTTGATGAAACTGGTGACGAACATCGCTACAACAGCTCACGCATGACGGCCATTCCACAGCAATCATAAGCACTGGCCAGTGAGACTCGAATCGCCGCTCATTCAAGCTGCCGCTCACCTGTACCGACGCCGACTCTTGCCGCTCACTCTTTCCACCCATTGCTTACCTTGACGCATCGCACCAACATGCAGCCTGACGAGCTTGGTACTGTTTACAAACAGTACAAAGCCGATACCAACTATCTTGCAGGATGGCTGGCTTCAACCGCTCGTGCGCATGGGTACGGCCGGAAGTCTCAAAGCAGCAAGCCCCATGTGAACAAGAATCACAAAAAGCACAAAAAGCACAAAAAGCGCAAGGGTCGCTCCAAAGGCAGGGCATTGCCAGAAGTAAACATGGCTGAGGAAACCCAAGCACCATCCAAGGAGCACATCATTGATGTCAAGGATTTTGTGCCCCTCGCAGAATACGTTGTTGCCATCAATACGAAGCCCGCCGTCTCAGTCCCGGAAACTATTGTTATAGTTACCAGGCGAGTCATCAAAGTCCGCAAAGACTTCGGCAGCCAACTGAGGGAACGTGGATATAAACTGGATGAAGACTCAGATCGCAGACACGCTCACTTTGTGACTATTCTCGAGGATGTCCTCCGCATTCTGCGGCTCAAAGTGGCTTCTCGACAACAAGCCAAGGTCAACACTTCCTCCGACACCAATCAAGCAGGCGGAAACCCAATCGAAGGGTTTGTGCATTTGTCTGTCGACGAGCCTTCTCAGGAGTTTCTTGATGCGCCCGATTTTGTCCACCCTGAGATTGTGCACGAGAACGGCTCCAAGTATGAGGCGAAGTTACAGTCAACCCGAGATGAAGCGCTTTTCGCCTTGCAGACGGTAATGGCGGATGTCGATGAAATCAGGCGGTTCGTTCTATTCGAATGGACCAAGATAGCCTCTTCGCAATCTCCCACTTCCCAGTCTATTTCAGTAGCATCAATCATGACTGACACCGCAATCGGCATAGCAAGACACCTTGTGGAAGAAATCGATCCCCTTTTGGAAGAACACGGCGGGTGGCTGGAGCTTCTGAAAGAGCTGTACGTGTGTGAATCGCGTCAGAGTCTGCAGGATGACTCTTTCTCCCCTTTCGCTGGAAGAGAAAACCGTGGAATCATCTTGTGTTTTCCCGAATGCGAACGCACATTGATACTTGCGTGGGATATTCTGAAAGCTCACCGCAATGGTTTTGCCAGGAAGGACGTTTATATTATAAACAACAACGTGTTGGAGCACCCCGAGTGGCAAACGGGGGCTGAGGATTTCGAGGTAGCTTACGATCTTGTCGGCTCTTTCATGCTGGGCTTGAAACGTATCGCCTTGAACGGTCGAAAGTGGCCCTTGGTGATTGATGAGTTCGTTCGGGGGCTGGTAGAGATCTTCCGTACAAGGGAGATACCGTTCTTCTCTCTGCTGGCAACACAACTCTTCATCGACATCAATCGAACGATGGGTTCAAAGTTCAGCGTGCCCTTCGACAACATGATTCGAGAGACGGGCGTTATTCGCGATACCATTGAGCAATATCTCGAGTTTCAACAGTCTCGACCTTGGGCTGGCCTCAGCAACCAGGCCGAAGCCTCTCTTCACAAATTGAGGAAAGACTTACAAGAACTAGCTTCGATGGGCTCCGACGAAACCCCAAACCCGAACCCAGTCTCAAATGCCTCTACCCCTGGATTTCATCTCTTGTTGCGAAGTTCGCCGGTTCTCTGCGGTTTATTATCGTCCACTGCCCACGTGCTCATGCACCAGATTGGGTTTCACATAGCGGAGTTAGGGGGTATGGTGACCCTAGCCGTCCACCTCTACAACGCAGTCCGTCAGGAGGGATTGCTGAAAGCGCCATGGGTTGATCTCGACACGTGCATAAACCTGCTGCAATATCCCAGCTTGTTTGTTGGAGGAGAACCGCCGAAGGATCCGAACACGTATTTTCAGAGACTCCTCCTGCAGGTGGGCGTATCTGCTTCTGAGTTTTCCCGCGGAGCCCGTAAATTTGAAGACATGGAGTTGTCGAGCAAAGGTACTCGCAGGTGGCATCCAGTTGCTCCTATCCACCAAGTCTTCCGCAACAGATACACTCGCAACGACCAGCCCAGATGGACGGCCGAATACATCAAGACTGTGATAGACCACGACCACTGGACTGCCCCCAAGGACCTTGGTATCAATGCCAAGAGGACGGCTTCACAGGAAATCCCCGGCATGGTTTGCAGGATGAGTGCAGCGACGTTTCGGGAGAAGCAGAAACTCATCAAGCGCCAAAAGCGAAACAAGGAAAAGGCTGAGCCGTTGCCCCTCACAACCCTCCTCGAAATGCTCGAGAGGACCCTGTACTTTGAGAAGATCGAGGCATGTTTTTCCTACCTGAAGATGCACCAACAAGCCTGGACCTTGCTCGAGAACTTCAAGAGGGCCTGCGATCCCTGGGTGGCCCAAATCCCTCGTCTCAACTACGGTGCTGAAGAACTCGACTTCTTATTTCCCGTGCTCGCGCTACTTCGTCATATCAGAGCTCCTGGATGCCATGCGATGCTAGTTGCCAACGTAATCAACGAGTTCAATGCGTCGCCAGAGAGCAGCAAAGCCCGTCAGTATTTGCTTGACAGTTTGGGAATCTATGGCCGCCTGGAGTATGGCCCGCAAGTCGGCCGAGGAGCCTTTCAAGTCATCTTAACCATAGAACAGAGGATCCCAGAGGTTTCTGATGCGGACGGTGAGCGTTGGCGTCGATGGTGGGACACGGGAGTCTACTCCCCGAAGACTACCTAGCGTTCTTCTGCTTAGCAACGTCGCTTTTGAGAAACATATACGTACACATGAGAGAAACCCTGTATGGGAATTCACGAATGAAACTTCTCAACAACGGGCATTGCAAGTATGCAGCTTGATTGACGAGTTTACGCCGCAAGCAGAATCCTGCGTGGAGCGGAAATAAAACAGAAGCATTGCTTTTCGAGGGTGTTTGCTTGCGGAAAAGAGAGAAAAGAAAACGAAAGAAAACCGAACAAAAAAGGGCATAAAAGGGACAGAAAAACAACAGAAAAACGACAGAAGCCTTTGCGCCATGATGGCATCAAGATTAAGAGCTTGATTTTTCCATGGCAGGAGCATATGGCACAGCTCAACTTCGACGGAATGTTTATGTTAGTTATAGATAAATTGGCCACACTGGGTGGCCACATGCGTATTCATGCCTAGTATTCGTAGGGAAATAGACCTATTCACACTGATGTAACTAGGCGAGCCCTCACTATTAAAGTGAAGTGTATTTCGTGGCGTGCGCGTTCGTAATGTCATCGGACTTTTGCCTATTGCTGTTTAATAATAAACTTGGCCAAGAAGGAACAACTCTAGAGGAGCCAGGGGTGTACACGAATTCCAGTTACGGGAAACCAAAGGAAAAAAAGGATGCAGTCCACTTCCGTATATACACACGTTATTGTTTACCACGTTCTCATGTTTTGTGGATCTCTGTTCAACTGTCCAGAGGCATGTGGGATCATACTAGGATGAGAATCGGAGATTGAGAAACAGAAGCAAAGGTTCGCTCGAAAGTACTTACGCTTACTTGGTCACTGCAAAACGAAACAAAACACAATCGACACCACCCCGAGGTCTGTACCATCTTGAAACTCTGTGCCGCAAGGGGTCACACTAGTATACACGTCTATGATTATATCGCTTACATCTGCACCTGCGGTGTGCACCGATCTACTGCTTCTTCCAAGCCTCAAACTCTATATCCAGGTGCTCTTTGAGCCTCTTGAACCTGTTCCCAAAGTTCTCTCCACAGCGCCAGCATAACAAGTCCCTATCCAAGTAACCCTCGCGGCCAGGATGTCTTCTCGGATCATGCTTAGCCAGGGGGAAGTCCGCAACATCGACTAGGAAGGGTGAATTGAATGAGTTGAAGTGCTTCCTGTGTCTCATGCACTCCGAAATCATGTCTCTCGACAGCACATGGACATGCAAGTCGTTCATGGAAGGATGCGCATGAATACCCACCAGGACCTCGGCCTCCCAGTCACGTCCATTGGGGAGCTCGGGACTATCCCATTCTGCCTCGCCGTTCAGAACGGCTTCCCGCTGCTTATCTGCCTCACTGAACTTGCCATAACGTCGTTGCAGCTCTTTTGCCACTAACTTCTTCAACTTGAGAGTTTCGGCTTGGACTGAGGCGAGGAATTGAGGGTCTTCAAGGGCTTCGACCGGGTGCAGACGACTACGATCTGATCGCGGGAGTAGCAGAGTGTGTACGGTGGATTTGGGATACAGATCATTTATGGCGACGAAATCATCGTTGTGGTAAATGACCCGGTTTGATGGGTAATTTGTCGGGTTGGCGGTATAGGCACCTAGACCATCTCGATCCCTAAACGATCTCGGTTTCGAAGAGTCTTGCTTTGGCGGCGCAGCCGCTTTAGGCTTTGGGGCCATCAGCTCTGTGACTTGCTTGAATTAGTATGCGCAATTCACTTCTACATAGTAAATATTCATCATTGACTCTGCCAAGTCCAGTATGAGCATGGCTGTCCTTCTTTGCAATCGCGGGACTTACAGGCATTGCGCTGCGGTTTGCTATTGCCGACTCCAGCGTTTTCTGACGGCGCAGGAGCGGTCCCAGATATCTCCTCCTTCGTGATCGCATCTTCCGGATCCAAATCTGTCGTAGACATTATGAAAGTGAGAGAGTTGATGTTGGATGATGTTGCGATAGTGGATTGGACGCCAAAGCTGCCCCACTACGATCTCCTCGCGTCGATCCACTTTTAGTGCCCTCGGACTTGGGGGAAGGCGCACTGTGCATGGCCTCCAGGAGCGCGCTGTAATGAGTAAGTCAGGCTTCATGCACAGTGCCAAATACCTTCACCCAACTTTTCTTCTTTCGTAGCTGAACTGAATAAGTTTCATCACGACGACCTCTCCTATCGACGCACAGGCGAACTAAAGAAACATTGCAACCAGCAGCTCTCCTCGCCCCGTCTGGCAAGTAGCAAATGGATACCTAAGAAGAGAAGATGGTCAAGAAGGGTAAAGAGAAGGCCACTGCGCCTCCTCCTGCCACAGCTGCAGCATCTTCTTCCAAGAGCTCGAAAGGTGCTAAGAAGCCACCAAAGACGGCTGCGCCGGCCAGAGAGGATGATTTCATAGTCTTCACCAACTCCACAAAGGAAATAAAACCCAAGAAAGCATCTGATGCAGCCAAACCTGGGCCCTCCGAGCCGGCTACAGATGGGCCACCGAAGCCAACGGCAAAACAGATTGTGGGAGGCGCGAGCTGGACCGGCAAGTTGCCTATGAACCTGCTTTCAGAGCACTGCCAAAGGCAAAAATGGGAGAAGCCCAGCTACGATAATGTAAGGGCCCAAGCTGGAGCGCATAAGATGTACCTAGTTAATTAGTTTCTCAGATGATGAAGATTGATGATGGTTACTCCTGCTTCGTCACCCTGAGCGCCAAACATCCCAAAACGCATGAGATGCAGAGACTTGCCCCCTTCAAGTTGCCTCCATCTCACAAGCATCTCGTTAGCAGACCCACTGCCCTGGAGGCACGGCATGCCGCAGCTACCTATGCACTGTTCCGGGTGTGCAGCATGAAGAACATTCACACAACCCTGCCTCCTGATCACAGGACGCTGTGGAAGGAGTTTGAGGCACTGAAGAAAGAAGACGTCAAGCTAGGAAATGGGTGGTTCTATGATGCCGATCCATTTGCTACGCTTCAGGAACGGGAGAAGTCCAAAGTCGCTGCTGAGAAGAGACGGAAGGAGCAAGAAGCCGTTAAGGAGAAGGCTAAGAATATGCCTGGCGCTTCTGGCTTAGTTCTACGAAGCAATGCGGCCAGTTCCGGCGGCGGCGGCTCAGATCCAATGAAAGGCTGGAAGACGGTACCCAAGATCGAGATGGGGAAGAAGACTCGGTCACAGCTGGAAGATCTGCTTCGGAGAGAGGTCATCTGGAATCCACATGGCGTTAAGATGACTGCACTTCAGAAAGACGCGATTGGGAGAGAGTTTACGGGATCGGGTTTCAGAAAAAGTCACGTTGATGAGGCTCTTGAGGAATGCAAGGATCGAGAGGAGACCCTTGAATGGCTCCTAATCCACGTTCCCGAGGACGACCTTCCTAGATGGGCGTTGCCAGAGAGCTACAGTGCTGGTGTGTCGGTTGCTGATACATCCGACCTAAAAAGGGAAGCGGCCATAAAACGACTCTCACAGTCTGGCTACTCGGTCGAACTTTGCAGGAAAGTGTACAGCGAACATGGCAACGATGAAGGGCAAACTGCAGAAGCACTGCAACAGATACTTCTGTCTAGCGGCAGCGACTCTGGCGAGCTAAGCTCTCCCGCGGAGGAGCCCTTCATCCTTGACACACCCGAAGAGTGCTGGACCGAAGAAATGGAAAGCCTGGAGTCTGTCTACAGCGAGCACTATAAGCGATTGTCGGACACGGTGTGCCAGATCGGCATACAGTCTGTCACCAACGGTGCGAAGAAGAACATCGAAACCTTTGTGCAGTTCCGGAGATCACCTCATTACCCAGCAGAAGTCACCGTTTCCGTCATATCAGACCTTCCTTCGTATATCAAATTGAGTATTGTGAAGAGGACTCTTTCATATGTGCGAGAGTCTCTAGGAGGGGAACCGATGAAAATCTACTTCATTGTTGACTGGGTTCAACAAAACATCAACGGCATAATAGAACGTCCAGGAAAACTCCGGGATATCTCAGGCGTCGTCTCAACTGCTTCTGAAGTCCGTCACGCCGTGGCGAGAAGGCATAAGAATGTCAGGCATCCTAAACCTCTCATTAAGAAGCCTGACCAGAGAAGCAAAGAGGAGTGGCAAGCGAGGCAAGAGAGCCCCTCACTGAAACATATGATAGCTCAACGACAAAAGTTGCCAGCTTGGCTAGTGAAAGATTTGGTTGTGGATACTGTCTGCGAAAACCAAGTCACCATCATCGCTGGTGAAACAGGATCTGGCAAGTCGACTCAGTCTGTCCAGTTCATCCTCGATGATCTCTACAGCCAGGGTTTGGGCAATGCCACCAATATTATATGCACGCAGCCTCGTCGAATTTCGGCACTTGGTTTGGCGGACCGTGTGAGCGAAGAGCGTTGCTCCCCGCTCGGGCAAGAAGTAGGATACACCATACGAGGAGAGAACAAGAGAAGCGACCAGACCAAAATCACTTTCGTCACCACTGGTGTGTTGCTGAGGCGCTTGCAGACATCCGGAGGCCGAACCGAAGACGTGGCAGCCTCTCTCGCAGATGTCAGCCACGTGGTGATTGACGAGGTCCACGAACGAAGTCTCGACACGGATTTCCTTCTGAGTATCATTCGTGATGTTCTTCGGAGGAGGAAGGACTTGAAATTGGTCCTGATGAGTGCCACGCTCGATGCAGCGACTTTCAAGGATTACTTTACTTCCGAGGGGCTGAAGGTCGGCCTGGTGGAGATCGCCGGCCGGACATATCCGGTCGAAGACTTCTACCTCGACGATATTATCCGAATGACGGATTTCACCATCAGCAATGATCGATTCCGAGACAGGTTCCGAGATGAAGGTATTGCTGATGCTGGCAAGCCGGCACAAGACCCAGTCAACAAAACGATCCAGAGGTTGGGGTCTCGCATCAATTACTCGTTGCTCTTGGAGACGACCAAAGCTATTGACGTAGAACTCTACGAGACTAACAAGAAAGGCGGTATTTTGATCTTCCTCCCTGGAGTAGTCGAGATCAACCGGACTGTCAATGAGCTTCGGGCTGTATCATCGCTACACGTGCTTCCTCTTCACGCCTCATTGGATACCCGAGAGCAGCGAAGAGTGTTTGCTCCTGCCCCTGCAGGCAAGCGAAAGATTGTGGTTGCCACAAACGTGGCCGAAACGTCAATTACCATCGATGACATCGTTGCGGTCATTGATACAGGAAGAGTGAAGGAGACCAGTTTCGACCCAGCCAATAACATGCGCAAACTCGAAGAGACATGGGCTTCTCGCGCAGCATGCAAACAGCGCCGTGGTCGTGCGGGCAGAGTGCAAGCCGGAATCTGCTACAAGCTCTACACTCAGGGTATGGAGCAACAGATGGCGGAACGTCCAGAGCCTGAAATTCGCCGTGTGCCCCTGGAGCAACTATGCCTATCTGTCAGAGCAATGGGCACCAAGGACGTAGCCGGATTCCTAGCCAGAACACCAACGCCTCCCGCAACTTCAGCTGTGGAGGGGGCCGTGAAACTCCTCCAAAGAATGGGTGCTCTCGACGGCGACGAGTTAACAGCCCTAGGCGAGCAACTAGCTCTGATCCCCGCTGATCTCCGCTGCGGCAAACTCATGGTCTATGGTTCTATCTTTGGCTGCCTCGACGAGAGCGTCATCATCGCTTCTATCCTTAGCACCCGGAGTCCCTTCCTCAGCCCCCCCGACCGGCGCGACCAAGCGAAAGAAGCGCGCATGAATTACTCCCGCGGCGACGGCGATCTGCTGACCGACCTCCGTGCCTTCCAACAATGGAGTGCCATGATGGACGACCGGGTGCCGCAGCGCCAGGTGAGGCAGTACTGCGACAATAACTTTTTGTCATACAACACGCTTTCCGATATTGCCGCCACGCGGTCGCAGTACTATACTTCCCTGATGGAAATCGGCATCGTGTCCCGGTCCGCTGCTGGGGAAAGTAAGGGTCCGAACCATAACACGTCCTTGCCCCTCGTTCGCGCCTTGACGGCATCTGCTTTTGCGCCGCAGATTGCGCGGATTCAGTTCCCGGATAAGAAGTTCGCGGCGTCGATGGGGGGAGCGGTGGAGCTCGACCCAGAGGCGAAGTTGATTAAATACTTTACGCAGGAGAATGGAAGGGTTTTCATACACCCAAGTAGCACTTTGTTCGGCAGTCAGGGCTTCTCGGGAAATGCGGCGTTTGTATCATACTTTACCATGATGGCCACGAGCAAGATTTTTATTCGGGATCTTACACGTGAGTTTTCCCACCCATTATGTTGGTGAGCAAGAGTTGTTGAGAGACCTGAGCTAATCGACCACGACAGCGTTCAACGCGTTCACACTGCTGCTCTTCTCGGGTACTATCGAACTCGACACCTTAGGCAGAGGATTGGTCGTCGATGGATGGTTGAGGTACGTACCGCGTCTTCCTGTATACTTATAACTATACAAAATCCACGACTTACATATCTCAATAGGTTGCGCGGCTGGGCTCGCATCGGTGTCCTGGTTTCCCGGCTCAGGGGTATGGTAGACAACATCATTGCGCTGAAGGTTAATAACCCGCAGATGGACGTTCACGAGAGCGAGGTTATAAAATTGGTGGCTAAGCTTATAGAGCTGGATGGATTGGATGCATAGACACACACGAGTTGGGAAATTAGACTCCGTGGGGTTTCGCAAAGGAACAGTTTGGTATTGCGGGACTCAGGCGCTATAGGCTTGATCTACTCTGTTGGAGATCCCTGCCTAGTATTCCGTCTGATTTATGTCTGAAGTCCTCAGAGCACCCAGTCCCACTATAACATCAGCGGAGAGATTGAGTTTGGTCATCCCTCCTTTTCGCCGATTCCCTTGAACATCTGCAAAGATCGATGAAAATATTCCCACAATGTAGTTGCATGCATCTCACCCCTTTGACTTGCCGCCTGAGACTTTTCTCCGATCCACACTAGTCTTTTTCTTGCCTCTACCGATTTTCCGTGGTATCTGTACGCAGCAGGCCGTCCACTTTCGCCTTGAGGTCTGCCAATTCATTGTTGCGCCTGAAAGAGTTAGCTACCTCATCCTTAAGTTGCGATAGTTCATCGTCGTATCTACATACCATCGACACCCGTGTGATACACAGGTTGTGTTTCGCCCGAAGCTCTAGAGGATTGTGTTAACAGAGAAGTGGGAAGCAGGAGAAAGCGAAACACCAAGCTCACTTTCTTTTCTCGGACATGGCTTCGTAGCTAGTATTTATCTAGCATGTTAATTCATCTATGATCCAAGTCGACCAGTTCCGCTGTGGGCCACGAGATCCAGAATTATGAAACAAGGTGATGGCATAAGGAGTAGTAGCCACGCCTACTGTTCAGTCTTGACCTCGATCTCCTTGATCCGTTGCATCTCGATCGTATCCATAATCCCTCGAACCTTGATCTCGTCCATTATCTCTTCATCTCGTTGATCCTCCGCAGGTCTCGGTTGTTTTCCGCAGTTCTGCGCTCTCAACTTTCAGGGCGGTGATATCTGGTTGCTGTGCGGCCAACTCCTTTTGGTGTTGGTCAGATGCCGTTTGGAGGCTCTTGAACCATGCCACGAGTTGGATGAGAGTGTCTTGAGACGCGCCTAAGCCGGGCACCTTTGTATGTGGGTCATTGGTTGTGTGGGTGCTGAAGGTGTTATTTCTAAGCCGCGATGCAAGATATGAGGACGAAGAAATGTCATTTTTGTTATTATCATATCCGAAGACACTAAACTAGTGTGTAGTCATTTCAATTAACTAGGTGCAGACTCCGGGTTAGGTGTGGGACGGAGATCACTTTGAGTCCATACTTAACACCCGGCTCGACCAAGTATCTCACAACTTCATTTCTCGATATGTCAATCAGATCTAGATGGCACGTTGAACTGATCCATACCAACGCTTAGACAGTTCCCTACAAACATTTACCTAAGTACTCTGTGTTATGCTTTGGTCCCACCACTGAGTTAAATTGTGACCCGGTTGCAACACGGAGCTCCGCCTGCATCTCAAGAAACGTTGGTGTCTTCAGAACCAAAGTTTGCCTTTTTGAACCACACAGGTCTCATGAGAACTCAGATACATGATATAATCGGGAGGAATTCTCTGAGATACTTCGCCCCGCAAGGTGTGTTCCGTCTCATGTTCTGTAGGTATTAGGTTGGATGAACCACTGGAATCCTCCATGAATGTGAATGTATGATTCCGTCCAAGAAATTGAGCCAGCTCGTCTTTGGTCGTCTCATATAAAATATCATCGCAACCCCCATGCTTGAATTTGCGAAGCCACGTTGGGTGTGATTTCATGCTATATAGTTTTTCGTTACTTCTATTTTGCCCATATGGATGACACTATAGAATCTCCTGAGTCGCCCAAAGTGGAGAAAGGACTTCAAGTGTGCAGAAGCACCTCGACAGCACATCTCAGGAGCTCGAGCTCGTCTCGGTACTCAGGGTCGAGTTTGAGTTCTGATACTGGTTCGGTTTATGCAGCGGAGGAGGTTGTTTTGGTGCGATATTCATTTTCAGATTCCGGATTCGAGGACCAACAAGATGAAAACCCTCTAAACAGGAAGCCATCTGCCCCTTTCACAGCATACCAAGAGCTAGCCCGGGTTTCGAAAGAAAAAGACAGAGAAGAATATCGATCGTTTATACGGACAGAGCCAGCTTCCCCCTTTGATACGTATCGCTCCATTGCCAGGTTCGCAGCAAAGACGAGGAGAAATCAGGAGACGAAACGCAATGGAAACCAATCACCCGACGAGAATGCAATACAGAAATCACGTTCTCGACGGGGAGTCAAAGTCGCAGCACACCCAGGTGCTACTCCTCCGTTTCGAGTTCCTCTGCCCATCATAGTTAATCAACATACGAACCCTCATACAGACCAATTCAAGACCATATTTCGATACAATAAAGGCACGACTCGACCCCGTAAACCAGTCCAACGCCTAGATCTGAATGACCTGGATACCTTCAACGGGAGCGATTCCGCCACAAGTTGGATTAACCGCTTCCACTGGCAATTCAGAGACGCAGGACTCCGATCTCTGACCCCATCAGAAGTGATCCAAGCCATGGATCTCTTAAGTCGGGGACCAGCAGCCAAGTTCAACTGCTCCGACTACGTGATGCGCAAGGCTCTAGATCGAGCCCGGGTGGGTATTGCGACTGGATCCGATCTCAAAGAGTGTGTGGCGGCACTGCGGAGGGCATTCCCCACGAGGATGAGGGTGTTGACTACCACGAGCAAATCCTTGGTGAGGGGGTGTGCGCAAGAGACGGGCTCAAAACCAGGGCGGAGAGAGTTGCAGCTTGATAAGAGCCGGACGATACCGCCGTCGAAAGCGGAAGCAACAGGCACCTGGCGAGAGCGTTTGTCAAATCTCGTACAAAAGGCTCGCCAGATAAATAAAAGTAATACGTCTACGGGAGTCTTTCAGGGATAGCTCCGGAGTCTGTCGATGAAATCTCAAACGAAAAAGTCAAGGTGAAAGAGTTTGGTTGTTCGCTCGGTCTGCGACCCGCCTTAGGCCCTTGGCTATGCTACGCAAGCTTGTTTTTCTTCCTCGCACATGTACGGGTCTATCTGTTCCACTATCCTTTATCAACCCTGGATATTCAGTTGGGGCACTTTTCATTGCACACACTTCACCAACGTCCATGTGCTGTTGTAGTAGTGTTGGGGAATTTGAGCTGCTCCTAGGTTGACAGCGTTTTGCGGAGATGGAGATTGGGTTTAGCAATTGCATGGCCTTGTCGCCATAACATAGCCATTTTGAACTGGAGAATAAATTGGGCAAGTTGGAAGTGCTGCTGGCTACGGTGTTATACCCTAGGATGATTCGAAATGACAGAGTCCGATTCTTTTCGACCGTGTGACCAAGTACAATTCTACAAACAGCAGTATACGAGACAAACTACTCTTGACAACCCACCAGCAACTGCCGCTGATATGACCGCCCAGAACACAATGTGTGTGAGTAAAATAAATAATGAGAGTAGACACAGTGTACCATATGTACAGCTTTTGACCTCTGCTTCCCTCCTGGAACCGTAGATGTACCAATAGGCCATCTTAATTTTCTCTTTGTCCTCTATTGTATTTCCTAGCATTAACCCGTTGCTCTTACCGCCTAGTCGAGATTCCAATAACCCCTACCAACACAGATAGTACTAGTACAATGCTATGCCATACCACTTTCAGCGAACCACAGGGATGAGATTGACAGAACTACGCCTAAGTTCCATTCAATATGGATGTTGTTTCGTATGGCTGGTGAATATCTTCAGAATTCGCCCACTCCCTGAACCATTTTTATTTCAGTTGATATGGCAACACCACGAATCGATATGGTGGTATCCCAGGGGAGAAGAAAGCATTGTAGAAGTGAAAGAGACTCTCCGGGGGAGAATAGGAATCACCGCTTGTCAAAGGATCAGGCGACTGATAGGGTAGATACAGGCCTAACATCACTTAGTGTAAGCTATACTTCACAGACATTGTGTTATGTATTGTCTCCAACAGATGATGATGGTTGTGCCGTATAGACTTCACCTGCACTCACCCCGTGGCCCCAAAGAAGATAAAGGGGGTGGATATGTGCTTCTGCACAAGGCAAATACAGCATGAACCAAAGGAGCAGAGTAGATACGTAGAAGCTTGCCGTCCTAGAGGATCAGTAGTTGAATTCACGTGATCAGTCGAGTCATACCCTCTCTTATTCTGTATGCACAGGTAGCAACCACGACGCGTCGTGTCTCTGGGCCTCCTGTTCCAAGTCAAGGAGTAGGTACGGACGGAAAAACATCATCCCTGGACCACTCAAGAGGTGACCTTTGTTTTTGTGCCCAACAATGTTCCCAGTTAAACACACAATTTGCAGTACCCGTCATCTTCTCACAAACAGGCAGCTGATCATTCAATCCGCTATTGTCAACCCTATCCCCCTTTCCCTGACTTTCCAACTTCGACCATTCCATCATGCCGGACAAAACACAGAAGTACCCCGACATGCTGAGCCTCCTTTTCGGCCCAAAGCTGCCGGGAAAGCGCAATAATCTGACAGTCATTGAGGACCCGAAGACGGGTAAGATGGATATTGTGGAGAAGAAGTGGCTGCGGGAGCAGAAGAAGATTGCGAAGACCGCTTTGACCAATAGTGGCCTAGAAGTTCGAGACGAGGAGCCTTCGGGCTACGACACGGATTGTGAGCATGACAATACAAGTACCGAGGTCCAGACTTCGGGTGACGAGAATGGTGCCCCCGTACCTGCTCCCATTAAGGGCAAGGGGAAGGCAAGTAAAGAGCATGGCCAGTCGAGCAAGCGTGATGACAAGAACGGATCCTCCGATGACGGTGATACCACGGTTGAGAACAGCAAGACTGCTAAAGCCAACCCAGGCGAGGGCCAGGCCAAGGCCAAGGCCAAGTCTGGCAAGTCGGAAGTTGTTGAAAAGAACGCTGGATCCTCTGAGGACACTTCTGGCACCATTGAGACCGAGGCTGCTCAGTTGAAAGCAACCAAGGGCAAGACTGAAGGCAAAGGCAAGCTCAAGGTAGACGACAAGTCGGGCAAGTCGAATAACGGCAATAACAACAGCGGATCCTCCAAGGACACCTCTGTCACGATTGAGACCAAGGACGCCCCTCATTCTAGTGCAATCAAGGACAAGACACGGCCGAGCTCCAAGAAAAAGGTTGCCTTTGTGTCGCCCCCGGAAACCAGTGCCGAGAACTCAGAAGCGGAGACCTTGAACACGGTTGGCACTTCTGCGACACCTGCATTGCTCGCAATTCTCTGGCAAGTTGATCCAGAAACCTCTACCCAACCTGAAAAGTCTACCACATCTCAGGTTATGCAAAATTCCACCGATAGGCATAACAACTCTGAATCTGCAAACGTGGAAGTAGACACGCTCGCATCCCAAACTGAGGCCATCAACCTCAACACCCCTTCCCCGACCGACACCATCACAACCACTTCAGCCAACGCACCTGACGTGACCGCTGCAACCAACTCAATCAATTCAACCGAGACTCCCATCCCCGGTATCAACATTAATCGCCTGAAGGGTCCTGTGAGCAGTGACCTCTGCAACAATCTCCTCAGCGACAGTCTTTACATCGATCCCTTCCCAGATCCCCCCCTTCCAGCCTCTTTCCACCACAATCCCCAACCAACTCCCACCACGACCACCATCACCGAAGAACAGCAAGCACAAGACTCAGACTCATCCATCATGGCACGCGACAACACCCAATGGAAGCCCTGGGAAAATGGCGCGCTATGCAAGCTCCGCGCCGACGGGCACTCCTTCGGCGCCATCGCGCAGGCCCTCGGCAGCGGCAAGACCAAGAACGAGTGTTGCAAGCGCCACGCGTACCTGGACTCCGAGTTCAAGATGCGCAGTGGAAAGTCGGCAGATGATGTCGGCGAGACTTGGGCCGCGTACGAGTTGAGTCGGGGAAGAGAGATTCCCTTGGTTGTTGGAGCGAGCACTCCTACTACGACTGATGATGAGGATGCTAGTGAGGACGCTGATGAGAAGAAGAAGAAGAAAGCGAAGGGCAACAAGGGTGTCGATACCAAGAAGAAGAAAAAGGCTTCCGGCAAGGGAAAGGGCAAGGCCAAGAAGGACGACACTACCACTAACCAGGAATCTTCTGAATCCTCTCATACCTACTCTGACTCCTCCGAGGACTCCAAGGCCAAGGGCAAGGGCAAGGGCAAGGCGAAAGCCACGTCCAAGTCCAAGGCCAAGGGCAGCAAGTCCAAGTCCAAAAAAGCTGCCGACTCCTCTTCCTCCTCGGAGGACGACGACAAGGACGAGGAACAAGGCAACGTCGACAACGAAGGAGGAGGCAACGCCGAGAATGCCAACGACGACAACGACGACGACGACGATGACGATGACGATGACGATGATGAAGAAGATGAAGAGGACGAATTCGAGCAAGAGCGCAAGGCCCAAAAGCACTTCATCTACCACGAAGTGTATAACAACGCGTACCCGAACCAGCGGCACGTGGAGCCCGACGAGTTCTGGTCGCCCGACGACTGCCGGGTCCTGGCCATCTGCGAGGCGAAATTCAATGCCCTCAAGTGGAAGTACATCCAGGCCGACTTCTGCAACGCCACGGGACGCTTGGTGCCCATATTCTTGATGAAGCACAAGTTGGGCATTGCTGATGATGAGGAGGACGAGTGAAGGACTGGTGCAGTATCATGGACTGATGGTTCATGGATGCGATCAACCTGTCAATCACATGAAAGGGGACGTGTTGATGATGCGTGTGAGAGTACTTGGTCTTTCGGAGAGGGTATATGGAAAAGGATTTGATTTTGAGCTGAGTGGTTCTTGGTAGTCTTATAAGAGTGCTCAGCCATAAGGCAAGGTATTGCGATCAAGGGAGGAGCAGGTTATTGGTGCCGTCCACGAGGACCCTCGCTTGAGAGGCCTCTGCACACGAACATCACGTACCTGACATAGCCCTGGAGACTCAAGCCCGGTAGATAGTCTGTTTCACACCCTCTCTCACGGAATATGAACAAAGTTGTAAAAGTTATGATTGCCCATCTCATCCGTGTTGTTTAGTTCAACCAGATAACCCTGCTGCTATGGTAAAAACAATAGACGAAGGCATCCCAATGCACCTTTATGCCCCAAAAGTAAGGGATGATCTGGGTATCATCAAACAAGCAAGCTACAAACTACAAACTGCAAACCGCAACGCAATTAGCGTGCTCCTATCTAAATAAAGTAGGGCTCGTAAAGGTCGAGCTCTTGCGGCCAAATGCATCTTTAATCTGATCTTCAACCCCATCCAAGTATGCTGAATCGGAGGGGCAATTAAATGTAGCAGGGTCAATACGGTATTTCCTATGATGTTTCCATTAGAAGAGAATGATATGCTTGCCTTCCCTCGAATGATCTAACCTGACCAGCTCTTCGTGTGATTGCCACCAGCTCGATGTCTCCGGGGCCAGGGCAGTGCATGCTAAGCTGTGGCCGTGGTTGTTTGATAAACCATGGAAGATGGCTGAACGAGCCGAGGGCACCACTTCTGTCCAAAGAAGCGTCTGGTCGAACCATTCGCCTTGCAACCGCTTGCATATCGCACATTCGAGTCTGTCTGGCCCTCAAAGTTCCCAGATAACTCCTGGACGGGCCGATCGACCACGGTGAACTTCTGAAATACGGGTGCCATGCACATGCACCCTCGGTTAAATCGGATTCTCCATGCCGGTAGGAGGGATCGCGGTCGCCACGCTGAGGTTCGACGTATCTCCCTGGGAAATCGCCAGGGTTACCGGGCTCGCACCGCGGCTTCGTGACGGGTTACTGCCGCTAGCACCAAGTCCTCGTCTCGTCATCTTCCCTAGAACCGTGACCAGCTCACAGGCGTCATTGAACATATCGTCGTCCATACCTTCAGTTGCGTTGTACACCTCGTTTATCGTGTCTTTTGCCAGTTTTCGACTGCCCTCGGTGTCGTGAACACATTCGTAGAGGAATGCAACATATTCTGTTCTCACAGAAAGCCGGAGAGAGTGAGACCCCCAAAGCAGACTGTCAGCAAGTGAGACGGCTTCTTTGAAATACTGATGAGCTCTGGGTAAGAAGTCCACCGATGGCAACAGAAAAGCGGCGGCTGCTTCTGGATTTTGGGGCTCGAAGCCGGGCGGTGCCCCTACAGGGCCACCTTCCAAAGGATGAGTAGACTGTAGCGAGGAATGAGCTGTTGCAGGCATGCCGTCGTCCCGGGCGATCCCCTTCCCTTTGTCCAGCCGCGACTGAGCAGATCCTGTCGTGGCCGCAGCCATGATGGCTTCAGTTGCCCCCAGGCCCATGGTCGAAACAGGCGGGTTGTTGTGAAAGAGGGCGAAGATGTGGTAAAATGAAGCCCGGAGTTTATAAGCCAGCACCTTCAGCACGTCGTGATCCCCTACCATGGGTAGAACGTATTGCTCCAACATGACCAGGCCTTCTCGTGAAAGCCAAATGATGTGGAAATAGAGCTCGAGGGAATTGGTCATCCTCGTAGTATCCAATCGACGTTGCTTGCGGGCTTTGACCAAATGCTGTGCAAGATTTATCGAGAGCCCGAGGATCTTGAACAGTATCGAAGATAGTAAGGCGTTGTTCGGTTCGACATCTTTGGCAAGCTTGCCGAGAAACTTCTGGTCGACCTCGGATGAAGCCATTGAGACCGACCAGAGTCGTAAGTGAGATCACCTTGTTATGAAGTCAGCCATGTGCCAAAGCTATCGCGAGTGTAAGAATGTTTTGCAAAAGTATGTTCTGATCGCAAGCGTAGCACAAAGCCACGAGAGCTCGTGTCACCACTCAATCTCACGTTGCAGAGAAAGAAGACGTAGGTATTACATATTCGCAGCCGACACTTCAGACTCGAATCACGATGGTTTCAGAAAGGTCGTACTTACCTAAAAGAGTTTACGATGAAATAGTCCCTGGGTCGCGGTAAAATTGGGGATGCAGCCCAGGGCTCACAATCGATGTCCCGGATAGAATTGGTGTAAGTGGTAGTAGAACAGTGAACTGTTGAGTGGCCACTTCGTCGCAGGACGTACCGGGGACCAGAGTGAATATTTCGAGGTGAATGTCAGCTGGGATGTTGCTGATAATGGGAATTTGAGGTGCGATATCTAGACAAGACAGCTTGCACTGATTTCGAGAGACCAAACGAGCGACTACCGGCGTATCTAAATCTCAACATGAGACACAACCGTTGCTGAAGAATTGGAGCAAGTGAACGTCGACGCAGATGACTCGAAATAAGAGTAAACCGGCAGAGCAACTTTAGACGACAGATTTCTGGAAAGCCTCCCAGGTCTGGCCAAAATGAAGCCCAAAATAGAATTATTCAAAAATTCGAAATTACAACGGACTGGCGTCACAACATTAGCTGGGCTGCCGATTATTGACGAAGGCCACGACGTCGGCCCGAAGCACAACCATTGGAGGAGCACTGACCAATATGATACAGCGAAATAAATACAAAGCCGGCAGGATCAAGTGATTGCCTAACTCGAGAAATCAAATGGGCGGTTCCAGGAGAGATCAGCACCAAGTCGTAGGGCCCGTGGGAGGCTGAAATGGGGCGGCGGGTGTGGTGAGACGGCGTCGACTGTAAAGCATTTCGACGTCGAGGGCCTCCCGGTTTCCAACGCTATCGTAGGTAATCGGCGGGTATATATAGGATCGCCGCGTGGCGGGGCCCTGGGCAGGTGCCGGACTGGACCCTTGGACCTGGTACTAATTGCGAGGCCAATTGCCAATGGCGGTGTGAACGACGAGCCGCAAAGCTTGAGGCCTTTCAGGCTTTCGGGCTTTCGAGTTGCGGCTATGGTGGAGTAGCCGTTTGGTTCGAGGCAGGCAAGCTTCGAAGTGGCCGAACGATTCGAGCGTCTGAGAGGACGGTGTCGCGAACTAATTGCTCACTCGAAACTCAACTGGAGTCTTCGGGCGGCAAGTGGCAGGTATAAACGACAGTAAAGTCGAAACTCCCAAGAAATCTTTAGCTGGACATGCCTGGGCTATTAAATATGTATGCATGACCAGGCCAGCAGCAGTAGCATTTAAGGAGAGATGCAAGCTGCTGTCTTTGCATGAACTATTGTGGAGCTTGGTGCAGATAGAAACGCGGCATCAAAAGAGTGCGAGGGGAGAGAAGAAGCGCAATTGAGTTGGCTAAAAGGAGAGACACAACGCGGGCACGTCGGGATCAATGCTAAGACTACGTGGTACTACTCAGCGGCAAGCGAATGGAAGCCGTTGATGGTGCAGATTCGTAGATGCAAGATGAGTTGTCAAAGAAGGAAAAAAAAAAAAAAAAAAATAGAAAAAAAAAAAAAGATGCCCGTGGGAGTGCTATCAGCGGGTTGGAGATTTCCGTCAGATGGCAAGCCCCAGGCCAGCAGCAGTAGGCGACTTGCAAGCAAACAAGCTCTAGAGCACCATACCCGAGGCAAGTACAAAAGTGGACCACGGAGCTTACCCTCGAGAGCTCTAAGCAACTTGTATGGCGCTGCCAGCTTGCCAGCCGCGGGCGGTTTGGTGGACATGGACAGACAGGGTTCAAGGAAGATTTCCTGTTAATAATGCTCGGATGCGCGCTCGGACCAGCCTCAACTTCTCACGACGACGTTTAGCACACCAAAAGAGGCATGGGATTCCTGGCAGACGGTCAGCGCATAATAGCTCATATGAACATGGCTTGCCGAACCGAAGCCCTTTCATCTTCAACAACTGCCATTCCCTCAGACCACACTTGAGGTCGGTCACATGCTCCAATTTGACAGGTCCACGATGCTGCTGTTCTTTTCCGATGGTTGGGGACCAGCCAAGCTTCTGTCTGAGACACGAAGACATCACATTCGAAAATCCTCCATGACACACGTTCGTGTACGCCCCTGCCGCGTGGGTGGGCGCGCTCTCGCGCGCTTGCAGCGTTGCACAACACTCGGGGCTAGGTTAGACTTGATCATTTTGGACAAAGATAATGACTTTGAGTCCTTGCGGCTTGTTTCTATTGGAGCACGGAATACTTTGTCTCACACGGGCAGAAGCGCCTTATTATTACATTGTGGTGTGTCTCTGCATCTACGATCCGAGACGGCTTGATCCTTTACCCGTCACCTCCCACTCAAGCGCGTGGTATATTCACCGGAGTAAACGAATTCAGTCTCTCGATGCTGCCGCCCACTTAATCCCAACCCCTCTCCAAAGAAGGGTTTCGGAGTTCTGGTGGTGGTTTGATGTGTGGCTGCGGCGTCGGCGGCAAAGATGGGTCCTACTTCATGTAACGTCGACGAAGTCATTGACTACATGCGGCTCCTCCCTTACCCAGAAATCGAAATCCCCAACCACCTGCATTTTCCAGACCTCGGGTTGGGAACCAGTACGTAGTGCCAGCGCACCACTTCAGCCCTGATGACTTCACCTCACAGGACTTATTACGAAGGAGCCGCCACCGAATGAATGCCGATCAGGAAATCGCCCCCCGACTTGAGTTGGCCATGATGCGTTTTCCTCGACAACAACTTTCAGGTCTTACAATATGCGGCTACCCCCTCCATCCATCCATCACTATCTACTACTAATCTGCTTCAACCTCAACGCCCAGATCCAGAATCAAAATCCCGGCTCCACCGCCCGTAACTGGCGGTGAAGCAGTAGTAACAATATGCAACTCGCAAAAGGCTCGAAACATATACTAGTGTCGCAGCATCTGCAATCGGCAAACAGCCGGGTTCTGGAATCCTACTCCCGTCCTATACTGCTCTCCTACGCACAAGAAAATGCTGCCGATGCCCTTTGTGAATCTCATCTAGTTAGCGTTCTAGAACACTCTAGCGGCCATTTTCGTCCTCACTTACGTAAGGCAATCTCCATCTGTCTGACTCGACTCGTGCAATACCATTGTTCTATACTGGACTAAGTGGATTTAAGATCATGAGCTGCAGCCCTATAGACCGCGATCGTGCCTGGCAAGCAAGCCTATGGGATTTGTTTATAAGGTCAGAGCATCGCAGAAAGTTGTAACTGGGCTAAGTGTGCATCCAGCTTTCTGCTAGATGCTCGTTTCGCCGCACATAATTGGGCACCAGGCATCCAAGAGTCTTGAAATGACCTATTGCCCTTGCAGATACAGAGCCCAGGTGGGTGCGGCCGATGTTACACCTAGTCTCATCCGCAATTGTTCAATGCCGGAAAATTGCACACTTTCGGTGAAACTTTTTATTAATACATAACCCGCCTTGACCACCATTTTGAACGCAACCCAATTATCATTGCAATTTCGACAAAACGAAGACGCGAAAAGTTCACAACCGTATATATATAATATGTCTGATACTTGGAATATAATTTCAATAGTTTCAAGCAGTGTGTTGATCGAGCTAGAAATTGTTTCTAAACTCAAGCCTCTGTGGTTATTTAGTCTAACGCACATCCTTTCATGCTCTCTTACTGGCCTAACAACAGTAAAACTGGTCACCAATGTGACGGGCTCACTGCGAAACTATACAGCTCAACATGGCCAAATACTGTTAATTATCTAACTGAGGAGGAAAGTAAAATATGCGAGTTGTCCCGGGAACACGGACTATGTTTTGTGTGCCCTCGATGGTTCCTTTGGTGGATCCGGACGCACGGTCCTCGCAGCTCCGGATCCCATATCAGGCACAGCCTGTCACAACCAAGTAGACTAATCGCGTATTTAACCCCGCGAGTTAAAGAAGCTTACAGATTTATATCCTACACTTATAGCGCGTATCATATAGATAGAACTAGGATCTAATAAGATAGAGATAAGTAATATATAGTCGTTAGGATATCCGTAGACTGCCGTATACACGTAGTAAGGTCGAACGCTTTAATGCAGTATTCCTGTATTAAATATATTAGCTATAAATACAAAGATACCTACATATATATATATTTACCGGTACGAGGATTTAAGTGCAATAGTTTCCAGGCTTAAGGATCCCCGAGTAGAATTACATAATACTAATAAAAGGACAGAATGATACAGTAATTGTAAATCGCTTGTAGGTAACGCGTGTTAAACATTTTCTACTCGTAACGGAATTATAGCTAAAAATAATGTTAAACCCTATTAGTGAAGGAAGGAACTAAAGAAGGTAGCGTCCAACGCACGTTAACTAGTAGAGCCCATTTTGAATCAGGGTATTCGCTGACTCAACTTAATAGTGATTCAATCAGCTTAGGAAAGGCGTGATAGGCGAATACGGCCTATGCATAACGAAGAGCAGCTTGATATCGAAGTACTCCTCGAAGCAAAACTTGCCTCTTAAAAGAGAGCTCGTAGGAAGCTATAGAATCAATCAGCCTCTCAATTCAGTGTGTTTTACAAGTAAAGGTTGAGAAACAAGTGAGGTCAGATTCGCGACGATCCCATGAGAAACCAGGGTGCGTTCAAAATGGTGGCCAATACGGTTGGTAATTGCAACAGACCCCTGGGCCACATTCATACGGCGTCCAATGAAGGCGACCTCATCAAGTCACGAGAGAAAACCTCCCAAGTTCAAGTATCCCTTGATGACGTATAATGTCATTCAAGCATTGTATATTACGGACAGTATTCCATGTATGTAAACGGTGCCGCTGTAGCCTCTTACCGAGACTTCTCATATCAAAATATGTGGCTAACAATATTGACCAAGTACTGCTGCGCACTCATCATCCCGTCATGTGTTCCGGTCCCAGCATCCCTCCGTGTAAACGACCGAAGCGCCGATGGCAATAAGCAAAGGATATCATGCATATCTAGCCCAACCACCATATAGATCACGCCAATATATCTCAACCCCGAAGGCTCACTGCCCCTCTAAATTTTATCAACATTGATGAAACGCCCAATGCCAATCTGAGATAGCTTCTCAGAGGGTGGAAATACTAGGCCGGTTGATGCGAACAGTCGAGGGCCTGTTGCGCCTGCGACTTGCCACAGCACGCAGCCCGTTTTCCAAAAGCGAGCCATCGGCTCCAACATCAAATCTCTCGTGCCCAATTATGAGGACTTTGATCACATTGCTCAGACCCACAGCGACGCTTCCTCGCCCCACACGTACCATAGGCCCGAGGTTCGTAGCAAAGAGATGCTCATCCTCTTCGACGTCGGGACATAAGGAGGTGGTCTCCCATGTCTCAACTCTGCCAAGCTGTGACAACATCCACACTTCCCAGTCGTCTCGATTCTGCTGAGAGTTCGCTGACGAATCTGAACTGTGACTAAGACGGCGGCGGCGAAGGCCGGTGGGGATGGGCTGAGGTTGAACACTCTGCCGTTGCGGTGTAGGGTTGGTCTTCTTTCTTGTTCCTATAATGAAACCTGTGGGGAGCGCTTCCCACACCCCAGGATCTTGGATGACGCGACGGGCCTCCTTGGTTTGTGGCCATCGACAGCAGGTCTTGCTCACGGGCTGGCCCGGGACGCGGAAACAGATCGATTCCCCATCATGTTGCGGACGGTATGTTTGGACGACTAAGTCTCTTGTGAAAGCATTGAGATACGCAAAGGTCAAAAATTTCAGGCCTACCGAGCCGCAATTCATTTGTCGTCTCTTCGAGTGGAAGCACTTCAACGACTTTGGCTGAATTGGATCTGTTCGGAAGGAGTGCAATGTCAGGTAGTCGTGGGCATCCACAAGGTCGACGGAATTGGTTCGAACGACGAGCAAAAATCCGAGTTCGGGCAAGGCCACGATTGACATAAACTCTCGTTCTTGGGGACGTGGTATATTGACGGGGTAGCTGTTCCAGCCGGTTGGGTCTTGGCTAAGACAGTAGACTTGACCTTCGCGGGAAGATGTCATTACTTTTGTGACAGCTGTTACAGTTTTTGCAGTTATGATTAGCTCTGAAGGCACCGAGATTACGTGGGCAAGTAGAATCTGCATCACTTACATTTTTCAACAAGAGAGCCAACGGAAACGACCACGCTCTCGTCGGAAATCACGTAGCTCCTAGACTCTTGCTTCTCAGGCCGCACCTCTGTCATAGTCCCATCGCGACGAACAATGAGCACGATCTGGCTATCTTGTGATTCGGCGACAGTGAAGAAGAAGCCCTCCGGTTTGTGCTTGGCACGGTCCACACGTACAGATGGTCCCCAACGCTCATCAAGCAGATTCCATAGCATCACCGTGTCGATGGTGAGTAGAGCCAACCAGTGCGAGTCATCATTGATGCAGATGGCCAATATCGGAAAAGTGATGTCCACCCCGTCGTTGTCGGGCAGGACATAGCTCTTTCCTCCGGTCTTGACGTCCCAGACACGAACTTGTCTGTCCAAGCCAACAGATACGATATGCCCATCCGAGGACGCAGAGAGCATGGCCACATCAAGAGAGTGGCCGCTACCCAGAGTCTTGACGGCGAGCAAAGGCTCCTCTTCTTGATTATCAGCCATTGATGTCTCTCCTAGCTCGTCCCAGAGAAGGTAGTTCATAAGTAGTCGTATAGCAGCTGCTACCACAAGCACAGTGACAATGAACGGAGTCGATTGATGGCGTGCGAAATCATAAACGGCAGGAAGGAAAAGGCGTTCCTTCATGTCTTGCTTGCGGTCGGCTCCCTTGAGCACGAAGACGAGAGGTTCGAATACCCGGGCGATGTAGCTGTGAGCGTCAGGTTTGACGACATGAATGACTTCCTGGGCTGTCTCGTGATCCTGAAGACGGAGCCACGATTTAGGACTCCTGGCTTGGTGAATATCTACAAGTAGAGATGATCGATACGACCCAAAAGGTTTGTACTTCCTCGAAATGTAGAAGATGCGCCCCAGGGTTCTAAGGACGCTTTCGTTCTCGAAAAAGTGCCACTGTGCAATCAAGACGAACCCAACCATGACGGTAGTACCAGCTATACGCGTTGACATGGCAATCTTGCCTTGCAGCATCGCATCCACCCATGACTGCCGTCCCAGCGGTTCGGCTGCACCCTTCTGGTTGCGAATAGATGCCTTGGCAAGGGCGTCACCGAGTTCAGTTCGGCGAACGTCGACGCTGAGAACAGATAGAAAGAACGTCGACAGGTAGAAGAAATCGAATATAATCGCTATCGCTGCAAAGGTGCAGAATGCCGATACCCCGGGGGATACGATATTAGACAAGCCCCAGAGTATTAGCAGATTCTGCGCGACACTGGCGAGGGCCACGTGACTTGTTTCGCCGAATGCGTGACCTATCCTGTTACTCGTGTTGTCATCGGACGATGTGAGAATGACAGCATTGATGAGCCTGAAGATGTTTTCGAGACTCATTGAAAATATGACGACGGGATAGGCGAACCTAGGTATCTTGGAGAGATCAATCTTGAGAAGGGCACATATGGTGAAGCTCGAAATGACTGACACAATCAGCTGAACCATGACCGTGGTGACCAACCCCACCTTGGACTTGACTGCACGCAACTTGGAGAGGCTGATTATGAAATAAACCAAAGTAAGCGAATATGCGATGCCGAGAGCCAAAGTATCCTGGTATGACATGGGCAGAAACTGAAACTCGTACAGCTGACTCGGGACGTTGGCGCTCTGTTGACCGTATACATCCCACTTGTCGCTCAACTTGTTAGCGAGTGCTTGAGTCTTTGCCTGCCAAATGCGGCCAACGGGGGAGTCCCGCATGTGTATGAGAGTAATGACAAGGGCGTCAGCCGCAAGCAATCGGCGATCCTCGAAGCGCTTCCCGCTAAAAACAATTGAATGCCTCAATGTGACATTGACTGATGTAGACTGCGTCTTCCTCTCGTTGACGGTCGTCAAAATGTCTTCATCTGCAATGACTTGATCGGCGGAGCATGACCAGTACTGTAGCGGTGAGTGGAAGAACCAAGACTCCTCTGTGAGTCCATTGACGACGTGGTAGGCATCCCGTTGTTCTGTACTCAGTTCGAATGCGGGCCCATGTGGCATCGGTGTGGCATTTGGTGCCTGGCGGGGATTGAAGTTCTCAGTGGGCCCAAGAAGCTCATCCTGTAGTTCGAGGGCACCCAGCAGAACCTCGCGGCTCAGCGCTTCCATGTAATTCCCATGCACCCATACGGTTCGCATGATAACATCGGGCTCAACGCCACTCTTCTCCTCGAGGGGTTGGGCCTCGGTCCACACGTGGTGCGGAAGGTTGGAGGCGCCATTCGAGAAGTCGGTTGTATAGAGGAACGGGAAGGGGTATACAAGTAGCGATGCAACTGACACGGATATCAGAAGCGTGGTGACAACGTGGCGGGCGGCATACCGCCCATATCGCGCGAAGGCACTCCGCAAGGGATGGTTTGGAGCTAGGACGGGAGCTTCGGTGGTTCTTGAAACTCGTGTTAACTAGGCAAGTCTCTACGAAGCAGCAACTACCTACCCTCTAAAAGGATACAAAAGGTACCAAATCATCCTCCAGGCATATATCTAACTGTCAATCGGTTCGTAGTGGCTCAGCGATTCAAGAGGCAGTGAAAGTTGGTTCGAGATACATGTGAGCTGCCAGAGATGGCCTTTCGTTGCGACAAGTGCCGGCAGCGCATCATAGGATACTGGATTCGAGCCGGAGTACGACTAGGCCGAAGCTTGACAATGTTAGAAAAGAGACCAACAAAATAGACGCGGGGAGAGGGGTGAGAATCAATTGAAGGTAAAATCTCACGAAGTACAGTACGGGATTTTTCTAGCTGAGATCGATGGATCGAGTGAAATTCGGCGAATCGATTGAACGAGTTGTAGGAGACCTATCAAGTATCGAGCTAAAGGACAGTAGCCCGCACCGCTGCAAATGTGTTTTAGCGAGAACGACGCCACGGTCGAAAGGCAAAAATCGAGGACCCTCGGTCGGAGCTTGGACGCTAAACTGTGCGTGGTTGACCCTCCCTAAACACTAATCCATAATGCTTGTAGCTCACACTCCGTGAAGTAGGCCCATCCCAGCTTCTGTGAGAGCGAGAAACAAGCAACAAATTTGGTTAATATCAAAGATTTAGAGTTCTTCAAACTCATTCTCGAGGTTCTCTCGACAATTTCGGTCACACTCATTGCTGCCCGATTCCCCGCGGTCCCACGAGGTCAGGCGCCTTGGAACGCATCCAATTGGATGGGTGGGTTAATAATGGGCTGCCACAAATTAATGCTCGGCATGTCCCTGAGGCTCCATTTGAATCGGCCTCTGTGCTGCTCACGGCATCCTCCTTAGGAAGACACCCGGCAAGCCCCCGGCAAGCCGACTGACGTACGAAGAACTTCGCACCTCAAAGTAGGTATGTATGTAGGGCTTGCTAGCTGCTAGAGACTCGAATTCTGCAGGTGGCACCTGCCGTCTTCGTCCATCGCACCTTCCAGCCGCTGGTAAGAACTCCTGGGTGCATCACTTACCAAATGTCCAGAGTTTTAGTATGTTGGCCTCTGGTGGAAACATATCCGAAGCCATTGCACTTGAACTGGAAACGCCAGATGTGAGGTGCACACCCACTTCCAATCCAAATTCAAGAGTTTGGCGGCATTGAATGTGGGCGCAGGTTCTAGCGCAAAGCGCAACAGCTCGTGGGATTTGGAGGGACAGACGCAAGAAGTCAGTTGGTGGAAACAGGTTTCTTGTAACTAAAGGCAGCTGACGGGGAGATTCACGAGACTTATATGTGTCGACCATGCTGGGTTTCTGCCGCTAACCCAATAAGAGACAATAAAAAAACCATCAAAAATCGCGTGTTCCCGGAGCAAATGTCAGACCATTCTGATGACACGGAAAGCCGCGATTGGACAGGGCAAAACGGATTGTGAGGCACCATTGAACGAGACCTTGGAGACCCCAGCTTTTCCGTGGAACTCCAATGATACGCCGGTTTATTGCGATCCGGAAACAACGCCGGGGTCTACTCATCGACAATATCACGCTGCCGATCCATCTGCTCGGAAGCTTGCAGGACAGGCTGACAGCCTCACGAGATCCATCATTTGTGTGATGGGGGATAGTCTCATAGGGCTGATCAAGGACGAACGGCAATTTCTATTGAGTTTGTCCACGATGTTGTGGGTGGAGAAGCAACTTCGGACACAAGGATCTTGCTTCTAATTTTTCGTGAGCTGCGAATGTTCAATAAATCAAGTTCAGAAATTGGATCACTACTGCAGGCTACCGTCATCATTGATGAGATGGACCCTGTAGCGGAGCTTATCACGAGCTTCAACGAACTGAACCCGTCTATTGTCGACGAATTAGACGAGGAACCAAGCCCGCTCGAGTTCATGCGGTTTGTGGCCCGCAACACACCGTTCGTCGTTCGCCAAGGCGCCAAAGACTGGACAGCTACGAAAGCGTGGTCTTCGGGATATCTCTTGAAGGCTTTGTACGGCCATCATGTCAACGTGGCAGTAACTCCATTCGGGTTGGTCAACGGTCTGAAACTCGGGAGTCACGACGATGAAAGCTGAGCCCTTAAGTACAGGAACGCCGACGCCTCGACCACCAATGAACAAGGGCACACCGTATTCGCAAAACCGCAGGAGGAAGACCAGCCGTTCGAGGAGTTCCTCGAGTACCTGACCAGCCAGGAATTGGCACCTACTGCAGAGCACACCGAGGTTAGGTATGCACAAACACAGAACGACAACCTTCGGCATGAATACGTGTCGCTTTTCTCTGAAGTCGAGAAGTCTGTGCCCTTCGCTCGTATAGCACTGCAAAAGGAGCCGGATGCCATCAACATGTGGATTGGCAACTCCAAATCCGTGACGGCGCTGCACCGGGACAACTATGAGAACATCTACGTCCAAATAGCGGGACAGAAACACTTCGTCCTCCTCCCGGCGCTATGCCAGCCGTGCATCAACGAGCAAGAGCTGCGCCCCGCGACCTATGTGCGGGACGGAAACGGTCTGACCTTGCAGCTAGAGGAGGGAGACAATGTCCCCTTTGCTACATGGGATCCGGATGAGCCAGCGGAGAAAACAACTAGGTACTCGAGTCTAGCACGCCCGGTTAGACTCACGCTGAATCCTGGGGATATGCTTTACCTGCCAGCCATGTGGTAAGTCGCACCCTTTACTTTACATACTCGGAGGGAGCAATGTTGGATACTGAATGAGATGCTAGGTATCACAAAGTGTCGCAGTCTTGTTCCGAAGACGGGCTATGTGTAGCCGTAAACTATTGGTAAGCCTAGACCGCACCTTCAAGGATTTACGTCAACAGGACTGAACTTCGAGTAAAGGTACGACATGGAGTTTAGCGGACCGCTTTATCCCTTGACTTCTTTCGTTCGAAACATCAACTTGGCCAACAGTAGGTAGAGTAAATAAATCAGGGGCCACATGCACGAAGCTCCACAAGATAAGTGCGGCCAGATGTGAACATGACTGTAAGTTCATTCTTAAGCAACTAGTAATAGATAGTCATGCAACAGCACAGCATCATGTATGCACCCGGGTATGAAGCTCAGGCGCCTATCCCTGCTTCCATCGCTATCTATACTCCAAACACCTTGCCTTTCCAATACCAAACGCGACAAAACATTCTAACACTATCTCGTATCCAAGGCTCCTACCGTTAGACGTTGACTCGAACACCCAGCGGGTTCCTCGAGTTCTCTTCCAGAAACCGGTCCTTGTCATCACTAATCTTCCGTCTAAACAATGACAGGTCCTTCAGCAAATCATACATGTAGTCCTGCATATCATTCGCCTTCTCCTCATACACCTCAGACGAATATTCGCCATCCTCATCAAAGTAGGCCTCGTCGACCAACTCCCCATCCTTCCCTCCGTCAGGGTTCATATTCTCCTTATCCGTCTCGTCCCCTTCTCTTGCCGGCTTAGTGTTAACAACCACCTCGGGAATCGGATTCTTGAGGCTCTCAAGCGCGAGCTTCAGATGTAGCCGCAGCGCTTCATTCTCAGTCTGCAAGCTACGAATCTTGCCTTCGGACACCATACTGCGCTCCTCCATCAGCCGCTGCATGGCCACAACGCTGTTCTGGTACTCCTCGAGCCGCTCCTCGCTTTCTTTCTGGTCTCTTTCCCGTCGCCGCGTGTCGGCAACCGACAGTTGAAGCACGCGGATTTCCTCGGCCATGGCGGCGATCTGCGCATCTCGCTCTGCTGTCGAGATCTGGTCCTGGTTGACCACGGCGCGTGTGCGAATCCGCTTGGCCTGGTCCGCGTATCGAAGGGTCGAAAGGGTCTCCTCGTAGTCGGATGGCGCTATACATGCAATCATGGCGGTTTTGCTGTTGCCACCCAGTGAGTCTTTGAGAAGCCAGGTTAAGATAGAGTCTCGGTATGGAACGACGTCTTTGCTACGTTTGCCGCTTGCTCGACGTGGCTTGGGATCCGCCAAGGCGGCAATGACTCTCCCCAATGTTGTAAGCGACTTGTTGATGTTGCTTCCCTCCCTGAGTCTCTGTCCTGTAGCTTCAGTCGATTTTGCCCTCTCGCTTCCGGCCAAGTCCACAAGCCGAATTCTTGAACTGCGTTCTGTTGTCTCGTCCGTCTCCATGTCATGATGAATCTGCTTCAACATGATGGTGAATACGGCATGGCTTCGGCTACTCGTGTCGTTCATCTTGGTGCTGGCCGTCGTCCGCGACGCATCTCCCTTCATCATGTATCGCAGGATCTCGTTGATGTTCCTAACCGGCACCTCAGTCAGGTCTTTGACGTAGGGGCCTTCTGTTGGAGACTCGCGGATTTTCAGGTAGTATGGCGCTTGGTTCGGAACCACTGGGACCAACAGATCGCGCACATGCTCGTTGTAGACCTCAAAGTAAGACGCGCGCACGTGGTAAGATATGTTGGGCGTTTCGTTCTGCGCTGCTTCGATACGCTCAAAGAGGTCCTCGCATGTTCGGGGGATGAGGCCCGGCTTATCGGGCGTCCCCATCATTGTGTAAGACTTTCCAGAACCAGTCTGGCCGTAGGCAAATATGCAAGTGTGGTAGCCCTCGAAGTTGTGGTCCAAAAACTCCTCGCCCAGGCTGTTGTACACGTCTTCCTGATGCGCATAGTGCTTATCCTCGATGTCGTGACTCCAGAACGAGTTGTCAAACGTGAACGACTTCTCGTCAAGAACCTTGCGCGTCGTTGCCCGCGAATTCGCGGGGTCCGAGTCGTTGGGGACATGTAGCGTTGTCAACTGCGTTACGGGGTCCATGCTGATGAGGCACTCTGCGCCGCGCTGGATCTCTGTACAATTCGCAAATGTCAGTTCCTCGCGCTCAACAAAACACAACACATAAAGAATCCCCCGACGACTCAAACGAGGAACCACATACCTCTAGGCAAGAAAGCTCGCACACGCACCACGACCCTCACATTGCCTCCGTCCATCTTCGTCATGTGCGACGGTACAGTGCCATCACGCGAACGCAGCGATGGCGTCGACGCAGACGAACGCACCGTCCTCATCGTGTCTGAATGTAGCGTCTCCATCGGCAGCTCGTTGATCGCAGTCAGTGTTTCACAGATGGCGTCGATGATGTCTCGAAAGCGTGGGGTGTGGAGTGTGCCGTATGGGCCATACATCGGCTTCTTTCGGCGGCTGGAGGCGACTGGATTTGTTTACTTACCGCTCCGATTGTTGCTAGGGCAGCTGCTAGTGGGGAACGTGTTGCTGCTCTGATGTGGCGGGTGTAGTACAATTGCCCCGCCTTGAATGAGAAGCACGATGGGGGGTATCCAGCTCCAAAGATTGTCGTGTAAGCTGGCAATGAATGTTGTCTGATTTTGGAAAATCTCGCCATGTAATTTACACTGAAGTGCAGACTGATGAAAATTTGAAGATTGTGTGTTGATGTCGGTAGTGAAGTTTTGCTCTTATGCGGGAAGTTTGTTTTCTTGTAACACCAACCACTGCACCGCCTGCATAATTTGGCACCACCTTTGAAAGACTAGGTGAGTGAGTTTGAGCTCGCAGTCGAACAGTTTACCCCTAATGATCTGCTGTATCCCTATGTCTTCTTCAATCCCTTGCCAAACAACTCATTACCAATCTCGTCAACCAGCTCTTCCTCTGGAAACTGTTTCTTCTTCGCCAGAATGGTGCCCTGCGCATCCATGGTTTTCAGCAGATCGACCAATTCACTCTCCAATGGCACGCTGTAAGCCAGGTAACCCAATGCCAACAGCATGCCATGTAGCGCCTCTTTTGATGATTCTTCCTGCGATATCGCTTCTAGAACCGATGCCGCAAGCTCAACCTGGTCGGCTTCAGGGAGAATCTCTCCAGATGCCTCCCTCCTCTTACTGCTATTTGAGGATGCGATGTTGTATAACAAGGATGAAGCAGCAACCCGGACATTGTGGTGACAATAATCTAAGAAACTCGTGGACAAGAACTGCGTAATCGGGTTTCTCAGTTGAGGTTGTGCCAAAACCTGATGCGGATAAAGTGGACTAGAGAACAGGTTGCAAGTCATCTGCAGTGTGACCAGACGCAGCGCATATGGACATTGTGCCTGACCATTGACGTAATCAAGCACAGTAACGACTGTTTTATGACCAGCTTCTTCCGCGAAATATCCGCTGAATCTTGCGTCCACAAGGGCGCACCGGAAGAGATCAACGACTGTGAACATGACCTCCACAGGTAAGTCTTTCACAGCACTTCGTAGGAATTCAGAGAAGCGTTCCAAGTCTGGAAGCGTCGCTTGTGCTGGACCCGCCTTCGCCCTGATCTCAATAAAGTGTTTGATTTCTTGTACCGCGGGATCGCCAGCCGCCGTACCACCCATTTTGGAAATCAACTTATCAAGCGGAGGAACCTTGGCATAAAGTACCGGTTTGACCTCCGGGCTCGCAAAGTGTGGCAGGTTTAGGGATTGATGTAGATGAACTGGGAAAGCCAACTGGACAAGCATATTCGCGGTGCTCCTTAAACGGGCTCCGTCCGCTCCTGTCCAGCGTTCTTGCTCCTTACCATGCAAGAAAGTCACGAAAGTTGGGGTTGCTCGGACGCCATAACGCTGGCCCACGTCGAAAGCCTCGGATATGTCGACTTTGATCAGCGTGGCCTTTCCGTCAGGTTCCGCAGCCAATTGATCGTATGATGGGTATAGCATTTTGCAGGGCCCGCAAGACGCCATTGTGAAGAAGATGATGGCGCAAGACTTTTTGGCACCTTCAAGTAGCGCGTCTAGTTCTTGAAGGTTATGTGCAACTTTCACAGTCCCAGGTGCAACATGTCCATTCGTCTGCACCGTCAAATGGTTTCCAGATGCTGCTGCATTGGGGTTGCTGCGTAGATCACTCTGGATGCCGAGAAGACCGCCCTGCTGAGCCTTCTTGGCTTGGACCATCTGCGTTAACTGGGGCTGCATCATTCTTCCGAATGGAGAATCGAGTACTGCTTGTGGCATACTTCTGATGTGTTCCGGAATGCCATGGCCTAGCAGAAATGTGGCAAGATCATTGGAGAAGTTGTTACAATTGTGTCGAAACAGATCGTAGGCCTAGGGATTGATTAGCCGTCGTTATGCGACCAAATGTCAACATTAGAAATTTACCTCTGCCGTGAATATGTCCCTGAGCGAGTCAACATATTCCACGATGATTTCTAACGGGAGTTGGGTTTTCCCTAGGTGCAGTCTTTCAAGGGGTTGGCCAAGATGCGAGCTTCCGGGATGAATCGTGTTGATGCCGCCATCGTAGACATACTCGACGTTGTCTAGTTCGATTGACGTGTGATAGATGGCATCAAGCTGGAATCCGAGCAGATTCATAGATAGTTGTTTTGCAAGCCCTCCTGATAAATCGTAGACGAGAAGATGAACGTCCATTTTGCTCTAGGTTAGGTCCTCAAATCTCCTTGTGCAGTACTTATAATACGCCGACCCGGGACTACTGTTCAAGCAATGAAATTCCCGTAGAACGATATGAAGACCTTGAGATGAGGAAACGGGAAAACGGAGAGAAAGAGGTGAGGAGGGTAGACTTCACTGGGACGGTATTAATTGAGCAACTAAATAATCTTGACCTTCATAGGACACAGTCAAGATGGATCTCAGGCAACCTTTGTACGTCAGCATTAGACTCGTCGAAGCGCATCGACAACTGGCTAGTTAGAGTGTGGCTAGTGACTTCCTTTCTGCCAAGCACCTATCGGTGGCTAAAGCAAAACCAAGAATAGCAGGCAGGACAGGGATATGTACCTGCAACGCCACCAAGAAAGGGGCCAAAGGGCGTGGGGATCCTGGAAAGGCCAAGTCGCGGTATTGCAACGTAGGACCCTCAATTGCCCATGGATTAATGGGTTGAAATTTACCGAAATTGGATTTCAAGATTGCTCCTCAATCGAACTGATCTTACGCAGACCCACGATTCTCTCCTTACACATCCATTCTAAGGCATCCTGTTAGAGTTGTCGATGCACGTCCTATCAGTTGTCCCGTAAGGTTTTAATCGCGGTCGTTTGTCACTGACGTGTGAGCTTTCGGGATTCTGCGTACTTCTCCTTGTTCTTTTCACTCTCTTCCCCTTCCTTATTTCTCCTCTGGGGGAAAAACAGATGCGTCTATGAGGAGAACATCAGTATCGTTGCCCACGAAGCACGTCGCTCGCGATCCTCACGAGAAACCCGCGCGATACGGAAACAATCACGCACAAAGAGAGAACCGCATATTAGACAAGCTACAAGCCGGCTGGATGAATCAGGCACAGAAGACGCGGTGGTTGAAGACCACTGCAATAGTAGTGTTTTTGGTCTTCCTCTTCTACTATTTGTCGCCGAAGGGTGTGGATATCTACCAAGGTGGTAAGTTAAACTGAATTGCGTGGGACACCTGTAAGATGAGGCCAGAATGGCTGACGTATGGAATTGCAGTATCGAAAGGAGGCCAAGTCCCCTCCGACTCGACATACGGTACCGAGACGTGCACCAGGTCGTATTCCAAGGACAAACCAATCGTCCAATATGTCCTCATGATCGATGCCGGCAGCACTGGATCTCGTATCCACGTGTACAAGTTCAACAACTGCGGGCCCACCCCCGAGTTAGAGAAGGAGGAGTTCAAGATGACCGAGAAGAGCGTGGGTGGCTTGAGCAAGTATAAGGACGATCCTCTTGCCGCCGCAAAGACCTTGGATGCTCTTATGGCCGTGGCCATGACGACGGTTCCCGACAAGCTGAAGGGTTGCAGCCCTGTTGCCGTCAAGGCGACGGCTGGCCTCCGAATGATTGGCGCCGAAGCTAGTGACAAGATTCTCGAGGCTGTCAGAAATCATCTGGAGCAGGACTACCCATTCCCAGTTGTTTCTCGCGAGGACAATGGCGTTGCCATCATGGACGGATCTGACGAGGGAGTCTATGCCTGGATCACGACCAACTACCTTTTGGGCAAGATTGGCGGACCTGACCAAAGCCCGACTGCAGCCATCTTTGACCTTGGCGGCGGCTCTACGCAGATCGTCTTTGAGCCAACTTTCAAGGGAGCGCCTGATGGAGGTATGCCCGAGAAGCTGGCGGAGGGCGACCACAAGTACAGCCTGGCTTTTGGCGGGCGTGACTTTGAGCTCTACCAACACTCTCACCTTGGGTACGGTCTGATGGCTGCACGAAACTCCATTCACCTCAACTTGGTCAATGATCTAGCCGAGTCAAAGAAGGGTAAGGAGTGGCTGAAAAAACCCATCATCAATCCCTGCATCAACGCTGGACAGAACGACACCATCACCGTTGATTTTGGCAGCGACCATGACCTGGCCTCAGGAAAGGTCGAGCTGACCATGGTTGGCCCCTCCAACCCTGCCCCCGCACAGTGCCGCAACATGGCTGAGAGGATCCTGAAGAAGGACGCCAGCTGCAAACTCTCGCCTTGCTCCTTCAACGGCGTGCACCAGCCCTCACTGGCCAAGACCTTCGCCAAGGAGGATGTCTACGTCTTCTCGTTCTTCTACGACCGTCTCAAGCCCCTCGGCATGCCGGATTCCTTCACCCTGCGCGAGCTCCACGACCTGACCAACACCGTCTGCGGCGGCGAAGAGGCCTGGGGTGTCTTCAGCAGCATCAACGGCGCTCTTGACGAGCTACGTGACCGCGGCGAGTATTGCCTGGACCTGAATTTCATGATTGGTCTTCTGCACACTGGGTACGAAATGCCCATTGATCGGGAGGTTCGTATTGCGAAGAAGATCAAGGACAACGAGTTGGGTTGGTGTTTGGGAGCTAGGTAAGCAATATTCTGGAAAACCTACGCATTCTCAAACGAATTACTAATGATATCGCAGTTTGCCTCTTTTAGCGAAGGGCTCCGGCTGGACCTGCAAGGTGACTGAGATTCATTGAAAGCATTGAATTCCAAGGCGGCGTAAGCATTTACAGATATATATAATGACTGAGGGACATTGGCAAGGGGCCCCCAAAAGGCTGGCGTTTGGTTGTATGTGTATATATGGTTCATGACGTGCCCCCCGGTTTGGAGTAGGCAGACGAACCGTACAGGAAAGCAGTCATTCGTGACATTCGAAGCGCAGTTTATGCATCGATAGCATTGTTTGAGCATCGTTCTATGGGGTATCATAAAGGGACTGCGACCATGCCCAGGACATCCTCAATCACGTCCTCGGGTCCTACACCCTCGAGATTCTGTTCAACAATGGCTAACTCGCTGCCCCATTGCATACTCCGCTCCTTCTCCGGCGCCACTATACGAACGCGGTGCATGTATATCTTCTTCGCCGCCAGCGCAACGAGACCTGGCGTTGCATAGTCCAGTCCATGTAGCGCAGCCAGGCATTTGAGTAGCTGATCGAAGTGTTTTGTCGCGACGGGTGATACCCCCCCGGCCACGGCGCGGTGCATCCGTAGGAACGAGATGATGTTCATCTGATACCTCAGAATCTCAATATCGACATTGACCAGCCGACTAGCCTCAACCAGCGCCGAGATGTCGTGCTCGTGCAACAGCCTCAGGGTTTGCCCATCGCCCATTCCTGTCTCCTTGCCACCACTTCCATAACCATTGCCAAACCCATCCGCTCCGGTCCTCAACGTCCCACCCAAACTCCTCCTCACAACACTCTCCCCACTCGCAATACTCGCCTCCTCATCCCCATCCTGCTCCTCCAGCTCCTCAAGGTGCGCAAACCCATCCAGTGGATCATGCCAATGCGCAATATAAAAGAAATCATTCAGATGCTCCGTGAGTCTCGGCTCATCCCTTCCCATCCCCGTTGCCCCCAGCACCGCAATGAACAGGAATTGCTTCGGTGCCGCCTGGACGCTAGTGCGTGTGAAGATGCGCCGGGTCCGCAGAAGCTCTAGCGCTTGTATCTGCACTGCTTTGGGGGCGCGGTCCAGGTCTCGTGCGAGTACCACGTTGGCAATTTGCGGGGAGTTGTTGTTGTTGTTGTTGTTGTTGTGGGGGTGTTGAAGGGTTGTGTAGCTGCCAACTGAGAGTTGCGAGTGGGGAGAGAGGGCGCGTAAGGTTTGATGAGAGGCGGTATGAGTATGATATGATGCAGGCGGGTTGTGGAAATACGAGTCCGTCACCGGGTTGGGGTTATTGCGTGTAAGCAGCGGCGAGCTAGAGCGCGGGGTGGGCGTCGTGTTGGGGCCAGTGAGGAGAATGGAGGCGGCAAAGTCGTCGAGGGTGGTATGTGGGGTGCATTTTAGGGTCGTGGGCTTGAGGTTGAAGGTCTGCGAGGCGACAAGGTGCAGCTCCTCGAGCAGATCGTCGACATACTCGGGCTCAGTGCTGATGATGCAGTGCTCGCGGCTTAATAAGCAAAGGAGGGCGGCGAGGTCGAGGTCACCCAGGCTGTGGACCCTGGAGAGGAGGCCTGGTTCAGCCATTAAGGGTCTGAGGGGGATTTACTTGGTTCCATGGGTCACGATGATAAGTTGGTGTGAAATATGATGTACATGGTGTTGACGAAGAGGATGAAGGTTGGCATGTGTCGCGCACTGGCCAAATCGGGATATGGGATAATATCTCCGATCTGACATTAGCTTCAAGTTCCGAAAACCTTCATAAAGATAGTGCCCGATTTCCGGCTTGGCGCACTATCCATTACTTGACTATTGTGTATAATTATCACGCTTGGCTCGCTTCAACTTGTCCGTCGAGTTCAAGTGTGCATGCAATATTGGTATAAACATGACCGGCAACGAAGCCCCCAACCACAATATCCCGAATTGTCTTCCCATTGTTGCTCAACCTCGACAGCTGTAGCCTGCTAAGCATTCCAGTCGTTCTCGGTACCTTGACGTCCAGCCCTATAACATGAAATATCAGCCCATGCTCTCTCGAATTCATGAAATCTTATCCCTTACGTTCCCTTCCAGAACTTCTTGTCCACCTTGTCATCGCTCGCGGGTTGAGCCCGATCATGTCTTTTGTTAAAATCTTTGTTATGTAGCTCGACCTCGTTCTTTTGCTCCTGGCTCAATCCCTCCTTCGTGCCCGGTATGGCCTGGTTGTGAATCTTCGGCGACGGCGTACCTTTGCCTCGCGGACCCTTGAGCGCCTCACCCCCCTCCCGACTTGCCTTATCCGCACTAGAACCGCTGTCACCTTCGCCAATTTCGCCGCCGGTGGGGCTTGAACCTGTTTCCTTTGCCTGTTTGGATCGAGAGCCACCGGATTGGGCACTTGCTTCCGCTGGAGATTTAGCTGAGATAGCATTGGTCATACTCTCGGAAAAAGCAGCTTTAGTAGCGCCTCCGGTGCCCTTACCGATATCCGGGGGGGCAGGACCAGGGTGTTCTGATGATTCCTGAGCCTTGTTTGACGGGGGTTGCTTCTGGGGATTCTCTGAGATTGGGCCTCCTCCGTTGCTATCGCCATATCCTTGGGCAAGCAAGCCGGGAGTTGTAACGAAGCGGCGATAGGTCCGAGGGGCTCTGTACCGGGTGGCGTGCATGCTACCAAACAGTATGTTTGTGATGCGAATGGCGACCATGGTGAATGATGTTTTTGAATACTCCAATGACGATTAATCTGGTATTGCAGAAAAAGAGCCCTTCAATTTGGTGAGCTGATGACTTTATAAACGAGAGACCCTTGGTTTCACCAGAGCGATGATAAGCATGACTATCATTGATTTCCCCAAAAGAGTGATGTCATTGCGAGGTTGAGGGCGCGCCGGACTGCAAGTGCAAGGTTTACTCATCAGCCTTGGTACGGGGTCGAGAAAGCGCAGCTCCTTCCAACAGGACAATTGAAAGGATGGGTTGCTCCGGTTTCTCCCCAAGCGTGGTTTCCCCGTGGATTATTACCAGGCATTCACTATGAAGTACGAAGTACACCTATTGTCAACTTGGACTACAGCACCAAACTACCAGGTACCTCAACCTCACATTGTCATCAAAAGCAAACAATTTTGCAATGCTAAGTAAAATAGCCTACGTGACTAGATAGAGGACTGTAATTACTCCAGGTTACGAGTTCCTTTGTTATCTTTGGCATCTGGAGACTTTCAAGGTTGGGTGATAGGTCCATTGAATCATTGACACAAGTCCCATTGTTCATTGTAGTTGCTGGGGCTCTGGCTGGGGGTTGATATCATGTGGCTTCAAAGTGTGTGGGGGCTCCAGCCCGCTGGGAATAAAGTGGCTTGTTTGATAGTTTGATACGCTCGGGCCTTCCAGTTGCCTTGTAAATGACGGTGCCTAGGAGCAATGACTGCCGCAGGTCTTGTGCTCCCCCGACGATTTGGAGCTCATTTGCCACTGCTGCTCCCGTCAACAACATTGACATAGCTCGTCAACTAGCAACCAACTCCAGCACTCGACTTTGTTCGACCAAGCAATCGACACTGTGCCGGGCGCATATGCTTCCCACATTGAATCAATCATTTTGGACACCCGACCGAGCTTCTTTCAGTCAATACACAGTCGGACGCCGTTGCACGAGTGACAGAGCCGTTGAACTTGATCTCCATCATGGCTTCTAGGAAGAAGGTCCTCCTGAAGGTACTGTTCATATTGGAGTATGATACCGAACAGGGTCCAAGTACTGACAATACTCTATAATAGGTTATCATCCTCGGCGATAGCGGTGTAGGAAAGACGAGTTTGATGAACCAATATGTGCGTTCCTCCGACTTAACTATCGAGATCGATAGACAGGATTATCATGCAAAATCAAATGGAAATATTGGACTGATGCGGCGATGATAGGTCAACAAGAAGTTTAGCGCAAGCTACAAGGCCACCATCGGCGCCGACTTCCTAACTCGAGAGGTTCTGGTTGACGATAGGCAGGTGACTATGCAGGTACGCAGGCTCGCTCGAAAGCCATGGTTTTATTGGCAATGGAGTACTGATATAAGACAGCTCTGGGATACGGCTGGCCAGGAGCGCTTCCAGTCCTTAGGCGTTGCATTTTACCGCGGTGCCGACTGCTGCGTCTTGGTATTCGACGTCAACAATTCAAAGAGCTTCGATGCACTCGACAGTTGGAGAGATGAATTCCTGATCCAAGCGTCACCAAGAGACCCTGAAAACTTCCCCTTTGTATGAAAAATCCGGTCCCGTAAGTGGGCATTACTAATTATCATACAGGTCGTTCTAGGTAACAAGATTGATGTCGAGGAGAGCAAGAGAGTTGTACGTTTGGTCGCATATTGTACTCGTCAAATCTTAACTAATACCGTCTAGATCTCAAGTAAGAGAGCAGCGACCTTTTGCCACTCCAAGGGTGACATTCCCTACTTTGAGACTTCTGCCAAGGAGGCCATCAATGTCGAGCAGGCCTTCGAGGGTAAGTTCAGTACTGGGGAAACTTGAAGACAATGTCTGACATCCATGTGATAGTGATTGCGCGAAACGCTCTTGCGCAGGAAGAGTCAGAGGAGTTTAGCGGCGACTTCGGACAGGATCCCATCAACATCCACATCGAGAACGACCGTGATGGATGCGCCTGCTAATCTGGTTTTCTCTCTGGGGTAATGCGTGTTGAGGACAAAGCTGCTTCCGAGCCACGATGTCGTTCCGGCGGAAGGACTGGCCCAGTACACGCCAGCTTGAGGGTTTCGTTTGAGTCGAGTGCTAGTAGCATATATGCGGTGCATCCGAATTGTACTTAATTAAGATTCATTGGACCAAATTGGTCTCAAGATTCTGGGAGTTTTTGTCAAGGTTGTTCAAGGATGGTCTATGAACACGCGGCAGTTGCAGCGAGTAGTTGATACACAGCAAAGGTTTGTGTTTCTGTTTACTTATATACGGATAACGAGGTCGGAAATCCGCGGCAATGATACACACGTTCAACCTCGGAGTTTAATTTGCATAGCACGTGTCTCGACTTCATAAACCTACTGCGCATATGACCAGTCATCTGATTTGATCTCCAGAAACTTGTAGAATGACTCATTGGTGGTGGTGGTGGCGTCGGGCTGACGGCTCAGCCCAACTCGTTACCCGGCTTGTTCGAGTCTCATTAGCGACCGATTTTCAGGGGTCCGCGACGCGGGAGAAATGTCTTGCACCGACCGCTCGTGTCATCCTACCCACCTCGGCCCTGAAACCGTTCATCTACTTCGTTTGAGCAAATCTCAACAACGTCACTCACTCCTCAAGAAATCCTTCTCTCTTTTAATCGCCGGCCGCCCTATCTACCCTATGAGGACTCATTCTTTACCACTGCGTCTGCGATTGCGACTCGTTCTGAAGGTGCCGACCCGTACTGCGAAATTGGACAACACCTAAGACGAAAGAAGTTGGAACTACACTCACTATACGCACAACGCACGTTAGATCGAAAACTCGACCCTTCTATCCCTCCGGCATGGCGCCGTCAGAGCCTTTAATTCCGTCCGAACTGGCGCCGGGAACAGGAATGCAGCAGAGGATTATGTCGGAACCGATGACCCCGATGGAAGACCTCTCGGCCTCGTTCATGTCGAGGCGGAGCGCAGCGAGCTCCAAGCGGAAAGGGAGGTTTTTCAATATGGCAAGGAGAACACTGGGGCTCGCGTGTTTACTCGTGACGGTCTGCTTGTGGACGACGTCGAATTTCTTAGCAAGCGTGAGTCGCCCCCGGCCCTAAACAACCTTTAGCAGTCATGTAAATAGAAGGAAAGAGGTTTCGAACAGCTAGCTAACCCGCACGAAAACAATAGTACATTTTTTCAGATCACACCTACGATAAACCCTTCTTCGTCGTGTACATAAACACCTCCATGTTTGCCCTATCCATGATTCCCATCTCCCTCCAACACCTACACAAAAACGGCAGCCTCAGCCAAGTGAAGTGCATAGCGCTGCAAGCATGGCGAGAACGGTCGTTGGCGCCATTGGATGGAGCCGCAGAGCGTATCAAGATGCAGAGCCATCCGGAAGATGAGGATACGACGGCGGGCGAGCGCTTACTCATGGGCTCCGATGATGATGACGACGAAGAGGCAGCTACCCTGGAAGCGCTGGAAGGCATCAATCCACGCCGTGTTGACAAGCTGACCCTCCGTGAAACGGCCTGGCTGAGCCTCGAGTTCTGCATGCTCTGGTTCTTCGCCAACTATTTCGCATCCGCGTGTCTCGAGTACACGAGCGTGGGCTCCGTAACGATCCTCACGTCCACGAGCAGCGTGTGGACGCTCGTCTTCTGCGCCGTCATGAAGGTCGAGGGGTTCTCGGTGCGCAAGCTGGTTGGAGTTCTCGCATCGCTCGCGGGGATTGTGCTTATTAGCACTGTGGATTTGTCCGGTGAGGATAATGATGAGAACAGGGGCAATTTCCCGCACAAGAGCCAGCAGCAGATCGCGATTGGGGATGCGATGGCGTTGTTTAGTGCCGTGGTTTATGGGCTGTACATCACGGTCATGAAACAGCGCGTAGGCAATGAGGAGAGAGTTAGCATGCCTCTGTTCTTTGGGCTTGTGGGAGTGTTTAATGTAATCTTTTTGTGGCCTGTTTTCTTTATATTGCATTTTAGTGGAATCGAACCTGTAAGCTCTCCCTCCCCAACGAAGGAATAGAAACGGTGTATATTCGGTGGCTAACAAAGATTCTGCAGTTCGCCATGCCTCCCACCGGCCAAGTCTGGGCTATTATCCTGCTCAACTCGATATCCTCCTTCATCAGCGATATGTCATGGGCCTACGCCATGCTGCTTACCACGCCCCTCATCGTGACCGTCGGGCTGTCTCTTACCATCCCGCTTTCCCTCGTTGGCGAGATGATTCAGTATCAGCAATTCTCTAGTTTCTTGTACTGGGTTGGGGCAGGCATTGTGCTACTGTCATTCTTATTTATCAATCACGAAAGCCAGGAACAGGTAGATGAAGGCAAGACGGTCCTTGATACCAGTTCGAGGCCGTTGAATGCATAGAAAAATACATTAGCTTGGGGCCGGGCATGGCGTTGTGGGCGGTAATTGCATTTTCATAGAGTATATTGGCACATTCCGAGCGAGCTTTGGATGCGTCAATAACTGGTATAGAAGTTGGTATTAACGACATGTTCCAGAACTGAAGCCATTCACGCCTCCGAGAAGTATGTGTAGTCATTGCGTCCGGGCGGATCTAAGCCATCTGCGAATGAACTTAAATACACCACCGAACACGGAGAATGCATAAACCTTGCGGAGATCAAGTTCCGTATGGTCGGATAGATCAGATCGTCACGCACAAACGGCTGCGCTGTTATGACGCGTGGATTATTAATGTTGTATGCTACAGCAGGTCGTAGTGCCCCAATTTCTCGAGTTTGTCATCTCTCTCTTGGTCGATTCGCTGCAGCCGCCCGCAACCGGAATCAAATCATGCTGAATGACCCAGACTACACAATGGCTGTCCACCAAGCCCTCGTCTGTACCGCTGCTTACTCTGCGTCAGCATGCCAAATTCTCAGCTGAAGTCAGCTCCCAGCTAATCCAGGATCGCGGTTGCTGTCGAAGATCGACCCTTAACAGCATCCGTGCCCTTGTGACGTCCTACGAACTCTAAAACCCGCGCGGCAGTATTCTCCGAGTAACCGGTACCACTTTCCACATTTGATCTATGCCGATCTACGCATTCCTGGATGATTTCCCCGCCAAATAAGAGAAAAGGTCCACCGTATTTCTTGTTGGCGGATGGCGAATTCGAAATTCCCGATCAATGAACCGGTCCCACATGCGGGCTTGGCGGAGGCACACTTCATCCCGCTTCATGGTCCAGTATATCATGACCCGACGTCACAATACCTTACGAAGTCGAGTCGCAGAACTTGGAGACCGTCGACGACAACTGCAAGTGAAGAGCCAGCCGTATCTTGGCCTGACTCATTTTTGATCTTGTGAACAAGCACCACGCATAAATTGATGTCGTGTGTTCGTTTATCCTTCACTCTCGATTTCAGGTGATTACCTTCCGCAAGCACGACTGCTTTTTGCCTTCGTTGATTACCTTATGCAAGCATACAGAAGGAGCTGCACTTTATCCCGTCCCGCATGACGCTTTCCTTCCGCGAACACTGACTCAGAATCTGATGAAACTTGCTTGGATTCACTCGCTCCCCTTTTTCGTCGGGTAGGAAGTCGTTATCAGGCGACCTGTGTTCGTCAGCCCTATGATCAGTTGAGTGGTAGGGGTGCTTGACTTCTAGCGGCTGGTTGGTGCACATCTCTTTCCGTCAGTTGGGCTGTTGGTTGCTTTCCTGTTTCTTCCAAGACAAGACCAACTCGGAGCACCTGCGACTTTCTGACAGCATAACATGGTTTCCTCTGAGCGGGCATTGTGACCTCCTGGCCGAGAACATATTCACTCGTGGGTTGGGTTACTGTCCGAGTCCACAGCCCGTTCATTTTACCTATATCAAACCCCTACAACCACCTCTCAACATGTCGTGATTCTGGTTATCCCCTACATTTTCTCCTAGGTTTGTTGCTCGTCACCCCGCTGTGATATAATGTCATCCAAAACTGCGGACCAGGTCCGCCCTCTCTCAGACTCGATCAACGCCGCCACCAGATCAGTCCACACCAAGCTCAACAAACTCGTCATCTACAGGCTCCCACTAGCTATCCCACTTCGGACCGATGACCCTACCAAATATGTCTCCGGACTTTTGCATATTACTCCTATATACAGCACGTTCGAATCGCTATGGCAGGACATTCTGGACCAGCCTCTTCCGGCATGCAACATCATCTCAGTAGATGAGCACTCATGCCAAGTCTGCAAACCATCTGCTACCATTCACCACACCCACAACGTCCTAGATGCGCCACATCAACCTACCGTCTGCACGAGGATCCACTCTCTCCTAGCACACTTACACACACCCGGCCTGACACGGACGCAAGCCCTCAAGGAAGACATCTTTTCCATCACCGGCTGGCCAAGCTCCGTGATCGAGGAACAGCTCAATCTAGCCTCCGAGAAGACCATTCTCTCGCACTTCGTAACCCACATCCGGCGAGAAGTCCAAGCTCGGCCCCACGTCCTCCTCGCGTACGCCTGGGTCCTCTACATGGCACTCTTCAGCGGCGGGCGTTTTATCAGAGCAACCCTGTCGCGCATAGACGCGTCCTTCTGGTACTCCATCTCGCTATCCCCTCCTGCCTCCATCATGGGCAGGTCATCGTCCTCTGACTCGTCGGAAGACGACGATTCCAACCTGCCACTTAAGTTCTTCACCTTCGACACCCCGCACGATGGCGACGACTTGAAACAGTCGTTCAAGAAACATCTGGCCGAGTCGTCGGCGCGGCTGCTTACGCCACAGGAACGGCGAGATATTGTGGAGGAGGCCCACCGTATTTTTGAGTTTATGATCGAGGCTGTAGGGGAATTGGACGCGGTCTGTGGCACTGACCGGGAGGATATTGCGGAACAACCCGCTGGGGGCCTTATAGGGCGGGTTGGAAGATTGTTGGGACTGAGGACGAGGGATAGTGTGGTTGTGGCGAAGGAGAGGAGGGATTGGAGGCGCTTGGTTAACTCGCATGATGAAGGGAGCGGGAGTGACGGTGAGAATGGGAGTGACAGTGGTAACAGCGACGAGATTGTACCGTTGCCATTGCCGCGTCGTTCTGCCGACGAAGGAAGTGATGAGCTGGAGGATAAATTTGCCCGCGAACATGTCCACTTTGAGCGTTTGACGCGACCAAGGGAAAGCAATCATGTTCCAAGCATGAGTAGGAGGGCTTAAGTTAAGCTGAGTTGAGTGGTAGACGCAGAGTTACGATACCCGCCCGATAGACACGCAGACCAACCTTGTTCCCTATACAGTATTATTCATTCCTGCTCTGAAGCAGTTGTTCACAATAGAATTGTACACCAAGTTACAATCTTACTTTCACATGAAGGTTTTACAGAAAGCTGGTTCGCCTTTCGAAATATGCCAAGCATGAGGTCATCTTTTACTTGGTGTACCGAAGACAACGCCTGTCCTCAATTTCCTGCAGATTACATACACTGCTCGTCTACTTCCTCTTGGCCACCCTCTTCAATGCCCTCATCTCCTTCTTCATGCGAGCATCCTATTTGGGTTAGTACACGGCTTGAATCACAACGACGACATGACACCGAGAATAAGATACTCACCACAATCTTGTAACGGCCCTTGACACCTCTGGGCCGTCCTTGCACACCCTTGTTGGTACCCTTGGCGACGACGACACGGACCTGCTCGCGAGGCTTTTTGCGCCCGGCCTTGGCCAGCAACTTCGAGATGGAGTCTGCCTTCTCTTTCTCCGTCATGCCCTCCTCGTTGGCGAGCAGGTCGCTCTTTTTCTTAAGCTTCTCGAAGCGCTGCGCCGTCTTGAACTTCTTCCGTGCCTTGGCCTCGCGCACCTTCTTGATGGGGCGAGCATTGTACGCTCGCAGTTTCTCCTTGATGGCCAACGCGGCCGCCTTGGTGATGGGCTTGTGCGGCTTGTCGTGTTGGCCCTCGTCGTCTACGAACCAGTCGGGCAGCCCGTCGCGGTCCCGCAAGGCATGCTTGTTGAAGCCATCGTCGATTACGTCGTAAGTCGACTTCTGTCCAGTCGCCAGTTGATGCGCGAGGGTCATGGCTTCGGCCGTGATGATGTCGATGTCTGAGTGCTAGTTTAGTAGGGGAAGAAGTGAAAGGACACGGGGTAAGCTCACCGAGTCGTCCGTCTGGCTTCCGCTTGTCTTTGTCTTCCCAGTCATCATCTTGATCATTCCTTTTCACAACCTCAAAAGGACGTCTATCATCATCTTCAGAGTCAGACGGATCTTCGGTTTCGACAGCCCTCTTCTGCTTCTTGGCTGCTTTTGATTGAGCTTTTTGCCGCTTCGGTGGGGGTATGTCTTCATCTTCGGACGTTTCCCCCATTTCCACACCGACAGCTTCCGCAGCGTCTTCCTCAGGTTCGTCAAGAATTCCAGGTATGTCCTTAAATATGTCCTGGTCAAAGAAGCTCTTGGCTCGTTTGGAAAGTCCACCTGATTCTTCAGGTGTATTATCCAAATCCGTCACTAGAGGTTTTGAAGGTCCCATGTCTTCTTCGTCCGAATCATCGCTACTGTCCATTTCGAGCTTGTCATCATCTTCATCGGATTGCTGCTCATCAGCCGAGACACCTTCCCAATCGTCATCCTTGTGTTCTCGCCTGGCTTTCTTCGCACGGTATTTGGCGTCTGCTTCGGCCTTTCGTTCCGTGTATTGGTTGTACATGCCGTCGAGTTCTCGTTCAAGACGATCCTCTTCCTCATCAGACTCGTCGTCAGTCTCCCCGGATGAGCCGATTCCGCTGTCCCGATCCTTCTTGGCTTCCGCTTCGCTCAAAACTGCCATTCTGCCTTTTGCGATCTTGCTGATCGCAGCCTTCTTGTCGATTGGCTTGAGTGCAAACATGGCATCACTCCCTTGTGGGCCTGTCTGCTCTATGCCGATATCCATGGGAGCAACCATGTGCAACTGCATGCGTACAATTTCCTTTTGCTTCTTCTCGTTCTCTCTCCTCCTTTCGCGCTTCCGCTTATTGCTGTCTCTGTCCTTCATGGCTTGCAATTCCTCCTGGAGTTTCAGTTCCTCGTCCATGGACTCAACGTCGGCAACTTCACTGGTCTCCTCGGGTAGAGCAGACTTCTCCTTGTCCTGTGTTGTTTTCTTGGTGGGAAACCCGAACTTTTCGCGGACCTTCAACCTCCAGCGGAGAAGCAGCTTGAACTCTTTCCTTCCGAGCACTTTTAGATCGGCGCAACATGTACGAATCTCATCCGTAGTTTCTGGCATTTTGTCCAAAGCTGCCAATGCTACATCACCGTTTGGGGGCTGCTTGAAGTTGAGTTTATTGTAGCCACCCAACACAGCAATGGGGTCGAGGGTCTGAATGAACTCGCTAGCAGAGATTTCCTTAAACTGCAAGTACTCATCCTCCTCGTAACCTCCTCTCTGGCGGCGCTTGACTTCGGGATTGAACACCTTGACCTCATTATTGGGAGCTGGGTCTTTCAACTCGGCGAACACCGATCTGGGATCGAGGAATCGGGGGTCGATTTTCTTGGGAGCCTTGAAGCCACGGCATACAACGAAGATTTCAGCAGATACATTTCGAGACGAGGGAGGCTTAGTAGCTTCGACCTTGGCGAAGAGCTGTTTGAAGACCCAGAGCAAGGAATTGTAATCCTTGGATCGAAAGACCTTGGTGACGAAGGTGCCGCCCTCAGCCAGGAATTCAGTAGCGAGCTTCATAGACTGGAGCGCAAGTTCGGCTTGATTGAAGGAATCCTGGACCCATGCTGTACCGACGTTGGGAGCACCATCGTGGAGGACGGTGTCGGCTTTCCATGTCTTGAAGTGCTGACGGATGGTTGCTCTGCACTGGTCGGTTGTAATGTCGCTCTGGAAGGTGATGACTCTCGGGATTGGTTTGATCGGGGAGAGATCAACTCCCACAATAAGACTGCCCTGGGGCATCGTCTCGGCTGCTACTTGACACCATGACTGCCAACGCCAACGATTAGACGAGTTATTTGTTTGCAGGCTTGATGCAACTTACGCCAGGAGCGGCGCAAAGATCCAGCAGGACCTTGCTTTTCTCCAAGAAGCCATATTTTTTGTTCAGCTGAATCAGCTTGAAGGCAGCTCTGGCTCGGTAACCCTTCTCTTTCGCGAGCTTGTACCATTTATCAAGACGGCCTTTGCCGTTCTTCTTCTGGATCGCCATTGCGAGGAGGGGTGTGGTCGGGATGCGAGTTGGCTGACTTGAACCAAACTGCTCGCTCGTTCTACAAAACCGACCCGCCAGAAATTTTGAGATTTGCAAGTCCCAAGTCCTGCGATAAGAGCTTATCAGCTAGCGGGTATAGCGCCCCGCCAACGCTTTCCTTCTGAGCTAACGCATTGAAATGGGTCTGTCTACAGGTGTTCACCAGCCACTTTTACTCTACACTAACAGCCGTGCTTGCCACACTTTACTTGCCTAATGCCCTAGTACTGCGTAGATTCTGGTACAAGCCCTGATAAATGCATGCCGGGATATTCGGTAGTGTATTCGCCGATGAGTTCACCATGCCGGTGCGGTGCATTCGCTTGGCCGTGGTGAAGGGTAAGGACTAGCGAAGGGTAGCTAGAGAAGTGTACAGAGTACGGGGGAGGGATTATCCGGAGCTAGTATAGGGAAGCCCTGCGAGGCGTGGTGGCATTGTCGCATGTGGTAATGAGCAGGTCCCCACGTCGGGTGCGGTGCTCTCAATTGGCTGGCGGCACAGTGCGCCCCCAACGTCACGAATCTCGTGTAAGTCGAGTTCGCGTCGTCTAGGCGTGTTTTTACGCGGTGCCACTTAAAAGGAACAAGATACCACCTCCCCCACTGCACCGGCACCTTCCTGCTCAAGTGTACGTAGGAGGTCCAGAGTCTGACAGTACATTTCCTCGTACGTATCATTGATCATGACCTACTTAGTTTTATAGCATTTCTCTTTTGTTTTTTGGGAAGTTGGCCACCAGTCTCATCCACTTTGGACGATCCAAAAGCTCGTTATGGCAGGCAAGACCGTCACCATGGCGGATCCCATATCTAGCTCTCCGCCTCGAAGAGACAGCTCCAGGATACACTCCTCCCCGCCGAGACGAGCCAATGCCAAAGAGAGAAGAAATCCGTCCATCACACCTAGGAAGTTTCGACGCTTCTTCACTCCGAGACCGCGTGTACCGTCTCATCACGCATCGGGTCATATAAGTCCGGCTCGTGAGGCCTTGCGCGAGCTGGCCGCTCCCCGTATCAACCGCTCTAGCTATCAGACACCGGCTCCCTCGAGTCCCTTAAAGGCTCCCATGAGAGACGAATACTATCAGGATGAGGGTCATGATGCCTACAATACTCGGGCTAAACGGCGCAGATTAGAGCACACGCCCGAATTATCACCAATTCGTCCACGATACCTCGAACCGAGCCTCATCAGCGCAGAATCCCCCGGACGGACCAATCCAGCACTCCTGAGTCCCATTGGATCAATGCGGTCATGTCAGGAGAGTATGGACACGGACGATAGCGAGTATGATGAGAGCAATATGGGTGATCATAGGCCGACCAGCCGCCTCGCACCGTTGACAAGCCGTGGCCTCACTGGTCATCTTTTGCAACGGCAACTAGGTGGTATCCCCAGGGCTGGAAGATCATATATGGCATGCCCGGTGTCTGGTTCGTAGAGCCTTCCAATTGTTACTCTGGCTATGCAGAGAGACTGACATGCCATCAGATTGGAGGACAGAAACCGCCGACTTCTACACTCGGCCTGATGATGCTTACCATTGTACAAGTTATGATGGCTCAGGTCGCTGTATACCCTTCTGTACAGCAACGTGTCATAGTATGGCCTAGTCAATGCCTCATATCCTACGTGTGTACCTCAACTAACAACTCGATAGCAAATAGCCTCGTAGCTGTCGGCGACGAAGAGGGGCGAGTCCGCCTTCTTGAGTCCTCGGGCGACGACTCGCAATCTTTCAGCAAAACCCACCTGTCCTTCCAGGCACACAGCAATGCCATAATAGACCTGGCCTTTTCGTCCGACGACTACCTTCTGGCCACAGCATCCGGTGACCAGACTGGCCGGGTTATAGATATGATGACTCAAACACCCATTGCGTTTCTTCATCATCATACGGCCTCCCTAAAGCAAGTGCGGTTTCAACCTGGAAAGGCGAACGGCTCTGTTCTAGCTACATCTTCGCGTGACGGCAGTGTTCAGATATGGGATCTCCGGTGTAAGGGTCCAGTACAAGACATTCCACCTCTTCCTGACCGTGAGGCTGGCATAGGCTTCCGTTTGCCTTCACCAAAAGCAGGTTGCGTCGTGAACAGTTTGAAGAATGCACATGCCATAATTTCTGGACAGCCCCGGCAAGCCACAGCCGGCGGACCCGGAGATACACCTTCCAGAGGCGAAATTCCAGGCCGCATTGGGGACGTATCCGTCACAGCTCTTCACTTCCTCCCCGAGGGACAGGAGCACCTTCTCCTGACAGCATGCGAAGCAGACGCCTCTATCAAACTTTGGGATATTCGAACAACGTCGCGAGGCAAGAACACACCAGTGTCCATCACCGCTCCGCCAACCTCCCATTCGCACTGGCGTCCCTTCGGCATCTCATCTCTGGCCCTCAGCAGCGACAAATCACGCTTGTATGCCCTTTGTAAGGACAACACCGTGTATGCATACTCGACACCGCACCTCATACTAGGCCAAGCACCTGATCTTGCATTGCGTGAGCCGGCACGGAGAAGATACGGTAATACAACATATCAGGGTCTGGGGCCCATGTACGGCTTCCGCCACCCCTCCTTCCACGCCACGAGTTTCTATGTCAAGTGCGCGGTACGGCCTGCACGCGATGGACGCAGCGAGTTGCTTGCCGTAGGAAGTAGCGACGGGTGTGCGGTAGTGTTTCCCACGGCGGAGCGGTATTTCCGTGATGACTTGTCCGGCGCCATGTCTTCGATGAGTCTAGAGAACTCTACCATCGCAACTTCGCGCTCAGCAACCCCTATTTCGGCGGCGCCACCCAAATCTGGCTTCCCGTCCGAAAGAGGCTCGGGTGTCCGCAGACCACTTTTCCAATTACAGCGGACCAACACCGCGTCATACATGAACAAAGACGATATACCGATTGTACGAACTGGAACACCGCTCGTCCGAGGCCATGATCGCGAGGTTGGCGCGTTAGCCTGGACGGATCGCGGCAAATTGGTCACGGTCGGCGATGATTACTTAGTCCGTTGCTGGAGTGAGGGCCGGGACCAGGCAAGAGACCTGAGAATCGGTGGTGAGACAGGTGGCAGGCGATGGGGATGTGGATGGGCCAATGTGGGCGAAGCCTGGGACGGCGATTTTGAAGATGATTGATGAATTGCGTACCAATACCAGCGTTGCTTAGAGCTTTGGGTTCAGCATTTGGGCTGATTTGGAGTCAGCAGGAGTTTGATTTTGCATTGTAGCCCTCAATACCCACTATAGTCTCGTTTAGTTGTATAAGTTGGCTAGATTATACAGACATGTTGAATATTGCCGCAACTCTGTCTACACTGCGAAAGAAGTTGTATCAATGATTATGGTCCACTTTACTCACAGAATTGAGATGTACGGTAGCTGCCGGGCATGCAAAAATTGACTAGTAAACCCAGGCGCTTTCTGCGAAGCCCAATGGCGAACGACATTGAAGCAAGCAAAGCGACCGACTTCCACCCCTGAAGGGAGATTCAAACGTAGTACAAAGTTGGAATCATGGTTCATTACGGAAGGTTTGAAGTGTTATGAGAAAGATGATTACTTTGTAAGTAAAACGCAACGATCGAGTCAGGCCGGTAAGAGGTTGTTAGAAAGTCCCTGGCAAGCATATAATACAGTTGATGTGCGAGCTCGTAGATGTTATGTCCATCTAGAGCAGCATTCTTGAACCTCAGGATGCCCCAGCGCGTAGACCCAACATGGAGAAAGGATCGCATAATATAGTAACCAAGTCAAGTTGCAATTCTCAATAGTGCCTGCTGGTTCCCCGACTAATATGCGGAACACTCTGGTGGTATCTACAAGTTTGTTCTCGACAGGGCGTCGTCTGCATCAGTTGCAGCTCCACGCACCGCCCTGCACTCACTCCATGCGCAGCCTTTAGTCTATCACCGCTTCCCAGCAGTCCGCCGGCTCTTCCCTAACCTGGCCGTCTTGACAGTCTTGCCTTTCGTGCCTGTCTTCATCCGCTTGGCACTGAACCCGCTCATGTCTCCCGAGCTCGCGGCGTCGCCAGACTTGGCGTACTTCTTCTTGCCGCCGTGGCCGTACTTCTCGTTCTTTTTTTGGCGCTTGGGGTTGGGGCCGCCCTTGTCGCCACCACGGCCCTTGCCGGCGCTGTACTTTCCGATCTCCTGTTCAACACCCACATCGAAGATGTCCGCCTCGGTCGCTCCCACGTCACCGGAGTTTTCTGAGCGCTCTGTAAGTGGGTTAGCATATATGTGAGGATGTATTGGTCCATGGCCAACGTACTTCTCTTCAGCAGGTTTATCTTGTCCAGCGTCTCCCGCTTGGCCTTGTGTCTCTCCTGCAACTTGGCAACTTGCACCTGCTTGCCAAACTTCTTCAAGTCTCTTTGCTTGCGCGCCTCCGCCGATGCCTTCTTGGCGCTTGCCGTCTCGATCAGCTTGGCTTTCACCTTCTCCATTTGCCCGTCATCCTTAACCATCTCCGCGAAGTAATCGTTTGGCCGTTCAAAGGGTACGCCCTCAGCCTTGAGGAGTTTGCGCGCGCGCTTGGCTGCATCTAAGGCCTGGGAATAGAAGGTGAGTTCACGCTGTTGAAGTAGGATATTAGCATACGGAGTAGTGCGGTGCATCAATCGATCTTGCTCCTACCTTCAAGTCATCCTGAACGTCCTCAATGGCGTCCGCTGTCGGTTCTACACCCACAATGGTTTGATGTGTTGCGAATGGAACGGATTTATCGGTCGGCAGACGAATGCGATTCAGGGAGGCCAGCAGAGCGGTTGTGTTATTGATTGTGAGGCGAGTGAAGGGGATCAGATCCTCCTTGTCTTCGGGGGACAGATCCTCCAAGTCGCTTACGGGAATGTCTTCCTCGTCCTCCTCCTCTTCCTCATCGTCGTCATCTTCTGCTTCTGCGATTAATTTGGCGGCTTTGGCATCTTTGGCAGCTTTGATAGCTTTTTGCGTCGGCTTAGGTTTCCGTTGGATCTTCTCCTCCATTTCCACCTCAGAGTCGCTGTCTGACTCGTCTAATTGTGCGATATCAAATGTCTCTTCGTCGCTCGCATCCTCGTCGTCTGACTCGTCTTCTTCGAGATTGGAATCGCCGTCCTCAGCGTCGTCTTCCTTCACCGGCTTTGCCCCGCCCTTGCCAGTTTCCTTCTTTTTACGTGCTGCCTTCTCCTTCTTTTTCAGGGCGAGCTTATGGAAGTCGACTCCCCTCTCTGCAGCCAAAGCTGTCTTCAGCTTGCTTTTAGTCACCATGGTTATGGTTGTTTGCAGGGTAGATTGATTGAACCGGAAACCTCTGCTGGACTACTGCTCGAAATATTTCTGCAGGGTCGCAATTGGAAAGCTCCAAAGCTCCGGGCAGAAAGAAAATTTGGGCGGTGACGAGCTTGGGCCGTCCAAGTGGGGCCTATCCTTTTATCAATGCCAAGAAACCTTCCATTCATTGCCTATTGGAGCTTAAACCTCTTGTGATGCAGTTGGGATTTTTATCTACAAGAATTCCCAAACCACTCGGTTTGAACAGCTCGGGGAAGCCGTGCACCAAAGATTATTGCACAGGCGAGTAAGATATCGGTAGGTTGAGCTCCAACATCATCTAACCCTAACCCTCATACGACTAGCCAAGAGCGGTTGGACACCGCTCATGTTATTTATCTACGAGGATCAGCGTCAAGTAAAAAGTGGCAATAAGTATATGGTCATCATAACAGCCCTCGTCTGCAGCATGTGTCCATTTAGAGGTAATACCAGGAGACTCGGAGTAGTGCTGAAGCTCTTGGTCGCTTGAACCCGTCAAATGAGATGGAAACAGATGAATAAAGCGCCATTAAGTATTGTGATTCTGTAACTTCCCATCAGTATAACAGATTATCGACCATATATCACATTCATAACAGTAACAATAAAGTTTCTCACCCAGTTCGAATGCTCCCAACTTTCCATTAGAACCAACCCTACTGAGGTATCAATATAGCATACGAGTTGAACCAGTCGTTAACAGGCACTCAAAGATGGCCCACAACTTAGAGAACAACCTATCGTCCAGCGTCCAAGTCAAGCAGAGACCGCTTTCAGTCGACAAATCAATGGCATCCTCTCCCGAAATGCAAACGCCTTCTGATCCAGCTAGTTCTTACTCTTGTCGCAGGGCTCCGAGTTGAAATTGAAGATGAGATTTGTGAGTAGAAGCCTCATCTCGTGCTAAGTCATATACTAGCCTGAGTAGTTTTCCCTATTGAGAAGGGCTGGTGGGCATTACGCTTGTTGCATATTCGGTCGACAAGCCACCTCTCTGGCACAAACTTATTGAAATCTGTAAGAGAGCGGTAGATCGGTATGCGATGGACTTATATATGCATGTACCTATTGTGCAGTTGGTGATCAGTCGCTACTTTATCCTGACCTGAAAATCCCCAGTCCATGGGACAACTATGTTTCCATGAGTGGGAAGTCGAGGACACGCCTGATGTTGTCCGCGATGCCGACTCGAAAGAGGATATGCAGCCATGATTTACCAGTCGGTCGAAGTATACTACGTGTTGTCGATCAGATATGGGGTGCCCAGAAGTGAGATTCTGGTGATCCGACAAAACTTCGACTGGGAAGCATGACCCTTGTAGGTAATGTCTCCAGTGTTTGAAGGCTTGTACAATCGCCCCCATTTCTTGATCGGGCACCCCCCAGTTGAGCTCGGCCCCTTTCCATTTTCTGGAATAGAAGGCCACCGGGTGGTACCGCCCTTAATCATCCGGTTGCGACAACACACCGGAGCAGGCGTCTTTGGATGCATCTGTTTCTAAACGAATCGGTCTCTCAGGGTCGAAATGCCGAAGCAAAGGCGTCTGCGAAAAGGCGTCGCGGAGTTGGCGAAATGCCTGTTCCGCGTCGAGAGTCCACTCCACTTTGCCCGGTTTCTTTCCTTGTACGCTACCCTTGAGCAATGAAGTCACGGGGCCGCGATTTTGGGGTACCCCAAGATAAACCGACGGTAGAAGTTACAGAAGCCCAAAAAGGACTGCACGTCGTGATAAGTATCAGGACGAGGCCACTGCGTGGTTGTGTCAACGCGAGCCGGGTCCATGGAGATTCTTTTGTCAGAAATGACATATCCCAGGAATTCCACTTCGCCCTTAAAGAATTCGCATTTTGCGGTATTAGCGTATAGCTCAGCTTTCAACAGTTTTTCGACCACTTTCCGCAAGTGCTCCGTATGTGTGTCCTTATCTGGAGAGAAGATTAGTATTTCGTCGAGGTAAGTCACACAACAAATGTCCAATTCTTCCTGGAGGACGGAGTTAATGTAAGATTGGAACGTAGCTGGAGCGTTACAGAGGCCGAAGGGGATTACGAGGTACTCGTAGTGACCGTAACGCGTACGAAAGGCCGTCTTCCACTCGTCCCCTTCCCGGATACGGATACGGTGATAAACTTCTTTTAAGTCGATTTTCGAAAACACCTTCGCGTTAGCAACTCTATCTAGTAGTTCGGAGATGAGGGGTAAGGTGTAGCGATTTTTAGTAGTAATCTGGTTTAGTCCTCGGTAGTCGACGCATAATCGCAAGCTACCATCCTTTTTCGGGATTAAAAAGACAGGGGCGCCCGCTGGGCTAGATGACTTTCGGATTCGACCTTGTCGTTCCATCGATTTGATGTAGTTTTTTAAGATTTCGAGGTCGTCTCGCGCCATCGGGTAGATAGGAAAGTGAGGTGGTTCGGTATCCGGAAGAAGGTCAATAGCGTGGTCAACACCTCGCCTCGGGGGTAAGGTAGTGGCCTTGCTAGTATTTAAGAATTCCGTGAACTCGTGCAGTTCTGACGGGATCTGGTCGTCTCGAAATAGAGGTTCTGATAGTTCGTCGTCTTCGAGAGGGGTTCCTTCTGGAATCGAGAGTACGGCATGGACAATTGCTCGATGCTTGCACGCCCTCTTAAATTTCGCAGCGGAAATCAGCTCCATCTGTGTAGAGTTGATGCCGAACCAGAAGCGGTTTGAGCGCGAGTGTAGAAAGATATCCAGCGAATGTAATGTAGGTTGTCCAAACAGAAGGGGGCTCCCGTTGACTCTAGGGTCACGATCGATCGCTATGCAGGGGCGTCGGAAGCGTCGAACCCCATTTCGACAGTCGCGCATAGTAGCGTTAACCCAATAGACTCCATACGTCTTTGGGAACAAATCGCCTGCCGATTGTATCGCTATTGATTCGACAGGTGCCTGTGCAAGGCCCATTTGCTTTGCGAATTCCACACTCACGCAGTCAACCATAGAATGTGTATCCAATCCCACCATAGTCTTTGTTTCTCGGGAACTATATCTTGGTGATTGGATCTGACAGGGTACCAAAAAACAAGCATGTGTCCCTAACGAGAAGCGATTTGGTTTGGTCGTGACGGTAGGGTCGCCTACGACCCGCTTTCGTTTCCCCCTTGAAGTTCTTCTACCTTCGCGGGTGCCTTTTCGGGGCACTCAGGGACGAAATGATTCCAACTCCCACAGCAATAACAGATGAGAACCTTTCCGTCGGAGTCACGGGCTTTCACGTCCTCTCCTCGTGTGACCTTTTCGGGTTTCGCTTGTGTTACGCCTTGTCGTTCCACTTGGGTTCCCCCACGGCGGTTCCCGCGATTTCTTCCTCGGTATCCCCCACGACCCCACGGGGTCGCTGTCGACTCCGTCTTGGGCTTCTTGTTTGCACCTTCGGGAGCAATCGCTTCGTCATGTTTTCGCTTTAGGGACTGTATCTGGTCCCAGTAGAGGGTCGCAAGGGGCACCATTTCCTGCCGGTTTTGAGGTAATGTCCCCTTGGCCGCTTCCCTGATTTTCAACCTAAGATCTTCCTGTAATTTCCCGTAGAAATAAAGGGCACGATCGGGTTCGGGTCGCGGAGGTCTTTTAATCTCCCATGAGGAGAGATAGATGTCGAAGTCTTGGGGATGTTGATCCGGTCGGTGTTTTGCTTCTTCAAGCGTATCCGCAATATTGGCTTCTGCGTTTCCGGATCGGTCTAACCACTGTGCTGTCCATTCCTTGAATCGATCCCAGTCCGACCGTTTAGCATGGAGTGCAGCTGCTCCTTCGAGGGCTGCAGCTTGGCATTCCCCTTCCCAATTCCCCTTCCCAATTCTCTTGACAAACTAGCTCCATCTTGGATAAGGCGGTGCGAATCATCTGTGCCGGGTTGTCATCGTATAGTCCCGGGGCAGATAAGAAGCATCGATCTAGCTTAAGGAGCCAGGCGTTTCGCTCACGAATCGTGAATCTTTGTTCGAAGATTGGTATATCGTTTAATAGGTCGATATCCTTTGTCTTCCTTTTACCCTCATGAGACCTAGATCTCGACGACCGACGGCGCCGTCCGATACGTTGTCCTCCGATTAGTTCCGCCGCTATCTTATCTTCTCGGTCCGCTAATTCCTTCCATTCTTCAAATCGTTAGACACGCGCACGTTTCGCCGCTAAGTCGGCGTCGGTAACTTCAAGGTTTGGCGACGTTTCTGGAGGTGGGGTAGTAGGTTCCGAAGAGGATGTTCCTGCGTCCTCTCTATGAGCTGTCTTCCCGGCCCTAGGATTCGACATAATTGTGGGTAGCCTATGTGGAGGTTTCTTAATTGTAACAATAAGTGAGGTGTGAGTAGAGGCCAGGCATAATCGTCAATTCCTAACGCCAGTATCAATTAGGTACAAAGAAAGAAACTTGCCCCTGGAAGAGTCCTTGGTGCTTCGAGCACTATTTGAGTGTCCTAGAAGGTTTTGTTGAAACGCCATCGGGCCCGATCGCGACCTTCTAGCCCATTCGAATTCTAGCTTGTGACAGGCTTATCCTGCGTGTAGTCCTGTATATTCTACTTTAGAGTGTGCCTTTTTATTATCCTTCGTACTCCTAACGATTATTTCCTCGTAGCTACTTGAGCTACTTGGATCGGGTTCTTCCCTTTCTTCGGAACACTTAATACTAGGAGTTGATTTGTTTGGTTTCCTTCATTTCTTTGTCCTCTTTGTCCTCTACGGAAGTCCTCTATCTTACTTTACCAGGATATTCGACCCCTTCATATAGTATAATCACTCCTAGACTTTAGGTTTTAGGGGCAAATCCGGTCTTTCCTTTCCGCTTCGGGCTAGCTATAGCCCAACTACTTTCTTAAACAGGACGTTCGGTGAACTCCTTCAGGACTAACGAAGGCCCTAATAGCGGTAATAGTATTTTGCAGACGCTCTGTAGTATTCTCGAGCCGAATTCGAATACGTTTTATTCGATCTGTCTTAGAGTAGGTCAATGAGGCCTTTGGGGTAGCTTTTGTACGGGATTCGGATCTTCTTTTAGGCGTGGTCGCAGTGCGGTCTCGTTCGGAGCAGGAACAAGCAGTATAGTATACGACGCCAAAGAACGATACAATTCAAATGGGAAATTCTGTAAAATAAAAGGTCCGTATTTATAGCAACATGAAAAAATCACATCATTACGACTCATATGCTTCTCAGCCGTCTTGTGACTCGACTGTGAGAAGTTTATTACGACGGATGACTGGCTACCTGGCTGCCTGGCTTGTCTGGACGGTGTTGAACGCAACGCATTTCCAACTGATGCTAGTTCCTCACGCATCATGTCTGAAATCGATTAAATGCTATTAAGCATGACTGTCATTGGACAGACGTGCATGACGACTTGCAGCTGCCCGCATTAGGATTAATATGCCTTGCAGTGTAGAATCTAACCACAGCTTTCACTCCAAACGAGGCTCTGTCCCGTCTGCCTTGCACTCACACTCACCATCCGTCCCAGTATCGGTATCACGATGTCTAAGATCCCTAAATGGCGCCTGAAGCAAAATATTCCTAAACGCTTGATAGCCATCAAGCTGCTCATTCGAGAACTTCCCGAACATCAGAGCACGGAAGCTGCTCCAGTTCTGCAACCACTCGACCTCATCCTCAGAATGCTCCCGAAGTAGTTCTTCTACCTTCAACTCGTCTCCATTATCAAGCCAGTCCAGCTTTTCGTCTGCAGTAGAATGTCCGCGGTGGTACTGAGGCCGGATCTGTTTCCAGGGCTTCTCATCACAGTCGCACGTGGTCCAGGTCCCCTCATCCGGGCCGGTGAAATCCGGTGCGGGAGGCAGTTTGCCTTGATTCAGGTAGGCGCGGATGTGCTTGATGGTGCAGATCGAGGTACACGAGACGGAGCAATGCCCCGATGATTGTTGCTCGACGATGCTCGCATTAACGAACTTGCGGGTCATTTTCAGAGCGGCGTGTAGGGGTGTCACGGGATCGAGATGGCTAGACAGGAAGAGCAAAGGGAAGTCAGTCTCGATCGGTGCGGGTCTATGGGCCGGGTGGTCATCCCAGCGCATCGGTGGGTCTTTTGCTTCTATGTCCCAACTGTTGCAGCCCATCATGAGGCTCATCCAGACGTCAGCAAAAGAAGAATACGAGGCCAAGTCCTCGAAACGTTTTTGGAGTTCGGGCAATGTTTCGTTCATCTACCCGGATGATTATTATCGACGGTACTGAAAGATGTTAATCCGTGATGGCTCACCGTATATCGCTTGTCACCGCACATAACTGCTCTTTGGGCATCGTCCGGCCAGATAGGCAACGATATATTGCGGCAGTAGGCGGGTAATGTTGGCGGCATGGTAAAACGGTGCAGATCGCGATTTTTTAAAATCATATTCAACAGGTCTGCTATCGCAGGGTACGAAACGATAGGGGAGTAGAGGGATTGGAAAAGGACCATTTTTATGTCGCTCGCGGTCAAGATGACCGGGAGGTTGACTTGCGGATGTAGCACAATTCTCGGCTCTTTATCCAAAGATGCCATGATCTCGCTGTGGCGATTCTTAATGTCCGTTGAAGAATCACCAAGGCGATAAAGAGCACATCTCGGGCCGGCCTCGTGGCAGTAACTGAAGAAACTATCCCATATCTTGTCGGCATCGAGGAGGCTGTCCATCCAGACAGGCTCTACGTAGTGGTCAGCATCGACGACGCCATCCAAGATGACTCGTCCGACTCTGCAACAACGGGAGTCAGTAATTTTTATCACCTTGCGAGGATATGAGGGACATTTTGGAAGTCCTAACTCGTGTCCGAAGAGCAAAAAAACACTGCGACAGCTCGATTATGCATGCACCTGTGGTTTTGGAGACAGACGAGAAAGGGGCAACAATAACTTCCAAAGTTACATACTTGTCGGGAAACATGGCAGCGAACGTTGCTCCGAGAAGAGTGCCATAACTAAAACCCCAATAAACAAGCTTTCCTTGGGTGGTCACAGCAGACGTCGATTCCGATGCGGAGTTCATCTCTTGTAGATGGGACGGCATCTTGACTTCCGCATGGCGCGCAGACTCTGTAGGCTTGGTAGGCTTAGTAGGCTTGGCGGGTTTGGCATCATGCCCCGTCGATCTCCACTCATCCCAAGCATGGACGATGGAAAGCATGTCTCTAGCACCATTGGCAGTATTAGCATACTGAAATATGCTATTATTGCCGTAGCGGTCGGAAACGTTTTTGCACTGTTGCGCCGCGGCCCTGGATCGAACATCGATCTTTCCAATTGCGACGTTGCTCGAGTTGACGAGACCAACGTCATGCCCTGATAAGGACCAGGCAAGCCTGTTCATGAGGGCAGTATTACGGTCATCAACGCCCGACCAATTCTCGGACACTTCGAAACAGTCAGCCTTGGGCAATGTCGCTCCAACGCCACGGGGATCGAAGCCGATTATATCGTGGTTTCTGCCGACGATTCCGGCGAGCATCGGAGCGGCGGCGGCGACGAACATTGTTCCACTTCCACCGGGCCCCCCGGGATTGACGAGCAGCGGCGATTCCGCATAGGACGCTGGGTCATCGGTGCGCCCTTGCCCCGGAGCCAACACAAGGGCAATGTAAACCTTGGGGTGGTCGGCCGACTCATTGAGCGGTCGGTGGTAGTCCATAGGGACAGTAAGTCGGGCACACCTCAAAAGGTATGCAGCAGCAGAGAAGCACGGGTGCCACTGAAGTTTCTCATGTGGCTCAATCTACACAATAAGTGACAACTCAGTCCTTGGCTGCAGTTTTGCCAGAAAATCGACCTTTCTTGGGAAAGCTTACTTTATCCCAGTGGATGCCTCCATCATCAGGAACATGGGCAGGGAGATCTCCCGTTGAGCGCAAGGCATGCCAATTGATGGTGACGGAATATCGTACGATCCAAACGAAAGCCAGGGAAAGTAGGAGGGTCGATGGGCGGCAACCCCAGATTCGATTTCTGGGCGCCGGTCGAACGGTCGGGGTGCATTGCCTGTCTTTCTCACTAGGCGCCATGATTCATTAATGGAGACGTCACTTCGCGCTTAACTGACTGAAGTAGATGGAAGATGAAGCAGAGCAGAGAAGAACATATCTGACTCGAGATTGTTCAAAGGAGGCGAAGGTCGAGCGTAGGACTCTGCGCCTGGTCTACACATTTCAGCTGTCGTGGTTACGTAGCTATGCGCAATCGACAGGGAGCATCATTCGGTTTCGACCAATGGCGTTGACTCAAGCACTTAGAGGTTGCAGGAAGGTATCGAACAACGGGCTGACAAACATCGCCAGTTATTTCTGTAGGAATGTCTGCAGCCTCGAACTTTGCGGGTGTTTGGCACACAGCGACGAAGAATTGGTATTTCGCTCTATTCTAAAAATGGAGGGGTCTTCCCGCCTGCGTGCTTCATTGTTCGTTCCTTGGAAACTCGCGACAGAGGAAAACAAGACAGGGTTGAACTGCTGAAGATAGGCGACGCTCGGGCTGCCAAGATAGGCTCGTTTCGCGCTAAAAAGGAGCCCCCAGCTTCCCAGGTTCCAGGGTGGTCGTCAGCGAGAACCGCCAAGCGGAACGCCAAGCGGAGCACGACAACTTCACAGAGGTTCCAAATTTTTCTTCAACTTGAAATCACTAGGACTTTGTTTTGAGGCTTTCAATTTGCGTCTGAAGCGTCCATTGATTCTTTCCCATGCCCCTGCCCACTTCGTAAGCTCGATGTCCACCCGCGACGGGACCCCTTGACTATTGTCCGACAGCTGTCAAGTTGCATCGCCGATTGTCCATCCTAACCTCACATCCGACCTGGAGACTGTTCCAACTTCCTTACTGGCCCATCCGTCTCTTGGCTGTGCTTCGGTTTCGTCGATAGGAGGCGTGAATCAGAAACCCCCGAATTCATTACCAGAGCTCCGTCTTGGCCAAGTTGACGATCGATCGTGTCCCCGCTTCGTCTTGGTAATGCCTCGTACTTCTCTCATTGTCCTTTCATCCAATGTCAGGACGAAGCATGACCAAACCAGCTTCTAGTCCCAGAATAGTTCAGGTTCGGAGTGCAGGCCACAGGTTTGCCCATGCCAAAGTTGGTTGACGTACACTCAAACTTCGGCTACAGATCACGGACAGCCTGTCTGTCACGTCTTAGTCCATCTCTGATCTCTTCGTCCAGACTTGGGTTGGCTGTATGATCGCCCGCAGAAACCTTTACTTCCCGCATCGGCTGCAGATGTCATAATATCAGTTATATCCTTACGCTGGTTACAAAAGTAAAGTCTTGGAAGTTAGAGGTTGCCTGCAAAAAGCATGCGCCATCGTGATGAAGATCTGCACTGGTCGAGCCTACAGCTCCTGCAACGCTCTCAGTTCTCGTCGGCATTTGAACCCTGGTTCCCAGCTACGCAAGTAACCCAGTAGGTAGATAAAACCAAGTGTTTCTTGCTGACTAGACCTATTGTAGAGAAAGTCGCCTTGGGGCAGTTTGGATCTAAAACATCGAGCGGCACTTGACGATTGCGTCCTCTTGTCTTGGCTGCATCCACGCTTCAACCCTAGCACCCCAGAATACCAATCTACCCAGGTCCAGGCCTAGCAACGCATATGGCCAAAAGGTGGTCAAAGACCAGCACAAAACATGGGTCTCCATGTCGCTGGATGCTAAAAGAGCTTGTTAATCTCTTGGCGCACTGGGCGTGGGCGCAACGTACTGCGGTACTTGGGCGCTTGATGATGGCCTTGGCAGGTCTCAAGACTGACTGACCCACTCGCTCAACAATACTCGTCTCACCGTGCCTACCAGTGTTCGACTCGCCGCATTGATGGTTCACCATACTTGGCAACTCCAGCCAAGAGCCTCATCATTACGGCAGCTACGCTGATCCGCTCTCTCGACGATGCTTTACTCTGTTCCGACTCGTTTCAAGAGGTTCTGGCATTGTTTGCCAGCAGGGATAGAGTGAAGATATCACATCCCGGTCGTGCTGTGGTATTCTGACCAGTGCTCATGGGTTGTTTTTACTGTTAAGATACAGAAACGCTTGGCAAGCCAGGATTTGAGGCTTCTATGTGGACCATGTCGTGGAGGGTGCTGCCCAGAGGCTCAAAGTCCTTGCTCGTGGCCCAGATACACTGACATATATGAAGCTCATCGTATCGTCTCTAACCTTTTTCTTTTCTTCACTCAGCTGCGCTCAAGTCCTGAATCTAACTCTTTCGTTTCGGTTCCTCACTAATTCTATTCTCCTCGCTGGTCGCCGCTGGTCGTTTTTGTTTATACTGTACTAAACAATTAGTTACTTTCGTCTCTACAACAAACCGAACCAAACCAAACAAAGTCGGTCTTCCAAAACAATTAAAGATGGTCAGATATCACCTCGTTGCCGCCGCCCTTGTGGCCACTGTGTGCTCTCTACCTTTGAACATCAACCTCGGAGCCTACTCACCTGCCTTGTAAGTCACGCAACTGACTACTGGACAGCAACTTTGCTACGGACCGGAGACTGACACCACAAAAGGGTAGTAGGTGATGGTGAAATATCTTTCGGAGGAAACCAAGATGTAACAAGTCTGATGAACGCTCTCGAGGGCGCCGCAGTCAGCGCCGCGGCAGGGTCAGGCGCCGCCGCTGAAGTCGCAGCACCTGCCGTCGCCGCCGCCACTCCAGCTGCCGTTTCGTCCCCTGCCCCTAAAGCTGATACCTCCGCCGCCGAAGAGGATCAGACTACTGCCGCCGATACAACTGCTGCCGATACCTCCGCCGCCGACTCAAGCTTAACAGAGCAAGGTAAGATATTTCCCAGAGATGCCTGGTCGTCTCCAACGTACTGACTCGCATTTCAGCTGCCGATATATCGACACTGCAAGGAATGGGCAAGGAGATCGCACCCCGGGACGCCGCCGACACCGAGGCACCCAAGGCCAAGCGTGACTTGGCCGGGTTCGATCGAGCTCTGCAGTATGCTGAGGTCGCCTTAACCAAGGGTCCTATTATTCAGCTCGGCACTGGTGAGGGTGGCGCCGGTGTTGGTATCATCGTCGATAACAGACCTACCGCCGCCGCTGAGGCCGTCGAAGCGCCTGCCGCTGCTGCCAAGAACAAGCGTGATGAGTCCGAGGCCTCTCAACCGCGCCGCCGAACAAAGGTCACTACCATGTTTATCCGTCGTGGAATTCCCGCTGGTAAGCGAAGCCCGAGTAATTACTCCAAACAAGTACGCAGCCGGCTAACTGGGGCCTCTTGAAAGGCATGCAGACACCAACTGAATTGGAGAGGCGTGATGTTGACACGCTACCTATCGCCGCCCTGCCCAAGGCCAAGCGAGTTGAGACGTCGTCCGAGGAGAAGCGAACCGACACCATAGACGCCATTAACCTGAATGTCGAGGACCCGCAAGGCATCACGATGACGTTCGTCGAGACCTCGGATGACGAAGAGTAAAGGATTTACCCGATTAATGATTCTACTATCATCCCGACGACCAGCGGTCAATGCTCATCTAGACCTTAACTACTTTGTACAATGACAAACAATGGTATCATATCACGGCGGGCGGACCGATTGAGTAGGCAGGCTGGGGGAATGCGGTTGCATCTTCTAACAGGGGCCAATTGTGCGACTTGACCCTGGCTACGAACAAAACTACTGTTTGTATTTTCTTGGCGCGTTCCTGTCTTGGTCCGACATGCGAGAATTCCTCAGCGATGGCAAGTCTGCACTGAATACGGCGCTCTTCGGTTTTGTGGAGGGCAACTATTCCCGAGTCATTATAAACAACTTGAAACAACCAGCTATTTTTGGTTTTGGACTAACTACTCGTCTCGATATCCCCCAACTTGTTGCCAATATTACCTTATGATTCGAAATCAACGCAGAATGCACCAACATGACTTACCGACCCAGTGCTTTGAAAATGACAATGCGGATTCCTGCGCTCGGTGTAACAGCTTCATCCCAACACCCACACATCTGCAGCCAAGAGTCAGATCAGACTCGACCTTGGGCGTTGACAAAGTCAATTCCCGCCTGAAAAACTTATCCAGAATTGACGAATAGACTCATGCCTAGGCTCACGCTTAGACGTGGACTCGGACTTGGCCTCACTCTCCGTACCTGCAGCTACGCTAGAAAAGAGAAAAAAAAAGGAGACTCTCATGCACTTCGCTTGATCGATCAACAGGCCACTCCCAAAGCATGAAGCGAACGGGGTTCAACTTCCCTTTTGAGGAGACCATGCGTTTCAACCCAAGCCTCGCAGATGCCGCCGTGTCGCTGCGACAAGCCAAGAACTTTAGTTGAGGGACATCAATCAGATAAGTGTTCGAGGCTGCCGAGGTGCATTGCGGACCTTGTGTACGTTTACGTACTGGAGTTATGTATGCTCATGTACAACGTACGGTAAACGGTGACCTATGATAGAGCCTGTATGTTTGTTTTGTTTCCCCCCTGTGTTTGTGTGTCCCAGGACTGGGGTTTGTTCCGGCCCAAGGTCAACCTAGCGCTATCCTCGCACGACTTCAGGGTCTTCCATGGCGAGCGAGAAGCCATAAAATCCAAGGATGTCTAACCTGAATAACACAGTTGCACTGCCGAGTCGACGTGCCTTCCCTTGCCTCCGTTCTTTGGCTTCGAGGTAGGTAGTCAGTCTCACACACGGTTTGCAAGTCGGTCGACCGTTGACCTCATGGTCGACTCGCTCCCGAGTGCGAGTTGAAATGTTCTGTTTTTGTCATAGGGAATTCCTTGTATAAATGCGGGATATAAGGTTGCGGTTGTTTCTTCTGTCCTTAATTGGAGCCGTGAACCAGGTCCTTGGAAAGGGGTTCATACAGGGACACATGCAGCTGGTTTCTTTGCACGGTGCAGCCATCTCCAAGAGACGTATTTGCTTCATCTCATAAACAGGACTCGCCGAGTCTCGCCGAGAACTCAATATCGCTCGACTATTTACTCTTCGATACTATTGAAGTCGAATCATTCACTCTTTAATGCAGGAAGTGCGCTCAAGTTCCGTTTCTAGTACCATTCTACAACAAGGAGGGGGGGTTTCTAACAAGACCTGTAACCCCCCTCTCGACTCCGGACAACCCCATCATCTATTATCCGGACCGGTACTTGCGCCATCCCAAATGCTTCCATTGTCAGTTCCATTGCTTATACCCATCATTCTTTTGTTTTTGCCGCGTATTCCAGCCCAACTTTCCACTAATGCTATTAACCCAATCCTCGCTCCGCCGCCCTGGCGGCGTTACCGACGCAAACGGGAAGCGGCTGGCACTAATGGTGACATAGTCTCCGGGCAGGAGCTCGATGCGCTCCCGCCCGTCGAAACTCGCCCACGAGCTCGTCCGTGCGTTGTACGGGGCTCCTATGCGCAGCACGATGGTATCGGGCAGGATGATAGGCCGGAAGGAAAGCGTATGTGGGCAGATGGACGTTACGAGCATCACGGGGTTTTCCGGGTGGCATAGTGAACCCCCTGCTGCGAGGTTGTACGCTGTTGAGCCCGTTGGCGTGGATACGCACACGCCATCGGCTAGAACTGTGGTAAAATGCTCGTCGTCACCAAATATCTCCGTGTATGACATGGCTGTCGTTATTTGGTCAGTGGGAGTTATCGTCTAATAAGATGCGACGCAACTTACTTGGATTGGGCCCACGGTCAACCACAATCTCGTTGAGAATTTCATAGGTTCCGTCAGGCCTGTGAGTGTGTTCGTCTTCCTTTTCCTCTCCTATCAGCTCCTCGATGAGATCTCGACTTCGCTGAAATTCTTCTTCGTCTACCTCGTCTCCGGCAGCCAGCAGCCGCTGCTTCTTCCTCTGACTTCTCATTACGGTGCCTTCGAAACGCAATCGCAAGCTGACGGTAACTCCGTCATTGAAAGCAGTCCCCAGGATTTCCGCATAATCATTGAAGTCAAACTTGGTGAGAAATCCCAAGCTACCTAATGCGAAACTGAGGACCGGGGGAACGATCCGTTGGAACAGCCAGCTGGCGTAAAGGACTGTGCCATCACCGCCTAAGGCGATGATAAAATCGAATGCGTGTGGCCGTGTCCGGCACATATTCTCGTCCCAGTACCTTACTCGTCTTCTAAGCGCTGCTGGGGCCGTGTCGGCGTCGAGTTCACCGGCGTCAACGTAGTCTTTTCCAAGCTCCTCTAATAGTCCCTGGACGTCGAACTTTTTGTTTTCTTTCAGGCTATCTTCCAGGTAAACGGTATACCTAACATCTCTATCCTTGCTCAGAAGCCACTTGGTGACCTCTCTTGTCTTGGGTATCAGTTCTTGGTCATACACCTTGGTGAGAATAAAGATGTTCTTCGCCCGGAACTTGAGCCGCACGCTGCCCAGTCTCCTACTTAATTCTCGCACACCCCATGCCATCTCGCTTAATTGCTTTTTTGTAAGCAGCCGGCTGTGCAAGTCCTCGTGGCTCTGGTCTCCGTTCAAGTCCAATTCGGTCCTGGACCTAGTGAGAGCAGTTTTCCAAGATTTTTCGTCGACTTGACCGGCGTCGCTGTGTTCAGCGCTATCTGATTCAATGATGGACAGCCTCGGATCCTTCGTCCCGCCTGGCTCGGCAATGTGCTCGAGACCTTGTGGGCAAGATGGGTCATCAACCCCGTCGTCGTCGTGGCCTTGGTGGTGGCTGACATCGCGCTGGGGGTTCTTGAGAAACTGATGCACCAGACACTGCGTTTTCTTCGAACGCGCACTCTCGATCAGTTGTGGCGGTATCCTGTCGTTGCTGACCATTGAGCTTTTTCTCCGGTACGGATTCGCCGGGTCAAACGAAACCTGGCACCGCGCACTGTAAGTCAAAACACTGGGCAGAAAACAAGCGGGCGATCGATCGATGATGTACCTCTACGGCCTTGAAGTCATCGTCGCTAGCACTTGATATATGGTCGTCGTGGTGGACATGCTTGGTCTCCGACGCGGACTGCGGCGCCTCTTGCGAAGGCTCATCTTTCGACGATTCCGTCATGGTCCTTGGACAATGAAGGAAGACTGCGACGACTCTACGGGGGGATACTACAACTCAAATGTAGGCGATGATAAGTGCTCCTTCAATCTGCTGCAGCTGTAAAACAACAAGCTTCGGGCTGGAATCTATCCGGCTCAAGAAGTGGGTTGTTCCCAGATTTGCGTCCGTACACTGTAGGAATGAGGTTCTAGAAAAGAGCTGGTGGGGCGCTAGATTACTCAGTTCCCAAGATACCTACCCCTCCAATGCGGGCCGGATTAACCTGATCTGGTTAGCAGATCTTGATGCAGAACAAGATCCCGGGCAACAGGGGTGTTAGCTCTTCCAAAAATGGGCAATGGGAGTTGCCTCGAACTTTCGCGAGTTCTTTGCTCACGTCGTACAAGGTTTTCAGGTGGGTCTGGATGTCATGAATGGTCTTGCGTAAGCAGGAATCGCCTTCTGCTGCGAATACTAACGGTTTCAGAAAATCCTAACTGCGTACAGTACGCGGCCCAACCAACTGGTCACGAACTGAGAAGACTGTCGACAACATAGTTTATTTCGAACGTTTGCACGTTCGAGGCTCTTCAGATTCACGTTTCAAGACTCGTCGGGCTAATGTATCGGAGATTTACTTTACGATGAAGTCAATAGGCGAGGCGCATGCATGCAATTGCCACGATGAGCATCGTGTAACCTAAGTTAAGTTGAGAGTCAGGAACAAAACGGCAACTCGGATCATCCGAACTCTCGCATCACACGGCGGTTGCTGATGCCCAGTGTAACAACCTGAGGCGGCCAGCTCCTCATATACTCTTACAAGAAAGCTCACTTATGTCATCACATCTATAGTCTGGTCCGTTTTCCGGGCTGTCATCATGTCTTGGGGGAAGCTAATAATTACCTAAGAATTTCCCTTACAGCAAAGCCCGAGATTCCGGTTTAGCTCCGCATCGTGTGTGGGGTAGAGGCCGATGACGTTCAATGGCCCTCTGGCAGGCATAGAAATATAGCCAGAGACTGCTTGCAGAATCTGGTACGCAATCTCTCGATGCTTGAAAACTGTTGCGTGTACTATTTCACCCCGCAAATTCGCAACGACCAATAGCCCAGAATGACGGATAAGTCGAACATCGCAACTTTAGGCGTAAGGCACTTATACCCCCCTTCACAATGAGCCGCATCCATCCTAACAAGTTTAACAGTCGACGCTCGTCGATAGACTTCCAGTCTACTCAAAGATGCTCTTCGAGGCCAAAGCCACCAAGAAGCTCACCTTCGAAGACATCGCCAAGGAGTTGGGCCGGGGCGAGGTCGCAGTTGCCGCCCTGTTCTACGGCCAGGCTCAGGCGTCCGCCGAAGATGTCGAGAAGCTCTCAACGCTGCTAAATGTCCCCAAGGACAGCCTGGAATCGACAATGATGGGCTTCCCGGATCGTGGGCGAGCTGGGCCGATGCCTCCGGTTGAGCCTCTCATCTACCGCCTGTACGAGATTGTGCAGAACTACGGATACGCTTTCAAGGCCATCATGAACGAGAAGTTTGGCGACGGAATCATGAGCGCCATTGCTTTCAGCTCCAAGATTGAGAAGGAGGTTGACCAGGATGGTGTTGCGTAAGTAGCAACTGGCTTGGCAGACTCGGCGGGACAAGGTGGTGCTAACAACACATCAGCTGGGTGAATATTACACTGAGAGGCAAATGGTAAGTGTGAAATGAAGCTGGTTCGGTGTTATATGGCTAATGTTCGTAGGCTGCCATTCACTCGATTTTAATTGCATGTCACGACGTTATGCAGGATGCCGACGGGAGTGTTTGCAATGGCTACGTTAGTCCTTATATCGGAACAGCTGGGCGTACGAGGTTTGTCATTCGGCAGACCACAGTATACCGCACGTCCAGAACTAATAGCCTGAACTCCGGCCACAAATTGTGTGATTATCTTGGTTTCTCAAGCGTCCGCAAATACTGATCTTGCAACGTAACACAATGCCGACACTGCGAACGAAGTCTCTTCATTTCCACTAAGATTGCCATTGCTTAAGAGTGTATTCACGGTCAGAATGGAGGGCTCTCTGTGTTAGTCGCACTGTAATGCAAACCCATATCCACAACTGCGACTGGATGGGCGATGTCTTATACCCTATCCAAGTATACAAAAGGAAGGCATGGCTTCAGCCACAGCTGTTCAGCTCGAGTCTCAGCATCATCAACGGAGCAACTAGGATCCCGCTTACAATTAGGGGAATCATCGATCCTCGGAAAACGAAAACAGGCAAGTTGTGAATTCATAGTATTGACAGATTTGTTCTTCAACCTAGAGTTATTACGCGAAGTAGACTTCACTTTGATATATAGAATAGCAATCGTCCCCATTTGCACCTCCGACCTCCCAAGTTTAATCATGCTTCCTTTTCAGTCGATTATTCCTGTACCGTGCCTTCAACATGGATTGGAGAAAAACGCAACACCTCATTATCGAGGCTGTTGCACATAAGACAAGTGGTGGAATGCTTTGTGTCTGCCTTGGACTCGTGTACGTAATAGTAGGTTCTCAGCTAGCCCTCGGTGTCGACCTCCCAACTGTTGCAGTTCACTTAATGTTGTAACCATTCTAGATCTGGCTTCCTATGTCCTTAGCTCTTGGCTCGGCCTAACCCGCCTAGTCTATAACTCTAATCCATAGTGCCGGCTCCAGCGCCCTGGTGTTCATGAATAGTCACGTACCGTCGGCACAATTGAATTTAGCATTGAGAGGCAAGCTAGAAAAGCCTCTTTACCAATCCTTTTAAAACAAAGAAAATACAATTATCAGGACATAACATTCCTAGCTAATACTCAACTGGACAGTATGCTGGCGTCTTGGGAGCCTGCTACAGAGAGAGTTTTTTCATAGTATGTCTCATTGGAGAGCCTCAAAGGAGATACCTCAGTTTTCCCTCGGAGAAACGTGAGGCTGACGCCCTGGACAGCCCTGGCTTGGATCGCACGGACTTTTCCATGAGGCTGGTCTGGGGATGTTATACATACCTTGACCAGACTTCGATAGACTCGCCAAAACAGGTTCTTCTGTCCAGTCATCCCTCTGTGGACTTAAACTCGGCATCGGAACCTGAATGGCTGAGCCCTAGATATGGAAAGCCATATGTCCACTCCACAAGTTCACTCCACAAGGGAGAGAGCTAAGCTGACCGCTTCCGCCAATTAACCTCAGTCACGATGCACTTGATGACCAGGAAAAAGGTATAAGAGCTGCATGTTGACCCCAGACCTATAACCAGGAATTCATGATCACTCCAGTCTCCTCACAATCAAACATACACACATAATATCTCGAGCTTCATCACTTCGAGCTTCAAAGCCTTCAAATCCCAACTTCGACATCCACGCAATTCTCCCAAAACCGCCGCATTCAAAATGCGCTTCACTCTTATCGCCCTCGTACCCTTAGCTCTTGCCATCCCCTTCCCCGGAAGCACGCCCGTCACCGCGCCCGCCCCAGGCGGAGTCACCATCAAAGCCATCAAATTCGCCGGCTCGGGCTGCAAGGCGGGCTCAGTGGAGTCACAGCTCTCGAGCGACAAGACGACGCTGACGTTGCTGTACGACAGCTTTACCGCCGAGGCGGGCGAGGGCATTCGGGCCTCGAACGCCCGCAAGAACTGCCAGCTTAACGCCGCTATCAAGTACCCCGGCGGCTGGCAGTTCTCCATCTTCAAGGCCGATTACCGCGGGTCGGCAACTTTGGGGAAGGGGGATAAGGGGGTCTGTAAGGCTACTTACTACTTTTCTGGGGACTCGCAGCAGGTTTGTGTTTCTCGGCAGCCAGAAGAATTGAGATGGATTAGGAATACCGGACGGCTAATAAATGGCTGGATAGATCTCGAGCAGCAAGACCATCGATGGACCTTACGACTCGGGTTACATCAAAACGGACGAGTTTCTCGTCAGCAGCAAGGTCTGGTCGCCCTGCGGTGCTGAGGGACTGCTCAACATCAACTCAGAAATCAGCGTCAAGCCCAAGGATTTGAAGGCGAAGCCGTACATGTCGGTAAGTTACCCTTCTCAACCTTTGAATGGGGCATGATCGCGGCAATACTAAGCTGCCAGTAGGTTTACTCGACCGACTTGAAGTTTACTCAGCTGCTTTATCTTCAGTGGCGCCCGTGCACAAAGTAGATACGTGGAAACGGCCTTGAGAATCATGTAAAAGTCGAATTCATCTAATGGGTTGATGTAGGAGATATTTGGACCGATTAGAGAGAGATAGGCGCGAGCATTGTGTATTTTCACAATTGAGCATTCTGCTCATGTACTTTCGTTCGGCATTCACTATACATACCAAAGAAGGAATAGAAAGTGTTAAACATTTGAAATTTCCCAACTGCAGTGAATGTTTTCCCAGCTTTTTGGAAAATAAATTTCTCATCGATTTACTACTCCTTTTTTTTTTCGTTTTCTTCTTCTTTTCCCCCAAATAGACCGGAGGTATACATATTAAATATCATTGACCTAGCCGCCCTTCGTACCTGGGCTCCTACGCGAACCCTGCGACTTCACCAGACGCGGCACCGACAGACGGGAACCCGGGCCGGGAATCTTACGGCGACCGGACGCGGAGGGGATGTGAGCATGAATGCGAGCAGCTCATCAAGACGTTCCAACCTAGGAATAGGGGCATAGCAATGTATCGAGATGGGTTGTTGGCGTCTGTGTGAAGGTGTTGAGAAGTTAGCGTAGCCTCAAAGGTTTTGTTCTTGATGAAGGAAAGTGAGTGGTTTGCAAGTTGACTGATAAGCAGGTGAGGAGGAGGGGGATGTTGGAATAATCTACATGGAGCTCTTACCGAATCTCATTTTCTTCTCTTGGCAACTTCAATACATAATTGTTCAAAACAACGGTCACTTGAGTAATTATTTAAAAATCACAGCTGTGTTCCAATCAATTAGTTATTCCACCTGAACGTTTGGAATGAAATGGGAGGATCCATTACTGCAAGTCGGGGTGGACGTGACAACATAGAAACGTTCTGCTTGAGTGTACTTTATGCGATAGTGTCAATGAACTCCATTGAATCGAAGCATCCCGAAGTGTAAAATATTGAAATGACATTCTCGTAAACGGATACTGGGCGGGTTCATTATATTACCATTAGTTGCGTCGTCACCCCTCTCCCTCCAGACCTTCTTTCCCTCATCCATCAATAATGCATCAAAGTCCGAACCAACAGGTCCCGACAGCAGTACCATCACAGTCCCTTCCTCTATGCACGCCTAACCAACATCAACCCACTACTCCTCGCTATCCACCCCTGCAATATACTCCACGAATACGTCCGCTTCGCCGGCGGTCCATTCGTCTCCAGATCATCCGTCTTCATAACCTCATGATCCATCTCCCGGTCATCTGACTTTTTTAAATAGTATTCCTCCATATAATCCACAATCGCACCATTCGTCTTCTCGTACTCTACCTCGTACCCTTCCTTTTCTGTGGCCAAATTCCCATTGAAGATATACCGCAGAACCCACACTAGGTAGACAGTCAGCAGAAAGACCATGATGGAATTCTGAAACCTCCACTGATACATCTCCGGGATTGCCGTCATGAATTCCGCGTCGATAATCAGAGGCCGCTTCGACAGGGCGCGTGGACGGGTGTTCCAGCCGCAGAAGTCGTAGCCTATGGCTGCGTATCTGTTGATAGATCAGTTTCAGTTCTACCCAGTTCAATCATGCACCAAACAGGAGGGAAGGAACGAACGATTCTGATGTAACTCTGGCTAAAATGTGGAAGGTTGAGCGCAATGTAAAATTGAACTTACTCCTCGCAAAGAACAGAGTGCCCTTCAAACATAGGCATTTTGCGCGTCTTCCTCAGGGAGGTGTATTCTTGTGCATTGTCCATATCGAGATGTAGATCGGTCTCGGCCTCCGTCTGGTCAAGAGTGGGTGGTCCGATGGGCTTTGCCTCTGTCCCATCGTGATCGACTGGCGGCAACGGTTCTGCCTGCAAGTCTTGGTCGCCGTGCATCACTTGGTGAGTGCGATATGATACAATATACTCGTAGCCAATACTGGTCTCAAGTAAGGGTTGGATTGGTTCGCCGTGAGATGATGGGATGATGTCAGACAACTGGCTGGCTGGATACTCGCAGATCAAAGGACAGGATCGGGATCGGGTGTCATCTTTACTCTTTGGTGGCTGACGGGGGGGGGGGGGGGGGTTGCTGAGTTGAGTTTACTCGACAAGCTTTTGCAAAACCAGGAAGGAGTGGGTATTAGATGTTCGGTTCACGCATGTCACACTCAATTAAGCTGTCATTCATTCGCTGTGGGTGCGTAGCAGAGTACAAGGAACGTTGTGGTGCCACATTGTTGAAATTGAGTCTCATAAGGATATCGTGATGCTTTGAGAGAGCTGTTGGCGCTAGAGGGACCAGATGAGACTGGAATGACAACGTCTTTTGGTTTGGGCAGAGCAGAGACGACGGTTGCTGCCGTTGTGTAGAGGGCAAGCGCGGCAACGTGGGAGGGTTATTATAGTAAGTCCTGAGTTGAATAATGTTTCAGACCTAGCCCCGAAGAATTGTCCCTGTCTAGATGAGGTAGAAATTGAAAACGGAGATTACGGCCTTGGGGCGGTGCCTTACAGAGAGTACGCTCGAGGCATATATGGTATACCACCAGCATGTGCACAAAGCTAATACACTGTCCGATCTTCCATTCTGCGTCCTTATGCTGGCAGGTGGAAATCATCAAAGATAATCGATTTGGCTATTTGCTCGGCGCAGTCAGGAAGCATGATTCATGGGGTAAACGAAGCACAATCCCTCGACCCAGAGGCGGGTAGGCTTCCAAGTACATCAAGATTAAGCAGGTATGCGAAATGCGACGTCGCAGAAGGGTGGGCAATCCTGTCCGTACTACCTAGTACCCAGTCATGACTATATGTGAAGTTCAACAATATATCAGATGGTGCATGGTGGTTCAAAGTGGTTGGTTTCGTCAACTCTCTTCATCCGGCTAAAATTACAGGAGTATAGACAGCGACATAAATATTGTAGTAGAGGGGAGATGAAGAACGAGCTTCGGAAACAAGAGCCGAGTGTACATGGGCTCATAAACGGTGTTGTACATTGTGGCATCCCATATACATGTCTCAAAATAACTCCTTTTCCATGCCTGCGGCCAAAACAAGCCACCAAGTCGTTCTCTATCCCTCGTACAGACCAGGAATTCCATCCTGCCTCCCATATGCAATCATGACATCTATTGTATGATGCGAGTGATGATACCAGTGGCCACCGTGCGGCCACCCTCACGAACGTTTACTCGTTGACCGGCCTCAATGGCAATAGGGTTGTGCAGGTGGGCAACCATCTCAACGTTGTCTCCGGGCATGACCATGCGGCTCTTGTCCTCGGTATCCTCCGGGAAGAAAAGAGCGCAGGACTCGTCAGCAGTACGCAGGAACATTTGAGGGCGGTAGTTCTCGTGGAAACCAGTGTGGCGACCACCCTCGTCCTTGGTCAAGACGTAGAGTGAGATCATGAACTTGGTGTGGGCCTTGACCGTGCCGGGCTTGACAATCACCATACCACGGCGGATATCCTCTCGACGCACGCCTCGCAGAAGAAGACCAGAGTTGTCACCGGCGCGAGACTCGTCGCAGGACTTCTTGAACGTCTCAATGTCGGTAACCTTGGTCTTGATGACCTCACCACCCTTACCCACCAGCTCCACCTCGGAGTCCTTCTTCAGTGTACCACGCTCGACACGACCGGAGGCGACAGTTCCACGACCGGCAATGGAAAAGACGTCCTCAACGGACATCAGGAAGGGCTTGTCGAGGTCACGCTCGGGGGTAGGAATCCATGAGTCTACAGCCTCGAGCAGCTCATCGATCTTCTGCTGACCAATTTCGGGTCGCTTTCCTTCCATAGCCATAAGAGCGGAACCCATGATGACGGGGGTTTCGTCTCCCTCGAAGCCGTAGTGGCTAAGGAGCTCACGCATTTCCATCTCGACAAGCTCCAACATCTCTTCGTCATCAATGGCATCAACCTTGTTGACGAAGACCACACACTTCTGAATACCGACCTGGCGAGCGAGCAGCAAGTGCTCTCGGGTCTGGGGCATTTGACCGTCGGATGCAGCGACGACGATGATGGCGCCGTCCATATTGGCGGCACCAGTAATCATGTTCTTGATGTAATCGGCGTGGCCAGGGCAATCGACGTGGGAGTAATGGCGGTTTTCGGTCGAGTACTCGATGTGAGCTGTGGAAATAGTGATACCTCGCTTCCTCTCTTCTGGTGCCTTGTCAATGGCTCCATACTCTAAGAAGTTTGCCATGCCCTTCTCGGCCTGTCTCTTGGTGATGGCGGCGGAGAGAGTAGTCTGTATAACCAGGCTGTTAGTATCTCCTGCATTGGGCCTTGACTACCGGGGTGTCTCACCTTTCCATGGTCCACGTGGCCAATAGTACCAATGTTTACGTGCGGCTTTGATCTCTCGTAGACAGCGTATGTGCGGTAAAGGTTGAGAGCTGCAGAAGCATTTGGTGACCGTAGAGAGGTCGTTAAAGGGTTGGCATTGCGGCCGGTTCTGAGGGAGTGGCGCAAGAACGGCGCCAGCGTTCTAGAGAAAGCAGACATCTTGATCTTAGGGCCCAATGGCAGTAGAAGTCAATTGAACACACTCACACTCCGGGACCGTTGACGAATGAGTGGAGATGGAAAGGTCGTGATTATAGTCAGAGTTCCTTCCAAACCGAGCTCGAAAATTTCGAGAATCTTTAGCTCGACCAGACGCAGCAAGCACCCAATGCACGGACCATTTGGCTTATATCAAATCAAATAGCGTCAATTGGGGGGATCTTTCCTCCAACTTGACTTTTCTCCATCAACTTAACATGGAATAATATCATATCACCAGCATCTTGAATACTACCAGAATATGATCCACGTGAAGTTTCATTCTGAGGATTAGCTGTCTTCATTTTCATTTTCATTTCTCAAGAAAGCTCAATTGAAGCCACTCTATGATTCGTCGTTTATTATGAGCGAGTAGTTGGTGGTATGTGGAAGAGTGCGTCTGGATAACACATTAAATCTCCATGTAGGTTCACGCCACCGTTAACAGAGGCGGAGAGAACCATGGAAACCTCCAATGCTATCAAACGGTGGTGGTTGGTACCTACCTATGTAACTGACACCCTTCGATCTTTCCCATCATGGCAAGTGGGAGTTGTTTATTTTTCTCATCTGTTTCATCGGACTTCTCATCATCCACTCACTCGGTGTGCTTTCCCCGTTGTGGAAGAATGTAAGGTTAATACTTAGTATTCTCTCCTTTTGCTTATTACTTTGACTCGTGCTTCTTGCTGTACATACCCATATCGTATGGCTTTTTTATCGGTGGTATAAAATACATCTTTCAATTACGTGCAATGGATCCGACGGCTGCATCCCTCGACAGCTGCGATAGCAGCTCCACCGATCAAGATGTCGAAAAAGCGGATGTCAAGATATCCCATACCACGTCACAGAACATGGGATCTTTAGATACTTTCTGGTTTATCATAAACACAACAATAGGTCCAGGGAGTCAGTGAATACCCCATGTGGAGGATGACGGCAACAGGGCTAAAGATCTCCAGTCTTCTCTATCCCATCCAGCATATTTTGCATTACAGGCTCTGTGGGCATTACCTTTGTCCTCTGGATAGTAGGCAAGTGGCTCCTCGTCCTCTTGACCTAACCCTCGTTATACAGATCTGGCTGACACTTTACAGGAGCTATAATGGCTGCTTTGAGTGTCAGCGTCGCTCTCGAGTTTGCCATGGCGATCCCTCGATCTGGCGGGGAGAAGAACTATCTTGAGAGAGTCTATCGACGTCCAAAATTTTTAATCACCTGCGTCATGGCCGCATTGTACATTTTCCTCGGCGGACCAGCATCGAGCAGTATTGCCTTCGCTAGCTACATCCTGCAAGCCGCAGGGCATCCAGATCCCACTGGCAGCTGGTTGACGCGAGTTGCTGCCGTAGGCTGTGTGACCGGTGCAATACTCGTTCACACACTACTGCCCAAATGGGGTATCAGGGTCCTGAGAGTACTTGGCCACGTCAAACTCGTCATCATGGCCTTCATCATTTGCTCCGGATTTGCTGCTTTGACTGGGCACAGGCGGGTCCCTGATCCTCACAACTTTGAAAATGTATTCGCTATGGAATCTGGCGATGGATGGGGTGCTTCCGGGGCTTACGGATATGCCAACGCTATCATCCGGATCGGATACACGTACGGCGGCGCCAACGTCGTCACGACAGTCCTCGGTGAACTCAAGAGCCCACGAAAGACGCTGCCCATTGTGACCCCACTGGCACTAAGCACTGTTACAATATTGTATTTGCTTGTCAATGTTGCCTATTTTGCAGCCATCCCAAAGGATTCCTTGGCCAAGTCGGATGTTATTGTTGCTGGGGTTTTCTTCCGCAACATGTTTGGCGAAAGTGCCGCAGCCAGAGTCCTGCCTGCCTTCGTTGGCCTCAACAATCTTGGCAACGTTCTCACTCTAACCTTTGCCCACGGACGCATGAATCAAGAATTCGCAAAAGAGGGCATTCTCCCATACAGTCACTTCTGGGCATCGGATAAACCATTTGGTGCGCCTGGCCCTGCTGTAAGTTGCTTTCCCAGCTTGAACATCTCGGTAGAAACCTTGGCTGACAACCCTAGTTGCTGTTGAACTGGCTTGCCACAGTCGTGGTCATCATCGTGCCGCCACCTGGACCGATCTACACATTCCTCATCGACCTGTAAGTCCCTGACACAGCGCTCTGAAAATACTTTACTGACTTAGACAGAATAATATATCCCCACATTGTGCTCGCCGCCATGTCCGTTTGCGGACTTCTGTGGCTGCGGCTTCGACTGTCGGAGAAGTGGTCATCGCCATTCAAATGTCCATTGGTTGTTATCCTAATGTCCATAACGATCCATTTTTTCCTACTCGTCATGCCCCTGGTTCCTTCCCCAACCGGCCGCAATGCCCAAGGATACCCCTATTTTGTCTTCCCTGTAGCCGGACTTGGTATTCTCGCCATCGGGGCTTTGTACTGGGTCGCTTGGGCAAAAGTCTTCCCCAGGCTTGGAGGTTACCGAATCGAGGCTACGAGGAGCCTGGATAAGGAAGGCAAGGAGATGGTCGAGTTCAGGAGGATCAATACTACCTCATCGGCGTATCATTCTACAAGGTAGAAGACGATGTTTGGAATATCCTTCGAAATAATACTATTCTGTCTCATGTCTCAAATGTCTTCGACAGCCCAATCCCAAGTTTATGAGCCTCATAGATCCTTATCCCCCTGCTCTTCATGCCAGCCAAATCCAACAACAGGAACGACCCAATATTGACATAAATTCACCAACTGTCCTCCACCCCGCCGAACCGCTCAGGCGCTCCGCCACGCAATCGGCCATGATCATCTTGATCGACGTCCCCACCAAGGCCAGATTATTACTTCTACTTGTCCACAAACAGCCACGATAGCGATATATTGGCCCCCGTCGTCGCCTTTCACGGGTCTAGATTCGAGCTGGTGATTGTCCGGAACGTATCATATTTATGGTAGTGGCGAGTTCTTGGCCCAAGGCGTGAGGAAACCATTGCACCTCCGTCGCCGGGGCTGTGGCTGGTTTCGGAGGAGATTATGATGTGTTTGATTAAGGATTTTTGGAACTTGAAGATGATAAACTCGTGCTTAGTGCTCACGCCTAGTGGGGAGAAGAGCTGCTTCTCCGTTATTATGTACGGATGAAGGTAGGAGAATACTGCCGTCGATCCGATGAATTGGGGGATGTTTGTCTTTCCACAAGCAATTTGCCAACAAATCTCGACTTCATTAAGTAGAGCTGCTGTTACGACCAAATATGTTTTGCCCCTGACGATGCTATAGGGCAACGTGGCATTCAGAAATTGTTGGTATGCTTCTTAGCAAGCAAAGCTCTAAAAGCGTTTGTGTTATGAAGTCCATCCAATTCCCATGACCAACTCACAGGCACCATACTCAGCCTAACAACCATCACTATCCGCCTCCCTCCACTTCTCTACCCCACCCACAACTCACTCCCGAGATGCCTCCGCTAAGCCCTCAACAACTGTGCCAGCCTCACCTCATGTGACTCCGCATGCATATCCTCTCTCGTCCCTTAGCTACCTTCCTCTCGTTCTCCCCAAATCTGGCCCCATCAGCCGTGCGCGCGAACTCCTGACGGCCATAACCGAACGGCAGCCCCAGCTGAACGCCGTGCTCGCAACAAGCTGCTTCGCGATCAATCTCTTGGTTCAACTCCAAGTAGTCTAGACTCGCCAGACCGCCGACATAGTAGAATAGCGAGCGGTCATCCACAACAATGGACTGTTCCAAAAATTCTGCGATAGACGGGGAAACACTGTGTCGCACATTATCTACTACTTCCCCATAGTAGTCAAAAGATGTCTGCTAATCGAGGATGTCGGTTTGGAAATCACCACCATTGTACTCGAGCCGTGTAACGGCACCGGTCTAGCCGGTTTGGAGGAGCTTATTGCGTAGATCTGCGTGATTGAAGCTAGTGAAGTAGTACGAAAGGTCGCCGCATGAAGTACCATGGTATTGTGTTGAAGTGACAATAAAGTGTCGTTTAATCCACGCTGCTGACTGTTGAAAAAGATCAACTCCAGGGGTTCTTACCACCCCTATTTCCGATACCGGATAGGATCGCCGAAGACCAGCTTACCCGTTACCTCTGCCAGTACCGTTTGCGATCAAGGTATCTAGGTATGGAGGGGTACCAGGTAGGCACGCACGCTTTGTAGCATTTAAGGACCCGTCGGGGCCAACTTGGGATCGGTCCCTCACGCACCTTCATAGTACCAATACGGCCTCTAATACTTGGATTCCGACAGATACAAGGTCCTGAAGTCATATAATTGAGTGATCATAGTCTGAGTACTCCTAACGTCTCTAGTAAACTACGTTTTTTGAGGTGGTGTCCGCAAGACCGTTATAATAAGAGAAACTCACAAAACAACTATGAAGAGGTTCTCCTAGTCTGTAAAATAAGACACGCAGGAAGGGAATAAAGTACGGTCCCGTATGTAGCTCATATTACACACAGTAGATTTCCGCATGGGTTGAACCGCTACGGTACCCAATTCTAATCGCCTTCCAATGTTTTTATGCGCCCAGCCAGTGCATCATGGAGATACGCCTCGGAGTATACTACGGTGACAACGGCGGTCATTTAGATTGGGGACCTTTAGTATGGCGATAAAAGAATGAGACCGTCACTTAGATTGTTCTGAAAGACATGTATAACCCGTCAGTTGTTGTTTTGTCCTATTTGCATTAACTTCCACGATGTATTTTACCCATGGCAGTAGCTAATAGTATCCGGGAAAAGAAGAGCAAGGTAGCAAATTGGCCGTCCTTATGGCTAGAGCAACGGGCTAGGGTTCCGTGGGAAGTGGTATGATGTGATGGAATGCATTGCCAGGAACGAGTGAAGGGACTTACTTTGCTTGCGAATTCTTCCCGTGCTGATATTAGCGACTGTGACCATAGTAAAATGCCAACCCACACTAAAAGCTATCGAGGTCCGTTATAATATTAGAGACGTCAAACTTATAGCAAATGCTCTGGATTTTCATATCGCTCCTATGGCTTCCTTAAATAGGCAAATAGTACACACAGGTCAAGACATTAACCCCTATCTCCTCTATTCTGTGACTAGTCTTCTCGAAACATTTACCTTAAAAAGGTATTAACCTGAATACAAAATAAAGAAAACAAATAACATGAGGGAAATACAGGCAAGAGAGGTGTATTGGCGATGATGATGATGATAGAACTAACTTCCAAAGGCTGCAGCTACGCAAGGGCTATCCGTGGGCGCTGTACCCAGCACACAGGTGGTGTGCCTGGTGCACGCAACATTAAAACCACAGCATTTGTTTACTCACCGTCAGGATCAATACCGGCATCCTCGCCAGGATTCTCACCACCACCATCTTCATTGTCGGAGTCACGGCCGGGTCTATATCTACCATTTATTCTGTTCTCAACCGTATCCTCTTTGAATTTCGGACCGTGAGGGGGAAGGTTTCTACTTCGGTTGTAGACCATAACCCACATAGCCCAAATCTTGTTATATTTGCTCACGACGGAAGTGGAGTCAAAGTAGTTTCTGCGGGACAAATTATTGGGGTTCCAGATGCTGCATTCATTCTCCGAGCCGTCATCGAACGCTAGCATGCCGTATATGTCGTCTGCGCGGTGTTCATCCTTCATTTGTTGAAGGACATCATCTTGAACGCGCGAGGGATCACAGTTGCGGCTCATCAAGGCGCAGATGGCGGAGTATCCTTTTTCTATAAAACAACATCTGGTGTTGACATCGAGCAGGCGATTCAGGAGTGTCCCACGGGGGAATTCTCCTCCATCCTCCTCCTCGCATGTAATATTGGGGTAAGGGTGATGATCGAGTAGCCTCTCGAGGGCGGGGCCGGAGTCATTGTTGCAGGCTCTGCGGAGGAGATCATTGAGATGTTCCACTTGAGCCGGCAGTTCCAAGCCGTTCTGGAGGAGCCACGATGCGTTGGCATGGGCCCTTTCATCCATGGCTCTTTTGAGCAGCCCCAGCGCTCGGTCGCCGCTATGGGCGATTGCTGGCCACACGCTATTCAGGGGAGCGTTCAATGCATCGTTGGCGCACACGATGTCCAAGAACTCGTTCATCGTGTAGATGTTGGGCGGTGCATTGGGGATTCTATTTTGCCGTAGGTAGCATTCGAACACGGCATCGGCGTTGCGAGGATGGCCCGCATTGAAAACCGTCTGGGCAAAGTTGTTGTCCACGACTACTCCCAGGTCGATGATGAAGTAATGAATACACTCTCGGTTGCAGTCCTGAACGTAGTTGACGGTATGATCAAACAGAGTGGGAAGACGGGCCATAAAGAGTTTTCTATGAGGGTCGTTGGCGTCGCGTGCGTGGATGGGTTCCAGAACACGGCGAACCAAGGTGTGGAAGTCGATTTCCAAGGCGTCCCAAAGGAGGAGCCAGAAGTCGGGCTGACTGGGAGGTGGGAAATTGGGCCGGTTGGAGTGGGCAGCAAGATCGCCAGTGCCAGCCTCTATGGCCGTATATAAAGCGTCGTTCCCAGTGTTGAGTGCTTCCCTGCCTGACATAAGGGCGGTATGCCAAACATTGCGGCAGATGGTACCGATGGGTGCTAGATGGTTGTTGCCGACGACAGTGACAGGTAGGGGGTCACAGGTATAGTGGGCATGACCAGAGCGACTACAGCCCGAAAGTATGTAATTGGCGCCCCCAAAGTGGTTTGTCCTCGTTTCCTGCAAGACGTTGGGGCTCGGGTGCCACATGATGTTAGGATTGGCCCCTTCTTCGAGTAAGATGGAGGTGAGTTCCGACCTTCCCAGCTCTATGGCAATATGAAGAGGCGGCGGCGTGTTCGCTATGACCCTATCCCATATGCCGTTTATGGACCCGGCAGTCTCAATCCGGTATGCCCTGATAATGGCTCGGAATATGCTTGTGCTGTGCGCTAAACTTGCAGCGTTGCCGAAGTAATAATCGAGTGAGGAACCTCCAGACAAAGGTATGCCCCTATTGATATCCCGGGCTTCACAAACGAAAAGTTGATCACCTAGCCGAGGATATGTCGCCGCAGTATTTATCCGATGCTCTGGGCTGAAGTAAACTCGGCTTATATCCCACATTATATCTGCTGGCAGTTTTTCCTCAAACCAATTGGTATCATCTGGAGGAAGAGCCGGAGCGGAAGGGGGAGTACTACCAGTAGCAGCCGGAGCACCACCTGCCACCGGAGCACCCTGATAAAGAGGCGCGGGAGGTGGCCCTGGAGGCGGAACAGGATGAGCATGAACTGGCTGAGGCGGCTGCGGAGGCTGCGGAGGCTGCGGAGGCTGCGGAGGGGCGGCAGCAGCAGCAGCAGCAGCAGCAGCAGCATTCCAAGTAGCAAGACTCACATGCGGTCTTACCGGTGGAGGGGGGGCATATGGGGGTGCCCCAGGGGCCGCTCCCAACCATTTGTTCCGAAGACGTTTAGGAGACCGATTCGTGCCTGGAAGGATACCCAGTCCGGCCAGATCTCTCTTTCCGATCATTGAAACGTTATTGTATTTTATACTATGTTATAAGACACTATTATGATAGTTGAACTTGCTGAACTTGCCAGTTCTAGAAACACGGAGTTTGAAGGACTATAATAAAATGAAGATTTTGTATAGAGAAGTAGGGAAAGTTTTCTACGTATATCAACGTCTTGGTGAGTCTTTTATGTCAAGATGGACGATAAACTCCCTTTGACCCTAACTGTGGAAGTGGTGCGTTGAGAATACTGTTCACGGTTTCGTTACCAAAAAAATGAACTGGTGGAAGAAAGACTTGAATGTCCCGACACATTATTCATTGTTTCTTCGAGTTTGCCATATACGAAATGATGGTTGCGGTTCCTTATGGGTCTAAACTATGCCAGCAGTCAAAGGATGGAGGGAATGTTAACACCGTTTCTGGCTTTGTGTGCAAGTCACTGGCACTTACGATTATGATCTAACGACACCCTATCACCGAGTACGAGTTAGTAGAGAAAGAAGACAGATTATATTTCACTACTTGGGGGCAATACAGACGTGGCCAATGTGGTAGAAGTTGGCACCCAGAACACACAGCAAATATGAGCCTCAGAAAAATCTTTCATATTACATTGCATTGCGTGGCAGCGTTTGAGCCAACTGCTCATAGAAAGCCCTTCCGTAGCTGCAGCCTTCGGGAGTTAGTCCCATCAACATCACCAATACCACTCTCTTGCCTGTATTGCCCACACATAGTAAGGTAGAATCATACTTAAAAACTAGTGGCCAGAGCGACATCATGACATAAATCAATGTGTACCATCGTAAGAGCTTTCGCAGCGTTCATTAAGCAATGTATTTGTCAGTTTCCTTGAATCCCTCTTGGTTTGTTCACCTGTCCGAAATATAGATTACTTCTGTGCCAATAGTAATCATATTGCGCGTTGTGAAATTTACGTTTCTCACCTTTCCTGGAGAATCCACGAAAAGGTCACTTGGTCACTTAGCTTTTGACGATAGCGACGCAAATTTAGAAATTGCAAAGATCCATTGGCCGTATGGATTCCAGTTCAATAATGCAGCTTGCTGACTGCACTTAGCTCGTTTGCTACACCTTTCTCAAGACGCTCGACCGGTCACAAAAATACCTTGTTGAGAATGCGGAAAATATGAAGGCACAAATGGATTTCCAGCTTGTAAGCTTGACAATAGTTGAAGCGCTCGCTTCCCACATCCTCCGACCATTTTGTTTGGTGGACTGCTGGTAAATTCGTAGACTGGTTGCCATACTCAAAACTAAGGTACTAATTTAATCGCATCTGTTCCTCAAATTGAAAACACCAAAGCACCCTTGAGTGTATTGCAACCGAAACTTCATATGCATTGAGGCGGCGATCTAGGTTGACTATCGGAGCCCACCCCAATGGATTAGGCGAAAGCCAAACCGTTTCCCTGACCAAAATCCATATCCGCAACAGCGTCCATATCGTAAATGCTTGGCGAGATATAGGGGTTGACACAGGGGTGTGTGACCTCTAGAGGTACGGTTCTATTTAACGGTGCTAGATGCAGAGGTTAGCTATTTGTTTCGAGTTTCGAGAGCCACGAAATCGGATTTGTTCATGATTCAGCGTGTGCGAATCTGTGGGTTCTCGTACCTTGACGAAGCCAATCTCGGCGGCCTTTTCGCGGAAACATTGACGGCAGATGTCGAGGCCATACTTGCGGATCAGACCGGCCTTGTGCGTGCAGACTCGGCTGTTTGGGACAGAAAGTTAGCCATGCTGTTTCGTCACACAAATCCTCGCCCACAACCACATTTATTTCCATCAGCGCTTCTTTGGGGCAGAAACCTACCAGCCGCGGGCACCCTTGCCGTAGGTACGGGGGCGCGCATTCCAGACAGATTCGTGAGACATGACGGCGGTCTTCGAGAAGATGATGCTATCACGAGTTGCAGGTTTGCGAGATGGAGTAGTTCTGGACAAACGTGGGGTTCAAATTGGTGCGAAGGTTGATTTTGGTGAGGCTGTCCAGAACAATTGGGAAATGGACCCGCTTTGCAGCGATTGTGGGGTCAAAAATCAAAATTCAGAATGTCCAGCCCCTAATGGCTTGACTATTTGCACGGCCACAACGTACTTATCTCGATAAGAAAGTACTACCGTACATAGCAATAACCCCTGCTACGTCCCGCATTTGTCTCCGGAGAGTTTGGAGCTTGAGCTCTGACGTGTTGCAAAGTGGCATCTTCATTCCAAGCTAGCATTTCAAAGCACACACCAGCGCCCGAATGAATCTTGCTGCGGTCAGAATTGCCCCTCGTTTTTCTAATAAATTAAACCATCCCGCTTACTTACACAACCAGACCATCTGGCATTCCTGAAGCCCTTTCGAATTTTTCTCGTTCATTTGTTGTTCATGAACTAGACCGAAATATCTACAGCCATGGTCCTCCTTAAGAGCCTTGTGCTCACCGGCCTCACTGCCGTCGTTGTAGCCAAATCCGCCGTCCTCGACCTCGTCCCAGACAACTTTGACCAGGTTGTCCTTAAGTCGGGCAAGGCCTCTCTGGTCGAGTTCTTCGCCCCGTGGTGCGGCCACTGCAAGAATCTCGCTCCCATTTACGAGGAGCTCGCACACGCTTTCGAATTCTCCAAGGATGTTCAGATCGCCAAGGTTGATGCGGATGCCGAGAAGTCATTAGGTAGGAGGTTTGATATTGGGGGCTTTCCGACCCTCAAGTGGTTCGATGGTAAGAGCGACAAGCCAACCGAATACAATGGCGGACGAGACCTCGAGAGTTTGACCAAGTTCATCACGGAGAAGACTGGTGTCAGGCCCAAAAGGAAGCTGGAGCTGCCCAGCGCCGTCGACATGTTGAACGACAGGACCTTCAAGGAGATTATTGGCAGTGAGAAGAACGTCCTTGTCGCATTCACCGCACCATGGTGTGGCCGTAAGTACTGTATCCGGCCGCTGTGGCTATTTGAAGCTAATTGGTGTCAGATTGCAAGAGCCTCGCTCCCGTTTGGGAGACTCTGGCCGCGGATTTTATTAGCGAACCCAATGTCACAATCGCCAAGGTTGACGCCGAGGCCGAGAACAGCAAGGCTACCGCCAAGGACCAGGGCGTTACCTCATACCCGACCATCAAGTATTTCGCTGCTGGCTCTACCGAAGGCGAACCCTACAACGGTGGCCGATCCGAGGCAGATCTTGTCAGCTTCGTCAACAAGAAGACTGGCACGCACCGTGTTCCGGGTGGTGGCCTTGATGCGACTGCCGGTACCATCGATATTCTGAACCATATAGCCATGAAGTTCTCGGCTGGAGGTGCAGCGATTTCTGACCTTGTCTCTGAGGCCAAGGCAGCTGCTGAGGGTCTTGCGACGGATGCGCAATACAAGTATGCTGAGTACTATCTCCGTGTGTTCGACAAGCTGTCCAAGAGCGACAACTACGTTGCTAAGGAAGTGGCTCGCCTCGACGGCATCATCAAGAAGGGCGGTCTTGCACCGGCCAAGCTGGATGAGCTGCAGACCAAGACCAATATCCTGAGACAATTCCTCCAGGACGTCACCGACAAGGTTATTAGCGGTAAGGACGAGTTGTAAGGTGGTGTCTACTAAATTTCTGGGAAATTGGCACTGTTCACTGTCTAAGACATACTGGGCCAAGCTACCCGCGTCATCGTTGTCTGTTGGTTTGCCTTGGTGTATCCTGGTACCAGGAGACTGTCAGCAAAGGTGGTGGCAAGCCTGGGTCTAGTCTTATGCTTGGTGGATGGGTGTCTGTACTAGAATAGCATTTATCTATTCACGGGCGTCTCCTCATTCCCGTATTAATGAGCAAACCTGCATACCTACTCTCTATGGTAGTCCACAAGTACAACCTGAACTCCTGCAACGCCAAGCCCTGGCCTGATCTCATCTTAGGGTATCATTACTTCGAAGAATTCGAATCGTTGGATTTTTGGTTCGCCTGTAATGCAGCCTCTAGATTGTCCAGTCGTCGTGACATCTCGTCCACTATTAGTCGTATCATGCATGTTAGAACCTGTGTTGTGCATGTGGAGTTGAAGCTCTGTGGCATACTCTTGGCAAAGATCTCGCTCGATACACCGGCGAACTTGTTGGACAGCGAGCTCAGTAAATCCTCGACCACAGCTGTCAATTCATCGGAAGACTGCAATGGCGGGGTCAGTAACGGGCTCGTCATTCTGGATCAAAGACAGGGAGGGGTCGCACGGTAGCCTCTTTGTTGTTGGTCTCGGTTTTGTTTGACGACATTTCGCTTGGTGATGAAGATTGGTGCACGTAATAGAAAGCCGTATGCTCTGGGTTTAACGAAAGCTTCCAGTGGGGGTATTTGAAGTTGTGTCGTGGTGAAGATGGATCTCAGAAGTTTCATAAAGTTGATCGCGCTGGAGGTCGCGATTTTAGCGGGATGGACCGTGCATTGGGCCCCTTGGACCCCGGATTGCTAGCGTTCATTTTAGCCCGACGGCCAGTCCTTGGAGGCTCAACGTCATGAGACTCTTCGGTCCAGTCTTCAAAGCAGCCCAATATCAACATTTTACGTATTGGCTTGGTCTTTTATTGCTCCTGACAACCACACACACGGGGGTATAGCAATGTTATCAAGATAAAATCAACAGCCCTGAGGCTTTTCATCGCCATGCCTCAGCCGCAGGACAATGCGCGCCTCGTCTTCCTTATTATCCTGCTCTTCTGGGTTGCCACAAATCCAGATACCGGTCCCGGCTTCGTCGCGGCTCCCTCGCTGACTAAGGCTCGGCTTGTGAGACAGCGACATGCCCATGGTATTCTGAACAGTACGCATTGGGGTGACTTCTCTCCACAGGTTGCCAATGAGACAACCGGGGTGGCAGCAGGGTATCTGAACCTGACGGGCTTTAGGCAAGAGGACGGCTTCGTCTGGCAGGAGGACTTTGGGCGCCTCAGGAACCGCTGCGAGGAATGGAGTCAGCATGCTGTTGGTCTGCCTACAGCTCCCGCGCCCGTGTGGCAGAATGTGACGGGGATTGTGCGTGGTCCTTGGGTTAGGAAGGATGCTTCGGTGCCTAGGTATCACTCGAATTACAACCTGACCGAGATGACCCCTGGCATTGACTGGGTGACATGGGGAGGTGACTGGGGGAGGAATGTCACGGGACCGGAGGGCAAGATGATGTTGAGGATCGAGGACGACGGAGATGACGACATGGAGACGGAAGCGCTGGGATCTACAGGATTGCCACCGACCCACATCAGGGCGAGAGAGGTGTCGGCTACGGTCACCATCGACGATGACGCAGGCAGTGGTAACAGCTTTGAAATGCGGCTTCATGGCGTCCACTGGCCTCGTCAAGGTGCATTGCTGCTGACGACGACGAGTGAGAAGTTCGCCGGCATCTTCGGATTGCCTCACCTCACTACGCGTCAGGAGTTCTTCGAGTCTAGCCAGGCTCTCTTGAACAGAACTTTGGACAAGGTTCTCTCTAGAAAAGAGAAGCGCTCATTTAGTGATCCGGTGAACCCGTGGGCCTCTAGTCTGGACGCCCCGGGGGAAACTTGGAATCCGTCACCGCATTGCGAATACATCGCTTACGTACAGGTATATCCGCCTGAGAATGACGTACTCAGAGTCCAGCCCGCTCTTGCTGGTCCCGAAGGTGTCGCGAAAGCCATCGAGGAGATTGAAAATGAGCTGCGTTTTCCCCAAGGAGCTCCTCAGCAGGGTAGGCCAAAGCTTCGGATGTCTGCTATGGTGTTCTCACCGGACTGTGCCTTCTTACTGGAAACAAAAGGGCCACCGGATTATCCGCAGGCAGATGGAGACCATCTCGCCGGATGGAAGCAGGAGTTTTGGCTCCACAGCGTGAGCACCTGGCTATTAGGTTTTGCCCTGATCATCTTCATCCAGGTCCAGCTGCTCAAGTTGCAGATGCGGGAAACCTCGACACCGTCTACATTGGGACGCATCAGCTTCCACACTGGCAGTATTATGCTTCTTGCAGACGGCGTTATCCTTGCTGGGTCAGCTGCGTGGAGTCTCTCGGCAACAACGACCATGCTGCCATCATTGGTTGTCACTTGTGCCGCCTTCTTGTCCATGACCGTCGGAGTCACTTTCTTGGCCGAGATATACAAGGTGCAGGAACCAGAATGGCGAAGACGGGACAGAGAGCGTGAGCGGGAAAGGCAAGCCGCATCTACCACCAATAACACTCCAAGGCCAGCGTCAACTCCTACACCTCCTACGGCCGCACCAGGTGCAGCTTCGACTCCAGGGCCGAACACAATCCTGTCGACGGCCGCCCGCCGCGCAATCCCTCGTCCCCCTTCACCACCCATCATCATCCCCTCGGATCAAGACATTGATGCCGAGATTGAAGAGGTCACCAACAACCCGACGGCCATCCTTCCGGCTCCTGCAACTGCCGGCAACAACACCACACCAGCGGCAGCGAACTCCAGCATCACACTGAGTAACATATTCGGCCGCTTCATCATGGCAGGCATCACCCTGTTGTTCCTGACCCTCGCCGCCGTAACCTGGCGCCCGCACTTCCGCTCCATCTACTTCAACCTCCTTGTCTTCAGCTATCTATCCCTCTGGGCGCCGCAGATCTACCGCAACATCTACCGCAACTGCCGGCACGCCCTCTCGTGGCGCTTCGTCATCGGCCAGAGCTGTTTACGCCTCCTTCCCATCTCGTACTTCTACCTAGTTAAGGACAACTTTGCCTTTGCGCAGCCCGACTGGACCGCATTCGCCGTCCTCGCCGGCTGGGTCTGGATCCAGATCTGGGCGCTCGTCTTCCAGAGCGTGCTGGGGCCCCGCTTTGGAGTGCCGAAGGGTTGGATGCCCGAGGCGTGGGAGTATCATCCTATTTTGCGCGAGGATAATGTTGAGTCGGGAGGATTGCCCATCGGGCTTGTGCTCGCGGCTTCGGGGTCGGAGAGTCCTACTTTCGAGAGGCGGGATAGCAATGCTGGCAGTGGTGGGGGAGGGGACAAGAAAAACACGCGCGTACATGTCATCGACTGCGCCATTTGTCGCGAGACCCTTGAGGTACCCATTATAAAGGCGGGGACCGGGGATCCGACAGCAGGAGGCGTGGCGGGCGTGTTTGAAAGGAGGAAGTATATGGTTACGCCGTGCAGGCATGTGTTTCATAGTGTTTGTTTGGAAGGGTGGATGAGGTTCAGGTTGCAGTGTCCGATTTGTCGGGAGGAGTTGCCCCCTCTGTAGGGGACAGGTGTTCTTAGCAGAGGCGGTTGCTGTTTGTATATGAGTAGGAATAGGGGCTATCAGAATTGATGTATGGTCAACTGGTATTTCTGGTCTGGGGTCTTTATTGGTGTTACCGTAACACTCTTGGCCTTGGGATCTGAGTTCCTCGATTTAATCTGCACTTATAGATAGTCCGTCTCCTCGTAGGTGCAGGCTGCTCACGCACAGCTGCATGAGGGAATCAATGTCTCCCCGGGCGTAACATCGAGATGATATGGACCCGCTTCATGCCGCGAGCCATTTCCCACGAAGACCCGAACAGGGATATTCAGGATGCTTACCGCCTTGATGATAAGGACTCCTTTCAGAATAGATGTACTGGGACTTGCGGTTTCCGCCACATTACGACCTGATCACCGTTGAAGAGGAGCGCACAATAACTCCTCTTCGTCTTGCCGCTATAGCAGATGTGCAATCCATCGTCCAAGGTCTTCTCGCCAGGGACACCAGCGCCAACCTAATCCGCAAACATTGTGAGTCCAGCACACGTCAATTACGTGGGCTGTTATTGACGACGGCAACTAACATAATATAGAAATATTGGTGGTACACGGGTTGACTTGTCTATGAGCGATCATTGTGGCCGCGTTGCTCTCTTCTGGGTTTGGATCGCTACGTTCCTGACAATGCATACTGGCTTATCGGCAATAGCCCTCCAGCAAGCCAGTGGACGAGGAAGTTTAACTTGAGTTGCCCTCTGTGATATTGCTTGAGGGAGGAAATATTACGATGGCGACAACCCTCGAGTCGACCCTGGCTTCCGCTACGAGAGCCACAATTCTCAGATCACCAAATTCTTCCTCGAAAGTAACATCGGCCTCGAAACCACGGCGGAGAAAGAATTTGATGCCAGGTCGACAAGCTCACGATCAAATCAATATGCCGGAGTATGGGGATCCTGAGGGGCACTACTCACCTCTCCATATTGCACTGAATAGTGCAAGGCTGATCTTGGAGAAGTGACACCATGACATCAAAGTCGAAGATAGGTTTTTAAATACTCTATTAGAAGTTCTCTTCAAGAAATATGTGGAAAGTTCTAAACTTTGTGTCGAAAAAGTGAGTTTACTGCTGGAAAATGGGCGAACCAGTGCCTTTCATGTAGACCACAGGATGGAAGAAATAGTGAATGGTACCAAAGTCGAAGGCTACCAAAATGGGGGGGGGGCTGGAAATTGTATGAGTATGCTTTGGATCAGGTTATATTTCTGATCTTTCTCAAGACGACTGTGTATTACTGGCTCGATTCGATTGATTCGAAGACCCGACCCTCGCCCCCTTTTCGTCACACGCAGCCCATGTGTATTTATGTAGGCCTCAATCAGTCTGACAACATGTGGCGAAAATTTCTAACAAAGTCTCGCAATATGTCTCGCACCCCTATCTGCCTATTTGAGGTTGACGGTTGGCAAAATTCAATGGTCGCCAAGGCCAATGAGCTCATGGTCAGCATGTACCAATGCCCATATTGAAGTTGAGTTGCTCACGTGTTTCAATCGTGAACAGAAATAGCTGCTGACTGATATGAAGGTATTCTCTTATTCATTGGAGTTTGATTGGTTTCGATCTTCAGTCTTCAGTCTCCAGATCAGATTTCTCGCCTGATACGCCTCCCTGCCCGACTGTGCCAGGTCCGGGAGGTCTTTTGCGAAATCAACCACACGAAGTTATACGTCGCTGTCTCCAGTAAATCACCAAGCAAATTCATTAAATCTCGGGCCCCTTTTTCGTCCCTTCATAAAACCTTCACTCCAACCCAATATTCAACGAACCCCCTTCCTCCTTCCAAGGGCACTTATCAAGATTCTCCCTTCTGTCCCACCTCTCCGAAGTCCCAAAACTGACGTATGCTTCCGGATGCTCAATAGATTCCTTCGTTCTCGCCGGTTCAGGGCAATCCTCCCCATGATAAACCACGTTCGCCTCGTACGACGTCCTGGCAAACAAACTTGCCCGCACAAGATCCCCACGAATAACATATATCTGAAAAGCGTTATAATACGCCCTCGAATTAGCCGGTTCATGCGCGCCTCTCCCACCACCACTGCCACCACCACCACCGGCTCCTCATACAGCACCCGAAAGAACATATCTCAATCCTTCAGATACTCCTCCGGTCTCTCGACCGTCCGCCCAGCCCTCCCAATCGCTCAATCCAACTCCTCGATTTGGCAGTGTCGCTCATTACTTTCTCATGATTCCTTCGCAGGCAGAGAACACACAGCACGTATACTCAAACCCAAATGCATTCCTAAGATGAGGCCACCGGAGCACGGAAGGCGCGTGATTGATATAAGCGACTGTGCTTTCCTCCCCAGCTTCAATATCCCGGGTCGCAGTCAAGGTCTGGTGTTGGTTAAGACGTTAAATAGTTCCCCGTTGGATGATTGGGCAGGGTCAGGAAGGAGGGGAATGACAGTCGCGTCCATGTTGTCAATTGTAATGGGCGGCAGGCACAACGTATGTTTCGCAAATGAATCATAGAGGTTCGTGGTTGGCGAGGACAACGACTCAGGACTGGATTGTGATCGATGAGGGTAATATAGGATATAGCCATATGTCAGGTACGAAGGGAGATTATGAACAGCAGACAGCTTCTAGTAGGCAGGGGCAGCAAAAACAGGATATCAATCGCGGATGCTGTAGAATATGATGGATTGGCACGCACACAGCTAGGTACGGTGCAAATCAAGCAGCGCCTGCCATTATATGTTGTTGAGGTTAAGTGTTGTATTCAATCCGCTGTCCATCTCGATACATTTGGATTCGACTATCGTGAGGCCTACGTAGATGCCCTTGGCCTCGGTCATAAGCCACTCTGGGGTTATGGAGCGGGTGTAGAGTTCTTTAATCATGACCTCTTCAGCGGGAACGGAGCGAGTCAGGGGCTCCCGATATTCATCATCATTTTTTTGTGATCGGTGAGACAGTATAGTATCAAGAAGCCATTTCAAGACCTCTGGAAGACTTAAGACATTGGGAAGAGTGAGAAAAGCTTCAAGAGTCGGCCAAACCATGTTATGATAGTGGCAATTTCCCTAACCGGAATATCACCAATCTGGTCCTCGAGCTAAGCGAGTAGCCTGTCTTGACCCGTAGTAGGAAGAGGCTCGCATTTCGTAACTAGGCAAAGCGCCTTGGGTCTGCCATTCTTCCTCCGCTACTCCAGATAGGCCTTGAAGAATCCGGCTAGAAGGCCATAGTCCAGGGTCCACTATAGAGCCCTCTAAGCGCAACAAGAGCATTTAGTCATACCGCAGTTATTGTTAGTCGAGGAGTTCGAAATTTCCCATAACGGAGGTTCTGATTACGTCTGAATCGGCAGATAATCTAGTCACAACCAGTCTGTAGTACTATGTCTTTACGGCTATTACAACATATTAAAGAACTCTACCAAACAATCTAACAAACATATTTTGATATTTACTTAGTAAGGCCCAGAAATATAGCAGTTATAGTAATATTAAGTCGTTAACTTAATATACTTCACAAACGCGATTAATTTCGTACTCCTCGGAGGACGGTTATACCTGAAGGTCTTACCATGTGCCCCGCTGGGATTTATCCCTTGAAGGAGAAGTGCTCTGCTATCAAGTCAGTGTCCTGATTAACGATTTATCCTGCGTTAGACATTAACGGTTAAGTTACTCCCAAAAAACTCTAAGAAACTAGCTATAGGAAGGGACAATCCGTATTTATAGGCCACGTCCTGAAGGACAACCAAGCGATCAAGACTATTACGTACAATTAGAATCTGGTTGTAGGCAACTTTTAATAACATAGTGCGTTTATTAGTTTAATTTAAAGATAAATAGATGACAGAAAGTCCTATAAGATACGAAGTGAATGTCCAAAGTGAAAGTGTGAGCCAGTGTGCAAGAATTTGAGAAGGAAAGACTATTCTTATAGAAACTTGAGCACGATATCAAGGCCTCACAGCCACCTTAATTGTCACATCCATGAAAGAAGTCTTCGTCAATGATGCCATTTGCCCCTTTACGGATATTCGACTCAAGCCTGCCTGCCTGCCTTACAACCGGACCAGACACCAATACCTGCAAACCACCAACCTGCATGGCAACAACATCAATCAACAACGGTGATGTGTTTAGGATTCTATGCTAGGCCGGCATCTAGCCCTCCGCCCCCATCTATGTGGTAGAAGCATATAGCGAGATCAGTTGTCGGATTTGTTCTCCTCCATACATAGTAGGGACTCTGAACAAATGGTCCGAATTTCTCATCTAAACATGATACACCTATGCGTGTATTTGCTGTGGTGTCATACTCTGAAATTTGAGGGCATTATCCACGTCCTTGAGTGCAATTCGTGAAAACTTCCCGTGTACTCCTCGTTGACCGAAAAATCCAGCTCTTTAGCAGCAAGCCAGTGGCAGAGACGGCCGGCGCGGTCGAAGGCGCCATACACTGCCTGCCGCTATGTACCGCGGTCGCAAGTCGGTTGTTTATTTGTGCGACTCGTTTTCGTCTACCCGGAGGTTGCTTGGCTTTACTGGGAAGACGTGGTTACTGAGCAGGACCTCGAATGTGATAGCGTGAACCGCCATGGGGATGAAGCCTGCTTGTTAGCGGCCACTGATGCGCCTGATGTCGATAAGGAGGAGGTGAACTACGAGGTCATGCAGGGCACGAGACGCGCTGATCACGAACTATGTAAGCTGGTATAGCTGCGCTCGATATCGAGCCCTGCGACGAACCCCTCCGTTTTCCTCTACTCCTCACACACCAGTCAGATCAACCGGGGTGTTTGCTGCATTGTCGGCATCTGGAAATACGCACATATAGTTAGCACTGACTTAGCTGGGAGGGGGCAGCTGAGCTTACCGATAGGGTTAGCAGCGTTGACTTAGAACTGAAGATAACGTCGCGTTTTCAGATCAGGCAGTTCAGGCAAATGTTTATACTGTGTACTGGGCGCAGTCAGCACATTCCCCTGCCGTCCACCTATGTTCCCGACACGCCATCGACCAGGCTGCCCACAGCGTCGCCAGGCACATCGTCGCCGACTGACTCCACGCAACAAATTTATCTGCAGAACTGCTTTTGCTCGCGTAGATCCAGCGGTTGCCGTACTGTTTGAAGACCTCGAAATCAAAAGGGTTGGGATCTGAGGCTGGACGGGCATCGCCCATTTCGTCTTCAGGAGATCGGTTGTGATTCCGCCGGCGTACTACGCCTCCAAGAAACAGTACCCTAGCTGTTGTATCTTGTTGTACCACACTCCTATTATGGCCTCCTGCGACTTCTTGAACGCGTGAAGCAGCCTCGCTAATATCACCGCCTTATCATGAGGATGCTGAGACTTCCGCTCTAAGCTCTCTTGCCATTGTACTATCTAAGCACGAAAAGCACAGAGTGACGCAAGCTCCTCACGTAGAGTAAATCCCGACGATTCGGTAGGGCAAAGTAGTATGCCCCGGAAAAGAAGGTAATCGTAATCCAGAGGAGATGGTTGAATAGGCCGGAAGGGTAAATCGCAGAAGAGATATGCGTCGTCCATAGGCATACCGTAGTACCGAAGTGTCGCCTCATACCGCCGCAACGAGGGTAATAGAACTTACAGCACGGCTACGATGCAGACCAACATCCATAACTCGTCCATGTCCACGTGATGAGATAGGAGGCTAGATTTTCTCGATCTTGCAACTCGGTTTACCATAGCATTGTCATTTTAAACTTTTTTATGTAGTTTTGTTGCTGGTTGACTTTGGCTATTTTCAAAGCTCTCTGCTATTATGAATTCATTGACAGATACTACGACGAAGAATGTCACGACGCAGAGATACTCACTTGCCTCTCACACCAGCAACGCATTTCACTGTTGCCACAATAACCATTCATTTGCAGATATACCCTCGTTGTTAGGTTGTATAACTTCCCTATAATTACAATTCCGTTCAGTTTGGCTATCTCGGGTGGGGTCAACTCAATCCAGGGAGGCTACCACTGGACGTTCCACTGCATGTTGGAATATTATGTGGAAAACGGAATGATGCAGATATGAAGTAGCGGTTGACTCTGCTTGGTTAGAAGCTTCCTACCTATCCCAGCTCTTCCTACCTTACTAACCCGAATTTCTCAGGAAAGATGGTACAACCAGATTCCTTTGGGACAGACCGCTTTCGTGTGAAACTTAACCCCTTTTCAGCTTCAATACAAGGCCACAGTGCCTGAATTATAAACTTCATGTGATGAAAATCCTACACTCCAGGGACGAAAACGCAGTTCATATGAATCTACCCATATCGTATATCCAGGAGTCTAGGTTCTAAAGGTGGGTGACTCTTCACATAATATCTCACACGAGGTCGTCCCTGGCTGGCTTTTTGCGCTTCACATAGATGATGAACTACTCTGACAAGCCGCTTATGATTTCAAGTATACAACTTCGACAACTTCGACCTCACTAAATACTGTGCAGTAGTAACGCAGCTAGAAGGACCCCCGTTTGGCATGCATCGGGTTCTCATGAGCGGAGAAATCATTATATCTATTGGCATAAAGGCTGATATTAGCCAGATGCCAACTACCTTCCAACGGCGTTGCTAACGGAACACCTTCATCCTTTGACATTATCGTCGTACTAGGAAACAGTTGATCATAAAACATTTATTCTCATGAAATAGTGGCAATCGGTAAGTCTCTTTCGATTACTGAAACCCCATCTCAATTCGGGACTAGTTTGCTACAGTGAGAGAAACGGTACTCGTCTCTCCACAACTTGCGGCGTATCCGTTGTCTTTTCGCCCTTCACAAGCCTCTTGAGATCCAGTTATACGCTACTTACCGGTAGTACCCACGACTGCTCGTTATCGCCAGAAATTCCAAGTGATCCAGCCCTGAATATTCATCCCTGCTGCTAGACTTCCACCCTCGATGAACCTATCCCAAGTCGCACGATTTCTCCGTACTAAGACCGATCACGGTTTGTTTTCGACCCCTTCAAACATAGGCCGCCCCAACACCTAGAAAATCGTAGCTTCAACCAGACCTGACAGCTTCCGATAAATCGGTCACATTCCATCCCTTTGACCGGCTATCCGACACAGTTGAGACGCGGCTACGCCACGTTGTCTCGGTCTATGCTAAAGACCCCATCCAGCCTTGCCGAACCACGCATCCGGAACCCACGACTACTTCCAAGGGCATAGCGGTGAGATCAGGATGGGGCCAGGATGTTGAAGCTGCATAGCTCGGAGACCTGGGAGTCATCGTGTCCCCTCGTGAGGTTTCAGCTGTCTCCTTTTGAAAACAGCGTCGTTACCTCGTAAGCTTTGGTCCCAATGAACTGACCGCTGCGGATGTGTTTGAGCCTCTGTTGAACCACGCCGAAAAAGGTGTTGTAACTAGATTGGGAAACTAGCAACTGCCCCTCGTTACGGCGCGAAAGTAGTAGAGCACAAACCACTATGACAAGGCTTAGTTGACACATCCGCTCGTCATTCTTCACCTCACTACGCGCATGACGGAAAATCAAAGCATGGGCCTCGGGTGGACGGTGCGTAAATTCAATCTGGGGGCACGGGGTTGATGACAATCTCATCAGTGCCAAATTATGCACACGTGGCGTTCGCCGGACTGGAAAGTTATACCCAGGAGCTTGGGATGGCATGTGCTAAGATACTCCTCATGTGCCCTGCTAGATTATGAAAGATAAGAGGTATGAGCTATGACCTAACTTGCTTTATTAATGGTAAGTGGCTGACTTCGATAGTGTGTCGATTGATGAAAGCTAGCCAGGTACCCAACCCCCTGGACATGAGCAGTGCACCGAGGTTGGCGATTCAAGGTTCACCATCAACCTTATTCCAAAGCCTTCAATGCCGCTCCCGGCCCCGTTCCCCCACCCCTTCAATGACAGGATGACACGGCGGGCGACGCGGGGGGGGGGGTCAGTGATCATCTGGGGGGCGCCTGTCTGTCCAGTCATCAGATCAGATACTATTACCAAAGCGAACGTTTATATTGAGACTCATTATCCTAGGAGGGGGTAGACCGAAAACACCCTGACTTGATTCCGAGTCTATTTGTGTCTCCGTTTTCTCCGTCACAAGATTTCTACGGCTACGGAAGTTGCCTGTGTATCGATGGGCTGGGTAGCGGGATGCCGTTGACTAGCTTGAACTTAATCGCTGCTTGATCTGGAGATCACCGTGACTTGCAGCAGCCCAGCCAACTGACTTATCTAGCCAATGAGCGAGTCAACCATCATGCCATTCTGCCAACTACGGTGCTCCGAACGCACCGGTTCACGTGTTTGGAACTTCAAGTGGTAGCTGGTGGGGTTCGCATCGAGTTCGCAGAGTACATGCAGCATCTAGTTGAGTCGCGCGTCAGTGAGCCCAGATGGGGCGATGGTATTACGTGTAGATGTCAAACTCAATGCTGGTTATTATTAGTACAACTTCTCACTTTGGTAAAACTAGTGAAATTAGCTGCATTATCACGACCAACTCCGTCCATGGACGATATGCCACAATCCCAATGACTTTCATTCCGATGCCAATCCCAAGCTCATGACAGCATCGTGCTCCAACGTGAATCGGCATGCAGTCCAAGCTCTTCCAATATGCACCATGCGGTAGAGAAATGAAGTCGAAACCGACAATTGCGAACAGGCTCCTTCCAACCAAACCCGAGGCGCCTTTCCGATAACTACGGACTTATGAACGCGAATTAGCAACAGTCACATGGCCAGCCAGGGTGGTTCTTCTCACGTTCAGCCATTATTAGAGTGCTTGCAGAAACCCTCATCCTGGTAACGTAGTATAAACATCTGTTCGCCTCCTGGCTGCCGTCAGCGGTGGGTTGTGGTCGGTTTCATTGGCTCCCAGGAGAATTGTTAGTGCACTACGGACTTGCCAGCGTGGATCTCCTGGTTGGCTGGGATGTCTGTGCCATATTGACTCCCTTGTGGGCCAATGGGTAAGCTACCCCAGACTAGACCGCGGGGTGGTAGGGAAAGGAGATTTACTGGATGTTTCGACGAATCGCAATGCTACCTAGCCTACCTATCAGATAGGAAGCCATCACACCTCGCCATCCGGTTCGAAGGGGTGGGTTCTTTTGTTTCGGACTCGCCGTCACGTCTGTCGCTTCTGAAGATTAGACTTGTTTCGGCCTTTCACTTCTGGAAACTGAGTCGTCACAGGGAAGCAAGGGTGGGCGGTGACCCCTTTAAGCTTACAGTAGTCGTCAAAATCTATCCACTTGGAGAGGTAGGGTAGCAGCTACGAACGAAAAGACCGAACGACCTTGTCGAGCTCAAGATGAAAGATGGAATCAATTGGGGTTGACATATGATAAGGTAGGGCAGAGAAAAGGAAGAGCCTGGGCAAGGCTCTGGATTTGAAACAAGGTTCGACTGGACGTTCATGCGACAAGAAACGACAGAGAAGTTACATAGTATGTCGGTGCCACGTCTATCTTGACCGAGTACCTGTCATTGACTATGCGACCTTGCAAACCTCGTTGCTATACCCCGAATTGAAATGCCTAGGGATGGGATGCCCGGGAAAACCCCCCCCGAGTATGCAAGCTTCTTCCCGGGGGAATGCAATCAATGCAGTGCACATGTAGTCTAGATGTAGTGCACAGCACGTCGTCCATTATTTGTGGAAGGAACGGAGTACCGCTCGTGCTTGTCGACGGCCCTCCGATGAATGCCCTTGAGGCCCTTGAAGAGAAAGTGCGCAACTGTCATCAAGGCACTAACAAACCTAATGACAACAATCATTTGCCTCATGCCTCATTCCGAAGAGTTTGATTTCATGCGAAATAAGCAGGACAGCTGGTATCCTTCGCCCCCATGGCCACATTATCATCTCATGATAATAAAGATTGACTCGTACTAAACCGTCCGTCCGTCCTCGTTGGTGCGATCCTGCCGCAAGCGTGACTTTTTGTTTGAGTAAATTGCGAGGCCGATTCCCCCACGGTCGATGTGGATTGGTGGGATGTTGTGCTGATCGTTATGCAGCACCACGGAAGCACCATGGAATGAGGTGCAGAGTTTCCTTTTGCGAAAGCCGTTGCCGCATTGGCTGGTTTAGGCAAGCAAGGTGACGAGACAACGTTATCTTGGGCTGTTGTGTTAAGACAATAGATGCAGCCACGTTGTCCATAACTTGCATCTACTTTAAATTCTCCGGTTACATGAACAAGCAAGCAGAGTAGTTATACAGCAAGTAGGAGGGAGCAGCCAATGAATCATCTGCATCCGCCGGTTTCGGGCTTCGTGCGAATGCGGAGATGGCCTTCTTTTTGGACCTCAGGTTGGATGCGCAGGAAAACTGCCTGTTCCTGAAGGACGTGGTATGCATATGTATGTATGTACTTATGGTGTAGCTAAGGCGACTCAGGGTTCATGTCAGTGCACTCACAGGGCCTATGCTGCCGGCCTGTTTCACACCATGATCGGCATGGGATTTACTGGGGGTAATGGCCCTGGCGAAAATTTTGGTAATTACGTTGCATTGAGGAACTCGGGGTGATCACGTTCAACTTGGCATGTTCCGATACAATAGAGCAGCCGATTTATCACTATTAGGCAAAAATGAGGTGATGACGAAGGTATGGTTGGGAATGCTATTTCGTCATATTACTCCCCACCGGCTCTCGTGAGCTTTGGCACTCTTGGCCTCTCCCCCGCCGTGTCGACTATGTACATTTATGTTGGGGGGTGTGGTAAATGGCTGGGATATCAAATGAGAAGTAGGAAAAATGAAATAACGAGTGGAATAACCCAATGGATGTCCAATGCTGATTCCGAACGCCCGCGGAGAACGCCATGCCATGAGCTCGTGAAACGCCAGAATGATGCCCCCCTATTAAGTAATTGCAAAGAATGTTGCCAGGTAAATCCGAGCGCGCGTCATGCTTTCATGCTTCGTCGTCGATTCATGTTGAGACCTTTCAGTAGTCCTTTCTTTGGTGTCGCCGGGCTGATGGGTGACATTGGTGATATGGGTTGTGATGGAGTTGTTGCGCAAGTGGTATTTCTCTTCGCCGCCCGGGTGGCAGCCTTGATAATGTCATTGTAGCTGACAGGTGATTGTGGTGACATGACAGTAGGCGATGTGACAATTTCGGCAAGCTTTTCCTCCTCTTTCGGCGGTGCTTCAGGAGCTGTCACGGTCTGTAAAAGATCCAACGTCGAGGACGAGGAAGTTAAAGTAGGACTGTCCCCGGCCCCGTTCTTGTTAAACTGGTTCAGGGTGTGCCGACTTCGCTTTCTGACCAAGCTCAAAGTCCGGGAGACTCCTCTGAACACGGCCATATTCCTGGGCGTTCGCGGACTAGCGACCTCGTCGTCTTTAGGCGAATCCATACAGTAGTTTCCGGTGGCGTAGGGGTCAGTATTCAGGAAGGACGGCCGTTGGGTTGGCAGGGTGGTGGTGGTGAACAGGCTACTTTGCCGCATTGGTTGACGCGGCGGTCGTTGCGACTCGGCGCCACTGGTTTGCGGCCGTGTCTCAACTGAGACGGGCGATATCGCTCTTCTCGGCAGTTCGACGATGCATGGCTTGCCAGAGAAGACGACAGATACAATCTTAGCGGTATCCTCGTGGCTCCGGCGGCGCCGTACTGGCGATTCTGGTGATTCGTCGGTGGCTGTGTCAGACTCGTAGTCGGAAAAGTCGTCAGCGGAGGACGATGCATCCTCCTCGGATGACAGGTACATTTCGTGGGTAGAGGCCAATGATTGTGTGGCAGACTCGATCGAGGTGAGCCTAAGCTTGTCGAATATCTTGGAAGCCCTCAGGCTACTCCTTTGAGGGACCGTCGGCGCCTCCACCACGGAGGCTCGTTTCGAGTCCTTGGTGGTGTCCATGACAGTTGCTTGCCCCATGATGCATTCCTCGTCCATGTCGGTAAACTCGTCCAGAGCGTCTTCGTCGTAGGTTGAGTGGGTGGTGTAGCTATCGCAGGATTTCTCGTGTAAGGACACGGTAGTAGAGTTTTCAGATTCGTCCATGTTCTTCTGGTTGGGGTTTTGTTCCCGGGAAAGCAAGGGGCATTCCACGAGAGACATAGCGAAAGTATTGTGTTCGGCAGTGCGGACCCGTTTGCGTTTTGGCTGGTGGAGGAGACAGAGAACAAGTCTGGTCTACAGCAGTAATGGTAAGCGTTTGCTGTGAAGACCAGCTCCTCAATCGAAGTGAAGAAGGCTAAGGTGGGATTCACTCGCGCGGATCGCTGGACCTTAAGACGAGCAGATGTTCGAGCGAGGGAGGAAGGATGAGAGTGGAGGCCGTACGTGTGCCTATGTATGTAAGTCGGGTACTTGAGCAATCCACTCAGACAACCAAGCCAGGGGTCTGGGGGTCTATCAAGTGTATTAGTTATCGACCCCTGGACCTAGCAATTCTGAGCAAGTGGGCTAAAACGCTCGGCCACGGAGCAGACGACGGGTTGCGCTTCGTTTGCGGCACGAAGCGAGTCAAAAGACGACAGGACGAGTCGGGAGTGCGACTTTATGCAGACGTGGCAGAATTGTGCACGACGACGGCAAGACGACTGGCACGACGACCCCCAACGACAATGGCTAGAGTCTGGCGCCTTGGCTTGATGGCTTCAATATCTGCGTTTCATATAGAACATGGGGATTGCGAACGGGGATGGTGTGGCTGCCGCGCGTTGAAGACAGGTCGCATGCACTGGCCAGTTCGGAAATGCAGCAGCATCGCTTGACTCAAGAGAGGAAGAAATCCGATAACTTCAGGGCGATGAGATCCATCAGGGCATGTTACGAGAAAATGGACGACGAGCAAGCCATAAGTATGCGGGCGAATGGATTCAATTCAATGCTCCAACACGAGAGAGAGCAGTGCTCCCTCATAGCCACCTCTATTTTCATCTGTTGGCATTTCAAGTCTATTTTTCGTCATCAGCCACCAAGGTTGAACTATCCTACTTTCCAGCTTGGCCCAGGCAGGTCCAGGGTGGCCGCCACCTGCCTCAAGAGGTCGGCTGCTGGCTGGCCGACGAGCGGCTTCAGGAAATGCGTGCCCCAAAGAGGCAAGACCCCCCAAGAATTGTTCACTCCCATTAACCACGACCTCACTCCTGGTCTACCCGAAGACCGGGGGTGTGTCATGGAGGCTTCACCTGAGCAGGACATGGAGACGGGTACGTATATACATTACCGAAGCACAAACTGGGGGGTTGATTGGCCAGCTATGACAGCTCTAACCTTCGTACCCTGCTGGCGCGAAAGAAGTAGAAAGCCTCCACCCTGTTGGGATTTTTTCCTCACGACGAGGAGGCCACGACGGGACAGCTGAGAACACTCAACGACCAGAAGGCCCAAAGCCAAAAGGCGTCAAAGCCCGGTGCAGTAGGAAATGAACAGCACGAGGAGCGCCACTGGCGTGCGCTTGCGCCTCAAGCCTGCCCTATCTATTGCCGACCGGACCACTGCATAGTGTCTACGTAGATAATTGCAAAGTCCTCCGAACCAAGCACACGGGCATGTCGCCATCGCTCGACTAATGTGTGGGGATTTGGTCAGGGAACCTTAATCGAATAAATTGATTGCATTGAGAAACAAATGGGTGTGGGTTGAACTTGACTGGCCGTCTAATAACCCGCACGTGCCCTGGTTGCTGCGAACGATGAGATACTGGCAGATCTCTTGTAGCTGTTACCCCACCGGGTCGTCGTCGTCGCTTTCACAAAGGCATGCCCGGAGCCTTGCACTGTGATACTGATTGATGAGCGATCCGGCGGCCAGCGGCTGACCACCTTTGCATCCCGCTTGCCTACTTGCCTACATCAAGCCACTCATTGTGTGAGCCCTCCTCTGACTCCGAGCAGTGTCCAAATGTCCTCATACCCATGTGGTCGACAGGGCGAATTGTTCAGTTTTGTGCAAAACACGATCCTTCCAGAAGATTGTGATACCCAGCTGTGGGTATTATTGGCCCTCAAGCATAGCATGTATCGCTGTAAATGTGAAGTTGTGAGCAGCAGCCGGGGTCAGTGATCTCTCCACCGCCAATTACATGTAAGTCATGGCCCAGATCTGAACCTACCATAAGCCGGTGTTGCGCTCTCCCACGGCGGAAGATCCAAATGTTAATAAATCTTATCGTGTGGGCGAAAAAGCCAAGCGGAACCCCGACCAGGTTCTTCAACGTGGAAAAAAGGAGACGAAACGTGTTCCCAGGGCCAATCAGACTCTCGAAGCTCGGAACCAAGCCCCCGACGTGCTTGAAGCACACTGCATAGCCAATAACTTGCGACATGCTATTCACCAGTTCCTCCACACCTTTCCATATCGTAGCGTCACGACATCGACAAATCATCGCCATAGACGTCGCCTTTACCCACAGACCGACTTTCCTGCTTTACTTTGTGCTTTGCAATTTGCGGGAATAAAAAAAATCCATGGACGCATTTTTATGATCCCATCTTGGCTCCTCCAATTTCTTCCCATACTGCACTAGCTCGGTCTCTTCCGGACGGAAGGCGACCAATCTAAGGATGCACAACGAGCCGTACCTCATGACATCCGGGGGCATCGAAAGTTTCGAAATGTTCCCAGCACCAAGCCTTGCCAAGCGACACGATCTGGCGTCAATGTTCAATGGACTGTCAGCCGCTGGGCCCATGAAACGACAACTTGGCAGCCACTGGCGGTTTGTCTGATCTTTTTGGGATGTCAGTGAACAAGCCCTAAAAAGGCCCGAGACCCAACTGGATCCCGGATGGCAAACACACCAAACACTTTTGACATGCGAACTGCTTCAAGACAAGCATCAAACCAGCACATCACGATTCAATTGCCGCTGATCATTTTGAATTGCAGAGGGCTTGTACAGTGAGCTTCATTTGCGGCTTATTTTCGTACCAAACTTGCTTCGACACATATACGCGCGATTTGATACGTTGTACGTTCCTTCCTTCTCCGTTTCTCGAGCATCTTGCAACACCACTGTCCAGCATTTCACTCCCCACTGCGTCAGACAATTCGCAACTTTCTCAGTCGCTACGCAGTCGCTGCCGATACTGTCATTGTGCATTAATACAAACTTGATGTGGTTGCACAGGAGGAATGATAACATAGTATTTGTGGCAAAACGGCTTTCTGTTGGCACCCGATGGCGTCACTGCCAGTGCCATAGGTGGAGACTTTTCTTGTTACCGACATCTGATGAAGATTGCCCAATGGTCTCACACCATTCCTGCTCCATACTCAATGCAGCTTAGCCCCATCTGCCAATTCTATATTTGGACAAAACCTTTTTTTGGTCGCCGCTTCGGAGCCATCAGCTGAACTAAGGGTAGCATTCGGTGTAAATTTAGTCAGCCGAATCTATCGATTGAGCATCATCGTGCCATCATTCCCGCCCCCTATGAAACATATTCCCATATTCTGCGTCCAGATTCAAGGGTATTCATATCGTTTTGTAATCGGGATCACTCGGGCCTGAGTTCCCTGCAGATCCTTAGAGATCATCTGAAGATTGGAACCCGGGGCAACAGCCCACAGATTTGACTACCTATCCACCTGTAGGAACCTTGAAGTCGGGACCCTGAGTTATCATCGTCCAGGTTGACTATGGGTTCCAAGAGGCATTTGAGACAGCAGTTGAACACACCATCCTGACTTGTGATGTTCTTCAGGCCGCCCCGGCGCCAATTGTATGATCGACCGGATCGCGAGGACGAGAAACAATCCCCTGCGAACGGGAAAGAGCCCCGAAACCTCAAAAAACTCTCCGTCCCATGTCTGATATCGTTCCCTTGCACGCCACATGGCGAATCCTTTCCTTTCTCCTCCGCGGACTCCATGTTTCCTGCATGTTACGAATGGGGCGGTTCGTCAATCGACTCTCGTCACATCACTTCAAAGCCCTGCACTGGCACTGAACGCCTCGTCCCGACCTAGTGGCGCATAGCGCCTCCATAATACTGGACGAACAACTCGCAATCGGACGACACGTCCAGCTCCGTCCATCGGCCGCACACTGGCAAGCGCCGCCGCAGTCGGCGTAGCTGGCACCACAAGCGTTCTGGAGACATGCCCCAACTCTGGACGCGCAGGAACAGTCTAGGTGCCATCTAGTAATTGGGTCCACGTCCTTAGCCTCGTTGAGGATCGGTTCCCTGCTAGTCTCGGATTGGCTGGCTGCCGATTGGGTTGCCCCTGCGAACTCGAGGCTGAGCAGAAACAGTAAGCCGGTCACCATCAAGAGGGCGGTCTGCCGTGAGCATCTCCCTCTCATGGTAACGTGGTGACAAGAATGTGCCGGCGGCCCCGTTTGCCAAATGGCTGTGTTGGTGGTGTGTTGGGTTGGGGTTGACGAGGAGAGGCTCAATGAGTAGCTATTGAAGAAATAGAATTGGCCAGCCGTAGGACCCGGGCGGATCCGAAGCATAAAGACAGACCAGGCGAGGCTATGGTGTGTGCGGAATAAGCTCGAGATGAAATTATGGGGAAGAGATATTGGATTTTGTTATCTTCGAAATGACTAATTTGGATTTGGGATTATGGGTTTGCCAAGGGCATTCCTTCTTCCTTTTGTACGCATCCTCAGCCTGAGTAGATTGAAAAACAATTACACTATAAACAAGGCACTGTTCCCAATTTCCACCACATAACCCGCGAGCAGAATCACCTCTCGGAACTTGCCCGGAGGGTGTTACATCATATCGCGACGCGGCAAAGTGCTTGCATATATTGAACCCCCAATCCGGTTCGTGGCTAATACTTATGGTTATTCATGTCCACTTCTCCTTTTACGACTTACACGAGCTACCATATGACCAGTCTTTTCCCGTATCTTCTACTCCGTGCCGTGTTGTGGTTGTGGGAAGGCGTTGCGGCATACTACGTCGTAGGAAGCGGCAACGTTGATCGAAAACATGCGATTCTTCAACGATCGCCATGCAGCCGAAAGCCATGGGGGGCCTCACATTCTTTCTCAGTAGCGTTGCATTCTACGTTGCGCAGATGGCCAGAGTGCCCTTCTCATGCTCTCTCTCGCGGTTGGCATTGGCTCTGTGATGCTGCTAAGCGGCACAGGCGGCGTGGACAAACGCCACAGGCCGATATTGCATGAATGTATGGGGGCCGTTGAGGGGGGATATGCCGATGCATGGATATGTAGATCTTTATGCCAGGGCGAGGCGAAAATGGCCCCCATGGAATCCATCTCACCTGCATTTCCGCCTGGGTCGATAGATCGGCTTCTGCGCCCAGGGGGAGAAACCATAGTTCCAAAAATCCTAAGTGGCATTTTCTAGATTGCACAACCGCCATCGATGCCACTGGGCCCCCATTGCACTATGTTTTATCAGCTGTATACTGTCGATGGGGTGGGTGCCTGGTTATGAGGTTGCAAGCTGAAGCGAGCTAGAGATTGTAACTGGAACAGAGTCCGCAAGAGACTCGGTCTGTCGTTCTGATAAACGAGGCTGACCAACATGTCAGCTCGATTGCGACGTTGATCAACGACCATAGTCTCACCTGGTCAGTATGCTCTGAGTCAGGAAGATCAGCAGACTGACAAATTGTGTACGATATAAGCGGACATCACAAGTGGGCGCAGCTGGATAGTAAGTGGAGGCTGTGTAACATGAACTAGATTTTGTAAACAACAACCTTACGTGTAAGTCAGTTACTGTGGTAGAAGTGTCATGGTAACGACGCAGAGTAGGTAGTAAGTGCAACGCGATGCAGTCTTTCCAGCGCGTCTCTGAGCGGCTCCATAGAATTGTTGTTCATCTTTTGATCCTACCGTGACTAGCCAAGAGCATAACATGATCGTATAATTTGGCCAATAAGCAGATTAGAGCTATGCGTACTAATGTTTTTGACCATGTAAGTCAGCTGCCTGCCTCTCACACCTTGCTGACGCGACTCTGCCAGTATGCTTATCCAGCAGCTTACCCCCCATGTTCCAGCTCTCGCTAGATTCCTCCACATTCCTCCCCATGGAACCATCAACTAGGCTAGGATACTGTAGGCTGATATATACTCCTTTCTGTGTGTGTTTTGCTCATCCTCACCTTCTATAGTCTTTTGGGGTGCACACGTGAGGTCTGCATCGTGTTTGTCTGACAAACGTGCGGTCTCTTTACGATGAAAGGAAGCGACTCATACCCACAACCACCCGCGGCGATCCGTAGGAGTAAAATCCTAGCACAGTCAGTTTACTCCTTGAAGTAGTTGGTTTTAGAGTGATAGCCCCAGATCTATACAGCATTGGACCTGATGCGATGGTTCTATTCGGCACCGGCGGATGCTGATAAGCCGTAAACCACCGACCACATCGGAGGGAATGGATACCTAGTTACGTGTAAACTCCATGTGGCGAGAATTGGGAATAGGTGTGTGTTCTACGGTGTATTCCGTTTATGATGACATGGCATTCCAGTTGAAATTATTTGCGCGTCCCTAAAGTCACCCGACTATGGGTGGTATGGCGGCGATCTTGATCAAGTCATTGACAATGATCCCGGAGACTACCCAAAGCCACCTTCGTATAGCCGAGCTATGCAGGCGTGGAAAGCGATTCGGGCAACGAAGTGTAATATTGTGTCTCTATGATTCGACCTAAAACCCATCTTATCTTTACGTGATGTGTTGTGGTGTCTTGTTGGAATTAATCCACTTCACTTTGGTCGTATAAAGTGTCTGTAGATACTCAGCCTTCTCAACGAGACACTGTTACCCTAATTTCAAGACCAAGATGGCGCATGTGCCATTTCCAATAAATATCATCGGGATGACATTATGTGATTATGAAGCATGGTCATCTAGGATTGAGAGATCACCACCCGGGGGCAAACTCATCGGAAGTTGGGATCATCCCCTATCGACGTCGTCTCATACCATAGGGTGCGTGAGGAGTTTGTGCAAATGGGTGCGCACATGGAACGTATAATCCTTCAACTCGCACACATGAAGGAATTTTGGTGCAGATCATTGAGGAAAAGCCGAGAGGAAGAGCTCAGAAATCAGTTTCCCAAAATAAGAGGACTGGTAGCATGCGTGAGCTAAGTCCCTGCTGATCTGCCACCCCTCCCGAAGATGCGGCTCGAAGGTACATACGTATATCTTATGCAGCACTAAGTACATATGAACTACTATACCAATTGCCCATACACGATATCATTCTCAATGAAATTCTTAACAAGCACCCCTGTCAGCGGCATGACGTGCCGGCCTGTCTGTGGCCCCACCGCTTGCAGTTGACATCAACCTTCCAGGTGCATACTGGAGGATGAATATCAACTTCACTGCCCACGAACTTCAATATAACGAATTATAGAACGGGCAGATTAAGAGATTTATAGTTAAATCCAACTCAAAGATAAGTAAATTATCAAGGACCGTAACAGCTTTTGCGGACGAGCGTGATAGATGTCGAGCCGCCCTATATCGTAAAAAGTTTCTTAACACAATTGAATGCGAATTGGAGGTCATACCCCCCAACCCTTCTTTATTTTCTATTTTCTTCCCTTTTCTCATAACATAGGTTCAAAACCCCGATCGACGACGAAGACAGCTAAGGTCGAGGCATCATTTTATGACCACCGCATTTGAATCCCATGAATGCGTCCCCCTTCTATTAGAGACCGCACAGCTTCCAGGGCCGAAGCACGTTACAGTGGGTAGGTCATCGCCGGGTTAGCATATATTCGTCTTACCACGTACGACTTCCATTTTCTTGGCTGTTTTTACAAATAGTATTATTCATGATCATCAGCGAATGCTTAACCGCCTTCTTCTAAGTGACCGGTTAGCTTGAGCGTTTAATGACCCATGTAGAAGTAAGCCAGGTCACATAGTGGCGCTTCTCACCTTTATAAGAACTTGCCAGGGGTAGTTACCCAAGTCGCATACGATCAGGAGACAGCGCTGTGTAGCGTTACATCTCCCTTACCAAGTCTTTTATATGCTATACTAAACTTCGTATATTAAATCTGTTACCTGGGTCTTCCCAAAATTTTGGTCGAGGCATCGATTGGTTTTTATGAGTACGCAAGTGTGATCTCTTGGCTACGAAGTGTCCTTGGGCAAGCTTGCAGTTCCCAGGTACCAACTTCAGTCTTTCGTCTAGCAGATTCATCGTTTATAAGTATTAAACATTCGTTTTTGATAGATATCTTCCCAGGGTCCAGCTTTCAATCCTTTTGGTATGTTTTGTTAGTATCTCTCCATGATGCTAAGCGACAATTGAAATTTCAAGTCGAACCACAAAGTATGTATGTTTTCTAGTATCATCGTAAGTCTCCTAGTCCATTTAAGTGAGAAGTCGTATATATTAGTACGAGGAAGGGCTTCGATTGATTTCTCCAATGTTGAACACTGAAGGTATGGACCCTGCTCTATTATGCAATTTCCACCGCTTCTCGCCCACTTCCTTATATGAGCTAATGCAACCAGCACATCATCATCAAGAGTGAGCTACGGATTCAAATGGTCGGAATAACCGCTTGTATATCATGTAAAAGCAAGACCAGGAGTGGAAGGGCATCTTGTCGTAACTCGGAGCTGGTTAGGGGCGCAAGCAACCTCAACATGCATGCTGGCCCTCAAAGCCCTTTAAATACTATGAGCAAAGGAATGACATGAGTATACTTTCTGTATTCCTCAAGCGGGTGTTGGTTGCCAGCCTATTGCCGAAACACATAAAGAATATTCCATAGCTCGTATCCGGCTCAAAGAACCAGAGTCATGCAATTTGTAAATATTAGGGTACTTTGAAGTTTGAAGTGTTTTTTTAAACGCGTAATGTAATCGAACGGAAGGCAATTGAAGTGTAGTCTCCATTGGTCAATCGCTACAGGCAGGTACTGAGTCCAAACACACCTAGAGTTGACCCTGCGGTATAACCATTGAACTGAGACTGCCGACGTGTACGCGGGCACCTCATCCCATTCTATAACCTGTCAATATATGTGTGTAGTTGGACTCCACCTTCTAATTTGTCATAGGTAGTCGTGACCAGAACATCAACGGACGGTCGTGGCCCTGGCGAGTTATAAGTCACCCGAATCACGTCTAGTAAGCTGAAGCATGGAGAAATATAATGTTATATCCGCCACGTAACGCCTCTCACTAGAGTTTAGGGGTTGAGCATATATCTCAACTCTGAGTGTTAATATGTACCACTTCACCCATTCTCACAAGCTCCATGTCGTGTATGCCATGCGGACTCTCGCAACCATCCCCCTTATCCCTGGCATCTGGAACCTCTGGTAGTTACCCAAGCGAATTTCACGTTAAATCAAGCGATATTGATTTCATCGTCGACTTACCCTCAGGTAGGCCGTTGAATGCCTCTTATTGATAGCGCTGTGAAGGACCGAGACCTCTTTCATAACCCCGTTCTGCGCACCTTGGAGGACTTCCGGTAACCCCTTGGGTAATTAGGTTCCTCCCAGCCCGCTATACAGGTGCGCCGGGTTCACTCTATTGGCTTGTGAGGAAGTCGATCTATGCTGGCGTAAATGCTTGACGATGGCCATCGTGCTTTGCCGCGGCGTTAGGTAGGCATGCCAACGCAGAACAATTCAAGTAGCTGGTCTCCCTCCAGCCATGTGGAACCGCTTGGTCAATTACAGCCTGAAGACACAGGATCAATTCAATACAATGCCGAATGTGTCCTAGAAGCCACGCTCTGCACGAGCCTCATCACCTTATCCATCTTTTATCACTCAAACTAACACCACAGCCACCTAAGACAGGCGTCTCTTCCCATCAAGCATGCGACGTCATGAATAAAATATTAAGTCACGGAAGAGAACTCTATCAAGATTGTCATTACTGTTTGTTTCCCATAGAGCACAATTCCCTATGCCATCTTTCATTTCCCTGATGCTCTTTGAAAACGCCCTCGCCGGGATCGATCGATCCATCGATCCATCGATTGCCAATCCCGGGCTTAACCGAGACAGGTCAACTAAATCCTCGCAAGAAAAAAGAGAAGACGCCCCCCTCTCGGCCGCCCACATCACCAAGGCCGCTCACTATTCTGCCCTGTGATTATGACGTTGCCTACGTGGGCTTCTTCTCCTGGAAAATGTGTTTTGCTCGTGTTGTGCCTTGACTCCCGCTTCAGATGCGCTGGTCGACAAAACGGATGGCGCGGAAATCCATGCTTGAATTTACCATGACCTTGAGAGATACCATGTATAACACGAGTTATGCTGTGAAGGTAGTTCATGAAATCGTAATCTACTCCTTTTGCCATTTGTTTCCCAGTTATGTCTTCCACTGGGTTGCACACCAATACGCCGATTACAAGTAGAGAGGGTTGTCGCAATTTCTTCCAAAGCCGTTGGGCGACCAACAGGCTCTCCGTTCTATATAGAACTATCTCGAGCTGATGGGGGACCAAATGCCGAAGAAAACGGTTTCCACGTAGATCCTCCGTGGAACGAATCCCACGCCAGATTCCACCATAGACACTGCCAGTTGAGACCAAGCCGCTATCGATGAAAACGCATCCTCAGTATTTAGCATGCCGATTGGATCGCTACCATCGTCTCAGGGGTCGAGACGCTGGAGCAGTTCGAGTCCTACTTTGCGAAAGGCGAAATGGTCAACCATGGAGCTTGATGAGGCCGTGAGGGAATATTTTCGGTAGTTGAAGGCGAGAACGAGCGATAGAACGGATGTCATGAGTCGAGTTTGCGGTGTGAAGGGCCACAAGCCAGTGCCATAATCGCGTGACAAGGTCTATCGTGTGAGGAAAACAAATGGAAATCACGAAACTCTGGGTAGGACAAACGGCCATCAACCGGTTACCCCAATGGAAGGCCATGTGCGACCAGTGGGGATATCATGCTACCCAGTCGCGAATAATGGGAATGTAAGGCCAAAAATCACCGGCTTCTGGAGGAGCCCACCGAGTTTTGTCGCTCATGGGTATTCGGACGACGCTCATCGAGCTTCAACGAGTCCAACCGCTTTTGGTTGTCATCGGCATCCGAGACGCCATTGGGCTTCTTTCCAGCTGCTTGATCCTTGATGGCTGCCCACTTTCGCTCTCGGAGGGCCTCGCGTGCTGATGCGTTGTTCTGCTGCTCCGTGTATTCATGAGAGCAGTCGTCAAACAACTGCGGGTTGATCTCCATGAAAAGCTTCATCGCATTGTATACCATGCCATGAATTGTCCTAAGAATCATTAGTTAAACACGCGACAACCATCCGCATGTACCCATACCTGTTCCAGTGTCCCTTAGAGTTCTCGTAGAGGGGAGCGAACATGATGGGCAGAATAATCTCCACATTATCGCTCACCAGGTTGCAGAAGTACTCGTTGTTCCAGAAATACAGAGCACGCTCTGCCACTTGGAAATGAGGGCTCGCAACCGACTTGGCCAGCTGATGAAACAAAGGCTCCTGGACTTTGGCGAATTCGGCGGGATCCATCACCTCAAAAATGTCTTCGACCTCATTAAGGAACATTACTTCCTTGGTGCTGTTGACCTTCGGCCAATATCGCAGGAGGCCAAGAACAACTTCTTCGGTCAAGGAAGCATCCTTTTCGAGAAACTGGACAATACAATACGCCAATTGAGGGTGGTACATGCTGAGACTCTTGACCTTGTGCAGGGGGATCAGCACCCGAGTCAGGAACAGCTTGTGTTCCTCCTTCAGGGGCAGCGCAAATCCGTTGATGATTGAACCCAGGATTTCCAGCAGCTCGGCAATACCGTTAAATCTCTCTGTTTCGTAGATGAACTGGAAGAAGACGTTGTTGATGGATCGACGAATGAAAGAACGCAAGTTCAGAAATTTTCCATAGATCCTGTGGAGAGTCGTCTTCAGGAAATCCCTCTCGCGCGGATCCTCCGAGTCAAACAGTTCCAGAAGCTGAAGCACAAAGCTGTGATCAATGTACGCCTTGGCGATGTTGGTGTTGAAGTCCTGGCTCTCAATAAAACGCAAGAAGAACTCGTAGACGACCTGAATGTGCGGCCAAGCCACCTCCAAGACGGGCTCGTCCTCTTCGGGATCAAATGCTTCACCTTGTGGATTCATCGGCGGTGGAATGGGGCGGAAAAGGTTCTTGGCGAACATATCGACGACGCGGGGATACATAGGCTCTGTAATGACCTGGCGGTTGTTCGCGACGTAGTCGAGGAGCTCATGTAGAGCAAGACGCTTGATCTCCTTGGACTTCATGTCACCGCTGGCGTCGTTAAAGTCGAAAATGACATTGCACTGGTCAATCTTTTGCATGAACAGCTCCTGGCGTCGGTTCGGGGGGACCTCATGGAATCCCGGCAACTTCTCGAGCTCACGATGCGCGGAAATATCGAAGCGCGACGAGTGCTGTCTCTTGGGCGTTCGAAGACCCTCGGGAACATCCTTGGGGGTTTGATGGAGGCGATCGAACATGAGTGACTTCTGTCCAGCCTTGGGCGGCGCCAAATCGTGTGGCATGGTTTCGGCGGCTCCAGGCGGTGGCACATGCTATTTGCGCGACTATGTGAGCCAAATATCACCAATGCAGTCTGCATTTAGATGGTACAGTGACTTACCGGTGCGCTTGGGCTGATAACAACGGTCGGGGGCAGTGACCCATGTCGGCTCGGAGTCGCAGCACCGTTGGGCGATGATGGTCCCATGCTGTTGAATCTGTCGGGCAAAACTCCTTGCGCAGAAGGCGCGCCTTGGCCCGGCAAACTGCCGTGGTCGCCGTGTCCAGCTTGGTTCGGGGGCAAAGGCTTGTTGCGGATGTCGTTGAGGGTCGAGGTCGACGAGGTGGGCGTCAAGGTGGGGGATTGCGTTTCTCGCGAACTACCAGAGGGAGAGGCAGTTCCATCCTTCGAGTCCTTATTCTTCTTGGATGTCTTGCTATCACCCTTCCCTCGTGAGAGCTGGATGATGCGATGGTCAGCCTCGGTATCCAGCAGCAGCCTGATAGCATAGAAAAGGCTGGGGCCAGTCCAAGATGCAGCTTCTGAAAAACGGGAACAAGCTTACCACTCTCTGGCTGAAACGCTTCATCTTGATCTACAGCGTAGGCCCTGGCTACTCGGCGGGCGAACCTCGACCAGCTTGCAAGCTCTTGTGTAGTTTGTGGGCAGGCACGCTTGAACAACCCAATTGGTGATGTGGTGGTGAGCTGTCAAGTTGCGAAAGTCGTGTCGGTGGCAGGTGAAAATAGAAGCCGCCGAAAGTGTCAACCAATGCCAGCCGCGAGTTGAACTGAAAATTGCGTGGGAGGTTCTTCGGATTACTGGTCGAATTCCAAGGGTGGTGATGCTGCTGCTTGAGCAGAGAGTCGGTCTCGAACTGGATCGCGACGTGCCTACGTGTCGCACTGGCTGCTGTCAAGAGCAGATTACCGGGGTCAATATGACAGCAATGGCTCGATGGACACCGTTGTAATCGCGAGCTGGGCAGAGATGATCATCTGACCGCGCGAGATAGTAGCTTGGGCAATGTTTTCTCCGTTGTGTCGTGATGTTGGTCCAGGAGGTGGAGAAACGGAGTAAGGTGGAAGGGCCGTAGATCCTCCAGGGGGCGGCCAGCGGCCTGCGGCGCGAGGTCACTAACTACAGGTCCGTGAGGGACCCGCAACCGATAATTGATAAGAAATTCGGCACTCGCAAACAAAAGGTAAAGGAAACGAGAAATTAAAAAAGGTGATAAAATTGTTAAGCTTTTCAGTGTAATTTTGGCAAAGGTTATTGTCGGTCGATGCGAGGATGCAATGGGTGCAGTTGGTCATGATTGTCTCTCTTCTTCTAGTTACTTGAATTGGACAATGGTTTAATAAGAGCCGTGCGCCACTTGACGTTGTTTGCGAGGCCGTGGATGGTGGTGTGTGAAGAAGGTCCAGCAGTGCTATCCGTCCCTTTTCCCCTTGCAAGTCCCAAACATCACCACCACAAAATCGCAGGTGTCATTAATAACTCTACTGTGTAACCACATAAAGATAACGTGGCCTAAGGCCTTCCTGCCACACCCATGTGAATGTTGTTCCAGTCAGTTCAAACAAACCGAGGACTCATCAATATCTACAGCCATACTCGCCACCACTGCACTCCAGTAATACGTGAGCCATATGCATGCAATATTCTTGCAGTTAGTTTGTTCTTCGAAACTAGCAATGCCAAACATCTTGCTAAGCTGGTTCAAGTGCTCCGATGATGGCAATTAGCTCCGGAGCTGATGGGCGAATACAACAGGTGCTTCCCTTGTTCTCTTGAGCGGACACCCTTAATACTTCAGTAGCTTTATAAGTGCTCCAGTATTTTAGCAATGCTCGTTGATAAAACATATGTGGAGATGCTACAGAATCTCACCAGTTGAGGAAAAGGAACCGTTCTGCTTCTGCAAGTCATATGTCTGGGCGGTTGGTAGGCACGCACTCATTATCTCATCATCACCTAAACAAGCCTGTCACCGCACAATAGGGAAACGTTGTGATTGGTTGCTAATCTCCAGCAACAGCACGATCGTCACTGAAAGCTGGAAGCAAGGTGGAAATAGTGGACGGCTACCAAGAAGGTAGGATGAAATAAGCAGCTAGTCATTGCTGCTCAATCATCAAAAAGACCAGCCTCAGACTCTATCTGGTCAGCTTCCGTACTGGATGTGATGAAACCCTGGCATTTACATCAAGATTCACATTTCAATGGTGGTTCAAAACTCGGTTGAGCCACCCTGGAGCCGCTCTTTTATGCACGGACCATTATGCAGCTGCCACGCCTAAATAACAGCCGCCGGTTATATGGGTCATTGAACATTTGACTTCGAACTTTCTTACTTCTCATTACTGGCAGAATTTCCGAAGACGTCAAAATCCGAGCTGCAGTTAAGATCAGAGCCTTGCACCATCCGTCAGGTCTCTGGTAGCTCTTGAATAAATATCACTGAAAACTTGGTGTACCACGTTTGTCTTGACCTTCTCGCCTGGGTTTCTTCTATGCAAACTGAGTTCATGCTGATGAATAATCTGGCGTTGATTCAAGGTCTGTTGGCATAAGTTGGGCTTGTTTCGGATTCCAGGGAATTGCGCCTGGGTGTGTTTGCTGATTTGGGGCGCCTCCTGACAACTTCCCCTTGAGCAGTGGGGGCAAAATCAGCAGTCTGCATCGAGTGTAATGATACATCTCATCGCCAAGCAAGGCCACGCAAAGACTTGGTAGGTCAATTGAGTTGGGACGGCAATGCGCCTGCGAAAAGCAGCACGATGCTTGGCCTAGAGAACTTGTTTCCTCCTGGAGGTTCCAAAAACGATGGTGCCCCCTATTTTGAAGTCCCCTCTCGGAAAATCGTGTCCATTGAGCACCCATTCATCATTCAGAACCTGGACAATGGCATCAGATCATTCGGACCTAACCCGAATTTCCACCGTGTAAGTGATATCCCGAACATCCGCACTACCATGCTTGGATAGGTTTCTGACCTGGATGATAAAGCTCATGGTGGATGGCTCAGAGCGCAGTTCGTTGCCACTATGGTTGCGTCATGATGAGCCTACAGCAAAGCCTGTCATGTCACACAATGCGGCTTCCAACAACGTTCTGCTGAAGATCACGGTCCCCAAGCGGACAGGCCGTAAGCGAAAACGCGGAAGCGATGAGCCGTTTTCTGGAGACGTCGCACTACCGGACGCTGGTCCAGAGCCCACGCCTAAAGACCAAGTCTGCTCTGTTGCTCGACAGGATAACCCCAGGTTGATCCTTCGAAAACTCCAGGACAATGCCGATACCTACAGTGTCGAGGCCGTGGGGGCTATCCGAGGCAGCCACAGATACAGGGGCTTGGCAGACTTCCAGTTCATAGCCAGAGATCTGCCCTTCCTCTCCAAGGTTGCTGATCACCTCACACCAATGAACGGTAAGGAGTTAATTCTCGTCCTCACGCTTGACCTGGTTACTGACATGATATCACAGTATCCAAGCTTCGGGAGTTCAAGCTGGACCTCAATCAAGGGATAGGTTCCGGTCAGGAGATCATACCGCCGCCCCATTTCACAGACAAAGTTGCGCCATTCAACTACTTCTATGAACAGAATCCGAATGCCCAAGTTTCAGTGACCGACGCCACGGGCAAACCCATTATAGGAAATATGAATCGCCAAGGACGGTTCGCCTTTGGTCACTACATCCAGTACAACGCCCCAGTGCCCACCGGCCCCCTCAAGCCAGCCAACTCAAGCGGGCTATACCAAGTGCCTGCGGACCTACTGGACAAGTTACGAACCTGCATGGAAGAGCGCCCCATCTGGACCCGTCGCGCTCTCGTCAACCAAGTAAACATCGGCAACTACATCAGCGAGACGGCCGTCAAATTCGCCATTCAAGCAGTGGGGTACCAGTTCAAAGGCGGTCCCTGGCGTGACGCCGTGGTCAAGTATGGCGTAGACCCGCGCATCGACAGCAAATACCGCATTTATCAGACCCTCGCCTTCAAACTGCACCGGCTGCCCGTAAAAAGCGTGGTGCACAACGGCCAGATAACCAACATGAGCAAGGACGACGCGAGGCGAAGCCACATGTGGGACGGCAACAGCTACTGCACCAACGGCAAGTTCTGGCAGGTATGCGATATCACGGACGCGCCGCTGCTGCAGCTCATTGAAGAAGCGCCGCTAAGGGAGGAGTGCGCCGTCGAGGGGGACGGCTGGTGGTACGAGGGGACCTGGTCCAAAGTCAAGGCGTACATGAAGGCCAAGATGGTGGCTATCCAGGCCGGAAGGTTGGGCGATGAGAATGACGTGCCGAAGAAGCCCGGATACCTCTATGCGAGCTCACTGGTCGCGAAGCTGAAGCAGCACGCTGATATTGTTCCCGTGCGCAATGGTAAGTTCTCGACTGTTAATGTGACGACGCTGCTGTATGGGCTCGAGGACGTTGAGGGACTGGAGGGGATCAGGTATAGACACCGACCCGGCGCGTCGTGGAAGGACCCGTATGGATCTATGGGTCTTACTGGTAATAATAAGTACCCTGTCCGCCGCAAGAGGCGCGCGCCGTCGAGTTTTGAGGGTGGAGAGAGGGATGCTCCTGAGGCTGGGGGTAATGGAGAGAAGCGTGGAGGCGAGGTGTATCCAGATGATGCGTGGGCGCATATCTTGGATAGTGATCTGAGCGACATGTCTGGAGACGAGGATGGGAACGAGGCGGACGAGACCATGGTAGACGAAGCCATATCATTCACTGGTAACGACAGAGAGTCGCGAAACGGAGAGGGCGACGATGAAGAATTCGACGAAGAAGACGAAGACCAAGACCAAGAACGCGAAGAGTTCGATGATGGCTACGGCGAGACATACGGTGATGAGGACAGTGGCACATACGACGGGGACGACGTGGGAGATGGTGACAGCGAATCCTACGACAAACCGGATGAAGAAGACGAGAACGACAATGGTGCTTATGATTCGGAAAACAACAAAAGTGTTTCTGAGCACCGGCAAACGTCAGTCCTGGATTGATGGATCTTCACAATAAAATAGCATGGCAGACAGGCTCTCGCATGTGCTAGTTCTAATTGTCGGCTTGGTTGTCCTTCCACGACAGGTCATTTTGGCACATATATAGTGAGCTTGTGATGTAAGATTGAGTGTACGCCTAACCAGACAATGCGTCATTCTACGCGAACATATTCATGTAATATAAGCGGCAATAGACACTCATCACACTTCTGTACTCATCGGTCTCCCGTATTTTCGCAACTTGTGCACGATCCTGTATCAGATGTGTGATGTCTACCAGCTTCATGTAATATAAGCGGCAATAGACACTCATCACACTTCTGTACTCATCGGTCTCCCGTATTTTCGCAACTTGTGCACGATCCTGTATCAGATGTGTGATGTCTACCAGCTTGAAACCAGGTTATCAATCACACACATTTCCAAACCGGAGACAATTCACTGAGGGCCGTGGAAGAGAATGTAATATATCTCAACATGTGCTTTCATTGTCTTGCCCGTGGCTGTTCACCAATAGGAATCACTGTTCTTAAGCAGATTCTTCGTCACCAACCACGTCCGCCTCTCCATCCACCACGACCTCCGCGATGATCTCCCCTGCTCCCACGAGCGTACTGATAGCCGTTGCCGTGTTGTTGGGATTGGCCTTGCTGAGACTGACCATACTGAGGTTGGCCATGCTGAGGCTGGCCATATGGAGGCTGTCCGTATTGAACTTGTCCGTACTGGGGCTGTCCCATCTGTGGCGGCGGTGCCCATCCACCCATCGGCTGCATACCTGGCACCCAAGATTGCTGGTTTCCCCCAGCCATTATCGGAGCTGGAGGCGGAACGGGTGGCCATGGCCCCTGCCAGTTTGGTGGTGCAGGCGGCGGAACGACGCCAGGAAATGGCAGGTTCGGTGGAAAGGAAGGCATTGGAGGATTTTGACTGGAACAGCTCGGGGGAGGGTGGAGATTACCGTTGGGAATATTGTACTCATTTGTTGTTGTTGTTGTTGTTGTTGTTGTTGTTGTTGTTGTTGGAGGAGGAGGAGGAGGACTGTAGCCTTGTGAGCTTGAGCGGGATCGTTGACGTCTCCGCTCTCTCGCTGGGGACGGGGAGCGTGAGCTGTTGTACGAGCCTTGGCGCCGTCGCCCTCTGCTGAAACTTCTTCGACGGCTCCGACTTCTACTCCGACTCTTGCTTCTACTTCTACTACGGCTGCCAGAGTCTGTCATTCGCCGCCGTTTGAAAGCAGGTCTGGAGGAGCTGCGGCTTGAGCTTCGCGAGCGTGAGCGTGACATGCTTCGTCCTCGACTGTTGTCGCTGCGTGACCCATTCGCCTTCTTCCGCCGTTGCTTCATCTTCTTACAGAAGTTACGTGACCAGCCATAGTATGTCTGGCCTTTGATGATGTCCCCTGTAATTTCGTCGACGATGATGCTTTGGCCGAGTTGATCGACATCTTCAGCTGGGTCATCGCCAAGGCGGTGGTCTTTTGCGTAGATTCGGTCCACATCAGCAAGCAGATCCTTTACTGCTTTGATCAAATTCTTGTCGGCTGGACCAGGCATGAACTGGAGGGGCTTGATCATGGTCGGGTTCATTGGTCTCGTTGAGTTTGGCTCAATGACTGGCAGCCAATTTGCAGCTGGCAAATCGTACCACGGGGTAGTCGGGTCCCCATGTAGAGTAGGCATGATGAAAGGAGTATCTGTTGATAGTTTGGCGGCAGCCGTCTTTGTGCTTGCTGCAGATCCATCCGGTGTCGACGACTTCAACTGCGAGGTCGGCGCTTCTCGGGCGGCGCTTTCCAGCTTCTTAACGAATGCCGTTGAGAAGTACCCCTTCTCACCCCATAGGTTGACTAGGCTCAATATTTTCGCCAAATGCTTTGGACAATCCGGAAAGGCGGCGGCAGTGTGCACAATGGCAGGCAGAAATGCCTCGAGCTGGGACGAAAAGCCATCGTCTCGATCCCGGATATGCATATGGTACAGCACGTCATTCAGCACATACAGGATGTGCAACCGTTTTCGCTTTGCCGATGGCTGGCGAGCCTTTCTGCTCGCTGCAACATCGGTACTGAAAGTGGCCGCCAAAGCTGCGAGATATTTGCCCAGCGCGGCGATCCTGGCGAGGGACTGAACCAGGTGCTTCAATATCCATTGCTTGCTTTTCTATATATGACGACCGTTTAGCGGTCGTACAAGATATCAAGTCTGTAAGGATTGTGTTGCTCAAACCTGGACATTGGCTGGAGAACATCTCGCGAGTGTCGCGTCGAGAAGGCTGAGGAATTCGTCGATCTCGCTTCGTGCACACGATGTCGGGTCTTTCCGGAGTAGAACAGCTGAAAAGGAGATTTTGGCGATCGCAAGCTGGGGTGAGGTCATGGTAGAGGGTCTGAAGGGACCTACAGTCCCAGAGGCGTTCGATCGTAGTGCGTAATCCGACTGAATATAAGTGAAAAGGAGCTGGTATTCTTTGTCAGCCTCGCAGGCGGTTGGAGATGCTTTCAAGCGACTTGGACGTGCCTGAGCTGCACTGAAGAAAGACCCACAAAAGCACGTAAATTCGTATGAAGACCCCGCCCGATGCCCCATCTTTAGGCATCTTTAGGGGATCGTTTGATGCTTGGCAGGAAACTCTCCTCTCGGACAAACCTTAGCTCAAGGTCTTTACTTTATCGTAGCTCGATAAAGACAAGCTAAGATAATGACGTTTTGCGACATCCGGCTCATATTAGAATCGTACGATGCTGTGGAGATTTTTTTTCCCATTCTGCTAGACTCAACCCGACCACCAGCAAAAGCGCTCATGAGGATCGCATTGCGCTATTATGGACCTCACTCTAGTAGTAGTTGGGTAGCGACTGTGCGTACTCCGTAGGCAGATGCTCAAGTTCGGTACTTAGTGACAGGAGCCCTGGCGATCAACGGGTCGCTACTGATCTAACACAATGGCTTTGGAGTAGAGTTGTCATTCTGTTCCCATGCACATTTGCAGTCCGTATCATGCCATCGGTTGAACATATAGGTACAATGAATTCTTCACAACGGCGGTATGAGCTAAAATCAGTCGCGCCATCCGCCTTCAGCCTCCATCCGGCGTCATATCACTATGAAAACCGGTCGCCCTTCGGACTCTTGAACGGCTTGTCACTCTCGTACTTGCTCTTCTCGAATATGCGTTGGCCTTCGGTCGCCGGGGCATGTCTCGTTGGCGCCGGGTCGCTGCTTGCTTCTTGGCTTGGAGACCCAGCTGCATCGGTCCGTGGCGACGTCCCATTGCCTACGGGACCGCCACCCATAGTGGCAGAAGATCCAGGATGGGCAGGAACGTTGCTTGAATATTCGAGAGAGTCGATCATCCGCTTCTTCCTCCGCGTTTCCTCAAGTTTCGCAGCTCGGTCGGCATTGATCTGTTTCTTGGCGAAGTAGTAGGCGCCTCCTCCGGCTGTGTCATGTGTTAGCGGAAATTGGTGCTAGTTTATTCAGAGGCGGATCGGTCCGTACCAGCACAAAGAGAGCCCCATCCAAACCTGTTGTATCTTATTGTTAACAGTGAATCGAAACGTCGCAGGCTACAGGCACGCCATACCAGAAGGACCTGACCTGGTAGCGAGTTAGCTAGAACTCGCGCAGTTCTGCAACGGTGAAGCACTTACAGTGTTCATCGTGGTCAAGGAATTGACGGCAATTGACTTTGTAAATAAGTGTTTGAGGGATAACTCTAGTGACACGAGATGTCGTTGCTGCTTGTTGTAGATTGTGTGAAGTAAACCGAAGTTCAGGCAAAAGTCCAGGTATCAAATGGTCCAAAGTACGAAGTAAGGATGATCCATTAGATGCGCAGCAACATAGGCCGCCCCTGCTAAATTTCGCGTTAACCTAATCAGTAAATAAAGGTATTCTAGCCGCGCCCGTTGCCGGACCCGTCCCTGGTCAGCGAGCATCCCAACTTTTCAACGGTCCCGCAGTTGTGGCTGGACTGTGACGAAGCTCAGAGCTCTCGTACATTCAAGCTGATCAAACCTCGTCAAGGCCTTTCTAGGTTATTGCCGCGTACACATCAAGGAGTAACATACGCAGCCTCTGTGTTTTTCTCAATAAAGTAGAGGCTGTTTCAGTCCGGTCTTTGGTGTGCTCCCAACGACGGAAACAGTCATTTGTTCAATAGAACGACTTGGCCGTTATTGGTGCCTTCCACAGCTCCAGAGGCAAAGATCCGCATTCAGATATTGATTGACTCAAGACTCGGGAACTCTGGGACTCTGGGACGAATGAAGAATTTAAAGCATGATTAACTTTAGGGACTCTGACCACTTGGAGGCACCAAAAACTACCGACCAACCCCACCAACCAACCATCCAACGCATAGAGACAGTGGAATGCTGCCTCCCTTTCCGCATATGTCCCTTGTGTGCCTGAATTATTGCCCGGCGACCGCGTAACACGCTTCGAATTGTTGACGGTCAAGTTTGAAGTTTGAAAGTTTGAGGCTGAGCAACAATAAAGACGACAACATAATTTCCAGTTTCCCAGCCCCGACTATGATTTGCAGGAGGCAGTTTCGTCATTGCTGAATCTCGTCCTCCACCACTTACAGCGCCCCGCCCTCGTTGGATAGAATCGTCTTTTAGGTAGCCTTCCGGACCGACTCAACATCACATACCTACCACGACCAACATTTTTTGAGCTGCCGCTGCAGAACCAAAGTCACTCGTTTGAAGCTTGGATGGGACGTTGAATGTGTTTTGCATCGCTCTATGCGCCGACGGACTCGCGTGTTAACGCATGGATGGGTACTTTTCTGCAGAAGCAGCACCCCGCGGTGAACTAGTACTCTCCTATTCGCCATGGAGCCGCAGGAGGGCAACGGGCCTGATGGCTCGTCACTGAAGCCTGTCTCTTCTTTAAGAGCGCAATTCGAGAACATGGGCAAGACGACGACCAAGGCCGACACGTCAGCACCCCCACCAACTGTTCCGCCGCCTCGCCATCGCTCCCCGTCACCTAAGCCCCCGCCGATACCCAGCACAAGACCGGTCCGGAACACAACTGTCGTCGCCCTGCAAGACGAGGCACGGCCAAAGCCAAGAGAAGGACTCAGGCCGGCGGGGCTACACATACCAGAAACAGGAGGAGACCTGGATTCCGCAGTTCGATCACCTCGAATCGGAGTTGCTCCTCCCTTGAGTCCGAAGCCCGTCAAGCCGCCTTCTGTCCTCATCGAGCCTCCGCAGTCACCGCCGAAGGGTTGGGTTACTAATTTGACAGAAAACCAACACAACCAACTGAACCTCGATCCCACCAAGGCTCCTCTTACGCCTACAGCTCCCTCGTCTCGGCCATTTAAAATCTCTAGTAGACCGCACACACCAGTCCTCGAGCCACGCCGATCACCGAGACTTGCTGCATCTTCACAACCCCCGTCGCCGCCTCCCCCACGACGCTCTGGGGAGCTGAGAAGAGATCGCGAGCTCAAGGGACCAGCACCTGTAGTGCCCCCTCCTATAAACCGTGCCGAAAAACCGAGCAATCGACTGTCATATCTCGGTGACCATGGGCGACTGGATGTACAGAACCAGGTGGCTGAAAGGTCACCGTTCAACAGCCCCCCAACGAGTGCGAGTGACCCCGAACAGGAAGAGCCCCCAGAACTTCCGACCCGACCTGTAAGACCTGCCGCGGCCACCAAAGCGATTGGATCTTCCAGGACAAGCACGTTACCCGCGCCATTCGAGCCGCCGCCCGTCCGCCATTCGCTCATTACCAAGAGGCCAGTTGCAGATCTCAACGGGCATGCGAGGGGTCCTCCTGTGCTGAAGGCGGCCCCTGAACCACCACCACCTCCTGTTCTACCATCACGGCCACATGTCGCGACTGAACCTCCACCGACCCGTACAACGGCAAACCCTCCGATGCCGCCTCCGCCACGCCCGCCACGGATCGGAATAGTTACGGCAAATGTAAACACAGATGCCGCTTCGTCTAGCGCCCAGCCGAAGCGTGTCGTCTCTACTCCAACGCAACAGTTCGCGCCGCCCCCAGCGCGTGGTCATGGACGATCTATGACAGTAGATCGAACATCTGACAGGACCCCTGCAGAATTTCGAGAAACTCCGAGGAAGATGTTTACAGTCGTGGACAGGACAGGGCGCGTTCCCGAATCCCAGCCGTCGGGCCCGGCTGTGCTCTCGTCGCAGGTTAATGCTGCGTATCCGGATGCATCAAATACGAATCGCCGGCCACCATTCATAAAGAAGGGAGTTCACGAAATTTACACGAAATACGACACGAGGATTTTTGATGTATGTGGACAATACGTCTGCACTAGTGGGCATCTTACTCGAGTCTGGAACCTACTGGACGGAGAGCTCTTGGTGAGTTTTGCGCATGGCGAAGGGCTGAGAGCCACAGCCGTTGCATTCAAGTGCGGCTTGGATGTCCACGACGAGGGATCGCGATTATGGATCGGCGATAACAGTGGTGAGCTCATGGAAGCCGACATTGCGACCCAGTCTGTTGTTGGCAACAAATCGAACGCGCATGGTCGAAACGAAGTCATCAAGATTTACAGGCATTTGAACGAGATGTGGACCTTGGACGATGGTGGCACTTTGCATGTATGGGGATCCGATGCTGAAGGATCGCCAAATTTGAGCAACCCTCCTCATCAAACGTATAGACTACCCAGGACGCATTCCTTCTCCATGATCGTCAACGACGAGCTGTGGCACGCATCAGGAAAGGAAATCCGTGTTTTTGCGCCAACGGTCAACGGCAGAGCCCAGGTCCAGGTGCTTGTGCGACCAATGATTGCTGAAGGGGCCGGTGAAATAACGTCGGGAACCCAAGTCAAGTCACAACCTGGGATAGTTTTCTTCGGCCATATCGATGGCAAGGTCAGCATGTGGGCTGAAAAGGATTTCAGCTGTCTGGGCATCCTCAACATCAGCACGTACAAGATCAACTCCCTCGCGGGTGTTGGAAATCACATGTGGGCAGCATACAACACCGGCAAGATATGTGTCTACGACATTGAAACGTCCCCGTGGGTTGTTAAGAAGGAGTGGCAGGCTCACGACAACCCAGCTCTCAAGCTGATGACTGACCGTGCCAGCTTCTATCGGCTTGATCGGTTGCAAGTTATTTCGTTAGGTGCGGACAACATGCTGAGGTCATGGGACGGCTTGTTGCAGGATGACTTTCTCGAAAACGAGATGAAGGCTCGCGACGCACAGTATTCTGAGTTCGAGGATATAAAAGCTCTGGTCATGACTTGGAACGCTGGAGCATCGACTCCGAGTAGCCTCAGGCGTGATGAACAAGATGCAGCCTTCATTCAGAACCTTCTTCAAACCAGCGACTGCCCCGATATCCTTATTTTTGGCTTCCAAGAATTGGTCGACCTCGAAGACAAGACTGCAACCGCTAAACGGTTGTTCAAGTCCAAGAAGAAGAAGGATAATGTCACAGCGCAGGAGCGAATGAGCCATCAATACCGAGATTGGAGGGATTTCCTGGTTAGAAGTCTGGATGACTATTTCCCTGGGGATTGTCTTTACCACCCTCTCCATTCCTCGACCCTGGTTGGTCTCTTCACCTGCATTTTCGTCAAAGCGAGTCTTCGTGACCGGATCAGGAACCTGAGCAGTGCCGAGATCAAACGTGGCATGGGTGGATTTCACGGCAACAAGGGTGCAATCGTTGTCCGATTTATGGTGGACGACACGTCGTTGTGTCTCATCAATTGCCATCTCGCAGCCGGACAGTCCAACGCCAACGCTCGACATAATGACATTGCCGCGATCATGGACAGCACTATATTGCCTGTTGAAAAGGATCCAAGTGTCCGCATTGATAGCTATATGGGGGGCGGTGATGGTACAATGATTCTCGATCATGAGCTGTGCTTGCTCAACGGGGATCTCAACTATCGTATTGACACCATGTCTCGCGATACCGTAGTCAGTGCCGTCAAGGTTAACAACCTGTCCAAGCTGCTGGAGCGGGATCAACTCTTGGTGGCCCGACGCCGAAATCCAGCGTTCAAGCTCCGGGCGTTCGATGAGATGCCCATACAATTCGCGCCTACGTACAAGTACGATGTAGGGACGGACACCTACGACTCGAGCGAGAAGAAACGTTCTCCGGCTTGGTGCGATCGCCTCCTCCACCGCGGCAACGGCAGAATACAGCAGCTTGATTACCGCCGGCACGAAGTCCGGGTCTCTGACCATAGGCCCGTGACGGGGCGGTTCAAGTTTACAATTAAACGTATCTCGCCCAAGAAACGAGCATTGACTTGGGCGGACTGCCAGCAGCGGTTCGATAACTTGAAGGAGAGGGAGGCGAGCGAAGACAAGTGAGTTTTACCACCGGCGATGTACATTCCAATCCAATTTTTTCAAGTTGCTAATTGTAAATAACAGGCTCGACTATCTGATGAATGTAATCGGTTACGACTCTGCGACGAGTAAGGGTCTGATCCGCGAGAAGTCCGCAAGGAGACCGTCGAGGAGTCCCAGCCGGCGTTTGGAATAGGAAGCCGACGCAGAAGGGGAGACGACAGAGTCTGAGCAGACGCTCAACGACAGGACGGCTGGCGAACGGATGCGGGATCGTATGAGAGAAGTTTCGCTCCACGTCCGGAAGCGAAATACCAGTGAAGGCGGATTCTTTGAGAATATTCGCCAACTGTCCGATGATCGCGGGTCGGGAAGGGCCGTGTCCAAGGAGTCGCGGAAGGAGACCTGGGTATAAGCTTAGACTTGGACCCGGGCTTGGCCTCGGGGTTGGGCTCGTGGATGATGAGTGATGATGCGACAGGCGGCCTTGATGATAGACTTACGACTGAGTCGATGCATATAGGAAAACAAAAACTATACTTCTTCTCCTCAGTGCGCTACTGTGAAAGCTTATGGTAATCAATGTATGGCCTTGAATGTGAACTCGAAGCGTAGAAAGTGGCTCCACATGATACTCGAGTAAACATTGGGTTTACAATGCCGTCGCTCATTAGCTGGAATGTGTCTAATCTACTTTGAACAAGTGTGTGTTTCATATACTAGCCCCGGCTCCTTTCCCCCTCCATGCCGAACAATCCCTGCCTCTTCCCCGGACCTATATGCCTCGGCATCCCCGCAATCACTAGCCGGAGATAGGTCAACTCGTCCGAACTACCGGACCTCGTTGTTTTAAATCGAACTTCTTGTCCATTGCTCGACCAGGGAAAACCAACGTTCGTATTCTTCATTTTAATTAACCTGGTTGAAAGTTGTGCGATATTCGCCTTTTGAATTGCTTGATACGCATCTGAGAGTCCTTCTCCTGCCTATTGGACAAACGCGATGGCCGACGAAACTGCCCTCCATGACTTTCCATCCCTCTTCTCCCTCAAGGGCAAAGTCGCCGTCGTGACGGGTGGCTCGCGTGGTCTGGGTCTGAATGCAGCATCGGCGTGAGTCGTCCTTTCCTTCCTTGCCCCCCATCAGTTCATCGGTCCATTCAACACTCAATCTAACCACCTCTCCCCACCAGCTTCCTCCAAGCCGGCGCCTCCAAAGTCTTCATCACCTCCCGTAAATCCAGCGCCTGCGACACCGCTGTGTCCAAACTAAACTCCCTCCCGAATCTGCAACCAGGCGCCCTCGCCATCTCCGTCCCTGCCGACAGCTCCACCATCGCAGGCATCGAGTCCCTCCTCGCCCAAGTATCACAACACACCGATCACGTCGATATCCTCTTCGCCAACGCTGGCGCCACGTGGGGCGAATCCTTCGACAAGCACCCGGACTCGGCCTTTGCGAAAGTCATGGACTTGAACGTGAAATCCGTCTTCACTACCATCCGGCTCTTTGCTCCTTTGTTACAGAAAAACGCGAGTATCGACGATCCCTCGCGGGTAGTAATCACCGCTAGTGTGGCCGGATTGGGCATTGGCACGCTGGGGAAGCAGGGGACGTACGGTTACAGTGCTTCGAAGGCGGCGGTGATCCATTTGGGACGAAATCTGGCGGTCGAGTTGGGGCCTAGACATATAACGGTGAATAGTATCTGTCCCGGATTCTTCCCGACTAAGATGTCGAATGGGTTGCTGGATTTGACTGGGGGGTACGAGGCGCATGCGAGGGAGAACCCGATGAAGAGACTTGGGAAGCCCGAGGACATTGCTGGGATTGTGGTTTATTTGAGTAGTCGTGCTGGGGCGCATGTGAATGGGGCTGCGATTGAGCTTGACGGGGGTGCCTTGTGGAATAGGGGGCAGTTGTCTGAAGTGGGTTCCAAGTTGTGAATTAGTGTACGAGCTCGAACAAAGTCTTGGAGTGGTTTGAGGTGACACGGCTGGATGTGCGTCTCGATTGAAGCTCATGCTCAATGTATAAATATGCGGTATCAGAATGCGTCTATTTGCCTTCTTGTCTCTAAATTTTGTATGACCCCCGGAAATGCTAGACGTGTAGTCTAATTCGTGACGAATACCTGCATACTAGTATGCGTGCGATGCCGAGATGTTGATATACAACACCTTTGTATCTTCCCGTTCCTAGCCATTCGCATCAAATACCCATCCCTAAGCCTGGATTTTGGGTTTCCGTGCCACCCAGTGACTCGCACTATACACACTCTGAAGCATGCTCTGACTGTCTTGCACGTAAGGTGCGCGCAAATTTGTCTCGCGCTTCTCAACTACAAGACCTATGCGCTCCACCAGCTGCATTACCTCGTCGTCTGTCAGTTCGAAGCTGCCAGGATCTGCGATCCCCAAAGAGTGGTTCTCGTCATAATCGCCTTCCCCATCATAACCGTGGTGGCCAGGAACGTTGTTCTCAAAGTGCCACAGCAAAGGGCCGACGTTGATGAGGACACCACCTGGCTTGAGACAATGACGAATTACTTCGAGATATCGTATCAAGTTCGGTGCCGTATCGAGGAAGAAGACTGCAGCCACAGCGTCGTACATATCTTTGTGGGCATCGTCTCCGTAAAGACACAGAAAGTCAGCCGCGCACATCTGCATCGCACCAATCCCCTCCGTCTGGGCAAGTTCAGTCTGAGGGTGGATATCCGGCACTCTGTAGCTCTTGAACTGGTTTTCTCGATTTCTGTGGTTGGAGAAAGAGTGGATCCAGGGGTAGATAGTGTGCTGACCGGCAACCTCAACCGAGTTGAGGATGTACGAAGAACCCAGGAGCTGGTGGTAGGAAATCTCATTGCCCTCGCTGTGATATCCTTTCTGGCATAAGTCAAACACTAGGCGTCCCAGCCCAGCCCCTGGAACCAGGACATTCATTGGTGAGCGGTTTGGATATCGAGCCTTCTCAGCGTCGAGTGCACGGAAAACAGGTCCATTGGAAGCCTCGCGCTCAACAGAACCTTCAGCAGACCAGTCACGGTAGAATTGTCGGATGGTGCTCCGGGCCTTTTCTGAGTCCTGGTGTTTGGCAATGCCAGCCCACTCATCAGGCATTAAAGCAAGCCCCTCTGCATTGGATTGTTGCATGCCGAATGAACGGAGTCCGAATTTGCAGATGATGCGTGCGAGTTCGGCATTGCTGTCTATGGCATCGTCCACACGGTCCAGCGTCTTCAAATACGAGAACGGAGGCTGAGCCAGCATCTCCCAGTGAGCTTTAGGGAGGGCATAGAATGACTGCCGCCGCAAATGGGTACAGTTGAGGTGCGCATTCTTGGCATATTGGCTACAGGCAAGATTAGTTGAAACGCTTGGATGGGTAAGTTTGGGGTACTGGTATATAGGGTATGGAAGTTCGGAAGTGCGACTTGACAAGATACAAGCAGCAAACGTAAAGTAGGAGGAAAGAGTACGAACGCAAAGGAGTCAAGAGCAGAGAAGATGACTCGGATCTCCTCTGGATCGTCGATGGTATCCTCAACACCATTCCACTGGCTATCATCACCATGACCAATGCCGGCTTGGTCCGCCATGGTGAGATTGGAAGATACCCGTCGGTAAACTCGGGTGAGCTGATGATGCGCCGCCAGAAGTGTTGGAAATCAGATAGATGGTGGGGCTAGCCGATACCCGAGAATGAGGGGCAGGCGGCCAAGAGGACAGGGTAGGAATGTTGAAGGGAAAAGAAGGGTCAGCCGCAACACATCATTGCCGAGAAGCACAAAGTTTATTTATGCCACATATTCAGAGTGGAGTTTGTGAAGAAATTCCCGTCTTTGGGGTCAAGGACAAGGACAAGGAGAGTGAAGATTTTACTCTCCACTCTATTGTTATGTTTTATCTGATAAACCAAGGTACAGTTACAGGTGAAGCCAAGATGATCGCAATTGGGACCCTGGCCGGGCAGTGGTCAGCAGTAGGCGCTCGGGCCAACTAACTGCGGATCTTGACTGACTACATCGCTCTTGCCTTGATAATCGAGCACTTGGCAAGCTTGAGATCGAACTTGTTTGGATTCAATCTTTGCTGGAGCCAATGGAAGCCAAATCAACTAGATGTGAATTGAAGCTGTCCTCGAGTACTTGATCCTTTGCAGTTGACAGATGCTGAAAGAAGCACAGCTTAAGACGGTTTAATGCAAAGCGGTGTCTAGGGTTTTGCAACTGTTCTAAACATCTACAGGAGCTGTAATAACTCCAGAATCGCAAACCAGACACCCGTTCTTTGATAAATCTTGAAATCCGGTGTGAGGGAACGGCTGCATTGGTTCTTCAACAGGTCGCTCAGGACACCCGATTGAGTGCATCTGCCGTATCCTTTGGCGCAAAACCAGGCTCTGATTGAGTAGACTGCTCGCAACCTCCACTACGTTTCTCAAGCTCAGTTACGACGCTCCCATCTGCGCCTGCTCACTTTCTCCCAATCCCCAAGATGGATCAAGATCAGGAAGTCTCTTTTCCCTTGCCTCGAGCACTGGATACCCGAATTCACATGCGCATAATCACCAAGTCGGCAGTCATCATTGTCCAGCTCACCACAGTCTCTGCCGAGGAGAAACTGAGCATAGTTCCCATGGGTTCCATGGTCTACGCCATGCCCGACGTTCGTTGACCCCAAGAGTAACAACCTTGACTGTTTGCACTTGCTGACAAGATTGGGAATATAGAAGTTCGCTCCAAACATGCCCTTGTCGACACAAATCTACAAGGAAGAGCCGACAGTCGACTTCACTACGCGGCTGGCTAAGATCCTGGTCAAGATGACCCAGATGCCTGTCTATGTGTCCAGCTCGCTCAGCCTGGCCAACACTGGACTTGGAGGAACTTTTGAGGAGGAGATGGCCGCCATGCAGGTGGTGGTTGAGATTGCTTCGCAACGGCTCCAGCATGTCATCAAGCCGTCCAACACCCCTGCTGCCGCAGCACACACAGGAACGAGCAATGCGTACAGTGTATCCTTGGAGGAAGTGAAGAATAAGACGGTGGGAACGCTCAAAGAACTGACCATCAGGTCTACGGAAGCTGGCAAGTCATAATGACGTTGACCTGATTGAGCAAAGCATAGCAAACGGGCAATGTATTACGGGCGTGCTTATCTGGCCCCGTGAACACCTCGAGCTCATGAGGCTGCTTGGAAGCACCAAAACGGGAGGATTCTAGATGGCGGATACGATTCTTACTTGTCGATATGTCAGATGAGTACGAGTTTCCCTCTGTGACAGCAGATATTGCGTAAAATGCGATTTGACGCTCAATCCACCTCCACCCTATTGCAACAATTATCTGTGTTATTTTCCGTTCTCACAGCCCAAGGCCATGATGGCTTCGCAGACAACGGTGACGCCGTGTTTTTTCATCGTCTTCCGACTACCGACTGGGTGGCTGCAGACGCCTGATCCAGGGGGCCCCTGTCAGCACGCGGTCGAAAGCTGGCTACGGGAGACCGGCAACATGCATGGAGTATGGGGAGAATTGTTGGATGAAGTGATCTTCTACCCAAAACGCACAACACCAGATGTCGCGAAGGGTGGTTTGGGCCAATTCAGGCCCAAACTTGTTCTAGTGGCCTCGCACGACGTCTCACATAACATTCGGTGGTGTCGCCTGAGGTTACAGAACATTGCTCTTCTAGGCAATCTGCAGTCGGTCTCCGAGTGGATAAACACCGAAATTCCCTGATCGGTGGCAATAGAAGGCGTGTTTGGTGTTTGCTGGCTCGTATAGTCGGGCTGAGGCCCGGTTGGAGCGGCTGGTGAGCGGCGAGAGCCCAACAGTTCCCAACCGATTCCTTACCTGATTACCTAGAATCATAACAACACGTATTCCTGTCCATTAAAGACCACATCTGAGATGGCCAGAAGGAATATGTAGCTGATCAGCGCCTCAGGCAACAAACAGCCCGGGCAGAAAAGTTGGCGCGTTCGTTCATTCCGACTGGATCGTTGGGCTATACTGGTCCAGAGCCTATATGTATCACGCACAGGGTAACTCACTTGATATTAGTTTAGCCTCTTGGTATTGGTATCCCACGTCTAGATATGCTTGGTAAAATAACTACTGTGCTCCTGCATACTTACGATATACTGCGCAATTACCTGGGTTCAGTCCAGTTTGTACATTCAGTGGAGATTCGTTGAGGAACCAATGGCGCCAATCGAGACTAGTAACTTACTGTCTCTGTGTTATTGCAGAGCTTCAAGAGAAGCAGGCATGACACCGATTTTCCACAGCCAATTACCTTGGATGAAGCAGGGATGTTGATGTCGGCGAAAAATATACAACATTCATAGATCAATGCTTTGATGCTTGACGAAACTATGCTCGGATCCAGCCCAATCTCGCGACCAGAACCGAGTCCGCGGAAAGCAGGAATGATAGCAGCACGCTGCTTGCACGGGATCCGGCTTTCCGCGAGCTCTACTTGGCGCATAACTCGCGACAGTAGAGTTGGGGGGCCCTGATGGTAAGCGTATGTTGGCCTTAGAAGATGAAAATGTACTTGATTCGCAAAATGGCCATGGCATGTTGTTACGTTATGAGAGTGTTTGAGGCAAGCCGTATTCAACCAGCCCGCCATGCCGAAGGAGTGCAACGCGGCCAAAGCGATCGATGTAGGTAAAGCGGTGGGGAACCGCAATGGTTGTTTGGTTGTGGAACTCCGTCTCAGTTACTTGCGGCATGGTAAACTCGGTCTGCTGGTCGACGCTGGGGGTAGGAAAAGAATCCAGTTAGCCATAGGAGAGTATATTCCAAGTGGTAGGATTTAAAGTGAATGGGGACTGTCTTACCAGCTCTCAGCCTCGTCTGGAATCAGAATCTTCCTACGCGATAATAGGGTCTGGGGTAGACAGCAGCTGTCTTGACTCATGAGACCACTCGGTCGCTGCTCAATCCACAAAGCTCACCGCCGGCAATGAATTTTTCCCATAGGCCAAACTTATGGGTTTCTTCCTGTATAGAATCGCCGGAAGACCGGCTGGGGGCAAAACTGAATCTGGTAGTGCCGGATAGGAAAAAGGCTCTTGAGGTACGGTATTGATCCGTGTGCGAACGTCATTTGGCGACAGAGCCGCAATAACTGTGTCATCGATAGTAATACAACCTTTTCTCAGGCTCATGTTGGATAAGACTGACTTGTCGTCGGCCCTGCACAATTTGTAAGATTTTCGAATGGTGGTAATCTTTAGGGGTAAAAAGCCTACCATTAACAAGCCACGATGCTTTGGAAGTCTACAGCTTTGCAGGACGGCCAATCCAGCCCAACCGTCTCGCCCCCAGTGGATTCGGAGGGTGTATCTCTCACAAATGTTTAGACCCTTACCACGGCACCGATTGAAGTCTCCAATTTGTTCCACGCCTGTATGCTTCGTGCAAGGAGCGCGTTGAATTGCAAGATTAGTGAGAGTGCAACTCCAAGAGGTGCGGCGCTGATATATCCGGTCCAAGACACGGCAATTGCAACGATCATGACGGCCAGAACGCCGGTGATGAGGTCCAGTCCTAGCAAAAGCCACTGCTGGATGCATAAAAGCATGTAGAACGGCACCCGTGACAAACTCAGGATTTCTCGAAGTTATTGACGAAATGCGGACCCCCCAGCGAAAGGTTCAAATGGTTGACACCCCGGGACCATTTTCTATAACCTGTTTGTATGAAGGGGCTTTGGCTTCAATGCTAGCAGACGGACTTCAGGTTCGTAGATAGTACCACTGTAGAAGGAACAACGCAACCGCCAATACGGGAATGGTGGCTGCAAAGTATTTCCCAACGATGCAGAGAATGAAGAGTTATAAAATGCATGAAGCAGCTCTTGTGATGGACACTTTGTTAGAAGCATTGTCTGAAGACAGTCTTTGGAGAAAAGCAAAGAGATACCGGTGAACTCTGGCGCCGGTAGGGGGGGAAGGGGGGTTGGGGCGGTGAGGTTAATGAGGCCCATATCCTGACTGAATCTGCTCGTAATGGTGCCAACGTCCATCGTCTGGAAGAATTAGAATGGCGCTCTGCGTAGAGAGCTGAGATTAGTAGGGGAGTTGAGGAATAATGGTAGAGCCGAAGACGTGCCTCAAGGTGGCCTTGAAAAGGTTGTTGGTGTGCAGTTTAACAGCGGTATCGCCAATGATGTCGATGAAGAAAAGACTGGTCATTTCTGATTAACCCGGGGCCTCACCGCATATATAGTAGCATTTTCGGGTAAACAAGATGACGGACCATAACTCTCCAGCTTAGCTCACGACGGCTAGGACAATGAACATTACGGATATCCCGACATACAGACTGAGGTGTTCGTTTGGATGCTTTTGGTTTGTCTCTGTCCACTTTTCCAATCGTTTAGCTATTCAAGTGTGCTGAAGCATTGTGATTGGAAACTAAGGGAAACTTACCAGACAGCCCCAACAAGAGTGCATATTCCCCATAACCACATTGCAAAGGAAACAGCACACCGACCGTAATACATACAAACTGACCAGCTTCCACATTATCTTTCGGCACTCAGCTCCTCTGCAATATCTCCAACTGGTGCAGCCGGGGCAAGGATCATGAAGCCGAGTGCTTCGTTCACATCTCTCTATAAAAGGAGGAAGATATGTCAGGCACGGTGACATGTTCTAATCTATCAAGGCTAGCTGCTATCGGGAGCATCTCCTTGTAAGTCCCGGACTTAATAAGTTTTCTACCGTCTAGTACTAGGACAGTATCTATATAGGAGAGGAGACGTCCTGAATATCGGAATTTAGCCGAGACGCTACGGGTCGACGTAGTTTAATACATACTTAGGGGAAACGTAGCTATAGGAACTAAGATAGCACTTAGCATACCGGCTGTGACGGCAACGCTGTCTTGTACACGCCGGACCCATCCCATCTGCGCTGGCCCGAAAATTGAGCCACTTGCGATATCGCGGCCATAGAAGCTGCGAACGAGTTAGTGTTAAATAGGAACCGATTTAAAAACACTGACCGAGACAGATAACCAATGACAACAGGTTTAAGACACTAATCATGAAAAAGTCTCCGGACACCCCAAACCCCAATTTGGCAATCAAAACAACAACAATATCAGCCTATTGATTTCCACTGGCTATTACAACCCTAATCTGTAATGGATTTTCGAGCTTTTACTATGGAAATAAGTAGTAATCGCGGCGCTAATTGCGGATTCAGTCCAGAAGCTAGAGCCGCTATTTATTAAGGCCTTAAACTATTACTGATATCGCCGGACGCGCTAGAATAACGAAAAATGCAGCTACGAGGAAGCGGGTAGGTGCCCCTAGAAATCTAAGCGTAAGAGATGAGAGATATCTAGTCGTACTATACCGCTGGGATCCTAGAATAACATATACGGAGCTTAAACGTAAGGTAGATGTATCGGTACACCTAGATACTATTAAGGTGTTACGAACCGTTGGCCCTAGACCAACATTACAGGCCCGTTGGCAGGCCAGGTGGATACAGACGCTAGCATCACGGGACCCCGCATCGGAGAAAGGAAAAGCCCGACAGGTCACGTGACCTACAGGGGTGGATATGTTGGTCAACCAACATATCCAAGTGGGGATCAGTGAAGGAGAGACGGATATATAAGGGACAGGACTCCCAGGCATTTCATAGATAGACAGTCTCTACTTCAGTGATCAATCTAAGCATCAATCTAACCCATTGGTGAGGCAAACTGCCTTGACGACTCTATTCCCAGTTACCCTACTTGAATACTTCAGTTACCCAAAGCCCTATACTCCATACGTCAGACCCCGATATTATTGCTTGAGGACTCCGCAGCAGGACTTACTTACTAGCACAAACCCTTACAGACTCTTTAGTGGTTTACGCAGCTAGACTATTAGAGGTTTCATTACATAAGGTAGTTCTACACCGTTATTACCTAAAGAAATAGCGTACGGTAAAGCGAATTATCTTGAAAGCCGAAGATACGAAGGAGCGCCTTAAATTCTGCCGCTAGTATGATCTGGTTAAGGGACGATAAAGGGGGGGACATCGAATTTAGTCTCCTACGACGGCGATCTAGACTCTCCGCGCTCTAGAGTATCCTCACGGTCTTATTACGATATCCTAGAGCAAAGGCTGCTTCTATTCTACGAGCTAGGAGATCCTTTTATGTAGGATAACGCAAAAATATATATGTTAAGCTATACATAGAGGTAGCTAGAGGATCACGGTATCTGGATGATCAAGTAGCCCGCTTATAGCCCCGATTTGAACCCTATTAAGTACGTATAGAAAGCCCTAAAGGCTAAAATACGTGAAATAGAGCCTAATTTCTCCGAGTTAAAGGCTAACGTCCCCTACGAGGCCTAGGCTAGGGTAGTAATCGAGGATACGTGGTTACAGGTCGATTTAACGTACGTACGCGGTCTTGTAAAGTCCCTTCCGCGACGGCTTATAGCGGTAAGAACAGCAAGGGGCTAGTATTCGTACTATTAAATAAGAGACGATTTGCAAGTTACGGATTAGAATTTAAGCGTAAATTAGCTAAAAAATTCATCTTTGAAGTTGTTGATTATATTATGTTGTAGGGGCTTAATTGTGGGTGTCCGGAGACTTTTTCGGGGTCATTGTAGCTGACTGATTCGCTAATGCCATACTGCCACGCCAACTTCGGACACCGCTGCCCATACTTTATCAGGCAGTCACAGATCCTGAACAATTTTCTCCACATTGGTGCCCATTAAAGTCATAGCTGCTGAATCCTACATGCCACTAGCCCAGAGACCAGTTGCGTTTCGGTACATACTGGAGATTGGACCGGATCGAACTCGATTCATCATGCGGTAAATCTGCCGCCAATACACTGCTCGTGGTATATGTATTAGTGTTAGCCGGTCCAAGACATGACGCATTGATATGGAGAGTGCGTACCGCAATGTGTAGGTAAACCATAATATAGGCACCTACAAGGGCATGGCCATAATAGCTTTCATGGTCGTCTCCCGATGGGGCTTTCAAGTATGAAACGGATGATGCAATGAGAAAAGGGAGGATCCAAGTCCAGAAACTTCAACCCTCTCCAGAGGGCAGACAGCTGCTCCATGCTCAAGCTTACGTACGAATCTGGTTTTCCGAACGGATTCACGAAGACAACTAGGTTTGTGTCAACGAAGGCCACAGTCCACAAGGCCCTCGGACTGCTATCATGACGGATGAGCCAGAGCCACCGCAAAGTCGGTATATCGAGAACAGTTGACGCTGAGAAGTAGAGACTTAGAAGATCCGACGGCTTGATTGAGCGCTGGTCTTCCAGGAACGGCAGGCGTCCAGCCGCTAAACAGTAGCTGCGGTGACCATGCCAGAGGCGAACGAAAGCCTGGTGCGCAAACGAGGTGTTCTCCGGTGGAACACAAGAAATAGCAGGTGGAAGACAGAAGGCACTGCGAGGAGGCCCTGGTTTCGGGTTAGTTAAGTGGCGCCAGCAATAAAGCGCTACGAAGCCTTTCAACTACAGCTTTCCCTATTGCCAGCCTGTAGGTATCAACTTTGATTGGCGTTTCCCAGAGTGTTCTCAGCCGTAACAGCAACAGCAGGAGCAGTAGAGCAGCAAGAATAAAGATGAGAAAGGCATCCTGAAACAAGAGTGTGGACTTAAAAGAACGACAGGTAACGCCCACTCGAGGGCCGAATTGATCATCGGCGTTCCAGAGGCAACCAGTCACCATCAGGTTTCTCCTCAGCTAGGAAGATAGATCTGGGTGAAGGTGAATCGATATCGTGAGGTCCTTCGGTTAGGGCACTTGATGAGTAAATAAATGAAGTGGACATCAGGCATCCGAGATGGCAAACGAGCATGCATTCCTCATTGACATGTACAAAAGAATGAGAATGGACAGGCAGTCCTGACGTAATTCCAGGTCGGACAGGTACTTTCAATGTTATCCATATCAGCTTAGCACCGCTGTACAGGCATGTTTGAGATTTGGAAATCTGGGATTACCTGGAGGGCTAATTATTCCAGCGGTGCTGCTGATAGTAAATAAAATTATATATGGCAAGAACCAGTACCTATTTATGTAGTAACGCTTCCCTTCAGTGTCGCTTTCCACGTTCTATGGACGCTGCGGTTTAGCAACCTTGAATTGTTTATTCCACAAGGCAACAATCAATGTGAAATAAGTCACAGACAACCACACGAAGCAACGGAGACTGCTCGACCTGGTCTAGCGATTTCCGCCCACAAAGGGCCACGGTCATCTCAGAGTTGGTGTATTCTCTCTGCTCCCGCCATCTTATCCTGGACATTGGAAATCACTTGGGTATGATGCCTCAAATACATGTATCCGTTATCATTATACTAGTCTAATCTATTCTGAGGTAAAGCAAACCGGTTTCTTATTACCTGGATGGAACATAGTTTCCTGGGTGGTCAACTTGAACCCTTGACTAGTAATGGTGTTGCACAGAATATGACCGCCTCACAATCCAGTTGCAGCTACTGATGGAGGGATACACAGAACCCGACTATGACACAACACAGAAAGTATGTTTACAAGGTCGTAAGATTCAGGTCAGAAAGTTGTATTGGCTAAGGTTGGCTGGACTGCTGGCACATGTCATAGCAGATTGGATCATGAAAGCGACATCAACTTGGATCCCATGGATTCCATGAAATGGGAGAGTCAAAATCGCAAGAAGAGTTTGATGGCAGACATTGCGCTTTGGAAGTACCACCTTTCGTCAAATTGAACTAGAAAGTGGAGCGTGGACGCTGAGCGAAGTAGCGATTCTCGCTCCCCTCACCCTGGCCCCCAGCCCAGCCAAGCATGTCGCAGCAAAATCTACTTCACCCCACCACACCACCACACCAGGTTGAGCAACCATTTGCGACCACGAAGAAATTGGCCCTGCAGGTAAAGGCAACTCTGTTTGACATCAATATTTGAACGCAGCTTGTCACTTGGTTCACACGCACACCACTATCGTTATCAGACTGCCTGGCAGCATTTTTGGAGCTAAAAAGGCGTCCACATAGCTCTATCTTCGGGTCTATATCAACCTCGCAACTAGCGCCGGCCACTCTGCGTCCCTCACTCCAACGTCACCTTGGAGCGCTGCAACTGACCACTCCGCGCAATGGCATCAACATAGCCAACCAACCTGGAATAGATACTGTCACTTCAAAGCCCGTTTCGCAGACCAGCCAGACACTAGATTCTTCTGTGTCGCAAGCGTCTCTCGGGCGCACAACAAATCCACCATACCTTTACCCGCCCTTCAGGCAAACCGCCAACCATCATGGCCTCCCAATGGCAGCCGAGCGCCGACTCGCTCAGCCAGCTCGCATCATGTCTCAAGGACTCCCTAAGCGGCTTCAACAAAGCTGCGCAGAAGCAAGCCGAACTCATGCTGACACAGGCAAAGTCGTCGCCCGATATCAACAACTACCTCGTCTACCTCTTCTCGAGCACCACACCCCCTGACGGTGTACAATGTACACCCGAAGACTTCCACCTCGTCCGTGCCGCCGCAGCCATCATGCTGAAAAATAACATCAAAACCGGCTGGAAGCAGATCCCCGAGGCTAGTTTCGCCATGATTAAGACGGGTATTCCCTTCTGCCTGGAGGACAAGAACTCTCAGATACGGAACTATGCAGGGAATATCGCCACCGAAGTGGTCCGCAGGGGAGGCATTCTAAGCTGGCCCGAGTTATTACCCAAGCTCCTCGAGTTGCTCGGGAACGAGACGGGGCAAGTGTCTCCTGAGGCACAGGAGGGCGCTGTGATGGCGATGGCCAAAATTTGCGAGGACAATACCAAGATGTTGGAGCGCGAGCTCAATGGCCAGCGACCTCTCAACTTCATTTTACCAAAACTCGTTCAGGCGACCAAGAGTCCACTGCCCAAGGTGCGGGCTCAGGCCTTGACGGCAATCAATGTGTACACGCCTCGAAAGTCCCAGGCGATGCTCAACGTCATCGATGACTTGTTACAGCACATCTTCACCCTTGCCACCGATTCGAACCCAGATGTCCGACGACAAGTGTGCAGGGCGTTCGTTCAACTGGTGGAAACTCGACCTGACAAGCTTCAACCTCATCTTGCTGGTCTAGTCGACTACATTATCACCCAACAGAAGAGCGACGATGAAGAATTAGCCTGCGATGCGGCTGAATTCTGGCTAGCCGTGGGTGAACACGAGCATTTGTGGCAGTCTTTGACACCGTACATCAGCAAGATCATCCCTGTATTGCTAGAGTGCATGGTCTATAGTCCCGAAGACATTGCTCTGCTGGGCGGCGCATCAGACGACGAGGACGAGGAAGATCGCGAAGAGGACATCAAACCCCAGTTTGCCAAGAAATCGACTGCCAGGACGGCCAACGGCGGTGAAGGGTCAGCCGATGCATCTCAGAATGGAAATGCATACGAGAAGTTGGCCAGCATGGAAGACGAGCTGGAAGAGGGCGAGCTCGAGGACTTCGACGATGGCGACGACACGAACCCCGATGAGCGATGGACACTTCGAAAATGCTCGGCGGCCGCCTTGGACGTTTTCGCCAGGGACTACCGTGACCCAGTCTTCGAGTGCATTCTGCCGTACCTGACGACCAACCTCAAACATGAGGATTGGCCCTACAGAGAAGCTGCAGTCCTTGCTCTGGGGGCTGTAGCCGAGGGTTGTATCGATGTCGTAACACCGCATCTCCCCGAACTCGTTCCGTATCTCATTACACTACTTAATGACCCGGAGCCCGTGGTTCGCCAGATCACTTGCTGGACTCTCGGTCGATATTCGTCCTGGGCAGCTCAGCTGAGCAATCCCGCTCAAAAGCAAGCTTTCTTCGAGCCAATGATGGAAGGCATTCTGATGAAGATGCTGGATAAGAACAAAAAGGTGCAGGAAGCAGGCGCCTCGGCTTTTGCGAACCTGGAAGAGAAAGCCGGCAAGAACCTCGAGCCGTATAGTGGCCCCATCATACAGCAATTCGTGAGCTGTTTCGCAAAGTACAAGGACCGAAATATGTATATCCTCTACGACTGCGTTCAAACACTGGCTGAGCATATTGGTCCTGTGTTGGCACGACCTGATCTCGTTAATCAGCTCATGCCGGCTCTGATTGATCGGTGGCAGAAGGTGTCAGACCAGTCGCGAGAACTCTTCCCCTTACTTGAATGCCTCTCGTACGTCGCAATGGCGCTGAACGACGCATTCACGCCATTCGCGCAGCCAATTTTCAGCCGCTGCGTCAACATCATCCACCAAAACCTCGAGGCCTCCATGGCATTGGCCAACAACCCAGCACTTGATGTGCCGGATAAGGATTTCTTGGTAACGAGCCTTGACCTCTTGAGCGCCATCATACAAGCACTCGACAAGGAGAAGTCGGCCCAGCTCGTCAGAGAGTCACAGCTACCGTTCTTTGAGCTTCTTACCTTTTGCATGGAGGACCCTGCTGACGAGGTTCGGCAATCGGCGTACGCCTTGTTGGGAGACTGCGCAAAATACATTTTCAAGGAGTTGCAATCATCTCTGAGCAACGTCTTCCCGGTGCTGTTGAAGCAATTAGATCTTGACAGCATCTTAGACGAGGAGATTGACAGCGGCTTTAGCGTCGTTAACAATGCGTGTTGGTCGATAGGAGAGATAGCGGTGCAATATGGTGATGGGATGGCACCATATGTTCCCGAACTGTTCCAGCGCTTTATCGAGACTATCACGAATCCTGGCATACCCAAAGGAGTGACCGAGAATGCAGCTATAGCTCTCGGCCGTCTTGGGCTTGGCAATGCCAGTCTGCTGGCCCCGCATTTGGCCAGCTTTGCTGAAGAATTCCTGACTTCAATGGATGAGGTCGACCCTAGTGATGAAAAGGCCACGGCATTCAGGGGCTTCACTGTCATTGTTGAACAAAACCCCATGGCGATGGAGAAGTCGCTCCTGCACTTCTTCACGTCGATTGCGCGCTATAAGGATCTAAAGTTGAAGAGCGACACTAAGAATGGCCTTCATGATGACTTCCAAAAGGTGAGTCATCTACTGTGTGCCCTTGTGGGGTTTCTTTGGATGCGACTAACTCGTTGACTTAGGCTATTGGCATGTACCGTCAACTGATTCCCCAGTTCAATGATTTCGTCAACCAGATGGCGCCCCAAGATCAGCAGGCCCTGAGGACCAACTACGCCCTATAAGATAGCGACGCAGCGGATTTTTGGACCACATGATCGATGACGAACATACATGTGGAATGGATGCCAACACTAATGAGGTCACCAGCGATGTGAGCCAAAATAGTTACTGTCGCTTTGCACATATTCGCACTAGAAACTGGAAAAAGCATGGGCATGGCAATTTCCGATCAGGCTTCTTCGTGGCAGCTATGTAAGAAGACAGTACCTATCTGGTGCACTGAAACTAGGGATGAATAGGGAGCAGCCTACATCATCGTCAAACCATGTTGGCTTTGGAACTGGGATACAGCGGAGTTACCTAGCTTGTGTGTTGCGTGTGAGGAGCGGCGGTCACAGAACCAAAACTGGGGGCGAATCTGAACGAGGTATGAGATGTGGACCAATGCTAGGTCAGATCAGTACAAAGCAAAGTACTTGGGAAAACATCACCTCTAGCATTTTGACCGGTCGACATGATGAGATGGGAATGAATGGGACGAATGAATTTCTCATTGCATTTAACGACGATGACGGTGGGCAGTACGAGAGAGCATCCTGTTTTAGCCCACATGGCTGGCTGAATGGCTGTATTAGGCGCGAGGTTGCTTAACAACCCGGTGCAAATAGTAGATAGACTTTTTTTTTTGTTTTTTTACCTAGGTAGGAGCATTGCTCAAAAATGGGAGTTAATAGCGTGACGTAGAAGGAAGAATACATCGTGATAAAGCTCGTATGACGATCTGGGTACTGGTGTATTTGAGTAAGCCTATGTTATATTAATGGAGACTGTGAGGACCTGTGGCTTTCGGCGGCTGAGAACAGATGTCACTACTTGGTGATGATGTTGTACATGCTTGTGGCGACCCCTTCATCGTCAACACGAGACATAGCAACTGAGGCGAATAGAGCGTTCAGGGGTGAGGACATTGAGCTGTTGCTTCGTGTTCGTTTATGTGACTTCCATCCTCAACGTCAATTGGCCCTATGTCGTGACTTCCTGACATATACCTCAGATACCTTGGTATAAGCGTTCAGTCGATCCCAAGAGCAAAGGTTTCCTCACAACACCACGACCACTGTCGCATTGTCAATAACACAACATACCCTCGTATCGTGCATACTCATTTGCCATCGCAGGATTTACTACCAAAGAAAATTCACAGGCAGCACCACAGTCGACAGAAAGCAATGTCTAAGAGTACTGGTATAACTTCAACCTTGATCTATCCAAGAGAAATCTTCGAGTGCTATTTCTGTCATGAGTGGAAGAGCTTTACCGAGCAAAGCAGGTACCAAGGCCAAGGCTGTTGCTTCAACTGCTTCTGCTGGTATTTATTTTAGGACTCTTTTGACTTTTACACCCAATCAGTGGGAACTGTACCGGCAAGAGAAAAACAAAAGAATGGGCGGTGCAGCAGCAGAAAATTGAGGACATTGACAACTTGAGGGACTGAGTGGAAATCCCTCAAAACTCTGGCGATGTCAGGTCTTCCACAAAACATCATTGTTTATACCCACGGCTTGTCTCTCCCTACAAGGTCATCACAAGATTTAGGTTTCTGTAGCCGTCACTGCTGAACTCAACACATCCACCTCCGTGACAACAAAGCGTTGAAGGCAGTTCTGGTGCTCCCGCAGGCTACCAACGCCCAAGCTCATTCGTGGGAGATGTTAACAGCGGCATCGAAAGCTGTAGATCATCATGCTCAAAATCACGAGCTATCCGTAGCAAGCGGCACATATAGCTGTCGACATACGATACTCCCTGTAACAATTGCAAGGCTAGTCGTGTACTGTGTCTTGGGGTGCCTGTATTGCCACATTGCCGGCCTTGTCGCCCCCAGCTAGGGCGGGCCCTGGGAAGATCTATGCAAAGCGGCATGGCCAGACCAGAATTGTGGAAGGTTACAGATTCACCTTGTAACTCTCCTCATTGAACAAGGCACATACGCAACTTGGATGCCAGTATTTTGGGGAACTCTGCATGATGTGAGGACCAGATACTCCAAAAGTCTACATGCGATGGGAAACGCAAACTCTTGCTGGGCGTGTAGTTCGGTCAACAAAGTGGCAGGGGAGAACATGAGCAGGCCTCAATGTAGCCAGGATTACGGCAGGCCAGTTCTCGCATGGAATGATGTGATATCCCCTCCATCATTACATCGGAACAGTGGGCTGTTCTGCGTGATCTCTGTCTATGTGCAGGGTTCAGCTCTATTCACCGTAGAGAATATTACATGTGCTTTTAGTGGCCAATGTGAAATATTGTTAATGCTGATTGACCTTGTAAGTTGCTCTTGAGGAAAGAAATCCATCTTCCGTATCACGGAGAAACCTTCGAATAGGGAGGTTTGCCAGATACGGTCTCCCTAGTCATGAACTCACCCGGGCGAAGGATTCGTAGACGTTACATATGTGAGCGCGTCGGGCCGATATGCCATAGTCTGTCATTGGGCTTTTCTCCCGGGCTGGTGCCATTTTGAGGCTATGTTGTTGGTACGAAGATAGCACGACAAGGGAATTTTAATACGCCCGTCGGAGAACGAGCTATGCACTAATCCGATAATAATATGTTGATGTTTAATAGGGCATGATGACGTTAGACTCCTTGTAGGTGATTCGCCTGAGAGAGAGAAATGCTGACTACGGACGTTCTAGTTCTAGTTTCTGGAGACGTGATTACTCAACTTGGGTGTGACAGTTTCAAGGTCAGATGGACAGTTGGGATGGAAATATGAGTTGGCAGTCTCATGTTTCGATAGACAGCTCAGGTGAAGCGCAGGGGCTTGATCCAAGCATACTAAGTTCCTTCTAGCTTGGACTAGGCCAGCAGGTCTGGTGTTCGGGTTGACTGATGAACCACGGCGCGGCGCTTACAGATTTGAGTTCAGCCTAGAAGAAATACCGCTCTCGAGCCTGCTGTGCTGAGATGGTGTCCTTTTTGGGACGTGTTACGCGGCGCGTGAAAGAGTTTCAGGTGGTTTCCGATAGGATTGACGTAGTGTATACCTATGACAAAATGGGTTAACAGCTGAAGTGTGCTTAGAAGCCGGTGTCTGGAAGATTTCTTTCTGTTAAACACTGATGCAACATTGGGATAGTTCGACTGCCAACGAGACACTCATGTGCTTACCGGCTTGGCCGCTGTGGCCGTATTACAAATATCGGAACTACTTGATCTGTCAGTGCTGCTGACTCTAGTTAGGTCCATCAGATGACACAGATGATTCTGGTTTGTCTCAAAGAGCGCGGCTTACATGCCCTGCTGGATCAACGCCCCTGGATCCAGATTATTCATGTTCCAGGGCCATTGAGTAGGCACACTACGTTGCTCGTCTGTAGCCCTTTCCATGGTTCTTAGTGAAGACATTTTGTGATTTTCCTATTTGCTTGTCATGATTATTAACAGCGACTTTCACCACAGTACTGCATTTTGCCCATGGAGGCGGACTGTGACAGGGACTTGTCTAGCACCGATACTCATTACGGAGAAATATATCGGGTTAAGAGGCCTTACAAGTGCTCCTGGGATGGCGTGAAAGTTAGTTGCCAAGCCTTGCGGAATCGTTGCTTATCGGGTAGTTATTGATATATGCCAATGCCCTGAGTGAATGTGAAGCAATACGCCCAAGCAACAAGTGAGAAAAAGAGTATGGTATAGCACATCTCCGCTGGGATCCTTTGGAGTAGACACTCTCACTAGCTGCAGCTATACCATGGTAGATAACCTGGCACTTATGAAGAGACTCGAAAGGGCATAATATTGCGAGATGAAACCATGGCAGAGAACATGTTCTTCCCACGCTACATCAGTATTCCAGTATTATGAGTCGTAGCTTCGTCATGCTTTTGTAGAATAGACACACCTTAGTTGAATATGAGCTGGATGCTGTATGAACGTGATTACCTGGCAGATGTTACATCGTCCGTTAGCAAATAGATGCTTAACAAGGACTTGATCTGCCATCAGAATGCGCCGTCCGGATGACGTGATGACAATGTAAACAAGGGGAATGCTAACTAAATAACCATGAAACCGAGACTATCATGAACGATCAAACCGATTAATTGGGATGATCACTCCACACGCTAGCACGTTGTCACTTATGAAGAAGGATCAGTTTTTGCTAAACCATGAAAGTATAGATTCTCGTGAACCATTATCTCAACTGATGAAGTATTCTATAGCATATTCACAGTGTTGCTCCTGAATCTGAAGTTCATGTACCTAGTCAACAGGCAATCCTGAAGGCTTGGGTTATTGACTTAGCTAATAAGGTTGCCCAAGAACATAACACTACAGAGGTCGAGATCAATATCGAACCGTCGTCCAGTAATGCTCTTCTTGCCATCAGATTCTTTTAGTTCAGCAGTACCAAATGCAACATCCCTTCACCACCACAACTGAGAACAACCCCAGCCTGCAGAGCATGAGTTGATACACGCCCACACTTGCTAGCTCACGACTGCCCGGGACTAGACCGCCCATCTCACGCCTCTCCAATCCGGAGAAAATCGGTTACAGACCGCTGCTTGCACCTCATGGCCTGTACGACGGGTCGCGAAAGCCACCGTGGTACAGAAACTCTTCAGGTACGCTGATTCGGCAGCGGTCGACGACGCTTGCCACGAGGTTGTGATACAGAGACCCCAACGGACACAAGCACTCGGGTGACGCGGTGACTGCAGCAAAAACAGGTATTTGTCGCATTTCACATTTTCATGATCTGGAACTTTGGCCTGGGCCAGAAATCCAGATCCTCGCGGATCTCTTTATCTCGCCATCGTGCCCCGCCTCCATCTGATTACCCACTTATGGACTGATGGTCTCGTTGTCAGTAAGCTCGATTGCCCTGGTGGCGAGCTTAGATATATCGCCGAAAGAATTCCTGGAGCGAAAGGAATATGGTAAATATCCACGACTCTAAGCCCGAAATAGCGGTATGAAGTTAAAGAAGCCTTTTCCGCGTAGTGTGACTGAGATATCATCTCACAACAGCGCATCGCATGCTCCGTTGCCC